CCGCCCGCCGGGGGCCGACCCGGCTCTTCATCGAACGTGGCCGTCGGGGCGGCGGGGAGGACGTCCGACCCGCCCGGACCCTCCCCGGCCGGCAGGGCGCCCGACTCGACGCCGCCCGCCCCCGGCGCCCCGAGCGCCCCGGGGGGACCGACCCAGCCCATGGCGCCCGCCCGCCCGGCGCCCGGGTCGCCCCTGGCCGGGCGTGACCGGGGGCGACCCGCCATTTTGGACTTCCGTTTCGAGCGCCCAAACGGGTGGACCGGGGGGGACCCGCGCTGCGACCCGGCCCCTCGGAGCGCACTTTTTTGGGGCGCCGGGCGGGCGGGCGCCTCAGGGGAGACCCAGCCCGTTGCACAGGGGCGTCCATGGGCGCCCGGCCGGGCGGTCGGGGGGTGACCCGGCCCATGTGTTGCCGCCTCCTCACCTCCTTTGCCATCGCCGCCGCCGCCCGCCCGCCGCCGCCGCCGCCCGAGGCGCCCGGACGGTCTAGTGTTGACCTGGCCGCACCTCACCGCCGCCGCCGCCGCCGCCGCCCGTTTTCCGCCATGTCCACCGCTCGCCCCGAGTCTTCGGCGCCCTTGGGGGCCCGGCGCTCGGGCAGGCGGTCGAGGGGCGACCCGGCTCGCGTCTTGTCGCCGCCGCCGCCGCCGCCCCGGGGCGCCCGCGTGGCCCTCCCACGACGAGCCCGCAGGGCCGTTGGGCAAGAAGAAAATTCGACCAAGGCAAAAATGACCAAGGCAAAAATGACCAAGGCAAAAATGACCAAGGCAAAAATGACCAAGGCCAAAAAAAGAATCCGGTGCGTCGATCCGAGTCAAGGTGACGGTCGGCCGCACCGGTCGTGACCCCCTCCCGCGGCGGGCGCGTGGCCCGAAGTAGATGGGGGGTGAAGAGAAGTGTCTCTCCGGCAAAGCTAGCGGAAGGCGGGTGCGCTCAGACGATCGTAACAACAAGGCTACTCTGCGTCGTACACGGCCCGTTCCGGCGTCCCAGTCGTCTGCAAGGGCTTCGTCCCGGCGCGCGGTGAAATTGCGATGCGCCCGACCGCGGCCGACTTCCACGACCGCGGCGGGGGGCTCGGGGGTCCAAGGCCGAGGCCTATTCGTACTCACGTACGGCGTGCCGGGGAGGACCGTCCCATTCCGGCACGGATTCCGACTTAGAGGCGTTCAGCCGTAATCCGGCAGATGGTAGCTTCGGGGCACTGCCCGGTCGGACAGCCCCGCAAACCAATTATCTGAAACCGCGGTTCCTCTCGTACTAAGCGGTAGGTGGCTTTCTAGACTAGCAATATTCTCTCCTCGACCTATGTAGGTTAACTATATATCGCTTAAGGAGGCTGTTAGGGCTGTGTATCGTGGTATAATAGAGTCGTATAGAGACTATGTTAAAGCTACTAAGTGTGCATTATCAATGGGTAAGGCGTAGGAGCGACTACAATGTAGGTGTTACGTAGATGTTGGTATTAAGCCGTGACAAGCTTTAACTTCTATTAGGCTAGGCTTTCGTTAATCGAACAATGTTCTTTACTTTGGCCAAGGTAGATCAATACAGACGTCTGCTATAGCACCGTATTTTTCAGGCATCAGCGAAGGCGAATGCATGCGATGTAGCTGACGACACATAAAGGATCGAGTAAAGACGACCACACGGAGTCTGGCCGCTCCTCGAACTTCGCGCAGCAGAAAGCAAAGACAGCGTTCGAGCTACGAAGGCACGCTCGTTCACAACCAACACAACGAGGAACGCGGGCTGCAGATTCATCAGCGATCGAATGGCGAGGCTGAGACGCAGCCGCGGGAGGCGAAGTAGAGCGTGCGGCTCTGCATGCGCGCGTCATCGGCCGGCGGCGTTCGCGAAATTCGTGAACATTCACCCCTCCCTCACCTGCTCCCCTTTGCCCTCCCGCAACGACCGACGACTCGAGGAAGGATGCTACACATTACGCCGCGCATATGCGGGCAATGTGCGAGCAGCATCCTCCGGCCATGTCGGCCGGTGATGGCGGCGAGAGACCTCCATCGCCCGCGCCCGCGCCTCCTCCACTCCACTACCTCCACCCTCCTTCGCGCACGACCACTCCCGCTCGGTCGCAACACCGCGCCGAACAACCTCTCCTCTCTCTTCCGGCGATGCCAGAGTCAGTTTGAGCCCTTGAAACCCCCGTCGCCCTCATCCCTCGGCCGACCCACCGCCGCCAAATCGTATCGTCGCAGCCGCAAATGGCTCCGCCGTCTCTTCCGCTCCTCCCTCGCCGCCGCACTCGTCCTTACCCTCGATGTCTACTTCTACGATCAGAGCCTGACGCGCTCGCTCCGCACCTTCTACACCGGGTTGGTTGTGGCGCTGGACTACAAGTTGAACTTTCGCCCCGATCCGTGGATTGGCGACAGCGTGGCCGACCTGCATTCGAGGAGCGCGCGGCGTGTCTTCAATCTATTGCGCGAAAATGGCGGGCTATATCTCAAGATCGGGCAGGCCATCGCCATGCAGAGCGCCATCCTCCCGCCCGAGTTCCAGAAGATGTTCGCGCGGATGTTCGACGATGCGCCGCAGAACGATTGGAGCGCCGTGGAGAAGGTGATCCGGGAGGACTTCGGGAAGAGCGTGGAAGAGGTGTTCGGCGTCTCCTTCGCGGGCGATGCGTCCAAGGGCGTCATGGAGCGGACGGCGCGGGCGAGTGCGAGTGTGGCACAGGTGCATTGGGCGCGACTGCAGGATGGGCGCGAGGTGGCGGTCAAGATCCAGAAGAAGGAGATCGCGCGGCAAGTCGGCTGGGATCTGTGGGCGTTCAAGGTCGTCACCAAAATCTACACCCTGTGGTTCGACCTGCCGCTGTACCATCTCGTGCCGTACATCGCGGAGCGCCTGATGCTGGAGACGGACTTTCAGAACGAAGCGCGCAACGCGGAGCAGATGCGGCGGCTGGTGCAGGGGGAGAAGCGGCTGCGCGATCGCGTCTATATCCCCGAGGTCTATCACGACTTGAGCAGCAAGCGCGTGATGACGGCGGAGTGGATCGAAGGCATCCGGCTGTGGGACAAGGAGGGCATCACGAACTCCTGGCAAGGCGGATGGCGCAGGGGCTCACCCGGAGCGGGCGGCGCACCGCTCGATGCACCAGCAAAGGCAGTCGTGGAGAGGATACCGCAGCACGACCCCAATCAGGAGCATCTCAAGCCCGTGCGTGATGCCTGGCGTGGGCCCGACCAGAACGGCGGGCTCGGCCTGAGTCTGAAGACGTGCATGCAGACCATGGTCGACCTGTTCTCCGCGCAGATGTTCCTGTGGGGTTTGGTAAGCGTCCTCTTCGCAGCCTACGTTCCGTTACTAACGCTTCTCTATAGGTCCATTGCGATCCGCATCCTGGCAACATCTTTATCCGTCGGCTGCCTGGTGGAAAGCCCGAGCTGGTGCTCATCGATCACGGGCTGTACATCTCCATGGACCCGAAATTCCGCAAAGACTACGCCCTCTTCTGGCGCAGTTTGATGACGTTCGACAACGACACCATCGCCCATATCACACGGGACGAATGGGGGATCAATGCGCCCGACATCTTCGCCTCCGCCACGCTCATGCGCCCCTACGAAGGCGGCGACGGCAAGACGTTGGCCGAGATCAAAAGCATGAGCAAGAAGGAGCAGCGGCAGCAGCAGTTCGAGATGCAGCAGAAGATGCGGAAGGGCATTCGCGACATCCTCGCCAATCAGGAGAAGTTCCCGCAGGAGCTCATCTTCATCGGCCGCAACCTGCGCATCGTGCAGGGCAACAACCAGTTCCTCGGCTCGCCGGTGAACCGCGTCAAAATCACGGGGTACTGGGCGTCGCGAGCGCTGTCCGAGGCGAAGGACCTGGGCTGGAAGGAGCAGTGGCGGCAGTATGGGAGGCATCTGCTCTTCCGATTCGTGCTGCTGAGTACCGATGTCGTCTTTTACTGGAGCAAACTCAAGCAGGCCATCGGCCTCGGGAAGGGCATGGACGATGACTTGGAGGAGAGTATGAAGAAGATGGCCGGCCAGATGGGCGTAGAGCTGCAGCACGGTAAGTCACGGCGTGCGAAGTATGAATACGAGAACGATGGGCTGACTGTGTGCATCTACAGGCGTCTTCGACGGATGAACACTTCCCCCACTCCTGTGCCAACGTTGATAGAAATACACGAAGACTCTAGACTCTATATCAATCAAGCATGTGACGAACAGACGTGGGTCCAAGAACAGATCAGTTGCGTTTCTTCCCCTTTTCAAGCTTCCGCTCTTGCCTCCAGACCCAGACGTAGATGAAGGGATAGATGGTCTCCGCCAGCAGGGTGATGCCAATCATGCCGATGCTCCAGGCCGAAGAGACGTATGACCAGTTCTCCGGGATGTTGAGATACCGCCAGAAGAACAGCCCGTACGCCGTCCAGCAGCCCAAGTAGCGTGTGATCCTGCGATTGTCAGCATTGAATTCCAATGGTTGTGGTGAAGTGCAAATGAATCACCAGATCTCCAGCGACTGTCCTTTGGTGTCCCGCCGCTGCACCAGCAGCCACACGCTTCCCACGCTGATCGGAAGCTGGAGGACGACGCCCGTCCAAAAGGCCGTGACTTGCTCCCGTTCGTCGGGGTACCTCGCGCACAACCACTGGAGAAAGACGATGCCCGCAACGACGATGGCGATGGTTCTACCAACCACCGCCTTGCGCTGTCGTCGGGGATATGCGTTGGCGATGGCGACGGAAACAAATGTGACGTCGAACAGGAACCACGCCAGAAAGCAGAGGAGCTCAAAGGTGGTGGAAGTGGTCTTGAAGGCGTAAAAGAGCTCGTACGCCATGGTCGTGCCTCTGTCCGCGCGATCAGCTGGGCTCCCCGCATGCTCGACATCGATGGGAGTGTACGGACAAATACTCGATCGGGCCGGCGCAGGTTTTATCCTTGACGGTCTTGGTCATGTAGAACAAGTAGCACAGGACGTAGAGCACGCCGCACGAGACGATGAAGCCATCCTGGACGTAGAGGTAGCTTTCCGGAGGATCGAGTCGGAGGTCCGCAGGCTGCACGATGAGGTGCCACGAAGCGGACCGCCTGGCCAATTCGAACGGCATCTTGCAGTCAACTTCCCATACGATACGACGCCTCACTTCGTGGAGGACATGATATCGAGGTGTCCTTCGGGGAAAGTCTGTCGTGTCGCTTTCTGCAAAAGTCTATTCATCCTTCGGAAGCTGACGGCTGTCGTTGCGCTCGGAGATCCATAAATTACTCCAACATTGTGGATCTGCGCACGACGCTCACGAAGACGTGAATCGATCGCGACCTCTGCGGGAAGCCAAGCACAAAAGCACCTTACCTATCTGTACATGTTGACTGCCTTAGCATTTCTTCGAAGTTCGGCGTGCGAGGACTCCCCCTTCGGACAGGAACAAAACGTGAAGGATGCTTTCGATAGGGCTTGACATATTTCTGATCGGATCTATTCATGCAGGTACAACCAATCAAAAAAAGGCCTTCACGCCTCGTCCAACCTTGATCCAGCGGACAATCGTGAAGCACACCGCACTCGCTGCGTATCCAAGACTGGTGAAAACGATAAGCCCCCAGTACATTCCCTTCGTCGTTTCAATCAGATTCCCTGCGATGGGAATGCCCACGAGCGTCGCGAAACTGACGAGGGTGTAGCTGGTCGCGAAGTAGCGGCCGTAGTCTTTCGTCTCGCACAGCTGGCCCACACACGGCCCGACCAATCCCAGATTGCTCCCCGATGCGAAGCCAAACAAGACGGCAAAGACGACAACGAGGGCGACTGTCGAGGCCGCGGACAGGTTGGCGATGGTGGACCCGGGGAGCCAGACGCACAGATTCACGATCACACATAGGAGCAAGGTGGCGATCATCGTGTTGTACCTCCCCCACTTGTCCGCCAGGAGACCAGGAATAAAGCGCCCCGGGATGCTGGCCGCGTTGAGGATGGCGATGACGTCGTAGCTGAAGCTCTGGGAGATGCCCTGCGATATGCCAAAAGAAGTCAAGTAGGCATAAGGTACGAAGATCGAGAGCTCCATAAAGAAGATGCCAGCGGTGCACAATGCGAGGCAACCAGTGCCATCGAGGAAGATGCGCAAGTCGGGTAAGATGTTTCGGATGGTGACTTTCTGTCGGGGATATCGACTGCGCAGGAAGATGGTCGCGAAGATGAACAGAATCAACATCACAAACCCCAAGATCTTCGTCGCCCAGAAGAATCCCCATTTCGGATATGTGGCTCGGAAGATCAAGGGGAAGATGACGCCGCCGGTGCATGGACCGGTCATGGCGATGCCCGTTGCCCAGCCTCGTCTGCGGTTGAAGAAGTGACCGACCGCCGCGATGCCCGGCGTTAGCAGTAGAGAGCCGCCGATACCACAGAGGATGCTGAAGTCGAGGACAAAGTGCCAGTATTGCGTGCATGATCCCAGCAGCATCAGAGCGACGAAAACACAAACGCTCCCGGCGAACGTCAACCACTTGGGCCCGTACGCATCGAAGAGCGGGCCGATCTGGATGGAACAGAAGAAGAGGACGAAGGGGTAGATGCTGAAGATCCAAGCCACGGTACTCTGCGGGTAGTCGCGAAGCTGGTGTCGAGAAACGTAGGTCTGTAGGGGCCCGATGGTATTCAGCAGGCCCAGGCCGCCGACCATGGCGCACCACGCGCCGAAGACGGTGAGCCAGGCTTCACGGCCTCCTTCCGGGTAGACATAGTCGCTCCCATCCGCCGTCTCGGCGGACGCTTCCACCGGCAGCGAAGTTGGGTTATTGCTCTCGCATGTCTTTTCGCCAATCCGCGTTACTGCCGAAGGCTTCTCCTCATGTGGCATCCCGCTGCAGAGGTCATCGCCATTGACATTGCTCGAATCCCGGCGCGTGACCATTGCACGGCGCACCAGGACAGATGGACATATATACAGAAAAGAATGTAAGAGAGACAAAAGACAATGACTCGACGGAAATCGGGAGACGGGAGATGTGCAGAGAAGGGCGCGCCGATTCTTACGTAAAGTGGTGAAGTCAAGCCTGGGCTTCGAAGTGGCCGGCAACTACAAGGTCGCGGCTGGGGGTGATCGAGCACCTCCCCGTCCCTCTGTTCTCGAACGAGACCAGTCGAGCATGAACGGGGTCTCGCTGTCCGTCTGCGCAGCGTGTCGGCGGGAAGGGCAGAGATTGATGGAAACTGCAGTCCGAAGTGAATCGGGAGGAACCCAAACACGGCTAGCCTCGCACGGGACGGACCGAGCCCTCCAAGGCAGCTCCGGCGGCGTCAACTCACGAATGTTCGCGTGCTGCAGCGGTCGTTTGCCATCATTCCGCCATCTTCCCCCTCTCATCAACCACCTCTTCACCGACCTTGCGACCGTGTCATCCGCCCCACCGTACGACCACGCACCACCCATCCTCAGCTTCCGCCCACACGCACCGCCCACCTCGCCGCCATGTCCGACGGCACGGTGCTCAAGGCCGAAAAGGACTTCACCAAAGAGGTAGACAAGGCGATCCCGGAAGCAGAGAAGCTCGCACAGGTATGATGGCTCGCGGTGGAAATAGATTCCTCTCTTCTGACGTGAAGTGCAGGATGGGCAAACACAGCCCGCGATAGAAAAGCTGCTCGCGCTGGAGAAGCAGACCCGGCAAGCCTCCGACCTCCCCTCCACATCACGCTTGGTGGTCAGCATCGTGACGATATGCAAGAACGCGGGAGACTGGAACCTGCTCAATGAACAGGTGCAGCTGTTGAGCAAGAAGCATGGCCAGCTCAAACAGGCCATCACCAAGATGGTCCAGGTGGTCATGGAGTTCCTGGATGCCGCGCCGAGCTTGGAGGTCAAGCTGAGCGTCATCGAGACCTTGCGGACGGTGACTGAGGGCAAGGTAATGAGTCATTCTGACCCTTTCACATAGCGGGAAGCTGATGTGGTGCAGATCTTCGTCGAAGTCGAGCGCGCACGAGTCACCAAAATCCTCTCCGACATCAAGCGCTCCCAAGGCGACGTCTCTGCCGCCGCCGACATCCTGTGCGAGCTGCAGGTGGAGACGTTCGGCTCCATGACACGGCGCGAGAAGACGGAGTTTATCCTCGAGCAGGTTGCATTGTGCATCGAGAACAACGATTGGACGCAAGCTGGAATCCTCGCCCGGAAGATCAGCACACGGTACTTCGCGCGGAGACCCAAGAAGACGGCGGAAGAGGTCGAGAAGGCACGCAAGGAGAAGGAAGAGCGGGAGCGAATGCGATCGGATGGCACAGTGGGCGACGTCGAAGAGCCGATCGACGACGACGTCACGGATCTCAAGCTGCGCTTTTACGAGCAGCAGATCACGCTCGCCAAGCACGACGACAAATATCTGGAGGCGTGCAAACACTACCGCCAGGTCTTGGACACCGAGGCCGTGGAGAACAACCCCGATCAGCTGAAGGCGGCGCTGCAACGCGTTATCTACTTCGTCCTTCTCGCGCCCTACGACAACGAACAATCCGACCTCCTCCACCGCATAGCGCAAGACACCCGCATCGCGACCTCATGCCCGACGGAGGCGCAACTCATCAAACTCTTCACCGTGCCGGAGCTCATGCGCTGGCCCTCCATCGACGCCAACTTCGGCCCGCACCTCACGAGTACCGACATCTTCTCGGCGCAAGAGAGCGCGAAAGACCCCAAGGCGCACCAGCGCTGGCTGGATTTCCGGAAGCGGGTGATCGAGCACAATGTGCGCGTGGTGGCCAAGTACTACACGCGCATCCACTTCTCCCGGCTGACCTCGCTCCTCGACCTGCCGGCGCAGGAGACGGAGAAGTACATCTCCGACCTGGTGACGTCCAAGACCATCTACGCGCGCATCGATCGGCCGGCGCAGATCGTGAATTTCGAGAAGAAGCGCGACGCGGATGAGGTGTTGAATGAATGGTCGGGCAACATGAAGTCGCTGCTGGGCCTGCTGGAGCGCATCGACCATCTGATCACGAAGGAGGAGATGATGGCGAGGATTGCGCCGGTGGAGAAGCCCAGCCTGAAGCAGAGCATCAACGCGAACTAGGAACCGGACCTCACGATGCTGGGGAAGGCGATGAGGCAGACGGATCGGGGGGAGATCCGCTAGGCGTGCACAGGGGAGGCTCTCGCAGTCCCGATGACGGTGCTGTACGACCAATGCCTTCCCTTGCTCTCGGCGTTCCATGTAGACTTAGAGTAGCCGCCGTAGCATTGGCCAGACGATAACCGAGCCTCGGGGGCATCTTCCTCGCCTCCTGCATTCATCCAGCATGTTCCGGGGAGGATGGAGGAACGTCTTCCGCTTCCCGCCCCGCCAATGCCCGTCTCACCCTTCCCCACTTCACAACGAGCAGTCATTTACCTTTGGATCACTATTTAATTACACAGCACCTCGACCCACGCCAGCAATCATGGTGGAAGTGCGCAAATACCACCTTTCCCCCACCGCACTCATCCCCAACTCCCCGCAACCCCTCCTGCACTACCCGGGCCTGCTGTCCAAGGAAACCAGCTCCGGAGCAGCGACGGTGCACGACATCTACAGCAAAAACGGCTGGGAAACCCGATGGATCTTCCGCTACGGCCCGACGCAGGTCTCTCACTACCACTCCAAGGCGCACGAATGCATGACCGTGCTCACCGGCAGCGCCACCATCCGCTTTGGCGTGGCGGACACCAGTGACGACCTGGACGCCAGCACGCACGGCGACGCCCGAGAAGCAGGAGGCGTAGAGCTGCAGGCCAACGCGGGGGACGTCTTCATCATCCCGGCGGGCGTAGCGCATAAGACGCACGACACGACTGCCGGCTCGACGTTTGCCCTACTGACGCCCGGAGAGGGCCAGAGCATTCCCACGCCGGACCCGCGGCAGACGCTGGCGGAGATTGAGTTATCAGGCTTCACGATGATGGGCGCGTACCCCAAGAATGGCGCGAACTGGGACTTTGCGGTTGGAGGGGAGAACGAGGGGGACTTTGCGGCGGTGTGGAATGTGGCGAAGCCTGAGCTGGATCCGATTTTGGGAGATGCGAAGGATGGGTTGGTTGGACTGTGGCAATAGTTGTGCTAGCCGGCGAGGGTCACTAGGCTTTGGTATTCACATCAATTCTTATGGACCTGAGGTGTAGATTCACTACACACATCGTGAAGCACTGCCAGACCACGTGCGCGGCTGGGGCTGGTGAATGGGCCCCAAGATTGACAATTTTCCATGACTCGACTTCACCCCGACTTCCACATTTCCTTGCAAGCCTCTCGTCTTCTCCCTCCCCAACCAATCCTCATCGATTTGCACCGTCAAAATGGCGCCTGCAACCGACGACAGCAGGACGTTGACGCCCGTGCAATCCCACAAAACTCCCGTTGTCTGTGTGTTGTGAGTCCGCATCGAACGTTGCATCCCTTCCGCAAACAATCTTAACATTTTCCCCAGCTGCGGCGCCTCCAACGGCAACGACCCCATTCATCTGGACGCGGCGCGTTCGTTGGCCCGCGAATTCCACCGCAATGGCGTGAAGCTGGTCTACGGAGGTGGCACGGTCGGGGTCATGGGCGAGCTGGCGCAGACCCTCGTTTCCCTCTCCGGCCCGGATGCGGTCCATGGCATCATTCCTCGAGCTCTGCTGCGCTACGAGCGGAACTATGTCGAGACCGGTGGGGAGGTGGACCCGCAGAGTTTGATCGACGAGAATGTGTATGGGCGGATGACGGTCGTGGAGGACATGGTGAGTCAAAACTATCTGTCTGGCGCGCTGCACGTTCATCGCTGGCTACGTAGTCGATAGAACTTCCGCAGGGGTTGCAGAGTCAAGGCTAATATTTGCAGCACCACCGAAAACACCTAATGGCAAAGGAAGTGATCGAGGGCGGAGCGGGCAGTGGCTTTGTGGCGCTAACGGGAGGCTATGGCACGCTGGAGGAATTGATGGAGAACGTGACGTGGAACCAGCTGGGCATCCATGCCCGCCCCGTCGTGGTCTACAACGTCGCCGGCTTCTGGGATGGCCTGCTGCAATGGGTAAAGACGGCCGTCGAGGCCGGCTTCGTCCAGCCGAGCAACGCGGGCATCATGGCCGAGGCGACAACGAGTGAGGAGGTGATGAAGACGTTGACGGATTACAAGATTGCGGAGGGGAGGTTCAAGTTGAGATGGGGGGAGAAGTGAGCAATGATAGGGATGGAGCGGGATTATGGAAAGGATGGCGTCTAATTAGATGACTTAGAATGGCGGATGGGGAGATAGATCGAACAATCATGTTTGAAGTAACTGCTCGGAGGGACCACCGTGGTAAACTCTTCGTCGGTTGGTTGTCCAATGTTCACCAGCCCTTGAGAGTCTTCCACACCCGACGTCAACGCCTGTTGCATCCACATGGAGCCTTACGGTGACGAGGACATCAATGCCAAAGGAGAAGCACCAATTCGTTGGAATGCATCACTTCATCTTTCCCGTCCCCTTCCCTCCACCCGTAGACGGTGTATAGTCATCCCAGCCGCCGATCTCAACCGGTGGCGGAGGAGGGTGAGTGCGCGGCTCTGAGCTCCCCTGGGCCTCGGGAGAGGACGCAAGGGCGCGAGAGGGACCAGCGACGGCTTTTGAATCCCCGTGCGGCTTGTTCTTTCTCTTCTCCGCATTCTGCGCTCTTTTCTTGGCGTTGTCCAGCACCCTTTTACATGCTTACATGGGACACCCTGCTTTGGAGCATGGCGGAGCTCGTGATTCGGGCAATGGGGAGAACCGAAGACCGCCTTTCCACCATTCCTAGCCTTGAAGTCCTCGCACGGCTCCGGCACGTCTTCTGTGTTGGTACCGTTTGAGGATTGGTTTTCGCACAGTACGCCGTCCACGACGCGCCCGCATCTTGCCCAATATCTTATTGTCAGGCACATCTTCTAGCCGCTAAATGGCTCCGACGAGAACGCTGTCGAGAGACTTGCAGATCGCTTCGTTACGCGGCTTGTCGATGATTTGGTGTCGTATTATTGGTACTTGCGTGTGTTGCGGGTGGAGGTTCAAAAGAGCCAGAGGCGAACGACAGCAGCTTGATATACTCTTCCAAATGAACAGAAGTTGTTTATGCGTGGGCATTCAAAGGCTCCAGTACAACCAGCGAGCGGCGGTGAAAGCGAAGGGGCCTCGACGTTCGCCGGTGAATGCGTTGTCAATACTGAGGTGAATACATTCGTCCATCAATTTGTTCATGGAATACATTCGTCCATCAATTTGTTCATGGTGAACCGCGTCCGCTTCGCAGATTGATGCCCGCATTCACCATGCGCAGGTATAACGGTGAAGTGCAACATTGAATTGCTCACTGGCCGCGATGAATGCTGGAAAGAGCCAGGCCCCGGGTCGCTCGTGCTTGTACGATGGTCCATGAGGGCAGACAGAGCCAAAGGCCGGCGGAGCAGTAAGTTTGCTACTTGTTTGCCGTGTGCATGAACTTGGCAAAGGACTCCCTGCAGATCCGCTCGTGGTACTGCTCCCATACCTCATAGAGACTGATCATTTCCTGCGTGGCGTCCACGACCGCGCCCATGTCCACCTTGCTCTCCGCCAACCAATCCACCAGCTTGCCCAGCTTCGGACCGACCTGCTTCAGGCTGGCCTGCCAGCCGCCCAGCATGGCGCTTTGAGCCGCAGTACCAGACACTGCAGGGCCATTTGGCTGACTTGAGGATGGAGAGAACGGAGAGGCCGGGACTGGCGAAGAAGCGGCTGTGTAATTCTGGGCTGCCTGTCCCGTAGGTCGAAGGACGACGGCGAGGAAGATGGCCGCGATGGCGATGATATGGGGGGCACTGGTCAAGGACAAGTCGGTGTTGTAGGAGTCGTTGATGATGTTGGCCGCCAGGGTTTGCTCGTCGCCGGTCAGGCCGAAGAGCGGCGTGAATTCGGCGAGGGAGCGGTAGGGATGATGGACGATGAGGCGCGAGTTCAACGTGGAGATCAAGGCAAATTCGCACTCGCCGATCTTGCTGCTCTCGCTCACGCCCATCTCCGGCCACTGTCTGGCGGCCTCGCCGAGCATGAGGCGGATGTGCTGCGGGCACTCCTCCATCTTGCAGGCCAGGTAGACGGCGGTGGTCATGATGAGATAGGGGTTCGTTCGGCGAATTTCGACGCGGAGATAGTAGCGCTTGATGTAGACCAGCGCCGTGGCGAGGGCCTGTTGGCGCAGCGACATGCGTTTGGCGAGCCGTACCAGATTGTGCTGGAGGTAAATGCTGACGAGGCGGCGATCGGGCAGCGGGAAGCGGGTGGAGAGATCATGTTGCTGCTCGGAGTCGGCGAGTTCCTGCCGCATCTCCGCCAGCTCGGCATTGGTGAAGGTCCAGTATTTGGCCTGTGTCGAGTCCCAATAATTGGCAGCCATGGGCGGCGAGAGGAGAGTGTGCTGTGTCAATGCTGCTGAACAGCCTAGAGTGGGTTCGCCGTGTCGTCCACCTCCATTTCTCCCTCCCACCGGCAATGACACCACCGCAAATCCTGTGCCGATGGAACTGGACACTCTCATGTTGGAGCCCGATGCTGCTCGTTGACGTTCGATCCCGCCAAGCGATCAGAAGAGGAGCCTTACATAATCGCATTCACTTTACCCCGCGCTGCCGAGGCTGTTTGGGCAGGAACGACGCAGCACCGCACTACCCATAGCCGCGCTTGAAACACTACATCCCTGACATTCGTTCGGTTGCAATACAAACGATTGTCGTCTTATCAGCAGTTTCATCAGGCCGTGTCCTATCTTCCAGATACATTACGCAGTATCCCATCCACACAATGTCCAACGCTCCTCCATTGCCGACCGCAGGACGTGGGGCCAAGAAGCCCGCGAGCCAGAGGATTCCCGCCATAGCTCAGCCATTCGTGAGTGACAAGGCGCGCAAGCTACTCGACATCATCGAGAAGTGGGTGGATGAGGAGTGCATTCCCGCCCAGGCCGTTTATGCCGCCCAGGTCGGCACCGGCGACGAACGATGGAACGGCTATCCCTCCGTCCTCGACGATCTGAAGAAACGCGCGCGGGAGCTCGGGCTGTGGAACATGTTCCTCCCCCGCAACCACTACTCCAACCTGGCCGAGTACGACCGGTACGGCGGAGCGGGCGGCTTCACCAATCTGGAGTACGGGCTGATGGCCGAGTTGCTGGGCCGCAGCACCATCGCGAGCGAGGCCTGCAACTGCGCCGCCCCCGATACCGGCAACATGGAAGTCATCGCGCGCTACGGCACGGCGGAGCACAAGAAGAAGTGGCTCACCCCGTTGCTGGCCGGCGAGATCCGCAGTGGCTTCTTGATGACCGAGCCCGACAAGGCGAGCAGCGACGGCAGCAACATCAGCCTGAGCATCCGGAAAGAGGGCAACGACCTCGTGCTCAACGGCAGCAAGTGGTGGAGCTCCGGTGCGGGTGACGATCGATGCAAGATCTTCATCGTCATGGGCCTGAGCGATCCCGACAACCAGGACAAGTACAAGCGGCAGAGCATGGTTCTCGTGCCGGCCGGTACGAAAGGTTTGATCATTCACCGCATGTTGAGCGTCTATGGCTACGACGAGTAAGTGACTCTTAACACTGATTCTCTACACGAAGTAGCATGTCCTAATCTGCCATACAGTGCGCCCCACGGGCATGCCCACATCACCTTCGACAACGTGCGCATCCCTGCCTCCAATTTGCTGTTGGGATTCGGACGAGGCAACGAGATCGCGCAAGGAAGACTGGGTCCGGGACGCATCCATCACGCCATGCGATCCATCGGAGCGGCGGAAGTGGCTCAGGAGTGGATGATTGCACGTCTTAACGACGAGCGAAAGGTGTGTGCATCTGCCTAACAATCATCCTTCGTCCCAACCCTGATCTGAACTTTCCAACAGATCCCCTTTGGCAAGCCGTTGCGAGAACATGGCGTGCTCCTCGAGTGGGTGGCGAAATCGCGGGTCGAGATCGACTCCTCCCGACTGATCGTCCTCAACGCCGCCATCCAGATTGACAATGGCGACGCCAAATCCGCGCTGACGGAAATCGCCCAAGCCAAGATTCTCACCCCAACCATGGCCTGCACCGTCATCGATCGCGCGGTGCAAAGCCACGGCGCCATGGGCGTGTGTCAAGACACCCCTCTGGCCAGCATGTGGGCGCACATCCGCACCATTCGCATCGCCGACGGACCGGACGAAGTGCACTTGAACCAGCTGGGCCGCAGGGAGACTCGGAACCGAGCGCAAGAATGCATTGGGCGGCTCCAAGCGCAAAAGCAGACGTCCGAGGAGCTGTTCCGCCGGTACAGAGTCCCCGACAAGCAGCTCGGTGGAAGCAAAGTGCAGGGATTCACCGCGAAGCTGTGAGGACTGTGCTTACATCGTGTCGAAACACCCGTAGGCGCCAGTTGATAGCGCCTAAAAGCCAATCTATCCATATCTGCACAACTCCGAGGCAAGACGATCTACTCCCCTTTGTTCACCAGATGATGCGGTTCCACCACCCCTTCGATGCCAGCAGTGTACGACGCTCCCTCCGCAAAAGCCGCCAGCGGCTCCAGATGCTCGTCGGTGAGCCCCGACTTGGTTCGAATGTCATCGATGGAGACTTTGACGTACATCACCTCCTTCCCATTCACTTTCGCCCAGTCCTTCACCACCTCCTCAAAGGTCGGGTAAGTGTCGTACGCCAGAAGGAACTTGCCCGCCTGCTCATCCTCGACCAAGGCTCGCACGAAGCGGCCCGTGGACTGTTTCGCATTGATGATGGGCATCTTGTGACCTTTCTCAAAGGGCAAGGCCAGCACGTATTTCCCGCTGGATGGATCCTCTCGAGGCAACACCAACGCGTTGTCGTGGTAGGCTCCCAAAATGATGTAACTGGTCTTCTTCGCCAGCTCGGGCAGCTCGTCAACGATGTAGTCCACCACCCACGCCTTTGCCTGCGAGTGCATGGAGCGCCGATACTTGCCCTTCGACGCTTTCTCCACCGATGGCAGCGTGGAGACAATCAAGCGTTCGAGCGTGGGCACAGCGGCAGCGGCGTCCGCGACATTCTTGCGCTGACTCGTCTCGACCTCAAAAGCGGTGGCGCTGGCTACCTCGAATCCCTGGCCTGCAGCATCCGCCGCGGCTTTCGCTGGCCGCCACGTCTGCCAGAAGTCGGTGTTGAGGAAGATGGCGTGGACGGAGTCGAATGCTTTGGCCAAGGAAGAGCGATCTGAGAGGTCGGCTGTGATGAATTCGGCGCCGAGGCTGGCGAGTTCTTTGGCAATGGGTTTCGAGGGGTCACGCGTGAGGCAGCGGACGTTCCAATTGGAGAGAGCGAGGAAGGTCCGGGCTACGGATGAGCCTTGATTTCCCGTTGCACCGACGACGGCGATGGTCTTCTTGGTTGTCGACATTATAAGTAGGAAGCAGGCTGGTAGGTGTATGGGACAACGGATCGTTGACAGAATATATGCCCATGCATTGAGAGCAAGTGAATCGAGCTGGAGAAGATCACCTACTGCATAAGAGGAACCTACTGAGCGGCACCGGAGGTTTAGAACTACTTGCGTTCCGAAAGGCCTCACCCGTCAATGAAACACACGCAGTAGTTTGAGACTGCGAGGAATAGAGGGGATCGACTCGTAAAGCGGAGGAAATTTTGCGAAAGAGAGATCATCGGCGTTTGCGCTTAAGTCCGTACGGGGATATTTGCTAATCGCCGTGCGGCCATCACCACTACTGATCGGTCCAATACGGGTTGGTGTCAGCAGCTGCATTACGCACGGAATGAACGAGTTATGCGTGTTGCGTGCGCTCTGAACCTCGCGTCAAAGTCCGATCGCTAATGTGTAGATGTCGCCGGAAGTATGTGTCCGTGAGGCTGCCTGTGATTGGAGTCGGCTGGATCTGGATATAGGGTGCCAGGTGGTTTGGTGCTTTCTCAGTCGCACGGCACGCTGCAGGCATGCCTCGTTGAACGTTTGACGTAGCATGGACCACTCCTCCACATCCTCATGCAGGCATCAGAGCCCCTCGAGGTACCACAGATCGTCCGCGGGTTCCGTCTTGGGGTTCGCCTTCGTCCCTCCACCGATCTTGTCCATCCTCTCCTTATTCTTCTCCGCCAGCTCGACTCTCGACAAGTTGGCGTAAAAGTGTCGCACCCTCTCATGCGCCACCACTTTCTTCGGGTCGAACCGTAAGACCTGCAGGCCCGCCATGTTCGTCGCTCGACTCAATGCCACATACGCCTGACCCTTCTCAAACACCCGCCCCAAGTCGACCTTCACCCGCTCCAGTGTCTGGCCTTGGGCTTTGTGGATCGACAGCGCCCAGGCGAGAATGAGCGGGATCTGCATCCGAGACGCCTGAATCTCGCCGTTGGGGAGTTCGATCTTGTAGCTTTCCGGCTGGCAAAGGAGGTCCCGCGATGTACCTTCGGCATTAACGAAGCGCACCACGGGCCAGATGTTGGGCCCTGCGACGGTCGGCTGGAACATCTTGGACTTCAAGAAATCGTCGCCAACCTCGGAGCTCGAAGCAAAGGTGCCGTTAGCGTCCAGGGCCGGGCCCTCGCCGTCCTTAACGGTGTACGAGTCGAACTTGCTTTCATCCATGAACCCCATCACTCGTCCTATCGAGCCGTTGACGAGGCCTTCATCGATGTTTTTGATGAGCATCACTTGGCAGCCCTTCTTCAATATTATGGATTCGGGCGCCATGCAATTCGACAGCAGCTTGTCACGTTGCGCTTTGTCGGTGGTGGTGCCGCCGTCGCGTGCAGGGAAGACGAATGCGCGACCCTGTAGATTGTGCAGTCGTGTGTTGTTCGCGTTTTCGACCTCGGCACGCGTGGGAAACAGCTCGGTGGCCTCCAGGTCTTGCATCAGCTCCAGCGGACGACTCAGCTTCCGGAAGGCGTTAATAGAGGACTGCTGTAGACGACCCTCGCGCATTTCGTTCAACATTCCAGCAAAGACTGCCATGGTCAGCATATCGCACGAGATACAAGGGTTTCGAAGGAAATCACTCACTCGGGTCCTTTTGTCTGAAGACATGATGCAATGCAATCGTGTGCTCCACTGTGGTCTTCCACGTCGCACCTTCGAAGGCGAACCTGGCCTGCTTACCATAGTCGGGCACGGGCGGCAGTTGAAAAAAGTCACCAGTCACCACGAGCTGAATCCCTCCGAAGGGGCGGCCATTGTTGCGGATGGTGCGGGCGACGGCTTCCAGCTTGTCGAACAATTCGCCGTCGACCATTGAGACTTCGTCGATGACGAGTACCTTGGTGCGCATCCAACGCATCTTCGCCTTCTGATTCTTCTTGACCTTGCGCACGAGCTCGGGCACATCCTCCTTGCCCAGGCCAATGCCGGCGAAGCTGTGCAACGTGACGCCACCGACGTTACACGCGGCAAGCCCTGTCGAGGCAGTGACGGCGACGCGGTCGGGCTCCTTGATGTACTTGCGACGTAGGGTGGAGATGATCTCACGCATGAGCACGGACTTGCCGGTTCCAGCAGAGCCAGTGAAAAACACGCTCTTCTTCTTATCGACGACCAGGCTTTGCACGTGCTGCTGTTCCTCGCTCAGGTACACTTTGGCAGGCTTCTTGTCGCGCGAGCTCTTCGCCGCGGCCAAGACCGCTTCCTCCTCACCATTCGTCTTGCTCTTGGCCTTTCGAATCTCACGGAGGTGTGCCTTTTTGTTCGCGGCCGATGTGGTGTTCCAGAGGAACTTGTCGAGCAGGGACTCGGTTTGTGGCTCAGGATCGGCAGGGCGCGTAGAGGGTGCAGGCATCTCTTCTTCCGACCAAGGGAGCATCCTCCTCTTCGCGGGTCGGGGCTGTGATGATGGTGGGGCGTGGCCATCGTGGGCACGCTGTGAAGGATCGACGGGATATGCGGCGAAGGCAGGAGCGAGGTGTTCTGCGGGCGAAGAAGACCATGGCAAAGGGCCGCTGCTCTTCGGGGGGCGTGTGGCGGGAGAGAGGTTCGCCGCCTCGTATTGATGATCGAGATGTGCATTGAAGCCGGTCTGTGCCTGCTGTTGTCGTGGCAGAGTGGGGTAGACGATGGCGTTCGAGGAGGGCGCAGATGGGTTCAGAGTGGGATAGGTGACGGCATTGAAGGCTTTTGGCTCCTCAAAATCCAGCTCGATATCGCTGTCGAACTCATTCTCATTGACAAAGTCGTTCTTGGAGACCTGCACGACCTTGCTCTTATCCTTGGAATTGCTGTCCGTGACAGCAGGCTTGGGCTGCGGTTTCGGGCGGTCATCGTCAAAAGACCCAGTACATATCTTCGCCAGCCCATCCGCCGAACGCTTCATTGCTTGCATTCTCGCACGTTCTAGCGCCGGCGTGAGCTGGTTCGTCACTGAAGATGCAGTAGGGCGTAGTGGGTTGCGAAGGGTGGTGGTGCTGTTGCTGTTCTTTCCGCTGGAGAACTGAGCCAACGTTCGCTGGGTTGGGTTTGAGGAGGGAGGTTTTCCATGCCGCTTGTCGTATTCGCAGATGCTGGCGTTGGTCATGATGGACGGCGGCGAGCTCGAGAACGTGCCGGTGCTGCTTAGTCGTCGGATGGGGAAAGCGGCCGGCGAGAGGGAAAGGGTGGAACGGGAGCGGGAAAGAAGGCGGCAAGCCACACGCGGGGTCCCCTTTTCCGCCGCCCGTGATATCAGCATGCAGTAGAGGAGGGGGCGGGTGAGCACGCAGATGCAGGCGTCTAGGAGAGAGAGGGAGGAGGCATGTTGGTCGGCCGACGCATCGTCTGATGGGATGGAGGGGTGTGAGGGAGACGCGATGCAGCGATGAAGTGAAACGAAGCGCGTTGCGCTAGTGCGATTACATAAGCGGTCCGTTTGCGGATTTCCTATCTGGGAAGCAACGACAGCTGAGAGACACAAGAACTGTTGCCCCAGATTGCGTGATATATATCGTCTGACATGCATCAAAGTATCGTACGTCAATGCCCTCAGAGTCTTGCTGCTGGTTGCTGAGGCCCTTCCCTGCCAAATACCACCCTCAAATCCCTCGCTACAATCTCCTCAAACTTGCCGGCCGACGGCGATGCTGACGGTGTGAGGTCGCGGAATGCGAACCACGCATCGACGAAATCGATGGCGATGGTATCGCGGTCCCTGCTGGCGTCCGAGACCAACAGACACCCCATGACCACGTCACTCAACTTGCCCATGATGCTCCTCGCGTTCAGTTGAAACTCCTCGAGCCGGTAAGTGTGGACGATGCCCTGCCATTCCTTCCACATCCCTTGTAAGGACTGTGCGTGCGAGGCACACTCTGGGATGGAATCCGCCAACACTTTCTTGACCCATGCATCCATCGCGCTCATCACTTCTTGACTGGTCTTTCCAAAGACAACGCGCCGGACATCGTCGGCCATCATATCCGTGGTCCCTTCCCAGATTGGAATCACGTTGGCGTCGCGGAACAGGCGTGCAAGATTGAACTGCATGTCCTCAGATTCCAGATAGCCCACGCCACCCATACACTCCATGCACTCTTGAAGCCCACCAATCGCAGTCTTCCCCGACACACCCTTCAACACCGGTGCCAGCAATCGGAATAGGTGTTGGGCTGCATCGGCATTGGGGATCAATCGAGTTGCATGTGCCTTTGGAAATGACTTCGACGATCCTGTGCTCTCGTGGAACTGTGCAATCTCGGACTGCTCGGCCACCCCCAGTAAGGAGATGACGAAAATGCCGAGGAGGACATTCGCTTTGTACTCCACGTGCATCTTCGCAAGGGTGCGGGCGAATGCCGGCTTCGTCCACAGCGGTTTCAGCCCGACCTTGCGCACGCGAGCGAAGGCGCGAATCGTACTTAAGCCCCGGCCCCAAAAACCCGTAGCCGTCAGGCCATTGTGAATGCGGGAGATGTTCAGTACGGTCGCCATCTCTTTGATGCCTTTGCCATCTTCACCGATGAGATGAGCGCGGGTGTTGTTCAGCACGAGCTCTGCCGTCGGAAGCGCCTTGGTGCCGAGCTTGTTCTTCAGTCGTTGGATCTGCACTCCATTCAGCTCCGTCTTGACGTCTTGCAGTGGCCACGCGGAGATGTGATCTTTGCCCACCACACGCCGCATAGGCGCCATGAATGTGGATATGCCGGTCGGGGTGCGTGCGAGGAAGACCATCATCTGGCTGTCGGTCGCCGAAGAGAACCACTTGAAGCCATTGACGAGCCAATCGCCCAGTGCGACCCCATCGCTGCCGGTGGACTCCGCATCTTTCTCGGATTTGTCGGGTGCATATGTTGCAAGAGTCTCGGTCTGCGACACGTCCGATCCGCCTTGCCGCTCCGTCATCCACTGCCCCGTCGTCCAAACGAAGTCGGGATCGCGAGCTGTCACCCGGGCGTACGCCGACTGAAGCGCCTGTCGAGTTTGCGGAGCCAATGACTTGTCGGTCAAGTGCTTGCGCAGGAGCGCGGCAACCCCATCCGTCATTTGGTTCGGACAAGTAGTCCAGACGGCCGAGCCGCACCAGACCAAATACTTCAAGAACTGGTACGTCCGGCTGTACTGCAGGTACTCGTTTTCGTAAGGGATCGAAACCATGCCTTCCTTCACACCTAACGCCGATAGCTTTCGCCAGCCTTCGCTCGTTACCAATTCATCCTGTCGTCGACCCCAGGCATCGAACGGTCGTAGATAGGGCAGGTTCTTCTCCGCATCCGACACCTGATCCAGCACTGTCTTACTGATGACCGTATCGCCAAACGCCCGTAGGTCGGGAAGAACGGTCTCCCGCACATCGTCGGGGAGGAAGAGGTCCAGAGCTCGCTGTAGCGCTATGTCGTCGACCAGCTGGTTGAGGATGCGCGGCGGTGTTTGGAAGAAGCCATCACTGGAGCTGGATGGCCGGGGCTCGGGTGAGCGGCGGTCTCTATCCGATGTGCTCACCGGGGGTTGAGGGACTGCCTGCGCATCTCGTGAAGAGCCCCCTTGCTCAACGGGGCGTCGTCGCTCGCGGGCATAAGAGATTGAATCCATCCTCGAATCACGCTGAGATTGTGCATTCTCAAGTTCGACGATGAGCATGGCCGCGGGTTTCATGGCCCCGCCACCCCGCATCTCGCATCTCGCATCGTGGAAGGCGCCACCTTCCCCATCGGGCAATGGACCTGCAGCTCCATCCATTTGAGTTGAAGTAAACATTCAACATCTCAGGACTTCGTCACATCTGCGATTAGGACGTCCGCACGTAGAGCATGTTGGAATTCGATTTTGCAATTGTTCGAAGTTTTATCGACTCTAACTAACATCGCGTGCTACCATCGCGATCGACCAACTCGCTCGATCAGGTATACCATGTGGGCTCCGGGATCTCTCCCAGCAGCTGCCATTTGCCCACCTCGCGCTTCTTGTACGCCACCGGATCGTGCAGACTATGCGTGCGAATGTCCCTCCAGAACCGATCGAAGCCGTGCTTCCTGCTCGTGGCCCGCGACCCGAGCATCTCAAAGATGCCGCTCGTCACCTCCAGGCCGGTGTCCGTATTGACGACCTTGGCGTGCGCGACAAAGGCGGCCACTTGGCCTCGTCGCTCCGCGTTAATGCTTTTGCGGTGGAGAGTGACGTCTGTCCCGTTGGCCTTGCCGCCATTCGCCGAGCTGCCCTCTTTGCCCACGATCGTAGATCCCACGAGACCGGCCTCGGCGTAGACTTCATCGATTTTCAAGCCCGCGCGATCCGTCAGGGCGTCGGCGGCCTCGACATGCGCGGCGTACTGCCCGTAGCGCTCGAGTACGTAGAACTCTTCGGTGACGGTGTCCTTGTTGTCGCCGCCGAACGGCCAGGGGCGGGTGGAGGTCTTGGTGTATTTCGTCGCGGCGAGAAGAGCGCCCTGTGCGAGACCAAGGTAGAAGTTGGAGAAGACCAGCTGGATGGTGGGGAGGAGCATGGAGGCGAAGGGAATGTTCAAGACCTCGGGGATGGGTCGCTTCGTTTCCGTCGACCATCCCAGAGCATCCGACCACGGTGCCTTGACGTTCTCGATACGGACACTGCCAGACTCCGTCAGGCGCATGCCCACGTTGTCCCAGTTGTGTTGGAATTGGATGCCCGGCTGGTCGGTCTTGACGAGCGTGAAAATATGATCCTCCGTCCCATCGAAGACGCCCTCGAGCACAGTGAGGTCCGACACAACACCGCCGGTGTTGAAGTTTTTGAAGCCGTTGAAGACAATGTTGTCGCCGTCATCGGTGATCTTCAGGTCGTTGTCGCGCGGGTTGACAGCGCCGCCCACAAACCAGTTATTCTCGATGATAGCTTGCTGCACGGAATCGGCCTGCTCCTCGGTGCCGACGACGTTGGCGGTGGTGGACCAGAGCAGATGGTAGCCCAGGAGCATACCGAGGGAGCCATCGCCCTTGGCCACCTCACGGATGACCTTGTAGCCGGTCGACCAGGGCTCGCCGCCACCGCCGTACTTCTTGGGTCCCATGACCTTCAAGAGGCCGGACGCTTTGAGCAGGCCGATTTCCGCGATGGGCGACTTGTTCTCATTGTCGCGCTTGGGCGCATCGGACGCCAGGATCTCCGCGACATCCTGCGCACGCTTGACCCACGCCGCTTGGTTGGCGGGGAAGCGTTCGCGCTCGAACTTGGAGTAATGGGAGGTGTAGGTAGAAGGGTCGGTGCCCTCGCGCTCTCCAACGGCCATGATAGTGGTTATCGGACTGTAAAGGTGGGGGAATGAAGACGACAAGCTGTGCAAGTGACGAAGGGAGATTCCATTGGAAAAAAAGCGAAACACCAGGGTTTAATGTAAACACGCCATGCAGATCCCTCTCGTGCCTGTCGAAATCGCCGACTTGCGTCCACTCACGCACGCCATCGTGGAGAGGAAAGAGGTGCGCGGGTGCCGAGAGATCGCACGTCATCCAGCTCGCAGATGGCGGGAAGGGGATTCTGGCGAAGCAACGTCGAGCTCGCCCACATGCGACAAACTCTACTCCTGCCTAGCTGGCTTACGAAACCCTTCTCTACCCCACCGATCCACAGCGCTGCCAGGTCCAGGCCGGTCCCCAAGCACGCGCTCGCGTTTGGTGGGACGGCGAGGAGGCCTGGGAGGTGGTTGTATAGGTGACGGAAATCAACACCCGCGCCGGCATGTGGAGCACCGCATTAGCAATTTTATTAGGTTGACGAGAGCAACGAGGATTGGAGCTAAGAGGTACCGCTCTTGGCCAGGCGAGAACCGCAAGGCTGTACTGACCAACCAGATGCCCAGGGGGAGGAGCGAAAGAGTTCGTCCAGCACACGAGTGGTCTGGAGCATCGTCCTCAGCCTTTCACCATCCATTAGCCGTGCATATAGGCTGATTCACTCCTGCAGCAACCCTGCGCTGCCTTGATGATGAACTCCAGATACTCCCCATCTTCTTGCTCTCATGTGATCGGTAGAGGCGAAGCAGCAGCTCAGCTCCGCTTACGTGAAGATCATACGCAGATACGGTTTTTGTCATTTCCAGTATGCCACCGAGGGACTTATGTTTTGCCATTGGTATGCTATCCTATACATGGAAACGTTAATGTATTCGATGTGTAGCACGTCTGGTTCATCATCTTCCGACCGTGGCGCCACAGAGTTGAGCCCCATCACCGTCCACATCAAGCATCTGTGGCTTTAAGGGACATGCAGCAGTCTGCATTGACATGACATAACCACCACGTCCTTCTATCCTGACCGGTGCGCATGTCCAACGGTGCCTTTCGATCGCGTTGCCACTACGCATGGCCCGTATTTGTGGACTCTACCGCCATGTCCGTTCGGCCTGGTCAATGTCGTGAATTTCCATCACGTTGGGCGCGGAAGACAGCACCCTCGGGCGCATCAATCCGACAACGCCTCCAAATCTTCCTTGGGCACGCGCTGCACCTCTTTCCCTTTCTTCTCCACGATATCCAGGTGCGCAAACTCCTTCCGGGCCAGCTGGACGTTGATCCGGGCGACATTGAAGGCGCCCTCGTTGCTCGGCATGACGACGGCGATGTTCGTGTTCTCCGTCAGACGCGTGATGAAAAACATAAACGCCCCCGTCTTGATCTGCATTTCGGCAAACGAGACCTCGGAGGCCATGACGCCAGTATGCTTGGCCATCGAATGCTTGTGGGATTTGAGGATGCTCGAGAGGCGTTCGAAGCGGTCGGGGTAGGGGTTTTCCGGCCCTCGAGAGACATGTGTGACGATCAGACAGGTGGTCCGTTCGTAGAGAAAGAGCTCCTTGGCATCGAGAATGTCCGCGAGCTTCTGAAGCATGGCTTCGATGGTGGCGGCGTTGGGGACGAGGAAATAGATCACCTGCGTCCAGGCTCGATACAGACTCTGGTCCCAGATGGATGTGGCGCTGAAATCAACCTGGCCCGGGACAAAGCCTTCCGCTTCGCAAGTGTTTCGGACTTCGGCGGCACGGTCACGGAATACGGTGGTTTTCTGTTCCACCGAGGGGATGAGGTCCATTTTGTGGAAGAGCACAAAGACCTTGCTGTTGGGGCTGAATTCGTGCAGCGCCCGGATGGTCGAGGCGAAGGACAGCAGGTCCGCCGCGGGTTCGCTGGAGGAGATGTCGAAGACAAAGATCAACACGGCGACGGACGTGAAGACGTGAGATCGCTGGTTTGTCAGGTAGGACTCGACGAAGGCATCTTGTCTGCGAGGATGTGAGATTATGGTTGTGGGAATGGCCACAAAACTCACCCTCCACAGTCCCAAAGATTCAGCATCAAGTTACCCATGAACTTGATATTACTGTGCTCAACATCGACCGTTGCACCGAGGCGCCGCACGTCTTTGGCGACGTAGTTGCTGAAGATGATCGACCGCATGGACGACTTGCCCGCGCCCGAGCGGCCCATCAGAAGCACCTTGCGCTGCTTTTGGCGCTTGCCACGCTCGGAGGAGCTCATGATGAGATTTGTTCAGGTCGACATCCATGCCATTTCCGCAATGTCGACGTTGACGCCGGAGGAGGAGTGGTGGAATGCGGGCAGCGAGCAGTTGGCACACACAAGAGCGGGATGCCGGGCCGGTCCGGGGTCGACCTGACCGAAAGCGGCAGTCGCGCAGTTGCCGAACTGTCCCAAGAGATTCTTGCTCCTCTCTCCCCCAAACATCCTTCACATCCTGGTCATTGGACTATTCTTCCCTGAGACCATGTGTACTAAGATGACGAGAACGAGACCTCCAAGCGGCCATCAAGACGCCCTCGAGCCGCGTGCTGTAGTTGGGGCAGAATGGAGCCTTGAACGGCGCAATGTGAATTCGATATCTCGAAGCTACGCACGATCTATCCTCACTGCGAAGCAGCCTGGTCCGGCATAGTGTACGTGAACATACTCCGCGCCACCGGCCTGCTCGAAGATCTCCTCCACTCGGGAGACGAGCTTCTCTCCCTGGATCGTGTCGAACGCAACCATCATATGCTCGCGATCAAAAGCACGAATGGACAGCTCCCTCTTCCGCTGCTGCTCCGGCAAAGTGGAGTGTACGGGGAACTCGGCCTTCCGACAAATCGGCTCTTCGTGCACGAAGATGGGCCCTGGCTGACGATAGGGCGAAGCGCCGAGCCATGGATCGTAGGACAGGAGGCGCATGCGGTCGCCCACTTGCCCATCTTGGAGACACCGACGACAAGGATAGCTGCCGGGTGTATCGACGATACGGATGACGGATGGCGCGTCGTGCTTAATTGCCTGCGCGAGGGGTGCTGGCAAGGGACGGTAATGGAGTGTCGATGGTATGGTGATGCTCTGAATACCGATGAGTGAACGGTAGGGTCCTTCCGGAACGTGTAATACAAACCGCTCGTGTCTCGTGCTGTGTGGAAGACATAGTGGCCAGGACGATGAATACGAGTGAAGGCGGTCGAAGTGACGACGTTGAATGGTCTCGATTAAAATCCAACGATTCAGAAATGCCATCTACGGCGGACCAGGATTGATTACCGTTCGAAGGCCCCCTTATATGTATGAGCGCCGCATCGACATCAACAGCAACAATGACCCGCGAATGAGCGCCATCAGGACATGCACAGCAACTTCACCCAGCCATTGGCTTGGAAGTGGCCAATCAGGCGCGACAGCGAAAGTTCAGCCTTAAACAGCCGGCTACTGCTCGAAATGGGGCACTTTCATCGTCACAATCATGAGCGGGTGGGCTCTCGCGAACATCCTGTTCAAAACAAGGTGCTGTTGACTGTCGACGAATCCACTGATTCGCGTTGCCGTATTGCTCCTCGTCGCGCTGAATCAGCACTGCAGCCCGAAATTCCGTGCCAGGCGGCACCCGTTGCTGCCTAACCCGATACCTCACTCCTCTACCTACCGGCTTCTGCGGTCGAATACTATATCTCCATCCCCGTCGTCCCTGCCATCTGAAGGACTCCTCCAATACCGCAGCCATGGGCTACAGCGAGCGTATATGTCAGCTGTGCAGCACCTCTTTCAATATCGCCCGCATCCGCCGATCAGGTCTGTCGCTCCTCCGCCAACGGTCCCCTGATGAACCCCTCGCCAAGCCCACTGACAGTATCAGATGAGCCTGTTGATGCCGCTTGGCTTGAATATGGATATGATTTTGTTGAATCGTCCACGGATTGCGACGCTGAGGACTGTAGCGTCGTTTATCGGCCCCGCCGCGAACCCGGTGGCGAGGATAACGAAGTAGAAGACGAAGTCCAAGGCGGCGAAGCAGACGAAGTACCAGAGAGGGAGGAACCCCGTGAAAACGACGGAGTGGAAAACGGCGAGGAAGGCGAAGGAGAAGACGGCGCGCGAGACGAAGACAAGGAAGGCGAACATATCGCAGGCCCGCATTGCGAGTCCACTACCGGCTACTCCGGTCATCGTACGTCCATGCTCTTTTTGCAATAGCGTTATTATTTTCTTTCACTGCTGATATGCCCCCCCTCCACCTTTAGGCATCTCGGTGGAAGAAATGAAAGTGGGTGGTGTGGTTGCATATCGCCATCCGCGGAGAGCTAACAGTATCCGCAGGGATGTCAAAGCGTGCAGTGCATCATGCGAAAGGACGACGACTGGTCACCGGAGCCTGGTGACGAGGACTTTGTGGTTCAATCGGAGACGTGCTGGTTGACCGGCATCAGCAAAGGACCGCCCGACGAATTTGAGATCGATGGGTTGGAGCCCGTCTTGCACGGAGTCGACAGCACCTTGATCAATGATGCACCCGAAGAGGTGAGTGACTTATAAAGGCCCATTCTCATTTCAACGTCTAATGTGAAACGCCAGGGATCGGAGTGGGGTTACCCCGTCCATCCGCATTGTTTTCAAATCTTCTCAAGATTGAGCAGACTCGCCTTCGGCACGGTCAATCTCGACGGTCTGCGCCGTCATTGGGATGCAAGGGGGGATCGCTTCGACCATCTTCAGAACTGGACGAAATCGACGGATATCCCCAGAGCGCTTCAGCAGTGGTTCTCTCATGTGCCAGGGACGGAATACCTTGTGGCTCATCCTCTTGAGGTATCTGGCTTACAAGCACTGATCGACGGTTGTTTGTGGGGTGACCAGCAAAGGGAAGAAACAGTGTTTCCTACCGCGGTCTGCGGAGACCACGACTCCGACCCATTCACGCGACTGTCTCCCGAGCTCGTGATGATGGTCATTGCACAACTCCCGCGCCGAGACGTCGCAAACCTCCGCCTAGCCTCCCGTGTCTTTCGACAGCTCCCTCAAACCTATTTCCAGACGTTGGTGTCTTCGGAGATGCCGTGGATGTCATGGGAACTGGACTCGCTCCCACCGAAAGATGTGAATTGGCACAAGCTTTGGTGTGACCTATCTGATGCCGACGGTGGCGCGCGTAGGGATGAAGCGGTGAGGCCCTGGCGAGAGTATCTCAAATTTCCTGACCGAATCTCCGAAACGTGGGTCGAGATCCTGCCAGAACTGGAGCAGGAAGAGCTGAAGGGTTTTATGGAGGGGCCCGGGTACTACAGCTCGTGGGGAATACCAGAGGGAAAAGAGGAAAGGGTGAAGGAGATTGTGGCAAAGTACATGCCGCCTGGTGAGAGTTCGTGGCCCAGTCCGAAGCAGCTGCACGGGCTGAGAAACCGGAGGAGGATCTATGAGGATCTGCAGGACGCAATCAACAAGATCAAGGCGCTTGATGAAGAAGAGGTCGTGTGGTGTTTGAAGCCGTCCGAACAATAAAGCGTGCCGCTAAACAAGAATACATTTTTCTTCGTTCGACTGACTATCTACAAGCATCGGAATGGTCCGGCAAACCTCCGCCTTGAGCACTCTTCGCTCGAGTGAGCTACACTCACGGAACGTTCATGCTGGACAACGGTTAGCACTCGTGCCTGCAGACTTCATCTTGGGAACACTTACTTGATCTGGATGGTCTTGGTCTGAAGGTAATCGTTCAATCCCTCCAATCCACCCTCACGGCCGTAACCGCTCTGCTTGACGCCACCGAAGGGCGTGTCGACGCCTGGGAAGTACCAGTCGTTGACGGCGATGGTGCCGGCCTCGATCTGGCGAGTGACACGGAGGGCACGGGCGATGTTGTTGGTGTACACGCAGGCTGGAGAATGTTAGCTCCTGAGCGAAAACAGAGCAAGGGAGATGACCGCTTACCCGACAGACCAAAGATGGTGTCGTTGGCCATCTCAATGGCCTCTTCCTCGGTCTTGAATGTCTGGACGGTGACGACGGGGCCGAAGACCTCCTCCTGGACAATGCGGGCGGTGCTCGGGGTGTTCCTGAAGATGGTCGGCTCGACGAACAGGCCCTTCTCACCCTTGCGGACACCACCGGTCACGAGCTGGCCGTCCTTCTTTCCGCCCTCGATGTATTCCATCACACGCTTGAACTGGGTCTTGTCCGCGAGGGGACCGATCTGAGTCGACTCGTTCATGGGGTCGCCGATGATGCCGCTCGAGCTGGCGCCCTCGAAGGCGCTCTTCAGGGTGTCGATGAACTTGTCGGCGATGCTCTCCTGGACGAAGACGCGGGAGGCCATGGCGCAGATCTGGCCGGTGTTGGCGAGGATGCCCTCCATCGACTTGGCGACGGCGACCTCGATGTTGGCGTCGTCGAAGATGAGCGAGGGCGACTTGCCGCCGAGCTCGAGCGAGACGCGCTTGAGGTTGCTCTTGGCGGCGTGCTCTTGGATCTTGCGGCCGGTGGCGGTGCTGCCGGTGAAGGCGATCTGGCGGATCTGCATGTGCGAGGCCAGCAGCTGGCCGGTCTTGCCCGCGCCGTTGATGATGTTGATCACACCGGGGGGGAAGACTTGTTGGACGAGCTTGGCGAGCGCGAGACTGCCGAGGGGCGCCTTCTCGGAGGGCTTGTAGATGAAGGTGTTACCCGTGGCGAGGGCGGGCTACGACCGGCGATCAGTCCTGGTCGTGATGGACAGGGAGGTTTTTGAGGCTCACCGCAGCTTTCCACGCAAACAGCACGGCAGAGACGTTCCACGCTCCGATACCCGAGCACACACCAATCGGCTCACGCTGGGTGATCTTGTACTTGCCAGCCGAGGATGGGTACGACGTCTCGCCGTGGATCTTGTCCGCCATTCCGGCGTAATAGGTGAAGAGGTCGGCGCCGACATTGTAGCCTGGAGTGTCCGTCAGGTTAGCATGGATGAAGTTCCCATGCGATGGGGAGGACGTTACCCATGGTCTGCGTGCCAATGGCACTACCCATCGTTGTGGTCTCCAGCTTGGCGATCTCGGCAGCGTGCTCGCGCATGAGGGCGGCAAACTTCAGCATCAGCGCAGCCCTCTCGCTCGGGTCTGACTGTCCCCATTTCTTGAAGGCTTTCTGCGCGGCGCTGACGGCGGCGTCGACATCAGCCTCGCCGGCCGCGTGGATCTTGTCGGAGACCAGCTCATCGGTGTGAGGGTTGTAGACCGTGAGGAACTCGCCGGACTTTGCGTCGACGAACTGGGAAACGTGCGTTGTCAGCAATACACTCGCGTATCAGATGGATGATTGTCGTCTACCTCGTTGTTGATGAACAAGCGGGTTTCGTAAAGGCTCGACATTTTGGATATTGGTTGGTGATGATTCAGTGGTGGTTAGGATGATGTTGGGAAGAGTATGAGGGGTGAGAAATAAGAAATCAACAGAGGAGGACCGCAATGGCAAAAAGAATGGGGGTAATAAAACACCTCCCGGCTGTGGACCCCTCCGCCTCTGTTATCCGTGGAAAGATCGCCCCGCACCGTCTTCGCGATTCCAGACCAAAGGATCGCGGAGAAGACGAGTCTGTGGCGGCGACGGGTTGCGCTTATCGAGCAGTAAGACGATCGGATTACCTTGGCAATGGGACCAGGCCTTACTACACAGCGCTCCTTCCAGGTGACGTTATGCTTTTGGCGGGGTCAGAGAGTGAGAGCCGACGAGCTGGCAAGTTAGCCGACAAGGCTGGCGATCCCCGCACTCGGCATACTTGCTGGTTCCAGCTGCCACGTGAGCGACTCGCCAAACGCGCTGGCGAAGCCGTGATGGAAGTACAGCGGCAACATCGAACGAAGTGGAGCAAGCTACAAGGGCGAGACGACAGAGAGAGGGGGTGATCGGACGGCGCGGCGGGATTGCAGATTTCGGAGAGATTGGATTGGATTTCCTACATACAGCTATCGAAGCCTGTTACGAGGCAGCAGATTGGAACTCCCCCCTCGCTGCATCTTCCTTCCCTCATCCGCCCATTCGAGACCCAAGAGATGCGACCCAGTCATCGCTGCACGGTGCCTACTTGATTCGAAGTGGGCGGGAGCGCCATTGGTATTGGCGAGGTTCACCACGGCGGTGTCCTGGGTGATCTGCGCCAACACTGGCGAGGTGAGGGCCGCAATCGCTAAAGCGATCGTGGCGGGGTTCGAACACCGTAACGATGAGCGAGGAGGGAGGAAGGAAGGATGAGTTGCGAGGGTTATTGACAAGATGAATAGGAAGTCGGGTAGCAATGAGATCAACTTCGAGATCAGACGCACGAAGACTCTTCCTTCGTATATCCCCGCGGGCGCTCAAAAACTGCTTGTACGACAAGCTCGCATGGATTCCCGCTCGACAAAAGGCTTGCGGAGGGGCATGCCACCCAGGACGCCGGCATCGTATCCATACACACAATATGACAGGCCGCGGAGGGTAAACACGTCCATGGTGGAGGATTGGGAAGAAGTTCGTTGAAAGAGTTGTGGAGCATGACACAGGCGCAATCGATTTGTGACGGGAGGTGCGAGTTGTCGATACCTTCGCGCGTTGATAGTCTTGTTTGCGAGTTGTGGAGCTACTGTGCCGCAGGCATGCAGGCACTTTGCGCAGGCCACTCCCCTGGCACGGCTGTGACCCCATGGGGAGGCGAGTGTGGAGAAGCTGGGGCAAGTCGTCATGCAAGCGTCTATGCCTTATTTCCACATCTCTAGTATCAATTGGCCAGCAATGGAAGCCGGGGTCCAGGCACCTTCCAGCACCCTGTGGCGGCATCAACGACATGCAGCAGCGGGCAACTTCTCCGCTATGCACGTGGGTTTTTGGAAATCCAGCTCGCGAGCCCCCAGGCTGTAAGAGGGAAGCATAGACTATGCCAGTGCCAATGTCGGCGAGGGGATGTGAAAGCTTCCGGTCGACCTGCCGCGTTCCTGGCGACGGAGGTTTCAATGGGCAATATCGAAACGGCGTGTCGAGTGTCTCGGATCACTTGCTCTTGCCCGAGCTCGAGCTCGCTTGACTTGCTGTGCCGCGGACTTTTCCATGCGGACGTCATCATCGATCCCTCCGCCTGACATCCAGTGTAAGGTTGTCTCAGCGCGGCCGGGTTGGCACAGCTCGAAGATGAAAATTGTTGGCCACAGCCCGCGGCAATCGTCGGGGAGCCTGTTGCACATCCATCACGGGGAGTAGAAGGGAAAGCTTCCAGAGCAGCGCCACCGGTCCAACCCCGCCGCATTTGCGCCCCTCGCTCGTGTGTTCCTGGGCCCCACTTCCAGATCTTCCCACCCCGCGTGTGCATCATCTTCTGCGCATTGCCGGGACTGAGGGGCAACGTAGAAAGACACAAAATCTCCTGACTTCCTTCTGTTCCTTTTCGTACCACAAATCCGCAGTAGATCGAACTTTTTGAAACCTCCAGTGCGAAGATGTCTGAAGAAATCCCAAAGAAAGGATGGGGCGGCGTGGTGGTTAATGAAGCGAGCAAGGATTTCTACATTGATGTCCGGAATGATCTGCCAGTGCCAGGTGAGGAAAGGGCTGCACGGCGAGCGAGATGCGGCGCGGCGAGGCTGACCTTTTCATAGAGCCTGCGGATGACGAGCTCCTCGTTCGTCTCAATTGCACGGGACTGTGTGAGTTGATGCTCCCGAACTACGGGCCCAAGGATTGATGCATCGTACTGATCTCACCTCCTTAGGCATGTCCGATATCCACAACATGATGAACGACTGGGTGCAACCCAAGATGAGCGAATTCGGTGTCCGATGCACCGGCCACGAAGGAGCTGGAGTGGTGGTGAAATTGGGCAAGAAAGTCAGCAGCGCGTGGAAGGTGGGGGACCGCGTGGGCATCAAGCCTCTTCTCGACGTCTGCCACAACTGCGAGTCTTGCTGGAATGGACGTGAGTCTGCTCGCGAAGCGGCGAGGCTATGTGACAGGTTGCTAATACTTGGCGAATTACAGGGGAGAACTACTGCTCCAATGCCAACTACACCGGCCTCATGAGCCCCGGGACATATCAGCAATACCTTGTCTCTCCCGCCATCTACACCACGAGGATTCCTGATGAAGTTCCCGACGAGGTTGCCGGTGGGTCTCCCGCCGTCTCAGAATGCATTCCCATGACTGACCACATCCCCCAGGCCCCATCATGTGTTCCGCATCCACCATGCATCGCGCCCTCATCGAATCCGGGCTGAAGCCAGGAGCTTGGGTGGTCTTCCCCGGAGGAGGCGGCGGCGTCGGAGTCCAAGGGATCCAGCTTGCCCGGGCCATGGGCATGCGGCCCATCGCCATTGACGGCGGCAAGAACAAGGAGAAGCTCTGCCTTTCCATGGGAGCGGAGAAGTTTGTGGACTTCAAGGAGGTGAAGGATGTCCCTGCGGCCGTGATTGAGGCTGCTGATGGCGTGGGCGCCCACGGCGTCGTAGTCACCGCGTGGCAGGCTTACAAAGGTATGCGGACCTGGAAGTGCGGAAAACGCATTCCTCCTGCTGACCATTTTCGCAGACGTCATGAAGTTCATCGGCACCCGCAAGGGCTCGAGGATCATGGTCATCGCCCTTCCCGCCGCCGGCGAAGTCCTGCTGGGCAGCGAACCCAGCACCTGGGTCTTCAACAACCTCCACGTGATTGGCAGCCTTGTAGGAACGATGCAAGATGCCGCCGCGTGTCTGGACTATGCGAAGAGAGGCTTGTTGAAACCCATCTCTGAAGTGCGAGGAAGGGGTCAGTGGGCGGAGAGTGTGCAGCAACTGAGGCGCGGAGAGGTCGCTGGCCGTATCGTGATTGACTTCAATCGGGAGTAGAGTGGTAGACCCTAGATCGTGGCTAGAAGTAGAAGACACGATAAAATCTGCGCCCACGCGTGATTTGAAGTCCAGTCCAGTTGTACGATCGATCTGACGGTCTATTCTGCGGCAAGTGACTTATTTGACCACTACTCCGTATGGGTTGGTTCGAATCGTAGGGCCGAGTCTCCGGAAGATCGTCAGGTCGGCACCCCGCACATCCTGAAACATCACCTCGCATACTTTTGAACATTGCATCTCTTGAGTTCGCGGGATTGAGCGACTGCCAGTCGGGAGAATTCATAGTCATATACGTTAACATTCCACTACAGCAACATGGCGCTACCTCCTACGTTCAAGATGCAGGTGGCGGGTGGCAAGACGGCAGACATCCCCACGCCAGGCTTCGGCACCTGGGCATTCGAAGGCACACCCATCGATCCCGCGAAGCCCGAATGGATCAAGAACGCATTGAAAACGGCTCTCGATGCCGGCTATCGTCATCTCGAGTGTGCGTGGTTTTACGGCGTAAGTGTCATTGAAGAATGATCACGCACACCAACCTCAAGCAAGGCAGCTTATTCGTATCAGGTCGACAAGGAAATCGGCGAGGCGATCCGGGAGTACGGCATACCGCGGTCAGAGCTCTTCATTTCGTCCAAAATCTGGTGCAACTTCTTCCATCCGGATATGGTGGAGGTGTGCTGCGACAAGATTTTGCAAGACATGGGCGTGGACTATCTCGACTGTTTGCTGCTCCATTGGCCCTGCGCCATGGCTCCCATCTCACATGATGCTCTGAGGAACGCTGACGCGGGCAACCAGGCGTCTCTGGAGAAGAAGGGGATGTTGATCAAGGACGGCAACCTCGTCATCGATTGGCAGCACACTTCCGAGCCGATCGCTCGCGCGGGAGGCCATCCGGAAGGCAGCATCGTGCCGACGTGGAACGCATTGAAGGACATTGCGAGAAAGGGCAAGGCGAGGGCCATCGGCGTATCCAACTTCGACATCGCCGATTTGAAAGTGCTGCTGCCGCACGCGCAAGACGTGCCCATTTCCGTGAACCAGGTAGAGGTGCACCCGTGGCATCCGCAACGGGACTTGCTCGATTACTGCAATCAGAATAGCATCATCGTTTCGTGCTTTTCGCCTTTTGCGGGGCAGAAGGCGGATGGCAAGACGTTGATTCACGATCCCACGGTGCAAAAGCTGGCGAAGAAGAACGATATGGGTGTGGGACAGCTGCTGCAGAGCTGGGCAGTTCAACGAGGCACCGTGCCATTGGGCAAGAGCGGCAATGAAGGTGAGCAACTCGCATGACGAGATATCAAAGTACGCTGCTGAATATATCCCCAGAACGAATCAAGGCCAACTTTGCGGTTCGAAGGTTATCAGACGAAGACATGAAGGCATTGGACGATCTCGAGGTTCCCAATGGAAAGGGACGATCGATTGATTTTACAGAAGCATGGGGTATCAAGTTATGGCAGAAGTCGTGAATGGATAACGAGAAGTTGTCCCCTTGAGGCCTACCATTCTTTGTTTTGCCGGATCCGTCTCGCAACGCCTCCGTAAGGGCGCTTGACCACCATCCACAGCATCACACTCGTCGCCAGACTCAGCGAGAACCAGGTGAAGATGTACTGGGTATGATTGTTCCGCAGGTTCACCTCGGCCGGCCGTCCAATGGGGATGCCTTTGTCCTCGCGATGATAACTCGCGAGCAAGTCCGGATTCATTGTCTCCTCGATCCAGATCGGCTGTGATCCAACGTGCGACGCCATCTCGTAGACGTCCGGGAAGTACCACTTGTCCTCCGCCGGGTTGTTTGCGGGCGTGAACATGTTCCGCTTCCACGGCTCTCTCAGTAGTCCCTCCACCACCACTTCACCCATTGGCAGTCCATCGGGACGGCTAGACTTGGAAGCTTTCTCTTTCGTGATCCAACCCCGACACACCAGCACCGTTGTATTCCGTGTGTTTCCCGCAAACTCGGCCGACCGATCCAACGGTGTAATTACCAAATATCCATCCTTCCCATCATGCACTCGCGGCCCGATCAGCATCTCCTCATCGTGTCTCCATGTGCCTCTCGTCCACACCCTCCGATAATCGAACTCTTTGATAGCATCGGGATCGACGACGGGCGGCAGCGGCAGCGGCTCCCGAATCAAGCGATCTTCGAACCTGGCGATGAGGTCCGTCTTCCAGCCCAGCCGCTGCACCTGCCAGCAACCCAGGATGAACGCGGTGACGGGGATGGTCGCGAGGATGATCAGGCCGAACGGGCGATGTTTGCGGTTGGTTCGCACGAGCTTGACGGGGTTGTCGAGGATGCTGCGGAACTCTGGCGAGTCGGCTGGGTTGGACTGCCAGCGGCGTTGCTGTCGTAGGAGAGTGGAGGGCTTCTGGGGACTGCGGCGAAGGCAGTGCGCGCAGGTCCACGAGCTGCGGACGGGATTTGCGGTGGGACGAGTGGATGCCAAAGACCTGAAAGCGCGGTAGAACATGCGGGAGGGATCCATTGCAGACGTCTACAAGTTGGACAGTCGAATGTAGGAAGCTTCCTGGAAATGTTCGAAGGACGACATCTCGACATCTAAGATCGCGAACAAAGTTTCGCCGGGCAAACCTTAATTGCCCTCGGAGACATTCAGACTGCACTCCCTCGACTCCCAACTTCTATCTGTCGATAACACCTGCTGTTCCACCATCGATGAAATCTCGGACTGATCATATATGCTAGCACGGCGAGCAACTGCGCCGAGTCATGCAGTTGCGACTCCTCAACATGCCTTGAAATCGCTCCTCGGCTGCCGCTCCTGGCGATGCGCGAAGGCAGTGTTCACGGTCCACTCCAAACGCTTTTCTGGCAAATCACTCATCCCCGTCGAGACGCAGGACGGGCCGAAATGGCGCCTTCAGACCCTGGCGATCGAGACATCATGCGATGATACGTCGGTAGCCGTGCTAGTCATTTCAGGCCACCAAAACCGCACGTCCCTGCGATCCGAGGTGCTGTTTCACGAAAAGATCACCGCGAACTCGCACAGCCATGGCGGCATCCATCCACTAGTCGCCCTGGACTCGCATACGAGAGAGCTGGGTGGACTCGTCCAGAAAGCTTTGCGTCAGCTGGCGTTATCTCCCGCACGCAAGGAGTGGAAGCCGGACTTCGTGAGCGTTACCCGCGGTCCGGGCATGCGCTCGAATCTGAACGTTGGACTGCACGTTGCCAAAGGACTTGCTCTCGCTTGGAATGTACCTTTGGTCGGTGTCCATCATATGCAAGCCCACGCTCTCACCGCGCGACTGTGCGCGACACTGGAGGCGCAAGAAGGGATGGGGCGGAGTCTGGGAAGCGATGCCGGTCCAGCTAACGACGGACGATGGATACCAGCTGATCTGCGGCCTCGATTTCCATTCCTGAGTCTTCTCGTCAGTGGCGGCCACACCATGCTGATCGACTCCCAAGCTTTGGTCGACCACCGTATACTTGTGGAAACGCAAGACATCGCGATTGGAGACTTTCTGGATAAAGCTGCCCGAGCAATTCTGACGGAAGCAGAGCTGAAAGCGCCATACGGTAGAGCTCTTGAAACGTTCGCCGACCCGTCGGGCAGCTGGGACTACTCCTGGTATACTCCACCCGAGGGTCGACAGCAAGAACTCGACCGTCGTCCGACAGAATACGGCTGGTCTCTCGGTCCCCCTTTAGCCGACAGCAAGTTCGGCGAGAAGAGCAATCGAAGGATGATATATTCGTTTTCCGGCCTGTTGAGCACGGTGCAGCGACTGACCGGGCGTGGTGCGAAGGACGGCGGGAGTACGCCAATGTCCACTCCAGAGCGCCGTGAGCTCGCGAGAGAGGCACAAAGGGTCGCATTCGAGCACTTGGGCTCCCGCATCCTACTGTACCTACAGTCCCAGCGCAGCCTCAGCCCTGCTACGCCTCTGCCAGAGATGATCGTAGTATCCGGAGGTGTGGCATCGAATCAGTTCCTACGACACGTTCTGCGCAGCATGTTGGACGTCAGAGGGTACTCGAACATACAATTGCTCTTCCCGCCGGTCGAACTCTGTACAGACAATGCGCTGATGATCGCTTGGGCGGGCATGGAGATGTTCGACGCCGGGCACGAGAGTGAGCTATCCATCGAGCCGCTCCGGAAATGGAGCATGGATCCCGCCGCCGAGGATGGGGGCATCTTGGGCGTGGGAGGATGGAGCGCAGTGCAGAGGCCAGGGCATCAGGAATGAAACAAATGCGGAGAACAGGTTCTTTCAATAATCATTCAACTTATTCACTCATGTGCAGGCCTCTCATTTGTCTGCCCGCACCGCGGAACAAGGTCGCCACTGCCATTCAAAACTATGCGATTTGGCAGCTAAGGAAGTCGATGTCCACGGACCCGCCAAGTCAATGCGATCTTCGTATGCCATTGTTCCGACGAAATGAGCCAATCGTTTCAGATGGAAATGTGGTCAGACAGAGGAATCTCCGAGCCCATTGGGTCGCGGGCCGATGCAAGCAACGAACGCTATCCGTCCTCGACCAAGATCTGCCGCGAGGTCTGGAGCTCCGCGCGGAATTTCCCCCGCCTTGTCGATGATAAGGGATCAACGTCCTGTCGACGGCGAAATGCATATCCTCAAGTAACATCGATCTGCTGACTACCATTGTACATCGATTCAATTCAGTTGTACTATTTCAAAGGAACGCAAGCCTCGTCGTGACACCATGACGCTCGAATCCGCCATCCCACCTCATCTCCAACAAGAGAGGACACAGCCATCGAAACTGCCGCAGAACTATGACCCGCCCTTCCCAGCATTCTCAGCACGCTTCCCGAAAGATGTCAAAGACATTGTGATGGTGACGATTGGTGCACAACATGTCGACCGCAAGCCGTCCACAGACGCATCCGCGCTGCCTCATATCATTCGCTTCCTCAGTCAAGGGCCGGAGAAGTATCATCCCACGTACTGGGAGCCGGCGTCCGTCACGGACAACTCGGGAGCATACAACGAAGTCATCATCTGCTACTGGCACAGCGCAGCGCAATACCAATCCTGGGCGACTCACAGCGGCTTCGAAGCGTGGTGGCAAGGACTCGACCCCGTGGCAGAAGCCCACGGCTGGTTCCTAGAGATCTTCTTCCCGAGCGTGGAGCGCTTCGAAACGCTCTTCTCCAACGACCAGGCGACCGAGGGAGCGGCGTACATGAAAACCGACATCAGCGGTCCCATTTCCGAGCACGTTTACTGGGGCAGCATGCGGGACCGGCTGCCCATCTCGCAGACCGACGCCCTGCCAGGAACCAACGAGGGAGCGAAGAGCAAGCACCGCACGGGAGCAGCGGCGCCGCTCAAGAAACGCACGCGCGTCGAGGGCAAGAAGAATCTCGCCGTCATCCGCTCGGGGCAGGACTGGTCGAAGACGAATCCGCACGAGCGCAAGCTCTACTTGGACACCATGCATCCCGTCCTCATCACCGGCATGGACTTCCTGCGCGACCAGGGGAACGAGGTCGGGTGTTTTAGCTGCCGGTTCATGGACGTGCTGGATCGCGAGAGCTTGCAGTCGGGCACGGAGAAGACGTTTGGATATGCGTATTTCGATGATTTGGCGTCGCTGGAGGGGTGGAGCAAGCAGCACAAGACGCATTTGGACATTTTCGGGCGCTTCTTGCAGTATGCGAAGGAGTTGCAGGGGGATGTGTCGTTGAGGTTGTTTCATGAGGTGTTGGTATTGGAGCCGCAGCAGCAGTTCTTCGAGTACGTGGGATGTCATCCCAAGACCGGAATGCTCGCTGGGGTATGACGGTGCTGATAATCTATTTTGCCATAAGCCTGTCCTAGCTGCATCATGCTAACGTACATCAACTCGCCGACTTGATCATCACATCGTAACATGCGTAGTCTACTTCAGCCAACCAGCCGTTCACCCTGGAGTCGTTCCATCACCCCCATCGGGCGGCCCGTTACCCTGAAAAGCGGACGAGTTGCCATTATAGAAGGTAGTCGGCTTGTTGTCCTTGTCTTGTTCCCGCCGCTGATTAAAGAGTGTGTTCACCTTCGCACCCTCAGGGCGTTGGCTCTGATCATTCACGGGGTTCGCCTGATCGCCGGACTGGCGCGGTTCACCCGATCCGCCCGGGTACAGCCAGTTCACCACGGGAATGTAAGAGGCCGCTGTTCCGACGGCGCTGGTCGCCGCCTTAGTTGCCCACGCCGCGGCATCCCATCCTGCACTGAGATAGCCCGTGCCCGATTTCTCGTAAGCGGACGTATATCCGGCGACAGGCACGAGAACAAGCGTGGCGGTGGGTGCCAGACCAAGTTCCAGTAAGGATTGGTGTTCCTCGCTGATTCCGATGCTCCTGCTGGGCTGGGGAGGCAGGATGTGTCGAAAAGTGTAGGGGATGTCGGCGCCGCCTTCCGGACTGGCTTCTTTGACCCAGTCTCGCACCGCACCGGCGAGGACTGCGTCGGAAGCGAATTTGCCGCGGATGCTGGAGCCGTCGAACAATCGAACTTGCAGGGCACACGATTTTATGCCGGAGAGGTTTATAGTGGTGCTTCGAGCGGCTGATGGCGGCAGGGCCGAGGACTGTCCGCCACCTCCAGCTTGTTGTGCTTCGCGCTGTCTCTCTTTCTGTGCTCTTCGTTCTTGCTTGTCGCTCTCGATCTGATTCAAGATGCGTTCGCGCTCCTTCTTCGCCTCGTCCTTTCTCTGCTTCTGCTGGACGAGCCACGCATCGCGGGATTGTTGCTTGTCGCGCTCCTCTTGCGTGGTGGAAGACTGCTTGTTCGAGGCGGCAGTAGCTGCTTGCTCGGCTTCTTTCCGTCTTGCATTTGCTCTCGCCGTCCGCTCTGCTTTCTCCGCCGCCTCGCGCTTCTGCCTCTCTGCTTCGAGTCGTTGTCCTCGTTCGGTGAGAAGGGTCTGCGCGGTGGAGGGTGATTGTGTGGGTGGTGCAGGGGCAGGTGTCGGGTCGGGAGTTGAGAGCGGTATGGCATCTCCAGGCTGTACGGATGGTGCTGTTGATGCTGATTCTCCTACGTCCTCCAACCCACACGCCTTCAGCAACCGACTTCGAAACTCCTCCTCGCCGATTCCACTCTCCAACTTCTCCAAAACCTGCCCATTATGGATGACGACCAGTGTCGGGACTTTGCTGACGGGGCAGACGGCTTGCAGGAAGGCTTCTTGCGGAGTGCCAGAGTCGATGCGGAGCAGCACGGCCTTGCTGGCGATGGTGTTGCCCAAGGACTCCGCCGAGTCAGCAGAGGCGCCCAACCACTCCTCTTCCCAGACTCGACATTCGTCGTCGGTGGGGTTGCGCACGAAGCAGACAACCAGCTTTGCTTCCTGTATGGCAAGCGTGATGCCGCTCTGCAGATCGCCTGAGTGGAACATTGTTCGAGGGTGGCTGCATGTATCGACGGCGGAAGTGAGGTAACGTTATGGGTAAGGCACTTAAACTAATTTTAGGCGCGCAGGGATTCCCCGCCTATCCGACCCGCTCTAAGTGTGGAGCATGTGCTCACTCTTCGAGTACAACATCCAACCTCCAATGTCTCATGGACAAAACAATGTCGCGTTCCTCGAACAAAGGCGCAGCAGTGCCACCAACGAGTCGAGCACCCAAAATTCGCAGGAACCCTCGAGCGTGCGATGCGTGTAGCCGCAGGAGCGTGCGGTGCAAGCCCGCCGCCAACGGTCGGTCATCGTGTCAGAACTGCCTCGACTTTGATGAGCCTTGCACATTTGATCGACCCGTGCGTCGAAGAGGAAAGCCTCGCGGGACTCTGGCCGCAGTCTCGACTCCTCCTCGTTGGCACACGTCGCCGCCCTCCGTGGAGGAGGCGATATCTCGATGGACGCCTCGACTCGAAATCAGCCAGGCCCTAGTCATGGACTTGACGGAAATCTTCTTTGAAGTCGTCTATCCCGTCTTCCCGCTGTTCCATCGTGCTTCACTGCTACGACGGGTCTCGCGTGGCGAGCACCTGGTCAGTCGGTCTTTGTATGCATCCGTGGCCGCAATGTGCGCCTTGTCCTCTGCCAGGGCCCGTGATGGCGCGCTTCTACACTGCGCGTGGGACCTCGACGAGCTCCGAGCTCCCACTTCGGAACACTTCTTCGAGGCTGCAATGGATGCGATTCCCGAGGACGTGGTATCCAACCAGTCACTGGACTACATGCGCGCATGCGTGCTGCTGTCGATCACTGCCATACAATATGGCACTCCATCCCTTATGAGCTACCATCTCTCCAGATACCATACCTACGTGGCCGTCGGGGCTCTACACGACGAGATGAATTGGCCGCCAGGGCTCTCCGTCATCGAGACCGAAGAGCGACGACGACTGTTTTGGTCAGCCTACACGCTCGATGTCTTCACATCCGTTGTCTGGAATGGAGTGATCAATAGTCGAGAAGCCTCTTCCAATGTTGCCTACCCTACAGAGGACGACGAAGAGCATTTGGAGCTTCCAGGACATCAGACCGAGCAAGTCCACGTCGGTTGGCTACGGGGCTGGAACTATGTCACCGACATGTATCGCATCCTGGAGTACGCGGTGAGCGACCTGCAACGTTCTCGGACTACTGTGATAAAGACGCCCACGATCCCGGTCTTGCAAAGCTCTGCATCACCTTCACAGCATGTCGTGCTCGATCGCATTACAACAATGTACCACGACCTCCCCGACATCTTCAAGACCGCAGCAGAACCGACGCACGACCCACGCCGAGATCTGTACAGCTTTCAGGCTGCCAACATCGCCGCCACGATCCAGCTCGTTCGCATGGTCTACTTCAGCAGCGATATATCGAGCCTTGAACAAAAGTGCCAAGTTGCCAGGGAGGTCCTCACCGCTTTCGCCAGCATGCCCACGGCCTACTTGCGTGCAATCAGTGCCCCGCTCTTCCACCATCTTGCCGAGATTGGACGAATCTTCGGCGCTGCCTTTGGCTCGGGAATGAGCGCTGCTCTCTATCACTCGGTCCGCGCCGTTCTTCTCGATCTGACTGCTTTTCTGGCAGACCTGGAGAAGAAGCTTTGCTTCCCCACGGATGCAAGCAAAAAAGTCGAGTCACAAGTTGTGCGCATCGACCGCTTCATTCACGAGCAGCGTCAACTGCTCAACGAGCCTAGTAAACGTCCACTTCGGGTCGATGGAAATGACGCCTATTCGAACTCTCTCGCTCTGCCTGGCATGAACTTGGAGCACCAATCGCCAGAAATTAATTTCCCGCCCGAGCTGTTCGAAGACTGGGACTGGGCCTTCACTTTCACGTGAGGCTGACGACTGTTCCGATTGCAGGTGATGTCACATTTGGTCCCACTACTAGCTGGATATCATACACGTTCTTCAACGTACGAAGAGCCCTTCTCCTGCTCAACTTCCTGCGCAACGGTAGCATCCAGCCCTTCTTTCCCCGACCAATATGCCTTCTCCATGCTCTTGAAGAGGGGCGACGAGGATGAAAACATGGCTTCGATGGATTCCAAGGATCGATTCGCGGTCTCTGGGTAGAAGAAGAACACAATTGGGATCCAACAGAGATTCAACCCGGCGAAGAGGAAGTATGTTCGACTCTGCACCATCCGTTAGCTAACCGTAGTGCACTACTCGTAACGAAGAGTAAGCCTACCTTTAGGACGGAGAACATGATTGGGTTGACCAGTGTCGTCATTCCCACACCCAATGCCCACCCAGTGATTCCGAAACCGTTGCCTTGGGCTCGGAGATCGCTGGGGAAGATCTCCGTTGGGACGAGGAAGGCGACTGTTCCCCAAGTGCTGGCATAAACGAGATTGAACAAGAACAGCATGGTCACCGCCGCCGGAGCGATACTCCCAGAGATGGAGGGATTCTGAAGGGACACCTCATAAAGGATGGCCGCCTATTGCAAGATCAGACTTTGTGTTTTTCCATTCTGGCTGGACGCAACTTACAATCAGGTTGACCAGGGCCAGACCCGTGGCTCCTCCCATCAGACAGATACGGCGTCCTATCCTGTCGACGATCTGTGCGGAGATGATGGTCCCGATGATTCCAATGGTGTTGAGGCCGCCGGCAAGCCCATTCTGCTTCAACGTGCTGTATCCAGCCTGGCGTAGCAGCACTGGGGAATAAGCCGTGACCGCCGTAATTCCCGTCCAAGAAGCCATAATCTGAAGCCATATGCACAGCCACGCCCTCCGCGCAAGGTGCGGTGCATAGTGTCGCCCACCGAAACCCGAGAGGATCTTGACAAACTCGACGGGCGAGTTGGGCTCGCTGTGCTCTGCCATCGCACAAATCTCCTGAAACTCGACTTCCACATCCACGCCGGCGTTCCCGCGGATATGCTCCAGGACTTCTTTCGCCTCCTGCAGGCGGCCTTTGGAGGCGAGGAATCGGGGCGAGTCGGGGAGCAGTTTGATGCCTCCTAGCAGCAGTAGCGCAGGGATGCATTGGAAGGCGAGGAGAAATCGCCATCGGATGTCAGAGTATCCGTTGTCGATGAATGCGAGGCCGAAGGAAAGCCAGTATGCGAGCGAGATTCCAAGGTAGTTGGCGATGAAGACGTAGCCGAGCATGCCACCGCGGTGTTGTGCGTTGGACACCTCTGAGATAAGGACGGGGGTGATGCCCGTTAGTGCTGTTCGGAACGCACACTGCTGTCAGTACTCGTCCCCCACGGACAATACGGGATATGTTGAGAGCACTCGACCTACCTCCAGTCCCGAATCCCGTCACAACCCGCGCAACCAGAATGAAACTGGCACTCTGTGTCGCAGCTTGCAGAGCGCCTCCCACGAGTGCAAAGATTGCTCCCAGGAACAACCCGTTGATGCGACCGATGCGATCCGCTATCCATCCACCAACGAAACATCCAGCGATGGCGCCGAGGTAATACTGCAACACCACCGACGGGGTTCGATTAGTTGGGAACTCTTGGCCATTCTGGGTGATCAGATATGCTTGCGTACTATGCTAATGATGCCGCCTTGCTTCGTGACGTTGGTCACGGTGCCGTCGGGTAGACCGATGCCCACTTCTTGGACGTATCTCGGGCTGGCGTTGACGCCGCCCATGACACCCTGTGTGGGAACATTTCAGCACGATTCCTTTGTCAATGCCGTCGTTTCTGTGACGTACCTGATCATAGCCCTCGAAGAAGATGGCTACGAGGGAGAAGGCTTGGATGACGAAGCCGAGTTGTTTGGCTGATAGCCTCTTCCAAGCGTTGAGGATGAGCATGTCGATAAGAATCCCGTGAGGAAAGAGAGGGGGAGCTTTCCTGGAGAATCGAGGTCGTGTGCATGTTCTTGATGAATACATCCATCGCCACGTGAGGTCATGTCATTGGATCACTGGGCAATCGAGGTGAACCTTGTCAGAACAAGATACGAAGCGATTAGGCGATTAGGCGGACGAGCGGTCGGGCGGCCAGCCCTGCGCGGAACGAGTGCTCAAACAGAAGAAGCGATTAGGCGAATAGCCGGCTTACCAGCCTGGCATCCGCCGCCCCCGACTACGGCGTTGCACTGCCGTCACAAGGATGAGGAGAATCAACTCGGAAATAATTCGACGGACGCTAGAATCCTCTTGCCCTGAACATAGAACACCTTCGACCGTTCACTTGAAACGACAACAGGCCAACTCTAGGCAACTTCACCATCCAATTTCTGGACCACCGATCGCCCTCCTTCATCATGGGTAGCATCAACCACCACGACGAGACAGCATTCTTGTCCTCGCAGCCGTTGGACATGATTGTTCTCGGGCTCAACAGCGGCACGAGCATGGACGGTGTCGACTGCGCGCTGTGCCACTTTCGCCAAAACACTCCACAGGACCCGATGACATTCGAATTGCTCAAGGTGAGGCGAGCATTGCTTTACGATGACAAAGTAATAACCAGCTAACTCGACGATTCAAAGTACGGAGAAGTGCCACTCGAGCCCGTGATCAAGAAGCGGGTGATGAAGATGATCCTTCACAACAAGACAACTCCCGAAGAGCTTTCCGAAGTCAATGTCTTGCTCGGGGAAACCTTTGCTCGGGCAGCGAGGGAATTTTGCACGCAACACGGCGTCGATTTGCAGGCTGATGTTGATGTTATCGGCTCACATGGTCAGACGATATGGCTGTTGAGCATGCCAGGGCCGGAGCAGACCAAGAGTGCGCTGACCATGGCGGAGGGGACGTTCATCGCCTCGCGGACAGGCGTGACGACGGTGACAGATTTCCGTGTCAGCGACCAGGCTGCTGGCCGGCAAGGCGCACCTCTGATTGCCTTCTTTGATGCTCTCCTTCTTCATCACCCGACGAAGCTGCGTGCTTGTCAGAATATCGGCGGCATTGCGAATGTGTGCTTCATCCCCTCGGACCGCGACGGTGGCGCGGACAACTGCTTCGACTTTGACACCGGACCCGGCAACGTCTTCATCGACGCTGTCGTGCGGCACTACACCAACGGAGAGCAGGAGTACGACAAAGACGGCATCATGGGCCAGCGCGGCGTCGTTGACCAGGAGCTCGTCGATGACTTCCTCCAGCACGAATACTTCCACCTGCACCCACCCAAGACGACTGGCCGCGAAGTCTTCCGCGACACGCTCGCATTCGAGCTCATCGAGAAAGCGGAAGCGCGCGGGATGTCGGCGGATGACGTGGTGGCGACGGTGACGCGCATCACGGCCCAAGCGATCGTCGACCACTACAAGCGGTATGCGCCTTCACAGGACATTGACGAGATTTTCATGTGCGGTGGAGGGGCATATAACCCGAACATCACCGCTTTCATCCAGAAGCACTATCCGCACACGAGGATTTGCATGCTCGATGAGGCGGGCGTTCCAGCGGGGGCCAAGGAGGCCATCACGTTTGCTTGGCAGGGGATGGAGGCTGTGGTTGGGAGGTCGATTCCCGTGCCGGATCGGGTGGAGACGAGGAGGGAGTATGTACTGGGCAAAGTCAATCCTGGGCTGAATTATCGCGCGGTGATGCGGAAGGGGGTGTTGTTTGGTGCGGGTCAGGATCATCTGCCTCCGGTTCGCGAGATGGTGTTGCTGAAAGAGGGAAAGAGGTATGACAACAAGTGGTGAGCAAGGCATTTGGAAGAAGGAAACTAGAATTCAGCGAGTGCTACAAGACGACGAAATCGAAGGACATTACTGTAGTCCCATAAGGCTGCGAGGTTGCGCACCGCATGGCTAAAGCGTGGCTGAAATTCCACAATCGTGGCGGTGCAAGAGTCGGCGTCAGCGACCTAGCAAGCCCAAGTCTCTTCACCCTCTTCCCTGTCTCTCTTGCTTTCTTTCTCTCTTCGCTACTCCTCGCACATCAAGAGCGATGTCGTCGAGCGAAAATGTCACCAAAGCCTGGGATGTTCTCGGCGAAGCGCTGTCGATGGACCCGCTGGACTTTGAGGACCACGAGAGCTGGAAGTTCCTCGGCCTCGGCGACCTGCTGGCGGCCGCGACCGCGTCCGACCTGAAGAATCTCGGCCTGGACGTCAAGACGGAGGATTTCACGAAGTATCCCACAGTGGGCGAATTCAAAACCTTTCTTCTCAGAGGCGACAACACCGCGCCGAGTAATGGAGCGCCAGCAGCAAGCCCTGCGCAGCTGAACGAGCCCGCGGATCCATGGGAGGGCATTCCCAAACCGAAAGTGCCGCTCTCCATCGCCCTCCAAGGCCAGGCGAGCAAGGCAAAGGTCATCGTCTTCCTCCTTCCCGACGGCAGCGGCGCAGGCGGATCGTACGGCTCGCTACCGCGCGTGAGCCCCGACGTCTGCCTCATTGGGTTGAACTCGCCTTTCCTCCGTCAGGCGGAGGCTTTCACTTGCACCATCGAGCGCATGGCTCGGCTGTGGCTGGACGAGATCCGCAAACTCCAGCCAAAGGGGCCGTACGTGCTTGGCGGGTGGTCCGCAGGCGGGTACTACGCTTTCGAAGTGGCGAAGTTACTCATCGCGGCGGGCGAGAAGATCGGCCGGATGATTCTCATCGACTCGCCGTGTCGGCTGCAGTTCGAAGCACTGCCGGAAGCGGTGGTCGGGGAACTCACGAGCAAAGGTCTTATGGGTGCTTCGGGGCTGAAGAAGGCGCCGGAGTGGCTGGTGCAGCATTTCACCTCGACCGTCATCTCCGTGGAGAGCTACATGCCCACGCCGATCGCTGCGTCGGATGTCCCTCCCGTGGTGAATTTCATCTGGGTGCGAGAAGGGCTGGTGAAGGACGTGGCCGAGTCAGGGCTGAACGTGGATTTAACTGTCAAGGTCACGCGGTTCCTACTGGAGCCGCGAGGAGAGCTGAAGACCGTTGGGTGGGAGAGGTTGCTTCCGGGCGCGAGATATGAGTTCGACTACATGACTGGCAACCACTTCCAGATCACCCAACCACCCCATGTAAGTGCCTCGATCTCCGCTTGTACATACATTGGCTAACGGTTGCAGTCTGATGATCTGGGGAGAATTTTACGGAAGATTGTCTCGCCTGCGTGAATGAGTGCTACACCGTTGCGCGTGTCATTGACGAGAACACGGCGAGCAAGGCTATGCGCAAGATCACTTTGCCGGGTGCCCTGTAAAAAGGCGACGTTGGGAATTCGACGCGACACAGCGCCGGGATACTCGAGGGCAATGGAAGCTCGAACCACAACGATTTACGAGTGCGAGGAAGGCGCATGATTCCTAAACGGTTGCAGGCTGGACCGGGGGCCCTCACTCGGTAATGATCCCTCCGCAGGGTCACCTGTTCGAGAATGTTAGCATTGATCCACTTAGACTATGAGAGACGGAGGATGTATGTACTCACCTACCGAGACCTTGTCACGACTTTTCCTTCCTCTGAATGGCCGAGTTTACAGCTTCGCGGCTCAGGGTGGTTATCATTATCGCCAACCTTATTGAGCCACACTGAAGGCCTTGCTGAGCCATTTGATCTGTAGTAGCGACGGGTGGGGTGTAGAAGGGCAGGTTTGGAATCAACCCATGCTGATGACACGCATTGCAGTGCTCTCCAGTATGAGGCAGTCCTTCCAACAGACCCATTCTTCTCAACGTGTAAGTGGCGCTCATCTACACCGGGTTGTTGGACATCCGAGTGGCGGAACCAACGCGAGTCGCCGGTGCGGAGTGGCGTCGCAAGTCAAGCTCATCCAAGCTTTTCCCTCCCCACCTTTGCCTGCATTCCTCCATCACTGTCGCGTGCGATGGTCATCGTCGACCACAATGCTGAGGAAGTTCCGGCGCAACAGCAAGCCATCTCCAGAAGATGGTCTTTCTGCCTTGACACTTCAAAGCACGCGGGAGCAGTCTCTCGACGCGGAATCGCAAGGACAACATGCCAACGACCGCCTGTCCTTCTTCTCCCTCCCGGCCGAGATTCGCAATGACATCTACGAGCTCATCATCGCCGACACCACTCTCTCACTGCCCTCGCAGGCCCTGACGGCAGGGCAGAAGCTGAAGCTCCGCACGCGGAAACGCCGCGTCCTCGTGACGCCCATCAATGGCCTGCTCCTCGCCTCCCGCCAATGCCGACAGGAGTACCTGTCCACCCTCTTCTCCCGTGGCGCCGTGACGGTAGAAGTGAAAGACTTCGATTTCGAAGGCCTCATCCGGGTGTCGTCGGGACTCGACGAAATGGAAGTCCGCTACCTGCAGTCCAACCGCAACCTCACCGTGCAGCTCATGACGCAGAACTGTCGACAAAAGGACGGCTTCGCCCTGCGCAAGTGGCTGAACTATCTGCGCGACTGCGACGCGCGACTGCCGTGGAAGTACGAGGTGCCGCTGGAGAAGCTGCTGCCGCCGACGACGATGGGTCGGGTGCGCCTCATGCACGAGCTGGAGTATTACGCCGAAGCCATCTCCGCTCTCGAGCCCGGGATCTCGGAGCCGCAGAGAGTGGAGTTGAAGCAGATCACTGACGCCTTTTACAAGGGCGTGCAATGGCTGGAGCAAGACTTGGGAGAGTTGGGCCAGCGGAGGAAAGATCGCTCGCGCTCTTTGGCGCATATGCGAGGTCTGCCGGGCGGAGGTGTTTATTGAGCAAGGCGGACCTGGAATGTGACTGTCAAATGATCTTGCGACGATGTCGTACACAGGCGGATGAGGCCTGTTACCGTCAATGGTGAAAGCGTTGATCATGTTAAGGCGCGACTTGGAGTGAGCATGTTGAGTGGAGATGACGGCTGGAATACGATGCGACTACGAGAGACGGAGCAGCGATGGACAGTGACTTTGATAGCGTATGAGCCATTGTGTGAATGCATTACCGTAACGAATGCAAGGAACCCTCCCACCCTCACCAGCAGCTCCATACCGCACCTTCCACTCTTGGACACCTCGACTTTTGACTCACAGCATGACTCCAAGCTGCACCTTCCATAAATTTTGCCCAAACGCAACACACTTTCAGTGCACACGACCTCCCCCACACACGCTCGCAAACATGTCAGAAACCAACGGCGCTCCGGCCGAGCAGCCTCAATCGCTACCAGAACGACCCAAAGGCGAGGAAGAGGGAGAGAAGGGCCCGTCGAAAAATGCATTGAAGAAGGCTGCAAAGGACAAGGAAAAGGCGGAGAAGGCTGCGAAACGCAAGGCGGCCGAGGAGGCGCAGAAGAAGGAGTCTGAGGCCAACGATGTGTCTGCGGAGGACTACGGCGAGCTGCCCATGATCGGATCGAAAGCATACACTGCTCCCTCGGTGCCGACGACGTGGGTCGAGCTCGCGGAGATCGCTCAGCGGTATTCCTCCCAGTCCGAGACTGAGGGGGTGGGTGCGCAGATTGTGTTCCGTGCTGCGGTGGAGAATGCGCGTAACCAGTCGGCCAAGCTGTCCTTCCTCGTCTTTCGTCAGGGTGCGGACAGTATCCAAGCCGTCGTGGCCGCGAGCGAGAAGCTGAGCCGACAGATGGTCAAGTTTGCTGGCAGCATCCCCGCCGAAAGCATCGTCGATGTGCACGCGGAGGTGCAGAGGCCGCGAGAACCGGTCAAGAGCACGTCCATCCAACATCTGGAAGTGCACGTCCAGAAGTTGTATATTGTCTCCAAAGCAGAGGCACAACTGCCATTGCAGGTCGCCGATGCCGAACGGCCGATCCCCGAGGAAGGCAAGGAAGACCAGCAAGAAGACGAAGGGCGACCGATTGTGGGACTGGCCACCCGACTGAACAACCGCGTCATCGATCTCCGAGCCCGACACAACGATGCCATCTTCGAGATCAAGGCTGGCGTCGTGCAACTCTTCCAGGAATTCCTCTTCGCTCGCAACTTCCGCCTCGTCCAGACGCCCAAACTCCTCGGCGCACCGTCCGAAGGCGGGGCCAGTGTCTTTGAGGTGTCGTATTTCGACAAGAAGGCCTACCTTGCGCAGTCGCCGCAGCTGTACAAGCAAATGCTCATCGCGGCACGCAAGGAGCGCGTGATGGAGGTGGGCACGATTTTTCGGGCGGAGAACAGCAACACCGCACGCCACTTGACCGAGTTCATCGGGCTGGACTTGGAGATGGCGTTCAAGGAAGACTACCACGAGGTGGTGACGCTGCTGGAAGAACTGATGCTGCATATCTTCAACGGCTTGCGCACGCGCTACAGCAAAGAGACGGACCTGGTGCGCTCCATCTACCACGTCGAGGACTTCAAGCTGCCCGCCGCCGGCGCCGTGCCGCGCCTCAGCTTCGCCGAAGGCATCCGCATGCTCAAAGACGACGGCGTGGAGATTGGCGAGTTCGACGACCTGTCCACGCCCGACGAGAAGCGGCTGGGCGCGCTCGTGCTGAAGAAGTACGGCTCCGACTTCTACGTCCTCGACCAGTACCCGCTCGCCATCCGCCCCTTCTACACCATGCCTTCCGCCGCCACGCAGGCGGCGTACGACGCCAAGGACCCCAACGCGGGCTACAGCAACAGCTACGACTTCTTCATGCGCGGGCAGGAGATCATGTCGGGCGCGCAGCGCATCCACGACGCCGCCTTCCTCGAGCGCCGCATGAAGGAGCACGTCGCGCCCGTGGACCCGCAGAGCGAGGGGCTCAGGGACTACGTGAATGCTTTCCGGTACGGCTGTCCGCCGCACGCGGGTGGTGGCATTGGGTTGGAGCGGATTGTCATGTTGTGGTTGGGGCTGCCGAATGTGCGGTTGGCGAGTTTGTTCCCCAGAGACCCGGGACGATTGATGCCTTGAAGGGTGGGGCATGGGCAGCATCACCACGGGCAAAAGGGCATTTCGAAGGTTAATGTAGACATAGAATAATGCCCTCCAATACCGCACAATCAGCCAATAGACTGCACTGCTCTCATGAACCTCGCCATTTGTGAAGTGATTGTTGTTGATTGGAATTGTTCTTCTGGAATTCGCTGTCTGCCACGTCCGCTGTCTATATACGCCACCATCTCTAGTCCCGTCACCCCGAACCTAGTACCCCTCCTTGCCATACTTGTTGTACTTTTCGTGCAAGCTCTGCAGCCAGCGTCAGCAAACGCAGACGGCACGAGAGAGAGAAAAGAGGCATACCTTGGGCAAGTTGACATTGGGGATAACCACCTCGTTCAGCGCGCTCGGGGCGTCTCGCCTCCGGCTCTTGTCCCCGCCGGGGTGGTACTGGTATTTGCCGCTGGCGCCGGTGTTCCAGGGCTCGGAGCCCTCGGCCATGGACACCTTTTGCTCGCTGCTGCTGCTCGTGGGGTTGCGGGAGAAGTGCCAGCCGGCGAGGGTGAAGGCGCCGGTCATGATGGCGAAGAGGGTCTAGGGGGCGAGGAAGAGTGTTAGTGCATATACCGGGAGCAGTAGAAGAGACGACAGGACGGCGTACGTAGAGCTCGGGATCCCGTTTGGCGGCCTTGCGCATGGCATCGCTGCCCTCTTTGTTCTCTGCCGCGGACGCGTAGCTGCGGCGGAGGTGCTGGGCGGGGGCTCGGGGGGCGCGGAGGGCCTGGGTGGCCGTTCGTCTTGCGATTCCTGACATGTTGGCGGATGTGGAGGTCGAGGGATGGAGGGGAGGGGGGAGGAGTCGGGCGAGGTGTGCGAGGGAAGCATGCATTGTCCTGCCATTGACGAAGCTGGATAGCGGCGGCAGCTCCCGGGCTTGGCGTGTGGCGGAAAGAGAGTTTCGGAGGAGGAGAGATGTGACAAGCGCGTCACAACGTCCACGCACGTTAGCTCCCGTCCCGCCGTGCCTCGAACTCTGCTAGTTCACGCAGGAAATGGGAGATGTGATGGCCAACGTTCCTCGCGCTCGAAGGGGGAAGAGATGATCCTGGCCGGTGTCTCGCAGCTCACGACCTCACGACTGTCAAGGTGCTCACGACATCAAAGCAAGTCACTCTCGACCTCACGCCTCCCACACGACAGGCAGAGGATGAACTCGACCACCCATTGGCGCAACACGGTCGTCTCGTGGTAGCAGCGCCCGTAGCCATGCCTCCTCCCCCCGCCCTCAATCCCGCCTCTCCCTCCTTCCCGACCTTCCTCGACATCGATCCCTATCCCGCCAGCCGCGATGGCCGCCCGGGCTCCTCTCATTCAACGGCCACCAGCATGACCTCGGAGTTTGTGCCCTCCGAACACACCAGAGACAGTGGCCGACGCTCCGCAAGCGTACAAGATGAGCCCGAGAACGTCCCCTCCTACACTGGGCCAGTGGGAGAGCCGGGTTTACCTCCGAGTCGACCGGCAACGAAAGGCCCCGATGTCTACTCCCCTACCGGCGCAGTAACCACAGGAAAAGCCGCTTCGCGGCCCAACACAGGCACGAGTAAGACTCATGTCCCCACCTTAGCGGCGCAAGCTTTCTTCCGCCCCATGAGCAGCCAGAAGCTCCAGGCGCAGCGCAATCAGAGTGTTCGTGGGACCACAGCGGAAGGACAGAGCCCGACAACGGAAGGCAAAAGTGCCGTTGCGAAGCAGCCACAGCACCAGCAGCACCGACACCGATACAGCGATGCTTCGGTCAACACCTTGAGGGAGCTGCAGGCGCTGCGCAGGGAACAAGATGCTCCACCTCCCTTGCCGGTAAGCCGAGGCACGCAGGTGACAAGCGATGGAGAGTACACGACCGGCAGTGTGACCAGTGCTACGCCGCTGCAGAATTGGAATGGGGTTCAGGGTGTGCGGACTGCGGATGCTGGTGCTGCAAGGCTGGATCCAGCGCAATATAATGACCGATCCATGCCACCGCGCTCCACGATTCAGGACGAACAGGATCCTTCTTTGCAGGAGAAGGCCGAACCTCACTCTCATCAGGCGAACGGGGCAGCACCTATGTACGCCGCCCAATCCTCCACCTCCTCTCCGACCAAAAGTGCCGGGAAGAACTACGAGTACTTCGCCGGAAACGCGCTGTTCTGCTTCGCCGGCCGGTGCATCAACACCAAAGCCCAACCCCTCAGCCTCTTGACCCTCCTCTTGACCCTCGTCCCCTCTGCTCTCTTTGGCGCCTTCTCTGCTCCCTGGCTATGGCGCCACATCACCCCTGCCATCCCCATCATCTTCGCCTACTCCTTCTTCCTCACCATCTCCTCCTTCATCCATGCCGCCGTCTCCGACCCCGGCATTCTCCCCCGCAACGTCCACCCGCACCCACCCAATCCCGCCGAAGAGCATGAGCCCCTAACCGTCGGCCCCACGATGACCGAGTGGGTCATGGTAAAGACCTTTCCGTCTTCCCGCGGCCCACATTCCTCTCGATCGACCGATGCCGAGCACGGCGAGAACGGTGCACCAGGTCCGACGACCGCGATGGAGGTGCCTACCAAGTACTGCAAGACGTGCCACATCTGGCGCCCCGCCCGCGCCCACCACTGCCGCATCTGCGACTCCTGCATCGAGACGCAAGACCACCACTGCGTCTGGCTGAACAACTGCGTCGGCCGGCGCAACTACCGCTACTTCGTGGGCTACGTGGCATTCGGCGCGCTGCTCGCGACGGAACTCCTCGTCTTCAGCCTCATTCACGTCGTCTACTACGCCAAACAACACCACATCTCCTTCGCCGCCTCCATCACCGGCCACACCGCGCAGCGCGTCGGCTTCGCCATGTTCCTCTACGCCATCCTCGCCCTCTCCTACCCGGGCAGTCTCAGCGTGTACCACCTCTTCCTCATCGGGCGCGGCGAGACGACGCGCGAGTACCTCAACAGCCACAAGTTCCCGCTCAAAGACCGGCACCGCCCCTTCACGCAAGCCAGCCGCTTCGCGAACTGGACGTCGGTACTCGTGCGACCGCGCCCGCCGAGCTACATGCAGTTCAAGCGGCGGCATCAGCCGGGGGATTCGCGGCTGGGGTACGAGGTGCCGAAGGCGCAGAGGCGGAGGGAGATGAAGGGGCGGTATTCGGTGCGGGGGGCGAATGGGAAGGCCCAGGCGAATGGGGCGGTGGAGATGAAGCAGTTTTCGTCTACGGCGCCGGGAGTCAGTGGGCCGGTGAATCGGACACCGAGGTGATGTCTCGATAGGTTGCGTATTCCCTTTTCTTCTTGGTGTATTTCGTAGCGAGCATGCTGCCGACTTTGGAGCGAGTGACATGTGTAAGGTAGCGATAGGAGGTCTGCTTCGATGAGCGACTTTGTCTAATATTAAGCGTCTTGGTGACGCTCTATACACGTCTGATCCGTATTCAGCCCCCTCGAGCCTTCTTTGCATCCTCCACCGCCCACTCCACCGCCTCCAACACATCCTCCACAATCACATCCGGCCGGTACGCCGGCTCCTTGCCCTCGTCCGCGCGATACACGCCCGTCTTGACCAGCACACTCCGCCACACCGTCCCATGCGGCGAGCGGTACTCATTGGCGCCACGGATGTCGCTCTCGGGATTGTCGCCAATCATGTACACGCGCTTGAGCGGGTCGTTGAGGCCGCGCTGGGCGAACATTTGCTTGCGCACGTGGCGCAGGCGGTGCTCGGCAAAGGCAAAGGTGGCCTGCGTCGGCTTGCCGATGGCGGTTTTGGCGAGGTGCGCGCCGTCCGTCGCGGCGGCCCAGACGCCTTCGAGGGCGCGCTGGAAGCCGCCTTGGCCGAGACGGTTTTGGTGCCAGGCGGCTGCCCACCAGAGGTCCGGGTTGCTGTAGTACAGCGGCGGCTGGGCGTCTTGTTGGTAGCCGTTGTTAGGGAGGGCGGGGTTGCCGTTCTTCGTGGACAGGGTGCCGAGGATGCCGGCGCGGGAGAGGAGGAGGTCGAGGATGATGGTGGTGTCGGTGCCCCAGTCGCGGGAGTCGTTGTAGACGAAGATGGCGTCGAATTTGAGGCTGGTGGCCGGGGAGGAGAGGTCGATGGGGGTGGGGAGGGGCTTGGCGAAGGTGCGGTAGAGGTCGAGGTATTGCTTGCCGAAGGGCCAGATTTCGGGGTGGGCGCAGAGGATGTCGATGGGGGTGACGGCGTACTTGAAGCCGTACTTCTGCGCCACGAGTTGGCAGTGGTCGTAGTCGCCGCCGACGATCAGCACTGTTTTATCATAGAGGTGGGTCATGTCTGCAAAGGGCGTGTGGCTTTGTACGATCATGTCGGCGGAGAGGGGGACGCCCAGGCGGTCCTGGAGGTATTGCACGCGTTGCTCTTCCGTCTTGCCGCCGCCATTGGTGACGAGGATGAAGGGGATGCGGTTCTTTTGGAGGAGGGGGAGCGCTTTTTGTGCGGCGGGGATGGGGCGAGAGGAGCGGACGAGGACGCCATCGATACTGTGGAGTGTTAGGACTTTCTGATGTTTTGTGAGGTGAAGAGATGCGTACTCAAAAGTGAAGCCAAAGTCGGGGATTGGAGGATTCTGAGAGACGGATGTCTGGAAGGCCCGACGGTGCCATTGAATCTGTCTGCGCAGGACACTTCTGCGCAACAGACACGACGAACAGATGTGTCTGGAGGAGGCTGCTGGCGGTCGGAAAAGTGAAGCCATTGGGTGATGTGAGAAGTGGTGAAGATGACGTTGGAGTGAAGGGAAGCTCGGGCAGCTGCGCGCGGAAAGTGACATCACTCCTTCCCCAAACATCAATGTCGCTCCTTCCTTTCGTTCCTTCCGTCTTACAATCAACATCCACCACACCGTTTCGGCATTACAAGACACCGCAATTATGTCCAACACCCTCCTCAAGAGCAGCGCCCTGCGCTCCGCCCTGCGCACCACCGCCTCCGCCAGCACCAGGCGCGCGGCCCTGGCCAGCACCACCTTTGTCCGCAACAAGGCCACCCTGCCCGACCTGCCCTGTACGTCGCGCAATCGCCCCACCCTCACAAACCACTGACCCCTCCTGACCTCTACAGACGACTACGGCGCCCTCGAGCCCGCCATCTCGGGCAAAATCATGGAGCTGCATCACGACAAGCACCACCGCACGTACGTCAACAGCTACAACACGGCGGAAGCCAAGATGCAAGAGCTGCAAGCGAGCGGCGACATCGCGGGCCAGATCGCGCAGCAGCCGCTGATCAACTTCCACGGCGGCGGCCACACGAACCACACCCTCTTCTGGGAGAATCTGGCGCCCAAGTCGGCGGGCGGCGGGGAGCCGCCGTCGGGCGCGCTGGGCAAGGCGATCGATACTTCGTTTGGGAGTCTGGATGCGCTGAAGGAGAAGTTCAATGCGGCGCTTGCGGGCATTCAGGGCTCCGGGTGGGCGTGGCTGGTGCAGGATGTGCAGACGGGGCATATCGGCATCAAGACGTATGCGAATCAGGATGCCGTGGTGGGGCAGTTCCGGCCGCTGTTGGGCATTGATGCGTGGGAGCATGCGTATTACTTGCAGTATCAGAACCGGAAGGCCGAGTATTTCTCTGCCGTGTGGGATGTGGTCAACTGGAAGGCGGCGGAGAAGAGGTTCAAGTGAGCAAGCCACAGCAGGCTGACTGGGAAGATGACAGTATGTCACGTGTAAGATTGTAGGTAGGACAACACAAAAGGAGTCTGTCGTTGAAATCTGTACTCCTCGCAATGTAATGCAATGCAATGCAATCCGGTACCGCTATGCCATACACTCGAGCAATTCCTGCACCACCAACCCATTAATCGCCATTCACATCAACCATCCAACCCATCTACCTAACCAAGCTTGCCAAAGGAAAGCGTGCTCTGCCGGAACTTGCCCGACCCCAAGGCAGGCCGATTCCTATCCAGCCCCAACAAGCTGCCCTTAACAGCCAGTCCGACCTGCTTCAGAGCCTCCTTGCCTTTGCTGGCGGTGCGTGACAGCCCGCTCTTCGCCTCCCCACCCCTGCCCGCTTCCTTCTCCTCCGTTCCGTTCGTCATCGCCACATTCTCGTCCAGCAACCGAGTCTCTTCGCGGACTTCCTCGGCAGTGGTGGTGGTGCTCACGGAGACTTCTGGCTCGTGAAGATGAAACTCCTCCGTGAACTTGGAGCTCGTGGACACGGTGCGGATGTGCGAGACTTTCCGCGCCGGCTGCGCGACCTCGATTTCCTCGTGCATGGGTGCGGCCACCGTCTCCAATGCATGCACCGTCTTCCTCCTCTTCGCATCCTTCTTCTCGGCAATGGGAAGGGGTGCGCTGGCCTTTCGCTTGCTGGCACTCATCGGTGTCCCCGACATCCTCGCCGCCAACCTCCTCGCCCGCTCGGAAGACTTCTGCGCCTCCTCGCGCTCCTTCTTCTCGCGCTTCAGCTTCTCCTTCGTCTCGGGATCGTCGACAGCCACCCAGCCCCTCCATCCCGAACCCCTCTCCTTCTTCACCAAATTCTTCTTCGCCTCCGCCTCTGCAATCTTCCTCGCCTCTTCCGCCGCTTTGCGCCTCCGCTCGCCTTCTTCCCGAGCCAGCTTCTTCTGCTCCGCAGCGTTGAGACGCTTGGACAGCGTGCCGCGGCAGTTGGACGCCCCACAATAGCACAGCTGCTTCGTCGCGCCGAAATTGTCAAAGTTGTAGTCGTACGTGAGCTCGTCGCCCGTCATCACTCCATCCTCCCCGGCGAACACCGCCATGCGAGGCGTCCCGCTGACCTTCACCATGCGAACCTCGCAGTTCGGGGAGCAGGAGTGGTTGATGAATCGCGCAACCGAGCCCTTTGTGCCATCAATGATGAGCCCGCGTTCCAACTCCATGAGGTAGTAGCATTGCTTGTCTTTGTAATCCTCGGCCATGCGGCGCTGGCATTCGCCTTCGGAGATGATCTCGCCGGTGTACTCCATGATGATCTGGCCGGGTACGAAGGTACGACAAGAACGCACACCGAAGCCGCGATTCCCCGTCTTCACCACTTCGACTCCCACATCAAACGCCCGGCCCTTCTTCGTCCTCGCGGCCAGCTCGGCAAACGCGCGGTTGCTGCACAGCGACGCGGGCAACTTGCAGTTGTCGTCATTACACTCGTACTGCATCACCCGGTTCAGGCAGTCGTCTCCGCAGCCCTGCTCGTCCTCTGACGGAGTGCGACAAACACATGCGGAGTTCGGCAGCTTCTCCGCCTTCTCCCACAGCTCCTTCGCCTCGCCGACCAGGCGATTGCGGTTCAGCTTGTGCCAGTCTTTCGGCTTCTCGTCGCCCTTGCGAGCCGAGGGAGCGTAGATGTCGAAGGGAATGGTGAAGTTGCGGGTGCTGTCGAGATACTTGAACATGGGGAGTGGCATGAATGTCTTGCGGGGTGTTGGTTCTTCGCCGGTGTTGTCCGGGGTGAGATCGGAGGCGGATGATGTCGGTCGTTTCTTCTGCAGCTTCTTGCGGCTGCCGCTCTGCGTGGGATCGGCGTGGGTGTCCTGACCCACATACAGCCCTTCCTGCTGCCATTTCTTCACCGCTTTGCCAGACGTGATTTTGAGGGGCGGCGCAGTGGGCACGGTTTGTTTGGTGTCTTGCAGCACGTTGGAATCCAGTCTGGCTTTCTTTGCGGGCCGCGGTGGCGGCAAGTAGCCTGCGTCGTCACTGAGGTCCATCTCGTCCAGGATGCCCTTGGAGCCCATGTCCAGTTCCTTGAGCACCTTCTTCGTTTGTGGGTCCGCCTCCGCCTCGTGCATTCCCAGCTTCCGCTTCCCTGCTTGCACAACATCGCGACCGCGCTTGCCCAGGACCGAGGTGACCTTTCCCGCCGCCTTCTTCACCCGGTCCTTGACCGTGGGTCTTCGCTGTAGCTTTCGCGGCGAGCGTCTCTGCGGAAGCTCCGCTGATTTGGAGGGGCCGTCTCCGGAGGAGTCGATGTCCTTGTCTACTTTGCTGCCCATCGCCGCGTATTCATCCTCGTCATCGTCGACTAGAGTCTTGCCGGTCAGGCCCGAGACGTTGCGGCTGCCGGGGGCCGTGTCGAGCTGTTGCTCCGCCAGCTTCGCCAAGTTGTACGTGGACACGCTCGATCTCGCCCGTTTCGGCCGATGCAGCCTTTCCTCGTGGATGGTGTCTAGGGTGTCGGTCGTGGCTTTGGCCGAGCCCAGGCTGCCACTGTCTGTGAGGCTGGTAGGAGGTGTGGACGCGGAAATACCTTCGGAGGCGCTGTCGTCTTCCACCGCGCGTGCCACGATGATGTTGGACATTGCGGAGGAGTCGGTGGAGGAGGTGCGCGTCAATGCGGTGCCGACAGACGTCATGGTGGGTGAGGAGCGCGGGAAGGGGGTTTAATGGAGGATTGGAGCGAAAAGACGCGCTCGAACACGCGATATGTGCGAGAGCGGGAGGGATGGAGAGGGCGTGTTCAGCGGCTCTTCCCTTGCAGACGAATTAGCAAACTCCTCCCGCAATGCAGAACATCAAAAAGCAGTCGATGGAGGTGTGCTGGGATGGTGCGAGCAGTGCATCACGGGGTGTGAGGAGGAATGGAGAGGGAAGGAGGAGGAAGAGGTCGCTGCTGCTGGTCGCTGCTGCTGCCCGTGGATCACAACACACGGAGCGGGCCCAACCGGCCAATCAGCGTCGATCCATTTCCCTTCCCATTCCTCAAGCCTCGCCAGGCGACTCTTCCCTTCTTGACTTCACTTCACTTTGCCCTATCTTGATCGAGAGGCTCACAACACTATATGCTGGAAGGGCTATCAATGACATGAGCATCATGGAAGACCACACGACCTTCACGGGGTGCGGCACATCGCACCTCATGCTATCCCAAGATGCACTCACGACCCATGCCGTGTCACAGGCCATATCATATATGCGGGCCCAACTGCCTTGCTCGGCAGTATCACGGAGCTCGACACATCTCCTCCACGTCCACATCCTCCTCCGCCTGTCCTCGGACTCGGCCGCTTTCTTTATGGAACAAGACTCGTAGCAATACCATGGCTCGAGCGGTACCTCCCCCGGCTACCATCACGGTATAGGCTGATGCCTGCCCTCGACCTCTAGCCTCGAGACCCGCCAGCGGCAAAGACCAGGAAAGAGCGGCACCCGGAATTCTTCCGTGCTTACTGCTTTTACTTGCTCACGAACTCAGTGCTCGCGGGAAGGATGGCGTACGCACGCGCCCAATGCGATGTCGCTGCCGAGATTTGCCGAGTCTCAGCCTTTATCTCCCACTTTCATCTTATCTGATCAAATTTCCCTCTCCTCCACAGCCTTCCCTCTCACCACGCTGCATCACGTTCAGTCTGCCATAATTCGTCTTTTCATTACCAAATTCGACGTTGACTATGGCTTCCGCGTCGATGTCCCGACCCGGCTTTCGTCGGGAGGACACGGCAGATGTCCTTCCAGCTGTCGAGCTGCTTCCCGCCTCTACTAATGAGAAGGCTAGGATAGAGGTGAACGACATGGCTATCGGCACTGCAACTGGCGCCGACGATGCGGATGACGCAGCGAAACTTGATCTGCCCACAGCCGGCCTGCAGCGTGGTGTCCAGGACGCGGAGGCCATCACGTTGACCTGGTCGAGAAACGCCCTCATCGCAGCCTTTATCAAGTATCAACCTTCTTCAATTCGTCGTGGATATCCCACGCTGACATTCACTTGTCCATAGCATGTGGATGCTGTACTTTGTCAATGCTATGCAATCTACCGTCCTCGACGCACTCCTTCCCTTCGTCGCCAGCAGCTTCGAGTCCCACTCGGAATTGAACGTCATCTACATCGTCGGCGACGCAATGTCCGCCGCAATCTTCATTCCCCTCGCCAAGGTCATGGACGTTTGGGGCCGAGCAGAAGGCTACCTCATCATGTCTGTATGCTGCACCGTCGGCCTGATCATGATGGCGTCTTGCAACGGCCTCCCCCTCTTCTGCGCCGCCTACGTCTTCTACACCATCGGCTTCTCAGGCATCACTTTCTGCGTCGATGTCATCACTGCTGACGCATCGACTCTGAAGAACCGAGGACTGGCGTATGCATTCACTTCCTCCCCCTACATTATCTCCGCCTTTGCCGGTTCCAAGGCCGCGGGTGATTTCAAACAGCATGTCGGATGGAGGTGGGGTTTTGGTTGTTTTGCAATCATCTTCCCGATTATTGCGACCCCATTGTACTTTATTCTGAAGTCCAATCTTCACAAGGCTTCCTCTCAAGGACGCCGAGTCGAGGAGCGCAGTGGACGCTCATTGCTGCAGAATGTGTGGCATTACACTATCGAATTCGACAGTAAGCAATTCACCGGCACTATCCCGGCCATGCACTAATCCCATCTAGTCATCGGCGTGCTTGTGTTTTCTGCCGGACTCACAATCTTCCTGCTCCCATTTAACCTCGCCGGTGGTGCGCCTGAAGGATGGGCAACGGGATACATCATCGCCATGCTGGTCATCGGATTCGTCCTCCTCGTCAGCTTCGGCCTCTACGAATTCCTCCTCGCCCCAGTGCCGATGTTCAAATTCGGCCTCTTTTCCAACCGCACCGTCATCGGCGCCTGCCTGCTCGACGCTTGCTACCAAATCTCCTACTACTGCTGGGACAACTACTTCACCTCCTTCCTGCAAGTCGTCAACAACCTCTCAGTGGCCGAGGCAAACTACGTCAACAACACCTTCAACGTCGTCGGCGGCATTCTGTGCCTGCTATCGGGGTACATGGTCCGCCGCACCGGCCGCTTCAAGTGGCAGCTGTACATCGCCATTCCCTTGTACGTCTTCTGGCAGGGCCTGATGATCTACTTCCGCCGCGCGAACCAGTCGGTAGGCTACCTGGTGCTGTGCCAAGTCTTCCTCTCCCTGGGCGGCAGCACCTTCATCATCATCGAGCAAGTCGCCATCCTCGCCGCCGTCGACCACCAACACGTCGCAGCCGTGCTGGCCCTCCTGAACGTCATCGGGACCATCGGCGGTGCACTCGGCGCCGCCATCTCTGGCGCAATCTGGACGAACACCTTCCTCAAGGCTCTCGGGAGGAACCTCCCGGTGGCAGTGCGGCCTGAGATCGACCAGATTTACGAGAATCTCAACAAGCAGATCAGTTATCCGGTGCACAGTGTCGCGCGGCTGGCGATTCAGAAGTCGTACGCTTTTGCGCAGACGAGGATGCTTGCGGCGGGGACGGGCGTGATGGCGCTTCCGTTCCTCTCTCTTCTTTTGATTGAGAATATCAATGTTGCTGCTATTCAGCAGGTCAGGGGCCTGGTCTTTTAGTTGATCAGCGCTTGGTTGAATTACTTCACTTTGACACTGTTGGAAGTTAGCAAGGTCTCCTATTAAGGATTGAGCGGTGATCTTTCGTGTTTAGCATACTTCGGAGAATGCGTCAACATCAGCTCTCCATTCATCGCAATGCTATGTTTTGATTAGACAGTCGGATCCCCCTTGTCCGTACCAGATTCGAGCTAATGGGTAGTTAAGAGTTTGCGGGGTAGAGGAGGCCGGAAGCCTGGACCCTTTGGTGAGCTGAAAACCTGCTCGCTCTCGGTGAAGCTGTTGCGCAGTGCATCGAATATCACAACACCAGAAAGCCGCACTCGAGGACAACCGAGGCGGCCTGGGGCCCCCAGTTGACTTGACGACCTTCAAGCGATCTATACCCGAGAAGAAAAACCAAAGAATGTCGAATCGACGTGGGAACCAGAGCGCACCGGCTGCGAACCGTGGCAACACTATCAATGGAAATCGACACACGCCGGCTACGCCGCCGTATGTTTACAGCCCACCAACACCCGCAAGCCCAACTGAGGGGCAGTACATGAGAATCGGGCTCGCCGCGATGTCTGAGGCAGAGCGCGAACCCCAGGTCTCATTGGGAAGCGGTCTCCATTTCAGAGCAGTTGGCCGCTTAAACAGTACCAACTGGGACTCCTGGAGCAGGAGGATGCGCGAGGCCATGATGAAGGAGGGTGTTTACAACTTGGTTATGGGGAATGAGCCCGAAGATCATCACACGCCGAATGGGCAGGCTAAGATTCGACATGCGCTCTTGGGCATTCAGAACCAACTCAGCGACGCATTGTTTTCAGACGTGGGAGAGATGCCGAGCCCGAAGCGCCTTTGGGGGTACCTTCAAACCGAATCAAACCGGTTCCCGGTCAGGTCATCGAATCTGAGCGTTAATGCCGAACTTCGGTCGATTGTCAAATGGTTGAACAGTATAACCCTCGAGAACTGCACCGATGTGAATGAGTATGAACAGAGGATCAGCGGCTGTGCAACCCAACTCAAGCACCTAGACGCCGCATTCGAGCTTCCGGAGTGGTACTATACCACACGCTTCCTCATGAATTTGGGGCCCGATTACGAAGAATTCGCTTTCAATCTGTTACAGACCGCCAATCTCGGCGTCGCCAGAGAGTACGTGGGCCCACCCATGTCGCTCAAACAGGTGGCGCAGAAGACGCGAGAAGAAGAAGCCCGACAACGACGGCAAAAGGCGATTCAGAAGGCGGAGATCGAGCGGGCCGCCATAGCAGCGCAGGCCGTAGCAGGTCCGTCGAACAAGCGACGGCGCGTTGAGAAAGGATGTAGCGCCTGTGGGCGTGTCAACCACGTTGAGACGGAATGCCGGTTGACGCACCCTGAGCTGATGCCCCAACGTGCGAAGCGCAGGAGAGGGCGGGGCGGGTCGGCCTATCGAGAAACGATGGGGGCGAAGGATTGATTTCGACAACGGTGTACTGTTGGGCGGCTGCTATCTGGCGTATGGTATTGGCAATCTGTTTCTAGAGGTCGATGGACCCAGCCAAACTTTGGAAGTGATGTATACTGGACATCAATCAACGTCTTTCGGGGCATCTTGCTGGAACTATCGATAACTCAACGAATCGCATAGCCTTGCCACGACGGAGGTTCATTGTCATATCTGCCCTATCAACTTTCGATGGTAGGATAGTGGCCTACCATGGTGTCAACGGGTAACGGGGGATTAGGTACGTTATACATCAATTTCTAATGCCTTGCCATTGATTGAGCACTTCACTAACGATTCCAACAGGGTTCGACTCCGGAGAGGGAGCCTGAGAAACGGCTACCACATCCAAGGAAGGCAGCAGGCGGGCAATTGGTAATTACCTTACCCAATGCCAACCCGGCGAGGTAGTTACAATAGATACTGATATAGGGCTCTATCGGGTCTTGTAATTGTAATGAGCACAGTTTAAATCCCTTAACGAGGAACAATTGGAGGACAAAAGCTCGTAGCTGAATGCTGAATAGGGCTGGCTGGTCCGCTTCACCGGGTGGCAAGGCTGGGCTGAGATTCCACGACCAGACTGAACGCGCAACTCGGCCCTTCAAAAAATCATGCACGATCTGAGGTATGTAGCCACGCTAGAGCAAAAATGAGGAGCAAAGAAACGACAAAAGAATAATGAACGTTCAGTAGATGGACTTCCCCAGTGGTCTCCCACCTGAGTACTATTCATCCGATTGGCAGCTTAAGTACGTGAGATCGGACGGGATCACCTGTTCTCTGCCATCTGTCTCCGAACGTGAAAGGCATGGGGGGAGAAATTGGATATGTCTCTGATCATTCATACGACAAGTAAAGGTACAGCCCTCAACGCGACAACACGAAACCCGGGTACCCGCTGTTCTGCTCGTCGATCAGGTTCTTGCGATACATCGGCATGCCGCCCATGAAGTTCAGGGGCTCGCGCTTCTTGCCGGGGATGTTGGCTGCGTAGTACCTGAGAAGAGTGAGTTAGATCACGGTAGGATTCGAGAGACTTTGGCAAGAGAACTCACCAGCTATCGGCTTGAGAGAAGAGGCCCTTGTATCCATGCTCGTTGATCTGTTCTTTAAAAGCCTTTTCCGCTTCGTGCGTTGCGTCGATGGAGCTGTAGTTGTTGTCGCGTAAGTGCTGTTGCGGAGTCAGTATGGTGGATATCGATCTCAGGATACGGTGATTGTTTGAGCGCACCTTTAGGCAGTCCACGATGAAAGAGCCCTGGTTCTCCGCATGAGACGGTCTGAATAACGATGGTCAGTATCAAAGTCCACATAAAGGGGGCCTGTAAACACAACTCACCCTGTTGCAAACGCCGTCGGAGCCTGCGGGCCGTAGCAGAAGAACATGTTCGGGAAGCCGGCCGTAGCAATACCCAGCTGCGTAAACACCCCATCCTTCCACTTGTCCAGAATGGTCTGGCCACCCACACCTCTCAGGTCGATCTGCGTCATGCCGCCGGTGTGCGTATCAAAGCCCGTAGCAAACACAATCACCTCGAACGAATGCACCCTGCCGTCCGCAGTCTTGACCCCTTCCTCCGTAAACTCAACAATATCGTTCTCCAGGGTAGAGATGAGCTCGACGTTGTCCTGATTGAAGCACTCGAAATACCTCGTCTCGAGACTAATCCGCTTCGTGCCAAAAGGATGCGGCTTCTTCGCCGGCGCGAGCAGCTCCTGATTCCGCGGGTCCTTGATGCGCGGCAGTGTCTTGGACCGCCAGAACTGGTAGAGCTCTTCGTTGTACTCCTCGTCGTAGAAGCAGTCGAGGTAGGTGCCGAGCCAGAGGTGCAGGCCGCCGGTGTGGTAGAGTTTCTCGTAGGAGCGCATGCGCTCTTCCCTGGGCACGTCGCCGGGCTTGGTCTTGTCGAATTCGTAGTCGAAGCCGGCGAAGGTGAGTTTCATCTTCTTGGCCGTTTCCGGGAAGCCGTCGCGCATGCGTTTGTTGAGGGCTGCGGTTTGCTCGGGGTTGCTCATTTTCAGGGCGGTGTTGCTACGAGTCGGGACGAGGTCAATATCTCCGATCATTCTGCTTTGCTTTCGGTGGTGAAGTGGGGAGTGCTTACGGTGTTCTTTGGAAGACGGTCAGATGCGAGGCTTGCTGTGAGACTTCCTGAATCGCCTGGACGCCACTCGCGCCTGTGCCGATGATGCCCACGCTCCGGTTGTCCACATTGAAGCCCTTCTGCGGCCACTGGGAGGTATGAATGATCTCGCCCTTGAACTTGTCGACGCCCGGCCAAGGCGGAACGTACTTCTTCGAAGCCTGATGATGTTGTGGTCAGTTGATGTAAGAGCTTTCTACCGACGGGACGTCAACTCACGAAGCCAGTGCAAAGCACGACCGACCAGGCAGTACCGGTAGACTGCCCGTCGTTGATCTCATACTTCCATCTCGACGTGTCGGCATCCCATTGCATCGCAGTGACTTTCGAATTGTACGAAATGTCCTTGCCGAGATCCCATACTTGTTCGAGATGGCGGAAGTAATCGCAGAGTTCGTCTGTGATGCATTAGTGTTTCAATCGCGCGGGCGATTGGAAGGGTGGCGAACCTCGACCGGGGAAAAGTTGCTTCCATTCCCACGTGTGCCATGTTTCTTTGTCGGTCAGTTGATATGTGGGTGCCGGAGTATCGACCCTTGCGCCTGGGTAACTGTTTGATGAAGAGTCAATAGCGAGTTGCTTCGACGAGTGCCTAGAGTGGCGTCGACATACTTGTTCCAGTGCCAGATTCCACCCAGGCCGGAGCCGTGCTCGAATAGCCGGACCTTGAAGCCTTGTTCGCGCAGGTGGAAAAGCAACCAAACACCACAGAACCCACCGCCGACAACTGCTACATCCCAGTCGGGAGCATCGGGACCTGCTGAGCCCATAATGTCGAGTAATTGCTGTTGTTGTTGAGTGTATTCCGAACGAGTCTACAAACGAAAGTGACAAGTTGGAGATGGATGATGCTATGGACAGACGCATAGCCGCGGCATCCTCCACCTCCATCACTCCGCGGCAGCTTCTCCGCCTACATCTCGTACCGCCACGTTATTTACCTACCGCATTGGGTCGTATTGCGGGGGTAAAACCGGGGGTACATCTCCAGACCCTATTTCTGCTTAGGGCCCATGTCGGAGGCAAGTCCGATGCCTATGACTACGGCACGCTGCGGGTGAGGCTCAGAAAGATGATGGTTGGATTCCTGGCTTTCTCTCGTAGGATTCTGTAGTACAAATAGACGTGACAGGCGGATAGTGTGAAGCTGTCAGTGGAAGCATATCAGGCGTTCAAGCATTCCTCAGACTTTCCACTGCCGCCTTCTCAGCCTTCCTCTTGTCTCTCTCGACCTTGCGAATCTCCCTCAGATCGGGCGGCGCTTCAATGCCCAGCCTTGCGCGCAAGACGTCAACATTCGTCTCCAACTCCTCCTCCCAGTACACATTGATCAGCTCCTCCGCTTTCAAGCCATTCCGCAGTGCCCACGGCAAGTAGATGTCCCAAAATCGCTTCCTCTCCACCGGCTTCAACCGCACCACGGCCACCAAGCTCAGCGCCGTCATGGGCAACAACGTGTTGGCGAACTCGAACGCCTTGACCGCCAACTCCCCTTCGATAATCACTGGGAGCCCCGTGATAGCGTGCGTGAAATCATGCGTCTCGCGATATCGCTGCATCACATAGGCCTCCTCGGGATCGTCGATGTACTTCACAGCATCTCGAGTATCAGGCGTCACGCCTTCCCTGTCCAGCCACGCCGCATACGCCCTTCCCACCGTCCCGTCGTCCATCTTCCGCAACTCCTCCAACCGCATGCTCTGGCTCGTGATGCGCGGCTTGTCTCGTAGAATCCTGCGGCCAGTTGGGTCTGAGAGCATGGCTCGGTGCAGACGGGGGAGGAAGTAGGGGTTTGCGGTCGCCTCGCCCAGACTGGCGATCAAGTCGTGGCGGTAGGGATCACGGAGGGAGCCGAATGCTGAGCCGACTGCCAGCGCCGCCTTTTCGATGTAGGTGAGCGGGACATGACCTGGGTAGTTTGGTTGTGGGCGGTTGAGGACGGAGAAGGTGCGGACGCGGAGGGGAGTTGGGAGGGCGAGGAGGCGGCGGAAGAGGACAGGGGGAGGCATTACTGCTCGCATTGTTGCGGAGCCGGTTGGGGTCGTTTGTAAGGTCGTGTAGGTGATGCAGTCTTCGCTGGGGAGACTTATTGCTCGGCGTCGATCTGGGCTGACTAAGCACAATTGAGCGCCGCAAGCGCAAGTTGAAACATCTTCACAGCTTCCGACCTTCTCCTCCCATCGACTGCACCGCATTGCGCCTGTCGATCACCACCCAGCATGGCGCAATTCCGGGCGAAGAAGCTGGATCTCGGCGGCTTCGTTAACATCAAGATCATCCGGGATCACACCAAGCGGAAAGTGTTTGAGCAGAATGAGCCGGAAAGGTAGGACATCTTGCCTCGAGACATTGCGCTCTTGTCCATCCATATTTGCTATATGCGCAAGGGAAGCATGCATGCTGATCACCTTCCGATGGCACAGACAAGCCCTCCGCTACATCATCCGCAACACCTCGCTCCCACAACGCATGCGCACGCAGGCGCAGCTGCAGCTGACGCAGATGCATTGCTACACCCAACCGACGCAGATCAAGAATCGGTGCATCATGGGCGGGAAGGGGAGAGGTATCATGGCGGACTTTCGCATGAGTCGGGTATGTCTTCTGGTCTATGCTGGTGACTGCGTATGAGGGAGCGAGCATTGGCGCTGACAAGACGGGGAATACAGTTTCAGTTTCGAATGAATGCATTGGCGGGGAATCTGCCTGGAGTGAAGAAGGCGAGTTGGTAGAGATGGAGGAGGGCAGGAGACTCGAATGTCAAGATATCACGTGAATGCATAGCGCAGGCGTTGGGCGAGGGTCAGGAACACCAGATATCCAAGACCGGCGCATCAACGACACAATCATCGAAGTCATCACACACTCGTGGAAGCATCCGATTAGCACGGCTTGTGCTACCGTCACCGTTTGCCATCCATTGTTTGTCTCATTCACCGGCCGGCTTCTCGCACCTTCCTCAGCAAACACTTCACGGGTCGCTGCTTCCGCCTGAAACATCACAAACCCTGCACGCGACCTTCTTCATTTGCTTGTGCGGCCGTGTTCCCTTCCACCTTCATCATCCACAATATATCACTTTCCTCACATTCCCTCGCTCCCTCGCTCTCTTCACTCACTCCTTCTCTCCGCTCTTCATCGGCGATGAGCTTCACATCAACATCACCCATCTCCCGATTCTGGCACACCGTCACCACGCCGCCTGCCACCAAACAACATCAACAGAAACACCAGCCACGCTCCCACTCATCCACAACCAAACTCCTCAACAAGATGTTTGTGCGCTCCGGTAACAACCTGCCCGCCGACCCACGCTACCCCGACAGCCTGGAAGAGCTCGGGTACATGATCGACGCCAAGGGCCAAGTCGTAAGTATCGCACCCCCTCACTCGTTCTCCCCTTCATACATCTCGGATTCGGAGCGGGCGAATGAGGTGCATCGCGAGGCACTGCACGCGGGTGTGCGGCGGGCGGTGAAGAAGGATCTGGCGAAACTGGGAGTGAGGCCGATCTACTGCGGCGGGCCAGATGGCACGAGGCTGTCCGACGAGCCGGTGAAGGGATCGCCGAGCCTCCCCATTTTCACCACGGACTTGTCGGAGATGCAAAACAAGCGTGACATCATCGTGGTCATTGGTGAGCACAATCAGGACCCCATCGTCTGGGCGTGGAGGAGCGCGATGCGCGAGGGCGGCTTGCAGGAGGCCACTGCGGTGGGTTTGGTGCGGAAGCTGATGACTCTGGGATTCGGCGGCCTTCCTTCGCGCGACGAGGCGGAAGCGGCTGGTGTCGCCAAAGCAGGCGTGACTACTTCCAACAGAATCGACTCCGTGGGTGCTGCAGACGAATCGAGCGCCACCCCTGGCCTCATCCTACTCAACCCCGGCCAGCGCCTGTACTCGCCGCAATTGAACGAGGCCATGACTCAGGTTTCGTGGTTGGCGAGGCCCAAGCCTAACGCTCTGGCGCAGGCGCACAAGATCGACAACGTACGTTTCTACCGCCATGTCTGTCCATCAAACCCCCTAACATGTGTCCAGGACCACAACAAGATACCCGGTCATTATACTCCGTACGAACACGTCGGAACCTTCTTTGATGGCATCCTTGACCAGCTCATCGTTCACGAGTCCAGCCTTCGTCTCTGGATCGTGGGCATCTCGGATGGCGCAGAGGCTTTCATCAACTACATGGACGCCCAGCTCCATCGCGACCACACAGCCAGAATCGGTAGCATGGTTTCTGGCATGGCTTTCATGGAGCCTGCGCATGACCCGACGATGCTGAAGAGTCAGACCACGAAGACCTTTTTGCACTCGACGGGCAAGTGCTGGATCAAGTCAAGTAAGCCGATGGGGACCTGGGTGAATGCGCCTGGTGCGATGAAGAAGATCAACCACCCTTCGCAAGAAGAGCATGATGGAGACGTGGACAGCAACACGGGAGATGAGAAATTCAACACCAAAGAAGTCAACGAGGAGGCCAGCAAATCCACGGAAAGCCTGGTCATCGTTCCGACCTCCATCGACTCCCAGCTCGAGTCGCACGGCTGTGGACACAAAGGCAGCGAATCCCTCGCCGGCTGCGAGCCCGTCATCATCCCCGACCTCGTCCCCCCCTTCTCGCCGACGATCAAGAACAAGCATCTATCGATGTCCACCGTGTCGAGCGCCGAGTCCGAAGTCCCTGCTCCCTCTCAGCCGCGCACATCCTTGGAGTCCGCCACCCAACACGAAGCAGACGTCAACGACAATGACGAGGATCCCATGGCCGAGAGCTACGACTACGACAGCAACGTGGTCTCGTGCCCCACGTACTCGGCTGGAGTCGATACCGATGAGCTCATCTGGCCTGCCGTCATGGACGAAGTGTTGGACTTCTTCAAGTCGAGGGCAGAGGAGGAGAACCTGAGGGATGCGATGGGCAAGGGGTTAGTTTTGGGTGGCTAAACCATCCACGAGGTCGATCTGGAAGTCTGGGAGGGGAGAGTGCGAACCAGGAGGTGGTATAAGAGGGACGAGAGCTTTGGAGAGTGTCTATTTTGATGCTCACAGATCGGGCAGTATACGATCGGCAGGCTTTCGTTTAGCAGCTTGCTTTTACTATACCCGAGTCTGACTTTAATGAGACTATAGTTCCGTGAACGAACCCTCTCTCGATTGCCTCTCGATATTACCTAACGTCTTCCCTGTGCATGGCCGAAGTACGAGCGAGGGTGGAGTAGCCCAAGACATCGAAGATCAGTCAACGTCGCCGCCGGATCATTCTTTTCAGCATCTTGACACTACGTCACGTCGTTCTTGTGCTGAGGAGCGGAAGTAGGAGAGTGGAGAAGCATTGAAGCAGCCGAAGCAGGGGAGTGGAGTGGTCGGGGCCAACTCCACAACTCCGCATCACTCCTCGACCACTCGCTTTTACGATCTTCGAATGCAGACACTGAAGATCTAATCGGGGGTTGCGAGCACTCGAATATTGTACGGATTATTGCTAAGGCACTTCCGGCTTCCGCCCAATTGTCACATAGAACCACGCGTGTTTGCCCCTCTGCGGCGCCATTTTGCTCAACACGTCCTCCTGCATCCGCACGATCGTCTCATGATCGACCATGCCCGCCCCCAACCCACTAGTGAACGCTCGTTCCACCACGGTGCAGACCAGTGGGGGCTGCCGCTTCTGATGCCAGGCTGCGAACTCCCGAACTCCCGGCTCCTTTTCGAAGGGATCATACGACCACTTGTACCTGGCCACCCGGATGTCGCCGAACCCTGCCTGCTCCATCCATTGCGCCGCCTTGCTTCCGCAGCGGAGATCCATCCCTTTCTTCCCCTCGCATATGGAGGAGAGGCCTTGAAGCCAGAACCATTCGTTGGAGATGACCTCGCCGGCGTCGTTGAAATAGGTCCAATCGTGGTCGTGCACTTCCGCCCAGCCTCCGGGTTTCAGCAGGTCAAATTGCGTCTGGACGTAGGACGGCCAGTCCGTCATGCCGCAAACAAGGAGTCGACCGAAGATATAGTCGAAGACTTCACGGTCTTGCGCGAAACCTACGCCCCCATCGTCCGCGGTCCATTGTGACGGACGCTGGGTGCTGATATTGCCTTGGAAGAAACGCACGTTGGATTTCCGCGCCCGCAGCACGGGGACGGGCGAGAGGTCGAGACCATAGCACTGCGCTTGCGGGAAAGCTGTGGCGATAGTGTCGGTGACTACGCCTGTGCCGCAGCCGACGTCGAGACACCGCACGTCTTTGCCGTCTTTGACGGGAGCGTGGAGGACGCGGTGGTGCATCAAAACGGAAAGCAAGGCCGCCTGTTCTTCTAAACGCTCTTGTTCGGGCGAGCTGGATGGATTCGATCAGCCTTGCACTGCAGTGAGCGTAGTAGATGCCATACCTGTTCGGCAGCGAGTATTGCGCGTCTTTGTCCTGATGGTAGGTCCATGGCGAGGCGGCATCGCTTTCATTGCCACGCACGGCTTCGTTTGTGGACCGGGAGGCCGCCATCTGGATGAAAGCCGTCCGTTTGAAAGGCCGCTCGCGGTGAAAGGCTAGGCATGATTCCCTTTATAGTGTAATTCACCAACTTCCCATCGCCATTAGCTTTTATCTTCCGGCTGACACCGTCTTTATCATCCTTAGCGAGCCGCACCACGGACATAATGCATTCAGCGACAGCTCGACCTTTCTTCACGCTGTTGACATTGTACTTCCTCTTGCTCAAGCAGGTTAAGTGCTTCAGAGGTCGACATCTTGAATTTCTTGAAGAGAAGTTTCTCCTAGCGCTCGATGCTATGGCCTCGGCGGATTCAGGCGCGATTCTCGTCGGAGAGCTGATTCATGAACCATTGTTGGGCCACACCTTGCAGGCATTCGCTCAATCCGCGGCGTAAAGATTCCGAGGAGGTTGTCGTGGCGCAATCCTTTGCGGCGGTGGCCACTCCGACATTCCAATGGTCGAATGTGGGGGAGGGCGAGGGGGAGGTTTCGGAGGAGCAGCGACGGGAGTTCAGGCGTGCAGTGATGGGGCTTGAGATTCTGGCGCAGAGTGCCAATTGGAATGTGGCGCTTTGAGATGGATCTCTTCGTTATGTAGATCGTTTTGATGCTGGCGTAGGCAATGTGAGATCATTCACTCCTCCGATTCTCCCAACTGTACTTGTGACGATCAAACACGTACAAACGTCTCGATTGCCCTCGAAATCCCCTCGCAACGCCTGCCCTTCTGCTGCACGAAAGTGGAGTGGCGTGCATCCACGTCTCCCACTCGCTCCACTTGTGGTGGACACATCGACGCCAATCGCCCGGAACATGCTTTCTCAATGATCCGTCGGAGCACCGCGACATGACGCTTGTCCCTCGCGTAGAATCTCCGATCAATGCCAATCGAACTATTCTGTGGCCCCATCGAAATCCAGCTGCAACGCGCTATGACCTCAGCCATTGGGGTCCAATGGATAAAAAAGATCGTATACATCAAATCGAATCCTTCTCTCCGTCTACCGTTCCAGTCCTTCTTCAGCAGAAAACGAGAAACTCTCATCGGTACTTCAGTCCGATCTTATTCAACAAATCTCAAAATGGTAAGGAAACAGGGTTCGTTGAGAATCGAGAAAACAAGGGCTAACGCTTCCTTCGTCAGGAGACAGAAACCACCTTCAAAGTCACCTTGACTCGCCCGTTTGCAGGTACGTTGCCATCCCACTTCGCTCCTCCCCTTCCGCGCTCGTCTCCTCACGCCCGCGCCGTCCTCTAGGAAACGACAGGGTACTCGAAATTACCGGCGAAGGCTCCGAGGGCCGTACGGAAAACACCATCGTCCAAATGGACGACAGGAGAGGCCTTGTCGAGGATGAGTACGTCTTCTGGCCTTCCCCTTCCGTTCTCCAACCTCCTCCGGCGTCCCGATGCTAACAAGTCGTGCGCCTTCTTAGCGAGCTCGTCGAAGAAGCAATCGACTTCCTCTCGAAACTGGAGGACTGCCCCAGCAACGAGAGCAGGGATATCTACGGCAGGGACGCGAGACTCGAGGTGACCATGCCGACGTTCCAATGGTCGAATGTGGCCTCGGGCGACGGTGAGCCGGGCGAGGTTCAAGAGGGCGATTTCAGGAACGCAGTGATGGCGCTTGAGGGGCTTGCCGAGAAGGCGGACTTCGACATAGAATGCGGAGAGCGATCCTGCGTGACGCCTCGTTGTGTATCGCAGCATGTACAACGTACGTCTCTCTCACTCCTCCGGCTCTGCCAACTGTAGTCGTGATGATCAAGCATATCCAAGTCAAGTCTTGCGAACGCCTCCCTCTAATCCCCCCGCAACGCCCTCCCCTTCTCCTCCTCCGTCGCCACCTCGCCTCTCGTCTCGCGCTGCAGCATCTGCGCCTTGCCAATCACCGTCTGCATAATCGCGTAATTCACCAAACACTTGACGCCCAGCTCCTCGCCGCGCTTGACGATATACCCATTGATGTACTCAATCTCCGTCTTGCGGCCGGCGCGCACGTCCGCCAGCATGCTGCTGATGTTGTCCTTGGTTTTGTTGGCGACGCCGACGACGAGCGTCTCCAGGCGCTCGGTGCTGAAGCGCTGCTCGAGACCGGGTAGGCCGCGGAGTTCGGGCAGGTGCGTGATGACGTGGCTGGTTTCTGCTAGGAGGAGGCGCATGGTGCGTGTCAGGGCGAAGTTGTAGAGCAGGGCGCCGTTGCGGTTGTCGAGTAGGGCGGTGAGGGGGTTGACGACGCTGTTGGCTACGAGCTTCTCGAGCTGTTGTTGCAGGAGCTCTGTTGGCGTGAAGCCTACAGCACACAGAACTGGACATCGGGTAAGGGTGCGCAGTAGGTAGCGGGAGGTAGCTGCCCATTGTTTGGGACGGATGTCTTTTTCGTCTTTGGGAGCATCGTCGGCGGCTTCGGACTTATTTGCAGTGGATTTGGCGCGGGGCAGGAGGCCGAGGGCAATACTGCCATGGCCGGCGTGCACGGCGTAAAATGGGTCTTTCTTCTCCGGTGGCACATTCGCGCCATGCGTGAGGATGCCTTGGATGTAGTTGGGGCGGGAGTCTTCATCCGGAAAGAGTTTGGCGTTGACTTCGTCGATGATGCCCATGCCGTTTTGAAGGAAGCAGATGGTGCTGGTGGGGCCAATGCGGTGCTTGACCGCGGACAAAGCAGGGACGGTGATCGCAGCTTTGGTGGTGACGATGAGATTGTAGATGGGCTCGTCGCTGACGAAAGACTGGGAGGGGAGCGGAGAGGCATCGGCGGGTGGTTCTTGTTGTGGCTGCTGCCCTTGCTGCGACTTCAACAACTTTGCAGCCTCGTGTGGTCTGAGGTTTCCATGCCGATCGCTGAGATCGTATGCGCTTTCCTGCCCGTCTCGGAGTTCGACGCCGTGCTGCTTCCGTACCTCCTGCATCAACTCAACGTCAAAACCCGACCGGGGAATGTCATGGCCGTCATCGTGGATCGTGATTTCCTGTTTGCCCTCCTGCCATGCTTTTAAAAGTTGATATCGGTGGAAGATCAACGTGATGGGCGGCGGCTTCGCGATTCCTCGTAGTGCATGCGCCACCAGTTTGCCGATGCTCCCCGTGCCCAGGATATGGATGCGTCGTGGGACGGCGGAAGAAGTGGCGGCGTATTGCTTGTCAATGGCACTCAAGTGCTCATCGTCCGAGTATTCTGCTGGTTGTGTATCCGGCGCCGCCTCTTGCTCCACCAAGGCCTCGGATCCGTCACCCTGCTTGGCCGCCATTTCCACGCCGCTACCGTTCCACCATGGAGCTCGCAGGGGTTGTTGTGCGATGGAAAAGCAAACGACTTGGCCGAAGACGAGATCACCGGAGAAGCATCCGCGGCGAAGGAAGATGGAGGCGCGCGGGAGAGCGCAGAAGAGTGTGGGAGACAGCGTTGCCGAGGTCTTTAGCGAGTTGGCATATCCTGCTGGGTACTTTCGTCGAGTGGTCTTTTGCGAGGAGCTAGGAGTAGTGATTGTTGTGTCGAGGGGTGAGAGCAAGGTGGAATGTTGGAAACGAGATGGTGATGCAATGCATGTCGGAGAGGTGAGGTCGTAACATCTTAGGGTTGAGCAACCCTAACACTTCGCGAACCTCGTTTCTGCTGTCCGAATATCAACACTTCTGCGACCCCAACGACGACCGCATATCGCACGGGGACATGGCTGATGACGTGGTAAAAGACACATGGCTCCCATCTTTGCATCCGGCGACATTGCCGCCTTGATCTCCGCCTTTCCGCCTCCGACTCCAATCGAAACTCAGCCGTCTCTCGTCCGAAGCCTGTCCGGCAACACACTCCTCAACTCGCAAAAGGTTCTCGCTCGCTTTCAGGCACTGTTCAGGACAGAAGTAAACCGGATTAGACTGCGTGACCTTCCTTCACGACTTGGCGTCAAAGATACCCGCTGGATTCTCGATTGCTACGACGGTGAAGTGTACTTCAGTTCCGACAAAACTTCGCTTGTCTCATTCCAGGAGTTCGAAACAATATGCAACGATCTCGTGAAACGATCACAGGGCGCGTTCGTGGATTTGTATTCGTTCACCAGGGAGCGTGACGTTAGCTATGAGTCTCTTGAGGATCGTGTTCGGACTGGATCTCTCCGGTCATATTCAGATCCATCGCATCCACACTCGGTCTTGGTTGCGGGAGTCGAGCACGTGCAAGGCGTACGGCATGAGCTCACGCGCTTAATGGGAGATCAAGGGTCGACAGAGAAGGTGCGACTGAGCGACCGATTACCGGATATCCCTCATTTCATCCTCCGCGTCTTGACCGACGAAGTGCGGACTAACGGTGCCGCGGTGGACGGCCATATCGAGGAGAACGACCAAGGGCTCGAGTTTGTACCAGCTAATTTTCTCTCGGCCCTTCAAAAGAAGCTCCAGGACGATTACAATCTGGCTGTGCAGCAAAGTGTTCAGTCACTGATAGTGGACGGGTACTGCATACTTCACAACGACACTGGACACCCGAACGCCAAAATGGGAGAAGACATACGCGCCACCTTCGAGTTGCAAAGTCCTTCTTCTGAGCACACTTTCAAGCAACTCGAGGCGGATGATGGGTCGAGTTTGATAGCCACATCGTTGCTACTCAAGAGCGTTGACGACGAATGGAAAGCCATACTTCGATCATCCGTCGAAGCCGGCTTTGTGGACAGTAAACCCGATCCCGCTATGCATGCCGAGCTCACGAAGAGAGCGTCAAAACCAAATCTCACAGCTTTACTGCTGAAGACCACACACCGCCAGAGACTCGACGGCATCTTCGATTCGGCAGTCCACGATGCGGAGTCTGTGAAATCCCTTGCCTTCGCACGACTACTCGAAGCCCTCGTTTTGGTACCACTTGTGCTCTACGTCGCAGGTCTTGTGGAAGACGCCACATTGAGGCAGCACCAGGAAGAATTCGTCGGCGAGTACTTTCGCCGCGATGTCATTTCTCAAGTTTTCGCCCGTGTTCGGGACGAAAAGCTCGTCTTGCCCGCACAAAGAAATCGACTCAAGGAGATCGAAAAGCTGCAGCAGACATGCAGTCGCACAAAGACACTAACAGAACTGCACACGGCGGTGGACAAGTTCCGCAAGAAATGTGAGATCCCTCCGCCTGACACCGACTCAATCAAGCAAGTGCAGAAAGCGACTCTGCGCGAGCGGATCCAAGCCATGCAGAAAATGCAACGTGGCTCGGACGTGCTGCAGAATCTTCTCTGGATTCTTCTTGCGCAGGCCTCGCCATCAGATGCATTGTTCATGAGTGCCGGCAAGGATACCAGCAGGATGATCAAACAATACCAACTCGTCGCTCGTGATGGTGTGGGGATCGGCGGGAAGCTCGAGGGATGGCGGAACATGCTGAAGGCGGGGAAGGAGAGTCGAGAGGAAGTGCAGGAGATGAGGGAGCTGGCTATGAGAGCCGTTGAGGACATGTTTGGGGTTGGGGTACCTTGACAGTACTGAAAGTGTATGAGGACGTCTAGCCCGCCGTATGCATAGAAGACTTCAATATACCCAGAGAATATTAGCAAGACACTTGATTCATTCCGCGATTCATCCGAAAGCATCGCGTGAGGAAGAAGAGTCGAGTCGAGTCGTGACTCGGGTAGTTTCCAGTTTTCGTTGGTTCAAAGTGTCATATACAATTTGATAGCCGCTCTTCTCCGAATTCCCCCCGGAATCAGGTCGATTGGTCTAGTGGTAAGCCGAGTCCACACAACCCTAGCAACCTAGATTCAGTTTGATTAACATCGCCCATCAGGTATGATTCTCGCTTAGGGACACAAACCCCAAGCAAATTGCGAGAGGCCCCGCGTTCGAGTCGCGGATCGACCCCTACAGGCATTGCGCTTTCTTTTGCTGCGTTGCGGTGTGATTCCTGTCGGGTTTCGGGGCGTGATGAAGAGTCTGACTCACTCTACTCGGCGACTTTTTTGGCCTCCTCAGACGGGATCGGCCGAGTCCTTGCGATACACGCTCAGCAGGGCTTGTTTCTGGCTTGTTTCTACTTGGTTGGTGTGTGTGCTACAGTCAAAAGATGCGGAACGCCGGACGAGGATGACAGGTCTACGCCGTCTTTCCGGAATTTTGCTATGTGTAGTAGCTGGTGGCCCGGCATGGTGTTCTGACACACGTGGGGCGGCACGCGACAGGCTGTGTCGGGGGTGTGTTGGACAGATCGAGGCGCTGCATCTGACACGCATACGGAGACCAAGTTACTAACCTGGCCGCATATGCTCGGCGCTTCGATGATGCCTTGACGGACAAAGAGGCCAACGGTGTTGGTACAATGCATTGTTCTCGACAAGACATTGGGAGCACGTGTGGGAACCAGTCGACGCGTACGAGATGAAAGCCATGCAAGAGGAGAAGCGAACAAATAGCATGGAGCACGCAGAACAAGAAAACCCCCAGCATGTAGCATAGCGGGGAGGCACGCATATGTAATAAGACCAAGCCGGAAGGATTGCAGCTCGCGCGCGCTCTTGAACCGTTGGACGCGGGAAATTGTGCTGATGGGGCTCTGCGGAGTGGAGGATGGGTCGTTTCCAGATGCCCCATCGATCGTCCGGTGGCCGAACACCAACCGTCTGGAGGAGGAGTTGTTCTCACCTCATGTGTGAGGATACGAGTGGATCGCCTCACCTGATACGAGACGTGTGATTCCGAACGGCTTATCTGATCCCGATGTTACGTGTGTCAAATCAATGATGCCTGGCCGCGAGGTGGAGCGGGAAAGGGGTTAGCGGCGAAGGGGTCGGGATGTTGTTCGTAAAGTTTCGATAGTCTAAGCCTAAACGGGGCACTTGGCTGCACTTGGCCGCGGGAGTTTGTGAGGGACCCAGGGACAAGGGAAAGACACGATCCAGATCGCTACCGACGGCGTCCGGCATCGTCCCATCTCCCGCCAATGTCGGGAATGCGCGTGGTGAAATTACAGCATGGGTGGTCAGACTCTGGGGCGTATACGAGGAGGTCTTGCTCGCCGTGAGGCATTGGTGGACGAAGGAAAAATGGATGCGGCGCAGGTTCGGCCCCTCGATGCACCCACGGCCAATCCCCTGCGTGCACGCAATTCCGAAATAGCACGGCGGGCGCGGGCTAAGCTGGATGGGGGCAAATAAGCGAGAACAAGCTGCAGCTGCCCAGCCGCTTTGGGGCAGGCGGAAGGGATGCTTAAATTGGCTTGCCAAAGCGTGTCGGCGTCATGACGGGAGGGAGGGAGAAAGGCTGGGTGGATGCGCTGGGTGGACGGGATGGGGGTGAGATGGACATGGGACGGGAAACGGACGGGGAGAGTGGGTTTATGTAACGGTCGGGCGTGTTCTCCCTTCCTCCTCTCCCAGTAGGAGTTTTGTCTGTGCTTGTCAACCTGCCTCCCTCCTTTTCACTCAACCAATGTCCCCACGTGCCACATCCCTCCCATCACCGTTGCTGCTCTAGCCATCTCGCGCGCGCGCCAGGCACGGCACACACACCATGGCCAACACTCCGCGCAGCACCATCGGCACCGTCAAGTCGTGGAACACGGGCCACAGCGGCTGGACGGACACCGACTCCTACTCCCTCAGCAACCGGCCCATCGAGGAGGTCGAGGAGGCGCGTCTGCGCAGCGGCGGCTCGACCGTCAACGCCTCCACCGACGAGTTTCCCTGGATCTCCCACGACCACATCGAGCCCATCCGCCACCAACACACCTCCCTCCACCCGCCGCAATGGTTCCGCGAGGGCCAGGCCACCAACAACACCTTCAACAACAACAATAGTGCCATCCGCCGCGGCAACTCCGTCCGCTCGACCAAGAGCCTGCCGCGCGAGAGCATCGTCGACCTGCATCTCATCGTGTCGGACCTGGACTACTACGCTGGCGCGGTGCACGACTTCCAGGCCGAAGAGGAGGAGGACGAAGAGTGGGAGTGGGATGACGAGGAGCAGCAGGGCGAGTGGCCGCTGCCGCAGCAGAGCGACGGCGCCACCTTCGGCCAGATCCAGATCATCCGCGGCGGCACGGTGAAGCGCGGCGCGTCAACACGCTCCAAGAAGGGCGAAAAGGACATCAACCTCGTGACGTGGGACGGGCCCGGCGACCCGGACAATCCCAAGAACTGGCCGCGGCGGAAGAAGTGGCTGGCCACCATCACCGTCTCCCTCTTCACCTTCATCTCCCCCGTCTCCTCGTCCATGATCGCGCCCGCGCTCGGTCACATTCGCGACGAGTTCCACACCTCCATGTCCACCACCAATCTCGCCCTCTCCGCCTTCATCCTCGGCTTCGCCGTCGGCCCTCTCTTCCTCGGGCCCCTCTCCGAAATTTTCGGCCGCCGCATCATCCTGCAGCTCTCCAACCTCTTCTACTTTGTCTTCAACCTCGCCTGCGGCTTCTCCCAGAACATCGGCCAGATTGTCGCCTTCCGCTTCCTCTCCGGGCTGGGTGGCAGTGCGCCGCTCGGCATCGGCGGTGGTGTACTTGGCGACATTTGGCTCCCGCAAGAGCGCGGCAAGGCCATGGCACTCTACTCTCTCATGCCCCTCCTCGGGCCCGCCATTGGGCCCATCGCCGGTGGCTTCATCGCACAAAACACCACCTGGCGCTGGGTCTTCTACTCCACCTCCATCGCCGCCATGCTCGTGCAAGGGCTGGGCCTCTTCTTCCTGCAAGAAACGTACGCCGCGGCGCTGCTGACGAGCAAGAAGAAGGAGCTCATCAAGATCACGGGGAACCGCGAGCTGCACACCGAATTCGACACTCCCAACCGCAAGTTCCGCACGCACATCGGCATCGCGCTGCAGCGCCCCTTCCGCCTGCTCGCGACGCAGCCCATCGTGCAGATCCTCGCGCTCTACATCGGCTTCGTCTACGGCGTCCTCTACCTCGTCCTCGCCACCTTCCCCGTCCTCTGGACCAGCCCGCGCTACTACAACGAGAGCATCGAAATCGGCGGCCTGAACTACATCTCGCTGGGGCTGGGCTTCTTCGTCGGCACGCAGATCGCCGCCCGCACCGCGGACAGGATCTACAAGCACCTCAAAGCGCGCAACGGCGACGTCGGCCGCTCCGAGTTCCGCGTGCCCCTCATGTTCCCAGGGGCCATCATGGTGCCCATCGGCCTCGCCCTCTACGGCTGGACGGCGGAGTACCGCGTGTTCTGGCTGGTGCCCAACATCGGCACCGCGATTTTCGCGGCCGGCAACCAGCTCGTCTTCCAGAACTGCCAGACGTACATTGTCGACGCGTACACGCGCTACGCCGCGTCCGCCATCGCGGCCACCACGCTCTTCCGCTCGCTGGGTGGGTTTGCGTTTCCGCTGTTCGCTAATGCCATGTACGATGCCCTCGGCTGGGGCTGGGGCAATACGGTGTTGGCCTGCGCGGCGGTCGCTATTGGCTTGCCCGCGCCGTTCATCCTGTGGTGGTATGGCGAATCCCTGCGGAAGAGGAGCCAGTACGCTGCTGGCTGAGGTGGTGGAGAATGTGTACAGTACGCGGTAATCCGGATAAATCTGATGATGGGCCAGGGGGGGAGTTTTGCTGTTTTGAATGCCGGGGGCCGGGGGAGTGCATGCCTCGCGAGGCTGTGTGCGGAATGGAGTTTTGCTTTAACATCTCTGGAATGTGTACAGGCGGATGAGGAAACACGGGAACGACGGGGCTTTTCTGCTTTCATCAATCTCGTATGGATCTTGGGGAAAGATGCATAGCGGTCTCTTCTGGCCGAGGACGACCTACTCTCTTTTGTAATTTGTGTGCGGACAATATAATCCGAGAATATCATCACAATCACGGAACGTTCAGAGAGTGAATCATTGATCGTAGATCATTGTGTACATCCGTTTCTATTCCCATGGTATCGTCCCACCCAGTCGTGGACTCCAATTCGAATATGCTACATTTGTAAAGTACATCCATCACCCCAACATCTTCTCACACCAATCCCTCACTCCCATCCACATCCCCACCTCCTTCGCGCCTAAGACCTCCCGCGTACTCCGCAGCTGCTCGGCCGGCCTCTGCGCGCGAATCTGCTCGGCGGAGAACCACGTGCCGTGCAGACCATACGGCACCCTCTGCGGGAGTTGCACACGCGCCACCACGTCCTTCATCGTCTTTGCATCGATGATCCAGAGCTCGGACTTTGCACGCGAGTCGGAGACATCGTCGGGCGCATCGCCGGCGGCGTTGAGCTGTGCTTCGTCGAAAGCGTAGAAGAGGAGGTAGCCGTCGTCCTCGCTGGCGTTGGAAGCGGCGGGGACGAAGCGCGGTTCCTGCGCGAACCAGCCGGGCGGCATGCGGAAGACTTGGATGGGATCGTGCGGGTCGTTGGCGGAGAGGATAGCGGCCATGGGGCGGGGGTCGACGACGCCGGTGACGCTTTGGGGCGGGTGGGATTTACCGTTTGCGATGAGGCGGTTGACGTCGACTTTGACGAGGGCGTCGATTTTGGTGGCTTTGCCGAGGGCGGAGGAGAAGGAGGTGGTGGTTGTGGAGCAGCCGTAGACGTAGCGGGCGTGTTGCATTTCGAGGTCCGGGCGGACGGAGGGAAATTCGAAGGGGATGGCGGCTAGGGCCCATTGGTGGGTGAGGGCGCCGTTATTGAGGTCGAAGTGGTAGTAGTAGAGACGGCATTGCTCTTCGTCGAAAGCGGCCGGGTTGGACGATGGACTCTCGAGGGCATCGACGCGGATGAATGTGTCTTTCTCCTCAGAGGGCGACTCGAGGAGTGGAGCGCGCTCCCATAGGCTCGGGTCTTCCTCTTCGTTGTATTTGGCGAAGAAGGGCATGCGGCGATTGGCCTGAGCAACCCTTTTGTTCGACTTGGGCGCGGGAGGGGCAATGTTCGCGGCGGCGTAGATCAACGTCGCCGAGGTGAGTCGACAAGCGAGCATGTTCACGGCGGTCGGGCTGCCCGTGGCGTTCACATCGTCCCAAGTGTTGGCGGTGTGGTAAATGCACGCTGCGTCGGTCTCGAACCATTGAACCTGCTCCGGACTGCGTCGGGGGAAGACACCAAAGCGGGACGGCTGTGACGCATCGTAGGTCACGGGGGGTAGGCCTTTGAGCTGATTGACGGGATCGAGGGTCAAGGGGAGATCCATGATGACCGTGTGGGTTAGCGACACGCCGAAATCGTGCATCATCTTGGCCTTGCGCACGCCTGGCACGGGGGCATTCAGCAGTTTCTGGCTCGCAACGGCCTCGTCGGAAGGCGATTTCTCCTTGGGGATGATGCTGTATTGCACGTAAGGCGGAGCGAAGCTAGAATGGAACATGAGCATTTCCTTGGTCTGCGGGTCGACTTTGGGATGAGCGGTCGTCCACTCTCGCATGAACTGAAGAAGCCCAGAGCCATCTCCCAGTGCCGCACCTCGTTCCTTCTCCGGCTCGCCTTGCGCTCGATCGCCGTTATACCAGCCCACCGTTTCCAGTTCAGGTAGTTGGACACGCATTGGGGGGCCACTTTCGCACAGGGCAAGTGCTCTACCATCGTGATAGAGGACGTTGGTGTTGGCGACACTGATCTTTCTGATTTTTTGTTTGGAGCCCGGCAGGTGGGAGAGGAGGACGAGCAAGACGGTGCGGAAGATGCGGAGGGTGACGTAGAAGATGCTGTACAGCGGGTGCACCAAGGTGGCGATGGAGGGGAGGATGGGGACTTTCAGCCTCGGACTCGACAGTGCGCTGAGATACAAGTCGGTGAGGATGAACTGGTTGACGAACTCGGGGACGATGCCAGTGTCGTCCTTGCGGAAGGAGACACCAGACAACATGCCATCACCGTCGAACCAGTGTGCATCTCTGCCCAGGTCCTCGTTCGTGACAGGGTTGCTGCCGTTGCGTACGTACTGGCCATCGCTCAGTTCGGGCGGGATGGTGCCCGTGTGGGAGCACGGGGTGAGGGGAAGGGTGTTGTGGATGGGGGCGAAGTTGCCGGTGAGGTATGGATGTTTGGGTTGCGGGGTGGAGAGGATGTCGCCGCTCGCCGCTCTCTTGCGCTTCTGGCCGGCCAGAGGCATGGTCGTGGGCTGGACGACCACGTCGAGGGGTGGCGGGGACGTCGTGGCGGAGGGAGGGATGTTGTTCGTGGTCAACACGTCGGAATGGACAGAGGCAGAGGAGGAGATGGAGTGTCGACGCCAACCAGCATCGCCAGCATCTTCCTTCCGTGCCGACGAGATCCACTATCACATGCTCGTCCTCGTTATCCCCGTCTCGATCGTCGTCACCGACTCCTCATCCTGACGCTCGAAAGTCGGAGGGAGCCAAGGAGCAGGCCAGGCCAGGCCAGAGCTTCCCGACAGCTCCTTCCTGGCAATGACGTCGTGGTTGCATCTGCAGCTGTCAATCGGTCAAGGGTGAGTGACAGAAGTCGTGGCCTGCATGCAACAATGGATGACGCTGAGACCAACGCCTTCAATTCTCGAATGCAGGAACGGAACGGGCAACTCTCCAAGTCGGCACAAGCGGCCAGCACTCCGCTCCACTCCTCCCTTCGCCACGACCGCATCTGGTGCATGCCACCTCGAGCTCGATTCGCCTGCAATCACATGATCTGGCCTGTCGTCCCGCCGAACCAGTCCACAACGCGGAAGATGCGAGTGTGACGCGAAACCGCCAGCATACTGGTGGGTTCTGGTGCATGTGCGCCTATTCCATTCATTCCACAGCACTCGCATAGTTCTGTAGCTGGCGAAGAGAGAGCAAGGAAGAATGGGGCTCGATTATGCTCTGGTGTATGTTCTCTCCCGCCTTTGGAGAGGAAGCTCGCCAGAACTCTGCGCTGATAACCCCCAGTCACCTCAAATACACCATCCCGCCCGCCATCCTCCTGTCAGCCGTCTACGCGCCACTATGCACCCGCCTCGACCTGTACCGCATCGCCTTCCTCATCTCCATCGCCGTCCTCTCCACCATCCCATGGGATAGCTATCTCATCCGCACCGGCGTCTGGTCATATCCCCCCAATGCCGTCCTCGGCCCGACTCTCTTCGACATCCCCCTCGAGGAAATCTTCTTCTTCGTCATCCAGACCTTCAACACCACCCTGCTGTATCTAATACTGAGCAAGCCTCTCCTCCACCCCATCTATCTGGTAAAGGAGAAGGTGGGGGACAAATGGAAGTTTGTCAAGATCGCGGGCCACCTGGTGTTGGCCTTCTCGTTCAAGAGAGGCTGGGGATGGGTCCAAAATGGAGGCGCCCACACATACTTGGGCCTTATCCTCATCTGGGCCGTACCGTTTCTCGTCTTACTATGGTCGCTGGCGTATCAATTCCTTGTGCAACTCCCATGGACCAGCACCCTCCTCCCCATCGCTCTCCCCACACTCTACCTCTGGATTGTCGATACCCTGGCCTTGCGGAGAGGGACGTGGGTAATTGAGGCCGGGACGAAGACGGGATGGACGCTTTGGCCGGGGTTGGAGGTGGAGGAGGCGTTGTTCTTCTTCCTTACGAATTGCCTCATCGTCTTTGGGCTGGTGGCGTTCGACAATGCCGTCGCCATCATCGACATCTTCACCGCCCATTTCCCGAGCCGCCATGAACTTCCTTTGCCTAATTTGTTGCTCAAGGCACTCTTGCTACCCGCCCGGGCATACGATGACGACCGGGTCCTTGGCCTGCAGCAGTCCGTTGAACGCCTGCAAAAGAAGAGCAGAAGCTTCTACCTGGCCAGCAGCACCTTCCAGCGTCGCCTGCGCATCGATTTGATCTTCCTCTACTCCTTCTGTCGAGTGGCAGATGATCTGATCGACAATGCAGAGTCGCCCGCGGAAGCAAAGGAATGGGTGCAGAAATTGCGAAAGTACCTCGATCTGTCGTATGGCGGCGGAACCAAAGGCGGAGACGGAACGGCGATTCCGGCCAACGACGTGAACCGGGGCGTGGCGACAATGTACGTGATGAACCAGTTTCCCCCGGAGACCTGCCTCAGCCTGATGTTGCTCCCGACCAACCATCTCGCCAAGGAGCCGCTCTACGAACTGCTCAAAGGCTTCGAGATGGATCTTGCATTCGACAAATACCACCCCTCCGGCCAAATTAAAACGGAGCGAGACCTGGATCTGTACGGTGCACGCGTGGCTGGGACCGTCGCCCTGCTCTGCATTCAGCTCGTCCTCTTCCACTATCCGGGCATTCCGGAGATGAAAGCAAAGGTGCTGATGGCGGATGGGCACGACATGGGCATCGCCCTGCAGTACACCAACATCGCCCGCGATCTGAAGGTCGACGCGCTGGCTGGCCGCTGCTACGTCCCCAACAGCTGGCTGAAGAAGGAAAAGCTGACGGCCGAGACTTTCATCGTCGGTCTTAAGCTCTCCAGGCCTCCCTCGGACTTTTTCCTCCACAAGGTCGAGGTTATCCGCAGCCGCCTACTCGATCGGGCGTTTGAGTTCTACGAGAAGAGTGTCGACGCGATCGAAGAGCTCCCGCCCGGTGCGCGGGCGCCGATGAGGGTGGCGGTGGAGAGTTATATGCAGATTGCGCGTGAGATGCGCAACCCTGGATATGTCGTCAAGGACGGGCGGGCGACGGTGCCGGGGTGGAAACGCATTCTCGTCGCCTGGCAGCGCCTGTATGGGCCGAGGCGGTAGTGTTGTATAGCTGTAGATATTCTAAAATTCCATATATCACCGCCGTATGAGGAGGGAGTGTTCATCTCATGCCATTGTCGTCTTCATGTCCGAATGCAGGTCCAAGCTTTCCCCGGATTTTGGCATGTGAAAGTTGGCGCCGATCCTCGACGTCAATACTTTTTGAAGTCGAGACTTCCCGGCATGTCTTCATCTATTTCACGCACTTTCGATGAGCAGTAAGGACAGGCAGAAGACTGCCATTGTCATTGGTGAGTGCTCCCCACCTCCCACACTCCTCCCCATACTGACATGGACTCTCCACAGGCGCCGGCGTCGGCGGCGTCTCGACGGCAGCGCACCTCGCCAAAGCCGGCTTCCACGTCACCGTCCTCGAAAAGAACGCCTTCACCGGCGGCCGCTGCTCCCTCATCCACCAAGACGGCCACCGCTTCGACCAAGGCCCCTCCCTCCTCCTGCTGCCCCCGCTCTTCCACCGCACCTTCTCCGACCTCGACACCACGCTCGAAGCCGAAGGCCTGCAGCTGCGCAAATGCGAGCCCAACTACAACATCTGGTTCGGCGATGGGGAGCGCTTCCGCCTCAGCAGTGACCTGGCGACGATGAAGGGCGAGGTGGAGAAGTGGGAGGGGAAAGACGGGTATTTGCGGTACCTGGACTTTTTGAAGGAGTCGCATGCGCACTACGAGTTGAGCGTGGAGCATGTGCTGTTGAAGAACTTCGTGTCGCTGTGGAGTATGCTGCGCTGGAGCTTTCTGCGGCATTTGCTCACGCTGCATCCTTTTGAATCCATTTGGACGCGCGCCAGTCGCTATTTTCGCACCGAGAGGCTGCGCCGCGTCTTCACGTTTGGCAGCATGTATATGGGCATGTCGCCTTTCGACGCCCCGGGGACGTACAGCTTGTTGCAGTATACGGAGCTCGCAGAGGGCATCTGGTATCCTGTGGGTGGTTTCCACCGTATTGTACAGACTCTGGTGGAGATCGGCGAGCGGTTAGGCGTGGTGTATCGGATGAACACGCCCGTGTCAAAGATTTTGCTCTCAGAGGATGGCTCCCGGGCGACTGGCGTGGAACTACAGTCCGGCGAGACGCTGAAAGCGGATGTGGTGGTGAACAACTCGGACTTGGTCTACGCTTACAACCACCTCCTCCCACAATCATCGTACGCGCGAGCCTTGTCCGATCGACCGGCATCGTGCTCGAGCATCAGCTTCTACTGGGGCCTGTCCCGCACCGTGCCAGAGCTGGAGGCGCACAACATCTTCCTCGCCGACGAATACAAAGAGTCCTTCGACAGCATCTTCAAAAAACACCTCATCCCCGCCAAGCCAAGCTTCTACGTCAACGTTCCCAGCCGCGTAGACCCCTCCGCCGCGCCCGCAGGAAAAGACAGCATCGTCGTACTCGTCCCCGTCGGCCATCTCATAGCCTCATCCTCGCAACCCCTCACCCCCAACCAAGCCCAAGTCAACGGCGACATCAACCAAGCCTCCCCCACCAACAGCACCGGCCTCAAACCCACCCCCCAACAAGACTGGCCCGCCATGATCGCCCTCGCCCGCAAAACCATCCTCGCCACCATCCGCACCCGCACCGGCGCCGACCTCGCCCCGCTCATCACCACCGAGCAAACCAACGACCCGCAGTCCTGGCGCACGCGCTTCAACCTCGACCGCGGCGCCATCCTCGGCCTCTCGCACAGCTTCTTCAACGTCCTTTGCTTTCGGCCTGGAACGCGCGCTCGTCGGCCGGGAAGGTTGGATGGTGTTTTCGGGGGTGGAGCGCTGGGGACCGTCGCGCAGACTTTGGAGGATGCGGTTCGGTCGGAGGCGGAGAGGAGTGTGAGGGGATTGTATATGGTTGGCGCGAGTAGTCATCCCGGTACGGGGGTGCCGATTTGTCTTGCGGGGGCAAGACTGGTTGCTGCGCAGGTGCTGGAGGATTGCGGGATGGAGGTTCCTTGGGAGAAGGAGGGGGCTGAGGTGAAGCGGAGGACGGGAGCGCTGGATAGTGTCGAGGCGCCGACGTGGAGGGATGAGTGGGTGAAGTGGGCGTGTTGTGTGGTATTGTTGTGGCTTGTCGGTGTCGTGATGAGCTTGTTATATAGATGAACGCTAAACATCCGCATATATGTGTAGATCAACGAATCATGGCAACGACATCTCAATCGACATTTCCATATAGCGACCTCTCATCTATATACCCCGCCAACTTGCCCTCTCAATCTACGCCTCAAAAGTTCGGCTCGACCACATTCCTCAACTGCCCCGTCTTAATGTCGATCACGTACCCCGCCACCGCCGCGCCCTTGGGCAAAAACTTCCACGCCTTCAGCTTCGCCACGTCGTCTTTGATGCTCTGGTCCATTCCGATGCTAGAAGGAAGCATCACCACAGTCAGCGAGGATGTGTATTGTAGACGAGTGCTAGGCTCACTTTTTGTACGAATGCCACGTCTTGTCCTTGATGCCGTCTTTGTGCTCCGGGTTGCGCTCCGACAGCGCGGAGCGGACGTCGTCGTCCGTGACGTACAGGCCGCCGCAGTCTGTGCGTCCGACACACGTTAGTACAGACGACATCATGGAAATGGTAGTGGGGCGCGCACCAGTGTGGTGAATCAACACCAGCATGCCGACGGGCATGACGGCGCTGATGAGCTCGAGGCTCGTGAAGACCTCGGGGGTGACGCGGCCGCCTGCGTTGCGGATGGTGGGGCACTCTGTTCTCGCCGTGGCGCTGTTAGAGGGCTGCGCTTCCGAGCAGTGGGGTGGGATGGTGACTGCAACTGACCTCCTGGGTTCAGGCCGAGATAGGTGGCTGGGTTGGCGCGCGGATCGGCGCACGTGACTGAGGTTGAGTCAGCGAGGGAGTCTATGCACATGCTTACGTGCGAGCTCGTACTGATGATTGTCACGCCACTGCCCAGATCCATGTTCTTCATGTCGTCGATGTGCGGCATGGGATACCATGATTGCGAGGCGGTGCTGCGAGGCTTAGTATGTGTAGAGGAGTGCTGGGTGGGAGCAGGTGGGGCCGATACTTGTTGCGCTCGATGAGCCCTTGGAGGTATTCTTTTCCGGACATCCTGGTTGATTTCCAGAGTGTCGTCTAATAATGTGGCGACCTTGATGGCTCGGCAGCCTTGCTGCACGGTTCCGGATGCGGAAGGTAGGGGGATTTGAGGCTAGTAAAAGGGACGGTTGGACTTTGAACGCTATTTCTTCTGCGGATTGCGGACGGCGTGTGTTTGAAAGGAGGAAGAAAGGACAGAAAGACGATGAAAGAGGCTATAAGTACTTTCCTCTCAAGGGCATTCTTGGCAACACATGAGTACAAATGACTGATGTCGGGAGTTCTCAGGCGGGCATGGACGACGGCGCGTGAAGAGCAAGACCCGCTCACCTAACATCTCAGTCATCCTTTGTCGGCGTGTGAAGAGCGCTGGGCGTGAAGTGCTCCACAGCATTGCTGCGCTCGGTGAAACGAAGCGTCCTAACCACCTTACTCATCAGCGCGCAGCCTTTCGGTGCTCGCATATGCTCTGGTGCTCGGGGTGATGCATGTGATCAGCGATGCTTACTCACTCGCGCGGCAAGCAGCGATGCAGGCGGCTTATCGTGCACCACCCACGTGCTTGGGTGGGTAAGGTGGATGGTGTAGGGCGTTGATGACTTGAAACACCTGCCCCGCCCTCATGTCCGGCGCAACAAATCCTTACTAAGCGCGTAGCTAAGCATCGGCATCGAGCCGTCCTCGTATGCTGGAGCTTCAGAAGAGCCGAGCAGATGCCGGTCTGCACGGCGTATCCAGTAAGTGCTTGTCATCCAGTCCAGGATCCAGTTTGCGCCCCCCTTCGCTCACTATGCCGCCAAGGCTGGCATGCGGGTGAACGTGTATCTACACTGACGTACTTCCCCCGCGGTCAGGCTGTCAGGCACCGGATGGCTGCGGCTGTCAAGCGGGCCAGACCGCGTGAGCATTTCGCCCGATTCGAAGTACGCCATGGATAGCAACGCCTGCTTTTCCATCGATACGACTGACATTCCCGACAATCGAAGTCCCACGATCAAGGTGGCAAACGTATCAGGCCGAATAAGTGGTCGCCGTGCGGCGTCAACCGCGCGCGCGAGCAGCCAGGATCCATAAAAGTGATAGGACGAGCTGATGACGTTGATAGTCCGTCATGTCCCGCTTCTCAACGAGGCGGACAGCAGGTCCTGCCGCAATCGTGCCGCCTTGGCTGGGCCGTATGGGAAAGTGCTTGGTCTTCACCTCACGCCGTCTCGACTTGCCAGCAGGAGGGGGAAGCGGTGGTGTCTCCGAAGCCCCGATCTGCACCGGATCGCCCAGCCACCGAGCCACTGCGGGGCGGCGCGAAAGTCTGAGACGACTTCATCCCTCCCGGACGTCATGTCTTAATTCCTCCTCCGCCCGACGCTCGAGCGAGTACTTTCTGCAGTGAATTAATCAATCGCGCCGGTCGCGTGCAGGTCTTCCGCAAGGAGACTGGCGTCCAACTCGGGTCTATCTCTGGTCCAAGTCCGGTCCAGCCCAAAATTTCCAAATCCAAATCACGGCGTCATCGCTGCGTAATGAGACATGGGCGAGACGCAGATGTGATCTACAGGACCAGCCAAGATCCGCGCCGAGAATCGTTGCCGCAGGCGCGAAAGCTTACTGCCTCGAGCCCGTGGCGCGTGATATGGAACCGGGGTGCACCATGCAAATCACGCTCGCCATCCTTATCCTCTCTTGCTTCTCCGGCCTGCTAGCGTCATTGCTGTATCACCTGCCCGCAAGACCAACGGCCAAAAGTCTTCGTGCAGTGAGATTGCGGCAAGCGACGTTTGTGTGACGACAACAACCCCCCGGCTCTGCTCCATCCCGCCTCTGGGCCACAATTATCGAGAGTCTGCTTTACCAAACGCGCTCAAGCTACTATCTCCGAAGCGCAAACGGGATGAGGTTCGCCGTTGATTGGCCGGTAAGCTAGGGTGCAGGAGGCTGTTGCCGTCCGGGCGGACGTCAGGCTTGTGTCAGGCTTGTGACTTTGAGACGTCATGCATGTGGAATGCCAGCTCAAAACTCCCGCTTTCCTTACTTCACCCTTCTCCTCTCTCATTGCTGTCATTCATCACCTCGTCTCCGTGAACCGCTCACTCCGTCCAACACGCCCCTGCCCTCCACCGCCATCATGAGCGGCAACCAAGCTTTGAACGTGAACAGTGAGTCTGCCCAAACCTACCGTCAAATGTCGTGAGAGAGGTTCACTGACGCTCGTTTGCAGCCAACACTCAAAATGGCAAGCACGTCGACATTGCCATCACCGTCCGCGGCTCCGACTGGTAAGACAGCCCCTCACAACCATAATCACCTTCAAACCCCCGCTGACCTCCCTCCTCAGGTACTGGACGGTATGCGCGGTGATGACCTGCGCGACGTTTGCCTTCATTGGCCTCGGCCTCACCAAGCCCCGCACGCACCGCCTCTTCCATTACATCACCGCCGCCATCACCATGGTCGCCGCCATCGCCTACTTCTCCATGGCCTCCAATCTCGGCTGGACGCCCATCGACGTCGAGTTCCGCCGCGCCAACCCCATTGTGCACGGCGTGAACCGCGAGATCTTCTACGTGCGCTACATCGACTGGTTCATCACCACTCCGCTGCTCCTGCTCGACCTGCTCCTCACCGCCGCCATGCCCACACCCACGCTCATGTTCGTCATCCTCGTCGACGAGATCATGGTTGTCACCGGCCTCGTCGGCGCCCTCGTCAAGTCGTCGTACAAGTGGGGCTACTTCTGCTTCGGCTGCGTCGCGCTGGCATACATTGTCTACAACCTCGCCTGGGACGCGCGCAAGCACGCCCGTGTGTTGGGTGAAGACGTCGGCCGTGCCTTCCTCTATTGCGGCGCCCTGACGACCTTTTTGTGGATCTTGTACCCCATTGCCTGGGGTTTGTGCGAGGGCGGCAACATCATCTCTCCGTGCGTACACCGCCTACACCCTCTCATTCATTGCAAGTACTAACACTTAGCAACAGTGATTCCGAGGCCGTCTTCTACGGCATCCTCGACCTCTTCGCCAAGCCCGTTTTCGGCGCCCTCCTCATCTGGGGCCATCGCGGCATCGAGCCCAGCCGCTTGGGCATTGAGATCAGGGACTACACCGGTGACGACCATGCTGTACGTTTCCCATCCTCCCATCGATGGAGTCGTCGCTGACAAAACTACAGATCCGTGACGAGAAGCACCACAAGGAAGGCCGCGGGACCAACGGCACCAATGGCGTCGACGACACCACCGGCGTGTCCACCGGCGTCAGCGGCACGAGCGGTGTCGATGCTACCAATGGCCACCATCACGCGCAGCCGGGCACTCAGACCGTCTAAGTGCTACAACCAACCTGATGTGCTGATGCATCTCTCGGCGGCGGTGGTGGTATCTGTGATTGGGAAGAGTTCATCCCTTGAGCATCGTCCAGGAGGTGATGGGTGGAAGTTGTGTGATTGCATAAGCATCTCGTAATACCCGGAGTTTGGGGGCGTAGACTCAAGATACCAACTCTGCTTTAGCATACGATGAGCGAAGAGTAATAACATAATGCGTGATATGGTGGTACCATATGCACAGTGTCTCTGCTTTTATTCATTATTTGTTCGTGGAAAGGTGCATGTCTTTTGGGCGTGTTCGTGTAGTGAAACGTACAGGCAGATGAAGTCGGGTTAAGATAGGGCAAGGAACCCCCCGCGCATGCAGTTGCAAGCCACAGCCGCTGGCACCAATCGCCTTAACTAAGCAAAACCCTGCCCATAGTTTTTCAACCACGCAGGGCTACGGCATCAATTTTAACCACCTTCACACAAATACACCCCTTCAACACCCAACTCCGCAAAGTGAACATGTCCGACTCAGAAGCCAGAGGCGAACCCCTCCTCGAGTCCCTCTCGGACTCCTCCACCTCACAGCGCAACCCAACCCAAAAGCGCAAACGGAAGCAGGGCGGCAGCGAGCCGCAACCAAAGGACGCCGCCGCCGCCAAACCCTCCGCCAAAAGGCGCAAACTCAAGAAACCAAAGGACATCGACGACGCGGCGCTGGATGCAGAGCTGGGCGTGAATCTGGCCGTCGCGCGCATGGATGGCGGGCTGCTGGCCGACCATCTTGCGCAGCGCACGCGCCGCTTCCGGCCGGAGCTGAGTTTGGTGGAAATGGAGGATTTGCATCTTCCTGGTATGGCAGATTGTCGTTTGGAATTGTGATTCTGGATTACTTGGATTGCTAGGTGCTGACTGTTGCGACTGCAGAAAAAGCAATCCACGACACAACCGCCTACTCTTCGTCCCCGCGGACCATCGACCACCTCCCGGACTTCCTCGAGCACTTCGCCGGCTCCAAGAAGCGGAAGCAAGGGCTCCGCACCGCGCCGGCGGAAAATGGGCATCCGCACACGCTCGTGATAGCGGGCGCGGGGCTGCGCGCGGCAGAGCTCGCTCGAGCGCTGCGCAAGTTCCAGTCCAAGGATGCGCTGGTGGCGAAGCTGTTTGCGAAGCATATCAAGCTTCAGGAAGCGGTGGAGAGGACGCGGAGCTGTCGGATTGGGATTGGGGTTGGGACGCCGCAGCGGGTGATTGATTTGTTGGAGGATGGTGAGCACCAGTGTCTTCGAGTGTTTCTGGAATCTTGCGCTAATCTTTTGGGTGGTCATAGGCGCTTTGTCTGCAGTGAGTCTGGAGAGGATTGTGATTGATGCGTCGCATATCGATCTGAAGAAGCGCGGCATGCTGGACATGAAGGAGACGCTGGTCCCGCTGATTTCGCTACTGACTCGGCCGGAGTTGAAGGCGAGGTATAGCGGGAGAAGTGGCAGAATCGATCTGTTGTTCTTTTGAGGTATGCAGTACATGCTGCGACTACGATGATTGCGCATGATATCGAGCGCGTTCAGTGCGTCTGATCATTTACATCGTGCCGGGCTGAAGGCCCTATACAACAAATGTGTGCTACGTAAGGTACATACAAACTTTGCAGGCGGCAGAGTCCATCGGCCTTGCGCTTCGATCGTATCCGTCTCTCATCACGCCACCACCTCCGCACGCTGCGGCACAAGCCTCACCGTCGGCCTCATGGGCTCAGCAGGGACGGGACAAGTGTGATACGACGACAGCGACGCAGTATCATTTCTCCCATGGTTGACCACCCTCAACTCGCGGCGCGGATAAGCCTGTCCCACCACAGCATCAGCAAAGAGGCTCCAAATCAGCAAGGAAGAATGAATATCAACATACCCGCCACCACACATCGCCCTCGTCCACCGACGACCCCCTCGTCCTCAGCACCTCTTCCTCACTCTCGTTCCACCGCAAAGTAAACGTACCTCTCTCCATCCAGTCTGAAGGACCCGGTTCGCCCAGTCCCGGAGGCCGCACGGAAGAGGTAGCCTGTAGCGTCCAGGTGCACTGTGAGGCGGAGCAGCGACACGGCGAGCCGGGCGCGACGCTGCCGCACCTGCAGGCGATGGGAGAAGGCGTGCAACTGTCGGCGCGAGGGTAGGGGGAGCACCACGATGTCGTGGAGGTGGTGGAGGCGCTGTTGGTGCGGTCTTGTTGGGGGAGGTCGTATTGCGGCTGTTTGCCTTTGTTGCTCGGGCGGCGGAATGAGGGGTTCGAGGAGAGAGAGGTGCGGAGCTTTTTGATGGATTTGGAGATGCTGGAGCGGAGGCTGGGATGGGATTGTTAGTGGGCTGAGATGAGGTTGGGGGGAGAGGTGGTGTTCGTACCGTTTGCGCATAATGTGTACGTTGTTTGCCATGGTGCTGCGAAGATGGATGTAGATCTTGTGGTTGCGAGGGATGGCCCAGTGGGAGGGGGACGGACACCATCAATAAGTAGTGCCATCGAGCGAACTGTAGTGCCCGTCCAGCTACCATGGGATTTCGCTCTGGCGGCAGGCGTGGAGAGGCGAGCGAATGGTCAGCAATTCGCTCCACCTCCACTCTCGGAGTCACAAGCACATCGACACGGAGCGAGTCAAGGGTCAAGTTCCAGATCGCCCTCCTCAATCTCCTCCACGCCCTCTACTCCCTGCAACCCCTCCGCCATCGTTTCGACAAACACCCTCCCCACCTCCTCCACCTCTATCCCCTCCACCCCCTGCAGCAGCAAACTCGTCGTCTTCTTCCCCTCCAGCCCACAAGCCTGAATCCTCTCAAACCACCCCATATCCGTCATCACATTCAACCCAACCCCATGACTACTCACATTCCGCCTCAGATGCACCCCCACCGCACAAATCTTGTGCTCCTCATCCGTCCACACGCCCGGGTTCTGCGTCCGCCGCGTCTCCACGCTGTACCGCGCACACGTGCGCATAACGCAGGCTTCGAGGAAGTGCACGTAGCAGCGGGCGGTGAGGGCGTGGCGGCGGAGGTCGAAGATGGGGTAAGCGGTCAGCTGGCCTGGGCCGTGGAAAGTGGTTTGCCCGCCGCGCAGGGCTTCGTGGAAGTCGGCTTGGCCGTGGGGTGTGGGGGCTGTGAGGTGCGCGAGTTGCTGTGGGGTGATTGTGCCCACCTCGCGCCGGCCGCAGGTGTAGACGGGGTGGAATTGGGCGGTGATGATAGCTGGGGGTGGAGGTGGGGTTGTGGGATTGGCTTTGTGGGCGAGGAGGCGGGCGACGAGCGTGCTTTGCAGGGCGGAGGCGTGGGCGTAGGTCGTGAGGTTGGGGAGATGGAGGTGGTGTAGTTTCATTTCTTGATGTTGGAGTGGAGTGCAGGAGGAGGTTGAAGGGTGGCGTTGTTGTAGCTTCTTGATTGGGTTGGTGGGGATGCATGCAGGTACCCGCTGAAGCTTGACCTCTGTTTCGTCACAATCTCTCTCCAATCCACTTCCCACCTCACGAGTTGCAATACACAATTCATTGGCAGTTGCGACCCATGCTTTAGGAGTGAACGAGGAAGAATGGCGAATACGCAACGCAAAGAGAGCGAAAGCGGCACAGCAAAACGCAGACCCGAGAAGCTCGCCCGACTGCCAGCCAGTACGAGATGCTGCACTCCCCAAGATTACAGAACAATGGATCTGACGACATGACAGATGCCGCCGTGCACAAACGCCCTCTCCTCCACCCGCCCCTCCCCTCCCAGTACTCCAACGCCCATCACCCGAAAGTCGTCTACATCTCCACCAAAACCCCCTTCCTCTCCGCCGTCAAGCGCGTGGAGAAACTCCTCCGGCTCTCCGACAAGCGCCTCATCCAATCCGCTACCACACTCGCGAAGCAGAACTCCGGCAAACGGAAACGGGGAGGCGCGCCGGATGAGATTCTCGAGATTGCCGAGACGCTGGAGTCGAAGCGGAAGAGGCGGAGGGTGGAGGATGGGGGTGGAGGGGAGGAGGTGGTGATGAAAGGGACTGGTAAGGCGATTCAAAAGGTCATGGAGTTGGGCTTGTGGTTTCAGCAGAGGGAGGGGTATAGGGTGCGGTTAAGGACGGGGAGTGTGGGGGCTGTGGATGATATCGTGTTGCAGCCGAGTGGGAAGGTCGTTGTTGGGGAGGACGATCATGAAGACAACCACGGTGCCGACAAGAACGGGGGCGGCATTGCCCTGGATTCGATGGCGACGGACCAAAACGAGACACCACAAGTGCCACACGCAGAGCCCAAAGCGGCGATCAAGGCGGGGAAGGATACAGAGGAGATACCGGAGACGAGGATCCGGTATACAAGCGTGTTGGAGGTGGCGGTGAGCTTACAATAACGCACCTCGAGGAATGGCCTGCCCTTCTTTTTCAGAGATACCCAATGAATTATTCGCCATAGCCTTGTTATAATCATGTCCAACATGTTATGCTTTCTCCATCTGTAGTTTCCAAGAACATCTTACGCGAGGCGTACCCCCGTGGACCCGTCCTTCGTATCCGAAACAACATGTTGACATATTGAGTATGGTCTCAGACTTGGTATGCCCCAGGTTGTTTTCCCTTGGCGAGGGTATGGCTTCAACATCCGCAGCGTCCATTCACCGGCGTCGCATTAATCAGCCCGATTGGGTTTGCCCCACCTCCCACGGCGTGCGCCCCACTCTCCACGTGAGCTGACGGAAACGCTCAGAAGAGGCCCCGCCGCTTCAGCTCAGGCAACTCAATCATTTTCCCTTCCCACCCCCACCACCCACACACACGCACTCAGCTCCGGCAGCACGCGACCCTCCGTCTCCTCTCATCCTCCACTTCCGAACCCTCACAGCGTCTCGCCCTCCCCCCAGCTGGGCTCCATCACCGCCACACTTCCCGTCCCACCCTCTCCCACACAATGCAGCGAATAGAACCACGTCAAGAGCCGCAGCAGCAACACGGCGCGCCCGGCCCGCACGACCAATCGAGACAATGGCAGCTGCCCACCGGCTTCGCCAACACCGGCAACCAGCCGCACGCCCAAAGCTTTGAAGAAATCTACGGCGTGCCCGAGAACTTTCTCGAGATCGAAGTGAGCAAGACAGAACCCCTCTCCCCCGCACGCAGCAACTAATCCCCTCTCCCAGGTCACCGACCCGCAAACCCACCAACCCACCTCCTCCCCCAGCTCGCGCTACACCACCTACCTCATCCGCCTCAGCACCAACATCCCCGCCTTCAAACTGCGCCGCTCCGAGGTGCGCCGCCGCTACTCCGACTTCGAAGTCTTCCGCGACCTGCTGGAGCGCGAGAGCGCGCGCGTCTCCATCCCCCCGCTGCCGGGCAAGGTGTACCTCAACCGCTTCGACGACGGGGTGATTGAGGAGCGGCGGCGCGGGCTCGAGCGCTTCCTCAAGATCGTCGTCGGCCATCCGCTGCTGCAGACGGGGTCAAGGGTGTTGGGGGGTTTCGTGCAGGATCCGAATTGGGATCGGAATGCTTGGTAGTAATGATCTTCCCCTTTTCCTTCCCTTGCTTCGCTTTTGCGTGCGTTCGTGTTGGTGGTTGCTTTGGGTGTGCGGTGCATTGCGGGTGAGAAGGGCGTGTTTGTGAGGGCATTTGTTTCGCAAAGCGAATCGTTATCATGATAATGAAAAAGAATCCAGTCTGACATCTCTCTTTCTCTGCGCAGGAGTCTGGCGTACGGGGAGAAAGAGCGGCCTTGAAGCCCGAAACCCGCTACTTGTCTGCATCAGACGGCAAGATCAAAATGTACGTAGTAGGTGTTCTCCGCAGACTCCTTGGAATCCCCCCTCCATGCTCATTCGAATCTGATCCTCCCTTTCCTTGTTTGCTCTTGTGCATCATGGTAACCTCGCTGTTCTAACAGGCTACGCCCCCGCCAAATTGGTTGCGGTAACTCCATTGGCTTCCAACCGCGTGGAACAGAGTTGCAGATTTGGTGCTCAGGGCCCGGCATGCTGCACACGGGCTTCGCGCTCTCGTCTTGGCTGTCCACGGCAGCGACGGGTGGACGCATATATGGACAGCGTGCTCTTGAAGCTCTGGGGTTTGCCCTCCCTCTATGCGAGTGGACGAGGTGGTGTCTGCGATGACTCGGGAGCAGGAGCAACTCACCTCGTTGGGGGACGAGGCGAGGGAGGGGGTCAGGGTAGACTCTGGGAAGGCTGACGAGCGGCTAACGGATTGGAAGAGGTCCTGGCATCTTGCCATGAGCCCAGAACCGTGAAAGCTTGTGTAGGGTAGTTGAAGCACAGGAATGAGAATCACATACATGTATGACTTGAGTAAAGACCAAAGTTGGGCAGTCCTCGTCTGTTCTTGCTGTGTATACTGAAAATTACTGCGCTTCATCACGAGTCTCAGGCTTGAATGTAATGATATCAGGTATTGCCTACCCCTGTTCTCTTACCTCTTGCCTTGTCTGCAATACGATGTCTGCTCGCACAAGCGTGATGAAGGCGTGCGATGGAGAAATGCGTGCTGGAGGTGGTGCTGAGGCTGCTTTTGGGCTGGTGAAGGTATGAGACGGTTGAAGACGCGTCTGATCTGCTTCCTCAGGAGATAAGCAAACGTATCCTCCTCTCTCGCTCATTGTCGAGGCTCATGTTCATGTCGTGTTTGTAGGTGCGGCTGGCACGCGCAGGGAGCTTGCTAAAAGGGGCTGACGCGGTGCTTGCTTGCCCACAAGACAGCAAGCACGAGGGCAATGTCGTCTGCTCGACATCCTGCACCTTGTAGAGCCACATACTAAGCTCCAACGCGCGTATGGAGAGCCCCCGACGTGTTGAGCAGCGCTGCATCTGTTGAAGGCTGCCCGCTGAAGCGAGAGTTCCTGTCCGCACGCCTTCACTGGCTCCGGCTTACCTCCGATGATAAAGAACTCCACGACCAGGACATATCTTGCGCCGATTCTTGGACGCTGAAGATGCCACAAGCCGCCTTATCTTCCTCGTACCAAAATCTCCCATCTTTTGTGGTGGAGGTTGTCGTGCCAGATGAGAGGGGGACGCGTTCTTTCCCAATCCGGCAGGCCAGGAGGATGCCATTGGCCGGCGAAGTGGTCACGGGTGTTGCGAGACGGCTTGGCATTCCCTTTTTCCCACCGTCAGCTCGCCCCTTTTTCCTGTTCCTCCTCTTCCTCCTCCCAGCAAACATACCTCTCTCTTCTGTACCAGCGTACAGCTCATCCATCCTCCAGCTTCCAGCTTCCACTCCATCATCTTCCTCGTCACCACATCATCGCCGTCATGGATCCCAATCTCACCTACTCCCCACCTCGCACCCCTCCGAGCAGCCCCATCCGCATCGACACCAATGCCAGTCCGGTGAAGGAACGCCGCTTGCCTCTCCTGCTCCAACAGCACCCCCACCTGTTCGGCATGGAAATCGACCGCCCGGCCTCCGCTCCCACCCAGCTGCCGTCCGACTTCATCGCCTACAGCTTCCTCGGGGCCCCGCCGGTCTTCAATCGCCAGCCAACGTACGCCCGCATGAGGTACGCCGACTTCCTGGCCAAGTCCGGTGTCAGCAACGAGACCATCCTCCGCTGGATCCGCCCTCCTCCCTTCGCCCGCCAGGCGTTCAACTACACGGCCAGGGCTCCCACCCCCGACCTCACCCACACAGGCTCCACCAACACGGCAGAGCAATCCAGCGACGAAGCATCCGGAGATGCAGAAGACGACCAGACGAAGGGAGTGGTGGTGGACGATCTCGCGGCTCGCGTCGCTGCCCTGGGGAAGAACGCCGTCACCCAAGCCACCCCCAACAACACCGCCGCCTACCGCGCCCTCATGGACGCCCAGAAACGCTACTCCCATCGCGCGCGCATCATGGTCGGCAACCTTCCGAACGACATCGACAAGGGCATCCTGGCCCTGGCGGTGGAGGAGGAGTTCGGGTTCTTCGGGGAGTGCTACGTGCACGTCTTCAGTGGCAACATGAGGGGTCTCCGTCCCTACGCCATCGTCCAATACACTGTAAGTTGATCTACCCGCCCTCATCGTCCAGATTCACCGCAGGAGAACTGACATTCAGGCAGCGCCGCCGCCACGCCAAGGATGCGTGGGAGAACGGAGAGGAGATCTTCGTCTTCGGGCGTCGGGTGCGGGTGGAGTGGATCTGCCACGCCTCCTAGCTTTCGTTGGCGTTGGGCGTTGGTGGTGGTGTTTTGTCGGGGCCTGGGTGGCCGGTGTAGAGTAGAGGGGACTTGCCTTACCGGCGAGTCCCCAGTAATCGAACGATGGTTGTTTTGGTCCGCTGCTCCTCGCCCATGTTCTCCTTCTCCTCTCGCGTTTCTTCCCTCTCCTGCTCTCGTAACGTTGTATAACTGCCCGGGCGGCCATGGCCTTCAAGGGGTCTTCCATATCAGCCGGCCAGTTCAGTCGGCTGTTCTCCAATGGCCAGAATTGCTGCTCAGCCTTCCTCCCCATACCATCCTGGCAGCATACCGAGCATGGCATATGAGAGCTTCCATTTGGGCGAGCCGTCTAGGTGATTCTTCTCTAACGTCCAGACCAGCTTCTTGATCCTCTTGCTGATACGAATCTCAGCATCGCCCAAAGATTCGTTCCAGAGATTCGACATGCAGGCAGACCTTCGCGCCAGAGATCAGCAAAACAGCGGTACCCCGGGAATCTGAGCAGACTGAAACGTCGAATGGTTTCGCCGGCCATCCGCCACATCTCTTTATTCGGTAAGCTGAATCTCCCGCCAGACTCCATGCCGAACGGTTTGTCTGGAAGACGATTCAGCGCGAGACAATCCGGTTCGCCCGGAGGGCTGGGTTGGCTTGCTGATGGCAAATTCCTTCGTGCTTGCTGGGCGGTGTATATGATGTGTGCCGAATACAGGGCCTCTGGTTCTTTGGTTTTTTCTTTTTCCCCATGGCGGCCAAGCGGTGGGCTCTCAGTGCAAGACCTGCTGTTCACGCCGGGCAAGTGAAGGTCGAGGTCGTTTCGGGTATGCTCGATCCTAGTGGGATGGTGCTCGTGGCCGCCGGCGTGATATGCATTTCTTCGGCATCTTGGTGCCAAGAGAATACGAGCTGTCTTGTCTTTTGCTTGAAGAATTGTAAAGAGATAGAGAAAGGAACTCACTCGAGGTTCAGATGGGTTGAATTTGGCGGCGAGAGTCGAATTGGAGAGCCGCGGAACTTGACGCGTCTAGATGTCATTTTCTTCTCAGTCGGACGAGGTGAGGCGGCAATGCGGTGCCGCAGTCTCTGCCTGCGGTATCGAGACCGAAAGACGCTGCCATCACAGGTGACGAGAGACAGGAGATCAGAGCAAGACGCGGTGGATGCGCTCATCCGATTGCCATGCCAGTACGCATAGCGTCAGCTTCCTGGGAAGCCGTCGGCTGGAATGAGTGACATCTTAGGAGGATCAGCGAGGCCGTCCGTGACAGATCGATGGGCTCGCGTTTGGGGTCGAGAGCGGGCATACGCTGCTCCAGGGCATGGTTCCTCCGCTGCGCAGTCCTCCGGCTTTGGCTTGTTACTTGGATCGTTGGCGATGCTTCGTGCACGAGTACTGGCTTATATTCGGGCGTGAAGGAGACGAGTCGTCGAGAGCAGTTGATGTGCAGCCAACTTGGTTGTGGGAGCAAAGGAATAAAGTGCGGACGGAGCGAGCAAAGCTCGGAGCCACACAAGCTTTAACCATTTCGAGGTCCACCTTGACCAAACCACCACTCAGCGACCCACAACCCACTTCGCTTTCTCCCTCTCTCGAGATCCCCAAGTCGATGCGAAGTTCTGAAGCCGCGTCAAGAGACTGGCAGTCACTTACGAGGGCGAAAGGCTCTAAATACCCTTACGCGACCAAGTCCACGAAGCACGCGTCTTTCCACAGTTCTGTCCTTGCGACAGGGATGTGACGGCGAGAAGGCTGCACCTTGACGACGACAGCCCTTCATCGACCATCGATTGAAACAGTCCGCTAGAACGGCCGGCCAAATCGCGATGGACATGACCTCCTCATGTCTGTGAACAACACGCGTTGACCAGCGAAGCCGGTAGGAAGGCACGCATCGAGTTCCTTGCAGCTCATCAACCCCCTCTCGTTCATCATTGTGTGAATCTATCTCTTCCGCTCTATTGCTTTTGAAGTAACCGTCTAGATCCTTCGTTGAAACGATCCTCAGATCTCCCCCATGGATATCACCATTACACCGAAGCCCCGAAACGCCAGGGTCCCAACGAAATCAAACCCCAGCGCCATCCCAAATACCCCATTCAAAACCTCTCCATCCGATTACACCTGACCGTCCACATCCGCGCGCGTTTCCCATAAATATACATCGGAATGGTCGTCAGCAGACACGCCATCTGAATGCCTCCCAGCGCAATAAACACCGTCCGCGACCCGTCCGCATCCAACCACCGATTGAAAAAGAGCGAAAACACCAACCCATGAAAGATGTTCTTACTGAAATTCAGCGTCACCAGCGCCTCGCCTGCATACTGCCGATACGAGTCGACGGCAAACGTAATCGCCGTCGTAGACCCCAGCGTGCACCCGAAAGAAATGAAGCCAAAGAACACCGTCGGCACAATCCACAGATCCCGCTCGGCGGCGCTCCAGCCGTAGCCCATGAGGCCGATGGTGGTGAAGATGGCAATGGGCAGGCCCATGACGAGGCGAAACTCGGGCTCGTAGACGCCGCCGTTGCGGCGCGAGAGGAAGCGCACGATGCGGTCCGAGACTTTGCCCGCGACGACGGTGCCGAGGATGCCGCCGACGAAGGGCGAGATGTACACCAGGCCGGTTTGCAGGGAGTTGAAGTTGTACGTGTCGCGGTGCTCGTAGATGGTCGAGACGGATTCGGAGAGCACGATGAGCCAGCCGACGGAGAGGGAGTAGACGAGCGCGCTCCAGAGGATGCTGGGGTAGGTGTAGAGGATGAAGGGGCGGATGGCGACGCGCAGCCAGCGGTCTTTTGTCAGTCGGCCGGCGTAGGGGCGGAGGGACTGTACGAAGCCTAGTTCGGGTTGTTCGCGGCGGGATTCGGTGTACGGGTTGAGGGAGGGGACTGGTGCCAATTGTTGTTGCTCTGGATCGCTGACGACCGCTGAGAGCTCGGGCATGGCCGAGGGACCGTTCGAGGTCGCGTCACGAGTTAGCGGAGGTTCGGTAAAGTATTCGTTGTTTTGCGTCGTGTCGTTGGGAGACAAATCGATAGGTGAAACATCGCGGTCAGCTTCAGGTGGGCGTGGTGCTTCGGCTGGAGCGGTGGCAGTTTTCGACTCCTTCTCTAGTTGAAATGACACCTCTGCTCGACCTGCTGCTCTTCCAGCCTTCTCTTGACTGTCGGTCAATACAGGCTCGTTATATTTCCTTGCCGCCCTCTCATGAAGAATTTCGTATATCCCAGAGATGCCAGTCGATTGATCCAGGGTGCCGGCCGCTTGACGTGCATTCCATTCCCTCTCTCCCGCTTTCCAGCATCTATCGTGTATCTTCTGAGCCACGCGTTTGGAGCGCTTCGAGTTCTGCTGAACCGCCGTCCAAGGGTAGGGTCCGTAATTGGCGAAAAGCTCGTCGGTGGGAATCCGTAGAAGGGCCGACTCTTTCGGCCAGGTCCGCATTCCGGGTTTGACAACTGCATCTTCTTTACTTTGCCCGCTTTTCTCCGCCTTCTTGGCCGCATCGGGACTGCGAGGGACTGAGTCCCTGCGAAAGGCGCCTTGTAAGCTGGAGAAGCGGCGCAGGCCATGCTTCCGCGGTCTCGGCGCGCGGTCCCAGAAGGTCTCGGGGACGAAGAAGAAGAGCAGGACGAAGCAAAGCCCAACGACCATTGCAACAATCCAGAAGACCCAGCGCCAGTCCAGACTCTGTATGATGACTGCACTGACCAGAGGCACCAAGTTCTTCCCTCCCAAGAGCAGCAAGGTGTAGATGCCCAGGCGATAGGCCTTCTCGTGTAGGAAGAAGATCTCCGCCACCGTTGCGGAGGGCAGACACTCCACGGAAGAAACGGCGATGCCCATGAATACTCGAGCGATCACCAGGCTGGGAAAGTCAGGGGACAGCGCACACCAGACGGACGTCAGGATGAAGCAGATCGCGGCGCAGAGATATACCGGTCGCTTGCCGTAAAGAATAGCAGTGGGGGAGAGGATGGCACTCCCGATGCCAAGGCCCAGCATGTACAATCCTGTAGTCAAAGCGACCCTTGGCTCCGGAACGTCAAATTGCGTCGCGACTTCGTTGAAGCCGGCGGCGAGGATGGGAGTCATGCCGCCGCCGACCATGCAGTAGAAGCCCAGCGAACCCAGCGCGAGGTTGCGACGCCAGACTCTCCAATTCAAGGGATCGTTCAGCGAGTCATCGGGCTGAGGCTCCAGAATGATTTTGCCATCTGCCGTGCGCTTCTTCTCCGGCACCGGCGGGCGTCTGCGGAAAAAGGAGCTCCGATGCGAGGAAGTGAGATATGGCGAAGGGAGCGAAGAAGCAGACATCCGCGCAGGGTTCAGATCGAGGCCCAGAGGCGCATTGTACTCCGACACTTCGGACAAGAGCAGGACGGATCCTGGGACTTCGTCGGTCTCCCGGTCGTTCAACATGCCCATGCTCCATTTGGCGGGCTTCTTGTGCGTCTGGTGCTCAGGATCCGACATGGAAGTGCGGTTGCTCGGGTTCCCGCTGGTGTTCTTCCTGCTTCCCAACATCGATCTCCAGTCCACCCTCCTCTTTGCTCGTCCGCTCTCTCCGTCGCCATGTGTAGGCTGCCGATGCGCGTCCGCATCATTGTTGCTGAGCTCGATCTCCTCCATAGGCATGTTGACGAGTCCTGTGCTGACTTGCGTCCGGGTCTATGATCGAGTCTTATTGTCCGCTTGAGCCAAGCGCCAAGAGAACAAAGACAACATCGAGACGCAGTCGGTAGGAACAGTGAGAAAACGCTCGCGCAAGTTCTCTAACCATCTCTTTCAAGGTCGGAGTGAGGACAAGCGGACTATGTCCACGCAGCGCGCAGACGACTGAGGGAGGTTCTGTAGATGTTGATTGACCGCGACCTCGTCGACTCGATCCTTGGCGTGATGCGACTAGGGAACCCGAGGGAGCAGATCAGAGTCTCCTGCCATAGTGAATTGTGGTGGAAAGATGGCAAATCGGTGAGATGGATGATGCGAGGTGCGCAACTCTTCCCATTCCATTGGCTCCACTGCTGTTGGTTGGATCCCCGCATCGGTCGACTGACAATCGCTCGTCTCCACCCTTCGACTTCATCCCATCATTCCATCATGAAGCAATAATAACAGCGTACGGAAAGCTATTTTGGCCTTGCATATGAACAGCCACGGCCTTGGAAAAAAATGGTAGAAAGGTGAGAAGGTCAAAAGCGATCACGAATCTTACTTCTCGAATCCGCTATCAACCCGAATCAACTCCCAATGCTTCACCTTGCCTCAAGCAACATGAATCCAGAAAACGTCTCGTCAGTCCTAGCCGACTCTCCCAAGCCCAGCTCAGAGGAGCATCAACACCACATCAAACATAACCACAGCAGCTGTAAAGACCATGCGTGCATCTGCCATCGCTTCCGCCGAAGAGGCAACCAACTCAGGCGTCTTTGCTGTAGCGCTGGGAACAATTGACATAGCGCAGCTGGTCTGTCCGCCGTTTGACGCCGTACAGAGTGACGGGACCGCCATGACCGCACTAGCAATCGGGCCGTCCTCGATGACTGGCGCTGCGAATGGTGTATCGTCTTCTCCGACCCAGTCGAAGGCAGCAGGAGCGATCTGTAGGGACATTTTGCGTTAGCTCAATGTTCCCATGAACTGTGGATGATGTACACCCACATCATCATGCTTATCAACGTCGACATTGATGGAATCCTCGATAAAGCAAGGCGACCCGGGCGGACCGCACCACCCGATGAAGGGACGATCAGTCGGACGAGCAGCGAGGGCGACTTCAGCCTCATGGGCAGACACCGCGTCGCGTCGAGCAGGAACATTGCTGAACATAGGCACAGGCTGGAGCGGGACTTGCGAGCCACAGAGCTGGTAAGGCGCGAGGCCATCCCAGTCACCGCACTTCTTGCACTTGGCGTCGCATTTCATGAAGATCTACGCACTGTGAGCAGATTGTCCGGTCGCGGAAGAGAGTCTCGTGGGACATACAGCGTAGTAAGTGGGCCCGTTGCAGATGCATTCCGCCAGACCGGAGATGGGCTCGGCACACACTCCGCGGGCAGCAGTGGTGATGGCTTTGATCCAGCACTTGCCCGTGCAGTCTGTTGCGGGTTAGTGAAAGTCCTGCCGGAGGTGGGAGGCTCGACACTCACCAGTGACGCCTTGGACAAGCATGGGCTTGAGCAGAACGGTGAGGAGCAAGATAGGCAGCCAGAACGCGAGTCCTCGGCCGGCCATTGTTAGGTAGAAGTCGGTATTGACAAGGGATGATGACAGTGCGATGAAGAGAACGAGGAACGATGGGGTTGCAGGATGAACGAGTGTGAATGCTTCCAAGGCGATGTTGTTGGGTTGAAGATGGATGATGCTCTGCATTCTCCCTCGTCTATGCCTCTGTGCGTCCAGTGGGAAATGAGGTCTAATCTTCAGGAGGCCAGATGTGCGCCAACATGTCATCATCCGGCCGCGAGCGAGGAAGGTGCGATCCAGCACGGCTGAACACGTGACCACTACGGTGCATGCTCAGTTCTGGTCGCTTCGAAATAACATGACCGACCTAGCAGACTGGCGGCCGCCGCGAATGTGACTTTTTGGGTTTCTTTGCCGTCGTGCTGATGGGTTCCAACGCGCTCCGCGGCCGGGGGTATTCCCGTTTGGCGATTCCGCAAAGGCTGCTCTTTCACAACTCCGTTGCCATTCATCGCCATAATCACTGCCCACCTCCATACCCCGGCCCACCGTTCCATCCCCTTCCCCTTCCCATCATACCATTCATCCCGCCTCCCATCATCCCTCCCCGGCCTTGGTTCATCATCCCCATGTTCCCCATCCCCATCCCCCCTCCCATCATGTTGTTCATGCCGCCCATCCCGCCAAATCCCGCCATCATGCCCATCATCGGATTTCCAGCGTATCCTCCGCCAGCAAAGGCGCCCATGTTTGCGTTCATGCCGCCGTTCATGCCGCCGTTCATGCCGCCGTTCATGTTTCCGCCGCCCTGTCCGTTCCACATGTTCTGCTGCTGACCCATGCGATTGAAAGGCTGATTCTGGTGGAAGCCGCCGCGGTTATTGGGATTGAAGCCGCCCCGCCCGCCGTAGTTGCCTCGCTGCTGGTTGTTGTAGCTCTGGTTGTACGCCCCGCCTCGTCCACCGCCCGCGTTCTGTTGCGCGTTGAACTTGCCAGCACCCGCGCCAGCAGTCGGCCCGGTACGGAATGAGGATCCCACGGGTGCAAAGAAAACGCCAAAATCACCCTTCTTGGCCGGGGCAGCAGTCGATGCGAGTTTGTTGGCGGCCTCCACCTCCCTTTTCACAGCGGTGGCGGCCTGCGGAGATGCAAATTCCATGTACGCCTCCCCGCGGCTCTTGCCGTTGATCTTGTGCTCTCCGAACGTGACCTCTCGAAGCTCACTCTCGACGCCCGCTTGCGCGCAAAAGGCGCGAAGGTCTTCTTCCGTGGTCCACCAGTTCAGCTCGTCTAGTCTGATTGTCGCTGTTGCGCCTGGGTCGACGGGTCGGGTGTCTGGTTCTGAATGTCCGTTTTGTAATGCAGGTCGCTTGTTGGATGTGGAGTCGGATTCTTGGGGTTCTGATTCGGCTTTGCGCTTGGTGCCCTGTTGTGGTGTTGCTTCAGGCAACGTTGCTTCATGAGCTACTTTGGCATATTCGCTGGGCGGCTCTTCTATCGCAGGCTCGGCGGCTTTCTCTTGTTCGCTCGGTTGTGGAGGAAGTTCAGCCCCGTCGTCGTTGTCGTCAAAGATGAGATCGTCGCTATCCTCCACGGGCTGAGTGTGCTCTGCTTCCAGCTGCTGCTCCTTCTTCTCCTCCTGCTCGCCGTAGATGTCGATGTCGAAGAGATCGTCGTCAGCAGACATGATGGAGGGGTGATCGTGCTACGTGAGCTGCACAATTTGAATGAAGTCAAGTTAGTTGTAATCCCCCTCGACCACCGCTGCTAATGGACACGACGTGAACGCTTCCTGGCGCCGAGTTGCGACAGCTCACTGTAACCCTCGTACATGCAATTAGCCATTGTGTGCTCCAAGCTATCGTACAGTGAACCCATGATTTGCTACCCCGATAACGTAGCAGACCTGCGCTATACGTACAATTCGTTCGAGAGGTACAATGATAACCACAAAGCACGCAGATGTAAACACAGCAATGCCCGAATCTTCCTTGTGAAACAGTAACAGGTATGGTATAAGTTGGCTCTCCCCGCGCTCCGAGTCCAAGATCCCCTCTCTTGATTTACGGCTGACACGTGCAAGGCTCGACGATAGGATGGGATGAAGGCTCGGCCACGGATTGCGATCACTTCGACGCTGCTTCGGAGTATGGAGGTGAGGTGGATGGCGGTTGTGATGAGGTAGGAGGGAAGGGAGGTGGAGACTCGACGTCGCGCATTGACGAGGCTCTCAGCTCGCGCTCGTGCCGCCGCGACTTATGTCAGCGAGCTCTTAATAAATTTCCCCATGGCAGAATGCCTCTACTGTCTACGAACTACTCCACTGCTACCGATCTACCTACACCCTCCAATACGCCTGCACAGCCTGTATGGATGTCTTGGTGGGACAAATACCTCGCGCCCGGTGACCTGCGTCAACAGCGCCAGGCACTGTCGTCGCCCTCGCAGCCGGGAACAGCGAACGAAGATGAGCAGCCTCGACTCGTGGTCCTGAAACCTCCGCGCCTCAGCCAAGCGGATCGAGTAAGGCGACAAAATGGCCTTCTCTTCGGCGGTCTCGCCTTCACCCTCCTCTCGATGATCGTCACGCGGCGCGCGGTCGGACGCAAACTCGCGCAGACAGCCTTGTCCGCGGAAGGCGGTGCGGCGGCGGCGGAGTCGAAGGTTGATGGTTCGCTGGAAGCGGTGCAAGCGCTTGGGTATGCCACCTTGAATGTCTTCAGTGTGGCGATGCTGGGCATTGGCGGGGCTATGAAGTACTTTGACATTGCGGATGTGGAGGACATGCGGGAGGTGGTTCGGCGGCAGGAGGGGTATAGCGAGGACTCGGAGGCGAATCGCGAGATTGAGGGGTGGATTGCGGAAGTGTTGGCGCGGAAAGATGGGCAGGGGAATCTGCGGGAGAGCGTGGTGGAGAAGGTGGCGGAGATTGAGAGGAAACGGAAGGAAGACGAGAAGAGAGGGAGATGAGCAGAGATCTCATTGAAGACTCTGCTCTCTTCTAGTCGACGTGTAAGATACAAAACTGTCAGGCATTCTCACGCCCCGGGGCTTGTTGCTGCCCGTCTACATGCGCATGCTCGCCGCTGTCCTGCCCTTCTTTCACCACCGGCACGCCCGCCTGTCCATCGCGATTACTCCTCCACATCCCACCATCCTCAAACCACTCCTCCTTCCAAATCTCCGCCTTCTCTTTGACCCGCTCCAAACACTCCTCCCCCGCCCTCCACGCCGCAGCGCGATGAGGCGCCGACACGGCAATCAGTATGCTCTCTTCCCCGATGTCCACCCTCCCAAGCCTGTGAGTGACTGAGATGCTGACGAGGGAATGCGAGGAATGTACAGAGCGGGCGATGGACAGGAGAGTGCGCAGGGCGAGAGGGGCGTAGGCGGAGTAGGAGAGGTGGGTGACGGTCTTGGAGTTGAAGTTGTCGCGCGTGCAACCTACATGGACGAAATCACGGCTTAGCTTGCTTGCTTTACTTACTGCCTCGAGCGTCAGTCTGAGGAGTGGTGCGCATCAGCAAAGGGACGGCGTACCTGCGAAGAGGACTACGGCTCCGGCTTTGGAGCTCTTTACTCGAGACAATGCGGTGGTGGAGTCGAGTGGGTTGGACGTGAGTGAGACGTAGATGTTGGGTTCCGATAGCGACTGTTCGTCGGTCGTCTGTCCGGAGTTCTCGACCTCATCTGCCATGTTCTCGTCTTTCACTGTCATCATGCCCTCGCATGGTTGTCGCGGCACAATCGATGATTCATCCCTCGTGCATGAGCATGCTGGGTTGGAAGCATGGGGAGTCGGCAAGAGTCGGCTTTCGAATTGAAAGAAGGGTCGATGACTCAGCACATCATCCCCGACCTGCAATCAATTGTTGAGGCGAAGAGACATTCTTTTCCCAGACATCTGCCTCGCTCACACCTACCAATCTCCTCGGAAATGGCTGCCATCAGACCTGCCAGCCGTCGGCTCATCACGTCGGCGTTTCTCGAGACTCGCTCGACCATCATTCCGCAAAAAAGACGATTCGCCACCACAATCGACAACCCTCCTCCGCCGACCAGCACATCCTCTCAACCTCGACCAGCTACCTCCTTCACAGACCGCTTGAATGCAGGTCCCTCCTTCACAGACTTTGTCTCTCAGAAACAGGAAGATGCGCTGCAGGAAGAGGACGCCTTCGAACTACGGACGGTGCAGGTCGGACCAGAAGGACGAAAGAGAACACACACCCGCCTCCCGGAATGGCTAAAGACACCCATCCCGACCAACGACAACTACAAACGCATCAAAAATGACCTCCGCGGCCTGAATCTGCACACCGTGTGTGAAGAGGCGCGATGTCCCAACATCTCCGACTGCTGGGGTGGAAGCGACAAGTCTGCCGCCACGGCCACCATCATGCTCATGGGCGACACCTGCACACGCGGATGCCGCTTCTGCAGCGTCAAGACTGCGAATAAACCCCCGCCTCTCGACATCCACGAACCAGAGAACACGGCCGAGGCGCTATCGAGGTGGGGATTAGGGTATGTGGTGCTCACGAGCGTTGATCGAGACGACATCGCGGACGGAGGCGCACGCCACTTCGCCGAGACGATCATGAAGATTAAGCAGAAAGCACCGACTATGCTTGTGGAAGCTTTGACGGGTGATTTCGCCGGGGATCTGGACTGCGTGAGCTTAGTCGCCAAGAGCGGCCTCGACGTGTACGCGCACAATGTCGAGACGACGGAAGAGCTCTCACCATCCGTGCGCGATCGCCGAGCGAACTTCAAACAGTCGCTCGCCGTGCTGCGAGCAGCAAAGGCAGCGAACCCCAGCCTCATCACCAAGACTTCGATCATGCTGGGCTTCGGCGAAACGGAAGAGCAGCTATGGCGTACGCTGCGCGAGTTGCGCGCCGCAGACGTGGACGTCGTGACGTTTGGCCAATACATGCGGCCCACGAAGCGGCACATGAAGGTGGAGGAGTATGTCAAGCCGGCGACGTTTGAGCTGTGGAGACAGCGGGCGCTGGATCTGGGGTTCTTGTATTGTGCCAGCGGGCCGTTGGTGCGGAGTAGTTACAAGGCTGGGGAGGCGTTTATCGAGAACGTGCTGAAGAAGAGGGCGCGCAAGAATTCGCTGCTCTCTGCGGAAGCGCTTGGGGAGGACTTTTCGCGATTGAAGAGTGCGTAGGGGAAGATTGTGATGCACATAGACATTTAATACAAGCAGACCCGCCCCATTACGTTCGGGTCATTCAGCATCTACCCATCTCCAGGAAGTAACCTGCTCCGTAGTATCAACATACACTATAAAGGCACAGCAGCCGGCGGCTCCGTCCCAGTCCCCACCGCGCCACCTCCCTGCGGCGGCAAGAAAAGCGGGAGATAACCCTGAGTGTCGCATCAGAATCAACACGAGTCCTTGGAACGAAATCACCAATGAAGGCTGGGGACAAAAGACTCACCACTACCACGGCCAGAGCGGCCATCCCAACCTGAAAGATGGCGGGCGAGGAGGCCTTTGCGCGCGCCGCTGGGGTTTCGGACATCCAGGCTTGCAGGGCGAACATGATTGCCGTCCAGCCGAGCATTTTGTTGCGGGTGAAGATCTGGGGAGGATATTGTTAGGATGATTGGCGAGGTTGATGGGAAGCGGGGGAAGATGCTTACTGCTGCCATGGGGAGGGTGTTGCCCATTGTGCCTGAATGGGGAAGGAGGATGGGTTAGTAGGCTAGGGGGTGGTAGAGGTTGTCGGGGAGGGCCAGCATACTGGCAAGATCGCCTGTGTCTTTCTCCTTCTCCGTTTCCTGGAATGGGACGACTGCCCGAAGGGGTGAGTAAGTGGGAACTTGGAATCGAGCGATGAGGAGAACCTACTGAGATCCGCCCTTCGCATATCCCGTTTGTGCGCCATGATGGGCAGAGAGTCTTGCGGTCTTCACACGAATGAACGGCCAATGCCAAGTGCCGGGGTCGATGGACGGTGGTCGAGGTTGCTGCTCCTCAATTGACTTTCCGGTGCTGGCCAGAGACGGTCCGACTCGGGATGAAGTCGAGACTGCAAGACCGCCAGCGGGCTCGGAAGTGCGGCACGTGGGCCGTCCCTTCCACCTTAAGCACCCGTGCCTGCCGCCTGAAACCTTAGCCGATTCGGCCGGGGAAGGCGTAATGCAATTGATTTGTCGACGAGATGGAATGTGTGCACCCGTTGCAGAGTTTCCGCACTGCACGCCACTCCAATCAAAGCAAACGTCGCACAAGCTCGCGACGCACGACGGATCGTTCACGCGGAGCAGGGGTGCAAAGAAGGAGCGTGGAAGCGGAAACGCCTGCAACGTTCCGGCCTTGCTGACGGGATTTCGGAGACGGTACCTTGCTTGGTACCTCCACCGGCATCGCCTATCGCCAAATCTAGCCACGACAGGCCCGCATGGCGTTGCATCACTTGCACCTCCACTTGCCTAATCTCCTCCCGCTGCCACCTCCTCCTCCACCCACTGCTGCGGGTGGTTTGCGCCCTTCTCTGCTCACTACGCCTCTTGGAAACTGCTTGCTTGCTTGACCCGCCCGTCACTCGATTCACCCATCCCTCGAACCTCACCGCGACTTGCATGCGTGCGAGATGGGGAGTTGACACTGCACTTCCTCCCACCCTCCACCATGCGCCGGCCATCGGCTAGTGGTGTGCGCATGATATGGACTCTCGAGCGTCGCTGGGCGCACCCAGGCCTCCCAATCTGCAGCGATCCATAACCGGAGGCCTCCTGGCCCCTTTGCAGCCCTTCTCCACCCCTTCCACTCGACCCTCGCATCTCAACACCGTGCGATCCGTCTCGCACCCACTGACCTTCCCCAATCTGCCTTCTGATGGCTCTCTGTACGCCACCACACCCAGCCCACTTCGCATGGAAGAGCAAGAGCTGGTCCGCTCCCCCGAAGCGATTGGTGTCGGCGATGACAACGCGGAACCACCAGCGAAGAGGGCAAAGACTGATGGGGAGGACTTTCAATCCATAAGAGATGACAATGTCGTGGACGAGACGGACGAGGCAGACAGGATTCTCCCGGGCTCCCCTCTACCTTTTCCACCCGCGATGGGCCCTTCCAACAAGACTCGCGCCACTCAAACCCGGCTTCGTCTTGGCATCGAACCCGCGGCTCGCAGAGCTCATGGCCTCGACCCCCCCGCGGCAGCCACCAAGCTGCCGCCCCCGAAGAAGACCGCCGACTTTTCCCCCTGGACTGGGAATCAGCCCGAGGACACGCTGAACGAAAACGTGGTGAAACTCGGCTACTTCGACAAAGCGCCCGGCACCAATCAGGCGGAATGCAACTCGGCCAAGCCCACCATCGCGTCGACTCTTCACCAAAAGAATGGCCCGGGTGTCTCCCTCTTGAGCTACTTGTATACCCTGGTGCTCGAGAAGAGGCAGACACTTGGAAAGTGCACTGCCCCTTCCACCTTCAAACCCCCGCCACGAGTCACCGTCACCGATACGAAGCGAGAAGCATGGTTGCGCGACCTGGCCAATCCCGACATTCCTCTGCGCAAACAAAGCAGAACCATCCCACATGGTATCCGCGGGAAGCTGCTCATGGAGCAGTGCTTAAGCAAAAACATCTCCTTACCGCGTGCCGTGTGGCTGGCGAAATGCGTCGGGGCCAATGAGCTGCGTGCCTTTCGACGAAAAGGCGTCAGCGGGTCTGCCACGGCGGTGGGCGAGTCGAAATGGCTTCTCGAATGGACGACACATGTGGAGCAGTTTCTCGAAGACGTGATTGCAAGCTGCGGTCAGGAAGGATGGCAGCGCAGGATGGGCTACGCGCTGAAACTCGTCGCCGCCTTCTCCTCTGAACGTCTCTTGGACTCCAGGCACTATCTGGACTGGCTCGTGGCGTCGTTTGATAATACCTCGATACAGCACCTGCCGATCTGGATCATCCTCGTGCAAGCGAACTGGAAAGCCATCACCGCATACAGTCGTCGGGGGAGGCACTTGGCCCATGCCATCTTGGCACATCTGGACCGCGCTTCGGACTCCGGACTACGTGCTGGCGACCAGGTACGGCTGCACTTACAAAGACTGGTTACAAAATTGGCGGTCGCGGACAGAGCATGCTTGGTGATCCCAAAAGTATGGGGAAAGTACAAGTATCTCTTAACTTCCAATGCCTTGCAATGCGCCGACGGCCCGGTACGGAGCGTTTTCCAACGGAATGAACGTCTTGCTTGGTTTTCATCGCAAACCGCTAGCAACACTCGCAGCCCCACGTTGGAGTTATATACCCATCTGGATGCGGTGGGCCTCCACATCGACATGGGAGCCCTGGCCAGTAAAGCTTTCGAGCTCATTCCGGATCCAGTCCAGCTGGTATTTGCGCTGCTGGACTGGGCGTCCTCGTTGTACAGAGTCGGCATTGCTAGAGTCTACCTGACGGCTGCCATCATTGCACAATCGCGCTTAGCCGGCCACGACACCGATCATGGTATCCTTCAATACCTCGGACGACCTCGAAAGCTGCCTGTTTCGAGCGAACAACAGATTCATCAAGTCGTAGTCGAACTCGTACATCTGGATGCGTTCTCTTCTGGCCGCTATCTCCAATGGCTGATTAGCAGTGGGACTCTGGTTGCCGGCGCATCATCTTACGCGACCAGTCTCATTGCCGTGCTGCCCTTGAATGCACTGCCTTCGCACGTGCTCAATACTCGGAACATGCTTATGAGACGGCTTGGTTACAACATTGGGCGACCGACCGCAATGAAAGAGTCCGCACTGCATCATTCGCTTGCGACTACAGATCTGGAGAAGGCGACGAATATGAGCGTCCCCGACAAATTGCAGCTCAGCCAACGGATCTGCTCTGATGTTAGTCAGAAGATCAAGGACACCGGCATCTCGCTGGATGAATTCTGTCAAGCGCGGGAACTCGTTGAGAGTCTCGACGATCTCCGTTCCCTCGCAACGCTGGTACAATCTTCAATCACCTCCGAGAGCAGCGTCATCCTTGCGACTGCTTGCGACACAATCAACCTGCATGCCAAATCTTTCGCCGCACTCGGCCATTTGCGCACACTCGTCGACTCTTTCTCAGAGCACTACGTCACCCTTCGATCCCAACAACCTCTCGACCGAAATCTCATCTTCGCCATGATCCGTCTTACTCAACGACTACCAGAGAAAGCGACAATCCTTAAACTCCTCCAAGACGACTTGATCATCTGTGAGCAGCAGACGTCAATAATGGTCTGCTCACCCGCCAGCGACAGCCTCATCGGCATGCACGCCACAACGCTAGACTCCGATGCCGAGCTTGACGCCGTTTTCGCCAGTGGCAATACCATGGATGATCAGCTAATGCGACGAGTATTCGACCGAATCATGCAGCGCGCTTCCGACTCGTTGCCTTCGCCGCCACTCGCTCCGCCGAGTCGGATTATCGGCTGGCTTGACCAGCTTCGCACTGTCGACGGCAGCGAGGTGTTTGAACGCCTCGTGCAAGCCTTCCTCCGCAGCATCATCAGCAGTCAAGTGAACGTTGCTTCCTGGATGAAATGCGTGGTTTGTCTCGTCTCCAGTGGCTGCTTGACACTGTCCGCGGTCGCCTTAATCGCACGCGAAATCACCTTATCTAGTGCTGCGGCCCAGGTGCTTCAACTCTTCATCTCGTGGCCTTTGGAAGACGCTGGACTTCACGCCGTTGAGCGTTATCGTTACCGCTTACAGCAAGCATTGTGCAAGCACCAGCATGCAGAGGATATCCTCCGACTCGTGCGTGTTGCTTCGCAGGGCTCTGGCTTTGACTCAACAGATCCGGATGTGAGGGCTTTTGGCATTCGAGCCGTCGCGGACAACGCCACAGCTGGCAATGCTCTGGACAAACGAGTCGTAATGTCGATCTTGGCCAAAGGACGCGACGTCGAATCACAAGACGAAGAGATGAACGTTCAGAATATCGTCAACACTGCCACGCCATTATCTGTACGATTCTCTGTTGAAGCTCTGCGAGGCCTCCGAAGCGTCTCTCCAACTCCGCTCGACGACGCTGGGTTTGCAGAAGCACTTCTCGATGCGTTCAACCGAGGATCGGACGTCTGGCCGCAGCTGTTGGAATTTGCAGGCGAGCGCGTGAATCAGCGGATCCGGGATTGGGCGCAGGAAAAGGCACTTTACACTGCGAGCGGAAAATCTGCAGCGGATACTCCGCTCCCCTCCGAGCCACTGCGCGACTGCATGGTTCTGCTTGCTGTTTCCAGCAAGCTTTCCCCGCCAAGGGAAGACCATGCGACGGTTTCGTCACTTGCGGAGAAACTCAAGGAACTCGAGACGGCATTGCCGGAAGCGAATGACGGGTATAACGACTCGCGATCACAACACACAGCCCTGCTGCACCGACTGCGCATCCTGCTCGACTTGACCGTACTGCAGCTCTCAACATCTGCGGATGGAGAAGAGGACGACGCATCTCAGCAGGCCAACGCCGCCTTACTGACCCTCCTTTGCTCGCTGACGACCCTCCCAATACTTCAAATCCATCCCACCATTACGGAGCAACTATTCGACATCACGTCCACCTTCGCCGACCGCCTTCCGGAAACCGTGCTCGCCGCAACAGAAACCCAATGCAGCAGCCGCACCCTCTTCGACGCCCGCATCAGATTCCTCCTAGGCAAAGCGAGCGACGACGCCAACCCACCCGCCACGCGCCTCTTCCTCGCCTCTCAAGCCCCATCGCTGCAACAGCGCATCCTCCACCGGCAGCAAGCATCGCAAACCAACGCTCGACCTCCGACCGTTGGGGCGGCGGGCGCCGGACCCAGCGGCAGTCTGCATCAGCGCATGGTTTCCGGAGGAAGCTCGCCGGGCGTGTTTCCCGCCAGACAAGATGGCAAGGGTGGAGTGGCTAATGGTTCTGGGGAGGCAAAGATGGTGCCGTTTGTTGTGCGGCAGTGGGAGATGATTCCGGATTCTGCGCCGGTGATGGGGGAGAACGATGCGGCGTTGAGTTTGAGGCTGTTTGGGGCGAGGAAGGTGTGATTCCTCTCGTGAAGAGGAACGTGTTTTTTGCTTTCTACTTGTGTTTGTCTATTACGCGCTTCGTTTTGCTTTGTTCCCAGCGTTCGAGCGGATGAGAGGATCGATGTTTTCAGGATACATACCCCGTTACATTCATTTCAGCTGTATTTGACCCACACGATTCGGAGCGCAAAAGGCAACCTTTTCCGCGTGCGCATTTGCTACTCGCAACTTCCGTTTTGTGTGGTTCCAATACGATGGCCTCTTCTCGCTCGGGTATTTAAAGTAACCCAGCGGCAAAGACTGGCACGAGTTACCAGGCTTGGACTACCGTCTATTCCACGAATCCGACTTGACTCCTCTCCTCAGCGACCATGCCGCGCAAAGACATCGACTTCCGCACCAGCGACCGCGTCACCCTCCGCGGCTGGTTGTACACCTCGGCCGGCGACAGCACCAAGAAGCTGCCATGCTTCATCATGTCCCACGGCTGGTCAGCCGTCAAGGAGATAGACCTCGACGCGTTCGCAGAGTACTTCAGGACCCACCTGGCGCTGACGACGCTCGTGTACGACCAGCGCGGGTTTGGGACGAGCGATGTCAAAGCGGGCTCCCCGAGGCTGGAAATCAATCCGCGCGAGCAGCAGAGTGATGTCTCGGATGCGGTGACGTTTGCGCAGACGATGCCTGAGGTGGACGCCGCGAGGGTTGGGGCTTGGGGTACTTCGGTGAGTGCCGTGTATTCTAGGGGGACCTGGGTAGCCTAGGACCTGACCACGGGTGCATTATAGTGCGGGGAACGTGCTGTATACTGGTGCAGTGGATCGGAGAATCAAGGTCGTGCGTTGTCAGGTGGAAGTTTGGCAGGTGATGACGAAGGGGGTCCCAGGCTGATAGCGTCACTCGATGAGGCCAATGGTTGATGGATGGGACAACTTCAATCGTTTGATCCGATTCGACTTCCAGGGAGGCATGGAGCAGGCTTTTGCAGGGGATGAGTCTCATGGAAGCCCCGTCCGAGCGTCAACACTGACTCAAAGTTGACCGGTAGATCGACTGGGCAGGATGGCAGGACAAGAAGCCACGCGCATCCCCGTCGCCGATCCTACCAAGCAATTCTCCCTCTCTACGGCCGACAGCTGGCAGTTCTTCAGCGAATGGGAGAAGAAGAGCTCGTGGGTGAACGAGGTGACGCTGCGCGGCAATTTCCCCTCGCACATGATCCATCGCATCTCCCCGACGCCGTTGCTGATAATCATCGCCTACGAACGATGTGATCTGCCCCACCGACGTGTCTATCGAAGCCTACTCTCGCGCGCGCGAGCCGAAGGAGCTGCACATGTTGCCGGGAGGTCATTTCGATGCCTACGTTGAACCCAATTTCGAGCGGAATGCCGCAAGGCAGGTGGAGTTCCGGCGTAAGCACTTGTGCTCGTGATGGTAGTCCATGTTGGCGGAAGATCGCAGCTTCGTCGTTGTACCGATGTTTGTTGCTCCATACCAACCGGAGACTTACGTAAGACTCGAAGAAGATAAAGAAGCAACCCAACCGGCAAGCTTGATGCGTAAAGTCGATACCCAGTGCGTTGGATCAACAGCATGGTTCACTACCGCGATTACATGACGTCGAGGTCTAACAAGCAGCGGCATGTTAGCGGTCCCACGTTAGCATCGGCAAAGGCCTTGTTTGGCAGGTCGAAAGCTGGCAGCCTCGCATCCGCACGGCAAAGACCTCCTGAGGCCACTCGCTTCCTGCGCGACACCACCATGCCTCTCATATCGACATGGCATCAACCTTTTCTAGCTACTCTGATTTCACACATCGTAGATGCCGGCAACCTCCATGACTGCAGGATCGATACGCTTGCTTAGGCCCTTCCGCATTCGGCGTAAAGCTACGCTTCCAGTCGCTTGCCCTATGTTCGTCGTGGACAGCATGGTGGTGATGTCCAAACAGATGGGGTATAAAAGCGTGCTGCTGTTACCTTGAGCTCTTTCGATACCAAGCTTCTCGCAAATACATCAGATTCGCGATGATCTGCTCTCGAATCACTGGAGCGATGCTGCTCGGCCTCGTGTAAGTACACCTACAGTCCGACGCGGTCGGTGGCATGCTGAACCTTCTCGCAAGGGCCTTCGCCTCTGCGGCGCCGCTCGATGTCGAAGCGGACTACAACTCAACCATCGAAGCGCGGAACTCGCCGTTGACAATCACTCTGTATTTCGATGACCACTGTGGAGATACAGTCGGAGAAACGCCGGGCGGCGATCCGATCTCGAAGGTGCAATACACCGGAGACGACTCGACGTATATGAAGTGTCAGAAGAGCCTGCCCCCGGGCTTGCTCTCGTACAAGCTCTCGGGAGGCCCGACGTTGGACTGTGGCGACCCCGCTCAGCACGAGAGTAAGGTGTGGCAGGTGTTCAACGGGCCAAGCTGCAAGGGAGATGGCCAAGTCAACACCGACCAGTGCAAGGCTACAGCCTGTACGTCAGCATTAGAAGCAGACCCTCCCCCGAACAGTGCTGTCGATGCGATCCTGAGACATGTCTTGCGCATTGAGAATCCACCATTGTGGAATTGGGGTGTAGACGGACGTCTCTTGGATACAATTCTACACTCACTGCTTTCCACGATTCCACGTACGCATGCTGACTCTAAAATTGTAGGCACGAAATGCAGCCAGCCGCCGTTTGGCGATGGGAAATATTGCGAGTCGGTCGAATACACCCTGTACATTGCTCCGCCGTGACAAGGGCCCGACAACACACGGGCCTCCAGGGCTGACGAAGGATTCATGGGAGAAGGGCAGCCAGCTGCAGTCATTCATTCGTAGTTCCAGCAACGGGTGGTGCCCTTGGGAGGGTTGATATCGTGGATACTGACGCCGTATACATCATGCTGTCTTCGCTTTGTTATCAGACCTGTGGCGAGTATCGTCTGGTCCTATGCCGTACGTGTTTCAGCATGACGTTATCAGACCACGGTGATGATGATGGGATGGAATGGCGAGGCGAGGCAAGGCGGGTGAGATGAAGTATGGATGGGAGGATGGGCGACGTGAGGTTCAGTCCAAGCTTCGTGGCGTCGCGCTGGTCCGTGCTTGCAGCAGCTCCAACTTCATTTGTTCGCCAACACTTTCTTGCTTCGACTGCCACTCAGTCCACACATCCGATGCCGCGCTCACACCAGTGACCCCAATGTCAGCAAGTCGGGGCAAAGGTCCACAGCTCCTGGGGCAACACACCCTATCCCGTCTGCGAATATGTCCGACCACTGCCCGGCGGCGTCCAGCCCTCGATGACATGCGCTGCTTAAACGCACATTCACCTCTCCTCCCACGCACTTCACAACATCCTCTGTCCACGAGCGCACAATGGCAGGCCGCCGCCGCCGCCCCCGCGAAACAAAAGTCAGGGCTGGCGCTGCAGATGGAGAAACAGAAGGAGAAAATGCTGCGCGAGGGCAACCTGCCGGAAGACATGGGCTTGATCCCGGGCACCTTCATCATGCCGCGTAGCAAGAACCGCCCAAGCTGGACGTCGAATTACAAAGACCGTCTAAAGCTGGAGAAGGCGAGGGCGACAACCAGATTCACCGATCTAGGCGGGTACGTATGACAGACGGCTTTCGCAGTAGCTGCTCTCCGATCTTTCCACCCGACACTAACGAACCCTGGCGCAGCGCTTTTTTCTACCGATGGCTTCACGTCCGCCCGAGACCGCGACTCAACCTCCGCCAAATCCCCGATGCGGCCGTAGACCTGCACAACAAAGTGTACACGCAATTGGCGAAAGGCAATCTCGAACCCGTGCAAAACTTCGTCGTCCCCGGCTTCCTAGGCTCCCTCCGCGCCCGCATCGCACAACGACAAAGCGGCACCAGCCTGAGATGGGTACTGCACGAACACAAAACCAAACCGAAACTCGCTTCCTTCCGCGTGGCTATGTTCCCGCCCGGAACAGGGGAGACGAACAAGCAGCGCAAAGGCGCCATCCAGGCTGTAGTGCGGCTGCACACGCTGCAATCGCTGCAGCACGTGCGACTGCGGCCCACGCGCAAGGGCCAGCCGCCGGAAGAGGTGCTGGTGGATGCGCAGGGCAAGGAGCTGCCGCTGTCCGAGCAGGCGGAGGCGGAGGCGCGGAAGAACGCAAAGGAGCTGGTGGAGTACATCGTGCTTCAGAAGCTGATTAGGAATAGCCGAGAGGGCGCGTGGAAGGTGTGGGGCACGACGGACGAGACGACGCTGGACAAGGTGAAGCAGCTGGAGGCGAAGGCGAACCAGTCTGCGCTTCCGCTCCCGCGCGTGCGGCAAGGCTGGCGCTTTTTGGACTATCTGGGCATCTCCCGGCTATGGAATAGAATACGAGCAAGGCGCAAGGTAAGCAAGGAGGAAGCGGTATAAAGGATGTCGTTGATAGATGTACATTACTCATCGTCGAGGTTGTCTACCCTCGAACACCAGATCGTTTCACTTCAGTTCATTTCACAAGATCCGCCTCCTCCACCTCAAGCGACTCCAGCACCCGCGCCAACCCACTGCGCGCAACGCCCAGCTGCGTATCCGCCTTGACGCGACTATAAAACACAGGACAATCGCGAGAATCGCACTTGACCCGATCGCCCACGGGCAAAGACGCACAGCTACGACACATATCCTCGAGATCCGCCGCCCGCTTCTCTGCGCCCTGCAGTCTGCGCCGCAACGACAACAGCGACCGCTGAGGCTGCTCCTTCCGACACGACTCGCACAGCGGCAGGGGTAGAATCTCCACCGCAGGCGGCACAGGCATCAATTTCACCCGACACACCAGGCAAAGCGAACTGCCCATGTAGCTCTCCATCGTCTTGCGGGCCTTGCCTTTGCCTCCTCCCTCCATCTCGGCGCCCTCACGTGGCCCACCTAGCATGCGAATGCGCTGCACCTTTGGCATCTCATCGTACCACTGCCTGACGTTGGCGCCGACGAGATTGAAAATGCGCTCCAGAGGCGGAATCAAGTTTTTCGAAATGTAGTACTCGGCGTCCAGCTCGGCCTGCTCGTCGTACAGCAAGCGTTCGGGCTCAACGCAGCGCTCCCATAGTCGTGCGCCTGGCGCACCTGCGATTACGACGTACGGCACGCGCTCGCCGTACTGCGGCTCAGATCGCGGATCTTTGATCATGCGGCGGGTAGCGATGATGGCGCCCGGCGGAGCCGGGCCCTTATCAGCGTAAGAGCCGAGCTTGACCTCTTTGGCGAAGCAGAAGTCCTGCACGCTGATGCGGCCGGCCATGATTTTCGTGCATTGCTGTTGGAAGTAGCGCTTGACCTGGCTGAGGTCGGCGGTGCGGAAGAGGAGCTTGAGCGCCTTTTCTTCGATCTTCTGCTCGGCGGGCGTGCCGTCGCGGCGCACGGTTTCGATGCCCTTTGCGTCGAATTCCGGCTCGGTCTGTTTGGGGCTTTCGTACTTGAAGCCGACGTAGCGCTTTTTGGCGAGCAGGACGCAGGGGTGGTAGACCTTTTCGAACTTGAGCTTGACGGGACGCGGATTCAAGTCCGTCACGGCTTTGGCGATCTCTTCGCCGATCTTGAATGCGTCGTCCCGCGAGCGGCCTTTCAGGTACACGAACAAGCTGTCCGTATCGCCGTACACCACTTCAGCACCCCAGTCTTCTACACTATGAATCAGGGCGATCGCTTTTTCCAGCGTCTCACGCCCGGTCTGCACAATGCTGTCTGCGATCTCCGAACACGGCATGCGGCCCGAGAAGGAAGCAGAAGTATAGCCGTACGTCACATTGGCAATCAGCTTCAGCGCCAATTGTCGATTGTTCAACAGCTGCTGCAAGGTCCGGTCGTCCTTGTCGATTTTCATTCCCGATTTGACCATGACGCGCGTCTCCAGGATCTCGCCTAACATCTTCGCGAGCAGCGACTTTCGCATCTCTGGCTTCACATACATCAGACCGTTGGGAGCGATGTTCAACTTTTCCTCGACCAGCTCGAGTAGGCCCGGAGCGCGCTTGAAGTCGGAGAATCCAAGCTTGTTCGTTCCGCGCCAGTTCACAATGCGTCCAAGGCAGGTGGAGTAGCAGTAGTTGTAGGCAATCATGACACTCGGATACAAGCTCTGGAAATCCAGCACAAGCATCGGGCTACTGTAGAAGGCAGACTGCGGCTCCATCACCAAAGGGATGCATTCGAGCGCATTTTGAGCGCCGACCTGCTTCCTTGACGGCGAGACCAGCATGAAAGACTCGGGTTTCGCAATACGGAACATCAGCGACTCCACTTTGAATTGCGAGCCGCGCGAGAAGACGGAGAAGAAGTCCACGCCCAGTAAGCGCGCCTGTTCGGATGTACGCGGGATCAATTCGTTGGCGTCGAGGATCTCGAGATCGAGCGTGGTACGGCTCATGAAGTAGTCCAGAACTTTAGCCAGATCGCGAGGCTTGTTGCTCTGATACCAGCCCGTAAGCGTGGCGAAGGAGTAATGGGGAACGCGGCGATGCAAGAGATGGAAGACAATGTTCTCCATCGTGTACTGCAGCAGGTTCAGCTCTGATCTCATAGCGCGCCAGATGTTAATGGTGTGTCGGCCGGTAATGCGGACGGTGGATGTATGGGTGAAGCCCCAGCGATCGGCGTCCTTGCCGAAGCGGCCATGTGATTGTGACTTCATCCTTGAGAATTCATCCGGCAGGTTGAATTCGAACTGCAGTCTCGCGCGTTCGATGAGATAACCCCAACTGCCGTTATGCACCTCGAACCCAGTGAGCACGTCGGGGTCGTAGGCGCGAACGACGTCGACCATCTTGTTGATGATATCGAGTTCGTTGTCTTCGGCGTCGATGCTCACTCCATTACCTACAATGTGACGGACGCGCTCTGCAAGGTCCTCGTCGTCTCTGTTCAGCACAACAATCCCCATCTTCGTCTCTTCGTCCATGTCTTCGGAGGCGAGACACCACACGACCAGGTTTATTTCATCCTGCTCCGGGTCCGGTGCAAGTTCCCCGCGTGTGTTGACATGGACTTCCAAGCTCATGGTGCTCATGTATCCAGTCTCATGCTGCACGCTGGTGCTCGGCTTGTGCTGCGAGTACTTGAAGCCTCCCTTGTGCTTCTGCGTTGGACCATCGATTTGCGAGATAACGGGCATGGCAGCCGGCTTGGCCCAGGTGTCTCGCGCGAGTCTTTGTGTGGCTGGTGGGCCATCGACTTCGAGCTGGTCCAGATCGTCCACTTCGTCGACCTTCGGCGCACGCACCCAACGCTCAACTTCCGCAAAAGTGGGCGGCACATGCATAATCTCCCACGCCTTGAGAGTACAGCGTTGCCGGCGTCTCGACTCTGCTAGTTCGTCCTTGGCTTTTTCTGGAAGAAGGGGCTTCCTCGCTCCCGCGAGGCCCATTTTGTCGAACTCGGGTAAGAAAGGGAGGGTGTTGCTTTCAAGGATGAACTCCTGGCCTGCATATTCCCTAGCACGCTCTGGCACGTCTCTCTCGTTGCTATAGTAAGCATCTTGATAGACGACGGATGGTGTGAGCGTGCTTGTGACCCCTTCGAGGGAGGGTGGCAAAGCGCCGAACATCAAAACACTCGCATCGGAGCCGAGATTGAAGCGGGTCGCATAGACTTGTGTAAGCCGCGAGAGGACGAGCGGCTGCTCAGAGTTGGTCGTAGATGACGTTCTCTCACTCGTGGTAGAGTGTGACTTGTGCAGCCCATCAAAGGAGCTTGTCGTGCGGCTTCCCGAACCTTTGTCGGACTGGGCCTTCGTGTTCGAAGTTTTCTGGCTGGGACGATTGGCGTTTTCGGTGCTCGAGACTCCTTTGACTACGGGATAGTCCAGACGGCTACTCTGCGAGCTTTGCGACTGAGTAGACCGCTGAGAAGATGGCGGCAGTTGTGTGGAATGCATCCCGTTTGACAGCCTTCCACCTACTTTCGCAGATATGGCAGAACGTCCGGCCTCATCAGTTGCTTGCTCATCAGCCTTACGCTTCCCACGCGGGACGTCCTTGACGCGAAAAGCCACTTTCTTTGTCGACGTCTGCGTTTGCTCAATATCGAATCTGGCTCTTTTAAAAGGGCCTTGAGTGGCACTCGGGGCCGGACGTTTAAGCGACTGTGCACTCTCTTTGCGTCCAGCATCATGATCTGAGTCCACCGGGTGAACATGGTCAGGTTCGCTGCCGGCAACATCGCCTTTGTTATCGGCCGCTGTCTTGTCGGAAATGTCACCGATGACACCATCGTCCAGGGGAGGTCGTTGCGTAAGAGCCCTAGTCTTAGCAACTTCCTCGTCGCTGCCGTAGTCTTCTTCGTCAACAACCTCTGCCATGCCGCTCATATCCACCAAAGGCTCGTTCTCATGGCTGGTGCCGTTCGAACGTTCGACCCCCAACGTCAGATCGTCCTGCTTCTTCATCCTGGCCATCGCCGAGACCTGTGCATTTTTAGCAATGAGATTGGAGTGGAAGAGCTCTTCAACACTCTGCAACGCTGTATTCACTCCGTCGCCTTCGTGTGTTTGTGACAAGAAGTTGTCAAAGGTGATATTGCCACCAGCACGGGCCTGCTTTTCCTGATTCGCAAGCTCTCTAACCATTTCGCGAAACTCTTCCTCATGGATCCATCCGCCCTTGTTGTCGTTCCTTGGGTCCGCGCTCATGCTCAACAAGACTTCGGGTGGGAAAGGCGACGACCCCGGATCGGTAAGGCCCATTCGCTGCTTCCGTCGACGAGTTTGGTCTTTCCAAAGGCCCGCCATGGAATGAACCAGCTTTTCCTCGGGCGGAAGTTCTTCCATGGACGCCAGTCGTTCGACGAAAGACTGATGGAGGTCTCGAGCCTTGATCGAATGTCTGTTGAGGATGTCTTCGACCGTGAAGTCGAGCTCCAACTGGCAGTGACTCTGTCTCGGAAAGTCCGCTTCGTCGAGCATCAGCTCGTCGCCAATGGAACCATCGTGCCAGAGATGAGTGACATCGTCCAGGTCGTCTCTTGCAGGAACAGGAGAGCGGAAACGCGGCTTGTTGGTCTCCACAAAGGCGCATCCGTACAAATTGAAATCACACATCCACTGCAGGAGGTACTGCAAATGTCCTTCGTGAGGCTGAAAGGTCCTCTGCATCACCGCACCCTGAAGCAGAAGATCCGCAAGCCTGGTCATATGCATCGGGTTGAGCATGTATATCTTCAAGAAATACTTGTACCCGACGTTGTAGCCAAAGAAAGGCACGCCCTTGACCAAGCTGATGTACGCCACAAACTGCGCTTGGCGGGGCTCGGCGTAGGGATTGCGCCGATAGGACAAGGCAAGCGCATGGTCGATCGAATGTCGCAAGGTGGCAATGAACTGATCGACGCTATCTTGGTCCGGTGATTCGGTGTAGGGAACGTAAAGATACGGGAAGGCGCCGTGGATATGCGCGCACACCTTTTGTCCGGTTTCGGTGGCGCCAAAAACGCGAATGACGGGCACATGAGGCAGAGTGCTTCGCTGAGTTGACGAGAGAGCATTCGGGCCCCATAGCGGCGGGTCGAGAGATGTTGGAGCGGCCTGGTAATGATCTAGGCAGTTGAGACGCACGCGAAAGACGTCGTCTTGATTAGCCATGGTCGCGGAAGGTGCACACGTTGGTCATCGTCGCCACATCAGAGCTTCCTGGAGGTGACGGGCACAGGAGTGGAAAGGCGCGAAGTCTGGGCCGTTGCGCATACGGAGTGAGGAATGATTAGTTCATTTTGCCATCGACTTGTCATGTAAACAGCGAGGAGGACGCGCCTGACGTTGTGAGTTCGGGCGCGCGCGGGCCGAGCCACAGCTTTGCATTGGATGCCGCCGAGATCGCTTCACGTGGCAGCCGGATTTGACGTCACAAATACAATCGTCCTCATCAACATCTTCTTAAGTCCGTCAACTTGTGGAGCTGAAAGAAGAGAGAGTCCGCCCTCGGCGTAGGCTTATACTAACTCAGGACTCACCGTGATCGGAGTAGATCGACACATAATCAAACAGCGCGAAGCCGAACCTAGCATTCATACCGCAGAGTTGATATAAAGGACCGTTCCAACATGGCGACCAGGAGAATGCTACCAACCGTCCTTCGCCGATCTTCGTCCCTTATATACAGATCTCAAATCCCAACTCACCGACTATTTTCAACAGCACCCAGAACAATGGCCCCCTACCCAACCCGCGACGAAATCACGTCCATCTTCAAACACATGGAGACGGGCGAATACGACTCCACCTTTGCTCGCGTGCGGCCTAACGTCGACTGGACCGTGATGGGAACGCATCCACTGGCCGGCCACTACACAAGTCTCAAGGACTTCCAACAAGCGACTTTTGCGCGACTGGGGAAAATCATGAAGGATCCGGGGATCAGGCTGATGGTGCGGAATGTGATTGGCGGCGGGGAGCAGGAGTGGGCGACTGTCGAGTTGGTGGCGAAGGCGGAGTGCAAGAATGGTGTGTATTGTGCATGACATTGCATTTTCGTCTTGCAGGGCGGCTTCGGCTGACGGGATAGCAGGATTCAAATTCGACAATACGTACGCCTGGTGTATGCGCTTCGACGACGAAGGTCAGGTGGCGGAGGTCCGAGCATACCTCGACAGTGAGATGGTCAAAGAAGCAATTGAGGCGAATGAGGGCGGCGCACCAAAGAGTAGCAGAGCTCCCGTGCCGCAGTTTTGATGGAGTGTAAATGTCATATCTTGACAATGCGTCCGAGAAGACGAAATGTGCGGAGGCGATACACCCAATCATACCAGCAAGATATCATAGCCGTCCTTGTGGATCCGCACCACCTCCTCGTCCTTGCTATACTTCCTCCTCAGAATCTCAAAAACAATCAAGCCAGCGCTCGTGCTAGGAACCTGGCGCAGAGTGCCCAGAAGAAAGTCGGCATATAGCCACCGCCTTAGACCTCCCGCTCTCCTCCCGAGAGCAGCACATTCCTTGAACGTCTTTCGGTACGCCGAGGCATAAAGCTTGAGGGTGTTGAGTCTGGATGTTCTCGGGATGCTTGCACTGTGCGAATCGATCCATTCCAATCGGCCGTAGTGCACGTCTTGGATACGAGTGATGGGGTGTTGAATGGTCGATTGTGATATGGATGCCGCTGCCCCTGCGAGAAGTAGAAAGGTAGGCTCCAGCATGTAATGCGGTTTGATCTCCGGACGGCGGCCACGGTAATTTTCCTGCGCCTCAATCCGGTTTTGTTGGAACAGCGACAGCTTGTCGTAAAAGCCGTAGACGTTGCTAACGAAACCGTAGAAACATTGCCCCTTGACGTACTCGAACGCGGCGAAGAACACTCCGAATCCGAAAGCGTCGCGAACGAACGACAGAGTCCATCCAGCAAACACCCCGCGCGGACCGATGTCTCGAGTCTTATCCAAAGCATAGTGCCACATATTGCGGTACTTGCCCTCCATCATCTCCGCGGCTTGGAAGCGCACCTGCAGCGCATCCAGAGGCGCCGCGATGAGACTCTGGATCGAACCGGCGATGAAACCGGCACTAAAAGCGGTGCTAATCGGCGGCGGGGGGTACACTCGCTTCGTTGGTCGGGAAGAGGGCTCATGCAACAGGCCTAACACATTAAGATAGGATGTGTACAAGACGGCTCCCACCGCGGTATTTGCGAGTAGTGGGGGTAGCAGTTGATTCGGAATGAAGCCCCAGCCGTGAGTCTTGACCGCATGCGCCAGAATGGCCGGAGATGTCAAGCGCCAGGACCAGTTTTCTCCAGCTTGGACTCGCGGGTTGATCGCGCGCGCATACCCCATGTAATCCACCCGAGCCCGAAAGAAGGCCTTCACGGGAGCACGGAAGTAGAAGGCGAACATCCTCGCACTGAGCGCCCGCATTGTTGCCGCATACGTGCCGGTGGATGCATTCTCATGCCTTTTCGATTTCGCCAAAGCATCCTCTGCTCCCTCGCGGCGCGCTGCTGGCGGCGGTGGTGCGCCATTGCCGGCGTTCATCGTCCACGAGCGGGCAAGTCGGGTTGGCGAGCATCATAGCGTCATCGCCTACTCATGCACAAGTCTCGCATCCTTCCCGATCTTCCAACTTGACAATACGCGGAAGGAGATGCATGCAAGGAAGTCGATGAACCTGCAGTGCAGCGTTCGGCCGCCGGCACGTGTTGCAAATTGCCGATATGGAAGCTTGGACCTCTCTAAAGCTTAGGTAACGTTAACTCCCTTCGACTCTTCTCGAAACACTCGACTCACTCTCCAACCTACGTCCATCAACACCGCGCATCCGGCTACCAAACACCTCACGCACAACCACATCACCTCCAAAACAATGCCTCGCCAATCCCGCGGCCCAGCAAGGGCCCCCTCCCGTCCCACCGCCGCGCCAGCCCGCCCCGCTCCTCCGCCACAGCAGCAACAAACCCGTCCGGCCTCGAGCGCCGCCTACCCGCCCGCAACGCAACAGCCGGGCGCGCGTCCAGGCCAACAGCAAAGCCAGGGCTCCGGATTGTTTGGACAAATGGCCAGCACCGCCGCGTGAGTCCCCCACATCCCCATTTCCAACTCGGGAGAGCTGAAAGCTGACGTTGCTTCGTGTAATAGTGGTGTAGCAGTCGGCTCCTCCATCGGCCACGCACTAGGCGGCTTCTTCGGCGGGGGTAGCAGCGCCGCCGCTCCGGAGCAGCAGCAGGAGCAGGCCCTCTCGCAGCAGCAAGATCCGTACAACACTTCGTACCAGCAGCAGAGCCAGGGTGCGGCGTGCGGCGCGCAGGTGGCGAACTTCCGGCAGTGCATGGATCAGAATGGCGGGAACTTGACGATCTGCGGGTGGTATTTGGATCAGCTGAAGGCGTGCCAGCAGGCTTCTAGCCAGTATTGAGTAGGGGAGGATGTGTAGAAAGAGAAGCTTGTGAATAGGAGGACGGATGTAGAAGTATAGAGCGACTCTCTGCTCCGAGATTCTTAGACCTACACAGCGGTGGTTCGCTTCCTCTCTAATTCTATGTGCGTGTGCCAGGCTGGCGATTGAATGGAGTTCTGATGAAACCCACCTGTCCACACCGAAGATATGAAAGTCCATACACTCTCGCAAGACAGAGAACGCTGATATCGGGTATCGCTACGCCGCTAAAAGACATGCCATCCAATCAAAGCAAAGCAAAGCAAAGCAAAGCAAAGCAAAGCCCATACGAGAGGAAGGAGAAAAGCGACTGCCTCGCGTTACCGCCAGAGTCGCTTCCCAGAGAAGGAGTCCTGCCCTTCGCTGATTTTCCCCTGTTGAACACCATCGTCGATCATTAAAGCCTCATTAGTCGATCCACTCGCTCACGTCCGTCTCCCGTCCCCTTCGCACGTCATCATGCAACCCATATCTCTCATGCTAGCCAATTTGCCCTTGCCCAAGACACACGTGACTCAGGAATGAGGCCATCAACTCCCCAACACCCTCTCCGCCTTGGACAATCCCAACCCCGCCCCACCAGAAACAATCCTCGGCATAGACCCGCCCACCCCCTCCCCCGAGAAGGCACGACTCGTCAGCCCCTCCCTCGGCACAGCAGCAACGGGCGTCACGCCCCCCTTCACCCTCTGCTGTTGCCCGGTCGGGGGCGGTAGGCTCTTCAGGCGCGAGGTGCGCCAGCTCTCGTACCACTTGGTGCGGCTGAGATCGCGGAGTTCGGTGCGCCACTCGTTGAAGATGCTGTCGCGGAGGCGCGGGAAGTCGCAGTGGGTGGGGTCGTAGGGGTCTGCGAAGCCCCAGGGGAAGCGGCGGCCGATTTTGTTGTTGCTGATGTTGCTGCCGTTGAGGTGAGGATTCGACTTGGAAGGTGAACCGTCGTAGGGGTCGGGGGAGATGATGGACATGGGAATGTAAGGCAACTCGTCGTCGCTGGATTTGATGTTGGCGGAGAGTGAGGATTGGCGTTTGTGGGAGAGGGGAAGTTTCTTGAATTTCGACGCGGGCGAGGTTTCGCTGTCGCTGGAGCTGCCGTCGATGGCGCTGTCGACTCCCTCACTCCCGGGGGTTGGCTTCTCGTTTTCTTCCTCGTCTTCTTCCAGGAGATCATCGTCGACTTCGAGCGCTTCGAGAGGGTCGAGCCCCGCTCCTTTGATCGTGTCCCATACGGCGCGCTTCAGGAACGCCACGTGTCCAACGGTAAGGGTGTCTGCCTTGGAGATGACCGGGATGACGGTGGTCTTGCCCCACAAGGCACGGAGGACTTGTAAATCGAGATCGTCATCCAGACCAATCCTGTTGGCACCATTGGATTGCGGGGTGGTAGACGCGGCGAGGGTCGCATCCAGTCGGATGGGATCAAGGACGAGAAAGACGCAGTGGATGTGAGTGTCCCTCACCCCCGTGCTCCTCACCACCTTCTGCTCTTCAGCAAAGGTCTCTTCAAACTTCGACTCTACGAAAGCCGTCATTTCGCGGAGTTGCAGATCGACAATATTCTTCTCGAGGCCGGCGGAGTCCCAGATGGTGACACCAATACGTTCACCGTCAATGTCGGACTCGAGATAGTGAGGAGTGAAGGAAGATTTGGCGACGGAGTGGCCGAGCGTTGGGTCGGGAGATGAGGGGCCACGGGCTGGCGGGGATGTGAGGGCGTGGCGCAGGAGCAAGATGAAGGAAGTTTTGCCGCTGTTCTTAGCACCTATGATGAGGATGCTGGAGAGCAGAACCGGTCAGCTGTGCAGATGTGCAGGAGAAGGTCGGTCACTCACTTGAAGGAGACGGGGTCTTTCCGTCGTCGGATCCTGCGGGGGCTGCTCACGTTACCACTGACAACTGAGCTGGCGTAGGAATAGCGGCCGCGATGGGTCATGCTCTCGGTGCGGGCCATGGGGTTGTCAACAACGTACTCGCCATTAGCCCTGGCTCGGGGGTCGGATGACGGTGAGGAGGAAGAGAGCTGGCCGGATCGAGCGAGGGCATACGCCGGCGAGCTGGACGAGTGGAGGGAGGAGGGGGTGGACGAATGCATGGCGAAGGCCGGTCGGGAGAAGTTGGTGGGTCTGGAGGGAGAAGCGGGTTGACGAGGGGAGCGAGGGGAGAGAGGTGGAGCGTCTTCACCACCAAACGTGTCGATGCCGGGGAGAGGCTCGGGGCGAGGCAAGGAGGGCGCGGGTTGACTCATGCGGGCCTTGCGTTCCATCTCCAGCCGCTCCTCCTCCGCCTTGCGCATCCTGCTAGTCTGTTGCGAATGTCAGAAATCACCTTCGCTTGCCATAGATGTGGGATGTGCTCGTACTTTCCGAAGCATACTCCTTCCTTCCACAGACACCTTGCGCGCAGCGCTGAACGAGCTCTTCCTTCCTGTTTCGGGGGATGTTTGCGGGGTGAGCTGGGGGGAGAGATACGCAGTCGGCAAGGGCGGTGCGTCGTTGTCAGGCGGGGGTGGGGAAGGAAGGTGGTGTTGCGACTGGGAGCGGGAGTTGGAGGACGAGCGCAGGCGGAAGATCTGCTGGGTGAAGCTGTTGGCCCGTGATCGCGGCTTTCGCGCACTTGCGGCGTCGGAGTCGTTTGCAGGCGCCGCAGCTTGGATCGATGAATACGGCACGGAGGGGATGGCGGGCGGGGGGCGATGGGAGACGGAGTAGTCGGCGCGCTCTGGAAGCTTGTCGGCGGTGCTGAGAGCGGCCATCCTTTCCCCCTACAGCCTCGCCCCTAGGCTCCTACCGCGTGTGTGGTTGTGGTGTAACGTGAGGTAATTGCACCTGCAGGGTTGGCGTGCACTGACTCGATGAGGTTGCCCGGAAGGAGCGTCACATGGATTAGTAGTTGGGAAGGTACGGTCGATCAGGAGCAAGATGCCATTGAGGGTGGTGCGGACGAAAGGACACCCTATTCCACGCCCTTGGAAGAGAGCAAACTAGAGGAAAGGCCACGATATCTACCGTGACACCCGGCGATCGTCATGGGCTTTCGTGTTTCACCGTTTCCCGTCACACTGACAGTCGGAGAGTTGTCAGGCGCCGAACCAAGAAACTATAATTGGAGGCCGCGCCTAATTTAGCTTTGGCGGCGCGTCTGAAACGCGTACTCCGCATTTTGATCCGCGGGGTAAGACATACAACCACTCTATATATCTTCCTATCTACATGTATGCTATATGGACGGTAGCGAGATGGCGCAACGACTCCCGCATCCACCGGTCAGCCGAGAGAAATCACCTGCCACGCAGAGCAAGTCACGCGGCCTGAGTGCAATGCCACCGATCAAGCCTGCGATGGATATAAACCCCGCGCGATCTGCTCGCTCGCCCGTCGCTGGTCTTCCAACGCCGATTTAGACTTGGATACAACCGTCATGGCTACGAAGGCGAGCATCTTGAGCATCATGTAGCCCTGCGGCGATGCTCGGATGGGAGAGTCGTCCGGGCCCACCAGTCCAGCCAGTTGCTGCACGGAGAGCAGCATGCTCCGACACGACGTCTGAATTCGGTCTTGCTGGCTGCGAATCTCCGCCATCTGCGCTGTGCTGACTTTCCTCTCCAGTGTTGACAAGCTCAGGAAACTGAGGAGCTCGACGATGGCCTCGCGCACCATCAGCTCGCCCGCGCAGTACAAATGCCACTGCGACCGGTACCAGAAGGTGCGGAACACGCGCTTCTGCCAACCCGCTGCGCCTCGAAGTTGCGGAAGCGGCAGCGAAAGAATTTTGTGCAGTGCGGTCGTGTCTTCTTGTGGTCTCCATGCGGCGGGGAACTGCTTCTCTAGCTCCTCAATCGACTCCGCCAGATACAGCCCCTGGCCCAGCAATCGCTTGGCGCAGGCTCCTTTCGTTACTGGATCTACACCGGTGACTCGATTGAATTTCCGCACGCTCGTACAGAAACGGGTCATGTCGTGGATCTTCGCCGAGGCCGCCAGCCCAGGATCGCCGGAGCTCAGACAGGCGTGCCAAGCATCCTGCGTCGGTGTCGAGTCTTCACCGAGTGCAAGCTGCCGCGCTTGAAGACGAAGGTGAGCGCTATTCCGGAAGCCCGGGCGCATGGTACCACACAGCTGCTCGTCTGCACGCACGCGCAAGCTATGCAGAATGGCCGCGCTGTGCGATCCCAAAGGTTCCTTGCGCCCGAGAAAAGTCGACTAGTCACACCAAGTCAGCGAACCTGCTCGAAAAGGGGCCTCGCGCGGATACAGGGTCGCATCACGGTCCAACACACCTCAAACGTATCCACTAGCAGCAAAGAAACCAGCGTGTCATCGCCAGCAAACGCCCGGGCGTTGCCCGTCAAATCTCGCAACCCGCTCAACGCCTCGCCATAGTAGTGCAATGCGCTCGGCGAGTCGTGGATCAAGCCGCGACGGCTCACATGCGCGAATGCCAGAGCTTTGAGGGCGCGGCTGAGGATTGAGCCCGGGGCGGTGGCTGAATACAGCCTGGGAAGTTCGTATTCGTGTCCTTCCGACGATGAATCATGGCGCTTGAGAAGGAGCCAATCGTCGAAAAACCGGTGGACCGCTTGGCTTGCCGCATCTGTACGCGGTGGCTCGGGAATGGCGGTGACGGCTTCCTCGTGGGGCCAAGCATGGGGTGGCCCCTGGTTGTGTGCACCTTCGGGACCCTCGTTAGGCGCAGTACCATCGGCATCGGTCGTGGCGGCAGGAGCAGAAGTAGCGGAGGCTACACTTGCCGCTTCTATATCCAACTCCACGTGCTGTAACCGCTGGCTCCGTCGACTGCCACGACGCGCTCGTTCTGAGCCGCGACGGGCGGCTTCGTTCTGGTTGCGGAAGATGGAGTTGCCGCTAGAGAAGCTGTCCAGGCCGGTGCAAACAAGGCCGCGGGTCGCGCATCGATCGCAGGTTGGATATACGCCATCGCACTGTGCGAAGACGACGAATGAGTCAGCAGATTGCGGTCCATTGGGAAGCGGGCTTGAGCTCCGAAAGCTCAGGCACCTAGGTAGGTAAGCAACTGTGTTGTCGCTTTTCACACGTACCTTCACCTTGATCGCTCGACACGGGTCGCAAGCTCTACTTGACCGCAGTAAGGGAGGCATATGGATCACAACAGGACTCAAGTGTATCTTCTTTCCACATCATTGAATCTCCCCTGTCGGACATCGCCTCTCTGCTCGGTCGGTAATCCAAGCTATCCGTAGCGGACCGTAAAACGTTGCATACAACAGCGATGGACCGCAGCCACCGCTATGTCCAGGACGAGATCGCCAACCGCCGAAAAGCCCACAATCTGCTGCAGCGACACGGCGGTCAAGGAAGCACGGTGGAAACGATGGAAGACTCACGAGTGCTGCTGGAATTTGCACCACTTCCAGTATACATGCGCAAGGCAGCCTAATAAGCGAATTCGATTGGGTAAGCAGCTATAGAAGGAGCGACTTCCGCTGATCATTCGCTTTTTCACGCCCTTCACGCTTCCCAGAGGGTCTATTAGGGTCAGACGCTTCCGTATGTGCACAGCGGCGATCCCACTAGACCCGGCGTTTTCTCGGATTTTGGCAAGTGATGCTCTTCAACGATTGATTTCACCGGCAAAATATATGCAATCGATTTTCCAAAACTGATAGGGCTCTAGATTGCACCTCGAAGTGGCTTCTGGACTGGTTTTTAACCCCCTTCAGGGCTCTGGGGCGCCACTTTCTGTCGTTGTTCAAGACCGAATTCATGCCGCGCGAGTGTGTATGCGCTAGGGAGCTGAGTGATTTGACCCTAAGTCGTCCGGCTTCGCTTTTATAGACGTTGCCTATTGCGGTATGCAGCCGTAGCGTCGCCGCGAACCACAGCGGAGCGGTGATTGGCAAGTCAGCCGAGTTGTCAGCCTGAGTCCAGTGCACGGCTGAGGCTACAGTAGATACCTTACGGTACCTGTGTCGATGCATGCCTCATACGACATCCCAACAAAGGATATGAGGAGTTTCAGGAAGTGCGCGGGAGCCTCTGTGGTGGTCGGATCAGGTACTTTCAGTTTTTTCCCTTTCCCTGCCTTTCGACTCTTCCTCTTCCCACCTTCGCTCTTCTCGGTGCACAGATCAACACCGCTCCAAAATGGTCAAGTGGTCGAGGTTCTCTCCCACAAACAAGACGTTGGACAAGCGTTATCGCCATCATGCAACAAGGGACAGCTACTGGGACGGAAAGCGTCGCAAAATCTTCATCTCCCTCCTCGTGCCTTTCTTCATCATTCAAACGCTCTTCATCGGCTTGCAAGCGTACATTTACGGGGTGGCCTTCCACTCGACCTCGAGCGCGCACAACCTTCGCACCATAGCAGTGGACTATGACGGCGGCATCGTCGGTCAGTCGATGCAGGAAGCGTACCATCTTTTGGAAGGCCCGGGGTTCATCGGACTAGAATGGCACGACGCGTCGGAGTATCCCACTCCGGATTCCATCTACGACCGAGTGTTCCAGGGCGGCAACATCTGGGCCGGCGTTTACGTCTTCTCCGGCGCTTCCGATCGTCTGGCTGCCGCCCTTGCTGATAACACCACTGCCCAGTCCTACAACAACTCCGGAGCCATCGGCGCGGTGTACAATCAGGCTCGGTATCCCGACTTTGCCGATGCGTACGTGATGGCGGATCTGGAAGAGCTGGTCATCACGTCGAGATTGGTGTGGGACGAGATCAATGGGACGAAAGCCTTGACTTCCATCCCACACGACCACACCGCCTCGCTAGCGGTGGCACTCAACCCCATCGGATCGACCGTCCACAACATCAAGCCGCTGAACGACGGGGTGGAAGTGTTCTACAACACCGTCGGACAGGTCTTCACCATCCTCATGCAATTCTTCTTCCTCATGGCCTTCAACACCCTCCTCCGCGACTGGCAGCTCGATTCCAAACTGCCCATCAAGCACTACGTAATCATGCGCATCCTCATCAGCCTCGTGTATACCTTCGTCGGCAGCCTGCTCGTCGCGCTCAACATCTACGCCTACCGCGGCAACACCACCTTCTCCGGCGCCCAAGTCGTCCTCCTCTGGATGGCCTTCTGGCTCGGCCTGCACGTCATCTTCCTCGTCATGGAAATCGCCACCACCTTCCTCCCTCAGAAACTCCTCCCGCTCTTCATCATCACCTTCATCATCGCCAACGTCTCCTCCGCCGTGTTGCCCTTCGACCTGAGCCCGGGCTTCTACAGATGGGGATACGCGCTGCCCTCGCGCAATGTGTACCAGCTGGAGATCACCATCATGAGCGGCGGCGCGAACAACTCGCTCGACGTCAACTTGCCCGTTCTCTTCGCGTGGGAAACCATCCTCATACCCTTGGCCTTCTTCTCGACCGTGTGGCGGCTGAACAAAGCGGTGGAAGCGGACCAGGAGGTGCAAGAGTTGATCAAAGCAGATCAAGAGCGGGATGTGCAGACGGAAACGGAGGCGTCGAGGCGGCGACGGTTGGAGCTGGCGGAGTTGGCGAGGGGTAATTTGCAGGATGCCGCGCGTGGGACTTTTGGGCTTGGCTTTCCGGCTCCGGGGCCGTACAATTCGTATCGAGAGGAACTGCGGAAGGGAGAGGAGGTAGCCGAGGAAGAGGTCGAGGCAAGGCTTGAAGCTGGTGCGGGTGGGGAGAGTCGGGGCGCGAAGACCGATGAGAGCGCATCCAATGAGTGAGGGGATAAGGTGGGAGCAATGAGCCGTCGGAAGTCAAGACTGATTGAAAGGTCTTTGACGATGGAGATCTCACCGTACTTGGTTGAAAGGAAGGGAATGGTCGATATTCGCTCGGACATTGCAACATTGCAGAATGTATGCTGCTTCGGGATGAACGGTACAGGCAACAGGCACAATCAAAAGTAAGGCAGAAGGCACTCGGTGCATCATTATCGGCATGGTGGCGGTAGGCCATGAACGTCTATTTGGTTGCAATCGCATCAGGCTGTGGGCTTGAGTTCGAACTCCACAACATGCGCCTCTACGTCATTGATGCGACTACCAGCCATGAATTTTGTTGGCCGTAGATCGATAAGGTACCTTGTCAGCTGGGAGGATTGAACAATATTATACCATGCGGTGTCCACGCTCCAATGTGTCTGTTTTCTTCAATGTGGCAAATTGTAGGGTAATGACCCAGGCCGTTCTCCCGTAATACCTCACTTTTCAATCAACCAAAATCGCTTTTAGCACAAGCAAACCGCAACAACAACGCCTCTGAGCCATGGCGTCGAAAGATGGCTCCGCCGAAGACAAGGACCCCGAGCAAGGGTTAGACCAAGAAGAAACAAATGCTGCTGCGAAGACGATTCAAGTGCGTACAATCAAAAAGTCTGGGCAACATCCGCTCGTTCGATTCTAATCCTGGCTCGTCTGCAGCGCAACTACCGTGGCTATCGGAGTCGAAGGGAGATGAATGGATGTGGAATGAGTGCGGCTGGAAGGTGGCGCGAGGTGTTGAAGGATGGTGAATATCTCCTCCCTGCACCCTGTCATGTTTGATCGGCTTACACCATCGTATAGTGCAATTCCACAATTTGACGTCTGCTGGGCCGAGAGAGGGCCATAACGGCTCGTCATCGACCAAGTGGAAGAAGGTGTTTGGAGTGGCATCTCGGGCGGGTGACTCCAAGAACGATGACGACAACGACACAGCAGATGAGTCTTCAGGCAAGTTTGAGTACTGGAAGAAGCGATTACGTTCGGAAAAAGGCCACTCGGAGTACTCCAAGGTCATGGGGTTGGAGTATTGGCTTGAACTGGTAGACAAGAAGCACCGATACGGCTCGAATCTGACCAAATATCACGCCGCCTGGCAAAACGCCGACACGCAGGAGAACTTCTTCTATTGGCTGGATGAGGGAGATGGGAAAGGCGAGGACCTTGAAGAGTGCCCGCGAGAGAAGTTGGAGAAGCAGCAGCTGAGCTATCTCACGCGAGAAGAGCGTTATGAGTACATGGTTGAAGTGGGGGATGATGGCTTGTTGCGGTGGGCGAAGAATGGAGAGAAGGTCACGACTTCCGCTCCCAATGACGATAACGATAAAACGGAGACCGAGACGCACAACCATATGACGGACGACTTGCACAACGCAAGAGGCATCATACAATCAGCTGGACAAACGATCCCCGCCCCGCTGGCCAAACTGATCGAGATGAATCAAGACAAAGCCAGCTGGATCTTCGTCATCGACACCCGCTTCCGCATCTACGCCGGCGTCAAGGAGTCAGGCACTTTCCAACACTCCTCCTTCCTGCAGGGCTCCCGTGTCCTTTCCGCCGGCCTCATCTCCATCCAAGACGGCCAGCTTCGCAGCCTCTCACCCCACAGCGGACATTACCGCCCCACGGCCGAGAATTTCTGGATCACGGCCAAGTGTTTGGAAGCAGAGGGAGTGGATATGAGCCAGGCGAGTATCGCCGGCTCATATTACTTTTTGAAAAGCGCCGAGACGTACCGGGATGCGGTCACGTGGATTCAGGGGCTGATGCAGCGGGAGTAGCTGGGTCGTCTTGTGTCCTGTTGCGGTAGCTGTAGATCGACTGCTATGTGTGAGAGGATACAGAAGAAAGAAAGGCGACGTGAAGAGGCGAGACGCATCCATCGATAATGCCTTGCGGTAAAGAAGCTTCCGCACTGTCCCAAAGCAGTTAAGCTGGCCTGCCCGCTCAACGTCGGTGCATAGCCGCGTCTCCAAGACTCATGCATCATCTCATGAACTGCGGGGATCCCCGGAGCTACAATAGAGTGAAAGCGTCGACTTCGCAGTACTTCGAATGGCCAATGCTGCAGATGGACAAAGGGATGCGCGAGAGCAGCAGGCCAACTCGAAAACTCCGCTCTTGCAGCGCAATCGCCACGATGCCGAGCACGGTAATGCCACCACTACTGGCGATGCGGCGAGTCAATCTTCCGGCAATGAATGGGAAAGCGACGAAGTGAATAATCCGCAGAACTGGAAACGATGGTACAAATGGACGCTGGTCATCCTCGTCAGCTTTATCGAGTTTCTCACGTAGGACACCGACGTCCATGCCTCCCTCCGATCACGATACGATGCTGATGTTCATAGGACCATGCCGAACTTCATGTATGCGCCGGTAAGACACTGCTCTGGCATTACATTGGCCGTACGGATTGTGGACGTCTACTAACACTCCCTGCAAGAATCTCACGGACGCAGAAGAAGACTTGAACACCACCAACGATACGCTCGCAACCTTTTCTCTCACAATCTACATCTTGGGCTTCGCATTGGGCCCGCTCCTCTTCGGGCCGTTAACTGAGGTATACGGTCGAGCGCCAGTGTATCGCTTATGCCTGGTCGCTTTCCTCTGCATGACCCTCGGGTGAGCCGCTCCTGCTTTCGCGTGCACGATACGGTGCTCACCCAGTGCGCAGATGTGGCCTGGCCCAGAATATTGAGATGCTCGTGGCATTTCGCTTTCTTGCTGGAAGTTTTGGCGCTGCTCCTGTGGCGATTGGAGGCGCTGTCGTTGGAGACCTTTTTGTGGTGGAGGAAAGAGGTCGAGGTATGCGATCTTCGCCGATGTTAATTTGTTACTGGCTGACTGGGCGAAAGCAATGTCCATCTACCAGGCTGGTCAAATCATCTCGGCCGTCGTAGGACCACCCATTGGCGGCCTAATCGGAGCCTATCTGGTTTGGAGATGGGTGTTCTGGATTGTCTGCATCCTGGTGCGTGCCTTGCTCCCAGGGAAGTGTACCGTCTCTACATCATGAGTCTAACCTGTATACAGGCAGCTCTCGCGCTCATTTGCTGCGTGTTCATCCTCCGTGAGACGCATCATCAGACCTTGCAACGCAAGTTGGGCTCAAAGGGTGGGCCAGGAGAAGACGCGGCAGGCGGTCTTGCCAGCGTGCTCAAGGACGCTCTCATGCGACCCGTGCAAATGCTCGTCCGATCCCCGGTCGTCTTTGCCGGCTGCATCTTGATCTTCGTCGTCATCGGACTGTTGAATGTCTTCCTGACGGAGCTGAGCAGGACAGTGCAGCAAGTCTACCACGTCAGCTCCGGCCAATCGGGGACAATGTATCTCGGCCTTGCCCTGGGGTTCGTTGCTGCGTCGGTGTTGTTTGGCTTGACGAATGATAGAATCATGGCGGCATTGACGAAGAGACATGGAGGCGAGACAGAGCCGGAGTTCAGGTTGCCGGCGACCATTGCTGCAATGCCGGTGAGTCCACTTCGCAGTGCGGTAACAGAGAAGAGGTCTTGCTAACATAGATCCAGATCGTCGTCATCGGGACGCTATGGTACGGCTGGACACTCGAGCGACGAAACTCCTGGATCGTCCCCATTATCGGCAGCGGCGTGGCCGGTCTAGGAATCACCACCGTCCAACTCAGCGTGACAACGTACATGATCGACTCCTTCGACACCTTCTCCGCCTCGGCACTAGCAGCCGTGACGATGGCGCGGTCCGTCGGCGGAGCCATCTTGCCCCTTGCTGGACCGCCTCTGTTCAAGGCTTTGGGCCAGGGCTGGGGCAATACCATTCTCGCGGGACTCGCTGCTCTCTGCAGCGTACTTCCCGTGCTCATGTACATATTTGGCTCACGGTGGAGGGCGATGTTCTCGAGCGAGGATTTGATGAATTAGCTGGTCTGTCTTCTACGCCTTGCGCGTACATTTCAAGGTTTGATCACAGTCAGTTTTGCAAGGCCCCTGGCACTGGCAGCCCCATCCCACGCTTCCTTCCACTGCTCGAGCGGATAAATCCCATTGAGCTCGCCCGCATTCAGATCCAGCGAGCCCGTCTCCACCAGCTTGAAGAGATCGTCCACATCAGTACGCTGATACATGTACGTCCCTTGAACGCGGATGCCATGGTTCATAATCCACCCATACGGAATCGACACATCTACGCAAATCTTATCGTCAGCACATACGTTCTTCGCCATCGACGTCCAGAGGCCTCACCATCGCGATACCCGCCCATGAAGCTGATTCGAGCCCCATGCTTCAGCGCCAGGATGGCGGATTGGATGTGCGTGCTGCGAGAAGCCTGCGGCGGCCCAATCTCGAGCAGAGCGTCAATGCCGCCTATCTCTGTCAACGCAGCCACTTCGTCCTGGACATTGCCGGTGATCTGCACGGTATGCAGACGCTCGGGAAATGGCACGTGGGTCTTCAGGGCCGCCAAGAGCTGCTCGTCTCGGCCCATTGCAATCACCCGGGCGCCCATGGCTTGAGCGCAGAGCACGCCGCAGCCGCCGAAGCTGCCAGTCGCTGGAGCGACGAGCACGGTTTCGCCGGCTTGGAGGTTGACGGCCTTCAGCCCGCCGAAGGGCACGAGGAGTAGCGCTGCTAACGCGAGCTGCTCGACTTTGTAGCCTAGGCCTCCGTGTGCGGCATCGCCGAGCAGCCTGGTCTCGTTCAACACGTGCAAGTTTTCCAGCGGAGTCCGGCAATACTCCGCAAAGGACCCGTTGCCGAAATGCTCCCTCAACTTCTTTGCACTTTCGGAAAGAGTAAAGGGGACGGCGGACAGATAGGTGTCGGCGGGGCTGTCGCGAGAACGGATCACGCAGTCGAAGAACACGAGGTCGCCTTCTTTCGCGCGAGTGCAGTCTGGCCCGACGCTCACCACCCGACCGATTGCCGAGGTGCCTGGAACCATTGGACTCGGGATTGAGAAGGGTCGACCGCCGGTGTAGACGGGTTTCATGAAGTTCGTGGTGGCGGCGGCGAGGATGCGGATGACGGCGGTGCCGTAAGTGGGCGATGGGATCGGGAGGTCTTCGACTGAAGGAGGCTCGGCGGTGGAGCGGAGGACGAGGGCTTTCATGGTGGCGGATAGCTGACTTGTGGAGGCCATGGTCGTATCTGCCAGAGACGAACATCTTGAGCCGCCGTTCCACCCCTTTTATATATGCCGAACGACTTGCAGTACCAATGGCTTGCTTATGCGTATGGCTGCCAGGTCACGGATTTTGCACGGCATTAGGGGGGCAGTTCGCCTTAAGTCCTGCGCTACAGTGTATGTTCATGGTGCTGGTGACAGGGCCTCAGACATCCCGCGCGGCTCTGACGATCGCCCAGGATGGATGGCTCCACCAACAGGGCGGAAATTCCACTCTTTGGAGTCGAGCTAGTTGTACAGCACATTCACTGCGGCTCGCAGAGGCCAAAAGTGCGTCTCCTCGGTGTGCAAGGCTAAGGACGGGACAGAGGAAGGAAACGCAGAAGACAGCAGCGCAAGGCTAGGCCTTCTCGTCAACGACTCACCCAGAGTCGACAGAAATCGTGCCTAGCGAACAGGTATCGCGCAGGAACACGTGAACGTCAATGGATGTAGGTCAAGCATAGCAGCGATGCTTGTAGAGACGAACGGACGTGCAACACATGCTCACATGCTGGCGCGCAACTCCTCGCGCGCGGCTTGTGGGTCCATCTAAACTTTAAGAGCCGTCATCTCTCATTCTACGTACGTCCTTCCACTGATCATCAGTTACATCGAAGGCCAGAACAAGAAGTAGGGTACACACACGCGTGATTGTCCGACGGCGTTAAGCGACGGAGATAGGAGGATGGAAGCAAGGGAAACATTCAGCACTCCGCGCTCGGCCCCCAACCGCATGAGCTGGGTGAGTAACGAAGATTTGATGGCTGTAGTAGCGCGTTGCACCAGCGCCATCACGTCGAGGCTGCCGGCCTCGGTCCCTCGCTTCTTCCACGCATCAAGGGTAGAGATGTCGCCAAGTTGGAGCAGGATCAAGTAGTGACAGCCCACAACACTCTCCAAACATATGGGTGGGGCAGAGCTCCTTGCTCGTAAGGAGCCCGCGATGGAGCTCATGCAGCCTCGGTCCTGCTTGGGTAGCCGTGCTCGCAATAATGTCATCGAACAGTAAGAGAGCGGCGGAGAATCGAAAAGCAGCTTCTTCGGAACTCGCCAACGGGAGCTCATGCGTGCCAGCACTGCATTCCCAACTGCAACATCGTCGCTTGTGCCGTTCATGACCGCGAAGTAGTAAGCACTTTGGCACAAAGCGGCGCGCCGTAGCACCGGCCTATTCAGTATCATATCGAGCACCCACGCTTTCCCGCCATCGGTCGGCAGAGGTCGGTAGAACGGGAATAAGAAGGAGAAGACGTGCTCGAGGTAGAACATGAGAAGCATGGTGTCTGGTTGTTCGAACCCTTCCTCTGCACCGGCATCCTTGTACGCAAGCCTGCAAGTTGCAGGACGGTGACCGGGACTTGTTGCCGTACGTTTGGTCGCGGCCGGCTCAGTGTGATTCACAGCGGGCAGAGTGGGTGCAACCTCATTCTTACGCTTGACCAGACGGTATGGAGCATTTTGCCGGACTTCCCGTTTCACGCTCAGCAGCATATTCCCCTGCTTGACGCCGCCGTCGAGCCATTGCGGCCTGTCCGGGCCATAGTGACAGGTGATTTCCAGTAACGTGCACGCCTCACAGGTCGGATGCCGCTCGTCACACTTCTTCCGTTTTAGCTTGCATCCCCAACATCCTGCGGTGCTTCGAAAGGCTTTGGCGGAAGCGGCGTCCATAGGAAGGAAGCAAGCCCCAGGATGGCTTTAGTTTGAGCACATATCTTTGACGGCTGCATCACGTTGACAGCAAGCTTTCGCTTGAGAGATGCAAGCTGTGAACAAGCATAATCATGTCAAGGATGAAACGTCAGCATGTGGATCTCGAACGAGAGCTCGACGTGAAAGCTCCACGGCGAAGGGAGTTCAGCCGGCGTGGAGGCAGAAATCCGAGGCACAAGTGCACGCGTGGCGACTCCGGCTTGTGTCGCATCTCGCCATGGGCCCGAACCTTCCATCTGCTCTGGACTCATGCCGTTGATTACGAGCGGCCGACGAACGCGTTATCAAAGCTGCCGAGTCAATCTGACGTTGCAGCGGTGGTCACCGAGGCCGTAGGACGGAAAGACGTGGCAGCCCAGTGGCGTCGCCACGTACATCAACATCGCGCCCGGGCAACAATACCCGTGATACCATGCCCTTCCAGTCGTGGCCCGAAATGAGCGGATGGGCTGGCCCAAGGTGGAAAACGAGCCGAGGCGCTGCTCCCCCCCGGGTTGGCCCTTTTTTCCTTTTACCGACGCATGGCACAGGCTCGGCATGCACTCACGTCCCTCGCTAAAAGGCAGAGCTGGAGGCGGCGTTGCTGCAAACCCGCAAATTTGCGGGGACTGAAGCCGGCCAGACCCTCGCCTCGGGGACATGCATGGCTGCAACGGCGCGCGCGGACGGGGCCTTGGCCTAGCTCTGTGGATTAGTCGCTCACCCCCAACTGCACCCAGATGGCGCGCCCCGAGTGTGTAAGCGATTTCGCCAGGTCAACGCGCTGCAGCGCTGCGACTCACGCAGCGTCCAGAACCGGGATCTTCCAGCGCCTCGATGCGGACAGCAACGCCCCGGACATGCCCTCGCCGAATGATCGGCGTGGGTGTGGAGTCGAACTGCACTCGCATATATGCAAGTCATTGCCGTTGCACTCGAGCTTCTAAATCCTCCGGTTTGCCAGGCTCGTTGTGCTCTCTGCCCTGTTTGATTTGTCGAATCCTTCCCCATCGAGACACGAGGTACCTCGTACGGCTGGACGGACCGAAAGATATAAGATGTCTCGCCCTCGGATATGCATGGGCGACCTCATGCCCTTGTGAGTTTCTGTGTTTTTGGAGCGTGACGAAATCTATCAGCCATCACGTTCTGACTCTGCTTCCCAAGTCTGAAGAATCCAATGTTGATGAGTCGATCGATCGTGGTATCGGAAATCGACGACGACATCTTCCACGTGACACTGCCCTCCGCCAAACTCGCCAAATCACTCGGTATGTGATTGCAATTACTTGATACAACATCCAGACAAACCATCTAACAGTCGCAGGTTGCCTACTCGGATCCACAGTCGACGCAGACATCAGCATGGGTCCCAACCGCAACACTCAGAGCAACGATCTTCCAAAGCTAGAATTCAACACCGTGCCGTCGAGATCAAGTGGGGACTCCATCTCCGAACGCTCCTACTCGGCATCATCCGGTAGATCGTCAAGTGCCTCTCGAAAGCAGGCCGTCCATCGTCGGGATGCTGTACCAGAGCGACGTCCGTCCCCCGCTCTAAGCTGGCGTACCGATGCATCGGACAGCTTCTCCGCCAACACGACCCCGCCCATCAAGCCAGAGGAGTACGCCGTGCGCCTCAAATGCGCGTACCGCACGCCTGCCGAAAGCAAGCGACAGTATCTGGATTTGGTCGAACACGACCTTCCCGTCCGGAAGAGGAGTGTGCAGAGCGATTCTGCCGTCGTCCTCCCAGGTTCTAGAGTCCAGAGCTTGTCTGCTCCGACACCGCCTCCCCGTGCGAGCTCATTGCGACTGGGGCCGTCGGGACGTCCGGTGCTACAAGAGCCACAACCAGCGCGGAGACGAGCGGAGGACAAAGTCGACGTACGGCACGAGCATCGCGATGCGGCCCCAATCCGTCCGACGCCGCAGAGCCGATCCTCGTCACGCGCGGACCAGCATGCCAGACGCTCAGAGTCTGCACGACCGAACAATACAGCTGCCCCGCACGCCGCAGCTCCGCGAAAGCCGCAGCCGGCATCAAAAGCCCAGCCTCAGTCGGCACTCGTAGACTCGGCCTGGCATCTGCCCGACGACATAATCCCGGGTATTGGATCGACAAGCCCGCAGCCCACGCAGCGCTCCCGCGACCCTTCTCACGCCATTGAGTCGAGATTCCTGGCTCAGATGGCCGAGATGGCGGGCGTGATCAATCAGTTGCGCGGCGAGGTGGAGCATCTATCGTCGGTGACGAACCACTTGTCCCGGCGGGTTGTATAGTGCAGGGCAAATCTACGCCTGACGACATTTTATGTGATGATGAGAGATGGTACGAGTTATGGGAGATGATGGACGGTAATGCGGTGGGTGGATGTGGTTCTGTTGTGTAGTATCGGCAGCATCCAGAATCGAACGTCTCCACAAATCAAGAGAACGAAAAACCCGTGTGACGAATCTGCAGCCTGAAGTTGTAGAAATGAGCGTCTCGTCACAAGCTGGCGTGAGTCGTAAGGCTTTGTGGAAAGGCTGCGGCCGCTTCCGGTCGTGGCATCCTCGCACGGATAGCGCATGGCGAAGCCCTCCAACCCCACGCCAGCGAGGCTCTTTTTGAGTTCGACTATATGGCCTCATGAGGCCATAGCGAGATGGATGTGATGTGCATCCGTGGTTCCGACGAACTCTTCTCGAATCGCCATGCGTTACAGCACATAGTACAATCGTCTATGTATAAGGCAGCAATCTCGGAGAATTATGTGAGTAATCGCGGCAGCGCTGTTCACGTTTGGAGCCAGTGCCGGAGGCACGGCCCCCTGACGAAATGAGGAGGATTGCATTCAATCTCCAACAAATATGGTCTGCGATAGTCGATGGATTTAATTCCTCGCCGGTCCCCGCAGGCCTGGATTGCTGGCAACAATGCAGAAATACGGCAACATGCTAATGTGAAAGGGCATTCAAAGCGATGGAGAAGTCCGCTGTCTTCTGTGAGGGCGATGTGCACATCATCGACCTTGCTTCTGATTTTGGCTCGATCTTCTCCCTCTCCAGCGATCAAGCAGTCACCGACATCAAGGGCGATGATGCATCTCACCTGTCAGGGTGGCAGACACCGCAGTCTCAAACCACCGAATCCCACAAAGTTGGGACGGACGATTCGCCATTACCCCAGCCACTTTCGCCGTCTGCGGACGATGCGAAGACGGCCAAGTACCGCTTCTTCCGAGACATCAAGTTCTTCCGGATGGGAAAGACGAGGAAAGAGAGCAACAGCGGCGACAAGCAACTCAGCAGCCCGCCGGCTACACCTACCGCTGCCGCGCTCCCAGAGATAACGAGACCGCGCACCGCGCGGCTGAACAAGTCGAAATCGTCGCCATACCTTCTAAAGAAGTTTGGGCAATCACAACCCGATCTTACGTTCACTGGCAGTCCCATGAGGTCGCTGCCCGTGCGATCGCGCTCGGGCACGGATGCTGTGTGGAAGGGCGAGGTCTCGATGCCGCCGCCAGTACCACCTTTGACGCCGAGACCTGCACGGCCGCGGCGATCGGACGACGAACAATACTGGTCGCAATTAATATCAGCAACACAGCAGCCGGCAATCACTCCATTGAAATCTCCCAAGCGGGTCGCGAATGATCATACGGACGTTCTCATGCGGCCTGCGACGGCGAACACGGCCCCAAAAACTCCGCAGCGGCCGAGTTCCGGCTCCTTCTTCTCTCCTCACATCGACAGTTCTTTCTCCCCCTCTACCGGCCGATCCGCCATCACATTACAAACACCGCCGCCCAAACGGCCTGCAAACCCCACACCCAACTCATCGCCCTTGCCCGCGCCATCATTGCTCACGCCCGCAACGTCGAAAGACAGCTGCTCTCCCATCGCAACATACCGGCCGCGGGTGCCGAGCTACATCGCACGCATCGAAGACATCGCAGACGGCCTTCAGCGCACGGGCGTGGAGATCGAGCAGCATTTGAAGGCGCTGGAGGAGCACCTGCGCGAGGTGCGCATGACATTTCGCGAGGCGGAGCGATGGAAGCAGCAGCTCGAGGATACGCGAGCGCTGGTGGGGAACACGAAGATCTTCCACCGGGAACTCGACCACATTGCTCGCGGGCGGAAGAGAGCGGATGTCGTGGTGGAGACGGACCACTTCCCTATGGCGTGCAGCGTGGGCGGCGGCGGAGGAGGCGATGTGTTCTGATGAGATGCTTTTGATGATTTGTTGGATGAGCGTTGTTTCAGCGGCGATAACCCTTGCGATGCGTGTTGGCCTTGTTGGTGGACAGAGGCCGTAATACCGAATTGTGTGTAATTCGATTAGCTTTAGTGTTAATGGACCGCCGATCACGGGCTGGTCAATTGGACCCGTATACTGCAGAGGACTGATTATACATTGCAAAGGCTCCGGGCATTCCTCCGGCATCTGTGTCGTCTAGAAGGCCATCGTCACGAGTGAGATTCCAGAGGGCCGGTCTGCTCTGCCCTGCTCTGCCCTGTCCTGCCCGAAATCCGTGATCCCGTGACAATGGCAGACAGGCGGTATAGGGCAGCAGTGCAGAGGGTTCGCATGCCCGATTGAGTGACACATTTCACGCGTGCATGAGCGCGATGCGCGATGCGCGATGCAAATGAAATGATCAAGGACAACGGGCTGGCAAGCGAGACGCGGGCATGCAGCATCATGCAGGCCAGGCTTGAATGCTCTAAGCGACGTGCAGACGTTGTTCAAATAAGGCAAATAGCCTTCCCCGCTAGCCCGCTTTCGCCTCGCTCCCCGTCCGAGAACGGTCGATAAGGAAGGGGCGAAGGGGAGACTCCGCACGACATCGACACTTTCTGTCCCGTGCGTGCATTCGCAACCGATCTGGACTTCCCCCACTCCGCCCCTCCCCGGCCCCCGTGCCCGGCCTCCGGTTGCCGTTTTCCGCCGGCCCTCACCGGCGTGATTCTGGAGCGGGCAGGACGAGTCGCGAGGCTTCTCACCCACCTTCCGAGCGAGGCGTGGGAGGCTGGCTGCGAGGGCCATCCGCCATCTCTGCCCCATCCGGCAGCTCTTGGAACTGCTGCTGCACGCTGTCGTGTCCGTTGAGCTAATACTGTGGTACACACCTCTTTCAAGACCTGTAGTCTATGCACGATGACCTGCCGGTCAACTGCTATCGTGCAGAGCTCATCGCCAACCCGCAATCCATCCTTGGCAGGCAGTGTCTCGACAACAATGTCTTTTACAGGCCACAATCCGAAACAACCGCAAGACTCACCACACAACATGCAAAATACAGCGAACAACATGTCTGGCTCTTGCCCCGCGCATCTCGTGAGTCCCAGAAACAATGATGGCCGTGAGAAGGGCGAGGCGCCGCCATGTAATTTCCAGCCGATGCCTGACCCAAGCTCGCCTATCTCGACCTCCACTCCCACGCTGATCTTATGCACGCACTAATGCTGCACGCTGGCGCAACCACCCGCCGCCCAGACACGCGTTACTTTTGCCTCTGACTTCGGCGAGCAGTGTGCACGTCACGGAACACTCTCTACTCGGACTGTGTATTGTGTGCTCCCAGCCTGACTCCTGACTTCTTGCCGACCCTGCCCCCTACGCTACTGAGGCTACCCCATATGTCAGGTGGGGGCCAAGGGTCAAGCGTCAGACCCTGGAAACCCGGTTGAAGATTGGGGGCGTGGTATGCTGCCGTCCCCCGAAAATGCCGAGAACATCCTTTCCCTGGGCAACATTTTGCAAGCATGAAAATGGACAAAACTATGCAGCTAAGGCATTTATTCCAAGGTAATCATGTGCATAAGAGACGCACATTGAGCATCTCGACCACCAAACAAAAAGCGCGGAGCAGCTCCGATGCAGCCCGCATTGGCAGAATTTGGATCTTGCATCCGCCCCAGCACCAAAAAGGCGCGGGCTAATGCGGCAGATCTTCGCTTGGAATCTGCCACTCCCCTCCGCCTCCCCTCTTCGACATGCGGTGCATTTGGCCCAAGCCGGCCACTCCATTGTTTCGCCATCTGCGCAATGCTCCATGATGCCCTCCTGCAGCCATCTCCCGAGTCGCTTTTGCGTGTGGCGAAGAGTGGTGCCGAGCGACGCCTGCTTGGTGGCAGGCCGAGAGGGCCTCCGACTTACGAGGCCCAGCACGTTTTTTTAGGAGATGCACCTCAGCTTCTCGACTCGTGTAAGTATAGAAAGGAGATGCATTCTCCACCCACATGACCCTGTCCGACAGGCTGCATGTTCCTTGTCATCGCTTCTCGTTCCCGTTTCATTCCTTGTTACCTCTTTCACGATCTCATGACTTACATGTCGCAAACCCCAAACGCATCATAGACCAGCTCAACAGCTGCTGTCAGGACTCACATCCCTCGGACGCATCTGCCGGCAACATGGGCGTTGAACAGGCCACGCGGTCCTCCGGGAAGAGAGCCATGATGAAGCAGATCAACACCCTGGAGCCGTCGGATCCAGCATCCTCGCCTCACTGGCCACTACCCGCCCTACCACTGGAGAATGGCTCACAACAGAAGTCGACGCCTCGATCGAAGCATTGGAGCCGCAGAGTCTCGTCCTTCCTGCCGGACAAGCGTTTCAGCAAAGACACTCGCACGTTGCCATTGACACCGGTCCCTGCCAGACGGACGCCAGGCTATATCCCCGAGGAGATGGCTGCTTGCCGCATGCCCAATTACATTTATGACGAGACCCAAGAGACCAACGAAGAGGAGATGAAGGCGTTGCAGGACTTGACCTCAGTCAACCGACAAGCTGCCGTTCGCATTGCCAATCTGAAGGCCCAACTCACGGACATCACACTTCGGATCAGGGATGTCAAAACGAAGAAGTCCACCATCAGCCCTGCGCACAACGCCTCGAACCTTTCGTTGCCGATCGTGGAAGAGGAAGTCAGGGACACAACCATGCGAGACGAGCTCGAGGGATCCATCCACCGACTGCTGAAAACGCAGCCGTCGTCGCGTTCGATCAAAGACACAAGACAGCAAGATTTGTCATCCCTGTTTGAGCAAGTCGATCGTGAGTTCGATGCCACCTTCAAACCATACGAGGGGTCCTTCGAGGGCGAGGCACGAGAGCCGGCTCCATTGAGCGAGGGCTGGACATGGCCTGACTCCGACACCGACTTGTCCCTGACCCTCGACACATCATTCACCGGCACCCACCGCACCTCCAATTCCGGCTCGTCTGCAGCTTACACTCAAGTCTTCAGCAATGCCTCCTCCGCCACGATGAGCACGACGAACACCTTCGGCGGCGACCTGTATGATACGCTGGACGCATTCCCCAACCCACCTTCCTTTGAATCGAAACGCGAGTACCACTGCCGCAACGACTCCGAAAAGAGCAACATTACCGTCGCGAGCGTGGCGTCGGTCGAGTCAGAGATTCCCGTCGTGCTGATGGCGAAGCACGGGTACAGCAAGCCGAAATCGTTCGCGAAAGTCGAGCCCGTCAACATCACACGAACAAACACAATCTGCAGTAAACGAATGCCGAGTCCCATGCCACCGTGGCAATCACCCGCCTTCCCTCCTCCGCCTGTACCAACAGACATACCCGCACACCCTATCTCTCCCGCCCAAGAGTGCCACGCCATCACCAGCGATCGCCCGATTACGATCTTCTCGACCCCTCGCACCGGGTTCGAAACTACTATACCCCCTCGAAACGTCGCCAAGGACAGTGTCATCAGCGAGACGGCCATTCGCCCTCCATACTACAGACCCGACCCCGTACGCTCTCATCCCCCCATCCGTCCGGAGTATGAGCGATCAGGGCGGTCCGATGTGTCCGTGGACTGCAACGCCCGCTTCCGATCAACATACCGCGTCCCCGAACTGCGACCGCTGCCGGAGAAAGACGCCGAGCGGCGCCTGCAATGTTCGCCCGCCGAAGCTCGCCGACACGTCGAGGGCGTCAGCTCCGCTACCAAGCTCGCGCGCTACTACTCCTCGCAAGACGCCATCGCCACCTACACCGCACCGGGCGCGCGCTCCAACCGGTCCAGCGTGGAGAAGGCCTCGAAGGCGTGGAGTCTCAGCCGGCTCGTCAAAGCGCGCAAGCAAGAGGCTGCCAACGCAGCAGCAGCGGCAGCGCGAACGAGCAGCGGCAACGCAAGCACGCGCTCCAAATCCGTCTGGAAATGGCCCTTCCGCCCCAAGACCATGGCCGTCTTCCGCCGCACCAAGTCCCCCGCTCCCGCGGCGAAGGATGCCGCAGGCGCCGCAGCCGCTGTCTCGCGACCTCGCCCTCGTCCCCGAACTCAGACCCGCGAAGCCCGTGAGGCCGCGCAATCAGGCATGCTCGCCCGCGGCAGCTTCGGCTTCCACTTCCAGCAAATCCTCATGTCAGAGCTGGCGGACGCAACGCAGCCGCGTCCCGACACCACCGGCAGGACATCGTCGCACAGAGCGACGCAAGCGCCGTCGACGACACAGCGAGCCGCGTGCCGCCTTTCGACCGTCGGGAGCAAAATCCTGAGCAGCAATGGCAGCTGCAGCTCGATTTTCACCGCCATGTTGGAGCCCGGGGCTAGCGATGCCGGCAGGACTACGAAGAGCTTCTACTCCGATTACCCTGGCTCACAGTACATTCGTCGACCGTCGAATTCGACCGGCCGCTCGGCGTATCCTGGGCAGGACTCCGCCTCCTTTACTGCCTCTTCTTCTGGCTCTTCTTACCGGCGACAACGGCCCACAATAGTGGAGGTGCAGGAATGATGCTCTCCTGCGCAATGGGAATGGTGGCGTGTGGTGTATTATTCCCCATGATTTGAATGTGTTTAATGATAATGAACGGATGGATCCGAGGGTATACCCTGCATTGTGATATTGCGATTTTGCGGAAATGGATGTCAAGAGTAGTTTGCATATCATTTAACGTTATCCATCGACTAGCACGTATGGAAGTTGCGACTGTCCACACTTGAAATCGCTTCTTGCTCGTCGCTCATGAGGCCATGCGTAGAAAACAGGAAGGGCAGAAGGGGGGGTATATGAAGCAAATCGGCAAACAGCAAATGGGAGCTCGCAACGGGCATGGACCTCGCAGCATGCGATCATGGCCCTTAGAGACCAAACTTGCCGAGTGGGTTGGCGCTGTGAAGAGTAAACAAGTCAGCCTCAATCCGCCAATGGACGAGCTCTAGCTGCGGTATGCCTTACCGCTTGGTGATGTCGTGACTAGCATCGGACTTCTTCTGTGCCCTCTTCAGATCGTCGGCGGCCTCGGCCTCGAGTCTGCGAGCGTGCTCTTTGGCCTCGCGCACTTCCGTCCGAGCGGCCAAAAGCGCCTGGTCGGCCGCGCGCTCCGACTGATATAACAACCGTCAAAACCAATCTCACATGGCATATTGGGGAAATTCAGCAGCTGGAACTCACCTCCTCGGCTCTCTGCACACGCTCACGAGCTTGCGTCACTACTCAACGTCAGCCAGCCTATCCTTCCCAAACCACACCTTTCGCAGCGGGAAACGAGGCGCGCAACACACATACCAGACTTGTCCTCCTTGTCCCTCCCGAGCAGGGAGCCGAGCTTGCTTCCCGTGGAGGAAGAGTCGTTGGTGCGGGTGGTGCTGGCGGGCGAGTGGGCGGAGGGCGGCGAGTCGCGGCGGCGGGAGAAGAGGCTGCCGTGCTGCTGCTGCGCCGGCACGGGCGCGGGCTCGTAGTGTTCTTCTTTCTTGCCTGGTTGTGTCGTTTGTCAGTTTTACTCACGGAGTTCTATAGACTTTGTGCGGGGAGTGAGAGGTACCGAAGAGGGTCATTGTTGCTCGTGTTACTGGTTCGCTGGGTTTTCTTTGGAAATGGACGGTTTGATGAAGCGGTGTTGCGAAGTCGTGAGGTTTGTTTGAATACGATGGAAGGGACGAGGTGGTAAAGAATCTTTCTCAACTTGTTATCTCTCGGCTCAGCCTCATCCTGCGGTGATGTCAAAGCGAACGCCGAAACAAGTTTTAGGCGACGCCGTTGGCGCTTCACCACGATACATGACGTAGGCGCGTCACCCCGCGTGCCCCGCGGGCGGTGTGGCGTTAGCAGTCCCGCCGGAATGTCCGAGCAATACGAGCGCGAGTACATCGGGAGGTACGTAGGCTTGCATTGCGATTTAGTGACATCCGTGTTTGATGCTTTGCTGCAAGTGACTGCTCGTCAAGCAACTACTTCCTAAACGTTGCCATCCTCCCCGCCCTCTCCTTCGCCGCCGGGTTCCTCGGCGCACCCTTCGGCGCATCAAGCAACTTCGCATGCGGATTCACCTGCCTCCTGCGCCCCGCCGCCGCCGCTCCAGCACCCGCATCCTCTCGCGGAGGGTTGAGAATGCTAGGAGCGGAGGAGTAGTCAAAAGGCTGCTCATCCAAGGCAGCGTCGTCTGATGCCCCAGCCGTGAGTCGAGCGGCCCTTCGCGCCTCCTTCTTTGCCCTTTTGCTTTCTGCTTTCGCTCGCTGTTGTCTGGTCTCGTCGTCTTCTTCCAGAAGCGTCACTTCGTCGGATTGACTCGCCATGCCGTCGGTGATTGCGGCTGCGCGGCCGTCGCGTTTGCGCTTCCTTCCCATCTCTTTGAGTATGACGACTTCGTCTTCATCGTCGATTGGCTCGGGGGCTACATTCACAGACTCGACATCTTCGCCGTTGACTTGATGAGCCGCACCCAGTCCAGATGCTTCAAATTCCGTCACATCGGCAAAGACCGTGGCGCCAAGCGCAGGCATGGGCACGGTCAGAGACAGACCGGGAGCCGTAGACAATGCTCGACGCTGGCCCTCGGTCGCATCGTGCTTCAATGCCGCACCCCAGAATGTCGATGTTGCGCTTCGCAGTGGGAGGCCAGAGCGGACCCCATTATCGCCTGCTTGCGCCGCTGGCTTCGGCACATAAGCAGCCACGGAATGGCTGTGCGGCACCTTCGAGCTGACGTGCTTGTGCGGCTCGATTTGGTTCAGGACGTCCAACATTGCCGGCCCGGTCTTCCCAGCTTCCTTCGCCCCGAGAATGACTCCGACAAGCTCATCGGCTCTGAGGCGAATCGCCGGCGTCCCCGGATGAAGGATGTTTGACAAGGTCGCGCGAGTGACCGGCAGTTCTCGCGCAATGTTGAAGATGTGGTAGTTGGGCATAACATAGTGCACCGAGTCGTCTTCGTCCCGCGCGACCTCGTCTCGCCATTGATGCACGGCCTTGAAAACGGCAAACTGCTCGTTGGTGAACATGGCAGATGCACGCGCAAGCGTCTTGTACCACCCAGACGGTCCCTGGCCGAGCTCGTAGTCGTAGGTGGGATGCTCGTATCGTTGGAGAGCCGTCTCGCTGCTTTTGTACAGCACGTCCGCGAGTTTGTCACCCTCTTGATTAGGGAGCGACAAATTCGAGCGCTGGATGAGCTCATTTCGCATGCAATCGAAGATGTAGAGGAGATAGTGAGTGTCGCTCCTCGCGTAGTCTAGCAGCTCTTGAGGCAGTGGCCTGGTACGGCGTCAGCGAATAACCCTCGCCATTTCCAATTCCATGGGTGGCTCAAAATTTACCGTATCCGCCAATCGGACATCTGATACTGCTTGTTTGCATCGATGTTGATGAACTTCTTCAGCAGAAAGGCCAAGCTGCCGCCAGGATATCCGAGCGCTCGAGCGGCGTAATGGGTGTCGAAAAGACCAACGATGTACAGCCCGAGATCGCGCTGCAGCCACATGATGTCCATATAGGCTCCATGCAAGACTTTGACAATGCTAGGGTCGGCGAAGACTTGATTCAGACACTGGAGCTTTCGCCGCCATGGCTTCAGAGTGTCGACGATCCCTACAATCAAGAGCGATTTGTTAGTAAAGTGGGAAATATAACGCAACTGTACATCTTGGGCATAGACATACAGTCTCGGTCTCGTGTGCTGATCTGCATCAAGCACACGATACCAATGTATGATCTGGTGTCGTGATGTTCGAGATCGATCGCAATCTCCTTTGCCAATTTCAGCTCCTCTAGCATCTCGTCAACCGCTTCTTCGGTGTCCACAAAGGTCGCCGAAGTCGAATCAAATGGGTGGTAGGCGATTGGGTCGGCCTGCGCGTAGACCGACGCAGGGTATTGGTACTGCTCGATCTCGAGCTGGTAAGGGTGCGGGTATCTATCTCGAAAGTCAGTATCGTTTCTCCATCCCGACGCGAATATGTCGGACGCGTACTGTGGTTTGGGGAACGACTTTGAGGTGATCGGAGCAGTGGCCAGAGGAACCGCGGCGTGAGGCTTGCTCAATAGTAAAGGTTTGAATGGGGCCTTCTCTCTGTTGGTGGGCACATTCTCAAACAGCAGTTGTGGCTTCTCCATATCTTGCGATCTCAGCCGTCGCGCAATCTCCGATGTCTTTGCGGACTTGGTAGCCGCCATTGCCTGTTACCCCATCAGTATTCACCCTTTTCCGCGATAAACATAGCTCTTCTCCCAACATACCCTGGCCTCCGCATCAGGAGTCAGCCGTCTCACGGCCCCCGTAAACTCATCCAAAGCAGTATCGGCACGCTCAAGCAAACTGTCGACAACATCAACCACCGCACGCCAATTGCCGTCGACGCTGTCCAAGTCTTTCAGCGAAGGGGCGGCACGTACGCTCTCCGAAGCGGGAGTCGCAGCGCCCAGAAGAGTCGACGCAAGAGCGAGAAGCCGCGCATTCTGCCGGTCGAGTTGGGCGGAGAGGGAGGTGGAGAGGGATCGATGGAAGGGCAGGTCTTCGTTGGCGAGGGCGGAGGCGGAGCGCGTGGTTGCTACGAGGGCAGCTTGCACGTGCTGCTGCACAGTGCTGAACTCGTCCATCTTGCCGAGTTACCAGGAGTCAACATGAGGTGTGAGAATCTCCATGCGTTGCAACATTTGGATGTTTGCAGAGTTCATGGATGTTCGAGTTGAGCCGAACTTTTTTGACGTCGATACACAATAGAGTTCGCGCTAGGGAAAGTCAAAAAGGACGTGGAAGGCATGTAAAGCAACCCAAGTCCTCGACATCACATCAATCATCACCGCACTTTACATTAGAACCGCTTTTTGATGAACCAGATTCAGAAGATCTTAATCGTTAGCCAGGGTGCTCCAGCTTGTGGCAAACGAATGACGTTCAACATCTCCACACATCAACTCAGAGTATGGTTGTCAAGTTGGATCCATCGAGATGTTCAGTGTTGATTGTAGGCGGTGGAACATGGTATGCTACTGATTCGTAGACGTCTGTGAAAACCACAAAGTGCTAATTGATGTTCTATCTCCACTGCAGGGGTAAGAAAACTCCATCTTGCAATCAATTTGGCCTGGCTTCAACATCCTTGGCCCGACGCAAATGTTCATACATCTTATACGGCAATAGGCGCCAGCACCGCTCTCCATCTCGCTCGTAGAGGCTATCTATCTGTCACAGTCCTCGATCCATATGATGTCCCCTCCCCGATAGCCGCGGGCAACGACATCAACAAGATTGTAGAAGAAGGCATGTCATCAATTCCGATAGGTCTCGTACTGACCCACTGACCAGGCACGCGGCCATTCGCGTCGAGCAGGCAGCCACGTAAAAGATGAAGACGATGATGCGTGGGCTAGCGAAGAAGTCCGCGTCCAAGCCATCGATGCTTGGAAGAAGGATCCCGTCTTCAAGGAGTTCTATCACGAAACGGGATATGTCATCGCTGCCAGCACGCCGGAAGTGGTAGAGCGACTGCGAGAAGGCGAGCGGCCGACTCGCGAGCGCGGTTTTGTGGAGCTGAATACTGCCGAAGACTTTCGATCGACGATGCCGGAGGGAGTACTGACTGGTGACTTTCCGAACTGGCGAGGATGGTATAATCCTACTGGCTCGGGCTGGGTACATGCGAGGAAGGCGCTCGTAGCTGCGACGGAGGAAGCTCAGCGGTTGGGTGCAAGATTCACCTGCGGAAGTCCACACGGACACGCCGTCGAATTGACCATAGGGGAAGATGGCACCGTGCAGGGTGTCAAAACTGCGGATGGTCTGCAACACTTTGCAGATCGCACAATCCTGTGTGCAGGGGCTAGCGCGTCCCAACTGATTGATATGGAGGATCAACTACGACCGACCGCCTGGACCTTGGCCCACATCAAAATGACGGCCGAAGAAGCCATATTGTATCGAAATCTGCCCGTGCTGTTCAACGTGGAGCGCGGCTTCTTCATGGAGCCGGATGCAGACAACCACGAGATGAAGATATGCGACGAGCATCCAGGATATTGCAACTTCATCAAGGATACCAAAACTGGCCGAGTAGCCTCCGTACCTTTTGCCCGGCAACAAATCCCAAGAGTCTCCGAGGATGGAGTGAGAGCCTTCCTCCGCGAAACAATGCCACATCTTGCCGAACGCCCGTTCAGCTTTGCACGAATCTGCTGGTGCGCCGACACCCCAAACCGAGCCTTCTTGATCTCCACTCATCCAGAGCTATCGAACCTGATCTTGGGGGTTGGCGGCAGTGGACATGGCTTCATGCAAATCCCGGTCATTGGCAATTTCATCGCGGATTGCATGGAGGGCGCGCTGGATGCGAGGATGGTGAGGAGCTGGCGATGGCGGCCAGAGACCGCACGCAATCGAGATTGGCGAGATACACAAGGAAGATACGGCGGGAAGAATGTGGTAATGGATTTCCAAGACGTCAAAGAGAGCGAGTGGACCAACATTCCATACGAATAATGCATATGATGATGAAATCCTCACAGCTGCACAAGCAAGACTCAAGACCTCTAACCAGTCAGCTGATCCCACTTCATGGCCAACACCACCTCCGCATCAGTCTTCTTGCCACCAGCCTCGGTCGTCTTATCGAACGACCGGATCTTGCCCTTCTCAAACCCAGCATACTCCAGCACATCCGCCAGCTTCTCAATCTTGCCCTTGGACTGATACTTCATCTTATCCTCCAAGCTGACCGTCAACTGCCCGTCCTCACCCTGCTGCCCGCTCTCCGTCTTGATGGACACCACGACCGCCACCCCCTTGGGCTGCAGCGAGTAAATCATCGCCTTCATCCCCTGCATAATGAACTTGGGGTCCTCGGAGGCGACGCCAAAAATGGCGTGCGTGAAGTGGTCCATGTCCAGCTGCTCGACGGCCTTGTACGTCGCCACGCCCTCGATGCGCGCGGCCTCCTCGCCCGGGATGCCGCGCTTCGCCACCGTAATCTTCGGCCCGTACGGCGTGCGCACGGCCTCGGTGGATTTGTAGATGGCGTGGGCGACGTGCGCGTCACTCACGAGCACGTTGGAGCCGCCGTCGATTTTGATGCGCGCGCCGAACTCGCGGATGACCTGGTCGAGCACGTCGCCGATGGCTTTTTCGTTGTTGGCCATGTTGTCGTTGTCGTTGTCCTTGGTCTTGTTAATGCAAAGGGGTATTGGAGCTGGAGATATATTGAAGGTGAAGATGAGAGAGAGATACACCGGAAGTCTCTCGCCACAGCGCCTTTCGCGGGAAAATAATGGTCCCTTTCGTCCGAGATAGGAAATTACCAAACCCAACCCTCCCGCCGTTTGACGTCACTCTTTCACGCGAGCATCCGGGCTGCTTTACGAGTGCATTGAGACCAGAAAACCTTGTCCTAAATCTGCTGGCCACTACTCCTCTCACTCTCCAGACGTGCACGCGAGTTTTGGCTCTGCATGTGAGCGAGCTGAGCTGCCCTTCCCCTTCGCTGCCCACTCCCATCCTCGATGTAAGGGTCGCCAAGCAGCTAAACCGCCCATTGGTGATCGTAATGATCTCATTTGTCAACCAGGATCGCCTCGCAACCCCACGTGTAGGGCCAACATCCTGCGCTGAATGCCAACCCCGTCCCCGCATATAACGGGCGTTGTGATACTGTTTCACCATAGGTAAAGGCGCATCAAATCCTTCATTGACTCTCTGTTGTTCCTCTTCGTACAATTTCGTTGCTCTCTACGACATCTCACTGTCACGAATTACAATCAAGTCAACATGGACTTCCTTCAAAAGGCAACCGCCAAGCTAGACGTCCAGGACAAGCTTCCCGGCCAGCTGAAGGACATGTTGGGCGGAGACAACAAAGGCAAGCAGGGCGAAGGCAAGCATCTAGCCCAAACGCACGATGACGCTGCCGGATTCCCACAAGGCTTGCGACCATCAGAGTACCCTTCCCTTCATCCAAATCGCACTGATCATCCGACTAATCGCACGTGCGCAGCTGGATGGGCGATCTGGTGGCCAAAGGCATTGTACCAGCAACCGCGGCCGTGACCGAATTTCGCTACCCTGGCTCCCACGATGCCGCCACCTACGGCTCGGGGTTGGAGAGTTTCAGCTATCAATGCCAGGATAAGAATTTCTACGACCAGATGATGACGGGGCAGCGGTGTTTCGATCTTCGCCTCGCTCCCGCGGAGGACAAGAAGAAGTTCATTCCTGTCCATGGGATTGCGAAAAATACGGCGGATGGTATGTCATGTCGAGGATGCGGGCTGAGAGTTGCGCTGATCGTTTCATCCTGCCACTAGATTTCAATCAGGGACCGAAGCGGGCAGAGAAGGATGATCTCGTCTGTCAGTATCTCTGCGACTTTGGATGGCGAGTCAAAGTCGAGGCTAACGATCGCCACGACAGCCCAGATCTTCCGCTTCGCCAAAGACCATCCGTCCGAGCTACTCGTTTTTCAAGTGCGAGTAGAAGGGCTGGAAGGTGCCCAAAACGCATTTGCCGAGAGTTAGCATCCCCCGAATTTGTTGATGAGTGTCCTCATGCAAGACTGACGCAACACGCAGCCATCTTCCACCATCTGGGCGAAAGGCTGTTGGAGGCCCCACAGGATGGCCGAGTGCCAACATACCGGGAGGCGGTGAATAGCAACCGCAACATCATCTTCGGCGTCACCGCCAAGCTGCCCCAACCCGCAGAGAAGTACATCTGGCACGTCGGAGGGGACACCAAGCACTGGATGGGCGACGGAGACCAAATGCTATGGAACGAACCGACGTGGCAGAGCGGCGACGTCACGAAAGTGTTGGCCTCGACCGAAGACTTTATGCGCAAGAACAGGGACAAGACCTTGAAGCGAGACAGATTCTGGGTGGCGTTTTTGCAGCTCACCCCCGTGCTCGGCCAGAGCATCAGCACTTTTATCAAAGACGGCGGCAGTGTGCGACCCAAGGATCTCGCGTTGGGAGGCGGCCTGGGAACGCATGGTGCGTTCGAGGGCTCGAATCAGAAAGTGCGCGATTCGGGCGTGTTCCAGAAGCCGATCTGGAAGAACAATGCCAGCTGTATTCTCTACGACTTCTGCGACATCAAGACGACAGGTGCGATTGTGGCGATGAACATCGGGGCGGAGTTCTCTGGTGCGGGTCCAGGGGGCAGAGGTGGGGAGGAGCACGACGGTCCTGGACGCGGTGAGCGTGGTGGATGGGGCGGGAGGGGCGGAGGGCGGGGTGGTCGTGGCGATCATGATGGCCCCTCGGAACCGCGGTTTGACGATGGTCGCCCTGGTGAGCGTGGTGAGGGCAGAGGCGAGCACAGAGGAGGCCGGGGTGGGCGAGGTCGTGGGGAGCACGAGCGGGTTGAGTAAATGATACCATTCTTTCAACGCCGTGATTAATTGGCATGCTGCTTCCATTATCCATCATCCAGTGTGCTCCATTGACAGATGAGCCCTGATGTGTGGTCTGGAACGCGTGCAGTCAATGGTGAATGCTAAGGCGAGGCTGGCGAAACGCGTGGACAAAAGTCGTGTGCACCAGCGTGACAAAATCGGGCCAAGCTCGTCGCCGCACGTCTCTCATACGGACTTCACTCCACAACCACACCTCAACTCACGCCTCCTCAGTCGACGGCACAGCATTGATGCATGCCATTTGGCACGTTGACACCACTTGGCAGACAGCTGCGCTCCGTGGTTGCCGCCATTGGCCACTCGGTAAGCACCTTGGCGCAAACCTGCCGCGAGAGCTTCGATCGCTGACCCATCCCAGCGCACGCATGCTAGTCAGGCCACTTCTCCTCGCGCATTCCCTTTGACAGACCAGTGTCGGAGAGCCTACCATGTCTCGTACTCCAACCGCGCATCTACAGCAACGGCGGCGAATGAAATAGGCGAGGAGTCCGAGACCGAGCTGCAGCATCTGGTGAGCCGAGAAGAGCCAAGAGCCGACAGGGGATTTCAAGAAGATGTGACGGTGCTCAGAAGCGGCCGAAAGAGGCGTCGAAGTCGGAGAAGGGTCGATCATATCACTCAGGCCTTGCGCAGAACGGGGAAAACCGACAATGCCCCCGCGCCTGTTGCTGGCAAGCAAGATCTATCCTATTCCAATGTCGCAAGACAAGGATGGCTGGAGGCGGCTGTGTCGCGCACCGAGCTATCTCAACACAAGCACGACTGGAATACTGCTGAGGCGGAGGATGGCAGACTCGCCAAAGTGCTTGCAAACTGGATTCAGCACCATGCGGCTTTTGAAGGCACGGGCGAGGCGGAGTGGATGATCGAGGACACTTTTGCCCTTCGGGCGGAATCAGGTGTCCTACTGCGCACCAAGGGATACAGCATGGACGACTTGAAAGCCTGGTCCGACATCGTTACTTCACAGGACTCACTGCAGGCTGCGCGTGCCCTTGTGGCATACATTACCACCCGCGGTCCGCAATCTTTACCACTGTTCGTTCTTCTGTATGCGCTCAGGAGGCCGTATATCAGCGCACGTGCGCTTGAAATCATCCTGCAGCGGGCATTGATCATCCTTACCGATCGAAGAACTCGCGGCCGGATGATGAGTGTGCCGGAAAATGCAGTCTTCCTGATCTTCATGCGTCTATTGCGCCACGCCCGCGAAGTCTGGCCCAGAGCTCTGGCGAGGATTGCACAACTTCTGGTCGACTTTCTCCCCGCCGCAATTTCAAAAGGCGAAGACCCGACGATTGTTCAGATGGAGAGACTGACCTATATGCTGAACCAAGCCCTGCGTCTGATTGCAAAGCCTACGGCACTCGAGCCATTCAAGAACAATCACTTGCAAGAAGCGGCGATCGTGTGCATTTTGCGCTTCATGGCAGAGCACAGGCCGACCTTGCAAACGAGCAGAGATGGCTATCGAGCGGTCGTCCTGGTTCAGCTGGCCCAGCGCAAGACGCCAGAAGAACGCCAATGGGCCGAATTGAAAGCTCTCTCCTGGCCGCCGTGGAAGCAGGAGCGCACTGCGATGGACTCCGACATCACCGCCGACGTGCATGGGACATCAAAGGCGCGCGAGACATTAATGCGCATGCAAGAAGCCGGCTACCCACACAGGACGTGGGAGAAGACGGCAATGATCTATACCGGCTGGGATGTGGACTCCACACCAACAATCCAAACACTGACCTTACTGAGTGGCCGCTTCGTGGGCTCAGAAAGCTCGCTTTGGACCGCGCGCATCACTACCACGCGCACCGCACAAGAAGCATGGGCATGCTATCTCGCGTACGACGATGCAAATCTGCCTCCAGACCAAGATGTCTTCCTGGCCATTTTCCGGAAATTACACAACGATGAGATGCGTCGGAAAGGAAATGGTGTCTCGAGGGCGCCTGATGAAGAGCTACATCCGGGAGACGGTCGGGAAGTCGAACCGCTCCCTCCATCTACGCATCTTCACACGTACACTCGAACGCCGCCGCCTACGATGGACGGGCTCTACCGCCAGCTGCGCAACCGTGGCATCGTATTTAAGGAACGCTGCTTGGCCTTCCTCATCGCGAACGCCAGCTCGTTGGAGCTCGGTCAGGAGTATCTTCAAGACGGCGCCATAGAGGATCCAGAACTTCTCACGCTCCTCGAGTCAACACCACCTTCGCCGGGTAGTCAGCCGATCTCAGCGCCGCTTCTCGCTGCCTACGTCGAACTGCTCTCACGCTTCTCAATGTCAGCTTTGCGCCCCGCTCCCGCTAAGAAGCCGCACATGGCTCCCGAGTCTACATCCCCCAGCATGGACAGCTATCCCGTCACGAGGAACCTTGCTGTCGTTCAAGCGATCGAACTGATGGTGCAGCATCGCCTAGTATCCGGGCAAGCCTGGGCCTCGGTCCTCAGCGCTCTCGCCCGCGTAGGCTCGATGCGAAATACTAAGTCTACCCTCGCCAGCAGGCTGTCCCGCCACTACGGCGCGCGGACGGAGCAGCAGATGCAAATTGAGACCGCCATCCTGGCGTACAGATTGGTACGGCGCGTCCTCTCCCTCATGCAGGACTGCCACCTGGACCTCGACGCCCACGCCTTCCACGCCCTATGTCGCGTCACCGAAAACATGGCGAATGCCGGACTGACGGCCTTGACGAGCGAAGCGCAGGCGGGCACCATGCTGCGCAGACAGGCTCTCGAGCTCTTGCGCAGCACCACGCACACGCACCGCTTGCGCGGCGAATTCAGCATCTTGGTCGGCACGCCGAGTCTCCGCCCGGGAGCTTCGAAGACCTCATCAGCACCAGCGTCTGGAGTGGGAGAGTCCGACGCAGCGTCGCAGCTCCTCGAAGTGCCCGGCCCCTCGATCCTGCACGCCTACGTGCGCGCCCTCGGCTGGATGGGGGATTTTGACGGCCTGCTGGATCTCGCGCGCTGGATCGTCGAGCATCAGGAGGTGGTATGTCAGGAGCGCGATGCGGACAGGAATGGGCGGGCGGTGTTTCGGCGGATGCTGGTCGCGCTGCGTGTGTTCCTCGAGCGGAGCTGGATCGCGGGCGAGGAGAGGGAGGGTGCTGCTAGGGGTTTGCGAGGCTCGGACGAGATGGCTTCGTTGCCGGCGCAGGAGCGCGAGCTGCGACGTCGGAGGATGCCTGCGCCGAGGGATGTGGTTGAGGAGATTCGAGGGCTAGTGGAGAGCGTGGAGGATTGGGGTGGGTGGGCGGAGGATGAGGAGGTGGAGGCGTATGTGTCGCACGCGTGGTTTCGGCCTTTGAAGCAGGTGGTTTGATATGCACGATACCCCATGTCGTTCCTTTCACAATGCATTTAGCCTCTTACAGATTCATGATCGTCTAGTATCTATCTATCCCAGCCATCGAGTGCCATGCTAGAATGTACATGCACGAAGATTCGGCCCTTTTGCCAGTTCCCCCCAACCTTGACACCGTCTACCTCCCCTTGAACACCGGCTTCCTCTTCTCCCCAAACGCCCGCAACGCCTCCTTCCGATCATCCGTCGGCAGCACCATCTCGTACGCCATATTCTCCGCCGCCTCACCCTGCCTCCAGCCCTCGACAGCCTGCATCGCCGCGCGAATGGCAATCGGTCCGCCCTCGCAAATCTCCCGTGCCAAGCTCACCGCCTGCTCATATACCTTGCCCCTCGCCACGCCCGGAGCCTTCTCTTCCTCGGCCGTCACTTCGACCAGGCGATCGCACAGGCCGATGAAGTACGCCTCGGCGCCGCTGACTCGGCGGCCCGTGAGGATGAGGTCGCGAGCGCGCGTCGGGCCTACGAGCGCGGGCAGGCGGAAGGTGCCGCCTGCGCCGGGGATGATGGCGAGGCGGGTTTCAGGCAGGGCGACGCTGGCGGTCGAAGCGAAGACGCGGAAGTGCGTGGCGAGGGCCATTTCGAGGCCGCCGCCGAACGCGGTGCTGCTGATGGCGGAAATGGTGGGGATGGGGAGGGCGGCGAGGGTGGCGAAGGCGCGGCGCAGAGCGGTGAGGAAGGTGTGGACTTCGGCGGGCGACATGGAGAGGCGCTCTTTGAGGTCGGCGCCGGCGCAGAAGGCGGCGTCGGACTCGCTCGTGAGGATCAGGGCGCGCGTGCTCCCCTTGCCGCCTTCGCGCTGCAGGCCCTCGACGACCCCGCTGAGCTCCGACAGCAGCTGCTGCGAGATGGCATTGCGGGCTTTGGGCCGGTTGAGGGAGACGATGGTGATGCTGCCGCTGTGCGGGGCGGGGATGCTCGACAGCTTCACCGCGGACTGCAGGCTGCTGTAGCACGCGCGGGATGAGGCCGCAGCAGCAGTGACGGCCGCGACGGGCACGTGGGGGCTCGTCGTCGGCCGGTGGTGGGTGAAGGCATGGCGGGCCGCCTGTCGTTGTACCGACCGTAGCATCGTTTTTGTCTCGTCGGGCGTACGAAATCACCTGACGGAGGGGCGGGCGCGTGGGGGGGAGGTTTTTTTGTCACGCACGTTCAGGCAAGTGCTCGTTAGTGCCCTGCCGCCGGGCACCTGCCCAGTTTGGCGGTTAAGGTTCGGGGCTACGCAGGTGGCTAATGGCGCGCGGGCGGTAGCGGCAGAAGCTTTCGAAGCTTAGCAGAAGCGTGTAATCTGCGCGGCGACACGGCGCAGTCCAATCAGTCCCCTCGCCCTATACACGACCTGCGCTGGACTTTGATTTCCGTCCCCTGGCGTCCAAGTGATCGACATGTTTCACGTTACATCACGTTATAGCGCGCGAGGCAGCGGCGGGCATGAAGCGAGGCGGTACACCACTTGACTGGACCTCGCAAAACCTTGCTCAATGTCCGCCCGGGCATGCACGGCTCGATGATCACGTTGGCCTCGGTGGGCAGGTATATATATGGGGGTCATGGCCGTGTTGTGTTGATCTCGTCGAACCACTTGCATTTCCGTCCTCCACTCTCAATCCAATACTACTACATCCCCTCATCGCCACCATGCCGTCCGTCCTTTCCACCTCCAAGGTCCTCTTTGGCCTCCTCCCCTCGGCGCTCGCCCTGCAGCAAGTGCCCAGCAGATTGTTGACGCCGCGCCAATCTTCCTCCCCCTCCTCTGGCTCCGCTTCGTCTTGCCCCAACCCGCAGCTGTCTTGCAGCACCAGCGGCAGCGTGAACACCTGCTGCGTGCAATCCCCCGGCGGCGTCCTGCTGCAGACTCAGCTCTGGGACACCAACCCCTCCACCGGCCCGGCCGACAGCTGGACCATCCACGGTCTCTGGGTAAGTGCCGCCTTCACTCGTCCGTTTCCCTTCATGCCTTCCTAACGCCCTTCTCCCTGTCGCAGCCCGATCTCTGCAGCGGATCATACACGGAGAACTGCGACTCGTCCCGCGACTACTCCAGCATCCAATCCATTTTGCAGCAGGATGGCGACAACACCCTCCTCAACTACATGAACACGTACTGGGTGTCCGACGACGAGTCCAACGACGACTTCTGGGTGCACGAGTGGAGCACGCACGGCACCTGCATCTCCACCCTCGACCCCAGCTGCTTCAGCGACTACACCACCGGAGAGGAGGTCCCGCCCTTCTTCCAGACCGTGGTGAACCTCTTCAAGACCCTCCCGACGTACACGTGGCTGTCCAACGCCGGCATCACGCCCGGCTCGTCGTATGCGCTGAGCGACATCCAGTCCGCGCTGAGCAACGAGCATGGTGGTGAGGTGTACCTTGGCTGCCAGGATGGCTCGCTGTACGAGGTCTACTACTACTTCAACGCTCGCGGCCCCGTCCAGAACGCCGACTTCACCGCCATCTCGGCCGTCGGCGGCACCGGCAACTGCCCTTCCACCGTCACCTATGCCGCCAAGAGCCAGGCGAGCAGCAGTGCCCAATCTTGAGGCGATCCGTGTCGTCTGGCGATAGATGAATGTAGATAGCCGACAAAAGTATCTTGAGGCCATTGAGGCCACCAATGACATCCCGCTCTTCATGTTTACTGCCGCCGCACCATCCCCGTAATGCGCTTCCAGATATACGACATCATGCCCCTCCGCGGCCCCTCTTGCAACTCTTGGTCGAGCTCTTCATACAGCGTGGGGCGACTCGCAGGCTTCATCAGCTTGTCGGAAAGTGGGTAGCGTTTTGACAAGACATCATCGAGCAGCAGGTAGGCCGCGTTGGCTTGTTTGGACAGGTCGTTGCCGTCGACGGTGGCTGTTTCATTGGTCGCGCGCAATCGGTTCTCTAAGAGACGTTGGAACTGGCGGTTCTCGGGGCGCAGAGCATCGATGGGCCATCGCGCGATGAGGCGGGTGTAGTGCGCGGCGAGATTGAGCTGCGAAATGTTAGGGCTTTTGATGAGTACACTGTAAGTGGTAAGACTGGTACGAACGTGTCGAGACATTTTGGCGGTGATGGATCGAGGGCGTGGAGGAAGATGGCTTTGAGGAGTGAAGCAGAAGAAAAAGATCCAATCGTCATGCGAACTCGAAGCTCGACCTCCAATGCTGAGTCAGAAACGGGACGGCGGCGAATCACCAATGAGGAATCTCAGCCCGGGTTGAAGCGGCACAATTCCACGCCTCGAGGGAGATTTAAACTGTCGACGTGTCTCCGCGACTGTTCACATCCACGCACAACCTCCCCGGAAGCAGGCCATCTTCACGCGAGACTGACTGGTCTTTCGCTCTCGACATGGACAACCCTCTCCCAACCCCCATGCTCCTGACAGGCGCTGCCGGCTTTCCTGTCGCCTATGTCGTCCTCACCTACATGGACAAAGTGCACTACGATCCCACCATCCTCTACGGCTTGGTCACGTACTACATCGCGCTCTTCCTGCTCCCCGCCCTCACCACGCTCGGCGTATTGGATCGAGCGACGGCGAAACGAATCGGCAATCCATTGCAGGTCATCACCATCGGCTTCCTCGTGCGCTACCTGTACAACAACGCCGACCTCCCCGGCACCATCGAGTACGCGCGCGGCTACCTGGCGTATGCGAAGCGCAGCATCTCAGGGGGTCTGCATTGCGGCCTCGACGCGACCAACCACGCCGGCCCCGGCGACGAGATTACGTGGGACGCGTGGACGACGGGGGCGAAGTGCACGTTTGACGACAACCAGCAGTGGACGAGCATTGTCGGCGGCATGAACTTGCACCACAAGCTGCTCGAGATCGACCGCTGCTATACGGCTTGCATCCTCCGCTCGCCACCGTGGACGGAGGATAACCTGTGGCATGGGTATATGACCAGCGTCCCTGCTGGCCGTCTCCCGAGTGGAGACTACTGTCCTGACGGCTACTACTGGGGTCATTGTCCGCCGCATCCGCATTACCAGCCGGCGAGCACCGAGACGGAGTTGCGCATTGAGGAGAATGCGGTGTACATGGTTCCTAAGTGATGCCTGGCGCGCGAGAACCCAGGAGAGAGGGGTTTCAGGAGGGGCTTCGATCTAGATAGCATCTGCAGTGTACCGCTTAAGAGTCGTCTCCAAGATCACATTTGAATCCATGTGTCAAGCACAATTGAATAGGAAGGGCATCGCGTGCTCCATTCGTCGAACACTTCCGCGGGAATCGGCTCGAGCTAGGGTTACCTAGGGTTATGCAACTAAAAAAGTCGTGGACGACATTCAAAGTCCTCGATCTTCTGCTCTCCTTGTAAAAGTGGTGGAACACGGGCAACACTGAACGATTGTGCGAGAATAACATGCATGCTACGAGGCTGTTGAGGGTATTCCATCCCGCTATGATAAGGGTATCCGCGTGGCAAAACTAACACCATCCCCCAGACTCCCTCGACTTCCTCGCCATGCATCTTCTGCGCCTTTCGAGCATTCGAACACGCTCACACCCTCTCTCTGCCTCATCGCCCCGCTCGTCGGTTACTGAACACTACACGGCCGCCTCACCAATCGGCAGCGTCCGCCGCGCGAGTGGAAGCTGAGAACGTTTCCAACGCCCCCAACTCGTCACAATGGGATCCGGACTCAGATCTGACGGCCGCCGAACGCGCAGAGAAAGAGCGCCGAACCCAGAGATTCCGTCAGGAAGGAGCGACAAAGCGGGAAGAGAATCGCGCAAAGGAACATGCTTCAGAAGCGCGGCGGATCGATGCGTTCAAGAAGCGCGAAGCGCAGGCGAGGCAGCGGGAGCGCGAGAGACAGCACATTGCCAGCTTGGAGAAGAGGGAGGAAGTGGCAAGGACACGGGAGGCGGAGTTGCGGGAGAGTCTGGAAGGACGGCGAGGGCCTCGAATTACAATGGGAACGGCTGGAGCTGCGGGATACCGGGACATCAGCAATAGACGCCCAACTCGACCGGCAATCGATGTTTCCAGGCCGTCGTTTGGTGCTTCATCTCAAGCTCCCCAGCCTTCGATTCGGATGGACTTCGAGGAGCCGGATGCGCCGGCTATTCAACCCCTGCAGTATCGGACTGGAGAGGATGCGGAGGAAGTGCCTGGCGCTCGAGATCAGCAAGGCAAGCGGTCGCAGAGACGGCCTCGGATTGCGCCCAGACGGGAGTTCCGTCTTGACTTGAATGGTCGGTCGAATGGCGATGCATCGACTGCAGCAAGAGAGAGTGAGAACGATACGGGCGCACACCGCGATGCCAAACTTCAAGGTTCCACCAACTTGCACGCCCAGAACCCAGGGCAACACGATAGCTGGCAACACCTTCCACGCCGCACACAGCGTTCTGAACGACCTCAGTCGGAGCAACACCCGCCACAACAGTCAGACGACTGGATAGAGAGCTCCTTTGCCACGCACCAGAGGACACGCGGCACACCTACGCCGTCCGATGGCTCCTCGAGAGCCCCACAATCGGATGACCGATTCGTTGCTCGTTCCGTGCTCTCGACCGCAGAACGCCGTGTCATTAGATGTGCGCGCTGCCTCGAGTACGGCCACTCTGCTAGAGAGTGTACCCAGCCGACCAAACAGACTTGTCACTCGTGCGGACAGGTTGGCCATCTGGCCAGAGACTGTCCGCAGAGGTCCGCTATGCAGCAAGGACGGAGGACTTTCGGCGATACGCAGCGCGGCTTCGAAAGAGGGTCGCAAAGCAGCGCTGTTGGATCGCGCGAGACTGAATCAGATCGGCGACCATCGTTCCGTGATGCTCAGACGGAGGTGCCCTCCTTCGATGACCGGCGTCGAGATGCAAGTGCGCGGTCGCAAGTCCCAGCTCCTTCGTTTACTGTGCGAAACCAGGAGAGCGATGGTGCTGAAGACTGGCAAGACGAGCGCAAACTGAAGAGGAGCAAGCGAGGATTCGCAGACGAGAGTGAGCAAGCAGAAATAGACGCCCAAGAAGAGCGTTCCGCGGGCCGTCGAAATGGCCGTCGCCGTCAGGAAAGAGAAGTCGACGAAGCGGCCGAGGAGGCTTATGCTCTGCGCGAAGAACGCGCCGCGCGCAAAGCTGCCAGAAAGGCGGCGCAGAAGGCCTCCCGAGCGGCGGAGCGTCGCGAAGGCGGTGTCCCGATCACATTACCCGAGTTCATCAGCGTGAGCAACCTGGCGCAGACGCTGAGTGTGCACTACGACAACTTCGTGGAGAGGCTGGAAGATCTGGGCTACGATGATGTCTTTCCCGGCAAGGTGCTCAACGCCGAAACGAGCGGGATGATTGCCATGGAGTACAACTTCGACCCAGTTTTCGAGGACGCTGCCGAGAAAGGCGAGGAAGAGGAGAGAGATTTGAAGGCGAGGCCGGAAGTTGAAGATAAGAGTCTCCTCCCGAGTCGTCCACCTGTCGTGACGATCATGGGCCATGTCGACCACGGCAAGACCACCATCCTCGACTATCTCCGCAAGAGCTCCGTTGCTGCTGGCGAGGCTGGAGGCATCACGCAACACATTGGTGCCTTTAGCGTGCCGCTCAGTGGGAGCGGCAAATCCATCACATTCCTGGACACTCCCGGGCACGCTGCGTTTCTAGCAATGAGACAACGCGGCGCCAACATTACCGACATTGTCGTCTTGGTAGTTGCGGCGGATGACTCCGTCAAGCCTCAAACGCTGGAGAGTCTCCGCTGCGCGCGCGAAGCCGGTGTGCCGATCCTCGTCGCGATCAATAAGATCGACAAGCCGGAGGCGGACGTGGAGAGGGTGAAGAATGATCTCGCACGCCACGGGGTGGAAATTGAAGACTTTGGCGGAGACACGCAAGTGATTTGCGTCAGTGGGAAGACCGGCAAGGGCATGGAAGACTTGGAAGAGGCCACCGTCACACTCTCCGAAATCCTGGACCATCGCGCCGAAGCCGATGGACCGGTGGAGGGATGGGTGGTGGAAGCTACGACAAAGAGTTCAGGCCGCGTGGCCACCGTGCTCGTGAAGCGCGGCACGCTACGACCTGGTGCCGTCATCGTGGCCGGCAAGACTTGGGGCCGAGTGCGGACGCTCAAGAACGAAGCCGGACAAATCGTTCACGAAGCCGGGCCTGGCATTCCGGTCGAGGTGGACGGATGGCGACATCAGCCCTCAGCCGGAGACGAAGTCTTGCAAGCCCCCAACGAGCAGAAAGCCGGGGATGTGGTCGAGTACCGCCAGGAGAAAGAAGAGCGCGAGCGCACAGCGCAAGACATGGAAGCTATCAACGAAACGCGGCGAGTGGAGCAAGAACGACGAGCGCGCGAAAAAGCCGAGGAGTCCGCGAAGAAGAGCAGCGGCACCGCCGCCATAGATGCCCCTCCCTCTCCCGCGGAGACCGCTTCAACTGCGCAGAAGGAACCAGGCCAACTCACCGTCCCCTTCATCATCAAAGCCGACGTCTCCGGCTCCGCAGAGGCAGTCGCAGCCTACATCCCCTCGCTCACGAGCCCGCTCATCGCGCCCCAAATCCTGCAAAGCGGCATCGGCCCCGTGCACGAGAGCGACATCGAGTTCGCAGCCACGGTCGGGGGCCACATCATCGCTTTCAACCTGCCGGCCAACAACGACGCCAAAGCGGCGGCGGAAGCCAAGGGCGTGCGCATCCTGGAGAACAATATTATCTACCGCGTGCTGGATGATGTTAAGGAGGTGTTGGAGGGGAAGCTGCCGCCGCTTGTGACGCAGCGCGTGCTGGGCGAGGCTGAGGTGAGTGTGAGTTTTGATATTGATATTGGGCGGCGGAAGAGGATGTGGATTGCGGGGTGTAAGGTGCGGAATGGGGTTGTGGGCAAGGGGAGTCGGGTGAGGGTTATGCGGGGGAGTGAGAAGATTTATGACGGTGAGTTCTCTTGTGTTTCTTCTTTCAGATGAGGAAGTCGAGCGCTGACTGACGTTTTGCCAGGAACGATTTCTTCGCTCAAGAACGTCAAGAAGGACGTGCAGGAGATGCGCAAGGGCACGGAGTGTGGGATTGGGTTTGACATGTGGGAGCACTTCAAGGTCGGCGACCAGGTGCAGACGTATGAGGAGGTTAGTGAGAAGAGGAGGCTGTAGATGAAGGTGGCGCCGGCATGGGACATCTCGACTCATTGTATAGTATCCAGGCCCGCGCATGAAATGGGACGTGACGATGGCATCGAATAGAGTAGACACATACATGTACAAATCATTACATCAAGATGACATCGGAGGAGACGATAGTGATGCTGTTTTCGCTTCTAATCCTATCATACCGGGCCTCTGAGATCAACGCCGCACCAAAGCACAGGGGCCAGGTGAGTTGCGCAATCAAAAGCGTACAGGCTGAGGATCCACAAGATCAACAGCATGGGAATCGGGGCCAAGAGAATCTCGGTGCGGCTGAGGAAGGGTAATGCTTCGAGGGCATTAGCATAAATACACGGCGATGCATGCAGCAGGGGTCGGAAGTTACCGTTGTAACCCAGAAAGGTGATGACTAGGTAGTAGCAGAGGGCGAGAAGATACATGGTATTGCCGAAGAAATTGGAGACCCAGTAGTCTGGGGCGATGAGGGGAAGGAGGAGGAATTGGAGGATGTAGAGGAAGAGCCAGATGGGGAGGTATGCACGAGTAGAGACCTGGGTCAAATGTTAGCGGGAGAATTGGCGATGTAGGGGAGAGACACGCACGTCAAAGCAGTACCCGAATTCCAATGCTTCTTCTCCCCCGGATGGTGGTCCGAAGAGCCCCGTGCGCCTTTTCCCGAAGACACGCCCGACGAGGAAGAACATCAGGGTTGAGACGATAAGAGCGGCGCCGAGGAAGTGGCCGAAGACGAAGACCAGGGCCACTTGGATCGTTTGGCCGACGCCGCGGGCGTATGCTATGCCCCAAGCCACCCCGGTGAGGAGCATGAAGAGGGAGAGCAGGTAGGTGAATGCCGGGTCTGGCCTGTGGTACGAGTTCTTGGTTTCTACAGGTCGTCGTATGGTCAGTACTTGCTTGGCAACATTAGACAGTGACAAGCACGCCACATACGTTTCTGTCGCGGTGTTAGCAAGGGAATTGGAAGAGGAGGCATGATGGACTGACATGGTAGTAGATGTTTCTAAACACCTTTTTAGGCGCTATGATGAGATTGATCATCTCCCAGACGGCCTGTAGGCGAATGTCAGCTGCTGGTTGTGATTGCAGAGCTCGGGGTTAAGTTATGTGGCTTACGGTCTCGAAATCCATAGAAGTGAACTTGAAGAGTCGCCGGAAGAACGGCGGAACGCGCAGGCTGGTCCTTCGCTGAGAAGACATTATGGCGCAATGATGAAGAGGTCCAGGGGAGTAGATGAGGTGTTATACCGGGACTTGATGAGATGGTGTTGCCATTCCCCGTTCCAGCTTTGGTTTCGGTTGGCGTGCTCGGATTGCACGGCAGGAGGTAGGCGATACAAAGCCGATGTTAAGCGGTATAGTACAGTGCCGTCACGATGTACCAGATTGGCCGGCTCGAAGTGCGGTCTCTGGAATGTTTTCGTCTGATGTTTTGCAGGAGGAACGAGGTGTCGTCGTGCAAGATGCATTCATTGCAGTCCCAAAACGGAAAGGTCCGCGGGAGTCTGTCTTGGCAAAGCTTCGCTTCGCCATCTTGCCTTCACTTTCACCAGACTTCTCTTCACCTCTTCTCCATCCACTCTCAATCACAGCCCTCTCTTTCTCCACCTTCCATCTCAGCAGCGGTTGACATTCGATTCATTCCTTTATCCGTTGTGTCGCCGGACTTCTCACTGCCTCATCGGCTTCCCTTCTCTCCATCCAAAGTCTTGCACGCGGCCAAGTCTTACTTTACTTCGTCTATCGTTCTCTGCCGGTGAAACTCAGTCACGCTGGGTTGTAGGCTGCTGACTCAGGACACTTGATCTCGCGGAAATGGCAGAAGACGGCTCCGCAGTCGCTGCAGCGTACGATGCTGGGGATGGAAGTGATGGCGACCGCGAGCCGCAGCTGTCCCCAGCAAACGATGCAGACGAAGATGATGACTATGATCCCTCGGCCTTCAGCTTCGACGAACGCGCCGGCAATGCGACAACCACCCAATCTTCTCCAAAACCAAAGACCATCGGCGGCTTCATTGTTGACGACGATGAAGACGATGACGAGGAAGAGAATGACGAGGTCACACAACGGCCGCCTTCACAGCTGAACAGCACGACGGGCGAGCAAGCAGGGCTGGGCGCTGCGACTGATGCAGAAGCTGCGGTGCAGGATGTACCCATAGCTAGTGAACCTCAAGACTCAGCTGCTGTTCCATCCGCACACTCTGCTCGTCCAAACGGTCATACCCCTGTCCCTGTTTCCACTTCCGCCGCACCTGCCCCTCCAGTCTCTGACCCAGCTTCCACTCTTTCACTTCCGAAACCTCTCACCCCAGTTTCCGATCAGGGTAAGCAAGCACCCACTCCGACACCAGCCGCTCCGAGTGCGACTGCAACACCACAGCCTCCAAATCCATCTCCTGCGGTGCCTGCGCCGGCCAAGACCAATATCCAAATCCCACAGCCATCCACCAACCAGCGACTACCACATGACAAAGTCGGCCAGCTCGAGGATCGCATCAAGGAGGACCCGAAAGGCGACACCGAAGCCTGGCGCAGTCTCATTGCACACTATCGAGAGAAGGGGCAACTGGACAATGCGCGCAAAATCTACTCCCGGTTCTTTGAAGTCTTTCCTTCGGCGGTATGTTGTATCGTCGCATCATCTCGGGCAATCTCATTATGATGCATGACTGATCTCTTCCTAGGCTTCAATGTGGGTAGAGTACGCGCAATTGGAGCTGGAATACGACCAATTTCGCAACCTCGAACAAATCTTCAGCCTGTCGCTTCTCCAACTCCCCAATGTCGACATGTGGACGGTCTACCTCGACTACCTACGTCGCATCCATCCTCTGCAGCAAGACACCGACGGGAGCAAGCGGAACATCATCACTTCAGCCTTTGACCTTTTGCTCGAAAACGTCGGCATCGATCCGGACTCTGGAAAGCTGTGGCGCGAATATGTCGAATTTGTGAAGTCCGGCCCCGGCACAATTGGCGGCACAGGGTGGCAAGACCTCCAGAAAGTCGACCTTCTACGAAAAGCGTACCAAAAAGCTATTAAGCTTCCGCACTCGGAGCTATCGAAACTATGGAAAGAATACGACAACTTCGAACTGAGCCTCAACAAGGCCACCGGGCGCAAATATTTGCAGGAGAACTCCCCGAGCTATATGACCGCTCGCTCAGCCAAGACGGTATTGGACCAGAAGATAGATGGGTTGGACCGGAAATCCCTTCCCACCCTGCCACCGATCTACGGATGTGTCGGTGACGATGCATTTGCTGCCCAGCTGGACCGATGGAGAGATTGGATTGCGTGGGAGAAGGAGGATCCGATCATGTTCAAGGAAGATGACATTGCCGTCTACCGAAAACGGATTGTCTACGCATACAAACAAGCCACGATGCAGCTGCGATTCTACCCGGATCTTTGGTTCGATGCGGCGACGTGGTGTTTCGAGGAAGGGATCGAGGACATGATCACCGAGGGCGAAGCATTCCTGCAGAAGGGCATCGAAGCGAATCCGGAATCTGTGCTGTTGGCACTCATGAAGGCGGATCGGGTGGAGAGCAGTCTGGAAGCTGGCAGCTCGGACGAAATTGCCATTCGTAATGGTGAGAAGCTAGACCCAGTCTTTGAGGGCGTCATCAAGCCTCTCTACGCCCTGCATAAGAAGACTGTGGAGCGGATCCAGAAAGGCGTCGCGCAGATTCAGGAGCGGTACGCCGCTATGACTCCAGAAGAGGAGCCCGAAGATGCAAACGCAGACGATGATGACAACAAAAGCGACGCATCTTCGACCGTCAAACCGAAGACGCGTACGGAGAAGCTGAACGACGAGCTGGACGCATATCGCTCGCGGATGGCCGAGTACACCGATCAGCTCCGAAATACGATATCCTACATGTGGATCGCAAAGATGCGAGCCTTCCGTCGCATCCAGGGCCAAGGCCAACCCGGCAAAGCGAAGAAGGGCCTCCGCGGCGTGTTCGGCGAAGCGCGACCGCAAGGCCAACTCACGAGCGCCGTGTATATTGCATCGGCGCAGATGGAGTGGGCCTGCTACCGCGACCCCTCGGCCGCGCGGATCTTCGAGCGCGGCTACAAACTCTTTCCTCTCGACGAGGTCTTCACGCTCGAGTACATCAAGCACCTCTTTGCCAATAACGACGCCGTCAACGCCAACGCCACCTTCAACACCTTCCTGTCGAAGGTCAAGAACTCGGATAAATTCTCGCTCGAGCAGCGGCGCGCCAAGTGCCGCCCCATCCTGGAATCCATGCACGAGTACCAGAGCAATTTCGGCGATTGGAACCAAATCCACCGGATCGAGAGGGAGATGGCAGAGTTGTATCCGGAAGAGTCTGACGTCGCCCGCTTCGGCGCCAGGAATGCCCTGCCGAATTTTGATGCCATGCGCCTGCAGCTGCTCATTTCCCCGTCTCAGGCGCTGCCCAAGCCGACCGCCGATATGGGAGGGACAGCCGTCACGACCCAACACCCATACCCGAGCATCGAATACCCCCGCAGTCCCCCCGAAGGCATCAGCAACAACATCATCCGCCTCGGCCCGAACGGACCGTACGTCGCAAGCCCCAAGCGCGCACTGGAAGACGTCTCGGACAGCGAAGCACCGCAGCGCAAATTCCAGCGCGGCGAGTCGCCTTTCAAAGCAGGCCATCACAGCAACAACAGCGGAGGAGGTGGTAGCGGGGGAGCGGGTTTTATGACGAAAACATACGTCCCTCCACACCAGCAGGCGTCTTTCCCTCCGCTTGGTCCGGCGCCGCTGCCGAGCCAGTTGCATTACTTGCTCAGCGTGTTGCCGAGTGCGGCGCATTATCATGCTACGCCTTTCGATCCGCACAAGATGGTGGAGTTTTTGCGGGGGGTGAATTTGGGGCGGGCGAGGATCTAGTGGATCTGAGACTGGCTCCGGCGACCTGACTCCGAAGACTCGTTAGTGTGGTGGCTGACCGAGGTGTTTGTCGAATGTTGCATAGCGTTGGCGCTGCTCGCGTTAGGAGAGCGGGAGTGCGAAAATTGCTAGAGATTAGTTCGAGCAATGGAAAAGATTTACATGAATGTGTCGAATTCGGTTTTCTTTGTACACGGTGGCGACGACTCGGTCGTCGCGTATGTATGTATGTGTGTATATATATCACAATCCCAGCTGGCGTTAACTTGCACAGCAAATTTGCCTACATGTCCCAGGTGCCCTCTAGGGTACCGTCCCTTTCCCCACGCCCTACGCTCAAACGCTTAGATCAGGCAAAGATACAACCAAAAGCAGGAGGGCACGGCTACCAGCATCTTAGGCTCCGTAACCAGCCCCATCTCGATCCCCGCTGTACACGCTCGCCGGGGATGAAGTCGTCTTCTTTCTCGTCGCCGTTGGGGAGCGGGTCGAGAGGCTGTGTCCGCGCTGTGGAGGAGGGCAGGGGCATTCGGTGGCCTTGGCTTTGTAGCCGGCGGGCTTCGACGACTCTTCGAATGAGGACTGGCAGGAGATGTCAGTCTGTGGGTTTCTAAAGGTATAGAGGGGGCAGGCCACTCACGAGCAAACGTCTCTTCAATATTCACCATCTCGCGCGCACTCGTCTCCATGAACCCATAATGCCTACAGCGCGCCCACTCCAGGCCCTCCCTCGCCCCGACCTGGCGCAAACTCGCCAAATCACATTTATTCCCCGCGACAATCACGACGGGCAGCACGGCGCCGGCTTCGGCGCGCGTGTCGCGCTCCACCTCCAGCAGCGTGTTGAAGTACTCGAGCTGCGCGAGCGTGCTGGGCTGCGTGATGTCGTAGACGAGCAGGAAGGCGTCGGAGCGCAGGTTCGACGAGGACCACAGGCCGCGGTATTCTTCTTGGCCGGCGGTGTCGGTGATGGCGAGGGAGTAGGTTTGGCCGTCGACGGAGCGCGTGACGGAGTAGGAGTCTTCGATTGTGGGGTCGTATCTGGAGTGCGATGTTAGGTGGTGTGGGAGGATTTGGTGGCAGGGTGGGATGTACTCATGGGTCCATTCGGAGCGCACGAGGCGCAGGGTGATGCTGGATTTGCCGCAGCCTCCGTCGCCGCAGACGGTGACGGAGATTTTGTTGCTGTCGGACATGCTGTGCGTAGAGGAGAGGGGGTAGGATAGAGGTGTTTTGTGCATTCGAGGCCCTCACTGGGTCAACATTGCTGGCAGTCGCACAAGAAGATCGGGTGCTGTGACGTTGCACGTGATTGATGATGCTGGGGAACCGCGTCGGGAAGCAGTCGCGGCGCCGTAGGGATAGTGATACATATACTGCGAAAAGCAGAAAAGGCGGCAGACGGATGTGATTGCAGCAAAGCCAAAGGTGACAGTGACGACTGGGTTGTTCCCAGTCAGCCGCGCCGCCAATCACGCCGCGACGTTGCAAGGAAGAATTCCAAAAACCGTCCCGACAAGCCTCCCGCCCCTTGTCATGTCACTGTCACGCTAAACTGAAAGGGGGATGGCGGGGCTGCTTAGCTCCGACTGCCGACACTTCCGTACGCCGCGGCCGTGGCGCGGGAACTGGCACTGCACTCGTCAATGGCAACGATCGACACCGCTGCTGCAGCTACAGCAACGCTCCAAATACCTATTGGGATAGTTCACCGAGGGTGTGCCGCGGATAGGTGTCAGCGAGCATGCATGCTACAAGATTCACAGGGTTAGATGTGCCGATGGCCATGCGGAGCTCGACGAAGGGTATACCGCCTGCCATGATGCACACCAAGCACACTCCCATCACACCGCACGACACAACACACCGTGCCAGGACACCGGCTCAGGTACATGGCCCCCACACTTTGCGAACGACAGAAGAAACACCGGCCAGGCGGCTACAGGAAACGCTTGCTTTTAGCCTACTCCACCCGTGATCACCATGCATCTCCACCCCTGACTCGCAGCAGAGCAATCTCGACACACTCTGGCAAACACTGCCGAGCATGCTTACACCTCGAAGAACTCATTCGTGAACAGCTGCTCCGTCCGCACCCCTTCCCGTGCCAGCAAACCCTGCTCCCGTAACCACGCAATCCACGTCTCCCATTTGCCCGGCTCCATAGATCCCAGGCCTGCTTTCGACCCGTCACCATAAAACCCATTGATCCGCTCCTGACTCGCGGCCAGGAACCGCTCCGAGCGCTGCGGCCGACAGTGGCTCTGCAACACTGCCGCCGCCTCCCGCGCATCCCTCCCCGCAGCCTCGTACCCCAACTTCGTCGCCCGCACAAACCTCCTCAGCACTTTCGCGTCCAAACTTTTGTCTGCGTTCCTCGCAATCACCGGCGAATACCCGTACGGCACGCCGTACTCCTCCGCGCGGAAGGCGTAGATCGGCACCCCGTCCAACTCCGCTTCGACGCCCTCCCACGGCATAAACACCCAAGTAGCATCCACATCGCCTTTGCGCGCTGCCTCGAAGAGCGACAATTTCCCCACCTCATTGCTCCCTTTGACTCGCATTGCCTGCCCCTTGCCCCCCGCAGCAGAGACCATGGCTCTCACAATCCCATCCTCGTACTTCGCAGAGTAGCTCCCGTACACGCCTTCTCCCAACTTCGCCAGGTTAGATTCCCGCGTTGAAACGATGGCGCTCGCGTCTCGCTGTAGCAGGGCGTAGATGGCTTGCAGTGGCATTCGCCCGCTTTCGTTGTACGCTATGCACGACTCGCTGGGGCAGATGGCGAGGTCTACGCTGCCCGCGGCCAGTTGGCGGGCGGGTGTGGTGCTGTAACTTTCATCCGGGGCGATCAGTTCGACGTGCAGACCGGCGTCGGCGTAGAGGTTCTTGGCCTGGGCGAGGTAGAGGCCGGAGTGGATGCTGATCGAGATGGTAAGCCAAATGTAAACGGGGTAGTTTGCGAGATAGCATGGACGCACGTGTTTGGCGTCCAGTCGAGGGCGACTCGGACTTTTGTTGTTTTCGCTACAGACATGATGGATGACTCTGATATGCCGCTCGTCAATTCCTTGAATACCGTTTTTGCCGACGATTTTCCTGATTGTCTATCAAAAGCATCGAGGTGGATGGGAGAGTTTCAGACAAGACTGATGTAAGATGATGTCAGGCGCCAATTCACATGCAAACCCAAGTCGCTCTCCAGCACACAATGCTAATTGCATCCCTAGAGCCGCTCTATCTAATCATTTCCAAAGTTCATCGTCTCCGCGTGAAACTGTCTGTTATTTGACCCGCCAGTCTGGCTGTAGACACTCTGTGCCCCCGCGCCAGCGTTGAGATTCATCGACCCAGCAACATGATAATCCACCCGACCCGCCGCACCATCAGGCAACGAAGGCGGTAACGTCGCCAGCCGCTGAATCGCGCCATCCAGATCGCGGGCGCGACTCTCCGTCGCCATGCGAAAGAACTGATTGGTATGAAGCAGCTGCAGCTTCTCCAACATGTCCTTCATCAGCTCCTCCACCCGCCGCTTCTTGCCCGGCATCACGGCCTGCGCGGCCTTTTGATACCGCTCCGCCCGACTCGCCTTCTCCCCCGGCACGACTTTGTCGAAAATGGCGCGCAGTCTCGTCGCGTCCTCTCTGCATGCTTCCATAACGGGTGCTACGGCTTGCGCCGATTCTGACAGCTCGCGGATGCGCGTTGCATCTTTCGACTCCCGCAGTTCGCGATATGCTTGTTCTTGTATGCGTTTGCAGTCGCGCAGGATATTGAGCACGAGCGGCACGTCGATGGCCACTGCTCGAAATGCCTCGTGTAGGCCTGCCGCACTCGTCGCGGCGTCGTACAGCTGTCGAGACGTCTCGATGATGTCGATCACAGACGAGATGAGGCCGAGAACGGCGAAGGCTTCCGCGCCGGACATGATGAGGGATGAATTAGGGAGGAGATACCGGGAGGAAGTAACTTAGGGCTCTGCGCCCGTAGTGCACAGTGCAAAGCACGGCCGGGCGGGCACACACAGGACCTGCGTTACCCTAACGCAGCGCCGGTGCACCAGGTTGCATGCATGTGGCGCGCGAGCGTGCATAAGTGTGTAGCTGCAGCATGGAAGCTCCACCTGCTACCTACCTAAGCTAGCTGTGCTGACCGCAGCTTCTCTTTGCCCTTCAGCACTGCCTGCTACATGGTACTTCATCGAAGATCGAGAGGCAATGCGCGACCCTTGCCATGTCTGACACTCCCGAGCGCCCCGCGGCGCAAGGCTGCGGTCTCGAGCCCGAAACTGCGGGGTCGCAGAACGTGAACGCGGGGAATGGAGTGCAGAAAATCTACAGTCAGAGTGGAGGGTCGAATAACCGGCAGTTCAACGCAGAAACTATTTACTACACTGAGCGCGCGCCCGAGGCACAGCCTGACTACACTGGGACTTATTCATACACTTCCTTGCAGCCAGTCGCTAGCTACGTCGCTCGGCCGGGATTGCAGAAGCGAGTGGAAGAGCGACTTGAAAATGCATCTGGGACAGCCATTCTGGTGCTGGTTGGGCTGGGCGGTGCGGGAAAGACGCAACTTACGCTCAACTATATTCAAAGGCATTCCACAACATACTCCGCCGTCTTCTGGGTCGACGCGCGACTTCGCGAGTCGGTCGAGCGAGACTTTGTCCAGATCTACCGTCTGCTGTACGGCGTCCGTGGCGAGCAAGCATCCGCTTCTTCCCCGAGTGATATCGATCGAGTAGTCACTGCAGTCAAGACTTGGTTCCATGGTCGCCACGGGAGATGGCTGTTCGTGTTCGACAACGCCGACAGCCTGGACGATGAGAGTGACCCGTACTTCGTCGACTTGCAGCGCTATCTTACCAGTGGACCGGGTGTCGATGTCATCATCACCACACGAAGTCAGACGGCGACCCACATGACGCAGCAGGAAGCCATCAAAGTCGAGGAGCTCGCGCCGGCGGAGGCGAGGGACGTCTTCGTGGAATGCAGCGAACTCCGTAATCCAGCGGACGATGTTCTGGCGGAGATAGACCGCATTGTCGCGGAGCTAGGCTTTCTCGCACTGGCCGTCACCCTTGCCGGCTCCTACGTCGCCGCGACCCCCAGGATGCGATCCAACATCCGAGAATATCTGCCCGAGTACCGGCAGCGGCGAAAGGCCTTGCTAGGCCGGAAAGCGAAGCAGCAAGTCCACCGCTACGGGGAGAGCGTGCTGAGCACGTGGGAGACTTCCTTCGCCGCCATGGCGCACAAGAGTCCTACATCAGGCAGGCTGGTCGGCTTCTTCGCCTTCTTGGACTCGAGCGACATTTTCCCGGAGTTGTTCCGGCCTGATGCTGCCTCCGTCATCAAGCCTCCCACATACGTAGACACGGTCTTCCCGCCTTCTACCAAGGCCTGGGGTTCTTTTCTGTCGCGCGATGCGCCGCTCGAGCAAGTCCTTGACGACGCTCTGGAGGCTCTGACAACCTACTCTCTCATCCAGTGGAAGGAGGAGCAAAGCAGCTACTCGATGCACAAACTCGTGCATGAGTGGGGCTTCGATCGACTCGACGAGGCCGAGCAGGGCGAATACAGCTCGCAAAGTCTCAGCTTCTTGCAGTGGGTGGTCGAAGGACGACAGTTGGATCCCGCCGCGAAGCTTCGCATCTCGCCGCACGTCTCGGCGAGCGTGGCCAGACTGCGCGAGTGGCAGCCGACTTCGACGTGCGTGTCGGAGACCAGCCTGTACCGGATCCAATTGCTGGCGAATTTCTTGCGGAGCGTCGGGCAGTATCCGGCAGAGCTGGAGCTCCTGACATTCCAGCGGGGAGAATGGGAGCGACGACGCCGGGAGGGCGGAGAGAAGGGCTGGCTGCGCGGCCTCCGCGCGAGAAAGACGGAGAAGACGGCGTGGAGGAATAGCGCGACGTCCCTCGGGAACATTGCGCTGGTGCTCCAGAGGCAGGGCAAGTACGAGGAGGCGGAGGCCATGAACCGGCAAGCCATCGAAGAGAAAGAGCATGTGCTGGGAAAGGAGCACCTAAGCACGCTGATTAGCATGGAGAACCTCGCGATGGTCCTCAAGGAGCAGGGGAAGTACAAGGCGGCGGAGCAAATGTGTCGGCGCGCGCTCGACGGCAAGGAAAAGGCGCTCGGCAAGGAGCACAGTATGACGCTGCAGGGCATGAACAACCTCGCCACCATCCTCCAGGACGAAGGCCGATACAAGGAAGTCGAGCAGATAAATCGGCGCGTGCTCGAAGCGCAGGAAAAGGTGCTCGGCAAGGAGCATACCGATACGCTCACGAGCGTCAACAACCTCGCGAGCGTGCTGTGCGAGCAAGGTAAATACGAAGCGGCGGAGGAGGTCTACCGGCGCGCGGTGGCGGGACGGGAGAAGGCGCTGGGCCGCGAGCACCCCGACACGCTGCTGAGCGCAGACAGCCTTGCAGTAGCCCTCTGCAAGCAAGGGAAATACGAGGAAGCCGAGGAGCTGCAACGCCACGCACTCGCGAGCCTGCAGAAAGTGAACGGAAGGGACCACCCGCACACATTCTTAGTCCTCGCCAACCTCGCCGCCACCCTGCAAACGCAGAAGAAGTACGAGGCGGCGGAGCAGATGACGCGGCAGGCGCTCGAGGGCAAGGAGAAGCGGCTTGGCCCCGAGCATCCCAGCACGCTGCTGACGGTCGCGAACCTGGCTTTTCTGCTGCATAAGAAGCAGGAGTACGCTGCTGCTGCACCGCTCTATGCACGAGCGTCGACAGGATGTGTCAAGGCTCTTGGCCCGTCGCACCCGGACACGCTGATGTACTTGGAGAAGATGGCTCTGAACCAGGAGAAGCTGAACGAGCTGCAGTCGGCAGCGTTGGATAAGCCAGTGGCATCGCCTTGAGCACCTTGTAGCGGGTGTGGGCGCAATGCAGAGGACGGGCGATGTTGGAGAGACACCGGGTTAACGAACAACGGGGATATCCGACACCGTCGAGCATTGCATTTGAGTCGCGAGGGACGAAAGGTCTAGACAAAGGTGGGTAAGACCTTGCAGCGGCTAAAAGCACCACTCAGTCTATCCCGATAGCTCGCAGGCCTATCAGCGAGATCATCCTGCGCCCAGATGGCCTGCAAAAGCCGGCGAGCGTAGTTGAACGAGCGAGAGGAGCTCCGTCTCTCCGTTCGGCTGATGAGGTCGAGGATGACTGCGCGCTGGCCATCGCTTTGGGCCTCGCAGCCGAAGATGAAGACTGGGAACTGTCGATCGCAGGCGCGTAAGGCTGCGAGGATGGAGAAAGCCCTTGCTATTTGTTGCTGCGCGCGAGCGGCTTGGTGGAGGAGGTCCTGGGATGCGCGGTGAAGGTACACCAGCGTGGCGAGTTGATACAGCTCCGTGATCAGTGCGGAATCTGGGTCGTCGTTGGCTTCGGGCTCAGGCTGTATGGTCCGTAGCTTCCAATCGAGAATCTGCAAGAAGTTCTTGCTGTCCTGATCATCCTCGGCCGACGTCGCGTCGCAAACTTCCGAGAGCAGCTCTATTGCGACCATGCTCGTTATTGGCGCGCTCGAAACCTGATGCCAATCACTGTTTAGAGAGCGCATCTCGCTGCTGGATAGCTTCAGCCCGCCCCATCACTCACCTCAGCGCGACAACAGTGCGAGTCCGATGAGAAGCTCAACGGCCTCGTCTCGCCCCCACACATGTCCGACACCTCGTCTGAGGGCGCGCTATGCCAGTATTGTAGACTGAAGCGTGCCAAAACGTCATGGTAGTAGACCCAGTTCAGCAGACAGGAGAGCTCACGATCGGGGCGGACCTCGTGCAAGCCGGCAGCGCGGATGACCTCTTTGACGCCACGAAGATACCACGTCCATTCGCCAGAGGTGCAGGACGCTTGGTGGACCTGATGCACCGTATCAGCGCGTGTCGCCGCAAGCGTGTCACAGGCACGGGGCGTCGACCTCGAAAGACAACAGCAGCATGCCCGCAGCGATGCGCTGGATTGCTTCTGTGCGGCCAACAGGGCCTCTAGACGCAATCGTCAACGCCCGGATCGCAGACGTTTTGAGTTCCACCGCCTGCATGTTGACGTCGTGGAGATGCAGAGAGGCAAAGGCGAGCAAGGCATGGAGCACTGCCGTATTCGTCGACGCCGGGTCGGCGGACAGGGCTATACGGGCGAGGAGGCTACCCAGCTCTGCCGGCTGGTGACCGAAAGTGGCGAGGGCAGTCGAGGCGACGGCTCGGACTGCGTTTCACATTGTAAGTCGAGATATCAACCGAAGGGTCGGAGGGCGAGTGACAGGCTCACAGTACTGGAGGAGATACGGGTGGGCTACCTCGACAATCTTCTTGTTCCAGTGTAGTGGGATGTCGAGAGCGGGTGCTGTGGCGTCTGTAAAAGCGTCAGAGACAAGCAGGACTTCTACTGTGGAACTAGGTAGGCATATGCCGGGTAAAGACTCACATCTGCCACGTTTGCGGGGGGGAATGTAGTACATCTCCAGATCGCGGTGCGACACATGGATGATGGGATGCGCTTTTGGCCCTGTCTTTCTGATTGGCGGCGGCCTTTTGCCCACGGTCGCTCGTCTTGCATCGTGCACACGCGCCAGGAGAGTTTGATCCCCGACCCGACATGCTCGCTCGTGGGGGGGTTGGAGCTTGGTGTGAAGGATGGAGATGCCATATGCGCTTTCCACGAGCCTGGCTAGAGATCTGCCTCTCGAACTTGATCGCAGACTTATTGAACGTGCATTCGACCGAAACGATTCGAAGGTGAGAGAGTGAGCAGCTGGATGTGATCAACCGGCACCGCCGTCTTCTTCATCGTTCGTCTTCGTGAGTGCATATGTACCGCCAAGGAAATAACCCCTCCTAAAATCCAGAAGAGGTGGTTCCGTTCCAGGGTATCAAAAAAGAAAGAACAATCCACAAGAAATTAGGTAGGCGCACAGAAAAGCCTCTCACACAAAAAGAATTAACAACCCCATCCGCAACGACCCCCCACTCAATCCGGCTCCTCAATCCCCTCGTCAATCTTGTCCGGCACCCCCGACGCCCCCTCCATCTGCGCCGAATGGTTCTCCGCCGGCTTGTACGAAGGGCCCGGCGACTCCTTGGGCTCCGTGCCGGGCGTAGCGACGATGGAGGAAGGCCCGCCGCCGGTGTTCTGGTTGGCGGATTCGGTTTTGATGTGAGGCTGCGAGGGGCGCTGGGAGGGCGAGGCGGAGGCCTTGGACGCTTTGTCGCTTGCGCCGCCGCCCGAGTAGACGGAATGCTGGGAGGAGGTGCGCGGGGAGACGCGGCCGTTCTGGTTGGTTCGAGAGTTAGTTTGCCTTCGCGGGGAGTATGGGAACGAGAGGCAACTCACAAGCTTCGCCCAGCGAAGCCCACAGCTATTACACAAATCCCTCTGCCCACTCGGTCCGCGGCGCCATTCCGGCGTGACGCGCGTGTGACAATTCGCGCAATCCTTTTGCTGATCTTTACCGCGTCTCCGCTTGCGCTTCTTCTTCGCCGCAAGCAGCGTCTGTACCTCTTCGGCCAGCAGGCGATTCCGCTTCTCCAACTGCCGGATCTCGTACTGCCACGAGCTGGACTTGGTCGTCTTGAGCTCGTCGAAGAGGTTGTCGTCCGAGGCGAGCGAGGCGTCCTGCCGCCCGATGACGAGCCCGTTTTGCCCCGCGTACGTGGTGGCGGACTCCTCGGTAGTGAGGTAGCGGTTGCCCGATGCGGCGGATTGTTGATCGGTGCCGGTTTGGCTGTTGCCGTTGTTGCCGGACTTGGTGGATTCGGACGAGCCCCGATCTTGCTTGGGCTGGAGCGGTGGTCGAGTGGGCGGGATGCCGCGCGAGAACTTGATGAGGCGGGTTTGCGCGACGATGAACGTCGGCTTGAGCCCTTCTGTCGCATCGCCCGGGTACAGGGTGGTGTATGCCGACATGACCTGGCCTCTGCGGTTGATCATCTCGTGCTTGACAGACGCCTTCTTGCCCGTACGTGCGTGCTCCAAGATGCGTCCGAATTCCTGCTTCGAATCGGCGCGCATGAGGGACTGCATGCTGATGCCAATCAATTCCTCCGGTTGGCGATCGAGCAGCTGCCGCACATTCGAAGAGACGTAAAGGAACATGCCGGCAGTCGACATCTTCGTCCACAGCTCGTTCTCGCCGATCCCACCAGCTTCGTCAATGCCCGACTTGCTGAGCGTGTACACCGGTCGCTCGCGACCGACGAGGATGATCGATTTCCGACCCTTTCCTTGCTCGGTGTGAAGCGATCCGTGCCCTTCGAACCACATGTACCCGTTGTTCTTTCTCCGTATCCGGAAGACGACATTGACCGATGCGCCGGTCGAGGTATCCTTAAGCTCTCGCGTCACCGGAACAATGTCACTCGGATGACAGACTGAGCTGAGGGCCGTCCCGATGAGCTCGCTGGGCTCATACTCCAGGACCCGTGCGGCGGAGGGAGAGACCCATTGAAACAGGCCCTTGAGGGAGAGGACATGCACCACATCGTCGGTGTTCTCCAACAGCACCTTGTCCCACATGCGCTTGGCGTATTCGGACTCGCCGTTGCCGATGCTCGACAGAATTGCAGAGACATCCTCGCGCGGGATGGTTTGCCCCAAGGTGTGCCCCACCTCCGATTTCTGAGACGCGTCCGGCGCGGTGACGACGTAACGAGGCATTGCCATGCCGCGCTGATAATTGATGGAATATGAGCCATCTAGTATCGCAATTAGCAGAGCGCCCTCGACATCATTTCACCGACACGACATACCTGGATTCTTATTGGTAACAGCATTCGGCTGCTCCACCAAATCCACCTGGAAGCCCACGAAAAACTTGACCTGGTCGGTTTCCCATGAGATCGGAATCATCGTCAACAAGTTCATAAACGGCTGTCCGCCGCGGCGATAGTTGATCAACGAGATTTGCGCCTCTCGCCGCAGGCTGATCATGTTCTTGAGATACAGCACGGAATCGTCATCGACGTACTTTCGCCGGATACCGGGCGCCACATTGCCGTCGGGGGATTGCAGAAAGCGACAATTCCGTCCGAGAATCATGTGTTTGGTGTATCCGGTGAGCCGCTCGAAGTTCTCGGAGCAATATACAATGGGGAAGTCGTCTTTTTCGGCGTCACACACCACGAAGGCGCAGGAAAGGTCGACGGAGCCAATGTTGATCTCGGGGTTCGGCCGAGTCGCGACTCTCATCTACGTGGTGAGGTTTAGCTGGGGGCTCAAATGGGTGGGGCAGAGACGACTTTACCAAAACGCCAAGCATGTCGAATCCAGTGGACGAGTAGGCATTCTTGTACGAAGTTTGCATGTGCGGGCGTCCGGTGAGGGTGGAGGGCCACCCGCCCTTGCGGACCTCCCAGTTAAATCCTTGATTGTTTGGATTGTAATTCGCTGGATCAATCGAATGTGGCCCGTCGACACCATCGACCAACGGTCCGCGATTATGCATGCCTCGGTCTTGTTGTGAGCCCGGCTCCGGGTGTTGTGGCTGAGCCGGGAAGCCGCTGTGCTCGTCGTAGCTGTGGCTTGATGACGAGGCTGCTTGGTTCATCATGTTTGATGTGTTATCGGAAGCCTGCAAGCTGTGTCGGGAAGATTGCCGCGCTGTATCGGTGCTTGTGGATCCGTGACCACTGTACTGGGTGTTCATGCGGCTGCCGCCAGCTGAAAGTGGAGTAGGGCCATTGGAGGAGTGCGGTGTGCCCTGAGATCCTGTGCCGGGCCGCATGGGAGAGTTGGCCATCGGCTGGTTGAACTGCGCCTGGCCAAAAGGACTCATTTGCGGCATGCCGGCGTCTGAAGCAGCAGCAGCCAGATTTTGATCGACTGCGTAATCCATCCCCATCCCGAGACGCGTATCGAGATAAGGACTATCCATGGAAACGTCGTAAGCGCTCTGAGGATGTGCGGGAGATTGATACGACGCAGCAGACATCAGATTGTTGTAGGCCTGCGAATTGGCGAATGCCGTGTTTACGTTCAGGTTGTTTGCAGTCTCCCGGCGCTGCTCTGGATTATGTTGCCGCTGATCTGCCGCATTCGTCGCGTTGCCGGGCATGATGGAAGACATGTCGAGCTGCGCAGCCGTGTCGTATTGGAAATTGCCCATAGAGCTGGCGGGCGAGGCACTGCCGTACTCCATCATAGAGATGCGGCGGAGATTGGGGTCCACGGGCTGCTGCGAGCCGCCGTACTGATGCGGCAGGCTCTGCCGTCGCATGGCTTTGGCATTCTGGTTGACAATGTCGTCCAGCGATTGGCCGCCGCCGAAATTCATGCCCTCCTGGCCCATCATCATCATATTATTCTCCGCCGCCGCATCGTTGCCGGCGTCCATGCTCTCGCCGTTGTAGCCGCCATTGTACTGGTACCCATTCATCTTCCCCCCGACGCGCGCGCCCAACAGCTCACGCTCTGGCTGGCGTTCGATGGCGTGTGGGATGCGGGTATTGCGGGACGGTGCCCTCGCACCGCAGGCGTCTCAGCGTGGGCTCTCACGCCTGCCAAAAGGGAATGTTCGCTCTGCTGGGGTGGCACGAGGAGAGCATGAGTGCCTCGGGGGTTCTTGGTGTGCCGGGCGTCGCTGGTGGGGAGCTCGGATAGGTGCAGGACTGTTTCCCCTCCCAAGCGAAGGGCCGTCGACGTGCGCAGAGACGTCGCAGCAAGGTCAGGTTGTCAGTCGAGCAGGACCGGCGGGCGGTGGATGGATGACATAAGTGTAGTGGCGGTGTCGGGTGATGGCGATGGTATAGGCACTGCAGTGCGGTGTGGTGCTGAGTGAGCGAGCGTGCATGCTGTCTGCCCGCGAAGAGCCGCATGGCCCCCATGCCATGCTTGTGAAGCGTGACCCGCGTGAGCCTTTTCCGGGTGCACCCTAGTCCCAATTCGGAAAGCACGACCCGCTCTTTCCGTCCTCGCATGGGTAATTCGGTTGTATGACAGCAACACTTAGCATTCCGCATATATGTGAAGATGAAGGGAGGTGGAAGCTCTCTCGCGCGCTAGCAAGAAGGGAGTTGTCGCGATGTATACCGTGCGCTAGGCCATGGTTCGCTATCGCAGGAGAGCGTCACAAATGATGGCCATTTACCTGAGCCTCGTACTGGGATATTCCCTGCAAGTATAAGTTCACGGGTAGGTAACATCCACTCAATCTCCACAACCACCACACTCCAGCACCATGGCCCTCTTCATCTCGTCCGCCAGCTCGCCCGAGATATGCCCGCTCAGCGTCACCTCCTTCTTGCACCGAACGTCCCGCAGAAGCTCCCAAAAGGAATGAAAGCCGGGACAGTCCTCACAGCTGCTCGCGCAATTCACCACCTCCCGCAACTTCAACACATGCTCATCCTCCCCGCTCAGCTTCCACCCCAGCCTCTGACTGACAGCCTCATGCGGCCCGTTCGTAGTACTCATATCAATCGTGAGGTAGTTCAAATTCGGCGCCGCGCTCAACAGCCCTTGCACCGCATTCAACTGCGCCGTCAGGAGGATGCGCTCATACTTGTTCGCTTCCTGATACGACTTGGTAACGAGCAGCGTGACATTCTTGACGTACGCACTCGTGCGCTGCGTCAGTGGCCACAAGGTGCCGTAGCTCGCTTCGTATGCGCGCGCCCAGCTTTCCACGTTGTGCAGCCCGCTCTGCGACTTCGCAATCGGCCGCGGCCACATGGCGCTCGTGCCGAGCTCGAAGATGAAGCGGTTCTCGCCGTACATGACGGCGTGGTAGACGTCGCTGAGCGCGTGGCACACGCTGGCGAGCGCGGTGATGTTGGGCGACGTGTTGCCTGCTACCGGGTCGAGGGGGTTCTGGTCGATATTGTAGGGGGTGCACAGGCGGTGGATCATGGTCGTTCGTTTCCCCTGATCACTTTCGTAGTTGAAGACGTGAAACGATTGTTCGAGCGGGAGCAGATAGCGCATGATCTGAATGAGCACCTCGTTCGGCAAGAGTGGGAGGAGGCATTTGTGGGTGGTGGGTTCCAGGACCGGCTTGGACGAGCGTCGCCAGGAGTACTGTGCTTTCCGTGCTGCCCAGGTGATCTGCGTAGTGTCGATGCGCGGGTACTGCACGGATTCGGAGAAGTCGTCGAACATCCGGTCCACGTTGTTGTTTGACAGTTTGCTTTGGTACATTGCGTTGCGCACCCATCGGCCGCGCACGGGCGTGGAGGGTTGGGAGCTGCTCATCGACGCCAGCGCCATGTCGTCGCACCCATCAAGCGGATGTGTTCAAGCGTCAATTATAAGAGTGATGTCGTTACCTGGGTAGATGAAACCCAGATCAATGATAACGGTGAGTAGGCAGGTTATGTATTGACGACATTCGCAGGAACGGAGAGTCAAGCTCGAGCTGCCAAGCCGAAGCGACAGCTCTTTGCATCACAACTCTTTGACATGGACTGAGCGACATTTAATCGGCAAAGCAGTGCCTCGACAATGTGAGCCTCATTGGGTCTCGATTGACCATCCTACGCTATGCATATTAATTTCATCTCGTTGCACGTAATCTCATCGCTGGAGAAATCCAGAGCGCTGTTGCACGACTTCAACATCTGCATCCCTTCCTTCCTTGCGCAAGTTTTCAAGCAGCTGCTCTGCCGCAGTACCCTTCCCTCTGCCGGCGGACTCGGAGTGCAGCATGCGAAGTTGCCGGCGCAAAGTTGATTCCAGTACCTTCTCGACATCCGCGTCAAGACCTTCTGTTGACCTCAGATACGGTATGAGTAGCAAAACCACCTTCTCCGCGAGCGCCAGTCTCGAATGGTTGTCCTCGCCGACCTGGCCCTGCTTGAGTGATGCGAGCGCCCGGCCGAGCGCAACTGGGAATTGGGCGCCGTTCGCATCAATGCCGTGTAGCGATAGTCTGGCTTCGCAAATCACCGTGCTCGGCGAGTGAGGCTGATGTTGTTGCATGTGCTCGAGCATGTGGTTCAATATGCGCTCAGATGCCGCAGTACGATCGACAGCGGCGACCATCTCGAAGAACTTCTCGGCAACGTCAGGCCGATGGTCAAATTGCTTCATCGCGGCATCGAAGATTGCGATGGGAATGCCACCGGAGAAGGCTGGAGTCGAATCGAGCTTCTGAAGTGCAACCACAGGGGTAGCGTCGCCTGTTTCTGCTTTGTCGGACTCGAGATCTGCAGCCGTGATTGACGGCAATGTGAGGAAGTCTTCACCATCCTCCGCCTGCTCGCGTGCCGCCTCTCTGGGTTCTTCCTCGATGCCCAGGATCTTGCGCCTCGCCGCAAGTTTCGCGAGGTACCCCATTTCCAACCGCAAGTACTCCAACCATAATCTGTCCTCATCCTTACAAAATCTCAGACCGCGTTGCATATACGACCGTGCCGTGCTCATGTCGCCCTGATTCTCTGCATAGTGCTTCGCAGCGAGAACCCACAATCCCCATTCCCTGGGCTTCAACCTCAACAGCGTCGTAAACACTTTTGCCAGCTTCTTGTTCGCCTTCTCTTTCTGACAAAAGTGGACATAGTGCATCCACAGCCCCATATCCCCGGGAAACTTCTTCGTCGCGCGATCGAGGATGAAGAAGATGGTGCGCTGGCCGGAGAAAGCAGTGGCTTTGATTCCCAGTCGCTTACTCCGCTTCTTGCGCAGTCGGTCGAGGTTCATCTCGTATGTGACATAGCGTGCATAGTCGGTTGGCCGCGAGCCGCGCGCATTCAGAATGTGTTCAAAGTCGCTGCGCTTGGATGCGATGGCGGTTATTTCATCGGAGGTAAAGATGCCTTTGCGTTCAAACTCCTGCAGCTCGGGGACGTACTGCTCGAGGTAGAAGCGAGCCTTGTCGCTTGCGCCCGCCATGCTGGGCTGAGCGGAAGAAGTGGATGTGTGGTGGTTGTACTCAAAAGAAGAAGATCGGCCTGGAAATATTTCTTTGACTTTGACGCACCCCACGCTGACGGGCCGACGGGCACAGCCGCGAGTGCAGGGTCAGCGCCCGAATACGGTAAGGGGTTTTTTGAGAAACGCGTCCACTTCCGCTCGTCTCTCCCATCTCACTCCTGCGTGCCTTTTGCCGTCCTTTCTTTAATTTATTAGCCAGCGTCGCTCCTTTCACGGCCGCTATGCCTCCCAAACACCGCGATGGCGACGTCATCGCTGTGGTGCGTGCCTTGCGCCATCTCCCCCAACATCTCTCCCTTGTCTGACCTTCGCGCGCAGATCCCCGGGCACTACATCTCCTGGGCGCATACCATTGCCGCATATGCCGCCTTCCTCGGAGCTCTGATAGTGGGCATGTGGTTGCATTACCACAAGATCGTTCAAAACGAACACTATGGCTATCCCGTCGAATGGTTCCCGTCGGTCAGCGCAACAATAGGAGACCGCTATCCCGAACGCTCCGTCTTCCAGATCTTCATCGCCATGTGCTCCGGCCCGCGGTTCGCATTGGTCTTCTTGTACTACTGCCTTGCCAAACGACCTGGTAGCAGTCTGCCAGCGTTCATCCTGGGTGTGGGCATCTTCCGAACATTGACATGTGGTGGATGGACCTACGTGACCAGCACCGACGACCACGACTGGCATGACATTTTCATGATCAGCTATCTCGTCGCTACCCTTCCTTGGACCGTGGGCTGTCTCATGCTGAGCCCTCCCAATCCTACCGCCATCCAATACCGAAAGTATCTCGCCACTGCTTTCTTCGCAACCCTCGTTCCTTTGATCTACTTCTTCATCCAGCACAAGGTCCATCGTGTGCCTGGAGGTATGTTCGAAGCCACTAGGACTTTCCCCTTTACCAGCTAATGTTGCAAACAGCTTACACAATCTATGCCTTCTTCGAGTGGGCCCTCGTCCTCCTCGATGTCGCCTTCGATGCAGTCACCGCGTTGGACTTCAGCAGCTTCGAGCTGGTCGTGAAAGATGTCAAGGGTCTGAGCAGAGGGTACGTGTCGTGGCTTCCAAAGTAGCCGGTACGCGGTACCCGCTCCGTCAAGAGAATGAACAAACGGGCGTCGCTGATTCTTGCCGGGTTTGACAGAGACAAATCCCGAGTCGCAGATCGTGTTCTCGAGAAGGAGCGGAACAAGCAGATTGGCCGCGTATTCGACGCCAAATTCTCCTCATCGGAAATGATTGATGCCGTTGCCGATGTCTATCTGGGCGTAAGTGCATATCATCCGCGCCTTGCAGTCTGCTCTAATATTTGTTTAGTTCACATTTTGGAGTGTCCTTACTGGCCTCGGAGTGGTCGTCTGGTACTTTCCCCTCTGGCACATGGGCATCTCTGGTTATGAAGTGGCCGTCATGTCTACAATCTCACCCATTCTCCTCGAAATCGGCCCCGTGCGACGACTAGTCTTCGGCAACATCCCACTCATTCAAGCCACCACGATCGTTGGTCTCCTTGCATATCTGTTCAAATCCCCGGAAAGTCGACTTGGTGCCGTGAGTCTTGCAGTATGGCAAGGCTGCCTGGCATGGGCGGCTACGTGGTACACCGCGCGTGGCAATCCGGCCAAACTCGAAGCCAGGACAACAGCATGGTTACTGGGACTGATTGCGAGCAGCATTGCCAAGTTCGCGTTCCAAACCAACAACCCTCTCTGGGCTGTCGTGAATGAGACCAACGGTGGATGGAACAAGACGGGTACTGCGCTCTTCGTGTTGGCACTTGCTCGAGTCTGGCAACGGAGCACGACTGGCAGCGGTACCGCTCAACCATCAGAAAAAGCCAAGGGACCATCGCTTCTCGCTGGACTCGGCCTTGGTGGCGCCTTCTTCGGCCTTCACTCATTGTTTTCCGACTCGAGCACCATGATCTTGTGGGTCTGGGAAGGCTACCCAGTCCGAGGGCCGATTGCCGTGCCACATGGTGCCGTGACGATCCTGGTCATGGGTCTCGGACTGCTCTTTGGTCTATTCTATCCCAACGTAGCCCGTAGCTGGACTGCTTACGGCGTTGGTTCAGTTGGAGCAGCCGTGCTCACCGGCTTCTCGCACTGGTTCGGATACTACGGCGGACTGGCATTGTGCTTCTACTTGATGGCCGTCACGCCAGCCCTGATTTCCAACGCGGTCCGCTTTGCCCCTGGTCGCACCTTCTTCTTCGGCTTCTTCTTCTACAACTTCATGGTTCTCTTCCATGTTTGGGTCGTCGCATACGCCTTTGTACCCGGGGGACCGCTTGTTCGAGAGCGTACTGATTGGGTGATGGCGACCACCATGCTGATGATTGGCGCCGGCATCTTCTCTTCCATCCAGAACAGCGGCAGCCCGGCCAAGCAAAAATCTGCACAGCCGCCTTTCAACCCCGCCGCGAGGAAGCAGAGGAGCTACTACATTTACATCCTGCTCTTCCTGCAGCTTCTAAGCGCCAGCGTGGCCTACCTGCGCTTCCCATCTTACGATTACCAGCCGTATCACAAAAACAGCAAATCCATCACGGCAGGCGTCTGGACCATCCACTTCAGCATCGACAACGACATGTGGAGTTCCGAGCGGCGCATCGAGCAGCTCATCCGCGAGACCGAGCTGGACGTCGTTGGCCTGATCGAGTCGGATCTGCAGCGCATCATCATGGGCAACCGCGACACGACGCAGTACCTGGCCGAGGAGCTGGGCATGTGGGTGGACTACGGCCCCGGCCCGAACAAGCACACCTGGGGCTGCGCGCTGCTCTCCAAATTCCCCATCGTCAACTCGACGCATCACCTCCTCCCCAGCCCGGTCGGCGAGCTGGCGCCAGCCATCCACGCCACCATCGATGCATACGGCGAGCTCATCGACGTTCTGGTTTTCCACTCTGGCCAAGAAGAGGATCCGGAAGATCGCCGCCAGCAGTCGGAGTACCTTGCCGATTTGATGCGCAGCTCCCCGCGCCCAACCATCTTGCTCTCGTACCTGGTCATCAAGCCCGGAGAGGGCAATTACAATACGTACGTAGGTGAGAGGAGCGGAATGAAGGACATTGATCCCAGCGATTGGGACCGGTGGTGTGAGTACATCTTGTACAAGGGCCTGAAGAGGACGGGATACGCGAGAGTGAGCAGGGGCTCCATCACCGACACCGAACTACAGGTACGTTTTGTCCTTGCATCCGTTGAATATGACGAAGTTTGAGCTAACCGGATCTCCCTCACAGATTGGGAAGTTTGTCGTTGGCCAGCCGGAAGGCGGGAACGAGATGATTTCCGAGGAGTCGGTGCATCCTGATCTGCGCTTCCCGGCGCTGTTCCGGGGGCAAGGGGTAAGGGATCACTACTACCATGTGTTCAACGAGCCTCGATACTTTGCATAGAGCGGGCAGAAGTGAAGCGGTCTAAAAAGGGAATGACAATCTATCGCGGTTGACCCCCGTCCGTGTACACTACAAGACGAAACCTCAAATGCTGAACCTTCTATATCCTGATTCTAGACCCCCTCCTCAGCCTGTCTGCTTCATACCCAAGCGGTCGGAGTGAAGAGTTTCTTGGCAAGTGCATCCCACTTGGTGAAAGAGTCGCCCTCGTTGAAATCGTCGCGCAGCAAATCCACGTACCCGTGCTCCGTGCTCTGGAAATCTGGCACCGCCTCCGGCACCAGGCCTCGCGGCAGCACGGCCAACATGCGTCCTGCAGCATTCAAAAGGTCAGCATCGGCAGGAAAATGACAGTAAGTCGGGACGAGGGAAAGCCGCGCACCATTCATCTCCCCATCCGCAGCAATGCGCATCACCGCGCGCCCCACGTCCTCCTTGTCCGCAAACTTGACCCCCTTGCCCTCCAGAAAGGCCATCCAGTCCGGCACCAGAATGCCCGTCTTGACGAACGTGGGCGCGATGCCGTTGGTGCGGATGCCGTGCGTGGGATTCGTGCAGCGCAGCGAGCGCAGCAGGCCGCGCACGCCCCATTTCGAGGCGTTGTACTCGGGCGAGTAGGGCTGGTCGGCGTAGCCGGCCATGCTGCAGGTGAAGATTAGGGCGCGGGGCGTGGGGCTTTTGTTGCGCGCGGGGCACAGGTAGTGCGTGGCGAGTTTGGCGGTGTATTGCATGCCTAGGAAGTTGATTCTGCCTGTGATGAGGGAGGGTTCGATGGGGTCTGCGTCCGGGGTTGGCGCATCTGGTGGGCAAGGTGTTAGTTGTGGAGATTCACGACGGGGGGTCCTGGAGAGAGGACTTGCCGTCTTTCCAGATGGGTTCGTCCCCTCCTACGCCTGCGTTTGCGACTACTGTTTGATCCCACCGCTCGAGTCAGCGTGGGATGCTGGATGTGTGGACGGGAGCAGTCCTTCACGCTGACCACCACGCACCGATATCAATCTGCTTAGTTGGAGATCGAGCAACGGCCGTCTTGAAGGCGTTCAACTGGCTCTGCCAGACTGTGACATCGCATTGGGCAAAGGCAGCATGCTCTCTGCTCATCGGAGTTAGCGTCGCTATTCTCAACGAGTTCTGGTTTGAGCATGCGTACTCGCCCAGCTCCGACACGAGCCGCTCGCCGTTCTTGGCGGAAAGGTCGGCAATCGTTACAAAGGCACTACCGTCCCATCGAGTAATTAGTCAACGTGACGGCGTCGTCATCCAGTGACAGGGGAAGACAACGAACCCAGCTCGGACGAATTGACGCGCCATTTCCTCCCCGAGTCCACTTGCTCCTGTAGTGTTCATATCAGTCTTTGCTTCAAAATGTCTGCATTGGCTAGCAGGAGAACCCACCACCGGTGATAAGGACACTCCTGCCCTTCAGCGAGCTGGTGTCGATGTCAGCGCGAGGCTGCACCGCATTCTCGCGCACGAAGGAGGTCTGCATTGCGATTGAGGTATTTTCTGAGGATTTGGCCCTTCTACCGTCGATGTAATTTCAGAAAAGGTAGGGAAACAGTTGGATCAAAGAAACGTTCCATCTTGGTTGGTCATTGGATGTAAGCACTAATCAGCTCGCAGGCACAATGTTCGATACGGGAAGCTTCGGGCGGTATTGAGTCAATTCGGGTGCGTACTTGCGATCCCGTTCAAGATCATCATCATCAAGTCACGAGGGGGAACATCATGGACGAGAAACCACACCAAAGAAGGGCTTGAGAAGGAGAGTAGACAGATCTCAGGTTTGAATCCGCGATTCTCGGCATTACAAAATGCACTCTACAAACATCGAACCGCTCCTCTCAGGTCGAGAATAGGATACACATGACGCCAGCTTCTCGCACACCAGCCATCGCTCTACTTCCTGCTACCTCCTCTCCATTCGCTAGGGAAACGAACAGACGGGTGGCAATGCACAACCTCCTCAAGGCCTCGGATCCCAGCCCTTGAGCCCGTCACCCGTCAAAGGGGCAGCGGCACTCTACACCTTAGCCTTAGTCTCCTGCTTCGCCTCTTGCGCCTTCTGCTTCGCCTCGCCAGCGACCTCCTCGGCCTTCTCCTTGCCGATGCCGATGGCCTGCTTAGCGGCGCCGGCGGCCTCCTCTGTCGGTCATGTGGTCAGCATGTTGTGATGAGTGATTGTGGAGGGATTTGGAAGGTACATACCGCCCTTCTCGATGCCCTTCACGATGCCCTGCGAGATGGTCTTGTCGACGGTCTTGGCTGCGTCTTTGGCGCCTTCGACGGGGCCTTTGTTGCGGAGGGCGACGCGGGTGCTGAAGAGGCGGACGTTGCGGATGGCGGCTTGGCGGTACATGGTGAGGGAGGGTGGGTTGGAGTGGTGGGTGGGTTTGTGGTTGGTTGAGTAGCTGGTTAGAGGTGATGGGATTGATGGATGGCTCTTTTGCTGATGAGATGAGGGTTGTGGCGGAGAGGATGAGGAGGGCAATGGGAAACAAAAGGCATGGGTGATGGAGCTTGACATCATAGCTTGAGCTTAGACCAGTCGCTCTCGCCCCCGCGCAACGCGGCTCTGCCTCGCTTCCTTGTGGGGAAGGCGGCCAGCTAGCCGAATCGTCCTGGCGATGCACGTGGGTGACCATCCGTCATTAAGATTATGATGATATATAACCATGACCACACGACACACGACACACGACTACTGATACAACGCCTTTTGCCAGAAGTCACAACGGTAGCTGGTGAAGACGATTAGCACTCAAATCCCATGATCGAGACACGTGGGACAACACTTACTTCGCCGCCGGATCCCTCACCTGCGTGATAGAGCTAATATTCAAATCCTGCACAGTAGCGTTGCTTCCATACACCGGGAAGTACGGGGCTCTTGGGGAGTTGGGATTTCCAGTCTCGGCAAAGCGCGTAATGTACTGCTGCAACGTCGTGGCGACCGTGTCATTCAGGACACTCGGACTTGGCCCGTTGAAGTACGTGTAGGGGATGTCCATGCCGTGCAAGCCGGGAAAGATGGTGAAGTAGTAGGCGTGCGTGTTGTTGTTGAACGCCTTGTCCAGGTAGAAGGTGTTGCATGTGAAGATTCTGGGTGAGCAAATAGTGTTAGTATTGTGAGAGGTGGGTGTGGCTTGTCGTAGCCAACGTACAGTTCTGAGCTGATGGCTGCTGCGCGGGCGATTTGGTTGGTGTAGCCCTGTGCCTGGCTGCCGTCGAAGATTGGTGGGTACAGGGTGTTGAGGATGTAGTCTGTCACATTGGGCAGACCGACCAGGGTCGGTAGCGCTGTCAACAGCGATTCCTCGACCGCGGAATTGTTGCTGTTGTACGGCGATGTGAAGAGCAATCCCTAGGGGTCTGTCAGCTTCCAAAGTGCTGGCATATTACCACTGATGCCGTCACTAACCTCATCCAAGTTATGCCCGACCATGATGCTGAGGTTCTTGGCGTACTGTCCATGAAGGAGAAGCTCGCCGGCCAGAGCAGGAACAAAGTCTCCATCGACAGCCGGACCGTATACGAAAAACCCATACTTCGATTGCCCGACCTGGATGGTATTCGCCGTCATCAAAGTCTCAAAGGGGAGCGAGCGCGCCTCCTGAAGCGTTGACACATTCAGAATTGCCAAGTAATCGTTGAAGATTTGCTCGTTTTGGTTGTTCGACGCCAAAGGCTGGAAACCGGGGGACTGCGTGAGGGCCTGCTGGAACGGCACCGGCTTCGCTCCGCCATACGCCGTGATCTGATGCATGACGGAGCCGCCGCCGGCACTCTCTCCAAACACTGTCACGCGCGAGGGATCGCCTCCGAACTTGGAAATGTGTTTTTGCACCCATTCCAAGGCGAAACGCTGGTCGTACAATCCTGCATTCGCCGTACCATTTTCCTGAAACGTCGGGCCTGACAGCCATCCAAACGCTCCAAGGCGGTAGTTCATCGCGACGTAGATGACGCCAGTGGAGTTATTGCTCTGGCTCCGAAGGATCAATCCCGCGGAGCTGCCAGAGTCGGTCTTGTCTCCAGCCGTGTAGCCGCCGCCGTAGATCCAGACGAGCACGGGCGCGCCTTTGCCTTTGCCAGCATTGTCGAAAATGGCCTTGGGGACGACGACGTCCAGGAACAGACAGTCTTCCGTGGTGCGGGGATCCACAGCAGGGAGGCCGCCGGAGCTGGACACGTTGAAGGAAGACGAGTTGAATTGAGTCTGGCCCTGGCCTAAGTAGAGTGGGAGAAATCTTGGAGGAAGTCAGTAGGGTTCTTGCATTGGTTGGGGGAATAGCGCACTGTTCAGCAATCAACAACCAGGCTGGATCAGCTTGCGGGCAGATACGACCGGGGCTGCCGGTCTGTACGACTGAAAGATTCTTTGCAGGAGCTTGAGGAGCGGCGAAACGTAGATCGCCTACTGGTGGTGCAGCATAGCGAATGTTACTGAAGTTGTAGTAGCCGCCGGTAGAGTTGTAGAGTGTCGCCCTCTGCTTTTCGTAACCTAGATTAACGACGGGAAGGCTGCCGGAGGAATTGCTGCCACCATAGTTCGGCGCCGGCGTGGCTGATGCGAGCGATGCAAAGACAGCGGTGCCAAGCAGCCAGTTTCGGAGAGACATCATCATAGCTAATGTCTACGATACTGTGATGGACGAGGAAGATGAGAGGAAGAGGACAGAGACGAGGATGGAAGGAAAGCGGAGATATACATGCCAAGTGAGGTGTCACCTACCGCGGGACATTTCTCCAAGAATCGTCATCCGCAGTTCATGCCAAACTGGGTAGTAGCAACTTATGCCGGACTGGGTAGTGATGTCTTGAACTCAATGCATTGCGTATAGCTCGCCCGCCTCGGTCTCTCCACTCCGCATTGACCATTCCCGGCTGCACTTGCGGATGGAGGGGGGAGGTTACTGCGGCGGAGACGGAGGCGGACATTGGCACCACCCGGGTGCCGGGTCCCTGGCAGCAGACACCAGGAAGCGCATCACACATCGAAGGCGGGGTTGGGATGGACGTGCGCAGGCGAAGACTACCGTAAGAGGACGGGCGTGCGCGGGCGAAGACTGCCGCAAGAGGTTTGGCATCGACTTTCCCCGCGACTCGTGACGTGGCGTGCGATGCAACCTGAGGCATGCAGGACAAGGCTCCAACTGCCGAGGCTTCGACGGTGAATGCTCGAAATCAATCGCCGTTCGGACAGGGCACTGCACTCGGCCCGCTCCCCTTCTCAGCATACCCTACCTGACTCTGAGTTGGCCTCCGTTGACAACCCAGTCCTGACTGTGCAATCGAAGCAGCACGTGTATATATATCGCGCTGGTAACGTCGACAGATTGCAGGTAGGTGAGGCGTATTTGGTTTCGTCATCTCACAACCTCGAAGCTTCACACCTTCCGAATTCTTTCCACGCCACATCACGATTAACATCACCAGTACCACCACTCATCCATCTAGCACCCCACCCACCGCCAGCATGCCCTTCACCGAAGGCGCTCCGGCGCACGGCAACCCCGCACATCTGCTGCCGCCGTCGTGGAAAAAGACCGTCACCACCTGGCTAGAAGAAGACACGCCGAGCTTCGACTACGGCGGCTTCGTCGTCGGCGACGACCCCGCCGAAGCCCGCCTGCTCGCCAAAAGCCAGGGCATCGTCGCCGGCGTGCCCTTCTTCAACGAAATCTTCCGCCAGCTCGACTGCACCGTGCAGTGGCACGTGGCCGAAGGCGACGAGGTGGGCGTGGCGGAGAAGAAACAGCACGTCGCTACCGTTCGGGGGCCCGTCCGCTGTCTCCTCCTCGGCGAAAGAGTGGCATTGAATACCCTCGCGCGCTGCTCGGGCATCGCGACTAAATCACATTTCTTGCTGTCCATGCTGCGCAAAGCGGGATACAAGAATACGCTGGCTGGCACGAGGAAGACCACGCCTGGCTTCCGTCTGGTGGAGAAGTACGGCATGCTTGTTGGCGGCTGTGACCCGCATCGCCAGGACCTCAGCGCTATGACGATGCTGAAGGACAACCACATCTGGGCTTGTGGCGGCTCCATCCCCACCGCCGTTGCGGCCGCTAAGGCCTCGGCGGGCTTTGCGGTGAAGGTAGAGGTGGAATGTCAGACGGAGAAAGAAGCGGACACAGCCATTCGCGCCGGTGCGGACGTGGTCATGCTCGACAACTTCACCGGGGACGGAGTAAAAGTGGCGTCGCGGAATCTGAAGGAGCGCTGGGGACGGCAGAATTTCCTCATCGAGGTCTCTGGCGGCCTGACGGAGGAGAATGTGTCGAGTTATGTGTGCGATGACATCGACATCATCAGCTCGTCGAGCATACACCAGGGCGTGAAGCATGTTGATTTCTCGCTCAAGGTCATCCCCCGGACGAAGGGCAGTAATGGGAAGCTGGGAGACGGCGAGTCGAAGGCGGTGTAAAGGAGCCGATGGTTACTTTACTTCTAATCCAAATGCAATTAGCGACCACTCTGAGATATACTCGGCGTTTCAAGAGCCATTGAAATCTTTCACTCCCTGTCTATCACGTTTCGATGTTAGTCAGCTCACGATGTCGTCGAAGCTCCGCTTGGCTTCCTACATCTCTTAGTAACCTTTTGGCATTCCCCAACACTGGCCCATACCAGGCGTATTCCCTATGCTAACAACAGATGCATCGCCAAACTTCGAAGCGTTCAGAGACTGTCTGTCGACGGCGGTAATCAGCAAGCTTACAGCACCCACGAAGTCCAAGAAGCAACGGCCCGCAAAAGGGCGCAAAAACGATGGCCGTCCCTCTAATGATTCCCTAAATAACGACGTCACGGCCAGCGAGGGCGATGGAGACCTGGAAGATTTCATCGAGGTCGATGCCCACCAGACTGCCCTCGCCGTTGATCACACACGCTAAATCGCCACCGTCTAGTATCTATCCGCAGAGATCTTTAGGGAACTCCCCGCAGACCTACGCACAATCTCCTACGCAGCCGTCCAAGACAACACCACCCTGGCGGAAAAATACACCACCCCGCTGGACTCGAAAGTCATCTCACAGATCGCGGAAACACTCCCGCCGTCCATCTCGGACTCGCTGTGTACGTACGGCATGCTGGACGACGCGGCGGATCTCGATCGCTTCCTCGATCCCATCCTCGGTGGCTACGTAGGCACGGCGACCGCCGCTCCGCCGGAGTACACGCCTGCTGTGACGGCGAGTCGGCCTGCGGGTTGCGAGATTTGCGGGCGCGAACAGCTGCCGTTGACGTATCATCATCTCATTCCGAGGCAGGTGCATGCGAAGGCTGTAAAGCGGGGATGGCATAAGGAGTGGGAGTTGAATAAGGGTAGGGAAATCATGCATGGTTTGTTTGCAGCATGACTGACGAGTTGTTCTGAAGTTGCCTGGCTGTGTCGTGCGTGTCATTCTTGCGTGCATCATGTGGCGTCGAACGAGGAGTTGGCGAGGGATTTCTACGATTTGGAGAAGCTGTTGGCGAGAGAGGATGTGCAGAGGTTTGCGCGGTGGGTGGGCAGGGTGCGATGGAAGGCGAGGTGAGGCATGTGACAGACGATGTTACTGCACGAGCACTACGATCTAAGCCTCGAGAACGATTCAGGTTGTCTATTTCGAGCCCAATTCGATCGTGCCGTGTCAATCGCACATCGACCGAGGGTAGACTGCTTATAGCTCACACTGCTACACGTCTGCTCAAAAAGGCAGCACACACCAGGAGCAGATGCCAGGCATGGTTAAGCAGGTTGCGCCACAGGGACGAATGTGGCACTCGTGCGCAACGGAGCAGCCTGTTTGCGGCAAGTCGAGCCCTGACGAGCCGAGGGAGGCGGCGGTGGTGCCATGCGGCTTTGGGGCTTTGAGGCGGTGAAGTTGTGGCGCTGCAGATGAGATGCCTCGGTTTCAGGTGATTGAGAATGGCCAAGAATAGCAGAGAGTATGATGGTTTTTCGTTGAATACATTTCTCATAGTTTAATGTTGAAGCACGACGGTATTTGAGAGGATAGAATCATAATCTCCAGCACGCGTAGAGTGAAGTGGAAAGTGAAATTCGGACTCGAGCGCGGAGCTTTTGTCGGCCAAGCAGGCTGGGGTTGGCGTGCCCCGCTTCCCCCGGCCCGTTACGCGTTAACTTAGCTTGGCTCGTGCGTGCATGTTCGAGAACCCAAACTCAGCCCGCCTCCGTCTCCCCTGCGCAATCCATCCTCTCTCGAGCCTGCAAAACAGCCACCGCACACCTCCTCGTAATTTCAGCCTCCCGACCTGTGCAAAACCCCTCGGCTCCCTATCGACAAGCTTCCTCCGCCAAGAAACCAGGCGTCGAAGGCGTCCCTAGCAGCATAGCCCCCCGACCTCCGAGTGACGCAGCTCCGCCTCCACTGACACCACCGACTTCATTTGCTGCCGTCACGTCAACACCACACAATCGCCCTGTCCTGAGCTGGAGATATCATAACATATTAAACACCCTCCGCATCCGGCTGTGATCGACGCTCTCCATCAAGTCGCCAGGCTCGACGCCGCGACACCATCCCCTCACCTGCCTCCCTCCCACCCAAACCCCCTCAGCCTTATCGGGAATGTCCTTCTTCCCTGGCCAAGGCTACCACAACCAGCATCAAGGCAACCCGCCTCCTGGTCCCCCATACGGCGGTTATCCTCCCCAACAGCACCCCCCTCCCGGCGCGTGAGTCTTCCATTCGCATCGTCTTTCAAATCCGCACCCTAATGCATTCAGGCCTTATCAAACCCCGTCTCCACAGCCTCCATTCAACGGCGGGTACGGAGCGCCGCCGCCACAATACGGCAATAACTATCAAGGCGGTCCCCCACCGCCGCAATACGGGTACGGCGCTCCACCGCCGGGCAACTTTGCGCCCCAGCAGTATGGCGGAGGCCCGGCACCTCCTCATCTAGCTGGCGGCGGCCCACCACCTCAAGGTCAGACATCACTCATCTTCCCTCCACGCTGCCTATGCTGATCCGTCTCTCAGCCCAAGGTCGACCCCCGCCCCCTCCTACACATACGCAAAACTTTGGCGCTGGCGCCCCTAATGGCTACACCTTTCAATATTCCAATTGCACAGGGCGCAGGAAAGCCCTTTTGATTGGCATCAACTACTTTGGCCAGCGAGGCCAGCTTCGAGGGTGCATCAATGATGTCAAAAACATGTCGGCGTATCTCAATGGAAACTTCGGGTACAAGAGAGAGGATATGGTCATTTTGACCGACGACCAGCAGAACCCCATGAGTCAGCCCACGAAGCAAAACATCCTGCGAGCCATGCATTGGCTGGTTAAGGATGCGCATCCGAACGACTCGCTGTTCTTCCACTACTCTGGACACGGTGGCCAGACTCCCGACTTGGACGGCGACGAAGACGATGGTTATGACGAGGTAATCTACCCGGTCGACTTTAGACAAGCCGGCCACATTGTAGACGACGAGATGCATCGTATCATGTGAGTCCTTCCCGGATGAGGCAAACTCGAACGTTTGCTAACGACTAGACAGGGTACAAACGCTGCAGCCAGGCGTCCGATTGACCGCCATCTTCGACTCCTGCCATTCCGGCTCCGCACTCGACCTGCCGTACATCTACTCGACCCAAGGCGTGCTCAAAGAGCCCAACTTGGCCAAGGAAGCAGGTCAAGGCCTGCTGGGCATCGTGTCATCTTATGCGCGTGGCGACCTGAGCGGCATGGCCTCGACCGCCATGGGCTTGTTCAAGAAGGCCACGTCCGGGGACGACGTCTACAAACGCAACCTCCGCACCAAGACCAGCCCTGCCGATGTCATCATGTGGAGTGGCAGCAAGGACTCGCAGACCTCGTACGTTGACCCCTGTTTTGTTTACGATCCGCACTTTCATGTGTGGCCCTACACTCCAATGGTGCTCGAGGCTTCTACGATGCCTTCAGACACCAATTGGTTTCCACCGGAGCATCGCCCCCTTGTTCATAGCGGCATGTAGTGCTACAAACGTATTCCCCGCGTCCCGTCGTCTAGAGGAGCCCTGGTGGCTTGCTCTAGGCGTCGGGACGGTGGGCTACGTTGGCACGACCGCTTTCGTCATTGACAAGCACACCAGCTAACATTCTGCCACTCACAGATCCGACGCGCAAATCGCCGGGCAAGCGACGGGCGCCATGTCGTGGGCCTTCATTTCCGCGCTTAAGAAGAACCCGCAGCAGAGCTACGTGCAGCTGCTCAACAGCATCCGCGACGAGCTGGAGGGCAGGTACACGCAGAAGCCGCAGCTCAGTTGCAGTCATCCGCTTGGTACGTGATGCCTCGTCCCCTCCATGCTTCGCTTGCGTCGTTTCTTTTTCCTTCCTCTTTTCATGCTTTTGTCATTGGCGTTGCTGCATTTTGTTGTTCTTAGCGTTCGCATACGCATCCGCATTGTTTGGATATTGGGAGCATTTCACGCTGACGACCGGTTCTTTGCGCTGTACATTAGATACCAATTTGCTTTATGTGATGTGAGGCTTGCACACATCTGTTTTGTGACAAGAGAGGGACATGGGAGGAGCTTGTCTTGATTCGGATGGATAAGCAACGGGATGAGAAAGGGACGGACGGACGGACTGGACTGGCGGAGTGTACATTAGATGGTTCTCGGACCCGAAAGTGCATACTGGGACGGTGGGGTGGAGTTGACGGGACGTATACAACTGGAGTCTACCGCCATTACTGGCTTCTAATTGTTCCCTCGCTACTTGTTCTTTTATTTTTCGAGACCGAGGCCGCGAGTACCTACGTACCGTTATCTCCTCAAGGTGGTGGGGCAGGTGAGGTGGGGTGGGGTGGATAGGCTGAAACTACCCTAACGATTTAGCACTGACCGCTTCTTGCACACCCTACTCCGATCACAATCATGCCCTGTCAGTGCACTGGCATTTGAATCCCAGGAGATACTCCTACCACTGCCCAGGAGTCATCAAAAAATCGTCCACGCACATGCATTACGCACGCACACCCCCCTCCAAGCATCTTGGTACGGTGGAGGCTGGATCTCCGACACCGGGTGGCTCGCTGATCCCCCGGGCCATAGCTTTCGCCTCCGACTGCAACGCTTGCCGACGATCTCTGATGCCCACGCCAGATATGATGCCGAGACTCTCTCTCTCTCCAAAAGGAAGGCGGAGGAAGCTCCCCTGCTCGAGCACGCGTGGGGCTCGAGCGGCCGACCATACATCATCTTCTGCGTCACTCACCAGCCGCCACGTGCACCCGCTCGCCGGCTGAATGTCTTTGCGGTCGGTCGATTTTTCCAATCCAGCAGTAAAATTGTCGAGATTCTTGCTTCCTCGTTTCCTTCTTCGCTGTCTGTTGTTTCATAGCGTGTGACCCGCCACTTCCTCTTATCTTACCTCGTTCCTGCTCCTCACTTCCCTCGCCTCCCCCGTGCTGCGTCCTTGGCAAAAAGAGGTCTGGGGATTGATTCGATCTGCGCCTTGGCTCGGACTTTTTTGCCCATCCTGCGCGTCATTGCAACACACCTCTACCTCACCTGAAGCCTTTCGGTACCATATACATCGGACCGCCTTCCAACCCTCCCACCTATCTTGCCGTCCTGTGCTCTGCGCTTGAGATCTTACTGTCTTTTCCTACGGCGCGTTTCGACAATACCTATTTCCTCGTCAAAACATCACACTCCCGATCCTATCGTCATTGGCAGCCCTACAACAACCCGACGCCTATTGCCACACCGCCACCATGAACATCGGCACGCCGTCCAGCAACTTCGTCCAGCTGCCCTGGATGAAGCGGCGCGACACCCCGACCCCCAACAAGAATGAACTCCACCTTCCCGGCATAGGCTACCTGCCGAACAAGGTGCGCAACCACTTCGTCGCCATGGTCGGCGAGTTCATCGGCACCTTCATGTTCCTCTTCTTCGCCTTTGCCGGCACCCAGGTCGCCAATGCCTCGATTGCTGCTGCTACTGCCGGCGCTCAGACGCATCCTGACGGCAAGATTGCGCAGACGCCTAATTCGGCGGGCTTGCTTTATATTGCTTTGGCGTTTGGGTTCAGTTTGGCTGTGAATGTGTGGATCTTTTTTCGAATCTCCGGAGGCCTGTTTAACCCGGCAGTCACGCTCAGCCTGGCTCTCGTCGGTGCGATCAACTGGACTCGCGCGGGTCTGGTTTTCATTGCAGAGATGCTCGGCGCCATATGCTCTGCCGCTGTTGTGTCAGCGTTGTTTCCAGGACCACTGAATGTTACTACCACGCTCAGCGCCGATACATCACTGGCCCGCGGCTTATGTGCGTCTCTCTCTTCCCATTTCCCACTACAACGCTAACAGCATTCAGTCATCGAGATGTTCCTGACCGCCGAGCTCATCTTCACGATCCTTATGCTCGCCGCCGAAAAGCATAAAGGCACCTTCCTCGCCCCCATCGGCATCGGCCTCGCTCTCTTCGTCGCCGAACTGGCCGGCGTCTACTATACCGGAGGTGAGTAACCCTCAAACCCACACTCCCCCAAGACAACCACTAATCCACAACCCACAGGCTCGCTCAACCCCGCCCGCTCCTTCGGCCCCTGCGTCGCCAACGCCTCCTTCCCCACCGATCACTGGGTCTACTGGGTAGGCCCGCTCCTCGGCGCCCTCGTAGCCGTAGGCTTCTACCGCTTCGTCAAACTCCTCGAATACGAGACCGCGAACCCCGGCGCCGACTTTAACGAAAAAGAAGCCGAAGTCTTCGAGTTCGACGAGGACAACGCCGCGCGCGCACAAGACGTCGCCCGCCCGAATATCGCCCTCACGCCCTCTGCTGCGGATTCTCAGCGCGTGATGAGTAGGGAGAGTCAGCAGATTCCTGGGTCGGGGAGTCGGTTGGGCAGTTCGCAGAGTGGGGGGAAGCAGTTTGGGGATCTGGCGGCGTATTCTAATGGGCTTGTTGCTGAGGAGGGGAGGGCGGGGCGTGATGGTCGCGAGGTGGCGACTTCGCCTGCTCCTGCGCGGTAAGAGCACTTGCGAGCCCCTCCGTCAAGATACGGGACACAAGGCCGATGGGAAAGCGTTTTGAGCGGCGAATTCGATTCTGAGCGTACATGCAATTCTGTATTAGGAGGAAGCAAGGCGTTGCGGACCATGGTGCTTTTCGAGGGGAGTGGGACGGGTTTTGCACTGCATTTCTGTACGATTCCTGCGCTGTGTACTGTACATACCTCTTGAACGAACGACTTAAAACCAACACTGGGACAATGCAAAGAAACGCACAAGTCGGACGAGTTTTTCCGAGAGAGAAGCGTAGTACAACACATACATCTACACTTCCTCCTCACGCCCAAACTAACACAACGAAAAAAGCGTTACATGCTCATATCCCTTCCCCAACGCAGGATCCTACGCATCCTCAATTCTCCAAGCGCGCAGCGGCAAACTCTGCAACTTCATCGCCTGCGGCTTGATGAAGCCCCAAAACGTCACGACGCCGAGGATGACGCACAGCACATTGACGATGTAGTAGCCTAGCAATTCCAAAAGTCAGCACAATCGTATAATGAAGATTTGGAAGGAAGGGGAGGAGCCAACTCACCATCCGTCTGGATCGTGCACGTCCCCGCCCCTTCGATGCACCGGTGCTTCTCGGCTTCCAGCACGCAGCTGAAGGGCTGGGTGATGAGATCGCCTTTCAGCGTTGAGAGGTCTTTGGGCGGGACGGAGGGGGGCAAGCAGGTGGCTTTTGTGAAGAGGTCGACGAATTTGAGGATGAAGAAGCGGGGGAAGGTGCCGCCGAGGTTGGAGACGCTGTGGTAACTCGTCAGTTGGGTTGTGGTTTGTTTGGGGGAGGGAAGAAGACGACTTACGTTGCTAGGAGGGTCATGTATGTCCCTCCGATTGCTGGGTCGGCGATTTTGGCGTGGAAGGCGCTGATTGCTACGAACATCACTGTGCTCATGAAGGTGCTGAAGACGTGCTCGACGATGACGAGGAGGAGGTAGCCGGTTGTTGTTCCGCCGGCAGGGAATACCATGACGACGAACTGGGCGAAGACGGCGGCGATCAGACGGCCGATGAATGCCCAGCACCACACGGGTATGGGGCGGTATTGCTCCGACCATTTGCCCGCATAGTAGCCCAGCGAGATCTCAAAGGGAAAGTCGATAAGCACCGTCAGTGCCAAATCCTCCTGGCTGAAGCCCTTGTCGAGGAGTTTGAGGTTGGTGACGGCGTCGTTGGCCTGGAAGCCAATTTTGGCAATAAGGTGGATGATGATGAAGATCTGGATGTTGCGCAGCTTGAGGATGCCGCCCATGGTCTTGTAGACTTCCCAGATGGAATCGCGCTCGCGGCAGCGCTCTTCGCGTTTGAGCACCGCCAGTCCGAGGGTGACGAGGAGGTAGGCCCAGCCCCAGAAGATGAGGTAGGAGTTGAGCGTGAAGAGGCCCACGGGTTGCTGGGTTGCTGGGGACCGGAAGTATTTGTTGGCGAAGTCGGGGCTGCTGAGTGCGAGGAAGACGGTGTATGACAGGAACTGGCCAGCGGTGAGGCCTACTGTCTGCGCGGTGCTGGCGTAGGAGAGGTTGGATTGGGAGAGAAGGCTGATGGCCCAGCCTAGCATCGATCTGTTAGCACTTCGCGGAGAAATAGCAAGGTAGAAGAGAAAGCACATACCATCAACAGCAATGTCTTGAGTCGCACACATAAAGACCAGTGCGAACCACCATGCCGTAAAGCCCCACACGCCTGCTCCGCCATTCTCGCCGGCCTGCTCCATCATCTGCTGAGCATGCGTGCCTAGCCATATCATGCCAAACCCACTCAGCATCTGGATCGGCAGAATCCAGCTCTTGCGTCTGCCCACCTTCGCGCTCCACACGGCATCCACGATCGGGCTCCACAGCAACTTCAGACTGTACGGGTAGGTGGCCAAGGAGAAGACGCCGATCTGGCCGTAGCTCATATGGCTCTTGAGGAGAAAGGGTACACTGCCATGTGCCAGACCCATCGGAATGCCCTGTAGGAAATACAGGAGCACGAGCAGAAGGAAGTTTCTTCGGTCCAGCACCGACAGCTCCCAGAACCCCTTGGCTTCTCCGTCTCCATCAACACTCCCCTTTTCCCTCGAAGGCGAATGCGGGGGCGTGTGATCGAGGCTGAAACTCCTCTCATGCATCAGTCGTGTGGTCGCTCGTGTGGAGTCGCCATCGTCGTCGATGGAGTGGTGTTTGCCGGCGCGCTCGCGGAAAGAACCGTTCATGCTGCCGTCGGCGGATGGCCGGGGATGGCCGTTGGACGTGGGCGAGACGGCGGTGCTGTCGCTGCTGTCCGGCCGGTCCTGACGCACAGTGCGTGGGTTGGGGGAGCGAGCCTTGGATTTCTTGGGCATTCCTCCTCTGATCAAATCGCTGTCACTTCCTCCTCCTTCATCTGCCTCTCCGTCGCTGTCTTCCTCCTCGCGTGCTCTTTCAAGCCCTTCTACGTCGGTAAGATCGTCCTCGTCCTGGTCAAAGTGCCGCTCAAGTGTCTCCAGTTCCAAGCCTTCGGGGCGACTGCGTCGTAGTCTTCTCTGTCGTTCTTCGGCGTCTCGTGCTCGATGAAGGGGGAGGACGGGCTGGAGGGAGGAGGCGGCGATTTGAACACTGAGTCGTCGTGGAAGTAGATCACCCATGCGGCATGCAAGACATCAACATTGCGAGAGTGAGAACGTGTACGTGGCTTTCGATGGAGTGTCTCGTGGGGGAGTCTTGAAATTGTAGATGACAGCGTGTCTCCCGTCACGTTTACATAAACTTATCGCACACATGGGGTTAGCCTCGCGGCCCGAGGCTGCAAGGTCCCGCCGCCCGCCAGACCCTGTTTCCGATTGCTGCCTCAGGCCAACTTCCCACTCTACATCATGGCATAGAAAAGCGTTTCAACTGTATACTTGACAGTGATCCGTCCATTCACCAGCCAGAAGTTTGTGTCTCCAATCATCAAGGAGTTGGACGATCAATCCCCGTGACTGAAAAACCAGCTTACCTAAGGCATCTACCCCGAATTGGGTAAGCTTCACGGGTTTCTGCCTGGGGCATCTTCCTCCTGCAACTACACCTCATGTTCTTTCGATTCAAACAGACCTGAAAACAGTCACTGGCATCGCTTCGAAGCGATATCCGTCAGTCGGCGTTTCCAGTGGGACTGCTGCACATCCCCTTTTCGTCATGTACCGAGTCTGATTGAATCGCATGAATCACACACGAGGTACAGCTGTACTTCATGCACGAGATGCACACCGTTTCAACTACCCCGCGAGTCCTCGATCGAGATGCGGCGCTGCCGCGCTGGCTGTTCGGGAGCTATGCTCGGCCCGAAGGCGCCACGGGTAAGGTCTAGAAGCTTCATACAACCAGTACATGACCTCTCAAAGCACCGACATGCATCACGAAGCTGTCCTACTGGACCGGCAAGCGAGTACGAGCGCACCATTGCCAAGGCCCCCTCATGGCGAAGCTACTGCAAGTGCCAACTCATTCAATGCTACTCTTGGACTGTCGGCCGCAGGCTAATGCGGCATTGAGCTTCTGCGCCTGTCACATCATAGCCAGCGCTGCAGCTGCCGATAATGTCAGCCCACTCATGCTGCACTCCGCGGTCCCGCATGTATGAGAGCAAGACCAACATCCTCACAAGCTCTAAGCTGGCCTTCACGCCACCCCCTCGGTCGGAGACGAAGCCACCTCTCCTACAGCTGCAGATGCTTCATTGAGTCGATCCTCCGCTTAGGTCTTGGTACGAGCTACAGAGACCTCGGCTCACTGCGCGTCAGATCTCTGTAGCTCGTTCGCATAAAGCTGATGTGTTTTTGAGGGCCACAAGTCTGTGTGTTAAGTAAAGGCAAGTGCCCCGCGCTTCCTCCTGCTGAAATAGGCTGCGCAAATCTAGTCAGCCTTCTGGTCCAGTGTTCATGCCTCTCCTCGCAAGATGACAACGACGCAAACGAATTCAAACCCACACCAGGGTCTCATTCAGGACTATGATTTGGATGACTCCCTTGGTGTTGGCGGTCTCGTTCCGGCGGAGTATCTTGAACGCCGCGGTGGGGGATGGATGTTCAATCGAAATCGCTATACACTATCCGATTCATACGCCGATGAATTGGTCGAGATTAACGCTGTTCCCGATAGATCGCCGCGGCCCAAAATGTCTGAGAACTGTGTGTTCCGGAGCCAATTAGTGGTGTCGGCTCTCACTGGATTCAGCGCCCACTCAGATTTGATCATAGCCACTTGCGGACACATTGTGTTCTTCAACAATATTATGCCCAAAACTGTCATATCAGCACACCGTGAATACGGGGGCACAAGAGATCTCTCGAAGTACAAATTCGTCTTTGGTCTGACGCAAAAGTATGTGAGCGAAGACCCGCCTCCGCAACTGATACCCATGGGTAATGTCTGGGATATCGAACGGTACGTGAGAGCGAGCTGCGTCACCATCAACTCAGTGCATGTGCTAAAATCCAATTCAGCATCCTTTTTGGCCAAAATGGCACATTCGACACCACTTTCACTGAACCTGGCTCGCGCCTCAAGTGGTTTGGTAGACCGTAAGTTGAGCTATGCTGCAGAGCCCAACGCGACCTTGTGTTACCATAACACCGGCTAATCGTTCTATTCCTTGCTTTAGAGACTGGGCACTGATCCGATTGAAGCCGCTAGAAAGACTAATGTTCCCGGAGCCATTACCTCTCTTTAGCGGCGACATCAAGGATCTAGCACAGCGACCAACGAAGTTAGAAGCCATTGGACACGCTTGGGCCACTTCTTTGAAACTCTGTGGTTCTGGTATAAACGGGCCCACGGTACTCCGCACGGGCGTCAGAGCAGGGCAAGTTTGGGAAGACGAGCCCACTCCAAGAACGTCGGCTTGGGAGAAAGATGGGACACCTCCTGTGGACAAGAACAAGATAGCCCCTCTTGGCTATGGACCTTTCTATGATGCCGAGGCTACAACCGCACTCAGACCCTACGACTTCGCTTACACCTTCAAGCATAACCTCCTCACGGTCCCAGGAAACTCGGGCGGGCCTTTGATTCTCTGCGGGTCGAACTCAACGGATAAAGCGGTCCTGGGCATTGCAAGCAGCGGGACCTCAAGTGGCGAGCCACTGTTGCTCGATCGGTTCAGGTATGACCAAACATCGCACCTGATCGAGCCCTATGTTCCGAAGGATCAAATCAGCTGGAATCAGAACGCAACCAAAAACGACGTCTGGACTTCTTTGATAACGCCCGGGGCTGAACTTGTTGTCATTATCAAAGCTTTCGATGGCAGATTGGAGCCAGCTGATCAGCACGCGGGTCACCTCAATATCAGCCTTGCGTTCCAGGGACTTGACGACAGGAAATCCAGGGTCATAGCAAGACCCGCACTGGACAAGACATTCGATGGCCAGGAAGAATACCGTGTCTGGGTTCTGCCGTTGCCTAAGGACTATCTCACTTGCGAACTCGTTTCAATCACCATCAAATACATCCCGCCGGTGAGGTATCCCCTGGCTCCTTCCATATCCGCATCATCTTCTTCCGCACCTGGCGTGGACAGCGCATCGCACACAGCAACCGCATCACCATCGGTAGTTACAGCAACCTATTCGGGGCCCGGAATGTCGGACGTGCCCCCTCTCAGCGACAAAAAGACTTGGGTGCCAGCAAATCCGACCGAGCTGAGGCCTGCGACGCCCGAAGCCCCGCCGACAAGAGCGGCTCCGCTACCTGCACCGCCCGGAGGCCCGCCGACAAGAGCGGCTCCGCTACCTGCACCACCCGGAGGCCCGCCGACAAGGGCGGCTCCGCTACCTGCACCGCCCGGAGGCCCGCCGACAAGAGCGGCTCCGCGACCTGGTGCGCCAGCATTGATAGCCGACCCTAGCAAAGCCCCTGTATCGGCGACAGCGGGGACAGTGCTCAGTGCTACTCAAGACCATGAAACGGAAGTGCCAAGAGTCCAATCGTCGCACAACGCGCCAGCGCCGTCATTACCGTTAGTGCCGATTGCCAAACCGGACATCAAGACAGCAATGTCGCAGCCCGCATCGACAAACATGCCACACTCGGTGTTGGCAGCAACGCAGACAATCCCAACTGCCAACCAGGATCCTCAAATGAAAGTGCCGAGAATCGAATCGGCGCATAACGCGCCAATGTCGTTGGTGCCTTCAGCGCCCGAAAATGCTCGAGACGAGCAACCAACGTCTAAACCGCCCAACGCGCCAACCCCGGGACCGCTCTTCGTGATTGACACCCTGCATGTGCTGAGCCGCAAGCCTGGCATACGAGACCTGTTGAAGTGTACGCCGCTCTTGCGTATGACGGAACGGACTCCGCAACCTCTCTCACAGACCTTTCCTATTGGCCCGTTCATTCCTCAGGCATGGACGGATGCGCTTCGGCAGAGCGACTTGCCCGGGCTCGTAGTTGACAGTTCGGGTGCATTGCTGTCGGCACCACAGTGAAGTCGCCACCAGCCCGATCTTTCATATGTCGACGAAGATAGCGTTCGGTATCGGAATGAAACGGTCACTTGTCTTACTTTGCTATGTTGATTGTGTTCTTTTGAATCAGACGGACTTGGAAGCGATCGTCCACATCGCTTCGTAGCGAAGTCCGTCAGTCTGATCATTCTAGCAGGACTGCCACGCACTTGCTCGTTTCGTCATTTGCCGAAGTTCGCTGAATCACATACGAGGTATGGCTGTACTCCATGCACGAGATGCAGGCCGTCTCTCCCAAAGCAGCTATATGCAGCATTGACAGGAATCGCGAATTTATCCCACCGGGTCGGCCAGCCAACACGCCCGCGCCCCATTGCCAAGGCGCGTCTGAGGGCCAGGCTACTGCAGCCTCTAGCTCGTGCATGCGCTCCGTTCAGTATGGCGGATGCCGGCCAATGCTGCCTCCAGCTTCTGCGCCGCAGCAGCTGAGAACGTCAGCCCACACATGCTGTGTTCCTGTAGGACTGCACGTATGGGTGTGACCTGGCCTCCCAAGCTCCCAGCTAACCCTCACGCCACCACCTCGCTCGGAGATTGAGGAACCACTTCCACAGGTGCACATGCCCCTTCAGTCGCTTGATACGAGCTGCAGAAACCCTGGTTCGCTGTGCGTTCGCCCTTTCTAGCTCGTGCAGTGTAGATTACGTTGCTTCCAGAGGTCACAAATCTGTGGGATAAGTAGAGACAAGCGCCTGGCCCGCTCCCCTCTTGGTCAAGTCGGTCCGCACCAGTTCATTGAGCATTCTGATTCAGTATTCGTACCTATCCTACCCAAATGGCAACAACGCAAGCAAGCCCAATCCTAGAGCAGCAGTTTGTTCGGGACTGTCCTTCTGACGACACTTTGGCCATCGGTGGCTTCGTGAAGGCGAAGTATCTTGAAAAATGGGACAACAATGCCGGCTGGAAGTTGAAGACAGACCAAATGTCGACGCTATCCGTAGCCTGCGCCCTAAATTTGGTGTCCCAAGGAGTCATTACGAAGGATGCAACATGGCCTCGAATGTCCGAAAGATGTGTGTTCCGGGACCAACTCACTGTTGCTCGGGGCACCGGGTTCTTGGTCCATCCGGATGGGATCATAGCGACTTGTGGACACTGTGTGTTCACGAACGATTATGGGAAAAACCCAGAGAAGCCTCCTCTTCCAGAGATATCGAGTCTTGCCGGCACACCTTTCTCCCCGGACCCCGTCTCGCTGGGCGTGACGGATCTGGCCATGCTGAAGAGGGGTTCCACTGCAACCCGTGATCTGGAGCAAGACAGGTTTGTCTTTGGTCTAACGCAGAAGTATGCAGAAAAGAATGCGCCTCCTATACCTCAGTCAAATGTATGGGCCTTCGAGCGGTATGTGAGACTGGCCTACGCCGCCCGTCAGCTCAGTCTTGATGCTGATGTCTGGCTCAGCGTCCTCTTCGGCCAGAATGGCTCGTTTGACACTAGGAATACAGCTAAGGAGGTGCGCCTCAGTCCATTCGATAGACCGTAGGTCAAGTCATGCTCCAGAGCTTTGCGCCTTCATACTATCATGCGAATGCTGACCGGCTTGTCCATTGCCCTAGAGACTGGGCACTGGTCCGATTGAAGCCGATGCAGGGATCAAAGCTTCCACAACCGTTGCCTCTCTTTAGGGGCAATATCGACGAGGTCGTGACCGGAGCACCCAAGCTGAAAAGAATTGGGCACCACTGCGGCAATTCTCTGAAGATCTGCGATACTGCTCCCACGGCAGGACAGTGCTCCGCAAAGGCATAAAGGCTGGGGAAAAGAGCACACCCAGGCCTTGGGGTTATGGCACAAAAGGCCTTCCTGTAGACTACGACTTTGCTTATGTCTACAAAGACAACCTTCTCATAGCTTCGGGCAGTTCGGGCAGTCCTTTGATCCTGGGCGGCACAGGAAGCAACACGAGCGGCACGGTCTTGGGGATCTCAAGCAGTGGGAAAGCCTCCGGAGGGGCTCTCGTGGAATACTTGTTCACGTGGAACAAGGAGAAGCCGGATGTTATCGAGCCTTTCATACCGGGGGATGACTTGCAGTGGTACAATGGCATCACGAAAAACGACATCTGGTCTTCTTTGATCACGCCCAAAGCCGAAATTGGAGTCGTTCTCAGAACGAACGATGAAAGACTTACAGCAGACGCTCAGAAAGATGGTGATCTGTACATCAGCTTCAAGCTCGAAAATACACCCACACCGGTGATAAAGGAGTTAGGTGGCGCGAGTGGAGACCAGAAGTGGAGTTTCACGGTGCCTGAGAATGCTCTCAGTTGTGAACTGAAATCGATCACCATCGAATATCATGGGCCGGAATATGTCGACCCAGCTCGAAAGCTCCAGAAGCTGAGCTCGCCTTCGGTCTCCACGACAGCACAAAAGACGTCTCCGGCACCCAGCACATCCTCGGCATCCACAACACCTCAATCAAACCCCGCAGCGGCCGAAGCGCCTCCAGGATCTGCAATTCCAATGTCGAAGCCCCCGATGCCCAGCACCCCCTCGGTACCAATTACCACGCAAGCAACCATCCAACCAAAGGCCTCAGCCAGTCTTGCGACCAATCCGAACAAGAAAGCCGGCCCCCCGCCATCGGAAGACCAGACACCGCGCTTCTTCGTCGAAGAGCTAGTAGTGTTCAGCCGCAAACCGAACGATGACAACCCATACAACTTGACCCCGTTGCTCTGGACGTCGGGCCGCACCCAGTTGCAAGGTTCAGAGGAGACGGGTGCGCAGGGTACGTTTGTCGTCAGCCCGCTCATCCCCCAGGCGTGGTCGGACGCCCTTCGACAGCGTGTCTTTGTGAAGAAAACCTGATACAGAGAAGTGACCGTCTTGTCCCGGTATCAGGATGAAGTCTTGACCTGTGTCATTTTGCTATGTTTGCGAGGATGCATTCGATATCAGAATGTATTCGTCACCCGCGTTACTTTGCTATGTTGGCGTTCTCGTATCATTAGCTTTCAGATAACAAGTTTAACGTGACACGGCAGATTGCAGAGCAGAAATCCTACACTCCACGACACGCACTTCTCCACGTCTGAACACTCTGCACGTGAGCGTTGTGAACTACCTGCGGCCAAAAGCATCATTCAAGGTGCTCGTACGGCTTGCCTGACTCGTCCCCCCACTCCCATGCTGCATATTACTCAGCAGCGCCTCATCCAAAGCCGACTGCGTGATACTCGCGTCATCCAGATCGCTGAAACTACTGCCGATGCTGGGTGAGGCTTCGCTCCCAGACTTTCTCTGTCGCGGACTCAGCCTTTCCAGGTCGGCTTGCTGTTTCGGACTCAGTGGGCCACGTGGACCGGTCCGCTGTGCAGTGACGTCGGCGACATTCTGTTTCGATGGGATTTGTTGGGTAGAGCTTTGCGAGGATTCGGATGAGGGGGAGGCGAGTATTGGTTCTTTGACTTTGCTGTTGGACGGCGGTGGTTGCTTCTTGGGTGCAGACCGCAAGGTCGCTGTGAGATCACTCTTTGTAGGCTTCGCGGAAGAGGCGAAGGGAAGGAAGCCGTCGGAGGAGTCATCGTCTTCGTCGATTTCGGCATCGGCATCAGCATCTGAGCTGAACCTTCCACTCTCAGAGGGATTGAAGCGGGGGCTGGTCAGTGCCTCTTTCCGACCGATTGCCCACCTGCTGTCTGGCCCTGATGGTGACGGTGCATCACTGGGCGGCGACGATCTAGCTCCAGCGCGGTGTGAATCATCCGAAGTCCGACCTGGTGTGGCTTGTTTGAAAGGGATGCCGGACTGGCGTGACGATGACGGTCTAGAGGTGGAGAAGACACGACTCTGCGTGACCGTGTTGGACGACGGGGTCCGGGACATCCCCGGCTTGCCAGCCTTGAGAGTTGACGGGGATTCAGGGGCGTCGACGGGCGTCAAAGGACTTCTTCTCAAAGTATTGATCGCCGGCGGGGCCTTCACGCCTGGGTCTCATTTAGCACGCGACTTGAAGAGATTGTGATCAGACTCACTTTCAGCTCCTAGCTGTGGATGATCAGATCCTCCTAGATGAGCATCACCGGATGGCGTGGAGCCGGAGAAAGCACTCGCCGTACCGCCCGCCGCGCCAAGGCCCTTCATCTGAGCCTTTACGCCCTCGAAGTGCCGCTCGTAAAGCCATGCCGCCTGTTGAAGGAGGAAGGGGAGAGGCACGTTGAATTTGCTACTCAGTTGCTCCCAGTTGAGCGCCTTGGACTGCGAGGTTTTGGAGATGTACTTCCACAATTGCTGGTCCCTGGATGCATCCCATTGCACCTGTGGAGGATCTCGGAAGTCGTCACGAGGGAAGGGCAGACGGATGAAGACGGTATAGTGCGGGCGCGGTAAATCCATTGCGTATGGCAGCCTCGTTATTACGGCCTTGATGAAGCTACTCTTCCGTGATTCCGGCGCAGATTACCGCGCTTATCGAGCACCGAGAGACATCAAGACCTCCAGATGCCGATCATCGGTTCGAGCAGGGTTGTAGAGATACGAGCACGTGGAGTGTGGGCCTTGGGAGAGGCATTCAAACCAATACCGACAGACTCCTCGGGTTCTGGAATGGTGTGAGGTCTAGCAAGTCCGTTTTAGAGTTAAGGTGATTATTAGGCGGGTGGGGCGTAGCCGCGTCCAATCAAAAGTGGAGCGCAAACTCGATGCAACATCAAATGCCACGCGCACGCAAACCGCTAATCCCAATGTGATGGGCATTGGACTGCATGCAAGTTCATCATCAGGAGACGAGAGCACACCGCAACTGCACAGCGTGTCGCACACTTCCGAAGATGCCGAGAACGAAATGACCAGGGGCCCCCCTGCGGAGAATCACGCCTTCGGCGCATTTACGCTGCATCGGCAACGGCGGCGCAAATATGTAGGGGATCTGCACAGTCAGGTGCGGCGCGCCCTTGTTCAATTTCGCTACATAGGGCCCCGCCTATAGGCCAATCGCGCCAGCGCGGCAAAGCGGTAAGCCGGCGGTGGGACGGGGCATGAACGCACGCGAACAGCCGAGTCTGAGACAACGCGGTGGAGTGAACCATGGCCTTGGCGACCTCGCCTTTACGTCGTCTTGATGGCCATTGACTACCACAGGCCCACGGTCGAGTTAGGTCTATTTGACGACAATATTGGAGCCCCGCATCGCCCTTCGCTTGGGCATGCGCAATCGAGTCTAAAGGCCCTAAGGTATCGTGGGACGGGGCAGGTCGGCAAGCCTCACCTGCCCATGGGCGCAAACCATGCCACACCTTACCCATCTCAGCATAGCTTTCCCCCGAACAGGCAACGACTTCTGCAACAAGAAGGCGTACCAAACACGCGGGGAGATTTTGACGGCCGCCGGAAGTTGCCCGGTTTCTCGCCCGGCACCCGCCAGGAGCCAAGCGAAATCGATCACGCCGCATCTGCAGTCTGTCAGCGCGGCAATGCGCGAATTGCCTGGTGTATATCATGTCCGTTGCGGCATGTGCCTGGCCGCATTCGCCCTCTTATCTCTCACGAAAGACGCGTCGGTGAGTGGATGGCTTGACCGTCCGTCTGGCATTTCTCTTCATCCTCGGCCTTGGCCGCCGTTGAGTCTCTCGTTATTTTTTGCATTCGCTCCCAAAGCACCATGAGAAGCCTGGTGCTTGCCCTGTTGGGGGCTGCCAGTGCGGTGGCGACACCTATCGCCACGAATGTTCAAGCGCCTGTCGCCACGAACGTCTTTGACCAAGGCGTGACCTATCAGGGCATTCACGCCAACGAGATCGAAGGCTTCCTCACAATTTATTACGCAGAGTCGACCGCTGGCAATAATCGGTTCAGACCACCCGTCCCCTACACTCCTCCGGCGAACAGCACGCTCTACGCAACTCAAGCGGGACCAGCATGTCCGCAGCGAACCGTCCACGGAACGCCGAACCCGTTCAACGCTTATACCTATGTTACAGAAATCTCCGAAGATTGTTTGAGTCTCAATATTTGGCGACCGAATGGAACACAGGCTGGAGACAATCTGCCCGTCTTGCTCTGGATTTATGGAGGTATGTTGCGAACGATCCGTCCACTTTCGTCGTCTTGATCAACTCTAACGGCGTCGTAGGAGGCTTCATCACTGGCAGCAAAGACGGCATTCTGTCACAACCGGGAGGCCTGATTCTGCAGTCGGTGGATGACGGGCATCCCATCATCCACGTTGAGATCAACTACCGACTCAACGGTAAGTCGAGGCGATGATAGAAGCGCTTCTATTCCTTCGCTGATGTATTTGATAGTCTTCGGCTTTGCGCAGACCGAAGCATTGATCAACGAGAAATCGGCCAATGCTGGAATTCGCGACCAGCGATTGGCGATAGAATGGGTGAAGCAAAACATTGGCGCTTTCGGTGGCGATGGAAACAAAATCACGCTGCATGGCCAGTCTTCCGGCGGCTTGTCGATGGGCATGCAAACCATCGCATACGGCGGGAGTCAAGGAGCGCCATTTCAACAAGTCATGTGCGAAAGCCAATGTCTCGAAAACGACATCACCGGAAACGTTACTCGACACAATATGCACCGCGTCTGGCTGAACACCAACTGCACCCATCTCGACTTCGACTCCGCCGAGAGCGCGCAATGCCTTCGCGAGCAGCCGATGGAGACGCTGGTGCATGCGCAGATCAAGACGCACGTTCCGGGTCCGAAAGACAACGACGGCGACGCCTGGCTGCCCGTCGTCGACGGCGATTTCATTCCCGAGGCTCCCTCCGTCCTCCTGGACACCGGCAGATTCGCCAATGTCTCGGCGGTGATTGGCTGGTGCGACAATGACTACATGCTGTTCATGCCGCCTGACATCAAAACAGCGCGTGGATCGCACCAATGGCTCCGCGACTACCTCCCGGGCTTCACGGAAGCGAATCTCCAGAAGCTGTTGTCGCTGTACCCCAGCTCGGAGTTCCAGACGAAGCGCGGCCCGGGCGGCGACGTGTGGGTGCAGGGCGAATCCTACCGCACGGGGCGCATTGCACGCGACATTCTATTCACCTGCAGTGCGATTTACATGGGCGACGCGCTGGCCAAAGCGGGGAACAACGTGTGGTTCTACGATCAGAACAGAACCATGCTGTCGCCCGCTTTGAAACAGCGCGGCGCACCAGGCCTAGGTATGTCTATTCCCTCCTTCTCCCTAAACACCATCACCCAAAGTGCGCCATAACTGACCAAGCATCCCAGGCGTCGTCCACACCAGCGAACTCATCTACGTCTTCGGCAACCTCTCCAAATACGACGACCCCGGCTGGCCCTACCACCCCACCGCCCAGGACTACTACCTCCGCACGCATCAAAGCCGCTCCTGGTCCGCGTTTGCCGCGCTCGGCGAGCCCGATGTCCCCGGCCTCAAGACGTTGACGGGCTGGCAGCCAGCCAACTTTACGGACGAGAATTTCGGCGTGTTTGTTATTGGCGGCCCGCATCCCGGTGATGCTGGGTATGGGGGCAAGCCGGAGGCGCGGGCGCTCGTTGCGGCGGAGAAGTTGCAGGAGCGGTGTGGGTTTTTGAACTCGCCCGAGATTATAAAACAATTGCTGTATTAGTGTGTTAATGTTGATACCAAAAAAGGCTGGGCCGTGTATATAGTGAGAAGGCATGCGCAGGTATAATGCGCCGTATATCGTTCAACTGCTCACCGTGCTCGTGTGATTGCTTGTCATGGCTGGACTGAAAGGACGACATGATGGTACTGGCATGGACACCAATGGAATTTGTGGTTATCAAACTCTCAGTTTGGCGAATGAGGCCGCTGATCGCAGCATGGTTCACACTACTCGAAACGCCGTCCTCATCTCCACAGACACCACACGACGCACCCTCTCCCCTCTAAATCGTCGTCTCGTACGGAATCGGCACAATGCTCTCCGGCTTGTTGTCCTTCGCCGACACCGTCCGCTCGTCTCGGGGCTTCGCGGGCAGACGCTTGAGGTACAACTGCGTGCCCTGCTCCTTCGCCTGCCTCTTCTTCGCCGCGTTCTCCTTCACCCGGGTGAGGAACTCGTCTCGTGATCGGCTGTGGCGGACGTGCTCGACGCGGACGTTGATGCGCTTCTCCATGTAGCGGTTGCCGACTTGCTTGTAGAGGATGACGCCGACGGCGGATTTGGTCACGTTGTAGACGACGCCGGTCTTGCCGTGGTAGACTTTGTATGGCTGCGGGGTGTGTTAGTTTTTCCACGCTGCTCTTGCTGTCTGGCCGGCTCCTTTTGAGTCGGATCGGGTTGCACTTACCATGCCCTTCTGCACCGCACCGTTTGCTACGACATCGACGATGTCGCCGACTTTGTAGTGCTTGAGGTAGGTGGAGAGTTTGATCGCTCCTCGCTTCTTGAAGTCGCGCGAGAAGGCTGCATTCGCAAGTGTTGTTAGCAGAGGAGTTCCTCGTCACAGCCATTCCAGGCTCTCCGTCCATCGCCATCTCTGCGCCCAGGGTGGATATTTGACTGACCATATCGAGTGCCAGCTCTGAGACCGGCGGAGTGACCCATTGTGAAGTTGTGGTGTGGGAGATCGGTGAGAGTGTCGTCGACGTCTTCGCTACGCTTGCTGGAGAAGAATTCAAATTGGTGCGCCGGAACGCCAAGATTCTGTCCGCGAGTGGCGGGCCGGGCCGAGGCCGAATTTCGACTGAACACACACTTCAAATTTGCTGCTGCTGCTTGAACTTTGTGCACGACAGCGACATTCTCACGCGACAACCGCAAACATGGCGCCGTAAGTTATCCCTCGCACTGGATCGACGGCATGGTTTCTCGGATGGTGCGAAGCGTTGTGATGGAGCGAGCACGCAATTGGCAATGTGACAAGTGAAAGAGATGGACATGAGCTGCTGGTTGGACCTACACCATGACAACTGGTTCTCGACCTGCTCGCCATCGTACGAGGTGGTGTCCATCCACCATCTTTGCGAAGCGACTCAGCTCACGGCAGCATGCTCGCCTGGGATGGATGGGGTTGATACGGCAGTTCATTCTCTGATTCCATGGCCCAGCGCTTGTGGACTCATCTTACACTGCATTGGCTGCTCAACGGCAACGCTCCATCTACGCTTCGCACCTCTGAGAACCACCGTCGCTTCCGTGCCACCGAATACGGTCATTGCATAAAGCTAACAAGCCATGAACAGACGCAGCTACTCCAAAACCTACAAGGTTCCCCGAAGACCGTTCGAGTCGGCTCGTCTGTACGTGACATGACCCAAAGGCCACTGAGCATGAGCTTGCTCTGCTCAAGTCAACGGTTTCCCTAACATACTGTCACAGCGACGCGGAATTGAAGACCGTCGGCGAATATGGCCTTCGCAACAAGCGTGAGGTGTGGCGTGTGATGCTCACCCTCTCCAAGATTCGACGTGCCGCTCGGTATGTGCGAATACGCAGTGCCCTCGTTACCTTGCACGTATTGACTGTTACATTCAGTCAACTTCTCACCCTCGATGAGAAGGACCCCAAGCGTCTCTTCGAAGGCAATGCCCTCATTCGCCGTCTGGTCCGTGTCGGTGTGCTCGACGAGTCCCGCATGAAGCTCGATTACGTGCTGGCCCTCAAGGTCGAAGATTTCTTGGAGCGTCGTCTTCAGACTTGCGTCTACAAGCTCGGCCTCGCCAAGTCCATCCACCACGCCCGTGTCCTCATCCGCCAGCGTCACATCCGGTACGTAAATATTTCAATTGCTATCGTAGGCTCCTCGAAAATTACTGACCTTATCCAAACAGCGTCGGCAAGCAGATCGTCAACGTGCCCTCCTTCATCGTTCGTCTCGACTCGCAAAAGCACATCGACTTCGCACTCACCTCGCCCTTCGGCGGTGGGCGTCCCGGCCGTGTGAGGAGGAAGAAGGCCAAGGCTGCCGAGTCCAAGGAGGAGGGTGGTGATGAGGCCGAGGAGGAGGAGTAGATTTTTCGCAAACTTCTGCATGGTGCTGCGTTGTGGTGTCCGAGCTGTGTCAGGAGTAGCGTCACACCTCTTGACCACTCTCGAACCGGCGATGTTTAGGCGCACGTAGCTGCTATCAAAAGATCATCTCATGCCTGATTGCCTTTTCCTTGATCCACCCCATTCTTGCTACGCAATGTCCAGCTGCGCTTCCACTTCCGCCAACGATCTGCTTCAAGTGTTGCTTAAGTGACCAGGTACAAGAGTTCGATGTGTGAGTGGGCTTGGGTAGTACATGTATGCTACAGTTATATTACGGACGCATAGCATCTGATCTACGCCTTGTCCAGCTTCCCCTTCCAATCCCCCACATGATCATTGATGACCTTCGCCGCGGCATCCATCGTGAAGTTGCGCCCGATGGCCTCCACAAAATCGCCGTCAGGATCCATCAGATAGAAGTATATGCTGTGATCCACCAAGTAATCCTGCCCCGGCTTGACATCCGGCGGCGTAGAAAAGTACACACGGTACGCCTTGCACACATCCTTGACCTCCTGCCACGTCCCCGTCATGCCCACAATATCCGGGTGAAACTCCACCAAATACTTCTCAATCACCTCCGGCGTATCGCGCGCCGGGTCGCACGAGATGAACAGCGGGCGCAGCACGTTCCCATGCTTCGCCTTCACCAGGTCAATCATGCCCGCCATCTTGTCCAGCTCTTCCGGGCAGATGTCCGGGCAGTGCGTGAAGCCGAAGTAGATCAGGCTGTACTTGCCCTTGATGTTGGCGTCGGTGAAATCCGCGCCGCTCGTGGTGGTGAGGTGGAAGGGGCCGCCGATGAGCGGTTTGCCGATGCCTTTGTTTGCTTCGGCGATGCGGGCGCGCGCCATGCGCGCTTTCTCGTAGCGGAAGTAGATTGTTAGGCCGACGCCGGCGAAGAGGAAGAGGATGCCGGCTTGCCAGGAGAAGGGCTGCGGGCATGTTAGAGATGGAGTGTAGGGGGTGGTGGGTGGAGGACTAACGCCTAGTTTTGCACGGTCTTTTGCTTGTTGGACTGTTTTGTAGCCGCGTCTTGGAGGGGAAGATAGTTGAGGGCGCAGTCCCTGCCGGAGACTTTGTTCATGGCGCATAATGGAGTGTGATCGAGGAGTGGACTGGCTGATCAGAGGCGTGGAATGAATCTCTCGTTTGGGCATCCGTGTCGCCAATGCTTCGCGCGATTGCATCGAAAGACATCTTCGACAGATGCTCAGAGACGTGGCACGCATCGCTGCGTTGCCCAAGGGAATCGACATGTTGGAGCTGGGAGGGAGTAGTCTCGTGTAATGAAGGGTAGATTGCAGGTGTCATCGCAAAAGAGTCGAGGTTCGAGGAAGCACAGACGTCTTTTTTGATGTGGCTGATGCTTCTGCTCCGCGGGTGGCGCAACGTCTTTCAGACCAAATACTCAATGGCACTCGACGGCATTCCCACTTCAGAGAACAATACTAGGCAAAGCCTGCAGGCGCAGATGTATACGATCGTTCGGATTGCTTGTGTGTTATCCTGGCAGACAAAGCTAACCAGTCTTACATGCTCTACACCAACTCGGATTGAGCAGTCGATATGCTATGATTGTTGGTCTCTTTATTTACAACTTCGATCGCAAGAATCCAAAAAGTCCAGTCTGCGGCTTGGGAGGGAGGAACTGATCCAGCTCGCTGGTGTTGAGATATTGCATGTCGCCTCGCACCTTGTTCAAATCCGTCACGCCGCAAAGCCGCATGGCGGTTTCCAGTTCGTCTTGGAAGACTGCATTTCGTTAGCACGACGTGTTTCTTCCCGATGAGGGAGAGGTTGATTGCGGGCAACATACTGTCACAAAGGTGCTCGACACCATTCGTGTTATACGCGACGGCGCACTGGAAGGGGCGGCCGACTCCCACGCCCTGGGCGCCAATCATGACAGCCTTGAGAATGTCTGATCCTCTCCTCACTCCGCCGTCGACGTACACTTCCATCCTGGTGAAGACTTCGGGACAGTCTCTTCTGATCTCCAGGAGTGAAAGAAGTGTCGCCGGAGCGTTGTCCAAAGCACGTCCACCATGATTCGACACGACAATGCCCGCGCAACCCAGTTCGAGGGCAAGCTTTGCGTCTGCGGCGGTCTGAATACCCTTGATCACAATGGGTTTGCTGGTGAACCTCTTGATCCACGGAAGATCGTTCCACGTCAGTTGCCATTCGATGAAACCGCCCGTGGTTCTCGCCAACCCACCGCCCTTCTTGTCGGGCTTGTTAGTAACGCCATCGCCGGAGTACAGCGACACTTTTTGTTCTTCGAGTACTCTTTCGTCCGCCTCTCGCTTCGATACCACTGGTAGATCCACCGTGACGAAGATGGCCTTGATCTGATCCATCGTCTCCAGTCGCTGGAGTAATTCTTCCGTTTTCTTTCGATTACGGTCGACGTAGAGCTGGAAGAAGTAGGGATGTGTTTTGGGCACGGCGGCCAGGATGTCCTCGACGCTGAACGATGCAGCGGTAGATTGGACGTGGATGATGCCACCTCGTGCAGCACCGGCGCCGAGTGCCAGCTCGCCTTCGTCGCCAGCGGTCTTGGCAATGCCCATGGGCGCAATCAAGAGAGGCATGGTCACCTCTTGACCCAGCATCTTCGTCCTTGTGGTGATAGCCTTGACATCGCGCATGATTCGCGGGCGAAACCAGAGCTTGTGCCAGCATGTTTTGTTTGCATCGTAAGTCAGTAGGTCGTTGGAGGCTCCAGTGATGTACGCCCACGGCTTCCTCGGTCCGTATTTTTCGAACGACCGTTCGAAATCGTCGGCATTGATCAGCGCTGCGAGAGGCGGTTTCTGCTCGGGGTCCAATGGCGACTTGGCTGACTCGTCTTCCTTGTTGGCATCGGTCCATTTGGAGTCGATTGACGATTCGTCGAAGTCGCCCTTCTTGTCTTCGTCGACCAATTCCTTTTCGATGAGCTCCTTGGAGTGGTACATGTTGTATGTTTTGGTGCCATCTTTCCCGGCGAATTGATGGATGACTAGGTGGTGATGTTTAGCCTACAGTCCACTGCATACAACATCATGAATCGCTCTTCCACTCACTCTCGGCTCCTCCGGGATGATTAGGGGCGAATTTGGTAAGATCGTAGACCTTGCCGTTGACCACGATCCAGCAGTCCTCGGCCAGCGCATGCTTGGCCACTTCCGAAGAAGTGATTTTCTGTACTTGCGGCATTGTATGGACGTCGATGATGAATGGCTTCAACGAAATCAGGTGTACCCGAACCGCGGTCTCCTCCTCCGGCGGTGCTAAACAGAAGGCGATTGTGTCGGAGGAGGGGCGGGTGTTGTGACGATGATAAAGCTTGATGTACCTCGCAACCGAGGGTATCAGTCGAAGCGGGCGTGGCTCGTGGACCGGCGGCGTATTGTTCAGCACAGCTTGGCTCGGCGCGACTCCTTGACTGCATCTCAGTCGCCAGCGTTTGTTTCCAACGTCACCTGGCATGCATGAGACATTTACGACGTGACTCAAGCCGTGCAGCTGTATGTTTGCTCGTCGAAGGATGGGTGCCAGTGAGCAATCTCCTGTGCAGTGGTCCTGTCTCATGCCCGATCGTCTTCACCAATGATGGCGGTGAATGCGACAAGATGATCGAGACTGTGCCAGATGCGGTGTAACTTTACAAGTGGCTTCCGCCAGGCCCTTCGTCCCTTGAATCGTGTTGCATGGCATTCAAGAGACTGCTCTGTCTCGTGGATAAGGTGGGTGAAGGGATGAGAGGCAAGTCTTGCATGAGGAAGGTGCGACCAACAGTCACGACAAGCCCGGTGCCCTTCGCTCCTTCCTTCTTAAGTCACAGATGCCTTGCCGTCGTCACCAATCACGCACACCTCATCTCCCTCCTGTTTTCTACTTTCATGCGCGCTGCAAGCACACTTCCACGCAAACATCGCCCAACACTCTTGCTCTTCTTCATCGCCTTCGATTCGTTGAACCGCTTCTCAACACCGCTCACTGTCGGTCCGCCCGCGAGGAGATGCCAGCTCGTTCCTGATGCGCTCCCGCAAACGCAACCCCCCGCCTTCCGCTCGTGCTTTGCCACCGAGCCGCCTACCCCTTGGTGCCGGTCGCATCATAGACAACACCAAGTCTTTCGAAGCCAATCCTTCCGCCCCTCGCTCTCTGCGTACCCACCACTCTTCCAGCTTCACCTCCAGCTCGGCCGAAGACACCGTCCCGCACACAGCCAGCACGCCGCTCGCCAACACCCACGACTCCCCGATGCCTCCTCCGGACTCTTCCTCCGACCTCTTGGCCAAGGCTACAGCTGAGGCCAAGCTAGAGCGGCAGAGGAAGAGAATCGAAGAGGCCGATGCCGCTCTGAACGTGCCAACCTCACTCGATCGCCGCGCTCAAGGTATTCGCGGGAAAGCTAGGCAAGGTAAGCAATCCGATTCCAGTTTTTCCCTTGCACAGCACACACCCGAAAAGGAGGAAAGGGAGGAAGTGACGGAGGTTCGTGTCAACACGTTTCGTGCCATTTCACGCGAGAGCTCGGGCATCCGCCCCGCCTCCAGACTGTCGCAGCGCACCACCGACACCACGCACTCCGATGTCGATCCCCAGGATCCTGCCTTGCTGCACAGCGGCTTTCAAGTCTACACCTCCCGCCGCAACCGCAAAGGCGCCGGTGAGCTGAACCCATACGAGGACAAGCCAGAAGTTCGCCAGACAACTGTGGAGGCTTCGTTTGACGAGCGTCACATCTACGACGTGTTTGGTAATGCCCTGCCCGGCCCCGCCTTCCTGCACGGAACCCTCGGCGACGAACCTGGCCGCGTCCAATTCATCCAACACCCCAACGGCGACGTCTCCGCGCACCAGTGGTCGGCAGATCGGATGATCTGGGAGAACATCGGACAATACTCCAATATCCGCAAGAAAGTAGAAGGGCAGTTGGCCGCCGATCGCCTCAGAGGGGAGACAGCGCATCAGACCTTGCAACAGAACTCCCTCGCCTACTTCCGCACCATCGCACGGCAACGGGAGGCGATCGCCATGGGCATTCCCTTTGGCCCAAAGGAAATTGAGGCAGCCGTGCCGCCACAGCCGCGCAACGAGCTTGACTCCACGCGCAACCCTTTGAAGGACTTCATCAGGAAGATTAGCGCCCAGGAACACAATCTTCCTCTGAACTCCGGACAGGATCTTGGAAAGCCACAAAATGAGGATTCCAACGGCCCCATGAGAAGACCGCCGGGATTTTCGTCGACCGTGCAGGACCTGCGGAAGGATGTGCGAGGTGATGACTCGTTCACCTTCCCGTCAAGATCGGACTTGCCGCTTCCAAAGTACGACGATCCATTCTACTCGACGTTCCCGTATCAACGCAAGATCGTGGACTACCCGCACTCTCAGCCAGTCTATTCGCCTACACCGCAGGGCCTGCTACGTCCGGCGCCGCCTCCAGCACCCCGTGGTCCGGTCTATGGTGTCTACCCGCGACCGCCAGGGTTTCACTATGACTATCAGCCTCAACCAACATTTTTTCCCACGCCAGCGTCGCGAAGGCCTCTGCAGCCCGCCTTTGCCAGCAATCCCGTCGTCTACTCTCACCACACTGTCCCAAGCTCTGCATATGGGAGCTACTATCCTGCCTACATGTCCAACCATGTGCCTGCCCACATGCTGTCGTCGAGCATCTATCCGGCTCCTCCCGTTTCCTACTACACTCGACCTATCACACCGGTGTCTATCAGCATTCGTACTTCGATGAGTGACCAGCTGTGGAAAATCTCGGAGACCGCCAAGGAGCGAAGCCTGAGTCAGTCCAATATCGGACGTACCGTTCTCTACGACCCTTACCAGAACCAGTCATCGCCAGCTACTGGGGATCACAACGATGGTTATGGACATCGGCCATCGCTGGACCATATTCCAAAAGCAGCGACCAGTGTCTTGTCGCCACCAGCTGCGGGACATCCGACTTCCTCCGACTACTTCCCCACGATTCTGGCCCCCAAGCCCCAACCGGCTGTGTCGCCGCTCCGCAGCGTTCTGGAGTATAGCCTTGATCAGAGCAGTCCAGACCCGCAGTGGGATAAACGGACTTACGATCATACAACAACATCGTTGTCCACGACCGCCCCCGCCAAACCGACACCCCAAAACTTCAACGGCCCCTTCTTCCCAGCGGACTCCCCGCGAGGCACCAAGCTCCATTCCGGCGCGAGTGCAAAAACATACGAAGAGGAGCTGAACGATTGGTGGACATCGGGCAACAAATTCGCTAGACAGCAAGAGTTCTTCGAGAGCATCATGGCCGCCCACAAGCCTCAGACCACCCCCTCCAGCGCCAGCAGCACTTCACGCTCACACCTTCCCGGCCCCATCGGCCCTCCCTCGAAAACCCAATCAAAATCCCAACAACAACGCACCCCCTCCTTCAACACAACCACTACCCGCCTCCTCATCCCCGTCCTCGAGAACCTCGCCGCCTACGTCCAAGGCCCAATCGACAAGCGCCGCGACTACTTTTCCCAATGGTCCACGGCGCCGGAGTGGGCCGTCGACACGAGCGACACGGGCAACGACTCCTTCTTCGATAAAGACTGGGGCACGCCGCCGGCGCGCGTGGGGCGCGATCCGCGGTATCGCAGTATGAGTCGCTCGTGGTCGAGTGAGCATGTGCCTGTTTCGTCTGCTGGGCGGCGATTTGCTTCGTTTGATGCTGCGGGTGGTGTTGGGGGGGTGTATGGGGGTGGGATTGATCGGAGATTTGGTTTTGCTGGGAGGTGATGAGGGACTATGTCTTCTTCTTTGCTGGTGGACATTCGAGGAAGCGAAGGTGCGAGGGATTGGTTGAGAGGAGTTGTGAGTGGGCGGAGTACCGTGTAGGAAGGAATGGGATGGCGGTGGAATGTTTGATGGAACGGCGTACTATGATGGGAAGAGGGGGGAGGCAGAATGCTGCTTGCATGCCGGGCATGACGGAGAAAGAAGAAGAATAAGGAGGACTGAGTAGGCTCTGTTCTGTATCGTGTCTTACGTACGCAATCAGAGGTGGACCAAGATATTTTGGCACATCATGCCTTTCTCCCACATCTTGCTCCCATATGTGTACACCTGTGCGCTGCACCAAGAAGCTCAAGATGCATACCAACTGCCTTTGCCCGCTCATTGTTCTTCTCCAGTCCCTCGTCTCCGCCATCTAAGCAGAATATATACTCCTGCTCGGAGAAGAAGGCCTTGGCCACATGTTGGGGCAACACCCAGTTCAAAGGGAAGCCGTCGGCGTCGCCGCTCTCATCATTCTCACTTCCCTCATACCTCTGCAACACGCCTTCTGTGCGCAGTTTGCGCTCCATCTCGCTGCTGTCATTGGTCGAATAGTCCTCTGCTATCACCGGCGAGTTCGATACTTCGCTCCCCGTCTCATCCAATTGGTGCGGGTCGAAAGCGAACGCCCCCATGGCCATCGGCATCATCACCGGCCCCTCAACTTTGTGTTCCGTCACGGGCATGCACTCCACGGTATCGAACAACTGCGCGTGCGCCGCAGGAAGCTTGCAAGGCGCCTTCCCTCCCCGCCTGGAACAATCCAAGTATGGCCCGAGGCACAGAGGGTGGCTCCGTTGAGATGCCAACACATTGGAAAGAGATGTCGTTCAACAAGGCAAGATGCAGCATAAACAAATGCAGTATTTCTCGATCTAGCATTCTACAGCCACTCGAGGTCACTTATTCAAGCCTCTTCACTCTCATCCTCCTGCGCAGCAACAGATTTGATCGGCCTTCCGTACGCCGCTTCGGGGAGGAAGTAGAGGGGGATGTTCAAGGCAGCAGCGAGGGGTACGAGGAAGAACCAGATCAGTTGTCCGTGGGCGAATCCCGACTCGAGCCCGACTGCGTAGATGCTGGTGCCGAGGACAGGCGCAAAGGAGCGCAGGGCGCTCGTCATGGTCAGCACGACCGCGTTGAGAGTAGCGAGGACGGATGGCGAAGGGGAAATGTCGTTGACGAAGAGCTGGCAGCATACTGCATTGTCATTGATCAGCCTCGACTTCTTCTTGTGAGGTGGCAGGTGAGGGCACAAACCAAAGGTCATCGCCACGGAGCTCCCCAACACTAGCGTGGTGACGAAAGCAACCCAAAAGGCCGTCGTCCATCCATTACGCAACACCCAGCTCAAGATGGGGAAGGAGAGCATGAAGAACGGCCAGGCCGCGGCACCGAGTTGCATGACGAACCCCGTGCCGTATCTCCTCTGCAGCCAAGGAAAGGCGAGCAGCGTCCACACGGCCTGGCTGACGCCAATAACGGCGAGAGCGAGGGCAATCTGCTGATCCGAGAATCCAAAGCCACCAAACTCCACAAATGTGTATTGATATACCGGGGACACGGCGGTATACACGAAGGCAAGGAACATGGTGTGGGCGTAGATGGTTAGGACCATGGGCACGCCAGGGGATCGGATGACCTGCATAGTGGTTAAAGGGGGTTCTGCTGCAGCATCTCCGGCGTCCTTGCGGTGTAGGGTCTCCTTAAGGGACACGAGGCTCAGAATAGCGGCAGAGAGCACCATTCCTCCACAGGTGAAGGTCGATAGGGCGTAAGGGAATTTTTCCCAGAACGCAACGCCTCCAAAGACTCCCGGAAACTGCTCCGCTGGCTTGACCAAGAGGCCGCCTGGAGGGTGGGCGTTAGAACGTGCACGCAGCCACTCGATGCATGCTCACGTACCTATCACCGGACCGAGCGTAATGCCCATGTTCCGCATAAACATGAACCACGCAAACGCCTTGCCCTGCGTTTCTTTGGTAGTCAGTTCGGCCAGCATGGTGCGCACCGTCAGCACGCTTCCAGCAAACACTCCCGCCAGCGTCCGGGCCAGCACCATCTGCCACAGTGACTGCGTCAGGCCGAAGACGGCGGTGCCCACGGCGATGCCCGTCAAGCTGAAGACCAGGACCGGTTTGCGGCCATAACGATCTGCCGCGCGCCCGTAGAAGATCATGAGAAGCATTTGCACGAGGGAGAAGAGCGATTCAATCAGGCCGGCGTAGAAGCCGATCCGCTTCACCGGCACTTCGCCGATGAGATTGATCATCTCGTTGATGAAGGGGAAGATGCCGAAGTAGGCGACCGGCTCGGCGAGCGAGGTGTAGCAGAGGATGAGGATTTGGCCGTAGGGGAAGGCGGGCGAGGATGCGGGTTCGGCTTCATCGTGCTGCTGGGCGGCGTCCTGTTCGTCGGTTGGTGGAATGTCGCTCTTGGTCACTGCCGTCGGCAGAGGGCCATTGGGCTCGCTCGACGACACCAGCAAAGGCGTCGTCTCGCTGGCGTCGGCGCCCCGGGATTGGCTCATCGTTGAGATTCGCGAATGGACTCGCGTGTGAGCTCTCGAATCGCCAGGTCAGTCCATTGTCGATGAGGCAATGGCAAATTTTCGCGGGTGAAGTACTGATGTTACAGTGCACGACGGGAGGGTTGGAGTCATTCATCAGGCTAGCGTGCTGCGCTTCCCAATGCGGTCACCGTGCCGCCGCTTCACTGCCCGAATTTCTCAACTTCACCAAATCTTCTCGACACTATTATATGCTCGGCCAGATCCCCTTCGAAACCATGTCCCAAGATGCGCCGGTGAGCAGAAAGGAAAAGAAAGCGCAGCGAGATGCAGAGCGACGTGGCAAGGGCAAAAAGCGCAAACGCGAAGAAGTCGACGAGCAGCAGGATGAGACGGACAATGCGCTGCAGCAAGACTTCATCCCCTTGAACGGCGACAAAGAAACAGCAGCAACGACAACAGTCACCCCCGATACACCCAAAGTCAACGGCAAAGAGCGCTCCGAAGAACGCAAAACCAAGAAGCGCAAAAAGTCCAAATCCGCGTCCAAGCCAGACAATGCCTCCGCCGAGCAACCCGACGACACCGACGGCACGAAAGAACCGCGCAAATCCCGCTTCATCCTCTTCATCGGCAACCTGCCCTACGCCACCACCGACGCCGACCTGAAAGCCCACTTCCAGAAAATCGAGCCCTTCACCCTCCGCCATCGCACGGACCCGAAGACGAAGAAGAGTAAAGGGTTTGCGTTTTTGGAGTTTGAGAATTACGATCGCATGAAGACGTGCTTGAAGCTGTATCATCATAGCTTGTTTGAGCCGAGTACCGTGGGCAAGGAAGATGAGGGCGCGGGCAAGAGGAAGAAGAAAGAGCAGGGGAGGCGGATTAATGTCGAGCTCACTGCTGGTGGAGGTGGGACTGCCGAGGGAAGGAAAGAGAAGATCAAGGCGAAGAATGTCCGGTTGGACGAGCAGAGGAAGCGGAGGGCAGAGGTGGAGCGGAAGGAGAAGGAGAAGCAGCGGAAGAAGGGTGGTGGGGATGAGGGCAAGGCTGCTGGCAATGCTGCCCAAGAAGAGGTGTCTGACGTGGCAGACGATACTGCTGGCATTCACCCTAGTCGATTAGCCCGCGTGCAGCGATGATGATCTCTCGTTGCGCAAAGGCCGCTAGCGCAATTTGTATTGCGGACAAGGCGCTCATCTACTGGTCACGACGGAGTGAGACTTCATGGAATGCATGTCTCTGCCCTTTCATGCAAGCTGGTGTTACAATCTTGTCTATCCGAGATTTTCGATCCGTCTCAATGAATGACCACAGACTATGCTCTCATTCACGCCCACCTGGCCATGCATATAAACTGTCGGAATGATCTCCATCCTCGTAGACCGCTGGCATCTCAAACCAGGTCAACATCATGCCCATTTCACTTAATCACCCTCCACACCCTCCAAAGAACAAGGCTCGCCAGTCATCATCATGCCCACCCCGGCCTCATCTTCTTCCACAACTGGGCAAGAGCGAGATCCATGTACCGATACCAAGACAACACCGACAACATCCTCCTCGGAATCCAAAGAGCAGGACCGGCTCACCCTACTCGGCCTCCCCACCGAACTCTTCGAGCGCATCGCACAACTAGCAGAACCAAAAGACCTGCTCAGCCTCCGCCTGGCCAGCAAAGCCGCCGCCAAAAAGACAGACAGAACATTCGTGTCCGCGCACTTCAGCGAGCGCACGTTCATGCCGAGCTCCGAAGCCAGCCTGCACAGATTCGTAGATTTTGGTTGGCACCCATTGTACGGCAAGGCGTTGCGAAAGATCACGTTTTGCGTGGAGGAACTGCGCCCGCTATCGACCGCGCCACCTGACGAGCTGCGGCCGGGCTTTGGAGAGATTCGCCCTCGACCCCAGGCTGGTGAACGACGGCCGGCTCGGAGAGTCCTGACTCCGGAACAAGAACGCGAGGCGGCTTGCGATTGGCGCGCTATCGGAAGCTTCTCGACGACCAGGTTGATTTGCGCAGCAAGCGACGAGACTGGGATCTTCTTCGTCTGGCTTTCCTCGCTCTCAAAGGCCACGACAATGTCCTCGATATCAGTATCATGGCCGTTGGCGATGAGCAGCTTCCCAGCCGTGAATTCGGGGTGATTCGCTCGTCGACGGGCCGCAAGCCGGTCCCTACCAGCAATAGTATTGAGTGCTGGCAACTGGTGGCAGCCGCCATAGTGTCCAGCAAGGTGCGCGTGGGCAACATGCAGACTGGCAGCCATGAGAATTGGGTGCTGCCCATGGACCTGGTCATGCAATCTGAAAGCTGCTCGCTCAAAACCACTTCCCTCTTCGGCCAGCTGCGCAGCCTCGAGCAGTGGTGGCGCTTCGACACCATGGATGACGAAGAAATCGCCAAATTCGCCCGGCTCTTCCGGGATCTGAAGAACCTGACGCACCTGAGCCTGCGCTATTGGTACGGTTCCGACGAGTTATGGGAGACATGGCGAATCGCCCAAGCCATGATGATGTTGTCGATACAAGCCCCTGCGCTACGATCGCTGGAAGTATTCCACTTGATGCTTTCCCTTGAGCAGTACGTCCGCTTCCTCGGACACTTCCCTCGCCTTGAGAGGGTCGGATTTCGGACTTGCTCATTCTCCGTGGTGGGGAATCTCGATGGGATCGATCGCCATTCGTATGTAAACGTGGCACGCACTCTGAAGAGGCTGACGGGCGTGAGCGACATGGTGTTTGAAAACTGCAATGATCGCCTGCGCAGTGATTTCGATTGGGAAGACCAATTTGAGATCGAGGGGGGGTGGGAGTGAAGGGGGCACGTTTTGACGTTTTGTCAGTTTTGGCGCGGTACTTGCAAACGCACCTGAACGACCGTAGAATTAGATGAGTACAATACAAGATGAAGAGGATGGCGAAAGATGTTCTGAGATGCGATGCATCGCACCCTGGGAGGACCAGGATCCAGCACGAAGTATTCATACAGCCAGCGCCGGAGTAATGCTCTATGGTATCATGCGTATTTTCACATCAGTCCAATCTGTCGGCACATGTCAGTGATCAACATCCCCATGTTCAATCATCACATTATGCTCACCCTTGATCCTTCTGCCGTACAATGCCGCCCCCACTCGTCTGTTTCCCCGTCTTGCCTCCTTCAACAACTAATCGATCGAGCTGGAAAAACTGACTGACGACTGTCTGTCGCTGTCGTCACGAGAAGAGATCGAATGTCAGCTGCGCTCTTGGACAACACAATTCTGATTGTCTCTTTTGCCACCCACCTTCAAGATCTGCAACTCTTTCAAGCCCTTCTGCATCAATTCCTGTATTCTCCGCTCGTCTGCCTCGGCCTTGTGCTCCCGAAACGCATCTCGCGTGCGCCGCCGTGCATATTCGCGGAAGTTGTATGCGGCGAACTCGCGGCCCTGGCGCAGCAGTGAGCGGTAGAGGGAGCGCACTTCGACGGCAGTCGAGCTGGACATGCCCGGATGGATGGGTGTGTTGGGGTAGAGGTTGGCGTGGAGGTGGTGAAGTGGTTCTTTCAATTAGTCGATCGTTGATTGTGAAAGTTGAGGCAGCATCATCAGGTCGAGAGAAAGTTGGAGGGCAGGTCGGCCGAAAGATTCGCGAAATCTCCGATTGGTTGGCCTGAGGCAGGAATTTCGGATGCGCTTCGCTTCTGCCAGCCACGCCTGTGCAGTTCATTGAAGACATCGGAATATCATCCTCACCATCCCTTCCATTGCCTAACGCGATCAAATGGGGATGTGATGTGGAATAGACGCTGATCGAAGCACAAAAAACAGATTTGTGACGGACCTAGGCGGCCGGCAAGCTGCAGATATCGGCGCGCGCGCGGTCCCTTTGAACCCCCCCGAAACGCGTCCAGCTCTGCCTCCATGACGGTGAGTCTCGACATTCGCTCCCTGTTCGAAATGGCGCGCGGCGACATTCTCCATGTCAATCGCAGGAGACCAGCCTTGGGGCCAAATCGCCTCGGGAAACCGTGCCCCTAGGACGACCCACGCTGCGCTTTCCCTACATTGTTTTCCGCTCGCCAATTTCACTCTACTTATATTGAAACAAATGCTGACATTTACTGTCCATCTCGCAGTACCGGCCACCCGGCCGCAGCCATCGCGCCGGCCGCGCGCAAGCCGACAACGACATCTTCGAAGGCCTGCCCGTGAAGCAATGGGGCCAAACCATCGCGCACATCTCCCTGGCCCCGCCCAAATCGGAAATCGCCCAAGTGGAAAACGACAAATGGGGAGACGCGCCAATGCCACGAGACTATCAGCTTCTGTCGCCATGGACGCAACAACTTCTGCGCATAGCGCGCAGCGGCAGAACGGGCAACAAGCGCAAGCCCGATCCGGACTCCCTGGACGACGACAAGCAGGACGATGAGGCCGCGGAAGACAACAACAACAAAGCCGCCAACTTCGAGGATCGAGGCTACATCGCGAAGAAGTGGAAGCCGGTCCCCGAAGCCCTGCTCGAGCCGGAGCACAAGCACTTTGAATTCCTCGCCAAGCGCCGCAAAGGCCTTCCCAATTTATATGCCCCCGAATTCCACAGCGGCACCACGGTGGCGATGCGCAAGACCAAAGTCCAAAAAGTCAGCGCCGACGGCGAAATCACCATCTACGACGTGCTCGTGCCCGAAGGCCAGACGGTCGAAGGCGAGGTGGCCGAGACGACGGAGCTGGCCGATATCAAGCCCGTCGCCGCCGCGCCCGGCACCGTGATCGAAGGCGTGGGCATTGCGAACGACGAGGGCGTCGTGGTGGCCGAGCACCTCAAGCCGGCCGCGGCGCCGCGCCGCAATCGGCCGCCGCCGAAGAAGAAGGGCGGGCCCGGCCGCGGCAAGAAGCGCGTCACTTTCACCAACCCGGACGGCTCCACTTACACTACTATTGTGCCCAATGCGACGAAGATTGTCCCGCAGCCTGGGCAGACGGTCACGCACGTCGCTAAGGGCGAGGAGGCCAAGGCGGATATTACGGCGGAGCAGGCCGCGGCGCACGCGGCGCAGAACCCGGCGGGCGAGAACGAGGGTGAGGATGGCGAGGAAGGGGAGGGCAGCGACGAGGAAGGCGAAGAAGGGGACGACGACGACGACAGGGAGGAGGGAGAACTATCCGAAGATGCGACGAGTGCGGCTCCCAGTGGTGCGCCGAGCGCTGCGCAAACTCCCGTGCCACCCGGCAAAGCCAAATTCGACGCCCTGGCCCCGATCAAGACGACGGAGGAGGACGTGGTCATGGAAGACGATGCTCCCGCTCCCGCTCCCATTGAAGCGCTTGCGACTCAAGACCTTTCTGCCGTGCCCGTTGAAGAGCCTGTGACGGACGTCCCCGCCGTGCCGGTCGAAGAACCTGCGCAACGCGAGACTTCGAGCTCGCCGGACCTGCCGTTAGCAAACGCTTCTCATAGCCGCTCGGGCTCGATACTGTCGCCGCCTCCCCCGGCCGTATCAACGAACGTGGAGCCTCCTCTTGTGGAAAGCACGGAGCCCGCCATAGAAGCTGCCGCGGCAGAGGCAGTGACCGAGGCTGAAGCAGAGGCTGAAGCAGAGGCTGAAGCAGAGGCTGAAGCAGAAGCAGAGCAGCCCGTCGCGAGTCTCGAAGATAGCATGGGCGATACAGAGGTCAAGGAATTTGAGGACCGCGATGAGGATCTGCCGGGCAGTCTCGAGAAGTCTGTCGAAGACGAGCGGGGGGAGCAGGGGGAATAGAATAGCTTCGTCGCCGTTGATAGCGGGGAGATTGTACAACAAGCCTCAATACTTGCATGTGATCGACTTCCTCCGCTCGCTTCTTTCACATGTTTCAAATGCAACACATTACTCGCCGAGTGGTGCCGATTTCTAGAAAAGCGACTTGGGGTAAATGATCACAGCCTCGTCAGCCCTACCTCCCACCCAGACACAGCCCACAAAGCACAACATCCACAACCCTCTTCGCAAAACTCCCTCTCCCCTTCCCCCTCCGATCCCTACCCCTCACACCCCTCCTCATCTTCATCTCCGTCACAGACCCCCTGTCCCTCCGCTGCCACCTCAACTTCCGCCGCAGCGGCGCGCCCTCATACCCATCATCATCTTCATCATCGTCATCGTCGAAAAAGCACTCCGGATACAGCCCACCACTGCTCCCTAGCAGGGAGCCGAAAGAGGTGCGGCGTGCGCTGCCGAGCGTGGGGGCCGCGAGGGGCGAGGTGACGGTGTCTTGGGACCAGCGGCTGTCCTGTGGAGACGAGGTGGTGGAGTTCGTCTCGGTGGCTGTGGAAGTTACGCGGGGTGTGGATGCCACGCCTGAGGAGGAGAGGATGCGTAGGGGGATGCGGGCGGGGTGGGGGTAGATGGTTGGGAGGAGGTCTCTGGTAGTGTGGTGGCTGTGGGTGGAGGCGGAGGTGCTTTCTTTGCGCGGGCGGGAGGAGGCGGAGGAAGTGTTGGGGTGGTTGGTGCTGTGAGAGGTCGCGGGTGGTGGTGGTGAGCGGCGTGTTGTGTTGAGGAGGTCTCCTGGTCTGCTGGGAGGGGTGGTTACTTTGACGTTGGGGAATAAGGTGTATGTCTCCTTCGCTCGGCTGTCTGGTCGCGAGGCGTGAGGCTCGGCCGAGGGGTCCAAAATCTCGTCCGGGAGACTTGCGGCTCCAGAAACTGCATCCAGGTCGCGTTGACGCTCCCACGATTCTTGCGGCGGCGTAGAAGCGGCAGGAAGGCTCGTTTCGGCCGGAGCCAGCTCAAAATCGAACTTCTCTTTAACTGGATCGATGGGAGGGAGTTCGAGGTTGGGAGTCTTGGCGGGCAGAGTGGGACTGAGCTTGGGCGAAGGGGTGGTGAAGTAATAGTCAAGAATGCCGAGGGACATTTCGGAGGCGGTACTGGGTCGCGCGCGTTGTCGGGATGTCTTTCGCTTCGAGAGCGACCATCTCTTCGGCCAGGCCTCGGGAGCGGCGACGTCGACGATGATAGGCTGTGAAGGTGGCCCGGCATCATCTGGATTGGGAGCCGACAACGAAGACATCTGTATGGGGAGAGGAGACAAATCGCCTGTAGTCAAGTGCATGGGCGAGGGTCGTTTGCGGTAGATGGTGTTCGGTCGTTTCGCCTGCTCCGGGAGAGTCTCGCGCGCCGCTTGGAGGGAATTCGCGATTGCTGTCCTAGCTGACAGGGGTGGATACATTGCTTCCATGGCCTTTGTGCACACTTCTGAAGGTGAAACAGAGACGGAAAGGCGAAGAAATTGAAAAGCAGCACAACAGACCTACCCTTTGGTTGCTCGCAGAGGGATCATTTGAACCTACTCTTGAGGGGGTCGGGGAGCGGAATGCAAGGTCGGTCAACTTTGTCAACAGTGCAGCTGCAAGCGTCCCGGCGCAGTGGATACGGCGAATGGAACGTTACCAATCGTTACTGAGCAAGGGAGAGGCGGCAGACGGACAGCACGTCGTATGCACCCAAGGCGAATTAACTTGAGAAGACAGAACACATTCAACGTGCCGTAATTGATAGCGTTGGCTGTAGAGGATATCCAGTTGATGATGCAGGCTTTCTGATGTTCACGGAGGGCATCAGGTGAAGTCATGCGGCAAGGAGCACTCAACAAAGGGGCTGCTCGCGTCATGCACGTAGCTGGCAGCGTGGATGTGATCACATTGATGTCATCGTTGGTTTGATGGACGGACGTGTGGATGCAAGGCAGAAGCTGGGGAGCAAAGAAGTGCAAGAGGAGGTGCAGTTGAAATAGAAAGAAGCAACGGCCTCGGCCGTGAAGCGCTGCCGCCAAGATCGAAGCCTCGTAACTTTAACTCCACCACCACACAGTATATGTGCTGCGGTGAACATACCAGCATAGCGCCAGTCGCACCAGCTGGAGCTCTTCTGCACGGAAACATGGAGATGGAGTGGGATCCGAGGGTAGCGCATCCATCTCACATCATCTCCATCGAAGCCCGCTGAAGCCAGAACCCCGTCTCCTGCTCTCGTTTCCGCCGACATCCTCACCCTCACATTGGATGGGTCGGCAACTCACCCCTCTCTCCCACTCCACCCACCCGCTCTGACATGCTCAAGGAAACTGGCGGCCTGACCAACGGGAAATCCGCCAGTGACCTCGAAATGGAGTACTTCGACTCCAACCCGCGCCCCAAACAGCTCGACGAGCACAGCGAGGGCGCCCAAGCCTTCATCGACCAGCATGCGCGCGAGCACCGCCGCGTCGCCCTCGTCACCTCCGGCGGCACCACCGTCCCGCTGGAAAACCAAACGGTGCGCTTCATCGACAACTTCTCCGCCGGCACCCGCGGCGCCACGAGCGCAGAGTACTTCCTCGAAGCCGGCTACGCCGTCATCTTCCTGCACCGCCAGTTCTCCCTGCTGCCCTATTCGCGCCACTACTCCCATACCACCAACTGCTTCCTCGACTACATGACGCACGACGAGCGCGGTGCTGTCGTCATCGACGCCGAGTACCGGCAGCAAATGGCCGACGTGCTCGCGCAGTACACAAAGGCCAAGCGCGAGAACACCCTGCTTATCTTGCCCTTTACCTCCGTCAACGAGTATCTCTGGTATCTGCGCGACCTCGCCATCCTCATGCAGCCCCTCGCCGCCAACGGCTTGTTCTACCTTGCCGCCGCCGTGTCCGACTTTTTCGTCCCCGCCGACCGCATGGTGGAGCACAAGATCCAGTCCTCGGAAGAGTTCAACACCAAACGCCAACTTTCCAACGGTGACGACGACAACAGCAACGAGAACCTCCCCGCCGCACACATGGAGGGCAAAAAGCTCGTCATCGACCTCGACCCCGTGCCCAAATTCCTCAAACAGCTCGTCGACGCCTGGGCGCCGCGCTCCATGATCATCAGCTTTAAACTGGAGACCGACCCCTCCATCCTGTCGGAGAAGTGTCAGAGTGCGCTGAAGAAGTACGCGCATCATCTCGTCATTGGCAATCTGCTGCGGACGCGCAAGCATGAAGTGCTCATGGTGTCGGCGCGCAGTGGGGAGAAGTGGCTGCGAGTGCCCACGGATCGGAGAACGAAGAGTGTGACGGGTTTGACGGGCAACGGTGCGGAGCCCGTGCCCGCTGCGGACCCCATTGAAATTGAGTCTTTGATCATCCCCGAGATCAAGACATTACATTCGGAGGTGATTGCAAAGGGCGATCCGAGATAGAAACATATTAAGCATATATACCCAACAAGTACTCTACAATATCACCCGCCACTGCGCAGTCGCATGGCGAATCTGCCGCCCGAAGATAATCACGGGAATGGCAAGCAACATGATCAACACATAGATCCCCGCTTGGGTGCCAAACGCATTGATGTACCCCGCCTCCGTAACCCACGGAAGCACGCCGTACAAGAAGCCGAAAGCGACAATGTTCTTCAGCCCGTTGACGAGCTCGAGCGCGTCCGCGTTCACTGGGAGGTAGCAGTCGCTAACGTAGGTCATAGTGGCAATAGGGACGAAGGTTAGGCCGACGGAGACCATGCCCGTACCGAAGAAGCTACACAAAATCAGCAAGCAGTCCTGAGATGTTCGTTTAATGAGTAGGGGCCAGTGAACTTACAGTGCAGTCCAATTCAGCGTCTCCGCCACGCCGTAGCCAAACGCCAGGCATCCCGCAGGCACAATCAGCGCGGGGATGAACAAGAGATGCAACCTCGTCTCCGGCTGGAAAATGCCGCCATTCTTCTTGCTCCTCCAGTCGGAGTACCTGTCCACGACCCAGCCGCCCAACCAGGAACCTACCAGATTTCCAATCAGGGCGGGGATGTTGATCAGGCCGTTGACATCGGGCCGCCAATTGTAAGGCGGGGCTTGGAGCACGAAGGGATTGAGGATGTTGATCGCCACCACCCAGGCGAGCGAGACGGCGTAGCCGAGGAAGGACAGGATGACGGCAGGGTAGACGATGAGAGGCAGCGGGCGGATGAAGAGTTTGAGGAGGTTGGTGTTTTTGGGTCGGCCGGAGCGGAGGCTGAGTTCTTGTCGCCAGGTCTTTACTGGGACTTGCGGGACACTGTCACGTTCGAGAGACACTTCGGCCGCTTCTGATTTGGTGGTGGGCGTCTTTTCGAGGTTGGGAGGTGCATTTTCATCGTCCAGACTCGGAGCTGATGCCGGGGTGGACACTCGGAGCAGGCCGGAGCGGTCGTAGCGTGTTTCGGGGACGAAGAAGACGACGACGAGGAAGTTGATGAAGGTGAGGATGAATGCGATCCACTTCTGCCAACGCCACGACGTGCCGGTAATAACAAAGCCGCAGATCAACGGACCAATGGTGTTGCCGCCACTGATGGAGTTCACGTAAAAAGACATGAGATTCCCTCGCTGGTGGAGGAAGTATCTGGCGTAGCGTTAGAAAATACGACGATACCATGATCGTGGCCTGGGAGAACATACAGATCATTCACCATAGCTGCACCAACCGCTTCCGTACTCGATCCCGCAAATGCGGCGACGATGTTGCTCCAAAGCAGAGACTCGAAGGATTGCGCCAGCGCACCCCACAAGTAGGCCGCGCTCAGCAGCAGCGACGCAAAGACGAAGACAGGCCGCTTGCCGAAGTAGTTCGCCATGGGCACCCAGAAGAAATTAAACAGGCCGAGCACCAGGATGGGCCAGATGAGCAGCGCGCTGGTCTCCGTCTGCGTCTTGTGGAACTCGAGGCTGAGGATGTAAAAGGCGGGAGCCAGGCCGCCGATGGCGAAGTTCGTGAGGAAGGTGAAGGCGCACACGGCTCCGAAGCAGACGTGCTTCTTGGAGCGCGACCAGCGGAGAGGATCGTTGGGATCGTTCGGGTTGGGCATGGGGTGGAGGATGAGGTGGCCATCTTCGGACGTGGCGTGCAATTGCACCGTGCCGTCCGAGGTGTCTACGTCCTGGAGCGCGCGCATATTGAGGATATCGTATTAGTGCTTTGGCGACCACGCGAGAGACCGTACGAAAGGAGGAGGGGAGGGAGGAGGGATTTGGTAATTAATAAGAAATAGTAATAGACTCGAGCCGATCATTTCCTGACTCGTTACCTTTTACCCACGAGTTTCTCTGCCAGACAGCCACATCCGGCCATATCCAACCTCGTGGGAGCACTAGTGTCCGTGTCATGGAAAGCCTGAAGATAAATTTGGGGGTTTCCAGGGGTCTTGTCAACGGCTTGAGGAGCCGGCCGCCGGTCAGCACATTTGACCCGCCCAGGTCTTGATGACAAAAGTCGCGGTATCAGACCTTCACAAGCCGCATGCTTCAAGATTGCAGCACATCTTCCCTCACGCCCCGCGATCGCGGTCACCGCCTCCACACAAAATGCGCCAACCACCAAAACCGCAAGAAACGCCCAAAAGCAACGAGCGCAACGAGTACATCCCCTCCTTCATCGCCAAAAAGCCCTTCTACATCGACGATGCCACCCAGAGCCAGGATGACTACCTGGAGCATCAGCGGCTGCAGTCGCAGAAGAATTACGACCCCCTCGCGACGGCGAAATGGTACGACCGCGGCAAGACGGTCGGCGAGCGCGCGACCAAGTATCGCAAGGGTGCTTGCGAGAACTGCGGATCGATGAGCCATAAAGAGAAGGACTGTTTGCAGCGGAAACGGAAGCATGGCGCCAAGTGGACAGGCCGGGATATCGCGGCGGACGAGTCGGTGCAGGATGTGAAGTTGGGCTGGGATGCGAAGCGCGATCGGTGGAATGGGTACGAAGCGAGCGAGTACCGCGAAGTCGTGGAGGAGTACCAGGCGGTGGAGGAGATGAAGAGGCAAGCGGCGGGCGAGACGGCGGAGAACGAGGAGGGCGCAAAGTACGAGGAGGAAACGGACATGGGCCGGCAGCAGTCTACTTCGACGCGGAACTTGCGCTTGCGAGAAGACACGGCGAAATACCTCCTCAATCTCGATCTGGAGAGTGCAAAGTACGACCCGAAGACTCGCAGTATGCTGGATACGGAGACGAGCACCAACGAGCTGATTGCCGAAGACGGCTTCCAACGCGCTTCGGGCGATGCGGCGGAATTCGAGCGGGCGCAGACGTATGCGTGGGAAACGCAGGAACGAGGGGATGGAGATAAAATCCATTTGCAAGCCAATCCGACTGAGGCGCTGCTCATACGGAAGCGTAAAGCGGAAGAAGATCTCGAGAAGAAGGCCGCGCAAAAGAAAGCTTTGCTGGATGCTTACGGATCACAAGACACCGTGGCGAAGCCCAACCCGCTAAAGGGTGCAGGAGTCACGAGTAACGAAACATACGTCGAATACGACGAAAGAGGCAAGATCAAGGGTGTGCCGGAGAAGAAGGAGAAGAGCATGTACGCCGAAGACGTGCTCATCAACAACCACACGGCCGTCTGGGGCAGCTGGTGGCGCGATTTCAAATGGGGCTACGCCTGCTGTCACAGCATCGTGAAGAACTCCTTCTGCACGGGCGAGGAGGGCAAAGCAGCGGCCGAAGAGGCCGAGAGATTCTCCAAGGGCATATTGCTGCCCTCGGCCGAGGATGCCGACAACGCCACTACTGTTTCGCGAGCGCAGGCGCAGGCGGAAGAGGCTGCGGAGGACAGACACGTGCCGAATGGGGTGGATCGGGCGGAGAAGCAGAGTATGGATGAGAGCAGACGGCGGCTGGAGGAGATGAAGGCCGGGGTGACGGAGGAGACGATGGAGAAGTATCGCAAGGAGAGGACGAGCAAGAGCGATCCGATGGCGCAGCTACTGGGGAAAGACGAATTGCTTGAGGGATGAAGTGGGATTGGACAATTTCACAATTCCTAGAAATTCCGCATGCTTCACGTCCAGAGATATATTCCATTTAGTCGACATGGCTTGCACGTTCGGGGACAGATGGCAGAGAACAGGTGATCCCGTCCGATCTCACGTACTCAAGCTGCCAATCGGATGAATAGTACTCAGGTGGGAGACCACTGGGGAAGTCCATCTACTGAACGTAATTTTTTTTCGCTTTTCCTTTGCTTTTTGGTACCTCTGTTTTTTTTCTTTTTGCTCCAGTCATGCGTTTGATATAGTTGAGTGCACACTCCTTTGAGGGTATGAGAGTGCACGCTCTGTGTGGCAGTTGGAACACAAGACTTACTCAATTCAGCCTTGCGGACTGCAACAGCTCTTAGGTATGTAGAAGACTGTTGGCACCTCCACTACTCATAAGCTTCTCTGGAAAACACAATAATGATCATCGCTCGCTAAAATCGCTGCATCACGTCTCACTCTGCGCGTGGAGTCGATCCGCCCTCGTCGGCCTTCGCATGGCTGACCTCGTGATGTTCCGCGGCAGGCATAAAGCAAAGAATGGCAACGGCGAGAATGATCTTGATCCCGCCCGCAAGCCACAACACGCTCGCCAGTCCACCCGCGCTCCTCATCAGCCAGCCACTAATAATCGCGCCAAGTAACAGGAGCACAATCGCAGCCACTCTGCGGTTGCGCTTGACGTTGTGCAGCGCAAACAAATTCGGATCGCCCACGGTATCGCAGTACAGGGAAGTGAGCACGTTGACCGGCAGCTCGTTGAAGCCCAGTAGGCGGGAGCAGGAGATTTGGAAGCCGCTTTCGATGGCGAGGGGTGGGATTAATGCGACGATTTCGATGCTGGCCAGGACGCGTTTGTCTTCGGCGGCGTGTGTGGGTGCCGATGGAGGGATTTGCGGAATCAGGCCGGGGACCGTGGCGAGGGATGCTGAGAGGAAGAGCAGGAGGCTTTGGATGAAGAAGAGGGAGACGAAGAGGAGGCGGTTGGAGTAGAGGTCTTTGGGGGCGAAGCGCCGCGCTACGCGAAACGTCACGTAGCATCCCATGAGGTAGGAGGAGATCGAGACCAGGGTACTGAGCCAGGTGTAGGGTCGTGGGGGAAGGCTGGAGGCGGAGAGGCCGAGGATGACGGTGTTGCCTAGTACATGCCGGTCAGATGATATTGGATCCCGCGATGAGTTTTGCGCCGGCGGCGTGCTGCTTTGCGTTACGATTAGAGACAAGGGTGGGAGACGACCTACCGGTCTGCATGCCCACGAATGTGGACCAGTTGGCAAAGCAGGCTGCATCTGTCATGCCCGTGCAAAGACAACAGGCGAGAAGGGGGAGGTCCGCGTGTTTTGGTTTTACTGGACCCAGCAAAAAGGCGCGGGAGAAGTGACGGACACGGGCGGGACTGGGAGGGAACTGCTGATCGGAGGACGAGTCGCCCTCTTCGATCTTGGGCAGGTCATTCGGCGCCCGTGGTTCGACTATCGAGGTGGTGGCCATTGCGGCATCAAGACACGCTGGCGCGCCTCTTGCACGCGAAGTGGCCGAGGGTTATCGGGTGGAGTGTCGGTGTTGATGTGAGCGCGACCTGTGTTGAGATGCTTCGAGACAACTGCTGTCGGGCGGGTCGGCGAAACACATCCCGCAATCTCGCTGTGCCTCAGACACTGTGGATGGCCTCCATCGCTGCCGGTCAAGACGTGACTCTCAGAGAGGGGAGGTTCGGCCTAAACATCGAGAGAAGTGTACCTTACGGGATATGCCCAATGCGATCACCCGATATCGCCACGCTAACAACAGTCACACGGCTAAATCGAATGTCGCGGATTCCAAGTCATCCCTACGGTATTTTCCGATTGGTCGGCGCAGGCATTGGGAAAGGCCAAGGCTCCAGCTGAGAGGACTGGTGACGTTCGAAAAGCGATTGAGATATTCCATCCGTTCTTTATATCCGACCAACTCCCGCATTTTCCTGGATTTAATGGCCACAGGCATCCTCTCGAGGACTAATCGCACGAGATGGCGGCAGCAGGCGCCACCGTGCCCACCAGACTGGTGATTTGCGTGGACGGGGCACAGTCAATCGGCGCCGTGGAAACGAACATCCGCCAGATCTACTCCTCTCTCGAAGTGGGCAGATGCGCCGACCGAACTCACGGCGGCATCTTTCGCCAGGACATCCAATATGTGCCGAGCGACGGCCTCGTGGACGACACCTCTTCCAAGGAGCGCCTCCAGGCGAATCTTCTCGGCCAGTTGCACATCAAGCAGATCCAGGACATCTACGAGAAGTGCTGCACGCTCGACGGCGATCGGGATGAAGTGTGGTTCTTTGGCTTCTCCCGCGGCGCCTTTGTCGTGCGCGCCGTCGCTGGACTGCTGCATACCTTTGGCTCTCTCGCTTCTGCCGGCCAGCCTGGCTTCGCCAAGGATTTTCGAAAGATGCTCAAAGACTCGGAAACGAAGTCGGGCAACTCACTCTCGCCTTTGAGTCCGCTGAGCTTGAGTCCGGTGAGTTCGAACCATACGTACGGAAGAGGATGGGTTGCTAATGAGATGTAAGGTGTCTTCAATATCGTCGGCCTTTCAGACGAAGCGTGCGCCTCGTATACAATTCATCGGCGCCTTTGATACTATCAGCGACGTCAGCGGCTCCAGTGTCTTTGACATCTCCTTCAACTCCTCTATTTATCATTTCCGACACGCGGTCGCAATGCACGAGGACCGCAAAACCTTGGCGCCGGAATGCCTCTTCCCTCCCGAATTACATCAAAGCTCCTTGAGCGACTCTGGCCGCAGCTTCATCCAAGCCCACTTTATCGGAAATCATGCGGACATTGGTGGCGCGGCGAGGAAGTCCGGGCTGGCACTCTATCCGCTGCAATGGATGTTGATCCAGGCCAAGGATCTCGGGCTAGTCGTCGATCCTCAGGGCGGCGTCTTCTCCCCCCTATCGCTCGTCCTGCCCGGCTCGTCGATAAAAAAGCCTCCAGAGCAACTCTGGACATTCAAAGCCGCCAACAACATCGCCACCCAAATGCAAGACTTTCGCGAGGTACACGGTCTGTCACGGAATCACGAGAAGAGCTACGCGATCAAGCTCCAGTCATCGCGCCTGTCATCGCTGCGCCAGAAGCAGCCGAGAAACCCCTTCACCTCCGATGGCTTCCTGCGAGGCTACTGCGCCGGCGCGCCGCAGGGCACCATCATTCATCCTTCTGTATACTTGCTCCTGGACCTGCATATCAACGTCGTGCTCGAGAACAAAGAGCTCAAGCTTCAGCGGTGGGTGGAAGCGTGGCGAGACCGAATGCTCGGCACTGAAGCAGGACAAGGTGCGGACTTTTGGGACGACAATGACGATGACTCGGAATCCCTCGGCGCGTTGCGAGTGCTTGTTTGCGGTAATACCGGAGGTCAGTATTCGGATGCGCCGATAGCGACACTCGCATATGCTAACTGCTCACAGTGGGCAAATCCACCCTCGTCAACAAGACTTTTGGAGTCGCTGTGACACAAAGCTCCGATCGTACCCGAGGCATTCACGACGTGCGAGAGGAGATTACGTGGGAGGGGCGGCCGGACTTGATCGTGCACGACTCTGGTGGCTTTGAAGCCGGCGCGGACGAAGAGTTCCAAGCCATCGAAGCATTTCTCAAAGAGAAGGCCGAGGCGCAAAGTATCACGGCCAAACTACATGTTATCTGGTAAGACACCACCTGCACCCCGGATGCCGATGATGTATTGACACATCGCAGGTTTTGCGTGGATATCAACAGCGCTCGAACGCTTCAAACGGCCACCGAGAAGCTATTCCGGGCCGTATCACTGTATGCAAAGGATGTGCCGATTGTCGTAGTGGCGACCAAGAAGGACGAGCTGCTCGATGTAAGTGCCGTGCGCGCGAGCCGCATCGAGCGTATCCAGACCTGACCGAATGTCCAGATCGAGTTTGGCGTGTGCCGCAAAACACTGAAACGAGAAGGAAAGCCCTTCGACGAAGAGGCATGCGAAGCGTATGCAGAAGAGAGATTGGCAGAGCGGATCGATGTCATCCGGTCGGAAATGGAGAGTGTGCCTGGTGGCCGCTTGGATGCTTGCATCGCCGTTTCTCAAGGTCAGTATCCCCCACCCAGGAAGGTCGACCCTGACTGACCTTCCACAGATGACGACGAGTCCATCGCCGCACTCAGCGAAACGACATCGCAATCCTTCGATACCGATCGAGTACGTCTCATGTACATTGGTGCTCAGGTTGCCAGAATCGGTAGGTCAGAATCGACATCTTTCGTCGCTGTTGGTCACCCCGATGGCAGAGCTGGGGCGCCACTTGCAACGGCCTAGCGGCGACTCGCATCACTTCAGGTCCGCGCTGACATGCAATGTTCTCTAGACCTCAAAATCGAAATGGCCGTGGCGGAGATTCTCCGGCGCTACAAACGATTGATTCGCCGAAGCGCGGCCACCGTGGGCTTCGGCGGCTCCTCCATCCACCGCAAAGCCTCGACGTATCAAGTGACCAAAGCCGTGATTCAGTGCTTTGGAGTTCCGACCGTGAACGCCGACGTGGCGCTGGAGGCGCTGAAGGCGAACGTGTGGACCAGTCTCGGAAGCAACGCGCAGCTGGTGCTAGCCGAAATGTTCTCCCTCATTGGCGTTGCCGGGAGCGTGTTTGCCATGGGCGCCCCGCTATGGCTGATCAGTGGAAGCATCAATGCCAGCCACGTCGTGCCAACGACTTGCCGCATGTTCCTCATCATGGCGTGCGACTTGACCCTTGTCCTTGCGCGCTCCTTCAAGGAAGCCACTTTCCGCGCCAACGGACAGCCGGATGAGATCGACGTGGGCGCCGCGGCGAGGAACTACGCGGTGCGCGGGTATGCGCAGCACGTCCATCGCGATGTCCAGCGTCTGCTACCCAAGAGAAACCCACTAGCGCCTTTCAGAGTCGAGAACGTGCAACAGGGCATCGAGGAGCTGTTCGCCGCCTACAAAGACAAACTCATGCAAGACGTCAATCTGCCCCTCCGCAATGGAGATACGAAAGCCGGACGAGAAGCAGGCGACGACGCAAGCATCGAAGACGATTCCGCGCTGTTGAGCGACTACACCGAAGCCCGCGCTGCGCTGGCTGAGCTAGACGCTTCCGAAACCATCCCCTCCGTACCCGAACTGCCTGGCGACGATGCTCGCTTTGAATTACATGGCGAGAGTACCGTCAGTGAATTGAGCGGAGTGAGCGCGACGGAGAAGTCGTAGAAGAGCCCGGAGTCGATTGCGCTGCATCTGGAGCGCGTTCGCACGCGCTGAATACTGCCATTGGCTCGGTGCAAGTCGTTGCAGACGTGACGATTCGTAAGACCACCCCTCCTTCGGCCGTCATTTGACTTACACGGCCGCTCGGGGCAGCCCAAGGACGAGTGCAGCTATTCCAGTTGGCCATGACGCGCGATCTCATGACACAGCCGCGTAAAGCCGCCCGAAAAAGGATAGCAGGATGTGGCTGCTAATTTTTTCCGCGCGCAGCGAAGGTTAAAGCCTAATCGGGCAACCTCGACGCTGTTGCGCTCGCGCAAGGCGAAGCGGGGCGAACTTGTCGAGCGGTGATTGGGTGGAATATCGGCTTTTGGCACCCGATGCGGCTTAGGCCCTGCCCTCACAGCCCGCCCAAGCGACGGACATCATTTTAGACAACCCTGCGAGCCCCATTGATGATTGGGCCTGCGGAAGGCTGCAACATGCTATTCATAGGGTCGCGAGAGTGTGTATATAAGATGCTGTTCGCGACGTCTCGTCTTTTGTTTTGCCAGATACAATACAACGCCTTGCGATAAGCAGTCCTCCAGCCATCCACACCTTCCGCGAGTCGAGACAACGACATACTTCATCTTCGCAAATCAACACAAACCACATACTCTTGGCATTTAAATACCAGCAGCCTTCAGCCAGTCCCTCGCAACAGTCGTCAACATGCTGAACGAAAGAATGTCGCTCGGCATCGCCATTACGGCGTTCTACGCCCCCGCCGTTCCGCTCGCCATCTACAACTTTTGGCGCAATCGAAGTGTGCGCCCGCGCATGGCGTGGTCACCAATGGTGAGTCTCCCGACGAAGACTGCTCCAAACCAGACAGCCGCTAATACACATCTCCCGCAACTAGATCCTCTTCACCCTCATGCGCCTCGCCAGCGGCATCATAACCATCCTCCTCTGGCAGCACCCGTCCAACCTCAACACAGGCCTCATCATCGCCGACCTCGTGCTCCTCAACATCGGCGTCGTGACCTTCATCGTCGCCGGCATTGGGCAGGTGCGCATCGTGCTCATCGACAACTACAGCCATCATCCCATTTCGAACAAGATCGGGTCTGCGCTGCGGGCTTCGTACGTGATCGCAGTCGCGCTGCTGGCTGCGGGCGGCGGGCTCGTCACCAGCGATGGCAAGATCGCGAGGATTCTGGGCCTGGTGGGGTATGCCATTCTCGCCGTGGAGCTGGCCGTGTTGATTGGGATGGAAGTCTGCTTTTTCATGCGGAGGCACGAATTGTTGCAGACGAGCCGCAAGGTGAGCAAGCATCCTCCCCTGGTGGTCTGCTTTCGAATTCTCGAGGCTAACAACACTCGCTCGATGATCCAGGTCATCCTCGCCTCCTTCGCCATCGCGCCCTTCCTCATCGTCCGCGTGGCCTACGGCTTCCTCGACGTCGCCCACGAGCTCGACTTCACGTCCAAATGGAGCCCGCTGTTTGGCAACATCTACGCTTTCGCGTTCATGTGCTTGTTCATGGAGTATGTGCCACCATCCCTATTTGAGCATAACGAGCTGCCTACTGACTCGTTTGGCCAGATACGTCATCCTCTGCATCTACCTGTGGCTGGGATTCAGCATCACGTCGGAGCGGAGGGACGCGCAGAGGCGGTCCGCACTGGCGACTGGGGATGCGCCGAAAGTGTAGGGAATTTGAACCTAGGGGTGTTTGCTCTGAAAATGCTTTTTCTGGTTGAGCGCTAGCGCTGGCTGTTGCGACTATCGTTGCACTGTTGTACCCTAGACTCTAGATTCTCCGACTTTAATCAGTCTCTTCACATCCACATTGTTGCTATTCACATACCATCACGTGGTCGCAGCAAATCGGCAAGTGATATCAATCCGATTCGTCACGGGCTCGGTTGGTAACAGCACCTTGGCCCTGACCATCTGGATGAAAGAAGGCAAGACAGGTTCTAGTATAGCAGAAAGGAGGAAGAGGACCAGTACTGAAGAAAGCAGTGTAGGTATCAAGTAAAGACTACGAAGCAAAACAGCACGCTGGAAAATCCGCAATCCTCTACGACCCATGCCGCTATGATGGGGAAGAAAAGGTCAGCTAAATAGAGAAGGGGAATGGGACTTCTCAAGTAATTGAGAAAGGTGTTGATCCTTCTTAAATACACCTCGCCTTGCTGCCCACCGGGTAATGTCCACTCAGACCTCGCTCCCGATCAATGTTGCGGAAACTGCGCCGCCACTCCGTACTCCCTTCGAAACCCAGGCGAGGCGCAAGCAACCGATTTGGAAATGATGCGCCGAAACGGGGCAAAGAAGATGCAAAGAAGCAGAAGGAAAACGCTCCTCTCCTATAAGATGGTGCATTTCTTGCTCTTGCGACCTCGATCTTGCGGCTTAGGGCTGATGACGGCTCTGGAATGGTTCATTAGCAAGGGTCTTAGGAGGACGAATGGAACATCATACTTGATAGCTTCGTCAAAGACGCTCTTGAGATTCCGCTGGGTCAGGGCGGAGCATTCGAGGTACTTCACCGCGCGGATCTCCTTGGCCACTTGCACCGCCTGCTCGTACTGGATGGGCGCCATCTTGCGCTGCCGCAGCTGCTCTCGCACCTCGGGGTCGTCTCGCAGGTCGAGCTTCGTGCCGACTAATATGATGGGGACGCTGGGGGCGTGGTGCTCGATTTCGGGATACCACTTGCGGGGGTTGTGTTAGAGCGAGAGTGGGGTAGTCTTATTCTTCACACTGGGACATACCTTGGCCTTGACGTTGTCGAAAGATGGCGGACTGACGATGGAGAAGCATATGAGGAAGACGTCGGTCTGGGGGTAGGAGAGGGGCCGGAGTCGGTCGTAATCTTCTTGCCCTGCCGTGTCCCACAAGCCGAGACTGATGGGCTTGTTGTCGACCATCACGCTGGCGGAGTAGTTGTCAAAGCTGTTGGACTGCGTCAATGAATGCATCTTCGTGGCTTTCTGCTCATAGCATTGCGCTTACACGGTGGGGATGTATTCGCCAGGGAAGGCATTGGTGGTGTAAGAGATGAGAAGACATGTCTGTTGCGATTAGCCAGGGTTCATGTCGTCCAGGGATAAGAGGAAGTATAGCGCACCTTGCCCACCGCACCGTCACCAGTCACCACGCACTATTCCCAACCGTCAACACGCTGCTTCCTCCGCATGTGAAGCTGGCAGCAACATACCTTCAGCGACTGTGTTGCAGGGGTCGCCATGATGTGAATCGCTCGCTCTTCTTCTCCCTTGCCAGATCTTTCCCGCGCGTATTCCTCTCACCCAACAAATATCACCGCCTAATCCGCTGCTTCCCGTCACTGCTCGTGCCGCGTGCGCACAGTCTGCTCTTGATCTCCCTTCACCGAACCCTCGCCGCAATCAGAGACGTACCTGAGCCAGCTCACCGCCAAAAGGGGAGTAATGTGGGCAAGTAAAGGATGCCAGGGGCGCGTGGCTGATGTGGTGTCTGCGTTGCGACTGTCTCGAGAATGCAATGGACAGCGCGCGAGGTGTCGTCGGGCGTCTGGTGCTTTTTTGGGGGGTGGAGAGGGGTGGGCGGCCTAGTCGGAGCGGGAGCGATCCGAGTCGTTGGGGGTGGTACGCCACAGAGGGTGCGCTCAGGCCAATGGGCGGTCGGGGACGGGCGGTGTCGGGGGCAATTGGGGTGCGCGAGAGATGGGTTTGGGGATGGGCAGCGGGAAATGCAGGGGGTGGAGGGAGGAGGGATGTGCGAATGATGGGTTTGCCTTTTCGGAGGGCGGAAGGGGAAGCGGAGGGGGTGGAGTGGGAGAGGGAGACGCTTCTTTTTGCGAATCGGAGGTTAGGGCCAGGAAGGTTTGGAGATGCTTTGCGCGCTAATGCACGCGCCCCCCGGCACCGCGAGGCGTGATGTGATGTGGATGTGATGTGTACGGAATTGATGATCTCTCGTTCAGCACTGTTTGACTTGAGTTGCTGCTTTGGTGAACAAAGAAAGGGCATGCACGCAATGTGCGCAAGTCACTCCCGCACATGCCATACCACGGGCGAGCCTAAAACAACCACGTGAGCATGGGTATCATTGAACGCTATCTAACGCATCGCATCGAAGCAAACACAGTCCATGAGCATTCACTCCGTCCCATTCCATCTCCTCTGATTTCTACCCAGCCACCTTCATCCCTTTGCTCTTCTTGTGTCGCGGTTTCCCCGGTTTCTTCCACGCCCTCTGCTCATCCACCCCACCAGTCGTACTCTCATGCTCGCTCGAGCCATCAGCGTAGAGTGTTGCAGACGCAGCATCACTGCCCACCACCTCCGAAGTCGACGCATCGTCAATTGAGGCAAACTTGGCATGCCTCTTCTCCAGCTTCCGCTGTAACTTCCGCGCCGCCTTCTTCTCCGCCTTCGCCATCTCCGGATCTGTGTCTCTCGCACTGGCATCCGGCGTCCCCACCTCCGAAGAAGAAGCAGTATATTCTCCCGCACCCTCACCCGCCTTCACCCTCTTCGAAACCCCATCCAATTTCGTATGTTTCCCCATCCCAACCACATCCTCCAACTTCCTCTTCGCTCCACCGTTGCCCATCGTCCCTGCCGCCGCCCCTCGCTCGCGATCAAACCTGTCATTCCCCGCCAACCCGTGCCGAATAAATCTCTGCGCCGCCTCTTTGTCCAGTGTCGCATGCGGCCTCGTAGCCCCCGACGTCTCCGCGGCTTTGATCTTGCCGAAATACTCCTTCACCCTCGCCAGCTCTTGGAAGACAGGGTGAGCCTTGGCATCGACGCCATGCAATCGCAAGGAAGAGAAGAGGATGGATTCGAGGGCGTAGGTGGCGAGGACGTAGGCTTTCGCCTTGTCGAGGAGAGGCAGTTTGCTTGTGCTGGTGGAGAGATGAGTTTTGACAAGAGGTTGCAGGGAGTCTTCGAGGTCGTCGATGGTGTTTTCTAGGTCTTCGACCAGCGCGGCGACGCTGGCTGGCTCCATGTTTGGGGGTGGTGTCTGTGTTGGAGTGTTTGTGATTTGGTGGTTCAAGAAAAGTTAGGAAGTTGTGGATGAGGCTGTGCGCACGGACCGGGTAGATCTGGAGATATGAAAGTCTATTTGCCTGGAGGATCAGGTACAACCACTTCATCAATCACAACACCAACCGAGTTCGTAAAGACAAACAATAATCAAATGGCGTAACGAATGTTCTAGCTAGCACATGACTAGCCAATGGCGCCATCATCCAACAAAAGAAAACGCCCATCCGAAGCAATGGCCGACGAGACTCCCCTCCCCGACAAACACCACCTCTTCACCCAATGGTCGCAAGACCGCGGCGTAGAAATCCGCGGCGTCGCACCCGCCCAACTCGCCAACCGAGGCGTAGGCTTGATAGCCACCAAACAGCTCCCAAAAGACCACCGCATCCTCTTCATCCCCGAGAAAGCCATGTTCAAACCCAACACTACCCTGCTGAAGAAGGCATCCCTCCACACCGCCTCGCCGCAAGCACAGCTGGCTTTTAGCGCTATGATTGCCTACGCACCCGCAGATTCGCAGCTCAAAGTGTGGAGAGAGACGTGGCCTACGCTCGACGACTTCAAGCAGAGTCTGCCGATGTGCTGGCCGGAAGCGGAGCGAGGAGATTTGCCGCCTTCGATGCAGCAGCCGCTGGAGCGACAGCTGGCCGACTACCAGCGGGACTGGACGGCTGTGCGGGAGACGTGTGTGCAGCGAGGGTCCGGGGAGGAGGAGTTTCGGTATTACTGGATGATTGTGAATAGTCGCAGTTTCCATTGGAAGGCGGCGGGGCGGGCGACGGTGGGGTCGATGGTAATGTGTCCTTTCGTCGATTACTTGAACCACGCGCCTGCGGGGAGTGCGTGTCGGGTGACGATGACGGCGAAGGGGTATGAGGTTACTGCTGACCGAGAGTATGGTGAGTGGTGCTTCTCATATCCCATTGCATCTACGCTGCACTCTTACACTCCCCTTTCTCACTCCCAAACATCATCTCTTCTGTCCAGGTGAGGAAGAAAACCTGCCCTCACTCCACCACCATCTTCGCACCACACTGACCCATCCACCCCCGCAAGCCCCCAACGAAGAAATCCTCATAACCTACGGCTCCCACCCAAACGACAAACTACTAATCCACTACGGCTTCATCCTCCCCGCCCAAAGCAATTCCGATGACGACATCCGCCTCGACCACCTGCTCCTCCCCACCTTCAGTCCCTCCATAAAATCCCGCCTGCAAGACACCGGCTTCCTAGGCGGATACGCGCTACTCCCCGCCGCGAACGAGGTGTGCTTCAAAACGCACGTCGCGGTGCGCGCGGCTATGCTCACGTGCAACGAGTGGGAGTATTTTGTTTCGGGCGGGGAGGATTTGGGAAGGGATGTTAGTGGGGAGGTGGAGGGGTTTGTGGCTGGGTTGCTTGGGGAGTGGAGGCGGGGGAGGGTGAGGGAGATGGAGGGGAGGAGTGGTGGGAGGGGGGTTGTGGGGGAGCGGTGGAGGCAGATTGGGGTTGGGATTGATGCTTTTGTTCGGAAGGTGGAGGAGGGGCGGGAGGGAGGTTAACGGGCTGATGTGTGAGAGGGTCATCTACTTCATGCATCACGACACAGGTATGATGGGAAAGGGATATGTAGCACAAGAAGTCATGAAGAACTAGCCTTGCATTTTCAAAGTAAAAAGACCGATCCGTGTTCCATCCGTCGAGCATGTTAGATAGAGATGCACGCCTTTGATAAGCCATACTCATGATCTCGATTCTTGTGTCGTAGCCGATGCGTGTCTGTGCGTGGGATAGAGGGAAAGGCACGCCGCCGGAAACCAGTGCCGTTGTCCGCCCTCCGCCGGTGGGAAGGGCCTTCGCAGGGAGCCACCTCACTCACAGGAGTCGATATATCGCCTCTGCCGCAAAGCCAAAGGCAGGAAGGATCTTGTCTCATCGACTCCCGCCCCATCCCGCACAGCACCGCGCGGCCACGGCGCGTCTAGAAGCCATGCACCTTGATAGTCTTGGCATCCAGCTCCAAGCCCTCCTTCTTGTCCGTCAAGAACTCCTGCACGTCCTTGCGCTGGTCGCCCTGCAGCTGAATCACCTCGCCCATCTCCGAGTCGTTGACGATGGTGCCATTGCACGCAAACTTCTTCTTGATCACCTTGAGGATCTTCTTCTGGTCGAACTTCTTGGGGAGGCCTTGCACCGTCGTCAATGTCTTGCGACCATTGCGTTCTATGGGAGAGGGCGGTGTTAGTGGTGCGTGAGAGGAGGGGAGGAAGGGGAGTGGCGATTACTCACGCTGGATCCGGATGTGGATGTAGTTCTGCGACTGCTTGTTATCGGCGTCGCCAGTGTCCGCATCTGCGAAAGGGTCTGTGGAGGGGGTCAGTCGGGATCCTCGGGCTCGCTCGAAAAGATGATAGGCGCGTGGTCAAGTGAGGGACGGTGGTCCGGCTCACCCACGCACAGGCTTATCGCGGGAAGAGAGGGGCTGCAACGCACCGTAGGCCTTTAAGTTCTGGATGTCCTGCGCGCTTGTCATGAAGCTGTTTGCCGGGGTCGTGTCCTGAGTAGGTGGTGGGTGGTTGCAGTGTGGAGGTTTGGGAGTGTCCTGGGTCTGGGTGAGTGGAAGAGTGGAGAGTTGGTGGTGGTGGTGATGGTGTTGTGGTCGAGTTACTTGGCTTTGTAGGGTGAGGGAAAGAGAGTGGGGAAGAGAAAATGACGAAGGTTCGTGCTAAACGCTCGGTGGCGTCGCGTCTAAGCCACGTTGGGCAGCAAAGTCACATGCCTACAGATATGTCTTCTCAGAATTGAATACCGACGCTTTACGTATGACAGTACATGAAGTGTGGAGTTGAAAAGGCTTGTAATGATGGTATACAGTCTACCTGCAAATACGAGAGAGGCAGCACAAGGTAGAAGGGTATCGTCACTATCTTATGCACTATCCTGCCGCTATTGATACTTCACTGCTCCGGCGAAGGAGCGAAGCTGTGATACTGAGCTAGCTGGCAGACGAGTGTAGCTGCCACAGTCGCATGTCATACATCCCATCACTCACTCGCCCGTGAGGCATAAGAACATGCCCTCGCGCACCTCACCGCGGTCCATGCCAGCCAAGCGCAGCTGTGCTGACCTTCCTAGCTTTCTGCACACCAAGAAGTCGTGTCGACCCCGAGAACGCGCGTACCATGATCATCTCGAGAATATCTCGACACGAGGAACAGCTGCAAGCCACTCACGTATCCTCATTCAACAGATCATCCAGATCATCATCATCCCACCCACCCTTCCTCCTCTGCACCGTGACCTTTTCCACCTCTTGCTGCTGCTCACTCAGCGCATTCAGAATGTCCTTCAGCTGCGCCTCGGTCACGCGACTTCGAAGTTGGCCAGAGCGGGCCATCATGATGAGTCGGTTCTCCACATCTTCCGCGCGCGAGGCTTTGACGAGTCGGATGCGTCCGAGTCTATCTGCGGCGTCGGGTTCGAGGATTTGCGAGAGAATGGATGCGCGGGCTTCAGCTTCTCGGCTTCTGGATCAAGGAACGTTTGTTAGAAGGTGATCGAGACAAGAGTGGATGTTGGTGATTGACGTACTTCTGCTCTTCTTTCTGTTGGTTGTTATTATTGTCACCGTCGGGAGACTGCGACTGCAGCTCTTGCATGCGAGCGCGGCGAATGGCCTCGAGGTCTTGATCCATGGAGACGCATCCAAGAGGCCGGGAGTGTGGTGGATATGCGTGCTAGATGTCGGTCTTGGCCAGGACAGTGTGAAATTCCCAGCATGGCTACGATGCACGGATCACGGGCCCTAAGGGGTAAGGGCGGACGGCAGGACCCGCGAATCGTGGGGAGCCACTCACGTGCATCACGCAATCAGCGGGTGGCGAGAGGAGAGCAGGGCGAACAAGGTCGCCGAACAGGTCGGCGAAGTGATGGTGAACGACAGGCGTATAATACACAACACGCCTCCGCGTCGACCTCACCTCTACCGACACCCTACTACACCGTCTATTTCGCCTTCCTTTCTCTGTGTTTCCCACGGACGAAACGACCTGCAAGACATCGAGTCGCCGTGACGGTGCGCCTCAGCATCCGAGGCCCTCCGCGCGCCCGGCGAGTGAAAATTTTCACTCTCCGCTGACGAATCGGCCAATCATCGCCGCCTTCGCTGCCCATGCGGGCCCCGTCAGGACGAAAGCCTCTTTGTATTTCGCCCACCTTCCTTGGCACGATTAGCAATCCGCGCGTGTGCGATGAGGAAACGGATTGGAAATGGGGGATGTTTCGAGGGCAAATTCGACACATCGAGACGAGATGTCGGGAATCTGTTCACCAAAGAACCCTCCCACCGTATGCGCCGCAGCGAGAGAGGAAACCGGGCGTATGCCTCGCACATTCCCCTTCTCAGCATTACCTGCCCCACTCTTTCTCTGCTTGTCCGCCCACCGTAACAGGCGCACATCTGGAACGCTGCCCGCTTTTTGATTTCAAAGACGGCCCCGGCAGTGGCAGAAGGTAGGTCCACGTCTTTCTTCCGTCATTTCTCCCTACTTGCGTGCTCTCTTCCACCTATTACTCTACCTTTCGTCAATGTCATCGTAATCCCTCCCTATATCATCGTCATCCTCGCCCATCCTCATCCCTCTCCATCCCTCTTCATTCACACCCACACCCACAATGGCACCTCAATCCCGCTCCCCGTCCTCCGACGCCTCCGCCGAGTCCGGCTACTCCAGCGGCAGCTCCTCCTCCGCCGACAGCCTACCCGACGTCTACTTCACCAAGCCTCACCTGAAATTCCTCAACCGACAACTCTCCCAGCTCGACCCGCGCGACGTGCTGAAATGGTGCATCACCTCCCTCCCCACCCTCTACCAGACGTCCGCCTTCGGCCTCACCGGCCTCGCCATCATGGACATGGCGTCGAAACTCAAAGACCGCTCCCCCCTGCACCCCAACATCGAGCTCATCTTCCTCGACACCCTCTACCACTTTCCGCAGACCCTCGACCTCGTCGAGCGGGTCAAGGAAACCTACCCGCGGCTAAGAATCCACACCTTCCGCCCCGCCGGCTGCGACACAACCGCCGACTTCGAGCGGCTACACGGCGAGCAACTCTGGGAGCGCGACGAAGAGCAATACGACTACGTCGCCAAAGTCGAACCGGCGCAACGCGCCTACCGCGACCTCAACGTCGCCGCCGTCCTGACGGGCCGCCGCAAATCCCAAGGCGGCAAGCGCGGCGACCTCGACATCCTCGAAATCGAGCCCGAGACGGGCCTCATCAAGGTCAACCCGCTGGCCAACTGGTCCTTCAAGCAAGTCCAGGCGTACGTCAAGGAGAACCACGTGCCGACCAACGACTTGTTGGACCTCGGGTACCGGAGTGTGGGCGATTGGCATTCCACAAAGCCGGTGACGGATAGCGAGGATGAGCGGGCGGGCCGCTGGGCTGGACGGAGCAAGACGGAGTGCGGCATCCATAACAAGCGGTCGCGGTATGCCGTCTTCCTAGAGGAGCAGGAGCGAAAACGGCAGGAGGAGCTGAGCAATGCCATTCAGAATGGCTTGCGGATAGAGGAGAAGAGTGGGGGAGATTGAAGGCGTCGCCTCTCTCCCTTTACGAGTGTGAAATCTATGTAAACTTAGCAATGGCGTTGGCGGGGCATGCTTTTTCAAGGGAAAAAGCAAACGGCAGACAAATTTCATCCCAAATGAAAACTTTCCAATTTTATCAAAAAAGACCATCACACGTATACGACTCCGCCCTGTCTAATCTTCGCCTTCCCTTCGTTCCCCCCTCTTTCATCATCAAGCCTACAATTGATCCAACAAGCCCTCCGACTCCAACATCAGCACAATCTGATGCACCGCCGTCCGCACATTAATGACGCTCAAATCCACCACCAAATCCGCCTCCTTGTCCTTGGGCATCTCATACGGGTCGTCGACGCCCGTGAAGCCCTTGATCTTGCCCGCGCGCGCCGCGGCGTACACGCCGCGCTTGTCCGTCTTCTCGCAGTACTCGAGCGGCGTGGCGACGTGGATGAGGTAGAAGGAGCCGTGCTTCTCGACGATTTCGCGCGCGGCCTTGCGCGAGTCGGCAAAGGGCGCAATGGGCGCGGCGATGACGGCGGCGCCGGCTTTCGTCAGCTCCGACGCGACGAAGCCGATGCGCTGGATGTTCATGTCGCGGTCTTCGCGGCTGAAGCCCAGCTCGGTCGAGAGCTCGCTGCGCACCGTCTCGCCGAGGAGAAGGGAGACGGCGCGGCCGCCTTGCTGGTTTAGCGTGACGTTGAGGGCGCGCGCGATCGCGTCCTTGCCCGAGTTGCTGTAGCCCGTCAGGAAGACGGTGAAGCCTTGCTGGTTGCGCGGCGGGTGGGACTCGCGCAGCACGCGCACGACTTCCGGGTAGGAGAACCACTCCGGGATGTCGCCGCCGGTGCGCAGGCGGCGGCGCAGCTCCGTGCCGGAGATGTCGAGCGTCTTGATCTCCTTGGGCACTTCGTCTTTCGGCTTGTACTCGTCGCTCTCGGGCAGGTAGGTCATTTGCTGGAAGGGCACGACCTCGATGCCCAGCTCGTCGCGGTACTTCTCCACGGCGTACTGGGCGTCGTAGGGCCCGTAGATCTCCTCGCCCTTGCTGTTCTTACCAGGTCCGGCGTGATCACGGCCGATGATGAAGTGCGTTGCTCCGTGGTTCTTGCGGATGATGGCGTGCCAGATGGCTTCGCGGGGTCCGCCCATGCGCATGGCGAGGGGGAGGAGGCCCAAGACGGCCATTCCGTTGGGGTAGCGGGGGAGGAGGGCTTGGTAGACGCGCACGCGGGTGAAGTGGTCGATGTCGCCGGGCTTCGTCATGCCGACGACCGGGTGGATGAGGACGTTGGCTTGACGCTGGCGCGCGGCACGCACCGTCAGCTCACGATGGGCACGGTGCATGGGATTTCTGGTCTGGAATGCCACGACACGAGACCAGCCGAGCTTGTCAAAGTGCAGACGCAGCTCGGCGGGGGTGTAGCGGAGGCCAACATAGTCGTAGTGCATGAGACGGTCAATGGCCTCGATCTTGCCTCCGACGTAGTAGTCGCCAGAGACCTTGAAGAGGTACTTGACGGCCGGGTGGTCGGGGTCTCCACCAAACACCTCCTTGGCCTCCTTCTTCTTGTCGGGATGGTAGATGTCGTCGACGGTCATGATGGCGATGTTGCGGTCGTCACGGGAGTCACGCAGGGTGATGCGCTTGCCGGCCGCAATGCCCAGCTCGTCAATATCCTCCTTGTCCAAGTCGAGGCAGATGGGCATGGAGAAGAGGTTGCCGTCGGCTAGCCGGTTCTTCTCCACCACTCCGTTGTAGTCCTTCTCATTCATGAAGCCCTCGAGGGGGGAGAAGCCGCCGTTCATGATCAGCTCGATGTCGCACAGCTGGCGATCGTTGAGGACGACGGCGGGCAGCTTCTCGGCCTCTGCGGCCAGCTGGGCTCGACGGGGGGCATCGCGAGCGACCAGGTCTTTCAACACACCACCTAGGGGGTTGTTAGCTGATGGGCTGCTGCGGAGGATGGTGGGGGAAGCTCACCATGCGGAGGGTTGGCCATTGTGCTTCAATTGTCGACGATCTTTACAACTTTTGAAATAAGAATGGTCGCAGGAGATGCAGAGTCTGAGCAGTCTTGCAAGTGATATCTCCCGTGAATTTCTGCACAAGGAAGAGAGGTGGCGTGTTGAGAATGAGCAGCAGCCGAGTACCGTTAAATTTTGGCGAGCGCCCAGAAATCGAAGTGCCAGCTTCCCGTGCCTGACCACGACGCGGCGGCAGTCCCTGACGTCCTCATGCAGTCTAGCGCGAACTGGCGCCGGCCTCGCGTAGAAGTCGGCGTGCGACGGTCTTGCCGAGCCGTGCAGGACAACGATGTCGCACGACCCGCTCGGCTGAGATAGGAGAGCGAGGCTCTGAAACCTTTTGAAAGGGGTTTGCAGGGTTGGGGAGGATGTGTCTACATATGACGACAGAGCAGGATGAAGTGCATCATTTTCTACGAATGGATCTCGTTGGTTGTGATTTTGATCCGCTCAGGATGAACTCAATGCTTGCCGTCAATCGCAGGAGCCTCATCCTGCGGACTGCTGTTCCCGAATCCGATTTGACTCGTGCTGATCTGACCTGGTTGTTTGCCACGCAGCTTCCCGTTTCTACTGTGGATGAAGTGTACGTAGTCGAAGCAGGTGTGTAATATGTCTCTGCTTTGGATTCTGTCTGCATTCCACAAAGACTTCTGCATCTGGACATTTTAGACCTCACCTCTTCATCTCACAACTCCCCGAACTCTACAGAGCAGTGGAGGGATCGATGAGAGCCATCGCTTCTATGTCAAACGCTTGGAGCATATCCTACGTTCCGTGTCTTCACCGGGTTAACAGAGATGCAGGATTGTAGCGCTCAGTGGCCGAGTAGCCACACATTGTCCATCATTGTCATTCGCTGTGATAAAGAAGGTCCTGCAGAATGCAATGTCCATTTGTCACGACAGCAATGAGCAAGGCCTCACCGAAATCAACGTTGCCATGTCGCTACAGTGGAGAAAGTCGCCTGGAAAGATCTAACTCCACTCTTCGGATTCCACTCGGCTGATCTTCGGTGCGGAAAATATACGCGTCTATGATCGATACGTACTCGCGCCTGACCAATAGACTGCTCGAATCCGATGTGGTGTATCGGCTAGCATCGTCCGCTTTCATTACGAGGAAAGCTGGCTCGCAAGGGCTTCCAATCTCTCTCGAGTCTTCCGGACAGAGCCGGGTTCGACTCCCGGCATCGGAATCGCTGTTGCAATACTTTTGCAGGCATGGGGTTTGATTTTTGGCCGAGTCCAGGGCGTCATATGGGTGATATCGATATCTGCAGGGCGACTACCGACAAAAGACGCATTGCCGATGCTTCAGGACGCTGTACGGGCTCGCAAAGGCTGCCATGGCTTCCTTAAAAAGTCTACACGATCGTTCACGGTCCAAAAACCTCGAGTCTGCGATGTCAATTCTGTGGATTTTCACATGCATCCCATATGGCCTTGCCGTTTCACATGACGCACTTTGCGAGCATTTGAAAGAACATGGGAAGCTCGTCTTTGATTCCTCTACACGCCGTGGATGGCTTCCCTGCCACCACGACCGAGTCACGGCAGAGCACAGGCTGTAAACATTCACACCAGCATATCACCACTCAACATGAACTATTTTTAACAATAGGATTCGAGATCAATGCGGATACGGTGGCTTCAATGAGCGGTTTCAATGGACTATAGAGAGTATACACAATCGCTACCTAATGTACGAACTGCCCGATTGCGAGACCATCTTTTTTCTGGGTCCCTCTCGCCGTGCCGTCCCGCACGAGGTGCATTTCGAGAAACAAAGCTCTGTGGATCTCGATTGGGTGCGCCGGGTACCATTCAAATAGCTGCCACTCAAAAAATCTCCTCATTCCCAGGTTTTACATTCTTCTCCTCGTTCACACGGCGGCGTAGACTGACGCTGACCATTGGAGTCGTCATCTTTCGGCGACGCCGCCGGATAAAGGCATTAACGAGGACGCAGCCCCCCCGGCCGTCCCACTAGACACCGGCCAGATTCCTTGGGGAACTACCGAGTGGGCCCGGTGCTTCGCTGGCAGATGTGAAGGGCAAATGCACCGCTCGCATGCATGCATCCTGCCATGTAGCATCAAGCCGCATGGCGATGCCTTGCGTTCGCCAGCCTTTTCACAATGTGCAAGGCTTGCCTTGCCTTGTCGTCGCCCACCGCCATCGTGACGGAACGAGATGAAGGAGCGAAAGCGCGAGTCGTCGCACGAGAGCTATCACTTGCGGGACTCGATGCACCCGTCCGGTAACAAACACCGCCAATCAAACGGTCAGCATCTTCGCCGAGCCACGATTTGTCACAGTGCAACTGCGGACGATGGCCAGGAGAATTCCGCCGTAGCGAACGCGATTTATTCTCCTAGTGACGATCTGACAGAAGCTTACCCCCTGCGCGCAAGCGAAGCGACCGCGGGGAAGACCGAGCACACCTCCGCGCGCACCTTTCTCGATGCGATCAAACGGCCGTCCGCTACAGATCCCACGCGATAGCATCAGTGCGCGACAGGCCTGGAAGGGCAAGGTGAGTTTTCTTCATTCGTTTGCACGACCGTTGGAGGTAAGAAGCACAGACGCCGCGGTGGCTGGGCCGCACCTTCTCTCTCTGCTCTCGCGCTCTCGCTCTTTCCCAGCCTTCCACTTTACACGTCACCGCGTCGCCCCGACCACCGCCATTCCCTCAATTCTCCGTTTCCTCCGCCCGGCTTGCATGCGCGCCAATCCTGTTATCCAACTTCGGTACACGATGGGCTGTGACATGCGGATGCGGAGAATTGTTGACGCTCGATTGGGAAGATAGGAAGCGGCTTCCTCTCTCTCTCCGCCAGCGCACCACCTCACCGCCGCCCGCCCTGCCATTGACCGTCGCCAACCCCTCTACCTCCATCGGCGCATCTACTTGGGCAAAGGTGTCGCGCGTGAACCGCCGCCGTGTCACTTCCACCCCTTCCCGCTCTTGACGACCGACACGATACCCACGACAGGTATTATACGAGCTCCTTACGCCAGCGACAACTTCACCACCCCGCCAACACATACTACAATCCTCTCCGAGACTACTCGCGCCCTTCCTCTTCGTCAGGAAGCGCCGTCTCTGGCTCGCCCAGCCTACGTCGCAAACCCCGGTTCGATCCTCACTCTCGCGCTACCCTTGCGCGCTCGAGCTCCGTCGATTCGCCGTCCATCCGCCGGGGTGAATCCGACTCCCCCACCGTCGCGCAACACCCATCGTTCAGCGCATTCATTCCGCGCATAGGCTTCACCACCTCCTATCCACACCCGGCCCTCGTTCTCTCGAATCGCACCAAAGCGGCCATCAGCTACGCTCTCGAGGTTGCCATTCGCCAGCCAAACCCATTCACTCCCGACTTGCTGGAGGAGAACGCTGAGATGTCTGATCTTTCTGGGAGGGCGACAAATGGAGGAGCACGAACAGGCGGGCCCGTGCCCGTCGCATCAAGTACGCCATCTTCAGCCATTCGACCGCCTACGGAGATCATGAGGGATAGAAGAGCTCGTGAACAACGTCGGCAAGAAGAGCAGAAGGCGGAAGAGCTGCGACGTCAGCAAGAAGAGAGGAGGAGAAGAGAGACGGTCGAGCGTCGAGCAGCCGCTATTCAAGGAACGGCAGCTCCGAGGAATAGCCAGGCATCATCGCAGTATACTCCCGATGTTTCGCAACAACCGTTTGAAGCGAGGAGGAGTGGCACTGGCCAAGTCGCTGGTTCACAGGCTCTGGGCGATCCCACGGGAAGGACTTCGCAAGAGTATTCGAGTACTCGCGCACGAGGGCCGAGCAGTGTACCTCAACAAGACCAGCCGAGAGCGGCTCCACCGACTGCCAGTACCACTCGACGTTCACAGACCGCTCAAACTGCCCAAGCCGCGCCACGTGCGACGACTTCATCGACTGCAGCCCCCGAATCCTCCGCTCAACAAGGTGAAAGCGCAGGGGCACGGGAAGGAGCTTCCTCATTCCCCCACGCCTTCCATCGATGGGAGAACCTATCCGCCCACTGGGAAGGACTGACCTCATTCTGGCTGAGGAAGCTGGAGCAAAATACCGAACAGATTCAGAACACCGTCCCCAATTTTCAAACGTTAAGCCGGCAAATCACCGACTTGTCTGCTGCTGGCGCGAATCTCTTCCATGCAGTCGTCGAGCTGCAACGGCTGCGTGCTAGTAGCGAGCGAAAGTTTCAACGCTGGTTCTTCGACACACGAGGAGAGAATGAAAAGAATCGGGAGATTCAAGGTCAGCTTGAGAATCAGCTCAAGATCGAACGTACCTCGCGAGAAGAGTCAAGCCGGCAACGCGCAGATGCCTTGACAGCAGCAGAGAACGCCCGACGCGAGATCGCAGAAGTTCGGCGCGAGCTCATGATCGCCAAGGACGAGGCGCGTCGGGCGTGGGACGAGCTCGGCAGGAGGAACCAGGAGTCGTTGGAAACCGCACAAAGTCTCAAGGATGGTAGAATCACCATTGTGCACGGCGTGCAAGTTGTTCCGTACTCCGGTGCCACGATTGGATCGGCCAGTGTTAGCCAACGTCCGGTGACACGCGATGGGCAACAGTATTATGGCAGCACGGGCGGCGGCTATGCGAATCCTGGAGATGAAGCGGAGTACTACTACCAGCAAGACGTCTCGCCAACCAACACCGACCCGTTCATGGAGAGCGGTCCAAGTGGGCAGACGCAGTACCAAGACAAACCGACGACACTCTCAGCGGGCACATACCAACCACCTTACCAAGTCGGCACAACGCCGACAACAAGCTCGACAGTGCAAACCGCTATTCCACCCAGCCAACAGCGCGTCCCCGTCACCACCCAAGAAGCCCAGCGCTTCTACCAACACACCCCGCACGAGACGTTCCTGCACACCGGCTCCCCACAACCAGCCTCGCAAGCAGGCCCCTCAGCCACCCGCCCCGAATACCACTCCGAAGCCAGCTACGTCGACACGCCAAGCGAAGAAGAAGGCCACGCAGGCACCATCGACCCAGCGCCTCGACACCGCACCACCACCCGCACCGAAACCTCCTCCGACGACGCCTACGACACAGCAGCCGACATCCGTCGCGAGCAGGAACTCTCCGCGCAATACGGCACAGGCGGAGCAGGAGGCGGCTTGCTACCCCCCGAAGCGCCGACCGTGCCCGCCACGAGTTCGCAAGCTATGGCGACGTATTCCCCCGGGCCGGAGGAGAGTGGACAGCCGAGCTACGATGGAAGGGAGTACGAGGTTGCGGCTTGGGAGGCGTTGCAGACTCGGCATCATCATCCGACGCGCTTGAGCGATGTGTTGGAGGAAGAGGAGGAGAGGAGTAGTCGGCGGACGGGGGAGTGATTGCATCTCCCCCCATTGACAAGGAGTCAGTCATCACCAGTACAAGTGGGGAGGATACAGCAGTGGATTTTCCCTTTTTCAGCGTTCGAGCCAGCGCACATTTTCCTGTTCCTTCCCCTCTCGACGCTTTTTCTTATTCACATTGTTGAGCATGGCGGGGTTTCTCTTCTTCGGCAGAGACGGAAATGGGCCTTTTTGTGTTATAGAGCGAGTGGGCGATTCGATTGCATAGCGCGGAAAGCGAGACTGGGTTTGGGTTTTGTAACGGTACGGCTTTCTGCTGCAATCACATTCTGCATGCTTCTCTCGTATGGCTTGTCTTTCTCGTTGATGGTGTATTGCGTAAACTGCATGTCGGGATGCGACTTGCAGTTGAGTGGGAGGCGACTTTTGGAAATTTTGCTGGACGAGAGCAGAGGAAGGAGATGCATTAATTATTCCGACTGCCCTGAAAATCGACAGCACAACATAAGCTTCTCAGGAGCTTGGGTATTCTCTGGGCGAAAGAAAAAAGAAAGACCGAATGCAATCCGTCAAAGCAAGCAAAATGAAACCCCGAACCCGAGCTCCAAAGTGCGAATGCAACACCCCGAACAATCCCATGCCTCATCCCATTCCCCACAGATTTCCATCCTTTCCTGCTTCCCTTCCCTTCCCGCCAGCTCACTCCCTTCTCTCCTTCCAAGCCTGCACAGCGGCAGGCGTCATCTCCATCATCCTCGGCGGGCCCACGGCCCACACGGCATCCAACTTGGCCAGCCCGAGCGCGAGCAAGTCCGTTCTGCGGCCCTTGGTGCGCAGCAGCGCGCGCCACGCCGTCACGAGCGCCAGGCACTCTTTTGCGTCCGGCAGGCTGGTGGAGGTGACGAAGAGGAACATCATGAAGGAGCTGACGATGGTGAAGTTTGTGCGGGAGTCTGTTTGGCGATTGCGGTCAGTATGGTTAGGGCATTTTCGTTGTGTTTGGGGAGGGAAGGAGGGGGAAAAACTTACAACTCGCCCAGAAGCCCTCGAGTTCGCGCTCGTGCAGCCTGTCGAGGAAGTCGTGGATTTCCTTTGCCACGACGAGGGCGCCGGTGCGCAGGGCGGTGAGGGCGGTGGCGTTGCCGTCGGTGGCGCGCGGGCGCAGCATGGCGCGGAAGAGTTCGATTTTGAGGGTGAGGTAGGCGAGGTGCAGCGAGCCGTGGCCGACGCCGCTGCCGCTGTCGGGGGTCGCGTTGCTGCTGCTGCTGCTCGCCATGGCTGCGGGCGAGGGGTTGAGCGATCGACGGCGCTGCTGTTCTCGTTCCTGCTGTTGCTGTAGCGGCAGCGTTTCCGACGGGAGGGTTTGGTACCAGTGGGTCAGGCGCACGCGGAGCGGTTTCGCGACTTCGAGTGTGGCTTCGAGACTGTTGTGGAGCGCGTGCCCGGCGCGTATGCTGTAGAGATCGCGCAGGACGTCTTCGACGAGCACGGACAGCTGACCGAGTTTGAGCGAGTGCTGGACGGTGGGGATGGCGGATGGATCAGGGCCCAGGTCGACATAGTCCTCGGGAGTCAGAAGAGTGACGTCCCAGTCCTCGCTGCGGAACTGGCTGGAACGCCCTGCGTTCAAAGCGAGCCACTTGTCCTGGATAAAGACACTCCACGCCAGTCTTCGCCGAAGCCTGATTTCCCACGGTGGTAGGGGCCAAAAGGAGGGATCTCGATGCAGACCGAGGGATTGCGCGACGCTGATGGCCGCCGACATCATCACACTCATGAGTGGGGCGTGACTGATATGCTTGTCTGTTGGTCGCCGCTGCAATAGAAAGAGTACCGCCTGGAGGGTTGCGAGGGAGGGGGATTGGAATTCGGCGAGGCAGGCATCCCACGCAACTTTGAACAGAGCGTCGGGCGAGGGCGCAGGAGTGCTGTCGGCGGACACCTTATCATTCCGAGGGTAGAATGCAAGGGCGTGCCCGTAGATGACCGCTAGTAGGCACGTGGGAATGCTGCTCGGCTGGAGCAAGCTGGCATGGGTTTCGGGTACCAATATGGGGAAGTAGGGGAGAACGTGATGGTGAAAGAGGCGAATGAGTCGCTTGCCAACGTCTTGCCCCACCATCGCCTCCATCTCGCGCCTCAAGCCCTTAACGAGATTCAACTCTTCCGCAGATTGCGCATTGCGTGCAGCGGCCTCGTCCGGCACGACGAGCACAACAGGAAGACCATGTTGGTCTCCGTCGGTCAACTTTCGCAGGCGAGCGGATTGGAAGGCTGCTTCGTTGTGCTGGTCGAACCGAAATCGAGACACTAGGTCCGGGTCTGGAACGCCGCCGAAGCCGACGAGGAGCGCATTAGACGCCGAGCGGAGCTCTGAAGAAGACGGCTTAGCGGTGTTCAGATCTACGGCCATGGATTGATGGCCAGTGAGGTGGGAGACGGATGAGATCGGGGATGGGATGGTATCGACAGGACTGTGGTGCTGCTGGAGCGAGGATAGCCCGGCGTCCGCCGGAGGCAGTGGAGCGGCGGAGGGGAAGGGATCGAATGCATCATAACCCAAGCCCGGGGGTTGATAGAATGCAGGATCAAGCTGGAAATCAGGCACCCCCAGAGCGGGGCCCATGTTCATCGGCATGTCAAAGGAGGCGAAGCTGTCGTCCCAGGCCATAAGATCGGAGTGGTGGATGCCGAGACCCGCGTTGAAGGGGGTGTTGTGGTAGGGAGTCTGCGAGCCCACGCTTCCATTCTGTTCATGCGATGTATAGCTCTCGGCGCGTGCGATTTTGGTGGGGCGGGGGTCGAGGTCGTCGTTCGGCCTGCGTCGCTTCGCCGGCGACTCGACGAAGGTGCACTCTTTGTTGTACCTTCTGCACAGCTCACACGGCGGGTTGTTTTCGAGATGGCATGCAGCCTTTTTGTACCTGTACGAGCATCAGTATGCCTCTTCTTCCTTCCGGACGCTGGATGCGCCTCACCTGCAGAAGTCGCAGGGCCGTTTGTTGCGCGACTTGTAGGCGCGCGCGCGGTCGGTGGCGTCGGCGGTGGAGTGTTGGGTGGGCGTCGGGGTGGGAAAGGGCAGGGAGGGCGGCGGAGCGAAGCTGTCGATGCTCGCCATGGGGCCGGCGGCGGGTGGGAAGGGCTGCAGCGAGTGGATGTCCATCGCGCGACCCGGCGGGAGGTACAGCTTTGGTTCGCCCATCACGGACAGGCCAGCATGGTGGGCGAGGGAGTGCGAGCAGGGCAGCACGTCGGCCGTTGCGGCGAGGCGGGGGGCATGTTGCGGTGCAGGGAGCGGGGCGGGAGGGATGGATGCAGGAGGAGGAGACACGAGGCAGACGGCCAGGTTGGGCGGCGCAAAGTGGTGAGTCGAGGGATCGTCGACTCGCGATCCTACCGGGGCTCGACCAATAGAGGAGGAGGGCGGTGGCGGGCACGGATGTCACCTCTCCCGTTTCGCGCGCGGGAAGCTTGTTAGCGTGTCATCTCCCCACCCGCCCCGCCCAACCCACGAGTCCGGCCGCAAACCCAAAAAGCTTATCAATCCCTGCCTGCCACGTGCAGGCCGTCAGCCGATGCACGGGGTCGATGCAATCAGCACTCTTGCACCACGCTCTTCGATTCCTCATCGTCATCCTAGTTGTCCGCTCATGTCGCGCTCATGTCATCCACCTGCGGCCATCTGGACGTGACCAGGCATCTTACCATCGTCTGACATGGCCTACCCACGTGGAACCTCCATGTCTGACAGCCAGTCCTGCATGTCCCGATAGAGCTCTCCACGCAGGTAAGCAACGTCCCTGCATAAAGTCACGACAGTACCTACCTTCCCATATTCTGTTCACTTGTCGCAAAAGAATCATCATTGTTTCATTCTCGTATCCAAGCTATTGAAACCAGCTCATTCACCAGGACCAGCAGGCCTACGCCTCTCGTAGAATGTATCCCACCCGCGGGAAGTGCAGGTGAATGCCACTCGGCAACTCCAGCACAATCTCCTTGTTCGACGTCGAGACAAGCTTCCCGGCCTGTGGATGGCTATGTGGTGCCGCACTGTGAGGAAAGAAAGGTCAGTAGCCCATCCTGGGCCGGCCAAGAGGAATGCCCAACTTACTCCAGACTGTCCACGGTCACCTGCTTCCCAGCCTGAATCCCCGTCGGCTCCCCCTTGGCCACCCCGCTCTTGTCCGCAGTAAAGCTGGCGCTCTGAATCTTCTTGGCGGCTTCGGCGGCATCCACCGTCTGTCCATTCGATGCCGGCAGGCTCTCGATCAACTTCCACACCTTGGGGAAGTGTTCCTTGCCGAGCCCGGCCTCCTTGCTGCTGCCGAGGCCAGGCGGGCCTCCGTCCATGGGGTTCAACGCCCACCGCGCGCCCCAAATGACATGGATGTCGGCCACGGACAGCTTGTCGCCGTTGATGTAGCCTCCGCTGCTCAGCGCCGTCTTCTCCAGGAACTCCAGACGTTCTTGAAATTGCGCGACGCCGCTGGGTCGCAAGGTCTTGTAGTCCGAACGGGCGAGGATGGGGAAAATCGTTTCGCGATCCTATGTCAACCCCGGGTAAGCATTGGCTCTAGCCGAGAGCGGTATGTTGGCCTTGAGGTATCTCACCTTGACAAAGTCGTCACTCAACAGCTCATGCGGCGCCAGAGTCAAGACGTCCTGGAAGGTGTCATAGCCCCAAGCTTCCCACGCTTTGTCCTAGATCCCATCATCGCCAACGTCAGTCTCTCTCTCTTTCTCTTTCCTGTGATCTGTGAAATCGACGTACCGCAGTTGTCGTCTGCAACTTGCCCTTCGCCAGCTTCTCCAGCACGGTGTCGAAGATCAACGCGCTGTCGACGTAGACGTCCTTTCCGATGGCCAAGAGCGGAATGCGACGATACGTGATCCCGAGCGATTCGAGGTCTTTGCGCGGCAACACGGCGGGCTGGTCGACTCGCTCAAAGGGCACGCCGGCGGCAGTCAGAAGAAGCTTGGTCTTCTGTCCCACGGGGGAAAATTCTACCGCGCGAATGAACGGTCAATACGCTGTTTCTGCAACGGAGGTGGGTGTGGTCTCGACGCACCATAGTCATAGTGGATGACGGGTGTCCCTTGGCTGCCCATTGTGTCGACAGAGTTTACTTGGTATTGATGTAAAGAGGGAGGAAAACACAGTAAAGATGACGAAACCGAGAAAGCATTCAATGCAAAGGAATCGGACTACTGGTCCTTTATATTCTCGCTCGGCCCAAAGGCCCACCTGGACAGCCTAGATAATTGCACCATGATGACTACCGATTCCGTCAAAATCGCAACTAGAACCGGCACGCCATTGCACGGTTGACAAATAGCTCCCAGACGACGATGCGCACGCAAGCTCCCCAGTCCCATCTGCCGGCATAAGCTCTGCACACGCCCGGGCTGAAATGCAAATACTGTCCTGTACCTGATCCTGCAGGTGATTCCACGCGCCTGGAACGCGCAACCGAGAGCTCACGGCGAAGGAAAGGGGCGATGTGATTCAAGGAACCGGCCTCCTACGTCAGGATTGAGATCTGATTAGACCCGCAGATCTGCCCCGCCTTCGCCATCTTTCCCCCCTCCTTGCTCAATCTCCAACTGCGGGGTTCCGTCAATGCACCGTGTTCACGCGTTATTCCCGTTTCCACCCTCGGCCATTGGAGGTCCTGGTTAGTGGTAATCGTCGCCGTCGAACAAGACAGAGGTCGACGGCCTCCCATAAGAACCTTTCACATTGAGACGCTTAGTCCATCACTAGCAAAGGGTAGAGGGTGACGGCGAAGGCGGCAATTGCTACTCCACCTCGAGCTCCCATCTACCGATTGCTGCTGATTACCTAGGCATTAGATAGCCGTGACGTCTGACTATAACCTGTCCAGCATCCCCTTTCTCCCCTCTGGTTACATTCGAGTCCAACAATATCCTACATCAACCCATTGTCAATTCGGAAAGCAAGCGTCAAAATGATCTACGAGCTTCGAGTATGTGTCTAAACCCGCCAACCCCAGCAGCTTCCATCATTCGCTGATTTGACTGTCTCAAGATCTACACCACACTCCCGGGCAGGATGCCTAATCTTCTGGTAAGTCGCTCGCCTGGTCACAATCAAGAACACATCCGCCCAATCCACCACGCCTCCCTCAATCACTGCATACAGCACACTAATCAACAGCAGCGCCGCTTCGAAGACCACACCCTCCGAATCTGGGAAAAGCACGGCATCAAACAAGTCGGCTTCTGGTAAGGCCAGGCCCTTCAACCCCCACGCCCCTCCCAGCCCTCGCTCACAAGTTCCTCTTCTCTATAACAGGACCACGCTCGTTGGCCCCAACTGCGGCAACGAACTCACGTACATGCTCGCCTGGGAATCGCTGGCGGACCGCGAGAAGAAGTGGGATGCCTTTTTCGTGGACCCGGAGTGGGTGGAGGCGCGGACGAACAGCGAGAAGGACGGGGCGATTAACAAGAATGTGTTCAGTAGCTTTTTGACGCCGACCAAGTTCTCCGCCCTGAAGTGATGGAACGAGGGGATGGAGAAAGCTTGCTCGTCAGAAACAACGGTCGTGTGTTACATGTCGTCAAAATTGATGTATATGGTGGATATAGTCGTGTTGAATGCTATGCACTTTCGAAGACCCATACTCCACTTACGGACTCCCAGCATGCTGCTGCTTTGGAGTATTGCTCCTCGGTCATGTCTGCGAATACCCATTCCTTGCGCTCCCAGTCGCGTCGCGCCCCTTCCTGCAACGCATCGCCCAGCGCCTCCGTATCCGGCGCGACGTCTGCAGAGTCCCAGCCGAGACTTCGCGCGACCCGCACGCGGCGCAGACCCGGGAGTGTACCCTCGTCGAGCGCGATGATGATGTCGATGGGCGCCAGATTCTCCTCCGATATGCTGGTCGAGTAGTCGGTGCTAGTCAGCTCGAGAGTGCGGAGATGCGGTTGGCAGAGCGGGACAGGGCTGTCGGGGTCCTTGGAGAAGGCGTTGGAGTATCGCGCGCTGTCGAAGACGGAGGGCGAGAGGTAGTCGACGGACACAGAGAGGTGTGAGATTTGCGGGAGAAGGACGAGGATGTCGTCGAGCGCGTGCGAAGATAGGCGCGGCATGTGGGAGATTTGGAAGCGCTCGAGGTTCTGGAGTGGCCGGACGGCGGTGCGGAGGAGGTGTGTGACGGCTGCGGAGCGCGCTAGGGGGCAATGCTCGATTGTGAGGCTGCGGAGCGTGGATGGGAAGCTGGCGACGCCGTGGAGGAAGTGGGCGTCGATGCCGCCGCAGAGGGTGAGGTCGACGAGTTGCGGGGGCCAGCAGCTGTCGAAGGAGGCGGCCTTTTGGTGTACGCCGAAACCTGTGCTCCGGGGTAGTTTCAATGACCGGAGCGAGGTCAGGCGCGAGATGGATTTGAAGATGTCTGGCAGAGGTGGCGACTCCGAAACGAGACTCAGATCGAGCGTGCGCAGTTTGGAGCACTTGGCCAACGCAGGGAAGCAGTGTATGGAGAAGCTCGCGCGCGGTGCCATGAATTCTTCCAGCACGTCTTTCGTCCGGCCTAGCAGCCTTGCCGTCACGGTTTTGCTGCCCTGGTGCACTAGCCGTGACATGTCGAGCGCCTTCACCAACCCCGCCAACGGACTCTTGCGCACGTGTAGGTTGATGCTCGGACAAATGGCGCGCACGAAGGGGTCGAAATTTGGGCCGTACAGTTGGGGGCGGCGGTAGAGGGGCTCGACGGCTGCATCGTACCATGCTCGTGATAGCAGACAGCTAGTAAAGAGGGCTTGCTGAGCGCATGGCCCTTGAGCGACGTGGGCCACGATTTGGATGATGATCTCGTCGGGGAGATGGAGGTATCGGTGCGCTCTCGAGTCGTGTTGCCTCGCCACGACGAACTCCCTCGATGAGTCTGTCGTCGGTTCACTCTCCCATCTCTCATCTGCCTCCTCGAATTCGTTGTCCATGTCGCTGCTGCGATCTTCGTCCTCCGCAGCATATGATATTCCCGTCATCCTCGTCTCTTTCAATCGTCGAATGCTCTGCAGTCGAGCGCGTAGCAGCTTCTCATCTGCTTCCAGGGCCAGGATGACGGCGTCGATATTGGCCAACGCCAACATCAACCCAGCGTCTCGGGGCTCACGTCCATGCATGCTCGGTATACCATATCCGTCACTTGTTTCATCCGTCTCGGCGGAACCGGTGGCTTTCGCGGGGAAGGAATCGATCGAATCCTGTTGCTCAAGCCCGCAGCAACGCCGCCGCCGTTTCATTTCAAAATGTAATTTGAGGGTCTGGCCCGGGGTCCAGGCATCACGTGAGCTGACATAATCACGGCAATACCCGCAGAGCTTGCACCAGCACTTCCATCACCTCCACCCGTCCTCGCCCGCACGCAATAACGTCCTCGAACCTCTCCACTCCACCCAACACCACCATGTACGCCCTTCGTAGCGTCCGCATCGCATCCCCCACCTTCCGCCAAGTCGTCGCGAGAAGATACGCTTCCCAGGCGCCCCCCTCCCACCTCTCCGGCGCCACGGACAATGCCTTCAACCGGGAACGACAGGCCGTGAAAGAGCACGCAGCAGCGACATCCGGTACGTTTGGCTTCCTCAATGCTCTTGTCCGCCACAGTGGCCTACCTGTGCAATTCCCGCATGCCCATGAGCATTCCACCGGTCCACCGATACGCTCGCCGATTTGAAGAAACGTCACTGATTTTCCCCTCCCCAACAGATCTCTGGCGCAAGCTCGCAATCTACGTTACGGTGCCGGCGCTCATCCTCGCCGGCGTCAACGCCTGGAGACTGTGGGACGAGCATTGGGAGCACAAGAGCCACGAGCCGCCGGTGGAGGAGCGCGTCGAGTACCCCTACATGAACATTCGCACCAAGAACTTCTTCTGGGGGGATGGGGACAAGGTATACACTGCATTCGTTTCCTCTATGTGTATGATAAGTTTCACTAACGGGTATGGTAGACCCTCTTCTGGAATGACAAGGTGAACCACCACAAGAAGGATGGCGAGTAGACGATGTGGTTAGAGGGTGGCTGGATGGAGCAACGTGCGGACCCTGGTTGGACTGCTTTTCGCTGGAGAGCTGGATTCATCCGGTGGGCGTAGTGATTCGACACTTACGTAGCTCGTCAGCGAGTGGCTTGTACAGATGAAATACAGAGTTGTCCGAATACTCCCCGCCTCTGCAACTCGTGCTTCACTTGTGATGAGCGAGTATGAGATCCCACAAGGATGAGTGCTCGAGAGCAATGTCCAAACGCAATGCTACAATATCGCTGCACTACACACAAGTATCATTCATCATCACGCCACGACCAATCTTCCTACCAACTTAGTCCTCGTCCTGGTACGAAATCTTCCTCATCTCACCCAACCGATGTCTCGCCGACGACAACGCATTCTCCAACTGCAGAATTTCGACCTGCACAAACACATCATTAGCAAGCGATCCCCCAAACGAACGGAGAGAATAACACATACCTGCTGCTCCATCTGGCGCACCTTGAAATCGTGGCCAGACAGCTGCGAGTAATCCACTTCGCCATCTTCATCCTTCTGTCGGCTCTCGATAATAGCCTGCACCTGCCTGACCAGCGAGCGACACGCATTGGTAACGGCCTTGCTGCACTCCTCCAGCCGCTCCTGCGTCTTGCTCATAAAGCTCGCCTTGACGCGCGACGCGGCGACGAGCTGCGCCGTCGAGGCCGCCACGTCGTTGGACGCGACGATGAGCTGCTCGTGCTTGTTGCGGCCGCTGAGCACGCCGTCGGCCGTCTCGATGAGCATGTTGGTCGAGCGGGCGACGGCCTTGGCGGCGGAGATGAGGCCTTCGGTCCAGCGGTTGTTCTTCTTGTAGAATTGCGTGCGGCTCATGCTCGAGCCGCGGCCCTGGTTAACGATTTCCTGCTGCGACGCCGTGGCGGCTTTGATGAGCTGGGCGATGGCGTTCGTCACGGCGATGGCGGCCGCGAGGATGCTGTCGTGGATCTTGAGCTCGTAGGTGGAGTACGAGTCGCGCGGCTTGTTCATCAGTTTGGTGAGGCGCTCGGTGGCGTCTTCGATGGCTTTGGCGGCGCTCAACATCTCTCGGTCGACGATGTCGCCCAGATCGCCGGACTGCGAGGTCACCTTGGTCTTCGGAGCGAAGGCATCGGCCAACTTGGAGAGGTTGTTCAGCGCAACCTGGACATCGTTGTTCTTGTTGATGACGACGTCGGTCTTTTGCAGATCCTCCATCCCGTCCAGACGGTAGGACATGATGCCGCGGAAGAAGTCGATGGTGCTCGACGCAGAACGTCGTGCAGCTGCGAGGAGTTGATCGCCTTTCTTGTCGTCACTCGCGAAACGCGTCAGACCCTTGGTGTTCGACAGCACATCCGCGATGGCGTTTGAAAAGGTGTGCACCGTTCGAATGACTTCAGCGTGGGTGCTGTTCGGCCCGTCGGCGATGAAGTTATTGAAGGCGGTGCTGAATTCCATCGCGCTGCTTTGAGCCTTCTCAATTTGAGACAGGACGTACGGACCACTGGCACTCTGGTTACCAGCTTGCATACTGCTGTCGAGCTCGTAGAGAGAGTCGTCGACGCGCTGAACGCCGGACTGGAGCACCGAATCGATCAGGTCGTTGAATTTCTTGATGTTGTCGAGCAGCATGGCATCAATCTGCTCATCCATCGCATGGTCGGTCACGCCGTTGCCATTCCGCAGCTCGTTGAGCTCGAGGAGTGTCTGGTCCATGCCAGACTTGTAAATCTCCAGCTCCTCTTCCTTCTCGCGCAGCTGTCGCTCCAGGTCGGAGCTGCCCTCGCCGAGCTTCATATGCGTGTCGTCAAGAGCACGAGTCTTGTTCCGAAGCGCCTCTTCCAGATCCGCAATTTCCCGGTTGTGTCTGGACAGCATGGCCGACAATTCACTACCCTTGGCTCGTTCGGCGTTGTCGGCGCGGTCCATCGCCATGCGTAGCTCACGCTTGAGCTTCTCCAGCTCGTCTTTGTGGCCGCCAGTAGTTCGGTCCTTGTCATGCAGCGCCCTGTCGCGTTCGCGGATCATGTCGGCGAGCTCGAGATTCTTCGTCTTCAATTCTCGCTCCAGCTTCTCCCGCTTGTCGATCGCTTCCTGTGCAGATGCCGCCTTGAGCTGCACTCCCTTGAATTTCTGCAAGAGCTCCAAATGCTCGTGGCGGAGTTGGCTGTACAGCTTGGCAAGCGCTTCGTACTTGGTGCGCCATGTATTGACCTGCTCCTGGAGTGCGCGAATCTGGTCGTCCTTGCTCTGTGTCTGCTGCTGGAAATTGGCGTTGAGCTGGGCAAGCTCGTTTTCCAGCGCCTTCATCCTCTTGTCGTATTGCTCGAGCATGAGCTGATCACGCTCGTACTGTGCGCGTGCGTTGAGATTCTCTCGCTCGAGTTCCGCCATCCGCCCTTGCGTCTGCTGTGCATATTGATCGCGCTGAAGCTGCTCGAGTTGTAATCGTTGTTGCTCAGCCTGTAGCCGTTGCTGCTCCTCAAAGTCTCGCTGCGCTTGTAGAGCAGCGGCCTCTTGTTTTCGACGCTCATCCTCGTACATTGCTTGCAAGCGCGCTTGTTCTGCTGCATATTCCTCTTGCTGCCGTGCCTGCTCATTCTTCCAGAACTCATTGATAGGCTCGGGATCGGCTTCTTGGGTTCGTGGAGGCGTGACGGCGCGCGGCTTGGTGACTGGCTCGTCGTGTCTCGGTCGCGCGGGCAAGGCTGGCGCATTCTCATCGTCGGCCAGCAGATTTGGCGGATCCTGTGGGAGTTTGGGAATGGTGATCAAAGAGGTGAGGTAGCGCAGAGTCGAGCACTCGTAGTAGAAGCGGACGAGACGGTAATGCTGAGCATCGTATCTCCCCCGCAACGGGCTCAGCGCTTCGTCGTCGCCGAGCGTGCGGTGCATGGCTCGAAGCATGCTGGTGATGAACTTGTAGATGCCGTAACTCTCCGTCACCAACGGCGTCAGGGCGGCCATGCGGCATTCGTTGTTGCTGCCATTGCGGAAATGGGCAAAGATGAGCTTCTGGAAGGCATCGATCTGATCTTGCAGCGTCATGAGCTCGGAGATGGTCTCATAGCCTTCGTTGGGATCGTTGATGGACTTGAGAGAGATGTACTCTTCATACTCGAAGGTGCCGTTGAACTCCGGATGGGCGCGGTGGAAGGAGAGTTTGGCGATGAGGTAGCGCACGTATTCTTTGATCAACGGCGCATAGCCTCGAGAGCCCTCCCCACCGCCCACGCTGCGGTCGATACTCTCCAACCAGCTGAGCTGTCCCTGACCCTCGACCAACGCTATCGGGTGGCCTTCTTGCAAGACCTTGTGGACGGTGATGAGGGCCTTGAAGGTCTGGATCTCGTCGGCTTGGATGGGCTGGACTTTGATGCCGTTCCAAAAGGAGGCACTGCCTTTGTGATCCCATGTGTACACGATGCTGGCGCGCACATGCTTTCGCTTAGGTGCCGTCTCATCGATGGACGTGGCCTTGCGGATGTGCTCCGACAGTTGCGCCTCGGTCTTGCTCAGGTCCACGTTTCGGGAGGAAGAGTACAGCGACATGGTGGCGTCGGGGATCCCGTGGATGTGTCTCAATCACTCAAAACAGAGGGAGGGGGTAGAATTATGAGAGGAGAGGGAATAGAGGAAGAAGTTCAAGTAAAGTGTCGGCTGGGAACTCCAGGCACGCGCTTTCGGTGGCGGAGGCATGTGCGCGGAAGCTGCGCAAGCTCCAACGCCCCTTCCGTCAATGTTCCAGCCTTGGCAAAAGTCAATTGGTCCAGCACGACTACGACGATAGCGCATGACTGAGGAAACGAGATATGGGGATGGTTGAAGTTGAATGCTTTCAATTTTACTCGACTGCACGCTAGGTACTCTGCCCTCCTCGGTCCTCTTTCCTCGGGATGCACCGAACTCTCGGTCCGTTAGACTAGAGAGATACTGGCGTTGGACGAGCCCTCACTCACACTTGACGACTCCCTTAGTGACCAGCAAGCGCGTACGCCCTCTTACGATCTCTCTCCTCGGCAATCGACAGCTTCACACCCTTGCCCTTCGGCAAGCTGATCCACGGCTTCTCGCGCCCAATGACGAACACGTTGCTCTCGCGCGTGGCGAACTCGTTGTCGATGGCATCCTTGATGTGCACAATGTTGAAGCCTCCGTCGTGACGCTCACGGTGGGTGATGACACCAACACGGCCCATGTTGCGACCGCCGGTGGCCATGGCGATCACACCAGTGTCGAAGCGGATGAAGTCGGTGATTTTACCTGCCAGCAGCGTCAGAACATGTATCACATTGTCACCCAATAGCCGCACGCGAGTACTCACCAGTGCTGAGATCAATCTTGATCGTGTCGTTGACCTTGATCGCGGGGTCGGGGAAGCGGATACTGTATAGCCAGTCTCTCAGTACGACGAATCGTTTTGCAATTTTTCACCAAAGCTTGGTCCAACGGCTGATAGATGACTTACGTGCGAGCATCATGCGTAACCAAGAATGGTATTCCTCCCTTGCCCAACTGCACACGTGTGACCTTGCCCAGCTTGTACTCCGCCTCTTCAGTGGTGATGCGGTGGACGGTGAAGCGGCCCTTGGTGTCGTACACGAGGCGGAAGTTCTCGCCCGTCTTCTCGATGCCGATGACATCCATGAAGCCGGCGGGGTAGGTGGTGTCGGTGCGCACTTTGCCGTCAACCTTGACTAGGCGCTGCATGACGATCGAGCGGGTTTCGCGGGCGTTGAGGGCATACTTCAGTCTATGGCACTCGCAGAGTCAGTAAATACACACCAAGTCATTGCTGCATCCTGCTCGTCGACCATCAAAACGTACCGGTTCCGGATGAAGACGATCAAGGGCATACAGTCCCTCAGTTTGTGCGGACCAGGGCTGGCCTTGGGGGCGTATGCGCCGCTGAGCTTGTCAAGCAGCCAGTGCGATGGCGCTGACAGCCGCTTCTGATGCTTCTTCGGTCCTCTTCCCATCGTTGCGGTGGTGTGTGGTTGTTGATGTCGAAGTGCTAGCAAAGTCGGTCGCAAGCCAGGAAATCTGAGACTTTGCTGTGGTGCGAAGCCAATTTCGATGCTTGGCGTGGCTGTATCCGGCATAACGTTTTTCCGTCATGACTCGCGTGCGCGTTTCTTAAACTTTCGTCACGAGAACGCTACCCTGAAGGTCAGGACGTGATTATTGCATGCTAAGGGGGTACACATGAAGCAAAGACAGTACAATGACGAGCTATGGCATGAACGATGATCCGGGACGGCCGATGAAAAGAAGGCGCGAGAGAGACCGGCCCAAAGCAGGCCCCGAAGTGCCTTACAACCCCAACAAGCGTGTTCTGCTCAGCTACGAATCCGATGAAGAGGGCTACTCTGTGAATACAGCTTCGCCAAAGATGGCAGATGATGCACCTCATCAGACTGTGCAAGCAGTTGTTCCAGCCAATTCCGCGCCGCGAAGAGAATCTCAACGCCAGGACGAGGAAGGCCTTGGTGAAGACGAAGACAGCTCTGTAGCCACAGCCGCAGCAGTGAAAGCAAAGAAAGACACAGTGACCGCCAAAGACGACTCTGCAAGAACGCGTGGGGTGCGCAGACATGATACCACCGGTCAACGGGCCGCTCTGGGCTCGTTGTCCTACCAATGCGACGAGGGAGAAGAGAAGGATGACGAAGAGGAGTACAATACCGAAGATGAGGAGGCTATGTCTTATCTGAGGGCCGTGCGGTAGTCCGAGTCCTGACAAAATGCACAGTATCTTGTGCGCCATTGATAAATACATGGCTGATGAGATGTGACAGATCCGAACGACAGAACATGCCAACGGTTTTCAGAGCACCAAGCGGGGACTCGCACGAAGACATATACGAGAGCGGTGTTGGCGACACCCGTGGATTCTTTGAGGACGGTGCGTATGTCGCTGCTGCCAACCTAGGACCGCAGCTTCCCCAGGGCCTTGACGACGACATCGCGCCTCAAGAAGCATTCACGCTGGCGCTGAGAGAGCGCTTCTTGACACAGCGCGATCGCATGCATCTGCCTCCAGACTCGCAGGCACTGCAATCACTGCAGGACGAGCATCTGATCTCCTTTCCAGCAAAGAGCGACGAAGCATACAAGGATTGGAGCCGCCATATCAAGACCGCTGTGCCGCTAACTGCTCAGATACAGTCTATGCAGCAGGCCGACGCCTTGAGGCTACTCAATCTCATCCAAGAGCGCTTCATCAGGCGTGAAGCGCACATTGCAGGTAATGTCGCCGCTTGGATCTGGTCGCTACTCGCCCGACTTGGCGATGTCGGAGCCATGGGCAACGACGACGTCTCCGCTGTTCGTGAGCTCGCGAAGAAGGCAATTATTGCACAGCTTTCTTTCGATAATCCCGACGCCGCTGAACAGCTTGAAAACGCGGCGGCCGAAGAGAGGGATGGAGCGCAGTATCCATCCCAGCAAGCAGGACTAGCTGGACAAGAGACGTCTGACGCCAGTCCGTCCGCCGGCGAAACCGAGGTGATGCATGCAAGAACAGACGCAACCACTAGTGAAGTGCAGGATACGCTGGCAACGCTCGACATGATCATTGTATTAGCTGGCGACGTCTTCCGGCAACGAGATCTGCTCGAATTTCGGCGCTCGTGGCCTTCGCTATCGGCATCATGAGCAGGCTGGTATACCTCTTGACGGCCAATTCGAACTTGCAACGACCAGCCACACGCCTTGTTCGAATGATCGTGAGTACAACGTAGGCAGGCTCGCAGGGTAGGCGTGGCTCGTCAAATGTGGAGTCGAAATTGCGACCCGATCCGGCAAGAGTAAGGTAGCATGTAACCTCACGTCAGCGCTACCGCGGCACTCTTCGATATATCGTCTTCCGGCACAGTAGGTAGAACACCACTTACTTTCTTCCCTGTCCCAACCCACCTTTCTATTCCGTCCCTCAGCACCAAATATGCCGTCATCAATCTCCGACCTCATCTCCCAGCACCGCCCGGAGCTCGCCAGCTACGAAGAGCTCTACAAACACTTCCACGCCAACCCCGAGCTCTCCAACCAAGAGCACGAAACGGCAGCCGCCATCGTCAAACACCTAAAGGAAAAGATCTCCACCGACTTCGACATCCGTCCTGGGATTGGCGGCACGGGAATTGCGGCGCTGCTTTGGAATGGCGAGGGCCCGACGGTTTTGCTGCGCGCGGATTTCGATGCCCTGCCAGTGGAGGAGCGGACGGGCTTGCCGTATGCGAGTAAGAAGAGGATGAAGGATGCGGATGGGATTGAGAAGCCCGTGATGCATGCTTGTGTAGGTTGTGCTGGATCCCGTTTCTGCTTTGGTTGTGCTGACTTTTTGATTTCTGTAGGGGTGCGTCTTTACCTGAAGTGATGCCCTAATGTATCCTCAAGACTAACACACCCTCCCAGCCACGACATGCACATCACCAGTCTTCTCGCCGCCGCCGAGACCCTGCACAAATGCAAGTCAAGCTGGTCAGGTACACTGCTCCTCGCCTTCCAACCAGCCGAAGAGCGCGGCACCGGCGCCCAAGCCATGGTCGACGACGGCATGTACGACCCGAAACGCCACAACGTCCCTCTCCCCGACATCTGCCTTGGCGCACACGTGATGCCAGCGAGGACGGGCGTGATAGGAACCCGGAGAGGCCTGGTTGCCACCTCGGCAGATAGCATGCGAGTCACGTTGCACGGCCGCGGAGGCCACGCGAGCATGCCTGACCGCCTGATCGACCCGGTCGTCATGGCCGCCAGCACGATCATGAAGCTGCAGACGATTGTGTCCCGCGAGGTGGAGTCGTGGGACAGCGCGGTGGTGACGGTGGCGTCGGTGCAAGCCGGGGATGCAGAGAACATCGTAGTGGATGACGCGAGACTCGCGATCGACGTGCGGACCATCAACCCGACGACGAGGGAGAAGATTCGCAAGTCCATTCACCGTATCATCAATGCGGAGAGCGTGGCGGGCAACGCGGTGAAGGAGCCCACGGTCCAGATTACGCGCACGTTCCCGCTGACGGTCAACGATGATGCGGTCACGGCGAAACTGGAGGACACATTCCGCGCACACTTCAAGGAGGATAAGCATGGGTACACGACAGAAATCCCGAAACTGGGTGGCAGCGAAGACTTCAGCATCCTCGCTACTGCCGTAGGCCGGCCGTACAGCTTTTGGATGTAAGTTGTCCTGTCCTCGGAATTGCCTAGTTGTTCTGACGTGAGCGCACAGGTACGGAGGCACCGATACAGAACTCTGGGATAAATGCGAAGGTCAGTGTTCTTCCAAGTCACACATATCCTGGGCCGGCGTAGGCGATACTGATGCCTCGCACAGCCGAGGGTACACTGAGCGAGAAGATCCCAATCAACCATTCCAGCCTGTTCTATCCCGTCATCCAGCCCACGCTTACCGTCGGAACCGATGCTTACATCGCCGGTGCTTTGACATGGCTCTTGAAGAAATAAGGCTCGAAACTAGCGAGGCCAGGGGCACATAGGGAGGCACACGAGCGAGGTGACTTTCCAAACAGATACCACCGGCGGGGCAGGAAAGAGGAGTGTGCCGAAGACCTTGCTAATCAGTGCACCTACATGTAGATGGTCCGAGTATCATACATCGTCACGCCAGGAAAGCAAGGTTTGGGACTGGGATGAGCGTCCAGATCAGACTGAAGCGACAAGAAACATACACGTGATATGGTATTTCATTCAATTGCACCTTACGTGATCTGCCCTCATAAACACGGGTATCGTAAAAAGAAGCGTAGAGTCCATACCGTCCCACATGCCAGGCTCAGGCACAACCACCAGGTGAAGAACGCCTCGCCAAAGCATAGTATACAGTCGTGTCGGCCGCAGCAACGAATAGCTCATCAATTCATCGGCTTCGGTCATGCCCAACGCCCTGCTCGAGGTCTTCAAATGCTTCGTCTTCCCTGCTCAGAGGGCGCGCAGAAGATGGGTCGTCGTTGCGTGCCACGGCCGCTTGCTCTTGGATCTCATCGGCATCGGCGTCTTCGGGGCATGTGCCCTGCGGCGGCGAGACGGAGGTCGAGCCGTTTGAGCGAGCAAGCGAGCGGACGACGTCGCCTTTGCAGATTGGACACGTTCGACGGCGGGTCGTGAGCCAGGGTGTTCTGTCGCGAAGTCAGTCAATACTACTCGATCGTCAAGGGCGGCAGGCGCGCAACTTACATGCACTCGGCGTGGAACTCATGCCCACAAGGTAGACTCATCACTCTGCTCACGCCATCGATGTATTCTTCCAGGCACACCACGCATTCCCGTTGCCGCCCGCCGTACCGCCGTCGCCACTCCGCTAGCCCTGCCGCACGCTTCTCCTCCAGCTGGTCCAGGGAAGGCGAGGCCGTGCTATCTGTCTGGATCGACGTGTTTTGCTGCCCTGGCACTCCGGAGACCGTCCGCGATCTAGGCCGGGCACGAGTGTTGATGGGTCGCGTGGGAGACTGCAGCAGTGGCGTGGCGGCAGTGACTGGCGAGGAGATGGATGAGGTTGTTGAACTAGTCATGCTCGCGCTATGCATCGTGTGATAGGTGCGCACAGGTAATCGCTCCACCACGGACTTGGGTGCTCGCCATCTGCGCCGCCGGATTCGAGATCGCAGTAGCAGAAGAGCGTAGACCACGGTCAAGGTGACGAGCGGTGACACCACTAGGACGAGCAGAGTGTCGAAGAACGGCGATGATGAGATAGACGTCGGGGTCAGTGTGACCCACAGCCCTTCATGAACCTCAGGCTCATCCCCAGCATCCTTGTCGCGGCTCCATGGCTTGGGTGAGCTTGCCATCAACCTGTCGCTGAGCTTGTTTGGCGCCGGTCTAGACGAATGTTGCTTCGCAGAGCCGAACACATGTCCAAGCCAGCTGCCTGTGCTTTTCTCTGGGTCGGCTTTCGCTCCGTGAGGGGCTCCATGAACAACTTTGCCCAGTTCCGCCATGTTAGCAACTTCATGTTCCGCCTGCACATATTCACCGCTGCCTGGGGTGATGCTTCCCCCTCTGAGAGATGCGGTGGCGGTTGCTTTGCGAGTACGGGTGGTTTCGGAAGTGCTCACGCTTGTCGAAGCATACTGCTCCTTGTGGTATAGCAGAAGGTCCGGGTCGCGCCAATCTTGAACGCCAATCACAAAGTCATCGTGTTTGACGCTGTCGGCAGTGGGCCCGGCAGGCGGTGTTGAGGCCGTGGTAGTAGTGTGTTTACTTCCAGAGCCACCCAGCTGGGCGTCGTCATCGTCATCGAAATCTTGCTGCAGCACCCAGCCCATGTCGCCACTTGTCGGGGGCCGTCTGCTATCAATCACATCGGATGACTCATCTCCAGGACTGAACCAGGATCGCAGCCAGCCACCATCTGGTGACATACCACTGCTTTCGTCTGGTGCGGGAGAGTCGTCGGGGCGGGACCCTTGTAGCTGGGAATTGGCATCAACTGTCCGCTGTCCGGGAGAGCTTGATGCAGTGAAGGTTGGTCGATCGGCAACTGCATTGCCGTCATCAGTCACCTTTGTGTCCGTTTTGTCACCAACAGCTGCTCCTTCTTCTGTCGTGAAACTCCCGGCATTCCCGCCCGCAGGTATGAGGCCCGAGAGAAGATGCGCCGTGGTGTGGGAGGCGAAGAGCGAAGGGATTGTGATGTTGGATGTATCGCCTCGAGCATACATGGTCACAAGAGGTTCACCACGCATATCATCCCCGACTATGAGCGCGATGCCACCTCGCCGCTGCACCCATTTTACTTTTTCGAGAAAGCCGCATCCACCACGGCTAAGCAGCACAATCTTGCCTGCAATCTCGGCACTCTCTTGCAGAGACTGGATATCCGCGTGTGTTGGTGGCTTGCGGTCCGTCGAGGAGCCACTGCTCGAGCTCAAACCATCCGAAGGCATCAAAGGGTGGTGCAGGTGGTCATCAGTACCATCGTCTTCGTCCGGAAGTTCCGCTATTCGTGCTTTCATTCCCTTGCTACCAGAGCTCTCGTCTCGTTTCAGAATGGCGCTCTCGCCATCTTTTGAGCTGGCCCAGATACTCTTCGCCTCACTGAGGCTCTTCCCAGCTCTTCCATAGTCTCCGGCGGTCCAGCCAGGTACATCACTACATCCCAAATCTCCTTCCGCAGAACCTGTGCGGCCTAGCCGATCGTCTCCAAACCCACTGCCTATCCACAGCTGCCCACTGAGGCTGTTGGCGGGAAGAAGAGGCCCGAATGCAGCCGGGCGGGCGAGGAAAACAGTAGAGTTGTCGTCGGTCAGAGTTATGACCGCGGTTGGGGGAAAGAGAGAGGTAGGAGTATGCCAGTGGAAGTAAGCTCGGATGGAGCTTTGCTGTTCAATGGATTCTTGCGTGCTCGCCCGCCAGGGACCAATGAAAAGCAGGCCGAAGAACGCAAGGATGCACGTAGCTAGAGACAGCAGGAATCGGAGGGGTCGCATGGTGGCAGCCTGGAGGGTGAGATCTCAGGAAGCCGGTAGGTCGTCTGCCCACGCCGAATGAGCGGGCAGGGGAGGTTTTATCGCGCACAACGCATTCGAGCTGGTGCTGTAGGATCAGGCCAAAAACGCCGGGATGCTTGGAAGGGGCTCGGCGAAGAGGGGATACAGGGCGATGGGTGGCGCTGATGGAGGAAGGCAGGTGTGGTGCAGAGGGGGTAGCATGCAAAAGTATCTCGTAGATTCGGCCGGGCGGGAAGTGGTGTGTGTCGACAAGAGTGGGACACCAGGCAGAGGGGAAGAAGAAGGGAAGAAAGATGGTAGGATGGAGGATGTGTGACACTTGCATGCCTCCTCCTCTCGTGTTGTGTCCAATCCGGCGCCGCTTCCAAGCCAGAATGCGGAGATGTGGCGTAGACGGCATGACTCAGCCCCTTTCACGTGATACCGATTGGACTTCAGCCCTCCACCGCATTTCGGAATAGAATCGTTCATGCCAGTGATATCTACTTAACATCTACATGCCGTTTTGGATCAATGACAGCCCCATTGCTCACGTTATCATTGGGATCCTGCGGCGAGAAGCGGTCAATAATCCACTGCAAGTCGGCATTGTGCAAGCCTTTGGCGTAGTAAGTCCACTCTGCACGATCCTTGAGCCATCTTCGATTAGGAATGTATGCTTCCAAGTCGTAGTACTTGTCTCGATGATACGGGAATTCGTGCTATCGTAAATCAGCCACAAAACGCACTTGTCGACAGATACATGCAACTCCTTACCGATGGAGGTCCACTCCGCTCGAGAAACTCATCATCACCTTTCGCCGCATCTGCAGCCGTGATGTGATACAGTCGTTTGGGGTGCACCGTCTTCTTCCCGCGATAGGTGCGAAGCAACGTCCGCGTCGTGCTATGCAAATGCTTTTGGAATATCATGGCATAGCACAATAAGTCCCCTTCCATCGCCTTTTCCACAATCGCAGCATTCGCCTCCAGCAATTTCCGGTTCCAATCCGGATGCGTGCCACGCTTGATCATAGTGATAGGCTCCCGCTTGTCCAGCGAATCCTGCCAGTGCGCCAAATCAAGAACCAAGTTTAAATCGTTCCACGCCAGTATGCAATTGAGGCAAGTGCAGACGCGAAGCGGGTCAATCTCCTTCACGTGCTGATAAGACTTCTTGTGGATGCGGAGCATGTTGTCGCGCTTCTCGCTTAGCAGCGCCGAGTATGCGGAGCTGTCGACCTTCTCCAAAGGAACGGGGAGAGGGAAGCAGCGAGACAGGACCCAGAAGCGGCGGTGGATGATGTCGCGAGCGATGGCGTTGGCGTTGATTTTGATAAAGTCGTGGATGGAGCGGTTGATGGAGAGCAGGCGGAAGATGTCGCTGGGGAGAAGAAAGCCTAGAATGTGCTCCACGAGTTCGGCGGGAAGGTCTAAGAGTGATGCTGTATGTGGCCGCTTCTGCTGTTTTTGCGCGAGACGTCGCTGCGCCCTTTCGGTCTTCTTGCTTCGTTTGGGAATTGCCACGGTGGTGTCGATTAATGGCTCGTCATCGTCTTGCACTTTTGCCTTTCGCGAAGATCTGGGAACAACGCCACCCACAATGGTGAACTCTTCCATAGGTTTGGAGTGGTCTTCTCCGTCGGCTGGTTTATGATGTTCAGCAACGGCGGGAGTGGCGTCAGTGGTTTGTGATGCCATGACGCTGGCGAATAGTCTTGCTTGTGCCTCACGTGGTAAGGTTCCCAGCTGCATCCGTACCGCCTCGCGCCTCGAGAACACAGGTCATCGACTCCCGGTATTTCCCTAGGAGTACAGTTGACGACTTCTTTGGTTTCCAAGGGAATGTCAAGAGTTAATTCGTCTTGCCTCCCCAGTTGACGTCGTATGGCGCACGGACCCGCCGCATCAGCAACACCGCAACCCTAAACCTGACGGCCCAAGCCTTTGCCCAGCCCACCGAATGCAAGACCAAGTCGTTTAGCGGGCGAGTTGGCACGATGGGAGGAGAGGTGGAGGGTCACTCGCCCCCTCCAGGTCCACCGCCACTTCTGACGGAACAAGAGGCGAGCTTCCTGTCTCGACAGGGTTGGATGCCATGTATACTCCCCGAGCCACTGCGATCGGAACTCGACTGCATATCGACCGAGGCGGCAACGTTCTTCAGACAGGATCACGCTACGAAGAGTGCTATCTACCCGCCGAGAAACGGAACAGAATGTGGCTACTACGTCGTGCCGGACGAAAAGGAGTACATCACCTTCAGACATCGACAACATGACGATTCAGCGCTGGAATCGCACGTCCGGGCAGCGTGGAAGTTGGCTGCGAACCTCCTCCGCCGTGTCTTGTATGACCTCAGTACATTCCATGGATTCGACCCCACCGTTTGGGAAGGCATGATACAGGGTTGCCTCGAGCTGCCCTCCAACGACGCCAATCTCGACACCGACATTTCACTCATGAGAGTCTTCCAATATCACCCGAATGGCCTAGCGGAACAACATACCGATGTCGGCCTCGTTACTCTCTGTGTTGGAGGCGACGATGGCCTTCAGATGGTAGATCATACCAAAACGCCAAAAGTATGGACTTCTGCGCGATGGCCCGTCATCTTGATAGGTGAGGTGGCGAGCGCCTTGATGCGTGGCAAAGCTCAAGCGGGGGTGCATCGTGTGGTCAAGAATGCTGCCGGTCGGGGGAGTGTGGTCTTCACTTTACGACCCTGTTTGAAAGGAACCATTGATTTGAAACGCTTTGGTGGAGAGGGTTTGGTTAATGTCAGGGATTTATTCTACAAGATCAAAGCCGAAAAGCACAACATCAATGCCACGCAGGATCTGAGAGAGCAGCAACGCCAGGAGTTGCACCGGAAGAGACTAGGTGCGGAAGTTGCAAGGTCTCCTGAGCCGAGATGAGACGCAAGCAAAAGCTGGAGGACCACAGCAGGCTCAAAGGCTTCGCAGTCAGTTTCACAACCACCGCGGCTCATCGCTTCCCAGCGGCTTCGGCATGATGTCCCATCCTGGCGTTGCCCCCTCCACATCTGCGGCATGCTTCAGACCCCGACAGCGACCAAAGCCCGACTCTCGCTCTTCAAACCACGCCCCCGGAGCGTCGTCGGCAGGGTCTATGTGCCCAAATCCAGTCTTTCCCGGCCGCTGCCCAAGACTCCTCAGATACTTCGACACAGCGGCAAGCGAGACGTGGACTTCCCAGCTTCCTCCCTCCGTTGCTTGCCGGTACAACGCAGCGCAGATGCCAGTCGCAAGAAGGAAGCCGCCGCCATAGTCGAGTGCCTGAGCAGGCATCACACGCGCGGCTTCGTCCTCACCGAAATGCTCGGCTTCCGAAACGTTCATTCCTGTGCATGTTTGGACCAAGCTGTCGAATCCACGTCGATCTGACCATGGGCCCGTAGGTCCAAAGGCGGATAAGTTGGCGTAGATCAACCCAGGTCGCAAGGCGGCAAGTTCGGCAGCGCTGAAACCCTTTGCCGCCAGACTTTGCGGCCGATAGCCTTGAATGAAAACATCGCATTCTTTCACCAGCTCCCGCATCTTCTCCACGTCCTTGCTGTCATGAAGATCGAGTTGGATCGTGCGCTTGCCGCGGCTCAGATTCCGGTCGAGATGTGGCAGGTCCGGAAGATTGGGCGAAGTCACCCACAGCACGTCTGCGCCGTGTGCCGCCAATGTCTTGCCCGCGGTGGGCGCTGCGATGACTCTGCTCAATTCCAATACTCGTAGACCCCTCAGGCACCGATCTGCCCCGGGCTTCATACGCGGCGACAGCCCTTTCGGTCCATGCTCACCAATCTTTCGAAGCAGAATAGGAAAGTCAGATACCTGCGCTGAATGCGGCAAAGCATCCCACTCGGCGTAACTGCGCAGAGCGTAGATAACCAACTTCTTCTCGCACGCTGCCTCCTCCAGTTCCACTTTCTTCCACCCCTTCACCTTCTCAGCGACATCAGCCCTATTGGCCTTCTCATCCAACCCAAGCAACCGCAGCGCCCCATTCCGATGATGCGGAAAGACATCGTGAATCCGCACATGTCCATCAGCCGTAGCATGCAAGCCGCCTATCGGACCCCAAGCGGACGGAGAAGGGTCGCCATCGATGGAGAAGAGGCGCTCTGTTTGGAATTCTAGACACGCGTGTCTGCGGGGGGCTTTGATTCGCTTTACGGCTCCTGATGGTTGGCGCAGGGAGTCAACGAGGCTGGCGCTTAACGCTGAGAGTGCGATGCTGCTTTGCGCTAGGTCGGCGATTTTGTAGGAGGAGGCGTAGTCTGTGCCGTCGTCTTGGAGATTGAGTGAAGCGAGGGCGCTGTTAGGGAGGCCGAGGCCGGTCCAGATGTGCGATATGTTGTCGGATGTTTGGAAGTGGGTGCGATCTGGTTGTGTTGTGCCGTTGGGAGCCATTGTTCCGGGTTTGACGCTGTTTCTTAACGACGAGCAAGGAGCATCGTTTATGTGTGTGTATGCGTAGGTGATTCTGCTCAGCGCCTGCTGGGTGTTATCGACCTAATAGCAACACGAGTGAAGATGGAGGGTCATATGAGCGCAGCTCCGCCCGACATCGGCAACCTCGGCTGCCCACGAGGCTGAGAGGAGGATGCCATACGGTCCAGTCATTGACCTATACTCGCTCCTCGATTGAGAACCAGGCTCGTGTCAAGCAGATAAAACAAGTTTAAAAATTCACAATCTATTCTACTCGACTCGGCTACTCGTAGAACACCAAGCATCGTACCTCAATCGACTGCCTTCCCGGCGCGTCTTCCGGAGTATTGGGATCAATGAAAGCTGTATGCGGCGTGCGGACCGCAATGCCCTTCTTGCCGTTCGGCATCGCATCGCCCCATGAATCAAAGCACTTCAGCAACATCACCTCATCGGGAGTCATATCCTTAACATAGTGGAAGCGATGTTGCTCGCTCGCCGCCACAGCCATCGTCTCGCCCTTGACCTCATACCCCTCCGCGCTGTCATACGTCTGCTCGGAAGGCAGCTTCTCCTTCCCACGGTCGTCGTCATCCATGGCAGAATCGGCGCGCTTGGGGTACATCAGATCGACAGGCACAAAGTCCTTGGGCGATGTAGAGCGCCAATCAATCACAGCAAGCGGGAAATCGCTCGCCGGATTCTCAATCGGCCGCCACACATTGACAATCTGGTATCGCCCCTTGAGCAGCTCCTCCGCCTCGTCGGCGGGCAAATGCCGCCTCACTCTTGCCGCCGCCGCCTCAGGCGTTTGATCCACATGCACCTGCTGTACAGGCTGGCGCGGCGAATCCGGCTTCCGTCGCCGAATGGTGTGGTCGAAAATCACCACCTTCTTGACGCCAGGCTGCGTCTTCTTCAGCAGCGCGACCACTTCATCGTAGTAGGGGCCGCGCACGGCGGCGTCGTCTTCGAACAGCTTTTCTTTTGCGGGCTCGCGGAAGACGGCGAAGCCGCTGTTGTCGGTGGTGAATTCGTGCTCGCGCCCGCGGATGTTGTAGACTTTGCGGGTGTGGTCGAGTTGTTGGAAGGATTTGCCTGGGCCGTCGACTTTGGCCCACGGTTTGGTGCTTGTCGAGCTGGTGGGGTCGATGTGCTTGAAGATGGAGGTGGTGGTGGCCATGATTGTGGGAGGAGGGGTGGTGTTGTGGTTTGAACTCGGAGTGCGACGATTTTGAGGATAGAGGAAGAGATGGAGAGTTACGTGGTGAGAAGGCGATCGCTTGGAGTATTCAATGCTCCAGAACACGCATTTGTCAGACACCTGAGTCTTGCGTCATGGCCGTGGCAAGACTGGATGGACCCGCAATGCCGAAAGTGGAGGGAACTGCCGATGCTTGGAACCTCAGTCATCACCTCATCTCACCTCAACTCACCTTTAGTGAGCCTTAGCCTTTCCATCTCCACCAGCGTTGCATATCCAGTAGGCCCCCGCGATACACGCAGATCAAGACACCCTGGCTCTCACGCGTTCCACAATGGCATGGATGAAGGTTCTTAAGCTGCCGGGTCGTTCGCGCTCTCGGGATGCTGCATCGCCAGCCACCATGGCCGAGACGCGGCCGTGCCACCCACGACAACATTCACGATACAACCTGGTCTCGAACCACTAGCAGATCCGCGCTGCCTTTGTCTACCCAAGAACTACACAGTAAGTGGGACGCGACGTCATTCACTTCTGATACAGACAAACGGTGTCCGTTTGTGCAATCACGTAGGTGCCCGTAGCGCGTTTTGTTCGCCACCAAGTCTTTTGTCACGCATTAAACGACACTTTGCTGCCTCATGGGCAATGTTTGGGGCCACGTCAGAGATTCACCAAATCATTCACCAAAACCAGGTGTGAAGTTTGCAGCGACATCTGCATGATCAGATCGTCTGCCTTTGCACAACCTCCGCTCTCTTCGCAACCTCCGCTCTTTTCACGACATCCGCCCCTCACATGCGACGCCCCTTCACAGCCTCCCTGTTACTTGGCCCTCTGCATCTTCCCGATTCCCTTACCGTCCCAACGCCTGCAGCTTCGGATTCCCCCCTCCTCCAACCTATCCGGCACCACTGTCGGAGCAGCTGTAGCCCGTGAAGATGGCCTCGAAGTATTATGCCAATTGCATGGAGAACCTTGCGTATGACAAAAAGGTCCTGGAAGCTGCAGAGAAGAGGAAGGGCCAAAAACGGAGGAACAAGCCGACGAGGTTGGATCTGGAGCTGAATCACCAAGTGTTCCGCGGACTGAGACAAGTATATAACCCACCCCTCTGCGTTGCTTCCCCTTGATTCTTTGTTACTGACTCGCTTCGTATTCGGCTCATTAGGAAAGTCAGATTCGACGATACCGCTCGTACCATGAGTACCCCCCGTCTACCACGCCCATGGCTTCTCTGCAACCAATCAGCATCTCTGATCTTCGACTCGAGACCCATCATTGCGGCAGAGTTCTCTTCGTACATACCTTTGGCAATCCTGTCCTCTGTATGGCCATTCGAAACATCGTGGAGGACGTCAATGGCGATGTCGAGCAGCTCGCTGTGTACAATACGCCCAAGACTGCCACTCTAAAACACGTGCTACCAGGGAACTGCGTCTTCGCCATCAAAGAGCCCTTCTACGAAGCCAGTGAGGATGGCTTGTACGCCATCCGAGTCGATCACCCATCTGACCTGGTGCAGCTGCAAGTCACAGACGCACTATTTCCACAGAAGTTCTTGCCTCAGATCACGGAGCCGGACAAATCCGCAATTGAATACAAGGTCGCTGGCAACGCTGCTTTCAGGCGGAAGGACTATCTCCTTGCTCGGCACCTGTATACGCAAGCGTTGCAGCTCAGCGGACCGGCGGATGAACTGACACAAATCCTCTTGCGGAACCGTGGCGTGGCCAATTTCAATCTCGGGCGCTACGAAGAAGCCGAGACCGACGCTCGGGCATCCATCGTCGCGTCTACAGACATGACGGATTCGAAAAAGGTTTCACTGGACTCGAAAGCTTTATACTGTGCCGGGAGAGCCGCGTACGAGCTCCGCAAATACCAGGAAGCTGATGAGGCCTTTCTGAGCGCTCTGAAGCTCACTCCAAACGATCCAGATACGATGCGAGAGCACAACCGCTGTTCACGCCGCTTGTACGAGCAAAGCGGTGGTGATTACGACTTCGAGCAAATGAGTCAATCAGCCACAAAGACGCATCGACTGGACCATGCCGACTTCACTTCCAACGTTGCCGTTCGGTCGGCGGGCAAGCGCGGCAGAGGATTGTTTGCCTGCAAGGACATCAAGGCTGGCGAGCTCATATTGTGCGAAAAGGCGTTTCAAGCTTGTTTTGCTTCAGAGTGCAACGCCTCCCTCCTGGGCGAGATCAACACTGAGCGTGGATACTTCGACGCTGCGGAAGGGTTGGTGTTCGATACCATCGACAAGGTGCGTCGCAATCCCGAGGCGGCGAGTCGCTACCTGGAACTTGACGATGGCGGATATCAGCCCAAATGTCCACCAACGTTGGTCGACAATACAACAGTGGTCGATTCATTCCTGGTCCGAGCCATCATTCTGCAGAATTGCTTCAAATGCCATAACGTTCGTTCGAGCGACCACTACTGTTACGTTACACCAGGCTCGCCAGACGTAGAGGCGCGTTCGGCGGGAATCTGGATTGCGTCGTCTTACATCAACCATGCATGCGTCGGCAATGCCTTTCACTCTTTCATGGGAGACATGAGGATCGTTCGAGCTGTCCGCGACATCGCTCGTGACGAGGAGATCCTGGTGCCGTATCGCTGTACTGACATCGACCACAATGACGTTCGCAAAATTCTCAAAGACATTCAGGGCTTTGAATGTGATTGTATCGCGTGTGTTGCCGAGACAAAGACCCCAGATGCGCAGCGCGCGCATCGCACCAAGCTCATAACTGACATCACCGCCTTCATGTCCGCTCAGCTAGACCGACCAGGTCTGCCAAACAAGCATCACATCAATCGCGGGAAGCAGTTGTACAGAGATCTGGAAAAGACCTACGACGGCGATAATTACAAGAATGTGCCCCGCCTGGGAATGATCGTTCTCGGAAGCTGGCTGTGCGGTATTCAAAGGACATTTGTGTGCGCCAAGGAAACTGTGCATGCTGCAAAGGCGGTCATGAGCCACGCGGGATTCCACGTCGAGGTCAAGCAAGGCGCTTTAGTCGTGCAGCGGACTAACGCATGCCTTGATCCCTGCGTGACTGGTATCGTCGTGATTGCTGCGCACGCGTATGTTCAGCTGGGGGAGATTGGTATTGCGGAGCAATTCATGGTCTGGGCTCGGGAGATGCATGTCACGGTGTGTGGAGAGCTTCGCGGCTTCGATAAGCTCTATCCCAAGCTTGCCGTTTGAGGAAGTGGACAACATGCTATGCTGTCGATTCGGGCGTACGAAAGACTTGTGGCTACAACGATGCGTCAGCTGCAGTAAGGTACGACATCGCCTCAAATCTGGCCGGACAACAAATGGCCGCCCCTGATGTATCGGCATCATCGACCAAGATGACGTGTGACCAAGTATATGGAGATTACTGTGAGAAGAAGAAGGGATACCATGAGGGCATGAGATGACTTGAGAATGCGGAGGGAATTTGTTACGTTCGGCAGCTGGACACTGGTGAGAGTGACCATTTCGCCCGATAGCTCGTAGTTTTCCTGACCCAGCAATGACATGACTTATGAATCTGGTCCTTTACTCACTTAGATTGGCTGACCTGTTCAGGCCGAGAAAATGAGCGATTCTCCAACAATCTGTCAGCTGAACTACCGCTGCATCGATCGAGGTGTACTCTTCGCAGTGCATCCGTTCCAGTCACGTGTATGAGGGCAGTAAGCAATTATGTCAGCTCCTGCCCGAAGAGGAAAACGGATAAGGCTGCCGCGCTGCGACGTAGCCGCGGCGATCAAACTGCCGGAAATCCTACTTCACCGTAAGGTCTTCACTATCAACTCTCACCGCAGATGCCATTCTTATAGTCGGCAGACCGCTACCCGGACTCTGAAACGCAGGATAGCCTAGGATGCCCAGCGTCTCAGGCAAAATCATCGTCCTCACTGGCGCGGCATCAGGCATAGGTCGGGAGACGGCAAGATACCTCGCATCCCAAGGGGCCAAAGTATCCATCGCCGACATCCAAGAACAAGCTCTTCAAAAAGTCGCAGCAGAAATCGAAAAAGCAGGCGGCGCCATATTCACCAGCGTCGTTGACGTCCGTAATCGCTCTCAAGTCGAGGACTGGATTCGGCGCACCGTTGACAAGTTCGGGAAACTTGATGGAGCTGTGAATCTCGCTGGAGTTTATGGTAAGCAATCGGGCCTGGCGAATATCGAGGAGATCGAAGACGACGACTGGGACTTCGTGCATGCGGTCAACGTCAAGGGTCTGCTGAATTGCCTGCGGGCCCAGATTCCGGAGATGCGACATGGAGGGTCGATCGTGAATGCATCGAGTGTGCACGGCTTGCAAGGGTCGGCGAAAACCGCGGCGTATGGAGCGAGCAAGCATGCGGTTATCGGCATGACGAAATCGGCGGCGAAGGAACTTGCGCCGAGAGGAATCAGGTGCAATTGTATTTGTCCTGGGGTGATTGATACGCCTTTGGCTGCGAGGGCTGCAGCTGCCCTGGGAGCTCGTGTTGATGATTTTAAAGGGGTTGCGCCTCTTGGACGGCTGGGGACGCCGCGGGATATTGCGTATCATGTGGAGTGGCTGTTGTCGGATGGGTCTTCGTACATCACTGGGACTGCGCAGAGGAATGATGGGGGGTGGTTAGATTATTAGATGAGAAGCAGGTGAAGTAGCTTCTTTCGTTCGAACGGACGGCTTGACTGAGCTCGTCCATGCCGATTGTTCACATCAAACAGCACCCACATCCACTCGCAAGATCAATACCCGGGACGTCACTGCGAGCTGGTCCGACGCCCCATCTCAATCCGACCTTTCTCCACTGCATCATTCGTCTGCGTCGCATATCATACGTCTCATAGTCACAGCGCGGGCATTCGCCTTCAGGTGCCCATCTGCCACGCCACTCAGGCATCTCTGCAGGACCATACGGCTGTTCGGAGGTGAAGTCTGGACATGTCATGAGGTCCATGCCATCGCCACATGGTTTGTAGAGTTCGATCCTGAATCAATCTGTTAGTTGATTTCAGGGAAAAATGGACGAGCTGGATGGTTGAGGGCATACCAGGTGTGGCCGCATATCCGCGATTTCCAGAGTAGTGTGCGGCACATAATGAAGCTTCAATGCAGGCATCGGCATGAATTGCTTTGATTGCGGCGAGCGACAGCCTAAGCACAACGCTTGTAGTGCATCCGCGGGGCGGGAGCGGAGGTTATTGGACGCCTTGTAACGCCTCACCTCGTTTTTATTATATTTAAGCGAATTCAGTCGTCTTGGCAGCTACATAGATCGCGGTCCTTTTGCTAGTTACAACAACATTCATGCTCGAGCTCGTGCTCTGCGCAGATGGCGCGAGTATGATAAAGGAGGGCAGTATAAAGGATGGCAGTCGCCCGTGCCTATCTGAGCCTGCCTTTAGCACACAGTCTCTTCCTACTCCACGGCCTTGCTCACCCCGATTCCAGCCGCCATGCTTTCCTCCCACCTCACTCTCCTTTTGTGTGTCGCTTCCACTTCCGCACACTGGCTGCGTGGAAAAGGGGACATTTTCTGCCACGAGGTCACTGGCGCTGTCGCTGCCTTTCACGCGCAATCGCCCGCCTCCTCCTTCTGCTCTTCGTACCTGCACGTGCCGGGTCCGACGACAGTCACCCATCAGACACACACATACTCCACGTGAGCTAGCGTTCTCTTTCTTGCCCTTGCCATTTGCCCAGGTATATACCTCTGCTGACACGCTACGCCGTTGCCCAGCCTTAAGACCATAATAAGCTACGCCGCCACCATCACCTCCACCGCTTCCACCACTTCCACTGTCACTGTGTCTCCCACCTGCACCGGTGCCGGCGTGGCCGGTCGCAGGGCAAAGAGAAGCGTGTCTAAGCCGCAAGTCTTGGCCCAGTGGACAGCATCCGCCATCCTCTCGTCTGCTTGCAGCTGTCTTTCCATCACCCGCTCGACCGTAGTTGTCGGAGCAGCCACCACCTCCACCTCCACAACCGTTGTCAGCGTGAGTCCGCATTGGCGCCCTCGGATTTGGCAAGGCAAGTGCACTGTTGCTGATGTGAGCCTAGTCGACCGCGACTGTCACATCCACTCCGATAACGACCGTCCTTATCCCACCATCCGGCTTCAAGCTCTACGCGACCACAACTCCGCCGCCAGACCCTCAAACCTTCACTTACTCCACCAGCATTGTCTACACCGTATCCTTTAGCGCACAGGGCTCGTACCTGGCACCAGTTCGTAACGCAGAATTCACGGAGACAGAAGCAGGCGCGGCGACCTGTTCTCTCATCGGCACCGCGCTCAACTGCGGTGGAGAAAACTTTACCACCATTCCCGCCGACTATGACTTGCCGGCTCTCAACCAGGAGGTGTAAGTTCTACCCTGCCCGCCCGTCTGCCCCCAAACACCCCAATCCTACCCGTTTCCCTTGCCCAGGGATGGCACCGCGTCTTTGCAGTGCGCTGACCTCTGCCAATTGTGCGACCATGCAGCGGTCGGCAGATATCCTGTGAGCTTTTTACAACGCCAAACGACCAATGCGCGTTGAACTGCCTGAACTATGCTGGTGGAACGCCACTCAACCAGATTTGTGACTCGGACGGTCCCTATCTCTGGACGATTCCTGGGTCTGAGTCCTCCTGTGTTACCTTTGCGCCTGTAGTACAAGAGGTATGATTCAGGAGCGCACACGGACAAGCCCCGGATCTTCTGATCGATCGTGGAGCGCGTGACACTTGTAGCCGACGCCGGCGACTGTCACAAGGCTGGCGTGGCTGAGACTTCATAACTCCCTTTCTCGCTTGGTCGTCGTAGCACCTTACGGCGAAACTCTTCTTGCCCCCAGGAATGTATTCAGGCAAATCCGAGAAGTTAGTACAAAGGATCCGCCATCGAGCAACTCAGGACAGGCATTGAGGAAAGTGGTGATCGCGCACGAATGGAATTTGTTTCACTCTCCTGTATTTCAGAGCAGGGTTGAATACCTGTCTTGCTGACATCGGGCAACGTGCAACACCTCTCAGGCATCAGTGCGCAAAATGTCGCGCTTTTAAGCTCTACATGTACATTAAGGAGGACACGCATCCGCCCATTGTCGTCTCACGTAAGACATATCTCTCGCCTGTCGCCACTCACCGAAAGCACCGTAACGGCTTCCCGGCCCCAACGATGATCACTATTCCAGGTCAATCATGTGACGCAGGCGTCCATCCAACAGACCGAATCCGGCATTCGCAGGCGGAGTGCGGCTGGACTCAATCCTTCAACGATTCGGAGAAGGCGATGGCCGTGGGCGGCTTTCCCTTAGCGAGGCCATGCATGTCGTGCATGTCTAGCCACTGCAAATTCTGGATGCAGGATTCCGACCACGAGACGGCCTTCCACGTGGGCGCAAGAACTCGGCTCATCCGCGCTCGGGCGTCGGCGGGCTGTATTCTGGATCGTTCTCTGCCAATTCCTTCTCGCGGATCGCGCGCATCAGTTCGTAGAGCTGTGCGAGCTGTTCGTCTGTGACACGATGTAACCGTCTCAGCACATGAACCCATCACATGCAACTCGCCACCCAGCGACCCAGAGAAAAAGAAAAAAACCTGCTTGCGCAAAATCCACATTCACCCGGGGGGGACCACTCACCGCTCATCTTGTCAATCTTCCCCCGATCCATCTTCTCGCCCCTCCAGCTCGCGCCCTCCACTTGCTGCGCATACGACTGCCATTCAGTCAAGAAGCCGATGATGTGCACCGGATTCTCCACATTGCGATGGGCGCGGAATTCGCTCTTGACGTACTCGTCGCCCAGCACGCGCATCTCGGTCGGGAGGTGCTTGCGGTGGCCGCGCAGGATGCGGCGGTAGAGGGGAATGGGCGGCAGCAGGGCCGGCGGGGCGGGTCTGAGGCCGGCAGATTGCGTGCCGATGGCAGAAGGCAGGGCCCGGACTCGTGGCGTGATGCGCATGTTGTTGAGTGGCTCTCATGTACTGTGATGTAGGAGTAGGGGGGGGAATCCAGAGTGGTTGATGGAGTGGTAGCTGGGTGGCAGCGGCACATGTGAAGTGGAGCCAAGCATGCAACCCGAAGGAAGATCGCTGAACCCGCGCCAGACTCTGGGCGCGCGGGGCGGGATTAGGTCATCTTCGCTTGCCCTTCTTTTCTGCTTCGGGAAAGTGCTTCTACCTCTATACGTCGCAATCTCCGGCTGCTCCTGTACGCTTGCATCACTCGACGTCTGTCTCCATCATCATCAGTTGCGGCCCTCTGACAAACAACACACGCTGCGTGCACGTGGGAGTATTGCTTCTGGCCGCGATCCGTGGTTGCTTTCGTTAGAACGAAAAGCTAACGATGGCCCAGCATGCACCCTTGCTGCAAGGTGGCAGGGCGGTGACGGAAGTCCAGCGAGCTACTGTCGCCCGTCGAGCCTAATCACCCCTACTCCCGCGCACGGGGTCGAGTCTACCCACCGCCCTACTGCGCAACTACCCGCCAGGGCGATGGGCATCTACCTCGTGCCGCGGTCTAGATCGGCATGTCTGATTGCTTGCGCCCGGGAAGGAAGCGGCCGTACATATGCACGTCACGGGCATGCGACTGGAACCGGGTGGGCGGCAGAGACGTTGGACGGGAGATGACGCGCTAATGCAGCGAAGGCGGCGTGCTGCAGCACACGTTGTGCCAACGAAATGCGAGTGGCGACATGCTACTGCAGACTTACATCAGTTCCTGGCCGGCGGGCCAATGCCACCTTCAATCTCGACGAGGTTCCAGGTCGATCCTTTTTTCCCTTGTCACGGTCCGCACGTAATCTCCTGCGATTGCCGCGAGGAGTACATAAGACGATGATGTCCCAATCATGCCGGCATTATCGAGGTACCTGCCAATCACTGTTTGCATGCGTAGAGAGCTGCCTCGATTTCGACTACAACCTTCGTCATCATGTGTGGCTTAAGCGTGTGCTTCCATCTCAGGAGGCCCGACCAGGGCAAGAAGAACGGCCAGCATGAGGAACAGCAGTCACGACTCGCTGCTCAACTTCACAGCAGTGTCGAGTCAATGCGACATCGAGGCCCGGACGCCAAGGGTGTTTGGATCTCCCCCGACAACGGCATTGGAATTGCACATGTGCGCCTCGCGACCCGAGACTTGAGTTCCAATGGAAACCAACCCCTCCACAGCGCAATGGGCGACGACATCCATGTCGTGGTCAACGGTGAGCTCTACTACGACCCGAGTCTACCAGAGGAACTCGCCAAAGACTACAACTTCCAGTCGACATCGGATTCGGAAATGGCCATTGCACTCTACCGGAAGTACGGCGTAGGGTTCGTCAAGCACCTTCGCGGTGAATTCGCACTCGTCCTCTACGACGGCAAGGCGCAGAGAATCGTCGCGGCGCGGGACAGATTCGGGGTGAAGCCGTTGCACTACGGTGTCTTTGATGGACGGCTCCTGATCGCTACCCAGGCCAAAGGAGTTGCCGAGCTGCTGGATCAGCGCCAACCCTTACGGTGGGATCCCATCTGCCTTGCACAAGGTGGCGGGCACTACGGGAACCGGACATTCTTCGAGGGCATCCGGAAGTTCCCCCCCGGTCATGTCCTTGTCGTCCACCGTGGCCAGACAGAGCCCCTCAAATTCGAACCATACTTCCAACACAAATTCGCAGCCAACGAGGGTGGACGTGACGACCGACCGGCCGAGCAGCTGATTGAGCAGCTTCGTGCGCATCTCCTCGAGTCGATACGGATTCGACTGGACTCAACGGATGTGCCAGTCGGAATTTTGCTCAGCGGTGGTGTGGATAGCAGCGCGGTAGCTGGAATGGTTGCCGCTTATACTCGGGAACGGGCTGAAGCCAGTGGAAAGGAGCAAAAGGAGTTGCCCATCTGTTTCACCATTGGCTTCCCGGGAGACGACGAGCTGGACGAATCGTTCATTGCACAACGAACCGCCGAACACCTGGGTCTTCCAATCGAGAGAGTGGTCGTGTCCGAGGAGATACTCGCAAACGATTTCGACGAGGCGTGTTGGAAGGGCGAGACTCTGATGTGGGATCTGCAACATATCGCAAAGAAGGCTCTGAGTCGACACATCAACGGACGGCGCTTCAAAGTCGTCCTCAACGGCGATGGATCAGACGAGTTGTTCGCCGGCTACCCCTTCTTCGTCTCCGCCAGACTGGAAGACGACGACAAGGTGCGCGCTCCTGAACTGTCAAGCGCAAGCACCGAGGTACGGAAAGAACTGAAGGAACGATACGCGAAGAATCTGCAATGGTTCGGCGTGGAGGACGCGCCTCAACACGACAACAATCCAGCAGCCCGCGCCCTCGGCCTCCCGCCTGCCTTTTGCAACCTGGGCATTCCCCGATATGACGTCTGGTTGAAGGACGAAGTGATGAACATGAGCGATCCCTTCCAGGCGATTCTGGAATTGTTCTCAAAGACCGAAGTGGAGGAGATGGCGACTTACCATCCCCTACATCGCGCTCTTCTTGCATGGAGCAGGACGGTGTTGCCAAACATGGTCATTGCCGCGATCAGTGATGGTGCAGAAATGGCGCACTCGGTTGAAAGCAGACCGCCTTTCCTCGACCACATCGTCTCCGAGTTCGCATCAAGCCTCCCCGTCGACGTGCTGGTCCACTTAAAGGGCGAGGATGCGCCGATCGAGAAGTGGATCTTCCGCGAGGCAGTCAAGCCGTACGTCACCGAGGAGGTGTACGCTCGACGCAAGCACGCGTTCCGCGCTCCGTTCCGATGGAAGAAGGACGGCCCACTCTACCGAAAGCTGACTTCCCTGATTTCTCGCGAACACATTGACCAGTTGGGCTTCGTGGACTGGAAGAAATGTCACGATATCGTCGATCGATCGTTTGAAGGCGACCAGCTGCTTTTCCGACAGGCGATCTGGCTCGCTCAGCTCATCTCGATAGGCCTGCAGTTTGGTGTGCAGCCTTGGAAGCCGGAGACAGAGGCGGTTGAGCAGACGGTCAAGGCGACTCTGGTCAAGGGACAGGTCGGCGAGAACTGGGAGGACGAAAAGGAGAATCGGAACGATGTGGACAGCGGCAAGATGTTCCGCGTCGATTCGACGGAGTTTACGAACTGGCGGATTCAGTGATGTGTCTTTACGGTTACGATTGTTCGATGATAGAGGATCTCATACGTCTGTGATAGATGTAGATCTGTAGTTTATATGGGATTCAGCAGCGTTGACGTTCTTTCAAGGTGCTTAGTACTTGCATTTGCTTACCTACTTGCATAACTGTACATTACACGGCATATGTATGGCGTGGACGTGCGTCGGAAAGGGCCGAGAGCTTAAAGCCACGGCCTGCGACATCCCACCGACGTCCGCTGCTCCTCGCTGAAGCATTGAATCTCTCCCCAACCTCCCGCGGGCAGCTGGGTCCCCGTATTGTATTTGTGTGGCAATCGGCTGCTGTATCATCCAGCCCTTCCTTGCAAGTGCCTTGTCGCCAGCTTGTCTCCCGGCAGGGGTCATCACACCCGCCCTCCATCCCCATCTGCCTAAACCCCACCGCCTCCTCCAGCATGGAGGCCGCATCGGCGCGCTACGCCGCGCGAGACCGCTTCGCCTATCCCACCGAGCCCGCGGCCACGCCTCTCCAACGCTACATCCAAAATGCCTGCTCGCCCGAGAACTTCGAGCCCAACCTCGCCCTCTGCCTCGAGATAGCAGACCTGATCAATGCCAAAAAGGGCAACGCCCCGCGCGAGGCCGCCATCTCCATCGTCGGCTACATCAACCACCGCAACCCCAACGTCAGCCTGCTCGCGCTGGGCCTGCTGGACATTTGCGTCAAGAACTGCGGCTACCCTTTCCAGCTGCAAATCTCCACCAAGGAGTTCCTCAATGAGCTGGTGCGTCGGTTCCCGGAGCGGCCGCCGTTGCGCACGACGCGGGTGCAGAATCGCATTCTGGAGTGCATTGAGGAGTGGCGGCGGACGATCTGCGAGACCAGCAAGTACAAGGAGGATCTCGGCTTTATCCGGGATATGCATCGTTTGCTGTCCTACAAGGGTTATACGTTTCCGGAGATCAAGAGGGAGGATGCGGCGGTGCTGAATTCGAGTGATGGGCTGCAGAGTGCGGAAGAGATGGAGGCGGAGGAGCGGGCGGCGCAGAGCGCCAAGTTGCAGGAGCTGATACGGAGGGGCACGCCGCATGACTTGCAGGAGGCCAACAAACTGATGAAGGTCATGGCTGGCTACGACACGAGACACAAGACTGATTATCGCGCGAAGGCGGCGGAGGAAGTCGGCCGTATTCAGCAGAAAGCTAAGCTGCTGGAGGAGATGCTTCAGGGTTACCAGGCTGGGGATGAGATCAAGGAGGGCGATGTGTACGAGGAATTGGCCAGCGCTCTGGCCTCTGCGCACCCTAAGATTCAAAGGATGTGTGAGGAGGAGAGTGAAGACACGGAGGCTGTTGCGAAGCTGTTCGAAATCAACGACAGCATACACCGGACCGTGGAGAGGTACAAGCTCTTCAAGAAGGGCGACATTGAGGGGGCGAACGCCATCCCCAAGGGCACACTTGGTGTCAGTGGTGCGGGAGTGAAGACGGGTCCCGGGAACGAGCTCTCCTTGATTGACTTCGGAGGACCCGACGATGTTGCTCTCACTCCCACCCAGAGCGCAACATCCGAGCAACAGAAGCCAAAGGGCAGCGCGCTAGAGGACGATCTACTAGGCCTGAACATGGGCGATGGCAACTACGGCCAGGGCGGCGGCATATCGCTGGGAAGCAGCAGCGGTCCCTCCAACGGCGTAGCACCAAAGAGCACCGCGGACATCATGGCGCAGTTCTCCCAAACACAACGCCCTGCCGCTCCCGCGAACCCGATCTTCGCCTCTCCGCAAGTGATGCAACAGCAATCGCCGTCCATCCCGCAAGCATCGAAGCCGCCAAGCGGCGATCTCATCGGCTCGACCTCGCAGTCTGCTTCCACTTCAACAACACCCGTTCCGCCCGCATCACTACTCGCCCAGCGGCATCAGCAAGGCAAAAAGTCCGACCCGTTCGCATCCCTCTCCTCCGCCACTCCTCCCCGCCAAGCGTCCCCAGCCAACTTCCAGCAGAGCGTCCTCCCCGACAAATCCGCCACCCCGACTCCCCTCACCAAATGGCCCACCCCTCCGCGCGTAGAGCGCGCATCAACCTTTGACCTCCTAGGCATGGGCAACGGCCAGGTGCCTCCAACCGTATCCGCGCAGCGCGCCCCCGCAGCGCCAGCGGAGAAGAAAGCAGACGACGACGAATGGACATTCAGCTCCGCCTTGCCAGACCAACCGGCCGAGATTGTCGTCATGAACTCCAGCATTCGGACCGTGTTCACCGTCACGCGCCTCAGCGAGTCGGAGCTGGAGATGCGCAGTCGCATTTCGAACGCTACTGCTTCGGCGATTGAGGGCTTGACGTTTCAGCTTGCTGTTACTAAGGTATGTTGCCTCATCCTTCCTTTGATTTTGCAATTCTTGGTGCTGATTGAATTGATAGGGCTACACACTCCATCTCCAACCCCAATCTGGCCGTGTCCTCGGCCCCAATCAGCAAAATGGCATTACGCAGACGATCCGCTTGGAAGGCGTGGAGAGGGGGAAGGGCATGAGTGTCAAGATGCGGTACCGGGCGAGCTATAGCCTGGGCGGGACGGTGACGAACGAGCAAGGGGAGATTGTGGGCTTGGGGGTTCCGTGAGGGTGGAGCGGAGATCTATAGATAGCGGTTGAATGAATCTTTCATGATGAGATTGAAACGGCTGTCGTTGAGCGGATTGAGCTTTTGTCTGCGTAGTCGCGTTTCCATCCGTAATTCACAGGAGAGGAGGTGATGGCATGGCGTATCCGACAGAGTCTAGAGGACGAGTAGTCTGATTGCTTTCAGACGTACACGCGTTCCCGTCGACTCTCTAGTCCCCTTCGCACATCCCGCCTCGTCTATAGCAGCACCGCTCATACCACTTCACCTTCACAGCCCCCTCACTCCCCCTCATCCGGCGCCCCGCCCGGCGGCCCCGATTTGCCCATCTGTCGCGCTTTCAACATCTCATCGCACAGCAGCAGATTCGACGCGATGCCCGTCGCGCTCGCAACGCCGTTGCGCAGCACGCGGAAACTGTCGTACACGCCCGTCTGCACGGGGTCCATGGCTTCGCCGAGTGTCAGGTCGAGGCCGGCGACGTTGCCTTCGGCGTGCTCGTCTTGAAGGTTGGCGACTGGGAAGATGGTCAGTGGGGACTGGGTTTACGGGGAAGGTGAGGTGAAACTTACGGCAATCTTGGATGTCGTGGCCCGAGTTTGCGGCTAGTGTTTTCGGGATGATGAGCAGGGCGTCTGCGAAGGCGAGGACGCCCCATTTCGCTTTGCCCTTGACCTGCTTGCTGAAATCGTCGGATTTCAGGCGCGCGGCGCAAGCGATTTGGAAGGCGCCGCCGCCTGGCACGACGCACTTGTCGACTATCATGTTGTACACGGAGCGCAGACCGTCGCGCACGGCATCCTTGATCTGCGTGATGGTGTGTGCGTTCGGGCCCTTGATGAGCAGCGTGACGGACTTGGGGTCCTTCACCTCTTCAATGAAGGTGTACTTCTCCTCGCCGAGCTGGTGCTCGTAGACGTGGCCGGCCCAGCCGAGGACATCGGGCGTGAGATCTTCGACACTGTTTTGCGCCGTGCCGCCACACATGAGTTGGAGACGCTCCATGTTTCTTCGCTTTGCTCGGCGCAGGGCGAAGATGCCGTTCTTCACCAGCACGTCGAGGGAGAGGGGGTCGATGCCTTTTTGGTTTACGATGACGAAGCTCTTCTTCCCGTCTGTCCCGCAGACCTCTTTCTTGAGCTCGACGATCTTGCGGAGCTTTTCGTCGACGAAGCGGCGTTCGCTCTCGACGAGCTTTTCTCGCTGCGACGCGGAGGAGTAGTAGAAACCGGAATTGATCTCGCTCTTTTCGTATTCCAGGCTGACGTTAAGGGTCAGGATATACGCGTTCTTGAGCTCCTTGGGCATGTCAGGGTGTCGGGCGCCGTGGTCGAGAGCAAGGCCCTTGATCAGTTGGGTGTCTGCGGCTGTTCGGTGTTGCATGGTCATAATCTCAATCATGTGGAGGTCGGGGATGGCAGGGGGTTGGTAGATGGTGAGGACGGCGTCGACGATCGAGGGAGTGAGTTGTTCGGCGAGGTTGGGGTTGATCTTGGTGGACAGTGACGTTCTGGCGACGGAGAGGAGGAGTTCCCGATCCACCTCTTTCTGCAATTTGAATTGATCGAGGAAGCGCAGAGATTCGTTCTTCGCCAGCTCATAACCATCGGTGATGACACGCGGATGCAGGCCTTCGGAGATGTAGCGGTCTGCTTGTTTCAACAGTTCGCCCACCATCAAGACGACAGAGGTTGTCCCATCTCCCGTGATCTCGTCTTGGGCGGTTGCTGCTCTCGCAATCATGACGGCCGTGGGATTTTGAATTTGCATCTCCTTCAACAACACACTGCCATCTTTGGTGAGTTTGATGGCACCCGCTCCGTCGACCAGCATCTTCAGCGTGCCCGTTGGGCCCAAGTTGGATGCGAGGACATCTTGCAGGCCCTCGCCGGCGGAGATGTTCACTCGCAGCGCCTCTCCTCGTCTTCTGCTCTCCGCCTTCGGATTGAGTAATTGTGCGGCGGACATCTTGTTGGTCTGCGTTTCCACGTGGGTTTCAGTGGCAGCAAAGCGTCTCGATTCCACGGGTCTGCTTCGTCGCGTGTTTCGCGTCGTCGCCCTCAAAATTTCATTGCTCGCCCACGTACAATTTTACGTAAGCAGGAAAAGAGGTCCAAGCTCCCACAGTCGCCGACTGCCGACCTCAAATTCTTTTGCTGCAGGATTGATTGATGGAAGGTTCAAACGGCACCAGCATCACCACCACCACCCGCACTATGCACTGCAGTCGTTGATCTGCTCGGTCATCGCTAACATCCTCACCGAGACACAGAGTCTCTCTCAATACCAGTCTCCCACAGAGGAGCGTGCACCTCTTCTTCACTGCTCACCACATCCTCTACCCCAGAAAAAATGTCAGGAATCGATTACCTCCTCCACGAGTCCTCGGTGGGCTACGCCGTCTTCGCCGTCAAGCTGCAGAGTGACACGGTCGGCGCGCGGCAGAAAGAGGTGCAAGATGCCCACACCGACCTCGCCCGTTTCGGGAAGATGGTGCAGCTCGTCTCCTTTGCACCCTTCCAAGGCGCCGCCCAGGCGCTGGAGAACGCCAATGAAGTCTCCGAGGGCATCATGAGCGACTACCTCCGCACCGTGCTCGAGTCCAACCTGCCCAAGACGGGAAAGAAGAAGGAAAAGAAGATCACGCTTGGTGTGGGCGATCGCGGGCTGGCGGGCAGCATCAAGGCCGAATTCCCTGGCGTGGAGTGCGAGACTGCAGACACCAGCGAGCTCGCCGGTGACCTGCTCCGTGGCCTCCGCTTGCATGCCGAGAAGCTCCTCAAGAACCTGCAGACTGGCGACATCAGCCGTGCGCAGCTCGGTCTCGGTCACGCGTACAGCCGTGCCAAGGTCAAGTTCTCGGTGCAGAAGAACGACAACCACATCATCCAGGCCATTGCTACCATTGACCACCTCGACAAGGCCGTCAACACCTTTTCCATGCGCGTGCGTGAGTGGTATGGCTGGCACTTTCCCGAACTCGTACGCATCGTCAGCGACAACCAGAAATATGCGCAATGTGCCCTCTTCATCGGCCACAAGACCTCTCTCTCCGAGGACAGCCTGCACGAACTGGCAGCGCTCGTCGATGATGATGCCAGCATTGCGCGCGCCATCATCGAGGCCGCCAAAGTGTCAATGGGTCAAGAGATTTCGGAAGAAGACATGCAGAACGTCATGCTCTTCGCCAAACGCACCGCCGACCTGGCCAAATACCGTCGCTCTCTGGGCAACTACCTGACGGCGAAGATGGGCATCGTAGCGCCCAACCTTGCCGCCCTCATCGGCGAGACCGTCGGCGCCAGACTCATCTCTCACGCTGGCTCCCTCACCAACCTCGCCAAGTACCCTGCCTCCACAGTGCAGATTCTCGGCGCGGAGAAGGCGCTGTTCCGCGCACTCAAGACGAAGGGCAACACGCCCAAGTATGGCCTGATCTACCACTCCTCCTTCATCGGCAAGGCGGCGCTGAAGAACAAAGGGCGCATCTCGCGCTTCTTGGCCAACAAGACGTCCATTGCCTCCCGTATCGACAATTTCAGCATGCAGCCTAGCCGCACATTTGGAGAGGCGTTGCGTGCGCAGGTCGACGAGCGACTGCGGTTCTACGCGGAGGGTGTGAATCCCACGAAGAATGAGGTTGCGATGGTGAGTTGATTTTTATTCTACTTTGCAATGACTACGTCGCTAACCGCCGCCGATACAGAAAGCAGCGATGGAAGCTTCTCTTGCAGCAATCAACGTGGACGACCCCACTCGCACAGGCGCAGACGAAGAAATCGATGCGCCTGGCGTCACGGACCAAGCCACGGAGAAGGCGCTCCGCGACAAGAAAAAGAAGGCGAAGCGCAGCGGCGAGGACATCGAGATGGGCGATGATGCCGACTCGAAGGCCGCGCGCAAGGCGGAGAAGAAGCGGCGAAAGGAGGCTGCTGCAGCGGCGCCTGCCGAGGAGGAGGAAGTGGTGGAGAAGAAGCTGAAGAAGGACAAGAAGGAGAAGAGGAAGTCGGAGACGCTGGCGGCGGGCGAGGTGCCGGCGGAGCAGGCCAAGCCGTCGAAGAAGAAGAGGAAGTCGGATGCTTAAGCGTCTTCTTCATGGTCATATGACTGACGGGTGGTGTCTGGCGTTCCGGAGGGGCATGAAGGGTGCGGGGTTGGGCTAGGGTGTTTTGCAAGTGTAGCATGGACTCGGTAGGGATGGCTGCGAGGGATCGTGGGTGTGTCTTGCGTTGGGCAAGATTAGTATACCAACACGATCCAAATCATTGCACCGAAACCACGCTTCATTGTACTCGGTAGCCACTTGCGGCATCTCGCATGCGGTTACGTACGAAGATGTGCCTACCACGCCTGCAGTTGGCGGGCGTCTGCAGCACGCCGCAACAAGCCAATGGCACGCGGCGGAAGCCACCACGGACGAATCCCCGCCATTCACCCTCGGGCGTTGTTAATTGATGACGAACAAGAATCGAGCAATAGGCAGCTCGTCACCATCGTCACGACCTTCCAAGTAGGCACACCAATCGCAAGCTTAGACAATCACATGCAATCCACGGGATATATCGAAAAGAGGCATGAGCGCGAGGTGATAGGAGCATCTACGTCAGCTTTGCCCGGTTTTTATTAAGGTTGCACGGCACGGCTTGGGGTTGGACGGGCTCGACGGGTCACGCGTGGGACGTGCGTGGAAACATTTCCACATGGCGGAAGCGCATGCGTTGTGCGTGGCGATGCGCAGATCTTTCGAGAAACTCGGCCTCAGTGTCTTCCTGCCTTACAAACCACCTACATATCTTGCTCCAGGGAGTAGGCAGCGTATGTCTCGTTGAGATTTCCTTGTCGACTTGAGTGTGTTGTGTATGCGAGGCGAGACGTCTTCCCACGCCCCCCCCTTTATTGAATGGCTCGGGCGTGCTAGGCGGATTGCCACGACGCCGATATGACGACTGATCGAGACGACGTGCTGAGTGTGGAGGTGAGTTGTGCTGGGATACAAGTGGCGCGTACATCTGCTAATCTGCCGCAAAGTCATGCATCTTCAACATCACGCTCGCCTTCCGCGATGCGTCCTCGCAATTGCAGGCCCTTAAAACCAGAAGCGGTGGCGGCGGCGTAGCAGAATGGAAAGCGCTCGAGGAAGCGACGGAGGAAGTGCCGCACGAACTCGAGGCGGAGAGGAAGCGAGCCATTGCACGGCTGGGCCAGTCGTTCGCTGTGGGCGATGACGCGGCCATTCTGGAATTACAGCAGATCGCTATGCTCGTTCAGACGGACGTGCTGGAGAGGTTGCAGAGTGCGATTGACGGGGCTGGCGAGGGCTCGGTGCGCACCGTCGCTGCTCTTGTCGATGCCGTGGAGCTGGCGAGAGATCGGACCATGTTGGCTTTGCTGGGGCTTAAGATGCGCCTGCGCGAGATGGGTTCGGGGAGTGATGGGGCTCGCACGGGGTCGACGACCAGTACTACGTCTCAGCTGCAGCTGGGAGATCCCCCCGCGAATGGCAACCTTTCAGACGGCGTCAGCACTACGGGTGGCGCGGAGAATGGGCAGACCACGGACGGGCTGCGACGACCTCATGGCACCTCTCTGATCAGCATGCTGCGGAGCAATACGTTGCGCAGCAGTAACGCCGGCGGCGACTCTCGGCAGAATCTCCTTCGAAGGTCTACGAACAATCCCTTCTCGCTTCTATCCAAGGACCGAAAAGCGTCCAACGACGAGGGCGACGAAAACGCCAGCGAAGCCCGGGCCCGCGCATCTTCACAATCGAGGGTTAGCGATGAGACGGTGCCATTCCCTGCTTTCAGCACTTCCGTCGCCTCTTCTGGCACCTCTCCGCAACTGACCCGCTCCGCATCCGTGCTCCAACGCGGTGCTGTCGTCGCAAACCCCCGGAACTCTGGCGCGACCGTCACCGTGCCTCCCAACCCGGCCAACAACTACCTAGGCTTCTGCAAAGGCGCCGCACGCCTGCAGTCCGGCGATCGACTAGCCATGCACAAGGCAAAAGAGTTCCCCGAAGGCCGCTCGCACCGCACCTCCTACTTCCTCACCTGCTCCAACTCCAAATGCGCCTTCGCCACGCACATGGACCTCAACACCATCTGGGATCGCGTGTGGACGCTCAACGACCTCGGCCTGAAGATCCGCTGGGCCTTCCTCGCCAAAAGCCACGTCTTGCAGACCAAAGTCAAAGACCAGAAGTACCGCTACAGCTGCCTCTTCTGCGTCTTTGCCGGCGTCGATGCGCCCGTCATCGAGGGCACGGACGCCTACCTTCGCCACATCAGCCAGCAGCACCGTGGCCGGGCGTTTGGGGACGTCACCTTGTACCGCACGGGGTGCATTAACGATCGCATCGCGGAGGACAGCGAGGAGTTCGACGTCAACTTCTTCCCGCTGACCGTCAGCGAGTACACGGAGCGCAGCAAGCGCGGCGAGGACTTGTCCGACGAAAATGTCATCGTGGGCCGCGTCGGAGATGATGCGAACGCTCCGGAAGCGACGGCATGCGATGAGCCGTGGTGTCAGGATCTGCCGGACTTCCAGTACGCGGATTCCTTTGAGCGCGGCATGCGAGACTACAGTCTCACGCCTTTTCAGTCGTACAGCTGAATGGAATCATCTGTCGCTCCAGATGCGAATGACGCACAACTTCTCCCACCCGGCTTTCCTCCCGCTCGATGCGACTTTCTCCACATTCCATCGAAGCATTGATGCATCTCGAGTCGGCCAGGCACGAACTTGCGCCATGACAATCTCGGGCTTGTTCTGTGCACAGAGCAGGATGTACGCCACGCCCCTCGCGCTGAGCGCGACATCGAGCTGAGCGAGGAGTCGATTGGTAATCTCCATGCCATCGATTCCTCCGTCCGTGGAAAGCGAGAGCAAATGCGAGTCGCGGGCGAAAGAGCCCCTTGCGTCAGCTGCGTCGTGCTCATCGTGCACGGGTAGTGAAGGCAGGCTTTCGGACGGGACGTAAGGCGGATTGAAAATCAGCACATCGACAGATCCAGGCTTGATAGCAGTCGTGAGATCGCCATTCACCGCATCGAGGAAAACTCCGCAGTCAGCGCGCGCGGATGCCGAAGCCGTCTGGACAGTCTGCCGAGTCGCCGCGCAAGCCACGGGATTGACATCTACACCCAGCGTGCCGACATTCCGACGCGCAAAAATTCGGCCTGCGTGCGCGGTGACAAAAGCTAGCACTACGCCAGAGCCGGGCCCGATTTCGACTACAAGGGGCGAGGTTGCATGCTGTGGGAATCGCCGTTGCAGAAATGCGGTCTCGGAGGCGGAGGAGAGGGTGTCGAGGAGTAGATATGAGTCCTCGGCCGGTTCGTACACTTGGTCATAGTTGACGTGGCTGGTGGAGGGAGTGGGGAGCATTGTGGGAGCGCGTGGGTTTCATGTGGCCATGACTAGTTTAGCGGGCGTTTGTGTCGAATTAATGACTTCTTGTCGTATGCTGTTGTCTATTCATGTTTGTTGCCATTGAATGCGAGTCTGGTGTCAAGAGATGCAAACGCGTTCGGGCGTTCGGGTGAGGTGGCAGAGCTCGGATGCGGCCGAAAGTTTTTCCTTGCAGTGACGTCTCTTTCATATGTCGAGCGTAACCACCGCCACTCTCCAAACAACATACCTCTCACACCTTACCACTCCCTCCTAGATCCTCCGAAAATGGTCCGCCACAAAAAAGACTTCCACGGCAAAGGCAAAAAACACACCATCGGCGCCCGCACTGATCGCGCAGATGGCTCCAGCACAAGTAACGGCCTCAAGAAACCCTCCTTCAAAGCCGCCGCCTGGGACCTCAACCACTGCGACGCAAAGCGCTGCTCAGGCAAACGCCTCATGCGCCTCGGCCTCATGCGCGAACTCCACGTCGGGCAAAAACACCCCGGCATCGTCGTAAGCCCGAAAGCCAAAACCCTCGTGAGTCCCGCGGACAGAGGAATTCTCGAACAATACGGCGCAGCGGTGGTAGAAGCTTCATGGAACCGAATTGAGGAAGTGCCGTTCGCGCGCATCGGGGGTCCGAACCCGCGCCTCCTGCCGTACCTTGTTGCTGCGAACCAGACGAATTACGGGCGGCCTTGGAGGCTGAATTGCGTGGAGGCGCTGGCGGCTACGTTTGCGATTTGTGGGCGGATGGAGTGGGCGGAGGAGATTTTGGCGAGTTTTTCGTATGGGCGCGCGTTTTTGGAGATTAATGCGGCGGTGTTGAGGAGGTATGCGGCTTGTAAGGATGAGGAGGAGGTGAAGAGGGCGGAGGAGGAGTGGTTGGCTAAGTTGGAGGATGAGTGGAAGGGGGATCGGGAGGAGAGGGAGGAGAACAAAGATGATGCGTGGCGGGGTGGGAATTTGAATCGAAGGGTGCTGGATGTGGAGGGGAGTGAGGATGAAGAAAGGGACGAGGATGACGAGGACAGTGATGCGAGCAGTATGGGTGGGATTCAACTCGGTGGACCCAGACCAGGCGAAATGCCTCCGTCAGACGACGAGGAAGGGGAGGAAGACGATCCATTCGGGCTACCGCCCTCCGACGATGAAGAAGAAATGGCGGAACTCAGGCGGAAAGTCCTGGCTTCCAAACCCTTCGCGAATCCCCAGCCTGTCCCCGACAACGACGACAGCCGCACAGCACCCGAGCGTATCCAACGACCCGTCGAGACGCACACAAATGGACATGCGGCTACCTTACCGGAAGACTCGGACGCCGAGTCTGGTTCGGACGTGGGTGGGATTGATGATGACGAGTTCGACAATATCATGAATGCGGCGCCCATCACGGACCGCACGGGCATCACGGCGGCGCAGCGGAAGCGGGCGATGGAGAAGGAGGGGAAGTTGAGTGCGACGTTTAGCAGGAACGTTCTCCAGGCCGCGCCGAGGAGGTGATAATGGGTGTAATCTGCTATGTGCCGACGACGATGATTCGCCGCATTCCCGCACCACGTGGGTTGCATGATGAAAACACCATGAGTGCTCCGATGAGCGTACTCCTTGTTCGGCATGCGCGCTTGGTGCCCTCTAGATCTTCGGGCATTCTGATAGCCCCCAGCGGCTGCTCCGGAGGTCGTTCTCCTCGAGTCCCCGAGGTAGATAGAAACCCGACGCACGTCGATATGGCGTCTTGCCCATTCTCAATCCTTTCTTTGAGGCATTGCAACCTGCACTCACGCATGTCGTGACCGCTTGTAGACCTGTTCTCGGATACTCCTAATCCGAACGCTCCGAGGATGGACAGCAAACAAACAGAGCATGCTAGATTTCTGGTGGAGGCTGTATCACGCCTCTTGCAACGTTGGAACCGAGAATCACTGTTCACAAGGGTTAGCATCTGCACTCGTGAAAGGCAACGGCACGGATGGAAGCAGCGTGACTCACCCAACCACGTCTGTAGCAACACACAGGTCAGCAAATGCTTCATAATAACGACATAGGACAGATTGCGACATACCAAAAACACAGCACCAATAATCCAAAACGCAAAAACCGCCAGCCAGCTCTGGCAAGTGCTATTCTGCTGCAACCACGCGAGGGTATTGAGATTCGCTCCATGGAACTGGTTATGAAAGACATAAGTCTGGCAATGGCTGCTGATGTCCGAAGCCGGGCCGAACAGCTGCAGCGCCGTCTCGACGATGCCGGTGATGTAGAGGGCGGTGAGGACGAAGGCGCCGATCATGACGACGCCGGGGAGCAGGCGGCGCTGGTAGATGAGGATGAGCATGGCGATGATGAAGAGGACGGTGAGGGAGCCGACGGTGATGCCGTAGGGGAGGATCCTGGTTGCTATTAGCTATTCAATTCTTTCTTAATTTGATTTTGAGAGGGAGGGAGTGAACTCACCATGGAATCCCAAAGCCCAACTGCTGCTGGTCGATCACGAACACGGCGAAGATGCCAATCAGCGTGCCGCCCGTCGCGAGCATGACGAGGATCCACGCGTTTAGTTGTTGGTCGGGCCAGTAGTAGTTTGAGCGTACAATCACCCGCTCTGTCTCGCGGATGGAGCGCGAGCGCACCGAGGAGCGCGCCATGCTGCTATGGTGGAATGTCGATGTTGTCCTTCTCTTTCGTCTCTTTCTCCCGTGTGCCGGACGGATGGGTGGACTGTTCGTTGCTCCGCTTCTGTGCGAGTTTTAAGGTCCGAGTCTGACGAAGAAGAGGCGAGTGATGCGTGTAGAAGAGGCGGTTCACAAGGTGACGAGGACTCGAGGCGGGGTGGCCGGGTTGCAACGATGAACGTCGCCTTGCAGCGCGTGCGTCGAGGTAGACAGGAAGAATGCGACAAACGCAAGAAGACGGATAGTACACACGTCCGACAAGAATCGACGGAGAATAAAGTGACAGAAGAACCGGAGAAAATGGGTGTTGGAAAATACTCCGAGCCTGATGGATGGGAAGCGTGAAGCTGGATGTGGGTCGCGGGGTTGGGTTGGAGGGAGTGGCTGGGTGTGGCTGGCGGGCGGATCTTCCATCACCAGCGAAGACCCTCGAATCGCCGGGCTGGTCAGGTCCATTAATGAATGAATTGAAATGTACAACGCTATCTAATGCTTCCCATGCCTTGCAATCCCACCCGGTCAAACAGATACACCCCTATGCAACGCGCTGCCATTTGCGGCTCTTCATGACCGTGGTAATGGCATGCCGGATGGTAATGCCCGCCTTCTCCGTCTCCTTCTTCGACAGCCCGCTCGTGACGCACACCTTCAGCGCTGGCGGCGGCTGCCATTCCTTCGACAGCTCGCGCGGACTGGCGCCGAGCGCGATGGGCATGGCTTTCAGTCGGGTGATGAGCACGCCGTTGAGGAGAGCCTAGGTTGTACGTTTTTGTTAGCGGACAAGTCCTTTCGGGAGAGGGATGGTGTGGTGCGACTCACCTCGTCCACGCAATCTTGCAGCAGGTTCTCTTGATCGAGAATCGAGAGTTTGCGCTCTTCCACCACCTGCTCCTTCAACACCAGCAGCATCACCGGGTTGTCTGGCGCACTGGTGCAGCGCACCCACTCACTCCGGGGATCCAATTGCGGCCACATGGTTCGAATGTTCTCCCGCAGTCCTTGGATGATGCCAGGTTGCTCTTGCAGCAGCGTCACCGTCTCACTCGCCGTCGTGGCTAGTAATGCAGGCAGCGCAGCGGAGAAGGTATACGCCGCAGCGCTGAGGCGTTGGTGCTCCACAATCTCCTCTGTGCCTGCGCAGAAGCCGCCACCAGACGACAGCGCGCCCGCCAGCCCGCCGATGATCATGTCGATGTTGACAGGGTCGACGTTCTGATGCTCGGTCACGCCCTTTCCGCTGCGGCCCAGAATGCCGTACGACCACGTCTCGTCCAGCAGGAGACGGAACTTGTACTTCAGCTTCAGCTCGATGAGAGCAGGTAGGTCCACCATATCGCCGACGTTTTCGAACAAGCCTTCGGTCACGATGAAGCGCCGCGTCAGAGGTTTGCCTCGTCCTTCTTTGACCACGCGCTGCAACACGCGCTCCAGATCCTTCATGTCGTTGTGCTCGTACCACCGCACGGTACTCCTGGAAATCTGCATGCCCTTGCGAATAGGGAAGTTGACCGCCTTGTCGGCAACAATGACATCGCCGCGCTTGCAAAACGCAGGAATCACGGAGCTGATGGTAGAGAAGCTCTGCGCATAAATAATCGCCGCCGGCAAACCGACGTGACTCGCAATGTCCGCCTCGCTCTTCATATGCACGTCCTGCGTACCGTAGAAGCCCGGCGGACTGCACGGCCCAACACCATATGTGCGCACAGTGTTGATCGCCTTCTGCGCCAGTTCCGGATGATTGGCGAAATTGTAATGATTATAACTCGCCAGATTCGTCACCGTCCGCCCATTCTGCAACTTGACTTTCGGCCCGGAGGGCCCAACAACGACCGGCCGCCGCTCATTCTCCACGCGCTCAAAGTCCGTCTCCTGCGTCGCGATGGGCTCGGGTGTCCAGTCCTCCACCAGCTCCTCAATCTCCTCCTCCGTCAGGTGCACGTGTTTGTTCTTCTTGGTGCTGTACGTCGGCGCGAGCAGGTAGCGGACGGCGAAGATGAAGAGGAAGAGCTCGACGAGGCTGCGGATGGGGTCGTTTTGGTAGGAGGAGCGGATGTAGCGGATCACGATGGCGGAGCCGGGGATGCGGTGGAAGGAGGCGACAACGGTGTCGATGAAGTGCAGGGCGGAGGTGGGCAGTTCCGTGCCGTGCAGGGTGGAGAGGTAGGTGGTGTTCATGGTGGGTGGTTGGTTTGCGGCCGGGACTCTGCTATCGTTGTCGCATTGCTGGGTGGTGTGTACATGTAGTTGGAGAGTTGCAGAGTCGAGGCGGAGGGTGATGGATGACAAGCACGGGTCTTGCCGGCTACGGAAGTGCGTTCTTCTGGTAGGGATCTACAATTCTTCGAAAGAGAGACACATTACTGAGGCACGGGTGCAAGTATTCGACTCGACGTCTGAGCAGTGATGTCGCATCTATCCGTACCGCCTACGATGTCATTGCTCATCAAATCATGCACTTTCTCATCAATAAAAGACAGCCTTCCCACGAACCCGGCCCACGACTTTCACCATCGAACATGCCGTCTTTGGCTTTTATTTAAACTCGCGGGAAGCCAGCCAGCTCCAAACTCTCCCCAAACTCAAACGCGAAACGTCGCGTACCCCACGGCGCGCCCGAAAAAAGCCGCGCTGCCTCACGAACAAGCAATCCAAGAGCAGATTGAAACGCAAAACTTGCATTGGTTCGCAGTGACATGACACCTCGCTAATCCCGTCTCATCTTTCTCCCCCTCCTCCTCTCATCAGCTTAAAAAGCAGCAAGTAAAAACAATTCCCCGCTTCGGGGGGAAGGGTAAAATTCAAGAAAAACGCGTCTGCAGCCAGCGCGCGCCGTGCACGAGCTAATCAAAAAGTTGGCCGGCCTTGCGCTGCTGTGGCGGGCTGAGTATATGATGATTCGGGGAAATGCACCCCTGTCCTCTTTGCTCGCTCGTAATCACCCCGCTGCCCCCGCTCGTCCAGCTGGCCCTTCTGCCCCGTTGGCTCATGCGCTGTCATGATGGCTGGCCTTGAATCACGCGGTGCGCGCCTCTTGCGCATGCCGCGAGCACGTCGAGAAGGTGCGAGGGCTCGTGCGCTGGCGCTGGGGCTCCGGAAAGGATGGATTCGACTTTGTGTCGCGTGCGGATGGGTGAAGGAGATGTAGCAATTGGAAGAAAAGCTCGTAAAGGTCATCAGAAACGCCGTAATGCCGTGCGAAAAGCGATATTCGTTTGAAGGGGTGTGTCATTGTGAAGAGACCAGCTCGCCGCCCAGTTCCATGCCCAGACCGTCCGTCCGTCCGTTCCGCGTGAGCACGGGACTGCTGGTCGGAGGCATGAGATTGTCGAAATTTAATTTTCGCCTGGCCTCTCTCGCTGCGGCGGGCGTCCTGCTGGCGATGGGTGTGCGGCTCCAGGATACCTGCGCGGGGCTGGGAGAGACGTTGACAAAGTCGGCAAAGTTGAAATTCGTGCCGGGCGTGTTTGGACCGAAGCCGAAGAAGGAACCGCCATTCATGCCGGGGGTCATGTGCGATGACGGGAGGGGTGTAGATTTGCAGGGTGGCGTGGAGGGAGGTTGCATTACGGCGGCTTTGCTAGTTCGCGGGTTGTCGACGGACGGCGAGGCGGCCAGGTAGAGAAGTAGATCCGCCCCTTCCTCGCCTTCCCTCGGCGTGCGTGACCAGGAGACGTTGTGTGTCTTTCGCATTCGTCGGTCGGGAGGGGGTGTCTGAGGCGGCGAGGATGTGATGCGGGTGGATGCGTTGATGCTGAAGCTGTGCACGGGAAGGTCGGAGTCGTCCTCTTCGCTGAACTCGGGTGACGGCGGATCGTCGGGAACGGTAGAGTGCTCGGAAACGAAGGACACTTGAGTAGGGTTGTTGGAAGGAAAGCGCGCATGTTTGGTGTGCACGATGGGAGAGGACTGGGAGAGGCCGTGGTTGGACTTCCAGCCCCCCTGTCTTCCTGCTGTCGTTCGGTTCCTGCGTCCGGTCATGGCTCCCGAGGATTGTAATCGCGGGATGTTGTCTCCTGACTTGGTCCTCTTACTGCCATAGCTGCTGCCGGAGCGCGGGAGCTCGTCGGAAAAGATGGGTGCGGTGAGAGGGGATGAGGCGGGGCCGGCGCTGGAGTGCACTCGGCTGGAGGTGGTGGAGGCGGTGTCGGAGATGGTGTCGTTGCTGGACGCCGCCCGCTTCCTCCTCACGCGCTCTTCGATCTTGGGCTCAATGGCATCCAAGCTCATGTGCTCCCAGCCATTCTGGATTTTGACGTTGGCGAGTGCAAGACGGTCTTGGAGGGCGCGAGTCATCTGGGTAGCAGAGGGATTAGCATCAGCATTACCCAGCCAATGGACGGAAGGAGATGTACCTTTGAGACATGAGCACGCCGCAACACCTTCATGGCCACCTCAGCCGGGTCGTCGAGCTGATGCGTAGCCGCCATGATTGGGAAAGGAGCGGTCGCCAGACAAAATGGGATGATGTGTGGTCGGAGAGCACGGCGGCAGCGTCAGGCCAGGGTGTGGTGTGCAGGGGTCCAGCAGGGTGTGGAAAGTAGAGAGGAAGAAGGGTCTCAGCAGATCGCAGATCGTAAGGCGGCGGCGGTAGGTGGTGTGTTTGAAGGGTGGGAGTGAAATGGGCGAGTTAGGTTAGGATTGCGGGTTGCACAAGGGCGAGCTTCTCTCTCGCCTTCTCTCGCCAGTACTGGTGGATCAGCGATCGTACCCGCTTGCCGCCGTCCAGCCGCGGCGCCCCAAGCGTCTGCTGTGCAGCTGGCTCGACCACCAATTGCGTGCCCGCTGCACTGCGAGTCAGCGCCAGGTTTCTCCCTGTCGTTTCCAAGTCTAGCGGAGGTGTTGGCTCTATCGCATTGGCAGATGCAAGCGCTCAATGGATCATAGATGTCTTGATTATGACCTTGACTCAATATCTATGAAGCTGTGCCGAGGTGGTTGGGATGAATGTCGTGTGCTGGTCCAGACTCTCGGCTCGACATATCCGCCTCCTCTCTCGCCCCAATGCCGCATGGCACTGGAATTCTCCGACCAGCAAAGATCTTGAAGCGATGCAGCCATGCACTCCTGGATCATTCGCTGGGCAAGCGACCAGCACGGCAACGCACCGGACCGCCCACTAGCCCTCTCGACTCCAGAATTGCTCGCCTTGCCGCCCGTAGTTCGGCACTGCTGGGAACTGCCGCTTGGCATCGATCACTATGTGCTTTGCCTCGAAGCGAGATTGGCGCAGGGGCAATTCTTTTCTTTCAGCAATACTACAGTATATCGCTCACCCCTTCAGTCAGAGTTTGATGTAGAGCCTGAGGCCGCAGTCCTTGGCAGATAGTCAGCACCAGGCTGACTGCAATGATTTGAGAAAGATAAGGTAGACATGGGAGAAAAGTTTATCACGTGCAAACCATGGCAGATGGTCGTCCGGTCCGGGTTAGGCCCTGCTTCATCCAGTCAATGCCGTCATGTGCGGGACAGAACGTTGAGATTTCGTGCTGGTTGGCTACTGGCCACCCCACGCCGCGCGATACACCACCGCCTGGCATGACAGGGACCAGGACAGATGCTCGCCGTGCCAAGCTGCAGCTGACGACGGAATGGAGAGGTCGTCCAGCTATTTTCGTGGCAAGCTTCCGGAGCACCTCGCAAGCTCCGAAGTGCAGGCAGGTCTAACTGCTTTGTGCATCCCACTCAACAGATCTCTCCTCCCAAACTCGTCCATGATCTGAGACACTGCGCAATCCAGGATTTCCCTCCCTCCCAACCAACCTGAACCCTTCCCCTTCCGTCTCCCTCTTGCCTGCTTTTGATTTCTGGTCGAGCCGGATTTGATAGTCCCCGTTTGCTCGCATCCTCCCCCGGTCGCTACTGCCTCTCTTTTCTTTCCCGCGCTTCCTTGCCTCCAGTTCCCCCATTGAAACCCCGGCATTCGTTTCACCTTGCCGCACCTCTACCTTAAATCCTCCGACTCGACCGACCTTTCCCGCCAAAGGAAGTGACACGGGCTTTTTGTGGCAACGGCGCACATCTCAGCCCCACCCACCATCATCGTCACAACCACCGCCATCACCACCATCTCTTTGTTCTCCACCTCGCATCCTCCCACTCCGCATCGCCGCCGTTTCCACCCATCCTCCCTCACCGTCCCCACCACCTCCACCACCCTCTTGCAGGACCATCGCGCGGAGTGAGTGGTGATGCCTTCCTTCCTCAAGGACCTCAGCATTCGCCGACGCTCGAAAGCTTCCTTTCAAACCCCCGAGAGCGGTCCATCATCCGGCAACTCCAGCAATGATGGCGAGGTCGCCGAGACTCCGCAGAACCGCAACAAATCCTCCTCCACCCTCAGCTCGTGGTTCGACAGACAATCTCCCGCCACCACCCTCTCCTCCAACAAGACCAGCCGATCGAGCAGCAATCTCGCCGGCATGAATGGCGCAGGCACCAAGACACCCCCACCCGTCCCCCTCAACTCGCGCCCGGGCCTGCGCACCAGCCCCAGCAGCAGATACAGCATCGTTGGCATGCCCAGTCAAAATGGCGATGGTACTCCACGCCCTACACCTGCCACCTCTCCCTTTGCGCCCAGAATCCTCTCGGTCTCTGATGGCTCTTGGGTGCATCAGAAAGTTCTCTTGCTCTTTGGCCAATGCGCCGACCCTCAGTTTCCGATTGACGGCAGCTTGACCCTCTACCATCACGGCGACCACTTCCCGCCCACTCAATGGCCAGTGTGCGATTCGCATTTCAAGGCGCTCGTCTACCTGCAACCCGGCCCCAACCGTTTGCGACTCGAATTCTTCTCCCCCAAACTCTCCAACCCGAACGGACAGATGCATGCCCACTCCTCGTGGATCAACATCAACTTCCTTCCCCTCATCGCTTCCCCACCTTTGCAATTGTGCATTCTCGTCGCCAAAGACTCCCCCGAAACCTACGATGCCGTGCCAGAGAGAGTTCAGAAAGAAGGCAACGGCCTGGCAACAGCGGTGCGCAAGTTCCGCATGGCCGCTTATCTGTGGCAAGCTTTTACGGCCGAGCAAATGAATCGCAACGGCTTTGGCAGAAGAAGCTATCGCTATGAGGAGGAATGGCAACCGGGAACGTTGACATGGAAGGACATCGAGAGCGGAAAGATGCGCAACGAGGCCAAGATCCACGTCGTGCGAATGCCGCAGACGGTCGCGGAGATACAAGACCTGGACATCGCACAACAGTACGACTCCGCGAAGAGGAAGGGGCAGCTGTTTGACATTGCCAAAGACGCGGTGCGTGCCTATTTTGGACCACGACCCGGTCAGCCGCAGTACGTCAGCTGCATGTTCCTCGATACACACTGGGACAAGAAGGTCGGCACAATCCGAGGCCATGCTGCTCTGGGCGGAGGGGACGAGAGCATCAAGCTGGCCATATTCGGCTCGCATTGCTTGCAGTCCTATCCCGCGCACATTGAAGAGGTCGTCCCTGCATTTTCCGACTGCACGCGAACCGATACGAACCATGTCGCCAACGACTGCAACGAATCTGGCAGCAACTGGGAGGCGGCGAACATCGGCATCGGGGCGCATCTCCACGAAAATGGCCACTTGTTTGGCTGCCCGCATCAAGAATCCGGCCTCATGTTACGAGACTACACGAGACTCAACCGCACATTCACGTGTCGAGAGCCGTACTCCACCAGGACAAAGCAACAAGGACAGCGATTGTGCCTACCCAAAGACGAGTGCACATGGCATCGATTAGACGTGTTGCGCTTCCGGTTCCACCCCTGTTTCGTGCTTCCCAGCGATTCCTCGACCGCAAACATCGACGCGAGCGTACAAGTGTGGAGCGTGGAGAGCGGCGCAGTCCTCATCACAGCCGCCAGCGGCGTCGCTTGGGTCGAGCTGTACCCCGAAGGAGACACCGAGTGCCATCATTGGATCGAGTACTTCGAAGAAAGCGGATCTCCCTCTGGCGCACCGCGACAGGTCACGCTGGGCGAGAAGGAGCTGAAAGAGACCCTACCCGAAGGCAAGCGCAAGAAGAAGCTCAAGATAAAGGTTTTCTCCTGCGGCGGCGCCGAGCACGAAGTCGAAGACCTCGCCAAGCTCACCAGCAAGGAAAGCAACGTCAAGCTCCCCGACGGCCGCACCGGCTTCAAGGGCGCGAAGCTCGGCTTCTCCGGCACGGATGGCTCTAAGCCCTCGCAAGCCATGCTGCTGACGAGCATGAACAAGCCCATGATGTTGCTCTCCGTCCGCGTATACCACGGCCGTAGCGTGGACGGAATCGAGTTCTTCTACGAAGAAGGTCGCAGCGAGCTGTTTGGCAACCGGGGAGGGAAGCCGGGCGGGAGCGATTTCGCGCTCGACCGTATGAAGGCCGAGACGATCATCGGGTTCTACGTGCGCGCGGGCGCGTGGATTGATGCCGTGCAGATTCTGACGAGTACCGGGCGGCGCAGCGAGGTGTTTGGTAATGCCACTGGTGGATCGGGGTGAGTTTCTGGCCTTCGTTGTTGCATCGCAAGCTGTTCTGAAGCTAACGTGCGGCAGTCACACTCTTATCCCTCCTCGCGGATACAGCATTGCGGGCATCTACGGCACTTGTGGACAATGGGTCGATGGCTTGGGACTAATCATCACTCGGTAATAGAAGGGACAGCGGCGCTCTTTTGGGACATGGTTGGCGGAAGCCAGCCTGGCATTTGCGGATGCGACGAGGGAATTCTTCGCAATGGGGTGTCGTATCAGGGTAATAACATGCGATGACGAGAGTAATGAGTAGGAAAAGACACGGGCACGTGAAAAGTCGGGTATGAGGCCGACGGGTTTCCCATACGGTTAGATGGAAGCATTCACCTTAATACCGCATAATGGCTTCGCATGAGGCATTATTTCCCCGAATTCACCACTCGCCCTTCGCCACCTCTGTCAACACATCCACCACCACTTTCAAATCCCTCTCCACATCCACCATCCAACTCGCCACCGCAAACCTCGCCGCCGCCTGCCCTTCCCACACCGTCCCCGAGACATAAAGCCGCCGCAAAGCATTTAACCGCTTCACGAGCCCGGCATTCAACTCCGCGTCTCGCGCGCGGAAAAGCACGATGATGTAAATCTCACCCTCCGCCATTCCGCGCGGGAGTAATTCGTACTCCGCGCTGGACCCGATGTAGCGTGCTATCGCGCGCGCAAGCCGGATTTGGCGCTGCAGCATGCTGCTGTACCCTTCGCGGCCGTAGGCTGAGAGGGTGGCGTAGACGGGGAGCGCGCGGAAGCGGCGGGAGTTTTCGATGCCGAGGTTTAGGGGGGAGGGGATTTGGTGGGCTGTTGTTGCTGTTGTGCTTGGGATGTTGAGGTAGGTTGCGTTGGGGTTTTGGAAGATGTGCGTTCCTAGGGCTAGGTGGCGGGAGAGGAAGATGCCGCAGTCGTATGGCTGAAGTATAGAACATTAGGAGATGGGTGTAGCGTAGTGCAGGGGAAGGTGAAGAGTGAAATGACTTACCACGTTCAGTAGCTTGTGGGCATCGCCTGCAATGGAGTCGGCGAGCTCCAAGCCTGCTACGCCTTCCAGGATTTTGCTGAACTCTTCTCCTTGTGGAAGCGCTCGAGCAAGAAGGCCAAACGCAGCATCAACGTGTAGCCAAGCGCCATGCTTGTCGCACAGCTGTCGAAGTCGCTGCATATCTGCGCCAGTGGTCGCGAACAATCCGGTATTGACCTCACCACAAGACACCGCTATTATATATGCGGTGCGCGGCAGCTGGAGAGCAGCTTCTAGCGTTGCCCAATCGATTTTATGTCGTGGAGTTGGAATGCCGACGTCCTGGACGCTTGCTCTGCCCAAGCCAACGATGGACGCTGCCTTGCGCAACGAAGAGTGCGGCACAGTCGTAAGAACACGAACCTCGCCCACCCCAGCGGCTCGCATTGCTCCTGCAATTCCGAGCTCCGCGACGCTGGCATCTGCCGATGCTGCGGCCCTTTGCAGAACAAACTCACGCCCGCACGCTAGGCCTAGCACATTACTCGCCGTAGCTCCAGTCGAGAAGATGCGATGGGGCCATTGCTCCGGTTGCAAAGCCAGTAGTTCACACACCATGCTCAACGCGCGGTCGTCGACATCGGTAGCTACCGTATCGTTCGGAAGGTGGACTTGCGGACTTTGGTCGGCTTGTGTGGCGATGTTGTCGCCGAGGACTGCCGCTGGAGTCGTGCCTCCTGTCACGAAGCCGTAGTAGTAAGGTGATTGGCTCTGCCTGTTGAAGCCTGGGACCAAGTCTTCATAGAGGTGTCGTCGCGCCTCTGCGAGTCCAATGCCTTTGCTCGGCAGCGTCTGGATGAGTTTGGAGCGAGCATTGTGAAGTTGTTCTGGGGATGGCAGTATGTCGGCGGCAAACGTGGAAGGGTCTGCGTCCATTACGGAGATTTGACATATGAAAGGAATAGAGCGAATGGAAGAAGGTGAAGATGAAAATAAATGTCTCACAGGAGTCATGCGCGCCCTACGTGGTGGACCAGCGGGCTTGACAGCGCGGCCGACGAGACTACGGGCATCTCGGGTGCACGCGCACGATAGTGTTGTGTCGATTGGAATCGATGCTATAGAGGAGCACAGGCTATAAGAATGATGATAAGGCGTAAGTATCAATATCTGCGTAGGCTCAGAGAGTGTACGGAGGTGGATGCCTGATGGGCACATGGAGGTCACGTTACTCAGAGGTCGGAGCGTGTTTTAGCGCCAACCTTAATCCACTGCTTGGCGCGTCCGCCTGGACTTCACGGATACACAACCACTTCAGTGTCAACTACAAGTCTCCCACCGGAACCTGCGATGGATTGTCTCGAAGCTATGGTCGTCCAAGATGACACGCAATAATCTGGCTGACCACTTGTCGTGGCTGCTCCAGACCAAGGCGACCATCCCATCCGCGGAAAACGACCTCCCACCAGCCTCGGACTCGTTCTCCTCCACCATCCCGTCGCAATGGAATGCCCCGGCCCATGATGAGCAGATAATACCTCCGGCGCCCCGAACGATCGAACCTAGTGTTTCTGAGCAGACGCCTCCGGCAGAGAGGCAAGAGATGGCGAAGTTACGCATAGCACCTGGCTCGATGGGAAAGACCAATCTGGTCTCATTGGGGTTACCGCTGGCCAATACTACGCCTTCTCGCGTACCGGATACCTCACAGTTCGGACGAAAGCCAGATAAGCCATTCTTGGCGGCCACGAAGACTGCTCCAAGCGCGGCTCCGAAGCAACCAAGCAACGCACCTTCGTTTCCCAGCAATGTAGAGATCATGGATCTTACAGAGCTCTCTGGCCAGGCCGACAACGCTGGAGGTGCGAGGGGCCGCAAACGGAAAAGCTCGGACATGGCCGGAGATTATGCGGAACAAGATCCTGCGCCACACTCGCTCAGCAAGCGTCCATCCACGAATCTCGCCAATCGAGCGGCATCCCGCATCTCGCAGCAGAGCTTCACCGCAATCGACGAGATCATGGACGAGTCTACAACAGAGCCACCGCCTCCGTACTCGACCATTGCTCCCCGGCCAAATACTCAGAAGCCACGAACACCGCTTCCTGGACTGAGCAAGAAGTCAGGTCCACCGACGGCTCCTGCGGTCCCAGCTGCCAGAGACCAGCCAATGGTCCCCGACTCGGACGGTTTCGATGATGATAGCATTGTCAACTTCTCTGGTGCACGGTCAAGGATGGACCGTGGCTCGGTCTGCCCTGCATCATCACCCATTAAGCCAAACGTGGAACAACGAAGGACAGATCCCGCGGTGGAGACATTCCCCATAGGCAATGGGACCCGTCAGCTTGAGCCAGCCAACGACAAGCCTGCCTCCCTGGGATCGCAGGGGGCGAATGAGTCTACGGCAATGCGGCAGCATCCTTCTCCTGCGCCACAGATTAACGATATGCGATCAACACCCGCGACCACAACATCTGGGGAGCTTTCGGAAGATGCCGCCATCCTGGAGCGAATCTTCCAGTTGAGCAAGGCTCAACACGACAGACTTAGCGCCGAGCTAGATGCGACCTACGAACAAGCAGTGACTGCCGCCACTGATGAGATTGAAGCCGGTGGAGGGGCGGATGAACTACTTCAAGAAGTCGATCGCATCGGTGAGAAACAAAAGGCTCTCAAGTCACTTCTGGCCAAACATGAAGACTTCAAGGTGCTTAGTGGGGAGAAGAAGGTCTTGTCAGAGGCCTTGAGACAAGCTATCCGCAGTCGTCAACCCCACCACGATGCATCTGCCGCCAGCCGGGCATGCAAAGAGAAGATGATGCAGCTGGAAGTGGAATGTCTTGGGTTTCTCGACGTTTGCCGATCTGAGGTTGACTGTTTTCTCGAGGAAGAGAGCGAGAAGGAAAGCAGGCAACGAGCCAAAGTTGTTGCGATTCAGTCAACCCAGCTTCCAATTCTGCCTCATGGCGGAAGAGATGCAGCTATCCCCAGCTCAAGCCGGATTGCGCAGACCCAAATGGCCAAAGCCGATATACCACTCTTTGACGACAGACCCCGCCAGTCGAAGGAAGTGGGTCACGGCAACGATACACCCAACTTCGAGACCTACTTTTCGCCGAGTCGCCGGCAGCGTAACAGCGAGCCGAGAAACGGCAAAGGTCTGGTTCGGTTTGAGGAGAAGAGCAATCACAATGCAATGCTAGATGATGCTTTTGGAGACTTCGACGACACCGAAACCTCTATCGAGAGCAACCATCTGTTCAGCAACAGAATGGGTACCCCGCCCCCCCGAAGCTTTGATCATGGAGAAGACGACTATGGCCTTGATGATGATGACGATATCATCGAGCTCGCAGAGGACGTCGAGAACCGTGGTTCGACACGGCACACACCACAGTCCAGCAACCTTCGCCCGGTCTTCACCGAAATAGCCATCAACTCCAAGCTTGCACCCTTAGGATCGAGCGGCAAAAAGACGAAGAAGACACCGAAGAAGACAGAGGATCCAGATATGGAGAGGCTGTTCAATTTCCGCTGGTCCGACGATGTGAAGGAGACTCTGAAACGCAGGTTCCGTCTGCGCGGCTTCCGCGAAAACCAGCTGCAAGCCATTAACGCCACTCTTGCGGGCAAAGACGCATTCGTTCTCATGCCCACCGGCGGCGGCAAGTCCTTGTGTTATCAATTGCCCTCCCTCATCCGGAGCGGCAAGACATCTGGCGTCACGGTGGTTATATCGCCGTTGCTGAGTTTAATGCAAGATCAAGTCCAGCATCTGCAGGAACTGGAAATCCAGGCCTTTCTGTTCAACGGCGACACGCCCACCGGAGAGCGAAATGGCATCATGAACGCCATGCAAGAGCGGAATGTGGAAGATTACATGCAACTTCTCTACGTGACTCCGGAGATGTTGGGCAAGAGTGCGTCGATGATACACAACTTTGAGCGGCTGCATCGTCGGGGCAAGCTGGCGCGCATTGTCATCGATGAGGCTCATTGCGTGAGTCAGTGGGGCCACGATTTCCGTCCGGACTACAAGCAACTTGGGGAAGTACGGAAGAAGTTTCCCAACGTGCCCGTCATGGCGCTCACGGCCACTGCTACGGAGAATGTCAAAGTCGACACAATCCACAACTTGGGCATGGATGGGTGCGAAGTCTTTACGCAGAGCTTCAACCGGCCGAACCTGTACTATGAAGTTCTTCCCAAGCCAAAGGGCAAGGGCGACGTTGAGGCCATCGCAAACCTGATCAAAGACAAGCACGTCAACCAAACTGGCATTGTGTATTGTCTGTCAAGGAAGAACTGCGAAGATATGGCGGAAGCTCTGAAGGAGCGGTACAAGATCAAGGCAGAACACTACCACGCCGGGCTGGACACCAAGATTAAAGCCGAGGTTCAGAGGAAGTGGCAGGCGGGCAAGTATCATGTCATTGTTGCGACAATTGCATTTGGCATGGGTATCGATAAGTCTGACGTTCGCTACGTGATCCATCATTCCATGCCGAAGAGCCTGGAGGGTTACTATCAGGAGACCGGGCGAGCCGGTCGCGACCAAAAACCCTCCCACTGCTACTTGCTCTATGGATACCACGATGCAGGTCGCATTCGCACGATGATTGAGAAGAACGAGAATTCCAGTTGGGAGCAACGACAGAGGCAGTATGACATGCTTCGCAACGTGGTTCAATTTTGCGAGAACAAGAGCGATTGCCGCCGCGTCCAAGTCCTGGGATACTTCAATGAGCGTTTCCACAAAGACGACTGCGAGGGACAATGTGACAATTGCACCTCGGGCTCCCATTTCGAGACCGTCGACTTCACACAATACGCAGAGCAGGCCATCCGGCTGGTGAGCGCGATCCACCAGGACAAGGTGACGCTCCCTTATTGTATCGATGTCTATCGAGGGATGTCCAAATCGAGGATCAAAGCCAGTGGCCACGAGGATCTTCCGGATTACGGTGCGGGAAAGGACCTTGATCGAGGAGATGTTGAACGGCTGTTTATTCGCCTTTTCGGTGAAGAAGCTTTGGAAGAAGAGAACGTCGTCAACAAAATGGGCTTCGCCAACCAATACGTCAAGCTAGGCCAGAATTTCGAAAAGTTTGGCAAAGGCAGACAGCGCCTGTACATGGATATCCAATCCAGGGCAGTGGTCGGAAGAGCGGCGGCAGCTCCACGCAAGAAGCGTACCAAGAAAGATGAGACGGCAGAGACGGCAGAACCTGCTGGCCGCAAGAAGAAGGCGGCGAATGCCTCGAAGAAGACTGCGCCAGCCCTCCCGCTGTCTACCAACGTCTCTTCGCCGCTGCAGTTCGAGACTGCTCGGCAACAAGGCAAGAAGGCGAGCCGTGGCCAGCTTCACACGAACGGATACAGTCGCGACGATTTTGTTGTGTCCGATCCCGTGGACGAAGACTATTTGGACGCGGACGAGGACGATGATGATTTCAGCGACGCATTCGAGCCAATCCGCATAGCGAAACAGCCACGCCGCGAGCGCGTGCGAGAAATGGGGCCGCCAATCACCACCGACGAGAAGATGGCGAACCTCAACGACATGCATCGCATAGTCGTGGACAATTTTCTGGTAGAAGCGAGGAAGATCGCAAAGAGCATCGCGATTGACAAGAGTCTGAGAACCGTCCCGTTCACGGACACTTTGCTGCGCATCATGGCCATCGACTTCACGGAAACAGAGGAGGACATGCTGCGCATCCCTGGCATTGACGCCGAAAGAGTCAAATTGTATGGCAAACGCTTCATCCCCCTGATCAAGAAGGTTCACCGCACCTACAACGAGATGATGGGCATCGAAATGGAAGAACCGAACCCAGACGCCCGCAACGTCATCGATCTCGTCAGCGATGATGACGAAGACGACGACGATGAATACGGCAGCATTGTGGAATCTGATCTCGAAGAGGCCGAAGCCGGTGGCGGCGAGGCGAGCGTGTACTTTGGCAATCCCGCGGGCCGCCAGGCCTTCCATCAACGCTTCGAGCACAACTCTCAACCACCGCCGGCGGCGAAGAAGAAGGGATATGCGAAGGCTCCCAACAAAAAGGCGAAGAATTACAGGGCGGTTGGGAGTGCGGGCAATTTCAAGCGCGCTGGTGGTGGTGGTGGGTCGCGGTATGCTTCTAACTCGCGCGCGGGACCATCTGGTGTTTCGAAGAGGCCGGGGGGCAAGGGTGGGGGTGCTAAACGAACGAGTGGTGGTTCACGGCCGAGTGCTGCCGGGAGATCTGGAGGAGGTGGAGCGGGTGGTATCATGATGATGCCTACGTGAGTAGAGCTTGAGGATCCGGGTTGGCTCGTCACTGCCGCGAGTTACAGATCGAGCACGAATAGCTTGCGAGCGGCCGAGAGCGAGGAAGCTTGAAGCTCGATTCAGGGGGGTCCGGCAGGCTACGAAATAACGGTAGACTCATACAGCAGCTGGTAATGGGGAGGCTTCACCCGTCCCAATACCTCACATATCATTTAGTCCTCCGCCCTCGTCCTGTGGAGTCGCAAACTTTTGAACATTGACATGTCGCGGAGATGCGCCATCTAGGCAGCCAACGTCGAGCGCCAGACAAAGTGCCGAATTCTTCCGTCAGTCGGCGGTCAAAGGTATAATTTGGCTTCTCTCGGTGCAATAATCGCCGGAGCCGTTGGCCAGAGGTCGTCAACTCCCGAGAGTTGAATGCTGAAATGGCGGAGAGGCGGCCATTCAGGCAGCAAAGCTTGAGCGCGGCCCAAGTGCCGAGTGATGCCCGTCTGCTTGCCGGGCAAAGGTACAATTTGGCACATCTCGGTCCAGCGAAGTTCCTCGATGGTGGACCCACGAGTTGCCAAATTTCGAGAATGGATGTCACGGAGATGCGCCAGTTGGGCCATGAGCGGATGTCCCGCGGATCGCTGATGAGGTCGGCCTTGATCCGTTCTCAGTCATCTTTGGAATCCGCCTGATAGACATCAACGCCAAACATCTTCTTCACAACCCACGAATGGCCCGCAACGCTAGACCAAGGAGATTAGCATGACATCTACAGATCAATAGCAAATAGGAACAACTCACGAAATCGGACCCCCCCTCCACAAAGGCAGCACATCCCCCCTTCCCTTCCTCCTCCTCTCCAACCCGGCCAACAAAGTCCCCTCATTAAAAGCCCTTACATCCGCACCCCTCAACGCCCCAGTTCCAACATCAGCAGCCAGCGCCCACAACCCCACCGCATCCAACGCACTCTTCCACCCACCCACTTCCCTCGCAAGCCCCACAATCTCCCCACAAGAGTAATCCCTCTTCTCCTCTACCTTCACACCCTCGAGCAGCGTTTCCGTCACGCGGACGGACGGGACGTGGATGTTGAGGGAGAAGAAGGTGGTGTTGGAGAGCCAGAGGTGGCGGCCTAGAGCTATGGCTAGGGCGACGGGGAAGTCGAGACCGAGGGCTAGGTTGCCGGAGAGGGAGTCTTGGAGGCGGATGGTTTGGGTGTCTGGGTGGGGGGAGCGGTTGGAGTAGAAGGAGAGGAGGCGGTGGAAGGGGGGTGTTGGGGGGGTTGTTGAGGTTGACATTTTTGGAGGATGATGGAGGTTATGTAGATGGGGGCATTAGGGTTGTGGAATGAGTGAATGTGTTAGATTGCAATGGGGACCGCATGAGATGAGGTCGTGATGATGTCGTTGATACAGCCTGATATCTGCGTAATTTTAATCACGCCGTGCTCATTTGTGCGCAAACGACCTCTACCGTCTTCCACGTCTCCAATCTTCGACGCGCATCATTCCTCACAAGGATGCAACGCGCCATGTTGAACGGGCAAGGGAAGAAGAATTGGGAAACCACTCGTCCATTACTGCGACTATCTACTCGCACTCTGAAAACAGCTCGTCTCGCGAAAAAGCAAAGCTACACATACCCGTTTGATCTACGCTCCATAACACATGCATCAACAGCAGAGTAGATGTCACCGAGCACTCAAAGGTAAGCACTGGCGACAGGAGGGTCAAACGAGTGTGTGTGAGAAGAAGTGATGAGCGTTGCAATGAGCATCTCGCTCAGGATGTTCAGCACCGCGAGGGCGCTTAGATGAACAGCACCGCCATGGCAAGGCCGAGCACGGTGCACCCGGGCAGGTTGATGTCGAAGCCCTGAGCGGCGGCGCCGGTGTATGGCACAGGAGTCGGAAGACCGGTGCTGACGGTGCCGTTGGTCGAGGCACTCGGGTAGCCTGAAGAGGCGGTGCCCGCGGGTCCGGTGATGGCACCAGCGAGGCTGCTAGATGCCGACGGCGGCGCGTAGGAGTATCCTCCTGGAGCACCTCCGGCGGAAGACGAAGCAGTAGCTGGCGAGGATGCCACTCCTGACGATGCCGAGGTCGCGGCGGCGCTCTGTGGACTTGTCAGCAATGATCATTGAGGAGATGGAGGGTCAACTTACGCTTGCAGCACCGGAGGCCGAAGACGCACCAACGGATGAGCTTGCCAGCGTCAAGCGGCTTGTGCTGGTGATTGTCGATGTCAAGATCATGGTCGAAGTGGCCGAGATGGACGACGACGAGCCAGTGACCGCCCCGATGCTGTTGCTGCTGGGTGGAACTGCAGAGGCGCTTGCACTGTTGGAGGCTGGAGTCGACTGGGCACCGGCGGCACTCGAGGATTGGCTGGAGCCCACAGCGGGCGTGGTGTAGCCGACCAAAGAGGGCGAGGCGGACTGAGCACTGACCGCGTTAGACGATTGGCTGGCCGGCTTGGAGCTGGATGCAGCACCGGCCGCACTTGAAGATGTCTGAGCTGCCGAGGAAGGGCTAACCACAGAGGCTGGAGTGACGGAGGTGGCCCAGGTAGAGCTGGAAGATGCTGGAGCAGATGCCGATGCAGAGCTGGCTGAGCTGGCAGGCGACGAAGAAGACGCCGGAGCACTGGCTGGGCCGCTGGGAGAGGCACTGGCCGAAGTGGCACCGACTGACGGCGACCCGCTGGATGGAGCAGCGCTGGACGACGCGGGAGCAGAGGCAGACACGCTTGACGATGCTGGAGCAGATGCTGGCCCGCTTGATGACGCAGGGGCAGATGCCGAGCCGCTCGAGGATGCCGGGGCGGATGCTGGCCCGCTCGAGGACGCCACAGCCGATGAGCTGTAGGGCGAAAGAGGGCCGCTGGTTGACTGGAGCGTCAGGGTGGATGTTCCGGTGCGAGTGCTGGTGATTGTAATCGTGGACGCAGAGTTGGAAGCAGAGCCACTGTTGGTCTGGCCACCAGCTAGAGAGCTGCCCGACTGGATCGAAGCGGGAATGGACGACGAGGGAACGGACAAGCTGGAGCGGGTGACGGTGAGGGGGCAGACCGTGGTGTCCGTGGGAATGACCGAAGTGATGACCGAGGTGGACGAAGCCGGGCAGTTGGTGACGGAGGCAGGGCAGGAGAGGATGGTGATGGTGTCGGTGGAGTACTGGGTGGAGATGAACACGGCCGGCACCTCATCGATCACCATGACTTGAGTGATGACGGCAGCGGGCTCGGTGGAGAGCTTCGTCACGGTGGTGAGGTCCTTGGCTGCAGAGCGGTCAGCGGTGTGCGTGATGTGAGGAAGATGGATGCTGAATGCTTGCTTACCCTGCTGTCTGCCTTCGATGACTGCGGCGTGCGTGGTGGCCAGCAAACCAGCCGCTGCGACGGCAGCCTTCTTGAACTGCATCTTGCTTGATGTGGGAAGAGTGAGGTGACGTGAGGATAACGACGGTGAGTCTTGTCGACGAGAGCAACAAGAGGATGGAGAGTGGGAGATGAGGAGGATGGTGGAAAACGAGTGTGAAGAAGCTGTGAGAGCGGAAGCGAAGGTGGAAGTTTGTGTGGAAGGGAAGAGAAAACGTTGGGGACGCGTCAGGGAGAAAAAAATGGAAAGGGCTGGTGATGCACGCACGGGAGTGCCGTCGGGGTTACGTATGTTTGTGTTGAAAGAGGAAGGAACGTGGTGGGTGGGTGAAAGGGGAAGGAGCGAGTCGGCAAGCGCGTGCACGTGTCTGAGACCCAACATCCCGCATTCACGATTCAGCACTCACGAGACACATCAAGTGCTCTCCGCTGCGATGACCCGAGACATGGACGACGCACATGAGTCAAGAACAATCTGAATATGGGAGGCTCGTCTCGATGTGAAGCAATTGCAAGGCTGTACATGGCGTGATCCTGCCGGCGTTGCAGCCCTGCGACTTCCACCACATGCGATTGCAGCGATGAACCTGCCCTCAACGCCCTCTCGGTCTTTCCACTTCTCCTGTTGCCAATGCAACGGTCAGGAAGATGCAAGGCCTATTTCTTCTCCTCTCCTCGATCTTCTCTTCTCTTCTCTCTCTCCACCATCATCTTCCCAGCATCAGCATCCAGCATCTTCGCTCGTCTCATCGTCCACAACTTTCACACATCCATCCATCCACCAGCATCAATCTTCACAACACCAATCAACCATGCATATCAACACCCTTGCCGTCGTGGCCGCGGCTGCCCTGTTCAGCAGTCAGTCCTCATCCACCACCGCCTCATTGACATTTCAGCTGATCCTCCTCAGGCGTCTCTGCGTGGGACATCCACGACCGCGACATCAGCTGGTGTGGGCCTTGTAATGATTCGCCGAGGGAGAAGTGGAGCTTCGTCGAGTCCTGGTTCTGCGATTGGTTGATCGACTCTGGAACGTGTGGTATGTTTGAGACTATACCTCGCTCTTCGTCCCTTGTCTGACACTACTTGATCGTAGATCTGGACACACATCCAGACACATCTCCCCGCACAAAGACGACCTTCGAGTACCACACTCACACTGTCACTGATCGCCGCCGGGATGCTGCCGCAACCCCGACATCCGTCGAAGACATGGTCATCCCTCACCTTCAGCATGTGCCGGCGGCACTCTGTGAGGGCTTTCCCAAAGGCATGCGTCCATCTGCATGCAGTGAGTTGGCACCCAACCAGACATGCATCACTGCCACGGCTGACACTCTGCATCGTTCCAGGCGTGATCAGCGAGGCAACTCCTTCGAAGGTGCGAGCTCGTCGCTGGGAGGCCGAGACCGAGACCGTCACCATGCGCATCTACGAGACTGAGACCTCCACCGTCATGTCCATCCCGACTTGGTGCCTCAACACTCCGACCGCCACGCATCCAGCTCCGACCACCTGGCCGGGGATGACTACCCCGGCGCCGCCCCCTCACACCGAGCTTCCCCCGCCCGTCTGGACCATCCCGACACCCCCTCCTCACTTCGAGCTTCCTCCCCCGGTCTGGCACACGCCGGCACCGTCTCCCCCTCAATCTCCCGTGGTCAGCAAACCGACGACCTCCGTCGTCACCATCACCAGCGAGGCATGCACAACCTGCACTCCTCACATCTGGACCAGCACGGTGAGCCTGCCTCTCAGCCCGGTGCCGACGCCATCAAGCTCTCACTACACTTGGTCGTCTCCACCGTCCACTCCCTCCTCCTGGTCATCGACCACACCATCGTACCCCTCAACATCCGCTCCAGTGCATTCGTCTACGACTACACCGGCGGCTTACTCGCCCAGCACCACCGTCAGCTACTCGCACACCACTCACACCTACGGCACGATGAAGCCGATTTACACGCATCCGACGTCGATCACGCCGCCTGTTCTCGGCGGCGTGGGCAAGGTGGAGGGCAGTGTGTTGGCTATGCTGGCCTTTGTTGCGGCTGCGGTCGTTATTCCCGCATTGTGATTGCACTTTAGCTTGCTTGTATTAGTTGACGTCGTCAGAGATTGATAGAATGAGTTCACGATTACCGTCACCGATGCTTCATCTCGTTCATCTGCTCAAACCACCCTGCGCCGAGTTCCGAGGCTTGTTGTTCTGATCTAGTACCCTGTCGAGGTACAAGTCGTCGCCGTGCCGCCCGTCCTGCTCGTTTTCGTATCGTATTCGTACCGTTGGAAAGCGGAGCTCTACGATTGGCTGGCGGAACGTCGTTCCGACCATCCATCGAGTCACCAGCCTGACCACATGTCCTTCTCCTCACAACCCGGTCAACAATGGCCGGATATGACGCCTGAGGAGAGACGTCTTTTGACGCGTCTCAAGTAGGTATATAAGGCCTACACTCCCCATTCCCTGGATTCGTTGCTTTCTCTCTCCATCTCTCATCCAAACCTCCATCTTCATCCCCATCCACGCCATGCACTACCTGTACAAAGCCCTCATAGCCTCTACATCCCTCCTCGCCACTCCATTCATCATCCTACTCTCCATCCAATGGTCAAGAACCCGTCTCGCACCCCCCAACATTCCCTGGGCGGGGTTGAATAACAAACGCCTCTTCCCCAAACTGCGCGCCAATCTGCGCGAAATCACCGCCAAACGCGACCCCCTGCTCGAAGGCTACGAGAAATACAGCAAGCACGGCCAACCCTTCATCCTCCCCTCGCTCAACTGGCCCGACGTCGTGCTCCCCCCGTCTCACATCCCGTGGTTAATCAGCTTCCCAGACAACGTCCTCAGCACCTCCAGCGTTTTCGAAGATGTGCTTGCGACGAAGTATCTAGGCCATGGACCCGATTTGGCAGCCATAGTGGACTTCAGCGTCATTCGACGCGATCTGACTCGGCATCTCAATGCTACTCTGCCCGATATACTGGACGAAGTGCGCGCGTCATTTGACGAGAGTATCGAGCCCCTTCTCTCGTCTGATGAAGACTGGGCCGATGTCAAAATCGTCGAGATCATCCTCAACACCGCCCGACGTCTGAGTAACCGCGCGTTTGTCGGGGAGTCGCTCTGTCGAAATAAGCGGTTCATGTCTGCACTCAAGAGCTGGGAGTTTGCTATTGGCATCTGCTCGGCCGTCATCCGCTACCTCGTTCCGCAGTGCCTGCAACCCATGCTCGGTCCGGTCATTGCTCTGCCCGTGCGATTCCAGGATTGGAAATTGAAGCGGCTTGTCCTTCCTGTCCTATATGAGCGACTCGCTGCACAGAGTGGATCAGATGAGAAGGATGTGAAACCCCCGCCAAACGACGTGCTACAATGGCTTCTCGATGCGAAGCTCGCAGGCCGCGACGCAGCAGCGAGGATGACTCTGAGCGAGATCGCGCACAAGACCGTCTTCCTCAACTTCTTCGGTAAGTCATGTCTCACCCTACCAAGTAAAGACACAAGACCTAACCCAAACGACAATAGCCGTCCACACAACCGCCCTCAACACCTCGTCAACCCTCCACAACATCCTAACCTCCACCCAACCCCCAACCCCCTCCCTCATCCAAACCCTCCTCACCGAAACCGCCCCCCTCCTCCCCACCCTCTCCCAAAACCCCACAACCCTCCGCTCTCAAACCCCCGCCCTCGACTCCGTAATCCGCGAATCCCTCCGCTTCAAGCCCATGAACGGCCGCGGCCTAGGGCGCGAAGTCGTGGCTCCCACGGGCCTCACGACGCCCGATGGATTGTATTTGCCGTGTGGTACGCATGTTTGTGTGGTGTTTGGGCCGAGGCAGTTGGATGAGGGGGTTTGGGAAAGGGGAGGGAAGTTTGCTCCTTTGCGGTTTTATCGGGAGGGGGGCGATGAGGGGGGTACGACGGAGGAAAAAGAGGACGTGGGGAAAGCGGCGGTGCATATTACTGAAGACTTCATGTCGTTTGGATTGGGGAGACATGCGTGGTGAGTTTGATCTTCCTCGGAACCTGGTCAGCGTGTCTCACTGACTCGTCTACGTGTCTCACAGTCCCGGCCGCTTCTTCGCTGTGCAAGCGATGAAGATCATACTCGCTACTCTCATCACTCGCTACGAGTTCCAGCCGTTGGAGGAACCGATGCCTCTCCTTGAAATGGGCGAGGTGTCGACTCCGTCGGAGAAAGCGACGGTCAAGATGCGGCGGAGGCGAGAAGAAGTACTGGGATAGCAGAGAAAGCGGTCACCGTCTTCTAACGATCTCGCTCGGACGGAAAATTGAAATAGGAAACAATGAAAGGAAGAAGGAAGAACTCTCAACTTCACTCATCACGAATGTTCATTGCAAAACTCTCAACTCACTCCATAGCCTCTAATACCCATCCTCCCCTCACACTTCCTTCCACAACCTCACTCATCCCGATACCCCACATCGGCCAACTCCTTCCGCACCCCAGCCTCGGTCCCAATCTTCAGCACCTGCGTGCCCTCGAGCTTCTCGCCGCCCGCCTGGCGCATCTTCAAATCGTCAATGGCCCGAAGCTTCTTAAGCAGCGATCGGATCTTCTTTTCGTGCGGTGAGCCGGCGCCGGGAGTGGTGACTGTGAGCTCTGGGGCGGCAGCGGCGGCGACGGGTTCCGGGGCTGCAGGTGCGGGTGCTGCTGCTGGTGCGGGCTGGCCGTTAGGGGGAGGGATGGTGGTGTTGAGTGGTGGGCCGCGTTGTCGGCTTCCTTCTCTTCTTCGTGGCGTTTCGTATCCGCTCTTCGGTCGAGAAGGAGAGTGCGGACGACTTCGTCGCTCTGGACTCCGGCTTGGGGAAGCCTGTGCTGCACCGCCTCCGTTCTCTGTAGGCGCCGCGAGGCCCGCGGTCTTGGCCTCTGCATCCTTCGCCTTCTTCGCTTCTCGCTTCTTCTTGTTCTTCAACGCCGCTTTACTCAGATTTTCGTCACCTTCAGCGGCGGTGAGACTGACACCTCCGCCTGGCGCGGCGCCGGGAGGTAGTTTCGGCTCCACCGTCTCTGCTCCGGGGACTTCGCGCCTTCTAGGCCGGTGAGCGAAGCCGTTCGCTTCGTGGTCTTTGCCGGACATGATGTCGCGGACGAACGCTGCGCCACCTTCGTCTTCACGCTTGAAAGCTAATGGAGTTGCGGATCCGCGTGCACCTGGTGGTCTGTACGCTCCAGCGGGTTTGGAGGGCGTCTTGAGCTTGCCGAGATATTCCAGGGCGGACGCATGAGGAGTCGGAACGGGATGCAGGGGGTCTTCCGATGGGTGCTGAACCGCAGACTGCGGCCGCCAGATGACGTGGTAGAGCTCGTGCATGTCTTCGTTGTACATCAAGCCGCCTCCCACGTGCCAAATCCGAATGCCATTGTCGACGCGCAGTCTGGGACTTGTGGTGGCGGTAAGAATATGCTTGCCGTCGGGGCTCCAGTGGCATATGCTTGCATTGCTGGCCTCGATCGTGCAGACCTTTAGATAGTTCTTCTCCAGGTCGTAGATGTCCATCTGCCCCGCCAAGTTTCCAAAGCCGGCAACGATGAGGAACCGACCGGTGGGGGAGAAAAGAATGGTGTTTCTAGGTTTCAAGTCGAAGCTGTGCGTCGCCACAGCCCTGACGTTAAAAATGGTCGTCTTGGCCGGCATGTAACCGTACACCACGGCGAACTCCTTTGAATTGGGCGACCAGGTGACATCGTGTATGGGCCCCTCCTTGTCCAGTTGGATGCGAGAGTCGAAGCCTCCATTGGCGCTGAGGATGTACATGTTCGTCTCTCCATAGTAGCTCTTGTTGCTCTTGTCCACTTCCGTCTGCGCGAGCACGATCAAGCTCGTGCCGTGCTCGTTCCATTTCAGCTGCACCTTGTCACCCTTGAAGAAGGTCTTTTGCGAGACGGGCGCATTGAACTGCGGCACGTTGAAGACCTTGACCGAAGCCGGCTGGCCCTTGCGCTCCGGGACAAAGACGGCAATCGAATGCGTCTTGCCCGGGGCAACCGCAAAGTCCGCCACGCCTTCCACATGCAGTCTGTTCCACACCTTGGCCAGGTCTTTGCTCTCGTAGATTTGAATCTCGTTGTTGACCGCGCGCGCGCAGAACTGCTCGTCGGAGGTGTACTGCAGATTCCACCCGGTCTGGTTCTTCTGTACAAACTTGCCGATCACATCTCTTTCGCCGGCTTGGCCCGCATTCTCGTCGAGCGTGCGCCAGACCTTGAGATTCTTGGTGGTATTGCCTTCTTCATCCTTTGTGGGCCGCTGCCATGTTATGATATATGTCCCGGCGGGCGAGAATCCGAGCTCATAGACGTTCTCGGCGGGGAGGATGGTCACAACGTGGCCCACGGATGCATCGATTACGGTGACTCTGTCGGGTGCGGCCCATGCGAAGAAGCGGCCGTCGGGGGAGTAAACGCAGCATCGAAGGTTGCCTTCGGGTCTATCGAAAGCGGGCAGATTCTCGTAGACGGGAGCGGCGTCAAAGACTCCGACATGCTTGGAGGTACGGTCTGTTTGGCGGCTCTTGTCAGCATTCGTCGGGTTGGCGGTTAGCGCAGAACTACTTACAAGCAAGCTGGGTAGGTTGCGCCATCTTGATCGCAAGGCCGTGAAGGGTTGCGGCAGGTGGTGCACTCGGCGTTGAGAGGATCGCTGGGGTGGTGATGCGCGTGGAGAGGCTCGAAATGCGCTTTGAATAGACTGTGTCGTGGGGTACAGGCAGTGATTACTGCTCGCTGGAGGCCGAGTTAGGATAACTAAATCCACTCGAGGAGGGGATGATTGAGCGGCGGAGCAGTCACTGAAGCGCGGGGGAGGGAGCAATGGGGATGGGAGGGGGATGCGTAAGAAGACAAAGAAAAGTCGAAAGGCGAGTGGAATTTTTGTTGTGAAGCCTGACCCTGCGTGCCTCAGGCATCTCTCAGCCTCGGCGGGACGTCATCTATTCACCGCGCTCGATGAACAGCGAGCGAGGCATCTCCTCCATCCAAAGAGCCGGGTATTACCTCACGAGGTAGCACAGATCTGTGCAATCTGATGAACGTGACAAGTACTAGTAGAGACACAACATGTTGTGTACGACTAACCACGACCTCCGGCAAACATCATTCACCTTCGCCGCGACGCAACATTCACTATACCTCATACACCGTATTCACTGTGGTGAAAGGGCATGTACTGAATATATAGAACAGGACCAATTCCTCTAGATTCCGTCTACCCCCTCCATCAGTTGCTTAACGTTTGTCAATCTACTCATTGCTCTTCAATCTACCCGTAACAAGATGTCAGACAACGGCAGAGGAGGATCGAGCCAGGGGCCGCCTCGCCCCCAGTGGGGAGCGAACCAAGAGCCGCTACGGACCAACGACCAGGTGTATCCAGCATCAACAATCCCGATTTCATTCAGCGATGAAGCGCGAGAGCAGACCATCAATCGCACCATGGCCAATCTTCAACATACCGGGTCCAGGGCCACCGGATCCGCGGCGAGAAGAACAGCGTACAGCAGAGCCGAACTGATCTCCAGCCACATAGAAGCCAGACGATATGTGCCAGAAGCGGACGTGTTCCTAACCTGAGAGCAGACCTATCAATTCTGGCTACGGCGGCGTGACGAAGTCAGGACCCAAATGGTAGACATCCTCAAGCTCGAGCGCGACATATGGGACCCGGGTAAGACCGCCGATGACAATTGGCGATGCATAGGTGTCGAGGTCGACCGCAGGGCGGAGGCGAGGCTGAATGATCCGCGGACTGTGTATGACTTGGAGCAGATCTGCGAGTCATTGGGGTGGCTTCAGGAGAGATCTCGTTTGGTGCGGAGATCTCGAGGTGGGGGTGGAAGTGGAACGGGGCAGAGTAGCGGGCAGAGTAGCGGAGAAAGCGTGCAGATCCCCAGAGGGGTTGTACAGAATCGTGGCGGGCAGCGAAGGAGAGGAAGAAGCGGGTGATGGGGTAGATCGTTCTCGAACACGGGTATTCGAGTGGACGACGGATGAGCCCATCGGTTGATTAGGCTGCTATGATATCAAGCAGACACATTATGTACAAGTATCTTCTTTTGTATGCGGCATGCGTCACCTTACGAGCCCATCTCATCGGCCGGAGGGAAGGCCAGAGTGAAGTCGCAACCTTCGACAGCCTATAATCATCATTAGCACAACGTCGTTCATGATGGTAAGCATCAAACTCACATCCGCGAGATTGTTCTCATTCAACTTAATGCCAGCCATGATATCGCTCTTCAAGCTATCCAAAGCAGCCTTATCAGTCGCCGGATTGCCCGTCAACCCCGCGGCCAGCGCCTTCTCCGTCTCCTCGGCAGCTTGATACTTCGCAAGGCCCGGGATAGCCGCGTTGCCCGGCGGGGCAATCTGCTGGTTGAAGAGCCGCAGGTTCATCCCGGCCTGCACATTGGCCATCAGCTCGCCCTTGGCGATGTAGAAGGCCTCCATGTTGACGGGCGTACTGGACTCGACGGTGATGACGTTGAGCGTCGCGTTGTATTCGCCGTACTGGCCCTCGATGTTGAGATGGATGCCGGTCGCCAGCGCGATGACGGCTTGACTGCAGGCGGAGTTTTGGCCGCTGCTGCCGCCTGGCCCACCCCAGCCGGGGCCTCCCCATTGCGGGATGGCCATGGCCGTGCCGAGCAGGGCGAGGGAGACGGGGAGGAGTTGCATGGTGTTGGATGAGTGTTGTGGAGGGAGGAGAGGGACGTCGAGGTGGGTGCGAACGGGCAGCAGAGTGCCGGCCAGCAGATCTATTTATGCCGCCATTGACGCAGCAGATCTACATCCGGGTCATTGCCAAACCGAAACAAGCAAAAGGCTCAATATTAAAATGCGCCACCGCGCCCGTTCAGGGTGTCGATCATCTGCGAGATGCGAACGGAAGGCAGACTAATGCCGGCGCTAGGCATGACGAGCTCAGGAACATGACATATACTCTCGATGATGCGGGGGAGGCTGTCTGACTTGCTGCTGTGCTTGATCATCTTCCATCGCGGTCTTCTCTCAATCATCCCACTCAAAATCGGCGTCCTGTTCAGAATCATACTCCGACTCGCGCTCCGACTCGGAAGTCTCCATGTCAGTGTCTGGCGTAAACTCACTCACAGACTCCTCATCACTCTCACTCTCCGCCTCGCTGTCCTCGCGAGTCTCCGACTCGGTGGCCTGCATGGTTTCGGCGTCAGCTTCCATCTCCTCCTCCAAGTCATTGAGATCAACGAGTTCCTTCTTCATGTTGAACCACATACCGAGGATGTCGCCGTGGATGTGCTCGGAAGGCTCCTAGAAAGTCACGAGTTAGCAAGTGCTTTGTGTCCAGGGCAAAGGGATGATGATAACTTACCCATGTGGCTTCCTCGACCGTATATCCCTCCCAGACGACGAGTAGTTCGAGGAGGAAGTTGGCGCCGATGCGTTGGGCGATGATCTCTTGGACGAACCACTGGTTGTCCGCGATCATGCCTGCTGTTCGGGTGTTGCTCGCCATGTTGAAGGCTTCTTGTTTGAGATTCTGGAGAGGAGAGGAGTGTAGAGGCGCATGATGTATATATATAATGAACATTGTCGCGTGAAGCTGTTCGGCAACAAAGAAACGGCAACAATGGAGGGAAGTCAGGGTGGGAGGAGTGAAGAGGAGAGGCAGTGAATGCACAAAGCCATTGGGACAAACAAAGATGAAAGACAATAGAGCACCCTGTGGCCGTTCTACTTTGAGAGACAATCGTCTTGTTGCAGTCACTGAGGAGGGTTGAGATCTGGCTAAGAAGGTAAAACATCGTGGTGTCGAAGGGTCGAGATCTGCCGGTAGCCATCAGCAAGAAGAGCAACGCTGCAGCACAGCCTTTGATGTATCAACCCCCAATATTGATGAAGGTAGATTGGTCATGAAATCCGTCAATTGGCCTGTCAGGACAAGGTATGTGTCTCGCGAACCACACTCAGCCGACGGAGCCTTGTGGCGAGCCGCCGACGTGATATGACGTGATGCGATAGTCATCAGCATCAGGTACCAGCAGCAACGACACGCCTTCCATCACACTCACAACATCCACCAGCAAAATGCCCAACGTCCTAATCGTCGGCGCAACGCGCGGCCTAGGCCACGAACTCGCCAAAAAATACGCCGATAAAGGCGACACAGTCCACGGCACCGCACGCAAAAGCGCCCCCAAAGAAGACAGCACCAAAATCCACTGGATCCCCAAAGTAGACTTGAGCGAAGAGGCCGCCGGCGCGACAGTCGTCTCCGCCCTCAAAAGCACCAAACAAGACATCGTCATCATCTCCGCCGGCTTCTTCGTCAAAGAGTCCCTCGACGACCCGGATTTCGAGCAGGAGGTCCTGATGTACAAGACGTGCGCGATTGGGCCTGTGTTTGTCGTTTCGGCGCTGCACAAGGCGGGTTTGCTGGCGAGGGGTGCTAAGGTTATTCTTGTGTCGTCGGAGGCGGGGTCGATTACGCTCCGCCACGAGAGTGAGGGGGGAGGGTTGTATGGGCATCATGCGAGCAAGGCCGCGTTGAATATGGCGGGTAAACTGCTGAGTTTGGATTTGAAGGGAGAGGGGGTTGCGGTGGCGATGGTGAGTGGGGGATTGTGCGATGACTTTAGAAACGGCTGGCTAATTGAAGTGATATCAGGTTCACCCGGGTTTCATGCGGACTGAACTCACGGCTAGCGTTGGCTTCGATCAGTTCTGGGATGACGGCGGTGCTGTGACGCCTGATGTTGCGGCCAAGTCACTCGTGGAGTGGATCGATGGGTTCGACATCAGCCATACCGGAGAGTACTGGGCGCCTCGCGGACCGGGCGATATTGGGACTGCGGAGCCGGTGTTGGGGCCCAAGGACAAGCTGTCCACGCCGTTTCAGATACCATGGTAGCGAAGCAGTGCGAGGTTGCGTGCGTTACCAGCGCTACTAAGACAAATGACGGGAAACGAGAGCAGAGTTCTATAGCATCATACAATTTCGTAGTAGTCGAAAGACCACATCTTCCTCACTCTTCCGGCATCTCAGTGCCATGGACCTGCTCTCGACATCCGGCGAGAAACTGCATCACACAGAAGGCAAGCCCTTCGTTTTCCCCGTCGTGGTAATCAAGAACCTCTCCAGCTCCTTCAAGCACACCGCAGCAGCCACATATCTGAAAGAAACCAACTCTCCCAGCTCACGATCCACCAACGCTCCCTGCTCGACCGCCGCCTAAGCGATGGCCCGCGGTAAAGCCTCGACTTTTCGATCGACATTCTTGTCATCGTAGAGAACGTCCAGATTAGTGCCGCCCTGGATAGGCGAGCCTGACCGAACTTCGTATGCCGCCAGAAAGGCATCGCCGGAATGCTTATCTAGGACGGTGGTGTTGGCGTAAGCTTCGCTCGGACTCTTCACCACGTGGAAGTCGTAATCTTGTATCTTGCTTTGACCTCTTGATGCGTCGCCTGAGGTGGCAGGCTGCGAACGAAGATGTCCATGATGGTGCCCCCTGCGATATTGCAGGAACACGAAGGACGTTTCAAGTCGGCGACAAAGATGAAGGAGGCGACCCGGCGACAAAGGTTGAGGGAAGGAAAGGTAGATTGGACGTGAAGGAAGACAACGAGGTCAAGCAGTCAAGAAGATGATGTAACGCCGCAAGGTGAATGTGTGAACGGGGGAGCAGTTCGCACCTTCCGCACAGCATGTCTGATTAAGGTGCGAGCACTTACATTACGTGACATATGTCCAGGGATGCGAGGGTGGTCGGCGCCGCCAATGTTTGTGACACGTTCAGCTAGGAGCTTTGAAACAAACAGAAGCTGCACGATCATGAGCAGAGACGAGGGAGCGCTGGGAAGGACATCAGCAGGTCAAACAGGAGAAGTGAGCATGTCTGGCGTCGCTTTCAGACACCATGCAGTGAGATTCTTAGACGGTGTTGTACGGACGAGTTGTGGTGAAAGAGAACGAGATGTCAAATAGAGTTGGCGCTAGTCGGGTGCTAGCCTCTTTGGGTCTTGATATGTGTTTCCCAAAGCTTGAACAGCTCCCACTTTCGACGTCTGAATGTTCGCGACTCGTGAAGACACGACATCCGGCGATGGATTCCCGCGTGCAGGACTATCTTGACGATAAATTCCAGTCCTCGGCCGACTTGGAATCTTTGGATTCGCTGCTGGAGAATGTCAAAAGTCAGCAAGAGCTGCTGAAACAACAGGTTAGTATACCAGCCAGCATGAGGTATGGGGAAAGTCACTCACCGTCTCTCAGCTCGACGACGCAAGGCGAGATCACGATGGCGCCAAACGAAAGGCCGAGCAGCATATCGAGTCGATTCAAAGAAAGGCACAAGCCTTTCAGAAAGAGCAAAGCAGCATGGATCGCCGACTCCTTGTGGTCACCCAATCCGAGACAAGCGATGATGCGGTGCGCAAGTTCGAATCGAGCATGGAAAAGTTGCGAAAGCTGGATGTGGCTGCTGGATACGTCGAGTTGCTACAGTCGGTGGACAGGTTGCGAACGGAATGCACATCACAACTCGGCAAGTCGGACGAAGCTGCCATGGAGCCATACGGAAAGCTACGCCATCTCGTGACGAGCTTGCGGCCGTTGCAGGACGCGGCAGAAGGCGCTGCTCCGCATCTGCTAGACTACATCGCTCGCCAGGCTGAAGATCTGCGTCAGACTATACAAAATTCGTTCGCGGCCGATCTGGAAGGCACGCTGAAGAAGATGAACTGGCCGAAGCCGACCGACACCGTGCCCTTGGCCTTGGAGAAGGAATGGAGTGCGAACGTTGTTCGCCTCCTGAAGCTACAACAACAGGATTTGCTGGACCTGGAACACAGCGTATCCACCCAAGCTCCCAAGCAAGAGCCACCCGCATTATGGGCCCTGGAGGTCATGGTCCACGCGCTGGAGCAGCGATTCATCTACCACTTCTCCGGAAACAAAGCTACGAATCGCTTGGACAAGCCCGAGTACTTCCTGCACCACACAACCGAGTTGCTGTCTACATACTCGACCTTTTTGCAGAATGCAGTCCAGCCTCTGCTTGTGCAGCAGTTCAGAGGGACCGACCTGTCGCTCACTCCGGCATACATCGATGCACTCTCAGCATTCATCACAGCCCTGCTTCCGATGCTCAAGAGGAAACTCTACAGCTTTGCTACCCAGGTGTCCAGTCAGCCTCAGCTGCTCAGCCATCTGATTCACGAAGTCATGGCTTTCGACGCCACTCTACAAGAATCCTACTCCTACTCGCCGATCTCGCCTTCCCTGCCCTGGCGTGGCCTCGCGCACTTCCTGTTGGACACGTGCGGATATTTTGCACAATGGCTAACAGTCGAGCGCGACTTTGCAGTCGCTCGCTACCAATCCATCATCGATGCCTCCGACGCCGGCGAACTCGACTACGACTCCGTCAGCTCCGAAGCCGCGAAACCAATGAAAGCCGCCGTTCGCCTCAACGACCTGCTGGAGACAGTCACCAATCGCTATAGACCCCTGGCAAGCTTCAGCCAGAAGATGCGCTTCCTCATCGACATTCAAATTTCCATCTTCGACCGCTTCAATCTCCGGCTGCGCAACAGTCTCGATGCCTTTGTTGCCAGCAGCTCGACCATCGGCCGTACAGTCCCGGGCGTATCGGTGGAGCGACAGAGCGAAGTGCAGGGCATTAAAGGGTTGGATCGATTGTGTCGCGTTTTTGGATCGGCAGACTACCTAGAGCGAGCCATGCGCGACTGGAGTGACGATGTCTTCTTTCTCGAGTTGTACGAAGAGTTACAAGCTCGGGTGAAGGAGCCGGAGCGAGTGAACCGCCATCTCGGCGACATTCAAGAGGTGCAGCAGAAAACGAGCGGTGCGATTGGTGAAGACGGCGAGACAGATGGCGAATTACAGGGTGCGCTGTTCGACGAAACCGCAGGGCTATATCATAGCCTGCGGGTGCGGAGCGAGAACATGATCATCGAAATGCTCAGCTACTCTCTCCGCGAGACGCTGCGACCGTACGCTGCCGTCACTACGTGGGGTTCGCTGACCTCTGCCTCTGCTACCACCGGAGGCAGTGCGCCATCGGCCGAGTTGGACCCAATGCTACGCCTGATTACTGAGTACTTTGGCTTCTTGGGCAAGGCCGTTGGCAAATTGGCGGCGAGGCGGATCAGTCGACAGGCGCTGCACGCGATACAGAATTACATCTGGGACCAAGTGCTGCTCCGACACTTCTTCTCGACTGCTGGCGCCTTGCAGCTGTCCACGGACGTGGCTACCATTTGCTCGCACGTCGATCGGTTTGTTGGCATGGGCCAGGGCCGGGCGGGGATGAGGAGGCTTGTGGAGGGGAGTGTGCTCCTCGGTCTACCTGTGCGCGGCGAGATCCCGCGAGTGCAACGCGGGAAATCTGGAGAAGAAGGCGAGGAGGCTTTTGATGAAGACACAGCGTGGGAGGAAGACGATGCAGATACTGGGGACGGCGGAGAGAAGAAGTTGGGTCTGTTCGAAGTAGACAGGCTGTTGTTCACGGACAATGAGAGTGCAAGGCAAGTGGTGCGGGAGCTGGGGCTGGAGATGCTGAGTGTGGGCGATGCTCGAGAGGTGCTGAAGAGAAGGGTGGAGGTGCGGAGTTGATGATACGGTATGTCGCCATGTAGTATCTCCAAGCGGTACCAACCCTGTACTATGGTAGATGAGGATGTCGTTGCTCTGTTTGATGAAATCCTTTCATGCTATATCAATGAGGGAAATTGAAAGGCTTTCGGAGAATTTTGGCGAATTAGGCGGGTTCTTTGATCAAACATGCCAGCGCGTTGGAGTAAACAGCCACGCGTTGACGAGTCGAGGTCTTCCAACTGCTCGCCATGGCCAGCATATGCATTCTGTGAAGAGCGATATGTCCTGCCCTGCTCAAGCGTATCTGGTAGTCACTTGCGTGAAAGCAAGGAATGAGCAAGCTAAACCCTTCCCAATCGAAGCCGAAGGAACAAACGCGTCTTTGTTATCAAGCCACAGTAAGCCGACGCGTACCTCCCAGGCCAGCCGGAGGTTATTTCTCTTGGGGGCCTGGCTAATCAAAGGGTAACAAATGGACTAATTACAGGCCCACGGATGGCTGTAAATTGGGAATAGACTCATGGGAGTGGGAACATTGAAGGCAACGGCAGCTCGTCCCGGGCGGTGCAGCGTGGCCATCACGCACTTTCGGGCGCCGTCACCTCGCCGGGCTCCTCTTTCTTCCGTTTTGGGAAATGAGCATTTCGCCAGCGAGCGAGGGTGGTGGCCAGGGTTGGCCCATGAGGCGCGGTTATTATTGTCGCTGGGGTGGACAGTGCGGACGCCTTGCTTGTGTGGCTCGCATTGTCTGCGATTAGAGCGAGTATGCAGTAGACAGCATTCGCGAGACTGCTGTGCGTTTGAGACGATGCGGGCGGGCTTGGAAGAGTGGAAGATTTGAGGGCGCGAGGCCTCTTGACGATGTGTTTCATCCGCGAGACGGCCGGCGTGGATTGGGCGGGAGGGATAGAGTTGGGCCGGCGCGGACGCGAGGCCAATCACGCGTGTCGCTCCCCTTTCTTTCCCCATCGTTCCTGCCCTGGCATTAGCGGCAAAGGCTAATTTGACGGGCGCCCATCTCTGCGAACCCGTTCCTTGGCGCCCTGCTTCCATTGCTTTTCTCTCTCCCTCGCCGTCCACGCCTGTACCACTCGAGACGTGTGCTGCTGCTCATCGTCCTCATCATCATCACCATTCCCTTCTCCCAACCCATCTTCCCTAGCATCCACCTCACATTCGTTTAGGTGTGCTTTGCTTTGCTGTACTTCTCTCCTCGCGTTCCCGTTGCTGTTGTTTTTCCCCGACCCTCCTGCCGCGCCGACCTCGTGACCGCCGCGAAACACGAGACACGAGCGAGCCTTCCTCAACCGACCGCCATCTCCATCCAAACTTCGCCATCGCCATCGTGCCATTCGCGAACACTCTACCCTCACAAACGAGCCCTCTTTGTCCTCCGTGACGAGTTGTGTTGCCAACAGCGACGCGCGGTTTCTTGTGAACTTGGCGCCTTGGAAGTCTGCACCTTCGCGCGTGGCATGAGTAACCTCCCGGTGGTGTAACGCTGCTCGGACCGCTCGGAACACAACCAACAAACCTGCTGCTGGAAATACTCTGCAGCCCGGAATTCACTGCTTGTGCTGCTGGCAGCCATCGACGCCCAACGAATCCCCACCACGCTCACTACCTTCCTCCTTCACCACCATCGCGCCGAACTCCTTGCTTCGGCGTCACACCCACCAATCCACACGATGCCTTCCACATTCAGACACAACACTGCCTCCACGGCATTAATATTACTCGGCCTTGCCCTCTCCGCACGAGGCGTCGAGGCGCTCAGCGCCATCACACCCGAAGGCTGCTACTCCGCCTCTGCCCCATTGCAAAACCAAGGCTCCTATCTCTACCAAACCACCGGCTACTGTCAGCCACTATGCGTCAATCAGAGTCTACCCGTCATGGCTCTGACCGGCGGCGATACTTGCTACTGCGGTTCCGAGCTCCCCACCGCCACCGCGAAAGTGGACTCGTCGAACTGTAACAGCGCCTGTGTGGGATACCCTTCGGATACATGTACGTTACCATGCCCAACGCAACCTGCAGAATGCAGCACTCACTGACATTTCTTTTTAGGCGGCGGCCTTGGTTTCTACCAAGTCTACCTGACCGGCCTGGAAGACACCGTGCCCACCTATTCGGGCAGTGGCTCAGGGTCAAGCTCTAGTGGCTCAGGGTCAAGCTCTAGTGGCTCGTCCAGCAGCTCGCCCTCCTCAACTCACTCTCCCTCCGTCGTCACCAAGGTCTCCCCCCAGACCACCGTAGTCATCACACACGAAGCATCATCAACGCCCACCCAGACCGTCCACTCAAACAGCAGCCACGGTACCAGCACAGCCGGTATTGCCGCCGGCGTAGTAGTGGCTCTGGTGGTCGTCGGCGCCATCATCGCCGGTGTCTTCTTCTACCTCCGGCATAGGAAGCGAAAGGCGGCAGAAGAAGAGTACAAGCGGGCGCAAGTGGCGGAGATTATGCGCGGCGGAGAACGCAAGCCCCCGACTACGGGCTACAGCAGCACCTCCGACTCTCGACTGGAGCCGGCGTCCTTCAACGGCCGCCGGAACAGCATCGGCAGCATTGCCGATAACGAAGACTACTCGCGGAAGATCCTAAGGGTGAGTACTTATCGCCGATGATTGTACGATGCAACGGCAACTGACATTCTTCCTCCAACAGGTCGCCAACCCGGACCGTAGCTCCATCTTCCCCCCTGACCGTGCCTCCATCTTCCCTCCCAACCGCGCCTACCACCCGTAGAGCCCAGCGAGCTGGGTCTGACCGCCTAGCTGCTCTCTGACAGACAATATAATGACCGACTCACGACGGTGCGATGGGTTACATTTGGGGCACTCTGCTTATACTTTCCAAACTGGCGCGACAAGGCGGTGTGACAGGGGACGGATGCTGATGTGGAAGCCGTGGTGTGTGATTTTGCTTTCAGAACATACACAGGAAGTCTTGCTTTACTACTACTACTACTATTCCCCCTTCCTTTTAGGTTGAGCTAAGAGTTGTGCGAGCGGAGGAAAGACGAATTACACTCATTTCACATTACGACTTGTCTCTGTTCTAGGTGTCGTGCGTGTGAGCTTGCTTCGTGCGAATCTCATCCCACAGCTTGTTCGCGACTGCCTCGCCTTCCGAATAGTCGGCCCTCTTCTTCAGAATGCTCACCGCTTCATCCGTCGAGGACACAATCTCAAGTAGATCGTGAAAGCACGCGACCAAGCGGCGATCATTGGCACGGTCAGCCGTCAGTTGCACGACCTGCTCCTGAGCGTCTTTCAGCTGCTTCTTGATCGCCCCGAGCTCCCGCGACAATGTCTTCTCCTCGTCCGCTCTCGGCGCTTGCCTCCTAGCCTCCACTAGCTCTCTCTCCGCCTCCTCCAGCTTCCGCTCCGCCTCCTCCCGACGGCGTTGCCCGTCCTTCACCAACAAGTTCTGCCATGCAAAGGCGGCCATGTTCTTCCCGTGTACCCTCAACTGCACGAATCTTTGCTTGCTGATACCGCTGTTTCAGGGCATTTGAGTTCGCCACGAATTGCTGTTGATGATACACCACTTGCGCTTCGTATTCCCGTCTGAGGGTATCTGGGTCGTTGGCCGTTGAAGTTGCGGCGAAGTTCGCGGGGGCGCGACCAGTGGTCGATGCTCCGAGTGAGTGCTGAGGAGGCATGTTGAAGGGTGCCGCCCGGTCCAGGGTCTGTGGAAAGGCCGCTGATGATTGCATTGACATTACTTTTGTCGAAAGAGATGGCAAAGAATGGATATACGTCGATGCTGCTGGAAAGGTATATATATACGACGCTTTACGCTCGAGACGCCATTCACTGAGAAACACATCCGCACACAAGCACCTTATGGAAGAATGGAATCCGAAATCTCATCATATGCCTTCGCCACACAAGATGTCCCCTTTTATACGTTTACCTGACCATGTGGGTGTAACAAACCTCGAGCAAACTTCAACCGTATCACCATCGATCTCGGACCCCGGCACGCACAATCAACCAGCAAATTACTACGTCCCCCTTGGAGTGGAACGCTCACTCGCCTGAGGCAGCGCATTCGGAGACCCTGTGCCCAAATCCATAATCAAGTCCGCATTCTCCGCCAAATGATCCGTCCATGCCCTCCAGACCCTCCGGAATGGCGCGTCACGCAACAAATCGTTCACCACTGCCCGATGAGTCGTGTTCAGAACAGAAATGACACGCATAACTGCCGCCAGCATATTCTCAATGCGCAGACTGCGTTGCTGGCAAACGCTGAGTTTCTCTTTTAGCACCGCGAGTTCCAATTCGGTGTTGAGGCGTGTGGCCTGCTCTTTGGCTAGTTCTTCGGCGAGTTGGCAGTTTTTGTTGTGCCATTCGGCTTCTTTTCTGCGCCAGGCGTCTAAATTTGGACATCAGTAGGGGTAGTGGAGATAGCAGGCACTCTGGCTTACCGTTGCTCAACATCAGTCCGTATATTTCAGAAGTCATTTTGAGATGTTGCTTGCGTCTTCTGGCCGCGGCGAATTGAGTTTCGTAGCCTTGTGGGAACTTCGGCGAGGCTGGGTGGCTTTGGAACAGCAGATTTCGAGCGTCTCTTTTCTATCAAATATTGCGGTATCGTGTCGTGTTTCATAGACAGGCAAAAGATGTCGGTCCGATACTTTATATGTCTATCATGCGTTTGCTATTTACCGCAATCTGGCATCATTCAACGACTTCCTTTGACGATGCGGCACAAGTAAGAAATGCGCACTGGAAGTTGGTCCTCAGCAAACATGAGCTTGTGTGATTGGAACGTGCTACCGGTGCTACTTGCAGAGGCCATTTGCACCTGACATCCTATCACCTGAACCGCAAACGTACGCCCACCATGAGGAACACCATTGCCTGCATCGCTTTCCCGGCACCGAATAATCGCTTGTCTACGACCGCCCAGCGTGTTGAGCCTCGAAGCTGCGGACAAATGCGCCATGCCGCCCCATGAACTCGTCATACCTGCGCCTCGCCTCCATGAACTGCCGATTTGCCTGCAACTGCCCGTCGAACTGCTTCCTTGCTTCATGGAGCATGTCCTTGACGCGCTGCGCGTAGGTGTGAATCGTACGCATCCTGTCGGTCGTGGTATTCTGCACCCCGAGGGCACGTTGTTGTTCCGTTCTCAGTCGCTGCTCGAGATCTTTGACCTCGGCGTTGAGTGCCTGGTTGGCCTGCTCGAAGTGATGGGCGCGATTCTGAGCAGCGCCGAGCCTGCGCTCGACCTCTGCGTAGCGGATGTTCTGCGTCTCCATCAACTCCTTCGTCCAGGCTTCGTGCTTGCCCTGCAACGATTGCAACTCAGCTGCGTGTTTGGCGTTGGAGTCCCTGATCTGCCTCGCGTAGCTGTTGAGCGAGCGGTTGGCGTCAGGCAACATCTTGCCCATAGTCGCCGTGTCGGTGCCCAGCGTCGCTTTGTCCGTCATGTGTACAGCACGCTCGTTATCTCCCATTCCAAGTAGGGGTCGTCGAGAGCTCTTTCCACCTCGCTCCAGCGTGGTGGTTCGAACTTCCCCAGAGCCTCGGTGGATTTTCCCTTGCCTTTGCTCGAGGAGCCTTTGCTTGAGGATGGGAGACTCATGTTGGCAGTTGTAGCAAGGTTGAAGGTCGAGATGTATAACGCGGAAGAAGGTCGTATATAAATTGTCATGTTTGCGGTGGTGAATGCTGTAGTCGCATAATCGCTCATTCACTATGGCCGCTCGATTCACCGTCGACTGTTGGTGTCCTCTCATCAGTCACTTCCAACCGTGTCACACTGTATTCCGTCAATATCGCTCCTTCATTCACTTTCGTCGCCGAGAGATCGGGCGGGCACTCACCACGAGTCGCTGGCGCCATCTCAACAGCATTGTCACCGGGGGTAACGGCACTCTCTTTCATGATGACTTCTCAATTCAATGTAAACACTCGGAGAGTTTCCATCTTGTCACCCCCGGCCGCTGGTGCCTACTCACCAGCAGATATCATCGCGTGACGATCCCTCTTCTATACTCACTGCTCATCCCACGGCTCTGGTACAGAGAGGATCCGGTTGATACCTACCAATAATTAGCGAACGCTCAAGAGTGAATATAGTCCCGCCACACCATCTCCTTACCCCCAACTGCGGAGCAAACTTAGCAAACAGCTATAGACGTGCAGCAGCAACGTGATACTTGTGCTACTCCAGCCAGCTCAGCAAACCAGACACCACATCCCAGCCAGCCACCTCATGTCCTCCCACGCGCACCCCGGTTACGAGCCGTAAATCCCGAGAGAAACTCGTCATGTTCGCGCTTGAACTCCTCATACCGCGCCACAGCATCCACAAACCTCCCATCCTGCTGCAGCCTCGCCTCAATCTCCGGCAACTTCCTCGCTTGTTTCAACATGTCCTCCAAGCATTTGGCGTGATCAGTAAGCGTCCACAGCTTCTCCGTGTAAGAAGTATGCAGATTGATAATCTGCTGCTGTCCAGCAATTTGCGTCTGGTACAGCTCGCCGTATTTCGTTTGCCAGTGCTTGACATCTCGCTGAAGCTGGCCTTGTCGGAGCTGCCCAACGCCAACATCCGTCTGCAAATCGCCGATTCTGTTTTGAAGTTCTGCCACTTTGGCCCGGTAGGCTTGGAGGGATCGGTTGGCGTCGCTGAGAACGTGCTTGAGGAAGTTGTTGTCGATGTTTGGCGTGACGGGCCGGTTTGCGACGCTCTCGAGAGCCTTTTCCAGGTCTTTGTTCTCCAGGAGTGGTTCGTGGGCTGGGTTTTTGCCCTTTTCGCGGGGAGAGGAGGCTGAGGAGCTCATCTTGTCGGGTGGTGTATATCGGAAGGTATAATCAGTGAGAAAGTCGTATATGTAGGCAGAGCGAATCTGCTCATTCACTGCCGGCCATTTGGCACCTCCTCAGCATTGAATTCGAACCCGTAAAGCACTCCCCTTCACCAATCCACTGCCAAAGAAGCCAGCAACCCCCAGAGATCCTCCCATTCACCCCTGCCGAGGCTTCCTCCTCTTGATCCTGTCGTACATTGACGAGTACGGCAGGTCCGGCAGATCCCCACCACCCGCAACAACGACAGGCGCCGCAGGAGCAACAGCGACAGCCGCAGGGTCCTTCTTCCTGGTCTTGGGAACAGCCCCACGCTCCCTCTCCCCTCGCTTCTTCCCCTTCTTCCTCTTCTCCCTCTTCCGGACCAGCCGGACGCTCTCCTCTCGAACCCCGCCCTCAACGCTCCCCAACCTCTCCCCAGCAACATGCTCTCCAGCTCGAACATCCTCCGAGACACGCCGAACCGGCAGCGCGCGACACTCCTCCACTTCAACTTCCTGAAATCCAGGGAAGAGCTCAAGCGGCTCCTCTCCGTCCTCCTCCAAACTGGTCCCGAGCCACCACGGGGCCTGCTCGTGGCGCAAGACGCCCGCGTCGTCATAGAAGATGAGGAGTTTGGCCGACTCCTGGCGGAAAGCGGCCAGCGCTTGGTGGGTGGTGGGGACGGGTCGTCGGTTGGCCATTCTCGGTGGGTTTGGTGGTGGTGAATGGGGTGCAGGACCGGCTGCTTGGTTTTTGGGATTCGTTTTGATAGGCGAGAGGTGGTGGGTGGGCGATGTCTGGAGTTTTCGAGGAAGAAGATGAGAAGGAGAAGGATTATATACATCTTGATTGACAATAGAAGAGGGATAGAATAGAAGGATATCATTGTAAGGTGATGTTGTTTTGAGGAAGTGAGGTTGACAATAGCAGTGAGAAGCGGGAATAGGGAAAAAGTTCACCTCATGTCGAATCTCACCTAGCAAACATCGTTACCATCACTTTCCATTGTTCGTCTATAATAAGACCTGTTTCATGCTATCAATAGCGCTCCATCAACCACACTTTTCGATCCGTCTCAGACATCTCGTTCAACATTGCCTGTTCCGTCTTCTTCATGATGAGGTAATGCTTCAGCATGCCGGTGGGAAGAGCTTGCTCCAGTTCGGAGTCGTTGTCTGCGGATTCGACGGCCTCGTCAATCGATTTTGGCAGTTTCTTCGTGATCCCGAGTGCATGCAACTCTTCCGACGAAAGCGCTGTCGGGTTCTCTGTAGTGCCGTTAGCCTGGGTCTCTTGCAAGGACGAGTCTGATCTATCTCACTCGGGCAGTCCTTCATTGACAGCTTCGTCCCCGTCCTGATACCATGTAGGCCAATGGCAAGGATAGAGGACATGGCCAAATACATATTCGCACACCCGTCCAGGCACCTGACCTCCCACCTCAGCTTGGCGGGTTTGCGCAGCGGAACCTCGCGGTTCTGCGTGCCCCAGGCGATCCAAGTCCCTCCACTCCAGGAATTATCGACGACTCTTGAGTAGCTAGCGCCTTGTGGCATGGTGAGAGCGCACAGAGAAGACATGTGCTCCAAAACGGAAGCCATGAAGGGGATCTCCAGCTTCTCCAGCTCCTCCGGCGGTAGTTTCGTGGAATTGAAGCTCATGTGCACGTGCGCAGCATTGCCGATACCCGCAAAGGATGTGGGATAGCAGGTCGCGCGGAGACCGTGGGTGGCGGCGACTTGCATGATGCATTGCCGGGCTTGGATCAAAGTGTCCACGGCGAGGACGGGCGGGTAAGGCGGCAAGACGAACTCGTACTGACCAGGCCCGGATTCGGCGTGCAGATAGTCGACGCCAATGCCGATGCTCTGCAAGGCGAGGATGATTTTCGTCATGAGTGGGAATGCCGTGACGTACTGCTCGTCGGTAAACGTGCCCCAGGATCGGGTGGAGTCGAGCGGCGTAAAGAGGTCGCCTTCTGCCGAGGGATTGCGCTTGCAGAAGGTGACCTCAATCTCGAACCCAACCAGAAAGTTGACATTGTATTCCCGTTGAAAGGTTCGGATGAGGTTCTGCAAGGTAGATCGTGGGCACATCTGCAACGGCGCTCCCTCCGAATCGGTGAACCGAGCCATGACAGTAGCGGAATTTTGTTGAGTTCCAAGAGTTTGCATTGGTCGCAGAGTTTGAAGATCGGGTTCGACGAAGATGGCACCGACGGGGTCGCAGACGGGGGTGGAGCCATCGTTCTGGAGTGTTCCAAGATTGCCATGAGAAATGCCCAGCCTCTGCCCGGTCTCGAGGAGTCTTTTAAACGTCGCCGTGGGTACACAGCGCATGCGCATTTGCCCAAGGAAATCCAGCCATTGCACAAAGAAGAATTGAGTGCTGGGAAATCTTGCGAGGAATGGGTCGTAGCTACCGGCAATGTCGTATGGATTATGGGCCATGGTGACGGTATGGTTGGGCAATTCTAACGTGGAAGTCGGCGGGGACTCAATAAGCTGTCTTTGGAGTGGTGATATCGTCTGTCAGGGCAATTGTCAGAGCTGCGAGGGCCAGATTGTAAGAAGTATAGAAGTGGGTGTGGTAAGGTACGTGGAGGAGCGTCAGCTCAAGCATTTAAGTTGCAGCTAGTGCCTGCATCAGGCTCGATCAGCGTCGTTGCCATGCAGGTGCGCTTGTTTAGGAAGGTGCTTGTGGAGGCAGCGAACACGAGCCATTGGAATCCTCGAAGCCCTATCAGGTGAGGAAAGACAATTCACGCACCTCTTCTCCACCCTGAGCGCCATCATTGGGCACATCCAGCTTGAGTTTCAGCTCGTACAGACGGTTGGAGTTCTCGAAAAAGAAGTCCTGCACAAATTTGGTGGCTTGCGGAACGTCGAGATCCTCTCGCTCGACGTACTCGCACACCACACGCTCCAACGCTTCTCTCCCTTGGAGATTGGCCAGCCAGAACGTCTCTGGAAAGAAGTGGCCGTCTGTGCTCCAAAGTAACTTGCTCCAGGGTGTCAATTCGAGAGCTTGTCGAAGAATCTGCTCCTGGCCGTCTCGTGAAACCATTGGAAATACCTCTCCAATGTCGAGGTAGCAGTTTTTGTAGACCGTTGCCAGGTATCCGGCCTCACGCGTGTACGGATAGCTGGAGTGGAGTAGAACGATGGGCACGGTGGGGAAGTTTTTGATGAGCTCTTGCAAGCAAGCGGGGTTGGCATCCAGTAGATCGATGTCAGCGTCCCCGAGTCCTGTATGGAATTGGAAAGGTTTGGCAAAATCGTTGGATCGATATCCAGCGGCAATGAGTTTGCACGCACTGATCACCAGGGCGTCGTTCATTCCCTTGGCCTCTACTCGGAACTTTCTCGCGACACACTCTGGGAGGAAGTGCTTGCGAAAGCTCCGGAGTCCATCCTCCGTGACATCGAGATCCTTGCCCACTTGAATGTCCAACCCGGTGCGGTAACAAATGACTGACTTGAATCCCGCTACGTCGGGATCTTCAATCGCCGCAGCAATGGCCTGCTCGAAAGCGGTGATGAAAGCGACCCATGCTAGACTGCATGCTTCTTCATCTGCGACTGCGATCCCGACCGGCAGCTGGTTTTGTTGATATAGAGTGGAAAGAATGTCCGAGGCAGTGGCTTCGATTCGCACGATTCGCTTGCACGGCGACTGCACGTATCGATCGTGCCAGTTGTATGGCTCCACACGGTCGCCGAATGCCAGTCCATCGTCGATCAATAGTGTGTGCGTGCCTTCAAAGCACTTCGTAATCAAAGCGCTGGGATCTTGATCCAGGAGCGCTCGCCTCTTTTTGACAATCGCATCCCAGTCTCCGTCGGCCGGCAGATCGTAGAGCTTTCGTAGTTGCCTGACAGCTCGGAGGTGCGGTAGTGAGGTTGGGGTATCTTCTAAAGCATCGCCTTCAGCCTCGGTGGTGAAAGTGAGGATGTTGCCGGTCTTGATTGCTGGAGCTCGAAGCAGGTTATGGGCGTGGTTGTCGATGATGGGGCACGTTCGGATGAGCTGCTTCAGCGCGTCAAGGGTGTGGGCGTTGTCTGTTTCTTCCATGTTGTCACATCTTTCCTTGTTGATCGTCGAAGTGTGAGCAGTGGATGAAGCTCGAGCTCGGGAAGTTGGAACTGCCGCGCGCGTCATTGGCGCGTGGCTGCGCTGACTCAGGCCTTACGTACGAGAAATCCAATTTTCCAACCAGACTTCACCTTCTCGGACTGTTCGTTTCACAACATCCCTCTTACAAGTTCCACCGATCGAAGCCATTCCGCAGCCTCGTGCGAGATATCCCACGCAACAATGCAACTTTCACTGGGAGAATACATCTTCCGCCGGCTTCGCGAGCTTGGAGTCCGCAACATCTTCGGGGTTCCGGGAGGTGTGTACACAGTCGTTCGACGCATTGAACGACATGCTAAAGAGGCATTTAGACTTCAATCTTAATCTTCTGGACTGGATTGATCATGTGGAGGGCATGAAATGGGTGGGAACCTGTGAGATATCGTACTTCCTGACCTTTCATCTGTCATTGCTAACCTGGAAATGAATGCAGGCAATGAACTAAACGCTGCATACGCTGCCGATGGCTATGCCCGTTGCAGAGAACTGCCGGGCGTTGTTATCACAACGTACGGGGTTGGGGAGCTGTCGGCGATCAACGGCATCGGAGGCGCATACGCCGAGTCTGTCCCCATCATTCACATCGTCGGCATGACTGCACGTGCGGCGCAGAAGGCACGACTCATGATCCACCATACGCTCGGCGAGGGTCTTGATCACGCAATCTACCAATCGGTCTCCAAGCCTCTGTCTGCTGCGACAGAGTTCCTGTGGGAGGAAGGCTCGTTCACGCAGCAAGTCGATCGGGTTATTGAGGCCAGCTTCAAGACGAAGCTTCCCGTCTATCTCTACATTCCCATCGACACTCCGGACATTCTGATTGATGGCAGTCGACTGGACAAGCCACTCGACCTGACAATCTCAAATCCAGGCCGCGAGTCTGAGGAGCAGGAGGTTGTCGATCAGATTATCAGTGCGATCGAGAAGGCGGAGAAACCGTGCTTCCTGGTCGACCTGTACACTCAGAGATTCGGTGTGACCAAAGATCTCCGCGAGATTGTAGAATCCACTCAGATACCAGTAAGTCACACAATCCGATACAGCGCAGGATGGTTATTGATAATGGGCACGCCAGGCTTTCACGACGCCGCTCGGCAAATCCGCCATCGACGAAACCAGCGCAAACTTCGGTGGAACGTACATTGGGGCTTTCACCCACCTCCCTTCCGTCAGAGAAGCCATCGAAGGCGCAGACCTTGTCATCCATGTCGGCACGTTCCCAGCGGATTCGAACTCTGGCGGATTCAGCCAGAACCTCGCCTCAAAAGGCACCCTCGCCAAATTGCACGCTCATTACGTCTCTCTGGGCGACAAGAAATGGGAAGGCTTGAACTTCGCACCGGTGGTCAAGAAGCTCCGTCAGAGACTGCAGTCACAGAAGCTGACGGTGAAGAACCCGACCTGGTTTAAACATGTATGCCTAAATTCTCTCGTTCGCGTGTGTCTCGATGCTGACCATCACTAGGATGCCGAGCAACTGCGCAAGCTTCCCCAAGGCCTGAGCGGGCCTTTGAAACAGAAATACCTCTGGCAATGCTTCAACACCTTCCTCAAGCCCGATGACTTTGTCATTGGCGAGGTTGGAACGTCACAATTCGGGACCGCAGCGATTCTGTCCCTGCCCAAGAACGGCGGCTACTACACTCAAATCTTTTACAGCTGCATTGGTTTCACCGTTGGCGCCACCCTAGGAACGCTCGTTGCTCGAAGAGAGTTGGGACACACTGGTCGGACAATCCTGTTTGTCGGAGATGGCAGTCTGCAGATGACTGTACAGGTAAGATTATGCCAGCGCTCACAAAATCACAGTGATGCTAAGAGACATCCAGGACATAAGCACCATGATCCGCAACGGCTTCGCTCCGACCATCGTCATCCTCAACAACGACGGCTATACTGTGGAGCGAGTGATTCACGGCCCAGCGCGCGGGTACAACGACATCGCACGCTGGGACTACTCAAGCCTCCTCAAATTCTTCGGCGCCTCCAAGGAGTCCAAACACCACCTCGCAAAGACGTACGAGGAATTGCTGTCTGTTCTTTCCGACTCAGAGTTCCAAGCAAGCAAGCACCCGCAAGTTCTCGAGGTCGTGCTGGACAAGTATGACTCGCCGCAGGCTATGAGTAATCTCGTCGACACCGTTCTGGGCAAGGGCAAGGCTGCCATGCAGCAGGATGATCAGAAGAACAATCGCTCGCGCAAGGTTCTTGACGGCACGCTGACTGAGAGTGGATTGTCGACGGCTTGATGATAGAGTCATGCCCGGCTCAAGCCCATCCGCATAGCTTGCGCTTACAAGGAAGATGCCCGGTACCTGTATATAAACCGAGCAACCACTCCAGCGTCTTTGCCCAATGTCATTGCTGTCGTATTCACCGCCGATGACTCAAAAGTTTGAATCTCGCATCTGGCTGACTACATAATGAGGTGTGTAAATCAGGAATGTCTCGCCGACCTGCCCCACTCGGCGGTAAGCAAATGCGGATTCGCGGAGTCTTCTGCTGCCTGCTGCCTCGCCCACTTTGCGTTGTTGACTCATTAGGTTTGCTGCAGGGAAATGAATACATATTGGGGCGTGTCCTCGACCACTTTCACACAATGCCACTATTAATCTTACCCTAGAAACTTTCTTGGCCGTGCGATAGGATAATACACAGGCCGCGACTCGCTCAGCCTTGCCGCGCCAGACTTGGCGTCTTCTCGCCTTGCACAGCAACAAGTCTACCACTTTTGATTCCATCGGCATTGGCAGCGAGGCTGTCGAGAGTCACCATGGCAGAGCACTCTTTGCTCCATACAACCTTTCCGGTCCTTCTCCCCAAAATGCCCGAATTGCATCTCGACAAAGCCGCCTTTCACACGTACATCACAGGCTTGATCCACCCTCGACTCGCAAAACGACTGCCCGTGAGGAACGCAAAGCCAGAAGCACCCGAAGCAACCACATTTGCAAGTGTGGCGAAATTGCAAGATCCCGAGAAGCAAGCCGATCACCAGCCAGACGACAAGGAGTCGCTCTTCATGCTCGCCCTTCTCTCCCACAACCCCACCATTCGAGCTACCGACTTGCCGGGCAACAAGATGCTAACAGAAAACGGGGACGTGGCGTTCAAAGACTCCGGCGCCGTGCTCGTAGACCTGTTTGCCGAACTCGAAGACACCATCTCCGCTGACCGGCTGAAAAAGGTCCTGGAGCAGGCGTGGGCGGAGGATGCGTTGTCTACTCTGAAGATCATCTGGAATGCTCGTTCCATCCATCTTGGCAAGTCGAGCCGGGTTACCTTCTATCGGGCGGTTGGTTGGCTTTATCGAAATCACCCTTTGACGCTGATCACCAATTTGCCGTGGCTTGTGAGGCCTGTTATTCGGAAGAAGGCGCCGAAGGAAGCCAGCGGGAATTGGACTGATGCTGGCAAAGATGTGGACGTGGTCGATGCTGAGGATGCCGACAGCGATTTCGAGCTCATTGAGAACGAAGATGACGACGAGAAAGGAGAGCCTGTGCGGAAAAGGGCGAAGGTAGACGATGGGCTTGCCGAATTCGACATCAAATACGGCGTCGCTCATGGGTATTGGAAGGATCTCCTCAACATCCTGGCACTGGCCGCCAACAATGAGCTGAAAGTCGATGGCGACCCACGGAAAGTGCTGAATGTGAAGGCGAACAACAACAAGAATCTCCGCGATTGGACGGAGGGCAAAGGGCGAAGGAAGAAGACCATCCAGGCACGCCATGCATCTGCGGTGTCGAAGCTCGACAAGGACGGCACGTACAAGGCTCTCCATCTCAGCGTTGCGCGTTTGTTCGCGGACCAGCTCACACTCGATCTCGCTCGCCTGCAATCCGGAGACCGCGCGGAGAAAAAGCAAATCAGCCTCGCTGCGAAATGGGCACCGACGCATAAGGGCATGCACGACCAGTACACCTGCATCGTCAGCTCCATCGCCGAACTCTTGTATCCTTTCGACAAGCTTCGTCCCGCAGGCGTCGATGGAACAGATCGCGAACTGTACCTCAAGCACGCTCGCATCGCCTACCAAAGCCAGACACTCTCGCCACTGCGCAAACACATCGATATCGTCGAGCTGCACCTCACGAACAATAACTTTGCGGCCATCCAGTACGATCGCTTGCCATCTCTCGCCATGAACCAATACGCGCCAGTCTTTGCGACCAAAGACTATGAACACTTCGAAAAGTATGTCGATAAGGTGGCGGGTGGGAGGGCGAGAATGTCCGGCGCGACACTGCTCCCCAGCACACTGGTGAAGCACGCACTTGACAAAGGGAACGGCGTTGATGGCACGAAAACCACGTCCGGGAGCGCCAGATTCATGGTCCAGCGGAAGATCGAGGCGCTGCTGCTCAAAACTGCCGATGGGCAATGGAATACCCTGGTGCAGCGACTCCGGGACTCGGGCTCTCTGAGCGATTCCATTGCTGTTTGCGACGTCTCCGGCTCAATGACATACCCGACTTTTTCCGATCAGACAACACCCCTCCACTCTGCCATCGGGCTGTCGCTACTGCTGGCTGAAATCACGAAACCTCCCTTTGGCGGCGCTTTCATTACATTTTCGGCACAGCCTGAACTCGTGCGCGTCGGTGGACCAAAGGACGAACGCAGCTTGTTGGAAAAAGTAAAGCTTATTGAGAGAAGCAACTGGGGTGGCAACACCGATTTCGAAGCGGTGTTTCTCAAGCTCATCCTTCCTATGGCGATCGAGAATGGCCTGAAGCAGGAAGACATGGTGAAGCAGGTCTTTGTCTTCTCGGATATGCACTTTGACGCCGCGCAGCCGCGTGCAGATTCCAGCAGGTGGTCGGCTTCTTTCGAGCGGATCAAGATGGAGTTCGAAAAGGCTGGATACAAGTTGCCTCGTCTCATCTTCTGGAACCTTGCGGGTAGCGCTCACGGCGAGGACAATGGCGTTGCACCGAAACCTGTGGGTGCGTTCGAGCAGAATACGGCGTTGGTGTCGGGGTACAGTCAAGGGCAGATGAAGATGTTTCTTGACAGCGGTGGATTTGAAGAGGTGGAGGAGGTCATTGTGGAGACGGAGGGCGAGAATGGTGAGGTGGTTGTTAAGAAGCAGGAGAAGAAGCAGGATCCTTTGGATGTTGTTCGACGAGCCATCTCTCATGATGCTTATCGTATGCTGAAGGTCATGGACTGATGTAACGATGCATATTGAGGAAGGGCCACCAGGCCTGTGGCTTTTGGAGACTTGCGTCGCGGAGGTTGGAAAGAAATGTATACTGTACATAGCAATTACGAGGCATTAGGCCGACGGTACCGCCTCGTCTTGCGAATGTCGACCTTAGCCAGCATCATTGGCAGCCGGGAGGGATTTCTCAATGTCTGTCGCATACTGCACACTCTGATCCCAGCCTTCGAGGGTGGCGAAGGGACTTCTCAGCCACGCGTGAAGCTCGTGCAGCAGTAGTCTCGCATTCGCACGGTCTAGAAACTCGGCCAAGAAGTTTTCAGCCTGCCCATCTGCGCCCTTGGGATCGAATTTCCTCAGCACGGCGACGACGTATTCCAGAACGAAGTCTCGGTTGCGCACTCCGCGGTCTGAGTCAAGATGGCTGAAGAGCTGTAGTTCGCGGCGGAGGAAGATACGCGCGCGAGTTTGCAGAGATGTGGAGCCGGCGAAATCCTTCGGTGTAAAGTCTCGATAACCGGAGATGGCGTTTGCGCCAATATGCTGAGAGTACAGGCGCTGTTGATAGGCTCTACGCCTTCGGGACAAAGCTGGATCTTCGTGTGTCCTCAATGGGAGACTAGACGGGCGACTTTGATTGATTGGACCTCGAGAGTCACGATGACTGCGCAGCCGCATTCGTTGAGATGCAGAGTCGTCTATTCTCCTTGGCTCTCGCTCGGTGGATTGCACTTCAAAGACCTTGTAGTCGTGCGGACCGCGCCAGTCATATTCGACGGCTGTGATGGTCGCGTTGCATAAAGGACAGGTCTTGCGCTGCTGTAGCCATGACACCAGACAAATGAAGTCGAATGTGAGATGGTTGCACGGTACAGCTATCGCTCGTTCCGTGATGGTTTGGAGACAGATGGTGCAGTCCTCGGGCGCTGAGGCCTTGCCACTCTTTAAGGCACGACGAGCGGCACCCTTGATCTTGAAGTCGTCATCGTCTGTTGTCGGAGTAGCGGCAGCCTCGTCGGGATTAAATCTGTTGGCTGCGTTGTCCATGCATGTCAAGGAGCCGTCATGCATGTACACTGAGTTAGATGCTAGGGTTGTTCAAAGTCCCTTCCGAAGAAGGCAGTCAGTATTCCGCCCCACTCGGCTGACTAACAACAACCCCACGTCTGGCTCGAGAAGTGACGTGAAGCGGAGCGGGAGTTCTGCATCATTACTCGCACCAAACATTGATGGTCAATTGATTCAACTGAACGAATGTCGAGAATGGCTTCCTGTATCTTTTGCAAAATCATCAAGGGTGAGCAGGTCCTCCCATCTCTTCTCTCTCAAGGTCCAAGCTAACGCTCGACTACAGGCGAGATCCCTTCGATGAAGGTCTTCGAAAGCGAGAAGACATTTGCTTTCCTCGACATCAATCCGCTCAGCGCGGGACATGCAGTATGATGCATTCCTCACTTCTTGAGACGTCCACCCACTGACCACAATCAGCTCGTTATTCCCAAGCACCACGGCGCAAAGCTCACCGACATTCCCGACGACTCCTTGACCGAGCTTCTCCCTGTGGCCAAGAAGATCGCATTGGCCACGGGCGCCGAGCAGTTCAATATTCTGCAGAACAATGGTCGGATGGCACATCAATTGGTCGATCATGTGCATATTCACATGATCCCCAAGCCGAATGAGACGGAGGGTTTGGGCATCCAATGGCCTCAGCAGAATCCGGGCAAGGAGAAGCTGCAGAAGCTTTTGGAGGAGATTAAGGCGAAGATGTGAAACATGACTTGCTCGTGCAATATGGATATTGAAAGTACATTCGAATTTATGCTGAAAAACTAGTGGCGTCCTCCTCGAGTGCTTCCTCTGCATCCTCAAACGTCTCATCACCATCATCGGATGCAGCCTCGTCCCCAGGACTCTCCTTACTTTCTGCGCCTTTGGCATCCTTCAATTGTCCCCCTTTCCTCTTCGGAATCACCTTGACAAAAGCCTCGCCCCAATCGCCACACTCCAACCATTTCAGCATGATCTCATTGACATGATTGACAGCCAGGACCTTCCGGCTCTGCATATCCATGAATTCACCAATCGGTAATCTCGCGGTCTTCAGGCCTCGTTCGGTAGCTCGCTTGTAGCATAAGCCCTTTTCGCGATTCTTGTCGACCAGCCCGCCAATGATGTAGGTGCTGAACGGCTTCAGCTCGGTCAGAGTTTCTTCGGCTTCGGAGGTCAGATAGACCACTTCTCCCTCTGCTTTAAGACGTGCGTGATCCTCCACATCTTCAGTCTGAAATTTCTCGAATGCGCCGCCCATCTTCCCCTCGAACTCGGATGCCATCCACTCCTTTGCCTTTTCGGCAGCCTCGATGCAATCACAGTCCAAGAAGCGCACCCCTCTCCATCCCTTGTAGTGCATCAAGACGTTATCAAATCGCTCCCGCAAGCTACCACCAAAAGCAGATATCGCCAAATGCGCACGGAAAGGAGCATTTCTGTTGTCCGAATACGACCGCGTAAGCTGCGCAGCAAGCGAAATGCGCTCCTTGTCCTTCATTAGGCCGTCGAAGTCGCAGTCGATCAGGATGGTCACGGGCAGCTGCACGGCCTTGCGTCGAATCAGATGCTTCGCCGGGATTGCCTCAGCTTCGCCATCAGCTTGCATTTGCTTCCACGCTTCGCGCTTCCGCTCGCGCTTCGCGACGGTCTTTTGCCGGCGGATTTCCTTGCGTTCGTCGCGCTTCGACTCCCATTCTTGCTTCTTGCGGAGTTTCTTGAGCTGGTTTTTGGAAACTGGCGCTCCGGCTGTGTCGAGTCCGTCTGCCAGTGGGGCTGTTGTCGCTGGAGTAGGGAATGTGTCACCTTCGGCATGGCCAGCGCCATTCAGGTTTTCACTCGGCTCCTCGTCGTCGTGTTCGATGATGGAGATCAAGTCTCCGCCAGTTGTGCTGACTTCCGAACCGCCATTTCCTTGTGTCAGGGAGTCAGACACTGGCTTCTGAGGATCTCGATCATTGCTGAGCTTCCGCTTCTTGGTGATCCGCTCTTCCGCTTCCATAATTGCGGTGTGGCGCTGGTAAGAAGTGAAACCCCAAAAGACCTCAAAAGTGAGCCTCTCGATAAATTTTGGCCTCACGTGACTAGTGCTGACTAAGACGGGACCTTGCCGAACTCCGCTCCGCACCACCGTACCTGAGCTCCTCCGCCATTGAGCGACATCAACACCCACCTTCTGCTCGCAGAACCCGTCCACCACCCCCCTCAATCCGCCATGCCTCAAGACCTCCCTCCCTCCGCCGGCTACGAGCCCGTGCAATACCGCCGAAACCTGCCTGTGCGCGGCTTCCGACCGGTCTGGTACCTCGCCATCGTCGGCGCCATCACGACCTACGGCTTCTACAAAGTGGGAGTGGGAATTCGGGAGAAGAAGTACGGCATTCCTCCCGTTTCATACACTGGCAAGAGTATGGTTGTGCAGTTTTGCTGACGCCCGTGGTTGTGCAGTGAACTCGCGCGGGAGAAGATGTGGTCGCGCATTTACCTCATCCCGTTATTACAGGCCGAGGAAGACCGAGATCAGGTGCGGAGGTACTACGCTCAGCAGGCGCTGGAGAAGGAACTGTTGGGGACGGAGACGAAGGTGTATCATGGTGACCGGTATGTTCTTGCCCTGCTTGTGCGGAGAGCCGGAGTGTGGTATTGACAGTCTACAGATTTGTACGGCCGACGTATGTGGTGACGCCGGGACAGGTGACGAAGTAGATGAGAAGGGCTGGAGACACAGCGATGGGTTCACATGTGTGCCTGGTGAACTGTATATACCTTACACGGCGTTGTGGAGTGATACGAAGCGCATCAATTACTTTACGCTCAGAAGGCATCCTTCTTGTCATCAATCTCGACAACATCCGATTCCTTTTCCTTCTCCCTCTCCGACACGACCGACGGAGCAGGTGTGACATCTCCAGGCTCGCCAACAGGCTCGGTTTTCTTCCCTCTCAGGACCATCCAGATCATCTTCGCACCTCCATCGATCAGAGGGTAGAAGCTGGCGATACCCAGTGCAATCCAAAGCCAGATGAGCGATACGACTACCCAGGCAGTGAAGAGCTGTCCAAAGCGTTAGTCTCAGCCAAATGAACGCACAGCTGAGCGATACGCACTCCCTTCGACATGATGAAGTACGCCCCGTACATGGGAATCGGCCAAAGCACCCACTGGCACAAGAAAGTAATGATTCCCCACCAGAGAGCCACGCGCGCCATCTTCCGCATGTATCGCACGCGTTGCGGCGAGAAATAGGCATCGTAGTTGAAGTGCGTGGCTTTGGCGGAGAGCTGGCCGTGCTCGTCGTCTTCGACTCGCTCAATGGCTTTTGCTAGCTTTGGCCAGTCGAAGGTGTTGTCAGGGAAGAGGTAGGAGACTGCGATTGTGATGGGCAGCGGCGTGAAGGTGCTGGCCACGGTGGCGTACATGCAGGGGAAGGCCATGCCCAGGGCTGGAATGCTTGCGGATCCTTCGATTGCCTGTGGCACAAACATTCATGTGAACGTGTTGTTGTGTTGTATTCGCAAGGCTTCGTGGGGGGCACAACTTACCACAGCGGTTGCAATCCATGTTGAGATACCGGCTGCGAAGCCACACAGTGGCGCCACTATTGCAGCGGTTCTTGTCTGCTTCTTCCATACGAGCGCGAAGGTTGTTGGGAAAAGGGCCGGGCTGTCAGGTGTCAGGTTCGTCCCTCTGCTCGAGGGCATGATAGACTCACCAGATCAGGATGCCGAGGAAGTACAGCAGCCAGTTCAGGTCCACGCCCCCTTTGTAGAATCCGGTGGCCATGCTCGACACAACGAGCCATGCGCCAATGACTCCGACGTGCGACATCCTTATAATCTGCTTGTTGGTAGCCTTTTTGTTGAAATAGGTCCTGTAGATGTCAAAGGAGAAGATTGAACTGATGGCGATGAGTTCAGCGGAGCTGACACTGGTGCATGCCATGAAGATGATCACCAGCACCGCACCGGCGCCTCCTTTGCCAGCAATGGCTTGTGAAACGAACGGGAGCACGAGACCACTCGATACCTCCTCCGCCGTCATTCGTCTTGGGTATGTCGGGAACGCAGGTGTGGATTCCAGAGCTTGTGCTCCAAGTCCCATGATGGTGCCGAAAGCAAAAGGAATGGCGAAGTAGGCATTGCCTCCAAGGATGTACCCGGGCACGGCAGCCTCCACCTCTGCCGCGAAGCCTATGCGTCGGTTAGAAATGGTATCGGGGTATCAGAGAGCAGGATAGAGCACCTTTCTGCCAAAAACCCGTATCAAGGAAGACCACACCGAAATTGGTCAAGACGTGGATGATGCCGAACCATACTGACTGGTTGCTGGTCATGGTCAAGTATGATCCCTCGTAATTTCCAGCAACGGGATATTTTTTCCCAAGAGGCACCAAAGCATCGTAGAGGGCACCAATAGAGCCAATCTCCTTGATGGTCAACAGCTGAATCGTCAGCCAAACGAGTATGATCATAATGATGACAGTGTGAATGTAGTCTGTCAGAAAGGTGGCCCTCAACCCCCCAAAATAGGTGTACACCACAACCCCTGCAGGAAGGAGATATGTCGCCGCGATGATGTTCATCCCGGTCAATGAAGAGACTGCCGCGGCGGCACCGACAATCATCTGAGAGAAGATGAGCAAGTTGTTGATGAGAGCCATCACGATCCAGAGGAGGTGCGCAACGGTTCCATAGCGGCCTCTGATCAGTTCGAGAAGGGTGTGAGCGTTTGGAATGCGACGTTTGGCTTGAATTGCGATCCAGGCGAACATGCAGATCATTGTGCTTTGGCCCGCCGCCCACCAAAGCGGGAGTGCGATCCCGTAGGAGTAGGTGAGGTACGGTGAGCCAAGGAGCGCGCTGGTATAAAGCCAAGAGGAGATCACTGCGGATGCAGTCAACCCTGTGCCGATGCTTCGATTTGCCACCATGAACCTGAAAGATGTAAGTGGAATGTAACGATAGTCTGCCCGACAACATACGTTTCAGTCGTGTTGTTATCTTCTCCGAAAGTCCTGTACAATGATCAGAAAAAGCAGGAAGTCGCATGTAAGATGGACCAACTTCTTCAACTGTCTTGTCACGAGTACCATTCCAATGGCGAATCCAATTCCAAGTCCCAGTACAACTCCGTAGCCAGCACCTTGGCCGAGGGGCGGAGGTGGTAATGACATCTTGTATCTGCCACCAGGCTACAGGGGTATCGACGCAGAGGCCTCGATCGACGTATAAAGAGAATGTGAAGCTGAGAATGTCTAAGAAAGAGAGGGTATCTTGAAGTCTGATAGTATCGTCTGTTGTGGAGCGAGCTCGCAAGCAGTCAAATAAGACAGAAGGACAACAAGATGAAAAGACTGATAAGACTGAGACGCAAGTGACGAAAAGCTCATAGCCGTGCGTGCAGCTTGGTGGCAAACACATGGATCCCGAGCCATCGCATCGGGCACACCATTGCAGCGCACGTGTGGCTGCGCGGATCTTGAACCCTCACCTACCTTGTTCCGACTTCGCAGGCGGCCCTGGCAAGTGTGCTAGCTATTCGCAGGCATCTCAGGGCAGATCAGCGAGCAATACGCCAATCTCTGGCAATCGCATAAGCATAAACACAATTGCGTGATAGCTCTTCATGGTCTTGTGCTTGCAGGATTGAGGGAGCAACGCGAAAGCTTCGATCTGAGTCCCGGTTAGCGACTGCATCTTCCGCGGCTGTCGATGAAGCGGCGTTCGATTCAGAACGTTCCAACAGAGAATGTTGTTGGTCGTTGATGAGGAGGTGATGTCGAGAGTCCAACTGCCGCTCAGAGCCCCAGAGTCCCCATTTGGCCGAAGATCTGGGGTAACCCATAGCCGGGATTGGTTAGCCGGGGTCGCTGCTTAATGAAATCTGGGACTTCATCGCCTTCGAAACGACATCATCCACCCACCGCAAAATGGCCACCCAACAGCAGACGTTGAAGCTCCCTTCAGAACGTGGTCGAGAAGAGCCAATATACAAGCCCGCCGTCCAACCATGCAGCGACATCAAAAACTCCGCCACGTTCATCTTTCTCCACGGCCTGGCCGATAGCGCAGAAGCCATTCAGAGTCAGTCTGCCTCGAGAAAACGAAGCGTGAATCCTGCAGTTTTGACGTGTGTGCCAAAGATGTCGCCGACCAGTTCCAGCAAGGCGGCAAGCTGTCCTGGATGAGCTGGGTCCTTCCCAATGCCAAGTACAATATGGATGCTATGGACACGGCGTGGTTTATACCGCACCCGCTGCCGACGCTTGCGCCGTCGCGCCCTGAGCTGGCTCCCGACGATGATGAAGAGGGCATGCTTGAAACGGTCGCGTACTTGGAATCGCTGATCGATGCTGTCGTGGAGTCCGGCGTCCCTCTTAACCGTATTGTCTTGGGCGGCTTCAGCCAGGGTTGCGCCATGAGCCTGCTCACGCATCTTACATCATCAAAGTACAGTGGCAAGCTTGCAGGGATTGTGGGCTTACTGGGCTTCCTCCCGTTGTCCGATGGCAAGCAGCGGATACAAGAGCTGCGCGAGGAGCATGGTCTTCCGCGTTTGATTGAAGACGATGTGCCTGTCTTCCTGGGCAGAGGCACCTCAGATGCGCTCATTGCTAATCGGATCTGGAATTACTCGCTCAAGGGGCTGACGGAGTTGGGTTTGAAGGAGAGTCAAAGCGAGGTGCATACCTATCAGGGCCTAACGCACACCATCAACGGCGCGGTGCTGCGTGATGTGTGTGTTTGGTTGGAGAAGGTGGTGCCATCTCTGGAAAGCTAGAAGTAATCTTATGACGAGTCAAACTATAGACGTTTATTTCTGCGTGTAGATCTAGCGCTACCACTTCTCCGGGAATCCTGACAAGTCTTCTGCCTGCCTCCACGCTTGCCAATGGAACTGTGGCAATGGCTGCTTCAAGATTCCCCACTTCGTCATCTCTTCGCGTTCGTTCATGTTGATCGGGTCTTTGGTAGCTGGACGATAGTGTTCAAAGTCGACAATGGATCTGGTACGTGGTTAGTAAGAGGACTGCAGCTTCTGTTGCGAAGACGAGATAGCATACAGCGTTCGGGTGTCAGACTCCCACAGGATATTCCGTAAAGCGCAGTCATAAGGCTGGAAGCCGAGCCGCCAGATGTGTCTGCAAAGTCGGTCAGCATTATCACGCGACAATCACCTCTCCCCACTCATTGATGACACACTTGATAGCGACCAAGAATCTCTTCCGAATCTCCTCCTGCAGATCCTCCGGCATGCTCCAAAACTTCAGCTCCAACAAGTCCAGTCCAGGCATCCTCGTCATCACAACGTAAGCGATATATCCGCCCGGCATAGGCCCATCTGCGCCCTGCACGGCCGTCTTCCAGCTTATAAGGTGCGGCAGCGAAGGCGAGTCCGTGTCGGCGAAAATCTTCAACGCCTTCAGTTCGTCGAGAGTATGACTACTCGGGCCCTCAATGGGGTCTACAAGGCCTCCTGCGAGCTGAGATGGTGCTCTATCCCTCACGTGAGCATTTCATTTCGCAGCCGAGGGTCGCGGGCGGAACATACTGCACCTTGCATTTGAGGATGTAGAGATCTCCCTCGCTTCCTTGATCCACTCCACTGTCCGCAACGGCATCGCCCAGCGCTACACGTCTGCAAATATACAGTATGCGGGCTTCGGTATCATCCTTGCGGAAATTGGTGATGGGCTGGAGGCGCTGGAACGCGGCGTTGATGTCGGGGAAGACGACGGTGGTGTCGAGAAGGCGGTCAGCGTCTTCGACGGTGAGAGTACGGTCGGCCATGATGGATTATTCGAAGCTGCATCGCTACGCTGCCATTATGCTTTCCTTTCGGTTTGGCCAGCGATCGCGTCAAAGCGGTGTTGTAATTTCGTTTTGCCTCTTATCAAGACTTTGAGGTGAAGTCGGGCCATTTGTCCGGCGTCGACCAATGACGTGGGGGCCAACAACAGACTCGAACGAACACCGATTGTCAAAACGATTGTTACCGCAGCAGGAACAACGCTTAAGAATGAGTTGCATGGTTATCTGGTATTAGTGCAAAATGAAATACCGCATCACCAACACGCCCATAAAATCACTGCAGTCCGCTCCCTTGAAAATGGAGTCGAGGGAATGCCCTCTACCTGCTTGAAGACCGCCCAAGAGCAAAAGTAATGACAATGACAGCCCCCAAAGCAACCAGCGCACCCGGCAAAAGCAGCTCATTCGGCACGCCTGGGACAAGTTGGTCTTGCTGTTTCGGCTCCTCCTTTGGCATGGATTTGCGCGTGCCGCGAATGATGGTAGGAGGAATTTCCTCCTCCTCTTCCTCCTCCTCGCGTCGCTTGCGAGACTTAACCAGGCTCTCCGGAGGCGTTGGCGGGACATTAACCGGCTTGGCCTCCGTGACAGGGGGAAGAATAGCCTTCTCCGGGTCGTGGACGAAGAGGTCGACCTTTCCTTTATGCGCTTGTCTTGCCAGAACGATGGCTTCAAACAAATCGTGGTCGGTGGTGATGGAGACCGTATCGCCGTCATTGTCCAGATAGCTGAGGGCAAAGCCGGTGTGGCTCATCTTGCCGTCTTCGACCGTTGGAGTACCACCCAGACCAGTGACTTCGCTGCCGAGCTTCTCCGCCACCACCGCAACAAAATCAGCCAGGCCAGCGGAAGCCGTGACGGCGAGGCGATGCACTCGGCCAGCAGGCGATTTGAATTTGAAGGTGAATGGAACCTCCTCCGATGCGCCCACAAATGCTGAGGCTTCCTCCAGCTCCAGGCCATGCATGGAAGCGGAGTCACCAGGCATGACACTATCGAGTCTCTCCGTCCCCGGTCGTTGCATGTCGGGAGAGATCATGCCAGAACGATGGTCTGGAGTATGCGGCATATGGCTGCCTTCGCCTGACAATGCGGACTCGGTGTCGCCGTGGTCCATGGACATCCAGAATTTATTCCATGCGGGGCCCTCGCTGTCGCCCGTCGACATGCTGTTGATCTGAATGATTGTCAGCAGGTTGAACAGTGTGCGTGGAAAGCAAGGGACTTACCTGGTCAAGAGTGGCATAAGTCAATTTGAGCACATCTACCATTCCCACAATCTCGTCATTGCCTTTGTTCATGACGGGAAGGTTCAAGTAGTGGCCGTCGTGCATCTTTCGCAGAGCCTGCTGGATGCTCATATCCAGTGGAGCAAAATCGGGATGCGGCGTCATGACACGGATGACGCTGCAGTTGGCTGGGTCAAGACCAGCAGCAATCACACGAAGAACCACGTCCTTTGACGTGAAGATACCGGTGATCTGGCCTTGATCCTGGACCAAGACTGCGGTTGTATGATTTTCCTTCATCAGCTGAGCGGCTTCCTTGACACTCGTCCGCACCGAGACGGTCGTTGGCGGCAAGCCGTTGAGGACGGATTCGAGCGTTGGACCAGACATCCTCTGGCGGACTGCCTCGACGTATTGGATGATCTGCTGGGGCTGGCTCGAGCCAAGCTCAGCCTGGACACCCTCCAAAGCATCGTACAGCTTCTTCGACGAGCTGTACGCGCGTTCCAACTTCTCCATCGCGTCGTAGAAACACTTTGTAATGTCCAGGATGCCAGAAATGTCATGATTCTCATCCATCACGGGCAAATGTCGGAAGCCCTTCCTCACCATCAAGTCGAGTGCATCTGTCGCACTGGTGTCCGTCTTTGCGCACAGCGGGTTCTTGGTCATGATCTCGGCGATGGTGACGCTGTTTGCCTTAAGACCTGCCCCGACCACTCGGAAAGCAAGATCTTTTGCGGTAAAGATACCAGCGATACGGTCATCGTCGTCGGTCACAAGTACGCAGTCCTCTCTCTTAGCAGCCATCAACTGGGCCGCTTCCGTCACGGTGGTGTTTGGCTTGATTTGCAATGCTTCTTTCGGTCGGAGGGCGAGGACGGTGCCAGGGGCCACCTTCCGCCCTTGTCGAGCCTTGCCGGCTCCGGCACGTTTCTTGTCGAGATCTTTGGAGATCTTGTTGCGGATGGCCTTGTTGGAGAGTCAGCCTCGCTTCATACTTAGAAGACTGCAGGACACACTCACTTCATCTCGCTTCGACTGCTTCGCTCTGCTTGCACTGTAAGACGTAGACGCTTCGCTGGGTGCGCCTCCTTCAAACTTAGGACGGGGTAGATGGCTGGACGGGCTGTCGGAGTACCCACCCTGTGTTCTGCTCTTGGGCGTGCTGCGGTAGGTACCGCCGGCAGCAGACATGTTGACGTTGATTCCGGGGTTTCGAGACGTTTGAGTGGATTGCCTTACTCTCGGCCGGATAGGTTGTTGTGTAACTTCCCCGGATGGTGTAAACACAGCCACGGGAGGAACCGGTCGGGATTAGTCAGCTACCGCCGGAATAGTAATTCTTGGCAACGGGAATTCCGCCCACATTCGACAAATTGAGATCGCGACTTCACAGAACACCGACGTCCACGCTACACGATCGTACAACCCATCAGCAAGCCCCAGAGACTTGCTGAACATCATCCAATCTCGCAAATATGGTCAAGAAGCGAGCGTCGAAGTATGCAACCGCGCAGCCTTCCCCAAAACCGCCGAGCGAAGACTAACGATTGAAAAGCGGACGCAACAAGAAGGGCCGTGGCCACGTCAAGCCGATCAGATGCTCCAACTGCTCGCGATGCACACCCAAAGATAAGGCGATCAAGAGATTCACGATCAGGAACATGGTCGAATCCGCAGCCATCCGTACGTGCGAACCCTGGCGATGAATGGGGTTGGGGAAGAGCGGGAAACAGTCGAATGGTTTACTGACTGGCTGGCTCTTCAGGTGATATCTCCGACGCCTCCGTCTTCGCCGAATACTCCGTCCCCAAGATGTACTTGAAGTTGCAGTACTGCGTCTCGTGCGCGATCCACGGAAAGATTGTTCGGTGAGTGGAAGCTGTTTGGGTGGTGTTGGCGCTTGTGGATGGTTCTAACGTGGTACGCAGTGTCCGCTCGCGCGAAGGTCGCCGCAACCGCGCTCCCCCTCCCCGAGTGAGGTACAACAAGGACGGCAAGAAGGTGAACCCACAGCAAGCAGCCGCACAAGCCGCTGGAGGTGCGGCCAGATAAAAGGTGGAAGAAGCATGGTTGGGGAGCCAAGGCTGACGGTCATCCGAACACATCATTGCATCGAATTCCGAGCGGAGGTGGGAAGGAGGGTGGCCTGGCTGTGTTGCAATTGAACAATCAGCCCAGCTTTGTCAAGACGTAGGAGAGATTCTAATCAAAGAGCACTTTCAGTCCACTGTCATCCTTCATCTCCTACGGCGCCCATACAGCGAGGTTTTCTGGCATTGCTGTTGACGAACAAGCAGAGCCAGTGCAGTCAGCCGAAGTTGGAGCTTCTCATCCTAGACATGCTTCGCGCCTGGCTTCATCCATTGTAGGATCTTCAGATCATCTCAAGAAGGCCAATTACAGTCTTGACGCATCACAATCGTAAGGTCCATGTCGACGTCTCCTTGTCGAATGCGAAGGCAGCGCACCTTGGGGTCTCAATTTCGGCGAAGTCACAAACACGAGTAGCCCTGAACTCCTGCACATCATGCTTCGCTTTTCACCTCCTCAAACTTCATCCTCTCGCCTGGTCTCGGCCGCTACGACTTCGTTTTCCTCTTCACCTTCATCTTCATCTTCCTCCTCCTCTTCGTCCCCAGCATACCCTCCCAGCTCCGCATAATCCGCCTCTGCCCATTGCAGTACACGACGAGCATCGTCAAGCAGTTCCGCTTCCGCTTCGCCCGGGAATGCCGCGTTGCGTGCCTCCTGGCCTGGAGTTGTCGCGATTCCATGTGCGATTTCGGCCAGACGGACACATTCTTGCGCCCACTCGACGTACCTACGCCACCTACCGTTAGATCATTCAACAAAGTGGAGGTTCGCACCCAAGCTTACCCATCATCCGAAGAGCAGGCAAGGGTCATGCAAGCTCGTATACGAATCAAGAGCGGGATGTTGGCATACGTCACGAGCATACGAGCGATGGAGTCTCCTTCGGCCTTGTCCTCTTCTGAGTCGCTTTCGTGGTACTCCATCATCTATATGCGAAGCAGTCAGCACCGTGGTTTCCAGTTGTGGACAATGCTAAGACGGACCGTGAACATGAGCTCGTAGTACATGCGCATTTCGTTGCTCTGAGACTCCGCCATGATGAGGTGGAAGGTGTTCGCAACTGAAGAGATGCGTAAACACTCGGCAAGGTATGCGGAAGCTACAGGAAGAAGTGTCGACGGTGTGTGCGCCTTATAGCCCTTTGCATTCGATGTGTGTCGCCGAAAGCAAAGTCAAAAGCGAAAAAGCTGCGGGTGCTTGGTTGTCGTTTGCAGGCCTGCCTGGCCCGCGTGTGCTTGGTCGGCGTTTGTATGTTGCACGGCTTCGATTAGGCGAAAGCTTGTCAGTCGAGTTGGGCGAGTAACAGTTTCAATCACGGCAACTTCGCCGCCTGCCGTGCGCGCTTATCCTTCTTTCTTTTCAGATCGCACTGGCCTAGGGGAGAACTTGGAGGCCGGCAATACCTCAGTTACGGTGTTGTCTTGAAGCAATAGCACCACGACAACCTGACTTGATCGATTGTAGGATCCTCACAGGCGGCTGGGCCGGCTCTCCTTTCGTCGGTCGTGGTTAGAGGCATCATATCGGCCTCCGGGTAAGTCTCAGCGGCAAGTTGTGTAACCACGGCAGAGCGACAGGCCTGGAAATGATGCTGGGGGGAGACCATTAGCCAGAGACTTAAGTTGTAGTGTCGAGGGGGAAGTGAGATGTCACTACAGAGTAGAAGTACTGGAAGTGCAGCTGCACTTCCTGGGGAATGGGCCCTCCGCATCCTGAAAGTCTCATGTGTTCAGGCCCTGTGAGGATCCTACAATCGATCAAGTCAGGTTGTCGTGGTGCTATTGCTTCAAGACAACACCGTAACTGAGGTATTGCCGGCCTCCCAAGGCCGTTGAAAGTGAGTGTGTGGATGTTCCTGCGACCATGAAGATTGGCACGGGGTCGGGATTGCGGTGCTGGGAGACGGAGAGGCTGTCAAGTCCCAAGCGACTACAGCATTGACGTCGCGAGCGAATACTGGAATGAACCTTCAGGGTGCACTTTCGGAGCTCGTCACACACGAATCGGAATCCACCGGCGAGGAAGTGAACGTAGGTGGAAGAACAGATGAGAAGGGGTTGAGCGTGCTGCTTGCAGCGTAGACAATGCGGTATCGATAGTTTTTTCTTTCATCGAGTTGAGGAGCTTTCAATCAGACGGGTGCTCGCTCATTGTCATCGTTGCAGAGCGTCAATCTCACATATATCGTCACAAGCAGACAATTTTAGATCGATGACATCCTCAGGGAGGTGATGTATTTGCGGAACTGGGGATTAGAGTTTGGCTAGGCTCGCTTCCGAAACCTAAATCTCTCCACACATGCCTATTTGGGCGAGCACGTGCATGACCCGTATATATTGAAAATTTGCTCTGGATCCTTCAAATCAATTGGCTAAGCTGCGAAACTTCGTGGACACTCTCCTTAGCTCAGTTGGAAGAGCGCAAGACTGTAATTGGCCTTCTCAGGATCATCTTGAGGTCCCTGGTTCGAGCCCGGGAGGGGAGAGCAACTTCCAATCTTTTTGCTTCTTGGTGGGTGATATGGAGAGTTTTCCCAGATTTGACGACTCTGCCCCACTCTTCCCTCACTCTGGCGATTTATCAATGCAATTTTTGATTTTTAGGACCAATTTTCGATGCTCTGCGGATTTTTGAAGTGAATTTGCGGAGGTATACTACCCTCGCCCGAGAAAGCGGTAATATGCAACGATGCACCGTTTAATATCAAAGCAGAGACGACGAAAGGACCACTTCTATCATACACATGCATATTCTACAACGTTACAAGTCGTATTGTTGTCTTTCCAACGTTCGTCGCGTCAAAGTGTCTCGGCGATGGAGATGCCCTTTTCGGCGAAGCTTTCCACGATGAGTTGTCGCCGGCGTCGCCTAAAAGCATACAAAAACTTCCGTAGTACAACAATCAAGTCGAAAGTCGTCAAATGAGACGTATTTTGATGTTGTGCACTTGGTGAAAAATGCCGATTCTCCGTGGTAGGTTGCCCATACGTCCACCGCGCCAAGACAAGGCTGCGAAAGTCAATGTCCCGATGCTGGTCGAAGTCAACCGCACGAGAACATCCGCACGCCTTCAAGAATTGCGGGGGTGTAACTTATGAGGGCAGAGGTGTAATTGGCGACGTGGAGAGATGTATCTGCGTGACTTTTGTTGCGCGTGAGGTCGATTTCAACGGTGCACGCCCACTTCGGGCTCGAGTTTGCGTAGCCGAAGGAAAGAGCGCATGATCGAGTCACTGCATCGAGACAATATTCCTTCGCTTCATACCTACAACAGATCATTCTGTTTCGATGATCCCAATATCACTCCATGTTACAATTTCTCGATTTTCTCCCAATCCCAGGCGTCCGAACTCACTCCCTGCATCCCAAAAGTCCGCTTCCCAATTCCCAACACTTGACCGAGTCACCACACTGCAACTTCATATCTCCGCTACATATCCACAACCTCTCACGCCATTCCTCTGATCCCGATTCCGTCCCGTGCAACTAATGTCTCCGTCTTCCCAACTTCATCATCCCCAACCCCTCCCCACGCCCCCAAACACCGCTCCCCAATGCCCAATTCCCGAATCCAGAAACCATCCTAAGCACAACACATATGTCTTCCTAATTCCAGCAGACCGACGGTGCATACAAGGCGGCAAAAGAGTGGCGATCAATCGTCGTGCTGAAAATAGTACCCCATCCTTCCCACGGCTCTCTGGCGGCTGGATGGCGATGTATATACATGTGTGTGTTATTGCTTGGAGGGGTCGGGATGTTGCACAAAGGTTTCGACCTTGGTTTGATTCGAGCCTTTGGACGCTGCGGTCGTGTATGTTCGATATGAATCGTTGGGATGAGAGATGTCTTTGCTCGTGCTGATGATAATATATTGACATAAGCTCCCATATCGAGAAATCCCGCAAACAAGCCCGAGCCGCCCGTCAAGATCCAAGTCGAAGAACGTCGAACCAAGGCTGGACGATGGACATCGCCGAGGCCTGGGAAGAGTACGAGGGCCACTGGAGAGAGGAATGGGAGGATGATTGGGATGTTTACTGGGAAGAGGCTTGGGAGAATGACTTGGAAGACGACTGGAACGACGACTGGGAGGACAACGAGGACGAGGAATCTCATGGGGTGTGGGGAGCAGCAGACTGGAAGTGGGTGAGGAAGATGAGGAAGCGCCGAATGTATGACACTCCTACCTGAGCGTAGTGACCGACGTACGCATGCAAGACTGGCAAATGAAGCAAGCAGACCTTGATTTGGGGGTAAAGCCTCGTTCTCGACCAGTGCTCAGTGTCCACACCAGCCCTGAGTAACAAAGCCGTCCAGTGACCACGTAGATGCCATTGTCAGACTCGGAAGCCCCTGGAGAAAGAAGGTAACAAGCCTCATCCGCTCGTCATCATTGTGAGCCGAGACACTCGATCAATCGCACGAGCAGTCTTGTGGAAGCACTCATTTCTCTAGACGGCCTTCAAAACAAGGCATGGTAGTTCCGCAGGAATGCGAGGCGTCCAAAACTGCATCACAAGGCTGCATGTGCTGGTAACATAGGAGAAGTCGCAGGTGAAACATGGAACGAAAGAATGCGAGTCGTCACGAGAAGCAAGCTCTGAAGGAACAGTGCAATCACACGACCAGTGTTGTGAAATGGGGAACATACGTACTTAGTACCACTCACCGGGTTCATGTTCTCGATCGTGTACGATGTATCGCGCAGCCTACTCTTGCGTTCGACCGGATTTCCAGACCGGATTGGTGCAGGCAGGCGCTCGAGACCTGGCGATCGAGCCGGTGAACTACGCACGAGCGTGGGATTAATATGCACATGGCCGTTCTGGCTAGACGATGAGTTGCACGACCGCATCATTGTGGACGAGCTCGCAGATTCGTGCCACGAGCAGTGGAGTGGGGTGGTTTGGCCGGATGATTGCATGGGGAAGAGCGTGCATGTAGAGTGAAGTCGAGGCATTTCGGGCTCGATCGTAAGGGTATAAAGTGATGCATCTTTCCTCAAATCAATCTTCTCCCCTTCAGTGAAGAAAGAAGGTCGGATTCTCAAGCTGTGGAGGAAAAGACTTCGAAGCGCTAACGACCGCGACATTTCCACCAGCCAATTCCACGAATCACAACCACCTACGATGGGCGAGGAGACAACGACAAGTGATATGACGGCGGAGGACTTTTTGCAGTATTTTCGGGTGGAACTGACAGGTAGGATCAAGCACCTCAAGACCGCATCACATTTACTAACTTCCTGCAGACATTGAACAACATATCAAAACCCTCTCCAGCCTCAGCACGGAAAATGGAGAGCGAGCGGACGCAGTCAACAAGATTCAAGGACACATCGCCGCCCTCTCCGACAAGGTGCGCGATGCCGGAGTGTATGTGCCGGCGCGTGATGTGCGAATCTACAGCGATGCGATCAAAGGGCTTCAGGAAATGTTAAAGGATACACTGGAGTCCTTGGTCCCGAAGAAGAAGTTTTCCTTCAAGTCGGGATCTGCGCTGGGGGCGAGGAAGGACGCGGGGAGTGCTTCGACAGCAGAGGCATCAAGTTCACAGCCAAAACCGCAACATCGGCGGCCATCTCTCCACCAAGGAGCAACGAGTCTAGACGGCCACACGCGGCAATACATCATCGTGCCCTCGCCGGACCCAGGAGCGGTCGGGTCAAGCACCATGGCCAACATCCAAATCTGCGTGGTCAACATGCGTCCGGCGGGCATGCGCACATTTCCCCTCGCCAGCCTAACGCTGAAATCCATCCGCAAGTCGCTCGTCATCTGCAGCGAAGTCCAGGGGCCCATCCATCTCACCAACATCACCAATGCCATCATCGTTGTCGGCAGCCGGCAGTTTCGCATGCACGACAGCCGGGACTGCGATGTCTATCTACATACAGCAAGCCGGCCAATCATCGAGCATTGCTCGGGCATTCGATTCGCGCCGTTGCCGCAGCAGTACCTGACGGAGAGCATGACAGAGGGCGGTGGAAATCAAGATCAATGGCAGCACGTGGATGACTTCAATTGGCATCAAATTGAAGCGAGTCCGAACTGGAGCGTGCTGGAAGAAGGGGAGAGGGTGAAGGAGGAGGTGTGGGAGGGAATTGTGCCCACCAAACCAGGACTCGGGGCAGAAGATGTGTTGAAGATGGTTGGATTGGACTTGTCAGACGAGCCGTATCACGAACCCACCTCAAGTTAGACATGCGTCGTTCGTACGAGTACTCTCTCGGAGCCGAGCAGCACACAATGTGGATCATGCAAGGCGTCGATGATGAATTAGTAGGCTGCATCATCAACCAGACTAGCCTGCGCTGCCTCGGCCGTTCCCAATTCCGAGTGATGGGCCCGGGCGATCGGACCGAAAATGGAAGGTAAGGTCGATTATTGGAATTGGGGAAAGAGCGACGCAAAAGCTTCCCATTTCCTCCCTCCCGCTGGATGATGCGTCGTGTCTTTGTCTCTACATCTCCTCTGCATTGAACATCCTCGCCGTCCATCCTCCGGATCCCTCCATCGCCTCCCACACCCCGTCCTCCCCCCTCCGCCACCCGATCTTCGCTATCTGATCCCAAGATTTGCCCGCCAAGCCAAGCTCGAGCTGGCAAAAGTGTGCTCGCATCTCCCTTCGCCGCCACACCGCGTGCATGTCCGCACCACCAGGACACGCCAGCGACGTCGACTCCCTTCTGGCCCACTCGGGCAAATCTATGGCCGCGAACGAGCGGGTACTAGCAGCGGCGCAGCAGTTTGAGGAGGACGAATACGAGTGCGTCGTGTCTGGGCCGCTACACCACCACCCTCCGCTAACACCATCAGATATGAGTCCCTACCACCGAACTTCTCGCTGGCAGCGAATATGGTTGCCGGCGCCTTTGCCGGGATTGCGGTATGTTGAGGGAGAGGCACCGGAAGAGCGAGCGATGGACTGACTTGCAACAGGAACACTCCGTCATGTATCCCATCGACCTCCTCAAAGTATGTCCAGCACTCCCAGCCAGTCCTCATCCGCCTAACACCTCCCCCAGACTCGCATGCAAGTCGTCAATCCCACCCCCGCAGCAATCTACAGTGGCATCGGCAATGCGATAGCAACAATATCAAGAGTGGAAGGATACGCCTCGTTGTGGCGCGGTTTGTCGAGTGTGGTGGTAGGAGCAGGTATGCGGCGAACACACCACACCCTCTGCGCGTGGCTCTAACATCACATCCCCAGGCCCCGCACACGCCGTCTACTTTGCGACCTACGAAGTGGTGAAGCAAGCAATGGGTGGTAATGCATCAGGGCATCATCCCGTGGCAGCAGGTAGGCCTCCCTCGCCCCCATTACATCACCACCACTGACCACCCCCCACAGCAACGAGCGGCGCCTGCGCAACCATCGCCAGCGACGCCTTCATGAACCCCTTCGACGTCATCAAACAACGCATGCAAATCCACGGTTCCACCTCGCGCTCCCTCCTCGACTGCGCCACGACCGTCTGGCGAAACGAAGGCCTCCGCGCCTTCTACATCTCCTACCCCACCACCCTCGCCATGACCGTCCCCTTCACCGCCCTGCAATTCACCGCCTACGAATCCATGACGAAAGTCATGCAGCGCCGGCGCCGCCCGGGCTACGATCCCCTCGTGCACTGCACAGCAGGCGGTCTAGCAGGCGGATTCGCCGCCGCGGCGACCACACCTCTCGACGTGATCAAGACGCTGCTGCAAACGCGTGGCACATCGTCCGAGGCCGAGATTCGGAATGCGAGGGGCTTGATGGCCGCGGCGGGCATCATTTGGCGAAGAGGCGGGATGGCGGGGTTTTTCCGGGGCATGAACGCTCGGGTGGTGACGGCGGCGCCGAGCACGGCGATTTGTTGGTCGGCGTACGAGGTCGCCAAGGCTTATTTCATTCGCATCGAGGACGAGAAGTCATAGTCTGGCGGCAGACGTTCCACGATCCCTTGTTCTCTTGCTTGCGTGCCTCTTTCAGACGTGGTGCGCGATGATGGGTTGTCATGACATGTTGGACTCCATCCCTTCACACGGCACATGGGCTCTCCGAAGCTAACGCAACGATCCTGATTGTTACTGGCAATGGACTATGACTGGTGAGGAAGATGGACGCCCGGATCCAGGATCTGGACTCATGACGGAGCATTGTCACTGGCTTCTTTGCAACGCCGATTCGCAACTTGTCGGCTGTTGGGGAATCTGAAAGGAAAGCAAGATAACCGTAGGACCTTTGTCTTGTGCTCGAGGACAAAACGATGTCGATTTTGTATATCAAACATTCCAGGAACGACCCTTTTCAACAGTACCATCCCATTCCTCGTACATCTCCAGGGTAAAGGTGAGGGTCGAAACTTGGGAAGTAAACCGGAAAGATGCACACCTCCCACCCTTGTCATAGTCTACTCTTACGAGACAGGCCCCGACAACCTATGAAAACGCGCCTACATCAGCGACAAGGCTTCATAACCAGTCGATAGACCCTTGCAAGCCCCCAGACTTCACGAGGCTGGCCACGAGAGTAAAGAGTCGAGAATTGGGAAGTAAACCAACTTCCAGCTTCCAGAAACGATGCAAACCTCCCACTACCCTTGTCGTATCCTGGTTCTACGAGACAGGCCCCGACAGCCTATGAACACCCACCCACATCAGCGATGAGAATCTCCCGACCACTCGATAAGCGCCGGTGTGGAAGCGGACAGACTAAGGCTGCATACAGGTACGAGGGTGGAGGAGTGGAAAGGAAGCCAGATCTCGTTTTCCAAAAACGATGCACACCTCCCACCCTTGTCGATATGCTATTTTTACCGACGATAGACCTCACCGACCCCTGGAGATGCGCTAGGAGCGGCAACAAGGTCTTACGACTAGTCGCTAGATGCATATATCCCTGCCGACCCGGACAAAACAAGGCTGCACACCAGAGTCGAGAATTGGGAAGCAGGCCAGATTTTCAGAAAACGATGCACACCTCCCAACCCTGGTCGTGTTCTATTTTTGCCAGACAGGCCTTGACGACCTATAAATACGCGCTTACATCACGGACAAGAACTCATATCCAGACGATAAGCGCCGGTGTGGGAGTAGACGAAACAAAAGCGGCACATGTAACGGCCCCTGCAGCTAAGCGCCCAGCGGCTCCTTCCTATTTAGGCAACTCTGGACTGCTTGCTGGTTGCTGGGAGTCCACCGCCTACTTTTCGATTCTGCAGTGTTGACCTCTTTCATGTTGAACGGTTTCTGGAAGAACTTGTAGAAACGATTCGAGGTTTTCGAAGAAATGGAATTGGCTGTTCATGCTTCTGTTTCCGGGCACGGAGTACTCATTACTTTCTACCTCCGATTTCCGGTCCCTCCCAGCGTCCGTTCTTAAGCTTCTTGCCTCTTCTTCCCAGCTTTTCCTTTCGAGTTTCGGATCCCCTGTCCCGACTACCTTGCCTGAATAAATTTTGAATACCTTGTCCTAATCCCCCTTTCGAATGTTTTCTCGGTACTCCATTTCACCACCTTCATCCCGCGGCCCCGGATATGCGCCGAGACCCGATCTTAGCCAACGGCGTCACAGGTCCGCTCGAGAGACACAGAGATTCAGATACCGATGCATGCGTGAGTGCAGCCTTGTCTGATTCCGCACCCCTTGCAGACGTGGGTACAGCCGGGTCAGAGAATGCGCGACGCCCTTCCAACCACTGCACTTTTGCACTCCCCCGATGACAACTGCGAGAGGATGGCGAAGGCAGCCGGGGCAGTGTTGGGAGCGCTTTGTCGAATTGCGGCGGGGCTTTTTCCAGATTCTTGCTCGTTAATCTCGGTCCGGGGTTTGTTGTTGGCGGTGAGAACGTATTGTGCCGTACGGTGGGCACAGAGGAAGCACTGCGAGTCCGGGGAGTCTTTTCGAATTCCACGGTCGCTATGCCGAGGCCGGCGTGCATTCTGACGACGGAAGCAACGAGTCCACTCTCGGTGCTGCAGTCGTGAATCTCAGGAAGGGTTAGATTTGGCGCGAGTGGACTCTGCTCGTTGGCGGGAGCTGTGTGAGTAATGGCTTGTGGCTGCACAGAGCTTCTGGCCAATTGCTCCAGATGCCCGATCCGTACATCTTTCTCGGCAAGTGCTCGTTTGAGGCCTCGTATTTGAAGTAGAAGTGGATGGTGGGAGTCCCGACTAGGACTCGTGTCCGAGCATACGATGTCGTTCCTTGCCTGTGTAGTGTTCCCGCTGCCGCATTGCTCCACTACATCGTCATCTCCAATTTTCGGGTGAGGGAGTATCATCTGCTCGTGGAGATACTCAAGCTCCCGGGCCAGGGTGCGCTCGCGTCGAGACGACAATCGCAGCTTCTCGCACACTGCGTGGAAGCCTTCTAGCAAGTCGATGCGCTCATTGTTCGACTCCACCAGACGTGCTTCCAGGCTTGCGATGGTGTTTCTCATGGCTTGTTCTTTGCGTTTGGAAATTTGAAGGATTCTCTGCAATCCTGCTTGCTCTCGACCACATCCATCGAAGAGATCTTGTGGACTGCTCTCTGATCCATCCTGATGCTCGACATGCGCCTGTTCCTTGAGCGATGACAACGGAAGACCTGGTGAGCCTCGAAGCATCGATGTTCGAAGACGGAGGTGCGCATTGCCGCTTTGCGCAGTGTGGTCGGGAGCCGAGTCTTGCCGACGCTCCAAAAGCGCAATGTACACTGCGTGCGACGCAATCTCTTTCTCATGCGCTCGTTTCAGACTGCGGATATGGGCTTCATGTGATGTGCGGAGGGCTGAAAGTTGCTGCTCCAGCTCCGACCTCATTGGTTGCAGCGACTTTTGGTCAGGAAATGTTGCATCTGAATTGTTCGAGGCTGCAGACGATGTGGATGTAACCGTGCTGCAACTGTGAGACGCCGATGCGAGGGTAGAAGCGGTGGAAGAGGTTGGCGTCGTTTCTTTTGCGGTGGATACTGGCGACGGGGTGATTTCGTTGATAGTTTGAGACTCGTCCGGCTCGGCTGATGCAGCTGAGGGTAGATCTGGTTTTGGTTCCGATTTAACGGCAGCCTGGCTGCGCTTCTTGTCCTCTACGGCCATAAGACCCGGCAGTTCTGCGATGTCCATAACGGGAGCTTCGCAAAGAGGTGTCGAAGGAGCAGTATGAGCTCGCGGGCGTTGCAGGGAAGGTGGAAGACCAAACCATGGGCTGGTGGGTGCAGCCAGATAGGCTGACATGGGTGGAGAGCGCAGCACATCATTCATGACTGTCATCAAGCTTGTTGCAGAGCGCACAGCAGCATGTTGAAGTGCAAGTGAGTCGTTCGAGCTGGATGCGTCCTTGCCGGAGGAGTCCGGGCTGTCTCCAAGTAGTAGCGGAGGTGGTCTTCGACGCTTGTGGCCCATTAGCTAGAACTTGAATCAGCATATGATAGATGTACATGATCGGCGCTCCTCACCTTCTCAGCTTGAGCGTAATCCAGTCCTTTGATAGAGATGCATTCGATGGGGATTGGCACGACCTTGCCAGATCGCAGAGCTTCGACGGCATTGCGGCGATCGCCTTTCGTCCAGGTAAAGAATTTGGACATGGCAGTGCCTTCAGCATACAAAGTAAAGCATAGAGATGATCTGCTGCTTAAGAAATGGGAGCGAAACGAGAATAAGGAGGAGCGAACGATTGGGAGACGCCAACAGAGTAGGAAAATCTGCGCGAGCTTGGAGCAGCATAGCTTACGCGACACGCGTGAGCTGTGCGTGAGGTTTACAAAGCCCTTTGATCTTGCTGAAGCACTTTGAAGTGCAGGATGGCGGGGACGGTTGGTGTCCAGCAGCTTACCTTCTGACTGGGATCAAAGCGTCCACGTCGTACATGAGCTTTGCCCAACTCGGCCTCTCAAACACAAGACGAAGAGGCTGAGACGCAACTGCCCGTCTTTGCTGAGCGGATGAACGCAGAAGACATCCTGGCTGTTTCATAATAGCCAACAGGCGCGGCCGAGTCCAATGGCCTCACGATGTTAAGCGCTGAAGCAAGTGAAGTGAATGCAGAGCAGCGAGCTAGCCCCGATTCGGCAGCTTCAAAATTTGGGGGCTGCATTTCGACGACACTTGTTGCGCTTGACAACGCCATCTGGTCGCAAAATCCAGGCTGGATCAGTCAGAAACAATGTCACGATCACCGGATGACCGAACGTCTCGGAGACGGCGTGATCGAGATGACTACTCCGACCGGGAAGTAGACCCGGCGCCACGACCTCGAAAGCGAGAGGCAGACGACAAGTATTCTCGACGTCGAAGTCCCAGGCGTGATGAATCCGACGAAGAGGATCGCCGATACCGACGAGACAAGCGCAGCCGAGAAGAAGACAGGCCTTCCAAAAAGGAGCGACACTACAGCGAACGTTCCAGATCCGACGACCGATCCCATCGCCGCCGGTCAAGATCGCCACCTCCAAAACGACAACACAACGACCGGCCGCGATCTCCACTTGTGCAGGATGTAAAATCCCGCGGCCCGCTTCCATCCCAAGAAGCCTCCTTCCGCGGTGGCGATGACAAGCCGCTCACCAACCCTGACGGCACGCCAATCGTAAAGGAGAAACCCAACTACAAACCCACCGGCCTGCTAGCGAAAGAAGCCAACACCGTCCAAGGCACCAACACCGTCCTCAAATACCACGAGCCCCCGGAAGGACGCAAGCCCCCGCCCAAAGAGCAATGGCGGATGTACGTGTTCAAGCAAAAGGATCTGCTCGACACCGTCTACCTGCACGAACGCAGCGTCTGGCTTATGGGCCGCGATGCCAAGGTGACGGATCTCCTGCTCGAGCACCCGAGTATTTCGAAGCAGCACGCCGTCATTCAGTTCCGGCACATTAACAGCAAGAACGAATTTGGGGACAAGATGAGTCGCGTGAAGCCGTACTTGATTGATTTGGAGAGTGCGAATGGGAGCAAGCTGAATGGGAAGAAGGTGGAGGCGAGTCGGTATGTGGAGTTGGTGGATGGAGATGTCGTGGCTTTTGGGGATAGTGAGAGGGAGTATGTCATGATGCTGCCCCCTGCTAAATAGATTGATGAGAGTATGAGCGATACATTGATACGATTAGCCATCATTCCATGGATTGAATTGTATCGATTGTTCGTCGTCGCGGCACTGATCTGAAACACTTTCATGTAATACTTTCGATGCTCTGCGGGCTCCATGCCGCTCTCTGCTCTCCTGCACGCCACTTTTGCGCTTTGACGGATACAGCACACCTTTGCCCTTTCGATCGGCGCCGTCGTCCCACGGATTGGAGTGCAAGTCGTTTGCCGCATCATTCGATTCAACCAAGTTCTCCAACCCGGGACTCACGAATGAGCTGCTGCTTTCTTCCGCGTCCCATGGGGATGTCTCCAGGTCGTGGGCCTCCCTCATGGAACGGCGCGCACTTTGGGACACATTGACTTGCTCACTGTCGCCACCAACGTCAAGCGGAGTAGCCGAATCCTCTGCCCAAGCAGCCCACTCGTCTTCCTCTCGCCTCTCGTCTTGAAGGGTCGAGGAACGATTGCCATTTCTAGCATCCACCCATGCGCCCCATTCGTCGTCGTCTGTCTGGGCCTGCCGCGATGTTGCAGATGTATGCAAGTTGTCTCGAGATCCGGCCGCACCAACGACAGTCGCAGAATCTTGATCAATGCGGGTCGGAAAAGATCGTCGGTGATCGCATGATGCCGAGGAAGGCCAGCCTACGCTATCTGGAGCGAGTTTCTTCAACAAGGGCTTGTTGGGAGTCGGCATGTCGGACTGCGGCAGTAATTGGTCGAACGGTCTGTTTCCACCAGGTGTGATTGCAATGAGTCCATTGGAAACCAGACACACCCCTCGCACCCTAATGTAAGGTGCTCGGGCTGCTCGCCCCTCCATCACAGACGGAAGCTGTCCACCCCGAAAAGTTGATGCCTAGGCCGCAGCATCGCAACAGCCGCAGGCCACCACCTCAACCAGATACCAGACCCTCATCCCATTCAAATTCATCCTCTCCTCCAAATTCACAAACCCCATTCCAAGAAGGCTCAGATCCTCACCCCCTCCCCAACTGCACCCCCCCAGCAAGCCCGCCCAGCACACCCACCATCTCCCTCTGCCTCCTTATCCTCGCCTCCAACTCCGCAATCTCCTCGACCTGCTCCTCCACCCCGCGCCCCATATCCGGCAACTTCTCGAGCTGCTTCAGCGCCGCGCGGATCTTCGCTTTCACCACCAGCACCTCGTTGGGCAGGTCTTTGGGTTCGAGCGGGGTGAGGTCGGTGTAGAGGGCGCCGAGGGGGTCGGAGGGCGTGGTGGGCGTGGTGGTGGTGGTTGCATTACTGGCGTTGTTGCTGTTGTTGGTTGGGGTGGCGTGGTCGATTCGGGCGAGGAGTTCGTGGATGGTGGGGAGGATGTCGAAGGTTTGGGGCGGGGGGAGGTCGGGGGCGGGCGTAGTGGTGGAGGGTTGTTGTTGGGTCATGGTGATGTTGTGGTGTTTATTGTGGAGATCGCTGGGACGTCTTTGGAGGTGATGTGGTGACCTGAGCGGTTCACATGTTGTGAAGATGGAAGTGGAAGATGTCGTGTGTGCGCGTGCGGCAAGTCGGAAAGTTTGGCTTGCTCGGCTTCACCCAACGCCATCCAACAGCCAGCCTTGCGCAGTACACGTTCTAATTGTCAAATACTTTTACGCTACAATTCAACAAGACCAAACGACTCTATCAACGCTATCGAACCGCTGCAATCATCCTCCATCCAATCGTCGCACATAACCAAAAAGGGGTATAATTACATCGAACAAAGGCCTCAGACGAACAGTCCAACCCCGCCACCACATCAAGCAGCAGTAAGAATCGAACCCTCCAAACAAGTCTCCAAGAAAGAAACGTACGCATCAAACCTCCTCCTCACCCCTCCCCACCAAATCCCGATGAATAGCCTCATCAACATCCACTTCCGCCGGCGCGGCGGGCGGCATCGCCGTCTCCTTCTCCCCAGCATCCTCCGCCTGCGAAGTCTTCGTGGCGTAAAACTGCTCTCGCGCCTTCTGCGCGGCCGACAAACTATCCACGTACGTCTGGAATTTGATATTCTCGCGCAGCAGGTACTCCGATTTCTTCTGCCAATTGGCCAGGGCGCGGTTGAAGTTGGTGTGGCGCTGGGTGAACTAGAAACACCCTCATTAGCAATCATCACAACAATCGGAGGAAAAGAAAGGCAGAAACTCACCGCCAACTCAATCGCCCCCTTCAACTCGTTATGCCGCGCCAGCTCCGCCTCCACATGCCCCACATACGCCGTCAGCGCCTTCAGCTGATCCACCTCCATCAACTGGCTGGCCATCATGCTCTGCGTCGGCGGCTGCCACTCCGCCAAATGCACCTTGTCCGCCGGGAGCCGCGCCTTGCCACTGCCCACGGCATCAAGACTCGTGCGCAGCGACGAGGTCATGCTTTGCTTCGAAATGGTGCCGACGGAGGCGGACGGTTTGTGCTGGCGGTAAGAGATGGGTGGGCCGCTTCCGCTATTGCGCGCTGCTGCAGCGGCAGAAAGAGGGGGAGTCGATGTCCGCTCGATCAGCGCGGGATTAATGACTTGCTCGCTCCATCCGTACTCTACATTGCTGACGCCGCCCGACAGCGGCTCCTTGCTGAGTCGCGCGGACCAGTAATTCGCGGTGCTCATGAACTCGCGCGCAATCTCGAGCGTGCCGACTTGGAACAAGTGCACCGCGCCCGTGGGCAAACTCAGCGCCCACACGTGCGGGCGCGTCTTACTGTACCCGGGCGGCGGGAGGGTGGAGGCGATGGTCTGGCGCAGGACGAAAGAGTCCAGTTGCTCCGCATTCTCCATCCAGTCGCCGCCACCGACTTTTGCGCCGCGGCCGCCGGCTTGGTTCTTACTCAGGGCTTTCCGGCCCATGGAGGCGGCTTTGGTGGTGGAGGTGTGGAACGCAAATAGGGTGAGCTTGCCTTTGCTAATGACGGCGAAGCAATCGACCCAGTTGCGCTCTTTGGCCTTTTTGCCCGGCGTCTCCAGATGGTGCTTGTGCTTTACCAGGCCTTCTTTTGCCCACGGGGCGCCTTCAAGCGTCAGGGCCTCATCATCGAGTAGCGCGCGTGGAACGGACATTGACGCCGAGTCGTTGTCCAATCCTGCATGCTCTTCGCGAATGATGGCTTGCGAGAGGGCGTTTGCGAACCCAATGGAGTGCTTGAAATCAGCAGCAGAAGAGTGCTGGCCGAGGCTGTGCGCGGAGGCAGAAGTAAGAGTCCTGCTCCACATGCTCTGCGCAGGGGAGAAGAGGCTATTTCCATCATCGAAGCTCGTCTTCGAAGAGCTGAGGGTGCTTGCAGAGTAGATTTTGGAGCGCGACAAATTATACTTGCCGAGCGTCATGGATCGCAGTCCCGGTTTGGAACGCGAGGAGGCCGTGTCGGACGCGTTCTTGCTCAGCACGGAATTTGATCGCTTCAGGCCGGTGAGATTGGCGACGGACAAGTTGCGCTCGGTGGTGGGCTGTTCGGCGACAGGACCGCCACGCAGCGGCAGCGGCTCCAGCTTGATGGCGACGAAGAAGGACTTGAGGATGGCCTCGATCTCCGACTCCCAAGCACGCGTGCTTCCGGTCCAAGGTTCTTTGACGAGGGAGCTTGAGCCGGCGGTGCTGTCCGCCGTATCGGAATCCTGCCGGACCGCTGGAGGGCGAGCTGAAAGCTGCTTTTGTTGCATTGGTCGCTCGTCCAGAGACTGACGCCCACTTGCAGCGATGCCTGGAGATCCCGGAGTTTGAGGCACCGAATTACTGGAGATGCTCCACGGGAGTGTAGGCCTGGATGCCAGAGGTGCAGGCCGAACAGTATTGTCAAAAGCATTCGGAGCCGCATCAGCAACCACACGCTTGATAGTCGGGAGCGTATTCTTCACATACGCACTACGCGACATCTTCCCTTCGATATCTGCTAGGTGCAGATCCGTGTTGAGGAGGATGAGGGAGTAACAGATGGTATGGATGACGTCTTGCGCTTTGAACCCGTGAGTCGAATTACACGCACACCATCTCGCAGACAAGGCAGTGATGATTCGATCAAACTGCTGCGTCTCGCCTTTCAGCTCCAGCTTCTCGCAAAGGAGTCGGAGGGCAGCCAGAATGTTGATCCCCGTGAAGTCGAAGAGGTCCATGTACGCAGCCAGCGTTCGTGTGCTGAGAGTATTCCTCTCGCCAAGCCAGGCTGAGGCTTCCGCTTTCGTGACATCTTCCTCGTCGCCCTCGTAGATCTTGCGGGCACGCTCGCGGTACTCGGCACCATCATCGACGAGCTCGGATGAAGCTTTCACAGGCTCGTCCTGTACTTGTACCCCAGGAAGTGGCAAGCTAGTAGCCGAATGATATTGAGAGGATGCCAATGTGGGCGTGTACACTCTCGAAGGGGCAATCGTGCCTGTAGCTGTTTCGATCGTGGGCGACCCTCCGGTCCGCATGCGCGACTGCGATTCCACGACCTTGGAGAGAGAAGTCTGGCCGTCCAGCGGCTGATCTCGCGTCAAGGGCTTAGCAGCCACGCGGTTGGAAGTCTTTGAGTCTGGCCGATCGGAGCCGACCGAGCTAATCACACTCGTTTTGCGCGGGGGAAAAGGCGACTCGACAGGGCTGACTGGGGAGCTGGCGATTCGATTCACGGTGCTTGCCTTGCTTCGAGCGGCAGTCTCTTGACGAGGCGAAGGTGCAATTGGCGATACAGGGCTCATTGAAGCTGCGGACAGATCTTTACTGCTCGGGTTCAGAAGGAAACTCGTCCCAATCGGCGCTAGCGTTTCAGGCGTGCGCTTCTTGACTTTCATCTTGGCCTGCTGACTTTCTCCCTTTTCGATGCTCGTTTTTGGCGGTGGCACCGGAGGAAAGTCGCGGCTACCTAACTTGGGCGTATACCCTGAATGGAAGATGTCGGGATTATCCGAGTCTTCAGTCGTCGACTCCCGAGTTGAGGGCCGTGAGACGCCATTCTTGTTCGGAGCTCCTTTGTCATTGGCAGCCAGGTATGGATCCATGGCTTTGAGCAAACTATCCGCTTGAGAGGTCGCATTTCCATTCGCGTCTTTCAGAAAAGCCAGGGGTAGAGGTGGAGGAGGCGGGGCGTTGGCCAGGGATTTCTTCCGGCGTCGGAACAGAGTTGACGGCCTCTTATTTAGGGAAGAAGGGGAACCAGGTGGCTGGCTTTCTTTTGTCGACTGTGGCGTAGCTGCTATCATTGGCTGAGACTCCGCTGGAGGGTTGTTACGCAGAGCAGGATGGATACTAGAAGCTTGGACTGGGATTTGAGGGAGTTGCGGAGGAGCGGATGGAATGGGTGTGCTGCGCGAAGACGTTCCTCCACCAAACATTCGCCTGAAAAAGCCTGGTCGCTCCCTCACCGAAGGCGGACCATGCTGCGATGTAGAGTTGTACGACGCCGGACTTGGCTGTGCTTTCGAATGCTCTCCCGTCTCCGGCCGGATCGCGTTCTGACGCACAAAATTCGTAGCTTGGGTCCTGACTGCCGGTGAAATTGTCGGGCTGAGAGGACTCTGAGCGCTTGCCATTCGGAGATCGGTATGAGTGGTGACTTTGCGCAACGTCGATCGTTGCGCAGCTTGATCGAGGTACACAGGCCCTCGAGCGGTTGGGTTGTCCTTTCCTCTCGGCCCACCTGCGATCAACGGCTCCGGTGCCACGTCGTACCCGGCATCGTATTTGCTAAATAACGAGGGGACAGGGCGACCGCGGTCGATGACCGAATTGGAGGCATTGAAAACAGCATCGGCGAAGATCTGATCCACGCTCATGGACCTCCTCTTCCAGCGCTTGTTTGCTTTGTCGGCTATCAAGTCGCGGGGGTATTGGAAACGGCCACGATCGGGGGTGTCTGTGGGGATCACAGAATCGATGGGGTTGGCCGTAGGCTTTTGTATGTCTGTACTTGTTCTGCTGTCCCTCCAGTCTTTTGTCGGGCTTGATCTTGCATTTGTCGTGCTGTTTCGCTGGGGATGCGAGCCGCTCAGACTTCGTCTAGCGTGTCTGCGGGTAGGAGAGTCGGGCATTGTGATAGGATTGCCGTCGTTTGACGTCGAGGCAAGGCTCCGTGTCGAGCTCTGTATCGGAAGCGGAGGCGGCTTCTGGGAAAACATGTACTTTGAGGTGTCGAAGAGGGAATCATTGGGCGTGGTGCGCTCGTCGCTTCTCGAAAAACTGTCGAGCGACACCAGCAGGCCGTCCACGACGGAGTCGCGTGTGGTGCTGGACCACGACAAGCCGTGGGAGTGTCGCTGGGTAGGGTCTATCACATTGGGCACACTGGCAGAAGGGCGCAGAGGCCGCTTATCCCGATCTTGCTCCCTGTGTGTCGGCCGGCGACGATTGGTGGGAGTGGAGGGTGGAGAGGGGGAGGCGTGGTGCTTTGAGGAGTTTCGGGGGGCTATGGCGTCCGAGGCGATGCGAGGACTGCCAGGTTGTTGGGAGGAGGATGATGGGCCTGCGACAGGTGCTGCATGGGCGTCCATGTCACTGTGCATGCGCACGTCTGTCACGCCGGCGCATTTAGCAGACGCGGCGCGCGTGGTGGGAGGGAAGATTCCGTGGCGCATGCATCCTCCAGCGCCGAACGGGCAGTTTCAGTTGGCAGGCGTGGCAGGAAGGAAGAAAGGTACCGTTGTTTGTCGCGTATGTAGTTGACGGGGTGGAGATGGCGCACTCCACATATACTCGTGCGGGCGTGTCGAGCGGGCAAGACAATCTTCCAGGGCGGAGGGGTCGCGTCGCGAATGGAAGATCAGGGGAAAGGCAGACTAGCGAAGCTTAATTGATGAGGGGAGCTCCGCCGCCACCACCTCTTCAAGCAAAGATATGGCCAGGTCGATGGGATACAATTGTGTCGCAGTTTCACGACGATCATCCAATCTTCACCATACAATAAACAATACTCGACTCGTCTCATGGCCCCCGCACAGAAACTCCTGAATCTCCACGCGAGCCATTGACATTTGTCCGAGTGGCAGACGCCTCCACGAATCAGCTGGCAGGAAGCGCATCCACCCCTTGTCAAACCCATATTCGACACAGAGTGCTGCGAAGGTTCTTGGAGCTCATCAGTCTTATCCAAGTTGATTGCTGTGAAAGGTTACTGTCCCATACGATGCGGCACATTTGTGCACACGGTGGACTCCAAACTTCCTACCCGACAGCCCCCTGCAGGAAGCATTTCGCCCTAATGCAAGGTCCCGCGGGAATAGTCTGAGCGGAGGGCTACTGCTTTGCGCACTGCTGACGTGTAGACACCACCTTGAAGGATGGTTGTGATCTGTAGCAAACTCGATCTTCTCATGTCACTCGATTGCTGCGACTGTGGAGAATAAGAAGGGGGGTGGTCAATTTGGAGTATACACCATGTCAGATGAGTGGCGACGCCATCCTATGCATCACAATCCCTCAGCGCTTGCCCTTCCCATTCCATGCATTCGGCCTACGCAGAATCATTAGCTCGCACATTCAATTGCACCCATTCGCGCATGGCTAACCTCCGGAATAGCATTGTCAACATTGCCCGCCCTTTTCCATCATCCTCACGCTGCCTGTTCAACCACCACTCCAACTTCCGCTGAAGCGCCTTGTCTTCTTGGCCCAAGGTGTCCAGGCCGCGTTGCTCGCAGGCAAAGCGCAGCTCGTCTGGTGTGAGTCGCGCCACCCCGCCGTGCTCGAGCAGTAGAAAGTCGTCCTGGGTAAGGTATTGTAGCCGGTTTGAGATGGAGCGGCGGAGAAGGAAGGCTGGTGGCGCCAATTGCACCCGATCCCAAAGGCTGTTGTGCAGTCCGAGGTTGCACGAAAGATGATGCAGCTGGTCATCTCGAAGCTTTCCAACGATGCGGCGTGCATAGTCGGGGTTGAATGCCATTGGCCATAATGTCTTTTCACCACCCTTCTCGGCATCCACATCCTCCTTCGCCATCTGCTCCTTTGACGGCGCCGGAATGCCGTGCCTGAAGCTCACCCGCCTTCTCTCCTCCGCCTTCAATGTCATTCCATGAGTCTGCTTGGGTATCCGACAAGTCCCCGGCACTCGACTGGGAACAAAAGGCACAATCAAGACCAGCCACTCGCCAAACACCAACACCATCAGCGAGAAGATGGGCAGCTTTCCAATATCATGGCTGTTGCGGGCTAAGAGCTGAAACTCCGCCCTCGTGATGGCCTTCTTCTCCACCGCGTCAGTGACGTCTTTGGCATTGCGCTCGCTTTTGATCCGCTCTTGAAGCAGTCGGGATGCTTTAAAGTTGAACCACACCGCTTTGATGCCGTCTTTGTAGAAAGTGCCATACGCCCTGCCAAGTCGGAAGTAGTAGATGGGCGCCGCCTCGTCGCCACGCGTGGGGAGGTTGAGGGGTGGTGGGAGGGTGCTTCGAGGCGCATTGACAGGATCGGCGTTTGCTCTTGACTCGATGACTGTCAATGCCGATTTGACAATGGCAGCTGCGGTTGATGGTGTCCCATCTGGTTGTGTTGATTGCTGGGCATAGTGTCGAAGGAGGGGGACGCGCTGGCTGCAGACTAGCCGTGGGGTGTATTGGCGGCTAGCGATAGCATAAAGGCCGACGACCGGCCGCTGTATTGTCATCTCATTGGGAGGAGGGGGTTAAATGTACAAAGAGGGAGCGAGTCCTTCGATGCAAGTCAAGTCGTGCATCTGGAGTGAGCTCATCATGCACTTTTCGACGCTCGGGCCAAGATGACTGGACCCTGCTGCATTTTTATGCTTCGGATTCAACGACCATTTTAGGGCTTGCCTTCCTGACTTCAACATTTATTGCAGACGCAACCACATTGTCTGACAATCTCAAAAGACACACAATTACGACACCCGGAAGACCACAGCAGTAATCATGGCCACCAACGGCACCAATGGCGTCTCCGACATCAAAGGCACCTACGCCTTGTCGCAAGCACACGCCGACCTGATGCAAAAATCCCTGGTCGAAACGGACCCCGAAATCGCAGAGATTATGAAGAAGGAGATTAAGCGACAACGTGAATCCATCCTGCTCATCGCCTCGGAGAACGTGACGTCCCGCGCCGTCTTTGACGCCCTCGGCTCGCCCATGAGCAACAAGTACTCCGAAGGCTACCCCGGCGCCCGCTACTACGGTGGCAACGAGCACATTGACGAGATCGAGCTGACCTGCCAGGCGCGCGCGCTCGCTGCCTTTCGTCTCGACCCCGCCAAATGGGGCGTCAATGTGCAATGTTTGTCTGGCTCTCCCGCCAATCTTCAAGTCTACCAGGCCATCATGCGGCCTCATGACCGCTTGATGGGCCTCGACCTCCCCCATGGTGGCCATTTGAGCCACGGCTACCAGACTCCGTCCAAGAAGATTAGCGCGGTGAGCACGTACTTTGAGACCTTCCCCTACCGTGTCAATCTGGAGACCGGCATCATCGATTACGATCGCCTGGAGGAGAATGCATTGATGTACCGCCCGAAAGTGATTGTTGCCGGCACCAGCGCCTACTGCCGCACCATCGACTACAAGCGTATGAAGGAAATCGTCGACAAGGTTGGCAGCGGCTGCTACCTCATGGTCGACATGGCCCACATCTCCGGCCTGATTGCCGCCGGCGTGAACGATGACCCTTTCCAATACGCCGACATCGTCACCACCACGACGCACAAGAGTCTGCGTGGCCCTCGCGGCGCCATGATCTTCTTCCGCAAGGGCGTGCGCAAGACGGAGATGAAGGCCGGCAAGGAGGTGCAAACGTTGTACGACCTCGAAGGCCCCATCAACTTCTCCGTCTTCCCCGGTCACCAAGGCGGTCCTCACAACCACACCATCACCGCTCTCGCAGTGGCGTTGAAGCAGGCGCAGACACAGGAATTCAAGCAGTACCAGCAGCAAGTCATCAAGAACGCCAAGCAGCTCGAGAAGTCCTTCACCTCGCGCGGCTACAAGCTCGTCACGGGCGGTACGGACAACCACATGGTCCTGCTGGACCTCAAGCCGCAAGCCCTCGACGGCGCGCGCGTAGAGGCCGTGCTGGAGCAGGTCAACATTGCCTGCAACAAGAACACCACGCCCGGCGACAAGTCCGCGCTGACGCCGCAGGGTATCCGTATCGGTGCTCCCGCCATGACCAGCCGAGGCATGGGCGAGCAGGACTTTGATCGCATTGTCGGCTACATTGACCAGTGCATCCAGCTCGCGCGCAAGATTCAGGACGAGCTGCCCAAGGATGCGAACAAGCAGAAGGACTTCAAGGCCAAGGTTGCCGGCGGTGGCGGCATTCTGGAGATTGAGTGGATGAAGAAGGAGATTGCTGCGTGGGCGGGTACCTTCCCCTTGCCTGTGTAGTCGTCGTGTTTGAGGTTGAACTTTTCGAGGAGGGGGAGTTTGGGCGGAGCAAAAAGTGCGTTTCAACAAACAGCGCCGGTGTTCTGGGCAGAGTCAGGAGCCGCGTCAACCACCGGTCTCGTAGCTAGGGGATGTGAATGCAATCCTTAGCAATGTGCGTGATTTCGTTATCGTAAGGGAACTACCAACAGTCATACTCGTCAAACATCATGACTTCGTCCAACCACTACACCCCCCCCCCCAACCAACGCCTCCGCATCCCTCCCCAACTCCTCCACCCTCGCCCTCAACTCCTCCGGCTCCGTAAAAACATGCCACAACCCCCGATCCAACCCCTTAAACGCCTTCTCAAACCGCTCGGGCGCATTCTTCGCCGCCATCCCCGGCTCCGCAATATCCGTGACCTTGCGAATAAACACCGCCCGCACCCAGCCAGGGAACATACGTGCAATCTCCCCGTACGCCTCCGGGTCGGACTGCGTGCTGTCGCCCAGGCAGACGAAGTGGCGGTGCGGAAACCAGGCGTGGATGCGGCGCATGCGGCTGACTTTGTACGCTTGCGTGTTCTGACGGAGGGAGGCGATGAAGCCGCCTAGATTCTGCCAGGAGGCGTCGCGCAGGATGATGGTGCCTTGCGGGTAGTGGGCGTCGCGGAAGCGGCGGAGGAAGGGGTACAGGTTGTAGGGCGAGGCGGAGAGGTAGAAGAAGGGGGGCATTTTCAATATGTCGGCCATGTGGGCGTACAGGTCCGGCATGCCGGTTATGGGCTGCGGGGTTTCGACTACGAAGGTGCTGTGCAGGATTCCGGTAATCGAAGGCGTCATGGTGACTTTGATGGTGTCGTCTATGTCGCTGATGACGCCCCAGCCCGTTTCGTCGGCTACGACGGTCGTGCTGGGGAGGCTGAAGGGGGGCGGTTCGTGGACGGCGTGGGTTGCAAAGGTGTGGCCGATTGCTGGCTGGTGGTAGAGGGGGAAGAGCCCGGCGCTGATGCCGGAGTAGGAGGAGGGGCCGAAGGTTTGCTGTTCCTTGCCGGCGATGTTGACTCGGAGAGTACGATTTGGGAGTACCGTCTCGACAAAGGGTGAGATGCGCTGCTCGATGCGTTTCCGGGTCGCAACGTCGTCTTGGCCGATGTTGAGGTAGGATGCAATGGCTGCGGCGACCTTGGAGGGATCTCTGCCAGAGTTCTTGATAAAGTAGCACGCAATATACTCCACCTGCCATCCACTGGGCTCGTTGGCGGGATGCAAGGACTCGTTTCGCAGTATCTCAGGTTTGGAGACATTGGCGTCCTTCAGCTCCAGCAGATCCGGCCGGTCATCACCAGCACGCGGCGTACGGAACGCCGTATTGTCCATGATCCAGACTGCATCCAGAGCAGGGTCGACGGGTTTGGGCTTCTCCCATGGTAACACGATGGGGAAGCGGTCGAAGAGATCGGGGAACGTATGTCGTAGCTCCTCCGGCACGTCTGGGGAGAAGGGGTTTTCTCGTTCGATGCTGCCGGCGCTGAAGACTTCGGCGGCGGCTCGGCGGCCGGCGTCTTGTACTTCGCGTAGGGATTCCATGTTATTGATGATTGAAGGTACGTAGGCGGTCAGGCCGTAGAGTGAAGTGGGTAGAGTGAATGGAGTGGGGTGGGAAAGTGCGTCTCTTCCAACGTATCTATACCACTCGCGAGCGACATGTATTAAATAAAAAATGAGTCCTGTTTTTCAGACCGGGCAGCTCTCGTTATAAACACCATCCACGAGTGGCATGATGGCCGAGGGGTGGTGCAGGTGCATTAGCTGCAATGAATGTACATGCGGTGGTGACGCGGGCAAAGCTGGCCCAGCCTTGGCTGCAGGAGACGCGTCGAATTTTGATCGTCGAGGTTCCTGCAAGTCTAGAAAATCCAAAAAAAATCGTAAAAATTTAATTCTTGCTGATTTCGATGCTTCACTATTCGTGCTAGTCGTCTGCCAGGGCGCACGGCATTTTCATCACTCGTTGCGTCGATATCGCGTCGAAACGTCGGGGAACTCGCCATGAGGCAAAACACGACAAAATATGCTCAAATTACTCCCGGCAGCTTATCTAAACGCCCTGCTTCTTTAGCTCAGTGGTAGAGCGTGGGATTGCAGTGATTTCCTGCTAGTTATCCTAAGGTCACTCGTTCGAATCGGGTAGGAAGCTGATCCTCATAAGATCACGGAGTTGTTCAAACAGCTCTGCTTCATTCCTTGCAGGTATTTTTGGTTTGGCTTGATTTGTTCGTCATCTCTCGATTTTTTGGTAATTTTTAAGACCAATATCGGCCGACTCCGAATGGCGGTTGTAGAGTCAACGCATCAAGAGGAAATTAATGCCTTCGAGGCTGAGGTAGAGCTATGGGCCACGTTCCGTTGGACGACTCCGCTCCATTCCTGAATTTTGTTTATTCGTTCTCTCTTGATTTTTTGGTTAATTTTGAGCTACATACCGGTCGGTTTCGAATGGTGGTTGCTAAGTTATCGCGTTGAGAAGGAATTAATCACCTTCGAGGCTATGGTGGAGTTATGGGCAACGTTCGGTTGAACTACTCCGCTCCATTCCTAACTTTTGTTTACTTGTTGTCTCTCGATTTTTACATTATTTTTGAGCTACATATCAGTCGGATTGGAATTGTGGTTGCAGAGTTAACGCGTCGTTCAGGACAATCCCCGGCATTTAACTCCGCGATGGAGTTGCGGGTGACGTCGACTTTTGACACGCTCGGTGCTTTCACAAGCTTACGACTGCCGACCACTCCACAGCCTTACTATTCTTGGACCGAACCAAAGCACTCATTGCACCACATCCTCCACACTCGCTCACACCCTCACTCACAGTCGTAGCAGGACCAGACTCATGACCATCATCTAGGCAGTTTTGCTTCCTCCGTATTCCCCAGCCAAACCATGGCGGCCCCGCAGCCGCAGGCGCAGATTCAGCCATGCCGCTACAAGACCGGCAAGACCTTAGGCGCAGGCTCCTACAGCGTCGTGAAAGAGTGCGTGCACATCGATACCGGCAGATACTATGCGGCCAAGGTCATTAACAAGCGCCTCATGGCCGGCCGGGAACACATGGTGCGCAATGAGATCACCGTGCTGAAGCGGGTGTCCATGGGCCACCAGAACATCTTGACGCTCGTCGATTACTTTGAGACTATGAACAACCGTGAGTCGGCGCGTGTATCCCTCATATGTTGCCGACACTAAGCATCCCCGCAGTATACCTCGTCACCGACCTCGCGCTCGGCGGCGAACTCTTCGACCGCATCTGCCGCAAAGGTTCCTACTACGAATCCGACGCCGCCGACCTCATTCGCGCCACCCTCTCCGCCGTTGCCTACCTCCACGACCACGGCATCGTGCACCGCGACCTCAAGCCCGAAAACCTCCTCTTCCGCACGCCCGAAGACAACGCCGACCTGCTCATCGCCGATTTTGGCCTCTCGCGCATCATGGACGAAGAGCAGTTCCACGTCCTCACCACCACCTGCGGCACCCCGGGCTACATGGCGCCGGAGATCTTCAAAAAGAGCGGGCACGGGAAGCCGGTAGATGTATGGGCGATTGGTGTCATCACATACTTCCTATTGTGCGGGTATACGCCGTTCGACCGAGATAGCAATTTGGAAGAGATGCAGGCCATCCTCGTGGCGGACTACTCCTTCACACCTGTGGAATACTGGCGCGGCGTGTCGCAGACTGCGCGCCAGTTCATCGAGCGATGTTTGACCATCGACCCCACCAAACGAATGACGGCGCATGAAGCTTTAAGTCACGAGTGGATCGCGGGCCCTGAGAGCGGACGAGGCGAGGCAGATCTACTACCGACGGTGAAGAAGAATTTCAACGCGAGACGGACACTACACAAAGCCATTGATACCGTGCGCGCCATCAATCAGCTACGGGCGGGTGGCATGCACCATCTCATGGACGGCGCGCACAGTGCTCAGCCGAAGAAGATGCAGGCGCCGCCGGAAATGCAGCCGAAGGAGGAGCATGTCAACGAGGATGTCAAGATGGAGGATGCGCCCGCACCACCTGGAGGACAAGACTCGGCGGTTGTCGTGGATCCTGTCGGGCACGGGAAAGGACAAACGGCGGCGCAGGTTCAGGCGCAGTTGAAACGGGTGCAGGAGAAGACGAATGAGATGTGGAATGATCGGAAATCGTAATGAAGGGGGGCCCTACGTTTTGCCATTGGGATAGAGAGGGCGCCATTACACATTGGACATCGATACCCAATGTCGTCTTCTTCGTACGTACGTCTTCCCTTGAGCAGGGCAGATCTTGGACACGAAAACGAGGTCTTTCAATGTGCCCTTCGCATGACATCAGGTGGAGCTTCTTCTGGGGGCAAGTCGCGTGCGTACTCCCCATTTGCGGTTCAATGGCACATTTCGGCACTTGCATGTTGGTACTGCTGGAGCCATAAGTTTTCATTCGCCGCGAAATGCCGCATTCAAGACCGAGCAAAGTATCACCGCGCCGTGCCGATCGATGGACCACCTTCTTCATCGCCGTCACATCCGTGGCGTCTAGCATAGTGGAGTCGTCGAAAGAACAGCCCACCACCTCGCGCTTCCCAGTCTGGTTCCTGGCAAGAGTCCGGCCGACATGCCAATGAGATGTCGTCGTAATCGGCCCGAGGCGGGGTCCGCACGCGTTGGCGTTGGCAAGTTGTGGGGGAGCGAGGGCTGGAATTGCCCGGCCGACGACATGCATTGCCTCATTGTGCCACTGCTGCATCATCGCCACCCCTTCGATGCCCTGCGCGATGTCCGGCTGTCGATCGGGACTCGTGGGGACGGGGAGTACATAAGTTGGCGTGTTTTCCGTTTCTTCTTTCCCTTCTCGTGTTCCTGTCTCTCTGGAGTAGTTAATCATGAAACTCCCTGCTCTCTTCGCAGCTGCGCTGGCAGCCTTGCCAGCAACCCATGCCGCACCCAACCATGACCGCCGCCAGAGCTGCAACCAAATCACCGCCGACGAAATCAACGCAATGGGCAACAACACCCTCTTCACCCGCTGGCGCCCTTACAGCCACTTCAACGCCCCGGCAGGCTGGATGAACGACCCGTGCGGCGCAATGTACGACCCCACGGAAGACCTGTACCATCTGTTCTACCAGTGGCATCCGCTGCACTTTAACTGGGGCAACATCAGCTGGGGCCAAGCGACGAGCAAAGATCTCATCACCTGGACTGACGAGGTAGGCTGGGAGGGACGAGATGCGCTCGCCCTGGGCCCGACGGGGTTCGGCAATTATAATGGTCTCGGGATTTTCAGCGGCACTGCGCAGCCGGTGAATTTGCAGGGCGAGCAGGACGGGACGATTACGATCATGTACACGTCGGTCAAGTGGCTGCCCACGTCGTGGAGTATCTACTACCATCCGCACACCGAGTCGCAGAGTTTGGCGACGAGCACGGATGGCGGGAAGACGTGGACGGAGTACGAGGGCAATCCGGTCATTTGGGCGACGACGGAGACGGCGCCAATGTATTGGAACATCACGGGATTCCGCGATCCCTTCCTCGAGCCATTCCCTGCGCTCGACGCTGTTCTGGGTGTCTCCGAACCGCATTACTACGCTGTATTTGGATCCGGTATCAAGGGCGTCGGGCCCAGAATGCCATTGTGGACTGCACCAGCTAGCAACCTGACGGATTGGACCTTCCTTGGCGCACTGTGGGAACCGGTTGGCAACAGCTCGCTAGGCCCGGTTCTATCCACGAGGACGTACGGATACAACTTTGAAGTCTCAGGCTTCTTCGCCCTCCCGGACAGGACAGGCGATCTGCACTACTTCATCAACATGGGAGCGGAAGGCGGCAACCTGACCTACGAGCCCCAGTCCCACATTGGCCTCTGGAACGAGGGAATTGTCACTCGCAGATCCAATGGATCGGCTGATTTCGCGCCTGTCGCGGGCGGCATGGCAGACTGGGGTATCGCGTACGCGTTGACGAGTTTCAACGATACCAAGAACAATCGCCGCGTGCAGTATGGCTGGGTGCAGGAGGACATTTCGGCCGATGGAGGCAGCTTCAGCGCGCGACAGCAAGGGTATCAGGGGTCGCATACTCTGCCGCGCGAGCTGTACGTGCACGAAGTCGACAATGTGGTGGATCCTGACGGCACGCTCAACGCCAGCAAATCGGCCGTGCTCACCAAAGGTTCCAACGGACAATACACGGCGCAAACACTCGGCATTCGGCCATTGCGTGATGTCGTGACCGGCCTGCGGGAAGGAGCATCAAAGCAGACATTCCCCAACAAGAACTACACATCGACGACAATGCTCAAAACGCAAGGCTCTTCATCCCTCGAACTCAAGGCCACGGTAAAAGACGCGCAAGGCGCCTTTGGCCTGATCGTCGGCGCCTCGCCAGACATGACGGAGTACACGACCATCGTCTACGAACCCAGCAACAACACCCTCCTCGTAGACCGCAGCCACAGCAGCACCATCGTCGGCTTCCAAAATTATACCGTCACCGGCTACTTCTACCCCTACACGCTCAGCATGAACGGCAGCACCAGCACCGAGCCCGTGCACATGAACGTCTTCCTCGACGGGTCGCTGCTGGAAGTGTACGTCAACAGCCGCTTTGCCCTCTCCACGCGCATCTACCCTTCGATGGAGTGCTCGACGGGGTACGGGGTGTATGCGGACGCGGCGGCGACGTTCGAGCATGTGCGTGCTTGGGAGGGATTGAAGCATGTGTGGACCGACCGGCCGTTGAACAGCAGTTCGGAATTGGTGTGGGACACGCCGGCAGAGACGAACAACTACACATGGTGGACGGGAGATTGAGCTTATGAGATGTATGACTGATCTGAGCCATAGGTAGCTTACGAACGTTGATGACGATTGCTTGCCGTGCCCATTGCGCGTTACCCGATCTTACCCTTTCCTTACACACGCTGATTCTGCAGCGGATCGCCTCCGTGAAGTGGCAAAACGAGGCAGACACGCATCGCAACTGGCTGCCATCCCGCGGACACTAACGGGTGTCATTTCTTGGCTGTCGTTACCTGCAGAAGGATGCAAAAGCAATGTTCATGACCAGGGCATCCGCCATCCGTGGATTGGTCCTATTGGCGAGGGGTCACGGGCGGGCTCAAGAGAGAAGCAACCAGTTGCCCTATTTAGACGTGTATTCTAAACACGGGTTGGACAAGTTGGCGCCCTGCGGGTCAGCATGAGTAATGACTGGGGACAGCACGCGACTTGCTCGGTCGAATCGCCGTTGGCAAGATCACTATTCATTGAGAATGCTGGTGGTGTGTAGCCGAGAGAGATTTGTGGTGGGAGGTGTTTGCGCGTTCGTCGACCGCAGACATGTTCGCTCGTGCAGAGGAACAGTTGGCCACTGGTCCTCTGAGGTCGTCTCCTCGTGACCGGGCGCGTGGGGAACTTGATTCGAAAAGATTGATGTTTCGACGATGATGTGTCATTCCAGCCTCAAATTGCCTGAGACCGCCACACCCGCCATACCCACCTTTGCCATCCCGCCTAGAGTTGCTGTGCCCAACTGGGACTCCCCGAGACGTCGGTCGGCTCTTTGGCGAGATCAATGCTCAGTAGAAGTGCCAGGCAGAATTGACGGCCTGAGGCAGCATACGCTGTAGAGACACTGCAAGTGATCGGCACCGGCCGTGAAGGGCACGGGATCGGGCTCGTCTGGGTTCCGTCGATCCCGAGGACTTGCAACCTGATTACATACTCCTCACCTCCGTCCGTTGTTGTCATTTCTAAACTGTCTAATCGATGCCCTTCCTGCAATGAAGAGATTCATGTCGGGTGGGAGAAATAAGAATGTGACGGACGCAGCATTAAATATGTCTCCTACTCGCATCGTTCTGGCCTTTGATGTCTACGGCACTCTACTGTCCACGGATTCCATTGCGAAGAGACTCGCATCGTATTGTGGAGAGGAGAAGGCGAAGATTATCGCAACGACATGGAGGAAGTACCAACTCGAATACACGTGGCGCCTTAACAGTATGGGTATGTGGCCATCAGTATCTACCATAACGTTGTCACCCAGCTAATCGATGACAACTCCAGGCCTCTACGTTGGCTTCGACGTCGCCACACGCAGATCCATGCGGCACGCTTGTCTCGAATCCGGCGTCCAACTAACCGACGCCCAAGAAGAAGACATGATGCGCGCCTACGACGCCCTGTCCGCCTTCCCGGACGTCCAGCCCGCGCTCAAGCGCCTGCAAACCCTTCCCCAAGAGCGCGTCAAAGCCTTCGCCTTCTCCAACGGGACATACGAAATGATCGCCAGCAGCATGCGCAACGCCGCCGACCTGGCGCCGCACACGGAAACCCTACTGGAAATCTGCTCCGTGGACGAGGTGCGGAAGTTCAAACCGGCGCCCGAGCCGTATTACCGGCTGGCGCAGAAGGTGGACAAGCGCGCGGAGCATGCAAAGGAGATGAGCGAGATGTGGCTTGTGTCGAGTAATCCGTTTGATGTGGCGGGCGCGAGGGCGGTGGGGTGGAGTGCTATTTGGGTGGATCGCGCGGGCACCGGGTGGCAGGATAGTTTGATGCCGAGGGCGAGGGATCAGCCGAATGAGATTGTCAGGAGTTTGGAGGAGGTGGTGGATGTGGTGGAGAGGTTGTGCGGTTGAGTGATAGGATGTGAAGACTGAGGGAACGATTGTCACGCTCTCTGAAAGGATGTTTGGACTTGTCAGCCTCGCCGTTTCGAACAGCTGCCCCTGCCTTTTGCGAAGGTAGAAGAGATATGGCCTCATGGCCAAAAATTCATACTCTTTACCAATTCTTTCTGTGGTCGAGAGGTTGCGCGATTTGAGCGCTACAGTCCCGTTGTGCGGCTATGAACTCGTGCGGTCCTTGCCTGCGGAATCGGCCTGCGCCGCCTCTGCATCGTTAACTTTCGCTGCTTCTCCGCTACCCGATGCCGTCTCTTCGTCACCCCCATCATCGCCCTCTTCATCCTCATCATCACCCTCACCATAGCCACCAAGCCTATCAAAATCGGCCTCCGCCTCTTGCAACACCTCTTTAGCTATTTCCAGCAACATCGCCTCTCCATCGACTGGGCGTTCAGCGGTGCTTTTGCGAGCGGCATTATCGTAAGCTATTTGTGCAACTCGGACGCACTCGCGTGCCCACTCGAGATATCCGGGGGCCGAAGAGCATGCGAGGACCCTACAAGCACGGATGCGGATCTTGAGGGGGAGCTGAGCATGGGTAAGAAGCTCTCTCGCGATTTCGTCTGCCTGTGCGCCCGGCTCTTCGTCACCGCTGTCGGCAAGCTCCATCATCTATGGCTGGTCAGTGTACGTTCTACCTCATTTTGGGGGGTCCCTTACACATACCCTGTCGTGCAGCGCGTAGAACATGCGCAGCTCGTTGTTCTCGGAGTCGGCCATGGTGACGGTGTGAGTGTTGACTTTGAAGACCTTTGTAAAGCTCCGAGCGATGCAGACTGATGGGGCTGTGATATTTCGAGATAGCAATGCGAGGTCGCGCGGCGATCATGTCTAGCGAAGGAGGTTGGGGTGTTTCGATGTCACGAAACAAGCTCGGGCGGTGAGAGTTGCTAGAGCAAGAAGTTGTGGTGGTTTGTGAAGTGATGAAAGAAGCTCGGCCGGTGAGTGTGTGCCTGGGTGGCGTTTTCACGTGAAGATCACGTGTTTCCACGACTGCACGCCGTCGTGCTGACCTTCAATAGTTCGACAACCAAGCGAAAACCATGGCGACAGCATTTGCGAACTCCACGGACGACTATCTCGTGAACACTCGCCGGCTTGCCCGTCCCGGTGACTCGTCGCATCGCTTCTTTTCGGCAAACATTACAAATATCGCCATCGATCAAGTCCTAGGCGCATCGTTGAAAAGGGTGCGTAAGGTGACAGTGGCGCCGAAATATGTATGCGCATCGCAGGGTGTCCTGGCCTATCGGAGCAGAGGCTGCTCGAGAGCGCTCGATGAACTTTGCTTCTTGCAAAGTTCGATGCTGCGGAGATGGACGGGCATGCGTCGAGCAGGCTATTGGCTGGTTCAGTTGAGGAGGATTGTGACCACGAGGAAGCGACGGCGGCGGAGGTCAGCCTCGTATGGGATGGCGGGCATGGGAGTGGTGATACGTCGGACGGTATTGGAAATGCGGCCGGTGGAGACAGGGGATACTAGGCGTGTAGCGACGTAGGCGGTGATTTTGGATGCCGAGCGATCAATTCCCAAGCTAACCGGCGGTGGACGGCTCACTCCCGGGATGTTGTAGCGAGCCAACTCTCAACCATTGTGGCGTCGAGACAAGAGTGTAGTTGGATAATGAGAGTCCCAGCCGTAGCTCGACATCGGTAGACCTGGGGTAAAGAGGACTTGTTAGATCGATATATTTCGTTCGTTCCATTCCCCCTGACGTCCTCGAAGGCCTTCCGCCTCGCGTATGACGTAGTTCGTTGTACATTCGTCGTATCTGTGCCGATGTTTCGACGAGTCGATCTTTTTGTTGTTTTGTTGCATTTTTATGGTGAGTTCCAGGGCCCAAATGGTATTGAATAGTCGGGTGAGGTGTAGAAGAGTGCCCACACGTCTGATTGGCCCGTGGTACAACGCGGAAGTCCCAGAACCACGTGATTTGTCATGTGACCCACCATGGGTGGAAAAAGTTCGGTAACTCAATGAAACATGGGTATAATCAATTCAAACTTCTCTGTGATCACTAATGCAGCTTTAGCTCACTTGGGAGAGCGCCAGACTGAAGAATCACGTTCTCGTGTTCAAGATTCAGTCGTCGTCACTTCTGTGCGGTATCTGGAGGTACTGTGGTGAGTTTCGGTCCAACCACGCTGCGAACGATGGCAAATCGACTAACAAATCAATCAGTTCGATCCACAGAAGCTGCAGCTTATTTTTGGGATTTTTTGAACCGTTTTTGGTGTCCTGGGAGTCCAAAATGTCGGGTAGAGGGCGTGAACGGCCCATTTTTCGGATTTTGGTGTATGGACGAGTCCGAGAGGGGATTGAAAGGCCCATGGGCGGCAGAACCGCAGTAATAGATGTAAGGAAGAGAATGAATCATCCATGAAAGTCTGAAGATTGTTCTGAAAAATGGTATAGGAAATAATGTCGAAATGTTGGAGACGCTGGCAAGCTTCGGCGCTGCTTCCAAGGAAATACGTAGAACGACATACCTTGTCATTTCACACTTCTTTGTATACACATACAGTCCAGGAATATTTAAATTGAACTTCGAGAATGGTATCTGCATGATGGGTATGGTCGAAGGAACAGATGGGGTCGTCAAGGAATGAGGTGAGGTGGGAGGTAACGTGACAAGGCTCTGCCCCCGACTTCACGTCACCAGCCCCGCGCAATTTCAACACCATCTTGCCACCTTCGCCAACCCACGACACTTCCTCATATCGCCTGAGTCACTGTTGCATCGCGCGCTCACTACCTTGCAGCAGTATGCATGAGCGATAGCATTCCCTTTCCCAGCTGGCGCTCGAGGAGCCAGCGCGGAGATGGACGCGGATGGGGAGGACGGGTTTGAGAATGAGGAGCAGTTCTGGCTGGGTTCGTGGAATGCGCTCCCGCCAATGGCGCGCACCATCTTCGCTAACCAGTCCACAGCTCTCGACGAGATCTCCGAGGCGCCCTACGAGAGCCACGAGCACATCGACAACGCCCTGCGATCCTTCCTAGCCCTTACCACCCTCTACAAACGTACGCGCGCTCCGCTAACCTACCATGCACCGCCGGCGCTAACGGCGAGAAGAGACGTACCTGCAGTCGGAGAATGACATAGCAAGATGCTGTTACAAGCTGCTCGACTCGGAGCTGTATCAGGCGAATCAGACGTATGCGCGGCGCCAGATTCTCTACTGCCTGCTTCAGGTGTGTTGCTTGTCTTGCATTGGAAGAGCCACAGGGCTAAAGAAAAACCATAGGACGACGACATCCCCGTCCTCCACATCACCGCCGCGATGCTGCTCTTCGATGGCCGCATGAATGAATCCGCATTCGAGATGCTCCGCAGCGAAGGCGTGTTTCCGCGATTGATACAACTCATCCGAGGTGGAGGAGAGGACAATGACGACATGCGGCGACTGCTACTCGAGCTCCTCTTTGAGCTGTGCCGAACGCAGAAGCTCAGTCGAGAAGAGCTGAGTGAGTGGAACGCTCCTCCCCTACGGGAACGCAATGCATCTCTAACCTGGCACCAGTCACCGCCGACGACGACTTTGTTTTGTACTTGTTGCAACTGATCGAAGACTACTCGGACGATGTCGATGATCCCTATCACTATCCCATCATTCGAGTTTTGGTAAGGCGCCAATGGAACCTAGGAAGGAGCGATGCTGACATCACCAAGCTTGTTTTGAACGAACAATACATGTGCCTAGCGAGCATGCCTCCTTCGGCAGATGAAGACGGCGCCATACCAAACCGGATTGTCACCATGCTCTCAGCATATGGTTCTTCATATCGCACGTTTGGCGAAAACATCATCCTTCTGTTGAACCGCGAGTCAACATTGAGTGCCCAGCTTCTCATCTTGAAGCTCCTGTACCTGCTCTTCACCAGCCCATCGACATACGAATATTTCTACACCAACGACCTGCATGTTTTAGTGGACGTGATCATTCGGAAACTGCTGGACTTGGATCCCGGCAGCGAGGAGAATGCATTGGAGACGGATGGGGTGGAGAGGGATGGGCAGCGGGCGCTTCGACACACATACCTGCGTGTGCTGTGTCCACTGTTGAGGAATACGCAATTGGCCAAAGAAGGGGGCCACTACAAGAAGGAGGAGGTACGAAGACTGCTGTATCTCCTCGTCAACAAGGCATCGCAGCACTTTGCCCCGGTAGACGAGACCGTGCTGAAACTGGTCGTGCGCTGCAAGCGAATCGATTGGATCCGAGAAGAAGGCGACGAGGAAGACCCCGAGTACACAGACACCACGCCCATATCCGCCAGCACCGTCGCAACGCAGCACCTCGGAATGTCGTTGGTCGAAGCCGGCGTCAGCAATCTCAGCGTCGCCGACGTCTCGGCAAAGGTGGCGAAGGAGAAGCCTGCGGTGCCTGCACCTCGCCGCTTTGGGAGGAAGAAGCGGCCGGACAATGCTGCGGATGCACAGACGGACAGCACGAACGCGAAGAAGCAGCTTCAGGTGCCACTGCTCGTCATTCCGTCGGTCGATGTTCAGGATCGAGACGGCGGACGGAGCCCATTCTCGGATGACAACAGAGAGGTAGATTGAGCAATGCATCTACTCGAATCATCCTCCAGACTACACCAGCTCTTTGCCGACGGGTGTCATGCTTGTGCATTGCGGGACATCTCGTGCCACTCAAACGGCCAAGGAAACGGCATTGCTTCATCATGCTATATTGCGCAAGCCGAGTGCCGCGAAGCACGATCTGGTTGTGAGAGATCACAATCTGGAGAAGCAGCGTTACACGGCTCCACAGGTACCTGCATGAGCCTCCACAAACTGGTCGCACGCGGCACACAGCCTTACATGAATCCAAATGGCGCCTCTCAGAAGACCATGGCCTTGGATGACGCCTTTGTTGCGAAATGTGGCCGCCACCGCCTGCGGTCCATGTGAAAGCAAGCCACCGCGATCTGCATTGCTGCCAAACTGCACGTCACTCGTCGCCCGCACTCTCTACTCGCCCATGCTCACGTTGAACGAAGGGCCGATAGTGTCCACTGTGTTTCGTTTGACGAGTGGTCCTGCTGGCTCCCGCTGTCGTCTTGCAACCTCTACGCGAACTTCACTCGGGATGCGGACCGAGCGACAGACGATACCATCTTACGCTACACAGCGTCGGCAAATGGTCCGTCGACCTGTCAAGAACAGCGGGTCTGACGGGTACCTGCGTCCAATGCTGCAACATGACACACCCAACAGCATCAAGCGAAATATATGGCCTCTTGCTCAGATCCCCTCGTCATCGATCGGTCCAATGCTTACACTCATCTCGGGGGCTCCACTGCGTGCGACGACAGGGGAAGACATTCCGTCTGGTATTCACGGGCTTGCGCATATACGTCGCGTTAGCCATCTTCATGCGCAAACACAGTCCGTCCAACATCCAATGTGACCACCCACTCCTGCCGTTCGGGAAGGCACCTTCTCACCGCCGAGGGAAATTGCGTAGGACGCCCAGGTTGTTACTTCCTCGAGCATTCATAGGCCAATGGCATGCAAACGCTGAATCTCAACGAATTTGCATAGTGTGCAATATCTAGGTTGCCTGCGTTTCTGTATGCGACACAATCTGCGGGCTTCATCAGGCACACTGCATCACGTCCACTTCAAGCAAGTCAAGACGTTTCTCCATCGACGTGGAAGAGTTATAAGAAGACTGCTACGCCTCCCACGATCCTCAAACCTTCTGAGACCATCGCGTGCAGCCACACCTTCAGTTCCCTCTTTACTCATTGAGCCTTTGTTTGTTCTCGATTCTGCACAGTCGCCCGTTCATCAGCGTGGAACAAGACAAGATGGTTGCGTACGCTCTCGGATGTGTTGCAGCCTTGTTGGCTACCACCTTGGCCAGCCCAGGTTCGTCCCCTGCGAGATGTAGATCGAAACTCTTCGGCTGATGAATGACGTTCAGTTCAATACGGTGTCGACGACAAGCTGTCCGCAAACTGCACTTCGACCAGTGCCTCGTCCGTCGGCGCCATCACTGGATCCTCCTCCTCCTCCTCCTCCTCCTCCCTTCTCTGGACCTATCCATGGGGCTCTCACTCTTTGCCATACGGCTCGGGGACCAGCTATAACACCGGCACATCCCCAAGCTCATCCTCTCAAGCCTCTGGCATCACTGCTTCCTCCGCATCAAGCAATGCCACCTCCTCTGGACCGTCTGTACCATCCACAACCCAACCCATCGTGACAATCACAGTCATCGTTCCGCCTTCCGGCACTGGCTCTTCGGGCTTCCCATTCTACACCAACAGCACGACAGCCTCGCAGTTCAGCACAGGTGCCATTTCGGCGTCTTCAAGCGCGCTTTCTGGGACCGCGGTCTCGGGTAAACCCACTGGCACCGCCCCTACTGTCTCCAGCAGTCCCATTGTCAGCTTGCCGACTAACAACTACTCCATTCCTTGCTCGACTGGGTATCTGCCGTCGAGCAAGCCTTTTACTGGCACAGGCGCCACGTCTACGGTCAATGTGGCGTTGAGTCTGCTTTCGAAGACATCTGGGACGGGTATCCCTGCCTCTTCATCTCCTCAGACCTCGGGATCTCCTGTCAATACTTCGAACTCAACCGGTCTTGCTTCTGTGCCATCAACTCCGAGCGGCACTGCATCGTCGACGCCGATCGGAACTGCACCCTTGACTCCAAGCGGCACTGCACCAGTTCACGGCACTTCGTACCCCTACTCCTCCGGCGCTCTCCCCACCCCACCCTACCCACACTCCTGGGCGTCATACACATGGTCTGCCGCGCCGGTGGGCACAGCAAGCAGCAGCAGTGCTCAAGTGAACGCAACGAGCTCTTCGTCGCCTGCGCAGTCGAGCTCCTCGTCTCCGGCCGAATCAAGTTCTTCGTCCTCACCAGCGCAGTCGAGCTCCTCATCACCCGCACAGTCGAGCTCCTCATCACCCGCGCAATCGAGCTCATCGTCGGCAGCGCAGTCCAGTTCTTCATCATCGCCAGCCCAATCGAGTTCCTCATCTTCCGCAGAGGCCAGCTCGTCGTCTTCACCAGCGCAGTCGAGCTCGTCATCTTCGCCAGTGCAGTCCAGCTCGTCATCTTCGCCAGTGCAATCCAGCTCCTCACCATCTCCAACTCAGTCGAGCTCCTCGTCTCCCGCGCAGTCAAGCTCATCGGCCTCCGTCAGCGGTGCTTCCACCCCAGCGACAACAGTCGTGACACAGACGATTTACATCACCTCCGTGGTGTCCAACAGCGCTCAGACTGCCTCTTCGGGGACCGCGTCATCGAGCGGCGCGAGTAGCTCGCTCGTCTCAGCCGGCTCGACTGCATCTTCGAGCCTATCCACTTCGTCTTCCTCCTCCGCTTCCGCCGCATCTTCTTCGTCGTCTTCGCCGTCGTCATCGGCGGTCTCAGCAAGCTCCCAGTCAGCCTCATCGCCATACGGACCCTTCAGCAGCGGCACTTCTCTCTCCTCGTCATCGTCATCGGCAGCAGCATCGTCGAGCAGCGAGGCCGGAGCGCAGAGCACATCGGCCCCTGTCGCACCATCTTCGTCCTCTTCTTTCTCCCCATCTTCATCATCCTCCTTCTCGCCGTCTTCGTTGTCCTCCCTTTCGATTCCGGCTTACCCTTCCTCCAGTGCGAGCGCGAGCGGGCCGGGCAGCTACGGCAGGCGTGCCGTGAAATTGAAGACGTAGGACGGACGAGTCCTAGTCGGAGATTGGGGCGGTGTCTCGACGAGAATGAGGGAAGGAGTAGATGTATGTAGTATTGCATTAGAAGCATTCTTGTGGCGAACTGTGGCAGGTTCAAGCGGCGACATCGAGGCGGATGTTGGGAGCAGATAGGGGGATATGATAGCATGTCAACAGTAACATATATCAGCAGTGCTGTGCTTTCACTTGCATTCAATACTGCGCGCGGACGAAGAGCCATACCAATGCTACCCGTAAGTGACATATCCCTGCTTTCCTCCCCATCCTTTCCCATCTCACGAACGAGCAACAGCGACCTTCTCCATCTTTCCTCTACAACGCCGGATTCAACCTCCGCTCATCCCTTAACGCACAAAACTTCTTCACCGCCTCATCAAGCGGCACCAGCTCGCCCATCTTCTGCGTCTCGGGCACGTCGCGATTGCGAATATTGACCGTGCGGCTCTCCTTCTCCTGCAGCCCGACGACGAAGATGAAGTTGTACTGCTGCAGCTGGCCCGTGCGGATCTTCTTCTGCATCGTGTTGCCGGTGATGTCGACGTCGACGTGCATGTGCTGCGCGCGGAACAGCTTCTGCACCTCGAGGCAGTAGTCGTTGATGGCGGGCATGACGGGCACGATGAGGATCTGGCGCGGCGACATCCAGAAGGGCCATTTGCCGGCAAAGTGCTCGCACAGGATGGCGATGAAGCGCTCAAAGGAGCCGTAGATGGCGCGGTGGATCATGACCGGGCGGGCGCAGCCGGGGGTGAGTTCGCGGCGGTAGGAGGCTGGGTCGAGCTCTCTCTTTGCCCTGGCGGCTGCAGCGGCGGCGGGGTCTGCGGGCTCTGCTTGGCCTGCTTCGCGGAGGGGAAGCTCGACGGTGGCGGCGGGTTCGGCGGGTTTTGGCTCCGCTGCTTTGACGCCGTTGACTTCGGCGGCGGGTTTCGCGGCTGCTTGCTCCTCGGTGCGGTACTCGAGGTTGAATTGGCGCGGGAGATTGAAGTCGAGCTGGATGGTGGCGCACTGGAACTCCCGCTTCAGCGCATCGGAGATGGTGACGTCGATCTTTGGCCCGTAAAAGGCGCCGTCGCCGGGGTTGAGAGACCATGTCGTGCCAGTGGCTGCCTTAAAATCCTCCAGCGCCTGCTCGAGTTGTGCTTCCGCACGCTGCCAGGTGGCCACATCACCGAGATGGTCCTCGGGCATAGTGGACAGTTTCATCTTGAAGGTGAAGCCGAACAGTCCATAGACGGTGCGCAGGAGGTCAAAGAGGCCTTGCACCTCTTGCTCGATCTGAGCCTCGGTACAGAAGATGTGGGTGTCATCTTGGACGAATCTCCGCACGCGAGTCAACCCGGTGAGAGCGCCCGAGGCTTCATTACGGTGCAGCACGCCAAATTCCGCCATGCGGATGGGGAGTTCGCGATAGCTGCGTTCTCGATGGCCAAAGAGCAGCGCGTGGCCGGGGCAGTTCATCGGCTTCAGGGCCCATTGCTCCTTTTCAATCTCAAATCTGAACATGCCATCGTCGTAGTGCTGCCAGTGGCCAGACTGCTTCCAGAGCGCGGAGTTGTACATGTTTGGCGAATGCACCTCTTGGTAGCCACGCGCCCAGTACTCCTCGCGGATGAAGTTCTGCAGGGCCTGGTAGATGATGGTGCCGTGAGGCAGGAAGAAGCACGAGCCGGGAGAGAGGGGATGGAAGAAGAAGAGCTCTTGATCCACGCCAATCTTTCGGTGGTCGCGCTTGGCCGCTTCCTCCAGCATGTGCTTGTGCTCGTCGAGTTGCTGCGAGAAGTTAACAAGTTGTCACATACTCTAGCAGACGCATGACACACCTTCTTATCCGGAAAGGATACACCATAAATCCGCTGCAAGCTGTCATTCTTCGCGTCGCCGAGGAAGTAACTGGCCGAGTTCTTCATGATATCGAATGCCTTTATCCTGCCGGTGTGAGGCACGTGCGGCCCTCTGCAAAGATCGATGAGCGGTCCGTTGCGATAGACAGTCGTGGAGGTGCCATCGGCGATCTTGTCCTTGATGATGTGCTGCTTGTACTTGTTGTACGAAAACATCTCGAGCAGGTCCTCCTTGCTCAGCTCCAGCCGCTCAAACGGCTGCTTCTCCTTGACCGCCTTTTCGAAGATCTGCTTCAACGGCTTGTAGTCGGCGGTGGTAACGGCAGCCATGTTGGGCAGGGCCATTTCATAGTAGAAGCCATCGTCGACAGGAGGACCGATGCACAGAGAGCAGCCGAAGCGTCGCTCCGCCGCCTCGCCGAGAATGTGGGCGCTGCTGTGCCAGAACACCTTTTGGCCCTCGGGGTGGTCAAAGTCGAGCAGTTCCAGCTTGCAGCTCTTCTCCAGCGGGCGCTCGAGATCCCACAGCTCGCCGTCGACACGGGCAATGACGGTGCGCTCAAACAGGCTCTTGGAGATGTCGCGGGCGATGGAGGCGGGCGATGTCTCCCAGCTCTTGCCCTGTCTCTTGCCCCCATCCGGCATCTGCACTTCAATCTCTTCCCGCGGCTGCTTGGCCAGCCATGCCTGTCGCTCCGCCTTTCGCTTGTCGAATAGCTCGTTTCGCGACTTGAAGAAGGCGGGTGGCGGGTTGAGCTCCAGCGGACCTGCTGCGGCGCCCTCCTTCTCCTTGGGAGGCATTGTCGCTGCGGTGGATGCGGTGTGAAGGGGGAATCGAATTGCAGCCCGATAGCGGGTGGCTTCAGTGAGTCTGCAGGACGTTGGACGTGCAAACAGGCGACGAAGTGGTAAGACGAGCATGCATCAATTGTTACAACGGTGTGAGTCGTAGTCCCCTGCTTCGACTCATTCTTTTCCAATGTCTCACACGCGACGTGGAATTTCGGCGGTCAGGGTTCAGGATGCTGACTAACCACCGACAGCTTCCAGTCGTTGTGGCCTCAGGCTTCCAACGTAAGGTATTATTGAACAGCATTTTGAAGAGAATAAAACGGCATATCGGCCGATACATATATATTCGAAGTGAAACCAAGAGGTCATCAAGGTGTAGTTTTCATCAGGCCGCCGCGCGCGTGGCACAGCGCTGCTAAATACCATTACATAGATGTATAGAAAGGGGGGGTATGATTCGCAAAGCACAAAGCGCAGTCGTTTCGCCCGCACGCCCTCATTAGAGATACCGATTAGCCATGTTGTACCGGTGCAGAGGCGCAGCTGTGTCGGCCATCGGGGGAGTCGTCGGGAGTTCGGAACGATTGCTTGTCAAGGAAATGCGAGAGAGAGATGCGCGCCCGCTCGAGGAGAGAGGAACAGGTCGAGGCGGGGCGCGAGAAGAGACTGATTATCCGTCCACCAATTACCACCCAATGCGCCGGTCAAAGTTGCCCGTAAGATCTTGTCTGCCGTTTCCCTGCCGTCCAGTGTGTCGAGGCGACGTCTAGTGACGGCCGTAGCTGGGAGGCTGGCCGTAGCCGTAGGGGATGACGGTTTGGGTGGGGTGAGAGGTGTGTGTTGGGTGCCATCCCGGGTGCGGGTAGTGGTGGGTGGGCGTCGGGTGGACGGGAGGGTGGGGGTGCACCCACGGCGGGCTCTGGTGAGATGGGGACCACCACCATGGGTGTCCGCCGGAGGGGCCGTTGCCGCCGGATGGGCCGTTAGGGTAGCTGGGAGAGCCTCCAGATGGGCCGTTGGGGTAGCTGGGAGAGCCGCCCGAGGGACCATTGGGGTAGCTGGGAGAGCCGCCCGAGGGACCGTTGGGGTAGCTGGGAGAGCCTCCAGACGGGCCGTTAGGGTAGCTCGGGCTTCCACCGTGGTGCTTGTTGCCGTGGTGGCCATGGTGTCCGTGATGATGTCCGTGGTGGCTGCCATGGTGCTCCTCAGGGCGAGGCACGCCGTGGTTGTAGGGGCTCCAGCCGAACCACCATGGGGCCGCACTAGAGCTTCCCGACGAGGACCCTCCACCGGGGTACCATCCACCAAAGCCTCCAGACGGAGGACCAGACGGCGGCCCAGACGGGGGACCGGATGGGGGACCGCCCTCTGGGTGCCAGCTGCCCCATCCACCCCATGGGCCAAAGCCTTGGGGCTTTGCCTCACGCTTGCCATTGGCGACGGGAGCGGCGTTGGGAAGGGCGACGGTCAGGCCGACCAAGGCCGCGAGCACAGCAGTCTTCATTGTGATTGTTGATGTGTTGTTGTGGTGTATTAGAACGAGTGGATAGGAATTATACAAAGATAATCCCCGGGAAAGCAAGAGAGAGGGAGAAAACGAGTGTGGTAAGGCGACAAGAAAGCCTTTGCTTCAACAATGCAGACACAGAAGAGAGAGAGAGAGGGCGAAATAGCGAGCGACCTGGGGCGCGACACTTATATCCGCCTGTACAGGCAAAGCAGGCGCGTGGATGATTGGAGCAGCAGTGGGCCGGCTGGCCGCCCTTCCTACTTCCCGACTCCTGCTCATCAGCCAGCATGATTGTGGACGGCGCAAGCGAAGTTGGCGTGCACGTTGACGCTAGGCAATGATGGCCAGTGAATAGACCCGTACCCGAAATGGACGATGATGGCCGGGGCACGGTTGCCAGGTGTGCTTGCGTACCAAGGCTGCCCAGGCGGAGGGAGATTTAGGCCAGAGCGCCGGGTGAAGGGGCGCGCGCGCGCATCCGTCTCGCCGCGCCCCGCCCAGCGTTAGGCCTGAGGGAGTGGGTCGAGGGGAGCGCTGGTGGGCAACGGTTGTATTATCGCGGGCGTGAGCAACAGCGGTACGGTGACACGCAGGCGGGTGGGAATGTTGTTCTTGTTGGTGGGAAATGTCAAAGGAGTCGGCAGGATTGCCTCCTTCGCCCACCCCGCCAGGCAGGTGTCGTCGAAGCGAAGTTAGGTGTGGCGTCCGAGGCCGCACCGGGAGCAACGCTTCCCATTCCCGCGCAACGATCTTCTCAACGCATGTTGATGACTTGCGATAGCATCCAGATGATCATCGTGTCTTTTTGCGCCATACGCTGCAGCCCGTGAGAGCGTGCAATGCGTATATCAATAGACGCTGGTGTGTTTTGCGTTAGAGCGCGGTGGTGCTCCGACGTCAGGCCCGACAGCGTTGGCGCGTCCGCGAACCACAAAACGACTTGCGCTGTAATCTCACGCCCGAGTATTTTTGACGTCTGTACCACAGACGCCGCGCCGCAAGGGGATTGCGGAACAATTTTACGCGTGCGACGTGCCTGTTGTTGTCCTTCCTTCGATGCGCTGCACATTGACGGCTTGGGAGCGCCTCCTCGTATAAGAATTCTGCCCCTTTTCCCGTCCTTGATGAAACGGAGCAGGTCAGATACGTTCGGGGATGTGGATCGCTCGCCGATCATCATAGTGCTACGCGCTACGCACGGTTGGCGCCGTCTCTGTTTACGGGCAAAAACATGTCAACTGCAACACCTACGTGCCAAGCTGCAGACCGACACTGCGCCGCCGCCACCTCCAAGTACTGTAGTGTAAGACAATGCCCGGAATTATTGGCTGCACGCACATACCCTGTACGGTATTACATTTCCTGACGCCCTCCTACTTCTCGTGCTAATGTAGTGCATTTCATAGCGCACATGACTAGCATCCAAGCCCATCTCGGCCTTCGGCCTATTGTGCACGCTCTCACGTGGGAGGCGCTACACCGCCTGGTCCACTTATCATTCATCTACATACCCACCAGGATCACAGTGTCCATTCAGGCACCAATCCCAACCTCATTTCTCTCCGAGGCTGCTTGTGCAAGTCCCACCTATCTGCTCATCCTTCGCTGTATAGGGACAAGCCGTCTTATCTCTTGGCTCTAGTATCGAATACGGCTGGCGCAACCGAGATTGCAGTATAGCGAGGTGTACGAGAGATTTGGTTGAATCTTTCTTTCAACACTGGGAATTGCCTACCGCCTATAGTAAGAGTCGCGGCTGCCCCGTGTGCTGCCGAATCGCCCGTCCAACGCAACGTGAATATGACATAACAACGCGCTCCAATTAGATCCCCACCAACACCGTTCATCTTGAAACGTAGCCACGCAAAAATCCCTCCATCAAGCCGCAACTTGAGCAACAGCCCGGGTAATGCCCTCGCGCTGCCCCTGCTCCGGCGGAAGCTCCCACAGCTTCTCCACCACCGGCGCAGCCTGATGTTGCGGACAGCACTCGCAGCCTCGAATTTGATTGTACAGCTTCGCGAGGTCCGCATCGCCGTCGCCCTTCAGCGCACTCTCCAGCGTCGCCTCGTCTGGATCCTCGAGCGAGATGGCGTCAGCATCTTCATCCGGGTCGTCTCCCGTGTCCGGGACCAGCTCCGGTGGCGGACGAGCCGGTCGCGCAGCGCCAGAGGGGAAGCGCTCGAGTCCGAGCCCGTCGTCTTCGCCGTCGTCTAGCCCGTCGGAACCGGATAGCGAGTCGTCGTCGGAATCGCTGTCAGAGTAGTTGGTGACGGGCGGAGGCGGTGATCTCCTCCCTCCCGCCGCCGATTTGGGCGGCGCGATTGCATTCTTCCCCACGTGCCCTGTCCCCTGGAATGCCAGCGACGACCGTTCGGTCTTGCTGATGTCGTGTTCAATCTCGACGATGCGCAGCCGTAGGGCTTCGTAGTGCATCAAATGCCCGACGACGAACCGGAGGTCGCGGTCCGGCCGGCCGGCGGCAATCTGAAGGCGGCACTGCGCCGTGTGCGCCATTGAGTAGGCCTGCTTGAGAGACATGTCGGACGTGTAGTGGTCGAGAGTCAGACCGTTGGAGAGATTCTGGTTTGATCCCGAGTGCTGAGATATTTACTAATCGTTGTCGAGCCTCGGCCGGAATGTGACGGGTGAATGAGGCGGAGCGGCGATGCTGGCTTGCGTGCCGGTGGTCTCTTGGGTTATAACGCAGCCTGGATGGCAAGTAGAGGTTGGCCTGTAGCTGAAGAAGGAGAGTGAGGAATCACCGAAAAGATTCCACCTTCTTCTTCGTACGCTTGGGCACTAGCGGCTGAGAACAGCATGCGACGTGTGCAATGTCAAATGATATGTAAGCGCGCAGGTGACTCAGAGTCTCGATTTCTTGGCCCTGCCGAGGTGCGGAGGTGGCCGAGGGCGGCTTAGAAATACGATGCTTGGGTTGTTCGTGATGATATACGTGGGCATCAAGCTGCGTCTGTAGGCCTGAATGCAATTGGAATAGATCTGAAAGGTGCCTACCTGAACGTATTGTCCATCACAGTCGCATGCATTCGACCCTCCAAGTGATCAAGCAAATCGATTCCACCTGAGTGTCCTTGGTGCCTCAGGCCGCGAGCCGTGTCCGCCTTGCTGTAGCGTTCCGCGATACTGCCGCATGAACACGTCAATATAAGGAAAGTAGAGGAGAACGACGTGTCCGCCAGTGCCTTGCTGAGTAGATACCCCCCGAGGCAATCGGACTCTTATAGACGTGCCTGATGGATTAATTAGCGGCGACTCACTTCATCATCACAGCAATGGCCTGCAAAGCTTAATTGTTGCGTGCTACCTCTTGGACCCCTCATGATATGAGCTGCTGCAGGTACCAAATCCCCGACCACTCCCACGGATCAACGAGCTTGATTACCGGCGGGGTCAAGCAATTGGCGTCCTCGAGCTCCACGTGGAAAGGATCGTTCATAAATGCTGTCATTCCATTCTTTCTCTCCGACTTTCCGTAGCTTAACGTCCGTCTCAATTGTCCAATCCATCCTTTCTCGTGTCCCGCTCAAAATGTCTTCCGCAGATCCATCGTACCTCCCAAGACCAGACAGTAGCAACTGGCGTCATGCCAGCACCATCATCACCGCTCCATCGAAGCACATCGACGTTCCTAACTCCCAACCTTACTCCTTCCGTCTGCACTACGTCGACGTGCCAGCGTACAACAGAAAGGCCGGGACAGCCGATGCAGCGGTGAGAGGCACGGTGTTGCTGATCCACGGCTTTCCCCAGACCTGGTACCAGTGGCGCCATGTTATCAACCCAATCGCCAATGCTGGTTACCGAGTGGTCGTGCCCGACTACCGCGGCGCAGGTAACTCTCAGGCCCCACCGAGCAATGCCGGCCATGCGGGTGGCATGGGAGGCGGATATACGAAGCTTGTCATGGCGGACGATCTTCGCACGCTGCTTCGAGACCACCTCGGGATCAAGGAGATGGTGCATGTCATTGGTCATGACATTGGGGTGAGTGATGAAAATCGACAAGATGAGTGAAACGACTTACCATACGCGCAGGCCATGGTCGGCCACGCATACGCAAGTTTCTTCGCAGACGACACCAAGAGCTTTGTATGGGTTGACTGCCCACTGGTGAGTAATACACTCGTACCCCAAACGTCCCACCAGCCCTGACCTGGGATACCTGCAGCCCGGCACAAAGAATTATGACGACTGCAAAGCAGCGTCGACGGACACCTGGCATTTCATCTTCCACAACGTTCAGGATGATCTGCCAGAGAGGCTTGTTTCGGGCCACGAAAGAACATACATGCGCCACTTCTTCGACAGGCTCTGCGTCAATCCATACGCCATTGTACCCGGCGGTGAGGTGAGTTGTCCACAGTCCACAATTCCTGAAACTGGGTGCAACCGGCTAACAGTGCTTCGGAACAGGACGAAGACGTATATGTCACCGCCTACACGCGTCCAGGGGCCATGCGAGCCGCATTCGACACCTACCGCACCTTTGACGAAGACTCGCGCCAGAACCGAGAGCTGGTGAAGAAGATCGGCAAGGGCAAGGTTCCCGTGCTATCCCTGCCTGGTGGGGGAAGCTTCAACTATGCCAGGTCGGAAGAGCAGCTCAATGAGCTCTACGAGAATGTCGAGGCGTCGTTTGTGCCGAATGCCGGGCACTACATCCCCGATGAGCAGCCGGAGGGGTTCGTGGAGAAGGTTGTGCCCTTTATCCTGAAGCATAGTAAATAGACGCGTCCTCTTAGCCGTGGTGATGGAGTGTGGTAGATGATCACAACACGATTCTAGAGAGATGGCGTGCGGCGATGTCCGGATGACTAATCCCCAAACTCAGCACGGTCCAGCAATTGTCGACTTCATACAAACCCTGAACCTTTCCCCGTTGAAGACCATTGCATTCCACGTGGCGCTCAATCCTCAGACCACTGTTTAAACCAGGGCGCAAACACTCGCTCCAAGTGTCGGCGACTTCCAAAGACACCATCTGAATGGCGGATGTCGTCGAGGACGTGACTGATGCCCTGGTGAAGCAGCCCGATCAAGGCCTGAAGCAAACCGCCAAAGACTTATTCGGAGGCGCTGTAGGTGGTGTTGCACAGGTATTGAGTGGTGAGTACATGTCGTGTGTCGTTCATTTATCCAGAGCTAACATCTGCGCCAGGCCAACCATTCGGTACCCATCCCCTGTCGACCACTTCACAGACCTGGAAATTCTAACACTTCAGCCAGACATCGTCAAGGTCCGACTCCAGACCACAACCAACTACAAAGGCGCGCTAGACTGCGCCTCCCAGATCCTCAAAAACGAAGGCGCCGCCGCCTTCTACAAAGGCACCCTCACCCCGCTCATAGGCGTGGGAGCGTGCGTGTCGGTGCAATTCGGAGGCTTCCACTACGCCCGCCGAGCATTCGAAGCCCGAAACGCCGCCAAAGCCGGCATCTCCCCGGAAGAATCCGCGCGGAATCCGCAACCGCTCTCCTACGGCCAGTACTACGCCGCCGGCGCTTTTGCCGGTATCGTCAACACCGTCCTCTCCTCGCCCATCGAGCACATCCGTATCCGACTGCAAACCCAACCACATGGAGCCGGTAGACTCTATAATGGACCAATAGACTGCATCCGCAAACTCTCCTCGAGCCCCAACGTTGCCAAGGGCCTGTACCGCGGCACCGCCGTAACGTTCCTGCGGGAAGCGCAAGCGTACGGCTGCTGGTTCCTGGCGTTCGAGTACCTGATGCAAAGCGAGGCGAAGCGCAACAACATCAAGCGCGACCAGATCCCCACGTGGAAAGTGGCGCTGTACGGCGGGTGCGCGGGCGAGGTGCTGTGGATCTCATCCTACCCGCTCGACGTCATCAAGTCGAAGATGCAGACGGATGGGTTTGGGGAGCAGATGCGCTACAAGAGCATGCGGGATGCTTTTGCGCAGACGTGGAGGCAGGAGGGCGCGTGGGGGTTTTGGAGGGGGATCGGGCCGACGTTGCTGAGGGCGATGCCGGTGAGTGCGTGCACGTTTGCTGCGGTGGAGATGACGATGCGCTTTATCAATTGAGAGGTGGGACAAATGTGCAGATGGATATGCCTCTGCGTGGGCTCATCATGTTGATGGCATCTAATTACAAAAACTAGATACTCGTGTCTGTTGATCGATTCGCATCTGTGTCGAGAGTTTCCATCCATGTCTGCTCCTCAACACCGCTCGTATTGAGTGAGGGCAATCCCATTGACCCAGACCCTGCTTCCTGCCTGAGATCAAGCTTGTGCTGCAAGCCCGCAAGCTCCAGCTCCAGTTCATAAGTGCGCAGCTTCAGCTGCTCGAGCGACAGATCTACGCTCGCAGGCGGCGCGGCCTCCACCTCCACCGCAGCCGGCTCCGAATCTCCAACTTCGATTGGGAAACAGGCGCGCTGCTCTACACCAGCATTGGTTTCCTTGGCGTGGATACTCTGCACGGTCATAGCCTGGGACAAATCTTCGTCATGAATGTCGTACGTGCGTTGACGGAGCTGGCGGCGTGGGCGCGGTGGGGAAAGCATGGGAGATCCAGGCTGGCCCTCTTTAGCAGCATCGCCTGCAAAAGGCTGGAATGGGACCACCTCGCCGACTCTCACATTCCGCACGTCGTCGCTGACGGGCCGGAAGGGGTTGTCTGCCTCGGGATCCGTCTCCCGCGACTCAAACGCCTCCCTCTCCATTCTCTGCGTGTCGCCCGTGAAATCCTGAACGGCCGTTTTGAGGGTCATCAGTAGACTATCCGGTCTCTGGATTTCAGCTTCCACTGCAAGCGACGGAGGAGCATCGACACCCTCCGGCGCTGTGGGCTGCACCGCCATGCCTTCGTCGAAGAGTGCCTTCTCCCGAAGCAGCGCTGCATTGGCCTTCCTTCGCACCCTCGACTTCCACTTGCGAAAAGTCTTTGTACCATCCGGCGCAACTCGCAGGCCCAGCCACTTCTCCTGAAACAGCTGCTCCGCGGGCTTCACCTTTGCAAATCTCCGATACGTGTTCCAGTAGTCGTAGACCATTTTGTCGAGTCGTTCCTGCACGTGCTTCCCCTCTAGCTTTCCCACGATCGAGAGGACGAAATGGACTTGCGTCTTTGCCAATGTCTGTCGAGCTTCGATGTACCTCACCACTCCGGCTCTGAGGAAAGCACGACACAATAGACGGCTGACGGGGATGTTGTAGTCGTTGAGGAAGCGATAACATTCCCAGACGTGACGGTAGGCGGTGCGAGGCGTGATCAGCGGAGACTGCGCCCACGCGTAGGCGATGTCTTGTACGAAAGATACAAGCTCCGGCGAGATCAATTTGCGATTTGTCTGGTGTGCGGCAGGGGAAGCTTCGTCCTCATCCGCCCAGCGGTCAATCATCCTCCATGGGATAATCCAATGCCGTGATTTTTGGACATAATCCATCACAAACTCGCGAAAGGAACTGGCGGGAAAAGCGGGCATTGGCCCTGCTGCGTCCACGACATGCCAAGCGGCTTCTGTAGCGCCATTGTCGAGGAAAGTCCGTACCAGCGCCGTTGTCGTCGTGGACGGGATGGCAATTCTTGGCGGATTGCCGCAAATTTCAAAAGTGCGATCCGCAATGAACATCGGATTTTTGGTCTTCTGCCAATACCTGTAAATGTCGACCATGAGAGTTTCGTAAGGGATGTTGTGTGCGACAAGGGTGGAGATAAGGTCGGTGAGCGGATGGTTGAAGTCGGAGTCGTTTAGTGCTTCATCAAACCCCTGGTCTGGATTGTGATGCTGCTGTCGGTTGAAGCGTATTTTCCATTCGATATCCTGCGGCAGTGTTGCATGTCCCACGTGAGTCTCGGTTGGCAGAGCGGAAAGCTTCGGAACCCAATGCTGCAGCAGGCATTTCGCAAGCTCCTTTTGATCCAGCGAATGGAAATGCTCGGCCAGGTCTGAGAGTCGAAAATGCTCGGATAGTTGGCTGTAAACGGTGGACCACAGCTCACTCCGGCTGTGCGGTTCTCGGGTTGCGATCGAGCTCGCGGATATGCAATCGAGCCAGACATTCACAACACTCTGTCTTTCGGTGGTGGAAGTGTTCAATACAGCAGATGTCGATTTGTTGGCAATCGTGCATGCCATTGGCCAGGTGAGGGAGTCCAGAATAGATGCAATCATCCCCTTGGCATGCCGGCGCTGGAGCAAAATGACGAGAACGGCCGATGCTTCCGATGAAGCCATGGTGGTGAGTGCAATCTTCTGCGCGATCACCTTCGCCAATTCATTCGCGCCGGGAGGTGTAAGATTCCGATCCGCGAGCCATTGCACAAGCCGTAGCGTCAGCTCATCGTTGGGGTTGTTCGCTGCGCTCTGCAACACGTCCAGCACTGGCCGCAGTAGAATCTCGTCGATGGTGTCATGTTCGTTATAGCTATCGAGTAGCGCAACCAACTCCTGTTTCCCAGTGCTGCCGGAGTCACCGTACGTCTGTTGAGCCAAAAGATCTTCGCCTGCTTGCGCGCTCGCTCCCCACTCCTCCTTCTTCGCGGGACGCATCCAAGGCCTCCAATCCCCATTATCTTTCTTGGCCGGTGCCGGTGCGAAGGACGAGACGAGACTTGGGGGTTTCCAGCTGAGCTGTCTCTCAAAATCCGGCCGCGTAGCTGTTCCTTGCGAAAGGCCGAATAACGCGGCCACATCGAAGCCATGCGGTACACCGCCACCCCCTACTGACACCATACCATGTCGTCTCTTGTCTGTTCGCCGGCGCGCCTCCAATGGGCCGGGGACAGTGCTACCATATCTCCGATGGGTGAGGGAGACTCGCAGGAAGCGAGCCCAGGCTTCTTCGAGAAGATTGTCGCCGATCCAGACGTGCTGCAAGGCTTGAGATGCGGACGTCGCAGCTCTCGTAGCCTTCAGCGGCATTGGATCGGCATGGAAGGGGCGGCGTGGGGTGTCTGGGTGATGGGGTGCAGTGGGAGTGAGCAAGCTGCGGCATTGGAAAGGCTTCGGCATGCCAAGACTTTTCGCAGACATCCATCTCGAGCTGCGGCTTGAACTGCACTTTTTTTGAGTCGCCATCTCGACACACAACCAGCATCATCAACATGATAATACGAACACTCCCGCTACGGCATGGTAAGAGTCAAGCGCGAACCACCACTCCATCCAAATTCCTAATAATGGTAATATCCAGGCCGTCTCGCCGTCCCCAAACCCATCACCCCTTCTACCCTCCGCACTCTCGCAACGGCCCTCGACCGGCCGCGATTTCAACCCGCCACCGCATCTCTCGATGCAAACGGCCAGTCACCCAGTGGCGGCCGAACGCTCGAGATACGAGACCCCACCGATCCTGTTGCACAGAACTTCGTCTTCCTCCAGCAGCAAAAAGCTCTCCACAAGCCAATTGGCAGCGCCGTCGAGCCTCACTACAAACCGCACGACCTCATCGCCAACCCTCCCTCGCCCAAAGACATCACGCTGGAGCTGCTGATGGCGAGTCAAGCACACATTGGGCACGCGACGAGTCGATGGAATCCGAGCAACGCCAAGTACATTTTTGGTGTGAGAGGGCGGGATGATCCGATTCATATCATCAGCTTGGATGTCACTGCCGCATATTTACGCCGGGCGTGCAAGGTTGTCAAGGGGGTGACGGAGCGAGGAGGATTGGTGCTCTTTGTGGGCACACGAGGCGGACAAGAGCGCATAGTTGTCCGAGCGGCGCGCTTGGCCGGTGGCTGTCATCTGTTCTCCAAATGGACTCCCGGCAGCATCACCAATGGCCAGCAGATCCTCGGCGCTTGCAGAAAGAAAGTGATCGATCACAACGACATCGAAGTGCTTGGATTTGGAGATCAGCTCGAGCGCTCTGCAGCGCTAAAACCGGACCTCGTCGTGTGCTTGAACCCGCTGGAGAACTACATCTTGCTGCACGAATGTGGACTCCACAACATCCCTACCATCGGTATCATTGACACGGATGCGAATCCCACCTGGGTCACGTACCCGATTCCCGCCAACGATGACTCTCTGCGAAGCGTGCAGGTCATCTGCGGCACGCTGGGGCGAGCGGGGCAAGAAGGACAGGAGATCAGACGCAAGAGCGCAGCACAAGGCATGTGGACGTCGATGCAAGAACATGGCCTGCAGCCTCCCACCCACGGGCAAGCGCAGCGGGAGAAGGAGATGAGAGAGCAGGAGGCGATGCTCGCGCAGCAAGAGTATGAAGAGGATGCACGCACCGTTGCCAGCGAGGAACTGGAGCCGGTCGCCAAGGAAGATTCCCTGCCTTATGAGCGTGATCGGCCGCTTTCTAGCGAAGAGCTGGCACAGGCGTCTGAATCTGCGCGACATCTTGCCGACTGGGAGACGGCGGGAGTAGTAGAGCCCTAGCATTCTGCGTCTCAACCCCGATCCCATCGCGCATCTCAACGCAGCCCAGGAGTCTCCTCCACGCGATACACCAACTTCACCCCACTAACCTTCCCCTCTCTGGCCTGCTGCATACCATCAAACACACCCACAAGCCCTTCACCCCCAACCTTCATCGGATGCGGCTTGAGTCTGCCCTCCGCCACAAGCTCCTCTGTCAACTGCCAAAACTTCTTGCAATGCTCGAAATCCTGCGGTTTCGCAGGCACATGCTCGCCCAGCTTGTCGAACGCCTCGCCAAACACCGTATACCCCGACGTGTGCTTCTTGACGACGTCCTTGCGGGAGTGCGGTGCCGAGCGCAGCAAATATGTGATGGCGCCGCCGCGCGAGGAGACGGCTTGTTCGCAGATTTGCGCCGAGTCGCCTTCGGAGATGCAGTCGAGGGCGAGCGTCAGGGAGTCGTTGGTGTACTCGCGGATCTTCTTGCCGCAGTCGGGGTCTTTGTAGTCGAAGACTTCTGACGCGCCGAGGGATTTGAGGAGGGGCCAGTTGCGCTCCGATGCTGTTGCTACAACTTTGCAGCCGGACCTGAAGCGAGGGAAGTGTGTTAGCTGGTAGGAGGAGGAGGGAAGGAGAGGCCGCAAGGGAAGGACGCACAGAACAGCGTACTGAATGGCAAAGATGCCCGTCCCCGAGCTGCCGCCATAGACAAGCAGATAGCCCCCATAACTCTTCCCCGACCCCGGCAGCGGAAGCCCCAGACTCTGATACAACGCCTGTCCGCACGTAATCACCGACACGCCCAGACTCGCTGCATTCTCGTCGCTGATGCTGTCCGGTACCTAATGCAAACACGACAATACACATCAGTAGAAGCCCGCAGCACCATTTCCGCACACAACTAACCTTCATCGCCACATCCCCCTTCGCCAAACAGTACTCCGCAAACGTGCCTGTCCCAACCCATCAATCGCCGCACAGCACCATATGCAGTTCAAACCTACCATCGCCAGGATGCGTATCGTTCCCCCCATGCACAAAAGCCGCAATGCGATCGCCCTGTTTCCATTCCCGCTGCACGCCGTCGCCTACTTGCTCCACGACTCCGCCTGGTAATCCCGTAAGCATGCAAGTAAATCATCAGACATCCAACCTCCGCAGAGAGGAGACGTAGAAGAACGGGGCCAAAGAACGCACAAAAATCACTTCCCACCGTTGATCCCGCTCGTCCGCCATCGCCATCGATATGCTTCCTAGACCCCACGCAAACGTCCACGTTAGCCCCTATCAACACTCATACTGGGAATGGAGACGGGAGGAGACAAACCAATCCGTCGGATTCAACGCCACACACTTGACCTTACACAGCACGTAGCCCGGTCGGAGTTGCGGGAAGGGCACGTCTTGGAGTTCCGCCTTTTCGCCGGGGAGGATTTTGATGGCTTTCATTGTTTGGGGTGGCATTGTGTATTCTAGGGGTCGAAATGAAGAGGGTTAGGGTGAATGGGATGAATAGAAGTGGGTTGCATTGGAGGGAGTGAGGTGCGGTGATGTAGTTAGCTACGCTACTCCGCTTGCGCAGATTCGAACTGGGGATCACGAAAATTGAATCGAGGACGTGTGCAACGCCTTCACGTACGTTCAGCTACCTGTCTAGCAGACGCGAGGAAGAGGCGTCGCTGCGTTCACCATCATCTAAAAGTACATCATTCGCGACGCGCTGCTTTGGCGCAAATGTGTCTCATCAACGCCTTCGCTTAGCAACGTGATGCAAAGAAGCAAGTTCAGCCAGACGGCAACGCTCGAATGATGATCATTCAAGCGAAGGTCGGCGAGTCAGAAAAGCAAAACAGAGCAAAACAGAAACAGTCCTGCCGCGGTCATCGTGGGCGCCTTCGTAGCCATCTCGTATGAGGTCCTTCACATTCCCTTTGCCATGCTTGCTTCATGATCTCCCACACAGTCAGTAGAAGAAGAAACCAGCACGAACAAAAGGGTCGATCGCGCGAGGCTTGTTGGAAGGAATGGCAGACTACGCCACTCCGCCAACAACCTGCGCCGGAGGACTAGACTGCGGTGCTTGGGGCGTCGTGGCGGTCGAAGTCTGGTGCAACGCCGATTGCGTCGTTGGAGCGGGAGTCACAGAGACCGACCCCGTAGCACTGGCGCTGGCCATCTTCTCCTTCTCGGCTTTGCTCCCGCGTGGCCTCCTAGGAGCACCGGTGCCACGTCCTCCACGAGATCCCCTGCCGCGAGCCGGCGTGGTGGTGGTCGTCGTGGTGGTATCGCGACTCTTATCTGCGAGCGAAGCGTGCGTAGTCCCGGCATTGGCGGTACGACCACCTCTGCTGCCCCTCCCTCTCCCACGTCCGCCGCGAGTTGGTGCCGAGGACTCGATTTGAGCTTGCTGACCTTCGGGGATGAGCGGACCGGAATAGACGAAGAAACCATCCTTTGCAACGGCGGCTTGTTCTTGCCACGCGAGCTCCGTGTCGTCGATAAAGTCATCCTCCTTGTCGTAGTCCTCCCTCTTCTTCCTCTTCTTGGGTTTGTCGCCATCGATACCCGTGTTGCTCTTCTCATCGTCCATCCCGCCCATCTCCGCATTGCTATCGCCCTCCATATCCGACAGCAAATCGACAGACATCTCGTCGTTGGATGTACCAGCTAGTCGGTCCTGCTCCGCCGCGATACGCAACAATTGCTCGCGATGCGCCGCTGCACGAGGATTCATGGCTTCTCTGCCGTACTTCTTGATGATCTCCTGGGCAATGTTGATGTTGTTTCCGCCTTTGGGGTTGAGGGTAATGTGCAAGTCGATGTTGACCCCTTTTCTCTCCAGAGGATCTGATGAGGCACCCCCGCCGAACAGATCTGAGGTGGACAGAAGGCCACTGCCCGTGCCCTTGAGGGGTTCCGGTGAGCGTCGAGCGGCCTTTGGGGCGGGACCAGCAGATGATGACGATTTGGACGGGGTCTTGATGTCGGGAATCTGGCGGCCAGGGACGTTCACGGAAGGCTCCATGTCCACTGTATCACCCACGTTGGTGAGGGCAGAGTCAGGTTTGGAAGCTGAGTTTGACGGGAGCGGAGCAGCGAGACCGTCTTTGGGAGGTGGAGACGATTGCTGCGGGAGAGGTGCATGCGGCCTTTGTGTTGCTGCTTGAGGGGGTGAAAGGATGAGAGGAGCCATGGGTGGGTCGATGAGGCTTGCTATGGATGGGGATGCCGATGCGCGGTTGACAAATGCAGTGGATTGTAATGTTTGTGCACCGTTTGGAGGGTTGGACATGCGGGTGGCCAGCGTCGAGCCGCGGATGGGATCGTAGTTCTGTCCGCTGGATATGGGGCGCGATGGCGGCGGGGTGGACATGTTCTGGGTGGTGGAGTGGTGCGTCGATGGTTCAGAGACACGCAGGTGTTGGGTGGATGCCGGGGGTGCGAGGGCAGAGGGTGCGGCTGCGGGTGCGGGTGCAGGTTTGGATGAAGGTTGGAAGCCACCGAGCATGCCGGTGAGGGTGGGTTGACGAGGTGGCGTGGCAACGTCGTTTGCAGCCTTGTCGTCTGCCTTGGGCTCCGTCTTCACCTTCTTGCGTGGTGGCGGGGCGCCATTTCCGACCGTCTTTTCTTTGGGCTCACGAGGCTTGCGAGGCTTCTTGGGTTTTTCATCCACAACCGGCTTCCCATCTGGCCCGAGCTGCTCTTCTTTCTTCTTTCGCTGCCTTTTGGGCTTCTCAGGTGCAGACGGATTATTAGCAGTCGTGGTCGTGCCTGCAGATGCTGTGTTGGGAGCGGTTGCATGTGCAGGAGTGTTGGGTGCGGGCAAGGAAGGCTGAGGCGAAGAAGCCGGGACGGCAGCAGCTACAACACCTTCATACAAATTCCGGGGAAGAGAATTTGACGAATGCGAAACGCGGATGGTATCGTTGGAATGGTGTGGGGAAGTTGGCGGAGACGAGATGGAACTGGAACTCATCATCCCCGCATCGGGCTCGGCGGCCATGCCGAGTTATGGCGAGCTTGTGGATGGATGGTGTGTAATGAGATGCGGATGCACAAATGCGCCAAGGCGACGACGACGATGATTCGAAGCCAGGCACCAGCGGCGAGAATTGTTAGCGCGCGTGCATCAAACGCGACGCTTTCCTCCTGACAAAGCGAAGCGTCGACCCGAGATGGCAAGCGGGGGAGCGCACGCGCTTTGTCGAGAATTGAAGAAGCGGACCAATCCCGAGCGAGCGTCGACTTGGCGGCAAAAGGGCGACGGCGGCATCAACGACAACGCAACACCATTTCACTCATCCCAGCCGGTCGGAGGGGCAAATATGGGGAATGAGGGCGGTGAATGCTGGCCCACGTGGATGCCGAGTGATTGAGCGGGATTTCAGGGGCAAGATCGATGGGTGCAGGTGCGGAATCGATGAAGAAGGCGTGTGGCAGCAGGATGAACATGAAAAAAGGAGCAGAGGAGAGAAGAGATGGCGGAAAGGGCGAACGACGAGATATTGGAGAATGGGGGGCAGCACAAGCGCAACTAAAAAGCGCGGGCGGCGGCAGCACGGGAATCAGCAACTTTCGACGACACCGGGGCACCAGACACCACACACATGACATGAGCAACGCGCGCACGGGGCAAGCAAGCCAACGAAAAGGCCGCAAGGGAAGGGAAAGCGGGCGGGATCAACCAGGGAAGGAGCGACTCAGCGAACGAGACGCCGAGTGACGAGCGAGCATGCCCAGATGCCGTCGAATCGAATGGCGCGCGCGGACAAAGGTAAAAGCGAGGCAGGTGCAGACACGTCTTGCCGCTTTCAGCCTTTCTTCTCCGGTTGGACAGAAGCTAGTGAGTTGCAGACCCGCGCAATCTTCCTATACACAATCACACTATACATATGCCTCTGATTGTTGTGTCGCACTCAGGTCCGCTCATTATTCGGCGGCGCTTGCTTCTTCGATCAGGAACAACTGCATTCATTGTTGACATGTCACTGAGAGATCGGCCGGATTAGCAAGGAGGCTCCTCGGAACGAAACTCCGCGGTGTGTTTCGACCGTTGACGAGCAAGACTTTGTGGCTTCTCTATACCACGATCCACGGGTTTATACCGCAAGTCAAAATCGTCTCGGGTGAGCACAGTATCGAACTATATATTGCTCAAGTACAAAATACGCTCGACCGCAGAAAAACATAAATTCAGGGCCGGATGGGATGAAACGAATGGAAGAAGATGGGCAGCCTTGGAATAACGGCAGCGGCTCGGCCCCGGTTTAGACTGACGCCACAACCTTAAATTTCTGCCGCCTCTAGCGCGGACGTTCATGTAGATCCGCCGAGACTCTCTGAGCGGTTCATCCATGACCACTTTCAAACAAATCAAAACATGATCGCCGGCCAACGATTCGAGATAAACTTGGACGACGAGGACAGCCAAGATGGAAACGCGGCTGGTGACGCTCCGAGACAGGGCGCGTTTGTCGGCGATGTTCTGGAGAGAAAGCCGGGCGTTGCAGTGCCACCTGCGCCTCCGACGATAAAGAGCACAAGCGGTTTCCCGGAGCATCGCAAGCGCGATACGAGCAGTCGATTCAAGCAGCGCAATCTGCCTGCAAAAAGTCAGGCCAAGCCGAGCGATCTTGGCTCGAATGAGGCTGCCACTAACAATCGTCATACTCCCTCCACACCGATGTCATGGGAGGAGGAGGAAAAGCAACGGATAGACCAGGAGAATCAACAAAAGCTGGCACAGATGTCTCCGGATGAAATCGAAGAAGAACGCCGCGAGCTCATGAACAGCTTGGGCCCGACGCTGCTTCAACGTCTACTGCAACGAGCAAACATCGACAGCGGTAGCATGGAACAAGACCTTTCCAAGCACTCGCAGCCTCCGATTCCCGACAGTTCGAAATCGACATCGTCGGTCAGCAAGACCGTCTCTTTTGCAGAGCCCGACACGACTCCCAATGTCCCCTCAGAACCGGCAAGGCAACCCAGTCCCGATCGTGACGGTAAAGAAGAAGAAGCACCAGCCACCGAACCTCTCCCAACCGACAGCATACATTTTCCGCGCGCCCCTCAACCACCAGATCTTGACCCTCAATCATCCACCTTCCTGACCGACCTGCACGCCAAATACTTCCCCTCGCTCCCCTCCGACCCCGATAAACTAGAGTGGATGCAGGCCTCCAATCCCTCCGCCTCCACGTACAACCCCGCGGCCACCGCCTTCAAACCAAAAGACCTCCGCTTCTCCTTTAGAGGCGACCTCATCCCGCCCAAAACGGCCGCGGAAATCCCAGTGACAGCCGGCCTGCACCACCACGGCGACGCCCCGGATGCAGCGGGCTATACCATCGCCGAACTCGCGCATCTCGCTCAGTCATCCTACCCTGCACAGCGCTGCATTGCTTTCCAAACGCTTGGGCGCATCCTCTACCGATTAGGGAGAGGGCAGTTTGGAGATTCTGGCGAGGCGGAGCCGGATGCTGCGGGTGGGGAGGAGAGCTTTGGCGAGTTGGCGAGGGGTCTGTGGAGGGAGATGGAGCAGGCGAGGGTGGTGGATATCTTGGTGCGGGAGAGTGAGGGCAACGGGGCAGATAGAGGACGGCATGTTAGTGCACAGTCTTATGCTACGGAGGCTGTTTGGCTGTGGAGGAAAGGTGGAGGGAGAAGGTGGAAGGCGAATTGAATCCAGTAGCGTAGTCAATATTGAAGCGTTCAGCCTGCACGTCTTCACACTGCTGCGCTGCTATGATGATGATACAATTCTCCAGTCTATTCTTTGAATCGCATCTTGCAATGATGCTCCGCCCACCTGCCCCAAGCCTCAATAGCTTTCCTTATGCTATGCGCGCACCCGAACGCCTCGAAATGCTTGAACATGAAACACTGAAATGTCATCAGGAGCCAGAACCATAGCTCATATCAAGGCCCAAGCCTTTGCGTACTCCCTATCGGACCTAATGCCACACCATTAGGCGGCGAGAATGCCCCATATCCATTTCCAACTCTCCCACTATTCGTACTCGGAAGCACGCCATACCGCCCATACATTTTCTGATCCACGCTCACATAATGCGGCACTCTGCCCAGCAGGTCCAGCTTCCCCTCAATCCACCTCAGAATCTTGTCCGGCGGCGCCAGGAAGCGAATATACCCCAAGCCCCACAGATACCCGACCGCCGCGCCGCACAAGTGCCCGAGGAAGCTGGTGTGCGGGATGAGAAAGCTGACGACGAGGATGAAGATGAGCGGCGTGGTCCAGGTGGGGATGCGGTATTCGCGGATGGCGAAGTGCGGGTTGATGCGGTACTGCTTGATCGCTTCGTGGGCGAGCAGCAGGAAGACCCAGACGCTGGCGCCGACGGCCGCGCCGTTCAGCCGGAAGATGTAGCGTTCGAGCAGCGTGTAGAGGCCGCCGGGGAGCAGGCCGAAGGGGCCGGAGAAGAGGAGGATGGTGACGAGGGTGCCGAACTCGGCTTCGAAGCGCTCGAGGAGGGGGATGAGGGTGATGGTGTTGAGGAGGTAGTGGAAGATGCTGCGGTGCAGGAAGGGGTAGGTGTTGAGGCGGTATACTTTGGGAGGAGGTGGGTTAGCAATGTCGTATCGTCAGAGATGGAGGGAAGGAGGCATACGAGTGTTGAGGTTGATTTTATTCGGGATGAGCGCACCCCATTCGTCCAAGCCGGGATAGATGAGGCGGCCGATGTAAAAGGCCGTGAGAAGGAGGAAGATTAGGCGCGTTGCGAGCGGCAGGCGGACGAAGTAGCTGCGTATGCGTCTGGCATCGGGGACGGCAAAGGGCAACGCCATCGGTCGCAGGGGAGGCGGATGATGACTGATGGGCAGAAGCAGTCGAGCGGTCGTCGACGAGTGCTGCTCCCAGAGTCGCGTGTCACTTTTCTCACCCATCGCCCCCGATCACTCCGGCGCGCCTCGCCGCATATCCGAAATCTGGGGTCAAGCTTCCCGGTTCCCGCGCCTAACTAACTAACTGAATTCGGACTCTTCGTGGAATTTAGTTGAAGCTCACCTGCGAGACAACACGTTACACACCCCGACACGTTGACGATGAAAGGCTGAACAATGGGTCTCCGTACGTTACTGATCGGTATTCTGACCGCATCAATGATGCCTGACTGACGTTGATCTTCACAGTGACTCGCCTCCTGACCGCGCGCAGCTCCCCCGTTCTCCTTCGACTTCCCCCCTACCTCTCTGCCCTATGCATCATCGCAGGCGCTGCATGGCTTCTCGTCCTCCCTCTAGAAGGAAACCCACGAGCGACGTACATATCTGAAAACGCCATTCTACCCGGCCAAGTTCACACCTACTTCGGCGGCAGCGAGCACAATGTCTTTCGCGCGTATCGGCAAGAGGTGTGGCAGCTCTCGCAACGGTCAGATCATGACAGAATAGCGGGCTTGGAGCAAATTCTTCAGGAGAACGGCCTCAAGGCCGCTGCACAACCGTACAGCTGGCAGGTTGCTGGCGAAGAGATTGCAGGCACCAACGTGTACGGCCTCATTCAAGGACCGCGAGCCGATGCCACCGAAGCCATGGTGCTGATTGCAGCGTGGCGCAATTTCGCTGGCGACATCAATTACTCTGGAGTCGCATTGGTCTTGACTCTGGCGCGATATTTGAAACGTTGGAGTATTTGGAGCAAAGATATTGTCGTTCTCATTCCCGACGACAGCACCTACGGGCCAGAGGCTTGGGTGTCCGCATACCACAGCACCACGTCGACTGTCACATCCACCCGCAACATCACCTCGCTTCCCATCAAAGCAGGCGCGCTCCAGGGAGCAGTGGCGATCGACTACCCCGCCGGCCCATGGGGGCAAAGATTCGAGAAGATTGATGTGGTATACGACGGCATCAACGGCGCGCTGCCCAACCTCGATCTCCTCAACACTGCGATCAATATCGCCAATAACCAGATGGGCGTCGAGTCTACCCTTCACAACGTCCCCAACCACCAGGACAACTACCTCGACCGACTGACGATGCTCACAAAGGGCCTCATCACGCAATCAGTTGGCCATGCGACAGGACCTCACTCCGCCTTCATGCCATACCATATCGACGCCATCACGCTCCGGACTGTAGGTGATGGTTGGCATGATGAGATGACGCTAGGAAGAACCGCCGAGAGCATGATCAGGAGCATCAACAACTTGCTCGAGCACTTACATCAGAGCTTCTTCTTCTACGTCCTGCTCGGCCCGTATAGCTTTGTGAGCATCGGGAACTACCTGCCTGCAGCTGTGATTGTCGCAGGAGGACTGACCGTCACGGCATTGGCCATGTGGATCCGGAGCGGCAAAGCAGCGCCATCTCCAGCACCGGGCAAGAAGCAAGTCCCGGAGAAGTTGGAGGTCCTCACGGACGGAGACGTAGTAGCTGTGGTACCCAAATCGGAGCTAGAAACACACGAGCGCAAGATGTTCCTCCCTGCACTGATCCTGGTGGGCGTGCATCTTGGCGGATTCGTCCCGCTATACTTACTGAACAACATTTCGGCGCCGGTAAGTCTTGCATGATTGTTACCCTCCCAATAGATCCTCGCAGCTAACACAACAACCGTCCAGAACCTCCCTCTCACCTTCTACAACATCTCAGCCGTCACGCTCATCCTCCCCCTCTACCTCGCCACCCACATCGCACGCCACACGTCCCCGCAACAACTCCAAACCCTGCAATCCTTCTCCCTCCTCCTCCTCGGCGCAACACTCTCCACCCTCGCCACGCTAAACTTCAGCCTCGCCTTCCTCGTCGGCCTCCTCTGCTCGCCCCTAAGTTTCGCACGACCACTGCCGCGCCTGCCACTCCTGCAATTCCCCACCAAAGCAACACCAACAACACCCAAACCGACCACTGACCCCGTCGCCGCGAGACTCGCAATCTCCCTCCCGGCCATCCTCCTCTACATCGCCATCTCCCCGCCCGCCGTCCTCCTTGCCCTCAACGCCTACTTCGGCAAGCCGCTGGCGTGGACGCTGCTAGAGATGGCCAAAGGCTGGTGCGCGCAAGGCGTGTGGACGAGTCTCGTCATCTGGGCCGTGTGGTGGCCGGCGTGGGTGGTGGGCGGGACAGTGATGCTGAGCGGGACGTTTAGAGCGGCGTGAAGACGAAGCCTGCCGCGCCATGTATCCTACAATGTATGCATAGACTACACTTGTTATGAATAGGTCGAGGATGCCTTTTAGCATTCACATCTCCCGAACCATCGCGGAAAAGCGACTACATCCCGCACGTTGCCCACGCCGCTGAGGTAGCACAGTAACCTGTCGAATCCCAATCCGAATCCCCCGTGCGGCACACTGCCGAAGCGGCGCAGATTGTGGTACCACTCTAGATTCTCGCCCGCCACGCCTTTTCCACGCATGGCCGCTTGCAACTCTTCCGAGCGGTGCTCGCGGAGAGAACCGCCGGCCAGTTCGCAGAGATCGGGGACGAGGAGATCGAAGCAGGCAACCGTGTCTGAGTCGGTGGACGGCGACATGTAGAAGGGTTTCTGCGCGGCGGGGTAGTGCGTTACGAAGACTGGTTTGCCCTGGCCGATGGTGGAGGCGAGGTAGCGTTCGTGTTCGGCTTGCAGGCCGTCGGCGTACGAAGGGGGGAAGTGGAAGGCGGTAGTATTCTTGCGAGAGGCGTGCGCTTCTTCGAGTAGCTGGATGGCCTCTGCGTAGGTGATTCGCGGCCAATCTGGGGCGATGATGCCGTTCCATCTCTGTTGGAGTATTTCCGAGCTTGGTGGTGAGGAATCGTTGTTGTTTGCGGTGGGATCTCGAGGTGGTGGCTGCTGCTTTGGTTCCAGGAGTTCCTGTGCGACTCGCGATTTCGCCAGCGTGGAAACGGCGGAGCGTAGCATCGCCTCGACGAGATCCATGATTTCATTCAAATCCTGCACGAAACACACTTCCGCTTCAAGCATGTAAAACTCGCTCAAGTGGCGTGGAGTGTCACTCCGCTCGGCGCGAAAGGTGGGCGAAAGCGTCCAGACTTTGGTGACCGCCTGAGCGAGGGCTTCGAGGTGGAGTTGAGCGGAGACCGTGAGGAATTTAGGCTGGCGGAAGAAGTGGTGCTCCGCTGGGGCTTCTTGAACGCTCTCTGATTTACTGCTCGCATCCTCAAGGGTGTTGGAAGATACAGTGAAAACCTCGCCGGCGCCCTCGCAGTCCGACGAAGTGATGATGGGCGTGTGCGTCTGCACGAAATCCTGGCGATTGAAGAAGTCGGTGACGGCTGCGATGAGTTCGGATCGCAGACGAAGCAGGAGAGTGTTGGCGGGGATGCGCGCGCGGAGATGCGGGATGGTGCGTAGATACTCCGCGGTCTGGTACTTCTGCTGGACCGGATGGTTCTGTGCATCATTCTCTCCCAGGACTTTAAGACGTGAGACGTGCAACTCGTGGCTTTGCTTTGCGCCAGAAGACGCCTTCCAGTCGCCGTTCAATTCGACGGCCGTACCAGTAGATAGACTAGTCACACCATCAGCCATCGCCCGTACCAGTCAATTGACCTGCATCCTTACTTTGCAGCATCCTCAGGCTTCAAAACAGCCTGAATGGAATGCACAGTAGATCCATCACTGACCGCCGCAAAAGCAACCCGCTTCTGCTTCCGCACAGTCCTCACCCAACCCGTGACGCACACATTCTCCTCGTCAGCGCCATGCTGCAGCAGGTCGGCAGTACTGCGACGGCCGCAGGGCCAAACAGAGGCGGAAAAGGCGCGATGGCGGCGGGGATCAGCACTTCGAAGGCTCCGATGGGCGGTGCGCCATGTTCGCATCGCCTGTCGTTTTCCCCCGCTTCACATGTATTCCTTGGCGGAGGGGTTGCCGATGTAATATTGGACGTTTTTGATGCGGGAAGGAGAATGGGTTGCGGGTGAAGTGAAGTCAAATGGATGTGATTGGCGGAGAGAGGAGCGTTAGGGTTTCTCGGATCATTCCAGCTCGGCCCCACTCGAATGTCCGACGACAGACGATGGAGAGCAGACAGTAAAATCATTCGCAGTCGCAACTTTTGTGATATGTACCACTTTGCATTACTAAATCTGTTGAGTACAGCGCGATATGCCTGGCTAGGTACGTAAGGTAAGGAATGAGATTACGAGATTACACCCTCTCCACAACATCTTTTGTGCGTCTCAGTCGGTGCGTCGACGACACCATCTAGTGGTGTCGCTTCTTGCCCCAGCTGCCGCCGTTACCCCAGCCGCCACCGTTGCCCCAGCCGCCGCCGTTGCCTCCCCAGCCGCCACCGTTGCCGCCATTGCCACCGTTGCCGTAGTTGCCAGACGAGCAGTGCTCAGTCTGTTGCGGCGCGCAGGCCTCAGAGGCGCTGGAAGTGGGCACGGGCTTGATGATGGCTCCGTAGATGCTGCAGTCAGGGTCCGCAGCGAGCGGGCACTCGCACTGTGAAAAAGGGTTAGTAAAGCGTTCGTGTCCTTGCTTAGATAAGATCAACTTACGTCAGTACAGATGGACTGGGGCGCCGGCGGGGCGGTGGACGGGATGGAGACGGGTGCCAAGCAGCGGTAGTCGAAGAACTTGGTCAACGCAGCGCCGACAGCCGTGGCATCGGCAGCCGAGACACCGAGGGAAGTGGCGGCAAGGCCGACTTGCTGGATGAACCAGCCGACCTCGTAGCTGTCGAGAGCCATGAACTTGTGCACCTCGTAGAGGTTGGTCGACCCGGCGTAGGGGACGTAGGAGGTGCCGAACGCGGAGCAGCCGAGCAGGACACCGAAGTACTCGTACAAATGAGTGAGGAGCGTGCTGGAGTCGATGAGTTAGTATTTGGATGTGCAAATTCGATCGACGACGACGACGATGTTTGGAATTGGGGATGGGCTTACTATTGGTTGCTGCTGGTGTTGTCCGCAGGCAAGTTCTTCGTCAACGGGGTAGCCCCGCCGCCGTCGAGGAAGTTGGTGGATTGACCGCACGAGCCACCGTTGTTGGTGGACAGGAGCTCGCCGTCGAAGTAGGGCAACAGCTGGACGTAGACACCCTGGAAGTAGCCGGGGGCGAGGATGCCCGGGACGTCGTTCAAGGCGCCAGGGGTGTAGTTGCCAATGACGGCGGTGTTGACGACGATGGTCAACAGCTTCTCCTGGTTCTGGGGAGTGTTCTTCTTGAACACGGCAGTGGTGTACTTGTCGCAGATGGACTGTGTTGCCGCAGCAGCAAGGCCAACGCCCGCCAGGCTGGTGATGAGAGATCCCTTCATAGTGACTTGAGGAAGATGGTTGAGTGAGGGATGTGTGAGGAGAAAACGATGGATAAATCTTCAAGAAGAAGCCTGCGAGGAAGGGAGGGCGAGGGCGAATAGAAATACTCCCATTCCTCATCACGCCCGCATCCTAGCGCCTGACCTCATCGCCAGGCTACGTAGCGTGTATACAGCCCGATTGGGTCGTGGCGTGCCGTCCAGGCCCGGAAAGGCCGCAATCCGTGCACGGCATCTCACCATTCCGGGGCTGCACGGTCCCCAAAGCGGGCTAGTGGAGTATTGAAAAGCTTAAAGAGTAAGCTTAATTAGGCTGCCATCGTCGTGATTGGTAAATTGGTCTTCGGTGATTGGTCCGATGCACGGTTGAAGTGATCCGTGGGCACGGCCTTGCTGGGGTGAGGAGAGACATGCTGCATCATCCTGCGTACCGGTACGATCATGGCGACGCAATCGCTCTGCAGCTCTGTGCAGGTAAACTGCGTGGGTACAAGGGAGCTGTCCCCTGCGAAAATTGTGCGACCCCTCACTTGTCGCATCCTGCTGTGCTGCTGCCTCGTGAATGGAGGGGATGTTGATGATGGTGGGCGGCGGTCAGCCGGCAGTCAGACTGATACAAACAGTGACATCCCTGCCTGGCTGGGCGCAGAGACACGACGTAATCTCTCGCGCCGCTCAACTGCAATTCCCCGCACTGGTCAGCCAATCTCCGTTCGCGACATGGTCATCGTGCGAGGGCCTAGCGGCGTGGCGAGGCTGTAAGTGGCCACATGCTTTCTAGCGGCAAGATTGCAGCTACTTGTTCGGGTACTGAGGTACAGTCTCAACAAGGTAAGGCGTGACAAATGGCCGTCCGGGCCCTTCGGCAGACGCAGGCAAGGAGGGGTGCAGGGCTAAATGCGGCACTTGATCCATCCGTTCGAGCGTAGCACAGAAGTCAGTCTTCCCTGGGCAGTGACTTGGCGAGCTGAAGCGGTTTAGAGAGCTGGTCATCGACGCAGGTCGTGAACCTTGACCCTTGTTTCTCGCAAATCTCCACCACTCTCCTGCAGTGGTGTGAAAACGCGGCGTTGCAAATCGCAGCGTTTCCCGTGGATATTGGCCAATTTTAGCACGCGAAACCTTAACCCCACATGCGCTTTAAAGAAAAGCTACCATGCTGCTGCTGAACGCATCTTGGCACCTAAAGCGAGTCGATGGTACGGCCCGGGCCCATTCCTGATGACTGATTGACGCGTCACGTGGAGGGTTGAAGCGGGATCCTTGGGGAGTATTGACTCGAGAGCATCCCGGCTCTGAACGAGCCAAATAGAGGAAGCGATGTCAATAAAACATCCCAGCAACCCGGTCTCGTGTGACGGGAAATAGACACTTTCGACTGCACCCGTCTCGAAGGAGTGATGAAGGGTGGCTAAGCGTAATGAGGACTTCCAACCAGGCGTATACATTGCGATCATCGAGACGTTGCTGGAAAATTCCTCTCTCAAGGAGTTGCTCTCGAAGCATCCCCATGAAGAAGGTCGCAATCTCTCTTCGCGTCGGCCTCAACAGCAGCGGATGCGAACATGGCGTCAAACTCCAGCATAGCCAATTTCAGTTGATGAGGACGTTGATGGGATTTCTTCTGCCAAGAGGTCGCATGCTTCAAAGCCATCTCCGTGGAGAAACGAAGGCCGCAATCTCTCGTTGCGTTGGGCTCAAAACGCAGCGGATGCAAAGGGGCGTTATACTCCAGCATAGCCAATTTCGACGATGATGGTCCCGCTTGGCACGTTCATCTGTGCATATCCATGCTCAAGTTGCACAAGCATCCAGGATCGGTGTGCCACCTCCAGCATGGACTCTTCCGGCTTGTTTGTTGTCCACGGTGCATCGGTCACACCTCGCTGATGATCTGCAAGTCCGCGCTCAATTTGCCATTCTCGTCCCCTGTCAGCCGGGCTATCCACGGTCAGCCGATTCGTTCACACCAAAGTCTCCCTACGTCCAGGGTCCAACTATTTACTGACTCATTCACACTCTGTTTGTCAGTCACAGTCAGGACGTGAAACACATGCGTCTGTCAATCAATGTCCATGCTCTGGGTATCTCAGCACCTGAGCAGGCCAGCGTGTCGTATTTGCAGTTGCGGGAACTCTGCGTGCTGTGCTATTCCAGAAGGTGAAAGCCCCGTGAGAAGGTTGGTCTGTGGTCAGACTTGTGCTCTGTCCTGTACAAGGCATTGACAATGTTGGCGGCAGGTGGACATGCTGCGATGATCCGCTGGGAGTCCAGAGAGTACGCAGCTGTGCAGTGGTGGCATTGGACCCTGAGAACTGCAAGAAGGTTCGCATCGTTCGTTATGAGGCGCTTGAAGCAAACTTCCAGGCGCCGTGCTCGTGATATATTATGTGTCCGCAAGGAGAAGTTGAAGCCAACGCATGGCCTGATGTCGGACTGTAATTCAGGCACGAATATGCCGTACGCGTAGGTGAGGAGGCTGATTCAAAATCAAGTAGTTGCAAGGCAAAGAGGCGCGGTTGGGCGTGCCGGACGCGCACATTGAATAGACAGCTGTGATTGGCTGGACGCGATACCAACGTCATGCTTTGAAGGCTGTGTTTCACATCTTGGAAGATTCCACCGCACCACATCATCCCCTCCACCTCCCGTCGTTGCGCCCGCCTCTTCTTGCATGTTCGACGATTTCATGCTGCGGAGCCCGGGCATGTCACCATGTTACGAAAAGGCGGATCGGCGTCGTCGATGCAGAAGACCTACGATGAATGCTATCTGATCTGCTCCACAGCCATCTACTTTGAAGGCCAGGTGCGTCACGTGCGAGATGCGGCAGCGATGAGGGACACCAGTGGTGCAATACTGACTGCCGGTGATTGCAGAACAACGAGTCTGAGGCCCTGCGGGCGTGGCGCAATGCCCTCGATCAGATCTACTACCACAATGCCTACAAAATGCCCTCCAACTACCAGCCCCGCAGCGAGACGGAAAAGGCACTGCACGATTCCCTCCGCTCCATGGAGCTGCAGTGCAAAGAGCGCGTGGACTTGCTCGAGGCGCTGAGGAAGAGCAGGGTCGAGGCCGAGGAGACAGCAAAGAATAACGGGGAGGAGCCGTCGAGGAGCAGGGAATCGCTTGCTTCGCTGAGCAAGCCGGCCACCAAAGGAGAAGGTACGACATGGATGGGCGGGGACTTCGTACCTCCCGTAAGCTATGGCGACCTGGCAAGAACCCCGCCGACCATGCCGGAACGCCGCCCCGCGCCTCCACCGCGCCCTTCCTTCACCACCAGGCAGCCGTCGGGAAATGGAGCAGAGCGCACGTACAGCTTTCAATCTCCACCGTCCATCGACACACCACCTCTACTTCCGGGCAAAGAGCGCACAAGGACGCCGAGTCCGGAGAAGAAGTCGGGGGGCATGTTGAAGACGCTGCGGCCGAATGGCAGCCAGAAGCCGTCATCCAAGTCGCCAATGGCCACAACCCTACGAACCCGGCCCCCTACGGCAGCCGCAAGGGCCGCTACCCAGGTTTGGCCGCCACGACCCAGTTCGACTGCTGAGATGCGGACACCAAGTCACACGCCTTCGAGCTCTGCCAGCTGGGACCCCTACACACGACAGCTGGTCGACAGGACGGGGGAAGCATCTTCCCCAAACGCTAGCAGACGCACCTCAGACAACCCTACGGTTCGCATGCCTAGCGGTCCCGATTTCATGGAGCCCCAGAGGAGGAGTTTCGACCTTGACAATCTTGGCCACATCCGTTCAAACCCACCGCCCTACCCCGACTATTCCACCACCAGTCCGTACGCGCAGAAAGCCTTCTCTCACAGCGATGACTCCGTCGAGACCACAAAAGCTCCGCCACTTCCCCCGCCTCCTCCGCCTCACAGGTCCAGTCACTCGCTGAATCCTCTCGACAAGCCGAAGTCGGCACCAACAAATCTCTCACAACTCGACCCACCACCTTCAATGGCGTACATGAAGGAGTTTCCCAACCACCCACCCGCAAAGCCCCAGAAGCCATCAACGATGCAGTCAAGGAGGGGAGATCAAACTTCCGACTCTGATGGTCCACCCACTCTCGCCCCTCCCAAGACCGTTCAAGCGAAGCCAGCCCCCGCAGTCCCGCGCAAAGCCGTTGGTCGAGCTACGGGCGTGGTCAGCGCTATTGCAGAAAGGCAAAAGTTGGACGATGCCCAATCAGTGTTGAAGAACCGGTTGAAATCCGACCCGGTCACATCGAGCAGCAGTCCCGAGACGACGCCACGCAAGCCGGCGAAACGAAAACCTGCCGAGACGAAGCCCATTGTTGAATCAGCGCATACTCCACCCACTACCGACGACTCCCAAAACTCCGACGAGGAGTCTGCATCTCCGGAGAAAGCGGCGTGGGATCGCAAGGTGAAGCGCATTCTGAAGAACTTGCCCAAAGGCGTCGATGAGGCGGCGGCCAAGCAGATCTTCAATGAGATTGTCATTCATGGCGATGAAGTACATTGGGATGATGTGGCGGGGCTGGAGAACGCGAAGAAAGCACTCAAAGAGACCGTCGTCTACCCCTTCCTGCGCCCGGATCTATTCATGGGCTTGCGCGAACCGGCGAGAGGCATGCTACTGTTCGGACCACCGGGCACGGGCAAGACGATGCTGGCGCGCGCCGTCGCGACCGAGAGCAAGAGCGTCTTCTTCGCCATCTCCGCCTCCAGTCTCACCAGCAAATTCCTAGGCGAGAGCGAAAAGCTGGTCCGCGCCCTGTTCGCACTCGCCAAAGCTCTCGCCCCGAGCATCATCTTCGTCGACGAGATCGACTCGCTCCTGGGCTCGCGAGGCGGCAGCTCCGAACACGAAGCCACCCGGCGCATCAAAACGGAGTTCCTCATCGGCTGGAGCGATCTGCAAAAAGCCGCGGCGGGCAGGGAAGACAAGGAAGGCGACGCCAGCCGCGTCCTCGTCCTCGCAGCCACCAACCTCCCCTGGGCCATCGACGAGGCAGCTCGCCGCCGCTTCGTGCGCAGACAGTACATCCCCCTGCCGGAAGACTGGGTGCGCGAAGAGCAGCTCCACACCCTGCTCGCGGCGCAGAAGCACAATCTCAAAGACCGCCATCTCAAGGCGCTCGTGCAGCTGACGGACGGCTACAGCGGGTCGGACATTACCGCGCTGGCCAAAGATGCGGCCATGGGGCCTTTGAGGAGTCTGGGGGAGAAGCTGCTGTACATGCAGCCCGAGGACATTCGCGGCATTCGGATGGAGGATTTCGAGGCGAGTTTGGTCAATATTCGGCCGAGTGTGAGTAAGGCGGGACTGAAGGAGTTTGAGGACTGGGCGAGTCAGTTTGGAGAGCGAGGAGGGTAGGGTTAGTTTGGGTTTGATTCTTGCCGTTTTGAAGCACATGAGACTCGGGAGCGCGCGTGGATAGATTGTCTGGCGTTTGGTGGGGAGTGGGGATGGTGGATGGGACGACGATGGCAAGGCTTATGAGCGGGTGATACGGAATGGGCATTTTCCTCTATAGACTCATGTACGGCCGCACACGTCCTTCGACTCATGAGCCTGTTCGATATATCTGTACACGCCTTCCTCTCCTCCATTTTCGGAGTCGCGATTCACATCGCGTGGAGGAGCTCCCGGTGGAATGGATGGCACATTCCTCAATAGCTTCCTCTCAACACGCATCCAACAATCGCGTCTAGCGGTACAAACATCTCCGTAACCATCTCCTGAGCAGCAGCATCACAGCAGGCATGCATCGCAGCATCTCCATCCTTCTGTACAGCTTGGCGGGCTTCGCGAATGCATTAGCAGCGCATCCTTCACATCACCAGCTCGCGCTCCGGCCGTCACGACCGCAGCATTACAAGCCGAGCCATGCACACAGCAGCCGCTATCATTTGGGCCCCGGCCTCAATACCATTGGCATCCTCTTCGGGACCGCAGAAGACGAAGCGGCGATCCACGTCTGGTTGCCGTTGGGAGAGCGAGTGCAGACCTGTTCGTTTGCCTCTTTGGCTCGACTCACAGATACAAGCACAGACTAATACTCGCCGTGTCCCTCTGTAGTAACCGCGCCCGAACTCCCCGTGCAGCCGCTCACCGCACGCATCACCACCACCATCGCGTCCACGGCCGAGCGCGCGTCCGATGAGTTCCTCGATTCCATCCGGTGCTTCGGTTACCCGCGCGTCGAGCACCCTGGACGAGAGGACTCGGAGCCGTCGAAGTATGCTGTTGTTGCATTTTCGCGATCTGATGGGCTGGTAAGATTCGCAGCGGGGACCGGGGAGGAGTGGATGCATGGGACGGAGATTGAGAGTTGGGAGTGCCTGTGATGGGGCAGTCCGAGGCCGCTTGAGGGTGATTTGGTGTTCCGTTCGCGTGTCTGGGTCCGATTGAAAGCACGCGGTGGAATCGGATCGTTAGAGTTTCATCATTCATACGAATCACGATCCCCTTTCAAGCTGGCTTGCTGTGACCTCCCATTCCAACCATCTCATACGTCCCAGCGCCATCTCTTCCTCTTCCTCTGCCCTGGCCCATAATGTGACCGGCCCCGTCACCTTCCCCTGACTCCAGTTGCCCATTCGCGTCCGCAGCCTTGTCTTTGCCGTGACCACCGAACGCGAAAGGCTTCAGTTCTCGCCACCGACACGCCCACACGCCCAGCGAGACCATGAGACCCGCGGAGCAGGTTTGGAGGAGCCACCAGTAGAGGTTCACGGGTATGGCGCGGGTGTAGAGGGAGGTGATGACGAGGTTGATGAAGTGGATTGTCAGGGCGAAGTCGAGGACGAGCTTTGAGCGGGCGATGAGGAGGAGGATTGGGATCACACTGTGCGATGTGTTAGCAAACTGTTGGTCACAGGGTAGTGCTGTACGGAGACTGGGGACGTACGTGATCAAGGAATCCATCATCCAGCAGAGTCCCAGCGTCCATCCCGTCGTCACGTCCCCGCGCAGATTCTGCCAGTCGAAGAGGAGGCCAGGGCTGGGATGCTGACCGGCTACGATGGTGGTGAAGACGATGAGGACGAGCGCGACGGCGTAGTAGCAGGCTTGTAGTGCCACGATCTGCGTGAGGATTCGTAGAGGAGCAAGGTCGGCCAGCGCGCCAGGCCGGGGCGGACGTCGACGGCGTGCCATTTTCATTGCGGTAGACTGGGCAAGTACTATCGCTGTGAATCGGGTGGCACCGTGGGTGCGTGAGAGCCGGGCATTCTCGCGACGTGTTGATTGCTCCTTTGTTAACCTGCTGGAGACGTTACAACTAAACGTCCCCGGATGACACGCCACGACGGATGCGGCAAGTCAGCCGAGTCGGAGCTTCATCGCATTCAGCAGCACCACCCACCACCGACTTCACGCTCGACCCTCACACGCCTCTCCTCTCCTATCCCCTCCTACAATCGTCCACCATGGCCTCCTACTCGGAGGGTACAGAGACGCAGGGCTCGCAGGATGTCACCTACCACCCCAAGGACGCCGTTGGCTCGGCAGTCAAGGCGACCGGCATAACGGGAGGAGCAGGCCTCTTCATCTCCGCCATTCAAAACACCCTCAGCAAGCAGAATGTCGGCGCCTTTGGCGTCTTTACCAGAACAGGAGGCACGATTGCGGTGTTCGGTATGCTTCCAACCCCCGGGCGCCCGCCCTGCGCATATACGCAGACGGGCCCAATGGCAGGAGGGTAGACGAGGGCTAACACCAGCGACACACAGCCGCAATGGGCGGCGCCTACGAATTCACCAAATGCGCCTCCGCCAACCTGCGAGAAAAAGACGACACCTTGAATCCCACCATCGGCGGCTTCGTAGCCGGTTCCATGCTCGGCCTACGCTGTGCGTCCCCTTCGCCCGCATGACTCCCCGCAACCCACTGACCTTCACTACAGTCCGCTCCCTCCCTGCCGTCTTGGGGTACGGTGCAATGCTAGCCACGACTCTTGGCGTCTTCAACTACACCGGCGGCAAACTCACTGCGCCATATGAGGAGGAGGCAATTGATAGGGTAGGGGAGAAGGAGCGGATGCGCAAAGCGAGGCGGAGGCCGGTGGAGGAGACGGTACATGAGTTGGGCGAGGGGCGAGGTGAGTTCCTGCTGCTGTGGCTTTGTGGCGCCGCATGGAGGCATGGGTATGGTTTGCTAACTGCTGCTTGTCAATCGATAGGTGTCTATGCGCCCGGCTATGCGCAGCGGAGAGCGGACAGGATACGAGAGGCGTATGGGATTGATGTCACGAAGCCGACGCCTGCTGTGCACCCTGCCGCGACGTCGTGATAGAGTGGTGGATCTTGTCGGAGTGTATATAGTAGACGCAACTTCAAGGTGTTCATTTCATGAAAGTCTGTTACCTTTCGGCCTCTCCATTCGCCCGTGCTGAATGCGTGCCTTCCTGTTTCGCGATGGCTAATTATTTTGAGCGGAGTCATGCTGGTCCTGGGCATGTTCGCATGGGTTCTCGTATTCATACACTTTGACATTTGAGACCGCCAGTCATTCGTACAGTAGAGGTGGACCTCATTCCCAAAGTCCAAATTCGTACAACCCAGAGAAGACACGACCACAACGCTCGGCCGCGATAAAAGCAGCACACAACTCAAATAAAGTCACAAAAACCTCGCAAACATATTCACGGCATTCCAAACTATCCATCTATCCCATCTAGAGCACATACAAAGCGCGAGAGAGACTCAGCACTTGAGCCACTCCAACCTAAACCCTAAGAACCCTAAGCGGCAATCCGACGCCGGCAGCCGCAAGAGCACAGCACGCAGCCAGCCTCGCGCCATCCAGTACTCGAATCAGCCCAGCCCAGCACGTCCGGCTCGCATGATCTGCTCCACAGGCATCAAGCGCCCCTCTCCCTCCTTTCCCAATGCCATCCCCTTGCTCCAGCCCATTTTCTCCATGAGCCGATGGCCAAAATTCTCCTTTCCAATCTCCGCCGCGCCTGCACCCACCACTTCGCCCGTGCGTACACTCGCCGCGCCAGCTGCCCCACCACCACCACCACCACCACCAAAGCCCTTCGGAACCTTCGCCGGCTTCTTCGAGCCCTTGCCGCCATACCTGCGATCGTTGTCGAGCCAGCCGTTCGCAGAGGCTCTGACAGCCCTGTTGAAAGCCAGAGGGTCGAATGCAGGCGTGCGACTGGTCTTGTACAACACCGGGGATCTGTTCTTACCGGATCCCACCGATTTGGACTTGAGGCTGAGAACGACGGCGATCTCGTGCAGGTCCTTCCGATCCGTCTTATGCATCGGAGGCAAGGCGCGAGAGGTCTGGCCGTCGTCCTGGAGGAAGATGCGCAGCTCCTCGTGGATCTGTCGGGTGGAGATGCCGAGGGGATACTTCTGGCTCAAGTCGGCCTTGCCGCTCTTGCCTGCGGAACCGAGGAGTCCTTGCATGCGTAGATCTTCGCGCTCCGCCTTCTTAAGACGCTTCTTCGCGCGATCGTTGTCCCATGTGGACATCATGGTCTCTCGGAGCTCGTCGTCAGAGAGAGCTTCGAGTTCAGGCGGCGGACGTCCTTTCCTCCCTTTCTTAGTGGGTCGGAGAGACGGCCTATCAAAGTCCATGATGTCGAAGCCGTGTTCGCCGTATTGTTCGACAGTGTCGGCGAGAGCAGAGGCGTCGGGGAACGTGTCGTTGCCTCGACCGCTACGACGACGACTGCCGTTGGATTTCGAGGCTCCTGCGAACCCGAGTCCTGCCATTTCTGCAAGGCCCGCACGCGCAGCTGTGATGTCGCCAACGCCATCCATAGCATCTGATAGCTCCCCATACTCTCCGTTCTCGATAACGATATCATCGCCATGAATCCCCAATTCCTCCTGCTTGGCAAACAGCCGAGCGAGCTGCTCATCCGTCATGCGGTCCCGGCGACGCTGGCGAAGGTCCTCTTCGTCTTCCCATTGCTCCTGCTCGGTGTACTCCAGTCGCTCCTCCAGCTCGGAAGAGTCATACTCGGACATGTCGCTGAGATCTTGGCCGATGGGCCCGCTTGTGTCCGAAGATCCATCATCACTGCCGATCATGCCGAGGATGTAGTCCGGCTCTTCACTTGAATGTCCATTGCGCAAGATCTCGTCATCAGCGACCTCTTTACCGTCGACAACGAGTGATGGGCCCATCACATTGATTGCCGGTATTGCCACGTTGCCATCACCGTCGGTCTCGTCGAGCTGAGCAGCAAGGTTGGCCATGTAGTCGTCATACGCAGACTCTTCAATGTCATCGGCATCTTCCCCAGAGTCGATGATGTCTCGGTTCGATTTGGATTCCTTGCGTTTCCCTCGTTTCCTGCGGGGGTTCGGCTTCGTAGGATGCTTCTCACGGATAAACGCCTTCCAGTCGGCCTGGAGGGATGTGATGACGTCTTCGGCATCGTCGGATTCAGTTGTTGATCGAAATGCTGATGGACCGGCGCGACCATCCCACTTCTCTTGCATCCGCTGCCCCGCAGCCTTCTCAAGTCGAACAGCCTCCCCTTCTCCCATGAGTCGTGCCAGGCGAACATGCTCCTTTGACATCTGAGACTCCAACAGTGCGATGTTCTGCAGCCTCGTCTTCATCTTCTCCACCTTCTTCGGCTTCGTAGGCGGCGATGCGTCATCTTTGGCTTGCACCCGAGTGATCTTGGCCAGCCGCTGAATCATCTTCAACTCCGCCTTGCCAATGTTGCTCGTGCCCACCTTCTCACCATCGAGTTGTGCCAGAGCATAGGCGACATTGTGTTCGTTTGGCGTCGCGTCATCGGAAACGTCGGGATGGGAAGAGTTTCCATCAGCTCTCTGCTTGTCCTTTTTCCTCCACCATGCCCCAGCGGGAGCGGGAGCCCAGATGACCTCGGGTTCGACCTTTTGTACTCGAGGATCTGCCGAGCCTTTGGCCATTGGCATCGTTGACTCCTGAAACGCCGGGATGTCGGGCGAGTATGGGGCTGGAGTACTGTTATGGACAGGATGTGTTGCCTTCGGCCCGCTCGATGGCGCACCCACGGGGTCGTCGATGACGTTGGGCCGGTTGCGACCATGAAACAAGACCACCTCCTCGCTCGAGTTGGACGGTGCAGGAGAGGCGGCTCGCGGTGCGGAGTGTTGCCCACCGCGCTCATAGCCACGTCCAAGATTCCCATCCCCCACAGTATCTACGACAAAGGGCAGGGCAGGTGGGGAAGAAGGCCGCACATACTCACCTGATTTCATGACTTCAACATCCATGCTCGTGTCGTGAGCGTCCCCTCTGCTGTCCCCTCGTATGCTCAGGCGAGACACCTGGAATTGCGTGTCTGTGATGATGTTGGTTTGGAGATTGGCGTCGTCAAGCTCTTCTGCAACGTCCTCCTCGTCTTCAGATTCCTCGTCACTCCTGGCAACTGACAAGAGCACGTCACTCTCCCTCAGCTCCGGCTTGGCTTCGACGTCGGTGTCGACGGGCGTATTGGAACCGGCGCTGACAAAGGTGATGACCTGATGCCGTAGCTTCAAGGAGGGATTGCGAGGGGAGGAGTCGAAGGCGTTTTTCTGGGCGAAGCCTCTGAAATTCTTGTGCGTGTCGTCATCTGACAAGCATGGTGTTAACGAGGAAGGAGCGACCGGTCGACCATCACATGCCGACCCGGGGCGTGTGCATACCGTAGTCGTCGTCTGCCATGGATTTGCTCATGTGTGCCAGACTCTGCATCCATCCTCCGCCCGATGCGCCGCGCTGTGCTTTCTGCTTTGCTCCCGCTCTTCCTCGCGGCGATTTGCCATTTGCCTTCTTCTTTGGCATCACGGCTGATGTGGCGACGTGTAGGAAGAGAGACGCTGGCCCGGACGAGAATCAATCCAATCGCCGGAACCACTCTACACACCGACAAAGAACGACTGTGGTCAGCGAATCACCCGGCACTCAGGACTGAATAGATGGGACGCGTCTCTTTGATGCATTCTCCTTTGTCATGACATGCACATTTCGGATGCACATGCTCTCCTTATCGATAAGGCCTGCGCTTTCAGGCATCAACCCCCACTCGTCAGGCATCCACAGGGACGTCAGCGTCAAGGCACCCCAGATGCGTCAGATAGCGTGCCTTGCGTGAACACCCGACCTCGACCCTGCTGACCATCCCCTACAACCGCTGAACTCGCCTGATAGGGTCCTTCGAATCACATTCTGCCGAAATTCCATCCCACCTTCTCTCTTGCCCTCGCTGTCTGCGACCCTCGACTCGGCAGCGGGCGCCGCGAGTTGCCCATGTGACTGAACATCCAAACGTCCAACCCACGACCACAGGGCTTGTACACTTTGGATAGGGCCGCTATCATGGCCAATACCGACTTTACACGCTTCAGCAAGAAAGTCGTGCAATACTTCTGGGACCCGTTGCCGAAGAACGAGGACTCCTCCCCCATATGGGTGCTCGGACGATCCTACGACTCACGATACCATGAAGCACGACAGCCCAAAGCCCCGGGTACCTCGCCCTCCGCCCACTCCGACTCCAGCACCTCGCAAGCAGACTCCGCCATCGGAACAGACGGCCAGAACAAAACAGACGAGCAAGTGGGGAGCAGGACAGACGAGCTGGCAAAGAGTCAAGCGGATCTCACGAGATCGGAGGAAGAAGCGTTAGGCTGGCCTGCAGAGTTCCTCGACGATCTGGAGAGTAGAATATGGCTCACATACCGCAACAACTTCCCGCCCATACCCAAGTCCCCCAACCCTGCGGCAGCCAGCGGCATCTCCTTCACCACGAAACTGAGGAATTTCGGCAACCAAGGGGGCTTCTCAAGTGACACGGGATGGGGTTGCATGATCAGGAGCGGACAGAGCTTACTCGCAAATGCGCTCGTAACGTTGAAGCTGGGGCGGGACTGGAGGGTGTGGCGGATGAAAGAGCAACACAAGGAACTGCTCTCTCTCTTCGCCGATACGCCCGAAGCACCCTTCAGCATCCACAGATTCGTGGAACATGGCGCGGAAGCGTGTGGCAAGCATCCCGGCGAGTGGTTTGGGCCCAGCGCGACCGCGAGATGTATACAGTGAGTTCCCACCGCATGATGCGACGCACGCAGCGCCAACAGCCTCTAACGAACATCCCAACAGAGCTCTCACAAACAAACACAGCCCCACCAACCTCCGCGTCTACGCCCGCCCAGACGACAGCGACGTCTACGCCGATTCCCTCTTCGCCACCGCCTCCCAGAAAGACGCCAACGACCACTTCCAGCCGACGCTCATCGTGCTCGGCATCAGGCTAGGAATTGATCGCATCACGCCCGTCTACCACGCCGCCTTGAAAGCGGCGCTCGAAATGCCGCAAACGGTGGGCATCGCCGGCGGCCGCCCAAGCAGCAGTCACTACTTCATCGGCCACCAGGGCTCGCAGTTCTTCTACCTCGATCCGCACAGCACGCGCGGGGCGCTGTCGCCGCAGCCGACGGAGGAGGAGGCGGAGACGTGCCATACGCGGCGAGTGAGGCGGTTGGGGATCGAGGAGTTGGATCCGAGCATGTTGATGGGCTTCCTCATTCATTCCAAGGAGGAGTTCGAAGAGTGGAGGAGGGAGATTGAGAAGGGTCCAGGGGGTGGGAAAGCGATTATCCATGTTTACGATCGGGAGCCTACCTTTGCTGCTGGTGGAGGAGGTGGCGGCGTGGAGAGACCTGGGGCGGTGGATGAAGTTGAAACGTGGGACGAAACGGGAGGAGAGGAGGAGGCGGAGGTGCGAGACGTTCAAGATGGCGACGACGAAGACGACCATGACGAAGCCTTATGAAGTGGAAAATCACTTATGAATTGGAGCATCACTTTGGAGCGAGGCGTAAGGGTCATATCTTGTATAGCTTCTCCAACAAATTACGCTCAGAGACGCCCATCCTGTCTATTCGGCTTATAATCACTCTCGGAGTACCCCTGATCAGCTACTCAACCCACCATCAGCATGAACCTCACCCACCATTAGATTCGACATGTCACTCACTATAATCCTCAAACGCGCCCAACGCCTCCCACCGCTCATTCTCCAAATGCTCCCACGCCAACGCCATCTGGCCCTGCGGAATGTACTTCTCCCGCCGCACGCCCTCCCCATCTACATACCCGATGCTATTCGGCTGCGCCTTGCGCTTGGGCCGCGGGAGTCGCGAGAGGTCGAGAGTGGTGCACTCGTTGCCGTTGGCGTCGAGGATGGTGGTGAGGGGCCACTTGCATTCGCCTTCGAGGCTGAGCTGGGATATTAGGGTTGCGGGGATACATTCGGGCTTGTCTGCGTTGGGCGTGTAGTCGAGGTGCGTCTCGTCGGCCATGATGTTGGACTGCGCGGCGCTGGAAATGGTGGCGAGGAGGAGGAGGATGAGGGGGAGAAGGAGGGATGAGAAGGAGTCTCGCCACATTACGAATGGGTTATTTGGTCTTTGATGCTGGCAATTAGAAGGAAACGAGTGGCATGCCTTCTTCGGCGTTGTCTGCTGAGCTCGAAACTCCAGATTATTGCCTGGCCCAACAAGCAAGCGGTCACGAGATCGATAAGGGCTCGCTTTCGCGTACCAGCCCACACGAAGATCGACGTACTGTAATAAGATACTGCACAGTATTGACGGAATACGTCAAGGGCAGGGAGAGCAGATTGCCATCAGGCATCTCGACCATGACCAAACTCGCCACATCACGTGCACGGCTGCGCTTGGACTCACTGCAGCCTGTCAAGCTGCGCGCTTGTTACGTTTCGTGCAGCAATCACGAGCGTGACGCGCTCTAACCGCATGCAGAAGAGGTCACAACAAACCGAATGTCTACGCGCGACGGTGAGAGCAGGGCGGTCGCGCGAGTGCTGGTGATGGGATGGCATGTTCACAGCTGCAGTGCTGCTATCGCGCTGGAGTGGTGTTCAACAGTGCTGCGAAAGAAGCGCTCATGAGATTGAGAGCAAGTCGATGCAAAGAAGAGGATGAAGAAGTGTTTCGAATCATGCATTCAATCCCTCGACTTTCGTCGAAAGATGCGTCTGCTGCTGCTTGCCGCTAGCTGTCGAACTTCTACTGTACAGCTCTCTCGTTATGCCCATATTTCGCAGCCTGGCCCATCCCCCGCCCCTGGCCATCAGCCGCAGTGTGGTATCGGATGAGCAACAAAGACCCTTGTAAGAGATGTGTGGAGGGAGAACAAAAGCAGAAGAGACCCCTCTCTCAAAACCCAACCCGTGATCGCATTAGCAGAAGAACGCCTCGGTGTCCATCCACACCACCCTTCATGAATTTCCCCTTGATTGTGAAAAGCCGAGCGCAAAGTGACGTGAGGTGCGGCTCACGCAATTTACTTGGTGGAGGAAGAGTACTTGGTGACGGCCTTGGTGCCCTCGGAGACGGCGTGCTTGGCGAGCTCACCGGGGAGGATGAGTCGGACGGAGGTCTGGATCTCGCGGGATGAGATTGTGGACTTCTTGTTGTAGGCGGCGAGCTTGGATGCCTCTGTCGCGACGCGCTCAAAGATGTCTGATGGAACGGATCAGATTTGGATCGGAATGAGACGGGCTGATGTGAGAAAGACATACCGTTGACGAAGGAGTTCAGGATGGACATGGCGCGGTTGGAGATACCAGTGTCGGGGTGCACCTGCTTGAGGACTGGAGATGACGCGTCAGTAATGATTCGGAAGTGATTTGGATGAACCGCAGTGATGAGGCGACAACGAGAGACGTACCCTTGTAGATGTAGGAGCTGTAGGTCTCGCGCCTGGTCTTGGTGCGCTTCTTCTTGTCGCCAGAGGCAGCGGCGGTCTTCTTGCCGGCCTCCTTCTTCTCAGCCGGGGCCTTGCCCGCTGGTGCCTTGCCGGCGGTGGTGGGGGTCTGTGAGTGAGGAACGCGCAGATCAGCTTCTGGACGCGTTTCGAGCTGCGTTTCGAGCGGATTTACCTTTTGTGCAGCTTTGGGAGGCATTTTGAATCGGTTTGAAGTGGTTGGGTTGGAGTGGTGAGTGAGGTGAGTGAGATTGTTGATGAATTGGTGATGGATATGGGTGTCTGGAGCAGATGTGGTGGATGGAGAAGAAGTTCGATCGAAAGCGAAGTTCTGGGAGGCGGCAGGTTTAAATAGCGCGGGCGCAAGCGCGGCACCTCACAATCACTCCCCGCCAAATCCAGCCCGACGCGGGCACAATCACGCCCGCTTGTTTACACTTTTGTGCGGGACGTGGTCCGTGCGCCCGCGCTTCGCCGTGATTCTGAGCGCGGCAGGCACAATCACGCCGGCCCCCGCCAAAGCTTTAAAGAGCCGCACCTCGCCCGTCATCGCCTTTTCCTGACTTTTCAACTTCCTGCCCATCCATCACGATATCCATCACCAACAGCTCCCAGCACCCCAATCCAACTCACCTCACTCACCCAATCCACCCAAATCACTCAAAATGACTGGAGGCAAATCCGGAGGCAAGGCCAGCGGTGCCAAATCGTCTGCGCAATCGTGAGTTTCCCCTTCTCTCCTCGCATCTCCCTCACTTCTCCATCCATTCATCACCTTCAACGCGCTTTTCTCATCCAAAATGACCCATTCATCCATCTCCATCACTTCTGGGCGCAACCTGACATCCATTCCTCCCACAGCCGATCCAGCAAGGCCGGTCTCGCATTCCCCGTCGGTCGTGTCCACCGTCTCTTGAGGAAGGGCAACTACGCTCAGCGTGTCGGTGCTGGTAAGTCGCATCCACTTGCTCCATCCCACCCCATCACCCCATTCTGACCTCCCACTTCAGGCGCTCCCGTCTACCTCGCCGCCGTGCTCGAGTACCTGGCCGCCGAAATCCTCGAGTTGGCCGGCAACGCCGCGCGTGACAACAAGAAGACCCGTATCATCCCCCGTCATCTCCAGCTCGCGATCCGCAACGACGAGGAATTGAACAAGCTCCTCGGCCACGTCACAATCGCCCAGGGCGGTGTCCTCCCCAACATTCACCAGAGTAAGCCACCTCCACCTCCTGGATTCCCTTGTCCATCCCATATACTGACTCGCATCTCCCAGACCTCCTCCCCAAGAAGACTTCCGGCACCAAGGGCAAGGCCAGCCAAGAGCTGTAAACGCCTTCGCTTCGCTACTCTCAAGTTTTCACTTTGCACAAGATGGGTTCACAGGCGTCATGAAGGGATGGGGGGTCGGCTTTGATTGTGTGATGATAATGCCACTCACATCAATCGGCTCGGGCAGGGGGGGCTCTATGAAGCGGGGAGGCGCTGCTTTCTCCCTCGTGTGTTTTCTCTTATCTCTCTGCAGCTGATCCGGGCGGGGTTGTACATTACGAGCGTGCGCGCGCGCGCGTGCGCCTCTCAGAGATAAGTAGTGGTCGCTGGTGGTGGTTGGACTACGCGGCCATCGATCGGAGACAGCCACTTTAACGATGATACCATATGCAATTCCAGCACTCTGATCAGATGGTCACACCTCTTCGCCTCTTCTTCTTTCAAACTCCTCCATTTTGAATCGGTTGATATACAGCTACCTCGCTGGATTCCATCTTCCGCGAACGGCATCAACGTGACATGCGCGCGAATTCGACGAACCCGACGTATTTCCATCCATCTGGCCAATTCAAAGAAGATGAATAGACAGCAAATCATAGTAGGATGCAGCTCTTTTTTTGTCATACACAGGATCGATCTACGAACAACCGCCACCCCCCGCAAAAGAAGGGCAATCGTCCGTCGTCTTCCACACGCCCTTTCCCCTTTCCTTCGATGTACCCCCCTCCGCCGTATTCACCTCTTCCGCTCGCCTGAAAGATATGCATGTACTGTAGTGGGATGGCATTGGAGTAGCAATCAGCCCTTCCTTTACGGCAAAGGAAGCAACATCTTCCTCGGGTCCTCAATGTACTCCTTGATCTTCACCAAGAACGTGACCGCCTCTCTGCCATCCAGCACTGCGAAAGAAACCAAATGAGCAATCATCAACACGAAAGGGAAGGAGGAGGCAACTCACATCGGTGGTCATAAGTAAGCGCGAGGTACATCATCGGCCGGATTTCCACTTTACCGTCCACGGCCATGGGCTTGTCTTTGATGGCGTGCAGGCCTAGCACCGCAGTTTGCGGCAGGTTGATGATGGGCGTGCCCATGAGCGAGCCGAAGACGCCGCCGTTGCTGATGGTGAAGGTGCCGCCGGCCATGTCTTCGATGGTGAGCTTGTTGTCGCGCGCCTGCGGACCAATAGTCAGTTGAGATGAACATGCATGCCGTGGGATCTGTGGGGATGCGCACCTTCTTTCCAAGATCTGAGATCGCCTGCTCGATGCCAATCACGTCCAGACTCTCAGCATTGCGCACCACGGGCGTGACCAGACCCTTCTCGGTCGCGACGGCCACACTGATGTCCACGTAGTCACGGTACACGATCGTATCGCCTCCACCAGGACCTTCGATGCTCGCGTTCACCGTCGGCACGGCCTTCATGGCCAATATGGACGCCATGGCGAAGGCGCCCATGAAGCCAAACTTGACGCCGGTCTTCTTGAGGATCTCGTCCTTGTACGCTTTCCGCATGTTCATCAGCGAGGACATGTCGACTTCGTTGAAGGTCGTGAGCGACGCGGCGGTGTTCTGGGACTGCTTCAGGCGCTCGGCGATGCGCAGACGCATGCGGTTCATCTTCACGCGGCGCTCTTCGCGCGTGCCGTATGGTGAGGCCTTGGCAGATTGGGACTCGGAGGAGTCTTGTTTTTGTTGCTTGGGTGGTGAGGAGGGCTTGGTCTCCTGCTTCTTCGGTTGGGACTCTTGCTTCGGCTGCGATTCTTGCTTCGGCTGCGATTCTTGCTTCGGCTGCTTCAACTGTTCATCTTGCTTCGGCTTCTGGTCTTTTGACTCTTCCTTCGAAGACTCCGACTTTTGCTGCGACTCGTCCGGCTTCTTCTCCTCTTTCGACTCCTCTTGCTTCCCGGAGTCCGACTTCTCCCCGGGCTCTCCACCCAGCGTGAGGACGACAATCTCTTGCCCCACAGTAATGGTGTCTTCGGGGTTGGCGAGGAACTCCTTGATGGTGCCGGCGGCGGGGGAGTTGATGGCCACGTCGATCTTGTCGGTTTCAATGGAGCCGAGTTCTTCGCCCTCTTCCACATAGTCGCCGACCGACTTGTTCCAGCTCCTCAGCGTGCCCTCGGAGATGGACTCGGCCATCTCGGGCGTCTTGACCCTTTGCTCTTCTGTGCGGCGCGTAAGTCACTTGCATTCGGGCAGAAGTTTCGCCTTGCTTACCATTGTATCGACTTGAGAGGCTAAACTGGCGGGACTGAGTGATGTATAGCGGTTTCCTGCATTGCATCCGGTCAGTCCGAGGGTTATAAGGTATGCAGCTTGCAGCACTCGTACCGTGGATGTAGCTCTGCAGACGGTGATGCACGCGCATGCACGGAACACAATGCTCTAGAAGTGCTGGCGAATCGCGATAGGCTCCTCGTGGAGGCAGGTCGGAGGCGCAGAATCAGGGTAGGGCGAGAGGGAGCGGTGGCGGCGAGCCGGCGCAGGGATTGCGAGGAGGACATGGCCTGAGAGACGGCAGGCCCTCCTAGAAGATGCTCTCGGTGCCACGACCGGACGAGATGGAATGGTGTCGCTCGGTACCTCGCGCTTCAGGTGTTTGCCGATCGCAGGAAGTTGAATATCGAGAGCTGTTGGACTTGGGGGAGCGGCATTTGATGGAGGTCGAGAGCTGAGGTAAGGTACCAGCCCGTCCCAGCCAACAGCAGAGCAGCGGACGGTGGAGCAGGTCCAATGCGCGCGGCCCGAGCTTTCCCATGTCACACCTTTGCCCGCGGCGACACTGCAACGCTTGCACATCCAGCGCTCTTGCTCGTCAGTTCCCCTCCCATCACCGTCTGCCGCCGAGTCTACCTCGATCACGCGGCCTTGAGTGTGCAGGACACAGTAGCTCCGGCCTTTCAGACGGCCGCCGGGCCACCCCTCCCTCTTCCACCATGGCTTCCAAGCAGCACGTTCTGTAAGCAGTGCGCACCGAGTATCTGCCTCGACTGCCCCTCCTGACCAGTAATACAGACACCTCTACCGCCGCTCCCTCAAGCTCGCCCTCGACTGGGCCGTCAACAGAAACCTCTGGCGCGGCCAAGCACTCTACATCCGCTCCCTCTTCGAAGCGAACAAGCACGTCACCCAGCCCCGGCAGCAACGAGTACGTGTCCCATGCACAACCCAATATCTGCAAAGCACTTGGCGCTGACTATGACCGCCATAAAGGCAATCATTGAAGAGACAGAAGGGCTGTTGGAAAGCTACAAACACCCCGAACCCTACCGACCCCCAACCGCGCCGGGAGGCAGCAAGTACCAGCGCAACTTGCCTGTGCCCAACACCGATCGTAAGTCACGCAAAGCCATGCCTTTATGCGGTGCATTGGACGTTCGTACTGACTCTGCTTGCCAGCGCCGCCAATGTCGCACAAGGAGATGCATTTATAGGTGGGAGGAGTGCATATACTTGACGGCATATGAAACCTTTGTCAATGCGCCTGTGTGGGATTTCCATCGCCTCGTCCTCTCCACGGATAACACTACCTGTCCATATTGCGTGTGGGTGAGCGTGGACTCGACTTCCGCGCAAGAGCGTAGTGCCCACTCTCCTTCTCCTCCGTATGGCCGTGATGGAGGTGCACCGGCCATCAATGATCCATGTTTTCGTGTATTCTGGGCGTGTAGTCGGCCGATGGTAATGCCATTATACGCCTGAGCCACTTCAGTAATCACACGACAGGCGCGTGCAGGAACACAGGCAGTCTGAGAGTTGAGCGAAACGTCGGACGACCGGCTTAGGGTCAGGGTTGGGGTCGAGCGTCCACCGTCGACGACGACAAATACCCACGCCGTGCCGCATCAATATACATCCATAGTACACCCGATTTCCTCCCCGTAAGTAGCGCTACGCTGTGTGTGTTTTTTAATATCAAGGCGGAACGCAATTGAGGTGTGGGTGGTGGTCACTCCTCCATTGGCTGTGATTCTCACTTTACTCCGTTGCGAATTCCAACCTTCGTGAAGTCCGCAGCTCAATAACGTGTATCCCGGCCCCATCTTCAGAGCATGCTTCACTTGTTCGGATCGGATAACGAGCATAGCGACGAGAGGACGGGGAAATGGATTGGATCTAGACCGATAGACTCTCTAAACATACACAATTGTGTCTGATGGTGGATGATGCCTCATATTTTAGACGCAGCATGATCGATAGCCTTTCCCACACGAGGCCATATGTCTGCAGGCCATGCTCGAAGGGATCCAGCAAGGCAGTGACCATATAGCAAGACCATACGGCCTGCCCGGAGCCATATGCGTGGTGCCCTCAACTGCAAATGGTCAAAGATCTTCAGCTAGCCGCGAACGAGCGTTTGCTCGAGAAACTCTCTCAGAAAGGCGCGTCCAGGCAACATGGTCGTCCGTGCTCGTCCAAGGTCGAGCCGGTGTCGAGGAGAGCGGCTCGAGGCTCCGGAGTCTGGTGCAGCTAATCACCAGCGCGCGTGGATCTCAATGACGCGAGGGGGGTAATATGATAGTCGGCCATGTGGCCCAGAGGGCAAGATCCCACAGATGACAGTGACTCTCAAACGTTCACACCCTGCTCCCTCGCCACCCGATAGATCTCCTTGACGATCGGCTCCAGATCCGCCGTCTTGATCGGCACGCGATGCGCCCCGTCCCACTCAAGAACCGTCACCGTCTTCGCATCATGATACTGCCTCATCATCTTCCGATGCTTGTCCAGCCCCGGATCCGTCAACCCATGCACATGGATAGTCGGGATGCGCAGCACATGCGGACTCTCCCCATCAAACACATGCCCCTCACTGATATCGCCCGCACTCACACAAGCCGCGCTCTTACTGTACGGCCCCAAACTGACCAACGGATGCCTGCCCGCCAACAGCACCGCAAACTTGTACTCCGTCTCAACAGGCAAGCCCCTCTCGCCCAGAATCTGCTGATCGTACAGCAGACTCGACGCCAGCTTCGCGCCCTGGCTGAATCCCAACAATCCCACCCACGGCCCGTCGCCCTCGTCTTCCGATTTGCACGTCTCAATCGCGTACTTGACTTCTTCGACCGCCGCCTCGTTGTCGATTGGTGCGTGCTCGGGCAGCCAGCGCAGCCAGCGCCGAAAGGGCGCGCAGTCTTGGTAGACGGGGATGACGCCTGGCCCGGGGTCGCAGAAGAAGGGCCCGTCGGCGAAGACGAGGCGGAAGGCGGGGAGGTGTTTGATGAGGGCGCGGGATTGCAGGCGGAAGATTTCGGCGGTGGTGCCGCCGCCGTGGAGGCAGAGGACTGAGAGGATGTTAGTGGGAAGTCCTTGGGGGGAGTTGTGATGGGAGAGGGGTATTTACTGCGGGGAAGATGGCGAGTCTGCTCTTCGGGTACGGGCGTGTGGCTTCGGGAGATGGAGGGGGTGCTCATTGTGCCGGGCGGAGTAGATGGCAGTGGTGGTTCATGAGGTATCACCAGCTCGAAGCAAGAAGGAGGTTCGCGTGGGGAGGGAATGCGGATGTGCGACAAAGGTGTCGTGGGTCATACTAGAGGTTCAACGTCCATGACAATACCGAGAAAGAAACGAAAGAAACGGCGAGGAAGAAAGCAGATATCATGAATAAAGAAGGAAATTGAATGGGAGTGAGACGAACATCCAGATGTTGGATTTATTTTTAAGCTTCTGCCGGTGAGGCTGAGGTCCGGGTCCCTTCACTTCTTCCCCCGTGCCCGCCACTCCTCCTCCAACATCGAAAGCAACACGACATCCCAAAACCTGCCCTTGGAATAAATGCAGTCCCGCTTGACGCCCTCGCGCGCAAACCCCATCCGCTCATACAGCCGCACAGCACCCGCATTATACGCAAAAGCCACAATTCCGATTCGATGCAGGCCGGCGTACTCGAAGCCCCAATCCAATGCCCACTCGATCGCCTCCGTCCCGTACCCTTTCCCGCGGTACTCCTTGACGACGTTGACGGCAATCTCACTTCCGCGATGCTGGTGGTGGCGCGCAGGGATCTCTTCTAAACTGATGACACCAATGGGGATCGGCTGCGGGGGTGTGCCGCCGTCTTGAGTATTGCTGACTGGCGGGGCCGGGAGGCAGATCGCCACGGCCAGCAATTTCTTTTGGAGATACTCGTAGTACTCCTCCATGTCCTTTTTGCCTAGCGGCGCCGGGAGAGCGCTGGAGATGTTGATGAAGGACTCCGCGTCGGAGTCGAGGGTTTTGAGAAGCGCATCGTGGTCGCCCTTTTCCACCGCGCGATAGACCAGGCGTTTCGAGGCCCAGGCGTCGGTCATTGTGCGAGGTCGTGCGACGACGGGGAGTGAATCGTTTGCATATACATGTAAGGGAAGTGTAAAGGTAAGGAATTGCAGCCTCGCGCGGGAAGCTGCGGCCTATTAAGGTATTAAAGGTTTGCCTGACTGGGCGGTGACCGATTTAGGCAGTACCAGAGAACTGGATGCATCAATCGCGCTACAGTATCTCATGCTTACAATACATGCCGGCGATATTTCAACTATCCCCTCGACTCGATGCTCTCGGGATCAGAGACTCAAACAGCCCACATAGCAGCCGTAAGTTCTCTGGTTGGCCCTGTCCCTCTCAAGCCTCTCATCGTCCCATCACCACACTCTCCATTGCGCGTCAACTGTCCACGAATTCACTGATCAACATCGGTGTCGTTTTCCGCAATTGCATGGCATGTCATAGAAGACCGATATGGGCAAGTTGCGACACCAATCCTTGCGTGATCCTGGTGGCGGCGCCCTGCCGCATCAGCATCAATGGCCCCTTGCTTCCGATGGATGTAGATGATGTCTCAAGTTTCACTGGCCCCTCAGCGAAGCCCACAAGAAACCCAACTCATATCCATATTCCGTCTGGGTGTGTGATCTCCCGTCGTATCCTCATCTGCGTCCCTGGGGCCAGATCCGCAGCGCCAACCGCAGGCGCGGTCAAAGGCCTGTCCAGGACCGGCTCCGGCATGGCAAGAACATTGTCCTCCCAGTTCATCCTCTGTCCCTTGCCCAGCGTCAGACCCTTGTCTGCACCTTCATTAATCTTGCTCCCCATCTCGCCTTGGCCATCCAGCTCAGGGATGCGAATCACGCCGCCAACATCCAATTCGTGAACTTTGGTATCGAAGATGCCCTCGTGGCGAAGGACGGCCTCAACTTTCTCAGGTCCGTAGGGGCGCATCTTGGTCAAGAGCGTTGCCACACCCTTGTTGATCTTCTCTTCGTCGTGCGCTCGGATCCAGTGCCGCACGCCAAACTGCTCGGCGATTTGCACACCTCCAGGCGCGCCATTTGCAACCCGGCCTCCCATGTACCACGGGTTTTCTGCCGTGGTGAGGCCGTGGAAGAGAAGCGATACTGGCAAGGCGTCGAGGGGTGCGAGGTGGTTGGAGATGTAGGGTCGGAGGGTGGAGGGCGAGACGCCGTGGGGAGTGTAGATGATGCTGAGGACTTGCTCTTGGTTGGCATCTGGAGAAAGAGTCGGCGGCGGCGGCGCAGTACCGGAGTCGGCACGGCTAAGGTGAAGCGAGGACAAGCTCTGCGTCACTCCCAATGGATCGAGGAAGTTTGGGCGCGGTGCGCTGCTGCTGGTACGCGATCGTTGTCGCGAATCTGGAGAGCCGGGGATGCCATCGTCGGACAATACGACGGAGCTGCTGCTGTTGGGGTATTGCCGAGGCGGTCTGCTTGCGGTCAGGACGGAGCTTGAAGGCTGATATGTGATGCAGATGGCGTTGTGTAGACCGGCCACATCACGCTTGGTGGGGATGTTGGTGATGGTGATCTCGCCATCCTTGCTGGTGGAGGAGTAGGAGGGTAGAGGAATCCGCACCACCGTCTCCTCATCCAGCGGATTGTATGTGGGAATGACGTGCACCTGCTCTTTATCGAGGTGGCCCCAGGATCGAATCCGTTTGGCAGCAGCGGGCGTGGCCAAGATGGCGGTGTCAGAGGTGCGCGGAAGCGAGCAGAGGGTCTCGCGGTGGCAGTGGTCGGGCTTGTCCTGGCTGATGAGTATGATGTCTGGCAACTGGGGGAGATGTTGGAGAGAGTGCAGAGCGGGGGTCGAGGTGTGATGGGAGATCTGGAAAGCAGGGTGCAGCATCGACGCATGGCCTTGGAGCCATGGGTCGAGGAGGATGGTGAAGTCGCCAGGAAGGCGCGGAGAGAGTTTCTTGGGGGCAAAGGAAGGAAAGAAGGTCAAGAGGAAGGTGCTGTCGGCATTCAGCTGTTGCACGCGTACAGACATTCTCGCTTCATGGCGTCCGGGGAAGTCATCAGAGGATCATGTTTTCTCAGCCTTGGACCAGAGTGTGGATGGCGCGGGATGGGGGGACGGAGAAGGGGATATATAGCTGGGGGATCACGGCGTGGAGGCGGTTCTAGGTGGGAGGGTGGAAAAGTGGGAAGCGACGAGGGTGTCACTAAATGTAGTGCGTGTACAGCACGGGATGGGAAAGAGCAACCGCACGCAGGAGCGTCACGCTCGCGTGGCGTGGTTGGTCTTGCCTTGCCGAGTCCAGACTCGGCCGAAGCATGGCGCAAGAGAGGCCGAGTCTGCCTGGCCAGCGGTAATTTTGGCTCGCAGCACGAGCCACGGAGTCTCGATTCCCTCCACCGGCTCCGATCCCATTGGCGCCCAGCCCAGTTTCCCCAGGCCTGCCATCCGGCACGGCTTGCTCTTGGAAAGACGTGTCGGAAGGAAGGCGCGGGCGAAGCCCTCCGCATGAAATACGCCCGAGCGCGCACATGCAAGTACCTCTCGAAATAGTCGAGGCAAGGTGAGGTGGTGTCGTATCTATTCCTCCGTCGCGCGGTGAAACTGCGGCTGAAGTCGAGGCGCTCGGTGGGAGGAACCCATGCAACGCCCAGCACGCACCTTATCTGAGCCTGCACCTGCCTGTCTATCCGTGTCGGCTTACCTGTACGGCGATCGACACTCCCCGACCCCGCCAGCCAGCCAGCCCGCCTGCCCCTCCCTCGCTCCCAACCCAACTCGACTCAACCCTCACCCACTCCGCTGGCCCATGCAGCGCACCGTTCATTACACAGGTGCCTTTCATCCACCATCCTCCTCCCTTTCTCCCCCACTCTCCCATCCCTCCCGCGTCTCTTGCATGACTCGGTGCTGCGTCGCCCCTCGGCCAGCTCGGGACGAGAGCTGCGGTAAGGTAGATGCTCGCTCGCCCGTCGCACCAAGCTCGAGCAGACCAGCAACACAGCTCACCACACCCTTCCGCCAACCCAGCGCCAGCTCGCCGGCGCCACAGCTGTTCCTTGCTCTATACACCACCTCTGTCTGAGCTCGACCTATCCGCTACCCTCGTCGCTTCCATCTTTTGCTGCTACTGCTCTCCCGCGTGCTCCGCCATTGCCCGCAGCTCTGCTGCTCTTACATGCTGCCTGCTGCCCTCTCGGGTGCCTGCAGTGTGCAATGCCGCCTCGCCAATCTCTCACTAGCTCCTTCTCCGTCCAAGACGTCAACAACGAGGTCGTCTGCCCGCTGCGAAACCAGGTACGTGCGCCCGAGCTGCCACGCCGCCCTCACCGAGAGCTCCACTGCTGACACCAGCTCCAGGATGGCACACCATGTCGAAAGCGATGTCTCGGGGTAAGTGAAACCTGCTGCCATGACCTCCTCTCCGCCCTGCCGCTGCTCCCAGCCCATGCCACTCTCTCCTCTCGTGCCGCACTACCACGCTCCAAGCTGACCATGCCTCTGCCCTACAGGAGAAGCGGTATCGCTCCATGCAGGAGCACATCCGCCGTGCCCACCCCGAGTACTACCTCCCCAAACTACCGGCGACGAAGGAAAGCTTCGAGCTCATGATCAACACCCCTCCGCACGACCCTCCCGCCATCGATCCCAACCACGCCAACCAGAATCGCTCCCACAACGCTCAGCAACACCAACGGCACTCCTCGCAACAACATGCCCAACCCCAACCACAACACATACAGCACTCTGATCCGTCAGGTCTGTCACCTGCGTTCGGTCTAGACCACGGGTTGAACTCATCCTTCGAAGGATACCATGCCTTTGGCCAACATGATGGCGGATACTACACTGCTGGCGATGCCGAGGCCGCCGTCATCTACCAGAGCATGCACGCCCCGCCGCGCGACGAGTATCGCCGCGGCTCCCTCATCCCCGCGGCATCCGCCGCCGCGGCACTGGCACAGCTGCACTATCACCGACCCGACTCGGATTGGGCCGGGGATAACATGGGACAGGTACTATTTCCATCCCTTCAGATGTCCCCGACAAACACTGAAGCGGATTTCCTTCAGAACTTCTACGCCGACCAAAGCCACGACCTGAAGCCCCATCATCCCTTCAGCGTCGATCCCACCCTCGAAGACCATGAGCATGGCTTCCTGGGCGACCCTCACCCCACCTTCCCCGTCTCCTCCAGCCCCGACCAGCCCAGTTTGATGCCCAGTAGTATAGCGCGATCGCCCACAGATAGACCTGCCACCCTGCCCCCGTTGCAGAGAAGCCTCCCGCGGCAACATAATCGCCCGCGGAAGAGCAGTCTGAGCCAGCAGGCACGCATGTCGAAGCACGAGCGGAAGCGATCGAAAGAGCTCGCGCGGAGACACAGCGGTGGCGCGCGGATGCCGGAGTCGAGTGCCAGCGTGACGTTTGGCAAGCGGTGGGAGGATCTGATTGATGCCGCGGCCAGCGCTACGGAAGAGGAGGACTCTCGCGACCTGACACCTGTGAGTGTGCCCATGAATGCTCCCAGGCACGCTTCACCAAGCTGACAACCACGCAGATCCCGGCATCACCCTTTCAATCCCCACAAGTGCCCTCCCGGACATCGCTCCCGCCGTTCGCCCTCGGCTCGCAGTTCCAATCCTACCAGGCCTCCCCTCTCAACCGCGCTCTCACCCCACCGCCTCCCGACTCGGGTCTTGACCTGCAACCCTTCCCGTCGGTAGAGAGCAGCCTCTCGTCCAACATCTCCCACGCACATCACAACTCCACCGCCTCGACCGGCTCGCAGTTCCACATCATGGACCCCAACTCTCTCACCTCGCCATCCGAAAGCTCGCCGCTCTTCAACCCCGCCCACCCGGCTGCCACTGCCCTGACACCTGCACAGCAGCAAGTACAACAGCAGCAGCAACAACAGCAGCAGCAATCACAGCCCACCGGCCCCGTACAAATCTACTGCGCGGGCTGCCGGAAACTGGGCGCGCTGAAGGACTCATATGCTTGTACCAGCTGCATCTGCGGCGTGTGCCTGGAGTGTGCGCAGGCCATCACGGACGGGCAGAGTCGGGGGCGGATGAGCATGTGTCCCCGGTGCAATGCGATGGATTCGGCGTTTCGGCAGTTTCAGTTGGACTTTAGATGAGGCTGCCTGCTGTTGATTGCACGCAGTACGAATGGCCTCGAGAGACTCTCCGATGGAAGAAGATGTTCTCGGCCTCAAGAGTCGGAGGAAGAGCAAGAGGGAGCAGAAGCATGTCGTTCCCGCGTTATAAATGACGCCCGACGCCAAAGCGACGGGAGCAGGAAAGAGGCTCCGATACCAACACACGAACTTGACGATGTTCACCGCCGATATGAGGGACTTTTTATTCATGGGACACGAAATTGGGACGGAGTTATTGCGCATTGGAATTGCTGCATGGACAACATCTGGACTGGCGCCTTAAAGGTTGCGGTGTTTATCATTTTTGCTCACTTTCGAAGGATGGGCGGCTCTATTCCTACTTGGAGCTGTTGATTGCTGTGCTACTTTGTCGGGCGAGGCACTTGTCTTTGTCACTGGCTTTCATGCTGCTCTATTGGAACGGCTTGGGGAGGAAGAAGAGAAAAGTTCGCTTCTTTCCTCTTCATAGATGGGGGCTTATCGCTGCAGGCTATCAGATAGTATGCATAGAGACCAAAAGTCGTATACGCTCGTGCTTGAGAGGGCCTGTTGGAGCATGCCCTTCTTCCTTCTTTGACATCATTTCAGATAGAAGAACGTGACTTGGAATAGGAAATGGCTGAGACAGCGACCAATCTACTAGCTTACCTCGACGCCATCGCCGCAAAGCAACGTGGCGGAGACCAGGTAGATCCATACCTTATCCCGCCCGCGACCAATGCACGGTGTCTCAGTCGGCAGCTCTCGCGAGATACATCTGCCGAGTAGCACGCATGGGACGTGTGTGACCTCCTTCCTTTCCTGGAACCGGAGCTTGGACCGTGCAGGCAAAGACGTCAACGAGGCGATTCCAATTTGTAGTTGCCTTCCGTCTGCACGCTCGCTGTGCATTGCTTTTTGGGGGCGCGGGTCGAGGCCAGTGCTTGGGGGTGGGGGTTTTGGGACTTGTTTTGCTTGGCGGGTGAGGGTGAGGTTGAGTTGAGCTCGAGCCCGTTCTCTTTGGGAGTGGAGGTGCTTGCTCGTTCTTCAACCGCCCATGCACATGCTGGTGGTGGATGCACACAGGTCTCGCATCGGCCGTTCGGCATTCTACTCTCCATCCCGAGAAGAGTTTGCATGTGCGTGATGCAAGTGACCGGCAGGTTCCAGCTTAGAAGAGGGGGGGGGGAGGGATCATTGCATGCTGCAAGTACAGCACGGAAGCTTCCACCTAGCCCTTCCAATAGCGAGCGGCGCATCGGCTGGTTGACTCCGCTTTGCGAATCCGCACCCTGCTCCGCCCGAAGGCAAATTGCAAAGGCAGCAGCATCTGGGCCAGGCAAACGCGGGAAGGCGACATGAGCGGGGGCGACGTAGGAGGCGGACGGCGATCCGAAAAGGCAAACGAGTGGGTGGGCTCGGCGTGAGGTGGGGGTGGTTTTGCGGGATTATAGTCACGTGATGTTTCCTAATCGGGTTAGAGGATGGGTGGGAAAAAAAAGATTGGATCCGCCAGGGCGTTTGCTTTCGTTGTGGAAGAGCATCCATGTCGCCGACAGGCCAATCTGCCTCTTGCTTTCGTGCTTTGCACCGGTGGAGTTTTGCTTTTCTGCCCTGCTCGTGCTGGGATCGTCGGCGACAATCTCCCTCCTGCGTTGGTCGAAAGTGCCTCCCAGGCGCGCCCGCGTCTGACGATTTTTTTTCCCGTCTGACTGAAGGGAGTGTCGGGGGGTATATAGCCTGGTCCATCTCCCGGGTGGGGAGGAGCTTTTGTTGGGAAGCAAGGCTTGTCGTCGCCGTTGTCGTCGTCTTTTACACCACTTGTCCTCTGCCCTACTCTTCTTCCCTTGAAGGTTGTCTTGTCCGCCTTTTTCCCGGAGACTTGCCGACTCGAGCGAGTGGGCAGGAGAAGCAGCATGTCATCCTCTCCCGAAGGCGACGTTCTGGAGCGCGCGCTGCTCGATGGCTGCGCCAACAGCGAGTACCTGGGCAGAAGGCATTCCGCGTCGGGCAGGGAGACGAAAAGAATAAGTGAGTCCAAACGCGAATGCAGCGATCCGATCGATTCTTTATATCTGCCCTGCTTGCCCCTCCTCGCCGTTCATCTGCGTCGCGTTGCGTAACTCCACCCGCAGCTCATCGACGCTTTGGGCAAATTTTTCCCTCTTTCCACACGCCTGACCGCTACACTTCCCGCCTGCATTCCCCCCGAGATCTGCACCTCACTTCATCCCTCTCTTCACTGCTCGTCCTCGCTTGCCTGCGTGACTGCATTGCGTCCTCGCATCGCCCTTTCAACAAAGGCTATGCCATGGCTGACCCAATGCTCCTCGCGAGCCGCATAGGGACGCAGACACAGTCGCTGCCGCCGCCCAGCCTCCCTCAACTGGTCGCTGAGCAACACGTTCCCATCCCCAGTAATGATCATGATAGCCAACGTCTCATCGTTGTCCTGTCCAACGCCAGCCTCGAGACGTACAAGGCGTCGCATGGCGGGCGCAACGGCATGAAGGACGACAAGTACTCGCTGCTCAACAGCGACGAGCACATTGGCATCATGCGAAAGATGAACCGCGACATCAGCGACGCCCGGCCTGACATTACCCATCAAGTTTGTCCCCTCCCTTCTTCTATTCTCCATCACCACACACTCTAACCATGCAAAGTGTCTTCTCACCCTCCTCGACTCCCCCATCAACAAAGCCGGTCTGCTGCAAATCTACATCCACACCGCCAAAGGCGTGCTCATCGAAGTCTCCCCGACGGTGCGCATCCCGCGCACCTTCAAGCGCTTCGCCGGCCTGATGGTGCAGCTGCTGCACAAGCTCAGCATCCGCTCCACCACGTCGCAGGAGAAGCTGCTCAAGGTGATCAAGAACCCCATCACCGAGCACCTGCCGCCCAACTGCCGCAAGGTGACGCTCTCCTTTGACGCGCCGGTGGTGCGCGTTAAGGACTACATCGCCGACCTCGGGCCCAAGGAGAGCATTTGCGTGTTCGTGGGCGCCATGGCCAAAGGCGCCGACACGTTTGCCGACCAGTTCAAGGACGACAGCATCAGCATCAGCAACTACAGCCTGAGTGCCAGCGTCGCCTGCAGCAAGTTCTGCCACGCGGCCGAGGACGTTTGGGATATCATCTAGCTGTGTGCCCGCGTGTGCCTCGTTTTCTTGACCGAGCGCGCGAGTGATTGAAACGGTGTGACGCAGACCTGACACAGACGAAGAACGAGTTGAGGAGCAAAAGACCCATGAGCAACAACGGCCCCCCAGCGCGACGGAACGGGATTTCTTATTCGCGCATTATTCCCAAAAGCAGCAAACAACGGATTGGATGGAGAACAAAAGCCCAAAAGCACCCTTCGATCGTCGACCTAGCCTTCTGTTGTTTTTTCTTTATTGCTTCAAGCATTTCGACTGCTGCATCAGGCAAGTGCAAGTGTGCCTTCGACCCATGTTCTTGCAAAGCCTAGATCACAACATCAAGGCTTGGAGACATAGTCTGGTCGATGCGAGACGGAAAGCGGCGAAGGGCGTGCAAGTTGTCTTTGGGTGTGGATCAAACATCGCACCGGGCTTGCGGGCGCTTCGACTGAGCCTTGTGGGCGAGTGCTCTATCTACTTTGAACATCGCGAGTCTTACACTGGGAGCTCGATGGCATGGGAAGGTTGTTGCTTTGGCGTCTTGCTGCATGGTTTGGGGGGGGAAAAGTACTGCAATAGGATAGATATACAGGGCGGCGTCCATGCTTCGTCTGGACTTCTCACCAGGCAATGCCTTCTTTCCCTTGACTGCATGTGTCGTTTAACTGAATCAACGTGATGAAGCGTCGGGCGTGAGGAGCTAAGGGCATGGCTTGCGGCGGCGGGTTCGAGTGGTTGCCCACTACCGCTCCCGCCTGAAGTACGGTGTATTCTCTATCCTACACACTTCGACATAGCACAGACCCAGCAATTCCTTATTGTGTCCTCCATCATTGCAAGGAGGTATCGTCGGTGAGTAAGCGAGCGGGAGTCACGCCAGCAATCGATGCAAGCCACGCTGCGAAGAATGATGAAGCTCAATATCGCTCCGGCCAAGATCGTCAGCCAGCAATCACATATCGTGTATGGTCTGTTAGATCTTCCCTTGATTTCCATCTCTTCTGGATGGCCCACTGACCGCTCGCAGGCAAGATCAAAGTGACGGAGCACTTCTTCGACGTGCCCAAAGACTACTCCAAACCAGACGCGGGCACCATTCGCGTGTTCGCGCGCAGCGCTCGCAAACATGAAAGCCCCATTGTCCCCGACACGTCCAAGGACAAGCAGCAATTGCCGCTCATGTGCTACCTTCAAGGCGGGCCGGGCTTCGGCTGTGGACCGCCACAGCACAATCCCTTGACGCAGACCATCCTCGACAAGGGATACGAGCTGTTGTATCTCGATCAGCGCGGCACGGGGCTTAGCACGCCCATCACCGCCTCCACTCTGCAGATGCGAGGCGACAATGCGGTGCAGACGCGCTATCTCAAGCTCTACCGAGCGGACAATATCGTGCGGGATTGTGAGGCCATTCGCAAAGCTCTCACCGCCGACTACCCCGAGGAGAAGCAAAAATGGAGCATTGCGGGCCAGAGCTTCGGTGGTTTCTGCAGCCTCACCTACCTCTCGTTCTATCCCGAGGGCCTGCGCGAGAGCTTCATCTTCGGCGGCCTGGCTTCCCTCACCGCCGACGCGGACGAAGTCTACCGACGCACGTACAAGCGCACCGTCGAACGCAACCAAGCCTACTACGCCAAATACCCCGAGGACGTCGAGCGCGTGAAGAAGATCATGAACTACCTGCAGCGCTTCGGCGACGGTAAAATCAAGCTGCCCTCTGAAGGCAGCCTCACGCGCCGCCGCTTCCAGCAACTCGGCATCGCCTTCGGCGGGCACGGCGGGCTCGACAGCGTGCACGACATCGTCCTGCGCGCCGCCACCGACATCGACGCTTTCGGCCATCTCACCCGCACTTCTCTCTCCACCATCGACTACGCCGCGTCCTTCGACGACGCCCTCATCTACGCCATCCTCCACGAACCCATCTACTGCCAGGGCGAAGGACCCGCCAACTGGTCCGCACACCGCATCATCTCCGACTTCCCGGCCTTCGACCTCGACAAGAAAGACGGCGCGCCCATCTACTTCACCGGCGAGATGATCTACCCGCACATGTTCGAGGACTACAGCGAGCTGCGCCAAGTGGAAGACGTAGCCAACCGCGTCGCGGCGGAGACCGACTGGCCCAAATTGTACGATGTCGAGCAGCTGGCGCGCAATGAGGTGCCCGTGTATGCGGCGGCGTACGTGGAGGATATGTATGTTGATTTCGAGCTGAGCATGGAGACGGCGAGGCGGGTGAAGGGGTGCAAGGTGTTTGCGACGAATGTGCTGTTTCATAATGCTGTGCGGAGTCGGATGGATGAGGTGGTGAAGCAGCTTTTTGCGTTGCGGGATGATGTTGTTGAGTGATGCGGTATATTGTAGGTTCAGCTATCTGTGTCCTTATCAAATTGTGTTTGAACCCGCTGTTGTATGCACTTATATTCTCATCTTTTGTTGGAGAGCCTTGTAGGTTGTTTCAGAAAGCCCGCGTTTCCAATTCCACAACCTCGACTTCATCCATCCTCTCCCACCACACCACGCAACTCCCACGCTTCACCCGAACTCCCTGTCCCGTTGCAGGGCACAAACAACACCCAGAAAGAATGGCCTCGACAACCACCCCCGAAACCTCCTACATCGACTACAAAACCTTCACCGCCCCAGACTTCTCCCCCACCGCCTACGCCAACACCCTCCTCCACCAAACCAACAACCCCACCGACACCCCGCTCGACCTCACCACCCCGCTCTCGCGCGCCCTCTTCGACGTCCAAGAAATCGACACCCACCTCGACACCCTCACCACCACCCGCGCCCTGCCCATCCTCGAGCACACGCAGCGCCGCAGCGAGGCGGCGAGTCGCGTGCTCGCCGGCGTGGAAGAGCAGGTCGCAGGGTTGAACGAGAGTTATGCGCGCCTGCAGAGGGAGGTGGGGGAGCGGTATGAGGCTGCGGAGCGGGTGGCGATGTCTGCGGAGAGGATGTTGGAGGCGTTGAGGTTGGGGCGGAGTGTGGCGCGGGTGGTGCAGTTGGGTCGCCAGCTGGATTCGCAGATGGAGGAGGTGGGGAGGGATACGGGGAGTGCGAGTGGAGGGAAGGCATTGAAGTACCGGCTTCTGCTACCTGCCGCTCATACGCTGCTTTCGCTCAGGAGGCTGCTCGCTGCTACGGGGAAGGGGGAGGAGGGGGAGGGCTTGGGCAGGGTGCTGGTGGTGAATGCCGTTCGGCAGGACGTCGTGACGCCGAATGAGAGGGCGCTGCTGCAGCGAGCACAGCAGGCCGTGCGGGAGTTTAGTCTCAGCAGCCTGGTGCCAGCTTCATCCTCAACTCCATCGACATCGAGCGGAGGACAACAACAGCAACAACAGCCTCAGACCAGCACTCCACCAACCTCCCAAACCTTCGCCCAAACAGAAGAAACGAAGCAACGCACCACCTGCGCCCTGCAAGTCCTCTACCTCCTCTCGCCCACCAAACCAACCACTACCCCCGAAACCCACGACCCCACCCTCCTCATCGCCGCCCTACAAGCCTACCTCCAAACAGCCCTCACAGCCTCGCTCGCCTCCCTCTCCCGCGCCCTCGCCACGCTCCCAACGCTAGAACGCACGCTCCTCGAAGTCTCCGCCCGCTGCCAGAATATAGTCGCCCTGGAAGCGCTGCTGGAGACCATCAAAGCGCCCGCCCATCCTAACCTGCCTCCTCCCGCATCCTCCACCACAGGGGCAGACAACAATGCGCAAAACAACAACTTCCTCATCCCCCTCCTCCGCCACCTCGACACCTCCTCTCTCCCCTCTTACTTCTGGCGCTCCATGGCGTCGCAGCTCTCCGCGCGCGTCCAGGACATCCTCAACCGCGGGGGCGTGAGTGCACGCACGCTCCGCACGAACAAGGAGCGTGTGCGAGACGGGATCCGCGAGTGTGTGGATCGTGGGTCGCGGATGCCTGCTGCTGCTGCTGCTGGTGGTGGTGGTGCGGGCGGCGCGTGGGGGAGGAAGGAGGGAGCGGCGGGAGAGAGGAGGAATTGGGAGCGCGAGGCGGCGGTGATGGTCGGGAGTGTGGTTGGGGTTTTGGGGCGGTGAATGTGCGTACTCTGCATTATCTATATCCACCTATCTCCCAAGAAGCACGAAATCAATGCCATGGGGGTATATCCTCTCTCTTCTCCATGAAACGCCAGGACCACAGCCAAACTCCACCCACCCTCTTCATAAAACAAGCCACCGCTCCCCAATCGCCTTCGCAGCCTGCTCATTCCCGGCCTCCACGAAAATCCGCTGCAGCGCAAAAGCAGCCTCAGCAGCGAAATCCTCGCACTCCGCCCCCTCCCCAGGCAGCAGCCCCAACTCCTCTTCCCCCCTCCGCTCCGTCTCAAAGTCCCTCCCCACCTCCTCACTCCTCTCCAACACCTTCTCATACCCCGGCACAGCCAAATGCACAAGCCCAAGCTGATGCCAAAAGCGCGCGAGATTGTACTCCGCCTCCTGCAGATGCGCCGCCTTCCCGCTCGCGGTGCGCAAATCGTAGTACCGCGTGAAGAAGGCCAGAGCGTGCGTAAGTTCTGCCGTGCGCTCGGCGGAAGAGGTGGTGTCGCGCATTGCGAGGGTGATGTACGTTGTCGCGAGGCTGAGGTTGAGGACTAGATTCTGCGGTTGCAGGGACAGGGCGCGGAGGAGGAAAGGAAGCGCCGTGTAGTGCTTCGCCGTCGAGTCGCTTGCAGCTGCGTTTTGGGCATGTACCATTAGGAGCGCGGCGTCGGGCGCTTGCTGCTGGCCGATGGGCTCGGGGGCGTCCGGGTGGATCCAGCCCGCGGCGATTTCGACGCGGCGCGCTTCGGCTGCTTTTCTGATGCTGGTGTCGATCGTGTTGACGGTGTCGTGCAGCCATTTGCCGCTCTTTTTGTCGTAGAGGTAGGGCTCGCTTCCGTGCGAGAGCCGGCCGGAAGCGGCGAGCAGGTGGAAGGCGGTTGGGGAGCGATTGCGGCTGCTCGAGATGTACGCCTGTGCGACTTCGGTCATGAGCTTGCTGTCGTTGAATAGCAGGGCGCAGTACATCGCGACTGCTTGTGTGGTATTGAGGAGCTGGGGGTCGGAGCGGAAGACGGCGGGTTTCATGAGGCAGTGCTCGAGCACGTCGTAGCACTTCTCCTGCTGGACCTGCTGCGCGTATAACAGTGCGAGGTCGGAGAACATGCGGTGCCAGTCCAGCGCTGGGATGTCGAAGAAGCTGCCGTGTACTGGTCCCGGGGCCATGAGCATCATCCCTGAGTCGTCCTGCTCCGTCCACAGTCCGCCTCCAATCGCGCGTTTCTTCAGCTGCTCCATCTCTCGTACCAGCGGTCGCGGCAGAAGGCTTGATTGTGGTGTCGCGCTGGATTTCCCCTGTGCCTCATCCGCCTGGAGAATCCTCTGGACGTCTTTGAACGCGGATGCTATGGTGCCAGCGTGCTCCATCCACCCCTTTACCTCCGCCTCCGCCTGATCACCCTCTGATTCAAGTGCTGGCCAGAGCTGCGTCACCACAGCGTAGTGCTTGTGAACTCTTGCTTTACATTCAACCAGTGTTTCGTCGTGCGGTCCTTCTCTGCTCTGCTCGGCACGATTTCTACCATGTCCGAATGATGTCGGGCGGTTGAGGAGATTGCCAATGGTGATCTCGCTCCGGATTGTAGCCTTCTTCAGTGATCGAGAGCGCTTCGCTTTGGCCTTTTTCGACTCTGCTTTCCGTAACGACGATAGTTGGGATGGCCCGGCGGTACCATTTCCAACAGGTGCAGCAGTAGGCACGACATCGCTAAGACTTCGCACGAGAGCTGCCGCACCGCTTGGCAAAGGTAGGAGCCTGGGCAGCGCCCGGAGGGGTGTTCGTGGTGTATACTCGCGCTCGCCAGGCGTCGCAGAGTCGTTCTGCAGAGTCTGTGCCTGCTGCTTGCTAAGAGCAGTCACTTCCTCCGCCATCATGAACGCCTTCTCCCGCTGCCCAATGGCATCGTAGAGCCGGGCGAGTTGAATCCTCGCTTCAATGCTCTGCGGTTGGGTGGTGGTGATCTTGAGTAGGCACTGCTCAGCTTCCTGGTACCTGTCTTGCGCACGATAACACTGCGCAATCGACATCCAAAACCTCTCATCGTCATCGGGTCGGTGATCCTTGATACGCTCGTAGAATCGGAGGGCATCCGCAAACAAGCCATGGCTATTGAGAGACTCGGCCACTTCGACGAAGAGCTCCTCGAGGCCGTCAATTTCGATGTCGTCGAAAAGGAGGGATTGAAAGTGGCGAAAAGCCTCGTCTTTTGCTTGCATACTAAGTCTGAACAAGCCGAGTTTGACGCGCAATTCAAGCGGCAAGCCTTCGCCGTATTTCTGGGGATCCAAACTGATGCGGCCTTGTTGGAATTGCCATAGATGGAGTCGGCGATCGTTGGTGCTGTCAAACTCTCGATCATCGGCAATGTCGTCCCAGAACGTATCCTCTTGGCGCCCAAGAAACCATCTTGCAATTCGTTTGAGCTGACGGAGGCCGAGTTGGTGTAAGCCAAGGCGGAGGAGGATGTCGAGATACTCGTTGAGGTAGAACCACTGCTGCTCGGGGTCGTCTCCCAGCATCTCTTCACCTGCGTACTGCTCGAATGCCTTCTCGTAAGCATACTTGCTTCGCTCCCATTCCCAAGAATTCCCAGATTCGATACAGAGCTCAGCGTACTGACTGACGACCTCGAGGTCCTTGGGCCATTTCTCCGTGATGATCTTCGCCTCCATCCGGGCAGAACTGTCTTCCTTTAGCTCCACGTGTAATCGCAGTTTCGCTACACGAGCCGCGTAGCATTCTCGATTGATCCTGATGGCCTCTGTGAAGCACCCACGGGCCCACTCTTCGTCATTGGAAACCCGATCCTCAAGATCCAGTATCCGTTGGCCGACCTCGGCCCATAAGTCGGCATCTCTCTTAGTGTTTGCTCCAGAGTACAGCGCAATGACTGCATCGCGTTCCTTGCCTTGCCGTTGGTAGATATCATGAATGACCTTATGCGCGATGAAGACCTCGGAGTTCTGCAACACCGCCAGCTTTGCATATTCCAGTGCAGCATCGAGATCATCGCTCAACAAGGCCGCCATGACCTTGTTCTGCAGAACCTTGAACTCGGCACCCGGATCAATGCGAGACTTGCCAGTGGCATTGACACTGGCTCGTGGCTTTCCACGAACGGGGCCCGGCTTCTTCCTCACTCCCCGTGTCGCTTTGGGTTTCGAGAAGATGTCCGCGTGATCCGTATCCCGAAGGGCCCATTTCCAACCGCCGCGACCTCGTCCTCGACCCCTTCCACTTCCCCTCGGCCGGCCTCGCTTGGTCCCTCGAGTCTCATATACGATCTCCTCGGTTTCGGGTCCAGCGGGTGGTCTGGTTGGGGAAGGGCTGCCGTTCCCGGGCACGGCCAGGCGGTTGAAGAAGTCCGTTGTCCAAGGCCGCGCGGCAGACCCGTTGGTGACACCGCTGGCATCGAGCCGTCGGAGTGACTCTTGGTCTATCGAATTTACACCAAGGTTGAATGTGTCGTCGATGATTGAGCTGAACGGACGCGAGGCGAAAGGTGAGTTGCCGTATGGTGAGGGAGCCGCGGAGCCCGAGGGGGCCAGAGTAGGGTAGGGCGAGTATCCTGAAGATGGGGGCTCCGGGTACTCCGGCCCATTACGGTGTTCTCCCGGCGTGTTGTCGTCCATGTTGACAGCATCAAACTAGCCGATGGCCATGGAAAGTGAAAGGCGTTCGTATTCTTGGACGATGCATGGGAGGTGGCGAGCAGTCGATGTTTTGAGCCTATAAAGAGACGGATTAGTTGATTCCAAGCATTCGAACGGCGTTTTCACGGTGCTCTGGTGTGGACGGTGATGAGCCTCGAGCGACTGGCCCAGAAGTGGTTCATATATTGGATCTCAGTGAAGCGGAAAAGTCGTGGGATGAACCCAACTTTTGACCTGTAGCATCTACGCCGGTGCTCACTGGCAGTATAGGGCGGCGAATGGAACTGGGTGTTTTCGAACAAAGAACGGAAATGGAGACAGGCTCTTGTGATTAAACTGTCTATGGGTTCTGTTCGTAACCACAGAATGACGGGTAGTCCCTCAACACAGCGCCTTGTGGCGACGCAGTTCTGAGCCATGGATGCTCACGCAGTAATACACAATCAGCCGGGCCAGTGAGCCTCATTGCCTGTTTGCTTGTGAAGAGCGTCGCAAGCATCCTCATTCCGGTGTGCATCAGCCGTTCAACCGACGGTGAGCTCCATGATGGTGCTTGTGAGGCTTAGCGAGCAGCTCCGCGATCGGGCCACATCGAGAGGCTCTTCGCCCCAATTGCGTCCGAAGACCGACCCTCCTCCCGTCGTTCCGTTGTGAGTGGAGATGGACGTGGTGTGCGCAGGCCTTTGCCCAGCTCCAACTCTTCATTTCCCTCTCAAAGCTGTCGTGGCAATCCCGCCGGCGGTGGGAGGTGGCCTGCCCACCGCACCCTCGCCTTCCAGCCGCCTGATCGTCTCTTCCTTCTGATATTCAAAGACTCTTCTTTTCTTGAAATATGTCACCTACACCAAATAGTTAGCCAAGCCAAAATCCAACAGCTTTCCCTCCACCGTGATATGGTCTCCAGAGGCGACAGGACATCATCAACATACCCAACTCGACGCACAGCTCTTTTCAAACCCTGCCAGCTCCGGCCCGCACACCTTCTTCGCCTTCTCGTCCTCTTTTACGCTGTCGAGGATGTCGTGGCGGTCGAGGCATTGGAAGAACTGATCGCGCATTTCGTAGCATACTGCTCTCGTGGAGCGGTCGGGCGCGACGTAGCCGCCATCGCTGGAAGGTTCGGGATCGGCGGGGTTCTTCTTGTCGGCGGTGAGGCCGAACCAACCCATGGTGAAGAGAGAGTAGTTGGAAGTTTGAACGCCTCTCGGAGGGTATGGTGGTCGGCGACGAGGAGGAGGAGTAAAGAAGAGGAAGTAACAAGATTGTTGATTATACTGTGATATACAGGGTGCCAGAATTAATGAAGGTACCTATAGGTTAGGTACATGGATGATGGCATGAGATGACTTTGAAGACGCTCGGTCCACTTCCGCGAAGCCGACACGTGACTTGGTCAACACATCGCCTCGTGGAGTGGAAGAGTAAAGACAGAAGAGAGCACAGCCAAAGGTGAGGAGGGTCGACAAGTGATGTCTCAGACTGAGTCGAGCCGACGAGTGAAACAGTCCTGGGCAGATCCCTGTGATGTAATGTAGGAGAGGGAAGCCAGGTAGATGTAATCACTCCAAGATCGTCGTGGTATGCAGCATCAGCATGACTTGTGCAGCCGGGGCTTAGGTGCGAACTAGCGCCGAGAGAGCGCGATTAAATCGCTCGATTGCCTGCCGGAGCGGTGTACAGTCACTGTAATAAGAGGGGCGGCAGCCAGGTGGAAAGGTGGAACGTTTAATAGCCGTGGATCATGGTCATTGGGCCGGCGGCGGTGGATGTTGCAGCGATTCACGCCGCGCATTGGCCACCCTGGGAGACATCCGGTCGGCACACAAGAGTTGCGAGGGGACGGGACCGCCCAATCCCAATCACGCCGCGCCAAGCCTAAAAGATGGCGGAATGTGGCATGCCAGCTATCGCGAGTGCCTCTATTTCACGCCCATGATTGTAGTTTTCGTCTGTCTTGACTTTGCTCCTCTCCTCCTCTCTCTCCACGGCCAGCGTTAAGGAGGGAGGGCCGGCCAAACCGGGTTAGGACGACGCCAAGGCTGCTTCCCGTCTCGCTCCAGCGCGGCCAGCCCAGCCCCAGCCATGTCTCCCTCCGCCGCTGCTTCCTGCGATGCTGAGAAAACACCCCCGAACCAGCGCGTGCACACGTCGGATCTAGCCTTGTTCATCGCGGCGCCATCGAGTGAGTCCCTCCTCCTCTCCCCTCCTCCCTGTGCCACGCTCCTCTGCCCCTCTGTCGCCCTCCTCACCCACGTGCCACCTGCCCTTTTCTTCTCTACCCCTCCCCGGGCGCGCTGTTGGCCGCTGCTGCCCACGCCCCGGCAAGGCCCACGCGTAATCGCGCCTGGCCTCTGCTCACCCATCCGCCCTGCTCATGCACCTCTCTTCCCTTCCCCTCTGCTGCCCTTCGCCTTCCCTTCCCACGCGCGCGTCTGCGCGTGCGCCCTGCACGCCCATTTCGCCTACTGACCATGTCGCTGCTGCCAGCCGATCGAGGTGATTGCGACGACGATGAACCAATGGCCTCCGCCCGGCCAGACGAACGGCAGCATGTTCTCCCAACCCGGCCAGGGCCACATCAACCCGGCCTCCATGTACAACAACCTCGGCGCCGCCAACCAATTCGACCTTAACCACTTCACCCAAGGCCTGCAGAACGGCGACTCCAACTCCTCCAACCCCGCCTTCCACAACCAGAACTTCCAACTCCCCTCCGTGGTGCCTGCGAAGCGAAGCCACGATGGCATGTCTCAGTCGCCCGCGCCGGGGCCTAACCAGGGATCGCGCTCGCAGACGCCCAACTACGGCGCATTTCAAAATCAGCCGGGAGGTGGACAACAGTTCCCCAACGCCCCCACCCCATACTCCCACCTACAGCAGTCCAACTCCAATAACGCTACACCCTCGCCGACCATGCAAAACCAGCAGTTCCGCCCGCCGCCCAATCAGCAGCAGCAGCAGCAACAGCCGCGCATGCAGAACTCTTCTCCCAGCCCCTTCCCACAACAGCAGCAACAACAGCAGCAGCAGCAGCAGCAGCAAGGGCATAACTTCAACAACCAAATGTCGCCGCAGTCGCAGAATGCCCCTCAACCCCCGGGCATGCACCAGCAAAATCAGATGGGCGGCTACAATCAGCAATTCGGCAATGCATCTATGCAGGGCATGCCAAACAATATGTCCGCCCAAATGACGAGCATGGGACAAATGAGTGCCCAAAAGGCGTATCAAATGAAACTGCTGCAACATCAACAGCAGCTTCGGAATAGCGGTTTGATTCCTCCTCGACCCATGGGCGGCCAGCAAAATCAGATGTTCAATCCTCAACAGCAGCAGCAGCAACAACAACAACAACAACAGCAGCAGCAGCAGCAGCAGCAGCAACAGCAGCAACAGCACCAACAACAACAGCACCAGCAGCAGACGAATGGACAACCTGCTGGACAGCCCAACATGACTGCAAATCAACAACAACAGGCGCTTAAGAGGAGCCAGTTCTTGAAGACACTAGCCAGCCATGCCCAACAGCAGAACCGACAGTTCAACCCTGCTCCCGCCATTGGTGGAAAGACTGTGGACCTGTTCAATCTCTGGACGCTGGTTGCGCAGTCCGGTGGCTCGTCGATGGTGGAGCGGAATGGGCAGTGGCAGCAGATCGCCAACAGGATGGGCTTTCCAGAGCCCCAATTCCCCACCGCCTCGCTCGAGCTGCGGCAATGTCATTCACGGGACATCTCGCAGTATGAGAGACTCTGGGTGGCCAGGCTGGCACAACAGAAGCAAGAAGTAGCTAGGATGCACGCGTCGCAGATGGCCGGCATGGGTGGGCCACCCCAAGCCTCTCCAACCAGGCAAATGCAGGGTACCAACCAGCCCAATCCCTACTTCCAACCGCCTCAGCAGAATCAAGCGCAGGCGCAGGCGCAGTCCACGCCAGTGGCAGCCAACGCGCAACTGCCGCAGAATGGGATGATCACGCCCCAGCAACAGCAAATGCTCCAGCACAGGCGAAGTAGCAGTGTTCGAAGACCGGATCAGCCCACACCGCAACCAGGTGCACCAGTCGTCGCTGCACCTTCGCCCCACACAGCGGACAAGGGGGCCTCACGGTTACCACTGCCGGGCAGTCAAGACGGCCGCACAAGGATGATGATGAAGAGCGAGGAGGATCCAAGTACGGTATGGATGCCGCGCCGATCGACCACGCAAAGGTACGGCGGCTACGAACTCGACAGCTCCGAGATCACATACAGGGAAATCGCGGATTTGAAGCCGTTCGCGCCCACCGTCAACGAGATGGGCGTCATCGATGTCAAGGCCATCACTCTGAGCCTGGCGTCGGGCATTCACAGCGAGGTGCGGTACGCACTTGATGCCCTGTGCACCATTTCCTCCGACGCGCGCATCATGTTTGATCTCAGCCAATCCGAAGACCTCTTCGACGTCATCATCGACTGCGCCGAAGTCCAGGTGGACTCGCTGTCCAACGAGGCCGCTGAAGTCTCGGATGCGCTGGATCTGACGCCGTACGAAGATGTAGTGCGAGCGGCTCGCATCGAAGCGGACACTTTGCAAGACGTGCCGGAATTCGGCACCCAGGCGTATGACCTGGAACGGGCTGCGGAGAGGCTGGTTGCAATCTCGACGATCCTTCGAAATCTGTCCTTCTACGAACCCAACCATACCGCCCTCACGTCCCCCGTGCTAGTGAAATGGTTCAGCAACGCCATCCGTCTTCTGGGGACGCGCAATATGCTGCTTCGCTCGTACTCCAATATCCAGGACTTCTACAAAGACATGATCATCCTCCTCTCCAACATCACGCAACGCCTGGAGTTACCGAGCCGTGACGACGCTCTTCACATCCTTCACTTCCTGCTGGCCTTTGCTCCCCAGCCTGCGCCTAGCTACATGGACACCAAAGGCAAGCCACGGTTCGCCAGCTATTCACCCGCCGCTCACTGCTACCTCCCACCAGCCGTCGATTCCCTGGCAAAACTCCTCGCTCGACAAGACCCCAATAGAATGTTCTACAGGAGCATCTTCACCTCTTCGTCCTCCTCCCTTGCAGCCTCGGAGTCCCCCCTCGACCTGCTCACCCGAGCCTTCGCCCTTTCCATCGCTGTCCTTCCCGACCGCACGAGAGTCTTGCCAGGCCCCGACGCCTCCGCGCTCATCTGCGGCGTTCGCATCCCCTACGTAAGCCAAGGCATGCTAGCCGCCGACATCCTCGCGGCCCTCATCCCGGCCAACGACTCCGAGCTGGCGCGGAAATGGCTGGAGAGCGAAGACGGCTGGGCAGTGGGACTGCTGGACCTCGCTTCCATGCTGGCCGTTGAGACGACGGTGCTGGGCCAACGGGCCCGCGATGCCTCGTACGACCACGAGAGCCACAAAATCCTCGGCAAGCTTTCCTCCCAGCATGCGTTGGCGATGCTGCAGCGGCTCGCGGAGAAGGCGAGGAAGGGGCGACAGACGCAGACTGGTCGGGCTGTGAGCACGAAGGCCAGTGAAGGCCTGGCGAACGGCGACGCTGTCGTTGATGGGGGCGAGGTTGATGGAAAGGAGAAGGAGGAGCAAAGCTTGGCCTATGAGGCTTTCCCTTTCAGCCATAAGGTCTTGGGCGCGCTGATGAAGCAAGACACGGATAAGGTGGCGCTGGGATTGATGTGTGGGTTGCATGAGCTGACTATGCAAGCTGGAGCATAAGGCGGCGACGGAGGGGCTTTCGGTGTATTTATTTTGCCTGATCCATTCCGCACTGGAAAGAGACGTTTAGACATGGGAGGGAGGGCATTGGAGTTTCGGAGGCTCTTTGGATATTGATGTAGTGGGATGATGATACTGGGGGAGAGAGACGAGGAGGGAGCGACTGTGAGAGATTGTAGCAGTGAGGCAGAGAGGTATACTGGCGATTTCTAGCCCTGCGGCGGAGGTATCCCTAGCTTATGCCTGTCCGCAGCAGATCAAATGAGTTCGGTAAGCAACCAAGTGCCCGTCGCCATCCTCATATCCATCCTCTTCGCTCGTCGTGGAGGAGTTACGGTATCCCATGTTACATTCCACTCTCACTGAAACATCGACGCCTCGTCCAGCTCCTCTTCGTTCTCCTCCTCCATTTCCTCCACAGGCTCAGCCTTAACCTTGACCCTCTTCCTCGGACCCCCCATCTCCTCCCCATCATCCTCGGCGACCTCCCCCTCAGAACCCCCCTCACTCTCAACCTCACTCCTCTTCCTCCCCTTCCCCCTCCCCTTCACCCCACCCGCGGTCCCAGCCCCATTCACCTTCTTCGCAACCCCCTTTTTCCTAGCCCCAGGCGTCGAAGCAGGCGTCGTTCCCTTCCCCTTCCCCGCGGGCGTCCCATTCCCCTTCCCCGCAGGCGTGGCCGGCGTACTCCCCTCCCCACCACCAAACGAAGCCCCATACTCCTCCTTCAACTTCTTCTTCGTGACGCGCAGGAGTTCGCGAGCGGAGGCGGCGGAGGCGAGGTTGGCGAGGGATTTGAATTTCTCGTAGTCGATCTTTCAACATTGCCAATTGTCAGTGATGTTGCGATGTTGGAACGAGGTGGGAGACATACGCTACCTTTGGCTCGGTTTCCAAGCATTGCCAGGCGAGGGCTAGGTACTCGCATTGTTTGGCCGAGAGAGGCATTTTGGCTTAAGGTGGGTTTTGGTGAGGGTTGGTTGGAAGGGGGAAAGTCGTTGTTGGTGGGTTGTTGTGGACGATTGTGGTTGTGTTGGGATGGAGGTTGTGAGTTTGTTTTGAAGCAAAAGGTTTGGAGTGAAGAGAGAGAAGTGAATGTTTTTCGGGTGAACAGAGGTGGTGATTGATCAGAGAGAGAGGAGAGCAGAGAGTAAGTGCCTGGGACAACCAGAGTTTTGTATGTCTGAAGAACATGCACGCACCAGCGAGATAAGGTGGACCAAGAAGGCAAACGTGAACGCCGTTTGCAACGCGGGCAAGCGTTTGTGACAAACAAGTTGCAAACGAAGTCCAAGTGACAGGCAAGTGATGTGACGGCGTGCAACCACGTCCTTTCAATTCTCCATACGAACCTACGTACCCCACTGAACAAAGCACCGCGATGCTGCATCGCGGGCAGGATGTGTGTGACTCATGGGAAGGTGTAAAGTGACGTTGCGTCGTTGTTTGTCGGGAGTCGCAAATGTTCATCTCCCTCACGGCCGGCTGCATCTGAGACCAAGTGAGGTTACACAGCAGCCCTCTCTGCCTGAGGCAAATCCGACAGCTCACAAAATCCCCCCATCGTAAGCAGGATGCGCCGAGAAACGCCATCGCTGATGCCCTCTCCTTCCTATGTTCCTTTTTGAATCCGATCTCGCGCCAATCGTGAGCTCATCATCTCCCCACGGCAGCGCTGAGCACTTGGGTGCGGAAGAAGCCGCCTTTGGTCCGCTCGATGACTTGCTGATACACGCTCTGCGGCGGGTGGTTCATCAGCACCGTCCCGGCCTTGTAGTCGATCTTGGCATCGACGCGCGTGTCGCGGATGAGATTGACAATCCACTTCTCGCCCTCTTCCGAGCTCAGGCCCAAGCGTTGGCTGAGGTCCTTGATGTCAATTCGTTGATGGATCTTGCAGTACGATTCGGAGATCAAGTGTCGTGCTGCGTCGAGGAAAGACTCGGAAGCGGCGACGAGGAAGAAGTCGGAGCGGAGGATGCTGTCGGCGACGGACAGGGTTTGCTGCGCGGTTTCAAAGTCAAAGTCGACGTACAGCGCTTTGACAAAGTCGGTGACGGGGTCGGAGTATTCGTATTGCTCTTGCCGTACCACGCGGATCAGGTCTTTGAGTTGTTTCTGGTAATTGCTGGTGTGGAGGTAGCCGGCTTTGCCGGTGGCGGTGTTGATGGGCGTGCGGTTGGTGATGACGGCTGCGGCGAGATAGCGCAGAATCCAAGGGCAGGAGGTTTGGATGGTGTTGATGTAGGTCGGGCTGAAGAAGAGCTCGGTCAACATTTCTCGTGCCGGCTCGTGGTTGAAGAAGGGGAATAGACTCCAGTGGATCAGCCAGGTGCGGTGCTGCAGCTGGGCAAGCGGGTTGTTGAAGAGGCGCGTGTCGATAGACTCTTTCAGTTTCGTGACTTCTTCCATCGCGCTCTCCCAGTTGGTGGTCAGGATGTCGCTCGCCAGTTTACCCCAGGTGGCGGCATTGACCTTGTCGTTATCCGTGCTCAGAATGCGGAATTGATACAACAGCTCCGCCGAAGTACTGTAATCGCCGCACTCGTACAAGAAGCGGCCAAACTCGTACAGGCTGTCCACCATCTCAGGCGTGACGCCATGGTTCTCTTTGAGGTAGTTCATATTGCTCGTCTTGTCACTGCGCAGCATTCCGACCACATCTGCATCAGCAAGCAGTGCTTGCATCTTCTCCGTCTCCTCTTCGTACTGCCTTCGCTTCTCCAGCACCTCCTCCCGCTTCTTTGCAAACTCGCCCGGCCGCTCTGGCAAGTCGTGGAGCGTGGCGTAAAGATCGCCGACAAAGTCGGACATGTTGGTATCCTTGAGAAGCAGGTACTTTAGCTGGGCGATTTCGTTGAGAGCGGTGGTGTCGGATTCGGCGGTCTCTTCTTCCGCAAAGTTGAGGAGAGGGAAGACGAGGTGTCGGTCCAGATGCGGCATCAGCGAGGACAGCAGCGAGTGTTGCTTGCTCTCATCGCCGTTCGGCGCGGTCCCGTTTGTTTGCGCCATGTTCGACTGTGGTGAGGTGAGGGGGTGGGTGTGGTCGATGGGTTGTCATCGTCTCAGCTTTTCCCAAGTGCGCGGGCAAAAGATTGGTGCCAAGATTTTCGCGGCGCGGTGGTTGGCGGAGAAAGTTTAATTTCTCTCGACGTCTCCCCGTGGCCGTTGCTTGTAGGAGAGAGAGCATTGCACCGCTCGCATCGTCGTGCCGCCCTACAATCCCCGACAATGGCATCGTTAGTTCCTATCCTGCCATTTCTGCGGCCGCTGAGCTTGCCACGACCGTCTACCATCCAGCATTTTCTGCGCTTCTCCACCACGACACGATGCCAGCTACCACGACCACCCACAGACACCAAAGCTGCTCCGAGACCAGCACGACAGACGCAACAATACACACCATCTCACAATGAAGGTGCGCAACGCTAAGCATTGACAGTAGCTGCTCAATCACTGACAGATTACTCCCATGCAGACCCGAATCTCGTCGCTTCCCGAACAGCATCGCCAACCTACCCACCCCCTTCAATGAAATCTCTTCCTCGCCCCAAACTCTCCCGGGCATCTCGACGCACCTCGCAACCTCCCAAACAACGCCCCTACCCAACTCGACAACCATCCCACCACCAACCTGCCCCTCCCAAACTCATCCCTGAGCCCGTCGCCCCTCTCCCACCCGCCGAGTGCGCACCCAACCTCGCATACTTCGTTACGCGCACGCGCAATAACGAGCTCCCCGTATACCACGATTCCAAGCGTGGGGGAAACATGAAGTTGACGTTGGTGAGGAAGATTGACGGCGAGGTGGAGGTATTGCGAGACCAGTTGAGGGCTCGACTCCATTTGAAGAAGGAGGATTGCATTGTGAATCCTATCACGCGGCAGGTGGTTATGAAGGGGCATTGGAAGCCGGAGGTCGCGAATTTTCTGCGTGAGAGACAGTTCTGATGAAGTCCCCGGAGGGAGGCAGCTGTACAGACTTGTATATCATCTTTCGATATTTCTATGTGAAAGTAACCTAGAACGGGCTTCGCTAACATGTCCAGAGAGGCATTTCGCGCGTTTCACGAACTTTGCTAGCACCATGTCCCCAATAGCAGCGCTCCCGTCACTTGCAGGCACCCTCTTACTTCTGCGCAGAGCGACAAGACGCGTGTCGAATTGCGGTTGCACCATCTGCCTGTCTAAGCAGTGTGTCGAGTGCTAAGGACAGCGTGTAGCATGCAATGTCGTTTAAGGTCGCACGTGTCAACGAACCATCTGATTACCGCCCGTGCATCATAGGGGTGGTCACTATCGTTCCGCTTGCCCGCGTAGTAAGACTCGATGAAAGTGAACGTGCTACCTTGAATGCAGTCACTCGGGAGAACGGCAGATACTGCGAGGGGATCGTCGCCTGCCCGGGGCGTACGTGGATGCTCGTCAGCCTCGGCATACTCAGTTTACTTGTTTGTAATCCAGGGAGGGGATGATACATTCCTGGACAGATAGTGGATTTGGGGAACGAGGCGCCAAAGCCAATACTGGGATGGCACGCCTGGCCAGAACCTCTGTGCAAGGGGTTGCTGGTGTAGCGCTGACGTTGCGGGAGAATTGGCCGCTGGATGAGCTGGCCGCGTGGGTGAGTGGAAGCCAAACCTGATGGTCAGTCGTCACCCAACCCAGCCAACCGTCGTTTGCCCTGGTTATACTGCGATCAAAGTGCCACTCAGCCGGGCCTTCCAATGGAGAGCTATTATGCCGACCAGGTCGCTCGAGCAAGCCATCCGATTGGTACCCTCATTCGTGCGGAATATCAGGGCAGATGGAAGCGGGAGATGAGCTGCACGTTGTTTCTGCCGATTATGGTACGCATTCGGCCGACATCACAGGGATGCACCGTGTTTGAATTGATGCAGACAAGCATTGGATTGCGTTTCGGACGGAAGTTTGGTGAGATGACATCGGCAGTGGTTTGGTCCTCTCGGGACTGAACATGGAGTGACAACACCGGCTGCAACTACTTGAAAGACAACACCTGGCGTGGCCGAGGTGGGAGTGGATAGCAAGGTAGGTGGCGCGACAGTTTGTGCAAGGCCGTGTGATCGGCATAGATTTGAGATCTGAGATCTGCACGTGGCGCGGACATGCGAGGCCGGAGTGGTATCGAGCCGGCCGAGCGAGGCGTAGTGACGAGAAGTCTCTGCTTTGCACAGTGGACGAATGCTGGAAAGATCTGCGCAGGATAGGTGATCCACCGCGTGCAATCGCCAAGCGGAGTACAGGCATGACGAAAGAAGAAGGAAAGGCACGTATGGAGCCAAGCGTTCCGGTGTCTCGGCGCGTGGGGGCCTGGATCGAAGCAGAGGCCAGCGTGCTGCCGTGCCGTGACGCCTCGTCCATTCGAGCGCGGAGGCGGTAGGAGGCGCGATGCTTTTCCTCCTCTTTGCGATCGGAGCTTCGCTTTCCAGATCGTACTAGCTCATATCGGGGCTAGCGTCACATGTCTCCTGCCTCACCGGGAAAGGCGCGTGGAGACTAGATCTCGCCAGATCTGGCCCGATGTACGGCCGTTGACGTTGTGCTGCGCGCCCCGATCTTGTTGCCTCCAATCACAGAGCACCCGGCCGAGGTTTGTGGAGAGTGAGTGGGATGGGAGTTGGATGCGGGAGTGCTGGCAGAGGAGAGCGAGGAGCGGGACAGGTAGGGATGGCGACCGACCGAGCTGTCCCCTGTCCGAAATCTGCTTTGCTCCGTCTCCCGTCGATTTGTGGTCACCTTGACGTTATCTTGCTCTTCAGCCGCTACCACCTTCCCTCCCACCTTCCCTCTCCCTTCTTCCTACTTATCTGGCATATTCCTATTGCCTCCTTTCTGCCACAACCCAACCATCTCTTCCAACCCGCGTCCATCGTCACTCGACACGCTATCACCGTTTGCCACCCACGATCCCCCCCCAAGCTCTCGGCCGAGCTTCGCCCCACCCGTCAATACCTTACCTTTGCCACCGCCTACATCTTTCCCGTCGACTCGATATCCATTGATTTGGTCTGCCATTGGAACGACTGGTCGTCGCCACTCACTACCAGCATCCTGACATCTTATCCCATCGACTCTGGTTCGTCAAGTCACCCAACTCCACACCGACCTGTCACGGTGTACCGTTCATCGCCACTCAGTCTGCTGCGACGAGTCATCTTAAAGGAAGCATAAACCCTACCATCTTCCGCTTGGGCGAGAATCTCAAGGACGATGCCTCCTCTTCGCAACTTGCCGGCTGCGAAGCCGCCACCCGCCAAGACCGAGCGCAGTCACGAAGAAAACCAGGAAAGGTGTGTATTCGTCGTCTCTTGTCCTGCACCCCCAACATGTCCGCTGACCTTTCCGGCAGAGCATATATCGCTGCATCACGACGGAGTGACCGAAGTCTCGAAGCTCGAGTCGAGTCGGCGAGGCGAGCATCGGAGATTCACGAGAAACGAACGGGTCGAAGACTGCGCGTCACGGAGCAAGATGTCATCAACGAAGAGATGTACGAAGAGGAGGATGATAATATCCCCTGGCGATACCGACATCTCTCAATGATGCCCAACCTCGCTTCCTTACCTCCTGATCTCAAACGACGCGTCGAGGCCCAACTCGCCTTCGAGATGGAGCGCTCGCGTATGGTCGATCCCACCGGCCGTTTCGGCCAAGGCTCGCAGTTCATGAACCCGGGCATGATGTCGATGCCCCTTGGCGGACAACAGAGCATGTTCTCGCCGTCCATGTACTCCATGGCACAGCCCTCGACAACCATGTCGCCGCAGTCCGCCATGTTTCCCCCGCCTAGCCCGTCTATGGCACAGCAGCAAGCCCGAGCAGGAACGCCAGGCCAGCATCGCCAATCGCCGTATCTCCGCCCTGGTCAACAAGCTCGCTCTGCTTCGATCGCCGATCCTCAGGAGCTGTCGATGCACACCCAACAACAGTCGCACTCCGCCCAATCCCCACAAACATCCTCGTCACTCAGTGATCGACGAATGTCGCTCCCGACAAACCGCAACTCACAATCTCCCAACCCATCAAAGGCCGCAAAGATCACACACACCGGCTCAAGCCAGCGCTCGCCGACGGACTCTTCCATGCACGCGCAGCCGCACTTCTCGCAGCCATACTCCTTCGCCGACTCCAACCCTTACGCACCTCTGACTTCAACTCTTCCATTGAACACACAGCAGCTCCTCGGCGGAGACGGCATGTTCGGCTTCATGGGCGACTTCAACTCGCCCCCTCTCAAGCACAACAGCTTCGGCATGGATCCTCCCATGTACAACTACAATCCCAACGCCAGCCTCAAGAGCACCAACAAGCGCTCCCACGACCAGATCACCACCACCACCGGCCTCGAGCAGACCCTGATGCCCACGGCATCCGCGCTCCACGGCCAGCAAGGCGGTGCTTCCGGCTTCTACGACTCGCCCATCTCCCCCGATCAATCCATGCTGAACACCAGCAGTGCCATCGATTCCGGCTTCGACGGCTCGGGCTTCTACGACGATAACTTCCAGCTCGACGCGTTCAACAGCAGCGGCCAAGGCTCTCCGGCGGCGGACTTTAGCAACTTCACCAACGACGAGCTTTACCGCGACTCGTCGTTCGCCTTCTAAGGGATTTCGACATGATAGACTTCTGTTCGCGTATGCGACGTTCATACCACATTGTCGACCTGAGGACTCTTTTCGTCGTCTTCTGGATTCAGCACACGACGGTGCCCTCAAAGCCACCGACTTCCAGATCCTTTCTTTGATCAATGTCCGACTAATTTCTCTGCAAATGCGAGAAGCTATCGTACATCGGGCAGGAACTACACTTGTTTTCACGGCCATTTTGCTTCTCGCGGGCGCAAAGAAATAATTCCGACGAGATCTTCAACGAGTTTCTTCTCCTTACTTTACTGGGTTGGCGCAAATCGAGACGAAGCAACGATTGGGGTGCCTGTACATGCACGGATCTTGGTCTTTTCTCTGTACAACACTTTTTGCTTTTGGATCTTCTCTCAAAATTCGACGGCAGCAGACAGACGCTGCCAACTGGGCAGACAAGGGAACAGGCGGATTACCAGCCACGCGTAGGCTGGTGGAATCCTTGGATTTTGTTGTTATGGTGGTACATCGGTGCCGGATGGAGCACTTTGCAGATTTACGTTTGCACAGGGTGATGGCGCGCGTGGGCGTGGTGATGATGCTGTGCAGCATACAGTCGGAGGATTACTCTGAATAATACGCACGGAATGCCTTTACTTAGACTTAGTCGTGAAGTGAAGGGAGAAGAAAAAAGAACGAGGGGTTTACCCTTTTTCCCCCTCATGTGTTTTGAGCATCTTCTGGTTCTCACCCTGTTCTTTCCATCGTCATTGGTTGATTTCCCTTGCTGGTATTAGATACTGCCTCTATCTGATTGTACAGACGAGCCAGTCTCGTCTCTTTGCACGATCATCCATGTGGACAACGCAGACGGAGATTGAACAACAAAGAGAACCATCTACTCCCACACAGCATTCATTCTCACCACCCGCGAATCCCACGCGTGCAGATGTCAACACCATGCAAAAACCATCAAGCCTCACATCTCCTCATCATCAGAATCACCCTCCGGCTCGAGCGTCTTGAAGATGCCCTCGTCATCGCCATCGCCTTCGTGCTCTCGGCGCGCGAAGTTGACAATCTCCGCGAACTCGCGGCGTTGCTCTTTGATTCGGGCTGCTGTTTCTGCGGCTGCTTGCGACGCGTGCTCGTTGTTTGGATGCTGGTCGAGCTTGTGTGGATTGGTGGTGGGAGTGAGCGTGTGGTTTGGAGAGGGGGGCGATGCTGATTTCTTCTCGTGGTCGTCGAGGAACTGCTGGGCGCTGGCGAGGAGCTGGTGGACGCCCTCGTTGTCTTTGTCCTCTTGCTTGACAGTGCTAGGCTGATTTGCGTCTGCTGAGTCCTGGCGTCTGACGTGAGCTGACAACTGCTCTTTGACCACGCTATCAGTGGGCGCGAGGAGGCCTTCATCTTCACCCTCTGCCTTGATCGCTGCCTGGGCTTTCTTGCAGCGCTTTGTATTCGGGGTGCCGGAATCCTCGTCAGCAGAAGAAGGAGCAGCGCGTTTGCGCTTCTTCTCACCGCTGCCCTGATCGCTACCCTCCCCCGCATCACCGCTGGCAAGTGCCTTCTTCCTCGCGGCGAGGAAACACGTCGTGGCCGACGCCACGTTCTTGTAGCCTGCCATCTGCTGGAGTTTGATGTAGTCCACCTGCATCGCACGGCTGTTAGCTCGATGTGTTCTACTCAGACGAAATCTTCAGGGAGAGAATGCAACACACCTGCGGCTGTTTCGAGCGGAAACAGCGCCACGCCATGAGCAGCATCTTCCGATCACCATCCGTCAATTTCCCCGGGGGTGATGAGCAGACCTTTTTCCTCGTCGCGAGGTAGCAAGTCGTGGCTGAGGCGGTGGTGCTGTAGTTGCCCATTTGCTGCAGCTTTGGGTAGTCGATCTGCCAGTGTTTTCGCGGGTTAGCGATTGCTGGGATGCATTTGAGGGGGAGCACCGTTACCTCTGGGGCGGTCTTGAAGCATTGCCAGGCCATGGTTAGCAGGTCGTTTTCTCGTGCTGTGAGCTTGGCCATGGTGGTTGTATTGTTGTGAGGTAGTGAGATGCGGGTGAAAAGAGAGGAGAGGGTAGAAGAGGTGGTGAAGTTGTTGCTTCAAAGCAAGCATGTGACGTGCGAAATGAAATATAACAGACCATGTGAAAGCGGGCCTGTCAACTTCACCGAACAAACGGGAAGGAGCGAAACACGTACCACGTGACGGAGAACAATCGGGTATTCATGCTATTCCGATATACTGCTGCACGTGATGTTGATCCGTGCGTGTCTCACTGACTTCGATATGCGGGCCCCAAAGGCCTCTTCATACGCTCATATGGGTGTGACGGTGAGCCTCATACGGCCTGCCCAGTCCTGGTCTCCTCGAGCATTCTCCCACGTGAACACCGCTTGGAACAAGCTCGTCTCAGTAATTCTCGCTTCATTCATCGCCCGGCTGACCACGTTTAAAATCCTCTCCCACCACCTCTTCCCCTCCCTCTGCCCCGTCCCCGCGGGCCTCCTCGCCCGCCGCCCCGACCACCCCGCATCCCCCCACGATCCTGCTCCTTCCGCGCCTTGTTCTTCGGTTTCGGCGCGTCGTCAATCAACAGCGTGTCGAGCGGCAGCGAGTCCGGGAGGATGAAGTAGCGGATCTCGGAGCCGCGGATGTTGACTTGGTCGAGGGAGATTTGCGCGCCGCCTTTCGGCGTCATCTTGGCGGTGCGGAGGGAGGTGTTCATTTGTGGGGAGACGGAGGCGATGGTGCCTTGGACGATGGTTCCTTTGCGAGGGTTCCATGTTAGCGGGGAGGACGATTTAAACGTTGTGGAGGGGGATTGGGCATTGCTGATGCTTACCAGTTTTGAGCTCGACGGTGACGGACTCGTTGGTGCATTTCATGAGGAATCTATCACGGCCTGTTAGTCGGGCTCTTGCAACCGCAGTCTTGGGATTCGCTTCCGTGCAGCACGCGATGTTCGCTATGCGGCGTGCAGAAGGAGGGTGGAGGCGATGGCATGTCTTACCTGACGAGCTTCATGGTTGCGGCTCGTGCGCCAATGCGCAGTATGGTGGTAGAGCCGGAGAAGGGGGATGCGTGGGGAAGTGTTGTTTCGTGAGGTGGACGTGAAGTACCTGACGTTAGTATGCGCGGGCCTGCGCTTCGCGGAAAGCTTCATGAAATTTCCAGGCGGGCTTGGCGTCACGTGCTTACGTATCAACTGTACTACGGGCGATCATTTCGAGTAGAATCAATGACAGCGATGGGTTTTAGTTGGTAATAATGCGTGAATACGGCAAACGTAGTATCAGGGTCGACAGCTATGCCACAGTAACAATATATAGAGTCGTTCGATCGTATCCATTCATCAGATCATGCATCACCCTGCGCAGACACCTTTTCCCACTCACTATCCGTACTAACCTCACCACTCCGATCCAGCTCCTCCACAGCCCTCTGTCGCAAGCCCGAACCAGCTCCACTCCGCCGCGCCCCCGTCGCTAACCCCCCCTCATCCCCAAGTCCTCCCGTCTTCTCCCCACCCTTCCCATCCACCATCAGGTCCCCCTCAACCTCCGTCTCCTCCCCCTCATCATCCGCCGAGTCGCCGACCTCTCCACTCCGCCTCCACTCCTTCGCCCCCCTCTTCCCCTTCCCCCGCGCCGCCCTCTCCTTCTCCTCCCCTTCCGCCTGCGCCCGCAGCACCTCCGCCGCAAACCAGTTGATACTCCACCAAAGCCCCGCGCAAAGGAAGCTGAGAATGACAAAGTGCACGCTGTACGTGGCTACCAGCAGGGCGAGGAGGACGAGCTGCAGCGCGGCGAAGGTGGCGTTGGTGGCGATAAGGAGGGTGGGTGTTGGGCCGGGGGTGAAGACGGAGGTCCACAGGTCGGTGAAGAAGTCTGCCATTTGGGATGGGTGGAGATGTGTGGTGTAGTGTGGTTTGGTGGTTTGCGGGTGGTGGAGTGTTGGGTGGGTTGAGACGGGCGAGGCTCAGGCGTGGGGAAGAAGGAGGTAAGATGATAACGATTCTGCTTTGGAGAGACTTCGCAGTAGACAGGGACTTCTTCTTCTTCTTTCCTTTCCGTGTAGATATGGTATGGAGTCTGCGCCTCGTTGTTGCGACACACCGATAGATCGGAAGAGAAGACCGGGGACCGAGATTGAGTGACAGCGGGAGGATGGAGCGCCGGGGAGATGGTGCAGGCGATGTGCGTCCAAGATAGAGCAGAGCCGAAAGCTGCGCGAGAGTCAATATCACAGCACGTGGACAAAGTCAAGACGGCCCAGATCACATGCCCCGTGTGATGATCAGGAGACAAAGTGTAGGTAAAGGAAGCTCATGAGACGTGAAGCGCGCCGCGGCTCGTTTCGGAACGTCATCGCGCATCGACTTTCCGCGCGCATGTGATCAGAATTGAACGACAACGTGATCGATGTGAGAAAATACTCGAGGAAGAATGATTTCGTATGAACAATATCCTTTGATGACACGCTATACAAGTCCCCGCGTCCGCCGTCCATCTACGCCGAGCAATGGGTATCACACCAAAGTTTCCCTAGGAGAATCAAGTCGAGAAAGCCACACACATCGCTCGCTCACAAGCGACGCCGTAGGGGCGCATAAAGAAGAATATAATGAATCAAGCATCGCAGCACTACGCAGCAAAATCAAATTCCGGTCGCCGGAACAAATGCGCCTCCGTATTCAGCACCCAGCGGTCCAGGCTCCAGTTGTCCGGGTCGTCAAACAGCAAGTAGAAGTACTTGAGCGTCTCCGCCAGCCAGAAGCTCTCCATCGAGTCGTCCAGCGCGGACTCTGTGTCCGTCACGTCGGATACGGTGCTGTACCCGTATCGCGCGCGCGCGTGCTGCTCCACCGCTTTCCACATGTTCCATCCGACTTCGCGCCAGTGCGGATCGCCGGTGATGCGGTACATGTAGAAGACCGACTCGATTGCTTCGGGGCGCAGCTGGTAGCGCCGGTCGGTGATGTGCGTGAAGCCGGGGGGGATGCCTTCGCACTCGATCTTCTTCTTGACGTAGTCTTCGTGGGAGAGGGGGGCGTTGCTTTTGGTTGGGGTGGGTAGGTCGTAAGGGGAGGCGAGGTCGGGCAGGTTGGCTTCTCCGTCTGGGAGTAAGGACGGGGAGGGTTGTGATGGGAGCTCTGAAAGTGCCTCGAGCTGTCTCTTGTACACGGCGGGATGGAGCGGATCAAGTGTCGCGTCTTCCAGATTGGCGTGCGAGTCGTCACGTAGATCGGGATGCGGTCCGTCTGCGACCACGGGGGTGTTGGGCGGAAGCGCTTCCTTCTGCACCGTTGGCGGCATCGGGGGAGGAGGAGGGGAAACGGTGGTTCCCTGCAGCCTCGTGGCGCTGTACGGGTCCAACACATCCCACCACGCGCTCTCATTCCACTTGCACTCGCTTTTAAGGTCTTCACACGCCATCAGACCGGCCATGTCAGGCATGATGCCCGTCGCGGTGACGTTGTACGCCCACACACACCCCTCCGTCAGCTTGGATCCAATGTCCACATGCTCCGGCTGATCGAAGATGACGCCTCCCATCGCAAACATGCCACCGGCAAAACAGGATAAATGCTGAATGGCGGGGCTGAAGTATTCGGTGAGTTCGCGCTCCGCCGCCGGTTTGGACCAGTCGGGTTTGAGGTCGACATTACCCAGCATCAAAATGTCCTCGTCCGTCTCCGTCATCGGCTTGAAGAGGAGCTTGTCGATTACGACCTTCATGCTGGCGAGATACATCGTCTTGTACTTCTCCACCTGCCCGCCAAGGAGCAGGTATTCCTTGGGGAGGTATTCGTACATGCTGTCGCTTGCGCCGCCCATCGTGTACATCTGGTTGGAGCTTTTGGAGATGGAGACGAATCCTTGCGGAACACAAACGTCGTCGGGAGGTGTCCGGGGGGTAAGCTCGGATTCCACTTCCTGCTCCTCCTCAAGTTGTCGTTTGCGCTTCAGCCCAGGCTCGCCTACAGGTGCCTTTCCTACCGCGTCCGGATCAGAGCTCCCCGGCGCATGACCAGCGGCATTGACAAAGGACTCAGGTAGGTGAGACACCGAGCCATCAGTGTGTGAAAGAAGGCCAGAAGACAGTCGCGGCGGTTTATCCTGCGGGCTCAGCGGGAGGTCCTGGCTCTGCGTTGAAACGCGTTTGCCGCATCCCGACGCATCAATATACGTCGGCCACATCCCAGGTATGCGCATTTTGTCTTGAGACTCCTCGAACAAGTCCATCACCCTTGCGACCGCATCGTAGTACTTGGGCTCGCCAGTCAGCTGGGCCAGCCGGGTGAATTCAAGCTCCAGTGTCCCGATCTCCGCGAGGATGGAACGTGAGCTGGCCCGCCTGCCAAGTGAGTTTTTAGGTCGATACCATGGGTAGTAGGTGATTGGCACTCTGTTGGGCGTATCGAAGGCGCCGTACAGCACCTCGGCTAGCTCGACCGCCTTGTCCAGGAGGACGCGGTACTGCCCTCCGGAGACGTCGTAGGCGCCGAGAAGTCCACCAAGGTAACGAATGACGGTTTCGAAGAGAGGAATCTCGCTCCTAAGGCTGGTGGTGAAGTCGATCAATCTGACCTGCTCCACAGCTTCCTCAAAGTCTCGCTGTAGTCCCATGACCCAAAGAGTGTCTAGCCCGTCGACCAATGTGGCGCCCCAACCGTTGAAGGGATCATTCGTTCCCCCAGATACCGGCATCACTTCATCGTGGCCGAATGCAAATTGTCGGTAGCCAGCCCAGGAGTGCATGGCGGCCTCTTGGATCTGCGCCAGCTTCTCCTTGTCCGCTCCGTACATGGTCAACTTGTTCCTTTGCGCCTCGATGCGGGGCATGGGAATGGAGGTGCCAGTCGGCAATTGGATTGTACTCGAGATGGGGTATAGTTCCGGTTGTTTGCTCCAATGCAGGGTGACGGAAGTGGAACTGGGCTTGCTTTCCTTATCCACGGGCGAGTTGGGATAGGGCACGGCATGTTGGTTGGGGCTGATTGGAGGTGCGGGAGGTGTAGGATGTTCAGGTACTTCGGGAGGTGTGGGAGGTGGCGGTGCATCTGCTAGCACAGAGGAATCTTGATTCGTAGTAGGTATGCGATTGTTGCCAGTCAGTGTATCCGCGTCAAGAGAAATTTTGTCGAGAGGCGAAGGCGGCGCATCGAAGGAGAGCGGTGGTGGAGCAGGCTGAGGAGGAGCGGGAGGCGAGTAGGGGTGGTGTACTGGCGGGACTGGAGGAGGAGGAGGAGCCTGTTGGACCCCCGGCCGCATCACCGAGCCGCCGCCGATACCGATGCCCTGCATTTTCAAGCTCTTGCGGTAAGCGTCCAAGTCGACGTCGCCGACGTTCCAGCTCCAAAGCCATAGCATCAGCGCTCCGAGAGCGGTGATCGCGATGACTCGCACGCGGCGATACCGGCTCGTGATCATCTTGCCGGCCGCGGGTCGGGGTGAAAGAATGAGATGCGGATGCAATGCTATTCCAATGGATGAGCGGGTTCAAGAGGATAGCATGGTGGAGGGAATGGAGCAGGCGGTCGACAAAGAGAACGACAGGAAGGCGGCTGCTCGCGTGAGGCGTGAGGGGTGGAAGGAACGTCGGCGCACTCGGGGACAAAGGAGAGGTGTAATGGAGGAGGAAGGGGAGGCCAAGATGAGGCCAAGAGAAGGGTGGTCGCTACTTGGCGATCACGTCGTGCGGCGCGCCGGGTCGAGGTCGAGGTATTGAAATGCAGGGGGTCCCCGCGTGCGCCGCGTCCAAATTCGCTAAACGGGCGTGTAGAGTCCCCTTGCTGGCCCAAGCCATGCGGGGGAGGGAGGCGCGCTTGTGGGAATTGCTGGCGTTGTTCATGCATCTCATCATCTTCCATCTCGCCAGTCTTCTTCAGGTAGTCAATCTTGCCCGTACGGGTGTCGTGTCCCACTTCACCCCCTCAAGCGACCTCCTTCCCAACTCTGGTCGCGAGAAAACATATTCCTTTTCGCCCATGGCTCGCGCTCTCTGGACCCTGATAGTATGCGGGGCACTGAGTTGCGGCAATTATAAGCTTAAAGTCAGGGGCTACTAATAAGGAGCGCTAGGCCGATGCAATATGACCTGCGGGCGATGCGGTAAGGTCGGGAGTCTGGTCTGCCAATGCATTGCTACGGAAGTAAAAGAGTGGTTTCCGAAGCATGAAGCATCACCCATCCACCATCCTCATCATCATCCATATCTCATCGAGTGCCCGTCTGACGAAGCGTGGTCCACGCGTGCAGCAGGCTCAAGCGTCAGAGGCAGCAGCCGCCGCCACTCCACCCTTGTGGCCAGCCTGACAAGCCTCACATCAGCAAAATTCATAACCAAAGGCAAAGACAGGCTCAACAACTCACCGCTTTCGCAGCCTCACTGCCAGGCTTGAACGTGCCATCCGGACGACGGCCCTCATCGTCCATCCCGTCGCTCTTGTGCCCACCTCCCTCCTTCACCTCCTCCTCCGTCTTCTCCCCAGCCGCATGCAGCCCGCCCTTGTGGCCAGCGGCTCTGGCAGCGTCGGATCCTGGCAAGAAGGTGCCGTCTTGACGACGCCCGGCGTTGTTCTGAGGATATCGTCAGCCGTCGAGTGAGTCCAACAGTATTGCATCATCACGCTTACGTGGTTCTCCTTGTCTGCGGCCTCGTGGTGTCCGTTACTCTTGTCCTCATCTTTGTTCTCGCCGTGAGAGGCTTTGCCGCCCATGCCTGAAGATGGAGCCATGGTTAGCTTGACTGTCCGGCGTGCAAGAGTGAGCACGACGGCAAAACTGACTCGCAATCTCCTGAACCCTCTCCTTGGGCAAGTTGGCGAAGTTGGCTGGGTTGGTATCTGCCATGTTGCGTCTCTGAAGTGGATATTGTGTTGGGGAGGATGGAGAAGAAGTCTGAGGGATGGTGATTGTAGTAATCGGTTGAGCGACTTCGGATGTGGTTGAATATAAGTAGTGCGAGTGAGAAGGGTTACACAAGCCTTGGAAGGGCGATGATTCGCTGAGTCTAGGCGCACCAACAGGCATCAGAAGGCTACGTGCATGTACATCACATGAAGCGACTGGTGGAACGCGGTCCCGTAAGGAAAGAGCGCGCTACGGCGAGGCAGGAGCGACTGGGTCTGCCCACACGGCGCTTCACCGCCTCAAGTCTCCCGAAGTGAAGCCAGCCTTAGGCTCGCACTGGCTGCAAGATCCCACAATATCGTCTCCCTCCAGTCATAACTACGACCGCAGCACAGGCTCCCATGATGAAAACGACCGATCCACCTCGAACTTTCGATCCATCACGCTTCTCACGCCAAAATGCACAGGCGCGCGGTCCGACACAAACCATGCCGCTTGCTCCTTCTCGACGACGTCCGCATCGTAAATCAGCTCCCAACTGACCTTCTCGTCCTGTCTCTCGCCCAGTGCAGCCATTTGATCCCACCTCTCCACATCACTACAGAAATGAGTGAAGGTAAGGCGGCGGTAGCGATACCCTTCTGCCTTCAAGCGCTGAGGCAGGGTATTAAGCGGCTCTCGTGAAAGACTCGGCGGGTGCATTGATCTCTCTGCCGCCGAGTTCATCGCATGCTCCGCAGTCTGAAGAGCCCGACTGCAGGCGAATGGGAGCAGGAGATCGAGATGCGGAATAGTTCTTCCCAGCTCGCGTATGATGTCGCAGTAGTGATACTCGGGATGGGCATCGAGTTTGTTCTTGTATGCGATGGGGAACCCTTCGAAGCCATCGAAGTACGGGGTGAGGTGGAGTTTGAAGGTTTGTAGTGAGGGCAGTGCGGCTCGAAGGAGGTCAGCGATCGCCCCCATATCCAGGATTGGGTGGACCCTTGGGCAGTTCACAATTTCGAGTCGTGTGAGTCGGCCCGGGATGATGCGGGATGCGAGTAGGCCTTCGAGGAACGTGACATTCATCACCAGGCTCAGCTCGATCTTGAGCTCTTGCGGCTGGAGTCGTCCGTAGTCAGATGGTGTCCTTTCCGCAACGTCCCCGCTCGGAGCCAGAAACCTTCTCGGCCGGAATCCTCGAGCCACTTCGCATTGCGCTCGTATATTGGGGGGAATGTCGTACTTGGTGCGCCATGCGTGGCCCAGGGAGATGCGCTGCAAGCTGGGGAATGTAGAGCCTGACAGCGCCTGCATCCACAGCCCGCTTATCGACATGGTATAGCGGGGACTATTGACCTGTTGCTGTATCCTGGGGCTCGAGACGATCGATAGATTGGTTACATTAGGGAATACGAGACCTTTCAGTCCGGCATTCATCAGCCAATCCAACACCTCGACGAGTGTGAGCGATATTTTGACTTGGCTGCACTGTCCAGCTATCCAGCCGATGCAGCGTGAGAGTTGTGGCGCGGAGGCCAATTCGCCATCTTTCCAGACGTGCACTCGTAGATCGAGGGTTTTGATCTCCCTTTCCCAGAGCGGGTCGTCTACGAGCTTGTCATCACGACGACACTCCCTGGACGAAGACTGCTTAGCGCTTTGATTCGGCGTGCTGCCGCGGAATGAATTGAGCTCACCCTTCCTCGACGTGGGATATAATTGGCGGTGTCGACAGCGCGTCGACGAGGTTCACCAGAGCAGGATACGAGCTAATGCGAACATGAGAGTAAAGTGGCTGCTGTACGGCCCGGTAGTGGTCTCGACTCGTTGAAGCTAGGTGGATCAGGTCGGCAGTGGTGAGGAGGGAGCACACCATTAGATAAAGCTCGCGTGGGAGATCTAGAAATATGGCCATGGCTATCGGCAGGTGATGTCGGAGATGTTGAGAGAGAACCTGGCGAAGTGATGGGCGATATAAAGGCCTTCAAGACCATCAGGGTAGCGATCGGTCTCAGGTGGGTCGTGTGTCGGCCATGCACGCAACCATCCCGGTGCGCTCAAGAGGGACTAAAGGAAACAGGGCGTGTGGGAAGGGAGAGGCATCCAGAGGATTCACTCGAGGGGCTGTCGTTGAGCAAATGGTCGCCGGCTCAAGTCATATTGCATTTCGAGGCGGCGCTTCGCGCAATCGCGCACCTGCACCTGTCCGGTCGAGTACCATGCGAAAAGTATGGACTCGAGATGAGATTCGTTTCGCAGATGATGGGGGAGAGAAGTACGATAGATGTCAGGTTGCATGTCGAGAACACGTAGAGCGCATCTCCATGTTCCAAGTGAGGTCTGGAGAAGGCGGAAAGGCTGACTGATGACGACGGAGAGTGGCGGCGCGGCGCGCGCGTGGTCCGTGTCGCCTCGAGCTCTGGCGGGCGTGCGAGGCAACCGCCGACACTGCGCATGTCGCTGAGCCTTTCCAAGCCTTATACCACCACGGCGTTCTTGGAGCCTGCGGGCTCATCACTCCTCATTCCACCACCTCCTCCACTTCATCTCCTCCTCAGCCCCGCTCGCGCCGCCCTCTCAAACCCCTCCTCTACCACCTCCCTCCCTCCCTCCGCCTTCAAGTAATGACTTTCCAACCCGCTGGTCCTGGCAAGACCGCACCCAAGCTCCTCCACGACTTCCTCTCCTTCGATCCGATTCGCGGCAAACCAAATGTGCTGTCAGACCATACTCCGCCGCACGGTGAGGGCCCGCAGCTCGCCGCGCCGATTGGTACTTCCTCTCTCTCTCTCTCCTACCAACCAGTGCGGCTGCACCGACTAACGTTGCTGGACAGGCTCGTGCCGACATGAGTACACCAACAAGTTCAAGCAGAGCGTGCCCCCACCCCTCGACCTACGAGCGGATGGAAACACCACCTACAAGCTAGCGGTGGTGTGCAGAAAGTGCCGAATCCACGCAGACATCCAGATCGATCACTCGAACTCCATCAACCCATGCCCCGCCCCCGATCATCCTCTCCACCACTTTCAGCGAGTCACTCCCCTCGACCGAACAACGTCGGACCGTATAAGATATGTCTGGAACTGTTCTGCGGCAGACTGTCACGCCAACCTCTTCATTTTGTTTCGACGACCGCGACTCATCGATGCAGACCTCAACCATCTGACCAATCCCGAGTTGCTGAAGAGACGCTATGATGCGCTGGTACAAGAGGATCCGCATAGAGATGGCTTGGCCGTGGCTACACCCATGGACTCGCTGTCACGACTGCGCAGATATGTTTCGGACTCGCTGAACCCTCAGCGGACGAAGCGACAATTCCCCTCGAACAATAAGCGTTTCCAAGAAGCCTTCGGCATCAACGGCCATGATTGCTATGCGCTGTTGGATGGACTTGGCTTCAGATACGAGGTAGTGCTCTGTGGCACGGTCCGAATGGCATGAGCATATGTGCTGACACCTTCACAGGAAAACACATGGACTCTTCCGAATCCTCCTTTGGTCCCCGATCGATTGCGCGCCTCCGGCGACCTGCCCCGCGAGCTGCTAGAAGACGTAGAAGTGGAGTTGCTTGCGATAATGTCCAAACTCTCGGCGGAGCTGGGAGTGCCCAACCCGGCGGCGGAGGAAAGCTGGTCGTCGGCAAACCGAGACATTGAGCGAACGCTTGCCGCACAGGGCTGTATGGTTTCACCGCAATGTCAGATGTGCGAGAGAGAAGAGAACGCTGACCCATACCCGCACAGACCCCCGTCATGTTTCACAGCGGCGCGCATCTGCATCGAACGCTGAACTCCCGTTCGTACTTCACCTGATCTTCTCCTTTGCACTTGTAACCCGCTGATTCCACGCCTAGATTCTTCAACAGCCTAGGTGCACTGCCCGACTTCTCCGACTCCCTCATCGAATACGCATACGACCGTCAAATCCTCTGCGACCCCGAACAGCAGGCATACTACTTTGAGTGTTTGCAGGAAATCACGGAAAGCCGCAGAACCGAGCAGCTGCAGATGAAGGTGGCCACCCTGCAGTCTCAGGACAGTGTGAGCCGCAGGGACATTCTCGCTGCTTATCGATACCTCAACATCCTCCCCAACGAGGGACACAACGTGGACGACGCTCGAATCCTGGAGATCTTCCAGGCTCAGCAGTCTGACCTTGGCCTTGACGCGCAAGAAGAGGCCCGGGCTCATCTGTACAAGCTTGGTGTCTCGCGGTCCAGTCAAATGTTGATCAATGCGTCAAGACAGTCCGTCGAGACCTACCAGGATGCTCTTACGTGGCTCGGCAACGGCGTGAGTCAGAACACACCAGACGAAGGCATTCTGGCAGTTTTGGCAATCAGAGTACGTTCCTCTGTTCTTTTCCACTGCCGACCTGTGTAGCGCGTGCTGACCTTTCCACCTCCGTGCAGACAGCAGACAATCCAGCAAACGAGGAAATCGCCCTCAAAGCTATATCTGTCATTGCGAAGGAGCGCAAGAGCAATCATCTGAACAACTGGCTGCTCACGGGCAAAAACGCCGGCTACACCATGAGCGTTGACGAAGCGCTGCGGCATCTGAACATCGAACAGGACTTATCCCAGCTTGACCCCACCATTGTCCCGGCCATCTTCGACAGTGCTCGACAAGATCGGCCTGGCGAACGGACGGAGACGGCCATCTCCACCATCCAGCAGGCAATGGCTTACTCAAATGTCGGCGGCCCTCAGCACTCAGCTGCCACCTGGCCGGTTGGCCTGACGAGCCACGGCAACACTTGCTACCTCAACTCCCTTCTGCAGTACTACTTCAGCATCAAGCCTTTGCGCGACATCATCCTGGACTACGACAAGTACAAACTGGACACCACAACCCACATAGAGAAGGACGAGCGAGTGGGCCAGCGGAAGGTGTCATTGGTGGAGATCAAGGGTGGGCAACGATTCGCAGAAGACCTGAAGCACCTCTTCGAACACATGATCAAGTCACCTGATTCCGCTGTGAAGCCTGAAGAAGATCTCGTCTGCAGAGCGTTCTTGGATCCAAGAGAGTACCGACTGCTGGATGCGTCCCATCAGGAACAAAGTGCGGCGAAGGAGCGGAGTGCTGTAGAGGATTCCAGCGCAGCCAACCCAGAGACCATCATGACCAATGGCGCACCAGCAACCAACGACAACCCTTTCACTGATGGTCAGACTCTCGCTAGTCCGACAGATACTGCAGATGTCGAGAGGCACCATTCGGTGGCGTCCAGCGCTACTCTACAGGCTTCAACGAATGGAGAAGACGGCGACGTGCCTATGAAGCTCGGCGAGATGCCTCCCACTCCCCCGGCCTCTCCCGGACTCAAAGGCCAAGAGAAACATACCGTGCCAGAGTACACGCCACCTCCATTGCCACCCCGACGAAGATTCTCTACCGCCAAAGAGGAAGCGTTGGAGATTGCCAAATCTAATGCGCGGCAGCAGCAAGACGTCACCGAAGTCCACGATGGAGTCATGTTTCGACTACGCTGCGGCATGATGGCCCGAGGTCACGACAACAGCGGAGAGCAAACCGATCCGATGAGAGACTTGTTCAGCATGGACCTGGAGGACACGATTGTCGACAAAGGCGTGGAACAAAAGCAAGAGGTTCTCGCCGACTCCAACATCCAGCTGAATGTGCCGAGTGAGGATACGGATATCTATTCCGCTCTCGACGCCGTATTCGACCTCGGCCCGTATGCCGAAAATTCGTCCATGGAGAGATACAAGAGTATCACCGCCTTGCCACAGCTGCTGCAAATCAACATCCCTCGGATTGGCTACTCTCCCTCCAAGCAAGGCGCGTACAAAGCGACTGAGTGCGTGCGGTTGGAGGATGAGCTTTATCTGGATCGATATTTGGGCCGCACCCACCCGGACATTCTTGCCAAAAGACGGCAGTGTTGGGGCTGGCGGAAGCGACTTCAGGCTTTGAAGATCGAGCAAAAAATCATTTCGAAGACATCGCGGACGGATCTCGATGGACCTACCGTCGTCGCTGAGGCGGCCAAGTATCTCGCGTCTTTGGACCAGGTCAACAAAGACCTTATGGCCATCGGCGTGGAAGGCATTCAAGGTGACGGTGACCTCACTGATGCACTTGCCGCCGAAGCAGCCACTCTAGCACAGCGCCTGGCAGACGTGGAAGCGGAGATTGAGTTGCTGCAGCATAGCATCGACGCCGAATTCGCCGATACGAAGAACGTAAAGTACCGCCTGGCGGCCGTCTTCTTCCACCGCGGCCAGCACGGGCACGGGCACTACTGGATCTACATCCACGACTTCGCCAACGACATCTGGCGCTCCTACAATGACGAACGCGTCGAGGAGTTCACCAAGCTCGACGAGCTCTTCGAAGCCAAAACTTACAACCACGGCACGCCCACGTACGCCGTCTACGTTGCTGCGGATAAGCTCGACACCATTCAAGCCGTGTGTCGCGATCCGGAGCAGCCTCCCACCCCGCCACCGATCCCGGAAGTGCAGATTGAGCGCGAGATCGAAATGGTCGACACGCAAGCGCCGACGCAGGAGGAGGAGCAGCATGCGGGCGGAGTTGCGACCGGGCCTGACGTTGCAATCGAAGGCGGCGAGCAGCCCTGGGATGATCCCAGGCAAGTGGCGGGCAATGCCAATTGGTAGCGTCATGGCATGCGTCTGCCCTTGCGCTAATCTGCTGCTCGTCGCCTCCAAAATTCAATGAACTACCGTTTGAAGTCGAGGGTATTGGTGGGAAAGTGCAGCTGGAGCGCACGCTTGTGTCTACCTGGTCATCACCGAGGACGAGGGCACGCTGGCGATGATAACGGTAATGTTGCTATTAAGCTTGCGATGAAGGAATGGTGTCCTCGGTCTTCGCTGCTGTCGTCCGCCGGGACCGAGTTGGTGAAAGGCGGAGGGAACGATGCAGTCTGACCAGCATGCGGACTCTTGGGGCTCATCACTGCGAGGCAGGCTGGCTCTACCATGCTTCATTGATCGCAAGGCATGGGAGGCATAGGTATCTTAATCACAATGCGAACCCAGCGTTTCCGAGAACCCTCTACCTGAACTACCTACTACGCTGCCCACCCACCCACCTATCACAAAAAGCACAAACAGTGAAAAGGGAAGGAACCCAGCATCATTCATGAAGCGCCCAAAGTACATGTATCGGAAAAAAACGCAACGACCCAAGGTCAAAGGCGCTGCACGAAACAAAACACCTCTTGTTCCCTACCTATTCTCCCTCGCCTCCCCGCCCCCGAACCATCAGAAGATGCTCGCTCCTACCTCCGCCCTCCCTTTCCGCCTTCCTTTGAAAAACGCCCAAACGAAAAACAAGAACGCCCTTGCCCGCCTCTGAATACACACAAAAAGCTTTGCTTGCTTGCCTGCTTGCCTCCTTGCTTGCCTCAAAGTCGGTTTCTTTCCAAGATGGAAAAGGCACAGAACAAAGGGGCACACGCGATAGAACAAACACCCCGCCCGCGCGCGACTTTGCAAGCATTATCTCAAAAACAAAAACGCCCCCTTCCTCCCATCTCCTTCCCACCGTCATCTGTACAAGATCCGCGTCCTCCCGTACGCCTGTGCTCGATGCACACTCAACGCTTCGACGAAGGCCCGAAGTCCGCTTCTACCGGTGCTTTGCGCTCCTTGCGCTCCTTGACGTGATACTCCGCCATCAACAGCAAATGGTCACTGGGGAAGTGGAAGTCGGGAAAGCCGGGGACGCGCGTCATGTAGTTCGGATCGAAGCGGCCCAGCAAGCCCGTCACCTGCAGCGAGTTGGTGGAAAAGAAGACCCAGTCGATGACCTCGCGGAAGTCGGGCGTGTAGTTGGTGAAGGGCAGCTCGCCGAGGTCCTGGTAGCAGGACTTCATCGAGAAGGGGTGCTCCATGCCGTGCCGCGTGAAGTCGCCGTATTTCTGCGCGCCGAGGTCCGGGTGCGTGTTGGAGAGGGTGCCGTTGGTGATGAGATCGTACACGCCGGAGTCGTGGGTGGAGTTGAAGTCGCCGCAGACGAGGAGGGGAATTTGCGTGCCGGACTCGTAGGACATGGATGGTGCTGGGGGGTCGGGTTTGGCGGCTGGGGCGCCGTCGGGTCCGTCGTGGTTGTCTTCGCTGCTGAAGCGGAAGGGCTCTTTGTCCTTGTCTTTACTGGGCGGCCAGCGCGAGTACTCTTCGACTTTCTTGGCCAGCGTGTCCATGAGAATGGCGACTTGGATGAGCTTGACATCGGTGAACCACGGCTCCCAAGTAAGATGCGTGTTGACGATGATGATTCGCGATCCAGTCTGCCGATTCTCCAGGAACGTGATGAGGGCCAGGTGGTCTCGGGGCATGACGCGGTTGTAGACGTCGTGCTCGCCTTTCATGTCGGTGCGAGTGATGGCCTCTTGCGAGTAGTTGATGGCGTACTTCTGCAAGAGCATGTACTTGCTGTGCTTCCAGAATGTCGCGCAGCCGTCAACGTTCCTCGACTCTCGCTCACTCATTGTCCGCGCACGACCCTTGGCCTGGTACACACCCTTGTAGTCGTGATGCGCAAGATTCGGGGCGAGAAAGTCGTTATAGTTCTCGCCGTCGACTTCTTGCAGCGTCAGGATGTCCGCATTTCGGTCCTTCAACTCGTCCAGGATCATGTACTTTCGCTTCTGCCACGAAAGCCAGTCGCTGGCCGCGTAGCCATACGCTGACTGGGTTGCGGCGCGATCGCAGAGAGTGTTCCAGCTGGCGACGGTGAATCGGTCTTTTGCCGGCGCATCGCTCTCGCTGATGAGGTCGTGCCAGGGACGCGGTTCCGGTGGAGGGGGAGCTATTTCCATGTCAGTATGTCACACGCTGCAATGCAGTAGCCAACGGGCTTCGACTTACGTGGTGCCTCTTCTCGCAGAGACCGGACGAGCTCTTGAGTCCCGTGCTCCACCAATCGAGCCATCTGATCTTGTCCATCTCGCATCGGGTTGCCCTCCAAGCCCAGAATCTCCAATTGATACAGGAAACCGACTTCATACGGCAAGCGATCCAGCCCATTGTCGAAAAGATACAACCGCTTCAGGTGCGTCAGCATGCCGATCTCGGGCGGAAGCTCGGTAAGCTGGTTCATGGAAAGGTCGAGCCATGTCAGGGCGCGCATGGTGCTGATCTGCGGGGTCAGGATGCTGAGCCGGTTGTGGTTGAAAAACATCCTTCGGAGATGAGAGTAGTGCCGGAAGAGTGACGCGCCCATGCTCTTCAACCCGTGTCCTCCCAGATCCATCGCATCCCATATCTGATTGCTCTCCGACTCTTCGACTTCGCCGCTCCGCGCTCGAGCCGCACCATGCTCATCAGCATCTGTCATTCTCGTACTCCCCGAAGAGAGCGTGGTACCCGGCAATCGGCTAACGTGAGGCGTGGTTCGGGCGTAGTAGTGGGGTTTGTCACCAGCCATCTTCAGCTTGGCGTACTCTCGAAGGTGCTCGGCGTAGTGCTCGTTCGGCGGTTTGACGTGGTCTGGAGTGCCATTCTGGAGATGAGCAGGGGTAAAGTGTGGAGTGGTGTTGGAAAGCGTGCTCGTGGACACTGTGTGTTGGTGGTTGCCGAATCCGCCCTGCCCACCAATTGTACCATGATCTTGGTGCTGATTATTCACGTGGTGTGACTGGTGGCCATGGCTTTGTCCTTGGAAGCCCTTGTGCATGTTCATCTGATAGTTTTGGTGGTTGGAAGCGCCATTTAGCAGGCCATGGCTCTGCCGATGGTTGTTGTGGCTGTACATGCCGTAGGGGTTGTGCGCCGGCGAGTTCGTGCCGGGCGATCGATTCGGGGAAGGGGTATCGGCGTTTTGCTGGAATAAGGCGCGGCTATTGCCGATGGGCGAGCCGTTGCGGTGTTGTTGCTGCAGGCCGCGCGGATGGCTGGTGTGCTGGTTGGGGAAGTAGAACTGGCCGCCGGGATTGAACCGGTTGAAACCATCGGCCATCACCAGCCGGCGCAGGGGGTGTGCCTACGGCCGAGGGGATGCTGGACGGCAGTGGTTGGTCGGGGTGTTGCTGCTGGATAAGGGATTGGCGAGGGAGTCTTAGGGAGGTGGTGGTTCTGGCCGTCGCAACCTTCTTCGTCCGTACATCGGCCACCCTTACACTCTGCATGAACGACTGTGGACTCTTTGCGCCAGATTGCAGTTCCGTGCCACGGCTGCAGAGCTCTCCCAACTCTCGGCGGGGGTGGAAGTGACGGTGGACCAAACGACGACTGGCCAGGTGGAGGGCTGGGTGGGATGCGAGGTGGGACAGCGAGGGGGACGAGGGCGGGTCAATGGGCGGCGGAGGGCTGGCGACAGCAGTGATTGTTAAGACTAGCCTGAGATGCAATCGAGAGATCGTTGGAAAGGGATGGGCGAGGTGTTGCTGGAGAAGGTGTCGTTTGGGCGGTGCATGAACTTGCTGTCGCTGCTGGGCTTTCTTCGGGCCACCTTCCGACTCCCGCTCCCGCGTTTCACGTGACGTCTCGACTCCCGTAAGCGACGCGCTTTGCCTGATTGGGAATGGAGCGTGAATGGGAGGTGCCGTGTCACTTCACTACCAGGTATCGACCAAGACATACATTCTGAATCCAACTATCTACGCCAAAGAGCCTAGAACTAAGCCACCAAGTTCACCAGACCGTAGCACGTCCATCCATATCGTCTCCATTCCAACTACAGTCCACAATGCTCGCCTCACCCGAATATCCTCGTGAAGACTTGTGCCATCGCCTCTGCGTCTTGCGCTCTGGCCTCGCCAGCCTCCATGCGTACACGCACGCTCTGCACAATGGCCCCGATACCAAGTGTCTCCATGCGTTTTGGGTCTTCACCTTTTCCTTCGGCGGCCTTGACCAGGGCATCGAGGGTGGAGTGCACCGCCACTGCTGCTGACATCTGCCCGGCCGATGTCAGGCGCTTCCAAAGCGGCAGACGCTCACTTCCCTTGGTCAGCATCATCGTCATGGCCTGGTGTAGAGTTTCAGCTTGCGACAGCGCATCGACGTCCATGTGCTCCATAATGAGCGAGGCACCTTTCGTGGCGAAGCAAGCCTGTGCCTCCAAAGACTTCGCCGAAGTTAGGGTCGCGAAATGCTCTTCGAGCAAAGGATGCACGAGGGTCCTGCGAGCCAGACCAGCATCCTTCACGAATTCGTCTTGTTGCTCCTTTGTCAGCCACTTGAGATCTTTTGGGCGCTCGTTGGGCTTCAGCATCCCCCGACAATCCCATTGCGGCCAGGTGGACTCGGAGATCTCAATGATCCATTCCCTGCGCCTTTGTGTTAGTTGTTGAATCGCTGACAGACGGCATCACTCACGCATCGATAACTTTTTTTCTACCCGGCAGCGGGATTGACAACGTCCCATTTGGAGTCCAGTAATCGAACGGAAACTGATTGCCCTCGTTGTCGAAAACCACTTCGTTGTCGAGTATGCCTTGGCATTGCGGATAGAAGTCAGTCAAGTTGCCGCACACCGAGGGATCGCTGTCCCAGCACGCCGTCGCCTGGCCAGCTTTGTGGTCCCAGGCCAGCATGCTGAATTTCTGACCCTCCAGGGCCTTGTCGTACGTCTTGGACTCCTTGCTGCGGATGGCTATCCTCGGCTGCTGCCCGATCCCAGTGCCCAATCCATTATCATCGCGGATGAGGATCCATGCTACGTACAGGCAGCCAACGGCGACCCAGCCCGCGGCACACTCAAGGACGGACATGAATACACCCTGCAACGTGGTGAGGATACGGCATCATGCTTCATCGTTCGACTCCTCCACTCACTATACAGGCTGTCAGCAAAGCATGTATAGTCGCCGACTGGATAGGGCCTACCCATTGTGGAGTAATGTACGATGAGACGCCTGCGTGGTTGTGCGTAGGGATGTCAGGAAGGAAGAGAACCGTGGGTGCATTTTGAAGATGAACGCGGGTACGAGCCTCTTTAAATGCTGCTCTCTTCATGGCCAGAATGGACAATCTAGGCCCCATGATCCTTTGGTGGTGGACACTTCGCATGTTTGGGGCGTACTATCGATAATGTGAAGTGGTACGCAGGGCCTATTGTGTTGCGGCCAATGCTTCGGACTTCACGAGATTGCAGAGGTGGGTAAGCTTTCTTCGTCCTCATCGAAAATGGCAGCCTTGGAAGAGGGGATTAAAGCAGTCGTGAAGCCGGGCTAGGCTCACACCAAGTAGCGGGACCCACAGCCTTGCTGGATGTCCGGCTGTACTGTACCGTGGAAGTCGTGTGGTATGTTGTCATAAATTGGTATCACTTACCCGTAACCAATAGTGTCCCAATCGATATAGCTTATCCTTCCCAATGGATGCATCAGCCATCATACCAAGAGTGCGGAGTAGGAAACAACAGTGCGATCGTCATCACCTCAGTATCGGCCCTGATGTTCCGCCAAGCCCACAGGTTTTCGCATTCCTCACGAAGATACACATTATTCTGCAACAAAATGTCGAATATCGCGGAGGTCGCGTCTCCATCGTTACATGACCTCACTGAGTCCTCTGACACGGCGCGATTGGAACCCATGCTGACCAAGCGCGGATCGGTCTTATTACATATGTCCAACCGGCCTGCGAAGCTATAAGGTACAGATACCAGTGGCCAACCAGACGCGGCCGCGAGTACCATGCTGCCGCCGCCATTCATCAACCCCAAGGCCGTGAAGGCTTACCACTCGCGTGCCAATAGTGCGGGAGATGTGCCGCCCACCACGGCCATCTCGGACCCGTCCAATGCGGATGCGTTCCTGGGTCAGGCCGTACGAGATGCGGCATGAGCCTCGATATGTAAGCCAACAACTCCAATTCCCGTACCCGCTGCCCATCGATCCGCGCGGAATCCAGCGGCAGAGTCTGCGCACGCTACTGATGTGCCATGTTTTCGATGTCCATCGAGAGCCTCGAGCCCTTGCTAAAAGGAGGCAGGTGGCAAGAAGGCTGAAGAGTGGGCCGCTTGGTGGTCGTTGATGATGAGCCGGCTCATGGACCCCAACAAGACTCCCTCCAGCAGTGAGTGTTGGCGCCTGGTGGGCAACGAAGAAAGTGTGAAGGGAGCTTCACGGCGGCGAGCTGGCTCGCTTCATGATTCACGACGAAATCGTCATCGAGGGGTATCATAGCGTTGTTTAAGTGCTCGGTAGCGTTTGAGATAGTACCTGCGTGGCATTAGAACACGAACGGAAGAAACAACTCGAGCATCGAGGCCAGTACTCACAGAGCTTCAACTTCTACACGAGTTATCCGTTAGCTCGATGCCCAATATCAATGCCACAGATGAGAACACGACGCACCTTTCTTCACATACTCGGCCTGCTCAATCCCCTTTTGGATCTCTTGTCGGTCCTGCAGTCCAGATTTGGCGCGGAACGCTTTCCTTAGGCCGTTCTTGAAGTAGTCATAGCCGAGTGGGTACTCTCTTCCGAGATAGAGGAGCTCTACATGGATCACGTCAGTGAATGGGATCTGTGGCAAGAGGAGCGATGTCCGCTTCGTCACGTGCCTTTGTAGATTCGGAAGACTTCGTATCGAAGGGGGTTCGAAGCGGCCATGATCTTTGCCTGCGGGTTTAGTTTCGATTTGTTGCTTCTGCGGATGAATTGGTTGATGGTGTTTCGAGGTTTTGGGTATCGTCATGATTTATCGAGAGCATTGCGGAGACGGGTGCTGCCGCCGACCTCGGATGTCAATGGCACGCTACCGCGCCGGAGATTCTTCCCATGACCAACATTGAATGTAGGTAGTCGCGGAACTACTGACGATGATAGTCCGTGCGAACTCCGTGGTACTATAGCTGGCATTTTCGAGGCAGAATGCGCCCGACCATCCATGCGCGCAGCTCCCTGCTCTCTTTCAAGCGGCCATCGTACAGCCTGCCGATATGTTGGACCTTTCCGCAGAGACGACACCGATCGACTGAAGCAACATCGACTCCCGAACCCGTCCAACCCTCCTTGAACCCGCGATGGTTGTCGGATGTGAGGCTGCGAGTAGGCACGTGCCTGATGCACGGCGTACAGCCGGAGCAAGTCAAGGAAGCGGGGGAGATATTGCAAGAGGTAGCGCGGGATTGGCGAGAGCTGTTGCTGGGGAGCGAGGGCTATCTCACGGGGCCGACGAGGCGGGGCTTGTACAGACAAAGAGTCGTGTGGGGTGAAGAAGACTCGATGGTACGTTGATCGACCTGGGGCAACAGACGTTCCTCAGCGGAGGAGATGTGTGTTGAAGGCGGAGCAGGTTGGGCTAAGACAGAGGCAAAGGGACACGTCAACAACGTGCAGTACAATCGATATGCAGAGAGCGGACGGATCGAATGGGCGCAGAAGTATGGCAAGTTTATCGATCCGGCGAATGCGAAAGATTGGTGAGCATACACATGGGCGCTGCAGCGTGACCGGTTCAGCATTGTTGACTCGCACTCATCGCAGGTATGGGTTGATGAGGCCGACCAAGACGGGCTTGATTTTGCGGAAAATCACGACTGACTTCAAATTCGTATGTCGTTCGTGTTCACCCCGGTTTGGCCCGTTGCACATCTGTTGACTTTGGATCCACAGCCGATGAAATACCCCGATCGGATATCGGTCTATCACAAACTGGGGAATGAGCCGACGGAAACAATGGAGGCGTTTCACTTCGACGCGGTGATTGTTTCTGAACTACACCAGCGGCCGGCCGCACGGGTGGTGGAGGATTGCGTGTTGTACGATTACTCGAAGGGGAAGAAGACCACGCTGCCGCCGTTGATGCTTGCGGTGCTACAAGAAACCTGGCGGCTGCAGGAAGAAGCGAGGCGGACGAATAGTGAACGAGTACACGGTCTACTCGATCGTGTGCGGAAGCTGGAACGGGAATCATGGGATAGAGGAGGCTCTCGATAGATGCGGCCGGGAGGATGAGCAGGCGCGGTAGTGAACGGTATTTGCCTGGTAGCCACTGAGACGACGCATACTATGCTGTCCATAGCCTGGGAGGAGCCAAGGACTAATCGATCATACTTGCCCGGTGATGATGAAAGAGGCCATGGTGATGACCGGTGAGAAAAGTGGAGTCTGCAGGCTCCGAGTGGCCAGGTAGTAAGACCAGCCAAGCGATTAGAGCAATGAGGACGGGGTTGGTTTTGGCGGGCCCCGCAGCAATCAACCCGACGCCAGTGAGGAGTCGTAGCATATGGAAGGGTGCACCATACCTCAAGGTACCTTTGCAGTGGTTGGCCGGGGTGGGAAAGGTAGACCCAAGACGGATGCTTGTCCGGGTGGAAAGGGTAAATGATGTACGACTTGCTTCTTCGGCTGCATGTGCGGGCGCTTTAATGATCGACAAACACGTAAGCACCGCCAGGCCGATTTGGGCGCGGGAGGGTGTGAAGCAATCAATTCCAGTCAGATCGGGGGGATCATGCTTCGGTCGCCGACTGATGGGCTGACGGGCTGACTTGTCTTGCTGCCCAACACGATCAGAAGCTGATGTGGTACGAGAGTGCAAACAGACATGCCGCATGGATGCAGCTGAAGGGAACACGAGCAGTGGGAAGCGATCGTCATGAGAGGGAATGTTTGGGTGTTCCAATCGCAAAACTCTAATCAAACTCTACCGGTAGCTGCCGAGACGAGCCTACCTCGCACGTTAGTCACACTCACGCTTGGAAAAGAACTGGCCGCTGCTATTCTACCTCTCTCACACCCCCCGACTGCAGCATACGTACCTCGCCGCCTCCGCCGCATCACTAAACCATCATCCCTCTTCCGCTCCCCCACACCTGCCTCCCTGCTGGCTCGTCTGGGTGACAACGGCGAGCCAGAAGGGTTGAAACCGCGCCTGGCGGTTCATGCCTCCCAAGGGCAAGTTGAAGAACGCACCGAACCAGCACGACAAGCGCCACGAAACCGGCCTCGCGCAGCCGGGCAAGCGAGTGGTCAAGTCCGCCTCGAATGGGCAGCCCGTCGCGGCACACGCAAATGGCAAGATCGCCTCCACCCTTCCACCGTCCACTACTCTCCTCCCCGCGACTGCTCTAGCTCAACAATCTTCCGCTCACCCCGCCCTCACCCCCGACTCCTCCGACCCCGGCGACTTCACGCCGGACCATGCGACAACCCCGGAGGACACGGAAAGAGAAAGTGTGGCTGCAGATCCGCCGCCCGATGATGCGGGTTCCGGTGTCGATATGGGTGACGTACAATCCGAGCCAGCACATGCTGCCACGCCCGCCGAGGCGACTGCTCCAGAAGTGCGAAGGGACACGTACTCCAGCACTACTGCAGTGACCCCTCCCGCCGTCTCGACACTACTGCCTTACTATCCACTACGCGACGCCATCGCCCTCCTCATCCTCCTGCTGTCTCTGCCCCCCACCCTGGTCCTCGTCATTCAGACCCTCTTCGCTTCCCTCACCTTCGTCCCTCCCACCGCCAGCATCTCGATCGCCACCCTGCCCAACATCAAGGAGATGTTCAACTCCTCCAACTTCGGCTATCCCGCCATGGCCACCATCCTGATCGTCGACTTGATCTTCTGGGTATGCTGGCTGCCCGTGTGGAAGCCGATCCAAAACATCTTCCTCGACCTGTCGCAAGCTGTCATCGCCATCTCCCTCAGCGGCGCTGCTGCCGGCACCGGCGGGCCGACGTACAGCATTGCCACCTGCACCGCCATTGTCTGTGCCGTGCACGTGCTGCGGTATAAAGCAATCCATCTTACCGCCCTGGACTACCTTCGATCCGTCCTGCACAAAGCAGCCCTCGACATGCAATTTGACGTTCCGCTGTTTGTTTCAAACATCACCTCCCCACCGTCCGTCGATAGAGGATGGTTCCACACCATCGTTCACACCATCCTTGGCATTCACATTGTTTCACAAGGCGTCACCACCTGCGTTCGTCGCATTCTCGTCCAGGCCAACCAGCAGAGCGCAGGCGTTCCGGCCATTACCAAGTCCGATGCCGAGGCCGTCGTCGGCTCCGAATCGAACACTCGCAGCGGAAGCGTCGGTGCAGAAGCCGCTCCGTACCACAACACTGCGCAGACTCTCGATGCGACTCAGAACAAGTCGCTGTCTACTCATCGCGACGGCAAGATTCGCGAGTCGGCGACCAAGAAGAAACGCAAGCAAGCCAATCAGGTTAGGAGCCAGCAACCGCTCTGGGCCGCCATCGCCAGCACAAAAGTTACCTTTGTCAAGGAAATGGAGCACCGGGATGCTTTTGATGACGCACGCGAAGCTGCGAGGATGCAGTCGGATTCCGGCACCATTCCCAGTCACTCCACTCAGACCACAGGCCGAATCTGGGTCTGCGAAGTCCGCGACACCGAAATTCTCTTCAGCGTTGAGGTTCCCCGCACCACTACCCAGTGGACGGGGCAAGAGGCGGAGGATGCAAGCAGTCAAGCCGCGGGCATTGACAAATCGAAGCCATTCTACATCCGAGTCAACGGTGCAGCGTGGAGATCCGTCCGAATCTCGTCAAACACGGTCAATGATGCGTTTGCGGCCGATGATGACCGGTATGATGGCGAGATCTTCGGCCTGGCGCCCTTGAGTAGCTATTGCTGTGAGATTGTCAGCGCAGCGACACATCAAGTCCTCTGCTGCGCCAGCATGATCACCCAAGCCGCACCCACCGATGAGCAAGCCGCAACAGCATCTTCACAAGCACCACACCAAGCCTTCCGGCCATCTTCGCCGACCACCACCCTCAAGCAATCGATCCAGCAAGCCGAAGCGAAGCTCAACGAAACCCGCAATCGCACGCGAAAGAATAAGAAAGACCAACGTGCAATGCATTCCGATATCAAGCGGGAAATTCACACGCTTCGAAGCAAGCTCGAAAGCTCCGGCGGGACGGATGACAAGCAGGAACGGAGGTTGATGCAGATTACCCAGCACAAGAACCAGGCTGAAGAGGCCGCTGCTGAGATTAAGCAACAGATCGAGGCTTTGGGAGTCATTCCGGAGGATACGATTACTGAGTCGGAGGGCAAGCGGAGGAAATGGCAAGCTGCGTTGGATGCGAAAGACGCCGCCAGCAAAGCCTTCGATCGGGCTCGCAACGAGGCCGATCGTGAGACCAGCGCGCTCAAGTCCGAGATCAGCCAGACCGAGTCGAAGCTCGAGAGGGTCGCTGCTCGTCTCACCCAGCGCACGCAGGAATTCGATGCCCTGGTGTCGAAGCAACAAGCCGACTCGAGCGCGAAGCAGAGACGGGAGGTGGAGCGAGCGCAGACCGTGCAGCGCCGCGAAGACGAAGAGAGCCAATTCCGGCACCATATCGCCACGTTTGAAATGGAGTTGGCAAGCGTGCAGCAGAAAGCGCAGGACGCCTATCAGGAGATTGCCTCTCTGCAAAGCTGGCCGACTTCCTCGCAAAACGCGGCGTATGCCACCGGCTACTCCTCGCCTCCCACACCCGACAACGCCTTCCCTCACACTGCTCGCAACGGCTCGATCTCCAGTCCACATCAACTCAATGGCTTCCCCGCCAACCAATTCGGCCCTCACCCTCCTGCGCACTCATACCAGACTCCTCACCACTCCGCGCACCCCTCCTTCTCCATCAACAACACCCACCAGCAAGCCGGCGCCGCCGCTCGTGGCCGCAGCTCCTCAATGCTTAGCCAGTACTCCGGCTTCACGGACAACGGCGACGAGTACGCCTTTGCCCCGGAGCACCTACACCAGCAGCAGCATCAGCCGCATCAACAGCCGCACATCCGCGCGCCGCACTACAGCTCGCCTCCCACCGCCGCCGCCGTGGAAAATACACATGCTGTCCTGGGCGCGGATCGCTCGGGTTCAGCGTCGGTGGCGAGTGGCAGTGCCGGCTCGAATAGTCCTCGTCCGTCGGATGCGCGGCCGCCTTTTGCTGTCAAGCCTATTGGACCGCCGGGCAAGGGAAAGGAGAAGATGGGGATGTGGCATGTTGAGAACAGTAGTGGGGCGCCATGAGGTGCCTTGGTGGTTGTGCCTAGGTCGCTGCGATCGCTTCGTTGCAATGAGACTTTCGTACTGTGTCTATTGTATTATTCCCACTTCTGTTGTCACGGGTATTGTGAGACGTGAAGCTAATCGCACAAATCTTGCTGGGCTGGTGGTATACGACTGCTCGCGCAACACGGCCCCACTTTGTCCATGGGAAACCGGTTTCCTGCCAACGCCTTGCCCAACCCTGCTTCCATCCCAGTTGCCTACACTTGGTATTCCACCGTAGAGATCCTCGCTGAACAACTTGCACTTTGCCATTCTCAATGTGTAATATCAATTGCGCGCACAGAAAGGCACAATGCCGGAACAAAAGTCCGCGTTCGATACGCCGTGGTCAGTGGCCGTTGAGTATCCATTCAATCCAGCCGACATTCCACTGATAGAAATGACGGCAGGTTTAATGCGCAAGATGCCGGCTGGTTCAATCAGTTGAACGTATGCCATTCCACCATCTCACCCCAGGACCAACAACAACCGGCGCTAACCCGCAGCCTTGCAGAAATCGAAAATCCCCCGGCTAGTCCTGACGGCCGAAACGGAAGACTTCGACGACGAGGTTGTCCGGCAGTTCCGCGATGAGGGCTTCGACACCGCCTACGTGCCCCTGCTGAACGGCGGGAACGACTTTGTCGAGCGCGTGCATCGCGCCGGCGACAGTTTCGGGGTGGGAGAGTACTATGGCATCGTTGGTAAAGCGTTGTCCATCATCGACACCAATAACGGACAAACAGACTAATACCCATAAGCTTACGGCGACGCAGCATCCCTCATGCTAGAAGCACATCTCAAACCCAACAATCCGCGCCTCGTAGCAGTAATAGCATACTACCCCACCACCATCCCGTCAGTCAACACCAAATTCCCCCCAAGCGTCAAAGTGCTCGTCCACCTAGCCGGAAGCGAAGTAGGCGTGCGCCGCACCACCGAAGTCCTCGGCATCCAAGGGAAGCGCAAAACGGTGCGCAAGCGCATCGATCCCGGCGAAGGGCACGGCGGGAGTTTGAAGCTGGGCTACCAGGCTTACACGTACGGCGGTGCGGAGCCGGGGTTCGCGGAGCACGATTTGGAGGAGTTTGAGGGTGTTGCGGAGGGGGTGGCGTTTACGCGGACTCTGGCGACGTTGAGGCAAGCGTTTCGCATTGAGGGGGGTGTGGAGGGGGTGAGGGATGGGTTTGTGGGTGCTAGTGGGGCGATCGGGGGCGGGAGGGGGGTGCAGAGGGAGAAGGTTGTTGGGCAGCTGAGGGAGTTTGCGAGCGTTGTTCATGCGCCTACGTTGACGGGGGGTGTTGGGAGGAAGGATCTGGAGAGCTTCTATGCGCGCTTCTTCGCGCCGTTGCCGCCTTCTTTTGCTGCGAGGTTGTTGTCGAGGACGATTGGGACGGATCGCGTGGTGGATGAGTTGTTTGTGAGTTTTACGCATTCTTCGCCTGTGCCGTGGATTTTGCCGGGGATTCCGCCGACAAATAAAGCGGTGGAGGTTGTCGTTGTTAGCATTGTGTGTGTTCGTGGCGGGAGGGTGGAAAGCGAGCATGTGTATTGGGATCAGGCGTCTGTGCTTGCGCAGATTGGCCTCATCAATCCCAAGGCTGTGTCGGAGACGATGAAAAAGAAGGGGGTGAAGAGCTTGCCTATTGTGGGTGCTGAGGGCGCGAGGGCGATTAAGAGGGGGAGCAGTAAACATATGAACGCGTTGATTGCAGACTGGTAGGATGTTAGTCCTGCTAGCAAGTGTTCTATCTTTCTCTCACAGCAAGGCCCGATTGAAGGCGGCGCTTTTTTGTGCTTCGTCTGGAACTTCGTTCCTCTCAGTCGTTACCTCATGTCTTTCGTAGCATGCTCGTTCCCAGCAGCGTAGTGATGCATCTGTCTTTCGCTTCAGTCCCACCTCAACACATCAGCCCCGACTAAGCCCATCGGCTTATCGTTACCCGCCGCAGGTTTCAGCCCACCGCAGAGGCCGCAGCGTCCGGCATCGCCAGCATTGATGTACGCGGACCCGTGGCATTGACTGCTTTTGCAACGCCAGTGGCTCTTCATGAGAGAGGGTTTTAGGACGTGTGAGCAGGCCATGCATGTTGCGGAGCTCGCTTCGTTATCCAGAGAACAGATTGGGCATGTGGACACATTGGAGCTCGTTGTTGTCTGATGAGAGCTGGCAGTGGTTGGCACGTCCCGGATTGGCGATGTCTTGCGCTGAGGGGGTTGGTCGCTTGTCGCTTGAGTAGGTGAACCTGTGGCGAGGATATCGTCGCCGACAGTTGTAGCATCAGCGGATTTGACTGCCGCGTTGACATCGTTCACTTCCTCCTCGCCCTCTGTCTCTGAGCCTTCGTCCTCGAGACGCTGGCGGGTTTTGGCATCGACGCCTTCCGCCGCTGAAGTCGTATTCGCCCCGATCATCTTCAGCTCCTCCATCTCCTCCTCACCACCCTCGTCCTCTCCGCCCTCATCGCCGCATACCTGATACAAGTCACGCCCCCGTTGATCCTTAATCCTCACGAGCGTCTCCAGTATGTTCAGTCCGTCGGCATATGGATCGTCCAAATCTTCCTCCGACTCCGTCTCGCTATCGCCATCTTCAATCAGTTCAGGCGTTGTGTCTGTCGTGCGTTCTCGTGCTTGTTGGTTCTTGGCCGCATCGAATCTCGCAAGGGCAGCGCTGGCTCTGAGCTCCCGTCCGCGCTTGCTGTTGGCGACCCTAGGCTTGCCTGGCCGGCTTTTGCCTTTCTCCAGTGCACCCCTGACGAGCTCATCCTCGCCCAGATCATGGCCCTCGCCGTGCTTGCCGAACTTCTTCTTGATGCGCTTCTGCTGCCTCTCAGCGTACGTCGGTCGAGCAGGGTCGGCGTCGCTCTGGCCTCGTTTGCGCTTCCTGCCCCGTCCCCGACGGTACGTGCCTCCGCACAAGTGCTCCGGAATGTCTGCGTCATCCGGCATACGATCGTGAACAAAGTCGCCACTGATGAGGTTCTGTCCTCTGCCCCAAACACCTTCACCCTCATACCTCTGCGTCCACAGTTCCTTCATGTGGTCGGCATACTGGTTCCTCACCTGCCAGAAGGCGCGAGAGTGGTTCATTTGCTTGCAGTGTGCCAGCTCATGCATCATCACCATCTGCACAAACTTGAAGCTCAGCCAGCGGCCGGACTTGTCCTTGAGTACGAGCTGGACGACTTCGCCGGCGTTGAAGTTGCGGCCGAGGAATTCTGGGTTTGGTGCATACTCCTCAAGAGCCATGACGCTAATGTGCTCTCGCTTCATGACGGGATAGCATTGTGCGGCGATCCGCTCCAGGAAGTCCTGGGCGATCTTCTGGTCTTGGGGAGAGTTTGAGGGAAGCGGTTTGATGAAGTTGATGTGGGCATTTGGTCTTTGCGAGCGCTCGTTGAGCCGCTCGAAGCCAAGTGGCATCGTGGCGGCAGGTTGGTGCGGTGGCGATTGTGTTGTAAACGGAGGTTCGAGACAGGCATGAAGTCAAGGGTCTGCCTAATTTGTGGGAGACGCGCCGCAAACGCGCTTACGTCAGGGACTTTCGTGACGGGATTTGTACAAAATTTGGCCCGGGCTTTGTGAATATTGATTAACCAACACATTCACAGTCCACGATGGCTCGAGACGATGCTGCGCTGTCACTCAAGCGCAAACGAGACGGAGAACCGCATCCAAATCTCCAAGCCAAACGGCAAAAGCTGATCGAAGGCCGCCGCAACCTCCCAATATGGAAGCAGCAGGACGGGATCCGGAAGGCTTTGCGCCAGCATCAAGTCTTGATTCTATCCGGAGAGACAGGGTCGGGCAAAAGTACGCAGGTGCCGCAATTTCTGCTCCAGGAAGCCTGGAACACAGGCAAAATCGCAGTCACCCAACCGCGGCGAGTGGCAGCCATCACGTTGGCTCATCGCGTGGCGGACGAGGTGGGCACGCCTTGCGGTTCGTCTTCTCCGGCGAGTAAAGTGGGCTACAGCGTGCGGTTCGACGACTCCACCAGTCCTTCGACACGCATCAAGTTCGTCACCGAAGGCATTCTCTTGCAGGAGATGCTGCGGGATGCGACGCTAGGGGAATACAGCTGCGTGATTGTGGATGAAGTGCACGAACGCAGCGTCAATGTCGACCTCCTTCTGGGGTTTCTCAAACAGCTCTTGATGGGCCGCACGAAACGCCAAAAACCGTTAAAGGTCGTGGTCATGAGCGCTACTGCCGATGTGGACAGTATTTTTCGCTTCTTCACTACGACTGACGGCCCTGCAAATGGACTGGACCCTGCTGAAAACCACCTACCAAACGGCAACGGTGAAGATGTGTCAAAACACTCCCAGACGAACATCAAAGTCGCCATCTCGCACGTCGAAGGACGACAATACCCGGTCAACATGCACTATCTCTCCAAACCAACCAACGATCTGATCGATACCGGTCTGCAACGCATCTTCCAGATCCACTGCAAAGAACCCATGCCTGGCGATATCCTCGTCTTCTTGACCGGCCAGGAGTCTATACAAACCCTTCAAAAGCTTGCAGAGGAGTTTGCTGAGAGTCTAGGCCGTGAAGTGCCAAAGCTCTTGGTCTTGCCACTCTTTGCTGCCCTCCCGCAAGCAGCGCAGCAGCGTATCTTTCTGCCCGCACCGGCCAATACGAGAAAAGTCATCTTGTCTACCAACATTGCTGAAACTTCCGTGACAGTGCCCGGTGTACGGTTCGTCGTGGACACAGGGAAAGCCAAGATCAGACAGTTCCGCAGTCGGCTGGGCCTGGAGTCTTTGCTTGTCAAGACCATCTCCAAATCGTCGGCCGATCAAAGAAAGGGGCGCGCTGGTCGTGAAGCTCCCGGTCAGTGCTATCGCTTGTACACCGAGGACGGCTACAAGTCCTTGGAGAAAGACAACACCCCCGAGATTCTGAGGTGTGAATTAAGCCAAGCGTTGCTCAATATGAAGGCGAGGGGCGTGGACGATGTGCTCAACTTCCCGCTCCTGACACCACCTCGCCGTGAAACGATGGAAAAGGCGCTTCTTCAATTACTACAACTGGGAGCCCTTGACGAGAACGGAAAAATCAGTAAGACTGGCCGGCAAATGGCACGCCTACCCCTCACTCCATCTCTCGGTCGCGTTATCATCGAAGCCGCGAGAGCAGAAACCAGCTGCCTTCTCGAAGTCATCGACATCGTCGCTTGTCTCAGCGTGGAGAACATCTTCCTCAACACGGACACCGAAGAAGCGAGAGAGGAAGCGCAGATCGCGCGCTCCCAGCTCTACCGCAGAGAAGGCGACCATCTGACTCTGATGACGGCCGTCAGAGCTTATGCCGAAGCGGACGACCGCCGCCGCTGGTCCGACAAACACCTCATCTCGCACCGAGCCATGCAAAGCGTGATGGATGTGAGGAAGCAGCTACGCGCACAATGTCAAGCTGCCAAACTTACGGACGGCGACAAGACCCCGTCCGCCTCTGCTTCCGCGGAAGAAGTGGCTGAGAACATCCTCAAGTGCTTCTTGCGCGGCTTCTGGAATAATGTTGCTCGTCTGTGTCCGGACGGAAGCTACAAGACTTTCGTCGGGAATCAGACTGTTGCTATCCACCCGAGCAGCTTTCTGTATGGCAGGAAGACTGAGGCGATCATGTACAATGAATTCGTGTATACCAATAAGACTTATGCGAGAGGCGTGAGCGCCGTGCAGGTGCGATGGCTTGACGATATCTTGGGGTGAGGACGGGATATGTATCTGGCGATATACAGCGTCTGACGTAGGAACTCTACACTATCTTCTACGCCCACCACCAACGTTATCGCCTCCACCTCGTTGGTCAAGACTGACGACTTCGCTGATCCCGGCGGCTTCCTGCTCATCCTCCAAAGCCTGAATCTCCTCTCTGTCATCCCACCACTGTAGCTCCGCGCGGTCGAACGCTCGTTTGCGCAGCTCCTTCACCGACAGCTCTGCAGCTCCTTGCTCGTACTTTCTCGCTTCGATGATTACGTCTTGCCAGTCGTTGGTGGTGCGGGCGAAGAAGTCCCGCAGGGATTCGAATGGGCGGGGATGCGGGAGTTGATTGGGAGCGGCAGCTGGCTCTGACTCGACCGTCTCTGGCTCAACTTGGGTGTCGGGTAGCGCTGTCGGCAACTCTTCCGTCGCGACAGAAGTCGCTGGCGTGCTTGGCTCCGTGCCGTCCTCATTCTCCTCTTCCGAGTCTTCTCCCTCATCGTCATCGTCTTCTTCACTGTCCTCGTCTTCGCTTCCTTGCCAATCCTCTAGCTCGCGTTTGAAGACTTCCTTTACGCCGTCAAGTTTCCCGAGATCTATCGCCCACATTTCATCGAATGTAAACTCCCGGTCCCCCTTTTCGAAGGTGCCGCCGAAGATATAGAGTGTGTCGTCCTGCACGGCCAGCTGAGCATTGAAGCGCGGATGCGGCATCTCCCAAATGACCGGTCTTTCAATCTTCTCAACCCTTTCCTCGGGATCCTCGTTGACCGTAGCATCGAGAGTCTCGCTCGAATCCCCATCCAGCCCATTCGCATTCTTGTTCTCAATCAGCGATAAGTTGCGCAACAGCTCCTCCTCATCCGCCTTCCCGCGACCCCGCTTGCCCCTCTCCGCCACAGGAACCATCTTCTTCGCCGACGTCCGCGGCCTGCGCAGCGCAAGCGGAAAAAAGCGATTCCGATCGATGTTGTAAGCAAAGAGCTGGTTGAAAAACTCACTATCAATCCCCTCCTCAGACTGCTCGACATCATGCACCCCGCCAAAACAGATCCCACGGCCTTTATGATAGGCCATGGTGGCGCCCGCGCGAGCGGGATTGGGCGTGTTCACCGGGCGTTTGCGTCGCTCCCATCGCGCCGTGGGTGGAGTGCTACTGGGCGCCTCCGGAGCGGGTTTCGTGATGCGCAGGAACCAGGTGTCCTGATGTACGACGGGTTTCAGGGTGATTTTCGACACTGCTCGCCCGCCTTTGGTCGCTTTGGCTGTCGTTGTTGCCGCTTTGACGCGAGAGTAGCCGCCGTACAGCACAGCGCCGGATTCGTGGGGGAGGATGGAGAAGGAGGAGCGGGCGTCGGGTTTTTGCGCGGCGGGCGGGATGGCGGGGCAGTGCCAGGTGAAGTTTTGCGTATCGTAGAGCCTTGAGCGTAGATGTTAGTGAGGTGTGTTGGTGTCAGAACGGAATGAGAGCAGCTCACCACACGTCTTGCAGGTACTTTGTCTGCTGACTGGTATCCTGAAAGCCTCCGAACAACACAATGTAGTTTTTGTAATACGTCATGCGATGCCCGCTGCGTGCAGGCGGGCCATGCTTCGACTCAATCTTCGTCCACTCCCTCGTGCTCGGCTCCAGTCTCCAAAAGTCATTGTAGTGGTAGAAAGTGCCTTGCTTGGGGGATGAAAACTCCCCTCCAAAAAGGTAGATCCCGCCTGCATTCCCTCCTTGACACATCGCATGGCCGGAGCGAGGAAGTGGCGAATTAGGACTGTTAACCCGCCTCCATTCGCCCAGATTAAGCTTGTAAATATACAAATCGTTGAAGAAGACCGCTAGACTGCCGTTGTAGTACTCCCCTCCAAAGAGCAAGAGTTCATTGCTGTTGCTAGGCGAGGCAACGAGCGTAGCAGAGGAGCGCGGCGTCGGCGGTTCGCTGGGGATTTCGGTGACTTTAAGAAACTGTTCTTGTTGCTTTTGGTACGCGGCGAGGATGGCGTCGAGGTCGACGTCTTCGGCATCACTGTCGTCGTTCTCGTCTTTGCCTTTCTTGCTTTGCTTCTTTTCTTTCTGCGTCGCTTTCTTTTCTTGCTTCGTGGCTACTCGTGCCTTCTTGTCGGCTTTTTTCTTCTTCGTGTCTTTCACCATGGTGATGATAAGCAGGTCTCTTTGGGAGACGATGGAGCCAGTGTACTCCCCTTCTTGCCCCCGTTCTTGGCACGTGTTCTGTCCGGTATCTGTTCTAGTCTGGTCGGGACGATGACACTAAGGTGATATATCGGTTGAAGTGCGGTCGTGTGGAGGTGGGGCAAGATAAAATTGGGTCTACATAATGAATTTGATAAGGCGTGATAAGGTGAACGCTGAGGTGTCGGAGTGGTTAACGAGTCAGACTTGAATTACTCAAGCCCATCTGATGCCTTCGGGCGCGCAGGTTCGAATCCTGTCCTCAGCGCCATAGTTTTGCGGTCGAGAAGGCTGTTGTTAGCATGTGCACGCTTGTCGATACTGCTGTTTGCTTTTTTGGGTTGTCCAGTGGATTGTCAATCGTGGACTAATAACGAGTGGAAAGGCCCATCCATAGCACAAATTCGGTTATCACCAACCATACCAGCAGCACTGACTCTCTTTGTGCACCCGATATATACATTCTGCCACCCCTCCGTATCCCTAAGTCCGCTAAAAGTACAATGGCTCGAATCAGTGCGCTTCAACAAGTAGGTACTCATCCAACAGCATCACAACTTCCCAGAAATACACCCCCCAACAGCCCCCCAATACCGCTCCCCACCCTTCAACATCAAAGCACAATGCGCCGCGCCCTCAAACACAACCTCCTGCACCCTCTCATACCCCCTCTCCCTCGCCTCCTCCACATGCCCACTAACATCCTCCCAACGCACCATCTCATCAGCCTTGGAATACAAATACAACCTCCGCACGCTCGTAGGCACGACATCGGGATCATTGAGTCGTCGTCGAAGCTGAGAAACCGTGTCTTCTATTTTGAATAGATGGGTGATTGTCATGAGGAGTAGGACGGCGAGGTAGATGAGCCAGGAGGCTGCGGAGCGACTCCAGCTGCTAAGGGGCAGCGAGAGGGTTATAGCGCGCGAGACGGAAGAGACGTCGGCGCGGCCAGGACAACTGTCTAGAATAAGAGCGTCGAAAGGGAAGGTTGAACCCGTACGAGTGGTACGGAAGTCGACGATGAGCGAGGCTACGTTTCGCGCGCCGCCGTTGGAAAAGGCGTGCAAGACTATGGGCGGTTTGCTTCTGGAATCGCTTTTGTCGCGGACGAAAGACGCCAGGACTTCGTTCGCAGGGGCGATGTCGGCTCTTTGGATCATGCTGGCCAATGTGGAGCGGATGAGAAGCAGGGTTGCGTAGGGATACCGTTGCTGGTAGGCGTCAGTGTACTTGGTGATGTGTTTACTCGCAGCGCCGAGCCAGGAGCATATGACTATCAACTGGGGTGTACCGGGATCGGGAGCTCCAGGGCGGGCGTTGGCAGGGCGGTAGATGGCGACGAGGTCGTTGAGTTTGGTGAAAGAGGATAGCGATGTGTTGGCAGCCATTGCGAGATGCGGGCGTCCAGGATGATATCGGGTCGAGGTGCAACGATCGTATCTCAGGATGCTGGCAGGTCCTATATTGACCGCAGCCTGGGTGTCTCACATTGGACAGCTGTCCGCAATTTGTTCTGTCGAGTCAGTTGCGATGAGCAGCACAAGCTCATGCCATCAGGCTCAAAACCCTGCCGGACAAAGGATGTGATGTCGAGGTGTAGATCTGCCGACAAGGCCAGCTTGCCAGCTATTTAGAACCGCCGCAGCCGGCTGGAAAGCGGCTGGGTTGTTACGCATCAGGCTGCAAACGTTTACGAACGGGCGGGTGTCACTCGCCCACGCCTATGACTTACCTCATGATCGCTCCTCTTCTTCCGTAAAAAAAGAGCTGCTACGCAGAATATGTCAACAATGTTGACTCTGCCAGAAAATCAAAAAAGCAACACACACTTCGCACTCATTCTCCCCTTCAGCATCCCCAAGAAAAAAGGCACAGATTCCATCTGTTGAAGAAAATCTCTTGCCTTTGCAGAAATAAAGAAATAGCTGCCCCCCTCTCCTCGGTTGCTAAAAACCAAGGTGGAGCAAACAGCAAGGAGTATCTACAACTCTAGACCGGACCCCCCCATCCACTGCTCTTTCCCGTATGCGTATTCGAAGGGGCAGGCGGTGTTCGCGTGTAGGAATAATTGCAACGCGAGCGTTAAGCTCGCGGCCGCCCATTAATGAATAGCTCCCGCCCAACAACCCCGAGCAATGCACCATCGCTCATCTATAACTGTAGTGCAAGAAACGCCGCGTTAGTCATCTCCGGTCTGTTCCCAAGAATGTGGCAATTCGAAAGAACCACACAAAATCAAAAGGCGCCATACTCCTCCGGTAGTTCCAGGGTATAATTCTCGTCGTCCAGGCCCTGCAGCGCCTTCTTGCCCTCCTCCGACAGCGCCGGGCGGCCGTCGGATTCGGTGACGGTGGTGAAGTAGCGCGGCTGCCATTGCTTCAGCTTCTCCTTGCGGTGGTTCGCTTTTTGCCGCTGCGTCTCCTCTAGTTGCTGCTTTTGCGCCGTCGCGGTGGAGTACTGTTTGGCGAGGATGGCGTCGGTGACCTCGGCCCAGAATCTGCGACTTTCGTTCGGCAGTTGCTGCTCGATGGGCGGGCAGATTTTGCTCGCTTGTTGGAGCGGGTTGAGGTCGACGAGCAGCATCTTGTCGCTGTCGGAGACCTTTTTGAAGGGCGTTGCGCCGCGGGCGAAGTAGATTTGCTCGCGCCATGAGCCCTCTATTCGGCCGATGATGGCGCTGTCGGGTACGTCGGAGATTTTGGTGATGGAATCGGTCTTGTTGTCGAATTTGAACATGACGCCCTCCACTTTGTTCTGCGTCTTGCCAAAGTAGCCTTCTTCGAGGTAGTGCAGGAGGACTTTGATGCCCGTCTTTTCGCAGGTGATGGAGCAGCTGTCCGAGACGGTGACGTTGAGGTTGCCCCGGATGAAGCCTCCCAGGTAGGCGGCGGGATGTGTGAGGACGTATTCTTCGTTGTCGCGTTTCCTGAGGGTGATGAAAATGCCTTGGTTGTATTGGCCCGGGGTGACTCGAATGCTAGTGCCGGTGAACTTGGCGCTGAGCTGATCGTAGCCACAGGCGAAGACGCCCGTCTCGTGCGCCTCGTACACGAATGCGGAGACGGGAGGGTGATGCGAGGTCTGCTCGGTCAGGTAGGAGACCTTGCGCGGCTTCTTGGCCTTTTGTGAGGCGCCATTGGTTGCTCCATTGGTCTGAGCATCGTCGTTCTTGGGTGGCGTGGACGACTCATCCACCAGCCATGAACAGCGGAAGAACTCGCCGAGTGTGCTGTTGTAGGGCTTGCAAGGCTTGCCCTTGACATACTTCAGATCTTTCGTGAACCAAAACTTCAAGCAGGCCAGCATGCGCTGCTCGGCGTCATCGCTGTCGCCAATGGCGGCAAAGGTGTCCGGGCGATCGAGGTAGTTCCAGTACTCCAGGTTCGGCACGGGCTCCATGAGCTGGGCGGGCAGGCTGAAGCGCACGGCGGCCATGTCGGACACGCCGATGAACTTCTTGAGGATCATGAGGAAGGTCTTGAGTTTGCTGGAGTCATCCTGGACCTTGCCATCAGGCACGGCGGCCTTTGCGACGAGGTTGGAGTTGTCGACGGACATTGGGGTGGAGGGGCGGGAGGAGTCGGCGCTGCTGGCCATCACAACGCCATGAACAATGCAGGTCGGAGGAGGAGGGTGAAGGATAAGGGAGACAGAAGAGGTGGGGATGTTGTGTGGATGGGTTGAGGTAGAGTGGTTGCCGCCCAAAGTTTCTAGTCCTGCCGAGCCAAAGTTGCGGGGGTGATGTCATGCAATTCAGCACTAGAGGCTGTCCATGACGAGGAATACGCCGACGAGTTCGAGGAAGGCGCGAGGAAGGCGCGATGGAATGTGTTGCTCGTGTGCCTTGAGAGGAAGAGAAGAGCATCAACTCGGGCTGGTGAGAAGGAGGTTGAACTACGCGAGTCTGGGGACGAGACGACATCATAGTTAAGACGCAACGCGGAGACGGGCCTTTGCAGCTAATTGTTTGGGCACGATATCGCCTGCGCCACTCGGCGTCCACGAGGCCTCGACTGCAGTTGCGCAACGCCGCATTCACGCCACCACCAGTGCAGTGAGCCTCCACCACGTCCGTCCATCTCATACCATCATACGGGACTTGGACAGATGGGGTAGGTACATGCCACGAACGCAACAGTCAGTCAAAACACAGCGCTGTCGCAGAGTCGTCGGCATAGACAAAAGAAGCTCACCCGAGCCGCGGAAGCTGGCGACTGGAGTTGCCTTGCTTAGGTAAGGCAAGCTACAACCAGACCACACCTCTCCCGACTAATCCTTACCAACACTCCCTCAGAAACACCTTCAACCCTCTCCTCCCCAGCACTCGCTAAACGGAGAAGACGCCTCCCAGTCATCCGTCTCGCACAACAATGGCAGCCCGATTGCCAACCACCCTGCGATCCGCCCTCCTCATCCCATCCGCGCGCACCCTCTCCACCACCACTCGATCATCCCCCTTCCTCCAACATGCGCAACGAAGCTTTCAAACCAGCCGTAGAGCAATGCAAGAGGCTACCGTCCTACCCCCCAGAAGACCTGTCGGCGCCTTCAGAGGAACGTGAGTCCGCCCTTGCCATCCCCTGACCCGCTCAACAATGGGAAGCAAATAGAATACCAGTTGCTGAACATACACCGCAGTCTCTTCGGCTTCCTTCTCGGCTCGGTGATTGCGGGTGCTGGGCTGTACTACTACGTCATTGACGAGTACAAAGTGTCGAATGAACTCCTGACCGAAGACATCTACGTGCGTGCATCCTTGTGGCAGACACCCGTCCCGTCGCCTCTGCTGACTCAACCCAGGCTTTGCAAGCCGCCGTTCAACGGCTAGAAGGCTATGTCAAGAACCTAGAAGAGGGGGTCAAGGTGAAGAAGTGATGCATATCATCTGTAGATGCCCAATGCAACAGCAGCACCACGGATGCGAGGGGAGGTGTTTTCAACCAGATTCAATATGTTGTACCCAAGATCAAATACCCCCAAGTCGCACGCGGTATATCATATGACTATGTTCGTCACTCGCGCTGTCCGGGAAGCACTCCACTCGCCAAAGCGCCATGTGCAAGCATGCAGGCGCGTGCTTCTCCAGCTAGCTAAACACGACCATCCTCGCCAACATCTAAGCCTTCACCGCTGCCTGTACCTTCGAGCTGGCCTCGCCTGCCTTCTCCGCCGCAATCTTCGCCAACTTGTCGAGTTGCTCGCGTCGCAACTTGCGCATATATCTGAACAGTAGGATAAAGGCAATCTCCATGCGCTCCTTGGTCATCATCAGGATGCCCTGCACCAGGAAGCCCTTGATGAGCTGCGGCGCAATGCCTTTGAACAGACCGAGCGGGCCCTCGTGCTCCACAATGTGCTCCATGACTTCGAAGAAGGATTTGAAGGGTTTGCCCTTGCGGCTGGGTGGGGGGCGGGATTGGAGGCCGACTTTGGCGACAATGAGGGGTTGCGTGGCTAGCGTTGCCAGTCCCTTGGACATCGCGCCGAGGACTGTTCGAGTTCTAGTTAGCTGGCGACTCAAATCGCTGCTCTCGTGGTTCGAGGCACTTACGGAAAGCCTCGTGCGGTCTCAAGTTGACCTTGGTGGGGAACATCAGCTCTTTCAGGCGCTGATAAGCCCCGTACGTAATGGCCGGGTTGACCACCAACACCAAGCTCGCCTTAAGTCCCCTCCACAGCCCCGTGATGCCGTCCGGGCCATCGATGACCTCCTTCGCAGTCGCCAACATGCCCTTGCCCTCGCCCCGGGGCTGCGTCTGCTGCCTCGTCGTGATCACGGCAATGGGAATGGTGAAAAGCTGCGCCAGCGCGCCCGCAATCGCGCCCAGCGACAACTCCACCGCCGTCGAGGGGTTCTTCATCGACTTCTGCACCTTGTCAAAGTACAGCTGACGCACCGTGCTGTACCAAAAGAAGTAGGCAAAGTTGGTGCTGGCGACGCCGAGCAGCGAGCCCATGATGCCCGAGTAGAGGCCCTCGACGCCCTCGTCGGCCAGCACGGTCTGGATGGCATGCAGGGTGCCGGTGTAGTGTCGGTCCGGGTGCGGGCTGGTGTCGTCGGCCTTTCGCTTCACTTGCACTTGCAGCCGGGTCTTGACCATGTCCAATGGGTAGACGAGCGCGTTGGCCAGCACGGCGCCGGTGGAGCCGGCGATTGCGAGGCCCCATGGCGGGACTTCGCTCTTGGATAGGACGGCCATTGGGGCGGTGTGGAGGAGGGAGGAGGGGAGGAGGATGAGGTGCGGGTGCTGGGTATGTCGGGAGGTGATGCCCGGGTATAGGGCTGGCAGTGCTCGGGAGTGCGCAGCAGGTGGTGGGGGGTCGAACGGATGCGATCGGATGTGTGGGGGACTAAGGATACTGCGGTAGGATCATGGACAATTGCACGGGATGTCTCCAAGTCGTCTACTGCTCGAGGGTGTGGAAGAAGTAACGAGGGAGATGCAGCAGCTATGTCACCGAGCTGTCCCACTTTCCACCATCTGCCTATCATCGCCGAGACCTCGGTTGTCCAGCCCGGCCCAAGAGAGCGGGCTGGCCCGGCGATACTTCGGGCCTGGCGCAACTCTAATCCTCTCACTTCACCTTCCGACACCCAGCCTTCTTCTGTCTCGAGGACCTGTTGCAACAGAATATGCCACTCATTACACTTCCCAAGAACACCCGATGACCGCTCGTCATGACTCTGGTGACCATGTCGGGAGAGCAGCCGCAAGCACGAATCCGCAACATTCAAATGATGCACTTGACAGCGCAATCGCCGCTGCTGAGTCGGCCATACAGGCGTTGAAGTTGGCACAGGACCCTGCTGAGCGAACCCGATTGTCCAGCAAAGTCGAAAAGTTGCTGGCACAGATAGAAGCTCTCAAACTGGGCGGGACTCCCTCCAACGCATCCAATGCCGCGAGTAGACAGACCGGCACCATCGGAGCACAGAGGCGGTTGAAAGAACCTCAATCACAGCGACCATTGCCTAAGAAAGAACAGATCTTGCTTCTAAAATCCAGTTTCCTGCATGGCTTCAAGTTTCCACCCTGGACATCCACTCCCGTGGCCAAAGAATTCGCATTGGCCGACGGGGAGGAGTTGTTTGTGTATGTCCCCTCGACTGTCGTCCTCATCGTTCATCACCACTAACCATCTCTCCCTCTCAAAGCGACGACAAAGACCTTCCCCTTTCCGACTTCCAAGAGGGCATATCTGCGGGATGGAAACGGCCTGTGGATGCATTGCCCCCTCCTTCCTGGACGAGCGACCTTACTCAGGAGCCACTTGAGTCGACGAGTCATTCACGGAGCGTGAACTTGGTCCAAGATGCCGCCACCGACTGTTCCGTGGTGGCTTCGCTATCGGCCGCTTGGGCGCGTTTCGAACGTGGCCACCCGTGGGTCAACGAGCCTACCTTGTTTCCTTGCGCTAGCGACCATCTTGTTCCCGCCGTCTCGCCAAGTGGGAAGTACATCGCCCGACTGAACTTCAACGGCAGCTATCGCCGAGTCGTCATCGACGATCGACTACCCACAAGCTCAACCAATCAGATTATCCATGTCGTGGACATGAACAACCCTGCCTCTGCTTGGCCCGCGCTCGTCGAGAAGGCCTATCTGAAGGTGCGAGGGGGCTACGACTTCCCCGGCAGTAACAGTGGCACAGACCTGTGGATCATCCTTGGCTGGATCCCCGAGCAGATTTTCCTTCAATCGGGCGAATTTGATTCCCATCGATTCTGGGAAAGGATCTCGGGGGCATTCGGCTATGGTGACGTCCTGATCACCATGGGCACTGGTACGATGTCTTCCAAGGCCGAGCGAGAACTCGGACTAGCCGGACAGCATGATTACGCCGTGTTGGATGTCAAGGAAGTCGATGGGCAGCGGTTGTTCTTGGTGAAGAACCCGTGGCGTGATGGCACGAGCTGGCGGAGCAACACCAAGCGCGACAGCGAAGGCGATGCAACGACGAGGCGTCCATCTGTTGAAATAGGCCACGATGAGACAGCTGTCCGGAGTCCGAGAGACCTCATGAATGCAGATGGCCAGCTCACCCCCGGCACTTTTTGGATGGACCTCGAAAATGTGCTGCAGTACTTCGAGTCCATCTATCTCAACTGGAATCCGGGTTTGTTCACCATCCGGCAAGACCTGCACTTTGCATGGGATTTGTCGCCCAATCAAGACGAAACACCGAAACCGAGAGGACGTTGCGCGAGTCTGATCCGACATCCTCAATACGTGGTCAATGCGACGCGAGACGGGATTGTATGGGTATTGCTGTGTCGGCACTTCCAGAACGCTGTCCCTGCAGACGCCACCGCGGAAGAGATCGAAGACGACCGGTACGGCATTGAGCTGAAAGGCCACATCTCCCTCCAAGCCTTCTCCTCCAAAGGCCACCGCGTCCTTCTACCCGACAAAGCTCTCGAAAAGGGCTGGTACGTCGACAGTCCTCAAGTGCTACTCAAACTCGAATGCGAGGCGGGAAAACCAATGACGCTCGTACCGGGCGAAGACGGCCTCCCAGCCACAAAGCAGACCTTCACCCTCTCCGCATTCGCCAACTCGCCCTTCACCCTGGCCGACGCAAGCAATCCCTTCCTCCACACAACCACGCTATCAGGAAGCTGGACCCGCGAAACAGCCGGCGGCAACGCCCACAGCCCCTCCTACTCCACCAACCCCCAATTCTCCATCCACCTCCCGCACCCCACGCCCCTCAGCCTGCTCCTCGAAACAGCCATCGATACGCTCAACGTGCACGTCAAACTCGTGCACAGCAAAGGCCAGCGCATCCACTCCATCCGCAATCGCGACATCGTCTTCGACAGCAAAGACTACCGCCGCGGCTGCTCTGTCGCCGAGAGCCCCTCTGTCGCCGCCGGCCGCTACACCATCATCTGCAGCACATTTGAAGCGGATCAGCTAGGCGATTTCACGCTGTCGCTTCAATCGAATCATCCGACTCACGTGGCGCCACTGCCTAGAGAGGGCGCGGGACGAGTACGACTCGATCTCGGCACCGTGACGTTCGCTCCTGGACAAAGGACCATCATCGCACGACTGGCGACGAGCAGATTGGTGAAAGTGTACGCCGTCGCAAAACTGGTGGTGGGAAGGCAGCGGACAACAGAGTCGCATCGTTGCTTGATCCGGCTGAGCATCCAAGCTGGAGCTCGAGAGCCTAATCAACACGTGCTGGCTGTGTCGAATGAGGGCGAGTACTCTGCTGGTCCTGGCGGCATACGGACCGAGGATGTGGATATGGGGCCTAGTGGGGGGCGGAGGGGAGAGGCCTGGATTGTGCTGGAGCGCTTGTCGGCGGGTCTGGAGCATTGCGAGGACGATGTTTCTGTGGAATTGTTTTCCGACCAGCCTGATGGATTGACATATGGAGAGTGGCGGGCACGAGATGATTAGGTTGGATAACTTGCTCCTTCTTTAGCATTGGCGCTGGCGGCACGGTGTATTCAAATCAACATTCTCACATCTCTAAGATCGAAACCACAAATCTACACCTCCTCTGTCGCCTCCGGCCCATGATGCTCATCCTCACTCATCCCCCGCCGCCGCCGAAACCCATTCACCCTCGACTCCCCCCGACTCCGACTCCACACGCCCGAAGCATCACTCATCACACTCCGACTGCCCCTCCGCCGTCTCAACGCAGTAACGTAGTCCCCGCCATTCCACATCTCCCCGGACAGGATGTCGTCCACGTCGTCCATCTCGTCGATGATTTCCTGCGGGGGATCGGCGTCGAAGACGGCCTGCAGGTCGCCGTGCGCGCCCATGCGCTCCCACATTGCGATCCAGGAGTGGCGCATCGGGGGCGCGAGGTTGCGCGCGCGCCGCCAGAGGTATTTGCGCTCGTACAGGGAGACGAGGGCGAGGATGGGGGCGTTGGTGACGCGGACGGCGGTGATGTTTACTTTGTGGAACCTAGGCATTGCGGTTAGGGTGTGCTTCTTGAAGGTGTGAGGGCTTCGACTTACCATCTTGGCGTGAGGATGAATTTTAGGGGAAGGAGGATTATGAGGGCTAGGACGTTGAGGGGCGGCCGGTAGGCGAAGAGGGAGTCGGACTTGACACCTTCAAATGTCAACACCGCGCGACGGAATTGGATCTCAGCCGTGGCGTTCTGCGCGAGATTGGTATAGGTATTGCTCAGCATGGCGACCAAGATGGTCAAGAACAGTGTGTTTCCGAGGAAGGCAAACAAGATCATGAGCATGGGTCCGAGCAGCCAATGCATCTCGACCGACCGCTGCACACCAGTACCGTCCAAGCCGAACCAGATCCAGAGCATCCATTTGGCGATTGTGATGACATTGTGGGGAATGTAGCCTTCGCCGCTTTCGCTGAGCCAGCGCATGGCCATCAGGAAGCCGGCGAAGCACCACACGGCCAGCACGGTCAGGAACATGAAGTCGCTCATCATTGCGCGCAGGGCGATGAAGAGCATGCTTTCCGGCATGAGGCAGAAGGCGAGTCGGGGGAAGAGGACGGGAGCGGCCATTGAGATGATGTTGGACGAGAGCTGAGCGTATGATGGGTCGCCGAGTTTGAAACCTCGAACGCGTACACTGAAATAGGTGAGGAAGATGAGGGCGAAGGTGATGTCCAGGAAAGACCACAGGTTTTCGGTGTGGACGGTCCAGCCGTGTTCGCAGATGGACGCAATCTCATCCAAGACCCAGCCCATGGAGTAGATGATGAATACCAGTTCGGCAACGGTGAAGCCCAGGTGGGTAGGTCCGAGGGTGTGCTCTTTGTTAACCATCATCAAGATGTAGAGGGCGAGGAGAACGATGAACTGGCAGATCTCGATGATGTTGCGGGTTCTTGGGACACTCAGGCGGTATTGATTGAGGAGCGGAGCTCTTCGAGGGTCGTAAAGGGAGATGCCGCGATTCTTGTAGTGGTCCGGTAAGATGTCGATGAAGCTGGTGGGAGTGTATATGATTCGACCGCGATAGCTATGTAGCACCGATGGATTAGCATGGTTGCATTGGCGATATAAAACGGCGAAAGGGAATGCTCTCAAAGATTGAGAGGCAAAGAAGAGTAGACTTACACATTCTCTACAATCTTCTGACACGCCGAAGTAGACAAGAAGCCCTTAGCCTCCGACACAATGGCCACTTCGAGCGCCGTCAGCATTCGCTCGTACTCTGGACGAGCAAGATTGTAGCGAACGGTCCATGAGGGCACGGTCTTGTTGCGCCGAGCGATTTCCTCCGGCGCCATTTGGAAGGGTTCGAAGCCGGCGACGAGCACGTTTGCGACCATCAACAAGCCCGAGCGGCCCTCGTGGTCTTCGTCGTAGCGGCGCAGGACGCGGCTGGCGATCAGCTCGCACAGTGTTGCTCGGGTCAGGTTGACGGTCTGGTGATGGGCTTGGTAGGCTTGTTCGCGGAGGAACTGTACGCGGTTCACCAGGAGGCAATACACGATGGAGACATCATCGGGGTCGTACAGGTGGTCGACCAAAGGCCGTACGACGGCCACGTTCATCCGGGGACTCTTGAGTTGATCGGCGCTGTAAGGATCGTCTGCACTCAACCATCAGCATCCGCGGCGAAAAAAGGAAATGTGAAGTCAAGGAGCCCATCTAACCTATACTGGCAATCACCAGCCTCCGAATCTTATGGATCGTCGCATACACCGGCAAGCACTTATGCGGATTGGGCGCACGAGGCTCATCGTTGACCCGCGGCGGGTAGCAGCCATCGTCGTCGGCCTCCTCGTCGGCGCCCAGCAGCGTTTCCTGCTCGTGGCGCGAGCGCTCCAGGCGCAAAGCCTCGCTCACGCTCAGCGAGCTCTGGCCGCGCGTGGTATTGCGTTTGATGAGCGTTGGGCGCTTCGGCTCGTCGACGCGGATGTGACCCCAACTGCCCACCGCGACATCGCTGTCGGGCACTTCGCGCTGCGGCGATTCGACTGCCTCGCCTACTTCTTGCAGTCTGTTGCGGTCCCGCGAGGGACTTTGGCTCTGGGCATCCATTCAATCATTTGCTCATGCTCGTCGTGCCGCTCAAGGCATCGTGTAAATTCCAGTAAGATTCTGTCAGCCAAGATACATGCGGTGACGTGAAGTACGCGGCCGTTGGGTTGGCAGAAAGCTTGAAAGTCGCGATGCCGTCGAGCTTGAATTGCGGGGCGCGCCCCTCACCACGCGCATAAGAGGTGCAGGTGGCCGGCGACGCCTTAGCTTCTTGCTTTCGATGCCGCAGCACGGCAGACGCTGAAAGCAGGATAATGGGCCTGATCTTCGATATCGAGGGTTACATTGCGATCGGACGAGCCTTGCAATTTGGCAAGAGACCGCGCGGCAATCATCGATTCATTGATAGCCAGTCTCAAGCCAGTCGTTCACTCTGCTAAATTGCTCCATTAAGTACTTGCCAATAACAGGTTATTGCTCCCCCAAGTCTACCTCGCATTACTTCTCCTCCGATTCCTCCAGCCCTCACTGTCCTTCTTCAATCGCACCGGCAGCGTCTTCACGCTGTGTCTACTCCCGCCATACCTTACTGATTCAGACTGCTTCGAAGGACGACGAGACTGCGAACCCGTCGGCTTCTTTATCCCATGCGACGAGAAGTCCACACAGGAAATACTGTCATCAGGCCTCAATGACTCGCAGTCGTCAAGCCCGTCTGACTCGTCTTGTATCGTCTCAGCGTAGCCCCCGATGGTGTGTGAAAGAGGCATGGCGACACGAGCAGCAGAGATGTACGATGTCGTCCGAGATTGTGGCTGTGGCACTTTAGCAGCCGAGATGTGCGAACGTGACTTTGTTGCGCGAGGCGTGTCGTCAGCTGCCGAATGCGAGCGTCGCGTTGCAGCTTTCGTGGCGGTATCAGTCTTCCGCAGGGATGACCGGTGCGAATGCATGCTGACGCCCGAGTCGTGCAGAGTGGTGTCGGATTCGGTTATGCTGCGACAACGAGAGCCATGAGCGGACGGCCGTGAGGTTTTAGACTGGCCCTTGGACTCACGGTTTGCTCTCGGCGCGAGTGTGCCCCCCCGCATCACCTGCGACCAGTCACCAGCTCCGCTTCGGCTTCCACTCGGCTTGTGCTGGACATCGTCGTACGTTCGACTTCGCTGCGGACCTTGACGTCCACTCACTGGCTTCTCGGACGCAAGTGAAGGTCTTCGCGCGTCTCTACCGGATGAAGTTGAACCCTGTCTCCGGCCGGAGCTCTTACAATCCCCAGACTTGCCACTGAAGCTCTGAGCTCGTCGATCGCTCGAGTGCACGGATGCCGCAAACCTCCTCTCTTCCGCTGCATTCTCCCGCTCCGTCATGCCCATCGCAAATGCAAGCGCCGCGCCGGCCGCAGCACCAAGCAGCGTCCCCACAATTGCATTACCGGAGGGTGTTGCCGCAGAATTGACTGGCTCGGTTTGCGAGCGACTGATGCGGTGTCGAGGAGCAGAAGACCCTTGTTTCGCGGTTATAGCAGATGCTATCGATGCTAGCTCCAACGCGGTTTTGGCGGTCGATTGTGCTTTGGAGACAATTGAGCCACGTGAGTCGGAGCTGCGGCGTAGTTGCTCGTATGGCACTGATCGTCGCTCTTCGAAGTCTCCCCGACGTGCAGCTGAAGCTCGGCCCGTTGGACATTCATCTAATACGCGCGACTCTTTCGAGATGAACTCAACGGTGTTGCCGTCGAAGTCTGTGACTGCTGCATTGAAGTAAACGCAATCTTGGTCGCGGTAGTTTGGTTGGCCTGAGGGTTCGCCTCCAGCGTTCAACCCTGCGGTGTAGCAACTGCGCACTGTAATGCGATCGTTTGCCGCAAAGGCGACATGCGTCGGTGTAATTGGCGTCCTGTTTCTGATCAGTGGCCCGAATCAATCGAGAGCGCTCTGTAACGTACCCTCGCTCTGCCTGGCGTAGGAAGAAATCTGCCTCGTGAATGCCTAGCCCAACATCGCCACCTCGCGAAGCAATGTAGCGATAGCCCAACGGGGCCAAAGTAGCAAGGTAGAAGGCAGTAGCAGAAGGAAGGTCGGAAACTGTCAGTCCTAGATGTGACACCGGCATAGTTGGATGATCGAAAAAGTCTTAGAAACAGACTGCGGGGGAGGGACGAAAAGATATAGGAGAACAGGAATCTCAAGCCAACCTAGCAGTGCAGCAGTGGTAAAGCGCAGGCAACAAATCATCCAGCCGCGCTCAGAGTCATCGTGTAGGCGCCATCATCGAGATCAACAAAAGTCATTGGCGGCTAGGCACCGTCGCGTGTGCTAGATAAGGTCAAGCGGACCCAAAGCGAGGCGACAGCAGCAACGCCATCGTCCCGACGAACGCCATCTCGACTTCGAAAACGGAGAGGTGCAGCACAGAAGACGAGTAGGAAAACAACAGGGCTTCGCCTCTGCATATATCCCCATCGTCTACTGGACGGGGGGAGCAAAGCGTGGGGATCTCCAGGTGGCGTTAGGCCGGGATGCAGCATCGGGCGTGACATGACTGTTGCCTGCAGCCGGCGGACGTGATTTGGGCTCTCATAGGTTCGTGGGCGCCTGATGCAGGCGGGGAGCAGGCTTGTTGGGACCGGATTGATTGAATGATGAAAGCACGAGGCGGCTACTTCTGCGGGGAAGTCTGGGGTTAGGCGTTTGCTGGTCAGAGGCATTGGTGTCGATTTGGCCAATTGTCACTCGAGTCTTTCAGCGCGTGAGCCCAACCGGGGAAAGGGCCGAGCAGAAGTCGCTGCTGATGCGATGCAAGTGTTCGTACTATCTCTATGGCTCCAGCAGCGTGTAAGGCATCGAGGCGACGAAATGAGTGTACGTGATGGCTTCAGAGCCCAAGAATCATTCTGAATACCGAACGCTGGCGAAGATGTCGAGGCAGAAGAGGAATTCCAAAAAGGCAAGAAGAAGCTCGGGAGAGCCCCGCGCAGCTTGCGAACCATGACGAAAAGGCATAGCCTCACCATTGACCATCGTCTTGAATCTCGAAAAATTCCATACTGATATCATATCTCGCAGGATGGAACATTTCAATTAGCACCATGAGTGGAGCAGAGAAACCAAGAACGGGCGGCTGCCTCTGCGGCGCGGTGAAATATGAGCTCACAGGCGACGCAGCGAAGCCCATGTGGACGACCGTCTGCCACTGCTTGAATTGCAGAAGACGCACCGGATCGGCACTGTACACGGCATCCATCTGTCCAAAGGAGGTACGTTTCTCCCGCCGCAGGGCCGAAGAGCATGACAAGGATGGAGGTGAACAATCAGGGCGATGCAGGCTACGGGAGCTCTCCAAACCCTCTAGCTTGCGCACCCTGAAGGCCACTCCACTTCACCCGCATTCGAAGCATGTCGTCTATTTCGTCGTCCTGACATCACGAAACAGGGCTTCACAATCACCGAAGGCGAAGACATGCTCTCCACCTACGACGACACAATGACGGACTCGGGCGAGGTGCTGAAACGCCAATTCTGCAAAAGGTGCGGGAGCAACATGTTTAACTTCTCATCTCGCTATCCCGTCGTGAGCATCTCGGCGGGCAGCCACGACGATTTCGAAGACTGGAAGCCGACGCTGGAGCAGTATTGCATTCATCGGGCGGATTTTGTGGGCAAGGCTGCGGGCGTGGAGAAGAGGTACGTGGAGAGTATTGAAGGGGAGTTGGAGAAGGAGGAGAAGACGGGGACTTCATAGGGCACGACATCCCAACATCCTTGTCTATTTGCAGAAGCGAGCGATCTTCATTCCCCTTGCATTCCGTTTCGCAGATTGTCGTACTTGCTGTGGGGATAATCCAGCAGATTCGGGGAGTGTTCCATATGCTTGCCCTCGTAGCCTCCCAATCCCTGCACGACCAGGTTGATCAGGCTTTCGGAGCTGTTGGATGGCTGGTCGCCACTAGTCTCCCACCACATGGCACCCCCTAGTTTCAATGACTTGATGTATCGTACCTGCGAGTGGAGAATCAGTACGTGGGATGACGTTAGAATGAGATGCTGCGTCGGGAGCAGAGCGCGGTCGGCAGCGGGCATCCCTGCCGAACAGATGGACAAACCTTGTCAGTAGCGGCTTGAGGAGCGTCATAGGATACCATCGTTTTCGCATCGGCATCATACGTCCATGAAGCAATAGCCTCGCCGTCATAGTGAGGCAGCGCGCCGGACCGCGGTAAATCCTGCCTCCCGAAGATGATCGTCAGCGGTACGCGGACAAATTTCGGCCGATCAACATATCAACGGAGATAAAAAAAGATCCGCGCGAGTCAGATTAGATCAAGTAAAATCCAGAAGACATCATAGACGACTTCTGGCGCACAGCGCCGAACAGCCGATTAAACGCCTTGTGCAAGGGGAAAATTGGGCCATTGCGTCAAGGCAGAAACCGCATCAAGCGGCTCAGGCGGCACAAAATTGTGCACATCTGCGCCGGCTTCGGGGCTTCGTGGACTTTGACAATCCCCGGCTTGGCGTATAGCTCTTTTCATCATTGAGCACGGAGGGTGGCGATACGGAAACATATCGAAACGAGATATTCGTGAAATGCACATACCTTGTAATCCCATATGCCGTTCTCCCACGAACCCTCTCCCACGCCACTGTATGGATGGCCTGGGCCGGGGGTGTTTTGAAAGGCTCGACCATAGAGTGGCATACCCAGGACGATCTTACTTGGATGGACGCCTTGCTTGATGTAATGCCGGATGGCTGCATCGGCGCTGAATGGAGTAGATTTGGGATCCTTCGCGGATGGGAAGATGTTTGCTTGGTGGCCTGCGGTTTGATCCCAGCTGCCAGCATAGTCGTAGCCCATCAAGTTCCAAAAGTCCAGATACTTATCCATTTGGCCTAGTTTCAGGACCTCGTACGCCCACGGGCCAGCTGGGCAAGCGATGGTCAACAGTAGATGTGGACGACCCTTCAGCTCTGCAGAATATCGTTCGAGTTCCTCCCGAGTTGCCTGCAGGAGTTTGAGCAAGTCCTCGGCCTCTGCGTTGGACTTGGGATGTTCCCAGTCGACGTCCAGCCCGTCAAGGCCGAGGTCTTTGAGCAGTTGCAAGGCAGACTTTGCAAATGTTCGTCGGCCAGATTCGGTAGAGGAGGGAGCGGCGAAGTTGGGACTGTATGTCCAGCCCCCGATGCTCAGCAGGACTTTGAGATTTCGATTTCTCTTCTTGAGCAGGTAGAGTTGCTTTGCGCAGCCATAGACATTGGTGCCATGATCGTTCCATGAATCAGAAGGATAGTGTTTGTCAGTGTCGGACCATGTGTCTGAGAGATAGACCTCGCCGCTTTCCGGTCGCAAGTTGGCAAAGGCGTAGAGAACATGCGTTAGTTTCTCCGCTGGTATGTCTTGCGGTTGGTGCTGAGCTCGATGTCAGTACTTCAGTATTCCAGCCGGTCGTATCTCGTAGCGCGACACACGTTTCTGCCATAGATGGCCCAATTGACGTAGTAAGCTACCGCGCGATAGCCTGAATGGTGTTCCATGTTCAACGATGGCTGCGATAACTCGGTGCCAGCCTCTATAGCGAGAACTGCCTGACGCGGACTGGAGACGTCGATAGCGAGTGTTGCGGAAGCACAGATCGCCGCGAGCGTAGTGCAGAAGAGAAGCGCGGCCAGCCAAGCGTTCCTCATCAGGTGTTACATTCGTGAGTGGAAGAAGAGTGAGGTTGCTCCAGTCTGAGACCAAGGCACAGCCTGTCGCCTGGTTTCAGCACTGCCCCTGACATGACGATGTGGCAAGTGAGGCTGGTGCGACCGACCTGCATCGACAAAGCCGCCCACTTGATGCGGCAGAGGGGGAAGGGGTCGCAGTCGGTTCAAGGCGTTCCAGAAGCATAGCAATTTCCGATGTGACGGCGAGGCCTGAATGAAGCCGTCCAATTGATGTGCTGAGGTCCAAGCTCGGCAGCGGCAGCGGCTGGACCGGGCTGGGCTGGGCCGAGCCAGCTGCACGACAGCTGCACGGCTTCACCTTCCTCCATCTCTCTTGTCCAGACATTTCACCCATCACCCGGATGCACCGAATTTCACCCCGAGCCTGTGGGCCGCAGGGCATCGCGACCGCGTGGCCATTCTCACACCATGCGTGCCCTGCAGCATCTGGCACACCGTCATGCGTTGTTGAAACGCTGCCGACCGCCTTAAGCGCCTAGCTGCAGCCTCTCTCCGCGCCAACTACGAAAGGAGGTTCTAAGACGCAAGGCCCCATACCGTTCGCAAGAGAAGGATACATCGCTCTGCAACATGGCTGGCTCTCCAAACGCCTTCGCACAGCAATTGACTGCTCGAGTGAGACCGTCCAGCGTCCTCTCCGAGCAAGACCACAACATCCAGCCGCCCAAGCGAGTGAAGTTCTCCTCCGATAACTCCTCCGATGCCGTCGCCGCCATCCACACCCAATGTACTCATCAGGACACGTCCCTTGAAGTGGATCACATGACACTCGACTACCTCGCATACCAGACCATTCGAGCTTGCTTCGCCAGCCGCAATCGCAGCAGCAACGACGACGACTCCCACCTCTCGCTCGGCCCCAATATCGCCATGTCGGACACTTTCCTGTCGATTTTCAAGGCGCGACACCCGACCTTTGAGCCTGACGCCGAGCTCCGCTTTCGTATCTTGCTGTTGCAAATGACCACCCTCTTCACGCAACGCCTTACATCCAACCCTGCGACTCCGCCACTATCTGCGCTGCTGGAGCTGCGCGAGACAAACAAGAGACGTGCCACTGCATGGATTAAGAGCTCGGGGGATGCAAACTTGTTGGCTCTCCGCACAAGCACATTGCCTTCGGAGCAAATCATCTCCCAGCAAGAGCTCGAACGTAACCGCGCACACGTGTTGCACCTGCTAGAGCTCCCCGCGGAAGACGAGGACTCCGACGCGGCCTTCTATGGTACACCAACGTGCGTCTCTCTTCTCGACCTGCTCCCTTTGTTCATGCAAATCTCCGCTGCGCGTAATGCGATGAGCGGCAGCAACTTGACCGACCGCTGGATGCGGTTGGCTGGCGAGTTCATGCTACAGGCTTGTCTGGAGCAGAGCTTGGTATACGGAGGGATGGCGCTTGAGCGAGCAATGGCGGAAGCTTTTGCGTGGGGCTACCTGGGCGACCTTGAGGATGTGGACATGGACGGCGCTGGACAGAATGATGACACGAAAGACCCCATCAACATCGAGGTGAATGCGATGTTCGAGGACGAAGAGTACACCGCCGAAGTGGAGGGATGGAAAGAGTTGCGCGCATCTTCCATGGAAGAACTACAACCGCCGCTCGACCATACCCCAAACAGCGGCCAGGACGAGCGTCCATCTCCAGCAACGCATCTCGAGACAATCGCCAACAACCACTCCATTGCAGAATTTGAGTCATCCATGCTCGAATTCCTGCAAGCCATCTCAAACAGTATTCCAGAGCCGGTGCTCGTGCAGGTGGAAAAGGGACAACTAAGCGGCATGACGAAACAGGAAACAAGCGACTTCCTGATGGAGTGCGGGATCAGCCTCGCGACTTTCTTCCGTGCGCCGGTCGGGTTCAAGGGTCCGCCAGATTGACCATTCACCGTTACATCTGTCGGGCGTAGGCTGAGATGCCGCGATTCCGAAGGCGTCGAAGGCATTTGGAATAGAGGCGTTGTGGGCTTGACACATTCTTGCCAACCTGCCATCAACGCGGAGGGATCTGCCTTACATACCAGATGCCAACCTGGCTCGAAATCGACATGTCAATTCCTAAAAGTCCCCTGCAGGCGAGGTTGCAACTCGTCGACAGGGGACAAAATGCTTGGTCAAGCCCGACGCACGACTCAGCCAGAGGTCTAGATCAACAAGCATTGTGGCGGCGGCGGCGATCCGCGTGCGGTGGCCATTTGTGGCAGCAAGAAGACGATGTACCTTACTTTACCCCAGGAAACACACGACGACTCCAACTGCAGGGCGTGGAGAGATGCCGTTGTGCCGGATTTTCAGGGTCCTGGGTTGGCTCTTTGGCGCGGGCTTAGAAGCTGTTGACTAAGGCTGAGACGTCCCTGTGTGCCTGGGCTAGACCCTGACAGCCGGCCAGGTTCCCCCAGTAGCCCTGAGAATCAATCATGAAGATAATGGTCATGCTTCACAGCTGAGGGCGGGGATTGGGTTGCCTCCAAGGCATTCCGTTGGCAGGTGTATCAATCAACTACTTGTTTCCTCTTCCGTTGGTCGAATTCGAGATTGTGCAATTTGTTGCATGCCTGCACTGGAGGCTTGATGGCAGTTGGCCCTAGCTGTCAGCATATGTAAAGGCGCCGATTTGTGCGGTCGTATTGAAGCGGTTGGGTGCGATTTGGTGGCTTCGAGACAGCGCCAGGGCGCGCGGTCACGCGATTCAGATTGGGTGGTTCATGATAGGCAATGGAAGGCGGACGATGTTGAGTTTCCCTTGCTTCGAGATCGGAAGAGCGGGAGTTGTCGTCCCTGGGGCTCGAGGCTGTCGATCTTCGACTACTGTGACTCGAGCAGCCCTACTACTCCTCTCAGCAAGACAAGGGGCGAAAGATTCACTATCATGGGTTGATCGTCGACATTGAGGGGGAAGCGAAAGCACAAGTACTGTATGTACCGCGCACATTAAAGTCGCCGCTTTGCCTAGCCTGGTAGTCGGCCGGCGAGCTACAAAGCCTGAGTACCGAGAGTGCGCAATCTCATCAAATTTACCTGGTCGGGTAAGGTTGCAATGAACGAACGGGTGGGGATTTCATGCAGGCTGCGATTCGCTCTGACAGGTAGAATGCTATTCCAAACTTTGCGCGACGAGGGGGTGGGTGGCTGGCGAGGTATGGGGGCTTCCGCCTTCGTCGCCAATGGTTGCCTTGTGCGAGCCTTGTTATTCCACAGCTGTGTGAAACACGTTGGAGCTCGTGGTCACACCACTTTAACCTGCTCGTTGGGCGGGCTGGCCAAGGATGACTACCCGAATGAGGCTCAACACGCGAAGGCGGTACCGAAGTCCCGAGTGTCTCATTCGCAGGGGAGGTGGTGTTTGACTTCTGCGACAATTCCAATGCTCGACACTGCTGTTACCAGGCCTGGGATCAAGCGACTCCCACATTCAACCCAAGCGCGCGCTGATCAGATAATCGGCACGGCGGCCGCGCGCAATGCCAGGCATGACTGACCGCTCGTGGAGAGGGGTCATGTTTACACACCGAGATGGTGCCGGTTGCCGCTTTGTCAGGCTGCCTCAATTAGCAACGTGGGCGTTAAGTGTTGGGCAGAAGGCTGGCAGGCTGTCCGTTGCAGCAGATGGTGTGGAAGAGGAAGGTGGAGCCTCAGCCCTAGCCGTCGAGGCATGCAATTGACGTGAAGGACGTCAATGGCGCACGGCGAGCAACACGATCATTGATCGAGTGTTGCATCTACAATCCAACTTCTAACGGGATACGCTATCGCGAAAGTGTGTCTGCGTATCGGCATTCCATCTTACATGCGTCAAGACGGTATTGAAGGCACATTGATGAAGAGGTGTAGACTCGCGCACGAGTCTAGCCAGCAGTAGAGGAGACTGCCTATTCGGGGCAAGCAAGCGGGAAAGTGCGAATATTACTAAGGCCGCCATAACCGCAAAGCACATCTTACGTTAGCCTCACGCGAGACGGAGCTAGAGCCGGTGTTCGGGGCGTGCATTCGGGGATGCGTCGGCGCCCGTTCATCCCTACTCCCCGGCCAGCTGCACCGTCCCCGATCATTGTCCTCGTGGTCCGCAGTCGCGCCGCAATGCCCGGTCTCGCTGGGCCCGGGAAGTATTATCGTCCGTCACGCGGTCGAACACCGCAATGCTCATGGACGCAATGGCAGACGAGTTCCTCGACGCCCGACAACCCATGGCGCCGTCATGCTTATCGTCACCCGCGGAGCACGCGCGCTAGGGTACCGCAGAGAGCTCCATGTCGCAAAAGCGCGGTGGGCCCACAGCGGCACCCGACTAAACCGTAATAGAACCGCTGGCTCGCCCGCGTTGCGTGCGCAGTCAGCATCGGAATCATCTCATCGTCACGTCGCCGGCCCCAGTCAGCCTCTGCATGGCGTATTACCAACCATTCCATCGCCTGCCCATGCCAGACATTTGGATTTAGGCTCCGCGCCACCATTTGCTGCAGCGCGCGAACCCGGTTCCGGCTTATCACTGATTTGCAAGGAACCGGTCAGTCTTGCATCTGTCGAGCATCACATGCATGCCTCATCCACACTCAGCTTACGTGCGCAGGCCACGGGCTATAATAATGCCTCTCGCGCTCCCCATTTCCCAGCGTGGCGTGACCCTGTCTTATTATCCACTACTGATGTTCAAGCCATTGATGTTTCCCTCACTCTAATAAGTCCTTCTCACACCCACTCACACTGCCTCACCCCACTTGGCATCATCCCACCCCAGCCATGTCGATGCTCCAGAGGTCCGCGTCCACAGACTCCTCTGCGGAGAGTCTAAGGAAACGCGTGTGCAAAGCGTGTGATCGTTGCCGGCTCAAGAAGAGCAAATGCGACGGTGCTCATCCATGCACGCGTTGCAAGGCAGACAACGCCATTTGCGTCTTTGGGTGCGTACCTATCCCGTCGTTGCAGTCGAGTCCGCGTTCTAACCATCCTCCAGTGAGAGGAAGAAGTCACACGACAAAGTCTACCCCAAGGGATATGTGGAGATGCTGGAGCAACAACAAGGCCAACTCGTCTCAGGCCTGCAAGAAATGTACCACCGACTGCTGGCCGGCGAACGATGGACCGGCGCACGCCTCTCCGAAGCAGCCGGCCACCCACTCACCCACGACATCCTCGCCGCCCTCAACCTCCTCGAGGCCAAGGACGACGGCAGCGGCGAAATGGAGACCTTCGAGGACGACTGCGAGAAGCTGCAGGCGCGCCTGTACCGCGCCGGCGCCCCGTCCGTAGCGCGCAAGGGCTCCTTCAGCTCCGACTCCGACCACAGCCAACACAGCCACAGCATCTCGAGCGCGCGCAACACCCCGCGCCTCCCCTCCAAACAGGCCATCTTCAAAGAAGCCTTCACCTTCTCGCCCTCCCCATCTCCCGCGCCCCGAAGCCCCGCGCCCCGCCAGCGCAACTCTTACCCCCCACCCCGACAGTCTCCCCTCCACCAACTCGCCTCCAACCAAGACGCCCACAATCCCGCCACCGCCATCAACACCAACGACCCCCAGCTCTACCAAGCCGATTGGGCGTTCCCCATGCTCGACAACTCCGCCGACCCCCTCATGCGATCAAAGTACTCCCTCCCCACCCCACCCGCCCTGGACCCCACCTTCCCCGACGACCTCGGCGATCTCATGAACAACGCCGCATGGATGGACTCGGCGGACGGCAGCATGGCATCCTACTCCACGTCGCAGTTCAATTTCAACATGCCGGACTTTGGTGGCAACGGGCCGAGCGCACACGTCGATCCCATGGACCTGGAGTTCAATAGGTGGATACAAGTGCAGACGTGAGGGGAGCATCGGGGCAGGATGCAAATGCTTTTCTTGTTGCTGCGTTCAAGCGAGAACACCTTGTGTGGGTGTGTGATTTGATGGGTGATAAGTGGGGAGGCAATGACGGAACCCGGTGTTTAGGGCTCGAGGGGATTACAGGACGGCGGCGCACTTTGCCTTATCGTTGCACGTACTTTTCTAGTGTCACGTTGGCCGAGATATCCAAATCCAAAAGTTGTCTACTGGCACGCATTTTGGCTGAATCGTGCTCTATCCCGTTTGGAAGGGTGGTGACAGCTGTCATGGATAAATACATCGGCTCCACTCTCTTACTACACCCGCTCCTCCAAATCACCACCATTGATAATATTCTAGATCTCTGTCCTTCACAATCTTTCCATAGACGGCATTTCCATCATTATACTCGCAAACATCCACTCGATCCTCTCAAGCATCGAATAATCCCCAAAAACTAAACCAACCATGCCCACCCCAGCCCCACCCACCACCTTCAAATTCCTCCCCCAAGGCGCGCTGATCCAAGAATTCAACGTCGCCGGCCACAACATCGTCCTCGGCTACCCCACCCCAGCATCCTACCAGCACCCTGCCGTCCCCTTCTTCGGCGAGACCATAGGCCGCGTCGCGAACCGCATCTCCAAAGCGCAAATCGACGGCCTGAATGGCCGCTCCTACCAGTTGGCCGCTAACAATGGGCCCAATACGCTTCACGGCGGCGGCAAGGGATGGGGGAAGCAGACTTTTGAGGGGCCGACGGGTGTCGAGCGGGATGGACGCGAGGCGATGCTTTTTAGGTATTTGAGTCGGGATGGGGAGGAGGGGTTTCCTGGGGCCGTGGAGCTGAGGGTGTGGTATTTTCCGGAGATTGTAAAGGAGGATGGGGTGGAGAAGACGAGTTTGGAGCTGGAGTATGAGGTTGAGATGGTTGGAGATGCTGATGAGGGTGTGGAGGAGACGGTGGTGTCGGTTACGAATCATAGGTATGTTGTTTTGCTTCGTTGATTGACTGATTGATTTCTTCAGAACTAACAACAGTCATCACAGCTACTTCAACATCAGCAACGGACCAACAATCGAAGGCACTCGAGCAATCCTCCACACAAACAGCTACCAAATCATCGACGACGACAGCATTCCCACGGGCGAGATAGGCCAGTACCCAGGAATCTCCGCTGGCGAAGAGTTCGTCCTCGGCGCCCAAGACCCAGACCCAGATCACTGCTTCATCGTCGATGCAAACGAAGATCCATCGAGCATTCCCCTCGACACCCGCAAGCAGCCGTTGAGGAAGTTGTGCGAGTTCTACCATCCCGATACGAAGCTTCATCTGGAGGCGTTAAGCACAGAGCCAGCGTTTCAATTCTATGCCGGAAGGTACATCGATGTGCCGGAGTTGGACGGCAAGCCTGCTCGTGGCCGGAGAGCAGGGATGTGCATCGAAGCGAGTCGGTACATCAACGCCGCCAATGAGGACCGGTGGAGATCGCAGGTGGTGGTGAAGAGAGGGCAGGTCTGGGGGAGTCGAACGGTGTACCGGGCGTGGTAAGATGATACGAGCAGCTTAGAGTTTGCTCGCTGGTCCGGAACACTGCCGTATTAGGCTCAATGGCTAGCCTGACTTGGCTGTTATTATGCATGTCAGCAGCTTGGGCTTCACATGCCGACCATGTGAAGACCGCGCGGCTTAGCTAACCTAGAGCTCTCCAAGTCCATCTCTCGCTCGCGTTGACGCGATCTGGATCATGTAATGTCAGGCGAGCTCCGACCTTCATGAACTGAGGCCCACAATGGTAGACGAGTCTAGCACATCCTCCAGCAAGCTTCTTCGGCAGAGCTGCGAGTCCGGGGTAACGAGGCTGTAGAAGCCTTCGTAAGCGTGCAAGCTGAGCTGACTAAAGAACGGCTTCAGCACCGTTCGCACAAAATCCTCTCGCGGCATGGCCTTGATGTCGTCTTGATTGGGCAAATTGCTGTTCCGCAAAAGCGGCTGCCTGCGACCGGCCATGCCGCTCGCGATGGTCGTCGGAGTCACGGAACTCAACGCGTCTTCTGGCTCCTCGGACGCAACGGAATTCTCAGCGATATGGTCACTTAGGGCTGATGGAGTCCAATTTGGTGGCTGGTAACCGGCATCGATGGTGTCGCAGATGTACAGCCATTCATGGAGCTGGAATTCGTCGGGAGAGATTGCCACGAGCAGGTCGAGTAATTTGCAAGCTTGCAGGAGAGATGCATTGCTGAAGCCATTGTCGTTTGTGGACGCGGACAGGAGCGAGAGCAATGCCATTTGCAATTTGTGGTTGAGCAACGGCCAGACGGAGGCCAAGTGCACGGTGCTGAGCGAAAGGACTAGCGTGTGGCACACCATGAAGAGTTCCGACTTGATTGCCATGGAGGGCGAGGACGATGAGCTGGCCTCAAACAGCTCCGCCAGCTTCTCCTCGATAGCTCGCAGGTTCGTCGCGAAGGTGTCCTCGGCCGAAGCGAGCAGGAGAAGACAGAGCCGTCGGAGATTGAGCTGTGCTTTACGATCCGCCTCGAGCCTTGCTGTGCTTGCGCCCACTCCAAACATGATGCCGGCACTAGAGGGCGCGGTCAATCGTGAGAGGATCTCTGGTATGCGTTCTTTCTCGTATAAACACCACTGCCGTAGCAATGGGAACCAGTCCGTCTGCATGAGGTCGAGTGGAGTCGAAAGAAATTTGGGGTCGGCGAAAACATCTGCCAATTCCTTCTTCCACGGCTTGGCCGATGGTGCTTTCTTCGCGAGCTTCAGGAAGAGGGATATGATGTCAGGCGTGACGTTGACGGGGAAGCCTCGGGAATGGAGGATTGGCGAGATGAATGTCATGACAATGTTGTTGATCACCACCGTCGCTTTGTCAGAACCGTCCACGATAGCATCAATATGCTCGGTGATCTCCGAGAGCACAACCGGTAAGCTGAGAGACCGGTGAGCTAGCACGACCTCCTCATCGCTGGCGAAGCTTGTCTGCGATTCTAGAGCTCCGGACGGAATTGCGCTGAACGTTGCAGTGAGAATCCGCGTAAAGACATCTCCAAGATCACGCCGCATTTTTCGCTGGTCTCCGAAATTCGTGTTTTCAATCTTCTGCGCCAACAAGGTGATGACAGAGAGCAATGGTGGCAGGACTTGGCGGTACGGCAGTGGATTGGACAGGACATCTCTGAGGAAAGACATGCAATCGCTCCAGATTTCGTCCATGGCATCGTCTTCAGTTGACCGCAGGTATGCTGACAGGAATAGCGTTGCATCAAGAGCCGTCAAGTCCGTCGTCTGACACGATTGACGGGCCAATGGCAGCGTAGTCATGTTTGTTCGGCAGGCTATGGCATCCAGAATTGTAGACACAACCACCTTTGGACGGAGGTCGTGAATGATGTGAAGTAGGTTCAACGTGGCACCACGCTCATCCGCGTCGCTAGTTTGACACCACACCGAGGCGATGACTTCGAGGCTTTCCAGGGTCTCGACAGTGGTAGCGTACTCCAGCAGATTTCTCGCACGGTTACGCACCCGAAGAGCGTTGTAAGCGCTTGTGGCAGCGCTCATCTTGTCGAAATCGTCGTGATGGGTGTACCGTATTGCCCACGTCCACAGTCTAGAACAGACACGGACAGCATCCTGAAAGGCCAACACCACGGTCAAGTGACTGCTGTCGTGTTGCGTGCGGTTCTGAGGCCCATCGGTCTTATTAAACACCCCAGCTGTAACATTTCCCAGGAGACCTTTGGATTGTACGGGCGTCCTGGGCACTGGTTCGTCGGCTTGTCTTTCCTCCAAAAGCTCATGCGCCTGCACAAGAACCGATTGCAATGCATCTAATAAGGCCAAGATGACGGCTTCTGGAGCAAAGGCAAGTGCGGCGCTATCTGCGTTGGAGATACCAACCAGCTCCTCGTGCGCTTTGTAGACTTCTGCGCACAGTGCCTCCTCCAGTGGAATCAGACTCACCAAGAGGGCGTCACCCAATACAGGCAGAATATCACCGAGGAGCGTGACCCACTTGTCCAGGTGAATTCGAGAGGAGGAAGAAGAGAATCCCAGTTGCAAGCATTTCACCAATTGTGTAGTTGGAGTGAGAGTGAGGGTTGCGCCTGTAGGAGTTGGGCTCGGATGGGAGGTTGCTTGTCTTTGGCCAGTAGAAGAGCTTGGCCTTCGATCCGTAGAGCCTCGAGTGGTATTCCCCGACGTGCGGAGTTGCAGTGCGAGACTTAGCATCGGAAGGAGAGAGCTTTGCATGGCGTTCTCGTTGGCTGACAGCCGTTTGATCAGGTATGTCGTTATCCGAGTGTCCAAATCCAGCCACTTCAGGGACGGCGCGCAAGGGGACAACAACAAGAAGCGAAGCACATTCGTCGCCTTCTGTCGTAGTGAGCTGCTCGTGTATTCGTCGTTACTCAAGATCTGATAGGATTGCTCTGCGAGAAACATGGCACCAGAGATCTGTTCAGCATGTTGCATATTTGAGATCATCATGTTGTCCAAGCAGTGCCAGATCCAGTCGTTGGCGCCTCGTAGGATATTTTGCAGATGACGAAACATGTAGTCGAGCAGGCGTATGCTATCGTGGCGAGACCGCTTCAAGCGCAGAGCTGGCGCAGGTCCACCATCCTCGTCGATTTGCATATTCGTACCTAAGAGATCGAAATGCAAGTTGAAGACAACCTCGAGGGTGGGCAATGTGTGGAGCCAGTTTTTGACCATGTCGGCGTGTGCTTCTTGGTACTCATCAAGCATGTCCAGGAGCATCATCAGCGGCTCGAACAAGACCTGTTGCCGGCGTAGAGACTTCTTCGAGTCCACCATCGTGGGCATTGAGCTTCCTCTTCGCGGGGTTGCTCTCACACTAGTCTTAGCATTGGAGGAGGGTGCTGCTATTGTGTGGTTCCATAATACAGCGAACCGTCCCACTGTGGCACCGAAATCGTCACATGACGTCTCACGCCTCTGATCACGGGGGCGTAGCAGGCCTGTGAGGGAGGACTGAAGAATGTCGACGGGAGCGACGATGTCTTGGAGTTGCCAGATTGATTTGACCGCTTCGACGTGATATTTGGGCTGTTCAACAGACAGATAATGCCAGAACTGATTAATGAGCATCGCGTCAAGCTGCGACGAATCACCAGCTGCGTTATGTGACTGCGGTTGTCGATCTGGTTGGAAGATGCTCAGTAGAGTAACCATAGAGTTGAGGGACGAGAAAGCCAAAGTCTGATTGTTGTCTGCGAGACTGTTCATCGTATCCGCGATGCCAGCGAAAACAGCTTTGTCGCGTAGAGCTGGCAACACCGAAGATTTCGAGTTCAGGGCCGCTATTACGGATACTGTTCGACTGAAGACTGCCACGGCTTGGGCCTGTAGAGCTGTGAGGGCCAAAGATGCTGAGAAGTGAGATAGCATTGCAAATACTGCCGATCCATCGAAAGGGAAGCGCGTGGACTGGTCTGTCGATCGGTAGAAGTTCTCCAGTGTTTCTGTCAGCTCCGTGGCTTCTGACGCAGAGGCTGTGGATGTGCCCCCTCTCTTCGCCGGCGGGGCAAACGCTCGATCCGGAGCCATCTCAAGCAGGATGGACACAATATCTAGTGCAGCAACAGCAGAAGTAGTAGATTGTTGCGGAACCGAGGTTTGCAAGAGCGCGAGAAGATAGCAGGCCGCGTATGGCACATGGACCAGCAACATCTCTTCATCCTTGATGTTGAAATTCCGTATGATCCATGCGAGCATCGGTAGATCATCGGTCGCGGCTTTCGCGGTGAATCCAGTCTGCATCAGGCTCAGAAGATCGGCCCAGATGAGGCTTGCTTCGATGCCGTCGAAGAACAAACCAGCACTTCGAAGGACCTCATTCGTGTTTTCAGGGGTGGCGATGACGCTGTATCGATAGGCACTTCGCAGAGCTGGTAAGAAAATGCGAGGGATGATGGAGCCTCCGATTTCCCATCTGTCCATCAAAGACAAGCATATGCGGAATGGCCTGGCCCTTTCCGCAGGATTTGATGGACCGCTTTGAAACATGTTCAGCAAGCAGCGCTCCAGCGGGGCCTGGCCGAATCTGCTAAAGTATCTGAATTGGGCCGCATCGTGGCTTTCAGTGGCTTCTTCTCTGCCGGACTGGTGCGGCTCAGTGCCATCCGTCTTCGGCTCGGGCCCCAAGAACCAGGACCACAGTCGCCTGTTGAGGCTCATTTCTCTTCGAAGAAGCACCTGCATCACAGCCGTGATCAGGCGATCCAAGTCCTCGCTTCCCACATGTTGTTGGAGCAATGGCGAGTCCAGCGGTATGTTTGTAACTAGAAGGTCCAGAAACCCGCGTTGAATGAGAAGCTGGGGGTCAGACAGCCCTGAAATGAAGCATCTGATCAACAGTCCAGGCTCCGGAGAGATAGCACGCCCGGCTTCCGTGGTCAAGGAGACCGGGGCCGCACTTGCGCTGCTGGCTTTTATCTCGCTCCGGAAGGTTGGCAGCTTCTGGGTGAGAAAGTTGAGCGCACCCTGCCTTCTTGTAGGGTTCGACACGGTTGCAAGGAAAAGGCACTGCCAGAAAAAGCCATCTGAACCATCCACTACTTCCTTGTCAGTGGGAGGGGTGAACCGCGACTGTAAGCCTTCCATAAGAGCGAAAGCTCGCTCGTAGTCTTCGCTAGTCTCATCTTCAATTCCTGGAAGTAGGCTGAGAATCAGAGACTTGAGGACCGGGCGTAAGGTAGTATGAGACACGTGGAGAACGTAATTTTCAAAGATCGAGTAAAGCGCAGGCCGCACGGACAGTGACGCAAAGGACAGCACGGCTGACAGGCCTGGTAAAAACTCATGAAGATGGTCGGAGATCCAGCCGACCTGGGCCGATGTCAGCAGGGTGGGCTGAGGATTCAACATTGGGGGATCCTACGCCAAATGTAGAGAAGACGTAATCGTAGACCTCCAAAGCTTTCTGATGGACGCCAGAGGGAAGGGTGGGATTGAGACATTGCGCAAGCTTGTAGGCGATGTCATCGCTGTGAGGCAGGATAGGCACGTCTATAGGATGGGCTTGGATGGCCTACGAATCGATCAGAGCCTGTTGATTGCATATTTCAGAGGAGGGGCATGACAGACCTTCTGCAGTCGAGCCAGAAATGCGATATAGTCGGCCCATTCTTCGGGGGAGATTTCCCACGAACCCAGGGCACGCTCTATGCCGGCACCGTATCGGCGCAGGGTCTTGTCTGACGTATAGAGATCTTTGTGCAAATATGGATTCGATCAGTCTACCAGCAACGAGGCCGACCGTGGGATGGGAACATACGCTCTTCCGCCGTTCTCTTCGCGACTCTGGAGACGGGAGAAGACCGACCAGAGTTTGGTGGGGAGAATGGACGAAGCCCGGCATCAGGCTCGACGGCCATGGCTGTGCTTCTGAACCAGTGGCAATGGAGTGTCGACCATTGTCCGAGTGGACAGGGTGGCTTGAAGTGCAAGATGTGCAGATGAGGCTGCAATTGAGGAATGCGCGGTGGCTCGCCGGCGTGGCTCAAACCGAGCTAGCGTGACGTGAGGTCGCGCCTGCCGCGTTGATGTCAGTCTGGAAACGCGTGTGCCGTTGCCCGTCGGCCGTCTTGCCGTTGACGCCCCATACCTGAAATTGCATGGTGGCGCCGTGCATGATGCAACATCAAGAAGTCATCCAACCTCACTTCCTCCTTCTCCTTCTTCGCCTCTCTGGCCCTGTCTATTCTCTTTCATCTACAGCACTCGGCCGTGTTGACCGTCGCTACGCGATAGTCGTGATCTTCAGGCTTCCATCATGGTCAATGACGCCACCCATTACTGACGCCGCGAACATCGTCCGCGAACATCGTCCGTGAACATGGTTTCGACAGGAAGAAGATATTCGACTTGTGTATCTCAGTACTTCTGGGAAACCCCGGAGAATGGCCGGTCTAGGGACCAAATTGATGTTGTCTTACCAAGACAGCTGCGCCGAGCACCGCCACGTATCGCGATGGAACGGGAATGTGTGCTTCCGTGAGCCAAGCCGCGACATTGCATGGCATTCTTTCCCATCGACGAGCGTTTCTTGAGGGGTTTGTATGGTGCAATGAGTCAATATACTGGAGTACACAGAGCCCGTTAGCCGTGCCTTACTGCCTCACGCTGGATTACGAATGCGCATCGCCGAGTGAATCTAGAGCTTGAACCACCACTCGGCAACATCGCCCCGCAAACAGGTCTGGACTATTCCGTCATCTATCAATAGTGCGCAGGTCGCTTCAACGGTCGTTACCATCTCCAATTCTAAAGGAGTATCCAAACGGCGCCGATGGACCTAGAAATGCCACCGGGAGAGGCAATTGGTGTCGATGGCTCAGGCTGGAAACATACGTTCCCTCCTATTCTGCGACATCAGGTCGAAAGATTTGTTGGATGGCCAACGAGCGGTCCTTGCCGCATCAAAGAACGAGTCGCGCGTGCGCACGCGTGCCTGGTCGAAACGCTTCCTATGGATGTTCATCCCTCAGACATTCCACAGCGCTATAATTAGTCCTCGAGGGTATTGTGTCACGCCGACAGCCACAGCAATTGGCAGTCAGCTCGCCAATACCAATCGTAAGTGGCTAATTATATTGATGCGGCAACGTCGATAGACATCCTTGGCCTTGGTACCCTTCTTGTGGAAGGACATCTGGCAAGCACGGACACCCCACAGAGGCTTACGCCCAGTTACGGGCATACTCGCCTTGTGGGTTTTAACGGACCCCGGGGAGACACCGGCAATGAGCAGCACCCCGCATGAGTGCTTTCCGATGCTCTGGGCACGGGCAGGTTGGCTGTAAACACTCGCTCCTCTATCTACACTGCGAGATCGTGACCACGCCGCATACTTCATTCCCGGCGACAGACACAGCTTCTTCATCGCTCCGTGCAAGACCTGATAGTACTTATGAATTCCAGAACCCGTTGAACCCTTCGTTCCATGACAAATGCTAGCAGGCGGAGCATCCATGCGTGCCCTTTAACCAACGCCTTTCTCTTGGAATTGTTTACCCGGTGACGAAATTAGTGGCAATTGCATGGCGCAATCAATCGAATACCGAGCAATAAGTCGGGACTGAGGTGAGTGGTGTTGCTTGGGAGTGAACGCATTCTTGGCGTGACGATACAAATTCGGTCGGTCCCGCTTGGGACGCCTCCCGCTTTGGGACCGCCGAGGCTGGGCAAGAGGCGCAGCCTAGAACTTCACCCATCCCAAGACTCTCCAGCGCGCGGCTCAGGCTGTACTCTGGTTGATGAAGACGATCATTGATGATGCGGATGTCGAGTATCCGGCATGTTACCCGCCAGAACGGTGTATATAAGGTGTCGTTGACCTCGCACGTTCTAGAAACTATTCAACCAACAACTCGCAACATCAACACTACCAACACCACCAACCTTCCAACCCTTCCAAACAAATCTCAACACAACCCTTCACGATGCTTACTCAAACCATCCTGTCCGCTGCCCTCTTGGTGCTTCCTGCCATCGCTTCGCCCGCTGGATGGAGCTATGGCGGATCCAAGGGCGGATCTAAGGGCGGCTGGGGCGGACACAACGGAGGATGGTCCGACGACAACGGTGTTATCCCGTTCACATCTACCTACAGCGTTACCGCGACTCCGGGTCAAGTCGTCAACGGCACGACACCTACTGGTGGTCTCAAGGTTGGTGCAGCCTGCTTTCCCCATTCATGCAACAGACCCGAGCGCTAACAACACATTTCATCAGGGCGCCGTCGGTTACTACGATCTCGGGCTGAACACCGACCTCAACTTGATCTGCTACTACATCCGCATCTACGGTTTCAAGGGCGATTACGTCTCCCCCGCCATCACTGCCAGTAAGTCATACCACACCCCGTCGTTGCCGCTGTCGCAATCTTTACTCACACATCTATCACAGCTCATATCCACGAAGCCGCAAAGGGCGCATCCGGCCCGCCTCGCATCGCCTTCCCCAACCCCTACCCGACCGGCAAGGGCGACGAGCGCATCAGCGTTGGATGCCAACAGGGCCCGTTCACCACCGGCCTCAAGGACAACGTCACCGGTGTCGACTTTGGCGCGAACTTCAAAGTCTCCCAGATCCAAGCGAACCCTGCTGGCTTCTTCGCTGACGTGCACTCGAGCTTGGCTCTGGCTGGCGCGGTCCGTGGGCAGCTTGCCTAGAGGGAGTAAAATGAATATGGTGGTTTCGTAACTTATTAATCTATTTCGTTACTTTGTGGTCATAGCTGTAATCAGTACGAATGCTCATGTTGAAGCAAAACCATACAATCTTACCTACATTTTCAACCACGTTCCGTCATTTCTACTTTCCATGCCGTGAGAATGTTGGAGAGTGCAGATGCCATCATGCCAACCCGAAACGGATGCCACGGCTGCCGGTTCTGGCGTCGCGGCACAAACGCGGTTAGGCTGACTTGGCCATGCCGCTCAGGTTTCTTGTTGCTTGGAAACATCATCTAATTTCAATTAAATTGATAATAACAACACGGCGACACGCACTCGACGGTGCATGGCCGTTGCGACACCGACGAATGGGTCTGGTTCGATGATGTCAGCAGTCTGCGGTCCAGCCATGGCAATGCAAACCACCGCTCCAATTCCGTGAATCACGAGCGACATAAAGCACATGCGATCGTCCGAACATGGAAACCCCCGGAGAGTCTCCTCCCCCGTCCCTGCCTCCGCGTCCGGAGCTACGAGAGAGGGGAGAAACGTCTGGTGCCGGCTCCTTGCGACTTGGCAGAAAGGCATCTCGGCCTCAGCTTCTATCTCATGCCACCACCGCCCTTTCACTAGCCGATGCCCATCCCCCGGCCCATTTGGACTCCGGCAGTCTGCACTCCTCTCCCGCTAGCAGATCCATCTCCAGGAGGCACAGTCCTTCGGGTCTCGGTCGGTTTGTCAGCAGTAACCCCAGCGAGGTTGATGATTCCGGCAGCATCAAAAGCGACCTACCGGCGCTTGGCGCACCACTCGACGGCGATGGACTGTGGGCCAATGAGCCTGCTGCAGAAGCCAGTGCGGCATGGAAAGCCCTCAGCGCGCAAGTAGAACGGGATGATCCTTTCCTGTTCGCCCTGGCCGAAGATGATGACATCGCCAGCACGCAGATCGAGCAGGAGTTCGACGACAAGCTCTCACAAATTGATGCAGATGGAGGCGAGGAAGCCGTGACGGAGCGGTGGAAAGCCAAACTCAAACACTTCTTCATCCTGTCTGCGTCGGGAAAGCCTGTATACAGCCGGCACGGCGATGACCAGACGATTAGCCACTACATTGGAGTCGTGCAAACGCTGTTGTCATTCTATCAGGGCGCGAATGATCCGCTCAAGACCTTCACGGCCGGCGACACTCGGTTCGTGATTTTGTCGAAAGGACCACTCAACTTGGTGGCCATTAGTCGGCTGGGGGAGAGCGATGCTCAGCTGAGAAATCAGCTGGAGTCGTTGTACATGCAGATCCTGTCTACATTGACGCTGCCTTCCCTACAACGCATGTTCTCTAACAGGCCCTCAACAGACCTTCGTCGCCCATTAGAGGGAACCGATGTGCTACTAGACGGTCTTGCGGACGGATTCACTCGAGGCTCGCCCTCCACGCTGCTTTCCGCACTGGAATGTTTACGACTGCGAAAGACGAACAGAAGAGCCATCGACGAGACCTTGTTGAAAGTGCGATCGCCAAACCTACTCTACGGCTTGATTGTGGCCGCGGGTCGGCTGGTAAGCGTGGTGAGGCCTAAGAAGCACTCCCTGCACCCCGGCGACCTGCATCTCGTCTTCAACATGCTCTTCGAAGCCGGCAGCATCAAAGCAGCCGGCGGCGAGAACTGGATTCCACTGTGTCTACCCGGCTTTAACAACACCGGCTTCGTCTACATGTACGTCAGCTTCTTCTCCACCTCCGAAAGCACCACGACGCCGGAGACGGAGCGCTCTTCCACCGCAGGCAAAGACGACGAGCTGGCCATCGTCCTCATCAGCGCAGACAAGGAAGGCTTCTTCGACCTCCGCAAGATGCGCGATCAGCTCGTCGCCCAACTCGAGAAGAACGGCAGCATGGCCGTGATCAAAGCGGCCATCAGAAAAGGCCACGCTTCCTGCGCCGACGTCGTCCCCGGCACGGTCCTAAAGCACTTCCTCTACAAATCCCGCGGCAACGTGCAATTCGTCATGCCGTCTTTCGAACCCCATTTCCACGGCCTGGTGGCCCGGCGGAAACTCATGTCCCTCTACCAGCATCTGCACGAGAGCATACATTCTCGCACGGCGCATTTGAAAGTGCAGCATTGCGTGGGGAAGAGCGCGACGTCTTTGGTGTGGGAGACGCCGCTGTTTGAGCTGTACTGCGTGGCGGGCTCGACTGCCACTCGGGCGCAACTGGTCCAGGGCGCCAACCGCGTTGTCCAGTGGATTCGGAGGGAGGAAGAGCGGGTGTTTATCATTGGCGGTGCGGTGTTCTAGGAGGGCACGCACAGAAAGCCAGCGCGGCGCATTGACAGAGTTTACGACATTTCATAGCGGATACGATTGCGGCAGCATTGAATGAGCATGGCCTGGCTTGAAGAAGAATGATGCATGTGTCCACAAGAGCTACTACACAGCTTTCTATCAATACACCAAGAAACGAACGTCATCATCACCATCCACCCATAATCCTCAAAGACTGGCCCGCAGCAACACCCCTAGACACTCTCGCTTTCATCTGACGCCGCCTGACCAACCAACCCTTTGCAAGCACTTGAAAGCTCTCCACATTTCGATGCAAGCGCCCAATCCGAGCATCCAACACCCCCCTCCAAGCCCTCTGAAGCACCACCGCCGCATCCACCAAGCGCTCCTGCGTCCGGACAACCGTCGCACACGCGTGCGCCAGCCGCATCAACACCACGCGTTCCGAAACTGCAGTTCGCGCCAGTCGACGCCGGTACGCACGCTGGATAACCATGGCAGCACTACTCTGCCGCGCCAGAGGCAGTAATCTGGAAGCCAGGAAGGCCAGGTTCGAGATCGTCGTTTTGCGGCTTGGGATCGTGCCGCTGTTGGAGCTGAGCTGCTTGATGAAAGCGGTGCTGCAGCCGAAAGCGCGCAGTTGGCGCTCTAGTCGTGGGGCAGGTGTTGGTTTGGGGTTCGTAAGATTGTCTGCTTCAAGATGGATGTGCTCCGCAAAAGCGTCCAGGATGGTTGCGTACACTTTGCCGTCGGCGAACGAGGTTGTCAGATTGCCGACTCTGATGCCTTGTCGCATGGCATGCACGGAAGCCCACTTCTTAAGCAAGCCCTCGTGCTGCGATTGCGAAAGACGAGAACCGTCTCCTAGCAATGCCTGCACGTCGACAGCAGCACCGGCGTTTCTTCGGATATCCGCCGCAAGCTCACGGAAGTCCACGAGCTGCTGCAGGCCGAAGTTGCTGACAAGAGACCAGAGAAGGCTGAGCGTCTTCTCCCGATGTCCGTCTACGATGTCTTCGGCTGCGATGGCCTCTGCACTTTCTCCAAGCCTGCCGTGATCGCGCAGAGCGCTGAGGGCAATCTGTACGTTGTAGAGCTTTTGCACACGGCCCAGACAAGGCATTTTCAAGTGCTGCGACAAGATCCGGATCGAATCTTCATCGTGAAGTGCGCTTTCCAGAATGGTCAGGTCCGGCATACGGATCGTCACTGTAGCATCGCCTTGCATATCTGCGGTTCGCAGCCTGTTCGGCGAGAACAGCAGAACTTCGACGAGTTTCGTCAACAAGATGCCATCTCGAAGGTCGACGGCGATATTCTCAATCCGATACTTCACCTCATCAAGCGGATCCTGCACATGTCGCACCTCGTAGTCGAGATGACGCAAGACCCGCGTGATGTCCCCAACAGACCCAATGAGCATGCCAGCAATCGCATCCAGCATCGCAACGGACGACTTGCGTGCAGAGCTGGCTTTGAACAGGCAGCTGGTCGCCACACCGCGTTGCTTGGCTTGCTCGAGAAGCCAGATCAGCATCAAGCTTCGCAGGACCGTCTTGCGCCATGGCGCGTTGGGGTCGTCTCCTCGCTCCTCGCTCGGCTCTTCGACGTCGTCCACTTCGACGAGGAATGTCTCCAGGAAGCCGATCAGGGCGCGTCGATGTCGGTGTGGGTCTATTGTTCCGGTGCTGGGGGTCCTTTTGGTGTTCGAGCCGGAAGGTAGTTGTCGGCCGAACACGACCTCTGCCGCCACTCGCAGGATGCCGGTCTCATACCCGTCCAGCCACAGTCCAAGGAAGCGTTTGCGCAGTCCAATATCCTGAGCTGGATCTGGAGGCTTAGACAGATCTCTTGGCCGACTAAGGGCGCCGTAGAGTAGAGAGGCTTGCAGTCGCTTGTGAAGAGTTGCGACCTCCGGTTGATGGTAGATGTGGAGAAGTCGCTCTCGTCGACTTGCGCTTGCATCTTCCAAACGATTCCGTTCTGGCTCCGTCGAAGTGTAGACCTGGTTGACGAGCTCGGTCAATGCGACTTCCTGGTGACTGAGCCATACGTCCTCGTAGAGCTCCGGCTGCGCGATATCCTCCGACAGCACGGGATACTGCTGTAGCCTGGCGGTCTTGAGCTCCATCCTGCGCTCGTTTGGCTTTGGTGGCACCGTCATGTCGCCAGCGAACGACATTCGAGAGGACACGCTCTTTGATCCCGCGAAGTGGTCAGACTGGGGCGGCGAGGGGCGCACACTCAAGCGCCGGTGGATGTTCGAGCTAGGTTGCACGGAGTGTAACTTGCTGAAATCGGGCGCTGAGGCAGTACCGGGCAATGGCACTGCCTTCCTCGCAACAACAGAGGTCCTGGCTTGAGACGCAGCAGTCGGCTCAAACAACTTCGATACGGCCAGCGAGCGTCTAGGGGGGCGGTGATGCAGCGCTGGAGCTGGCTTCTTTCCGATATCATCCATTTGCAAATCAGGCAGCATGTTCTCCTTGCCGCCGTTTTGCCCAGCGACGTCCACACCAGTCCCGTTGGCTTCTTTTGCGACAACATGCTGCAGAGGCAGACGTTTCGGCGCGGCCGCGAGGGACATTCGCGGCCGTTTCGGCTGTTTCACGACTTCTGCGTCCGGATTAGACAGCGTGGTCTCGTACACAGGTTGCGCGGCTGACAGTTGGGTCCCAAATTGGAACGTATCATTCAGTCGGTCGGTTGTGTTCGCACCAGGGTGGATAGTTAAGATTGTGGTATCGTCGGTGGGAACGAAGATCGTCCGTCTTCGTGGTTCCTTCGCCAAACTGCTTTTCGCTTCCACTTGCTGCGCCTCTAACCTCTGTTTGTCGTTTTCCAGATCCCGCGGCGGCTCCAAATCACATTGTACAAACGCAGCAACAGCAGACCTCCTTTGTCTCGAGGCAACATCAGGCATCACAGCATGCTGCAGCACAGCATCCTCTCGCTTCTCCCGCATATCGCGCCTAGGTATCCTCTGTGCAGGCCTCCCAAGCAGCGTCCTACCTCCTAGCTCCCTCCTGCTCTGCACAACCAGCTCCTCCTCTTCCAACACATCTTCAAAAATCGTCACAGCAGCTTCCCTCCGTTCGCGCGGCCGGAACTTCGATTTCCGCCGCGGCTTCGCCCCCTTTAGGTCCAGCTGCAGGGCGCGCGTGTACTCCAGCTCAGTAGTGGTGGTGTCATCTTGCGCGCCGCCCAAGGAGATGGAGCTGGGTCTCCTGCCGCCCACGGGAAGGGGTAGGGCGGAGTTGGGCGCCGGGCAGGGTGTAGCGAGGGATGGGCGCGACATTGTTTGCTGGACAAGCGTTTTGCAGCCCGGTGAAGAGGCTGCTTTATTAGGAGTTGGACATCGTTTGCGAGGCTCGGGGAGTTTTGGGGTTGTACATGGCCCGTGTGTGCCGTGGCTGCGGCGTCATTTGAAGAGTCCAAGGCGGCGATGCGTGACGGTTGGGCTGGCGTTGCGCGGTGGTAAATATTTGGTTGGCGTGACAACGCGCGGCGAAACCACCACGCCGCTCTCTCTGCACGAGATGGACTCTCTACAAGACGTGCAGTGTTGGTAGGGCACTATTATATAATAGATTGCTTTAATGTATATAGCTATATATCCATTACACTTTCTTCCCAACCCTATCTACGTGGAAAAAAGGTACAACGAAGTAGACATCTGTAGGCGGATGTGCGCCAATGAAGTACTCGTCTCTACAACTCATCCTCGTAGGAATCGTCGTCAATCGAGTAATGCTCCTTGATGACATCCTTCTCCGCATCCTCAATCGCCTTGGCAAACTTCGCACCCGACTTGGGGTCGGTGGCGAACAAGTGGTCGAGCACAAGGCGCTTCGGCGTCTCGCCCATCCATTGGAAGAGCGAGAAGTCGAGGAACTTGTCGGCGCGGAAGATCTCGAGCATCTCGAGCGGCTCGTCGTCGCTGAGGTTCTCGATGAAGTGGCCCATGTTGCGCGGCACGATGCCCACGTCGCCCGGCATGAAGTCAAAGGTGCGGGCATTGCCTTCCGCCGCGAAGATGGTGACGCGAGCGCGGCCGCGAATCACGTAGGACCACTCGTCGGCGTTGGGGTGCCAGTGCATCTCGCGCAGCGCGCCTGGGCCAATGTCGAGATGGGCGGCGGCGACGGTTTTGGAGATGGGGAAGTTGGTGCTGTCGGTGATGCGCACCTTGCCGCCGGATGCTTCTTTTGGCTTCTGCGCCAGCATCTTGTGGGTGAATTGGAGCTTGGACTTCTTGAATGCCGCCGGCTTCTCTTTGTCGATGGGTCCCGGGAGCGAGCCTTGGAAGATGTACTTCTCCTCCTCGGGGAGCTCCTTGAAGACCTCGGGTGGGAGTCGGAAGTTCTCTGCCACGACAGAGAGGGGTGTGTGGTGCAGCCAGTCGGTCAACAAGAACGTGCTGTCCTCGGAGAAGTTGCCGTCATCAAAGATGAGGAGGAATTCGGTGCCATTGGGACTGAGACCTTGGAGGGAGTGAGGATGACCGGAGGGGAAGTACCACAAATCGCCCTCTTCCAAATCATCGATGAATGAGCCACCCTCGGTGTCGAGAGCAGTGATACGCACGCTGCCCTTGAGCACATAAGCCCACTCGGCCTCCTTGTGCCAATGCAGTTCGCGAATGACGCCTTCGTCGAGGCGCATGTTCACGGCGGCCAATTCGACGGAGGAAGGCAGCTCGCGGACAGTGGTCTGGCGCGTCCAGCCGCCCTCTTCAATGCGAATGTGCGAATCGGCAAAGCTCCAGTGCATGTTCTTCATCGTGCCATGGTCTGTGGTTGGCGGACGGAGCATGTCGGGGTTCTGTCGCTCTCTGTCGCGATTGCGTGGTCCCAACATGTCGGTGCCCTTGCCATTGCGCTGCAGAATTTGTCAGTTGCTGGGGGGTATTTGGCGAGAATTTGAGTAGATGCAAATTAACGTACCATGGGCAGAGGCTGAACATGTTCGCCATAGCTGTCAAACTTGCGATCGTAGGGATCGTAGTGGTCGAGGTTGTACGGCGACTTTTGCTTCTCGAGCACCAATGGGCTCTGGCGGGTAGGCGCAGCAATGGCCGCCTCCAGCAGCAACCAGGCCGAGACAACACCTTTCAAGAGCATTTTGATATCCTTTACGACTGTCGTGGGTTGCGACAAGAATCCAAGAGGAGATGCAGACAAGAGCTCGAGTCACGCAAGAAGGCTCGGCAGTTGAGTCTCTCTTGGCCCGCACTAGCCGCTATGATGCCCGCGGGACGTCACGCGGCGGAACGCATTGGGCAAGGCCGATGTCGCCAAAACTTTGACCGCACTCGCCCAGCCGCCTTTGCCGCCATATGCCATCGCTGCTCTGTGCACACTACACGGCTCCCGGCGTGGAAAATTGGAGATCAGGAGGGCCCACAGCTTCGAGTCAACTGCCTGACCAGCAAAACCACCTCGCCCGAAGCGCATCGCCTCAGCACTGGGAGCTTCACCTCTAGGCCTCGAAAGATGGCACCAAACTACGGCACGGCCTCCTCACGCCAGGAAAATGCGCCCAATGGCAGCGCCGATGCGGCTCATGAAGAGCGCGCACCCCTACTCGGGAAGCAGGAGCACGGCAGCGTCAGCGAACGCCTTCGACGACACATGACCGCCAACGTTAGCACTGCATGGGGCGATCTCGCCCTGCTGAGCTCCTACATCATCACCGGCCTGGTGGACAGCTGTGCCGTCTTCATCTGGGGCAGTTTCTTGAGCATGCAGACTGGTATGGCCATTGCGCATCTCTTTATCTACATTGACGTACAAAGTCTAATGCGTGCTCGCAGGAAACACCGTCTATGTAGGCCTGGGCCTCGCCGCCCCCAACGACTCCAACCGCTGGATCCGCTCTGGCATCTCCATCTTGAGCTTCATCTTCGGCAGCTATTGCTTCTCGAGATACCATCGCCACCTCGGCGGTCGCAAGCGCTGGGTCATGCTCTCCTCCTACTTCGTGCAGATGCTCATGATCGTCGCGGCTGCCCTGCTCGTCACCCTTGGTCCCAAGACGGGCACGTCCGGTCCAGTCACGGTGTTCATCGCCGTGCCCATCGCCCTTGTCGCCTTCCAGTCCGCCGGCCAGGCCGTGTCGAGCCGTGTGTTGGGATACAATGCTCTCACCGGCGTGGTCCTCACGTCCATCTACGTCGACCTCTTCTCCGACGCCCAGCTATTTGCCGCGCCTACGCAAAACGTGCAGCGCAACCAGCGGCTTGCAGCCCCCATTCTGCTTCTCATTGGAGCTTTCTTTGGTGGACTATGGGCCCACAGTGAAGTTGGACTGGCAGGCGCATTGTGGACTGCCGTGGGCCTGAAGCTTGCCACGACAATCGCGTGGGCCTTTTGGCCGGCGGAGCCTGAGGAGGCCTCATAATGTCGAGCTCGGTCGAATCCAGCAAGCGATCCCGGCAGATAGCAGTCATGTAGAACCCGAAGGCAATACAGCGTTCGTAGAAACTCGCATTCCCCGAAACCGGCGAGCAAAATAACGCATGCTCGCTTCACCCCCTTCAAAGCTCAATCTCAATCTCCGCCGTAGCCGGATAACTATGACAGATGAAGATGCCCTTTGGAAAATCGCCTTCAGGCCCATAGACCCGTCCCTTGAGCAGCTTCACCTCGCACGTCCCGCACATGGCGCTGCGGCAGCCGAACAACGGCTTCAGCCCGGCCTTCTCCGCCAGCTGCAGGATGGACAGATCCTCTTTCGCCGTCCACTTGGCGGTAATGTTGGATTTGGTGAAGTGCACGTTTGCCTCTTCGATGTCGACCATGTTTGGTAGATGTTCTGGATCAAGATAACGTGAAAGGATGAAGTGAGAGTAGCAAGAGTGCCCTGATATGGATGCAGCGATATCGGGAAAGTCGTGGGACGCTAGGACCGTCATATCACACTTCACTCGCAACACCAATGACCTTACAGCGACAGAACCTCAACTCCAGAACGCATAATCCAACCAACCATGGCCCCCAAATACCTCTATAAGATCCTCGACTCGCAACCCCCATCTCCCCTCCCGGAAAAATTCCCCACCACCCCGCTAGACGCGCAAGACGGCTTCATCCACCTCTCCACCGCCCAACAAACCCCCATCACAGCCAAACTCTTCTTCTCCAACCATGACCGGCTGTGGGTGCTGAGACTCGACCGTGAGGCTCTCGACGGCCGCATCGAGTACTCCACGGACCCGAAGGCGGGGGTGGAGAATGGGTGTGCTCATGTTCACGACAGTACTAAGGGGTTGGGACGGGGGAATGTGGTGGAGGTTGTTGAGGTGAGGAGGGAGTCGGGTGAGGCGTGGCCGGAGGTGAAGGGGATGCGGGGACTTACGGATTCATGAGGGTTGGAAAAGGGTTATAGAATTCAACTTCTGCGATGCGACGACCATCTCAACGATTTCAGTGGGCTGCTACGGCATCATTTTGGGCAGACCTTGGGTACACGATGCTAACTAACGAGCGCTATCTCTGCTTCAGCGCCGCTATAGACCGTGCATTATGTGTCTAACATAGCTATCCACCTCGCTCTGTGTCGGGGTCGAATAGCTCTTCAGCGCCGAACTGGTCTCTATCGCTTTATCGGTACGAAACGTCAAGCTGCGTCGCCCATGCTCGTTCCCATATTTTGCCGTGAAAAATTCGATGAGTTTGTAAGGCGGATTGCTCGAGAGATCAGGTTTGCTCCGCAGCTTTGCAAGCCATTCGCTAGCAGACACGGCTTCGAACGTCAACCCCGCGGCCTGGAGCATGGGAAGGAGATCGCGGGTCCAGTGGAAGGTATTGCAATTGATCACGTTGTAGAAGTCGAACAGCTGGCTTTCCTTTTGACAGGTGTTCAACCACGAGTCGATCACCGCTGTGGCAACAATATCAACAGGCAGCCATGAGCAATCCTCGTCGAGTTTCGGGAGCGCGCCTATCGTGCTGGCGGATTGAATCATCAATGGAATGGCCTCTTGCCGATTCCAAATGCCCGCTTTATTGTCGCCTACAATCTGGCCTATCCGCAGAATCCGAGTGGGCAATCCAGCGCGACTCGATGCTGCAGATGCGATCTTCTCCGTCACGAGCTTGCTCTGCGCATATCCCAGCTTTTGCGCGAAGCTGAACGACGCAGCAAGCTGCTCTTCCATCTCTGCATGTGGCGCGTTGCCGACGGTGCTGATCGAAGAGCAGAAGATGAACGCCGCGGGTCGTTCTCGCTTGCTCTCGAGGCAGAGGTCGATGAGCTGTCTTGTCCCGGCGATACAATCCTGCTCGAAGCTTTCTAGGCTCAGATTGAAGTTCACGTTCCATGCGGAGTGTATCACGCAAGTCACCTGCTCGCGCAACCGGGCATACTTCTGTTCTTCCAGCCCGAAATGAGGGAGAGCAAAGTCAGCGGCGATGCCATGCAAGGATAGCCCGTCGACCTCAATCCCTCGTTCGCGCAGAAAATCTTGCACGCGTCTGAGAGCTTCGTCATCGGATTTCGCCCGGACAAGGCAAATAGTGCTCTGAACTTCCGGGCGACTGGCGAGCTGAGCGATGATGTGAGCCCCAAGTGACCCTGTCGCTCCTGTCACGAGAACATGCTCTCCAGTTCCACCAGATCCAGGAACGTGGCGAGGAAAGTTGGCACTGTACTTTTCCACCATCCGCTCCATCCGCTGCTCAACGGGGACAGCATCGACGGTCTTCTCGTTGTTGCGCAGACGCAAGAGTTCAATGGCCATTGCGTCGATCGAGGGGAAGTCGAAGACAAAATTCTCTCCCAGCACGCCATTGCCGATATCAACGTGCTTGAGGATGGTAGACCGTACGCGCGACGCTTGAAGTGAGTCCATGCCGAGCGAGAACAAGTCTGTATCTTCCTGAGCTGCATCCTGGCGATCGGCCTCGACGAGTTCCTTCACCTCTCTCAGCAAAAATGACTTGAGCTCCGCTTCGTTAAATGCCACGGTTCCGTTCCGGATGGGGTCGTGATACATAGTGTCGATCAGCGATGCAAACTCCTTGTAGAAGCCCGCTCGAATGATGGACGACTTGTCCGTGCGTCTGATCTTCTGCGACGTCTCTCCTGCGAGACAGCTGATCATTGCCTTTGACAATTGAGCATGAGCCGGCGCCAGTAAGTTCGCTCGTTCGATATCCGGCCAGATGTCCTCCACGATTTCATCCCTCGAAATGCCTTCATCCGAAGGCAACACGAACATGCCTAAATGCGGCTTCTCACTCCCATAGACAATCGCATCGTCGACTTTGGGCGAATCCCGAGCGGCGTTCTCGAAGATGAGGGGGTTGGCCTTCTCGCCATTACTTAGCACAATCGTATCGTCCCTTCGAGCGTAATACCGCCATGCGTTTTTCCGTGGATAGTCGGGATGTCGCTCCCAGAGGTCCTTGGTGGCATACGCGCCATCCTCTCGATTCCTAGCGCTTAAGCTCGGCCAGCCATCCAACACAACCATCTCGTACACATTATTCGCCACGTCGTCGACGGCCTCCCAGCGGAGATACTTCTGTAGGGTCGCGGACGGCCGCAGCCAATCCCACTCCTCGATCTCGTCTCGCGGGCGGAAGGAGTTCATCAACTGCCCGGTTTCCGAGGCCCCCACATGGCTCATGAGGAAGACCCCGTTTTTCACAAGCTTGTCGCCGACGGGCTTGGGACACGCTCCGCCGCCGCAGAAGAGAACTTGCAGCTTCTTGCACAGGGCAATGCCTTCCTCGCTGTCGGCGAGCAGCTTGGCAACGTACGGCACGCTGTACAGGATCTGGATCTCTGGGTGCTCTTGCAGGGTTTGGAGGATGTGCTTGGTCGTCAAGGGCAAGCTGGCATTGTACATGTAGATGGGCTTGCGATTGTTGATCGAGCGGAAGACACACCCTATGCCTTGTGCGTGGTAAATGGGCAGTGTGAGGAAGCCTGTCAAGTGGAACTGGGATGGAGTGTTGCCGAGAGCCCCGCGGTGAGTCTGGAAGTTGGGCTTTGGCAGGCTCGTAGATCCAGACGAATGGATGATCCAGGCAACGTTCTTTGCCTCTTGAGCAGGATCGAGCTGACTCGCGGGTAGTACGCTTTCGTCCACGGAGCCATAGTCGTCTTGAGAAGCAATCGAATGGACTCCAAGATGCGGCAGACGTTTGTCCAGCTGCTTTGCCATCGACCGAAACCCATCGCTTACCCAGAGGTGCTTCGCCTTCGTGCGTTCCAGCAAAGATACATGAGCCTCCTCCGATATGCGCGTCGATAGAAAAAGAACGGTGTGCCCCAATCTAATTAGCCCCAGAATTGCAACGAAGTAGTCGAGATCAGATGGCCCGAGAAGCGCCACGACAGTCGGAGCGACATCTGAAGACTGCCGCTGCGGAATGGTAGCATCGTAGTAGGTGGCCGCCTTAAGCGACAACTTGTGGATATCGGCGGCAGAGTAGCCTACATATTCGGTGCCGCTGGACGGATAGAAGATCAGAGGGTTGTGGGAGAGTCCAGGCTCGTTGGCCCGAGTTGTGATGAGATCGTAGATTGTGTGGAGGGGTTGCGGGGGATCGGCATGTTCGCCGTTCGTCTTGTGGGCTTTGTCACGGCTTGGGTCCTTGTTGTCTGTAGGGGTTGCCGGGCGAGATCTCTTCGTTGAAGCACGAGTTGATGGGGCCATGACTGGGGGAAATGCATCTATCATCTTGCAAGCCCCATGCGTGTGGTCAGGAAAAGGATATGAATCCCCGGTTGTAGCGATCTACGTGTTTGCATTTCGGTTCGTACGGCACGAGGAGCACTCCACTTGCAATTGTCAGCCCGCGGCTGACAATTGCAAGTGGAGTGCATACATACGGATGCAGCGTGCAGCCTATAGCTGCCCGTTCAAGGGCAAAGGAAGACAAATCTGGTCGTTTGCTGATCAGAGGAGAGGAGGTTGGCTCCCATCGATTAGAGCCTCCTAGGTTGCGAGCTGCTTATGGTACAGGGGTATAAAACACAGACACGACCACCCTATGCTGAGTCCCTCTCCCGATGCCGTATTCCGTCTATCCTGCAGGACCCCAATGCCATGATGAAACATGCAATGCAATCAGACATCGTCCGCCTCCCATCCCTAAAGTTGATTCCAGCTATGCATCGTCCTTCATCTCTCGTCGCTCGTTGACAGCAATGGCCATCTTCTTTCCGACCTCGTAGCTGGAGATCATGATAGCGCAGGCCGGCGCCACTTTCAAGCAACGCGCCGCCCAGCCTTTGAACAGGCCGTTGAGGCCTTCGGTGCAGTAGATATGCCATAAGAACCGGGGCATTGCCCTGCTTTCCGGAAGTGATTGAAGGGATTTACGAGAGTTCGGGTCGGAGTTGTACAAAGCTGTTTGCTGCCGTGTCTTGCCCACATCGAACGGGGTTGTGACGAAGGCGGCAATGGCGCCGGAAACCGCTCCGGCAAGGAACGAGTCGGTAAGAAGGGCGCCATGCGACATATCCACGTTCTGTGGAGGTCCAGATGCAGGCATAGCTTGCTGGCGTAGATTGTTCAGCTGCTGTCGGCCTTTCTCGTATCCCCACCAGTATAGTCCCGAGAAGGGAACGTCACGCCACAGGGTGAGAGTGAGCCCGCGCCAGAGTGTGAGATATCCTTCTGCAGACACCATCTCTTTCAAGCCCACCATTGTGGCACGTAGCACGCCCTTCTCTTTCGTCGAGGTCGCTTGCATCCTGGTCCGTAGCATCTCGATCGGGTTGACGGCGATGGCGGCAATCACCCGTGCTATAGACCCAGCTGCCAAAGGCGCGTATGCATCGCTAAACCTTCCATATACCGGGCTCTTCGGACTCGTGCGCAGCCAGTCGTAGCCAGCAAAGTAAATGACATTCGCAGGGATGGCCATGACCAAAGTCGGACTGAGGCCCCGCCATAGGGTGGAGATGCCCTCGTTTCTCGAGATCTTGCGGAGGCCATCGAGGGTGGAGTTGAAGGATCGTCGCTGAGCTTCTTCTGCAGCACAGTCAGAGATGATCACATCATCCATGACGGCAGAAGCAGTCGGAGCGCTGGCGACGCAGAACTGGGACTGGTTCTGCACCCAGAAGACTTCTCGACAGCAGGCAGTAATGCCCATGCCGGGGGGCAGCTGTTGGAAGGCGGGCGAGCGGGCAGAGAGGGAGGACGGACTTTGTTGAGCTTGTAATCTTACACGCACAACATCCAGTGGTGTGACTGCAGTTTCGTTAGTTATCTACTCCGTGGTATGCATGGCGAGAAGTATAGCACCTACCAAGGAAGGTGACGAGAGTGCTGCCGACGGTGGCGCTCAGCATCCTCTGGAAGAGAGATACGTTGGCGCCGCTTTGAGGCTGAGAAGCTGGAATGAACGGGAAAGCCGGTGGATGGCCGTCGTGCTGTTGATCGTCTATTCTGTCATGGCGTTGGCCTTGTGTGAAAGAATGCGCCATGGCTCGAGCTGCAGCGGCGTCGCAGCCGGCACTCGATGGGGGTGGGGAGGAAGGGTCTACGTCGGAGAGGTGGTCATCAGTTACGGAGCGAGACGCCGCATGGCAGGTGGATGCGGCGGAGGTGTGGAGGAGGGCAGCTGAGGTGGAGAGTGCGGTTGATGTGTAGGAAGATAAGGTAAGAGTCAAGTCAAAGATTGTTTCGATCTGCGCATCATGATATTCCGCGGGCCAGGCAAGGCAGTCTAAGCCGATGCCGCCACGCTCAAAGCGGTTAGCCTCCGCATGCGGTCCTACAATTCTGACGTCTGCCCCGTACTCGGCAGGTCATCAGGACGTCTACGAAGGCGTATCTACGTGCTTGTCACTCAACGCGACGTAGATTTATTGGAAGGTTCTAAGGCAAACACGATATCATACACAATGCGACGCACCTGAGACCGCTCTTCGACTTCCCGTAATCTAAGCTGGATCACGCCCGCTCGGCCCCTCATTTCATGATGGAAGGCGAGGCCAAGCAGGTAGAAACACAGGAAGCACTGGAACGATTTCGACAAGACTGGCTCTCAGAGGTAGCTAGAAATAGGCCATCTACCAAAGATTCCCGGGAATCCGGGAGTGACAAAAGGCCTGTTCCGCATCAGACCCCGTCTTCTGCTGCTATTCCACAATCTGTCGCTCGTCGGAAAGACGATTTTTCGGAAGATGTTGAGCCCAGAGCATATCACGACCTCCCGAATAAGGAGGAAAGTCTCATCCTCGGCAAGGAAGGCGAGCAACGCGGCAGAGAGCAATCAAAGGGGCCATCGTCCGCCCTCGAGCATTACGAGCATGCCGTTGAGAAAGAGACTCAGGGACAGCTCGGGGATTCGATTAAGCATTACCGCCAGGCCTTCAGAGTTGGTCTCCCCTCCCCAACTGCGTTTCTGAAACACATTCTGACTTATCGTGAAGCTTGACGATGGGGTGCAGGAAGTGTACAAGAAGAAATACTTCCCTCCTTCATCCTTTGCCAAGCCGAAACCTTCCAACCCGAACCCGTCAAATGCGCCAGCCACGGTACCGAATCCGGCCCATCACTCACTACATGGTCGGAGCAACGAGTTGTCCGCATCACTCAAGCAGCTGCTGGGGGAGTTTTCCATCCTACGCATCGAAGCCGCCCCGCCGTTGACCAATATCTCGCCCCAAGAGCCTTGTTATTTCGCGGATCTGCCGGAAGAGATTCTAAGTCAAATCTTGGCCACGCTGGGCGTGATCGATCTTGCTACGCTGGCACGCACGGCTCAAGTCTGTAAAAGACTGGCATATGTCGTACTGACCGAAGAGTCCATCTGGAAGACGGTCGCAGTGGGCGAAGAATATGGCTTTGCAGCCATGCACTATGATTTCGCTTGCGAGATCGAAGGCTCCGCTTTGAAAGCAGATGACCAGATAGTACGCTATCTAGACGCTGGAGACGAGTCCGAGGACACGAACGAAACTTTTGCCCCCGGTGAAGAGGAACAAGTGACCTTCTCGGCCCTCACCGAAAACCTGCTACGCACTACGTACGGGAATTCCTGGCGCAACATGTTCCGCACACGGCCTCGGATACGCTTCAACGGATGCTACATCAGTACCGTCAACTATACGCGAGCGGGAGCCAACTCAACCAACACTCTATCCTGGGGTGCGCCAGTCCACGTTGTGACGTACTTCCGATACTTGCGCTTCTTCCGAGACGGCACGGTCATCAGCCTGCTCACCACCAGCGAGCCCGCAGATGTCGTGCATCACTTACTCAAGGAAAACATCCACAACCACCACACCAATACTTTGCCAAGCAGCGTCATGAAGGATGCCCTGCGCGGGCGCTGGCGGCTTTCTGGCCCTGCTTCATCCGTTGTTGACCCCGTGACAAATGAGCCCGAGGTTGAGGGTGATGTACACGTAGAGACAGAAGGCGTCGTCCCTAAATACACTTACAAGATGCTCCTGGCGCTGGCGCATGCGGGCAAGGGTGCGAGGAACAACAAGCTGGCGTGGAAGAGTTTTTGGAGCTACAATCGCTTGACAGACGACTGGGGCGAGTTTCGATTGAGGAACGATCGCGCCTTCTACTGGAGCCGAGTCAAGAGTTACGGCATGGGGTATTGATCGTGCAGATGGGGATGAGCTAGATGGATAGACGCGATCTGAATGACGCTAGATGGATAGACGCAATCTGAATGACGCTGTGAAGGCTTTTCTTCCTCGGCTCGTAGCATGCAAGGCTGCGCGGGAGCTATGGGTGTGGAGCTAATCCGCGATCCGACAGGCTGCTTCATCTTGTGATCGACGCCGATTGCCTTCCCCTGCAGTGGGGACTTCCATTGCCCTGAACTCGCATCTTTTTGCCTCGCATTCTCGAACCAGAAGAGCACCCCATCTGCCGCTTTTTCTTCCCTCTCGCCCTCACTTGGCATGGAGGAAAATATTGGCATCACATGAAGAGTTGAGCGCCAAGCACAAGCAAGCTGTCCACGTGTTGGACAGCGTTCTCTGATTGGCCGGAATTCGAGGTCGTTTGGACTTCACCTCGTGTCTGTTTCAACCCTGTTGAGGTGGCTTTGGCTCCTCCGAGCGCTGGCCAGAGGTCACAGGCGGGCAGTAAGCACAGTAATAACCTCCGCCAGACCCTGTGGGTGAGGAAAATAGAAAGACTTCACCTTCTTCCAGTGCCTCGACTACACCGGTCGATCGTGCGGAGGTGATCAGCCTGCTTGCGAGACAATCCACGGAAACGAGAGACATCTGCAGCGTCCAGACGAGTCGGTCTCGGGAATACTTCCCCATCGCCAAGCGTCAACGCCATTCGAAAATCCATTTCGCCTTGGCTGTCTGCCGTCCGCCTCAATGGTTTTCTGCTTCACGCTCTTTGTTGCGAGGCAGGCTTCGGCGTGGCAATCAGCTAGACGACCGTGAAAATGTGGCCAAAGTCTCAGATCACACGCACTTGCGATCAATAATGGCCTTTGAATGGACTGAATAGTCCACCTGGCTGGATATCCCGCAGTGTATGCGGCTCATGTGGCGAGCTCTTCGATGGCCTAGAATCCGAAGCTCTTCTTGGCCCTTGGCTATCTTTGTCCCTTTAGGTATACCTCCGATGACTGGCCCAGGCGAAGCATGGCGAAGCACCTATGTGGGACAGCCCAGAGGCGCGTCTCGCCACTCGCGATCATTTCCGCTCGCGCGGCAATGCTTGAGATTCAGCAAACAACAACCTGTCGACCGTCAACGTGCCGCGGATGATCTCTTCTCGTGCCTTGGCAGAGGGAACGTTCCGAGTCGACGGGAAAATGGTAAGGATAGTATAAGTTTCCGGCAGGTAGGCCATCGTCTTTTCTGTTTCACCAATTTCTTCAAACACCTACTTTTCTATCTGCTAAGAGCTGGTCTTGGTACGCAATGGCTCCTCATACCTCGGGAGGCAACGCTGCCTTTCACAACTTCCACAACGACTATGCACACATTGAGGATCCCAATGAGCGCCGACGTCTCGCGCTGGCTGAGATTGACAAGGCTCCCTTCGGCTGGTATCACGTGAGAGCGGTCGTGGTGGCTGGCATCGGTTTCTTCACTGTAAGTCCATACCACGCAGGAAAGCCGTACCGCAAGAGTCGTATGCATGATGCTGATCGATACAACAGGATGCGTACGACATCTTCGCCATCGGTCTCGTCACGAGCATGATCGGAATAGTATACTGGCAAGGCACCTCTTTCGACGGCGCCATCCCGAACAAGGTCTCGACTGGTCTCAAAGTTGCAACTTCTGGTGGTACCGTCATTGGACAACTCGCTTTCGGCTGGCTCGCAGACGTTGTCGGCAGGAAGAAGATGTACGGCCTCGAGCTGATCATCATCATCTTCGCCACGCTCGCGCAAGCCCTCTCGTCCTCCTCCGAGGCAATCACAATCGCAGGCGTTCTGATCTTCTGGCGTGTGCTGATGGGTATCGGCATTGGCGGTGGTATGTTTGGTCAAGTCTTCCTCATGGAGATACCTCGATTCTAACCCAATGCTAGACTACCCGCTTAGCGCCATCATCACATCTGAATTCGCCACCACGAAATGGAGAGGTGCCATGATGGGCGCGGTCTTCGCCAACCAAGGCTTTGGCCAGCTCGCCGCCGGCATCATCACTCTCATCGTCACCGCAGGTTTCAAAGGCTCGCTCTCGTCCGCCGTCGATGCCGAGCACTGCAGTGGTCCTTGCAAACTCGCCGTGGACGTTATGTGGCGTACCGTCATCGGCATGGGCGCCGTCCCCGGCTGCATTGCTCTTTACTTCCGCCTCACCATCCCCGAGACGCCCCGATACACCTTCGATGTCTCCCGCGACATCGTCAAGGGCGGCTCCGACATCAAGGCCTATCTCGCCGACAAGCCCGAGGGCCACCCCGACGACCTTACCCGCGTGCAGAAGATGCAGGAGTCCGAGCAGCTGACCATCCCCAAGGCCTCCTGGCGCGACTTCTTCGGCCACTACTCGCAGTGGAAGTACGGCAAAGTGCTCCTCGGCACGGCAGGCTCATGGTTCTTCCTCGACGTCGCCTTCTACGGCGTCGGCCTCAACAGCCCCGTCATTCTGAGCGGGATTGGCTTCGCCGACTACAACAACGTGTACGAGTACTACCGCAACGTCGGTGTCGGCAACATCATCTTGGTGCTTGCGGGCGCCATCCCGGGCTACTGGGTCACCGTCGCGACCGTAGACCGCATCGGGCGCAAACCCATCCAGCTCGCCGGCTTCGCCATCCTCACCGTCCTCTTCTGCATCATCGGCTTCGGCTACCACGTCATCGGCACCGGCGGCCTCATCGCCTGCTACGTGCTCGCCTACTTCTTCTTCAACTTCGGCCCCAACGCCACCACCTTCATCGTCCCGGGAGAATGGTCAGTAACCCCAATTCACACCCACCACAACAAAACATGCTAACAAACCCCCCAGCTTCCCCACCCGCTACCGCAGCACAAGCCACGGCATCTCCGCCGCATCCGGCAAAATCGGCGCCATCATCGCCCAAGTGCTCATCGGCCCGCTGGCAGTCAAGGGCGCCACAAAGACCGACAAGGACCCGTGGCTCAACCACGTCATGGAGATCTTCGCGCTCTTCATGCTGCTCGGCTTCTTCACCTCGCTTTTCATCCCGGAGACGAAGCGCAAGACGCTCGAGCAGTTGGCCGGCGAGGTGCCGGGCACGCCCGAGTACGACCCGCGTCTTGCGGGCGGTACTGGTCAGACGTCTGATGATTACTCGGGCGAGTACTCGGCTGAGTACTCGAATGAGTCTGCTGCTCCTCTTAAGAAGTGAGGTTTTTTTACATGGTGATAGATTGGGAGAGGGGGCTTGTGCGTACACCAAAGGCTGGCTTTGATTTCATAGCGTTTCGTGGTTGACCGTTTCAAGACCGAATGACTATCATACTTGTCTCTACAATCATTTTTGTCTTGAAGCCATTCTTTGTCAACTAGCGAGCGGTTTAATTACATGGGCGATGATGAGAAAGACAGAGCATGAATAGCTGTTGAGCGACCGCTTGAGAATGTGGACTCGATCCTGTCCCTACCTATGCAAACACCACATCGTCAACGCCAGCGCTATACCCAGTCGTGAATCTCTCTCGGTCCAGAATGGCTTTCTGAATCCCGCATTATCACTAAGCCCTAAGATGCACCCATTATCCGGCCGTTTCCCAATGCACTCATCCGGTCGACCCAATGCAGTCGCGAGTAGAGAATCGTCAGTTACCTCCTCCCCACACTCCCCCGACTCGCACTCCTCTCCTGCCTCGACCGCAGAATCTCCCCACTACTCCGCAGCAAGTCGGGGTTCGACTCGCCCATGACTCTCGCCGAGCCGGAGCTGCTCCTCCGCCTCCGCCGCCTCGTCTCATCCGGATCGCGCGGGCTCAACCCACTCGCCCGCGCCAACAGGTTCAGCACATCCGTCAAGCTGACAACGCCGGAAAGACGGCCGGACATGGCGGCGCCGGGTAGCTGAGCCGCAGAAACGGCGTTCGTGCTCGGATTGGTGCCAGTGCCTAGATGCCCTGACATCGGCCCTGGCACTGACTCGGACACGGAGCCCGATCGAGCTGGAGCTGGTGCGTGCGAGGGAGAACCGATACTGAAGGGTGGGACGTGGTGAATGCCCGGGCCGGGGCTGGGGGGTACGCTTCCTGATGGGCTTGGTGCTTGCACTATCCAGACTCGGTGTGCGAGCGTGGCGCAGAGTTTGGCGACTGTGTGTGCTAGTGTGCTGTGGGGCGTTACGTGGAAGACGGGGAAGGCGTCCTTGCCATCTTGCACGCCGCGCTCGGAGAGGATGACGCCGATGAAGTGGATGCATGATTGGCCGAGGAGCGGGATGGCGGAGGTGTCCGTGAGCAGCTAAGAGAGCGAGATCGTCAGCGGATAGGGAATAGAGGTTTCCAGGGAAACGCAAAGACTCACCCTCGTGTCCACGTGGCTGATATTTCCCACAACATTGTTTTGATTGTCAAGCACGGGAAGCGACGTTATCCCTTCTTCATGCATCAGCCGGAGCGCGTCAGCAAGCGGTTTATCCCCATTGATGGCCACGACCACCTTGGCGCCGATTTCCAGGTCATGCAATGTGCGCGAGTAGAGCGGTTCCGTGGTGGCAAAGTTTGTGTGATGCTCCCAAAAGAAGCGCACGAGTCTGAGTTGGCTCAGGACACCAATGGCCTCGCTCGTTCCCTCTTTGCAGATAACCACTCGATGCAGGCCACTCCCCAGAACCTCCATGGCTTGCATCAAGCTCGCCGTACTATGTAGAAACGTGGGAGGCTCGCGCTGTCCGAGGTGATCAAAGACATCTCTTAGAGGCAGCACCTCTCCCGCTCTTGCCCTCTTGGCCAACTGTGTCGCCAACTCATCCGAGTGTGTAATGCCCAGAACCAGCAAGAGATACGCCATCAACTCGTCGTACCCAAAAAGATCAAGCACCGTCCGCGTCGTCCGCGACTCTCTAACCAACACGACATTGGGAGAGCCAGAGCGGATAAGCAGCTTGGTAGTCTGCTCAATATCCGTGTCGAGTTCGACGAACCTCGCTTCCACGGGATCGATAATCTCATGCACCTGGATGGTCCTCCAGTCGCGGCCTTTGAACCGCTCGTCCGCCACGCCGTTCGCTTTGCTCATCGACGGCTGCATGAGGAGCTCAGTCAACGCGGCTTCGGAGAAGGACTGCGTGCGTTGTGCGCGGGGGGAGGGCGGGCCTTGCCGGATGTTCTCGGCTAGGAGTGAGCGGTGGGAGAGGCGGGGAGAGGCGGGTAGCTTGTGGGGAGAGTGGATGGGGGTTGTCGTGGGGGAGGAGACGGCGCTGGAGCCTGAGGTCACGGGTTGGAGCGAAGGGGGTTCGCGAGTGGGAGAGATGTGGTTTGAGGAAGAGGGAGGGTGGGAGGTTTCGTTCGGGGGCTGTGATGGGGGTGCCATTGTGAATGAGGCACAGGGTTAGGTGGATGTGAAGCGACTCCTTCGACAGGGGTAAGTTGTGTGTCGCTGGAGAGCAACATGAAGGTGAGGATGTTGGTATTCAGAGGAGGGTGACGATGTAAGCGTGTCGTGCCTCACATGAAACCGAGCTGGTCCCTGCATTTTCCCCAAACTCTATTTCGGCGCAGCCTCCCCGGAGCCTTACGTGAGAGATGAAGTAGATGGATCGTGAATACGTTACTACAACGATAGGTGCAACAATGAGTCGAGTTCTCAATCGACTAGTAATCTCTATGCTGTGAATGCACGCCGACCACGTCATGCGTGGACATCACTACCGACGTCCTCTATTGCGCTGATCAACCGCACACAAGTCTCCCTCTGCGTCTGCCCATTGACCACCACCCGGAAGAACTTGCCCTCCTCGCCCGGGGCATAATCAATCATTAATCCCTTCTCCAACAGCGCGTCTTTTGCGCGTTCAGTGATTCTACTGTTCCTCTCCTTCGCCCCTTGTCCACTCTGCTTGTCAAAGTAGAAGCAGACTTGCAAGCAGGGAGGCGGGTCCTCGGACACCAGGCTGAACCGCGCATGCGACTTGACGAGTGAAGCGAGATACTCGGCCATCTCGAATGCATGGTCGACGTATGCCGCATACCCTTCCGTGCCGTAGTAGATCCAGCTCAAGGCAAATTTCAGCGCATCACCCCGTCGTCCGCATTGAGGCGTGAGATCTGCGAGGTCCCAGAACACCCCATCGTCCAATCCGCCATTGTTCGCAGTGTCTTCCCCTGCCTCTCCATCTCCGTGAAACAGGTATCCAGCCGGAAGCGTCATGGCGCGATGAAACAGCCTCAAATCCCTGCCCAGCAGAAACGAGCACGTCAACGGCACACCGAGCATCTTATGCGCGCAAATGCTCATCGAGTCCGCTCGCTCCACCCCCTTCAGCTTCCACCGCTGTCGCGCGCTAAACACCACCGACCCACCCCACGACCCATCAACGTGCAGCCATAGTCCTTGCCGCTTGCAAACCTCCGCAATTTCGTCGAGTGGATCGTAAGATCCCAGTACTGTCGTGCCGGCCGTGGCATTAACGTAGAAAGGCGTTTCACCTTCGCTCCGGCACCTCTCGACAGCAGCCTCCAGAGCATCAGGCTTCATACGACCTTGCGAGTCGACGGGCACACTCCGGACGGCGTTTGAGCCAAAGCCGGAAATCTGCGCCGCTTTCTCTACGCTGTAATGGCCGTGAGCGGAGGTGAAGAGGACGAAGCGCCGCGCGCCATTGCCTTCGCGCTTCGTCTCGGGGAACAGAGTGTTCCGCGCGATAACGAGAGAAGTTTGATTCGCCGCCGAGCCGCCGGGCTGCGAGAAGCCGCCTGCAAACTGTCCGTGGAAGCCGAACATGGACGCCAAAGCACGCGTCGTGCGCTTCTCGATAAGCGTCAGCGCCGGCGCGACCTGGTAGATGTGAACATTGGTGTTAAGAGAGGAGAGGAGAAGATCGGCGGCGACGCCAATGGGTGTGGGAGAATGGTAGAGTTTGTCGAGGAAGCCTTGGTCCCAGGTATTGACGCTGTGCTTTTGGATGCGGCGTGCCAGCTCGACCACGCCTTCCAGTCCCCGGCCGGCATCTTGTAACCGGAAGTCTAGGAGTTTGGAGAGCTCGGTGGGGTTTCGATAGTCCAGGAGTGTGGGCGCGATATGTCCGTTCGTTGCTGCGGAGTCGTGGTTGCTTGCTTTAGCCGCAAGCGTGGCATTGTCGTCTGCGGTCCGGACGAAATCTACCACGAGATCTTTGACCGCGGTGAGTATCTAGTACGCGTTAGCATGGATCTTGTCGGATGTGTTCTGTCACTAGCTACCTCTTCGGTCTCATCGGCTCGGGTGGTAGGCTTCATGTTCTGAAGCCCATGGTCTTTGCCAGTGCCGTTCACGGACATGGCGTTGTGGAGGTGAGGTCTCGCGGACTGGAGAGGCTTCCACGGAATATCGCAACAGCCAAAATTTGATCACCACGAAGAATCCAGTAAATATTTAGAGATCATGAAGCAGCGATGGACGAAGTGCTAGGAGATGCGCAATGGGAGAACTGGAGAAAAGTCGAGATCTCATGGCGTGGACGAAGATGACGAAATCCGAACTCAGTTTCCACTTTGGGCGAATGTCCGCGGATGATATGAACCGTACAATAAGGTATTACAGAGAATCAAAGGAAACGATACACCGAAACACGGCCGCCGAATTCATGGCCTCATCACGTCGACGTTGTTGCAGCCGACCCCCTTGTGCCAATCTTGGTTCCATTCGCCTTCGTCGCCTCCGAAGTGCTGTTCTTCCTCTTGCTCTTCTTTCCCTTCTTGGCCTTTGCGTGTCGTTCCCTCGCCAATTGCAGCGGCGTCTTGGCCGTGATGTCCTTGTCCTTGTTGATCTCCAGCTCTGAAAAGCTCTGGAAGCCATCGTTGCTCGCCTTGATCTTGCTCTGCCGGATCCAGTCGGCTCGTCGGCGCTTGTAGAGATCCATCTTCCAATTCTTCCACACGGCTCGTCCGCTTGGGCTGTCGCGTAGCTGCGTCTCATTCTCCGCCAATTCCTCTGCAATCCGCTCGCGGATGAAGGCCAAACCGTGAGTGCCATCCCACATACAATCCACGACGTGCGAGGCCCCACTGTCTACAGCCATCTCTCCCATGTGCCCGTAGAAGTGCTGGATGAGCTTTCGCGTCGAAATCATCGAGGCATTGCGCGTGGTCAATGCTTGCTGAAGCGTTCGCGAGACGATGTGATCCTTCGACATGGCCAACAGAGTAAGCGCGTCAAGCGCAATGAGCGAGTCGAGCACAAGAGCGCTCAGAGAACCGGGTACGATTAACATTGCCTGCGCAAGGATGTTGAAGTGCGTCTTGATGGGCTCGGAAGAGCGCGCAAAGTTCGCCTTGGCTGGATCGTTGGCGACACTCTGGGTGCTTTCGTGAGCAGCCTCATCCTCGCCGGCAGTACCAGGGCCGAATTTGAGCAATTTCTTGATTTCGAAGCCATCCGCAGTGTGCCATGTAGAGTCGATTTGGACCGCAATCGCCTGGGTGTCGATGTCTTTGATGGTGCAACGCTCAATCAGAGTCCGCACGACCATCGTTCGACTCTTGCGCAAGAGATCGGATATGGTTGGGATCAGGGCCTCATGCGCCTCGAGAAGATCGTCATATGCCAGTCGCTCTAGCACACGACACACAGCATACCCCGCGATTTCATTGCGTGCGTGCGATGCCAGTCGCTCCTTGAAGAAATCGACATACAAATTTTTGAACACCTTCTCCGGCGCATGTTTGACAATCTTTTCCACGAGATGCGAGCCCACAGGGTCATAGACGAGCCCATTGATAAATTGAGCGCTGCTGCTCTCGGGAGTGATGGGGTTGTCGGGCAATAGCGTTCGGAGTATGTTCGTTTCACCCTTTGTGTTCTCTTTGGATGTGGCGTTCAATTCCAGCTGCAGTAACAATTGCAGAGATGGATTTCCGTGTGGATGAGTCGCCAAGGCGCGTAGCTGTTCAGTATCCAGCCCGGCAACACTCTCTGCAATGAGTTGCTTAACAGCATCGGCGAAGGATTCGGGCACGGTCCTGTCCTTGTCGAGAGCCTGGATCGTAGCCAACCCGGCACCATGAGCGGACTTGTTGTCTTTCCATTTGCCTTGCAAGAGGTGTTTGGTGGAGAGGTCGTCGATGGGTTTTCCAGACAAGACGAGCAACAGGACGCGAAGCACATGCGAGGCATAACGATCGGTCAGCAAGTAGCCGATGTTGCCTTCCAGCTCGGCCAGGGTGTCCAGGTAGAAGATCTCCATCGGCGTGTGGTCTTCGTCGCCGCTAGTGGCATTGGCTTCATCGCTAATCGGTTTGGGTGCCGAGGCCAGGAGCTCTTCGGTGACGAAGGGGGCGGCGTGTAGGAAGAGAGCTTCACAGCAGTGGGAGGCGAAGCGGTGAGATACTAGGTGGATAAAGCTGGACAAGTCAGTCACGACGTTCCTCAAGTGGGCGACAGGGCTGCACATACTTTCCGCTCAGCTTTCGAAAGAGATTCTTGAGCTGTGCCGACGTGGACAACTGGATCAAGCGCTCAAGCAGGCGGGAGCACGACTGGCTCTGGGCAATCTTGAGCTCCTTACCTTCCGCCTCAGCGTACACGCTGGAGAGAAACTGGGCCTTTTCGTCGGCCGACTCGAAGGCGTTGGCTTCGAGCAGTTCGGAGGCATGACGGAAATGCTCTTGCTCCTCTTCATCCAGCAGGCCGAAGAAAGGTCTTTCCCTGGGCGGATAGGCGGCATCGAGGCTTTCGTCTGCTTGCGGGTCTGCAGCGACATCATCATGCCCGCCATCTACGCCCGCCTTGCGCCGTTTGCTGCTGCTCTGTTCGACAACCACATCAACTTCGTCCTCTTCCTCGTGCTTCCTCTTCTTCCCCTCCATGCGCCTCCCGCGCTTCTTATTCGCCTGCGGCATGCTGGATGGGTCGGGTGTCCTTCCAACTCTGCGCAACGCGCATTTCACCCTCAATAATTCGTCAGGTCCAGATGTGCATCAAGCTGTCGTTGGAGGAGGGCAGGAGGTCGTGCAAGGTAGCTTTGGGAGGCAGAGGCGGATGGTGAATGCAAGCAGGGCGATGGATGACGGTGCCGCGTTCATCAAGCTGGACCATCGGAAAAATCGAGATCTTGATCCCGATGGACCCACTTTTCAATCTTGGTGCGCTGCATGTGCCGGTCTCACCCCTCGATCGGCCATTCTGAATCACAAGAACAAGGACAAGAACATGATCATTGCACAGATGTGCGGCCGCACGACTGGGACACTGACCCCATCCAAGTCATCGCGCATCCACTGTCCAGTAAGTCTATGGCTGTTGAACACTCAGTAGGCAGCTCGTCCTCGAGACGTCCTGGCGAGTTCGTCGTTTGTGAAAAGGCGATCAGTCCAATGCCGCAGTCCTCAGAGCCAGACAATGCCCTCGGAAAGGTGCTTAAGCATTGTATAGCAGTCAACCAGAAGAGGCTTCGACTAACAATGATGCAGCACATGCAATCGACGTGAACGACATGGAAGCCTTGCCTTATGTAATCAGAGTTCTGTCCGCAGACGGTGCGGGCCGAAGCTCGGACGCGACATTTCGTCGCAGCGCGCGTTGGGCGAAATTTCAAGAAACGCATGTCGAGAAAGTGTCCAACGTGAGAGCAGTCAGATTCCCCCTCCTCGCTCCTTTCCGCAATCACATACAACCTCTCACACTCCCGGCTGTGGAGCCGACACATTCACCATGAATTTCGGCGGTCAAACGCCAACGATCATCGTTCTCAAAGAAGGTATGTTGCAGTCGAGAGAAGCTTATGTCTGGCTAGTCGTGATCGTGTGTTCTGACCTGCTTGTCATATTCCAGGCACCGATCAGTCGCAAGGCAAGGGACAAATCGTATCAAACATCAACGCCTGTATCGCCGTCCAATCCACCGTCAAGGGAACCCTTGGACCTTACGGCGGAGACCTACTTCTCGTGGACGAAAATGGCAAGACAACCATTACAAACGATGGAGCGACGGTGATGAAACTCCTCGACATTGTCCACCCCGCCGCTCGCATTCTCACAGACATCGCACGATCACAAGATGCGGAGGTGGGTGATGGGACAACGTCGGTGGTGGTGTTGGCCGGAGAGATTCTCAAGGAGGTCAAAGAGCATGTCGAGCAAGGCGTAAGCAGTCAAATCATCATCAAAGGCCTACGGAGAGCGAGCATGATGGCCGTCAAGAAGATTCAAGAGATTGCCGTCAACACGAGCGAGGGCAATCAAAGGGAGACTTTGAGGAAGCTGGCAGCTACGGCGATGAGCAGCAAGCTCATCCACCGTAACGCCGATTTCTTCACCAAGAGTACGTGATTACATTTCCTGCCACGTAATGTAGGCCTGACTAACATCCAATCCAGTGGTTGTCGACGCCGTCCTTTCCCTCGATCAAGACGACCTCAACGAGAAGCTCATCGGCATCAAGAAGATCACCGGCGGCGCTCTCCAAGACTCCCTCTTCGTAAACGGTGTCGCCTTCAAGAAGACCTTTTCCTACGCCGGCTTCGAACAGCAACCCAAATCCTTCTCCAACCCCAACATCGTGTGTCTCAACGTCGAGCTCGAATTGAAGAGCGAGAAAGACAACGCCGAAGTACGAGTGGAACAAGTGTCAGAGTATCAAGCCATTGTCGACGCCGAGTGGAGAATAATATACGACAAGATGGAGGCCCTGCACAAGACAGGCGCCAAGGTCGTCCTCTCCAAACTCCCCATCGGCGATCTCGCAACGCAGTACTTCGCCGACCGCGACATCTTCTGCGCCGGCCGCGTTGCCTCCGACGACCTCGACCGCGTCTGTCAAGCCACCGGCGCCAGCATCCAATCTACCTGCTCCGACATCAAACCCCAGCACCTCGGCACCTGTGAAAAGTTCGACGAGCGCCAAATCGGCGGCGAGCGCTTCAATTTCTTCGAAGGCTGCCCCAAAGCCAAAACCTGCACCCTCGTGCTCCGCGGCGGCGCTGAGCAGTTCATCGCCGAAGTCGAGCGCTCCCTCCACGACGCCATCATGGTCGTGCGCCGCGCCATCAAAAACACCACCATCGTCGCCGGCGGCGGCGCCTGCGAAATGGAAGTCTCCGCCTACCTGCACAACTTTGCCGACAAGAACGTGCCGCACAAGCAACAGTCCATCATCAAATGCTTCGCCAAAGCGCTCGAGGTCATCCCGCGTCAACTCTGCGACAACGCCGGCTTCGACGCAACGGACATCCTCAATCGCCTGCGCGTCGAGCACCGCAAAGGCAACACGTGGGCCGGCGTGGACTTTGACCACGAGGGCATCCGCGACAATCTCGAGGCGTTTGTGTGGGAGCCGGCTCTGGTGAAGGTGAATGCCATTCAGGCGGCGGTGGAGGCGAGCTGTTTGATTTTGAGTGTCGACGAGACGATCCGGAATCAGGAGAGCCAGCAGCCGCAGGGGCCGCAGAGAGGCTTGCCACCGGGGGCTGCGCAAAGGGCTGTGAGAGGCATGGGTAGGGGAAGGGGGATGCCCATGCGGGGGAGATGATGCGGGTCTTGAATGGCACGATGAAGTGAGAGTACGCTTATGTGTATGTAGTCGGACTTCTACATCACAATCGGATTCAACGCAGCTCGTAAAAGAGTCATATCATGCTTTCTCGCCTCACCACCCACCAGCGAACACGATGATCACGTCACCCTCCAATCCCAGTCATCTCCATACCCCCTCTCCACCTCTCCAAGCCTCAAACGCCTCCTCTTCTCCCGATTCACCTCATTCGCCGCCACGGCCGACATCTGCTCGCTCATCGCGCGCTGCGCCGCGCTCAGGTTCCCCAACTCCACATCCCCCAAATCGGAACTGCGCGCCAGCTGCGTCGCCAGCACGCCCAGCGCTTTCCGCTTAAGCGCCTCGACGTCGGCCGTGATTTGCGCGTTGGAAGCCGTGCGCGCTTTCTTGGCGGCGCGCTCGTCGGTTTCGGCTTGGCGGGTTTGCTGAGCCTGCTGGGATTCAGCGCGACGGGCTTTGGCGGCTAGGTAGCGTACGCTGTGGCCTTGGATTGAAGAGGGGGTGTTGGTGTTGGTTATGTTGTTGGAGACGGGCGGGGTGGTGAAGAAGAGCAGACGGCCGAACTCGTCGCGTTGGTATTGCTCGCGGATCTCGGCGGGGATGCTGAGATTGGCGTGGTCGGGGAGTGTGTAGACCTCGATTGGCGGTGGGTTGCGGTAGTCTGTCGAGGGGGCGCGGGGCGCGTAGAGAGCGGGGTTGGGAGGGATGCCTTCGGAGTGATGTTGTTGCTGCTGCTGTTGGATATGGTGATACTGCATCGGTTGACCCATGGGTCGATGCTGACTCTGCGTGTGCGGCGTGGCTGGGTTGTAGCTTTGCGCTTGGTGGGCCGATGGTGGTCGCTGCTGGAGCTGAGGCATCGGGCTCTGCGCGTGTTGCGCGGCGAACGTGGCTTGCGATTGTGGGGCTGTGAAGGACGTTTGTCTCACGCCAGTGCTCGGAGGCCGCTGCTGTTGCTGCTGAATCTGCTGAGAAGAAGCCAGAGCCGAGCTCTGATAGCTTGGGGCTGCAGTGGCCATGGGCCTGGGTGGCGCCGGAGTCTCGACTTTCGGCGGCGGCGGTGGAGGGGTGGGTTCGGGTGGAGGGGAGTCTTTCTCGGTCCTTGGCCTGCGATGCACGGCGCCTATCTTTGGAGGCGCGCCGTCTGCGCCCCAAGTAACTTTGGGAAGCTCATCGGTCTCCTTCTGATCGTCTTTCAACAGATATGCGATTGGAGAAGGGAACTTTTTCATTTTGCGCGGGTGATCGAAAAGGTCCATTTCGTAGTCCTTGTCTCGCACCTCGTCCGGTAAACAGCTCGCCCAGGTCTTGATGGTGTTGAATTGGTGCCGCTCTTCGTTGTAGCGATCCTTGCAGACATATATCTCCGTTCCCTCGGGGAGTCCACGCGGTCGGCCCTTGAAGAAGCGCGTGTAGAACATGATGTAACATTTGCCCTCCACCTCCTCGATGTTGTGATCGCGGTATCTCCCGGTCTTGACGAGTTCGCTGTTGTAGAAGTGCTTGTCGGCACGATGGACTGTCTGCTCCGGGCGGTAGTACCAGCACACATTGACCATACTCTGACCATTCGGGTTCTTGTATGTTCGGTAAATCTGCGCGGGTATGGGTTTGGTGAGGTCGTTCGGGTTCTGCAGATGGACCCATTCGCCGACTCGGTACAGTTCGCCGTTGTGCAGTATACCGTTCGGCATGGGGATCTTGCCCTCGTCATCTGCGAAAGTGTCATCGGGCTTGGCCTTCTCGTTGTCGTACAATTTGCCCGCCTCGATCTGCAGCTGCGTCGCGTCTTTGAAGATTTGAGAGTCATCGGTGTTGTACTCCTTGGCATTGTTGAGCATGAGATTCACATCGGCCATGAAGGCTTCCAGGGTGGGATACTTCTTTCGCTTGACTTTCCGTTTGAGGGTATCGTACGCGATGGGATTCTTGACCTCGGCGTAGTACTCTGGCATAGTTGCTTTGTCGGGAAGACGTTCGAAGTGTCCGATAATTAGCTGGCCGCGGTTGTTTTTCGGCTTCCTGAGGCCTTTGAGAACAGCAAGGATGCGCGCCTCCATGGGGGTCAAGAGCTTCGGAGGTCGACCTCTGGAACGCTTGTTCTCGCCTTCATCATCCCCGCTTCGATGCTTCGTCTTGCTGCCCGGCGGTCGACCCCGTTTCCGCTTCACAACCGGCTTTCCTTCGTCGTCCAAATCAGGTTCCTCTTCCTCTTCGTCCTCCTCGCCTTCTTCGTCAGAATCCTCCTCCTCTTCTCCTTCGCCTTCTGCCTCTTCGACAGGGACATCTTCAAAAGTAGGGATTTCACCCAGGTCTGGTAGCTGCGCAACTTCCTTGGTGATCAAGCCCGATTCCACCAGCTTCTGCAAGCGCTGCTCCAGCTGCTCTTTGATGACCAGAGCATCCTGGAAAGCCCCGCTATCCGGTCGATTGAAGACTTGCGCATTGTGTGGGATGAGGGCAAAGTCGCGTACGAACTGCGAGAAAGTCTCATACGCGCGTGTGTTGATCTTCTGCTTGATGGTGGACAAGGCGATGGGCTCTTGAATGGTCTCGTAGTACTCCGGGATGACTCGTTTGTTCACTTTGCGATGGAAGAGTTTGGAAGGGTCGAAGCCGTCTTGAGTGCGATAGTCGTAGATGTATTGGAGGAGATCGTGCATGGCCTCCCACTCGGCATCAGGGATCTGGGTGCCATCGTTTTGAGCGGCTTCGGTCGATGGTACCGGAGTGGTGCTGGGACTTCGCTCGCGCTTCTTTGGCGGCATCGCGTCGGTGGAGGGAAGTGTTATCACACCAGGCGCATTCGCGGTCAGTTGTTCTCAAGACGCCGCAGCAAGGACGCGCCAAACTTTCGTGCCTGAGCAGCTGCTTAGCTAAGCCAAGAGGACGGCCGTCAGCCACAGAAGGCGCTACCGAACTGCCATGGAGTGGCGTTGCATTCACTTTGTCGAAAACATCAAAGACGCTCTTCGAAACCCGCCATCTTTTATCAGATACGAACAGCGACGGGCTATAATATTGCGAAAGTTCCTGATCAAGGAACGGTCTTAACACTAACACTGTCGCCTTCATCGACCCCAACATCTGACCCAACAAGCTAGCCGAACGACTCCATTCAGTACCGGCTGGCCGACTTCTCGAAGTAAGGTATTTGGAACACCAGGCTGCGTATTGCCTGCTCTCCTCGTCCCCTCAACATCCGACCAGGTCTCGCTCACAATGTCAACCAACATTCGTCTGCGAGCCCGAGGTCCGGAAGGCGTAGCGACCATCACAATCGATAAGTCTGCAACGTGGCAGGAGTTGCTCGGACAAATATCGAAGCACACTGGAGTCGAGGGAGATTTCGATCTCAGTTACGGCTATCCTCCTCAGCCTCTAAATGTCGAGTCAATATCCGGCACCACTCAAATCTCCGACTTGCCCCAGAACCTCAATGGAGAGCAACTCATCGTCAAGCCGAGAGCGATCCAATCCAAAATGTCAAATCCGACTGCAGAGGCAAAGCCGCAACCGTCAGCCGTCAAACCTCTGCCGCCGCGGGATCTTATCTCACCACCTGCTCACAAGCATGGTGATTTCCCTCAACAGCCTCTAGGTTTGACGAGAAAACCGAGAGTAGACGTGGAAAGCGAACCGCCGGAGGTACCAGTGCCGATGCTCGACGGTTCGATGGTGCTTCGAGTGATGCCCGACGACAACAGCTGCATGTTCCGGGCTTTATCTTCCGCGGTCCTCGGCTCTGCGTTGGACGGCATGACCGAGCTTCGTAGCGTGGTGGCACAAACAATTCAAGCCAATCCAGAACTCTACACCAAAGGTCTGCTCGAGAAGGAGCCAACCGCATACTGTCGCTGGATTCAGCGAGAAGACAGCTGGGGCGGAGGGATCGAGCTCGCCATCTTAAGCCAACACTTCAACATCGAAATCTGCAGCATCAATGTCCAGGATTTGCGAATCGACAAGTTCAACGAAGGGCAGCCCACGCGCTGTATCCTCGTCTACTCCGGCATTCATTATGATGTCTGCGCCGTGGCACCCTATGCCGGAGCAGATCCGGAGTTCGACAGGAAGGTCTTTGACGTTGTCAAGACAGGCGATGACGAGATCGACGGCGGTGCTCTCGAGGCCGCGAGAGAGTTGTGTAGAGTTCTGCAGGGAAGGCACTACTTCACCGATACACATGGCTTCACTGTGAAGTGTAACGTGTGTCAACAGACCGGGACTGGGCAGGATTGGGCGGTGCAACACGCAAGGAGCACCGGACATGGCGATTTCGGGGAAGGCTGAACGTGCTGTATTGGGCCAGGCGTGAGTCATGGCCGATCCAGGCAACAACTTCGGCGAACAACGAGCAACGGATATCATGGATCTTCTCTGAGCGAGTGATTAGGGAAGTAGCTTCAAAAGATTCGAAGGTATACGTTTTGTCCGCAGGACTCTGCGTTCGTCCGAATGGACCCTTCCCTTTTGCTATATTGTACTTTGTCCGGATGTTGGTTCGATTCTCCTTGAGCAGGCTGCTTACCATTTTGCACTGTCCAGAACTCATGAGGACTGGGTTGACTTTGATTTTGCACACAACCTACGAACGACATGATAACCTAAAGCAGTTGGAAGATCACGGTGGACGGGAATGGTACTGCTGCGTGAACTCTAGTTAATCGTGCTGTGACCAGATGACTTGCCGCGGTCATTCTAGTGGGCCTGGGAAGGCTGAACATTCCGTATTGGGTGACCGATCCAGGCGACAGCTTTGGCGGAATGACCAACGCATATGTAGGATCTTCTCGGAGCAAGTAGTCAGGGAAGTAGCTTCAATTGACACTTCGGTAAACGCTATGTCCCTAGGACTCTGCGTTAGTCCTTATGGGCCCTTCCCTTTTGCCACGACGTGCTAACACGTTGTCCTGATCTTGGTTCGAATCTCGCCAGTCTCTCACTGTAGCAACATGCAGCCATTACACTTCGGCTCGAGCCTCTGAGAATTGGCTAGGTGACTTCGTTTTTGTACTTTTTCTCCCACAAATGTCGAAATGCACGACAATTCAAAGTAGTCGGTCATGGAAGGCTGGAGTGCACGCACGTGATGAATGCCGTTGCTGACTAATCTTCACGACGCGTGCTTGCTTCGCGTGACGCTCTAAAGTTCACTACCGCTCCAAACTTGAAGCTGTTTGCTCAACACCACGTCTCGCCACGACTTTGTGCCCTCTCGTGACGGGAGAAAGCACACCACCAAGGCCGTGATCATGTCTTCCCGGAAGCGCAGCAGGGATCCCGATGATCTCGACGGTGAGGTGGAAGTGGAAAGCGCGAGTTCCAGCTTGCGCCAGGGCGGCGGGCCCAAACGCTCCAAAGTTGCTTTGGCGCGCGAGAACGGCGGTTCAGTCATTTCCGACGATGATGAGGAGAACAGCGACGATGCCGGTCGAGCGTCAAGAGCGTCCCGCGGCATCTCCGAATTCGTGCAAGACGAAGATGGCGAAATCGACGACCTACGCGCCACCCAGATCGTGGAGAAGCAGTTCCGCGGGCTCCGCGAGAACATGGCTTCGGAACAGGGAATCATCGAGGAGGTCTACTGTCGCAATTTCATGTGTCACAGCAAGCTACGCATCAAGCTCGGTCCGCTCATCAACTTCATCATCGGCCATAATGGAAGCGGGAAGAGTGCGGTCCTCACCGCTCTCACCATGTGTTTGGGAGGCAAAGCAACCGCCACGAACCGTGGTGCGAGCTTGAAGAATCTGATCAAAGAGGGGGAAGACAACGCGACTCTCGCTGTCAAGATCAAGAACCAAGGCGAGGGTGCATATAAACCCGAGTTATATGGGGAGAGCATCACGGTCGAGCGTCACTTCTCACGCAATGGAGCAAGCGGGTTCAAGCTCAAGAACGACCAAGACAAGCCCATCAGCTCCAAAAAGGCCGACCTAGACGACATCCTCGATTTCTTCGCCTTCCAACTCGACAATCCTATCAACGTCCTCACCCAAGACATGGCCCGCCAGTTTCTATCTAATAGCACATCCAGCGACAAGTACAAATTCTTCATCCGTGGCACGTGTCTCGAAGTGCTCGACGCAGACTACAAGCTCCTCGAGGAGTCCCTTGACGGCATCAGTCACAAATTGTATGCTCGCGAACAAGACATGAGCATCCTCAAGAGCAAATTCGAAGAAGCGGAAAGGAAGAAGCAGCGTGTGGAGCAGATCAACACAATCAAGCAGAAGATCAAGGACCTACAACGCATGCACGCGTGGGCACAAGTTGAAGAGCAGGAGCGGGACCTCGAGAAGTGCGAGGCTAGTGTTTCCGAGGCTGCGGACAGGGTGCAGGAGAAGAGGAATGCCGCCGAGGACGTTGATGGCGTCTATGAGGGCCACAACCAATCCTGGGAAGGTGCCAAACGATCGCTTTCCGACTTTCAGACCCAGCTAGAGCCTGTCACTGAGAACCACAAGCTTGAAAAGGACGCCTTTGATACCAACAAGGGAGAGCTTCTCAAGCTCAAAACTGAGGAGCGGACTATGAAAGAGAACATCACCAAGGCCAAGAGCGACGTCCGCAAATACGAAAAGGCCGTCAATGAGGAGAAGCAGCGCCTTGCTGATGCCGAAGGTCCGGAGCATGCTGCTCGGCTTGACCAACTGGAGACGTTGAAGCATGCGGCCGAAGAGGCAAAGCTGGCACAGATGGAGCATGGTACAGGCATCGCCGAGCTTGAAAGGAAAAGGGCTGAATCCGAGAGGCAGCACGACGAGGCCAGACCTCAGCAAAAACAGCGTGAAGACGAGTTGAAACGACTTCAAACACGATTGAACAAGGCGAAAGCAGAGCAGCAGTCACCATTCGACGGGTACCGTCCCAATATGGAAAACCTTGTCCGTCAGATCAACAGAGAGACTCGGTGGCGCTCGAAGCCCGTTGGCCCGGTCGGTCATCACGTTAAGCTGCTCAAGCAGGAATGGTCATCACATATCGAGCGCACCTTCGGTGGTGTTTTGGAGTCTTTTGTCGTGACGAACAAAGAGGACGCGGATCTGTTGAGTCAGATCATGTCGAGAGTCAAGTGCACTCCCGGCACTCTCATCTGCACACCAGGAAGACTCGACACGACTGGCAAAGAGCCGCGAGCAGGCGTAGACACCATTCTCCGAGTGTTGGAAATCGACAACGATGATGTGCGCAATCAGCTCATCATCAACCAGGCCATCGAACAAACGGTTCTGATCCAGGACCGGAAAGAAGCCTATGACTTCGCCTACGCAGGTCCCCGCCCACAGAATGTCAAGAGTGTGATATGCTGGGACGATAACGACAAGCGAGCTGGCTGGCGTTTCGACTGGAGCAGAACAGGTGCCGCGAAATCCAGTCCGGTTGCTAGATGGGACGTCCCACGGATGCAGTCGAATCGCTCCGAACAGATTGCATCTGCCCAGCAAGATGTGGAGCAAGCTGGCCGAGATGTCACAGCCATCCAGGCGCAAGTCAAACAGTTGCAAAACGCCGCTGTCAAGGCAAAGCAAGATGTCGTTGCCTTTCAGAGACGCCAGAAAGACCTTCTGGTTGCCTCTCAGCGCGCCGAGGATGCGGTCGTGGCCAAGCAAGAGGAGATTGATGCCAGTCGCCCGCAGCATGGCAAACTGCAAGAGCTTGAGCATCAGCTCTCGGAAGCTAAAGGCGAGCACGAGGCGGGACAAGCATCCTACATCGACATGGTCAATGCGATGGACCGCTTGAATGAGATCGCGAAGGAGATCAAGACGCGCCTGGATGCGGCGCAAGCCGAGCTCGATCAAGCGAACAAGCGAGTTGTCAGTGCCGAGAAGCGTGTGCACCAGACCGAGCTCGCTCGCCAGAACGCCCTGAGAGAGAAGAATCTCGCACATCAGCACATTGCCGATGCGCAGGAGGAACAGGACGGTGCCGAAAAGCGGCGAGACACGCAACGCAATCAAGTTGAGTTGTTCATCGGTGAAGCCTCGAGGATTGCCGAGAGGATGCCGGTTGAAAGAGGTCTCACTGCTACTGCCATTGATCAGCGGCTCGACAAGCTGGTGAAAGACAAGGACCGAGCGATGAAGGAGATGGGCGGGTCGGAGGAAGAGCTCAACACGGCGTATTTGGTGGCGCGAAAGGAGTACGAGGATGGCATGAAGACCTTGAAAGATATGAGCAAGGTCGCCGACGTAAGTTGTCCAGCACCCGACTTTTGCTACGAGGACGGAAACTAACATATTGGATAGACGCTCCGACGATCGCTGGAGTACCGTTACCGCCGTTGGGGTCTTTTCCGCTCCTTGATCTCGTGTCGTGCGCGCATCAACTTCGGCTACCTCCTCAGCGAGCGCCAATTCCGCGGCCGCGTGCTCATCGACCACGCCAACAAGCTCCTCGAAATCCGCGTCGAGCCCGACCTCTCCAAAACCTCCGACGCAGGCCGCGTAACCAAAACCCTCAGCGGAGGCGAAAAGTCCTTCTCCACCATCTGCCTCTTGCTTTCAATCTGGGAGGCCATGGGCTCGCCGATCCGCTGCCTCGATGAATTCGACGTGTTTATGGACTCGGTGAATCGCGCGCAGAGTATGAGCATGATGATTGCGGCCGCGAGGCGCTCGGTGGGCAGGCAGTTCATCCTCATCACGCCGCAGAGTATGAACCATGTGGACTTGGGGGACGATGTGAGGGTGCATAAGATGAGTGATCCCGAAAGGGGCCAGACTGTGTTGCCGTTTGGGGCGACGCAGACTTAGGGGGTGTTGAGATGGGGCAGGGTGTGAGGAGGGAGACTTTCGTTTGATGATACCAACGCTCCGGTGCTTCAGGAGCTGCATTTACATTTCTGAGTCTGTTTGAGCGAGCTTGATTATACCGCCGTAGGCGTGTGCCGTACCAGATAGCTTGGCAACTTGCTGACCATCGCGTCCAGCCGGCAAGGCTGTCCACTTGCTTTGGTTCGGTCTCCACATGGTGAGGACGGTATTGCGGAGTCAATGGACGGGCTGGCACGCAGACAAGTGCATTCTCATGAACAAGCAGGAGCAGCCAAAGAAGCAGCGCAAGTGCCTTGATCACCCGTGCCATCCTCGCAACACGCTCGCTCCTCCACCACATCTCCATCACACAAAACGAAAAACAATGCTATCCCTCCCTACCGAAATCCACACCTCCATCCTCCAAACCGCCACCTTCCCCGACCTCTGCTCCCTCCGCCAAACCTGCAAAGCCCTGCATCGCCTCCTCTCCCACGGCGACATCCTGCGCCACTGGCTCCACGCGCACCTCGCCCCTCACCAACTCGCCCTCTTCCCCCTCCCCTCCACCCCGACCTTCACCTACGCCGTCGAACAGCAGCGCCGCCACGACGCGGCAACGGAAACGGCAGCGCTGCTGAGCGAATTCATCGAGCGCGAGGTCCTGCGCGTCACGCTCAAGCGGCTGGATGTGTATCCGCAGCATTCGCGCGCCGAGCTCTCGGTGCTGGTGAAGGCGCAATTGAAGGAGAAGCTCGTGCCGTTGTTGTTGACGGTGCAGCATTACCTGGAGAAATTCGCCGAGGCGGTGCTGCGGTGTGTTGGAAACGAACAGGGGTCGGAGAACTTTGACACGTTGTATGACGAGTTGCGCGCGGCAGAGAGTCGCATTCTTGACTCCTATTCTCCTGAGCAGCTGCTGCAGACGCACAAATTCTGGTTGTTCTTCTGCTGGCTGCATAACTACATCCTCGATCGGCCGGATTATGAGTGCACTCGAGGCCGGCCGCTGGCGTACGGAGTAGGAGAGTCAGATCGCCGATATCAGTTCCGGCTGATGCTGGTACTGGGGAACTTGAGTGCGCTGAGAACTCTGCTGAAAGCCGAGACGGACGTGGAGCGCTTCGAATTGATCACGTCTTGGACCCGGCGGTTGGACCCCGAGTTGAACAGCCTTTGGAGACGGCAATGGGAGGCTGTAGTGTTCGGATGTCGCCAGCCGCTTGCGGCGCGGCAGGCTAAGGCGGCACTGCGTTTGACGCTCTCGGTGGGCGAGGTGTGGGTTGATGGGGCCACGGCGGCGTTGGTGAGCAGAGGCTTACTCCGCGTCGACAAGAACAGAGATGTGGGCTCTCCGTGGCAGGCGTTGGACTTTCTGTTCGATGTGGCGGGGTACGATGTGCTACAGACGCCTCCGTCGCTGATGCAGGAGCTGCGATGGCACCGATAGCAGCAGCGAATCATTAGCGGATGTTGAATCTCCACGAACCTATGAGATTAATTTATCTCTTTACACAGACGTCTTCTCAGCTCGGAATGGCGGCCAGCGCATTGCCAAATACCGTCCGCAGTCTGTCCGCATCCTCCAAGCCCACGCTGAACCTGACGAGACTGACTTCGCATCCGAACTGCGCCGCCCAATCCAGTTCGGTGTAGTGGGCCAGCAAGACAAAGGGTGAGCTCAGGGTGAAATTCGTCCCCAGACTCGGGCCCTTTTGCGTGTCGAGATGGTCGTAGAAGACCGCTGCATCCTCAACGCGGTGAAACACAGCAGAGAGCAGGCCCCCGTATCCTCCGTCCGGTAGTCGGCAGGCATCGTAGAAGGCTTTAGTGTCGCTGTATTTGGGATAATTCACGTGCTTCACTGCGCTGTGTGATCGAAGAATGTCGGCAATCAACTCGGCATTGTGATTGATGCGTTGAATTCGACCGACGAAATCGCGGCTGTTGCGTTCGAGGTAGACGCTGTCGCCCTCGAATTGGTTGTCCTCGTAGTGCTCGTTGAAGTGCTCTTTGATCCGGTTGTAGTACTGTGAACGTGGATTTACAATCATGCAGCCGCCCATGACGTTGCTGTCTCCACTGAAGATCTTGGTCAAACTTGAAACCAGTATGTCGGCGTATGGCAGCACATGGACATTCAGGAAGTTGCCAATCGTCTCGTCGATGACAACAGCAAAGTCATATTTGTCGGCAAGGGATCGAATGCGCTTGAGATCGGGTGTTTTGAGCAGGGGGTTGCCAGGGAATTCGCAGAAAAGAGAAAGAAAGCGTTCGCCATTCTCCAACCGTTTTTCGAGATGGTCCAAGTCGGCGGCGTTGCCATGGCCGTAAAACTCAGCCCCTGCGCCGAACTTCTCCAGCACTTTCAGAGTGTCGACGTACGGGAAGCCATACATGACGCTCTTGTCTTCTCGAACAGCCAGTCGAAGAGCAAGATGCGCATGAAAGATGGCATTCATACCACAGGGGTAGAGGAAGACATCGTCAACGGAAAAGCCAGGTACGTCTCGACTACGCTGCCGTGAGAGGTCGGTTGCGTCATTCAGTGAATCTGGCAGCTCTGCCTGACTTGTCAGGCTCCCTGCAATGCGTTTTCGAACTGCCAGTTTCGCCTGGGAGGCAAAAGTCACGTCGAGGTTACGGCCGAATCGTTCTTCGACGAATTGAGCAGAGTCGGGTACTGCAACGCCATTTCTCTCTGGAGTGTTTCCGTTGGTGTGGGTAGTAGAGCCCTTTGATAAGGTCTTGTCGGTGGACAATCGTTGATATCGCCTTGGACCCTTGGCGATTGGAGTGATGATGGATGACTGAGGGGTTGAAAGAACCATGGTCTTCGATTCGAGTGCTTGGAGACAGAATTCCGCGCGGCGACTCTGTATGCCTTCGCCAGTGTGTTGCCAGAAAGCTTTAGCTGTCGGCCATAGTTCTTTGGGGTACAGGACCGCACATAGATGCGGCTGCACGAATTGGGAAGCATTCGATTCGACAGGGACGAACTCAAGGATGCATAGTCGACTTTGCTCGAGCGACGGATTGTTGTGAGAGATGAAGGCGACACAGCGTTTTGCGCAGGTGATTGTGGGAAATAGCATAGCAAGGTCTTGGTCGGGTGCACCATGTTGTTCAACGATTGTTCTCGCCAGTCGCTGTATGATTTTGTGTATGAAGAATCTGCCCCAAGTCAGTCGAGAGTGAATGATGATTGCTTTTGGCGATTGCAGAAACCTTGGATAGCCACATTGCATCTTCTCCAACACCCATTGCTCGCCCTCCTCGTAGCCAACATTGGAGCGCCATGTTGGTAATGAGACGCTTACGGCCTGAGCACGCGATCAGTTGCACGTTTCTTATCGCGAGTCAGAAGTGGAGGACCTACATGTGGAGTATCTGGTGGCACGGTCTCTCCAAGTGTGTTGTTGAAAGGGAGTTCAACCGGCACTCCAGGCATCGTGGAGTTGGGAGCGACGAGGACGACTCAGAAGGAAACGGGATTGTGTCGTGGGTATGTGGTTGGTATGACATGTGGTTGGACTCATTCTCATAATTTCATCCCAACCTTTCACCGAGATCGGGCAAAGGGTCCCTGCGTTTCGCGTGGCCGCTCCCACGCGCCGCGCCGCAACTCTAAAAAAATGTCAACCTCAATTTATTGCTGAAGTCGATGCACTCGAAAGACACTCCACGTGCTCTGCAACAATGGCACCCACCAACAAGAGGCGCAAGTTGCAGCACGAGTCGCCAGAGGATGAAATTGATGGCGCATCCATTTCATCCCTATCTTTCCACAGTGCACAAGAAGACTTCAACGAGAGCGAAAGCCTGGAGGAGGAAGATGTGGACGAACAAGAAGTGGATGCGGCAGACCTCAATGATCAAGAGCCTGGAGAGGACGAGGACGAGGACGAGGATATGAGCAGCGAGCAAGAGTTTGTCACTCCGCGCAAAGTACCACGCGAGACTGGCGCAACGCAGAAATCTCTCAGCCGGAGCGCCAGGCCTTCACAAAGCGGCGCAAGTGAAAACAGTGCATACAATTCCGGCACCTTCAAGAGCAACACCTTTAAGATCCAGGTAGATGAGCTGCTTGCCCAAATACGACCAAGACACGGCGCTCGAGAGTCGGCAGCAGAGAACGCACTGCATCGGCTGAAAGGCATCATCGAGGCCATCCCAGCTGGTGCCCCTCTTTCAGTGGACGACGCAGAGCGCGGCCTGCTCATGTCGAGCAAGGTCGTCATCCCTTTCATGGAGCCCCGCCCGCCAAAAGATGCGAAGTACAAGCTGGAATACAGCAAGCCGAGCAGTATCAATGTCGTTGGAAGCTATGCCCTGAAAACAGCGAGTCGGGTCGAGGCAGTGGCGGCAATTGACATGCTCGTCACAATGCCCACGGCTCTCTTCCAAGACAAGGACTTCCTGAACTACCGCTATTTCTACAAGAGAGCCTATTACCTGGCTGTTATAGCTGCTGCTCTACAATCGGCGTGCGAGACAGAGTACAGCACTCGGTTCAAATACCACCACGACAATCCCTTCAAGCCAATCATTGTCGTCGCTCCTAACGCGCACAAAAGCTCGTCAAAAGGCAAGACCTCGTCTTCGAAATGGGAAATCAACATTCTGCTCTCCACCTCAGCAGATGTGTTTCCGCCCGAGAAACTTCTCCCGGATCGCAACTGCGTGCGCAATGCCGTCGACAACTCATCGGAGGGTGGGGCGATAGCAACGCCCTTCTACAACAGTTCCATCCGCTCAGACATGCTTGTATCCTCCTACTTGAAGCTTTCGCACTCCGCTGCGAAGGATTGCGCAGCCTTTGTGGACGCTTGTATCTTGGGTAATACCTGGTTGCGCCAACGCGGGCTCGGATCAGACATTCAGGCTGGCGGCTTTGGACTCTTCGAGTTCAGCGCGTTCATGGCTCTGCTATTGTCAGGCGAGGGCAATCTTCGGCCGATCCTCGGTAGCGGATATAGCAGCTATCAGCTGTTGAAAGCTACGCTTCAACTACTGGCAACAAGGGACTTCAGCAAGGAGCCGCTCATCATTGGCTCGACAAGCGGCAATGTCAAGGCGACGGGACGTGGGGCGCCTATAGTGTGGGATGGTCAAAGACAACACAACTTACTCTTCAAGATGACGCCTTGGGCCTACCGTTTACTTCGCCTTGAAGCCAGGACCACGCTGAGTATGCTCAGCGACCAGAACTTTGATGGCTTCGAAGCTGCGTTCATCATGCGGAAGGATCTGGACCTCTATCGATACGATTACGTCGTGGCTTTAAGCAAAGGCCTCCTGGGACCAGACAATGCAAGCCCTGGCCAAGCTCCGTTGCAAAAGTACCGGCAACTGTACGAGGTTCTCGAGCGAGCGCTCGGTGATCGGGTGAACCTCATCAGCATCACGGCTCATCGTTCCAAGGCATGGAGAGTCGATTACGCGGACCCTACGCAACGGTCTGAGGGAGAGATTCGAGTCGGTTTCGTCATTAATCCAGCCACTGTGCATCGAACCGTTGATCACGGGCCTCCGGCAGAAAAGAAAGCCGAAGCAGCTCAATTTCGAGAGTTCTGGGGCGAAAAGGCGGAGTTGCGCCGTTTCAAAGATGGAAGCATCCTGGAAAGCCTGGTGTGGAGTGCGAAAGAGAGCGGGCAATCGGTCTTTGAGCAGATCGTTCGCTATGCCATTTCGAAACACCTGGGAGAGCGCGTCGAGAAGGACGTACAAATCGCGGGCGAGAGCTTCGCACGACTTCTCTCCGGCACTGCCTCGGATACCAATTCTCAAGGATCTCTGGAGGCCTTCCGACAGTTTGAGACCGACCTTCGCGGTCTAGATGGTCTGCCTCTGTCGATTCGGGAGATCGTGCCTGCTGACGCCCAGCTGCGATCGACATCACTAACCTCGATTCGCAATCAACGACAGCAAATCCCCGCTGATGTCGTTCTCCAATTCGAAGGATCTGCCCGCTGGCCCGACGATCTTGTTGCTATCCAAAGGACAAAGATCGCCTTTCTGCTGACCATCCATTCTCAGCTCGCGGGATCGTCAGAAACCGCTACGGCACGTGTAGGTCTTGAGAACGGGGAGCACGACGTCTTGAACCAGGCATTCTTGGATGTGACATACGACTCAGGCGCATCCTTCCGTCTTCGCATCCACCACGATCGAGAACAGACACTGCTGGAACGCAGGCTCAAAGACAAAGCATTGGACCCACGGACCAAGGAGGTTGCAGCCCTCGGCCTCGCGAAGTATAGGCGGGATTACGTGAAGCTGCCTGCATTTACTCAGGCCATCGCGCGCTTGTGCAGCCGGTATCCGGCCCTGAGTGGCACGATTCGCCTACTCAAGAAATGGTTTGCGTCTCACTTACTGGACAACCACGTCGCGGACCCAGTCATTGAGATGCTCGCTGCCCGCACTTTCGTCCAGCCCTGGCCCTGGCAAGCTCCCTCGAGCGTGCAGACTGGGTTCTTGAGAACTCTGCACTGGATCTCACGCTGGGACTGGCGCAACGAACCACTGATAGTCGATCTCAGCGGTAGCGGTGACCTCAAGCAGCCCGAAGTCCAGAGCATCCAAACGAAATTCGAAGCGTGGAGGAAACTAGACCCGGCATTGAACCGAGTCGTCCTCTTCTGCGCTTCTAGTGTCGATCAGGACGGCACTGCTTGGACCGATGGACGACCACAGAAAGTCGTAGCCGCCCGACTGACCGCACTAGCCCGAGCAGCTTGTGCAGAAGTTGTAGACAAAGGCCTGGACCTTCAGCCTGCGTCCTTATTCGCCTCGCCCCTCGCCGATTTCGATTTCGTCATCCACCTCAACTCCGACTTCATGCTCAACGCGAAGTCCTCCCGCAAGTCGAATGGCAGCTCCGCTTTCAAGAACCTAGAGCTCGACGTCGACACCGACGCTTCTCGCGTGGGCTACCAGCCCCTTCGAGATTTTACTTCGGAGGTAGAGGCTTTGTTTGGCGCTGCTGTTCTCTTCTTCTCGGGCGGCGAGGAGCGCGCTGTGCTTGCTGGGCTGTGGCAGCCGCAGACGGCTGATCGGGCTTGGAAGTTGAATCTGGGCTACTCTACTATTCCCAGGATTGGATCTGAGGGTGAGGAGGATGTGCGGGCCGAGATTAATCGGGAGGGCATTCTGGCGGAGATTGCGAGGATTGGTGGGGATTTGGTCAAGGCGATTGAGGTCAATCGTAGATAGTCTGACGAGCCAGGGCACCGATGTCTGTATGATCAAGGTCTCGTGCAACAATGGTTTCTTCCGCGTGCTCATTTCTGCTATGTGAAGATGTTGTTCATAGTTGTGTGAGTCGTGGGCTCCACATTTTGTCCAGCTGTCGACGACAAGGCTGAAGCTCCGAAAGCGGTATCACGCCATCCACGCATGAAAGCATGAAACGCACACTCGTGGTCAGCACTCTCTTGCCCTCTTTCGAGAGAGGCCGTTCACTTACACTATCTCTGTCTTCAACAACGTCTGAGCTGCCTCGACAAGTCCAAACGAAAGAGACAACAACATGGCACCAAACAACCACCCCAGCACAAATGGCTCCTCCACGCCCAAGAAAGAGCTCCTCCTCAACGCCTTCGTAATGACGACGCCCGGCCACCTAGCCCCAGGCCAATGGCACCACCCCCGCAACCAAACAGCAGACTACAACAAGCTCTCCTTCTGGACGTCGCTCGCCACCAAACTCGACACCGCCGGCTTCCACTGCATGTTCATCGCCGACACGCTAGGCGCCTACGACGTCTACAAGGGCCCCGCGAACGTGAACCCGGCGCTGAAGAGCGGTGCTCAGTTCCCTGTCAACGATCCGCTCTATGCTGTCCCTGCCATGGCGGCTGTGACGAAGAATCTCGTTTTCGGCGTGACGGCTAGCACGACGTATGATGCGCCGTATGCGCTTGCGCGCCGCTTTTCGACTGTTGATCATTTGACCGAGGGCCGTGTGGCGTGGAATATTGTCACGTCGTATTTGGATAGCGCGGCGAGGAATTTTGGGCTGGATACGCAGATTGAGCATGATGAGCGGTATCGCATTGCGGATGAGTATATGGATGTGGTGTACAAGGTACGGGTGCCGGGGCATGCTCGATGAACGCAACGGAGAGCTAATGTCTTGTGTTGTAGTTGTGGGAAGGCAGTTGGTCTGATGATGCGGTGGTGAGAGACAAAGAGATTGGCGTGTTTGCGCAGACCGGCAAAGTTCGAGAGATTCACCACAAGGGAAAGTATTTCAACGTGCCTGGGCCGCATATCTGCGAGCCCTCGCCGCAAAGGACGCCGTATGTCATGAACTTGCCAACCCCGTCGACTGCAGGTCCTCAATGCAAGACTTGCTGACACTTGCCACGTCCTAGCTTCATCTTTCAAGCAGGTACCAGCAAAGCGGGGACGGAGTTCGGTGCAAAGCACGCAGAGGCCGTCTTTCTTGGTGGTCAGACTCCGGAGAAAGTGCGAGCGTCCGTAGATGCACTGCGAGAGACTGCAAAGAAGAACGGCAGGGATCCGAGCCACATCAAAATGATGGCGGGAATGACGATCATCATCGACGAGACAGACGCAAAAGCAGAACAGAAGAGGGACGATTTCCTACGCTACGGCGACCGCGAAGGAGCCCTGGCACTGTTTGGAGGCTGGACGGGCATTGATCTGTCCACTTACTCGGACGACGAAGACTTCAGATTCGTAAAGGCGCCGGCAGTGCAATCGATTGTCAATCGCTGGTCAGACACCGTGCCGGGGAGCGAGGGCCTGAAATGGAATAAGTCTCGAATCGCCGAATACCTACTACTCGGTGGAGTCATTCCGAAAGTCGTTGGTGGTCCTCAAACAGTGGTGGACGAACTGGAGAGATGGGTGGAGGTTGGCGGGGTGGACGGCTTCAACTTGAGCCATATCGTCAACCCGGGCTCATTTGACGACATGATTGAGTTTCTCTTGCCGGAGCTGTCGAAGCGAGGGTTGTTCAAGAATCAAGTCGCGAAGGAGGGCGCGACTGCTCGGGAGGTGTTCTTCGGGCAGCCTCATGTTCTGGATGACCATCCTGCGTTTCAATTCAAGTGGAACGGCGAGGACAGATAATCACATGGCGATTCTCGGAGTCGTGTCGCAATTCCGATGATCTCAAGTCACTCCGCTCGCTCGTGTTCGCGTATGTCTCGTCGATGTCTAGATTCACCCAATGCTCATCGCGAGATATGCCAAGTATTTCAGCGTCCCAATCAGGCTAGCGTGATCGAAACTGTCCAACTCGCGTTGTGACGAGAAATCAACATCGCAGACTGAGAACAACCCAAGCACGCGAGAACGTCATCCCACTGGTACGTCAAACTCCCTTCTCATCGAGCCATCCTTCCGTTCTGTTGGAACACTGTCGTCCAAAGCATGCTGCTGGAATGACACGGTGTCGATGGCGGTTGCCAGCCGCCCAGACCAGCGCAAGCCCGCCTCCACCTCTTCCATCGCTGCTGCGACAAAGGCCGGCTGCTCTAGAACCATGCGAGAGAGCTAATGCACAATGTAGACGCAGTGCTGAACCCCTCCCGCCTCCTCCACCATGCCGGCGATGCTCGATGACCCCACCGCGCCCGCCATCTACCGCATCTCGGGCGATGCACCGTACCCCATGCCCTACGGCCCCCTTCCGCCCGAGATCGCAGTCCGACAAGTAACGCTGCGAGATCGCGTGACCATAGCCACCCTCATCCCCTTCTCCTCGCCTAATGAAGTCCCCACGAAACTCACCGCCTACCTGTGCGAGCTGCTGAATCGCGAAATCGACAAGGGAGACACATACCCCATGATGGAGCCCATGCCCTTGTCGTCCTTCGGCCCCTACTGGTTCGCCAACTTTGGCGCCATCATGATCATGGGCGAGGTGCAGAGTGTAGAGGAGGTGACGCAGATGGAAGAGCGGGGTGTGGAGTGGGCGCGAGAGTGCTTGGGCAGTTTCTACGTCAAGCCCAACTACCCCGGACGCAGCAGTCACGTGTGCAACGGCGGCTTCCTCGTCAGTGATGCTGCGAGAAATCGAGGAGTCGGCAGGCTGATGGGCGAATGCTACCTCGACTGGGCACCGAAACTGGGATACACTTACAGCGTTTTCAACCTGGTCTACGAAACGAACGTTGCCTCTCTACGCATATGGGACGCTCTGGGCTTCAAACGCATCGGTCGGGTGAAGGGCTGTGGGAACCTCAAATCTTTCCCAGATCAATTCGTCGATGCCATCATCTTCGGCCGCGAGCTAGGTGGCGAGGGCGACGAGTACGTGAGCGAAGAGCGGTTCGACAAAATCCGCTTTTATCTGAAGACCGGCACCTACCCAAACGGCTCTGATCGTGCAGAAAAGTCTCGATTACGCTCTGCCGCCACGCATTACCGCTTACTCCCCAACTCCAACCCGGACGACGGCGAGGAAGACAAGCTCATGCTCAAAGGCAAAGAAGTCATCAGCGACCCACACAAGCAGTACGAAATCGCGCGACAAATGCACGCCCTCAGCCACGGCGGCATCAACAAGACGACCGCCAGCATCGCCGAGAAATACCACTGGGTGCGCATCAAAGAGACCGTCAGCGCCGCCATCCGCAACTGCGAAGAATGCAAAGACCCCGCCCCCAAACCCTCATCCTCCACCAAGGACCGGCGCGCCACCAAAGCCGGCGCAGCCGATAGTACCGCTGCCGCCAAGTCCTCCGCCTCACCAACCACCTCTCACCCGCAAGTCGTCCTCGCCGCCGCCGATGATGACGACCCGGAGCCCCAGCATCAGCAACGACGCCAACGGCAAGCGCCCATGGCGCCCATGCAGTACCAACTCCCGCAGTACGACATGCCCGTCGACCCGCAAATCATGCAACAGCAGTGGCAAGTGCCCAACGCTGACGACGACGCCGCTTCCGACCCCATGGCCATTGACCCGGCGCCCACGCGTGCGGCGGCAGTCACGCAGCGGGATGTCGATGCGAGACTGAGGGAGGAGTTGGCTGCTGCCGTGGGTGGATCAAAGAGGTGAATGGGCTGGCTTTGCTTTCGTGACGACCGTGCCTTTTGTGGGTACAGGTAGTGATTAGCGCAGCATTTAGCATTGCGAAATCGAGCCCTCGACTTGAGTGTCAGACTCATGCTGATGAAGAGCTCGTAAATCCGGGCAAGTAAACATAGAAAGCACGAATTTCCCGCCACAGTTCGTGTGGACGTGCCTATCAATCCTCTGCTTGCCTACCGGCATCAATCGAGAAACAATCACGTGACGTGGGAAGTGAGAAGACACCAAAGAGCATGCTTGAAGTCATTTCTAAGCCTATATACCACCCCTAATTAGGCACGTACAAACACACAAAGAGAGAGACTCGAAGGAGGACATCCGTTGCCATTTCCCATTTCTAATTTCCCCACCCCAGCCCCCTGCAAAAGCACAAGAAAAACAAAACACGTTAAAACAGATCCGTCCTGGCGATCGGACGAACGAGCGCAGATGGATGTGACCATGCCGTATGTACACATGCATCGCGAGATGGAGTGGGCGTCAAGGGTCGATTAAGTTTGTTGTAACGCCGGTAATGAATGCCAACATTTCCTCGTTCTTGGTTTCCTGCTGGTCGAGAGCGAGCGCAAGTTGGACCGCCATCTAATGGAGACGGACGGCAACTGGTGACGCCAGGTGATGCAGGTATTCGGCAGTAGGCGTTGCGAATCTCTTTCCGCCGCCGCCGAAGAGCCCTGTAGGGAACGCACTGGTTTTGTCGCTGGTGGATTTGGCACCGCCGCCACCGCCACCACCACCAGCAGTGGTAGTCTGAGTGCTGCCGGCTCCAGGCGCGCCCGAGCCTTTACCCGTGAGAGCATAGCCAGTGACGGTGTGATTGCGCGTGTCGTTGTTGTACCAGTTGGTAGGCTGCAAAAGGGCGAAGCTTCCACCCTCCAAGCTCTTGAAGGTGGAGGTGCCAAAGTCCTTGAAGACGCCGAGCTTGTTCGCGATGACGGGGCCGATGATGAGGATGAAGAAGAGCACGAACATGCTGAAGTAGAGGATGGCGTAGCGGACGACACGGCGCTTGCGCAGCTTCGACTGCTTGAGCGAGTAGATGGGCGGCCTGATTTGGCGGCTGAGGGAGAACACGTTAGCATCTAGGCGCAGAGAAGAGCTCGAGAAGTGGGGAAAGCATACCTTGGACGAAGCCAGAAGAGCATGACCGAGTGGAACTTGTCAATGTATGGCACCAGCAACGCCGGCAGCAAAATGAACAGAAGAATGTGGCCGAGGATGAAGTCCGAGGCGAAGAAGCCGAGCTCGGTGATCTTGCAGAGGAATTCACGTCCGGGCTGAGACATCGTGTGCCAGCCCAGGGCGTACCATTTACCGGTCCACCACGCTATGTTGGAGGTATCGGCGCGGAACTCTCTGGTGAGCGCGAGGGCGATGATCAGCTTGTAGATGAAGCGTTGGATGGCAACGACCGCAATCATGCCAAGCAGCGCCTTGGTGAAGTTCCATCCCTCCAAGAGCAGCATGACTTCCCAGAATACGAGCAGCACAACCACGGAGATGCCGTGGGCAATGGCGGCGAGGACGGCGCCGAACTTCTTGCAGCACATGCCCAGAATCGGTCCCATACAGCAGGCCATTGCGAAAAAGCCAATGGAAACGCCGGCATTGACACCGATCGGGGCAAATGCGATAATGGCAATGCGGATGAGAGGGTTCGATGGCGTGATGTCAACTCCTTGGTTCTGGGGGAGCTTCGGGTCGACTCCGGTGCCCGAGTTGATGTAAAGGTATGGGATAAGCGTGACCGCGACATAGACGAGCGGGCCCAAGACCTCACTGAAGAAGATGTTCGTGAAGTGAGCACGCGGGGTGTCGCCGGTGAGCTTGGCCGAGGGCTCTCCGAGCGCCTTGCGCTTGAAACCGGTAAGGCGCGTACGTGACAGACGCACGAAGCCAATCCACGAGGCGGCATGCGCCTTCGTGTTGCCACGAGACAGCCAGCGCAAGAACTCGCGGTAGTCGATGAAGAAGTCGGCCCAGGCGAACTGGTGGGGGTTGAAGAGGAAGGGCGAAATGGTCAAGGCGAGGAGCGAGATCCAGAACCATAGCAGCCAGAAGCCCCAGACGGTCAAGGTGCCGAAGATCAGCATCATGAAGCATCGAGCGCCGAGATAGATCGACGGACCAGCGAAACGAGCGTAGAGGACACCGAACGGCATGCGCGCAGTGGCGAATCCACGACCGGTGGCGATGTAACGAGCGCCGCCGTAGGACAAGTTTTGCTGCAGGGAATAGGCGTAGATTTGACACACAAACACCTCGAAGAGAGGGGAGAGCGAGGAGAAGTGCTTCGCCAGACGAGTTGCCGCGCGCCAGAAACCACGCTCCGTCAACTCTTGGACCGTCAGGGGGACGAAAGAGATGAAGAACACGATGAAGATGGAGAGCACGCAGCGCTCGACCCAGTCCATGAGCGGAGAGGTCATGGAGCAGCCAGTCGGGTACCAGGGGTCGGTGATGGGCACGTTGCGGTTGTAGTGGCAGGCAATGGTCTGGTTGCGAAGCGCTCCCAAGTTGATCAAGCACCACATGAACAGTTGCACCGACAACATGATGAACATGTTGTTGATGTGGAAACCGGGGTGGGCGTAGTAGAACGAGAGGAAGCGATCCAGAGGAAGCTGGGTGCCGAGGTAGTAGTACTCGCGGGAGAGCATTTGTTCGCCCATGCCAGTGCCGATCTTGGTGGTGAAGTTCAAGATGGAGCCGAAGCCCAAGTCACGACCCTTGCCACACTGGTAGTACTCGCAGTGCTTGATGCGACCACCGCGGAGCAAAGCAGTCATACCGGCATAGATGTCCTCGTTGAGATGCAGACCTTTCTGGGCTTTGGACACGCCTCCACGCGTGGTCATAAAGATACCGTTGAGGAAATCGGGATGGCCGTAGTGGAGCTTGCCACCGATCTGAGCCAATGTACGAGCGAAGAGGGTACCGAACGTCTGTTCCTTGCCAGCAGCAACGTCACCGAGAACACCAATGTTCTCGGAGAAGATATATTCACGGGCACCAAGGATGGCAACAGGGTTGGTCTTCGGAGTGGGCAGGCCGGGAGTGTATGGCGAGACGTTATCGGTCGTCATCTCTTCAAACTCAGCCAGGACGGAACGGATCTTCAAGCACTCCTCCAAGTAGTTGTCTTGGTTGGCATCGATCAGCTGGATGTACTCGCCGCGGTAGAAGATGAGGCAGTGGTTCTGGTTGTCTGATTTTCCATCACCCAGGATCGGGTTACCGGAGAGCAAGATTCTGAACTTCGGACGACGCATGCCATTCTCCATGATCTCGGAGTGACCATCGATGAGGGCAGAGTACAGTTTGGGATCTTCACCGTCGTTGGCGGGAGGCTCCTCGTCGAGGTAGGCGATTTGCAAGTCGGGGTAGGCACGGAGCAAGAACTCGGCATTCTCGCGCTCCTCTTTGGAGAACTTGGCATAGCGCTGCATGGACACGACAATCTTGAACTTGCGGCGGGCCATGCGCTCCAGCTCGCGCTCGAGCTTGTCCGAGTTGCCGCCAAACATTTGGACGACTTCGGGGTTCTCGACACGGTAGAGCAGTTTGATGGCACGGCTGTAGTTCATGAAACCCGAGATGGTGCGGTAGAGGGTCTGCGAGCGGAGGGATGCCCAGATACGAGTGCGAAGAGTGTACTCCGGAGCGGCTGACTTGAATCCGATGCAGTAGAAGGGAAGATCATCAATCTTGCTCTTCGCCGTATCCTTCTCGTTCTTCTCGTAGTCGCCATTGAATTGAGAGGTCTCGTCGGCCAGGATCTTGGTGTCCTTGACAAAGCAGTCCCACTCGTGGGGATGAAGCTGTTTCAGGTACTCCAACATGGTGACACGCGAGTATGGCTCGTCTTCGCGAATGATCTCACGCAGCGAGAGCAGGATCTTCTCGCTGTAATGCGGGATCAAGACGGTGAATGTGGGCATGTTGTCGACCGGAAGAGGCTCCGGAATGGGCGTGGAGAGAGATTGTGCAAAGAAGGAAATGCGCCGCTCCGCCTCGGACAAGGCAGGGAAGAACTCGGTCTTAAACGAGTGATCCTCCTGAGAGACGAAGAACGTTGGTGCTCTCAGTGTGCGCTTGCCTTCCTGCTCAGACGGGACCTGGTGGTAGAGCAGCTTCTGGACGTGGTCAATCGCAAGCAAATGCTCACGATACATGGAAATCACAATGGCGTTCCAGATCTGCGAGATCAACACCTTGGGCTTGTACTTGATCTCCATGTCGGTAGTGGCCAGGATCTTCGAGTACACGCGCTTTGGTAGGCGGGAGAAGATGTTCCTCCACGGCGTCCAGATGGAGACACCGAGGTAGAACGAGCGGGCGACGGAGAAGATGCAGTTCCAGATGATGTACCACAAGAAAGTGTCCAAGAAGAACAGAATCTGATCGGTGAAGTACATCAAGATGAGCAAGATGATGGGCTGTTTGTCGCAGAGGATGGTTCCGACGTACTTGATCCCCACGCAGTTGGTGATTGTCATGGTGGACAAGATGCGAATGGGATCTCGGAGCGACAGCGTCAGAAAGAAGTACGATTCGGAAAGCTTGGCGGCGAAGACAAGCGCCCATAGACCGTACGACATCCACATGTCATTGCCCTTGAGGCGAGGGTAGCTGGCGGTGAACGTCTGGCTGGCCACATACTGGCGTCGCTTGCCGTTAAGGTAGCTGCCGAAGAGGCCACCAAGAGGCATGATAGCGAAGAACAGGAAGGTTGCGAGTGCGACCAGGAACTGCACAACACCAAGGATGAGTGCAACCTCCGTATTGATTGACTGCTCCGGAATTGCCCAAATGTAGGCGGCGGGCCCAACGTTAACGACAAGCATGGCGATGAGGAGGAGCAAGCGCTTCGTCAAGTGCTGAGCGCCAGCCCAGCGACGAGGAACGTAACGCCATTCGGAGACTGTGGCCATGATTTGGATCACGCAGGCGACGACACCACCGAAACCCACGACAGACCATTGTTTGTAGGTGGGAGGCAGGTTGTTGAGCTGCTGCTGATAGTTCTGGGTGTACAGGGTGGGCGAGTTGTGCGAAGTGTAGAACCAGTAAACGACGATGTGAATGATCCAGATGCGGTTGAAGTTCACGAGCATGTGGAACCAGGAGCGAGTTTCCTTGTAGGTCTTGAAGAAGGCCTTCTTCCACACCACATCCTTGAGACGCTCGAAGCGCTCGGCCGGCGGAAGGTCGACCAGGCGGCTCTTGTCCTCGAAAGCAATCCTCTCGATACCCTCGGGGTACCAGAAGAGCTGGTTCATGTCGTCGTAGCCAATGATCTTCTGGTGGTCGACTTCCCTGCGCACGTACTTGCCGTCGTAGATCTCGTAGCCTTGGTCTCTGCAGTAGTTGTAGAGCGGGGTGATGCAGTTGGTGAGGAACGTGAATTCCTCAACCGGCTCGACACGGTTTTGGCAGGCGGGAGATTGCAAGAAGTCGTCGGCGCACTTGTAGATGAAGCAGAGGACTTCGGGCATGAAGCGAACTTGGTTAGCTTCGCCCCAGCAGAGCAGGTAGAGCGCGATCTGGCGGACCCGATCGTGCTGCGACATGCGGTTCATGCGAGATTTCCAGCGGTACTCGGCAGCCTCCAGGCTGTTGTCACCTTCAAGGCTCTCGAGCGTTTGCTCTTCGTTCGCCGGGTTCGCGCCAGCAGCCTTCTTGGCCGCCTTGCGGGCCTTGCGAGTGGCACGGTTGGCCTTGCCGAGCTTCATGTTGGCGAAACCGACGGCATCGTCAAGGTCGAGGTGAGCAGCGAAGTACCACTTGCGGTAGTTGGCATGCTCTCCACCAATGTAGTCGGCGTGCAACGAGAGCAGGGCCTGGTTGGGAGCCATGCGGGAGGCGCGGGAGTCAAGAAGAGTCATGAGGTGGTCGAACATGTTGCGCATGCTGTCGCGTTGGAAACCGAACTTGGCCGTCAGATCGAGGAAGATGTCTTCAATCTCCTCCTTGGACAGGGGAATCTGGGCGTCAGACGTCCACGCCGGATATGGCTCTCTGGAGCGCTGGCCGGCGGGCAGGGCGCTGGTGTAGTCCATGCCGTAGACTGGAGTGGATGCGCCCGACGAGCGGTTGCCGCCGTAGGAGATCTGGGAGGAAGGGGGTCGGTAGCCACGACCGCCACCCTCGCCGTAAGAGTTGTACCTCTCGTCGCCACGGCCGTAGTAGTCCATCTCGGCGGCTCTGGCCATGTCGGATCTCATGGTGAAGTCACTGAAGGTCTCGGAGTCCTCCTCGGACTCATTGCCGCGTCGGCCACCAGTCCGTCGCTGACCAGAGTAGCCACGAGCGTAGCCCTGGCCGGCCTGCGGAGCGCCTTGGTCGTAGTACTGGTCATTGTAGTATTCATCTTGGTAGCCTTGCTGGCCAGCATCGTAGTATCCGTCTTGCTGGTAGCCTTCTTGGCCTTGGTAGTATCCATTGTCATCGTAGTAGCCGTCGTGCTGGTTGTAGTTTTGTTGGTCGTAATAACCTTGGTCGTCTTGGTAGTAGCCTTCGCCATGCTGGCCTTCGCCTTGCTGGCCATAGCCCTCGTCATAGCCCTGTTGGTAGTGGGCCATGATTGCGGAATGTGGCGGAGATGGTGGTGGAATTAGGGAGTTCTGCGGCGAGAGTCAGCTTTGGGTTGAGAATGGTTGGAATTCGAGGTGTTTGACGAGTGGGCGTAAAGGGGGCTTTGAGTGAGACAAGCGTGGGAACAACGCGTCTCACATTGAATACGTACCAATTCAGATGGTTACCATCGACGGGATGCCAGATTCCGTGTGTTTGACGCGTCGAGGCAGCGTTCTTGAATTGGGGGAGGGGGTAAAGGGAGTTGTCGACGTGCTGACCTCCGGTTCCAAAAGTGGACCGTGTGCAAATTTGATGGGAAAGCGCGTCTCAGGCACTCTCGTCAACAACAGCTCGCCTACTGGGATGCGAAAGCCCAGGATGTTGGCGGCAGAGGACTGCTTTGCAACAAGGACGGTTGCGGCGGTGATGTGGTTGTGTGGGAGGGGGGTGGTGCAGCGAGCGTGGATGCAGGGAGTGCTTGTTGCTGTGAGAACGCGCGGAAAGCCAGGCGCGCTGATTGGCGGATTGGGGGTAGCACGGCTGCGAACCCGCTGCAGAGTTTCGGGCGCAGCGTTCGGGAGCAACGATCCTCCGCCAAACGAATGTGAGGAGCAAACGGGGGATGGAGAGAGAGGTGGTGGTGTAGAGAGGAGGGGAGGGGAGGTGACGGGGAGAGGAGTGTGAGAGGAAGGAAGAAACAAGAAGCGTCGCGCAGACCGGGCAGCTAGGCGAAAGCTGGGTGTGCACCTTCCGGGCCTGCGAAAAAGGGGACGGGATACTTTCGGCGGTGATGAGATGGAGGGAAGGGGCGACGGCAGCGTGTCCCAACCCTGTTACTCCCTGGCCCGCTAACCGCATTGGGCTGAGATGTGGGGCGCAGCCTTCAGCAATTGCCATTCGATCCTGTCATCTCTGCTCGCCCATGTTTCCCCTGGCCGTTTCGCACCCAGGCTTATCGCGGCGCACCCTCACCACTCATTCATTCAACACACCTGTGATGAAGCCACGCACCCCTGTTCTTACGTCCATTCTGCAATGTATACACCAGACGAGACTGCGAAGAGAAATACAAGCCTGTCGTCATGGCATCGACGATCACCGGGGGTGCTATGCAATGGATGACCGGACGATAGAGCCAAGCTCCACTTGGAGCAGGTGGCAAACCGAAACTATTTTTGTCCGTGAATGGTAGTGCGGGTTGATCCATCCAACGGATTTGATTTTCGCAGCAGTGAAGCACGCAGATCTGCGAACGATGGACACTGCTGCATCGCCACACTCGTTGCATTCGAGCCATGCAGCATGATGCAGGCCGGGCGTCGTCACAGCAGCCACCCATTTCCCGGATGTCCAGCGCTGACGACCGAGATGGGATGATGCATGCTGCACCTCGTCCGGTTTTAGCGCACGGAACACCGTCCGGCTACGGGATTTGACTGGACGGGATGGGAACAACACAGCTCCTGAAACACCGTTCAAGCTTCGGGGCTGCATAAAAGTACGCAAGTGTGCTGAAAGCTTCTGCAAGATCTTGCTTGAAACATGGACGCTCGGCCGTGGACTCTTTGTATCCGAGACATCTGCCTTTTCCCCACCATCCGACATCTATTGATGGCTGTTCAACCGTCCCGGCGCTTCTCACGCCATCGGCAGAAGTAATCCTCGTCGACGTGCCCGTCTGTTACCGGACCCCATGTTTAGAGCCTCGCAACTGTGCCTGCGCTAGCCCACCAAGTGGTGAGCCACAGGGTTTTGCCGCGTTGTCGTAAGCATTAAGCGGCGGCACCTATATGTGATTCCTTGATCTGCAATAGTCTCTCGCTCCCATTCTGAAAGCCGCGTATCTACGTGAGGAGTCTGGGCACATCTTACGACTCGGGCAAATCCTGTAATCGCAGCGACTACGCGTGGAACATGGCTTCGAGGGAGTGTTCTCTCATCCACTTCCGAGCAGGGAGCCGGCGCACCTTTGTCCGTGTCCGTGAGGACTTCATAAACAACGGATATTCAACACGTCAATGATCGCGCTGGTCTGGGACGGAATGGCCATGCCGAGTGTGAAGAAGTATTGACTCAAGTTCAAGCCTCTCATTTGCCACACCCTCCATGATTCCAATCGCCAAGACCGAAGTTGTCCGCGTACGCGCCGCTGGCTATAGCCCCGTCAGGAACATCTTGCTTGGCAAGGTGGTCGGGTCATTTCAGAAACAACAGATGATGACTATGAAATGAAGAGCTTCTCCCAAAATGCAACGCTGAGATGGGTGAGATCGCGCTGCTTTCAACTGTTTAATTGAAGAGAAGAATGTAAGAATTGGTAAAAATACAGGCATCGAAGTCTGATTGGACGTCGGAGCGACATGCAGGGATTGCGCGTCCCCAAATAAAATTCAGGCGAACACGCTCAACACGGCAAGAGCGTACCGTCCCTCCGAGACAGCGGGCCTTTTCCCTCTCCTTCGGTTGTGACAACACCCGTCACGATCATTGTCTTTCTTCCCACGCGCTCCTCCCCATCTTTTCACCCTCTTTCCCACCTCCCACCTCCCACCTCTACCCACTACCTTGTCCTGGTGCGCGGTGAAGCAGTCCTACGTTCGTTACCCGCTCTACCTCGCAGACATACCTCCCCACCGGCCGATCATAATACCCCAAGCGCCCTCACACCCGCCAAGGTCTGGCACTTGCTTGGGAGGCCCCACCACCGCATCGCATACCGAGTAGCATTTGCATGAGCATCGTTGGCAAGATGAGACCAAGCACACCCCTCACCACCCGCGCCACCCTCCTCGCCGCGACCAGCCTGTTCAGTCTGGCGGCTGGCGCGTCCATTGACCCCATCGTCATCAGCGGCGCCAAGTTCTTCCATCAGAACTCCGGAGACCAATTGTAAGTTTTCCACCCTGGCATACATGTACCTCCTGCAAGCTCATGCGCTGACACTTGCCTTGCCAGCTTCATCAAGGGCATCGCATATGGATCCGACTATGTCGGCGTTGGAGCCGGCACCGATACCAAGGGTGGCTTCACGGATGTTCTGGCCAATCCGGCCGGCTGCCAAAGAGACATCCCATACTTTCAAGAGCTGAACACCAATCTCATCCGAGTGTACGACATTGATTCCACCGCGAACCACGATGAATGCATGAGCATGCTCGCCAACGCCGGCATCTACGTCCTCGCCGATCTCTCCAACCCCGACACCTCCATCACCTCAAACGACCCCGAATGGACCGACACCCTGTACGCCTCCTACGCCGCCGTGGTGGATGTCATGGCGCAGTATGACAACACCTTCGGCTTCTTCGCCGGCAACGAGGTCGCCACCCAGCCCAACAACACCGGCTCCGCCCCCTTCGTCAAGGCCGCGGTGCGCGACATGAAGGCGTACATCAAACAGCAAAACTACCGCTCCATCGGCGTCGGCTATGCCACCAATGACAACACTTACATTCGCGTGCTCCTGGCCGATTACTTCAATTGCGGCGACCAGACAGACGCCATCGACTTTTGGGGATACAACATTTACGAGTGGTGTGGCCAGTCGACCTATGCCACCTCCGGCTACCAGGCTCGTACTGAGGAGTTCATGACCTATTCCGTCCCCTCCTTCTTCGCCGAGTACGGATGTAATACCATCGAGCCGCGCATTTTCGAAGAGGTCGGCGCCTTATACGGACCGAACATGAGCCCCGTGTGGTCCGGTGGCGTCGTTTACGAGTACTTCCAGGCGGCCAACGATTACGGTGAGTCGCCGCTTTGCCTACCCCGTCCAGTCAATCACTAACAACGACATGCACAGGCCTTGTCACTCTCGGCTCCAACAGCCAAATCACCACGCTTCCCGGCTTCCAAAACTACAAGACGCAAATCGCAAAGGTGTCGCCCAGCTCCGTCGCCAGCTCCGCCTACACCCCGTCCAACCAGCCGCAAGCCTGCCCGAGCTCCCAAAGCTACTTCCGCGCCCAGCCCACCCCTCTGCCCCCGACGCCCAACGAAGAGCTCTGCTCCTGCATGTACTCTGCCCTGACCTGCGCCGTGAACCCCAGCACCAACGTGCAAGAGTACGCCGACGACTTCGGCTACATCTGCCAGCACTCGCCAAACGCATGTCTCGGCTTCCAGCACTCATCCGGCACCGGCACCTACGGCGCATACAGCATGTGCAACGCCACGCAGCAGCTCGGCTGGGCCTTCAACTACTACTACTTCGTGAACGGCAAGGCCTCCACGGCGTGCGACTTCGGCGGGCACGGGCAGCTGCGGACGCCCGCGTCTCTGAGCAGCACGTGCAAGTCGCTGCTCGCCGAGGCCGGCGGTAAGGGCACCAACACCGTCACCTCCTCTCCTAGCGGGACGGGAGCGGGCGCTGCGGGCTCCGCTGGTTCGGCGTCGGGGTCGTCGGGTTCGTCGAGCGGCTCCACGAGCCATGGAGCTGCGGGCTCGATTGCCGTGATGCGGTCAGAGAACGCGTTTGCAGCGATGATGTGCGTGGTCATGTTGGCTATGGTTTCCGGGTTCGCAGCTGTACTTTTGTAGTTGGATGATTTTTTTTGCAATGGGGATTCTTTTCACTTCTGATTGATACCTTAGGGAGGGTCATATGCGAATGTATATATGAGCGATGAGTAAAGTCCTCTTTCCATTTAGATCGTGCACGTTCGAGTCTGCAGTTGCTTGAAAAGATATGCCATTGGGCGACAATCGACAATCACGTGATCGCGATTCAGGACACATGCTCAGGTACCAATATAGACAGCGTAACCGGTCATGTACTCATCAATCAATCAATCAGTCAACCCCACTACTAGCCTGCCCATCCTCCTCCTCATACTCCCGCCGCGCCCTCCCAGTCTCCGCAGAACTGCGCGCGCCCCCCAAACTCCGTCCCTCCTCGCCCTCGCCCAGCATCATCTCCCGCCGCGCCTTCTCCCGCTCCAACATCGAGCGCAACTCCTCATTCTCCAACCTGCCCTCCTCAAGCCTCTGCCGCGCGCCCTTGCGGTCCAGCAATCGCGCTTCGCGCTCGGCTTTTAGTCGCCGCTCCAGCTCTTTCAGCCGGTGCACCCAGCGCTGCTCACTGTGGCTGTGCGGGAAAGCGGAAGGCTGGTGCACGACGTGCTGCTGCTGCTGCTCTGCGCCTTCGTCCGCGGGTTCGAGATGGCGCTGCTGCTGCTGCTGCTCCACAACGGCAGAAGAAGAAGAAGAGTGATGTCTCAGCAAACTCGACATTATCGCCCTCGCCGGACTCTGCGCCGTCTTCCCACTTGCACTCGTGGACAAGCGGCGCGCCTGCTCCGCGGCTCCCATGACTTGCTGCGACTGCTGGTGCAGCACCTGCTGCGCCATGGCGGAGGGATGCTGGCGATGCAAGCGCAGCTCCGCTTTCAGCACTTTGAGTTCGCTGCGCAGTTTGCCCAGCTCCTCGTTGCTCCTAGTACCGCGGAAACTGCTCCCGCGACTTACGGGGGGGCGCTGCTGTTGCTCTGCTTCGCTTTCCGCGGCGGCGTCGGCGAGGACTCGCTGTGTGTCTTTTACCGTTGACTCCAGCGCGTCCATACGGCGGATACGCATCTCGAGGTTGTGCTCGAGCGTCTGGTAGTCTTTCCAGAGGTCCTTTTCGATGCCGCGGATTCGGCCTTTGAAGCTGCCGATGAGGCCTTCGACGGTCTTGACGGCGGAGATGAGGTTCTTGTTGAATGCAGGCAGGCGGCGTGCAATCACGTCCACGGATGGCACCTCGCCGTCCACGAGACTGTGGTTTTGCGCCCAGTCGGCGCCGCAGAGGGTGGAGAGGCGATTCCATAGCGCGAAGAGAAGGGCGTTGCGCTCCGTAAGCTGATCGCGGTACTGCTCGTCCAGTGCGGCCATTCGGCGTCGGTCTTGCGTGTATTGCTCTTCCAATTCCAACACGCGAGATTCCTGCTGCGCAATGGTGCGCAGATGCGTTGCTTGCCCGCGGGAAGACCGCTCGAATTGCTCCAGGTCGTGACGGCGGGAAGCACGCTCTTTGTCCAGCAAGTCGGAAAGGCGACGACTCTCCAAACTCGTACTCTCCAGCAGCCCATCGCGATGTCGCAGTAGACGCTCCTTATCTGCCAAGTCCATCTTCGTCCGATCGAGACTGCTCGCCGTCGTCTCGATATCGCGCTGCAACTTTTCAATCTCTGCAAGCAGACTTGACTTCGTGCCTTCAGGGTCCCCAAGCACATCTCGCAGGCTCTGCTCAAGTTCCTCGAGCTTCTGCTTCCACGAGCTGGCCTCGACCTCCTTCGCAGACAAGCCACGCCGCAGCTTGCGCACCTCATCCTTCGTCTTCTGGCTCTCGGCATTGAGGCCGTCCAACACCTTCTGCACTTCATCCTTGGACTTGTTCTCCAGCACATCCCGCTGCTGTCGCTCCTCCACGATCCCTTCCTCCATCTCTCGCAGCTTCTCCTGCTCATCCTGAATACTCTGCTGGGCCGCATTGAGCGCATCCTCCAACTCGCCAATCTTGATCTTATCCCCCTCCTGCTCCTCGCGCAAGAACGTAATCTCCGAATGCAAGCTCTCCTGCGTGATTTCCAGCTTGCGATTCTTCTGATCAATCTCCTTGCACTTGGCCTCCCACTTCTGCAGCTCCTCCTCCGTCTCGGCAAGCTGCTGCTCCAGAGTTTCGATCGTGCGCAAATTCGCCTGCTTCTCGTGCTCCAGATTCAGCACACTCTGCGTAATCTCTCGCAACTCGCCCTGCAAGCCCTTGTAGCCATCGGTAGTATGCTCCAATCTCGTCTGCGTCCTCTGCTGCCTCTTCTGCGCCTCTTGCAACTGCGTCTGAAGTCCATCCGCCTCCTTCTCCAGCTTCTCAATCTCAGCAAGCGCCTCGCGCTCCAACTTCTCAAGCTCACTCTCCTTCTCCTGAAACGCAGTCAACGCCTCGTCGCGCTCCGTCTGCAGCGCCCGCAGATCCTCCGCCGACTCGTTGAGCTCCGTCTCCATCTGCTGGAAATCGCCCTCGAGCACCGACACATAGCGGAGATGGGTGCTATGCGTGCGCTCCAGCTCCTGGAACTTCAATCGCAATTCCGCATTCTGATCGCGCAGCTGCCCTTCCTTCCTCTCCCAATCGTCTCGTTCGGTGTCCGTTACTTGTGTCTGAGCCTCGCTAGCACGCGAAGCAGCACGTTGATGGGCGCGCGAGATCGATCGGTCGAAGATGCTATCCCCCGCGATCGATCGCGCGCCGTCGCTCTTGCGTTGCAGCAGCTTGAGGTCTTCGATTTCTTGCTGCAAACGTTCTCGCTCGCGGTTGCGCGACGTGAGCATGCTCGTTTGCGCGCCGAGGTCGCGGCGTAGTTCGGCATTTTCATGCTTCAGCTGCTCGACGAGGGTGGCGCTGGATCGCCCAGTCGTGCCATTGGCGCCGTTGCTGTACTCTGACTCGGCTGCTTGGCTGTCATCGTACAGCGACCGTCGCTTGCCAATCGTCCTGGTGAAGGAAGGCGAAGCGCGCTCGACTCGCAGGGCGCTCAATTCTTCGCGCAACTTGCGAAGATCGTCTTCAGCTTGCTCGCGGCGGCCAGTCTCGGCGTTGAGAAGATCCTGCCACATCTCCATCGCCTCCTTCATCCCAGCCGTATCTTGACCGCGATGCCCGGCCATGCTGCGCATATGTTCGGCCATCTTGCGCTTCTCCAGTTCCTTCGTCATGACATCCTCGGTAAGCGTGGTGACTCGGTTCTCGGAGTGGTCGAGCTGCTGGCGTAGATATAGAATCTCCTCGTGCATTTCCGCCTGCAGAGTAGGGTCATCCTCTTCCTCCTCTTCCCTGCTGCGCTTCTGCTGCTGCGCCTGCGCAAGAGCCTCCTCCTGCTCTTTGACCCGCTGCTCAAGTTCTCTCATCTTGCGCCTCAATGCTTGAGAGTCCTTCCGCTCGTTCGCGAGATCTGTCTGCAGCTGAACGTTCTTATCGATCATCTCCTTGACGCCTTCATCGGACCGACTCTGCAAAGCCTGGTCGAGGAAGTGGATCTTGAGTTTGAGGTCGAAATTCTCTTTGCTGAGTTTGTCAATTTTGCTATTCTGCTCCTTGAGCGTGAGAGTCCTCCGCGGTCCGCCTTGGGCCAGGTTAGAGCCAGCACCACCGGACGACAGAGGCCGCTGCTGCTTGTTGGGCGAGAAGGAGGGGTTCATAGCGCGAAAGTCCCTCGCGATGGTGTCCGGCACGTGAATGTTCTGGACATGTTGTGCTATAACAGTGTCCGTGGGAAATTCAACGCGGCCATTACTGGCGCGAGGCGTCTCTGGGCGATCGTCATTCAGTCGACCGCCCCTAAAGCCTCCCAAGTTTGGGGTTACGCCGATGCCTCGGTGGGTAGAAGGTGCGCTATCAGTCTCTGGCTCTGTCAACGAGCCCAGGCTGCCGAAACTAGGTAGGCGCGCCATATGATCTCGGCGACTTCTTCCAAGCAGGCTTTCGGCGGGCATTGCGCCGCCTGCCTGAAGCGCATAATCCGCATTGACAGCCGCATCACTTCCAGAGAGATCGGACTCCGTACCTCGCGAGGAGATGGAGCTTTGACTCGCATGGCGGCTCTTCAAGAATGCGCGCCTGGCGGCAAAGCGAGCAGGTGTCGAGCTGGAGTCCTGCGCAGCTTCGTCTCCGGCTTCTTTCGGCGTCGCATCACGTGAGGTCTTCGCGGAGCCGGCGCGAATCGTAGAACCCTTGGAGGTCGGGCGTTGACTGGCTGGAGTTGTAGGACGGGAGTTATTCTGAGCCTTCTTCCCACTGCTGCCAGTGGACGCATTGCGGTCATGAGTGCGACGAAAAGCAGCGGCGGCCGGTGATGACCAGGTAGCACCACTGTAGTCCGCATCATCCTCTTGCTCCTCCCTTTGCTCCTCCGGAGGAATAGACATCTGATGCACATCCGACGGACTATCCGACTTGCTCGTCCTCAAGTACTTCGCCGACGCCCTCCTGCCCGACAAGCTGGCAAACATCTCATCCGGCGGCGGCGTGTGGCCCGGCTTCCCCAGCTCTAAATATGTATCATCCACGCCCGCCGTACCGTCATGCTGCTGCGCAAAGGGCGCGGGCGCAACATCAGGCAGGAAGCTGGACTCGACATCCATAAAGTGTTTGCGCATCTGGCGCTCATCAAAGTGCTCGGGGTGGTGGGGGTCGGAAGGATCTTGGTGACGGTAGTAGTCGAGGGCCGAGTCTTCGTTCAGAAGACTGTGCTCGTCGATCGGGAGTTCGGGGAGATCGTCGTCTTCGCGGTCGAAGGAGGCGCGCGCTTCGTCGTCGTTGTCTTGGGACGAGAGGTCGGAGGCGATGAGGTCGTCGACGTGGTGGGCCGTCATTGTGGCGGCGGCCATGTTGGGCACCTGGTCAACAAACACGGGAGGAGTGAGGTGTGAGCAAGCATGCAGCATGCACTACATCTTCTCGTGCGCGTAGGATGGAGCTGTCGCATATAATGTCCGTGCGTCAAGGGCAAACAGAGCAAACAGAAAGAGGCGGATGGAGGTGGGAGTTAAGCCGCCGGCGGGAACGTTGATGCGAAGGGGTGGGCCATTCGCGCCGCGTGCATAGCGCCGACGCGTTTTAGGTAGACGAGAAGTGTGGCTTGACCCCTCGCCCCTGCAAAACCCAAGGCTCCACCCGGCAGCCTCAATGCAGCCTCGTGAAACGCTGCACAACGCTCCGCGACATTGCACCGGCGTTGTCGTCGAAAGTGTATTCACAAGGCTGGGAGTCCAGAAGGGGTGATTGCATGAGATGGACAATGTAGCATCATACATGCGGTATCTGTGTCATTATGCGAGCATGCTTCTCCTCTCCCTCCATCTTCCAAGCATTAACACCTCATCGCCACCAAGACCCCTGCCTTCGTAACATGCCATCAGAGCATGCTCTCTTACGCCCCATACATCCCCTTCAAACCCCCGAGTACAACGAATCCGACAACCAGTCATCCCTCACCGCCCTCGTCGCACCACCTCCATTCCCACCCTCCCCTCTGCCATGCCCAACCACCTTGGATGACCGCTGACTCAAGCTCCGAATCAGCTCGCCCCCCTTGGCCATCAGACTGCGAATCTTCTCTCCAAACCGCTTGATGCGGAACTCCGTCTTGCCCATCCCCACCCCATCAATCGTGAGAGCAGAGCTGGTGGCGCCGGCACGTTCAACACTCATCAACCCCGCATCGTACGCCGTATCATCGTCCAAAGAGCGGCGATGGGAGTGTCGACGCGCCATCCCGCCGCCACATCCATCCAGACGAACAGCGCTCTTCTTGCCCTTGAGTTTCGTCAGTCGTTTGCGGAAAGAGGCATTGCGTTCGCGCTCGGAGCTGTCGTCGGAGAAGAAGGAGCGCACCTCATCGAGATTGAAGCCGGCGGGCGGAGTGAGGCCGCTGGTAGGATAGCGTTCGCCGGGACGGTGAGGGACCGTACTGCCGCTTCTGACGATGTCAGATGGCGTGGGGATGCTGCGGATGGTGGTGTTGCCGTCGCATTTGCTTCCCAGCCCGAGTTTATGCGTCAGCGAGCCCATGACGGAGCGTTTGGAGGATTTGCCGTGACCATCGTGATGCGGAGAGCTGACACCCGTAAGCTGCTCGCTGTTTAGGGATGCCGTGGCGTTGTGCTCGTAGAGCGAGCCGATATCGATGCCCTTGGTGATGCTACTCACATCCCCAGTGCTGCCAATCTCCAACGATTTGGTCTTGCGTTTGCGCAGAATCTCGCTGGCCATGGAAGAGCGCGTGTGGGCCTGGGATGGAACCATCAGATCGACATCGATCTTTGTTCCAGCCCAAGGATAGTTTTCGTCCTGGTTCCACGGTCGACTGCTGCTGGATGACACCAGCAATGCTCGTTTGGCGCTGCGCGTGATTGGATTCATCTCGGGCGGCAAAAGCGCCTGGACTTCTTCTTCGTTCGCTGGACCTCGTGCCCGAGTGAGGGCTGATGCTGGACGAGTCACATCCTTGCCCAGCTCCGATGGTGCCGATACCGAACCAGTCAAAGCCGACAACCTCCCATCGATCGAATTGATGGCAGAGATTTTGTCCGCTGACATGCCATCCGGTAGCACCCCATGAGTGCTGAGCAGCCTGGACACCGGCAAAGTAGAGTCATGAGTCCCATTCTTGACAATCTCTTCAGCACGTTCAGCCAAAGTGCGAAAGCCCGCCGAGGTGCGTGTGGATAATATCGTCCCCGGACGAACACCATCACGCATGGCCTCGGTGACCTCTGAGAAGTTGGCGAGAACGCTGTCGAGCTGTAAGTCCCGCAAGTTCGGCAGCATCTCCGAGAGACGATCAGAAAGCCCAGTTACCGACGGTATGGAAAGGCGTTTAACCTGGTTGGCAAAGCTAAGGAAATCCTCGGGAGACAATGGACGGTTGCCGTCTGTGGCCGCTCCAACCTCAGTACTCGGCTGAACCTCTGCATTCGGAAGCTGATCAGGCTTGACTTCGTCGTGCTCATCAGCTCCGTCCTCACTTCCATCTTGATCAAGGAAGAAGCTTGAAAAGTCCTCAGGCTTGCTGAAGAAGCTCATATACCGCTCTCGAAGTGGCTCAGTACTCTGAGGACGCTGCGGGGACGGGGCGTAGATGGCAGAGAAGTCACGGCGACGAAGCAGTTCCATGGACTTGCTCGAGCGCACTTCGAGGGCCTCGTTGAGTTTGTCAATGAGGTCCATCCGACTGAAGTTCAATGACGGCAGATCTCGCGTCTCCGAGAGCGGCCGATTGGGAAAGCGATGACCACGGCGAGTCCTAGCATTCTCAGCAGACTCCTGTAAGCGTCGCTCCTGCATGGCCTTGACGGCTGCAATGCGAGCGGGCAGTGGAAACTGAAAGCCGATGCTGCCATCTGATTTGTGTCTGTCAGAGATGCTGGCATCTTCGATAGACTCTTCCTTGAGTCGGGGTAGGTGGGTGTTTCCAAAACGATTGTTCATGGGATTGATGCTAGTGAAGCGCAGGTCCGTTGTGCTCTCACGAGAAGCGCGAGAGGCGTCGGCAAAGTCATGAAGTGGAGATACACGGCGGATGATGGACTTGCGAACGACCTGTGGCTCGGTAGGCTTGTGGTGTGCTGGCTTGGTGATGTTCAACGGAGCAATCTCATCCGCAAAAGTCACCAGGCCTCGCTTGGCTCTCGACGTGGAAGCATATACCGTAGGTTTTGCCAGTTGTGCCAATGTCATTTCGTGAACCGGTGAGCTGCTGGGTGGGATTTCGATAATCTGAGGCTTGTTGACGGTGATTGTCGTCTGGGGAAGTGAGAAGCGTACGGCTACATCGGTGACTAACTCCGAAGTGTCGTTCATACTGCTGTCCGCATACGAGCTGAGGTCAGGTGGCAGCGACAAACGGCTGCTGGTGGGAGTACTCGCATCTGTGAGTGCCGTTGTCGGCTGCAGCTGTACAGACTTTGAGTAGGTCTTTGGTGTTTTCGGGGTACTCGCGGGCTGCGTCTCCTCTGGATAAGGCCCTGGCACGGTGCGGTCGAGCTCGTCGGCAAAAGTAGAATCGTTGGCCGTATTGTCTGGGGCTGTACGGATAGTCTCATCGATACCCAGCGTCTGCGTGTGCATGGGACTGACGGCGGAGTAACGACTGACGTCTTCGCCCGTCAACATCGAACTGACTGGATCTTGGGCAGACCGTGCCTCGTCTTGTTCAAACAGCTGCCCGGCCTTGTTGACTCTCTCCTTGCTTCTCTGATGCTGAAGGGTGATGGTATCCGCATCGAGGATGAAAGGGTCCTTGGAGTGCGTCTCATCCGAACTTGCTGTGTCGTCGAGACGTGTTGCATAATCCACAGTCGAGACTTCAATAGCGATCGGAGAAGCTGTGCTCGCTGAAGCTGCATCGACGCTCTTCTTTGGGATGACATTGGCTGGCGTGGATGGTTGGTCCTTGCCGCTGGCCACGCTGTGACGGGGAGTGGAGCCAAGCACGAAATCAATACTGGTGCTGTCGCCGCTGTCTGTCTGCAGCATGGTATTGTCGAGGCTCGAAGGAGCGAGCTCAGCCTTCACCATTTCTCGAGTGATACGGCGTCTCGGCTGAACAGGCGAAGCTGGGAGTTCGGCCAGTCTGACGGGAGACGCTGGCAGTTCCACCGGTGCCTCGTACTCCTCGATGATGGTGAAGCGTGCTGCCTCGTTTGCAGCGAGTTCATGCACTCCAAAGTCGTCGACATTGTTTCCATATTGTACGATGGCCATCTCCTCATCAGCAGGTGGTACGGGGCTCACTTTCTCCCGCTCAAACTCATGGGATGCAGCTGCTTCGGCCGTGGCCTTCGATTCCAGCATGGCCTTGACACGCTGAACGAACCCGGATGGTGGGACGGATGGATGAGCAACCTCGATCTCAGAATCATCAACATCCTTCTCAAGACCTTCTGCGTAACGCAGGTATTGATGGGCCAAGACCGGCTCGCTCGAAGACTCTTGTAAGTCCACCAAGGCAGGCTCGACAAAGATCGGGTCCACTGCTACTTGGCTGGTACTGTGATCTTGCGGCGTTGGTGGGCTTGAGGAAGATGGAACCGTGCCAGACGACGGTGGATCCGAAGACGGCGGACCACCATCGGTAATTGGGGTATCCGTACGCTGAGGCAGATGTCGTGCTAGACGAGCGGCATTATGAAACATTTGATGTGCCACCGGAGCGACATTCGGTGGAGGAGGGGGAACAGGTCGATGGCCAGCATACTGTACGGGTGCGTAATGATAGCCCGGTCCTGGTCGACCAGGATATGGCTGACCTGGGTACATCGGCCGATGCATCGCCGGCGGGTGCGAATATCCCTGTGGAGGCAGCTGGGGCGGGCCTCTTCGAGCATGAGGCGGTACAGCCACCCCATGAGGATGAGGATCGAAATGGCGTTCAGTCGGAGGCTGCGATGGCATACTCAACCCAGGCGCAGAGCGCATCGCCGCCGGGTTGCGATAGGGTTGGTGGCTTGGCGGCAGATCGCTGTATGCTGTCACGGGAGAAATTGACATGGCTCGAGGTGGGGGTCGCATGTTGAGGTGCTTCAAGTCCCTGCCATACTCGGGTCCGTAGTCACTGTTGTACGTCTGCGGAGGTGGCGGACGAAGCATTGGCCCACGTCTTGGAGCTGGAGGGTGTTGCGGCGGAGGGGGCGCGCGAGCATACGAGTCACTCAAAGCCGGAGAGGGAGAGCGATATCCGGGCCGCTTGAATCTTGAGAGATAAACGTAGGGCGGCCGATTCTCCTGCATCACCGGCGGCGGCAGCCTTGCACGGTGCTGCGGCGGAGGAGCTCTCGGCTCGAGTTCATGGCTCTTGAGACTGCTTGCAGAGCGATGACGAGGGAGTTGCTGGGCCGCAGAGGCCGAAGTCAGCGAGTACGAACGGTTGTTGTGACGCTGAAGATCCAGAGTGGGGGGAGGGAGTTGCATGGGATCTTTCCCAAGATGCACTGGGGGAAGGGAGGGTGGCATGCTTTGCATGCTTGTGAGGGAACCGCGGCGTTGATTCGAGATGGTCTCCCAGTCACGAGAGGAGCTGACCCCCGAGATCTGCGAAGGGGCATAGTGATGTCTGTTGGAGACGGGCGGGCGTGAATCGTATCCGCGCCGTTGGTGTGTGGCCCGCGGCATGGTCGGGAAACGAGCACTATTGTGGGACAGATTGCCGATGTCACTAGTATCGGTGGTCGTCTTTAGCATGCTAAGCACGCCGGCGCTAGAAAGCATGTCGTTGGGAGGTGGATGAGCTCGGAGGGAACGCGAGGCAGCCGTGATGCCGGAGACATTGCTGGCTCTGCTGTTGCGTCCGGAGATGCTGGAGACCGGGTCGGTGACGGGCATTGTGCCGCCCATTCGAGGCGTGAGGAGGGGGAAACGAACGGTTGATGGAGAGACCCGCTATCCAAGTTGGAAATGAGTGAGGGTGGATGCGGACAGATGGCGAGAATGACGAGAAGAGACGGACAGAAATGGCGACGACAAACAGGTGGGTGAGAGTGAGGAAAGAAGGTGCAGAGGGGTGGTTGACCAGAGACTGGACGACGCCATGAAAGGCGGTCGTGATTGAGGGTTGTGCAGAAGTTGCAGAGGGAGTGGAGAAGAAATTGCAACTTGCATTCACAAATGGAAAGAAGACGTGAACGCGAAACGGAGTTTCCCAGCTCGTGGTCCGCAAGCGTGTCGGTCGTGGTTTCCTCATTCAACCCACATGTCGCCACGCGCTTTCCACGCGATTTTCACATGTTGAAAAGATCCATCCCCTGACACCCGTCACTCCATGACTCGTAGTTCGTTGACGACTCTAGGGTTAAGGTAAGGTGTAACTGGTAGCATTGCAGTGCAAGTCATGAGCTTTGCTCGTCTTACTTCTTCCAAACGCCTCCCGTGTCGCAGTCGTTCCCTGCCATCACTGAGGCACTGGAGCTGGCGCACCACCTGGGTGACCCGGCGCTGGCTGTGTCTGCGTACCAGCGGGCTGTTTAGCAGTGCCAGCGGGCTTTTCAGCAGTGCCAGAGGGTAAGCCTTCGCCCGTATGGCTCTCAGTCGCGGGAATGGCATGGTCCTCGCCCTCCTTCTTCGCCCATGCCGGGGTCTTGGCGTATTTGGGGTCCTTCCCTGTAGCTTGCGCGTTAGTATGCGCCCCGCTCCAATGTCATGGCGGCACTTACATGGGCCCTGGTCGCTGAATTGACAGCCTCCCTCACAATGGCAGCTTCCACCCACCTCGGCCGGCAGATTCTCCGCCGGCACCTGCCCCAACAGCTCGGTCTTGTAGCCTCCACCAAGAACGTGGATCTTGTTGACGGTGACGGGATCCAAGAAGCGCTTCACCACGCTGAAGACGCCGGAGAAGCCCCACGGTGCGTTGATGACGTAGAGCTTGCCCAAGCGCTCCGGGTAGTAGTTCTGGCTGATAGCCGACGCGCGTTGCAAGTACCCATACACCTCTTGCGCTTTCCAAAGGCTGACGCCCTTCATGTCCATAATGGTACAGCACGTCTCGAGCAGCTGGCCGGCTTTGCGCGAGCAAGCGGGCAAGCGGGGATCGGCAAGTTTCTCGTATTCGACTACCAGGTTCTCGAGCATGCGCTGGTCGGTGGTGATTTTGCGCATGGCCTCCAGGTCGATTTTGCCAAGCTGCTCAATGTAGACGGGTCGGCCTTCTCGGTCGGTTTTGTGATAATATTGGGGATAGTATTTGCCAATGGCTGCCTTTTCCGTGTACTCAAACGTTCGAGTGAGGTTGTCGACGCCGCCACCAAACTCTTTCCGCCATTTCTCGCAATCGGTGAACCTTGGTGGTAGGGTTAGTGCCTTCTTGTGAGGGTCGGAGGCGGGATTCAGGCTTACATCGACTTGGACATTTGTACATTGAACTTCCGGGCTCGCAGGAACCGCAGCATGGTCAGCGTGTCCAGATTCTGGGTGTAGCCCTCTTGCTCCAGCAGCGTGCGCAGCTGAAAGACGGCGGCATCTTGCTCCTTGGTGGTGTGGCCCGGGTGGCCGCTTTGTTGTTCCGGCGCGGTGGTGGGGAAGTCGTAGTGGTCGTATTTGGGATCGAGCTCGAGATGCGGGTTGTGAGACATGGTGGGCTAGGATGCGCGTGCGCGATGGGATGAGGGACAATCAGGAGGGGCGTTCGCTTGGTGGACAGGTGGACAAGCGCGAGAAACAAAGGCGTGTCCGGTAGGGTGAAGTATAAAAGTTCGGATTCGGGCAGGGCGAGCGATGACGCACGTCCCTCAAAGGGCAGCACCAAGATTCATATGCGTGCATTCATGATTGGAGACGAGGCACGCATAGGGGTGGCAGTGCACTGCATACAACGGGAAGGTGGTTGACACATGTAGAGCGCAATTGGCAACTGCTTCCGCGTGTCGTTAAGAAATCCTCACTCCCACCTCGCAATGCTTCTATGCTGTAGGCAAGCAAACACTCAGTTCATATCCAGCCACCGAGAAGAGACGACGCCTGCACACTCATCGCACACCCAATCAAGCCTTGCCGCCCTTCTTCGCCCCTCTCCCTCCCCTCGCGGCCTTCATCTTGGCCTGCCTCTCCATCCGCTCCATCTGCTCTTGCTTCTCCTTCTCCACGAGTTCCTTTTCCTGCTTCTCGGCGTCTTTGCGAGCCGCGGCCTCTTCACGCTGCTGCCGGACCAACTTCAGCCTCTCCAAATCTGCGCGCGCCTCCTCCGTCTTGCCCTCGGCATGTAGCTTTTGATATCTTTCCTTGGACTGTTGTTGCTGGAGCGCTTCCCGCTCGCGTCGAGATAGCTGCGACATGTCTTCTGGCTGCTTCTTCTTGGCCGGCGCGGCGGCAGCCTCGCTGGGGGGCTCAACTGGTTTCGCAGCTTGCTTCCTTGCCGCCGCGCTGTGATTGGGGTTGGCGGGCATGTCATCGTCCTCGCTCTCCTCACTGCTCGATGGGAGATCCCCAACCTGTGCACCGCCTTGCTTCTTCTTGATCGCCGCCTCTTTCCTCGCTTTCGCCGCCGCTCGCCGCTGCTCACGAGTCATGTCCTCTTGTGCTGGCTTAGCGGCTGGCTCCGGACCCGAGTCTTCCTCTGAATCCTCCTCTGATGTGTCGTCCTCGTCGCCATCCGCAGTGGGCTCCGCCCACATGCTCTTCTCTACTCCATCGGCATCGAGAGGTCGAAGGCCTTTGCTGAACTGTCGTCCGCCTGTGAGAACAGTCAGTTCCCGGTCATGCGCCTGGAAGTAGACGAAGATACTGACCTCCTCGCTTCGCTTTCTGAAATTTGCCCGCTCGTGCTCTGGTAGACATGTTGGCGGAGGGTGGTGCAGGTTATGTGTGTTGGAAGCACCAGTGCAACAGCAGTGTCGGTGTCTCTGCGGAACAAGGAAAGTCCCTGGGGTCGAATAGTATCAAGTCTTCGTAGCAAGAATGAGCAGGCGGATGGAAACGAGCTGATACACTTGCAGGTGGTATGAACAGTCACTCACCGATTCTTAGATCCACAGCTCGAGTGATTGGCCCGTGAAAATCCCCGCCAAGACTTGCGGGAGACTTCATCTCATGCGGCCCTCCACCCTTGACCTCCTCTTCTTTTTCTTCCCATGAAAACGCGCCCTTCCTATTCACTCTGCCTACCAATAATGTCAACTATGGAAGTTGGAGGGGAAATGGAAGGGCAGATTGATGCTTGCTCTTCCGTCAGCTTACCCCTCGTCTCTCCCTGATCCTTGTGGAAGTTGAGGAAATTTTTATTAAAGGCGGGACAAACTGCTTCACCTGCCCAGGAGTGAAGATCAGATGTTGTCGACACAAGACTGCTCTGCTAGCATGTGTAAGGGCCGTGGTCGTGTTGCTGATCGCACCTGCCTACGCCCATCGTTTGGGTCGCCGTTTACACATTAGGTTCTTTCCTATTTTACTTTTTTCTTCACCTTTTTACATCTACCCGCGTCACATAGAGAAAAGTCGTTTTGTGAGCACACCAACATCAGAGGACTTGTCTGGCTGCTCGCCCAGCGCACCAAAGACCTGATTCCCACCCTCCAGAGCAGCACAAACCCACGTCTCTACGATGCCGAGCAAATCATCAAAGGGATTCGTAAAGTTCTACGAGCATGGCACCTTCGCCGATGCCACCGTGGTCTGCAAGGGAAGGAAATGGAAAGTGCACAAGCTCGTGCTGGCCAGCAAATCGGAATACTTCCTGAAAGCATTCGGCGGCTCGTTCAAGGTAGATGCGTGCATTGCCGGTTCTGTTTGACGACATTCGCTAACCCACTTCCAGGAATCTCACAGCGCAAGCATCGATTTGAGCGAGGATGAGGAGAACTGTGTGAATGCATTGATCCACTATTGCTACCACGACGAGTACATCAAGCAGGTTGTCAGTGGGACACTTCAATCATTTTTGATCCATCTCGAGGTGTACCTCGTGGCCGACAAATACCTCGTCCCTGGCCTCTGCAAGCTGGCCGAGCAAAGATTCGATTCATTGATCTGGGCGCAGGCGACTCTGAGACAAGATGCCTTCGCCCAGACCGTGAAGGAGTTGTACTGGCCAACGCGCTCGGGAGGCAACGACGCGTTTCGCAAGTTTCGCAGCAAAGTTGTTCACGCTGCGGCCTCAGATATCGATTACCTCTTCATGCGCGACGACACGTGCGCCAAGTTCAAGGAAGTTGTGTCGCTTACACCCGCCTTCACGGCCGAGCTCCTCAAGAAGATAACATATGATAAGTGGATTTCGGAAATGTCGCATGACGAGTCGGAGACATCGTCATCTAGCGAAGGTTGAGATGGAGAACGAAGTGCTCAAGGCAGCCAGGAAAGCGGAGCTGCGCGACAAGAGTTGAACAGCCATGCAACAGGCTACCGGCACTCATCCACATCACCTCTCGATAACATCCACCACCTCTCTCAATCTTCTCACATCCGGCCAACAACACAAACAAAATGAGAGAATTTAACGGAGTTCCTCGCACTCATGGTGGAGGACAGGCATAGGCAAGGGCCTGTACAATGCGCTTGGAAGGTACGCAGAGTTCTGAAGACATGGATTCGTAGTCTCTTTCAGGCATGCATAAACACACAGCTGTGCGTTGGGGTATCTCTTTCTCCAGCCAGCCCAACAAGCAACCACGCATGCAGACGCGTGAACAGGGCTGCATCATCAACTCCTCTTATCTCGCCAGTAATCGCCACCATCTCTCCATCTCCCAATCCTAACGCATCATATCAATCAACAGCCGTAAGCACGCCGCCTGCGCATGGTCAATCCTCTCCAACTCAAACCTAGCCTCCTCCAGCAGATCCCCAACCGCATCCTGCTCACCCGGCTCCGGCGGCGACTCAACGTACACTGCCAGGTTCTCCTCCCACAACTCCTCCCCGATCAAGTCGATGGTGAACTGTGCCAGCACGCGCGCGTATTTGTTGGCGCCGGCGCGCGCGATGATGGCTGTGCCGGCTAGGAGACGCCCGATGACGAACCAGCTGGTGAAGACGGGGCGTTTGCCCTTCTTCGCGCTTGCGGAGGGCGTGATGTCGTAGAGACTGAAGACGACTTTTCCGGCTTCTTTCACTTCCTCTCCTCCCTCTGCTCCTTCTCCTCCTTCTGCTGCGACCGAGGCTGTATTTTCGATGAAGGGCGCTGGGAGTTCTGCGAGGTATTCGTCGTCATCCTCATCCTCATCCTCCATTTGCAAGCCTGCCATTTCCAATTCATCTTGAATGCTGGTAAATCCGAAGCCTTGCTGAACATCTTCACCCTCCCAAATCTCTCCATCCTCAAGGTCCTCGCGATCTGGAGCGGCGTACACAGGAGCCCGCCCAGCAGGACTAGGCTCAGTGGATGAGGGACCCATCTCCAGGGGCGAGGAGAAGCGAACGCGTTTGCGCCCGCGGGTGTTGCTGCTGTCGTGTGTTGTGGAGCCGTTGATGCCGTCTTGTACTCCTGTCGTGTTCGTGTTCCTCGCTGACCCAGTCCCGGCAAGTCGACGCGGAGCTGCAGGCGTGGAAGGCGGCGGTGGTGCGATGCCGAAGATTTCTGCTTCGAGGTCCGGAGGCAGGGTTGGGTACGTGACTTCTTCGTCGGACATTGTGATAGCTGAGGAGCCTGAAGCTTGTATTAGCTTTGGGACGACGCTTTTGGCATCGTCGCCGCTGCAAGTGTGTGTAGGTGGGTGCGTGTTCGCTGTCGAGAGAATGCGTAGAGGAGGTTGGAGAAGTGGCGCGACCCTGAAGGCCACAATAATTAGCCGTAACTTCCTCATTCGGAAGTGAACTTTTTCCCCTAACTTCCAGCGAATTCACCCCGACAACTCACCTGCAAACCCGCGTGAACTTGCGAGAACGTTTGCCGAACTGGGATAGAATAGTTTGAGGCAGTATTGTTGAATTCCGAAAATTTATTGGCGATTACCAAAGGGCCTTGCCGCTCCTCTATTGCCACGCGTGTGCGTGTAACGCGGCGCCTTCGCTGAGCCAACGCAACGCTAAACCCGCATCCCATCTAGTTATTACATCCGAATCCTTCTGTTCGCCAGGCCTCCATTTCAAGCACGCTCAGATCCCCTTGATGGCCACCGTCCGCTCACTCTCCAACTTCTCCTTGTTCCGCTCCTTCTCTTCCTGCTTGCAGTCCTCTAGACCAGTGCAGTTGTGCGATTCCAGCATGCGATGCTTGCCGCAGAAGTGGCCAGTGCAGAAGCCGCAGTCGCCGACGATGCGCTGCGCCGCGTCCTTGCAGTCCTTGAAGCTGCATCGAATCTTCTTCGGCCCACCGCCGCGGATCGGAAGCGCCATGTAGAGCGTGCTCTCCCGTGTGACGTTGTAGCTTGATAGCGTCTCCTGGGGAGATGTGAGGTGTTTGCCGGCGAAGACGAGGCGGAGGTCGGACTCGGGGGCGTTGGTGCGGAGGGAGACGAGGGAGCGGAGTTGGGAGACGGTGGTGGATTGTGGAATGGTGAGGGGGAAGACTGCGAACTGTTAGGTACTGATCTCACGGGTTTGGAGCCTAGGGCCTGTGCTTACTGTCACCCGAGATGTTCTTGACGAAGATCTGCAGCATCTCGCCGGAACCGGGGGAGGAGGCGGTGGAGGAGACGGAAGAGATGGAGGAGATGCTGTTGGACCGCATGTTGGCGAGAGGGAAGTGCTGGGTGGGTAAGGTGGCGTGAAATCGATGGTAAGATCACGAGCCAACAGGATGTAAGCGGGTGAGGCTGGTAACGCTGTGGATGCGGTCGAGCGCCGGATAGTGACTGATGGTGATGGTGTGGGATGAGGAAGAGAAGATGAGATGGGTGAAGAGAAGAAGGTGGAGGGAGAGGGTGTGGTCGAGTTTGAATGGTCACAGGTGGATGAGGCAGGTGATGTGAATGACGGGCAGGAGGGCGCGGCGCGGCGGGTGATGAGGCGTCGGCGGCAACGTCACGGAATCCGATGGATGCCAAATGGAATCCTGCCACTCCCGAAATCGGCAAAGACTCGTGTGAGGTTCGGCTTCACGGCCTTCTTGGCCTGCGCCGCGTGACCCTTCTCCGTCTCTATGATGCTCTCGGCGTCATAACACCGTCTAAACAGCATCAAGCAGACCTCATTTACATTACTGGTGGCTGCAGATAAACCTCCGCAATGCTGTGGCCATCCTCCGCGGATCTACAGTCGATATCAGGGCAATGACCTCGTTCTCTTGGCCAGCCGCTCCGCCGCACGTGAGTTGACAGCAGTGCTAAGAATCACTAAGAGTACACGTTGCTATGCATACCTTATGGAAATGGAGCAGCAGCCTCCTGCTGATACACCATGGCCACGCCAAACGCCGATCCCCTTCATCACCACAAGCATGCGCTCACGTATCCACCTCCATCTTCTCGCCCACTCCCGCCTCGCCATCCCCAATATCCTGAACAGTCACGTACTTGCTAATCTCCTCCTTGGTGATGATCTTCTCATTCAGCACCGCAGTCGTGCCCTTGGCGAACTTGTAATCCCTCATCTTCTGCTCCCGCACGTTGGGTGTGATGTAATTCCGCAACAGCTCCGTCTTCTCCGCCGTAATCACACACACGTCCACGTTGCTTCCTGAGCCCAAATCGTTCCAGATACCAGCCTGAATGGCATCCGAGCAAATCTTCACCGCCTCCTCCCGCGTGAGCTCGCCCTTCCACTGCGTCTCAAACACGCTCATCGCCGCCAGACTGCCAGACCCCATCGTCACGTACGGCAGCTTGTCGGTGCTTCCGTGTGCGTGGACGGTGAAGAGCTGGCTGCCGGTGGGATCCACGCCTGCTACTACCAGATACGCGCCAATGTGGCCTTGGTAGCGGAAGAGGTGTTGTTTGAGCATGGTCATGACCGTGACGACACGCGGTTTCCGGCCCGTCGACAGCGCGTGGAGTTCGAGGTTGGAGGAGATGAGGGCGGTGGTGAATTCGGTGTCTGCGGCTGTGCCAGCGCCGGCACACCAGATTTGAGGCGCGATGTAGTGCAGTTTCTCGCAGTTCTACCAAGCATCGTTAGTCGATGAATGAGCATCCCTCTCTCTGTCTCTACACACCTTGTCCGCTACTATGGGCCCACTCGTCGCTCGTGTGTCTGCGGCAATGACCACACCGCCATCGAAGAGGCAGCCAACGATGGTGGTACCGGTGGAGGTGGCTTTGGGTAGGGGAACGCCTTGGGCGTGGAGGGCGAGATTCCGGTTATGGTTGCTAAAGTCGAAGCCGGGCATTGTGACGGTGGAGTTTGGGAGATGAGGAGGGTGAAGGAGAAGTGGAGGATGAGAACACGGCGAAGGAGAGGCAGAGCAGCGGATGATGCAGCTTGGGTTGCCTGCAGCGCGGCGACACAAGGCTTGGTGGCCCGAGCTTCTCGAGAAAGTTTAAACTTTGGAACGCGGCGCGACAGGCACCACCTCCGCGTGAACTTGAGAGCTTCGTCCTGCACTTCTTTCCTTTCACAACCTCACACTCTCTCGATTCCTGGTTGCGCGGCAGCTGTTGTCCTTCATTTCCTGGTCAGACGCCACCACACAGAAGGAAAGCGAACGGAAGAGTTTCTCGATTGCAAACGCTGGGCTGTTGGAAAGTAAGTCCGGACATTCTTCGCATGAGCACAAACACACCGTCAGGATGAATTTTGGGAGCGGCGGAGGAGGGGCAGGAGGCGGTGGAAATGCGACGGCCGCGCCAGACTTACCCACAGTGGAAACGGAACAAATCGCATTTCAAGCTGTGTCCGGAGAGGATAAACTACGACTTCTACCATCCCCCTGGCCTGCAGATGCCCTGCCCGCCCCGACATCCTCACTCCTGAGCATCGCTTCGAAAAAAGGGCTAGTGGCGGCGGCGGGCCCAGACACTCTCGTGATTGCGAGTACAGACGCCATCCGACAGGGCTTGATCGGCGGGGCGGCAGATGGCAACAAGATCAAGTCGTATACCCCTCAAGCAGCCCTCCCGATCCCGCGAGTGTCGCAAGTCGCTTTTTCCAGCGACGAAAGCTGCCTGGTCATCACCGCTGAGCAAGGAGGTGGGCTGGCGGTCTATGATACAAACGCCCTCACAAACGGAGGCAAGGATGCAGCGTTCCAACTGGGCACCGAAGGACAGCGAGTGAGGCAACTCCTTCCGAACCCGAACCCATCATCCGACTTGTCAAGATGCTTTGGGGTTGTGACGGAGAATGGGCAGTTGCTCCTCGCGGATCTCAAAGAGCAGAAGTTGGCCACCACTTCCAACGGAAGCGCCATCTTCCACGAAAAGGTCACCTGCGCATGCTGGTCACGGCTGGGGAAACAAATTGTCGCCGGGCTTGCGGACGGAACGGCTGTACAAATCGACCAACAAGGTGTGGTGAAGGCGACGATCCCTGAACCACCACAACTCGCCAGCTGGAAGGATGATTCCGCGGTGGCTCACCCAGTCACCTCCGTCTTCTGGCTCGAGACGAACGACTTCCTCATCATCCACACCCCAATCAATCAGGCTGAGACGCTCGGCAATGACGACTCTATCTACCATCTTGCGCATCGCGACAAAGCAAGTGGCGGCTGGTCCTTCTCCAAATTCGAAGATCCCTGTCCGGCATTCGGGATGGAGCGGAAGCCGGCACAGCACTTCGTTCAGAGACTGAGGGAGTGGCTTGACCTTCATGACCTCCTCATCTTGTCCAGCACAGCGAGCGCCGATGTTGGCATTTTCGCCCGTTCCAAGACGCCCCTCAACTCCGAGCACCCAGTCGTTGATTCGTATACATATACGCAGCCGCCAGATGCTCGCCGCCCTGCGATGCCTGTCAGTGCGGATGGAGATACGAGCCCGATTGGAATGGCCATTGATCTCAGCGTGAAGGAGAAGGCCCCTCGTCCTATTCCAAATGAAGAGACGCTCGAAGAAAGCCCGGTGCCGTTACCTGCACTGTACGTCCTCAATAATGAAGGATTGTTGAGCATGTGGTACATTGTCTACAACGACTCTGTCCGGCAGGCTCAACCCTATGGAGATCTCATCGCGGCCGGTGGTCCACGGGCTTTAGGGGAGCAGAAACAAGCGCAACCAACGACACAAGCAACTTCTCCCGCGCCCCCTTCTTTTGGTGCGAGCACAACATCGGTATTTGGCCAAACTCAGAAACCTGCCGGCTCTACGTTCGGCAGTCCGAGTCAGCCCACATCTACATTCGGCAAGCCTTCATTCGGCCAGGCCAGCACCCCAGCGTTTGGCGGCACATCATTCCTCGGAAACAAGCCATCTCCCTGGGGTGCGACACAAGCTGGCTCGTCTCCCGCACCATTCTCGCAGCCTGCATTTGGATCGAGCACCTTTGGTCAACCAAGTGGTGTGAACAAGTCTTCGGTCTGGGGCTCGCCTCAACAGCAACAACAAGCCCCTTCTACCGGCTCTGTTTTCGGTGGCAATGCATCCCAAACGTCGCCCTTCATGAAGATTGGCAATCAAAACAGTACTTCAAGCTTCGGCGGGAGCAATACTCAATCACCCTTTGCCGCCGCTGCTAAGCCAGCTTCTGGATTTGGCGGCTTTGGGAAGGAGAATCAACCATCGCCATTCGCGGCCGCTGCATCGAAGCCTGGTCTCCCCAACCAGACCTCAGGATCAACCGTTTCCTTTGGCAACGGGACAAGTTTCGGCTCGGGAGGCACGAATTTCGGCGTCTCTAGCTTCCAGTCATCACTCACTCCCACGCCGCAACAAGCGCAGAGCAGGGAGGAGAGCATGGATGACGATGCAGAAAAGCCGGCCTCTCAAGCGCCGTCTACCGGAAGCGGGCTTTTCGGGATCGAGGGTTCGGGATTCAAGTTGGGAAGTACCTTCAAACCCGACGGCACGGCCAAAGACGACGGTCCAAAACCGAAGGACGCTGGCGCCGGTCTGTTTGGAAAGGGATTTGGCGATGCTCTGGGGCTAGGAGAGAAGCCTGCTGGAAGTGCAGAGGAGAAGAAAGGGGATGCGAGAGCTGGTAGCGAAGCAAGCTGGTTGGGCGGAAAGGGGACACCGATAATCAAAAAAGAGCCGGGTACCGAGAATGAGCCCCGACTGCAAGACATTCCAGCCGCTCCGCCGAAAGAAGCAGAGAAGGCGGCGCCTGTGGACGATGCTCCTCTTCCTCCCGATCCCACCACCTATACGGCGCCTGTGGACGATGCACCTCTACCGCCCGATCCGACCACCTGGAAGCCCAAGCCTGATGCTCTTCCACCCCCCATCCCCCCGGGTTTCGGCTCTGATTTCGTCAAGCCCGTCGCAAAGGATACGGCTCCTGCTGTCTCGTCTATATTTGCGAAGAAACAGGAACCAGAGAAGGAAGAGAATCAGCCACTTGCGGGTTCACCACCTGTTGATTTGGGTGGAGAAAAGTTCTCCGATGGGGCTCCTTCGGTGCCGGATGCTGAAGAGGCTGCTGGCCCGCCTGAAAGTGACGAGGATGAGGGCGAGTGGAGTGACGAGGATGGCGATGAAGAGGAAGACGAAGAAGAGGATGAAGAGGAAGACGAAGAGGATGAAGAGGACGAGGAAGAAAACGAAGAGGATGAAGATGAGGAGAACCACACGCCCAAAGTCTCTGATGCACGAGGCCTGTCGGCTTTCGAGGCAAGACTTACTCCTGCTAGTCCAAAGCGTGCAGAGCAACCAACACCGGATGGCAAAGAGTCGACCACGCCGGCGACAGACAAGCGCGATTCTTATACTCCAGCCGGTCTGCCCAAGGCGCCAGTTATGTTCCCGCCGCCGCAACGCGCGCAGGAATCCCCTCGCAGCCCAAGTCCACAGCGAAGTGCGACCAGCCCGGCAAGAAGCATGGGGTTCAAGTCTGGAGGCGCGCAGCAGACGTCATCACAAGGATCGTCGCTGTTTGGGAAGCCAAGTGGACAGCAATCCCTGGGCCAGCCTCCACAGCTACCACCGCCATCTCAGCCGCCTGCACTGCAAAGCTCAACTGGAACCGCGCCACCAGCTTCGCAGGCCCGACCCATCCCATCCCAACCTCAGCGGATCGCTGTGCCTCCGTCTCAGATTGCAAGACCGGAGAAGCCCACTCCTCCACCGCAGCCAGCAGAGCCTACACAAGGTGAGCTAGAGGACGAGGAAGATGCCAGAATCCAAGCCATCCTCGCGGCACCTGTGGAGCCAGTCACAGAAGTCCCTGCATTCCTCGCCCACCAAGACTACGTGGCTGATGGGCGAGAGAAGCAAGGCCTCGGCGGACAGATTGAGCGCGTATATCGAGACGTCAACTCCATGATCGACACTTTAGCACTGAACGCTCGTTCCCTACGAGCGTTCGTAATGGGAAACAGCGAACCTCATCATGGCGGAGAGAGAGGTCGCTTGGATTTGGAAGAGGAGGATGACTGGCTGCTTGGCGAAGCGGGAAGTCTGATTGGCATCATGGAAGGTATCGACGTCGAGCTGGAAGACGGGCGACTCGAGGACGTCAAAGGCGCGATCGAGAGCTTGATGGAGGAGGAGAAGGTCATCAATCGATTGCGTACGAGGACTCTGGAGGCGCGCAAGCAGATCGCCGCGCGCTCAGATCCAGCTCAGCTCGCTCAACAGCATGCCGCGCCGCTGCCCCCGGAAAGCCAGGCCCAACAGTCTGAGCTGAGACAGGGCGTTCAGCGCTTGCAGACACTCCTTGGCAAGGCGGAAGAACAGCTGAGCGTGCTACGAGCGGAGCTGGCATCCGTCCCGAAAGCGAATGGAAGAAGCAACGCACCGTCCGTCGAGGCAGTGATGAACACCATCCGCAGAATGACCGCCATGATCGAGGAAAAGAGTGTGGCCGTCGACGCCCTCGAAGCCCAAATTAAGCGCCTAGGCGGCCCGGCGGCGATCGGACTGTTGAAGCCGGGGTATGAAGACGACCTCGCGGCGACTATGGGCGCCACTCGCCTTTCGCACACCTCGCCTTCGGCCAATTTCAGGAGCAGCACGGTTTCGCTGCGTGGATCAAGGAACACGCCGCCGTCTTTGAGCAAGAAGTCGCTGTTTGACGTCTCTGATGCGGAAGTGGAGGCGTACAGGGTGAAGAGGGAGGGGCGGAGGAGGGTGATGGAGAGTTTGAGGGAGCAGCTTGAGGTGAGGGGCGCGAGGCTTGTGAAGGTTGGATTGTGATGAAGTGATGCTGGGGCTTGGAAAGGGGGCAACTTGAGACGCGCACCTGGAGATTCGTGGCTAGGCTTGATAGATAGTCGTATGCAATAGCGCAAATGGATTGCAATTGTTCAGAGTCGCTTGCGATTTGTCTGTCTATCCTTTCATGCGTTCGACAACATCGCCATACTTTGTCCCAATCAGGCAAGTCTGGACAATCCGACCTGACCTGACGCGCGCGCATACTTCAAGCCGCCCGGTCAGCTCATCCCGCCAAGACGTCACCTCCGCTAGCCTCCGTCTTCGTGAGCCAATGGTAGAACTTTGTACAAGACCTTCACTTCACATAGAGCGTTCCTCTATAAACATAGTGTAAGGCAACAGACCATGGCAGGGGCAAAGTCTTCAACACAAAAGCGCAAGCGAACGCGCAAAGCTCGAACGGATGGTATGTATCGTAGAGTCTCTGTCTTTGCCGGATAGGCATGCTCATTGCGCCTAGTCTCCTCCTCTTCATCATCATCTTCATCATCAGACAGCGACTCCGGTTCTTCCTCCCAAAAACCAACCATCAATCCGAGATCAAGCAAAAAGGCCCAACAAAGTCCACACCCCACAGCAGCAGTAGAAAACGAAGACAACACATCAACCCCCAGCGACCACTCCGCGCCTCCGACCCCAACAGAACAACTACAATCAGAAATATCCGCAGAAACCACGGCCCCAAAGAAACTAACAACAGACGAAGCCTTTGAAGATATCTACCTCAAGCAAGCCACGCGGGAATTCGCCAACGACTTGGACAAGTTGCGCTCGGCGGGGGATTTCAGCGAGCGCAGTGTGGAGCTTTTGATTGCGGGTTTGAGGCAGGGGAGGGGTTGTTTTAGTGTGGAGGAGAGGAGGCGGGTTGTTGGGGAGGGGGTGGGCGGGTAGATGGACTTATGGAGGTAAAGGTCGTGGTTCGAGGGGGAAGATGAGTGTTGTCATTGAGTAGAAGGTTATGTAGCGTGCATGATTACCTGAGCGAGAGCGCGCGCAGTCTCAGCAGAGTAGGCCATTGTTCTACTTCATCTTTCCCTCGAAAAGGGGTTTAATTCATTTCTTTCTACCAGATGCACCCTCACTTTTGCAATCCACTAGTAGTCCGTGAGCAATTCGTCGCTCGTTGGAAAACAGGAGTTGTACGAAAGCGGAAGTGAGAGTATGCATCCAGACTGATCCGGCATCTTCTGAAAGGAGTGAAGAAGATGTGATCAACGCGGTCCGTGTTCATCGAGCCAGGAGTAACATGCCGGTGGTCGATGCGCGAAAAGGAGGGATGATGTGGGTACGCTCATCCAGAGGCAGAGTCGTATAATCCCGATAATGTATCGATGAGATCTCGTTATGGCGGCAAGATCCAGCGAGAAGAGGAGAATGCGACTCATATGAGTAGTCCGTCGAGGAGGAAGGACTCATGCGCGTTGCAAGAGACGCCGCATGCAGAAGTATGTGATGTTCGTATTGTATGATGGAGTTGAGGGAGGAATTGGGCCCGTCGGAAATCTCGATTGAGATTGGGCAGCAGGTGACATCGAACTCTCGGGGGAGGTCGTGCCGCGGAAAGGAAATGATCCGAAGAGAGAAAGAACGGGGGACATATCGTCAATCGTACAGCAGGAAAACAGAAGAGCGTGCGGCGCGCCGGCCGGCGAGCTCACCCGCACACCCTTTGGAGAACGCCTGATACGCCTTGTATTCCAACATGCGCAAGCAAAGACCATTGTCAACCGTGCCACACTTACTAAGCGTGAGCGGCGGGAGGCGGTCCTTGTTGCTGCTGTTGTGGTGGACGCTGCTGCCACGGTCCACCCTGGCGCTGATTGCCCTGGAAGCCATTCGAATGTTGTGGTTGTTGTTGGTTGGGATCTCGGGGAGGTCCACGGAAGCCACCGCCACCTCGCCCGCCGCCGCGGCCGCCTCTGAATCCACCAGTACGATTCGCAGGATTCTGCAAGTCTTCTCCATTACCCTGCTGGCGACCTGGAGGCTGAGGAGGTCCCCGCTGAGGAGCAGTATTCACCGGACGAGGAATGTTCTCCGGCGCGTCATACACGTACAGCTTCTTGTCGATGGAGCTCGGGATTGGTTGAATCTCCGTGCCGAGTTCTTGCTCGATGCGGTAGAGGTTGAACCTGTCTTCCCAGTTGATCAGGTTGATAGCCAGACCAAGATGTCCAAATCGACCAGATCGACCAATACGATGGAGGTAGGTTTCCGCGTTCTTGGGGAAATCGAAGTTGATGACGACGTTGACGGCTTGGATGTCGATACCACGAGTGAGAAGATCGGAACACACCAAGTTGCGCATGGCACCATTGCGGAAGTCGTGGAAGACTCTGTTACGGTGCTGTTGCAGCATCTTGGCGTGTGAGTAGAAGCAGGAATATCCAAGCTCGGTGATCTTCTTCGCCAGCAACTCCACGCGGGTGGTGCTGTTGCAGAAGATGATGGACTGGTTGATCTGGAGGCGGCTGAAGAGAGTGTTGAGGCAGTGCACCTTCTGCTTCTCCTCAACGAAAGCGTAGTATTGGGTGATTCCGCGAAGCGTGAGCTCGTCCATGAGATTGATTTCGTGGGGATCGCGCATGTGCTTGTCCTTGAAAGACTTCACGACGATGGGGAATGTAGCGGAGAAGAGCATGACCTGTCGGTCTTTCGGATGGAATTGAAGGAGCTGTTCAATGGTGACGGTGAATTCGGGCGAGAGCAATTTGTCGGCCTCGTCCATAACAAAGGTCTGTGCAGCGGAAAGATCGGCGACACCCTTCGACGCCAAGTCAAGGATACGTCCAGGGGTACCAACAATGATGTGGACAGTCTCATTCAGGCGCATGATATCGTCCTTGAGTCCTGTGCCACCGGTGGTGACCATGACATTGATTCCAAGGTGTTTGCCAAGCGTCTTGCATACTTGCGACGTTTGGAGTGCGAGTTCTCGAGTGGGTACGAGCAGCAATGCTTGTGTCTTGTCGAGTTTCGGGTTGATTCTCTCAAGAGTGGGGATGACGAATGCGGCAGTCTTGCCCGTGCCGTTCTTCGCGCGGGCCAAAACGTCTCTTCCGGTAAGTGCGACGGGAATGGTTTCTTCTTGAATGGGTGACGGCTTCTCAAACCCCGCCTCGAAGATGCCCATGAGCAGCTCGCGTTTGAGGTAGAAGTCTTCAAATTCCAGGCCTTTGGTGGCGGTCACATCCTCTGTTTGTACTCGTCCATCTTTGGCTGGCTGCTTCAAGCCAGCCTTCCAATCATTGTTCGTTTGGTTATCTGTGAGGGAGGTAGCCTCGAGCTTGTTTGCAAGCTCGGAGGCCATTGTGTGGGAAAAGTGGCAAGGAACAGGTGTGCGCTGACCACTAACGAGGTGTGGAGCAGATGAAGGCGAGTGGATGCGGCTTTGTCACTGTTGTGTTTCGGTGTCTCCGCGGGGACGAGGTTGGTGGTGGGAGGCCTGTTGCGGCGAGTGCGCCAAAGTGGATACGAGTGGTACAGGCGGCTGCGCAGTGCGCTATGACGGTATCGAAGGGATGGGTGAAGACAGGCAGTAGGTTGAGCGGGTGTTGACAAGCGAGAGGGCGCAGACGGAGCTCGTTTGAACGGTGGAATGAGTCGGGTGTGGAGATCTCGCCTGCAGACTGCGGCGGAGAACGGCGCTTGGAGGTGAGGGAGAGCTCGGGGGTGTCTTCTGCGAGGATTCCAATGAGATTGCGTGCTGTTGTCAAGTGGTCTGGATTTACGGGAGGGGGTGGTTGTGAGGGTGGGTTGGGGTTGTGGTGGAGGAGTGGGATGTGTTTCGACGATGTGTGGGTCGGCGAAAAAGCCTAAAGATCGTCAGGCAGCAATCAGGCAGGAAGATCTGCCTGCTCCAACTACACCTCCTTTGCGCCCCCTCACTGCAGGTACAAAGGACTCGTATCTCTGCCAGCTCGGAAGACCTGTTCATCAACTTGCTCCTCGCCGCCATCTACTTCGGATCTGTCATCTGCATTGAACGCGCAAGGGACGCCAGGACGCGACGCGCGCCCAGTGCTGTGTAACGTTGTCGCATTACACCAGAGGGTAATCGACCCTCATCTTTCCTCCTCAACATACATCCTCCATGCAGTCGATTCTTTCGTCGCATCTCACCAGGCCACAGCTGATGTCTGTGGTCCTTCGTCCGGCTCGGCTTCGTTGCCCACTACATCTTCGACGACGACCAACGACTATGGACCGCAGTAACCCCAACTTCAGCCATTCCATTCTACGCAAGTCGTTCGTAAATGGCCGGGGCTACAGCTCAGCGCTCCCTGGTGCATCCACTCGCACTATGATGTGGACCATCATCGGCCTCAATGCAGCTGTGTTCGGTGCATGGCAATATGCCATTGCTCGAAAAGACCGCAAACTATTCCAGAAGCTCTCCCAAAACTTCACCGTCAGCGCACAAAATATCAGAGACGGCCGCTACTGGACTCTCGTCACCAGCGCCTTCTCTCATCAAGGCCTTGGTCATTTCGCATTCAACATGTTCACTTTCAACGCGTTTACCAGCATCATGGCCTTTGCAGGTGTCGGCCCCGTAGCCCTTGGCTTTATCGTTCTTGGAAGCGGACTCGCAGGATCTGCCGCATGGCTCTATCATCTACACAGCCCTGGCTCAGATCGGATCAATAGATACGCCTCTGCGCTCGGAGCCAGTGGCGCAGTGATGGGTGCGGGAGCCGTGGCTACTTGTCTCATGCCATTCGCCCCGATGCAGATGATGTTCATCCCTATCAACATTCCTCTTTGGGTCCTGACGCTTGCGTATGCTGGACTCGATGCATACTACCTCAATGCTAGTACTGGAGTCGGGCACTCGGCGCATCTCGGTGGAGCCATCTTCGGAGCACTGTTCTATGCAGCCTATCTCAGGCGACTTGGTGGTGTCGTTCAGTTGCTCAAGAGAGGTTCTAGGAGGTGGTAGTGCTAGCCACTTCGGCGACGATTTACGAAAAGATGACGAATTATCCGCTGTTCTGGGTTCGCTTTACTGGACCGCTTCGCTCTGATGATGGCCCAACGGGGCAGTCTATGTGAAGGTTCCTTGCCGAACTGAGGCTGGGCTCACCATTTTCTTCACTTCTCTGGTTAGCGTTGTCATGTGATCCGGCACGTGCTCCGTTCCTATTCCATCTTACCTTTACCACTTTCACCCAACCTCATTGACACCATCCCCTTGCTCGACATTCGGCAAGCCTCCCTTTTCTTCCATTGCTGAGGCTCGAGACAATTCCATCCAGCACAACGACGAAAGCCGGTCACCCCATCCCACAAGTACGCAAAATGGCAACAGCAGTGGCCAGCCCATCCGTGGGCTTTCTTGGCCTGCCAGCGGAAACCAGGAACCACATCTATCGTCTCGTCCTTCCAGCCAAGGCCACCCTTACAATCGCATCCGGCGGCACATACGCACCCGGAATGCCAGATGATGCTAAGACTTTCCTTAACCTGATGCGCGTCAGTCGTCAGGTGCGCGCAGAATGTGGCCCAATGCTCTCCGCTCGTCTTCGCCACGAGGTCTATTGCGCACAACATCTCGAGATCTGGCTTGATTCGAATCAGGGGATGGGATATCACGTTCGAGACTGGGTCTTTCACTTCGAGAGGCCCTGGGAGTTGCGCCGCGCGCTCCACGCCCTTCAGCCAGCCGCGAGTTCTCTGCAGAGTATCACCATCGTATGCTGGGCGGCGAGCAGGCGATATTCCAGAGAACTGGCAGAGAGCTTCATGCCGCTTTTACGCGCGATCCAACGGGCAGATATGGGTTCTACAAAAGCACGGTCGCTTATGAATGTGATTCGTATATCACCAAGGACTATCGACGAGAAGCTGATGACTAAAAGGGTCGCTGCTGAGTTCAAAGCTGAGCTTAAGAAGTTGCTTGCCGAAGGGAGACTGTGATCACCTCAGTTCAATGGGGAGAAGGCCAGGACATTCTGCGGGTGCTTGAACCTCACTTACCGGGCTGTCCTCATTTCACTTGCTCATTTCACCTCTGTCATTGACATGTGATGAGTGGCTCGTGCTTCGACTTCCATCAACCCTTTCAACACCCTGTATAACTACTTCCTCCTCCCCAGCAAAAGTCTCGTCACAAACAACGACCTGTCCGCCGACAACATCACTTCACCGACATCAATCTCCTCACCAGCCTACCTCTAACGGCACCTCACCAACCTATCTCCGACATCGTTTCCACGACTGCCTCCCCATTCAGCAGCAGTCTCACTCCTCTGACCTTTCCATTGACAGTGTGGTACCATCGACTGCGCCTGCTTCGAGCTCAATACGGCCAACGCACGTACACAAAATGGCAACCTCAGAGCCCTCCACAGCCGTCGGATTCTTCGACCTACCACCCGAGATCAGGAACATGGTCTACCATCTTGCACTGCCAGAGGAGAAGCTCGTGGGCCTCCCTCGCTATAAGTTCTATGATCCACTCGAGCGGCCGAAAGGTGCTGCGAAGCCATTTCTCAGCCTCCGCAGAGTCAACCGCCAGTTCCGCGATGAGATCACCCCAATGCTCTACGACCACCTTGCCTTCGAATTCTACGATGCCAGAAATTTCAAGAGGTGGATCAACTATCCTTGGGGTCTAAAGCAGCATGTCAAAAATATCACTTTTGATATCTATGCGCTGGCACAGATCCGCAGTGTCCTTCACGAATTCAAAACGACTGCTATCTCGCTACAAACTATCACCTTTGTCATGCATACGTGGAACCACGAAGCCATCAGGCCTTTCACCGTGTATGCGGCCGCTTTCGTGCCGTTTCTCCGGGCTGTGCGCAAAGCAGACAAGACTGGATTAAGCAACCAAGCGTTGGTAGACTTGATCGCCATCCAGCCGCTACGCCAGTCTGGGAGCTACACTCCACTCCCCAAATTCGATGAAGAGGCTGAGAAGACGTTTCGAAAGTATGAAGCCGATGTCAAGGCGGAGATGATAAGATTGTTGGGTTGAACATTGACTTCGACTATCTCCGAGGAGCGAAGAAGGCATTCACGACGGCTGCGATCGGGCAACAAGATCTTCTAAGAGAGCACGTGGCTTGTTCACTCAGCGACGGCCTCATCTTGGTCGGCTTCACCATCGGCTCCATCGCCCTTCCCCCAACACTACCGGTCCCATCATCACTTCCTCCAACGTCACCCTCCCCTCACAGTTTCCTCCAACATGGCCTCCGTCGGTTTCCTGCGACAACACCCCCAAACTTTCCCCAAACTTTCACCCAACATCAACATCACTCACCGGTTCAACCATTTTCACGAAGCGCACCATCATCATCGACCCTCCAACTTCCCTCCAACATCAACACCACGCCGTCCTTCAACCATTTCCTCCAAGGTCACCATCATCAAGTACACTCACTTTCACCCAGTACTATCACCACACACGTACACAGTATGGCAGCTCCAAAGCCTTCTGCACCTTTCCAGCTTCTGGATCTACCCCCGGAGATCAGACACACCATCTACGACTTCGTGATGCCACTTGACAAGGAAACTATGATAGAGTACCCCGACTGGGGCTCGCCATGGAATTTGAACCGCGGCTTGCAGACGATCCGCAGTCTCATCAAAGTCAACCGTCAGATCTACACCGAAGCCAGCTCGTTACTCTACGGCCAGCTTGAGTTCGTATTCGGCCGACTCTGCTGCTTCAAACTCTGGATGAGCAACATTCGGGAGGCAAAGCACCGGGTCAAAGAGGTCAGCTTTGCGGGCCAGGGACTAGTACAGATCCGCAGCGTCCTCCACGAACTCAAGTCCATTCCCGCCACTCTACGAACTGTTACCTTTCTTGTGAGACGCCGATTCTAGGAGCACAGAAGCGCCACAGTCTTTGCGACCGCTCTCCTGCCCTTTCTACGCGCTGCGCGCAAAGCGGACACGCAAGCATCCAGAATGCGATCGGTGACAGACCTGATCTCCTTGCGGCCATCACACTATGACTCGAAGCGCCCTGAAAGCTGTGCGTTGCTCCGCCAGTACGAAGCTGATGTCAAAGCTGAGATGACGAGGCTGCTGGGTTGAGCAGCGATGAGGCTCACATGGCCGGCAATCGGCAGTAAGGGCTGAGGGTGGAACAGAACGTGGGACGATAGGACGACGGCATAACAGCGGCGGCAATTCACAGGTTTCCACAGGACAGTATGTACAACAAGCACCACTCTATCATTACTCAATCAGGACCACCTCCCCAATCAATCCACATCATCCTCCGCCGCCTGCCCTCCATTCGCAGCCCCAGCAGCAGCAGATTTGCTCGGGTAGAAGTCCAACTTGCCCTTCGGCCCCAAAACCCCACTTCTATCATACAACGACTTTGCGCGGATGTAAGGGTCTAACCGCCAGTAGTTCTCCGCCAGCCGTTCTGCCAATCGTCCTCTGCCCTCCCCTGCATCCTCCGAGTGCGCCCACGATAACGTCTCGGCTTCATACGACTTGACCAACTCCGTCCGCTCCGCCTGAATCTTATCCCTTGCCGCCGTCTCGCCCATAATCGCATTCTCCCCCTCCACCGGCTCCGGGAACTCATACGTATAACTCTCCTCCCCGCCCAGCTCCTTCATAATCTGGCTGCGCGGAATCCACTCCTCCAAATCCTTGACGCTGTCGGCGAAGTGGATCTTCGAGGCGACGACGGGGTCCAGCCAGCCCTTGATGATTTTCCAGATGCCGTGGAAGATCCAGGGCGCTTTGTAGACGAGCACCGAGCCGAGGCTCTCCGGGTAGTTTGCTTCGAAACATTTGATCATGAATTTCACGGGCGTGTAGTCCATGTTTGCCATGCTGAAGTCGGTCATGTCGAAGACGATTGTCTGTGGGTGTTAGCTTGGTGCTGGAGAGGAGGGATGGAGTCAACTTACTGCAGTGTCGACTGGCGGCCGCAACATCATGCGCGTAGTCTCTATCGTGTAGACGGTGAATCTTTCCAGACTCTTCTCCGTCTGCTGGCCAGGTCGATGTAAGCGCACACGACAATAACAGCACGGTCGCCCTTCTTTGTCCGTGCCGTGCAAGAAGCTCTTGCCCATGCGCAATTGCGAGAGGAAGTCCTCGCCGTCCTTTTTGCTACCCGAACTGGAATCCTTGGAGTTTTTCAGAGCGCCTTCTTCTCCATTCTTCATGATGTCCTCGTCCACCTTCATCTCAGACAAGCGCCAATGCAAGGTAGAAATCATCATCACAATCGCAGCGTGTACGTCCCACTTACGCGCTCGGAGGAAACGGAGCAAGAGGGCATCGGGGTGATCGTGCTTGCTCATAGACCAGAAAGCCTCGCGCAGGGTTTCGGGAGAATCGGTCGCCAGGGCTTGCTGGAACTCCTTCGTCTGACCATGCTTATCGTTGTCCGCGCTGTCGCCAGCACTCGCCGAGTCGCTGTCGCCGTCCTTGTCCTTCTTCCTAAACATGGAAAGCCGGCTCTTCTTCTTTTTCTTATCTGGTGTCGACGAGTCGGCAGGGTTCGGCGTGCCGTTGTCGTGGGTTTCGTGGATGACGCCGAAGATCTCCAGCGTCGCGATCCACATCTCTTTCAGCTTTGTTTCTTGCTCTGCTGTGAGCGTGCCCGGCCGGCCGGGCGGCATGTCCGGAGCCATGGTAAGAGGGAAGAGCGAGGCGTCCGAAGCGACTCGGATTTTCTCTTCGGACGGTTCGGGAGATGCGTCGTTGCTTGAGGATTTTGTGACGATATATGCAACGCCTGTGGCTAATGTGACAGCTAGGAGGAGAGTGACGGGGTCGAAGGCGGCGCGCTGAGGCTGAGAGAGATATGCGGCTGTCGACGGACACTTTACGTAGGACCGGCCACTGCTGAGATTCGTCTGAGAATGCGCTCTGTAGGAGTTGAACGGAGAACAACGGGAGGTTCGGAATCCGCGGAGTAGGGTAGTGTATCGAGTTGTATGGAGCGCGCGAGAGCTGGCAAGCATTTAAATAAGGGGTAGTCTTGGTGGCCGGAAAAGGATGGAAAGTGTCGTCTGGATGCCCACGTGCCCTGCCTGCATCTACTACATCACCAAGCGGCGCCGGGGGCGGAAGGATGAGGCGATGTGAGGTGATTGTGGAGGAAATGCACGGGAATTTCCAAGCCCGCGATGACGCCGAAATGGCGGGGGCCGAGGCGTGTTGACGCCAAACCCGATTGGGACGTTCAATTGGGAACGCGTCTTTCTGCTCGTCCTTCAGTCGCATTGACCACGGACTCCCAGCAGCTTCAACGGACACAACACCGCCATGGCCACCTCCACAACCCCGGCGCATCAGCCGCCATCCTCTGGACATCAGCGATCCGACTCACGAACACGAATCCCCTCGCGACCCACCACTCCCCTCCGACCTCCGTCTCGAACAAGTCTACGCGCTTCTCAAACCACACCCAGCGGCAGCACATCAATCTCCAATACCGACGCCCCCCTCGCAAGCCTCGAGCCTATGTTTGCGGAGCTGAGCGACAGCATGGCGGACTTGGAGGCCAACTTCATGCATCTGCAACTCCTTAACGAAAGTCTGGGTCGCTTCAACGAGAACTTTGGCGCCTTTCTCTACGGCATGAATATGAGTGCTTTCTGTGTGGATTTTCCAGAGGTATGATTGCAGCTTTATGCTATCTCGCGCACTTATCGCTAAAGCTATTCCGCATAGGCTCCCATACCGCAGTCCTTTGCGCGGCACAAAGATACTCCTTCTCAACTCCAAGATTCTCCGTTCCGGGAGCGCACAACTGTAGAGCAAGATGCGACCTTTCTCACCACCGATACTTCTTTTGTGGAGAACCCACCGACAAGCAGCAAACCCTCCAGCAAATATTCTGCGCCGCCTTCTGCCAGAGGCTCGAGACAGACGATGGGGTCGGGAAGAGGTTCGGGGACGCGAGGTACTGGAGGTTCGGGCATCGCTCGAGGTACGAGCTCAAGAGGCGGTGCTGCGGGTTCGACGAGGGGGAGTAGTGGTATTGGAAGGGGTGTGGCGAGGGGTCGTGGTGGAGTAAGATGATGTGATAATAACGACTCGAAGTCGAAGCAAGCATTCGCAATGAAGCTCGGCGACAGTCTATCATCTGGTTATCGTCAGCACGGCATCCCTGACGCACTCGCAGCAACTCGGTCTCGGGTTTGTAGCACCATGCATCCGCTTACCGGTTCATGTTGAACAGATCTTGGCTGTGCTGCTTTATACAGTCTGCGATCGATAATATGTGCATGCTGCCCATGCTGTGGAGGCTGAGTGAGCGAAGCATATTCTCAATGATCTTCGTCGGATGATCGGAGAAACATCCACTATCATAGTCGACATGGAAAAACGCTTCCGCTGAAAAGCCACCATCCCAGCCGACCTCGAATTCCAGCAAAGTCACCCGATAGTGTGGCGCCGGCTTTGTGAAAGTCAGGCTGGTAGTCTCTAAGGGCTTTGCAAACGGGTCGAATCCTTTGCCGCATGCGTGACCAGGTCGGTGAAAATTGTACACAAACACGTAGGCTTGGATTCTCGCCAAATTTTGAGCAGAGATCTGTTTCAAAGCACGGCGGAGCCCCGGCCTGCCCTGCTCGTCGAATGCTTCCGCTCTCTTGTTCGGCCGCAGCGATTTTTGATGGATCAGGTCTATACGGAAGGTGTTCTCGTGGTAGAAGATGCCAATCGTCTCTCTGTGTATCGCTTTGCATGTCCGTAAGAGGCCGAGCGCGAGATCTTGATACACTGTTGGATCAGATGCCAGGGGAAAGGGGATTGGGCTGACTGGGGGGAAATGAGAATCTTCCGCTCTGAATGATTCCTCGTCACTCTGAGTCCTTGTATAACGGTCAGAGAAGGTGGCGTTTGTTGTGTTCATGATTTCTTCATCGCCATCGTTCCTCGTATAACGACAGTGCTCGAAGTCTTCGGAGCCTGGGATGGGACCGCGGTCTGTGAGGGACAGAGCCAGCCGGTAAATGCGATTTCGGACTTCACCGGGGAGATCTGAGAAGCCCGTCTTCGTGTGATCGGCTTTGATGATGACGGAGCGTTCCATGCCCGGCACCGGTTGGTCCATCTTGTTCTTGAGCCGCGTCTGTCGCTTCTTCGACTTTCTGCTCGGTGTAGTCGACTGTGAAGCTGCCATTTTGGATGATGCTTGTTTGTTGGCGCGGCCAGCCGAGCGCAGTGAGTAACGCGCAGTCGCCATGTCGTTGGTTTGGCGGTCCAAGCCGAGCGCAGCTTCTGATGTAGTAGGGACACACAGCAAAAGGCAAGTCCCAGCCTGCGAGAGGCAGGAGATTCGTGGGCGCTTTCACTTTTGATCTGCTTGGTGCCGTGCGGATCGCAAGGCAAACAGGTGAAGCTGAAGTGATGAGAAGGCTGTGACACCAGCCTTATTTCGAGGTCGGGCGGTTTGCGTCCCGGGACTTTTTGGACTGCAGCTCCCGCGGACACATGCACCTCACATGCAACGATGCAGTGCAAGGTCTCTCAGTGCAGCAGCAAAACGAGCAGACAGTTCAAAGGCCGTGCTCTGGCAGTGACGGACGACACTACTCCATGATGGTCTATTCAGTATGTAATACACATTTGCTGACCTTGCAATCCTGTTCGGTCTTCCGCCGCGACGACATGCGTGTACAACCAGAGTCCAACGTCATCCCTGGAAATGCTGTAACCCTGCACCGGTCTCTGAGAATCGCCTTGACGAATCGAAGACACCCCTTTGGCCGCGCCATCTGTCAGAGCGCTAGGTCTTACAACGACATACGCCTCGCTAGGCAAGTGTTTTCCGAGCAGAGCCTCCATCTCGCGCTTGTCGTCGTACACTCCGGTAAGTAGCCATCGATACAACGGGGTCAGTGCGATAGGATAGTCTCGCGGCCCAGTATGCGAAACCCCGTTTGCGGATATCACTACGATGAGCGGTGTTTCTTTGGAGGTGTCAGGACCGACAGCTTCTAGTAGACTGCTTGTCGCGTGGCTGCAGATGGGCTCCGATAGAGTCAAGGGACGGAAGAGAGACAGTTGAGGCATAGGAATTCCGCCTAAAAGCTGCATGAGTTTTGATGCAGGACCGAGCAATCCATCGTCGACCTACCAATCCCACTGATGATTGTATCAACGCCTTTGGCGTCATTGCTCAACACCTCACGAACTTTCGCCATGTCCTTGACGTCTCCAATAACGATTTTCAACCGTTCCTCGATGGCGTTCTGCGACACCCCACGGTCTTGCAATTGCTGTATCAGTTTCTCCCGTGACCTGACTAATGCCGTGGCGCAATGACCGTGTTGGAGGGTGAGGGCTAGGCATGCATTGGCACACCCGCCCGTGGCACCAAGGAAGGCAACTGTTCGAGTAGACATAATCAACAGACAGGAAAAGGCTGAGGCAAGTGATGTTGATACCGAGGTCCGCAATCGCGCATTCAATTTCGTCTCTCTATGTCTTGTTCAACAACAATCAACACTTTGATCATCGGACGAAACATCTGTCCGAATCGGACAAGACATCTGCCCGTGGAAGTAACTCATGCTATAAAGTTGCAATTGAAGCCAAGGTTTCCTTGCGAGTTAAAGAATGGTGGCTCGGTACACGAGGGTGATTGGGTGCGGTAGTGAGCTTTCCAAGCTTTGGAAGGCGTCATGATAACGTTGCCTGCCAGTGAACATGGTTGCCTTCTGTCATGCAAGGCAATGATCGTCGACGAATGCACCCATCCCTGCGACTCCAAAGCTTGACTATCGAGTCTTTCTCCTCGCAAAGCGGTTGGAATCAGACCTGTTGCACGCATCGAGTGCATCCAGTCGTCCTTCCTGGGCTTACGTAAGCACTTGTGGCCTCCATGTTGTAGACCGCAACATCCAACGTTCATCATCGCCACAACAGCCATGAAACTGTCCATCTATCTCGCCGCAGCTCTGTGTGGTCTATCAAGCTCAGCAGATAACGGACAAGCACCGCTCGTCTACGAGCAGTCGGGCTCGAACATCAAGAATGTGGCGATTATCGGTATTGGTGTATCTCCTCCGGCAGCTTTAAGACTCGACTAACACGTACTACAGGTGCTGGAGCTGGAGGCGCCTCATCCGCCTATCACTTGGCCAAATTCGCCGCTTCGGCTGGGAGACCAGTGAACATCACCGTCTTCGAGAGGAACTCTTATATCGGCGGACGAAGCACTACCGTTGACGCGTATGACGACCCAAACTACCCGGTGGAGCTTGGAGCAAGTATCTTTGTCGAAACTAATCACATTCTCTTCAATGCGACCAAGGAGTTTAATCTATCAACAAACGCCTTCATCACCCAGTCAGATATCCCCGGCGCCGGTCTAGCTGTTTGGAATGGCGAGGAGTTTGTCATTACTCAAAGCGGTGGAAGTGGGTGGTGGGATATCGCAAAACTCTTCTGGAGGTATGGTCTTGGTCCGATGAAGACCATGCGTCTAGTCAAGGAGGTTGTCGGCAAGTTCCTCGAGATGTACGACGAGCCGGCTTTTCCTTTTCAATCTCTCACCCAAGTGGGTCAGGATGTTGGCCTTCTCGCAGTAACAGCTGCAACTGGCACGCAGTATCTGGAAGAGAATGGCATCACCGGTGATTTCGGGCAGGAGATTGTGCAAGCAAGCACAAGAGTCAACTATGCCCAGAATCTGGACTACATCCATGGTCTGGAGGCAATGGTGTCCATGGCAGCTGAGAATGCGCAAGCCGTAACGGGAGGCAATTGGCAGATCTTCGCCAGCATGATCCAGGCATCGCAAGCTACTGCCTTGCTTGAGACGTCAGTCATTGCAATCGAGAAGACTAAACATGGTCGCTATCAGCTTCGATTCAGCGATGCCGGGACGGAATCATCGGCAGATCCTGGGTCTCAAACTTTCGACGACGTGGTACTCGCAACTCCATACCAATACTCTAACATCAGCCTCCCCGAAGAGCTCACAGCGCCGGATACGATCCCGTATGTCCAGCTGCACGTGACGCTCTTCACCTCACCTCACCTCCTCTCACCGAGCTTCTTTGGGCAGAAACCAGACAACCCAGCGCCGCGTGTAGTCCTAACCACACTGCCGAAACGTGAGGAGCCAGCGAGCGGATCAGAGGGAGTCGGAAGCCCTGGCTTTTTCAGCATCTCCCTGCTTCGACAAGTCACCAACCCCAAAAGCAGTCGCCCGGAGTATCTGTACAAGATCTTCTCCGCCGCTCCGCCAAACTCGACGTTCCTGCACAATCTGCTCGGCGTGGAGCATGAGGACGGCGACGAGATTGAGGAGTCAAAGAATCGCCCTATCACCTGGTGCTACCGTAAGGTGTGGAACAGCTATCCATACGAATTCCCTCGCGTAACGTTCGAACGGATAGAGCTGGGCAAGAACCTTTGGTATACGGGAGCGATGGACAGCTTCATCAGTACGATGGAAACGAACGCATTGATGGGCAAGAACGTTGCCAGGCTCATCGTTGATAGATGGCTTGACGACGACCACGGAACAGCTGGCCAGACTTAACATACCGGCCGAGACCGAATCTAGGTAATGAATGCGTTCCTAATACGAGTCATGATACAATCCGATGCAGAGTCGATCGTCGCGATCTCTATGAACCGTCAAAAGCCACAACGCCCACGTCTCCACCAGGCACTCGCTTGGAGTTCCTAGAAAGGCGATTGCAGCGAACCTCAGCTTACCAAAGCCTCCGTTTCCTGCTCAGGTAATCGGCCGACCATCCGTTTCCGTCCACGTTTATCCACCGTGCATAAGTACGGCAAATATGCAGTGAGACGGCAGCCGAAGAGGGCACGGCGTCTACTCCGAGGACGATCGGTAGATGATGCAGGCGCGCTGCAGGGTGTGCTGTCAGGGAGGGAGGGCATACAGACTCGGAAATGTCTTGGGTCCGGAGTCGGGGACTGCGCCCGAAAGTCCGCGTCCGGACCACAGTTTTACTCATACCGTGGGTGATATGAGTTCATCATGCGAGGTAGGGCTTTTAGGGCGCGCAGGGCTGATGGTGCCCAGCAGCCCATCCACTTGGCGCACATGGGTTGCGGCTGAGTGACGTTGTTTCTTGCTCACTCGGACGTAAGATTGAATAACAAAAACAAATGATATGATCTAATCAGATGTGGTTGGTTTTGCCGAGGTGGGGCGGCGGTGATCTCACGACGGGAGAGACTGGTTTCGTCGCAGTGCCGTGTGTACCTCCAATACACGGGCGCGAGTTGGGATGCGCTCTTGGCAGCTGGGAAAAGTGGCGGTCTACGTGCAAGCGAGAAACGAGGATGAAGCTGGGCGAGAGTGATGAGAGGGTGCGGCAACATTGCGCGAGACGGAGTCGGGAACGGAGATAAAATCAAAGTCAGGATGATGCGAGAGGGAGAGGTCGAGAGAAGGTTCGGTTAGAGCTGCTTGGCGGTGAATCACCAAATATGTCGCCGCAAACTCTAACCAGCGACCGGGCGGAAATGGGCGCGAGGATCGTCCGACCGTCTGCCGAATGCCGCAAGTGCCTTTTGGCGACAGTGATGATGGATGGCGATGGTCGAGGCGGAAGGGCCGCGGATGCAGCCTGGGCTCTCCATCGCCGGGATTGCGCTCATCGAGGGACAGCATCTCGCTCCAGACGGATGACAGCCGCTGCCTCGCCATCATCCGGCCGGCGGCGCAGGCAGTCAGCATTTGGCAAACGCCGTTTTCGTCAGATCGCCGTTGCCGCCAAGCAGCAGCAGCTGATTATTAGGGCGTGGGCCCCAACTCATATCGGCGCAAGACCCGCCGCACGGAGCGCGCGCCGAATCGTTTTCATCCGAAGCCATCCGGGCGCCGAGTCACTGGCCCGCCGCGCGCCGTCTGACTGGCCATCTCGCTCCCGCAACATCCATTTCGTCACCTTCGCCTGCTGACATATGCGGCTCGCGAGTGGTGGGCCCCGTCGCTGATGTCGAGGTAGGCAACATGCGATGGATCGAGTGCGGCTGGAGGATGGAAGGCCGATGCATATCTTCATTGCTTCGCGCCCTCTCCGTCCTTGCTTACCTTGACCTTCCCATCTCCTTCCGGTCTCCCAATTCCCCTCTCATATCTCTCCTCTTGGTCGTCTCGTCGTGCGAGGCGCGTTTTAAACTTCCCAAAGTCAACGCCTCCGTCAGATCCGCGCGTCTGACTAAACGAGCTCCTGCCGTATTACCTTTCTGCCCGCTCCGAGTCGGGTTGTCCTTCGACCTACACGCCTATTCACGACTAACAGCCTGTCCAAGGCCTTGACGGTCCTTGGCAGTCGTCTACTCTTGCTCGAAACCAAGAGCTCAGACAAATGCAGCGATCGCGTGGCTTTGCCATCGCCGCCGCTGCAGCGCTCCTCCTTGGGGCGCTGCCGATCGCGCTCGCCCATGAACATGGCGACGCCATGGACATGGAAATGGCCGGCGAGATGACAAACGCCCTCAACGCGACGAATACCACCGCCCCGGCTGCTCAGTCTGGTTTCGAATGGCAGGCCAGCTACGTTCGCTGGCACCCGCACGCGGGCTGGTTATATGCTCATGGCACAATCATGACCATTGCATGGGCAGTTGTGATGCCGCTTGCGATCATGCTCAGTGCCGCTCGGTCACGATACCACCTCCCAGCACAGTTGCTGTTCCACATCGTAAACGGCGTCGGCGTCTTCACCGGCTTCGTGTACAACCATGCCACTCCCGACTTGTACGAGTGTAACTCTCATCACCCCATCGGCTGGGTCGTGACGGCGTTTACGATCGCATGGACCATCATGTCGTTGTTCGTCGGGTACAGCGAGCACAGGAGCAAGGGAAGCGCGACAGCAGCAGGGGTCAATATGGGCGTTTACGATCGCTTCCGACGCTACCGCGACAGCGTCTCCACCATGTCAACGCGAGGCTCCGGCTCAACATCGCTGACAGGATCTCGACCGCACAGCCAAGACTCGAGGGAGTACCAGCGCGCCGACTCCATTCCCCTCGCCGACCCCGACTCATTTGTCGACCACCACGATTCTCGGGAGGAGAAGTACGGTCTGTTGGGCGACAACAAGGTCGATCGATTCGTTTCTCGCAGCGTGCATCGCTTCTCTTCCGCCCGCGCATCGCGCGTGGTGCGCTTCTGCCAGATTGTGACGGAGAAGCTGCTCCTCCTGCTGGGCTTCCTGGGTTTCACCACGGGCATTGTCGTGTACACCGGCCTCTTCACAGACAAGGAAATCTTTTCTGGTTTGGCGCATTGGATCAAGGGCGCCATCTTCTTCTGGTATGGCCTTTTGACTCTCGGCCGATGGATGGGCGCGTTCACCGAATTCGGCTGGGCGTGGAACATCCGACCCAATCACCCCACAGTGTCACGGTGGAAGTCGCGAGTGCCATCCGCGGAGTTTGTCGAGTCGTTTGTCATCTGGCTGTACGGCGCGAGCAATGTATTTCTCGAACATCTCGGCGGCTGGGGCGAAGGGTGGTCAGCGCAAGATTTCGAACACATCAGTATCACCCTGCTGTTTTTTGGCGGCGGGCTGATGGGCATGGCGGTCGAGTCGTCGGTGTTGCGCGAGTGCATGAACACGACGGTGGAATTGCAAAAGAGCAGTGAGGTCGCGGTGGCGGAATCGCAAGCAGGGTCATCCCGGTTCATGAACGACGCTAGCGCCGCGGACGAGGAGCCGCATGAGCTGTGGGCGCATCCCAAGACGTACCGCGTCCCTCTCAACCCCATGCCGGGCCTCGTCATTTTGCTGCTCGGCCTCATGATGTCGGCGCATCACCAGGAAAGTCACGTGAGTACAATGCTTGTAAGTCGCACCCAATCAAACCCTAACCCACCTTCAACACCCTCTAACCACTCCACCTCAACAGCACTCCCAATGGGGCTCCCTCTTCGTCGGCTTCGCCATGGCCCGCGCCGCAACCTACATCACCCTCTGCATCAAGCCGCCGACGTCGCACTTCGCCGCGCGCCCGCCCAGCGAGCTCGTCGCCTCCTTCTGCCTCATAGCCGGCGGCATCATGTTCATGATCAGCGCGCACGACGTCGTGACCGGCATCGAGGCCAACGGCTTCGATGCGATGGCCGTCTTCACCGTCACGATGGGCCTGACGGGCCTCATTATGGCGTGGGAGGTGCTGCTGTATGCCGTCAAGGGCTGGGCGGTGCGCAAGGAGCGCGCGGCTGCCGGTGCTGAGGCTTCGTCTTGAAGTCGGGCGAGGTTGCGTCCCTGCCCTCCTCTTGGTTCTTAGTCACGATGGTCCTTTCGCAGAGGACACGCTCGCAATGGACATTCATGAATTTTCTTGACGATCACTTGGGCTGATAGACGCACGGATCTGGCGCCGTCCTGGCGAGGCTGCTTTTCGCGTTATACCCCCTCTGCTTTTAATAGCAAAAAATTCGTAATTCATAGAAACGATAAAATAATACTGTCACACGAGCTGGAATCCGTCCTTTCATTCTCCTTGCCCGCAATAGTGATGTGGCGTCTACCTTTGACTAGAATAAGAGCGAACTGAAGTTATACCTCATGAGAGGCTCTTGAACTGTTCATGAGGCTGCGGAAGATACACTGCATTTTATCGAATGCGTCAGACGCACTTCAAGTTACACATAGACAATTGTCGCTTCTATCTTCGTGGAGCAGTCAAGATCGAATGTCGACCGCCATGACCATCCTAGCGCTTGTTCCAACATAAGAAAAAAGGTCCCCTTCAATGGGGATGAGGTATCATGCTAGCCACTTCCGCTCGCCCTCGACCGTCTCCCATCGACCATCTCGTTCCCTCTATCAATGACAGCCAAGAGAAGAAAAGCCGGGGATCAAGACCCCATCTCCACATCGCCATACTCCGATAAAACACAGTGAAATGAGGAGAGAGACAGGAGTCCCCTCCCCCGCTAAAAGCGCTAGATCGTTTCAAAACCACCATCGAACACTGAAAATCGACCCGTGCCGCCGCTGCTATCGCGCCGAGTCCAGTCCAGGCGAGCTCTCCGTCTCCGTGATAGCAGGCAGAACCTGCTCCGGCGGGCCAGTGGAGTCCGCCGTAGTCAGCACCCTCGGGCTCAGCGCATTGCCCGCCGCATCGGCCCCGACCTCCTCCCGCTTCTCACTCTCCGGCATTTCAGCAGGCGTCTTCATCAAGCCCGAGATGAACTTGACGAAGCGCTCGCCGTAGCGCACGGGCGGGATGGCGGAGATCTGCCCCTCGTGCCCACCCATGCCCTTCCAGAAGTGCTCTGCTTTCTTCAGCGTGCTATACCGCGTCAAGCAGTCGATGATTCCGAGGTAGTAGATGGTGGCGCCGGGGTGGTTGTCGGCGTTGGTGGCGCGGAAGCCGCCGTCTTCGCGGTAGAAGTAGCCTTTTCGCCGCATCGCGTCGTCTTCTGGCATCAGCGCCGTTGCTGCGTCGAGGGGCGTGGGCCGTTCTTTCTTCACGCTTTCGCGCAGCTCGCGTACTCTTCTTGCGTGCTCGATTTTGCTCGGGGTGCGGGTGAGGACGCCGGGTGTTGTCGGTGTCTGTTGTTGCTCGTCGTGTTTGTCGCCACCCGGTTGGAAGACTTGGAGTGTTTTGTCGCGGAGATTGTCCTCGTTGCCCCGTTGCACATCGTGAATGCCCACGAGGAGGGAGTAGTCCATGATTTTGAGCTGCTGGAGCAATGCCACGTCCTTCTTCAGCTGCGTGATGAAGATTTCTTGTTTTTGCCGCCCGAATTCCAGCTTCAGTCCGCGATTGAGCCAATTAAGGTCCTTGAGGGTGGCACGGGGATTGCTCTTTAATTCACTTTCGTCGTATAACCGGCCAATGGTGCTGCCTTTGAGGTCGTAGGTGCCGTGGATATCGCGATGGGGAGGGAAGAGGTTGTTCATAACGACAAAGTGGATCTTCTTGCCGTAGGGGAGTTTCACTCTATGCAACCCGTAGAATTGGGAGAGGAGGGTGTTGGGGTTGCTGCGGACGTGTTCGTAGTACTGCTTGAGGATGCGCCGGAGGAATTTGTGCTCGCCGCGGTGGATGGTCTTGATGATGTACTTGTAGTCGCGTGAGAAGTAGAAGAAGCTGCCGCTCTTACCCGGCGAGCCCAACTCGGAAAGGATGTATTTGGAGGTGAGGGACATGAGGTACTCCGCCGGATCGATGCCAAAGCTCGCTCGCAAGCGTCGGAAAACCCAAGGGGCATAATCCTTGAATTTAAAGTCGTACCGCGCCGACGGCGTCAGTTCATTCCCGGTGATATCGAAGGAGAACTTGTGCTTCTGGGTGAAGTCGTCGTCGGTGAGGTTGCGGTCGGGTTTGGCATTGGTGCGGGAGACGGTGAAGCGGATGCCGGTGAGCATGTTATACGCCGTGACATAGTTCTCGTGCCCCTCGTCCACCTTGGTGCCGACGAGCACGCGGTCCTCCTCTTCCGTATCCGCTCGTCTTCGCGAGGAGCGCTTGGCCTTGATATGCTCGCTCCACCGCTGGGCATCCTCATCTTCGGGCACGTAATCGAGGGAAACGGTACGTCGCGCGGCTTGAAGGGATGTCCGCCGTCGCGTGGGAGTCGCCGGCATCGTCGGGGCGGGGTAGAGGGAGGGGCCATTGGTCTGCAACGAAGGCAGCGGAGTGACGGGATAGTGGGAGGGCCCATTCGCGGGGGTCGGAGGCTTCAGGAGAGGGGAGGTAGGCGTGCCATTAACGGCCTTGCCATTCTGCACCGTCGCGCTCTGACCTTGCACGACGGTGGTGACCATCATCATCTTGACCTTGGGACAGGCATCCACTGTCCTCGCGGTCGGGGAGAGTGGTGAAAAAATGATTCAAGGGATTGGAAGCAGACGTCTGGCCGAGTGGGTGATGGCGTCGCGGCCCTTGGGTCACGTCCTAACTAAGCAGAAGGCTTGGCGGCGCGGCTCGGGCGAGGGAAGGGCCGGGCGAGTGCACAATCTGAATGATTCCAAGCACCCTGCACCATGTCTGCCTTACAGCGTTACGATGCCAAAGCAGTGACAAATGTGCTATCTCATCTACCATGCCCAGCCGAACATCTCCAGTCGGCAGCTTGATGTCGGATCAGTGCTGCACAGCAGTGGCCTTCGTCATCGCTGCGCGTGTCACCAGCCTCTACCAAGCCCATTACGCAAGCCTCGTGCATTTTACGCTCTGGAAATTTTCTGGCCGTACCGCTGTACACCCCAAGGGTCTTCTGTTCATTTAGGGAGACTTCACGTGCCCAAATACCCAATCAGGCCTCTCATTCCTCTCCCTCGTCAACCCTGTCCATTCCTTCAGCCTGCCCATTCCCTTCCTGCGGCTGTCGAATCTCTTGCTTCCTGTACAGACTCGCAAGAAACTCATTGGTACTCGCCTCGTCAATCCCTTTGTCCTCCCTCACTTTCAAAAATCGTGGGAATCTCATGCTCAGTCCCCTCTCCTCGCTCACCAACCCAATGGCGGCAGTGTACGTCGGACTCAGCGTGATGTCCGCAAATGCCATTTCCCACACCTCCTGCGGTTCAAACCACACATCTGGCTCACCGCCGTACTCCACATACGACGGCCGAGAGATGGTGTTCGGCCCGTCTTGGCTGTACTTCTCCTTATTGGCCTTGTAGAAGGCGTCGGTGAAGCCGCTGATGCATTTCGTCACCACTTCGAGACTCCCGTCTTCGGGGTTCCGGCAGGCAAGTAATATCGGCGACCACCATGCATTCTTACGCCCTTGGCCGTGCCAGGCACCGACGGGGATCAGATCGATGGTGTCGAATGATGCCGAGTTGTAATCCTTCTTCACCTTCAGCCAGGAGTCGAGGCGTTTGTCGGGTTCGTAAGTGGAGAGTAAGGCTTTGCGACGCCCGCCTTTCTTCTCTACTTCCGCATCATCTGTCGTGTCCTCACTGGCCGCTGCTGCCGCTGCCTTCTTGGTTTTGGGTTTCGTCTTCTTTGCTTTGGACGGAGTCACGGGTTTCGCTGACGACGCTGGGTCTACCGCAGCTTCGACGGCGAGTTCGGGATTCGGCAGATTGTCAAGCACTTTCACCATGATGCCCTCGCACTTGATATCAGTCGCTTGTCTGAAGAAACCACTGACCGTGTCCAGATCCGAAGAAGTGGCATCGATGCTCTTGACCCAAGTGAAGTGGTTCGGGAGCTCGATGAACAGGCTTCGTAGCAGACTTCGTCGCTCTCGAAAAGGCCGGTCGAGCAGTTCTTCGCCATTGAGGTACATCAAATCGAAGGCAAACAGACAAACGTCCACCTTGACCGACTGGATCACCACGTCCTTTCTCGCGCGATTGGCCAGGATCTGGAACGGCTTGAAATCCCCCGTCTCTCGGTCTACGGCCACGACTTCTCCCTCGAGAATGAAACTGCTCACGCCTTCCCCTCGAATCTTCGGCACCAAAGCCACCAGGTCGGGATACTTGTCCGTCATGACTTCCAGGTGTCGAGAGAATATCGTCACTTTCCCCTTCTCGTCGCAATGCACTTGGGCGCGCTGGCCGTCGTACTTGAATTCGCACGCAAAGTCTCGCCCCTCCAGCTTGGTGAGCATCTCTCCGAGATCTCTCGTGATCCCGCCAAGCATAGGTCGTAGGGGAATGTGTAGAGCCAGACCGCAGCGCAGCAGGAGCTCGTCCGCAACCCCGATCTCGAGTAGAGTCGGGACCAGGTCGTTGTAGTTCGGTCGCCGGGCGAAACTGGCTTTGACGAGTTCTTCGCCGTGCGAATAGACTTCTGCAAGCTCCTGCTTGCTAAGCTTCGCCAGTTCGGACTGTGGTGTCGTCGAGAACTCAGCACCGGGCGGGCGCGATAGCAGAAATGCACGAGATAGTGCGATGAGCATGGTCGTCTTCACCGCGCCGATGCGGAGATGCTGCACCAGCGTGCGCACGATATACCTGCTCTCCTCCGCACCCCTCGCATCCTGAATCAATCTCTCCACAATCCGCTGTTTGACCTCCTGGCATCCGTGCCCTTTGGCATTGGCGATTTTGAGCAAACAGTCGAACACGCTTTTGATCGTGAGTGGTTTGGGTTTCCGCAGAGTCAGACTTTGCCGCTTCTTGGCTTCAAAGGCAACGTCGCCCGCGTCTCCATGCTTGTTGTAGAGAGTCTTCAAGCCCGCATTATCGAGGCCGCAGACCTTTTTGAGACCTTTGCTGATCGCCGATCCGCCTAAGCCGAGCTCAATATCGATGTATGGCGGTGAGATGGAATTCGTAGCCAGCCAGACAGCAGGCAGGAGCGAATCAGGATCGCCTTCGATGATCGTCCGTAGTAGATTGACCAATGTGTCGACAATCTTGATACGGGACTGAGTGCTGTTCACCAACACAAAGCAGTGGGTGAGAAGGGCGTAAGTAGCACTTCCGCCTTCCGGAGCCCACTGCTTCTTCAGCTCGGGTATGTACTTCTGCGGATCGAACGTTAAAGGTGATTCATCGAACGGAATGGCGTGGGTAACGGTGTCTTCATCTGCTGTTGCCGACTGCAAAGATAACGTGGTCTTCTTCCCGAGCGCCGAGAAAGCGTTTCCGACTGGCGTTGATTCCACTGGCTTCGGGAGATCACCATCATGCTGCAAATCCGACCCGTTTGGTATGGGTTCCTCACACTTGTTAGAATGGCGGTCAGCCTCCGTGGCCAGTCCTTCCGCGTCAGCTTCGTTGCCTGCGGCATCAGCTTCAAGCCTGTCACCTGAACTGCCATTCTCCGCATCGTACTCCGCTTGCAACTTTCTTGCAAGCTGTTCGTCGGTCAGTACTGCTTCATCATCCGTCCCATCATCCTTGCTGCCGTTACGTGTGTGGTTCACGGCGTTCGATGAAGTTGGCAATACGGCTTTTGCCTCCTCCTGCGCTTTCTGTTTTCCGAAGAAGTAAGCCAGAGAACGGACGGGCTGCGGGGAAGGCTGATGGTCGTTCTTTTTGCGACGCTTGTTGGGCGTGCTCATCATGTCGTCGTGATTAGATTCCAGTCATAGTATCGCCGTGACGATCAGTCTTCTGTGAGACGCGTTCGCGCGTTCAGATACGAATCGATGTCGTCATTCAAGGTCGTTCTGGCGGCTGCGATCAACTCCCACCCAGCGAATGTGAGCACCACCAGGTCGAGCAGATCGATGGAAACCCCGTCCAGCGCCACGAACCCTGCAGTTATGGGAGAGGCACAAGTAAGGAATTGTTTGTCGAGTGCAAGCACGGAAGTGTCGTGGCGGCAAGCCTCATTGCTGTGAATTAAGGTTTGCGACCATGAATCTTAATTGCAAGGACGAGGTTTCACGAATAGGTATTTGAAACGACTTTGGGCCTTGAGATTCAACAACACATCAGTCAAAAGCTACACAAGAAACTGCATCCGCCCAGCATGGGCGCGGCTGGAACCGATCAGCCCAAGGGCGCTCATCACTACTACTCAGCCGACGAAGTGCCGTTCGCCATATCCAAATATTGGCACCAACGCTACAATATCTTCTCGAAATACGACGACGGCATCTGGATGACAGACGACGCCTGGTTCGGCGTGACGCCGGAGCCCGTCGCACAAAAGATTGCAGAACACGTTGCCACAGCTCCCGAATCCAAGACGGTCCTCATTGATGCCTTTGCGGGAGCGGGCGGCAATACTATCGCTTTTGCACTGTCCGGCCGATGGAAGCAAATTTTCGCGTGCGAAAAGGATCCGCAGGTGCTTGCTTGCGCTAAGCATAATGCTGAAGTGTATGGTGTGGCTAAGAAGATTTGGTGGATCCAAGGAGACGTCTTCAATGCGTTGTCGAAGCAATTGAAGGGCTTGGCGAAGGACGCGGTGGTGTTTGGGAGTCCGCCGTGGGGTGGTGAGTAGTAAATCACGCTCGGCACAAGGATGTAGCTGATGTTTACGCAGGACCGACGTATGCGGACTACGAAGTCTTCGATCTGGCTCACATGCAGCCGTATTCACTCGACAAGCTCTACACCTCTTTCTCCGGCCCAGCGAGCCATGTGGTCCTCTACTTGCCGCGCACTTCGGATCTGAGACAACTGGTCAAGCTGGCGGAAGACGATGATAAGCTCAAAGTCACTCATTACTGCATGCATGGAGCTAGCAAAGCGCTGTGCGTCTTTTTCGGCGACTTCGAGCTGGATTGAGCGGGTATCTGTCGTGAGGCATTTCAAAATCGCGCATGGTCGCGTAGCCCGCCACACTATCAAGCGCGGGCACTTCAATTAAAGGACAGTGATGACATTCTTCCCAGCAGCGCTGAAATTCAGCATCACTTACTTGGATGGTGGGATGCATCGTCGACCACCTGAGCAAAGGCCTGCGACATACACGCATAGCTCCACTTTGGTGGGAGACAATAGCCAACGACAAGACTACACCTCCGACACAGCGATGGAAGCTGAGGTGTAAAAACCACGGGGAACGAAGGTGGTCAGGTGATGGGCAATCGCAGTCTCTCCACTAGGTATTTTAGGCCTGCACATCAACCGTATCCAACGCCTGCACAACTTGTGCCCAGTCCGCATCCGTATACGCACCCGGGACACTAGGCCCATCAAACAACGACGCCAGGATCACCCTGTCCGACTGCTCTCCCTCCCACGGCTGCCGCCCATGCTGAGCAATAACATTGTCGTACACCAACACATCTCCCTCTTGCCACTTATGCAGCACACGAATCTCATCCGTAATCTTCGCCAGGTGCTCCAAATACCGCTCGGGAATCGGGGTGCCGTCACCATACAGCTGCGTAACGGCTTTTGCCCGCGCCCCGGGATTCACCTGCGCGTTGCGGAAATATGCAGCCAGTGCGGTAAATAGAGTGGGGAGGTTAGAATGCGGCTGCGTGCGAATGGCCGGCAGTCGGTGCGTGAGGAGTACGCCCTCATCCGTCCACTCCCAAGTCGTGTGTTTTCCGCGGCCGTACCGCAGAATCTGCGCTTCCATCTTCCTCCGCTGCGTCGCCACGTCGTCGCCGTCTTGGACCTCTCTACCAAAAGCTTGCTTCAGCGTCGAACCGCCGGCATATTGCTTCTCGAATTTGTACGTCACTTTAGACAGGATGCCCTTCTCCGCCAGCTCGGCGACGAACTCTGGGATTTCCTGCTGGGCGCGATGGAAGAGTTCGACACTGCTGGAGATGGGCGTCTCGCCTCCTTTCAGCGGTGCCTTGTGGCAGTAGAAGAAAATGTACTCCGGCGCGTGCGGCACCTGCGGGCTTTCGTTGTGGTTGTAGATCAGCACTTCCTTGGGGGCTTCGTTGGCGGGCGCGACGTTGGGCGCTAGCATTGGGCGATTGACGACGATGCCGATGATTTCATGCGGCCGGTAGCCAAAGGCGTGTGCGAACTGGCTGAATTCTTCTGCATTCTTGATTGGGAGGCCGCGGAAGAGTAAGGTACCGTGTTGAGCGAGGAGATTGGTTAGGACGCCACCTTGGGCTTGCAGGCTCTGGATGCTTTCGACTGCGGTCTCTAGTTTTATTTCATCTTGGGATGTTGCGCGGAGGGCCAGCGGGATTACGGTGTCGTCTTTATGAGGTGGTCCCAAGCGTCGCTGGTTCGTTGTGGGCAAGTCGAACTGCTCGAAAGAAAGGCTGGATGGGGAGGCGTTGCCGTCCAGCTTGAGCGAAGCGGCCGAGCCGGCTTGCAAAGTGGCAGCCATGGTGTCTCTAGAGCTGTGCGAGATGTATCGTGAGGTTGTTTGGAGTATTGATTGTTCTTCTCTCCTTCTGATAAGAGTGGATGTCCTGAACGATAGCCGTGAGGTTCGGCACAGCTTTGCCCGAGGCTGCTTTGCGATGTGCAGGGTTTCGAGCACGCAACAGTCGGATCCTTGGTCAATGTCAGCTCTCAGTAACTCGCTGGTAAGCAATTCATAGATAGCCTCGGTCTAGGAGGACGTTCAACGTAGAGGGCATGCAGCATGTCAAGCCGAGTTTGCCGCACGTTGAGGTTGGCACGCTTGGCCAACGTGGAAACCCGCAGACAGGTGCATGGCTTGGTGATCATCGCGCAATTGATCGACGGTGTTGCGTGCGATTGACGCAACAGATATGGATACGACAGTCTTGACAACATTTTGATATATGATGGCACACGCACATTCCAACAACTCATGTGCAGTATTGTGAGCGAGTCTGGAAGATTCGTTTGAGATTAGAACGCTCGAGAGGCAGTGTCTTCAGCAGACTTGCTCACGCCGCACCCCAACTATGGGTATCGAATCCAAGGACAGCGGCAGTCTCTCGACCAAAGAGATCAACGAAGATGGAATTCCGCCATCACTCACCGAGGACAATGGCAGGCCTCCAGTCCGATTCTACCGCCGCACCCTCTTCCAGATCCTCGTCGTTGGCATGTGCGCTTTCACCGCACCAGGAATCTGGTCTGCCATGAATGGGCTCGGCGTTGGAGGGTCCGCGTCTCCCGACCTTGTGAATGCTGCGAATGCGATCCTCTACGCCTTCATGACCATCACCTGCTTTTTGGGACCTTGGCTCACCAATCTCATCGGATTCAAATGGACTCTGGCGGTGGGAACGCTGGGCTATCCTCTCTACGCCGCCGGGCTGTACACCAACAACCGATATGGAAACATTTGGTTCGTTTACGTCGGAGCGGTGGCCTGCGGGATCAGTGCCGGCTTCTTCTGGAGCGTGGAGGGCGCCATCGCCACCGGGTATCCCGAGCAGCATAAACGCGGGCGGTACATTGCCACTTGGTTCACGTTCCGCAACATGGGCAATCTCATCGGCGGCTCGATCTCGTTGGCGATCAACGTGGACAATGCGGAGAAGGGCCAGGTCGGGTATGGGACGTATTTGGCCTTCATCGCCATTCAATGCCTCGGATTCTTCTTCGGGCTGCTGTTGTCGAATCCCGAGAAGGTGGTGCGCGATGACGGAACAAAGATCGAGGCACCTAGGGGGATTAATGCCAAAACGGAGTTGAAGGCGATTTGGAAGCTGCTGACGAGCAAGAGTATCTTGCTGTTGGCGCCGTTGTTCTGGTACTTTGGCTGGATCCAGGCGTATCCCGGGACATACCTGGCCACGTACTTTACCGTGCGCTCGCGCGCTCTGGGCAGCTTCATGTACGCGATCATGGGCACGCTGGCGACATGGCTCGGCGGCACTCTTGTGGATGTTCGCTGGGCTAAGAGTCGGAAGGTGCGTGCTATAACGACCTACAGCGTCATCGTCGCTCTCAATTCGGCCACATGGATATGGGCGGTGATCATCCAGAACCGCTATCGCTTCACCAAGCCGACGTTGGACTGGGCGGATCAAAGCACCTTCGGCGCGGGCTTCGGGCTCTACATGTTCGAACGGCTGTCGCTCGGGATTGTTGAGAATTACATCTATTGGTGCATCGGGAACCTGTCGGACTCGCCGGGTGACCAGATCCGGTACAGCTCTTTGCTGAGGGGGATTGAGACGGCGAGTGTTGCAGTCAGCTTTGGCGTGCAGGCGGTCCCGACTGCGCTGATCATTACGGCGTCGATCAACTTTGCGTTCTGGTTCATCGCGCTGCCGTTCAGTTACTATGCCACTCTGCGCGTGGTGCGGAAGTTTGACGAGATAGAAAGAAACGCGAAATAGGAGGGGTATGAGTATGAAATAGGGATAGAATAGATGCAACGTACATCGTTGGCGTATCTCCGAGTCCGGCATGGCCAGGCTGAAGGCGTAGGCTGAGACATTCGATTCACTTGCCAAGATGATTAATCACATGCTGCAGTCACGAGACTGGTCGAGACGTGTCCCGATTTAGAAGTTGTGCTAAGCGAAGCCTTGGAAGAGTGAGGTGAAGTCAGTCCACGGACGAGGCCGTGGAGGGAAAGAGCTTGGGAGGGCGGCGGAAACGAGATGGGCGGACGGGGAAGGCGCGCGCGCCCGGCGGAGCCCCGAACAGCGAATCAATGTTTTGGTTCGCGGCGAAAGCGGTTAGCGCGGACGCGGGAGAGCTCGTGATTAGCTTGGGGAAGCGCAGGTCAGTGCGTTGTATAAAGAGTCGAGGACCCCTCCTTCCACGCGCGCAAGAGCCGCGCATTCAAAACATTCCCATTCCTCTCCGCCCTCTCCACTACCGCAGTCCATTGTTACCGCGCCCATCCGCGTGCATCCCAGACCTTCCGTCCATCCATCCATTCACCCACCGTCACCATGCCTCCCAAGAAAGCCACCACCACCAAGAAGGCGCCTAGCACGTCGTCCCACCCGCCCTACCTAGGTCAGTCTATCGTCGAAGCCGTCGCCGACGGCATCGCCTCGTCCACCCGTGGGGCTGCCTGTCCCGTGCTTCCAACAGAGTATCGGGCTAACTCTTCTCCCCCACAGACATGATCAAGGAGGCCGTTGTTGGCGTAAGTCACCGTTCCAATCCATCCGAAGCTCGCCGGCTCGAAATCGCGACGAGTGGGCTTCGCTTTGCGCCGGAAGCTCTTCTGCCTTCCCCAACGCGCTCCAACCATTGAAACTGTTGCTGACGTGTCGCGTACTGTAGTTGAAAGAAAAGGGTGGCTCCAGGTACGTTTCCACCGCTCACCTCGCCGTCGCGACATGCCTTCTTACCAAGGCTTACCGCCTCCGCTTGTTTTGATCTTTTGCTGACGCGTCGGTCACTCCCACAGCCGCCAGGCCCTCAAGAAATACGTGCAGGCCAACAACGACCTGAAGGGCGTCACCGATGCTGCTTTCACCACCCAATTCAACAAGGCGCTCCAGAAGGGCTCTGACAACAACGTTTTCACGCGCCCGAAAGGTACGATTCCCCGAACGATAGTTACAACTTCCCCCTCCTCTCCCGCTCGTCCCAACTGCATGCGGCGGTAGTCCACGTCGCTGCGAGTATCCTCATCGTCGAAATTTACAATTCACGTCGTCGCCTCCAACTTCCATACTGACCTCACCGCCCCTTACAGGCGCATCCGGCCCCGTGAAGCTCGCAGCCCCCAGCAGCTCGGCCAAGGCTAAGCCCGCCGCGAAGAAGGCGACCACCGCCGCAGCCAAGCCCAAGGTGGCTAAGCCGAAGGCCGCCGCCACCAAGAAGACCGCTGTCAAGAAGGCTGCCCCCAAGAAGACTGCCGCAGCGAAGAAGGCCCCGGCGGCCAAGAAGGCGGCACCGAAGAGCAAGGCCAACACCACCAAGGTCCGCAAGACGCCCGCTGCCGTATGTGCTCCTCGTCGACATCGAATCACCTCGTCCATGCTAACCTGCTCATCCAGGCCCCGGCAGTCGCTGAAGAGAAGGCCCCTGTCGTCCTCGGCAAGACCAAGTCCGGCCGCGTGACCAAGTCCAAGGCACCGGCAGCAGCCAAGGCCACCGCGACGAAGCGAAAGGCACCGGCGAAGAAGGCGGCGCCCAAGAAGGCATAAGCGCGTCGCCGCTTGTCCTTCTTTGTTGCTCTTTCTTCACCCCTGATTGTCGCCCGCAACGATGTTTCCGACTGTACGGTAGGCGCGTTGGCGAATGGTGTCCGACGAACTTTGGGGAACAACCATGTGATACTCCCGACCTGCACCGGCGACACGTCATGGCTGGGGATGGGTTTGTGCGGTAATGGTTGTTCCTGTGGGCGCGTGCGCGCGCGCGTCGCAATGCGCCCTCTCTTCCCCCTCTCTCTCTCTCTCGATACCTCTCTTCTGTTTCCTCGGGGGCGTTCTGGAGATTTGCAGATACCGGATGGATGGGATGCAGGGGATGGAGGCGTGGATGTCACCATGTTCGCAGAGTAGTACATAGGTTGACATGAATGTACTTGAACCATGGGCTGTTTCTGTTTGAATATGCGTGTCACTTGTAGGCCATTTGAACTCCTATCACTTCTAGTTCTACGTTTCATGCTTTTCTTCGTGAAAAGTTGCGAGCCCACAAGTCGAATCAGAATCGCTCCATTGCACGTCTTTGACTGCCGTCGGATCAACAAACACCAGGGTTAGGGTTGAGGTACACAAGCAAGGCTGCCACGCCCGTCAACAAGGCTCTCCAACCCTTCCATCCACCACTCTACTTCTTCACATTCCGCGGCGCACTCCTCCCCGCCGACTTCCACCTTTCCACATGCAACAACGCATCATCTAACCCCTCAATCGGAAAAAAGCCCGGCAACTTCTTAATCCGCTCAATCCAAGCCAGCACATTCGGGTACGGCTGCAGACTAATATCGCCCATCTCCGCCAGCGCAATGTACACAAACACGCTAATGTCGGCGATGGTCGGGCGCCCTAGGACGAGCCAGTCGTTCTTATCCAGTTGTTTGTTCAGCACTTTGAGCGAGTAGTTGCCGCGCAGCTCGCCTTCTTCGAGGAAGACGTCGAGTTTTTCTTGCGGCCATTGTTGGTTGTTGTCTAGGCCGTTGTAGGGGCCGTTGTACGAGAGGATGGCGCGGTTGGTGAAGACGCCGTATTGCACCCAGCTGTTGGCGAAGGAGAGCTGGGGAGAAATGTCAGTGGATTCGTTTATGTTGTCGCGGTGAAAGATGATGCCCAACCCAGTCGATTATCTGCGCCTGCTCGTACAAATCACTCGACCAGTACGACGACGGCCCATTCTGCTTCCCGCCGTCGCCCCATTTGCCCGCCAGCCAGGTCAAAATGGAACTCGAGTCGGCGAACATTTTGTCCCCGTCTACGAGGCATGGGACTTCGCCGCGAGGATTGATGGCGAGGAATGTCGGCTGGTGCTGCTCGTCGGCTAGGAAGTCGAGTTCGACGTGCTGCAGCTTGATGCCGAGCAGGGCTTCGAGCAGGCGCACTTTGTAGCTGTTGCCCGAGCCGATGAAGGTGTAGAGGGTTCCTGCTGACATGGTGGAGGATGGGGGAGATGCTTTTGGATACTCTTCTCTTGGGACTGGGGGACTTCTTTTAATGTCGCGCTCACTCGTAGCGCTGACTCGTAGCGCTGACACGTCTGCTTGGTGCTGGTCACGCCATATTATAGCTGTTTAGCAACATGGTTTGCGTGTGGGAGCAGAGTTCAGTGGGGTGAAGGTTGTTTGGGTTGCCATGGCCGCGACAAATACGCGATAATGATGCAGCTCGACGACATGCAAGCCACTCGCAGTAGGTGTATCCGACAAATCGACAGTTTGATGAGCACGTCACATGATATGCCTCTACCCGCGACGCCAATGTTCTATAATCTATCCATTGCGAACAACATGGGTATCATCTATGTCCGAACCAAATGAAAAGACGCCATCGCTATGCCCGTGCAAACAGGACATTACCGCTTTCCCTTTCCCTTCTTCCCCTTCCCTCCGCCCCCTGCAGGAGCAGCCTTTAGCGCCTCATGCCCGTGGTCTTTGATATGCTGGAACAGCCTCGTTCGAGACGGAAAAGCCGCATTACACGAAGCGCACCTGTGTGTGTCCTCGCTGGCGGCAGCGGCGGCAGCAGCGGCAGCTCTTTTGGCTCGCTTCTGCGCTGCTTTGCCCATTTTGGGCTGCGTTGATTGGGGACCGGTCTCTTCATCGTCGTCGTCGTTATCTGGTGTCGTAGACTGGGGGGTGTCGAGGGTCGTGGCTGCCAGGCGGGAGCGGATGGTTTCTGGAGATGCGTAGTCGGAATCTTCAGAGGCTTCGTCTGATGCCGAGTGTTCTGACTCCGCCTTTGGTGTTTGCGTGTCTTCTTGCGAGAGTGGCGGCTCATCAGCGCTCACTGCTTCCGAAGCGTCCTCTACCTCCTGCGCATGGCCATTTGTCGCCGCTTCGTGGTCTTCGACCTCAGCAGCCACATCATCCAACACCTCTTCCTCTTCCACCACCTCCTCCTCCACATCCGGGGTCGCAAAACCGCTGCTCATCTGGCTATCATCCAGATCCAAGTGGGCATTCTCCTTCCGCATCTTCTTCCGCAAAGCGTATATGGCCTTCTGATGCTTCTTGCTCCTCTCATGAGCCTCGTATTGCTTCTCGCTTTTGAAGGTCTTGTTGCACGCCACGCACTCTAATATCTCCTCCACGACTTCCTCCTCCTCGCTCTCCTCCAATTCCTCCGCATCCCGCGTTTTAGTCCACTCCGGGACTTCCTGATTCATCTTCTCTTGATTGGCGGCTCGAGCGCGGGCAGCCTGGGAGGCAGCAGCATCGCGCAGAATCTTCTGTCTCTCCGCCTCGGATTGGGTGGAGGGCACATAGCGGGGATCTCGCTTTCTGACGAACGCCACGAAAGATCTGACGGCGTCGTTGAACTCCCGAATGCCTTCCTTCCGACAAGCTTTGTTCTCTTGCTCCATGCGCCGACGGTACCATCGATCAGGCGCTTCCGAGAGCCGGTACTTGTCTTTCCACGCGAAGCTCTTGATCGTTGAGAAGTTCAGCCAAGCGGAGTAGAATCTTTTCACGACATCATCGTATTCGTCGTCTTTGTGGCCGAAGGTAGGATAGTCGGGCACTTCTAGATTGTCCCAATCCGCAGCAACCTCCTCTTCCCGTGCCAGATGATCGAAAGTCTCGCGAAGGAAGCCAAAGAAGCCGGACGGGGAGTCGGTGAACTCGACGTTGGAATTAAACTTGCGGACCAAGCGCGCCAGGTCGTCGGCGGTGGTGAGCTTCACATTCTGGTAGGTGGGAGCATCGTCCGCGCCGCCGGCCGCAGCGTCATCGCCGCGCAGGATAGCGCTTTCATGACTGTCGTACCACGCGCGCTCCTGCGGGTCGGAGAGGACCTCGTAGGCAGCCTGGATCTCGGCGAAGGTGGACGTGGCCTGTTCTTCTCGACCGTAGTTGCGATCGGGATGGAGTTCGAGGGCTTTGCGGCGATAGGCCTTTTTGATCTCCTCCTCCGTCGCCTGGCGATGCACATCCAGCAGTTCGTAGTAACTCGTCTTGACCACCTGCTCGCTGCCACCGCCGCCGCCCCCATCCTTGCCAGAAGACTGGCCTGCACCCATGATGCCAGTGCATCCAACGGAGGGTGAGAATAGAGTTTGGTCTTCCCGTGTGCGTTCCTGGAGAGTTCGGCGTTCCCACCGACAGACACGAGACTGGATGCAGCCCCAATCACGTAATCGACTGCCACGTGACGGCGCAGAAATTCAAGCATCGCCTGCCCCGGAAAATCCCCCAGCGGAACCAACGGAAAAAGCGAAAGCAAAAAGGCGCAAAGCGAGGGCGAGACTCGTGCTAAACTTGTTGCTAATTTCGCCAGGGCGGCGGTCGCGCGCGCGCCATGCACCAGCCAACCAGCATCTCTTCACATGCACGATGTCTGCCGTGCAGCAAATAGGAAGATTCTTCACCCGCGGCGCATTGGGAGGGAGCAACACGCCAAACGGCCAGACCGAGACTCGCAGATGCAAGGCCGTCTTCGGCGTCGGATGACTCGCCGAGCATGATTCCATCCTCTTCTTCTGCTTCCCTGTCCATCTCTTCTCTCTTCTCCTTCTAGAATCGTCGCACTGGCGCGAAGAGATTTCGTATAGAAAGGCTGCCAACGGACGAACGAAACATCACCACCAGCAATACCCACGCCACGCCTTCCCACCTCCCACAGCCTACATGACCTCGACCACCCCACCACCACCTCCACCCCACCGACACGATGAAATTCGGGCAGGAGTTCCAAAAGGCGCTCGCCAGCACAGAGTTCCCTGAGGAGTGGCGGGGCAGCGCCATCGACTACAAACATCTGAAGAAATGCATCAAGAAAATCAACACCGAATTGGAGAGCATAGGGCTGGATGGCGAAACGCTGCACCACCTCAGCGAATGGATGAGTCCCGCCGACTCCATCCAGACCGTGGCTGGGCAAGATGGCAAGGGATACTATAGCGCTGCTACGCCGTCGCTCGCTGCGGTCCCAGAGGAGTTCACGCCGCAGTTGCGCATCCTGGTCGATAGCAAGACGGGCACGCCGCTGGATGCCACTCTTGCGCCGGAGACGAGAGAGTCGCTGCAGAAGCTCGCAAAGCACGAAATGGCCGCGGCGGGGCGACGAGAACACGTGGGCAGTGTGAAGCGCCCGCTTGATCGGCTTCGGAGGCGGTCGAGCGACGGCAGTGACATCAGCAACACTCCACCGCGCAACCTGAGCGTCTTCAGCACCGCCACCGAAGACACGGCGCGCAAGCAGAGTGTGTCCCTCGAGGACGCGCGATGGGTGCAAGTCCCGCTCGCCTCGGCCAAGGACTTTTTCGAACTACTCGAGCCGAAACTGCAAGAGCTGGAGACGCTGCGCGAAGCAGAGACGGCGAAGCTGGAAGAGGAGATCTTCGACCTGGGCGAAGCAGTGGAGAATGTCGTGGAACCGGTACGAGAAGGCTTCGAAGCGCGACGCGAAGTCTCCTACCGCGACCTCTACTTCTGGCGCGAGATGTTCCGCCTCTACATGGAAAAGCCCATCTTCTACTCCGAGCACGGGCCGAACGGCGGCGCGCTCACATTTAAAGAGGCGCACAGCCGGCTGGAGGACTACGACATGCGCATCCGCTCCACAGGACTGCTGGAAAAGATGCGCACGCCCGAGGCGCGGCAAGCGGCGAAGCGCTTCCTCGACCTGAACGTCGACATTCTCAAAATCATGCACTTCCAGGAGATGAATGCGCGCGCGATGACAAAGATCCTCAAGAAGTTCGACAAGCAGACGCGGCTCGAGGGCCGTGCTTTCCTTCGTAACCTGCGTACCCAATACCCTGCCCTCCTCACCAATGGTCGCACCGGCACTGGCGGCGGATCGACCTCCCCCGGCGGCTTCGCGAGCTCCATCGCGCGGGATCTCAACGCCGAGCTGGCGACAAAGGTGCTAGGCATTGTACCACAAGTGGAAGACTGGAACTGCCCGGTGTGCTACGCCATGGCCTGGCGGCCGGTGAATCTAGGCTGCTGTACATCCGTCTTCTGCATCAACTGCATTATCAAGCTGCAAGAGGAAGGCGTGGAGAGGTGTCCGGTGTGCGACAAAGAAACCGTCCTCCAGGCAAACGGGCGCAACATCGATTTCGAAGCAATGGACTTTATGGAAAAGTACTTCCCCCTTGAGGCGAAGAAGCGGCAGAAGTTCCACGACCGCGCTGCGAAGATGGCCGAGAGGGGCGGCGGCGGCGGCAAGCATGAGGAGGAGAAGGAGAAGATTCCATGTCGGACGATGTGATGCGATCTGTTCATGTTGTTTTTTTTTGGTGCCGCGTGGCGTTTGCGATTCGATGATACCCCCATACCCCACCTTTTCCTCTCATCTGCACGGCGGGTTTTGGAGTGAGGCGTTGATGCGCGTGAGGCGGAGGTGATGCAACCCCGCATACGTCAGGTGGATTTCTTCTTTCATCATTGCACTGCACTGCACTTGACTCTAGGTAGATACTAAGGTAGACATCTACAACTTTTCGCTTACCCCTACACTCCACTCTACTTTCCATCTCTTATTTCGTCTGCTCAACGTAATCCAACTCAGTTACAACTACAACATGGGCTCCCACCCCGACGCCGACCTGCACCCGGTCGCCACCGGCCCGGCGAAGACAATCGTCGACGCACATCAAAAGGAGGAAGGCCTCAAGCTCTACTCTGGCTGGTTGTGAGTCGTCAACCAATACGAATGATCCACTCATACCTCTCATTCAACCGCTAACCGCCAACTGTATCCTAGCTGCCCCTTCGTGCAACGCGCGTGGACAGTGCTGGAAGAGAAACACATACCGTATCAGTACATCGAGGTACGTCGGAATCTTTAAAGAAGCCACGATTTCAATACCAAACGGAAATCCCACAGGTAAACCCATACAACAAAGGCCCGGACCTCCTCTCCCTCAACCCCCGCGGCCTCGTGCCCACGCTGCAATACAACGCCAAACCCCTCTTCGAAAGCACCGTCATCTGCGACTTCCTCGAAGACGCCTATCCCACCCACGGCCCCTCCCTCTTCCCTGCAGACCCCTTCGATCGCGCGCGCATGAAAATCTGGCAAGACTACTGCACATCGCGCATCATCCCTGCTTTCCACCGCTTCCTGCAATGGCAGCCTATGAGCGACAAGGAAGGGCTGGAGCGGGTAAGGAAGGAGTTTGTCGAGGCGTGGAGGGTGTGGAGTGCGGAGATGGAGGAGGGAGAGGGCCCGTTTTTCATGGGCAAGGAGCCGATGATGATTGATTTTGTCGTGGCGCCTTGGGCGGTGTGTCCTCTTTTTCCCACCTAATCTTCCTCCACGCGATTGCTAACGAGATGGGTTAGGTGCGCTTGTGGGTTTTTGACCACTTCAAGGAAGGCCTGGGGATCCCGGCGGAGGGCAAAGGCGGGGAGCATGAGAAGACGTGGGCGCGGTTTAGAAAGTGGCTCAAGGCGATTGAGGAGCGGCCGAGTGTGAAGAACACGCTGAGTGACAAGGAGCACTACCTGCCCATTTACAACCGCTATCATCTCGACACGGCGCAGTCGGAGATGGCCAAGGCGGTTCGGAAGGGGAGGGGTGTGCCGTAAAGTGATGAATCAAATCTGAGACGAGATCAAGGTTGCAGGCAAAAGAAGTACGAGCTTTTGTGTATTTGTTTCTAACCCTCGGGATACTCGTCCTCGATGTTGCTTACGAATATCGCCTTCTCGTCGTCCCAGCGCTTGAAGTACTTGCCGCCCATCTGCATGAGAATCTCAGTGGGCCGCTCCGACACGAGCTCGATATTCTCCTCGGCCACGTAGCGGGACGTTCGATCCTCTCCGCTGCTCAACAGGTCAGTCTTGAGCACTTTGACGCGATGAGTGAAATGACAGGAACTCACATGACGTTGTAAAACGGCTGCTCCCTGCCTCGCGGCAAATCATCAACACGCATTTGATGGATCCACCTCGGCTCCGCGGCGCATTGGAAGTCCCAGCCCACCACCACCGCTCGGTACCCATACCGCTTATGCTCAAAGTGCTGTCCAATCTTGAACTGCACGCGCGGGGGTCCACTCTTCTCCACCCCGTCCGGCGCAGCGCGCCGTTTAGGCGCTTTGGCATTCCTGTCCGCCTCGCGGGAGATGGTCACCAAACTCAAGAGCCCTTCTTGCTCGCGCTCGTTGATGAACATGGGCAACAGCGTGCTTTCCAGCATGCCGATGTCTTCGGGGAAATGTGTCTGGAAATGGTCGGCGAGGTATGGCAGGCACTGCCGGCGCCGATGCAAAGTCGCCGCCTGATTGTTGTCGCCCAGCACCATCATCGCCCACAGCATGCCGTACCACGCTGCTTCCACGTCCGGCAAGGAGGTGCGGGTAGAGCTAGAGCGGCCGAGGCGGCCCTGCCGTTCGCGCGAGTCCTGCACGGAGTTCATGATGTTGCGGCCGGTGCGGAGCGCGAGTTCGTAGTTGTTGGTTGGGCCGAGGTGGGCGGCGTGTTGGGCGGGAGGGGCGCCCATCTGCGAGAGGCGGAGGGTGAGCTGTTCGCGGGGGACTTCTTCGCTCGAGCGCCAGGGGTCCATGTGCATCATGCTGTCCGGGTCTTCGTCGGTATGCTCGGTGGCGGCTGTGGCGCGGGGCTTTTCTCGCCCGTCTAGGGTCTGATTGGACGGGGCTTCGATGACGGCGTGGACGTGCGAGGGGTAGTTGGATGGTCTGGCGTTGATGCCTAGTCTCCGGGCGACGGCGCAGTAGATGGCGACAGATTGTAAGGGGAGACTGGTATGCGGTTCTTCGAACAGGGCCAAACTGATGAAGTTGTTTCTCAAAGCATGGTAGTCTTCCTCGGTCGGGTTGCCGAGCAGGCGCTGCTCACGCATATACCTCGCCACCTCTATCGCCTTGTTGCGCGTGGAGAGATGTTCAAAGTCGGGGGCGGCGCGAATGGCACGGGCAATGCGATCCAGCTCTTGGTCGATGTCGTGCAAATCGCCCTTCCTACCCGACAACACGAACAAGTCGTAGGCGGCGAGTACTTCCTCCAGCCGCACCATTCGCCTCTCTTGAAGCCGGGTCCATTTCTCCAAAGCAGTCGCGCGGTGGATGCGGCCAAGAACTACATCAGCATAGTACCTCCTCGCCAGCACATCCTCCGCCGAGTCGGGTGTATTCTGGCACAAGTCGAGCATGAGATCCTTAACATCATACCCCAGCCTACAAATCTCCTCTATCCGCTCAATACGCTTTTGCTGTGTGAGAAGCAGCTCATTAAACAGATCGAGAGCCTTTTTGTCGGTGAAGCGACGTTGGTTGTAGAGGTGTCGCCACTTGGTCTGCGCCGGGGGTTGCAGCAGCTTGTCTGCGATTTCGTGGTGTGCCTCCCAGTATTGCCATCCCTGGATGCAGTGGCGGCGCCAGACGAGGTGCTCGTACGCGATTTTGTGCAGGGTTGTGCAGGTGAGGCCGAGGGCGAGGGTGGCGTCGGGGGGGAGGTAGAAGGTGATGGCTTCGACGAGTTCGTCGGGGAGGGCGCTGAGGCGGGGGGTGTCTGATGACATGGTGGTTGGTGGGGTTTGTCAGTGAGTGAGGGTGGGAGGGAAGAGGAGAGGGAGGGAGTGAATGGTGTGGATGGGAGATGAATGGACGACGGCGTGCCAATGACGAGATGTCGTGCGGGCCGCAATTGAGGCCGACGAGGCTCTGGCTTGTTTATTACTTGACGCATATCCGCCTCGACCTCATCGACATGTCTCGAGCCAATGTCCATCTACTCTAAAGGGGGAAGTCTGGAGGTGCTTGTGATACGGTATACTGCCTTGCCCACTACATACGCTCACCGGACACACACCCTCTGCATGCACCATCGACACGTCGTGACCGCCGCGGGCGGAGAAACGTCCGGACTTCGGCGGCAACGGAGTTCCGGGGAAAAAGTAGTTCGTTCGTTTCGCGACAATGACGTCTAAGCCGATACTGAGTCAATAGCTGTCTCCCGGATCCTCCCCTCTTCACCGTCTTTATACATGTTGCCTTAAGCCCTTCCCTCCATCCTCCAACTCATCTCCGTCTTCCCCCTCCAACCCGCTTCTCACTGCGACCATGGGCGACGCCGGCAAGCCCCCGGAGCTCTCGCGCGTCAAATCATACCAAGTAGGCCACGCCCGCCATGCCCCCAGTGGCCAACGGACGAGGAAGGCAAGACTGACATTGGACTGCAGTGGCCCGCGGGACACGTCGCACATCTCACCGACAGCCAGATCACCGCCTTGCAGCGCTTCAAAGACCTCTCCCAAGACAAGGGCTACTACACTCCAGGCGACGGCAGGAGCCCGCCCTCGCACGACGACGAGACGCTGCTGCGCTATCTGCGCGCCCGCAAGTTCGTCTCGCAGGAGGCCTTTGGGCAGTTCAAGGACACGGAGGACTGGCGGAAGGAGAACAAGTTGGACACCCTGTACGAGACCATCGATGTCGAGGAGTACGATGAGACGCGCAGGCTCTACCCGCAGTGGACGGGGCGCAGGGACAAGCGCGGCATCCCGCTGTACGTCTTTGAGATTGCCAATGTCGATGCCAAAGGTATGTCCCGCGTTCACTCATCTTTGTTATCGACGGGGCAATTCTGACCCTCCTCCAGCCGTGTCGGCATACAGCAGCAGCAAAGACCGCAAGAACCAGTCCACCAACACCAAGGTCGCGTGGAAATTGCTTAAGCTCTTCGCCCTCTACGAGAATCTCTGCCGCTTCGTCCTGCCTCTGTGCTCCGTCATCCCCGACCGCGCGAGCCCGGAGACGCCCATCAGCCAGAGCAACAACATCGTCGACCTCAGCAACGTCGGCTTCTCCAAGATGTGGAGTCTGCGCAACCATATGAGCGATGCGAGTCGCCTCGCTACCGCCCACTACCCGGAAACGCTCGATCGCATCTTCGTCATTGGCGCGCCCAGCTTCTTCCCGACTCTCTGGGGCTGGGCACAGCGCTGGTTCGATCCTATTACAGTTTCCAAGATTTTCATCCTGGGCCAGAAGGACACCACTTCGACGCTGGAGAAGTTCGTGAACATCGAGGATATTCCCAAGAAGTACGGCGGGAAACTCGACTGGAAATTCGGAGACCGGCCATTCTTAGACCCGGGCATTGCGAATGCCATACGCTGGAGAAGCGAAGTGGAAGAGAAGGGACACAAGACATTCCCCCTCGGACCCATGAAGTTGCAGTATGATGAGCAGGGCGACCTGGTGTTGCAGGAAATCGGGACGGAGGGGGGAAAGCCAAGAACACGCGTCATCGGGTCCTTGCACCCCGAAGCAAATGTCGCCCGCCTGGCATTGTCGCCTGGCCGAGTATTATCTGCGCAGAATCCCAATGCTACCACAGCAGCAGCCGCGACAGCACCGGTAGCAGTCGCAGCAGCCGAAACGCACCCTCCGACCGAACCAGCAGCCAAATCAGCAACAGAACCAGCGACAGAACCAATCGTAACCCCACCCGCACCCCCCACCACCCGTCCAACCATGAGCTCCGACGCCGACCTCAACGTCGGCAAAACCCCCGACGCCCTCAGCCAACCCGCTTCCCGCACAGGCGCCTACACCGTCCCCTGGCAAGACGACAGCAACAACATCTCCTCCCCTCCCCCTGCCGCCCGCCAAGGCACCTCCTCCACCCGCTTCGAGCAGCAAGCCGGCACCCACGCCGAAGGCCAACTAGCAGATGGCACGCCCGAGCTGCGCACACATGGCGGCTCTGGCGATCACCCGGCCGTCATGGACCCGAATACCGTCGGCCAGGCGCCGAAAGAGCACCCTCTGCCTGAGGCCGAGGAGGGTGGGGCGGGCGTGTTGGAGCAGGCGAAAGAGTTGGCAGGGCAGGCGGTTGAGCAGGCGAAGAACTTACCTGGAGTGGTCATGAGTGCTGTTGGATATGGGGCGAAGGAGGAGAAGACGGAGGAGGTGGTGCGGAAGGAGGATCCCGAGGTGGATGGCATGGCGGCGGGGAATGTGGAGGAGTTTTTGAGGAGTCAGCATGGGAGTAAGCCGGCTCAAAATGCGGCGGAATGAGATGGGATGGAATGAGTGTGGATATATCCTGATACTGCGAGTTCATGTTAGGGAGATGGATTGCAGCCTTCGAGTTGGCGCGCTTGGACGCCATAGAGTGTAGATGCTTTAGCGATTGTGCAAGACTTGATGAACGCCATGATTGCAAGATGCGCGTGATTCTTTATATTTGCTCATAACCGATCACTCCAGGTTGTCAAACAGACGGTTGGCGAGTGAAACCCCGACATCTGGTCGAGGCCATTGGAAGCTCGTCGATGACGTTGAACGACAGCAACTTCATCCCGTGCTGCACACCTCCACACGATATCCCTTTGACGCATCTCGCATTCAACGAACAACTCGATCGGCAGCATTTCGCCTTATAGAATCTACTCTGAATCGACAATCCCAATCGCACAAACCTCGCATAGCAGCCAAGACGGCTCTCCGACGCATCGCATCCCACCCACCCCCCACCATCAAACATCACCTCTCCCCCACCGCCCGCAGGAGCTTCACCATGGCCTGGCGATCCTCGGGCGCAACAAACGAAGCCCTAATCGAGAACCTCGCGCGCCACGGCTTGATAACTTCGTCACGAGTCAAGCAGGCAATGCTAGGAGTACACCCCACCCAACCCACTCTCAAGATCAACATACTCACATGAGGGAACCCAACAGGTCGACAGAGCACACTACGCCCCCTCCTCCCCCTACCAAGACTCCCCGCAATCCATCGGGCACGCAGCCACAATCTCCGCTCCGCACATGCACGCCGCAGCCGCCGAGTCGCTCCTCCCGTTCCTCAAACCCGGCTCCAAAGTTCTCGACGTAGGTTCTGGATCTGGGTACCTGACTCACGTGCTCGCCGAGCTCGTCAAACCTGGTGGGAGAGTGGTGGGCGTCGAGCACATTCAGCCGCTGGTGGAGCTGGGGACGCGGAATACGAGGAAGAGTGAGGAGGGACGGGAGTTGATGGATGCGGGCGGGATTCGGTATGTGAAGGGTGATGGGCGCTTGGGCTGGGCGGAGGATGCGCCTTATGATGCTATTCATGTCGGGGCGGCGGCGAGGGATGTACATCCTGCGCTGGTGGAGCAGTTGAAGGCGCCGGGGAGGTAAGTTGTGCCGTTTTTTGGTCTTGCTCTGCGCTTTGAGTGGGTGTGTGAGCTGATGAGTTTGCGTGGTGTAGACTCTTTATCCCTGTGCAAGAGGGCAACTACCAACACATCTACGTTATCGACAAGAAGGAGGATGGCAGCGTGACGCGCAAGAAGGAGTATGGCGTGCAATATGTGCCTTTGACCGATGCGCCGAAGGATTGAGCAGCCTTGCGACTCTTCCATCCTTCGACTTGGACGTGCGATGGCGACATATTAAAGAGACAATTCATCGACCGGAGCATCGAGCAGCTCACGATGCTGCGATAGAGCGAAAGGCCCTGGAAGCCGTCCAGCTCGCCCGTCAACGACATTGGATCAAACGACATCAGCACCATCTCGTCCATGCGCAAGTTGTTTTGATCGGTCAGGAGGAACGGATGTCAGCGGATGTCGGTCGATACCAGTATCAAATGTGCATCGCTCAGATGTTCCGAGGACGGCAGGCGTTATCGAGACTGGGAGTGTCTGCGCCGGTACCCTGTGGTATCCGCGTCAACGGCCAACAGTGTCAGATTGCTCTGTGATACCGCGCTGAGAGAGTTCGTCGTGAGAAGCATTCGCATAGTCACTCGATTCATAACGAGGCTGCGAGCATACTTCATCCCAGCACATCATTACCCCCTCCCACCATCTCACGCCACACTCCACAACTCCCCATTCCTCACCACCTCCCCCCGCCCCTCCATCTCCCCCAACAACCACGCAACCTCATCATCCCCATACGTAAAACCCGGCAGCACCATCTTGAGCAAATTCGTAATCCCCATCATGCCCCCAATCGCCTTGGCGCCCTGATTGCGCAGCATGTTCGCAATAAACACTTCGAACATCGCCGCGCTCTCCCTCAACATCGCACCCTGCGAGACTACCGCTGACATCGCTTCTTCTTGCTGGGGTGGGAGGGGCGGGGCGGAGGCGGCGACGTCCATGTCCAGTCGTTCGAGCACGGCGTAGGTGCCGGGCGAGACTTCGTAGAGGACTTTCTTCGCGAGCCAGAAGTTGAGCGCGTCGTGGACGAGGTCTGATTCCATGTTGAGGGTTGTGGCGATTGTTTCGACGTCGAGGTGGATGGGCTCGTCGTGGTTTTGCTGCGTGCTGTCGTTGCGTGTGAAAAGGTCGATCACGCTTGCCCTCCATGCCGCGACGTCGGTTTCTTGCACCACGCGATCTTCCAGCTCCAGTTTGAGGGATACTCGCGCCAGTGCAGGCCGAAAGTGTAATCTGCGCTGACTGCCGAGCGAATGGAAGCGGTCTTCGAAGTCTTTGCAGTATTGAGAAAGAGAAGCGGGTAAGAGGAACCCATTGGAGCGCAGCTGCGGCCAGAAGAAACTGGACAGAATCTGCGCTTTGAAGTCCACTTCGCCCTCGCGCCGCCCGTTGGGCGCGGGAACGGATGCATCTAGTGGGACGCGGGTCCGTTTGGGGAAGAAGAGGTCGTTGCGCTTGTTTGCCACGAGCTTGACTGCTGCAATGAATTGAGCGCTCTTCATGCGGCCTTCGAACATTTTAAAGAGGGCGGAGAGGGTGATGCCGTCTTCTGGAATGGCGGCTTGGATTTCTCGCGGGGTCGGCGGAGGTACTCTCGTCGAAGCATTTTCGTATACGGCACGGGGGTTGATGCGTCTGCCGAGAATAACGGAGTCGCGCACGTCTTTAAGCATGACTTCAGCGGCTTGCAGTTTGGATGCATCGAGGCGGGATTTGAAGAGCTCGACCAGTCGAGTCTCTTTGACGAATTCGGCGTCCGTGCCGTGTAAGAGATGCTGCGCGAGGACTGCTGTGACTTCTTTGATGAACTCTTCCTGCTCAAACAGGCCGAGGATGTAGGCGATGACGTCTTCTGATTTGGACGACTTGTAGTTCGGGCCGGCGTCGATGGGATCGGGAGTCCACTCCATATCGTTCCAGTTGAGCATCTTGTTCTCCCGATTATCTTCAAGGGTAGAGTTCGCTACTTCCAGCGTGATGTCGGGACAAACTTTGTCCATGTCACTAGAGGACACATTGTTCTCCAGATCGACATTTGCAAGGAAGCTCGCAGCGATGATGCTCACAGTATCCTCTCTGCCTCGCAGGTAGTTGCGGATGGGCACAGCCACCTTCTCCAGCAGCACGCCCCTCGAGTCGAGGGTCTTGAATGCATGAATGACGTTGACGTAGATGCTGAGCACTTCCGCCGTGCTCGCACCGGCATGAAGTAATCTCTTCTGGATTTGCTCGGAAAAGGAGTGGCACACGTGAGCTTTGGCCGACTGACCCCCGGCGCCCAGGTATTCGCGAATGTCCAATATGGCACCCATGCTAGCAGGCCAGGCCTTGATATAGTTGAACAGATTGAGCGTCCGTGAGCGGCCAAGATTAGAGACAGCCAGGGCCACGAATCGATGCACATCGCTCAAGGGAAGGCGTAGCCTCACATCGCCTGTGATTCTTCCGAGCGCTCGTTCGATGACCGGGGCCAAATTTCGCTCGACCCATACTCTGAGCTTGGTAACAACAGATGCGTGGCCAGTCCAGTCTACTTGAAAGCACCGTCGCTGGATTGCAGATCCTTGCAAGAATCTGTGAATGGCGTGGGCGAAAGCTTGTTCCCCGAGCATTCCTCCAAGCCCAACATCATGGAGCTCCTCAAGCGGGAGGCCTTCGACGCTCAATTGGCAATGACACTGAGTATCTCTAAAACATTTCTCGAAATTCTCACCTGTTTGCAGAGAAGCCTCCAGATGCTGAAACATGACCATCGAAAGCGTTATCTGTAGCCTCTGTCGGGGTAGGGAGTGCAGAGTCAGAGCGTGGAGTTTGCGTCCAACCTGGCCGCGGAACTCGACGAGTGCAGCAGCTGAGGGCCCATGGCGAGACCGATCTACCAGGCTGTCCAAGCGCTCAAGGTATAGTTGCCGCGCCTGCTGCAGGAGGTCGAGGGTAGTCTGCAGTACGACCGGGGCATCCGAGACGGAGATCGGGGATGCCCATGCGTGTAGAGACGGGAGGACTGATTGTCGGAAGTGGCCACTGATCTCGTTGGCGTACCAGGCCACGAGGTCTTTCCGGGAGCTGGCCGATTGCAAGATCAACACCACGGCGTCCAGTACGTCTTTGTGTAGGTTGACCTCTCCGGGATTCGGCCCATGATCCAAGACGAGGAAGCGCGTCGCTATGCTCCAAGCCCTACTGAAGACAATGGGATCGTTGACGTCGTCAAAGCTGGTCGAAGTCCAGCTTCTGGTGTTTTGCGCTGGTGATGACAGGCTTCCAATTCTCGGCGTAGCTTCTGGGGTCGGAGCTGTGAAGGTCTTCTTGGAGAAGACGGAGAAGAACGCGTCGTCATCTCGCCGACGCATGCCAGACGCCACCGCTGCCGCCATGGCTTGCTCAGGGCATATTGTTTGATTATAGCCAAGCTCGACTGATGTGATGAATGCACATGCGGTTCGCGTCTGGGGTGACGCGAATAGACTTTCCACTACGCGGCAACTGCCGCCTCCAGCGCCAGTGACGTAGACTGCATTTTCCCACTTCAGGTTCCAGTTGCTTTGTGTTTCTTGACCTCGTCTGCTACATTTACTCTTCACGTCTTCTCAGTCTCAAAAGTTCACATCACAAGCAGTCAATCCACACAAGTTGACAGGGCATTCCAAAGTGCATACACCTTGAGCACTTGCTCTCTCCCCGTCCATTCGCCCGTCACCGCCTTTCGTCTCCATCTCCAGCCTCTCGGCCGAAGCAGCGTGTTGAACATGTCGAAACGTTCCAACACGGCCAATGGGCCAGAAAAGGCCGTCAACAGCACATCAAATGCTAAGAGTAAGCAATCGTCACCCGCCTGCCCATACATATCTGACGAATGCCCGCCTCAGCCCAAGACAAACAATCCTACCTCCTCCACACCCCGAACCCCGGCCACTTCAGCCTCATACGCGCCTACCACCTCGCCGACTTCATCACGCTCATGAACGGCTTCTGCGGCTTCATGTCTATCACCTCTTCCATGCGCTACTGCATCAACCCCCACGACCACCGCCCCCTCTGGTTCGCCCTGGGCTTCATGCCATTTGGCCTCTTCTTCGACTTTTTCGACGGCAAAGTGGCGCGTTGGAGGAAGAAGAGCAGTCTGATGGGACAAGAGTTGGACTCGTTGGCTGATCTCGTAAGCCGTCTCCCTCAATACACAAACACACACATCATATGCTAATCCGTCTCATCTCAGATCTCCTTCGGCGTAGCCCCCGCCTCCTGCGCCTTCGCCATCGGCCTCCGCACGCCCCTCGACCAGCTCCTCCTCACTGGCTTCGTGCTCTCCGGCCTCGCGCGCCTCGCCTGCTTCAACGTCACCACCGGCACCATCCCCAAAGACGCCAGCGGCAAGGCGTCGCACTTCCTCGGCCTCCCCATCCCCACGAGTCTGACCATCGCCGCGCTGATGGCGTACTGGGTGTCGCAGGGCTGGATTCAGGAGCGGATCCCGTGGGGAACGGTGGCGAAGGGGTCGGTGCTGGAGATGCATCCCATGACGCTGCTTTTTGTGTTTCACGCTTGTTGTATGGTGTCACGATCGTTGCATGTGCCCAAGCCGTGAGCGTGGTTGTTCTATGAGGGATCGAGACGGCGACGTGAGTATGGCAACAGGCGATCACTTGAGTAGCGAAATACAGCAACGACGATGGAAATGAAGCATTGACGAGATTCAACATCAGTGTCAAACGTCTGTCGATGACTATGGAGTAGCAACGCTATGGACTGTGAGAGCCTCTCCCCGAACCTTCCCTCTCATCCAGACTCGGATTCTATGGAAAAAGCGATGAGAATGAAGCATGGATGACCCGCAATCCTCGCTTCAAAACTCCGTCCCCCCCGATGCGAATGCAAATGCGCGCTCCTCCCTCCTGCAAACGTGAAATGCCGGTAATGTTACACACTCGAATCGAAGCGGCCGTGGCGGACCATCGTAGCGCACTTTCCGAAGCGTCAAGTGACGATTCAGGCCGGCGCGTTTCCATAGATTCCCCAGAATTGATTCGTGCCAAACGTAGCCGCAGTGTTGGTCTCCCAGAGGTCGTTGAAAGCGCTGAAGAGCACGATATTGTTCGAAAAGGAAGACCTCAGCGATGCAATGGCAGTCGCTTGATTGGCCTCGCTAGGAACAGCCATACCGTTGGACTCGCCTTGGTTCGGCCAGCCGGACTCGGTGATCATGGTGTTCTTGCCGCCACAGGCTTCTGAGATGCGCTGCGCCTGCTCGAGTACCCACGGCCCGGCCTGGTCAGGGGTGAGATCGGCGTTGAAGAAGGCGTGGCAGTTGGCGGCCGCGAAGTCGGAGGCTTGGCAGAGCGCTGGGTTGGAGATGACTTGGGCGGAGGTGTCGACTGTGACGACGGGGCCGGTGTAGCCTGCGGCTCGCAGCATGGTGCGGGCTTGGTTGACGGCTGCGACGACTTGCGCCACGGTAGCGACGCCATCGTTCACGGCTTCGTTGCCCACTGTGACGGCGTAGATGGAATCCCAGTTGTTCTGAGCGGCGCTGATGAGCTCTTGCGTCTCGGCTTCGACTTGGTCGATGTCGTAGATGCCCGCGAACATCTTCATGCCTTTGGACTGGACGGCGCTGAGGATGAGGGGGACTTGGTTGCAGTCGACGCCGTAGCTGCGAATGAAGCCGTACCCGCTGAAGGCTGAGAAGTCGGATGTCACTTGGTCCTGGTCTTTGCAGGTGCCGTCGCTGTTGTAAGGCGAGTAGGAGAGACCGTAGCCGAAAGAGCTGGTGTCCGAGCTGCCATCGCTTGGAGACGGGGCTGCGGCGGACGTAGAGGGCGTGGATGCCGGGGTATCGGCCGATGAGGTCTCTGGCGAGGGAGGAGTCACAGAGGTGGACGTAGGGGAAGCTGCAGTGGTCTCAGGGGCTGGAGGGGTGAAGGTGACGGTCGACGAAGACGAAGAACTCGAGGGGACGGAGGCAGCCGACAACGCCGCGGTGGTTGTGGCCGGGCCGGCGACGTATGAGGTAGACACGGGCTGGCCGTTCTGGTTGACGTAGACGATCTCGGCGGCCAGGGTGGTGGTGACGACATCCGTAACAACGTCAACCCCATTCTGGCGCTTGGCCGCGTGGAGATGGTCGTGGTGATGATGGTGACGATGGTAGGGCTGCGCCGCAGCCGCGACCGCCAGCGCCGCGATGGAAATGATTGTGTATTTCATGGTGGTGACCTGTGATGTTCAGCCGTGTCGTTGGACGCGTGAAATGAGTGGCTGCGAGCAGAGTGCTGCCGTCCAGCGGAGTTAGTGGTGTTGTCTTAGATTTCCATGGTCCTCGAGGCGTGACCAGGTGAGATGTTCAAGTGGAGAACAGGCAGGCTGGACGACTGCAATCACTGACAACGATGACCAAGGACCCGTCTACCTTCTTTCCCTTTCTTGCCCCGAGCCGTGTGCATGTGCATGTGTATGGATGATGAAAAGCAGAGCGTGACTTACGATGAAGATGCGTCGAGGGGATAACGTTCTCCCGTTGTTTGCCGAGAGGCAGCGCTGGAATGCTTGTCGCGTGGGGTAGCGGTCGTTCTCGAAGGCGCAAGGAATGCAAGGGAGAATGCTTGGCTGAGCAGAGAGCGTGCTGCCGGATGGGCGTGATGGAAGAGGAAGGGAAAGAGAGTGTGTGTGAGAGAGAAAAGGAGGGCGTGCTGCTTCCGGAGCGCAAAAGTGTGGGTGAGAGATGGAGGGCGAGGGTGAGGGTGTTGGCTTTATTATTGTTGTGTGATGATCGTGATTCGCGCTTATAGCCTTGTCGAGGAAGGAGCGACCATGCAGGGTCGGGGTGTCTGTGGAACATGCAAACTCACCTGAAACAAACGGCGACGCAAGGCGACAGTCAGATGCTTTGGGCAGTCTCCCCTTCCACGATGTACATTGATTCGATGCTGATAGACGCGGTGGAGTGGAAGACTCGGTGGGGTCTGGTAGATTCATGTTGTGTAACCGCATTTCCTGCAGCCATGTGCGCGCGTGCTGAGACGCTGTTCATTTCCACTCGTCTTTGCGTCACATGTTCCCCCCGGTCACCGCCGCGGCGGTGCCCTTAGGCCTTCTGGGGAGCACTGTCACCGAACAACCGGGACATCATGGCTTCTGGGTAACGAGATCCCTTCGAGCCTCCGACGCTCTCAATGGCCTTGCGAATCTCGCTTTCTTCTTGCTTGCTCAATGTCACATTGACCGCCTTCGCATTCTCCTCGAGGTATTTCTCTCGCTTGGTGCCCGGAATCGGGATAAAGTCCTCGCTGGAGGATCGTCAGTACTGGCCTGATCTTGCGTACTCCCGCAACACTCACCCTTGCGCAAGTACCCACGCCAGAGACAATTGTCCCGCGCTGCATCCCTTCTTCTCCGCAATGTCCGCCAGCTTCTGTACCAGGTTGAGATTCGCGCCAAAGTTCTCTTCGCTGAATCGAGGGTGCTGAAGGCGGTTGTCACCCTCATCAAAGTCCTTGCGACTCTTGATCGTGTTCGTCAGGAAGCCACGGCCAATAGGCGAGTACGCGATGATCTTGACTCCCAGCTCTCGCGCCGTCTTCAAAAACTCAGTCTGCTCGGACTCGATCTCCAACGCGAAGGGGCTGAACTCCATCTGAGCGGCGGCAATGGGGTGCACGGCGTATGCCCTCCTCAGTGTCTTTGCCGAGCATTCCGACAGTCCGAGGTACCTGATCTTGCCCTCGTTCTTCAACTCTACCATCGCTCGCACAGTCTCTTCGATGGGGACCTTGTCGTCAACACGATGTTGATAGTACAGGTCGATGTGATCGGTGTTAAGTCGATCCAAGCTGGCCTGGCATGCTTCCTTGACGTAGTCAAAGTCGCCTCTCACAGCCGGCTTCCCGTCGATGCGAAGGTTACCGAACTTGGTGCAGAGGAAGATTTCGTCTCTGCGTCCAGTCTCCTTGAACCATTTGCCGATGAGCTGTTCGTTGGTGTGAGGGCCGTAGATGTCGCTCGTGTCCTGCGCGGGGAGCATCAGTGTTAGTTGCCGGGCACTTTCCTGTTCTATGCCGCATTCATACCCAGAGGTTCACGCCCAGGTCGGCAGCTTTCGTCAACACCTTGTACGACTGCTCGTTGTCGTATCCGCCGAATGAGGTGTAGGCAAACGACATGCCCATGCATCCGAGCCCCTCAGCAGAGACATTGTCGTTTCCGATCTTGCGTTGTGGGTAATTTGGTGCCATAGTGAGAGATTGGAGTCAATTGGTAGACAATACGTGCTGGATGTTTTAAGTCAACCTGGCGCGAATGGATTGTGGGGGTTGTCTGCGCATTTATAACGAGTGACGTGCGGGTTTGTTAACCCCATTTTATCGCCGTCGATGACCTTCCCCACCAATGATGAAACAGGGTCTTGCAATGGTATCGTCGGCAATTGCGGGACGTTTCTTTCCACCGCGCATTCCCTCGACTGCGATTACACCGTCAGGAAAGTGCTAAAAATGATTTATCCATTTCATAGACTCCGCATTTCAAAAACAATTGGAAGCTCAAAGAGCAAAAAGCAAAGTTTTTCCAAAGATTCAGGACAGCATTTGTGCGCTCGAAGTTACGGGGTGACCTGGTAAAAGGCAAGGACATCGTCATTTAATCAAAACGCTGCTGTCGAAACTCCTGGGATTTTGAATTCATTATATACTAATGTTCAATTTTGAGCTATATCATTGGCTGAGAGGAGCGGAAGCTAGCGGATGTACAGTCTCTGAACACTATAAGCGCCCAACACCCCAGCTTCACTCGATTTACACCACATTTGCACCGTATTATCACCGTGCTTATCATCGTGTATGTCCGCTATCGTGGGCTCACCACGGGTAATTGCAACACTTCAATCGAGTGAGTTCACGCTCGAGAGGGACATAGTAATTGAGGTTTGCATACTGCTTTCTCGAGAGCCAGCCAATCCACCATGTCGACTCCACGCTATGCAGTACACCAAAACCCAGAGTCGCAAACAAGCAAAAGCAATCAACCAAACGGAAACCCGCCAGGAAACTGGAACCCGCCACCTCCACCCTGAAACTTGAAGCTGCCTCCACCACCTCTCTGCTGGAAGAAAACCGGCTGTCCTCCCGCTCCAAAACCAAACGGACTGCCCTGGAAAGGCTGCTGGCCTTGCGAATAAGGGTCATTCGGATCGTCACCCCGATCATACCTCGCCTTCAGCTCCGGGTCCGACAGCACCTCGTACGCCTCGTTGATGGTGGTCATCTTCTTCTGCGCCTCTTCCGGGCTGACGCCTCGTTGCGCCGCCTTGTCGGGATGGTGCTCTTTCGTCAATTTCCGCATTGCGCGCTTGATTTCGCGCTCGTCTGCGTCGCGCGACACGCCGAGGACTTTGTAGTAGTCCTTTTGCTTGCTTCGCTTGAGCAGGGTTTGTGCTTTCTGCATCATCTCTTGGATCTTCCCCTGATTGCCGTGGTGTTCCTTTGCCGTGTTTAGCGTGCCTAACGCGGGCTCGAATTCGTCGGCGTCGATCTGTCGTTGTGCTTGGTTCAACAAGGCCGGGAGGGAGTTGGAGTTGTAAGTGAGCGTTTCCTCGCAGTATGCTTGTGCCTTCTTGGCGTTGTTCATCTCGCTGTAAGCTTCGCATGTCTTTTCCACCAGGCTGGCATAGAGCGAGTCGGATGTGGCTTTGGCGTGGATGTAGCCTAGCTCTCGGTATGACTTGATATCGTCCTGGACGTTCTTTAATAAGCCAGGATCACTCTCGCCTTGTGGGACCAGCAGTTTGGCGGCAGACGCGAACTGCCGTTTCTCGTACAGGGCATTGAACTTCTTGAGCGTCCGGTCAATCGCCTTTTCGGATTTCCGAAGCTTTGTGCAGGCCTTGTTGTCGGGGTCGTTGTGGAGGCATTTCGAGATGGCCGTCAGGCCTTTGTCGGTCTCGCCAAGGGTATAGAAAGTCATTGCGGAGATTTGCAGATGTGGTTCGATCGATGCCGCATTGATTTGCAGTGCATGAGTGAGGTCGGCAATTCCCTCCATGATCTCGCCCTTTTCGAATCGGCATCTTGCCCTCCGTTGTCTGAGTTCGAGAGATGTGCCAGCGACGAGAATCGCGATGCCCGCATGCGTCACACATGCCTCCCAATCGCCGCCCTTCTCTGCATCCACCGCCAGCTTCGCCGCTCCCTCGGCCTCGTCCAGCCGACCGACGTCTTCACTTCCTGCTTTTCCCGCAGCAAGGTAGTCCTCCCTCGCCCCTGTCCAGTCCGCACTCCTCGCTTTTAACTTTGCCCGTTGCGTCAATGCGCCCTCGAACCCCGGCTTCAGCACAAGCACTTGATCGAAGTCTTTGTTCGCTTGCGCATTGCGGCCCAGCGACAGGTACGTTGCGCCGCGCTTGAAGATGGTCAAGTAGTTACTCGGGTCCTTGGTGACCGCGGCGTCGAAGTACGTCAGAGCATCATGCGCGTTGCCTTGGGCCAGGTTCGCATTCGCGCTCGCAATGAGTTGGGAAACGGGGGTGTCGGCGGGTATGTCTGATGCAGAGAAGGCGGAGGCGAATGGGACAGAGGAGAGGCAGAGGGCGCTCAGCGCGAGAGACGAGAATCGGAGTATCATGGTTGTGGATGTTGACGGCCCATGCAATGCGACGCAGTTGTTGTGTAGGACGTTGGCATTGTCCCCGGGGGCCAGTCCATATTTCGAGGGTTCGGGCCAACTGTCGTCAAGCCACAGATGCGACCTTGCGGGCGCCACAACCACGCGGCGGCCCCTTCCGCTCGCCGCCTTTCCCGAGTCGTCGGGGAGGTGACGTCTTCTTGACTGCCGCTCAACCGCATCAAGAGTGTTTCCCCGGGTTCAAGTATTCCAACATCCTCGTTCAATGCTCGGAAAAGTTCTGGTCTGAACCTTTATGCGGTACGAATTCACCTTGGTCGGTCTGAGATCTATTGCTGCCTACTTGATTGCGTGCGTTCGAAAAGGTCTCTTCAACAGACGTGACCTGATCTGGATCAGCGGCGAACCGACTGCTTGAGTGGTCAATTCTAAGAACAGAAGGCCATAGGGCCAGGACTGCTCTCGTGTAACCAGCATGGCCTCATCCCTTCGGATCCGCGTCGAAGGCACGACCTTCCGAGACCCCAAAAATCGCGAGGTAACTCTTCGCGGAATCAATGTCGCGGGGGACGCGAAACTCCCTGCACACCCCGACATTCCCTCTCACGTGCGCGAGAAGTTCTTCGATGGCGATAATGTATCATTCGTGGATCGACCCTTCCCCGTGTCTCAAGCCCATTCGCATTTCGCCCGGCTGAGACGATGGGGATACAATTGCATCCGTTACATCTTCACCTGGGAGGCTCTCGAGCATGCTGGTCCCGGCAAATACGACGAAGAATTCATTGCCCATACCATTGAGGTACTCAGGATCGCCAAGCAATACGGCTTCTACGTCTTCATGGACCCGCACCAGGATGTATGGTCTCGATTCACTGGTGGCTCAGGCGCGCCCATGTGGACGCTGTATGCCGCTGGCTTTGACCCCACGAAATTCACCTCCACACAAGCAGCTATTGTGCAAAATACTTGGCCAAATCCACTGGAATTTCCAAAAATGTGCTGGGCTACCAACTATCAGCGGCTGGTAACCCAGACAATGAACACCCTCTTCTTCGCCGGCCGAGATTTCGCGCCGAAATGTGTAATCGATGGCAAAAATATCCAGGACTACCTCCAAGGTCATTTCATCGCTGCCTGTCAACATCTGGCTCAACGTATTCACGATGCTGGCGATCTCGAACACGATGTCGTCATCGGGTACGAGAGTATGAACGAGCCGAGCAGGGGCTATGTCGGTCATCCTGATCTCAGAGTAATTCCCAAAGACCAGAACCTGCGCAAGCTGACGACACCCACCGGTTGGCAATCGATGCTCACGGGATCTGGCCGTGCTGTGGAAGTCGAGACTTGGGATTTCGGCAGTCTTGGCCCATATAAAAGCGGCACGGAGCTAGTAGATCCCGGCGGAGAGAGCGCATGGCTCGATCCATCTTCCTGGGACGACGAGAAATATGGCTGGAAACGAGATGCGGGATGGAAGCTGGGGCAGTGTATATGGGCTCAGCATGGAGTGTGGGATCCCGCAAACGACGAACTCCTGCAGCCTTTTTATTTTGCAAAGCACCCGAAGACACGCAAAAAACTCGACTACGAGTATTGGAACAACCACTACTTCATGGACCATTACCGCGCCTATGCACAAGCCATACGCTCTGTGTGGAGCGAGAGTATTATGTTCATTCAGCCTTCGCCTTACGAGATACCTCCCAGCACCCGCGGAACCAGAGACGATGACGACAATACCGTCTTCGCCAGCCACTTCTACGACGGCATCACGTTGTTGACGAAGCATTGGAACCGTGTCTGGAATATCGATGTCATTGGCGTTATGCGAGGGAAATATTTGACCCCCGCCTTCGCGATCAAGCTTGGAGAGACCGCCATCCGCAATTGCTTCAAAGATCAGCTGAGTGTGATGCGGAATGAAGCGATGGACCTAATGGGGCCTCGACCCTGCATCTTCACGGAGATTGGCATCCCTTACGATATGGATGACAAGAAGGCTTATTCGACCGGGAATTACGGCAGCCAAATCGCAGCAACCGATGCAAACGGATACGCCCTCGAGGGAAGTGGCGCGCAAGGCTTTACTTGGTGGGTCTACACCGCGACAAGCAACCATGCCTTGGGCGATAACTGGAATGGAGAGGATCTGAGCATCTACTGCGAAGAAGATCGACCTTTACCGCCCGCTGGCTACGTCGTAGGTGCAGATGGCAACACCGGCAAACTCAGTCTCGACCCGGCGAGTCCGAGCTACTCGGAAAGCCAGAGTGACCGCAGTGCGACCATTGGGCCCGGCAGCTTGAAGAAGACGCTTTCGGTAAACCAGATGGTGCGGAATCCCTCATACTCTGTCCAGGCAGACGAGCAGCCCGGATTCCGGGCTGCTGAAGCATTTGTGAGGCCGTCTCCAGTCTACACACATGGGACTGTCGACAGTTACGGCTTCGATCTCAAGAACTGCGCGTTCACCCTGTCTCTCACATCACCCTCACCTACGCCTCAAGACTACCCGACCGAGATCATCCTTCCAGAGTTCCACTTCCCACAGCAGTACACCAGCGTGGACGCCACGGGCGGAAAATGGAAGATTGAGGTGGAGGAGAAGGCAGAGGGCGCGCGACAGCAGGTGTTCAAGTGGTGGCATGGGGAGGGTGAGCAGAAAGTGACTATCAAGGGGGTGAAGAGAAAGAATGGGGCTTTTGTGAGCAAGGAGGAGGATGAGAGTTACATGGAGGCGTACTGGGCAATGGGCAAAAATTGTGCTGTCATGTAGATACGAATATCACGAGGTGAGCACGGTATATGGGCGGAATCTTAATGGTTAAGAAATCGATGATGTCCCGTGACCACGCGTAAGCTGTGGAACCAAATCCGGCGCCGGAAGAGCTCCACGCGCGCGAAGCCTTATTTTTAACCTTACCTTCGTTTGCGGAAGCCGACATCATCATCCTTCGCGTTCCACGTTACTGGGACCGACGTCAGTGAATGTGAAGAAGAGTAACACACGACGGCATTCACTTCTTATCACTTCCTATCATCCGCCAGGGGACTTGACCGAACCCACGCTGCTTGGTCTTCGAGATGGTCATGCCACTTTCACTCTCGCTGACCTGACCACCTCTTCAACATGGACGGCGGCCTCGACGGCGCATTCGATGTCCACTGGCGGGAGCCGACAGCTACCCCCGACCAGCTGAACAACATCAATCAAGCTCTCCACGCCACGCTCGATCCTCGCGTTTCCAACGAGGTCCGCCAGCAAGCGCTCGAATTCCTCGAACAAGTCAAGCACCAACCCGCCGCGCCCCACCACGGCTTCACCCTCGCAGACGACTGGAAGCAAAACGATGCGGTGCGATACTACGGCCTGCAGCTGCTGGAGCATGCCGTGCGCCACCGATGGCCGGAATACACACCCGATCAAACGACGCAGTTGCGGACGTGGGTGAAGTGTCTTGCGGGCAGCATCCGCGAGCAAGATGTGCTGTACATCCGGAACAAGATTGCTCAGCTGTGGGTGGAAGTGGCGAAAAGATGCTGGGGCGACGAATGGGTGGACATGGACGCTTTGCTCGTCACGCTGTGGGACAAGCCGCTGACGGAGAAGGGCACGGCGAACAAGATCCTGGTGTTGTATGTGCTGGAGATTCTCAGCGAGGACATCATCAACAACGAAGATGCCGTTGCTGGACTGCGGTTAGACGTACTAGGAGACTCCTTGAACGAAATCATGGTGCCTGCCGATCTGTACGCCGAGATGGGAGTACCCAAGGCTGGAAGGGAGCTGGTACGGTCTGGAAACGAGGGATGGCTGGCGAGGGTCTGCGGCTTCTTCGCAACTTGTGTCAAATCATTGCGCGTCGGCGGCAACCCTGCCATGCTGCAGTCCATGTCTTTCTGTGCCATCAAAGCGCTTCATGCCCTCCGGCCGGCGATGACTTGGGTTAGTCTGAAAGCGGCCGTGGGGGTAAACGCCGTCGACTGCATCTTTCTGGCATTCCATACCGACGACGTCACCCTTCAGACTGCCGCAACCGAAGCGCTATACGCCCTCCTGAATAGGCCATACGGACAGCACTGGCACGACTCTTGGCTGTGCATCTTTCAACAAGCTCTGCAGCCCGACGGCATCTCCTTGATCCGACAAATCTTCGAACGCGCACAAAGCCCGCTTGGAGAGGACGACTACACGCTCCAGAAGAAGCTCTCCGAGGTTCTCAGCATTCTGGCCGAGGCCATCGCCCGTCACCCGGAGCTGGTCGACGCGAAGATGGATCTGCCTGCGTTCTTCGACCTCCTCTTGCAAGTGCTGCAGAGTAAGAGTCTCGTTGTTTCGATTCCGGTCCTATACTCGTGGACCAAGCTCATGGGCGCGCGGGATTCGAGAATCACCGATTACGTCTTCCAAGCTCTAGGACCGCTGGTGCAAATCTGCAGCAGTAGACTTCTGCGATATGAAGCCATCTCGGAATCAGACGAGTCTGAAGACGAAGTGATCCAATTACTGAACGACGATTTCGACACCACACCAGAACGACACGCGTTTCTGGGGAACTACAGACGATACTGTGTTTCCATCATCCAGACTATTGCCCGAGTGAGACCGATGGAAGCACTGTCACATGTTCTCGGACAGATACGAGATCTGCTGTACACCGGTCCATACACCTTCGACCGTGGTTTTGATAGTGAGAGGTACTCCAAGACGAGTTTACCGAGTCTGCAATTTGAGGCGCAATATCAATTGGCGGCCAACACCTTGAAAGGATTTCAGCAGTGGCTGGCAGATGTTGCCACTGTCGCGCCCGAAGACGAGCTACATACGAAGGTCGAAGAGGAGAAGGCCGCGGCATCAGACCTGCTTCGCCGATGGAGTCACGACATTGTCAACGCTCCCGTAGATGACCCGGAGGTGGCGGAACTGATAGTGCAGATGGTGACTTTTGTTCTGCGCACAATCAAGCCGGAGCCAGCGTCCGTCCTGGAGATTGTGATACGCCTGCTGGCGGTACAGCTCCAGGACCGACCGGCACACACTGCATATTCCGATGCCATCAAGTCTTTCGAAGCACTGAGGGTCATTGAACTTCAGAAGCTCGCGTTGGCGTTCGCCGATGATCTTCTTGAAGTCTATGGCGAGCTCGAATCACGCTGCGATGCGTTGGTACGGAAACACGCCGACGATGCTCGCCTGGTTTGGGGTTACAAGGCTTTCCTCTTCATGATTGTCTACCGCGCGAAAGGAATCGACAACAGCATGCGCCTCGGTCGCTTGCAGCAGATGCTCAGCCCGGTCTACGAGGCCTGGCAGGAGCCCTCGCTCAGTGCGTCCGTGACGACCTTGTCTAGCTTTTGCCAGAGTCTAGGTCTTGGAAATCTACCTGACTTTTACCGGCGGAACCGGTTTGATCAGATCTCAGACTGGGCGACTCAGCAACTCGACGATGCAGGGCAGGCGAGGCAGGCTGAGATCCGTGCCAAGGGCGATGCCCTACCGATTCGAATGACAAAGTCCATGCTGGCTGCGACGATCGAGAAGCTGGGGAGTGGCACCGAAGAATTCGAAATCGCTTGCCAGCTCTGGAGTGGCATTATCCCCGTGATTCTGCCAAACCTCCTCCAGCTGCTTCGTCATGCACAGGCCTTCCACAACATGTCCAACTGGTCACAGCTGCCGGAGGAGCTGCAGATGGTCATCAAGCGTACGCTGCAAGATCGCTTCTGGCAGTCGGGCATCTCGAGTGAAAGCAAGGATGAGTTTTATGCTCGCATCAGCGGGTCCAAGACGTCGTACGAAGGCTTTGCAAGCGCCGTTCGCGGGACGATGAGGAACATTCGCGAGCAAGGATACCACATGCTCTACCTCATGACCAAGTTCGAAGAGCCGGTGTTCGGCATCCCAGACCTCGCGCCATCTCTGGCGGAGGCTCTCTTTGCTGATGCCGACGCTCTATCAGCGAACCAACTCCATCCACTCATCAACCTGATGACTGGGATTGTGCAGCGCTGTCCACCTCATCATCGCAAGCTCTTCCTCCCTCCGCTCCTCACTCAGCTCTTCCACAAGTTCGACAAGAAGATCAGCAGTGAATGGGAGGCGCTTGGTCAAGCGAGTCATCAAAACGCTGAAGACGCCGAGTTGTCAGAAGAGATGCGTGTGGAGAGCGTGTTGCGCCATCTGACCTACTCGATGGTCTCGTTCGTGACATTCCTCCTCGAATTCGACACGCCGCCTCAGCAGAGCAACGGCCATGGGCCCGTCAAACCCAGTCGAGACAACATGGTCCTATCCGACCTCTCCATCCTGGAACACCTGATGCTCTTCTGCACGCACGCGCTGCGCATGCGCGACACGAGATGCTGCACGACCATCTGTCGCGTCTTCCGCAGCATCATCCCGCTCTTCCAATCCGACGACGCGCCCCCGGCACCACAGGTGCGCGACTTCATCAGCACCGAAGTGCTAAAAGCGTGCATCACCTCCCTCAACGAACCCTACTTCTCCGATATGCAGAAAGACCTCGCGGCCCTCATTGCCCAGATCCTTTCGCTCTACTCCCCCCGCACCAACATCCCGCGCGACATCTTGCTCTCTTTGCCCGCCATGACGACGGCGAAGGTCGACAAGGCGCTGGGGAAGATTGGCAAGGCGGCGAACGAGAGGCAGCAGCGTGCGCTCGTGCTCAACTTGCTGGATGGCGTGCGGGGCGTGAGTATCTACGAGGCGGGCAAGATTGTGCCGCTGAGTGCGGCGGCGCCGAAGAAGTCGAAGGTGTTGCAGCAGTATATGGAGGTGGAGCAGCGGCCTACGATTCTGAAGGGGGAGGAGGCGGGGTTGGAGGGCGTGGCGGGATTGTTTGAGGAGACTTAGGAGGCGAGGAATACTCGTTTCCGGAAGATGGTCTTTACGACTTGCCTTACGGTTGAAGAGAAGGAGAGAGAAGAAGTGACTCTGCTATCAGAACGCCATGAAGCGTCCGACGGCCATACGCCGTCTAGAGACTCTCGACGGAGAAGCAATCTTGCATGATTGTCAACACCAGCCCTACGCCCTTCCCCTTTCCTCGTACTTGCTGCTGCGACTCTCTGCATTCTCTCACCCGGCTATAGCGGAAGCACGCCACCAACATCTCCATCTTGATACTATATTCGTACCATACCGTGTCTCACCAGAATTAGAAGCCATTGCGGAGCAGGTCAGTCGGCGGGATCGATACACAAAACCCCCTCCGTATACATCGCCGTGTTGGGAGTCAGCCAGGACGGGCAAGGCAGCACAAAGATCAATAGCGTTATCGGTTGCCCGAGATAGCAGCGTTGGCCAGCACGACAAAAGGGCGTGCTGTGTCGGGCTCTCGACCAACGGGAGTGCGCCCTTCGCAAAGTCGAGCCGGATCATCACCATGTAGGGCTTTTCGTTTGGGGCAATGTAGGGCTTTTGCAGACTAAAGTAGCGTGCAGGCTGCCCTTCCTTCCAAGTTGCCCGCTGCTTGCGTTTCTGGGAGATCGCAGCAGCAGCAGCATGAAAGGGGACGTGGGCAAGTGTGACAGAAGTTGAGGTTTTGTCGGGATGTGGTCGTGTGGTTGGTTTGCGGGCGGGTCCTTGTGAGGCTGGGTATGGGGAACAGGGAGATTATGGGGGAGTATGGGGGAGCTTGTCAATCGCTTCCTTCGCCTGTTGAAGGAATTTGGTGACATGTCTTTGACACTGTGAGAGGATTCATGATACATAGTGCGAATAGGCTGGGTTGACAACACTGTTTCTCCATTGTTGAAGGTGTTGTCATTGCCTATTCTTTGCTATTATTCACGGATTCGGGCATGCGGCGGAGTCGCACCACTGCCCAGATCCGGCATTTGGAGATCTCGCCTGACCAGACCTCCTTGAATGAGCCTTTCGCGACGATGATCAAGATTACGGAAGCAGAGAGATGGTAAGATTGCGATTGTACGATGCGGTCAGGCCATGGGGAGGCCAATTTCCACCTCGATGCGCGATGCGAAGCGGTAGGGCAACAGCGGAGGACGATTCCGGTTTCTCCTATTGCCCAGCATGATGGCCCCCGAACGCGTGAGCGAGGCGTCGCGATGAAGACGCGTCCTGTCTCCTAGACCAGACCACACGGACGCACAATCGACCATTCTCCTGAGCAGGTGGTATCTCGTCTACGAGGTCAATTTGCGGTGCTGTGGTTCCGGGGCGGCGCTCCTATGTACGGTTTAATTGCCCGCAAAGGGCCTCGAATGGCGCCGACGTACGCGGAGGCTGCGTGGCGACGTGGCGGACCTTTATCTCCTCGGGCGGCACGCAGGAGCCCGTCAAATTTGCAGTGGTTCGCGTTGAAGCGATATGCAGACACCAGCGACACGTCTGGGACCGCATGCAGCTTTAGTAGGGGACGCGCAAATTGCCCGTCTTTCTCCTGAGCGCGGGGCGAGATGGGACCTGTATGCGTGTGCGTGTAAGCGAGGTTGTTGACACCTGAACGAAACATTGGGGACATTGTCTTCGACGTGTTCGCTTTTCGCGATGTATGCTCACGGGATATGGGTATAGATCAAGAGACGGTTGGCGTCCGAAGCTCCGAGAGGTGGGCAGTAGCTCTCTGTCAGATTCTCAGCGAGCTCCGGGTGCTCCTCGAGTAACTGTGCAGGATGTAAGGTGGCAGATGTAGTTCGGGCGACTGCTTTGACGGGTCGGGGAGGTGCCAGAAGTCGTGGCGGAGGAGGAATCACGCTCGACACGATAAGTCTCCGTAGCGCGTCTTGCGGCCGAATTACCTCTGCATCAAACAGCACGGTTTTCTGCTCATCAATCACTCTTGTGGACGCGACAAGATTGCGCTCGCTTGGTAAATGTGAGTGTGAATACGATAATGACGACTAATGGTACGCTGGCCACAGGTCCCCCGCCATATCTATTGCCACCGTTCATCGATGGAGCCGGCGTCGCTATGCTGCCCCCCCCAAAAGAACTCCCGGGTGGAGGTGGTTTACTGGGAGAAACCTTGTTACTACGGGACCTTTGGCTAGGGTCACGTCAATGTGTGGCATGCCATCCGATCGATACCACCCAACATCACAGCTATTGAACGACCCACGGCTGCAACGGCGCTGGCGTGGCGCGTGGCCTTGATGACGGACCAGCAGCTCTCTACCCAGACTCACCTCCTCCACTGACGAGAAGATTACACCTCGACATAGCAGCATTCTAGCCTGTCGGTGTCGGGGGCGGAAAGAGCACGCGGTGCTTACCCGAGTCCGTCTCCGCCTTGCGCTGCTTACCAGTTATGGGCAGCGAATGCGCATGCATCATTCGGCCCCCGCTCATCAGCAAACACCTCTGTGCTTACCCCCCCCCGAATATGACATGCTCGACCCGGGGCGTGAATCAGCTAATATCGCGGCGCGCCCGCGCTTCGCTTGCTGCCTACGCCCACGACTTCTGACCCCGCGCGGTTGGGGATGTGCATCATCGTCCGCCGGATCGGCATCGATGCAGCATGGCCACGCCGCAGCGCAACTTCGGCAACCCCCCCAAGACGCCCCAGGCCTCGCTAGCGTACCGAGTGGCCCGCCGGGCCCGTTGCCAAGCTGCAGCGATGATGAAAGGGCAGCGCGCGCCTGAACGAGGCTCAGCATGCTGCAGACGGGGGGCCCAGCAGGCAGAGTAAAATAACGTGCCCGCAACCTAATGCACTGCAGTGGCACGCGGTAGCCCTAACCCTCTCGCGCTTTGGCTGTTTCAGCGACCGGGCGCGGGTTGGAATTGCTATATCTCTGCCTCACCTGCCCCCAGGCCTGCCTCGCCGCGCCGATGTAAGACTTCTCCATTCATTACCTACTGCCTCCCCCCTCTGTCTTTCTCCAACCATGTCTGTCATGATGGACTCCTCCGCCCACTTCCATCAACCAGCACACCTGCATCGCGTGCATTCCGCCATTCCCAGTCACCACTCTCTGCACCCCATCAACAGCAGAGGCGGCATTCAAAAGCGTACAGCACTGCCTCGGGATCGTTCCGTATCAACCGCGCAGGCCGAGCGACTGCATCACTTGGCCGCAGACCAAGCACACCAGCCTTCCAATCGTTCCGTCAACTCGCCAGCCTTATCTGCGCATTGGTTGACTCCACAGCCATCGCCGCAACCGCACGCATACCCTGCCGAATCCTCCGCCGAAGCTCTTCCGCAATGGACCGTCCCAACACCGCCCAAGTCGGACCCGGGCGTGCATCAAATCATGACAATCGGCTCCAATGACGTCCAAGCACCCGCCGGCACCTTTGACCATTTCGATCAATCGGCCGCTGCTGCTGCTTCCGCGGAAATGAGGTGCGTCTGGTGGTGCTCGTGAACATACTCGCCAGCTAGCTAACGTGATTGCAGCTCGCTGGGCTATCTTCTACCCTCACAATACGGGGCGCCCAGTGTCGAGGGAGAGTCGAACAGTGAGTTCCACGACACGCCAACACCATCCTGTGCGACCAAAAGCTGACGTGACCAGACTATGCGATAGGGCCCAACTACAACCACGCCGTCCGAGTATCACAGCCAGCGGCATCGACGGGTGCCCCGGCATACACGCCAACGATCTCGTCGAGTCCGGCAATCTACCCACACAAGCCTGCGACCGTCCCAAGCACTAGGGATCGACGGCCCTCCGAGGCATCGATCGCGACGCACACCGATTCCCCTCACATGCAAAGCTACAGACGACCCAGCAATGCCTACGAAGCGATCCCAACGACCGAGTTCCCCATGGGTTCCGGTCACACCGTTCCGTCCATGGGTGGGATGAACCAGAACGCCATGCCGTCACCAAGCGTGAGGTCGCATTCTGCACACAACGTTATGCATCAATACCACCCGAACGCGTCGAGGTGTGCAGAGCATAGTACGCCTTTCTTCAGAGCAAAGACTAACGACGAGTTCAGAACTCCCAACGCGTACGAGAATGCAATCTACGCGCAATCCTTTGCCACTCCGCCGGCAGCAGCAGGCAACATCTACGCGCCTTCCACTCACCATCCCCTAAGCTATCCGCCTCCCTTCGTGGGCAGCAGCGTGAATGAGGCACTTTCAAAGCCGCTGGGCAGCGACTCGTCGATACGGATACTCAACCAGAGACCCAAGCCCCAGTGCTGGGAGCATGGATGCAATGGACGGCAATTCTCGACATTCAGCAACCTGTTACGACACCAGCGCGAAAAGTCTGGCACGGCGGCGAAATCATATTGTCCCAAGTGCGGTGCCGAGTTCACCCGGACGACTGCGCGCAACGGCCATCTGGCTCACGATAAATGTACCAAGCAAGGACGACCATCGGAAGAAGCGAACTGAGCGGCCATCATGATACTACTGCTTCTTGTTTCGCGCGTGCGCGCGCGCTTTCTTTCATCACTGCCAGCCTTTCACCAACACTACTCGGCGGACACACGTTCCTAATACCCACTGCGAGGGCAATGACTTAATGATGCGCATGACGGGTTTCGGGCGATGGAAACCAGTCGAATGATACACACGAGGGAACAGACAGCTACAAGACATTCACATTTTTTACAAGCACTCAGTATGCTCCCATCTCAATCGTATCCAGACCGCTCATCCCCTATGCATTACCCTCGGCCAAGCAAGCAGCACCCATCACACCTCAAGCCCCTCCAAACCCACAGCTCCAAGTTAGGGCAAGACTTGTCTGGTTTAGAAGCCCCCCATGGCAAGCCCGGCACCCCGTAAGCAGTCTTTGGCGCTGCCGATCCGTGCTTGCCGCGACCCCCGTACTGTACGAGCCACGTTGTCCCGCTGGCTGCCCGCATGCCAGCAAGCAGTAGAGTTTGCGACTAACGTGGGCCCGCCTAACGTCAAGCTTCCCAGCGCACGCCGCACGCGTGCGTGCACGGCTAGGAGACTGAGAGAGCGGGAAATTCCCATGTGGAGAAGGCAGGCAAGGCATGCCCATGTGGCTCTTTGCCGGGCGTACCTGGTCCTTGGTAACAAAGCCTTGGCTGGGTAATACTCGGGCGCGCCTCTGCGGTTTGGAATATTTTCTTCGCATATGCCTATCCTGGCGTGACGGGCACATCATTACTACATCCACACGTTGCGATGCTCATCGACCGTCAAGCACAGCAGCGGCTGGACGCCCCGTAATCTGCCCTTTGCCCGTTCGGTTTGGAATACGATTGGCCGAGCTTGTCAGCCGGGTGGGAATACCAACACCCGCTCCCGGCTTGGGACTGGTTCCCAACTCTCCTCCACTATCGCATCGCACGGCCGCAGGCTGAAAAGCTTCGGGCCCGAAGGCATTGGTCCCGATGATCTTTCTATTCGTGGCGGAGGGCGCAAAAGAGCTGCCTGCCGTCGGCAAGGTTCAAGGTGAGAGTTATACGCTTGCGGGGCGCCGGTTTGATTAGGTCTGAGACCTGATTGCTATATTCAGCGCAACAGATTGGAACTGCCGCAGCCTCCAGATGTACAGCCACACTCTAATCTTGCGAGATGAAAACGGTCGTAACTGTCGACGTTGGCTGCGGAGGCCTGGCGACTGACCGTTGTCTGCGATTGGAAAGTGGTTTGCTCGGCGCACATCTCTGCATCGCACAGCATCCGGCGCTGCCCACTGCCTGACTCACGTTGCTCCGTCGGCTCCACATCAACGACGACGGTGTGAATGGAAGAGTTGACTCGCGAATTGCACCAGTCTCCATCACACTTGGCGCCCAGATACCGGCGTGAGCACGAGACGCTCGATCAGTGCATGGGTACATTCAACAGTGTCAGCGCATTTGCTTACGGAGCTGTGCCGATCGCGGTGTCAGCCTCCGACCACTACCGTTTAGGGCGCTGCTTTAGCAAATCGTGACGATATGCCCCGGGCTTGTGCTGTGATGCGATTGCAATCGAAGTGCTCATAATCTGTCACGTGTGATCACTCTTGGACTGTTTCCTAGGCCTGACATAGTCGAGTGTCGCTAAAAGAGGGTCGGGTAACAAGTGAGGGTAGCTGCCATTACACCAGTGATCACTCGAGTCCCATTCCATCATCAGACAGCAGACGTCGATGAGAGTGACTTCGTGTCGTCGCAATCCAACCCCAGATTCCGGAACACTGCGGTCATGTAGGCGCTGGAGGAGCATCAAGCATCCAGTCCCGTCCACCCGTCCGCCCAAGATCTCGCGCACGCGGCGCCGGGCGGGAATCCTGATGAGATCTCGGGAGCGGGCCGAAGCGATGTCATGTCCACCTCACGACTCGAGCGAGTCGGGCGACGTTTATTCATTCTCACTGCGTGACCACAAAGACATCATGGAATCAGCCAACTGGCCATCGTTCACGCAGTACTACGTGGACCTTTCTTGAGCGACTCCACGCATTCCGTTCCCTGCCGTCACCGGTATATCCATAGCCAGGATGTTGCCACGACTGTGCACACTCTTTCAGATACACTATTCCCACACCAACTCTCGATATTTAAAGAACCAAAGGATACGATCCGGATGACACGTGCTCTGATTTTATAGGTCTGCCCAAAGACTGAAGTCCTTTGTCTACGGACCAAACTCATCTCATCTGGCTCGAAATGGCGTCTATCTTTACATTCGATCCTGATCCGCCACGAGTGGATTCTCCTTGGCTCCGCGGTGTCGGCGGCGATGGCAAGCCTCAAACCGAGCTCTCTAGTGTGCCAGACAAAGAAGACCCTCGCCACGGCAAGGGTGACAAGTTAGCACGGTCCCTGCGGAACATCCGCCTGGAAGCTGAGCCGCAGGAGGGCCCTGTGGAGTACAAACTACACTTACTCCTTCGTCCGCGTCGAAGATTCATCTATGCATCTACAAGCACCAGTGGGAGAAGCTACAGTGTATACGGCGAGGAACGAATCGAGCCTTTCGCAGATCTCGAGCGATCCAGAGTCGCACCTGGACCTGCATCCGAGGCTTCAACTCCGCCCCTGGGTTCCACGTATCAAACCCGCCAACACAGACTGCAGCAATTGACTACGCAGCTACTGTGGCGGCTTCAGCAGTCATCACCTCATCACTCCTCGTCAGCGACCAATATCATTTTGCCTAGTCTGCCGGAGCCTCTGCCCGAATTAAATGCACCGGACTTTCCTGCAAGACTCGTGCACGGTCTAGAGGAAAGCAAAGGCGCGCTTTACGAAATTGGAGTGGCCGACGATGGAACTCTGGTTGGGTTGACCGAGGACGAAATGCAGGAAAGCCTGAACAACCTCCGTGCCATGGCTGCTTGTTTGGGATGTGCCATCGAAATCCTCCGTCGAGAGGTCGTTGGAGAGTGCGAGTGGATCGAGTCTGTCCACCATGAAGCTGAGATCCGAAGAACTCGGCACACCGGAAATCTGATCGTCGTGGAAGCTATGGTCAAGCCGCTGCTGCAGCCCGTCAATCCGGACGCGCGAAGCGCCAAACCCGAGAACAACGGTTTGCATCACAAGACCGAGAGCGCAGCTACCCATGCTTCTACTGAACAGCTACGAGTCACCTTGACCGGACCAACCATGTCTGGCAAATCCTCACTACTCGGCACCTTGACAATGTCAACCCTGGACAATGGCCGGGGTCAGAGTCGGATCAGCATGCTGAAGCATCGTCACGAGATCAGTTCAGGTGTTACCAGCTCCGTCACTCAAGAATTGATCGGCTATGCGGATGAAGAAGACGTGAATGCCAAGGTGATCAACTATGCCGCGGAGAACACGGCCTCGTGGATTGACATTCATGTTGGCGCGAGCAGCAATAGACTCGTCTTCATCTCCGACTCTGCGGGCCATCCGCGGTACAGACGGACGATCTTGCGCGGACTGGTCGGCTGGGCGCCTCACTGGACACTTCTATGCGTACCCGTAGACGACACCGATTTCTCAGTCGGAAGAGATGGGAATGGAGACAGCTCTCAGCAACATCTCGGACTCGGAAAACCTGACCTGGATCTCTCGCAAGCGCAACTGGACCTTTGTCTGACTTTGAAGCTGCCACTCGTTATTGTCATCACCAAGCTTGATCTAGCCTCAAAGTCCGGCCTGAAGATTACATTATCGAAAATTCTCGACACTCTCAAAGCCGCGGGAAGGAAACCGGCAATCTTCCCTCGTCCGGCCGCGAATGGTTCGGAAGATGACTTGCAATCAGTCAGTGGCACCGCCATCGATGCAGCCTACGATGTGGTGCTGCCGCTTTTGAATGACCCTCTGCAAGCCGTCCCCATCGTTCTGACTAGCGCCGTCCGAGGCACCGGTATCGACAGCCTGCATGCTCTACTGCACGAATTACCGATCCCTGCACCGTCTGCTACATCGTCTCCTGGCTCTGGATTCCTCTTTCACATTGAGGACGTCTACACTCGACCCGCCGGCGAGGAAGGTGTCATAGTCTCGGGACGTATGCGTCAAGGCAAAATCGGCGTCAACGACATCTGTTCCATAGGACCCTCATCAATCCACGAGCAAGCCGCGTACGAAGACAACGACCATCGACAAGTTCGCAGACCCCAAGCACACCTTCCGACCTCTCGGTCCTTCCCCGGCGCCTATCGCGACACAAAGCTTCTGCAAACTCACATCCAGCCGCCAGGCCAAGTCTGGCTTCGCTGTAGAGTCTCGACCATCCGCAACCTGCGCCTCCCCGTGCCAGAACTCAGCGCAGATCAAGTCGGCACGCTGGCCATCGTTCCCATCGACACGAATTGGAGCAGCAACGGGCTGAGCGGCATCCGCAAAGGCATGGTCGTCAGCTCCATCCAGCCGCAAGCGACTCGCACTTTCGTCGCGGAGTTCAAGCGGGAAGACTTGACTTCGCTCGCCGTCGGGAATCACGTGGTAGTCTACATTGCGAGCGTACGAGCGTCGGCGCGGATCGTGTCTGCCCGCACGCCGGATTCACCGATAGCTACTATGAGGGGAGAGTCAGACGGCTCGCAGCCTTTCGACTTCGAGGAGCTCCAACAACCCATTGGAGACGTTGTGGAAGAGGAAACTCAGCGCGAAAGTGCTACTACTATTGCCGGCGCAGTCACTGCTCCACACCTCCTCGTCACTTTCGCTTTCGATGCCGCACGCGAATTCGTGTTGGTCGGAGACCAGGTGCTAGTCATGCCCGGCGGAGGGCCAGGCCTGTACGGCGGACAGGAAAGAGGCGAGAAAGGCATCGCGGGACTGGAAGGGTTCGTGGGCCGCATTGCAGAAACATATCCATAGCATTTGAGCAAATCATAAGCAACACATCAGAAGCGATATTTGTAGCAGCCACGCACCTCGCCATCACCACACTCTTAACAATCCTCATTCGAGGCGGAAGTGCAGTGGGCGGGAAGCGCCACGCCGCCAGCCACAACTCCCTCCACACAACCTCACCTTCTCTCGGCCTTGTGAGGCGGAGCGAAAAGTCGGGAAGCAGAAGAGTTTTCCGTGCTCCTTACGCCCTTGCGGACTTGTCGGAGACGCGGCGGAGTTGGGCAGGTTCGCTTTCCCGCGTGGATTACTGAGCAGATCTCATGGACCTTGAGGAAGTGCTCCACCTTGCCACGCGGGTGTTTACGTTCGCTCGTTGCAGCTTGGGAATTGTGGAGGAGGAGAAATGAGGGAATGAGAGGTGGGAGTGAGATGTGCCATTGCGGCACAGTATGGCTGGGGAGGGTATCTTGACGCTAACATAGTAGGATTGCGGCAACAACAGTGATCACGAGGCAAAGCCGACTCGTTTCGTCTTTGCGTCGTTCGCCATGTGCTCCAGCATTCGATTCATGCCACCGAGATCCAGCTCGCCGGCGTCGAGCATGAGTTGGTCTCTGGCAGGCGGCGGAAGCTCGGTAGGCGCGGGCGCGGAGAAGAGTGGTCTAGACGACGTCGGTGGCGCGAGATTCTGCGCAATGATGAAGCGATGTTCCGCCGAGATGAGCAGGTCGCGCTGCGTGTTCATCTGCCCGAGACTGCTGGTCTGCGCTGCACTCGATGCGAATTGCGAGATGGAGGTGATGTGCTCGTTCATGAGGTCGATGTCGGTGATGTGCGTGAGGCCGGGGGCGTAGAGGGAGCCGAAGCCGCTACCGCTGCTGTTGTTGGTGCTTCGCTGCCAGAAAGCCTGCACGCTTGGGATCGAATAGATGGCGCCGTCGTACCATAGAACCAAGCTTTCGTCCACTTGTCCAGATCGATGCGCGGTGTATGCAATTGAGATTCCGCCTGTCGATGCAGTGCCGGGGGTTCTGGGCGAGCCGCTAAAGAGGTTCTCGGCCTTTGCTTTCCTCGTGTTCGGTGTCATGGGAGCCAGTTTCGAGCCGGCTTTCTTCTGCTTGCCCGCGTCTGCGACCTCTGCAGTGCTAGAAGTGCCCAGGAAACCGTGGATAGCGAAGTCTTCATCAACGTTTTTGTTGCTCACTGCTGTGCTGGTCGAGCTCCAAATGCCCCATTCACCATCGTGGAGTAGGGCAAAAATGGCGCGACCACCGAGGATCCACTTGGCGTCTAAGATCTTTTTACGTCTCGCAAGCGAAGCGGTGCCATCCGGGGAGAAGAATGGCGTCAAGTAAGATGTGACCCATCTACGTTCCGTACCATGCACGGCGTGAGCCGAAGTGATGGAAGTGCGTGAAGATGGTCGTTGAGTAGAAGTTCCAAGCGCTGGGAGCTCGAAGATGCGGACGGCGCCAGAGGTGTCCGTAATCGAGAGTTGGGCGATTCCCGAAGAGGGGTGGAAAGACACTTTCCGTCCAGTCAAGGCTAGGCGGGCGATGGGATCTGTGCTGGTCTCGAGCTTCGCCGTAGGATCCGCCTTTAACCCTAATCGCCAGATGTTTACGGCCTTTGCAGTGCTAGCAACCAACACCTGCCCAGCGATCAGCCGATCCTGAGCTTCCGCCCGCGGCTCACCGTCCACTGGCAGTATCTTGATTGCCAAATCATTCGCAATGCTCCCATCTGACGAAAGTGCCACCTCTTCAATCACCTTCTCCACCCATACTGCCCTGTCGTAGGAAGCAGGAGGCGCCAGCGGAATTTTGAACAGCGTGTTCATGCCATTGGAGTACGCCAATGCCACAAACATGTGACTTTTCGTGAGGTCGAGCAGTGGTGAGAAAGGCAGCGAGGGGAAGGAAGGCACGGCGATGCGAAGGACGGCGGCGCCCACTTCGATATCGACATCCTGTGTGATTGTAGGGTAGGGGCAGTCTGAGTCTTGCTCGTCTTCCTCGCCTTCGTACTCGTCTTGATCGCCGTCAATCATCATCGCATGCTCGCTCCTGCCGAGACCGTTTGCTCGCCCGCGGGAGGACTTTGGTGGCTGCTCTCGTACTCTCCGCCCGCCTCGCCAAACGATGCGCAAACCCTTCTCATGGCCATACAAGAGAACTGTTGAGCCGTTCGGGGCTGCGATGGGATAGATGGAGGAGCAGTGGATGCGGTGTGACACTTCGTAGCTGTTCGTTTCAGTTAGCGGACATGCTCTCGATTACGTCACGGTTGCGGAGGGTTGACCGACCTCAGACGAAGCTTTCTGTCTCGTTTCCATACTCTCGGTTCTGTCGCCATCGTGGGCGGTGCAGCAAGGTAGTTGTGAGGTGGACGAGGTGGGTGTAGAATGACGGAGTGGGTGGGTGAAGTTCGAACAAAGTACGTTAACAAGCTTCGGCGACGCGCCGTATCGCGTCTCCCTCAACTTCCACCCCACCTCAAGTTTCCTTGTCGTTTACGCACACTTCACTACACCACTGACGTCCACGCATGACTGCAGAAATATGAACAGTGTGGTCACCTCTCTCACGGACCGAGAGGATGGCAGGACACGAATCGCCAGCGGCCCTGGCCTATCTGGTTTCTGAAGGACTGCTACCGGCGAATCCCCTTCCAGAGCTGTACCAATGGGAATGTCATGCTTCATGGGACGGAGACGATGAGATCCAAGAGGAAATACTGGCCACCAAGGACTGTGTCGTCTGGTCACATGGGCAATTTGTCCAGAATGTGTATCGCTTCGAGCTCGAGGGAGAGGCCGTCGTTCAAGCCGTGTTGACACAGTTCCCAACGGTTGACAGCATCGTCACGCGCTTGTCCAAAACTTCCACTGCCTCCACAGCCGTTCCAAATCCTCAGAAAGGTCCACGGCGCCATCATGTGCCCGGAAGGAGGACGTCATCAAGCTCCGTCGAATCATCGACTTCCCGGGCGCTGATCGTGTTCTTGAAGACCAAGGCACATGTGCACTTCCTAAATGGCTCCACTCATATCCTCGACCTGCCCGTCGAAGTCGAGAAGGCTTTTCCTGCGCCATGCGGTGTCATCGTGCAAAGAAAATCATCACCTACCCCGTCATTGCCTCCAACGCCGCAATTTCCTAGAGCACCACCCAGTTCTTTTCTATCCCCAAGGAACTGGCAATCGGCATCCTTTCTGGCGTCTCCAACAGTTGCAAAAAGCTTTGGCGGTACGCCGCCATCCCGTTCAGATCCACTGGCGAGCAAGAACCGACTGGATGCTCTGTTTCAAGATGCTTTTGGCAGTCCTGGCGAGCCTCACGATGAGGATCTGGCCCCTTTATACTCCTTGACAAACCCTCTAGCGGACTTTGGAGTTGTAACGTACTCTTCGCATAATCTCAAGCCACGACTGTCGAGCAAGTCGCCATCCGGCATGAGCGTGGAATTCGAGCCTCTGAGTGCCAGTGAGCAGGTGGTCTATGTTTCACCGACGGATGAACTGAGGAGCGGGACACGATCAGACAGCGGATCACTTATGCTCATCGTCACTACGAATAACGAACTCCATACTCTCACAATCTGGCATGCGTGGCAAGTCCAAGAGAGGTCTCTGGCTTCGCTGATGAAGCAAAGAGCGGCACAAAAGGCTGCAAGTGCAAGACGGCGAAGTTCTTTCCTTAGCGCCAGCATGGTTGCGACTGGGACAACGACGCCTGGAGTTCGCCAACGAGAGGGGACCCGCGAAAGTATGGCCGCTGCGGGCTCCATTCGACTGCCCAGTGAACTCGCAGCTCCCCATCCCGGCCCTTCTTCTTCCCGGAAACCCACGAGACAGGAGGAGGAAGACGCCATGGCATCGCAGATGGATCCAGACTATCATCCTACAGCTTCGCAGCAGAATGCCAGAGAAAGCAGGCGAATCAGCTCTATGAACTCCGATGTCCGAGGCAGCCAGAATGCAGCACATGCTGCTTCTAGCGTGCCCGGTGGACGGCGAAATACTTCGTTTGGTGGATACAACGATCGCAGAAGTTTCGGTCACCGCAAAAGTCGTGGCTCCACCCCCGGAAGTACATTCAGTCGAAGTCTCGGCCCGGATGATGACTCCATGGATACCAACGGCGATCTGGATATCAATGGAGATGAGACCGTGGAGGCCATTATGCGACAGATCCGAGCTGCCTCTGAGGCTGCCGGCGCTGAGAATATCTTCGGTGGCGGCGATGGCGACTTGAAGAAAGAGCTTGTTGCCAGGAAGCTCCACTCAATCCCGCTGGCCTTCGATCACTCGTCGGTGGGCATCACTGCGAATGCAATCCAAGTGGCTACGCTTGGGGATAGCTTGCCGCTGCCAGAAAGCAATGATCAGAGACTCAACGTGTATATACATGAGCGAGCCACTAACACACTCACAACCTTACACTTCTTGGTGAAGCATCGGACTCTGAACCACATGCCAGGCGCGTCATCCAATGTTGCCGTTCCGCTACTGGTTCACGAATCGAGGATTGAGTCATGTGGTGGGATCACCAAAATCAGAGACAAGGGTAGGGAAGCTTTGTTGCTTGAGGGCCAGGGCTTGCTCTTCTCGCCAGATGACCGGTCGCCGTCAGAACCTCAGATAAACGCTTCTGAGCTTGGGAAGATCAGGCTGCGGCCGGATTCTGGTCGAATAGAGAAGCTACTCAGAGTCTGCCGACTCGTGCTCCTGAGACAGCAAGGCGCGAAGATGCTGCCTCTCTGGCACACCGCGCACGCTTGGTTGTTACGAAATCCATCAGTCCTCCAGACCACTGCTGCTGATCCCGAGTGGCTGGCATTTGCAACGACTATCCTTGGACTGGTTCTTCCAGCCCTTGATGATGAGACCAGATCAACCCTGCGAAGCTTGCCGGCCGAAGGCTTCGAGTCTGTTTGGAAAGCTAGGCTGCTACGGCAACAGCAAGAATCCATGCTATCCATGGACGCGGCCTGGCGCTGGATGTACAGAGAGGAAGTTCCGAAAGGCCACGAGTCACAAAGAGACGCTTTCCTCACCATTGCCGCTTCGCTCGCGAATCAACTGGATCAGTCTACGCCGCAGCGGGCTGGTGAACACTCTAGCTCACAGATCAGAATGACAGGCATCAAATTGATGCTGGGTCTTCATGTGTTCAATGAGGAGCAGAAACTCTGCACTCTCAACTCAGGGTCTTCATCATCGGCTTTCTTGCCGGCGATCATTGCACAACTTGGGAATTGGCTGGGCGTGCGACCATGGAGCTTCTCGCCTGGTTGCTACTACCACATGGAAGGGGCGCGTGAAGAGCGATGGCAGTTTGTCCGGTCTCAGATGCGCGACTCTTCGGATCCCATTCCCTTGATGCCAGAGCCGGTGGGCATCACACATTGGTTCGAGCGTGCTCTTGAAACACATTCGGATGAACAGTATCCCACATTGGACATTATTGCGTCGCTAGACACCGGACCAACCCTATCGGGTGAGTACAAAACTGAGTGTACCCAGTCAACCCCTCGAATCGAAACCCTGTCTGGTTTGCTGGCATCGACTTCTGGCTTCGCGAAAGATGCTGCTACCACAGTCGAGGCCATGGCTAGCCATCTCATGACAACTGAGATGCTAGAAAGCATGCCATCTGGCATCGCCGCTCCGTTCAGAGAAGCGATTGCTAGGTGTGAGAAAGAGCCGCGCACCACATGGTCCTCAAGCTTGTTGAGTCTGGTTGGGCGAGATGATCTCGACACCGACACGAGAGCGCAGCCTCTCCCGTTCCCGCATTCCACTTTCCCCGCTCTTCTTGCCACAAAGGATGTTCAGACGGTCTGCAACGCACTAGACCATCATCCTCACATCGGCAAGACAAAGGAAGCGAAACGCCATGCTGTCTCGCGTTTGATCTTCAACGAAGACCGCCGTTTGGTGGAAGCGGTCAGCTTGATGCACTACAACAGCCCGCAAGTGGCAGAATGCCCCAAGCAGCCAGACTGGAGCGATGCACACCACCTCGAGCAGCAAAGGAAGCTCATGCAGTGGGTCACCATTCGCATGATTGCCTTGCCCGCTGGGGATGGAATGATACACTTCGACTCTCAGACGCCTCTATTGACGGACCGATACCACCTGGCTGGTTTCAGCAATTCTTGCTTGATGCAACCCATGGGCCACACAATGACGACTGACAAAAGCGGGCTCACCGAGGAGCGGGTGAACTGGGCATACTTCCACGCTGGTGTGTCTGCTGGTCTCCGTATCTCTCGCACCATAGAAGGCATCGATACCTCGTGGATTGCCTTCAACAAGCCGAATGACCTGACGAATCGACATGCCGGACTACTGTTGGCTCTGGGCCTCAATGGCCACCTGCGCAATCTGGCGAAGTGGCTGTCGTTCAAGTATCTCACCCCGAAACACACTATGACGTCTGTCGGTCTGCTTCTCGGCCTGTCCGCATCGTATATGGGCACTATGGACACTCTCATTACTCGCATGCTCTCAGTACACATCACTCGGATGCTTCCTCCTGGCGCGGCGGAGCTCAATGTGTCGCCCATCACTCAGACAGCTGGTCTTATGGGCATTGGCTTGCTGTACTACAATACGCAACATCGTCGCATGAGCGAGATCATGCTATCAGAGATTGAACACATGGAGCTCGAAGATCCCGACAGCGGACCGGATCCTTTGCGAGACGAGTCATACCGTCTTGCTGCCGGGCTTGCGCTGGGTTTCATCAACCTAGGTAAAGGCAAGGACCTTCGCGGCCTCCATGGCATGTACCTTCCCGAGCGGCTTTTGGCTATCGCTGTCGGACCCAGACCAGTCCACGCTGTACACGTCTTCGACAGAGCTACAGCTGGTGCTGTCGTTGCTGTTGCTCTGGTGTATATGAAGTCAGGAGACCGAGCTATGGCTCACAAGATCGATGTGCCAGACACAGAAGCCCAATTTGACCACGTTAGACCCGATGTCCTACTGCTGCGAGCGATGGCGAGGCATATCATCTTGTGGGACGGCATCGCGGTCCAGGAGCCTTCGCCAGACAGGCCACAATGGATCTACGCCAATCTGCCGAAATGCTATCAAGTCCGCTACAAGTCTCTTCAGACTCGCGGATTTGCGCACTGTGCGAAGAGCTCCGACATCCCCTTCTTCAATATCGCTACAGGACTCGCGTGGGCGCTTAGTCTCAAATACGCTGGCACAGGCAATGTCCATGCGCGAGATGAGATTCTGACCCTGCTAGGCTGCTTTCCCTCATTCCCCGGTGGGATCGCTTCAGAGGCGTATGCCCGAGCATTCAACTACGACACCAGATTGACTCGATCCACTCTGCGTCGCTGCATGGACGTCCTCGCTGTGTCTGCTGCTACCGTCATGGCTGGTACAGGCGACTTGCAGACCTTCCGACACCTTCGCCGTCTACACGGACGCACGAACCCCGACACGTCCTACGGGTCTCATTTAGCCTCTCACCTGGCGATCGGCATCCTCTTCATGGGTGGCGGGACGTATACGTTTGGCACATCGAACCTCGCCATTGCGTCGCTGATCTGCGCCTTCTACCCTCTATACCCAACCGACGTGCAAGACAACCACGTCCACCTGCAAGCCTTCCGCCACCTCTGGGTCTTCGCAGCCGAAGCGAGGTGTCTCATCGTCGAAGACATCGACACCAAACAACCCATCTCAATGCCACTCCTCGTCTCCCTAAAAGACGGCACAACAAAAGCAATGACAGCCCCCAGCCTCCTACCCGAACTAGACAGCATCGCCACAGTGCAAACCAACGATCCCTCCTACTGGCGCGTAACGCTCGACTTCGCCGCCAACCCCACGCACCTCGCCGCCTTCAAACAAAACCAGCGCATCTTCGTCCGCCACTGTCCGGCTTCAGAAGCGCACACCTCCACCTTCTCCGCTACCCTTTCGGCGCTCAACGGCACCGACGCCGCTTCTCAATCCATCCAGCCTGCCAACTCCGTGCAGCAGACGTGGCAGAGCATTTTCGCCCTTCCCGTTTTCAAGGAGCTGGAGAAGGCGGAGTTGGAACTTGTCTTGCCGCCTGACGTGCACAGTTCTGTTTATACGGATGAGAGGGAGACGGTGGTTGATGATCGGTTAGCGCTTGTGCGGGGTGTAGAGGGTGGGGATAGGGGGGAGTTGTGGAATTTGAGGGTACTATTTGCTTGGGCGGAGAAGGTGAGGGATGAAGGGGATGGGAGGTTGAAGTGGATTGGAAGTGAGGTTGTGGATGGGTTGAGGGCGAGGATTGAGGAGAAGCAGAGGGTTATTCAGTGAATATGATTGAGTGAAGAGAATGAAGTGATGAGGAATGCATTCGATAGTTCACGTCTCCCTGGCTGCTGAATGCATGTGCGCTCCTGGCCATAGATTTGGGTATTGAAGTTTTCAACCAACACGTAGAAACCCTCTTCGTGTTTGACATCACCCTGATTGATATTGCTCCAGAAAGCGCTCTCGCCTCAACAGCCCAAGATGAGCAAACCAGATGCCGACAGGTACTGGTAAGTCTTCGTTTATTTCGAATGAAAGCATTCTGGTACTGACCGCCAGCAGCCTGGATTGCCCTCTCGTGCAGATCGTCGCCGATTATCAAGAGAGAAAGTTCTGGATTCACACGGAAGTTATCACCAAGAGCTCGGACTACTTTCGCAGACTTCTAAATGACGGCCGCCTCCATTTCGGGAATCCTCTGGTGCAGCCAGAATGGGACGCTGGACATTTCAACGCCTATGCCAATTGGCTGTACACCAACGTCTTCCAACCGAGTCTCTTGGGCCGCGGCTGGGAAATCGACTACGAAGGTCTGCTTCCACTATACTTCTTGGCTGAGAAACTCGAAGACATGAGGTTCCAGAACGTGGTGCTCGACTTGATGGCAGACCGGTATTCGAAAGAGCGGGAAGACACCAGAGCAAGAGTGAGAGAGTCACTCCCAAATCCGAAAGACGTGCTGTATATGTACCTCCACACGGCCGCCGGCTCTCGCGGGCGAAGGCTCTTCGTTGACATGTTCGCCTTCGGAGCCGCGGCTTTTGATGCAGTGTCAGAATGCGAGGGTTGGCCGGCAGAGTTCACCATGGACCTGGCGTTGCGGCTACTCTCACTTCGCCCACACCCTGTTCGGCAACCAATCGAGAGAGACTGGCACCAGGCTCTGCGAGACAGAGACGAGACGAGAAGGGCGAAGGAAAAGGCGGAGAAGGAGGAGCGGGAGGGGCTAATGGTGATGGATAATGGAGAGGACTGGGAGGCGGTGCCCGGGAAGCAATGAGGATTGAACGGGTTCCACTAGAGCCGGAAAGCGAATACCAGAAGGAGCGCGGTAGTCCGGCAGACAATCGACATCGAGAGGAGGATGTGACCAGGGAATCCCGCGAACTCCACCAGATTGACGGGGGGTGGACCTCCGTACAAGGGCTGTGGTTTGGCAGGCACTCGACTTCGATATGAGGATGTGTCCGAGAGGATGCCATGTGGAGCGACCCGCAGAGCCCTGAAAGGCTGCCAGAAAGCTTCGAGAACTCAGGATTTCGTTCGTCCACTCGGCGGACCTCATTTTTCCCCTCCCTTGCCCTTTCCACTCCGCTTCTTGTCTTCCCTCTTCCCACCACCGGGTGCTTCATCCTTGGCCGTGGCCTCTTTCTGCCTTCCAGTGCCAGCAATCAGATCCAGCATACTTTGATCGCCGTCGTCTTCGTATTCTCCGGCCTCATCAGCACCCTGAGTCCATGTCAGTCGCGTAAGCATGTAAAAGATCTTTCTCACAACTTACCTCAGCATCAGCAGCATCCACATCAAAGCCACGGCCGAATCGCTGTCGAAATCTCCTCAGCTTTCCCGCCTCATCTTCTTCGACGTTCAGCAGCTTTTGACTGCTAGGGTTCCAGAGTGCGGTATTCTTTGTGTCCTTGGTGGTCTTATATATCGGCTGCGGCGATGTGGTGCGGTGTAGGAAGGTACTGCCATCGGAAAGGGTAATGAGTTGGGTGAAGGTGTATGGTCGCTTTGGCCGGCGGATGAGCGTCGCGTGACGGACTTGCTGGGCGCAGATGGTGCACCGAGGCCCCACTGAGATACGAGGAGCGGCGGAGGAGAGCATGATCGGATGTAGGCGAGGATCAATGGCGATGTGAAGACGTGAGGTTTGATCGTTGGAGTGAAAGTTAAGTTGCGGCGAGCTTCGGGAGAGCCAAGACCAGACGACTTTTTATTGGTCGGCTGCACATATCGCCGACCGTAACATCATCGACCACTTCATCTCGACCTTTGCACCTCGCGTGCTTCTTCTTGCACTTACGGCAGGAGGCCTATTCTGCCTCTTCGCCCTCAATCATCATGCGCGAGCCGAGTTCAGCAGCTCGGCGTTTCTATCGTGCCTTCTACCAATGGACTGTGCTCACAACTCAACGCCAGCACGCATCACCAAAAGTCTCGTCCAAGACGCTGGTCCATGTCCGCCCGCTCAGTTCTACAGCCTCGCTGCTGACAAGAGGGCTCGAATACAAGACTGGATCCAAATCTGTGCTATGGCCACGCGGAGATGTCGATCGACGAGAACGTCAAAGCCAACACGCCTCCTCCGCGACGCCCCTTCCGTTCCCTTCCTCACAGCTCAACGGCAGTGCAATATCAAGCCTCGACCGACCCTTCGATACGCTCCAACCATGGGAGACAGTGGTACGCTACCGCTCTGACCATGGCATCATGATCGAAACTGCCATCCCCGCCGACAGCCTCTCTGCGCTCGAGCGTCGCCACGGCCGCAGCCTACAACGTCTTACTCGCGCCTCTTCGAGCGAAAGCGATGAGGTCCCAGTTACCATTGATGTCGGCGACCAGGCTGTGACGCAGCATGTCGAGGGAAAAAATGCAGTGCGGGTGGTCAGTGTGATATACAGTGGGACTGTGGAGCAATGTACGCGCGTGCATTCTGAACTGCTCGGGACTGCCACAAATCCAGCTACTGCAGGTCGCATGCCATCCCGAAAATTGGAGTGGACCAAGAAACCCCCCATGCCGCAAACAAAGGTTCCAACCTCGTCCCTGACCCTGTTCTCCTGGGTTCTTCGGGAGAAATCACCCGACGGCAACTTTATCACAGCCGAAGTGGTATACCCTGGCGCGCTATGGCACGGGAGGCTGCGAAATACCATGCGCGGCCTTACACCGATCCGAGAAAGCTCTGGCGCAGAGATCATTGTCAAACCTTCGTTTGAGGTGTTTGAGGAGCTCAGAGGCAAACGCTGGTGGCAGCCTGTAATAGTGAAAGGCTCTTTGGAGCAAGTCGTGCTGGTAAAAGATTCTTTCTATGCGCTATTTGGTCCGATCGATTTTGTGAAAGGAGTATCGAGCGAGTACAAAAGGGGCATGGACGATGGAGGACTGCCTGTTGAGCGCGCCAGCGTGGATGCAGAACGACCACTCTCCGGATCCTCCGACATCGAAACGCCTACGGCAGCACATGAAACGAAGCGCTCAGAGTTGCCACTGTGGGAGCGAGACTTACCCAAACTCGACAATCGACCAGTGGAGAGCTTGGTTCCTTTCGCGCCTTGTCTTCGAGCACGTTCACCAGATCTTCGCCAGGTGGTTGTGGAGATTGTATATCCCAAAAACTACTGGGAGTGGTTCATAACGATCAAGAGCGGTGATTGGATCAACGAAGTGCTCGCCCGTGGAAAACCGATGATTCAAGTCGGCAATGACTTCTCTGCGCTGCCATTTTATGGGAAGCCTGGCGCATCTGAGCGGGCCAAGCCGCTCCGCTCTACGCCCGGATTGTCGACGCCAGTCATTTTCTCCGGAGGCCTTGAAGATGTGCAGCAAGCCATTGCTAGACTAAGTGAGGCCCATCCTTCGTGGAGAGAGAGCAACTCGGCGCCGGATGAGCAGCGGGGGGCGGCGCAGGCACGAATGGCAGAGCAGCGGAGGGCGCGTGAGACGGTGCAACGCGAGGCGCCGAATATGCAGAGACAGGAGCCGCCGAAGATGGAGGAACAAGAGACGCAGAAGACGAAGAAACAAGACTCTCGGAAGATCAAGAACCAGGAAGCTCAGAAGCTCAAGAAACAGGAGGAGCAGAAGCTGGGGCGACAGGAAGAAGACATTGAGCCCGAGGCTGACAATGAACAAGAGCCTGCGCCTGTCAGCGATGCAAGGCCACATTCAACGTTTGATCGCCTCTTCATTCCTGCGAAAGCATCCGACTTCCTCGCCACGAAGATTGAAGACATCAGATCACAATTCGGTGATTGCGACATTGAATTCGCACATGAGGCTACGGCTAACGGAGATGTGTCGGAACCCGGGCACATGACGCTTGTAGCGCCGAACCTGGAGCAGTTGGCATCGATGAAGCGATTGATCAGCCGACTTGTCGTACAGGCACTGGGCGTACGAACCAAGGTACAGTTTGCCTTTACAAAGTTCTTACCGCAGCAAGCTGAGCTCTCCGTTCCTGCGAGGGCTGTGGGATGGTTGAAGGTGAGACAGAGGGATATATGGCATCACACGGGCTGTCTGGCGACAAGTGATGCCAGAGATGAGGGAGCTGAGGAAGCTGGATTCCTTCTACGCGCAGCAACCTCCGACGAACTCGCAGCAGGCCGGCAATACATTGATCGTCTTGTGAAACGACTTCCTGATCCAATAGATATGAAGCCGTCGGCACACACCGTTCGCGAGACTCCTACTGAGGCGACTACGACTGCTGCAGAAGCAGACGACTTATCCGAAGACAACTTCACAAATCATGAGGAAACAAGCACGAAGATTGACCAACTTGAGAGCGCGCGTGGAGTCTTTGTAGGACCTCAGACAACTTCACCGGTATCTCAGAGAGAATCGGAGATTGGCGCTGGTTGGATTCCTGCGACTTCAATGGCTCGATCGATGCACGCTGCGAGGGCATATTCCACAAGCCCAGCACTGAGCCGCTCCTTGCCCGTCAATGCCCAGAAGGCGGCCGAGAAGTTGAAAGTGACCCACGATGCTCACATTGATCCGGAGCAACTGTCAGAGGACTTGAAACGTGCGCTGCGGCCCCTCACCCATCCGGTGGTTGTCATCACCTCCAGCATTCCTGCAAAACAAGAGAAGGCCGCCTCAGACTCCCCGCTCGCATTGGCCCGCGGCGTCACAGTCTCGTCATTCAACACAGTGTCTTTAACACCGACACCTATCATCTCCTTCAACCTCCGTGTGCCATCGCGCAGCTGGGATGCCATCAGCGCCTCGGGACGACTGGCTGTGCACGTTCTCACTGCTCGTCCACAAGGCGCCGCCCTAGCACACGCTTTCACGCAGCCGTACGATGAGCCCAGCGAGCCTTTCCATCGTCTTCAGCAGCTGGGTGTCGTGGTATCTGTATCACGACCAGATGGTGCCGAAACGCTGCCTACCTTGGAGTGGGACGGCGCGCTGATTGCACGGTTTGAAGCTACCGTGTTGGAGAGCAAGTGCATCAATGTCGGTGATCACATCATCGTCGTTGCGGAAGTGTATGATGTCTTCTTTCCTCCAGCGGCCGAAGGATCCGAGGGGGAGAATACGGAGGTTGATTCCGTCGAAGGTCTGTCGTACGCCATGAGAGGATATAGAGGCGTGGGACCGAACATCGACCCTGACGCATTACCTGATTCTCGATCCGCGCCCCAGAGACAAGCGACTCACGCAACAACGTACAACGCAGCCCCTGGCAACATTCCTGGCTCGCAGAAAGCAACATTTTCAACCCTCACCAGAGCTCGAATGTACTCAACCTATTCCATACCATCGAAAGGAGAATTTGCAGACCAGATCGAGGAAGGAGAACCTACAGCACAAATGGAAAAAGCAGAGTCTACCGACCAGGCCGAAAAGGCGAGGATCCAAAACGCAGTCTCCGATCCAGCGCTACTCTCTACAACAGTCGGCGACTTTTTCGACACCACCCACGACCTCTTTCCAGCCCGCCCAGCCATCCGAGGCATGATGCGAGCCCAAAAGACCGCACACGATGCCTCAAACCGGCTCAAATATGGTCTCGCGAGCGGGACACTGACTGGTGAAGAATCTCTCGAACTCGAGAAGATCATCACGCGCAACGAACGGCAGGCAACGAAGCAACTCGCTTTCGGGTCGGCGGGGAGGCTCCGCCGAATGCTGGACCACGGGCGTATGGATTTCAGGAATGCGCAGTGGATGGAGACTAATATTGAGAATGGCCAGGCTGTGCTCATTGCGCAGGCGAATGAGGTCAGGCAGTTGTCAGATGAGGGGAAGCTGGATCAGATGCAGTTTGCTGCTGTTAAGAAGCGGTTGGAAGAGGAGGGGCAGTTTCTGGCGACGGAGCTTATGAGGTTGAGGGAATTGGTCAATGAGGAGGATGAAGGCGATCGTGACGGTGGGAAGCCGAAGTTTGATGGGTTTCAGGGGAATGTGTGAGGTGGTATGTGCTACTCGTACATCTCGTAAGGACTTCACATCCCTCTTGTGACTCTATACCTCCCCTTCGCCGCTTTCTTCGCGTTCGCTCTCTTCTTGTTCGTCTCGTCGACCATCGATGCGGCTCTAATCATGTTCTCAGTCCTTGCCTTCCTCGACTCGTGCACGCTTCTTGGGTCGCCCGTCGTCGCCACAGCGTTCGGTCTCAAAGTGGTGGTGGAAGGCGCAGTTGCTGCCCACCAGGATCGTCGATTCAGCCGGGTCGCGTACTTCGGTCAGCGCCATACAGACATCGACGAAAAAGTCTGCAGGCACCTTGTCGCGCAGGCTTTTGAAGTGCGACTTGTTCCCCAGCTTGGCATATGCTTGTGCCAAGACCCTCCTGTGTCTATCATTCTTCTCCATCGTCCAGTTGTAGATCGTCTCAATGCAAATGGGGCCTGGAAGATGACCGTCATGAAAGTTTGCAATGAGTGCGTCAACGACACTGTTCTTGAACTCCTCATCTTGAAGACCCTCGCCAAGCAAGTAAAGATGGCCAAGCTCAAGGGATTGGAGCTCTTCAGGTTGGCTGCCAGTCCCAGTACGCGGTGACTTTGCTCTCGCAGTGAGTGGAATCGTCCTGGTATGGAGCCAATTTGCATAGGTGTTGAAAGTGATGGGTGCAGACGTGGGACAGGTCTCAAAGATATGAATCTCATTCTGGTTGTTGGAGAAACGGTGTCGGAGGAAGCCAGCAGAGGATGTAATGACTGAGCGTGGAAGGCTGAAACAGTCTTTGTCCGGCCCAACGAGGATCCTAACGGAGTCGCAACGAAAGCTGGGACAAGTCAGCCGAGCTCTATCAGCACAGGACTCCAGGGAAACTCACTTCAATGCATCGTCCGTGCTGCGACGTGGGTCGAAGTGGTTGGTCATCGTTGACACGGGTGAGGAGTGCACTCTCAGAGTGCAAGGATGGGCATCGACTGGATCTCAGCTGCGAAGCCCACAAGGTGAGAGGGAGGATTGAGGGTCGGAGTCAACGTGAAGGTACGTGTACGCGGAAGAGAAGGGATGAAGAGGAACGTGAACGAAGGAAGTGCAGGGCAGGGAGGGGCAGAACAGGGAGGGGCAGAGCAGGAAGGGGCAGGGGAAGAAGTTGCTGAATGGGAAGGTGCCAGCGAGGCAGGTGGTGCCCATACATGTACCTGCATGTAGGGTTCCTCGTGTCATGTGCTGGTACTGCGATCAGTTCATTTCATCTGAATCTCAGAGTCCGCTCAATTTCAATTCATCCATGGGTTACGCTGTGTTTCCCCTCCTCAAACTGGGAAAGAACTGATGTGAAGACTACTTGTCAGCCACGATCATTTCAACAAGGCTCTGGAATACAAAAGTATACATCTATCCAGTCCCGCCCATAGCCAACATCATCATTGGCGATTGACATAGTCCCTATTCTCCACCGTGACGCTTTTCGTCTGCAGGGCATCATCAGCATACATACAGAACAGATTCAGGGGACAGGAGAAAGACTTACCATGTGATTCACCTTGTACACCCCAACCAACCGTGATGCCAACTCAAACATATTGTTCCGCAGGGAAATGACAATGAACTGCGCATTCTTCGTGCGCTCCTTGATGTACGCCGCCACAATGGAGACCTGATCAAGCAGACAAACAAGTCAGCAAACACACTCTTCACCCAGCAGCAAGACGACGCAATTCACTCACATTCCTGAAATCCAACGCCGCATCAATCTCATCCATCACATAAAGCGGCGTCGGCTTATAATGATGCAGCGCAAACACGAGCGCCAAGCTGGACAACGTCTTCTCCCCGCCCGACAAGTTGCTGATGTTCTTCCAGCTCTTCTTGGGCGGCATCACGCTAAACAGAATGCCCTCGGAAAAAGGGTCGAGGGAGTCGACGAGCTCGAGCTCCGCGTTGCCGCCCATGGTGATCATCTGGTACATTTCCTTCAGCCGCATGGAAATGGTGGAGAAGCCTTCCATGAAGCCCTCGAGGCGCAGGCGGCGCAGTTCGTCGGTGCGCTTCTTGGCCGCGTCGCGGGAGGCGAGGGAGGTGTTGAGGTCGCCTAGGCGGGCGTTGTATTCTTCCACGCGCCGGCGGTATTCGCCTAGCACGGCCAGCTCGACGTGTTGGGATGTCCGCTCTTCGAGAATGGCGATGACGCCTTTGAGTTCCTCTTTGTCGAGGTCGTCGAGTTCGTCGCGACTCAGTTCCGGCATGGGCTCGGGCTCGCGCTCTTCGCCGTCTTCGCTGATGTTCTGTAGCACGAGCTTGCCCAGCTTTTCCTCCCAGTACTTCAGGCGCTTCTCATTGTCCGCTAGGATCTTGGTGTTCTCCTCCAGCTTGTTGCGCATCTCCAGCTCCACGCCGCGGGTCTCGTTGAGCTCTGCGGTCCGGGAGTCGAATTGAGCCTTGAGGTCTTGCAGCTCTTCCTTCTTGAATTCGAGCGCCTGCTGTGCATCCTCGGCCTGCTTTCGGAGGCCAGAGTTGTCGCTACTCCGCGCGTTCCCCTCTTCGTCGACATTGGCGAGTTCGGAGCGGACTTTCTCGAGCTCCGTTGCAGCATCGGCACTCGCTTTCTCATGCTTCTTGCCCTGCTTCTCGGCCTTGGTCTTCGCCACCTCGGCAGCGCTCACCGACTCACCGAGAGTGTTGACCTGGTCTTTCAGCCCATCCACCTTGGCCTTCTGACTTCGAAGTTGCGCTCCACCAATCTCCATGATCTTGTCTTGCAACTCCTTGATCTCCTCCTCGATCCCGGCCGTCTCAGCCTGCAACTTCTCCACCTCCTTCTGCATCTTCGCGATATTCTTCTCAAGATCGCCCGTCCGTTGCTTGTCAGCCTTGCCAGGCTGCGCCTCAGCCGCCAGCTCCTGAATCCGCTTTTCCGCATCGGCGATGTTCCGCTCAATGCTGTCAAGCTCGAGTTCGAACTTCTGCGCCTGCGTCTGCAACTTCGGCAGCCGGTTTTGCAACTCTTTCAGCCGCGCATTAAGCTCGCGCTGGCTCTCCTGAAGCCGCGCGTACTCTTGCTCCAAAGCATCGCGGTCGACTTCCATCTTCGCCACTTGCTCTTTGGTGACGTCCGCAGCGAGTTTGGCCGACATGGCGCCCTTGGCGACTTTGGTGCCACCGCCGCTCATCGTACCCGATTTGTCGATCAATTGGCCGTCTAGAGTTACCACACGCCAGCGCCGAGCACCGTAGGCAATGCGATCTGCTTGCTCGAGATCCTTCGCCACGAGAGTGTCCTGTAGCACGCTGTAGAATGCCGGCCGGAAGCGGTCGTGCTTCGCCTTGACCAGATCGAATAATCGCGGTACGCCTTCCGGGGTGTCCTTGGGCGAGAGATCGCGCTGAGCGAGCTGATTGAGCAGCATGAAGTTCGCACGACCAAGGTTATTCTTGCGAAGGTACTCCACGCACTGCTGTCCGATTTCGGTGGTGTCGACAACGAGATTGTCGAGTTGGGGACATGCGGTGGAGATGGCCACGTCGTACTTTTGGTCGATAGTGCCCAGGTTACCGAGCCGGCCGTGGAAGCCGTCGATTCGTCCGGACTCCTTCAGTCGGTTGAGACTTGAGAGGACATTGCCCTGGCTTTGCGTGGCGGAGAGACTTGCTCGAGCCTCATCAGCCTTCTGTCGTGCGCCGGAAAGCTTCGATTTGAATCCAGAGTCCTGGGCATTGAGCTGCTCGAGCTGCTTTTGTACGCTTTGAACCTCCTTCTCCGCAGACTTTTGCTCTTTCTTACAGCCTTCCAGCTCCTCCCTCTTCGCCGTTTCTCGCTGCCGGAATCCCGCAATCTTGGCCTCGACATCAGCGACAGCAGTAGCTCCAGCGTCTTCGCGTTCGCGGAGGATGTCAAGCTCGCTTTGCGCAACGGCAATGGCTGATTGCTTCTCGTTGACTTTGTCATTCCATGGCTCCAGCTGCTTCTGCTTGGCGGCAATCTCGTCGCTCAGACCTTGCGTTTTGCCCTTGAGGCTCTCGCGGATCTTCGACAGCTTCTCATCCTCCGTCGCAGCTTCCTGCTCCAGCTCTTCGATTTCCGCGCCCATTCGCCGGATGTCGTCAGTCGCATTCTTGGCAAGAGTCGTGGATTCCGAAATGCCGTAGTTGGAGGTCTCAAGCGTCTTCTCCAGCTTCTTCGCCTTGTTCGACAAGAACTTGCGCTTCTCCTCGAACTTGACGGTCTCCTTGTCTAGCTTTGCGACTTCCTTGAGGATGTTCTGCGTGTCCTTCTCGAGCTTGTCGTAGCCCTTCTCCCCAGCTTTGTAGTCCTTTTCAAGACGCTTGATCTCATCTTCACTGCCTTGATTCTTCTTCCTTTCCTCATTCAGTTGCCCTTCAATTTCGCCAATAGCTTCTTGCGTGACCTGAATGTTGTCGCCGCATTCCGAAACGTAGATTTGGTAGAGCGCGGAAGACTTCAACGCCAGCTCGTTCTCATCTTTGATGTACGCGAGCGCCTTGTTCTTCTTGTCCTCCAAGCTGTTCTTCTCCTTTTCGACATGCTGGACACGGGTGTTCTTCTCCAGACAAACCTCGTTGTAGCTCTCGGTCTCCGCGGCTGCTTCGTCGATGGGTGTCTTGTACTTGGACGTACCGATGATGTCTTCGAGGTATTCCAGAAGACCGTCGTCATGTTCGTTGGCGGCTTTCGGCTTCATCTGTGCGATAGATTCGACTTCACCCTGGAGGATCAAGAAACGCTTATGGTCGAGATCAACGCCCCGGTCTTTGAGCAGCGTTGTGACTGTCGTAAAATTGGACGTCTTGCCATTGATGTAGTATTTGCTGCTGTCGTTCTTGAAAGCTCGTCGGCAGATGATGAGTTGCGAGTCTGGAACAACGGCCGAGCCACCGCCGGGCTGATCCATGACGGATTGGAAGTGGACTTCCACCTCACAGTACTCCAGGTCGGGGTATTGCGCGCTGTTGTGGATGAGCGCGGAGAGCTTTCCCTGTCGCATCTTGCTCGCGCGGAAGCCAAAGACAAACAGCAACGAGTCGATGACGTTGGATTTGCCTGAGCCATTGGGCCCGACGACAGATGAGAAGGAGGCATGGAAGGGCCCGACTACTTGCCTGCCTGCATACGATTTGAAGTTCGTGAGGGTCAGGTAGGTGATGGTCATCCTCTCCTTTGGCTCGGCGGGCTCATGCGATTGCGGGACGCCGAGCGCTCTCTTCTTCACCACGATGTCCATCGGTCTGTCCAACTTCGTCACTTGTGCGTCCACCTTCTTGATCTCCATCTTGATATCGGTTTTGGGCGTTTGCACGGCTTCAGTCACTTCGGTCTCGTCGGCAGGCGGTGTGATGTGTCGTGATGCGAGGGTCGGCGTTTGCGCAGCTTCAGTCACCTCAGTGTCATCCGCAGGCGGTGTAACGTTTCGGGAAGCGAGTGTCGGCGTTTGCTCGTTGATTGCAGACTCCGTAATGTCAGTCAGCGGCGTGCCCTGCCGAGACAGTGGCTCGGGAGATTGCGAGGGTTGAGGGGTGGGCAAGGGTGGCTGCAGCTCGGGCGCATCGGAGGCAATGGAGATGCGTGACGCTCGGCTTTTGCGCGCCGCTCGCGCATCTTTCACGCTCCGGCGTTTGGGTGGCGATTTCTTTGTCGGCGAGAGTGGCTCGTCGACTACGCTCTCTGGCGGGCTGAAGAGCTGTGAAGGTTCCACGGATTCACCAGTCCGCACACGTCTCTCGCCCATCGTTGTGCGCCTGCGTGGGGTCGCATCTCCGGTGGTCTTCCGTCGCGGGGACGCTCTTGTCTTCTTGGGGGGTGTGAAGGCCTCTTCGTCCTCGTCCACTCTACTCTGGCTGACCATGCTGTTCTCCACGTCCGAGCCATCTTCCTCCTCCACGACAGTCTTTCTTCGAGCCGCCGCTCGTCGCGACGGACGTTCTGGTGATGTGGCGACCATTACGATTCCGGATGCGCGTCGAGTCGCCGTCGAGAGGTCGAGACAGGGCAGATGTCGTCGTCGCTCGAAGTTCAAATGATTGTTTACGGACTCATAAACAGATCGACCGATGCGGTAAGGCGCGCTTGGCTGGTTGCGCGCGCGGCTGTCGGATGTTGTCAGAAGTCGTGGTCACCTCTCCATCTCCTCCACCTCACTCTGAATCCTAGTGTCCACCATCAGACTCGATGTCGTCCCATTTCGGCGTCAATAGGAGCTCAATCTACGCCCATTAGTTGGCGACACTGCTTGTTAGACGAGAAAACCCCTTAAATCCGCCCGACGTCTTGCCAGAAGACGTTGCTCGAAGGCGACGCGCTCGTCTGGAGTGCACTCCGACATGGTCTTCTTCACCTACTTCTTTTGGGGACATCGATACCCTTCCGGATCCAGAAACTGAGCCCGGAAGAGAGTGTGTCTATGTGGATGACTCCTGCAACTCCATTGAAGTCTACAGTGCCGCCGATGTAATGGCTCTTGTTTGGTCACGTGACTATACGCGCGCAAGCCGGGGAACAAAACGACTGCGCGATTCCGCACGACACATGGCCTTGAAGAGCACCGTTCAAGTGTGCAGCAACATATCCCCATTCTTGTCTCCCCGGTTCGGGGGGAAAGAAGCCCCGACATACCGCGGAGAGTAGATGCACATCGTCATTCAGTGGCGGGCGGCCTTTCTCGGGAATCGGGATCGTCCAAAAGCTTGTTCTGCCGGTAGGGCCTTGCATTAAAAATCAAACTCTAAGTAAAAGCCGATATGAGTTCCACTCGCTTCCCGCCGCTCATATGAGCCCGGCTCGCCCGGTGTGGTCGACACCTTTTTCGCACTCGGGGCCCCGACCCTGCAACACACGGGACCTTCCTCAGGATATCAATATTGTGTGTAGAAATGCGATCAATTGTGAAGATTTTACACATCTGTATACACCGAGGTAGACGCCACGCTGGCAACCAAACGTTGATCTCGAAACTTGCGCACCGCCGTGAACCCGATGACCGGAGTAAAGACCGAAGGCTCGGAAGCTTACGGCAGCCGTGCTCCATCGTCTGGGAAATGATGTATTGGGAATGATCCACGGGATCACTCGCTTTTCCATGCCTCTCCGTCCCTCTCCCTCCATAAACATCATGCATCGTCGCCCTTCACGCTGCTCTCGACGTCCAATCAATCTTTGCACAGCGCGAAGGTCATTTTGACGACGATTCGACGACGGACACTCATCTACAACAACGACACCGCCCAACCATCGTCTGGAGGCTGAAGCGAAGCCCGCCAACGACACACGCGACCTTGTAGAACGACGACAAACGACCGTCCGCGAGCAGGGAAAGCTCACCAATCCACATCGACCCTCAAGACCATGGCAACCTACAACCCGCCCGCCTTTCCGCGCCGCCCGAAACACTCCAGCGTCTTCTCCGAGCTACGCTACTCCTGGGAGCTCCACTACTACCGCTACCAAATCAACACCGCGTTGTACGTCATGTCGCCGGGGGAGAAGCTGGCGTACAATCTGATTGTGCTGTCCGCGGTGGTCTTCTTCCTGACCGCCATCGTCTACTACCTTCCCAGCGCGGTATATGTGTCGATGGAGCGGCTGGCGTATTACTTGACGGGGAGCAGGAAGATGCACGTTGCTGCGATTCACGGAGCGGCGAAGGCGATGGAACAGAAGAGTCTGGCTGGTGTTGCGACGTTGATTGACGGGAGAGGGATGGGGCTGAATAATGCGAGTTGGGAGTTTGTGCTTTGATGGAGACGGGGCTGGATAAGGGAGTTGATTGGGAGGATAACGAATAATGTGAATAGACTTATGGGAGACGGCAATGAGTGGCCGGGTTGCTGCTTTACGCCAGGGGGTGTTGCGGCCGTCAGGCCGAGTCGGTGTGATGGTTGGAGAATCGAGGGAGCGGTGAGTCGTGCTCGAGAAGGCTTGGGTCTGGCGAGAGCCTGCGCGCTACCACTGCGATCGTCGAGGATATGCTGGCCGAATGGAAGAAGTGTGGTCAATGCAGTCGGACAGTCATGATATATTTGATTATTGGCATAATAAATAATGCAGTTTTGCTTTCAACGGCTTGACCGTATCTGGCAGGGTCCGGCACGATCGCGGATTCGGAACGCGGTCGATCAACGGCAGGAGGGAGCAGAAGAGACGCATGAAGTGGACTTGCTTGAGAGGCAGGACGTGTAACGAAGACTCGCAGGTGCCTAGATCATCAGGTACCGATGGCGTTCGTGTGAACGTGCTCTGCGCATGTTGTATTGGCAGGGAGAGCTCATGATTGGCGTGTCAAGTTATGCACACTATGGTTGCAGTACTTACGCGGTGCTTGATGTAATGGGCGCACTGTGCGCCGCCGAGATGCCTACGTCACCCTCCGAGCTCTTTGTTAAATTAAAGACGCGGGTAGCGGAGCAACGCATCGCAAGCCAATCCCTCGACCTTCTTCGCGACCGCTGCGCCATACCTTCACCTCCTCCGCCCTCCACCGCCCCTCCTCTTCCCTATCTCGTCCTCAGCCGCAGCATAGCAGGCGTGGTGTTCCCTTTCCTTCCGCCCTCGGTGCTTCCTCGCGTCTTCATGACCTCACCGTTCTGATCCTTGGTTGGCCCCATCCGAATAACGTCACGTTTCTCGGCATCATCCGTCATCAGCATCGCAACCAAGCCCGCCCGTCCGCACCTGCCGCAACCAGCTTTTCCGCATTCCTGCCCGTCCTCATCCCTGCGCCGACGCCATGTCTCGGCCACACAGCGCCTTCAGCTCTGTCCCGCCGCCGGACTCCCCGCTGGCAAGTCGAGGCTACTCCTCCAACACCACCGACTTCGCCCACGGCAATCCCACCCTCTCCTCCCCGCTCGCCCAATCCATGTCGACCGCGCCCATCCACTCCCCCGCCCACTACACCGACCCTTCCGCCGCCGGCGACGATGCCCCTGCAGGACTGGATCGAGCGACTTCGACGGCGTCTACGGCTGTACAGGCTTCGGCGCCGGCACGGAGCAATACGCTGAGGAAAAAGGCCAGCATGCGTCGCGCCGACTCCCTCAAGCGCAGCAGCAGCAAGAGAAGCCTCAAGGCCGGCAGTCTCGCGGGCTTCGGCGGCGTGGACAGCAACCAGCAGTACAGCAGCTTCTCCACCACCCCGATCCCCACCCAGGGCTCGCCCACCGAGATCCTCGCCAATCGCTTCCAGGCCTGGCGCCAGCTGTTGAAGAGCCTCATCACCTACTTTCGCGAAATTCAGGCCTCCTACGAGGTGCGCGCCAAAGCGGCGCACAAGGTGCAGGCTGTCATGGCAAGCATCAACACTCCGTCGCTCTTGACGAGCGAGCATGGCCTGAGCGACGCAACGCACATCCTTGACGACTACCACAAACGCACCGCCGCAGAGGCCAACAAGTCACGCGAGATTGAGGAGGATGTCATTGGCGCGCTGGCCGGGCTGAGGAGCGATCTCGGGCAGAAGATCAAGGAGATCAAGAGCCTAAGCGGCGACTTCAAAAACTCGGTGGAGAAGGAGAAGGATGCGACGAGGAGAGAGGTGGAGAAATTCCAGGAGTCCATCTCCATGGCCGAGCGAGATGACGGCGGTGCAGTGGGCAAGGCGGATCCTTATGTCGTCAAGTTGGGTGTCGATCGAGCTATCGAGAGGCAGATCGACGAGGAGAACTACTTGCATCGAGTATGCAGCTCCGAACCACCCACCCTCGTTGCTGTTGCTGTTACTAACGCGTCCTTCCTAGGCATACCTCAACCTCGAAAGCTCCGGCCGAGAACTCGAATCCATTGTCGTTGGCGAGATCCAGAAGGCTTACAACGCGCTCGCCAGCATCCTCAAACGCGAAGGCGACGACGCGTACAACGTCGTCGACTCCCTCCGCTCCGGCCCCATCTCGCTCCCCAAAGACGTTGAATGGCAGTCTTTCGTCGAGCGAGACCCGCACTTCGTCGACCCCAACGTGCCCCTGCGTCGCGTCGAAGACATCGAATACCCCGGCAAGCACCACCCCTCGGCCGTCGAAGTGCGCGCGGGCATGCTCGAGCGCAAGAGCAAGTACCTCAAATCCTACACGCCCGGCTGGTATGTGCTGTCGCCCACGCACCTGCACGAGTTCAAATCCGCCGACAAAATCTACTCCCAACCGCCCGTCATGTCGCTCTACCTGCCCGACCAGAAACTCGGCTCGCGCTCGCAGCCCGGCAGCACGAGCTACAAATTCCTCATCAAAGGCAAGCAAAGCGGCACCATGCACAAAGGGCACAACTGGGTCTTCCGCGCCGAGTCCTACGACACCATGCTCGCCTGGTTCGAAGACATGAGCATCCTCACGGAGAAGACGGGCGAGGAGCGCAATGCCTTTGTCCGCAAACACGCCCGCAGCTACTCCTCCGCCAGCCGCCGCGCAAGCATGAGCAGCGACGGCATGGAAGAAGACGAGGCCGATCGCGTCCCCTACTCCGCCGATGTTGCATCCCTCGCAGCCGGCACCTCTCCACAAGACGCGCGACCCCCGCGGCCCCAACCTGGTAAGTCTTGATCCCCAGCAATCACAACCTTGATTTGATCCGCCCAAAACGGCCTCATATTGAACATATCCCTTTCTCCGAAGCAAAATATTAGTCTTGATATCTGATCGTCTCTCCCTTTCTTCTGCACACAGGCGGCCGCTTTCCCTCCGATTTGCAAATCCCGCGTGCCCGAGGCGCGTCAGAGGGCCAGTGGAGCAACGAGAGCTCCGAGCCAGGCAATGGCGCGGCGGCAGGTGCTGCTTTGGCCGTGCCGCTGGCCGCGAGGTACGCGCACGATCCGTACCGACTGGAGGGCGTGACGGCGGGCACGGCGACGGTGAATACCTACAACTGGGAAGAGGACGAGCGGCGCGCATCGTACTTTGGCGGTGGCGGCGCTGCGTACTCTGGAGCCTACTCCGGACACGAACCGGCAGAGCACCAGCAAGTCTCTCAATCCGCTTTCGCCCACGACCCCGCGCCAGTGCACCACAACCCTACCTCTCCAACCCACGCCGCCATCCCGGACGTGGAGCACAGCACAGTCTACAGCAACTGGGTGGCGCCCGCCGCCATCGCAGGCGGACTAACCGGCGGAGCCGCAGGCGTCGCAGCCGCGGAACACCACCACCACACCAACCACGACGCACAGCATGCATCCGAGGCCCCGCCCGTGGTAGCCGCAGCTGCAGTGCCTGAAGACTCCCAACCCCTAACGAAACTCCGCAGTCCCAGCGAAACGGAAATCCGCGGCGGAGTCGACGCCCCTGACGCCGCGCCTGCTACTCCTCTCGTTGTCGCGGCTAACACTTTCGGCCACGACTCTACGGCGCCACCTGCTGATGCTGCTTCTGCATCAAGCGGTGGACTGGGCGGCCTTGAGGCCCGCGGCGCACAGGAGACGGGCTCGCTGCCTACGGTTGTTCGGCATGATACTTCGGTTTCCGTCAGTCAGCTGCATGTTCCCGGGGAGTTTCAGTAGATGGGGGTTTTTGCATTTGAGAAGCATGGATGGGTGGTATACGGAAGGGATAAAGGAGGGTTACTTTGGGCTTGGAAATGAGCGGTTGTGCGTTGTGGTTCGAGATACCCGCACGCATCGTTTGGTTCCGGTGTCTCTATAGTGTTTGTGGGGAGGCTGGGGGGTTGTGTAAACCTCAGATCCTTCATCGGAAAGGAGGCTTCAATACCTCTTCGTCCCTAGTTCAATGCATCGCTAAGCAAACATCGACCGCAAACGAAACTCGCGTAACAATTCGTAACATGCATGCAGCCCGCACGGGCAAAGATGCCACTCTGCCGCCAGGTCCCAATCATGAGCAGTGGTCATTGCTCCTCCACCTCCGCCCTGCCTAGCAATCAATACCCCCCAGCAAAAGCGAACCGTCCAAGATTCAGCAGCGGTCGCACTCTTTCCCCATCTTCGCCTTCGCCTGCGCTGCCGCTCCTCGCGCTCTCGGGACTATTGGGTATCAAGAAATCCTCGCTCCCTTGGACAGCTAGCATACTCGAGGCGGGCGCGGGATCAACTTCACTCTTTTCGATTTCGCGCCATTCGGCATCGGTGATGAAGGTGCCGTCGTTGTCATCGTGTGTCTCGGCAGTAGTTGGGTGTTGACGGGGTAGAGGGGGTGGGGAAGAATTCGGAATGGTGATTGCTTTCGTGTCGTCGTTGTCGTTTTGATCCAGGGCTCCTGCGAGGCTGGGAATGTTGTGTTCGACAGTCTGCAGAGGCGTCTTAGAGTGCGTGCGTGAGGGTGTTGTCTTTCCTGGCGAGGATGCGTGAAAGCCGTACTTTGCTTTGAAGCTTGCGAAGTTGGCATCGATGCCTTTGGTGAAAACACTTTGTTCGAGACGGGCATTGTCGCCCTCATTCTTGGTTGATGGCGCCTTTGCAGCGACGTCTGCAAGCGGGGTAATCGACGCTTCGTTCTGCTTTCCTGTAGTAGTCGTTGTGGTAGAATCCTGACCCTCCGCCAGCGCGTCGGAAAAGACCGGAATTTTCTTTCGTTTCTTCGGTGAGGGTGTTGCCTCTGTAGCTTCCGCCTCCTGAGTAGACATCATCTCCGCCACGGCTTCCGCAGCAGGATCGTCAGACCACAAGTCGAAGTTGTCCGCTTTCCTGCTCTGCGCAGATGGCTTCCGCAGGCTGGGGCTGGGATCAGGGCCAGGACGTGTGAAGAAGCGGCTTGTGGCACTTGATTTGTTTGCAAGCCCGCCCATGGCAGCGGAGAGCCCGCTGTCAGAGCACAATCGCTGTCTCTTGGGTGGTTCTCTTCCGGGGTCCCCCACAGCCCGTCGATTGGGCTGAGGAGCGGTGAACGTGCGCTGTGTTGCTGGCTGTCGTGCTGGCTGGACTTGAGAAGCGGACCATGAAAGGCCCTGTTGGCTTTGCAACAGCGTTTGTTGGCTCGGCGAAGGCGTAAAGGAGTTTGGATCCAGTTCCGCCAATGGAGTGCGCTTCGGTTTGAAGAACTCGGAGATGGGCTTCCCGTGCTTCTCGTCTGGGGTCTGCACCATTCTTGTCGTTCGAGATGTTGGATGATCGCGTGGAATGTGGTTGAAGACCAATTTCTCCTTGCTGTTTGGGTCCAGGTCGCCGACTGCCACGCCCTCGGCGACATGAGGCTCGCAGCTCTGCCCGAGGAAACCCATATCGTCGCTGCTGAGCTCGCTTGGCAGCTTCGTCAAGTTGACCAGACATCGTGCTTCCGGACAGAACACCCATTGGTACAGAAAGGTTCGCTCGGCGTTGCTGAATGCTTCGAGGTATCCAGGTGGGATTTTCATCTTTCCGTCGAATTGCACAGCGCGGACGATTCGCTCAACCGCTTTGTGCTTGCGAACCAGTCGGTAGGCCGTCTTCAATCCCATCTTATCAATGCCTGGCAGATAGTCGCAGCCACTTAGCATAGTCATCGTTCGAAACTCCTTATCCGTCCATCCCACAAGGCTGATCTCTCGACAAGCCGTGAAGTCGTCACGCCTCACCATAACGCACTCCCCATACTGGTCAAGTTTCGTGAGCAGGCACCTGACCCCAAACACCAGCAAATCCGAATCCTCGCTGACAACTCCCGAGATGTGGCCATGCTTCTCCAGGTAGGCCAGCTGCGAGTCGGCCTCGTAAGGAGCAACGACATATGGCACGTCCATGCGCTTGAGCTCTTCGATCAGTTCCCGAGCCATACTGGGAGTGACATCAATGGCTTTCTGAAGCTCCAGATACGCCTGGGGGGCTCTGCCCATGGCAAGCAACTCCAGACCAAGCTTCTTGCTCTCCTTTCGTCTGGCCGCACGCTCGTTTTCGGTGTGTTCTTTGCTGGGTAGATAGGCGCCATCGAAGACCAGGTAGGGCCGCACGCCGAAATGGAGGAGCATACGCACGCGATTCAGAGCAAAATCGATGTGCTTCCGAGTAGGTTTCTGCTGAGCAAGCTCAATGGCGCATGATACCGTGCCGCGATGCAGCCATCCGTACGCATCCACGCCGAGCGTTTGGCCGGCGAAGTTGCGGAGATGAGTCGGCTTGTGGATGCTTTTCAGCAGAGGTAACAGGCCTGTAGTCGATTAGAGGGAACATGTCAATGTTGAACCAGGAAAGCATGCCTTGGATGCCCATCTTGTTGATGGATCTTTGACGCCTGCTTGTACTACCGGAGGGACTTCATGATTGACTACAAGCCTCCGACGACATCGATTTGTGATACGCTGGCAGCTATGCACGCTGCTCGAGCTGCTGGTTGTTGTGGTGTAACGTTAGAGTCACTCTCGTCGTTCCTGCTTGAAGTTGAGATGCATTGCACGCGTCGCGTCGCTGACAAAGCGGAACAAGCCGAGCAAAGGCCGCCACCAAAAAAGTTCCGCTGCGTCTCGCACATTTTCGAAGTTTCAAACAAAGCTACATCAAACGGCAGCACCATGCCGTCCAAACTCTCCAAAGTGCAAAAGCACGTCCGGAAGAAGAAGGGCGACAAGATCAATTCACTACACGAGAACAGCCGAGATGCACGACGTTTGCGCCGAGCTGGAACCAGAGACGACCGCGTAGCCAGAGGATCTGCGGTGCGGGAAAAGCTGAACAGGCGATGGATCGATCGCGTCTTCTTTTGTCAAGACCGCTTACCTGCTACGCTGCACCCGCTTGGTTTGGAGGAGGTTCAGGAGATTGTGGAGGAATATCTCGCGCGTCATGACGAGGAACTGGAACAGCTCAAAGCCGAGCGCAGAGCTGGACGGCCGCCGAGCACGCGGCAGACTTTACTAGAGCAACAGAAGACGGTCGATGCACAGGAGTACGAGAGTGGACTTTGGCTTCCCAACCTCCAGGACGAGGAGACGCTGGTGAAGCTGGATGTCTGGCAGGGTGATTGGACTGGGCTTGCAAACATGCGGTTCGTGAGGCTGGAGAAGAGGGGAGTGGCGAAGGAGAGTCAATTTCCGCCTCGGGGTGCATCATGAGGCTATTCACGGCTGGATTACAAACGACGAGACAAGCCATGCCCATGATGTATCGCCTGTTGGAGGAACAGACTTTCCGGGCAACTCTACTATCGTGGCGAGCGCGCTTTGCGGAGTTGCAAGAAGGACAGAGGGTTTTCAACGGCCAACTCGACTTGCGTAGATGTGCAATGGCCGAGAGAACCAACCATACGACGCACGTGTGGAATACCGGCTGGAATCGAAAGGCTTGATGGACGGCCGCAGCCTTGCTATAACCTTACCGGCGCATCGCTCATCGCGCTACTTTACGAATGTCTTACAACGATACGTCATCGGAGAAGGGATCACAAAGGAGAATTTACTCGCTTCTCTGGACTGGTGCGATCTGTGTCGTGCACCTATCACTAAGGAACAAATGAATCTGATCCTCATCCGACTTCCATAGCGGCGCCTGCGCAAAAGTGCACACGTACCGCAAGAATAACTTCAATAGCGCCGTAGACAATCCACCGCCAGTTCAGTCCAAGGTACGAAAGTGTAAACCCATCTGGGCTGTCGTCATCTCACGGTGAGTTTTATCTTTTCGGAACAGTCCAAGTACAATATTGCCGCGTTAAAAGCCTCAGCACCGCTCTTCCAAACGATCCAACACGTGCGTCACCCGGCGAGAGAAAAGCAGGGTCCGCCAATACTGTCAGTGGCCGCCATGTGCCGTCGCTCCGGAGGTGCCTGTCGATCGCTGCACATTTTTGTCCGATCTAGCGCTGGAAAGGGTAAGGTCAATGACCTCACAACAATAGCTCTCCGCCGGACTTCGATCTTCCCAGCTCCCATGCTGAGCCCACGCGATGCACGATGCCAGCAATCGATGCGGATTGGCGAACATCTCTACCTCGATGGCCGAGCGATTAAGCTAAACACTGATCACGGTAAGCTTCAGCAGACCGGGGCGCGCCGTCAAATACATCTAGGCTGGCCTCGCGCATTTTACAACTCTTCCTCCCTTCCGACCTCATCACCCATTTCTCTCTATCTGTGTCAATCAGATACATTCTCTCACAATGCAGCACCGTTTTCTGGCGCTGGCCATGCTGGCCTCCGCCGACGCAGCCGTGATCTCAACCTACACCACCGTCATCACCAGCTCGGTCCTTCCGCCGTACTTCCAGTCGACGCCGGAGGTTTTCCAGGGCCCGACGCCTACAGGCAGCGAGCCGTTCCTGGCACAGACAAACCCTGTGACCTTCTCCGGCGCAACCACGACCACCTTCTTCCCCGCCTCGCCGCTCCAGACCCAAGAGCCTATTCAAGACCAGCCGGCCGGTGACAACATCTTCACGCAAATGGGCAACATTGGCCCGTACCGCTCTTCTCCCGGCTTCGGTGTCGACGAATATCCGCTTCCCAATGGTTCGGAGATCGTCTGGATGAACATGCTGGCACGTCACGGCTCTCGCTACCCCACTGATCCGAACCCTCTGGGCTCCTTGATCCCTGGCTCCGGCGCTACGTTCAGCGGTCAACTCTCGTGGTTGAACAACTGGACTTATGTCCTTGGGACGAACATCCTCACTCCCCTTGGTCGTCAAGAGTAAGCACAGTTCACGAAGCTGAGAACGAAGCGTGTCAGCTAAATATCCGTTCCACAGGCTTTACGACTCGGGTGTCTTGCACAACTACCAGTACGGGCATCTGTTCAACCCGAATTCGACGACGAAACTCGTCCTACGTACGACCACTGAGGACAGAATGAGGAAATCAGCCCAGGTGCGAACGCGAAAAGTTGCATAATACTGTAAGAAAAGCGTTTGGCTAATGTCCAGCTAGAACTTTGCTGCGGGCTTCTGGGGGCTTGGTTACGATGAATATGCGCAGATTGAGTACATTATTGACGAGACCGGCTTCAACAGCACTCTGTCTCCCACCAACCTTTGCGTGGTATGGTCCCGAAAGAGAGGTGCGAAAGCGTGAAGAAGTGAAGTCTGACAATCATTTCACAGAACAACAACAACTACCGCACCAGCGCCGGACAAAATGTGAGCACCGAGTGGATCGGCAACTACACCCAGAACGCGGTGAAGCGCCTGAACTCCATGTCCAGCGGCTTCACATGGAACGCGAGCACCGTGTACAGCGCCCAACAGCTCTGCCCATACGAGACCGTCGCTCTCGGATACAGCGAGTGGTGTGATCTTTTTGAATGGCAAGAGTGGGAGGACTTTGAGTACTCTATCGACCTCGACTTTGCCGGCACGTACGGCTTCCAATCGCCAACGTCGCGAGCGGTCGGTGTGGGATACGTCGAGGAAGTGTTGGCGAGATTGAACCACCATCTCATCACCAACGCCACGGCCGAGGTTAACGGTACGCCTGAAATCAAACCCCTTAGACGCTCGTCGGTTATACTGACTCAAACGAACAACAGTGACGCTTGACAGCATGAACTCGACCTTCCCGACCAACCAAAACCTCTACTTCGACTTCACCCACGAAGTCGACCTCTTCTCTACCCTCACAGCCTTCAGCTTCCGCCAATTCGCCCCGCTGCTCTCCGCCACCAGCTACCAGGCGAACCGCGAGCTCATCGTCTCCCACATGGTGCCCTTCGGCTGCCGCCTCAACATCGAGCTCATCCAAGCCCCGGCGCCCGTCCCCACCAACCGCAGCGGCGGATGGAGCGGCTACGAGAGCGGCGAGCCCACGACGTACATTCACTTTGTCCTCAACCAGCGCACGCTGCCGCTCGGACAAAGCATTCCGGCGTGTGGAGATCGTGCGGACGGGTGGTGTGAGTTGAGCACCTGGATGCAGGCGCAGGCTGATGCGCTCACCCTGGCGGACTATGACTATGCTTGCAACGGGAACTACAGTCCTCCTGCTTGGGGTGCGATTACCAACGGTGTGCCGCCCTCGTCTTAGGCCGGGCAGGAGATGTAGTGGATGGTTAAGAAAGGCAGACAGTAAGGGTATATAATGAGATACAAGCTGGTCGAGCCATATGCCCGAACGTCCACCATAGACACGATAACCACTCTATTCCCTTTGTCTGCGATTCTGTTAGAAGTCTACAAACCGTGAAGAACACCACAAAGGCGTAAGGCTGCCAAAGACCGCGGTATTCGCGGGCTCTAATTGGATCGACGTCGATTCAACGCTCGCAGACTCTGCCCGACGTGCCGACGACGGAAGAAGCGGGGATAGCAAACTCTGCTTACGAATTCTGGGTCGGAAATCGGCGTACGCCGGTGAACGCCGCGCGACATGACACCACCGACCGTCTTCATGTTGAGACCGTTAAGGCTTTAAATTCGCCTGAGATTCAGAAACTTTGGGAGTCGTTAGGCCAAGATTTTCACATACTCCCACCTGGGGAGTTTGATGCGTACCTTCGCCGGGAGGCAGCATCGAACAGCTCACTTATCAAAGCCGCAAACATCAAGGTGAATTGACATGTACGATCTCGCGATCATTGGCCATGGAGCCGCCGGCCTCGCCGCTGCAGTTGCTGCGGCAGAACGCGCCCCAGGCGCTCGTATCGCAGTGCTCGAACGCGCGTCCGAGGACTCGAGCGGAGGCAACACGCGGTGGAGTCCCTCCAACATGCGCATGAGATCTGTTAGAGAGACGTTGCCCGGATTTGAAGACGACATGATGGCGGTGAGCGGCGGGCGCGGCGACCGGGCCTATTTCCACAAGCTTGCTGTCGAAGCGCCCGCTACCCTTAAATGGGTGGAGCAGCATGGCGTGAAGTTCGAAACCATGGACTATTTCCTGAGTGCTTGGCCGACGCGCATCACGC